GTCAAGTTGAAGTCATATTGTTGTAATTCTTGAATCCATCGCACCTGGCGATGATTCAACTTCTGGGGTTTTTTGAAATAACCAAGGTTCTTGTGATCGGAATGAATTTCAAATTTCTGCATGGCTCCCATCAAGAAGTGATGCCATTCTTCTAAAGAGATCATGATCGCTAGCATCTCTCGATCATAAATTTCATAGTTTCTTTCAGTCAGTGAAAGGCTTTTCAATAAAAAAGTGATTGTTCACCATTGTCCATCTTGCTTCTGTGCAAGTTCAGCTCCAATAGCATATTTCGATGCATCGCATTCAACTTTGAACTGATCTTCATTGTTCAGAATACCTAATACCGGTGCCGTGATAATGGTTCTCTTTAGAAGTTCAAAAGCTTCTTGCTGTTCTGGACTCCAGGTCCATTCTACTTGTCTGGTTAATTTATTTAAGGGAGTGGCAATTTTGGAAAAGTCTTTAATGAATTGTCGATAGAAATTAGCGAATCCAAGGAATGACTGTAATTCCTTTTTGGCTTTTGGTACTGGCCATTGCGTAACTCCATCGACTTTGGCAGGATCCATCTTTACAGTTCCTTGCAAAATAATATATCCGAGATATTCTGTTTCTTGAGTTTCAAACTTGCATTTTTCTGGTTTGCAGGTTAACTTATTTTCTCATAATATTTTAAGGACTTCTTTTACGATATGTCAGTATTTCTCCAGGGATTTGGAAAATATGAGTATATTGTCAAGATATATGATTACTTTTCCTTTGAGAATGAGATTATGGAAAATGTCATTCATCATCATTTGAAATGTAGCAGGACTATTCGTCAATCCAAAGAACATGACGGTTGGTTTATATAGTCCTCTATTTGTGATGAATGCAGCTTTTTCTTCATCTTCTTCTTTCATGCGAATATTGTTATATCCTCAGTGAATGTCCAGTTTCGTGAAATATTTAGCACCTTTGAGCTTATCAATAAGCTCCGAGATTAATGGTAAAGGATATTTGTTTTTCTTGGTTATATCGTTGAGTTTTCGGTAATCCTGTACCGGTCTCAATTTGCCATCTTTCTTTTTGACAAAGAAGAAGGGTGCTCCCCAGGGAGACTTTGATGATCGGATTCTTCCTATCTTTAGATTTTCTTCAAGAAAACTGTCTAGGATTTTTTGTTCTTCAACAGTCATGGAATACACTTTTCCTGCATATGGTGATGAATCTGGTAATAACTCTATTGCATGATCCCATGGTTTCCTTTCTGGAAGGACATCAAAAGTATCTTCAGTGAATATGTCTATGAATTCACAATACTATTCTGGAACCATTTCTTCAAAGGTCTTTTTCTTTTTTTGTTCACTTTGTTCGATTGCTATGTCCATGGCTGTTACGCGCATTTGCTGAATGTATTCTCTCCATGCTTTATATCAAGCATTGGTATTTAATAGATATACAGTATCTCCTTCTTCGATCTCTTGTTGTCTTATAGTGATGCATGTGTGTGGGCATCGATTGAAGTCAACAAGTTGTAATTTAAAGTCTATTGATAAATTATGATATTCAATCCATTCATATCTGAGGAATATGTCTGACTTCCTCAGATTGGTAACTAGAAGCATGATGTTCTCCTAGTGATCGCCGATTTGAAGTGTAAGTCAGACGTATTCTGTGATCAGTCCCTGAGAATTCTCACTGTTATCGATGTTATAGACTTGGATCAGTTGATCAAATCTAGAGGTTTCAATTCCATGCCTTTTGATGAAATTATAATTTATGCATGATCCGGTACTATCGGTGTCAACTAATGCCACTGTATCATGGATTCTTTCTATTTCTGGTATAATCACAGTGACTGGTAGGTTCATTTGTTTCCCTCTTCCAAGTCCTTTGACAACTCAGAGTAGTGGTGGTCCGATGTCTGTGATGCTTTTATCCGATGCACTCAGTTTATTTTCAAATTTTTTTGTATTTTGTTTAGAGGAATCAAGCACAGGTTCTGCCCTGCCACACTTCTTGGTAGAAGACGCCGCTGTGTTAGATGAAATATTTACAAAAGGAGACTGTCCGATTGATGTACTACAGGCATGTATCGAAGATGTTTTCATAGAACCCTCCAGGGGTTTATCTGAGTCATTGTTCATATCCGGCAAGTCACTTTGTGCATTTAAGCCTTGCCCGAGCCAAAATTCAGCTTCTTCGCTTTTTCTGGGTTCTTCTCCATCCATCGCCAAACCATGGTGATCATCTTGTCATCATCGTTATCATCTGAGTCAGGGATCTTCTCGATCTTTGACTCTGTCTTCGTTTCATTCTTTCGAACACATTGAGTATTCGTGAAAGGTCCCGATCAATTGGGAACATGCCATGCACTTCCACAAGTGCCCTTCTCTGATTGCTTGGCCTTACACTTAAGGCAATTCCTGTCCAAGTCCATGGGCTGTCCTCGCCCTGTGAACATTGTTCCGGTTCCATCCTTCTTTTCTCCATAGTCCTTCTTCGGACTCTGATTCTGGTTCTGACCCGATCCTTGGGTCTGCTGCTGATAGGCAGGGTACTTCTGCCCATAGTTCTGGTTCGATCGGAATGATCAATATCCGATCTTCTTCAATCGCTTCTCTTCTTCCCGCTGCCTTCGCGAGAAATCAATGTCAATAATCACTTCCTTCCACTGTGCATATGTGACTGGTCGCATGTCTCTGTCAAGAGCCCTATCTACGATGAACTCATTGCAGTTGAGTCAGACAAGGTTGATAGTGTGTTTATCTTCCTTTGCCCTGCCTGCCTGCATGATGTACATTTCCAATTTCTGGAAATATTCCTGTGCCGTCCCATTGCCTTGGGTCAAGTTATCCATTTGGATAACTGCTTATTTGACTCAATTTGAATCGAGGAACTGTTCATCAAGAGCTTTGATCAACAGAAGGAAAGTGATATTCCAGCTATCGGTGCCGATGTCAAATTCATTTTCAAAATAATTGTTGACCCAATCGTCAACCTTCAGACTCTTCATGTATGAAAGAGTCATGTCGATCTTCTGTTCATCTGTAAGACCGGTGTTCTTCGGTGTTTGGAACTATAGATACAGTTGTCTTTTGAAAGATGAATATTTGTCTTTAGTTCCATCGAAGTCTAAAGGTTTCCCTCCAGATGCCTTTGTGTTTGGTGGTGGTGGAGGTGGTTGTCTGGGAGGTGAAGTTGGGTTTCTTGGTGGCGGCAGTGGTGGATTTGGTGAATTTGCTTCAAGACTACCAGTTCCAGATCCAGTAGAATCCATTGGTGATAATGGTGATGGTGGTGTGGAGTGTGTGAAGGATGAGTGTGATGGAGGTAGGAGAGGAGATAAAGGTCAGTGGGTGTAGTATTGATAGAGTGGTGCAGAGAATTCGAATGAAGATGTAGTGTGTGAACAATAGTGCCTTGTACCGGGTGCACGACCCTGTTCTGGTACTTAGACAAGTATAGATCCGAGGTAAAAGGTACTCCTTCAAAGTGTTCTGGCCAACAGCCGATCCAGACACACGAGGTAGGTAGTTATAGTAGCTACATAAAATGGTTTGGCCTTAGAAGGTGCAAAAAGAGAAATTGATCTCTGCAGTAGTTGTCTTTCAACATGCGAGAGAATCAAAGAATACCAGTGAGGTTCAAAACCTCCTGCCATACACTCAGTCATTTAGGTCTGAGCAGGATAAATTCTGGTAGGTTTTTTCAATGGCCCCTCTGTCAAGAAGGTTGCAGCACCGCCTACTTCCTGGTTGCTTCGAGAGTGGACTACCAGGTGAGAGTAATGATTTATGTACAAAGGGAATACAAGGGTCACAATCTATAGATGTAGTCACATGATTACCCAGGTGGAGGAGTGGAGTGCGATAGAAAAGTAACTAGGAGTGTGGAATTCAGATCCCTCTGAATGAGGTCTTGAGCGAGTAGGAATAAAGCAGAGTAGAGTGAGGAACAAGGTGATTGCCATCGAGTACAACAGACTTGAGAGAGGTGAAGTGTGGATGAAAAACAAGGCAATGCCTATCGAGAGAGTGCGGAGGGGCAAGTTTCAAATTATGATAGGACTCAAATCAAACTAGAAATGAGCAGTGTAAAACCATTCAAAACTTGGAGTTAATCTGAAGTTCATCTGATGTATATATACAACTATTATCTAAATACATGTGGTATCAATGTGTTCATATATACTTATGATATCGGTCAGGTTTGAGCATGGATCAGTGAATGTGTTTGGGTAGGTTTTAATAAGTGGTTACAAATGAATAATGTGAGGGAAAGGTGTGTTTGTAGATCTGGAATGAATGTGATCATAACACGTATACTCCCGATGGGTGGCAAGCCATGCTAGCATCGATGAACCACTTGAAGGTGCTTCAATTATTTGGGAATATATACACTGAACCAGGAATGACACTGCCCAGCCTAGGCATTGGTAATGAGTTGGTCCTTCAACATTTGATGGAACTGCATTTGATACATATGTTTAAGTTTGGTTATTTGCCTATGGCATTCGATACCAACCTATTCAAATTTCTGCAATTTCGAGCAGATATAGGACATCCTTTGGATTTATTAGACATTCATGATGCATATAGGTTGACCGTGGAGGACAGACAAAGACTTGCTGGTCTTGTCAAGCGCCTTGAGTAGGAGCAATCGATTGTGATGAATTCTTGTATGTGGCATTCTGCTCCTTACTCATTGTAGAGCCCAGCCTTGTTGAATGGGAATCATCCAATTCTTTACATCTCATTATGATCGGGTTTGATCACTGATGCCCGACCGACTAGCCCAGCTTTTTGGAATTTCTGCGTAAAATTCTATGCCAGATACTAGCAAGCAAAATGTGAACTTGAAGGAATTCCGAAATCCTGCTACAGTCTTCATTGGTAATCGTGATCAGCACCAATGTCACAGTACAGGTCCTGACAGGCTTCTGTCCAAATACCCTTCGTGATCTAGAGGACGGCGCGTGGGTCATATATATGGACAACTTGAATCGAATCACAACTTGGATTCCAATTTGGCTACTAGGTTGATGCCAGTCATCCTTCTTCAGATGCTCGAAGTGAAATCTCGCTATGCTGGCTGTCTATGTGAAAGATTGCGTTTGACGTGGTGGTTATTTCCAGTGGTTTTCGGACTTAATAACCACGGTTGCCACGTTCGACTAGGATCGGACCCACAGGTACAAAGAGATGCAAATGGACTGCCGGCTGCCGAGTGGCCCTGCACGGGCGCCTCAAACAGCATTTCGATTTACTTTACGACCAAAGGCAACGGTGTGGCCTACTCACGGTTTCCGTTCTTCACAATGGATGCAGACCTCATCAAGCTCGTTAACAAGCTTCAAGATACCTTTGCCAACCTTGGTGTGTACTTAGAATTCTTAGTTCGCTTGCTAGACTGACAAATTATATGTCTCGCAGGAGGGGAGCTGGATATGCCCCAGCTGGCTGTGGTATGTGACAAATCACGTTGTTGAACATTGTTCTAATAGAGGCGTAGGTTGGCAGTCAGTCAGCGGGAAAATCAAGCGTGCTAGAGACGTAAGTCTGGTGGTTACTTCAACAGTCGCGTGCTCTAACCTCTGGGCAGGATCGTTGGCCGTGACTTTCTACCGCGTGGACAAGGCATCGTAACACGAAGACCTCTCGTTCTGCAACTCATTCACACCCCCGTACCCGATCCCTCATCACCCAATTCGACATCGTATACCGAGTGGGGCCAGTTTCTCCACATAGACAAACGTTTCACCGACTTTAACGAAATTCGAAAAGAGATCGAGCAGGAGACATACCGAGTGGCCGGTCAAAACAAGGGCATTAGTAAATTGCCTATCCATCTCAGGATATACAGCCCCAACGTGCTTGACTTGACGTTGGTGGACCTGCCGGGTTTGACGAAGGTGCGTCGGCGGCATGCTTTTCCTTGATTGCTGCTAATGTTTTGAACATAGATTCCTGTTGGTGACCAACCAAGCGATATCGAGCGACAAATCCGTTCACTCGTTCTGGACTATATCTCAAAACCGAACTGCGTCATCCTCTCCGTCTCCGCTGCAAATGTCGACCTCGCCAATTCAGAATCGCTGAAGCTCTCTCGTTCAGTAGATCCGCAAGGTCGAAGAACCATCGGTGTGCTCACGAAATTGGATCTCATGGATGCCGGTACGAACGCGTTGGACATTTTGACGGGACGTGTATACCCTTTGAAGCTGGGCTTCATTGGTGTTGTGAACCGGAGTCAGCAGGACATCATTAGCGACAAGAGCCTTTCCGACGCGCTGGACGCTGAGGTAGAGTTCTTCAGGTCTCATGCGGCGTATAGGAATATCGCGCACAAGAATGGGACGAAGTATCTCGCGAGGACACTGAACCAGGTATGTCATGCGTCCTCGTGCGTTCGTGCTGTTTTGATGGTCATTTTGTAGGTCCTTATGAACCATATCCGCGAGAAACTGCCAGACATGAAGGCGCGTCTGAACACGCTTATGGGGCAGGCCCAGCAGGAGCTCAACTCCTTTGGCGACGCTGCAGTGTATGGCGATGCGAATCAGGTGTGTTATGTATTTGCTCACATGTTAAACAGTATGTTCAACCGCGAACAGCAAGGTGCCTTAATCCTGCGACTCATGACTCAATTTGCGCGCGACTTCGTGTCCTCCATCGAGGGTACATGTGTCGACATCTCGACAAAGGAACTCTCAGGCGGCGCGAGAATCTATTATATCTTCAATGACGTATTCGGAAATGCCCTTGCTTCTATTGACGCAACACATAACTTGGACAACCAAGATATCCGTACCGCGATCCGGAATTCGACGGGACCACGACCCAGTCTTTTTGTGCCGGAGATTGCATTCGACCTCCTGGTGAAGCCTCAAATCAAGCTTCTAGAGGCCCCGAGTGTACGTTGTGTGGAACTGGTGTACGAAGAACTTGTCAAGATTTGTCACAATTGCACGAGTTCGGTACGTTGTCGGACATGGAGTTGACTTTACGTGTAATGCTCAATTTTGTTCACAAGGATCTGCAACGGTTCCCAAGACTGCATGCTCAACTGGTGGAAACAGTGTCGGAGTTACTGCGAGAGCGTTTGGGACCAACCACCGAGTACACGCAAAGCCTCATTGAGATTCAAACTGCGTACATCAACACGAATCACCCTGCGTTCATATCTGGCACTGCTGCTGCTGCGCAAGCAGCGAACGTCTCTCCTGCGAAGCAGATCGCACCACCAAGGGTGAGTTGTAACACCTTTCTAACGCCATCTGTTCCACATCATGCTCATTAAACTCAACTCTATTCCGCAGCCATCTTCGGTCGAGCCTATCAATGGTGCAACTAGTCCGGACGATGCAGATGAATCTTCGGACGAGGTCAATACAATTAATGGCATACCTATCACCCGGGACGGGCGCTCCGTCTCCTCTACCGTCCATGATCGTTCGCGCTCAGCAGCAGCAGCCATCAGCTCCTCACATCGACGTCAAAGCTCTCCGAAGCCCCCTCATCATCATGCGCACGCTCATCGTCACGGCACAGGGTCAACAGTCATGCAGCCTGGCTCCTCGCCACACTCGGGTACAGCGAAGGAGACATTCTTGAACTACTTCTTTGGTCAAAACGGGCCAGGGCCTTTGGGAGCAGGTGCGGGCGTAGTGGAACGTTCGGGTGCGAACGCGGTGGCAACCACCGTGAGCACTACCACTACTATCACACCTGTCGGACGTGATCTCTATGGTAGTGACGCTGCCTTACAGTCTGGTCTCATGGCGGGAAAGCGAAATCTGGAGGGAAACAATGCGGCATTTGATATGAAGAGCCTTGGCAAGCACATTGAGGCTATCAGTGTACGTCCTTGCTTTCGTTTTATCCTTTCGGTTAGTAGGCTTATGAACGTAAACTATTCAGGCGTCAGATGGTGGCCCGCAATTGACGATGAGAGAAGAAATGGAGACCAACCTTATTCGGAGCCTCATCGCTTCGTACTTCCACATCGTGCGCCAGACCATCCAGGATCTCGTACCCAAAGCGATCATGCATTTCCTCGTCAACCATACTTCGCACCAAGTACAGAATCGTCTCGTGGCGTCCCTCTATAAGCCTGACCTATTCGGCGACTTGTTGAATGAAGACGAGGCGCTGGTTGCAGAGCGTACGAGAGTGAAGGCCTTGCTCGACGCTTACAAGGATGCGTTTAAGACTCTGTCGGAGGTTACCCTGAAGTCATCATAAGCTCGTATTCCATTGGACGGCTGTTATACCGAACTAGAGTTCTGCACATTCACGACACGTCACGCTCTCGTTATGTTGTATGAAGTATAATACACCACTCTATTTGCATACATTCACATCCATATCCCCCACCAGTTAGTGATAAATCGTGATAATCGTGGTATTGCGTGTATTCAACCTCTATGAGATATTCGGTACATTTGGAACTCGACAGCATCAAAGCATAATAGACATAGCAGGCATCTGTTCTAGACAGGACGTAATCACGAAGCGAGGAACTCAAAAAGACAAACGGAAGTGAAGAACTCGAGCCTGTCGCATAAACATCAAGAATGGGGAAGGGAATACATCCCGAAGGTATCATCCTGTCAAACACTCTGGTCCGGAGGATGCCCCTTGACAGCGACCCAAGTCTCCTTGCTTCCAGTCTTCTCAGCAGACTCGACGGGTTCCTTGATAGTCGATTCTTCTTCGGAGGTGACACTTTCCTCCGCATCTGCGTCTTCGCCGGAGGTTGTGTTCTCCGATTCAGAGCTTGAGGAGTCAGTAGAAACAGGTTCTTCCACCTTTTCGGCGGGTTTCACGGAAGCTGAGCTCTTGACCTTCTTGACCTTGATACGGGAGGGTTTCTCAGCCTTCGGCTGGAAGAATGGAGGATTAATTTCAGAAGTTCATATAAGATAAGACCAAGTAGTTGACGTACTTCTTCAGTTGTTGTCTCCTCTGACTTGGACTGACAGAATGATAGGATGTCAGTTTGACGACAACGATGGAAGACAGAAGTTGGCTTACCTCAGCAGCGGCCTCTTCAGCTTTTTTCTTCGCCTCTTCTTCTTTCTATATGGTCAGTCAGCGTGCGTACAACATACAGTGCTCATGAGGACTGACCTCTTTTTTGGCGAGTGCCTCAGCCTATGGCGATAACAACTGTTAGATTAAAAAGTGGAGCAATTTGTTGATTGATTCATACCTCTTTCTTCTCCTTGGCCTCGCGCTACAATCACGTACGTAAATATTAACAACGCAGTACATGTGGTGAACACTTTACCTCTTCCTTCTCCTTCTTGAGTTTCGCCTTAGTCTCACGTTCCTGAATAATCCTATGATTACCGAAGTCAGGTGTCATCGCAACAACCGAATTTCAGGAACTGCAGACTTACCATGCGCTCACCTCCTCGACGCATTCACGTGGGCGTGTCTTATTCTTCAGAAGATAGCCTTGCAAGGAGGCAACCTGCAAACCTTTCAGCCGACAGCCAAGACAAAGATAGAAACGGGAACTCACGCTGAACTCGTCATTGGGAATGGCATCTGCAAAACGCTTAGCAAGTACACAGACTTCATCCTCAGTGAGTGTGTGAGTAGCGACCGAAGGACGTTGACGCTTCGGGACCGCAAGATTTTCTTGAGAAGTTGGATCCTTGGGATCAATCGTTGGAGTAACATTAACAGGCTTTACGGGGAAGAAGCACTTGAAGATGCCCTCCGCTTGCCACTTAGTCGCGTTCTTGAAGTTCACCCACACGTCCATGCGGCCAGGACGGCTGAGCGCGGGGTCAAGACGCTCAATGTGGTTCGTGGTAGCAAACAGAAGCCTAAGTAGACTGTTTGAGTTTTGACAGATGGGGAAAGACTGTTTGACACTGACCGTCCTTCCGCTGCGGCGACACCATCTAAAGAGTTTAGCAGACCACTCAGACTCAGGGTAGAGCCATCATCTGTTTCTTCCTTTGACTTCGCAGTAGTAGTTGATGTAGACGAAGTATTACTGCTGCTGCCACTAGTGGGTGCGCCAGTCGATTTCTCATCTCGACTGACGCCCCGAGTGAATGCAGCGTCTAAATCTTCTAGAAGAACAATACATCTGACCCGAGAGATAATGAGTACGGAACTTGGTGTAAGGGGGTGAGAATGAAACAAACCTGGAAGGTACATTGCCCATAAGGTTTGCCAATGTATTATCACTCATCCTGCGGAGCGCTGTGAGAACGGGAGTGAAGGCATAACGTGAGAAACCGCACCCTTTCGACGAAAGACTAATGACATAGATGTCAAGTCCCAACTCCCCGGCAAGGCTGTGAATCAACGACGTCTTGCCACTGCCAAAGCATTTCAATATTGACATATTGCAAAGATAATTATTTGAACGAACCTTCCGGGTACACCATGCAACAGATAGCCTCGGCGGAAGGGAATACCTAAGCCGACGTTGAGCGCCGAGAACCCATGTAAGACACAGTTAGCCTACCTCGTTCGGCATACCTGGGAATGAGTTTGTTAACCGGTTTAACGTCATTGAATACCGACTGTGAGACATACCAATCTTCAGAACGCAAGAAATCCTTGCAGTCGGCCAGAATCATGTCCTTGACTCCCGGCTCAAGAACGATGGAGCTCATCGGACGTTTTTGACGAGCGCCATTCCATCGCCAATGTCCGCCATACAACCTGCGTTGAGAAGTAAATGAGTCCGCAAGACGTGTAATGAATCATTCTCCGCTTACGTATCGGCCATGAAAATGTGCACGCGGTGTTCCGCATCCTTTTCGTACTCACGCTTTGCTTCGAGCACAAGTCTCTTGAGGATATCGTTGTTACGGGCGACAACACTTGCCACATATGTCGTCAGATCCGGACGCTGAGATGTCCTACTCGGAACCTACCTAATCTTCAGTTCCGCACACTGACCAAAATCGGAGTAGCGCTTTGTTCGGGTGATCTGTCATGTCGACAGGTTAACACCATCAGAAGCTATTAGAGTTTGTTGATACTTACGCGAAGCCAATGTCCCCGATAGTAGATGGTATGCGTGGTATCTTATGTGAATGCGTAAGGTCGATGACGTCACTCTGCGACAATGGTGGCAGACTTACCGACGCTCGGGATGATAGCCACTGATGTATAACACTGTCAGCATATAGGACTACACGTGGACGAGCGGAAATACCACACCCTTGCGTTTCCTACGGGTGGCGAGATCTTCTGATTCGTCGTCTTCGTCGTCTTCCAGGTCCCCGCTCGTTGACTGCGTGAGACCGTGGCGATTGACAGTTCGGGTTGTGATGTCGAACTCGCGGCTGCGACCCCACGCCGGTTGCTGTGTGTAATGACATACATTACGCTGGATTGCAAAATGAGCAAGTCGACCCACCTTGGACAGCCAGTGCATGAGCCAATCGTACGGGTAATCCTCTTGGCTGAAGTGCGCGGTAAGGAAGAACGCTGGAGAAGACATTCGTAAATGTGAAGTGGCGTGCTTGATCCATTGACTCACAATCAATGAAACCATTCCATGCCGACACCGATGCTCTTCTCGCCGTCTCTACTGTGCCACCAATAACGACCAGTTTCTAAAGTGGCGTCAGCACAGGACGATGGACAAAGAATGATATCAAGAATCGTACCAGAGTGTCATGGATGGGATTAGTAACATTGCTGCTCGTAAGCGGCGAGAGTAAACTCTTGAGAGCATCCATGACTGAAAGTTCAAGGGAAAGGAGAGATCAAGACCCTCTCAGGACCACGTCAGTTTATAAGTCCGTCTAAGACCTCGTGTCGGAGAGTAAACTGGGAAGCCGTTTGCTACCTTTACGCGCTGCCGGCAGGCGGTGCGCGTATTGCGCCTCCATACCAGTACCCGATCTGCAATTTACGGAAGAAGTGAGAAGGTTTCTGAACGCGATAGGACTCCGCCTGACATAACAGAAATATTTTGTCACGTCGCATGGTTTCTACGGATTTGGATTACTAGCGCTATTGTTGATATACTGCCACATAATTCTGGGCTGTGGGGTTGCAAAGGGAGCTAGTTTCGGGCAAATTGTGTCACAGAGTAGGAACAAAGACTTCTTTGTGAGGAAGAATCTTACCGAATGGGGGCATTACCGCCTGCCTCGTGCCTATCTACCCACGCCCCATTGTTCTGATCAGTCTTGGGTCTGCCAGAGTCTACAAGCCAAGTGCAATCTCCTCTTCTACATCCCCTTTCAAACCTGTCAAGGTGCCACTGGGTTCGTCAGAAATAGCAATTGCACGATAGTCTTCGAGCATGTGGAAAGATTAGCTCTACCGAACGCCGAGCCGAGATTTCCTTACATGATCACGAACGCTATACTTCAAACTCAACATCATGAAACTGTAAGTTATCCGATCGCTAAAACCTAACCAGCAAGCTTCACGACATCATGGACTAATCTTCATCCAGCGCTGCAAGCACACGGAATGATTGAGTAAAGTCGACTGAACGCAACACACGAACACGCGTTTGCAGCTTACTAGGTTACATAGACCCCATACGTTGGCAGCTACGTCAAGTGGTATCCAGCACGTAATGAGACTTAATAGGTCCACTTCGCACGTACGTTTATCCGGTTCACAGGGCAGTAGACAAGCCCAAAGGAATGGCGTTGAAACAAATTGCGAGGGACATGGGCCTATTCAGAAGGTTCATCACGCCGGTACAACCGGACCATTGTGACTGGCGTAACAATTGATTAAGATTCACAGCCCAGCAAAAAATAACCATTGTGAGAGACCTTACCTGTGCACCACTCCGACGACGATGCCTGGTGGTCCGTTATGCACCATGAAAGACACGGCAGTCCCACCTTGACACATGCAGCAACGTAGTGACGTCTGCGTAGCTCATGTGATGGAAGACCTCGTGAAGAAATGACACTAGAAAAGGCAAGAACCTCGGAGCGCAATCATTGAATTGCGCAGGGCCTAACTGTTTCCGCAGGTGACAACTCGCCGATCAAGTGAACCCAGGGCACCAATGTGCGCCCAATGCCGCAGAACGTGCAACCGAAGAACCACGAGTGAACCAAGACGGCCAGATATGGGTGAATGCCTACAAATACCGCAGGATGAGACTAGGACAAGTAGCGATGAGCCGGGGTACCTGAAGTCTCGAATCCAAATATCATCGCCACAGTGATTTTGAAAGAAGGGCGCAGTCGTAGCCAATAGGCTAAGAAGCGCAACGGGAAGGTCCCATGCACAAGGAGTGCGACCCTTGCTTTCGCGGGCACCGTTCATCCCGTCGGATTCATCACAATCCTGTATAAGGTTTGCATCCTTGTGCCGCACTTCGGAACCTGCAATATGCATCGATTCGAAATCCATGTCGATCCCCCAAGATTGGGTAAGATAAAGGCTAAGACAGTCACATTGTGCAGGACCCTGAACCTCGATGCGACGTTCCATGGGGTATGGTGGGAGAGACGAGGGAACGAGGAAATCGTCGGAGTTGCAGATCGAGTGACCATACAAAGGTGAACTGACGCAGCTCTTCGTATGATCATCCAGGAATGACGATAAGGCTTGAAGATACAAAAGGTACTAGGCTCCGTGTGAATAAGGGTGTTGAGGAGAATCCAGACCCGTCATGGATGCCGGTTGGAGGCTATCGCCAAGATATACCGTTTACTCGGTACCGTCCTGCAGTCCCTTGGAGATGTAAAGAAATGTAGACTGTGTTCTGCAGATTGATGCCATACTGTCGATAGAGCGCACTATGAGTCGAATGGTAGCCCAAGTCTAATTAAAAAATCTGGAACGTGCCTTTCACAAGTACCCCAATTACTCGTCCTGAAAATGAAGTGCGCAACAAGCCCCGGGAAGCGCTACATGATCAAAGTTCAAGGGTCTTCGATGAGCATCGAAGACTAGAATCGTTATCCAATTTGGGGAGAAAGCTTGAACCCGGTCCGAAGGTAAGGTATCCTGAGCATTCATATGTGGCAGCCTGTGTGGAATTGTGATACCTACCACGTCATCTGTGTCTGGTATCATCGTGGAATCAAAATAGAGCTGGCGATAATCGGAAGTTGATCAATCGAATTCACATCTGTATGTGTGCCCTTGGGCATGTGTTGTCCTCGTTTCGAGTAGACTACTGTGATCGGGTCTAAACATCCCAGAAAAGCGCCAAATGACGTCTAAAGTCATTGTTTCCAAGATGCGCAAGGTGCTCACCATCCAAACCGCATCTTTTGGAGACGTAGATCTTCAATGGTCCATAGACAGGGCCCTGCCAAATATCGATCTGTCATACCAAATCGGACAAATTGAAATATATATCTAACATATCTGGGCTGACGTGGTAAGTAATGATTTCGATGCGATGAAGGCGGAACTATGCTTAAATTCGACGCCCGAGCGAAACGCACATCAATTTGCGCAAACGTCTATCTGAATAAGGGCGGTAAGCAATGGGATCCAACGCAATGCCAGCGTCCTGCGATATCATCGAGCGCTCCGCATTACAAACTAAGTAGGCATATGTACGATACTTTCGGGGATATCTTGGAATACAATCGATGAGGATGATTGCGGGAGGGTATTTGGAACGTGACCAAGCACGCACCAATTAATCTTCTCTTAGCAGACTCCCCATCTCCATCTCGTCTGCATTGGGATCGACGGGTACTACGGCTAGTCCTTCCGACATCTCCCTCTTGACACACAGCTGTTCGGCCGTGACCACCGTGAGACAGGCACTGGCGGCCATGACGCCCCAGAAAAACCAGGAGGCAGGCAGAGCATTCGAATAGTATGTCGTCAGGACGAGATGGTTGAATATCAGAGTCAGCGTGAAATCGAGGATGAGGCGTGGCCGTCGAATTAGAGAGTAGAGGTAGTAAATGCTATTGGCGTTTGAAGAAAAGCGACTTAGTTCAAGGATGTATCGTCAATGCTTCTCACCTACTCAGCAGTCGATGCCAACATCCAGCATACAGCGATTATCCATCCTTTCCTAGGGTCTATCCGACCATCCCACTCGTCACCAGTAGCATCTTCCGTGCCGACTTGTTTCCCTCCGCTCCAAACGGCATTCAAGACACGCCACGCTACATCGGTTGAGGACTGGCGTGAGGTGGGCCTACCAGCCATCTGCCTCCAATCCATGATCATACCTATGAGAGAATTCAATGAATATCGATGCAAGGCTGTCGTTCCCTGCATACATACCGACGTTAGACGCCCCGCCTTCGTATTCCAAGGAAGTCGGCTCTGCAAATATTGTAAGCAAAGGAGGCAACAACATGGCCATTGTTAAATAGTGCAAAGTTTGCATCGAGATGATCTGCGAATGCAATCAGTTCCACGGACAACCTCAAATCTCAAACCGCATGTAGCGCACCTGCGAGATTAGTAACACTGGGTCCCATGTATTAGTAGCCGGCGTCTTGGCCATATCGTATATTCACGGATCGTATTATGTCTTTGGGGATGAAATTTCCAATTCGCGGGCGTATAAGGGTAAAATCAGTATAACTACGTCGAGCGTGGCCTTGTGTGAGCAAGTATAAAAGCAACGACGTCACCAACAGCTTACGCTTTACTTGATCGTGTTGAACATGAAGCTGACAATAGATTGTAAGAATTTTGATTCTTCTGAGGACAAAAGTGCGGAAACCAACCTACGTGATGGGAACAAGTACAGGTACAGGGTAGTACTCGTCTTGTCGAAACCTCAAGTTCGCAGTGATGTTGCTTACGTCAGCTCGTCAACCAATCAGAGAGGTGCTTTGATGATCCCGATTTGGACGGTACTCTCCATAAAAGTCGCTGTCAAAGTTCATTCAGAGGCAAGATCAGTGAGTGCTAGTTGTCACCCTGTGGAAGATTACTTCACTGGTTGAACTGAATTCATTCTTCGTTGATTCTAGAAACGGTACTATATGTCATTAAGACAGAAGCAGCTTTTTTCTTTATTTTTGCTACAGCTGTTGTGTGGCCGTTCGAAAGGGGCGCATGAAAACGAGGGATGTATCGCAGAGAGGTATCAATAAATGCAAGGCTCAAGCGTCAATTTGTTGAGCAGTATAGTGTCTACCGCAATGGTTCTTCAACTCACGTCGATTCTTAATCCGTAACCGCTCCTCGTACCTGATCTGATAGTGCAGCTGGATTCTACTAATTTTTCTTGGATGCACTACCTTCCACCAAGGTATGCGCCGTCTATACCTCTATGGGATTGTTGTAGGTGCTCAACCCAGTCACTGGCCTGGAAGCTCTTTACCTCTCAGTCCTTCTAACAGTTCCCTTTAAATCTCGGGTAAACCGCTCGCAACTCGGGAAATCGCTCTGGATACCACACACCTGGTCTATGTCGAATACAATGGAGACCTCATGCAGAATATCCGAGATCCGTTTGTCGTAAGAGAAGTTCGTGCACTTTTGTGACTCATTACCATCCTTTTTCATCCAATAAATGCCCTGATAGATTTGTATGTTATTAGGGATGATCAAGCTCAAGAAATACAACACTGTGTCTGCATGTACTGGGAAGAAATAAGGGGTGCCACTTCTTGAGGGTGGCTTATTTTTGGTGGATCCTACAGTAAGCTCTCTCTCTCTCTCTCTTCTTTCTTTTATTTTTCTTTTGGAATCGACATGGCATGGGTGTCGAAAACACCGCGAAGGAACAGCTTTGTTCAGATCTGATACACGAAATCTTCATGTGACGACAAGCATGAAGCAACAAGTCTCTCCGCCAGATTACATAGGACTCCATCACACAACTACAAAATCTTGGACGTCACGGAACACTCAGCCACGGTGGTATTTGATTAATAGGCACAGAATTCTGAACATCTTTCAGTGTCCAACCGACGCTACTCTCCATGTGTTCAATATCCGACGACGACCATTGGTTGTACGATATGTAATTTTCCTGTCTCGATATTACCTACTTTGATTATTGGAATCAATTTAGATCTGCTCTTCAGTTACTGAAGTGCATCGTGGCACTGAGATGCTTTCCCTACTGAAGGCTTTATGTCCGGACAACACTTTCACGAACCTCATGCTTCTGCTTTCAACATGTCGTCGGCTGCCCCAATATCAAGAGGTTGGTTCTAAGGCCCACAAATAGGAAACCCAAAACGATATCGAAGAACCATTGGCTTTGACTTTCTCTGGTTCATTCTAAATCGACATTTTGAAAATCTTTCGAATGTTGGCCTATATCGCATAGAACTGGGACTTCCTTGACATATGCTCACTTACCGCGGCACTTCCGCAAAGACCGAACCGTCAACTTGGTACCCACTGAGTCCTTCGCAGGTTGAATCGTTGTTCAACTCGGCTACAACAGCCCTCCGTGCTCATCCAGTAACGCTGGATTTTGCTGGACAGCTCGGCCTTCTCTAGCTCAAGGTTCGAAGGCCGACAGCAGTCCTATAGGCGACGGATGTCAACTTGAAACATCAACTTTCAAAGCAAAATTTGACACCATAGAGCGGTCCGTCTAGGAAGATGTGATCGGCAAATTCTGCGGAGGCGTGCATTCCTCATTGTGGTCAGTCCAGATCCTTCAAGTTTCTGTCAAACTTGATGTCGACCTTGGACGGCTATAAACTCCCTCCGATTGTTCCCTTACGACTTCCACACCAGACTGCCTGGACGCGAATCATTCTGATCAGGTTTTCTGATGTTTCGTCAGTTCTGCTATCTACAACTCAGGTTTTTAGAAGAAGCAAACAAACTATCGTTCATCCCTTCATCGAAGAATGCACTTCAACTCCGACGAGATTGTTGCCACGTACGGAACGTTTCAGGGTCGATTTTTGAAGAGGATGCGATTGTTGCTTGAAGTGGAGACATTTAAGTTTGAGCCTTGTTATCCATGGGCTAGTAACTATTTTTTATCGGCAGTCAGATTATTTGCGAAACGCCTTGCCTAAGCACAAGTGAGTTTCTGATCACGACAGCAACTATGCACAAAACGAGGTAGGTGATATTCGGATGTCGAAGCTACGACATCAGAGAATAGTTGTGAAAACAATATTCGAAACATTAGCCTAGCTAGGAAGTGAGAAATAAGAAGTTCTAAGTAGCGGGGTATACCCAGGCTAAGCATGATGGCAGAAGAATCTAAGGGCACTGTCTAGAAGAGCTCTGAAGTACCGCAGGCGGTGGAGCCACCGTTGGAAGGATGCAGAATCAATAAGAACCACAACTGCAAAGAGAGTCACACCCCCGAGAAATTCCGCCAGTAGACAAAATATGTAGGTGGCAAGGGGCAAACTGGAAACAATAACCTCAGTAAACATCGAAACGGCACGGGTTCACCCAGAGAAACCAGTTCTGAGCCCATACACCATGAACAATTCGTCACGCGCGTCATCGCATCTAGCATGAGCGTCTCGTCAACGACCAAGAAATTCTAAGAAAAGGCCCAATAATCAACACGAACGGATAAACCAAGCAAAAACCAGAGAAAAAAATCTTGTTACAGAGAAACTTGTCTTGAAATTTGGGTTTCTAGTATTTCTCTCAATGCCGTTGTAATGACTAGATACCAGCATAGGCATCATCGTCATCATACAACGTGTATACAGTATCCGGACGTTTGGATAGATCCTCCTTGGCAGGACGAGCCTGAGGAACGACTGCGGCCTCCTTGGAAATCTCGACATTCGCTTTGGTTGGCTCAACGGCTGTAGATCCGCTAGGGAAGTGAGCCTCTACAGGAGGAATGGGCATGTTGAACGACGGAGCCAGCGGCGAGGGCGATGGGCGACCGGAAGAAAGAGCCATAGGAAACTCGTGGGAAATCGGAGAGAATGAACGTTGCTGGAGTTGAATCTCTGGCAAGATGGGTGGCGTAGAGGGGATGCGCGACTTCGACGAGAAAGCAGGCGAAGGCGGGACAGGGAAAGACTCTCTGATAGCTCGCACGTCATCGTCACCGTGAGTGTATACGGGCGCCGGGAACGCAGGCTCGGGAGACTTCTGTTGCACGTGAGGATCTGCGAACGGCGACTCGGGAATGGCGTTCTCATGATACACAGCTAAGTGTGGAGAATCCGTCGTGATGTTCTGTCCGAGGTCAAGGGGACGAGTGTTGGGTTGAGGGGCAGTGTTTCCTCCGCCTTCAGCATATTCATTCCCAACGGCCGACGCAACAACGGGCGTAACAACAGGCATAGGTGGCGTCGTATTCAATCTGCGAGAAATCTCCTCGTATTGCTGTGCCTGGAATGGCGTGACGCTGGACCGGTTCAAGTCGACATAGTGCGCTTCATGAGGATACAACTCGCCGTTATTCTGTCCCATAGTTGACTGACGGGTAAGGTAGGCTGAGGCACCAACAGAGTTCTGACGAACAATTTCTCCCTGTGCGTTATACGCAGAATCGTAAGGTGCAACCGTGGGGGAATTCATTGGGGATTGGCCAATGGGCGAAAAGAACGGATGGGCAGGAGGCGTCGTCACGGAGAGTGGCGTGTGAGGCGACTGCGCCATGTTCACGAATTGGCCTGGATTGAAGGAAGGCTGTTGGTATCCATACGTCTCGCCGTTATACGTCTGAGCAGAAATCGGACTCGCAGGGTATGACGCAGGTGCGTAATCAGGCCTTTGTTCGAACATGGATGGTGGAGGAATATCATTGTTATATCCACGGTTCATGGTCATTGAGCGGGCAGGTAAATTTCCATCAGGAAGTACTGCAGATTGACGGCGAAATGTGTCGGCGTTGAAGGTAGCAGCATCCTCTTCTCCCTTGCGGCGTGCACGTCGCTGTATCATAAAGATGCAGAAGTCACTATGAGGAAATATAGTAACATTGATCTGGAGGCGACATACCACAAAATAAGTCACAGTAAACACGATTAAAGCGAGAGCAACGAGGCCAGCAATGACACCGCCGACCACAGCTCCGGTGTTTCCGCTACTGGCAGTTTCGGGTTCGGAGGTAGCACTCACACTAGCGGATGCAGCGCCATTGACGTTAGACACAGTGCGAGATACCGTAGATTTCGCAGAAGAAGGTCGGGAAGACGTGGGTGAAGAAATCGGAGTGGCCGCCTGTAGCCAGTGAGAACATGATCTTAACGTTCAGGGAAGTAGTGCCTTACCGGAGTGCTTTTGACCACAGTAGGCGTATTTACTGGGGTCGTGGGAGAGTTAGAACTGTTGGAAATACTCGTCGCAACGGCCGGCGAAGTCAAAGGTGTAGTAACAGGCAGAGCAGAAGATCTTAAGGATGGAGTATCGGTGACTCGAGTAGCAGGAGATGGGGTGGCCGCGGGAACAGAAGCTGGCGGGGTTGCGGCGGCAGGAGAGGACGTCACCGGAGGAGCTGCGGCTAAAATGAGTCAGTTGGCATGCTCAACTTGTTCAAAGCCCACAACCGCGTCCCTCGTTCGGAGTAATCTGGACCCCGCTTCATAGAGGGACGCGAGATCGCGGTGTGCATAATGAACTGTTCGCGAGAAGCACGAGAATGAGATTTAATCACTTACCAGGAGGTGAAGGCGTAGCAGCAGGCACGGTCGGCTGTGGCTGTTCAGCAGTTTCGGTAGGCAACAAAGTTGTCCAGATAGCAGTCGGACTGAATCTGGCCTGCAAACGCTTTAGTCCTGGGACCTTTCGGCGATGCAACTGCCGCCTGTTCGGAAGTTCGTCTCTCATTTTCTAATACACCGGAGCAAGTCAGTAAGAAAAAGAGTGTCGTGTTAAAAGAGAGTGGGTTCCCGGAGGGGGGAAGCACACAGGCTTCAGATACAGAAGAGGCGAGACGGTCGAAGGAGAGGTCGAGCGAGATTCTCTGCTCTGCGCTGGAACTGGCTACCAGGCACTGATCCGGGCTAAATGGAGAACCCGCTCGCTTACAAATACTTTGATCTCTTTGCCTAGAAAGGCATACACTGTAAACGAAGACAGCTCAATATTACGGCTGAGAGGAACGGAAGTCATGAATTTTGGAAGACATCCTTTGAATACGTCCATTATAAGCTACAAGTCAATGAATGACGTGGTGACAACAGTGGTTCAAACAGAGTATAAAACAATCTCAAATGAACGTTGGCACTTCACTATGACTCGAGTGAAACGGCGGCAGACGTTGAAGACTTCGACAGAATCTACAACCTCAAATGCGTGGACACGAGCTTCGCTCTTTTACTAGGATACAATAACCCACAAGCTCGAAAGGGAGAAACCTCTATGGAGCAGCCAGAAGTCAACGACCGATGTTCTGTAAAGAAAAGAATATCCCACATGGCCAGAAACTAGGCTTCAAATGTCCGTAAGGACTTCTACGACAGTGCGAGATGTAATGAGCGTGGCCGTAGAGACACGAAGCAATGGTTATATATGTCACGTCAACAGATTCAATGAAGGAGAGAAGAGGACAAACACTAGCTGCAAAACACGCGATCGTTCGCCTTCATATGTACCGAACTCGGGTAACTAACCAACCGGCATGGGCCTAGAACGCTTTAACCATTCTTGCGTTGGCGGATTTCCCTTCTTAGCAACACAAGTGAGTGTACTTACTTGGTGTTCAGTAGCAGCGATATTGCACTTCTACCCCAGTGCATATCAGTTCATCGTGCGAACCATGTATGTACATGATCGCGTTTGAGAAGGTTGATGAAGTGAAAATCGCCATACGTACTGAAAGGGGTACCAACATTGTGTTCTTTGAAATAATGAGATAAAAGTAAAGACAATATTCGCCAAGCTAGCATTCGTACACCAACAACGCGAAAGCTTAAGGTATTCAAGTGTAACATCGCCGGCGGCCCTTGCAAAACCGGCGAGAGTTGCCAGCCAGACAGTGTTTGTCCTTGTATGCCAAAGGCTTCGTTCCTGACCCACAATGGAATCAGCACAGCATCTCACTGCGCTTGCTGCCAACCACCATCCCAATTCGTATTCTTTATTGGATCACGGTGTCCTCTTTTAGTTTACATCCACAGCTGCAGGGGGATAGCCTACATTCAGGCCATGCCGCCAGCAGGCTATGAACCCGTTCCCGAGCAAGGAGACTTGTTTACAGATGCTACTGACGCACAGCTCCATCCTTCTATTGTAAAGCCACCTACTTACTATGAGGAAGGCCCATTTGATCCGCCAAGCTCGGACGATGAGGATGACACGTTCTTGGAAAAGGGTGCACCGGACATGGTAGACGAAGGTGGTTTAGTTGTCGGCGGTCCTAAGAAGGTACTTGGTTTGGGTACCACATTGAACTATACTCAAACGGAAGTCTAGCGGCCTTCTTCACTGCGTTGTCTCGTATTATCTCTCGTTTCTCTTGTTGCTTTGGCCACTATTATAGGCATATTTGCGGCATTTTCCTATACTGGTACCTCCTACCAGATACGCGGCACGGAACACATCACAATGGACCACATCTTCAATGGTACATTCAGCGCTCATTCGCAAAGTGTTCGTTGGGTTCCAGAAGGTCAGGTCCATTGAAACATGAATGCAAGTCTTAACTTATACTCTGATAGCTGGCGACGGCGTGTTTGCAACAACACGTGATGGGTACATTGCGCTTGTTGATTTGAAGTCGAATACCACTAGAGACCTGGTTGCCATGGACAACATTACAGATGTACGTGCCATGTCTACCGAACCAAATTTGTATGATTAAGTCGTGCGACAGGAAGCTGGGGATATCATTGGCTGGGGCAACTGGGAGTTGTCGTCCGACATGAATTATATGCTTATACAAGCTGACTTCGTCAAGGTAATGGTAGACAGCGCTGTACTCAACAATGCAGGCTCACAGTGCCTCTACAGCAATGGAGACATTCGAGCCTTGGAAACTATTACATCCATAACCTAACTTCCCACGAGACATACCCCTTAATGCCTCCAACATATCCACCAACTACAGTAATCGCCAAATGGTCACCAACTGGACAATCAATAGCATTCGTCACTTCCAGTGACTTATATATACTACCTTCACCTGCGTACGTCACGCTCACCAGTCTCGCTACATTCTCTGACACTGCATTCTAGTCGCGATGCTGAACCTATCCGCATCACTTCCACAGGTAACGCTTCATTATTTAACGGGATCACCGACTGGGTATATGAGGAAGAAGTCTTCGCAAGCGCGAGCGCATTATGGTGGTCCCCAGACTCAGCCAAACTGGCTTTCCTGTCTTTCGACGAAACCGCCGTCGACGAGTTCACTTTCCCCGTCTATAATCCCTCAGACGACTCATACGCGGTGGTACCATACCCCGATCGGGTTACGATGAAATACCCCAAACCAGGTTACAATAACCCCCTAGTGTCTATTCGGATATTCGAGATGGACAGATACTTTACAACTGTCGGTGTTGGGCAGGACGATAGTGTGAATGTCACAGAGGCTGCGGAGCATGCGACGTTGGAACTTGATTGGGGTGGCCGGCAACCAGAGAACAATAGTATCATTGCTGAAGTTGCTTGGGTTGGCAACGCGGCTTTACTCGTGAAAGAAGTCAATCGAGCTGCGGATAATGGAAGCGTCATACTCTTCGACCTTCAAAATGGTGCTAGCAACCACGGTGAGATCGTCAGAATCTTGGGAAAGAATGGAGAGCAAGGCGACGACGGTTGGATTGACGAGGTACGTGCTTGTCTCCCTAGCATAATGCTTTTCCTTCCTGATGCATTCTTCAGCAACAAACTATATATCCTTTGCCCCCTAGCCTACAATCGGATGGCATTTCGGCTTACCTAGACATTGTACCTTCTGCTGAAGGATACAATCACATCGCACTATTCCGTCCTGCAAGTAATCATACACCTCAATTCCTTACATCGGGAAAGTGGGAGGTGACAGATACCATTCTCGGCGTTGACCCTCATCGCAATTTGGTGTATGTCATGCTTTCATCTTCGCTGTCCACGCGGGTTGATCATATTGATTGATAGGTATTTCCGAGCTGCAAGCCCTTCTTCTATAGAACGGCACATCTACTCTGTCGCATTACCATCTGGAAGTTCTGACGAACCTTCCAAACCAAAAGCACTCACGGATGACAGCACGCCCGGTTATTATGGAGCCGATTTCTCTCCGGAGGCAGGGTTCTACCTGTGGCACTATCAAGGACCGAGTGTTCCCTGGCAAAAGATCGTCCAAGTGGACAAGCCTGGTAAGCGATATAGTCTAATTCGAATGACCTTCGCTCATCGTGCCTTGATCGCCTAGATTTCAACTATGTGCTCACAGATAACACACAACTCAATGAGACTATTGCTCAGTTCGAGACACCTATCATCACCTATTCAACCATCGATAGTGATGGTTACGGTACGTTGCATCCTGTTCTGATATGATCGCTAGGGACATCTGATTATTTTGCACCTCCAGAACTGAACGTTCGCGAGATCCGCCCACCACGCATGGACGATTCAGGGAAGACCAAGTACCCTGTGTTGTTCCAAGTGTACGTCCTTCTTTTCATGCCTCAGTCTAATACTGAGTTGACTCTCATAGATATGGCGGACCATTCTCACAAATGGTCGACCTAAAGTTCAACCTTGACTGGCATCACTTTGTAGCATGTTCGCTAAAGTACGTCGTCGTCGTTGTCGATGGTCGTGGCACGGGATACAAAGGCAGAAAACTTCGCAATCCCGTCAAAGATAATTTGGGCCATTGGGAAACGCGTGATCAGGTCAACGCCGCAAGGTTCGTTTAGGGGCAAAGTTCGCGCAACAAGCAGCTGAAAAGTCATTATCAGAATCTGGGCTGCAAAGGAGTACGTTGACCCCAAACGTATCGGTATCTGGGGATGGGTAAGATTGTTTTGTTCCGTTCATGCCGTCACTCACAGCCATCCTCTCAGTCATACGGCGGATTCATGAGTGCCAAAGTCATTGAAGCCGATGCTGGCATCCACTCCTTAGCTATGGCTGTCGCGGTAAGCACTATTCGTTGTCATCACACTACAACTTCTGACTTCTGGTCGTTAGCCGGTCACGAGCTGGAGGCTATATGGTAAGTAGTTTCTGTAGTCGTCAATTATAAAGCTCATAGCTTTTATTCAGATTCAATATATACCGAACGGTATATGGGTCTTCCACAAGCTAACCCTTCGGGATACGTCACCGCGTCGATTTCAAACGTTACAGCCTTCAACAACGTTAACTTCCTATTAGCCCATGGTAGCGGGGACGACAACGTTCATTACGCCAATTCCGCTCATTTGCTCGATATGTTCACCGCCGCAAAAGTGCGGAACTTCAGATTCAGGATGTTTACCGACAGGTACGATGCCTCTTTTGATTACCTCGGAGTTTCCTCACGTTCGTGTCCTACTAGTGATCATTCCATTACTCGACGTGGGGCTTATCGTGAGCTTTACGAGTTCTTGACCCAGTTCCTGATCGAGAAATGGGGCAAGGGCGGGAGACAACGGGGCTGGTAATTAACGTCGTGCCTACGAGCAAAACATCTCGAATGTCTTTAGAAGAATGCTGCTATGGCTTTGGCTCTTTATTCAATCTTATACCCCCTGCGTAGCCGTCCATTTCTACTAAGATGATAATTCCCTTTCTGTGGCTCGATAAATCTCTGACACCTGTGGTCATACACACACACGATCTCAAGTATTGTATGGACATTCTGTGCTTACTACCATTTAAGTTACCAGTCACCAATCAGACTAGCTGTACAGAGCAACCTCAATGACTCTCATGCTTCAAGAGCATTTCGACGGATATCGTACTGCGAGGTTGTCAGCACTGACGTTGAATGTAATTTTAACTGCAATAGCAAGGTCATCACGCCTCTGAATTATGAGCAGAGCTCAGATGACAAGGGCCGCAAAACCCAAGCGTTGCATCCATTATGGCGATCAAGTTGTTGGGAGCAGACACTTACTACTTCAGTTCCGTGCCATTATCAGTGCAAAATGTGAATTGGAATCATGTAAGTTACACCGTACTCCAGCACGCCTGGGAGTTGCGACTTGAAACACTGTTGGACCGTACCGAGTCAGATACATATCACTCTATTGATCTGGTAGAACTTCTACGTCGACAATTTCTTTGAACAAATCGAGGCACTGTTGGTCATATGCATTACCGTAGGTAAGTGCATTGACGAAACCAAGAACTCGAGGACCATATCCTTCACGTCGTCGTTGAATTAAGACGTCCCTCAAGTCGGTCAATGTTGTGATAGATTCGTCAGTGCCAGATTTTGGCATGTCGAGTGATATCAAGTGGGGAAGAGAAGAGACGGACGAAGTGTTATCGACAGGCGTGAGGAGCCGGACTGCGCACATACTAGATGCCTTTTCTTCCAAGAGTCGCAAGTGTTCGAGTTCCGGCATGCAATTGAGTAACGTTCGAAGGCAAGAAGTAATGTTGTCTTCATTGAAGCCATACCAACCGTTATGGACGAAAAGCGATCTCACTGTGTGCAGCATCGGCCCAATAACACGGACAAGTTCCGAGAAAGCGGTAGCAGGAGGCTCGGGGTTGGCGGTCAGCGACATATATTTAGTGGACACGCGGAAAGATGCTGTGTTGCGAGGCGGAAGTTGGTTCCTGTGAGGTTGCGAAGGATAAAGTGAAGTCCAAGCCATAAATTCTACATAGGTTGGGTTGGCGATCGCAGAGAAATGGGAAAACTGTGAGACTTCATCGCGTGAATGAGCCGTGCATAGATTACGTGCTAACGTTGAGAATAGGGAGGTTATTTCAGTCTTTGTTGTGATGTTTGTCTCGCAGAGCAGGTCGATGACGACAGAAGGGGAGAACGAGAGGGACCCGATGATGTGAATACAACGGGATAGAGATGTTTGGAGTGTTAAGGTCTTCAGACTTGGCAGATGGACTTGAGCAATTTTTGGTGGTGGCATGTCCTCGTCATACGGGTATATTGTCGAAGTGATGCTGAGACATTGCAAATGTCGCAGGCCTTCCAATTCCGCCACAAAGAGCCAATCAGATGGCCCCCGAAATTGCTCATGACGAAAGCATTCAATCCTTAGTTCTCTTAGAGTACGCGGGAGTGTAGTGTGCACCCAATGCAAGGGGGTATTCGAGAGTTCGAGAGTTTGGAGTTGAGAGTTGGGAGTCTGGAGGATGAAGCGTAGAAGTCTGCGATGGTCATTCTGATGTGTTGACGTGCCCGGATATGAATCAAGCATGACCCATTTTAGCTCGTGGAGAACTGTGACGTTTGGAGCTGCGAGAGGCTGGGGCGAAAGGCCTTTACTCGACGGCACGTCAAGATGTAACTGTCGCATACGCGGAAGTAGTGCAATGACGATATCACATAAATCGGCAAAGTCGACATCATCATAGCCTGGAAATTCTGTGAAGATTCGCAGAGGGAGCGTCCCTGAGTGCTTCACCCATAGATGAAGCTGATCAATCCCGTACGGACATAGGAGCGTGAATAGTTGTGGAGAAGAGAATGCGACATTCCGCCAGTAACGGCACACCTGGGCAACATGGAACCATTCGTACGGCGCGGCGGTATCTACACGCCCTGCACGTTCCAGCTCACGACAGAAGTCTATGAACTCGGAGTAACAGTCGGTAGCATAGTGAAAGAAGACTTGGGAAAGTAGGTCTGGGTGTAACTTGACATTGATCAGAGGCCTCAGGTCATTCAATGACGCTTTACAGGCAGCGATGGCTGCTTCCTCCTCCAGGATCGCGTCCTTAAGCTGCGCGATCCTCAGATGGTGGTTCACAATCCGTGCTTCCAAGGCAGAGCATCTACCTTCGACCGTGCTATCATAAATAAGCGCAATCTTCAGATGTAACATTCGGTATGGTGGATAGACTCTAGAAGGCTTACTCGTCGTTCCCGAGCTCGGACATCATCGGTTGATCAGAGACTTGACTTTCGAGTCTCAACATCCAAACCTCAGGATGAGATGAGATGTGTGGTAATAATCCCACCGTCGAATCTGGAAAAAAGTGCGGACAGTTACAGTATAGTGTAGCGTATTTGCAGCGCCGCAGATTTATTCTTTTCCTCAGCCAAGGCCGATTTTGGCAGCACGGCCCGTGGCTCGCAGCTCTGAATCTTGAGTATTACTGCGTCGTTTCGTTCGTCTGCTGCCAGAGGCTTGCCAAACCAATAGTACGTCCATTGGAGAGACCCTCAGATTTTGTGCAAAATTGCGCTCTCCAGCCTCGAGGTGGTTAGCAACAAAGTCACAAGCCAAACCTTCATTTGAACGAAGCATTTACTCCTTAATCTTGGGGCACTACACCTCCAGCAGAGGTTGAAAGCAAATGTGTTGAAAACCACAAGTCAAGTACTCACTGCCAAGCAAGCAAAACAACCCACTTTGCCAAGCCAGTATCTCAGATCCAGGGTTAAAGACTACATTATGATTTCAAAACAAAAGACAGCCAGAGCACTCAATCCATTTGCTACCCTTCATTACCTGCCAAATGGCAGTGTTTAGAGAGAGCAGCAAAAAGAAAGAGGGAGATCCCCCGACGACACAAGCCGATACTGCAATAGCAAGGTCATCGCGCCTCCGAGTTGCAAGCAGAGCTCAGAGGACAAGGGCGGCAAAAATTAGATAACCAGAAATGGAGGCGGTGCCTCCATAATAGTGGTTAAACTATTAAGAACAGATACTACACTTGATCTAAGCCAAAAGGCCAGAGTGGTAAGGAAACAGAGATGTCGAGAGCGCCCTTATATACTGTCCGGAGGGCGCACGGGCCAACCCAGACCAAGCGCGAAACATTGTGCGCCAATCTAATCTTATCTGAGCGCGCACGTGGACGAGTGGAAATTCGGACAAACGGAGGCATTGAGCGATGCCGAAAACATTGGTGGCCTTTCGTCCGTCTGAACCGCCAGCGAGCGATTAGTTTCTGTTTGGGTTTTGTGTCGTTCAGCATACTCAACATGTCTGATACCCCTCCTGAACCCGTGGAGAATCCAAAAGGCGGCTGGCTTCCAGCTAAGTCATGGCAGCATTTCGTTGCTGGTGGGTGAGTGATCTATTCAGCCCTCTAGTGGGTACCCCTGGCTCAATCATCGTTTGTTAATTTAGTCTTGGAGGCATGTGTGGTGCTATTGTGACGAGTCCATTTGATGTCGTCAAAACGCGCTTGCAATCAGATCTTTTCAGAGAAAAACACGCAGGAGTTCATATTGCGGGAAATGGCTCCGTGGTCATTCGACAACGACCGAGCAATATTCTCTATCATTTTGTGGAGACAGGGCATATTCTTCGGTGCGTTTGTTTTCTCATGTTAGCCATAGTTTATGACGTGCTAACTGTATATTGTTCCATGTAGTGACATATACCGAGAAGAATCACCTCGAGCTTTGTTCAAAGGTCTAGGACCAACACTCGTCGGCGTCATCCCTGCACGATCAATAAACTTCTTCGCCTACGGGAACGGCAAGCAAATAATTGCCAACCGCTTCAACAACGGACGCGAAAACTCCTGGGTCCATCTAACAGCTGCAGCATGTGCGGGTATCGTCACTGGTACCGCCACAAATCCAATATGGGTAGTCAAAACACGACTGCAGTTAGAAGCTCACGATCGCGGTGCTGCTACGTCGAATGCAAAATTTGGAGGGAGCTGGAATATGATCAAGAGGATATTTAGAGAAGAAGGCGTGAAGGGATTTTATAAAGGTTTGAGCGCGAGTTATCTGGGTGTCACGGAGGGAACGATTCAATGGACGCTTTATGAACGGTTGAAAAAGCTTACGGCGAGTACGGAGGGTAAAGGCGGCGCTATGGAATGGTTGGGTTTGCTTGGAAGTGCGGGTACAGCGAAATGTGTTGCCAGCCTGATCACATATCCTCATGAAGTGCGTCTATCATCCAGTCTCTTTGCTTTTCTCGGTTTTCTGACATTCATGTGACTTGTACAGGTCATCCGAACACGACTACGACAGCCACTGGTGAACGGCGAAATGAAGTACAAAGGACTTATCCACACACTTCGGTTGGTCATCGCCGAAGAAGGTGCCAGGTCGCTATACGGAGGTCTCAGCGCACATCTCATGCGTGTCATCCCCAACGCCGCCGTCATGTTCTTCATCTACGAAGCTATCCTCCGGATATGATCAAATGATCCTTCGCCTCACGCACAAAACACCCAACAGGTGCATTCCAGTTTACTTCTGCTATCACATCGCTCTCAGTGCTTTAGAGTTTCGGTTCTGGAGGGGTGGTGCCTTTTTTGCTTTGCTTTGCTCAGTTCACATGTACAGTCCACATGTGTGTCGTCATATGTGTATATCCTATAATCTTTACATCCTCATGCACTAGATATAATCGCACCTTACGACCTTACGTATCATCCATCCACCATTCATCTTGTACTTACTACCCATCGAAAAGTATATAGAATATCATACACACGGACTCGTATTACTCACTGCTGGGTTTTTGTCGTCGGGTTTTCGATCTAAAAGAATGCAATGCCATTTATAATTCATACAAGTAACTAATCCGTGAACCTTCGATCGTAAAGGAGCGTCGTTTACCCAAGCTCAGTTTTCACCCCGGCCAAGCTTGTCCAACGCACCAATACCCTGCTCGAACCACTCCTCCCTCGATATCCAGAACTCCTCTCTGTTCTTCATGATATCCGCCAGGACAGCACCGCCAAGGAACACCATGTGTTTCCTCCGTGGAGGGTCTTCGATTCTGATCTTGAATTTCTGTAGTGGAATGACAGCATGTTAACAATCAAGATAAAGAGAGAGAGAAAGCAGGAGGAGACGTACGTTTAGTCGCGTCGGGTCGCCGTTCAGAACACGAGTAAGATAAAGCTGCTTCATTTCCTTCTCTAGTCGACTAGGGAGTCCGGGGTACATACTTGAACCGCCGGAAAGAACGATGTGTTTGTACAGTTCAGAACGAACATCAACGGCTGCTGCCTGAATTGTCTGGAAGAGCATTTCTGATGACGAAGTGGGTTAGGCTACATTGAAGAGCGATGATCGAGTGGCTGAGCACGGACCTGCTACTCCTGGCTGTTCGACGTCGACTAGATGCGGTTGGAACATACACTCTGGTGCTTCGAAACGCTCTGAACCCATCTTAATCACTCGACCATCTGGTAGCTAAAAAAAGATTCACTCAAAATATGATAAGACGGTGCGTATATATGCGACTCACTGTGTAACTCTCCACCAGCACCGTCGTCTCCTCCGCTAACCGTGTGTCCAAATCGAGATCGTAGCTATTTCACAAGAGTGAGGACACATACACCCGCAGAGAAAGGATTATTGTGCATACCTGATGTAGCAAAGCTTCTCTTTGATCTCTCGCACAGTCTCGAAATCAGCCGTTCGGTTGAACGCATATCCACGCATAAGCAAGAGCTTGATCAGATATCGTGTAACGTCTCGTCCAGCAATATCTAATCGTCGTGTCAGGTGGGGCATCGCAAAACCGTCGTACACTGGGACAATATGCGTGACGCCATCTCCAGAGTCTACGACTACACCAGTTGTCAAACCTACCAAGCAATAATTCAAAATCAATATGCTACTGGAGTCGGTCGGACTGGGAATATGAGACGCACCTTGCGCATACAACGTCAACACGGCCTGAATAGCAACATACACTCCTCCAAACCCATACTCCTCAAACATGACTTGACACATGCGCTGTCGATTGGCCTTGGGATTCATTGGAGGTTCCGTGAGGAGCACCTTCCGTCCCTGGGTATCAACTCGTAGTTTCTCATCAAAAGTATAGTTCCAAAGCAACTTCATGTCCTCCCAATTCCGTATGATCCCATGCTCCATAGGTTGAGTAACTTGCAAGTAGTTACGGTTCTCCGCAGCTTCGTCTCCGACCATGACATCCTTGATAACTGCAGACCCGACACGTTCTTCCGCTCGAAGGATTGGACGGCCGACTATAGAGGGAAAAACTGTGTTCCATTTATATGAATAAGAAACCACTCCATGGTGAGGTCACGATCATAGCATACCATGTTCAGGGAAGTTAGACCCCGCGTAACCGACTTTCACAAACTACTTGACGGATTCAGCATCAACTTCGATGTGTAACCTTCTGATAGTATTATCACTCACGCCGGTACCGTTGTCAACGACAATAGGTATTGAAGGATCCATAACGGTCAATGTCGAGGTCGTTTCAAGTTGCTGAGCGCTCATCCTAACATACCTGTAATATCGGCTTATGTAACAGACTCTAATGTATGATCCGCCTGCAAAGGAAGGCGTTCAAGTTCATTCCAAGTGGCGTTTGCGGTGCGATTCTGGAGATACTGTACCGTTGGCAACGTAAGGAAAATATTCCTACTTGAGGAGTTTCTACTATTGCGTTCACTGCCCTCGGAGCTCCGATTGTTTTGCTTCTGTCACGTCTCCAAGGCCGTCGACATTGTGAGAGCTCAGATAATAATATTTAAAGATTCCTTCCGAGGTGAATGAGTCAAGTGTTTACAAATGATTAGGCACAACAGTAGGGACACGACACACAACTAGGGTAACAAGAACGGGGTAAAGGGGGGGAGGCAAGAGAACCATATCGACAGCGAGATGATAGAAAACAATCAGAAAGAAAGGAATAATGGAAAGGAAAGAAAGAAAGAAACTTAACAAACAGAGCAGTGATGAGACTCTACTCAGCCCAGCACACAAGTAGGCTTTTGTTATAAATATACAAGGGGGACCAGGAAGAGATGAGATGGTCAAGGGATAATACTACAGTATCCGAAGCAAAGCGACGAACAAAGGCGATGAGACGGACTGAGGGAGTCCAACGATACAACAGCACTGTGGCCAGAGAAGAACATCCATATTATACCGACAAAATGAACACCACACCCTAACGCTGCCAGAACTTCGCTTCCTTACAAGCAGTCCGATTACATCAGTTCACAATCCAGTGAAGGCGCCACCATCGGGTGTCTGGTACCAGTCAAAGGTCGAATCTAGCCCTTCGAAGATACTAGAATCATTGAACTCTGGCAGTGGATCCGTTCCATTCAAAAAATCATGCGGGAAAAGGTCGTTCGTGGCCGAAGGCGGGGGTTGCATACCCTGAGAGCCAGGCATGGCCGGTGGCATCACGGGTGTCGAGTTCTGCAGCAGGCCTGACGGGGATTGTGCAGCAAATGAGTTGTTTTGAGGAGCTGGTGTAGTTGGTGCAGGTTGACCCTGAGGCCCACCGGGTGTTGACATTACAGAAGGCTGTCCTTGAGGACCAGGCATCTGTGGAGGGTTTCGTGGGGAGGACCCGGGCACGCTTGGGTTGTCATTGGCTTCGAGCTTCGGTCCGGGATTTTTTGCCTGATTCATACTCGGGGAAGGAGGCGGCATCATCTTGCCTGGTGGCATTCGATTGTTAGGTGCACCCGGATGCCCAGGGAACTGATTATGCATCCCCTGTGGCATACCCGGGCCCGGTCGTGACTGGGGACGATCTTGGTACTGCGGATCATTACCTTGAGGCGATCCTGAAGGACCTCCAGGTCCAGGCAGTAGATGTGCCAGGTTTCCAGCCTGCTTCGCGATGTTGTTCTGATGCAGGTTGTGCATCGATGACTTGTACTGCGAGAATCAGCACCAGGTTCGCGTAGTTGTGATGTCGGAAAGACGTACCTGCATTACATTCATAAACCCTGATCCCTGCGGCTGCGGAGGAGGGTTCGAGTGCATTATTCCCGGACTCATGTGCTGAGCCATGTTAGGTATACCCATCCCTTGACCCATTGTCATTGGGCCCATATTCCCATGGTTGCCCATGTTCTGCATACTTGCCGGTGGACCGGGGAAGCTAGACATAGGAGGGCCAGGCATTCGACCATGCATAGGTCCCATCGGTTGTGGATGCATGCCCCCACCAGGTGGCCCATGGAAGGAAACCATCGGTTGTTGCTGCTGCTGTTGTGGATGCTGAGGCTGGTGAGGCTGGTGGGGTTGGTGAGGTTGATGAGGCTGGTGAGGCTGATGAGGCTGCGGTGGTTGTGGTTGTTGAGGAGACTGTTCGTTGCCCGCAGGAGACCTTCGTATTCGCTTATTCGCAGGAGACGTATCCGCCCTAAGCTGCGCGTGCTAAGATGGCAAAAGACCAGAGTTAGTAAACGTGAGACATGATCACTTGTCAAGGTCAAACGTACCTCATCGTCAGGAGATGAACTACTTCGCTTGGCGGCACGATTCATCTGACCTGGCTGCATTTGGGGCGCCTGTTGCATATGGGGTAGCATACCGGGTGCCATCGGTGGCATTCCTCGCTGTTGAGGCATCATTTGCCGAGATGGACCTGCGGCACCAGTAGGTGGTCCCTGCTGCCCAACATTGGATAACGGAAGGAGGCGTTTCGCCTTAGCGAGTTCGACGATTTTGCGCTAACGCCATAGATGAGCAAAGTCTAGTCATACGGTGAAGATATCACAGACCTTATCCTCTACGGTAAGCGAAGGGATGTCCTTGTCAGCAAGCCCTAGCTCCTGCTTAAGCCCCGTAATTGCGTTCTTCTCAATAAGGAACATTTCATTGTTCAATCGTATCTCGTTGTTGGACGGCATACGAGATGAGAGCAACGGGCTTGGTGCAGATCTGTTCCCCTGTTGCGCCGGTGACCCGGGCTGACTGGATGATGGACCGAGCGGTTGGAAAGCAGGTTGCGGCGTTTGTTGTGCGCCTCCTATTGACCCTGGAGCAGGCCCATTTGGCGGCGGCATGTTTCCTCGATTCATTTGAGTTAAGGGTTGGCCAGTGCCGAGCGGTGGTCCCGGTTGCCCTGGAGGCGGGCCTGCATGATGTGGGGAGTGAGCCATAGTAGGAGAAGGGAAGGAGGCGCCATTTGGAGGACGTTGTTGTGGGAGACCGTGTCGTTGTCCGAGGGAAGGGTTCTGAGGCTGAGAAGGCCCATTTGTGCCTGCATAGACGAACGAACATTGTACGCGACGTGAGAGAGAAGTCACGATGCGGCGGTAAGAAATGCTCACCATTGGGTGGTTGACCCTGTGGCGGACCCGGAGGTGGACCAATACCGTTGGTCATAGGCCGTTGTTGGACACCTGGAGGAAGAGCGGCCATAGGTAGGCGAGTCTTCTCAGCCAGAGTAGTTCCCCCTTGTACAGGTACAGCCGGTGGGTATCCATGTCCCCGTGGTCGTTGTGCCTGATGCTGCAATATACGAGCTGGCGATAAATAAAAAGAGGGACAGCGAGGATTCAACTTACCTGAGTATACAACAACGCATCCTCTGAACCTGTCCCACTACTCTTCGCAGTGAATAATACCCAGAACACACTCCACCACCTGCGAGAATGTTTGCAAAAAGTTCTACAATTTGGCCTATTAACACTCACTCGAATAATAGGCCTTGTTTTGCATCGATGGGGGGTTTTGAATCATCCGGAAGGTCTGCTTCTCGTCGTAACGATTCTGCGGTTTGTGAATAGCCGCGCTTTAGACAATAGTCTAGGATATAGATATTGAACCTGTGGGTCAAGGGCATTGAGAATGGTGCGCCACAATGAATAGAACCAGAAACTAACATCTTGTCGCCATCCCACTGCAACTGGTTTGCAGGGGGTGTGGCATTGGAAGATCCACGGTTTGGTGGGGTCGACTGGGAACCCGAGGCCATCGCTAGTGCGGATGATGGCACCTGAAAGTGAAGAATCGATAAACGGCGTTGGTAAAAGACGAACCATATAACGAACCAGTCAGTCAGAGAGAAAGTCGGTATTCGGAGTAAAAGATTGGTCGCACAATAGCAGCGCAGATGTGACCGTGCCGCACAAGATTGGCGAGGTCGATCGAGCCGAAGACTAGTATTGAAATGGAGCAGGGAGGGCTGAGAAGAGGAGGGACGACGTCAAGGTGCTACGGATGGCAAAGTACGGGAAGTAAAGGGGCCAAAAGGGCCGTAGTCGTCGTCGTGGACGGTGAGGAAGAGGTCGGAGGCGATTGCCTGGCACACTCAGTCCTTCTGGCGCGAGGACACACCCCCGATCCCAGGCGCCGGTAGATACCCCGGCAACACCCCGTGGCAGTCCACAAATGATTCAAATCCCGTCCTGAAACGGTCGTCTTTATACCCACAGACAATAGTCTCTCTGTTCTATTCTCTCGTAACCTGAATGTTTAGCGACAAAGAGAGCAGCGCAATATGTCAGCTGCACAACTGGCGCGAAAGCATAAGCGATACGATTCAACCGGCAGTCTTGGAACACTCTTGAAAGGGGATCTCTCAACGTCATATCATCGACAGCAAGAAAGCCTATATTGCATGGGTACAGCAAACGGAAGAGTATCATGATGGGCCGACGCAGTGCTTTGCAACTAACACTTGGACATGTCGCAATCATGGCACTGGTTAAAGACTCAATGACGGAGGGAATCCTTGTCATGCATATGTCAAACTTGTGTGTATTGAAATCATCACGACCAGGCACAAGTACAAAAGACCTGTTGAATATCCGTCGGTGAACATCTGCGGAGCGGTAAACACAAAATCCAGTGTTACGAACGCTGTGTTGATACAAGGATTTCTTGCTCTGAAATCAAGCATGGAGCAAGAAACATGATGACTGATTTCGTTTGCTCCTTGAAGCGTGGAGACAAGGCGAAGTAATGGCTTGTAGTTCCGCTCATCACGATGCCATCATTCAAAGGAAGCCACGAAGGATCTAAAATGTGAAGAATGGTCGTCAAAATGGCACGAGTATGTCATTAGAATGTATCTGTACCAAATTCCGCAATGCGTTTTAAGCTTCGAAATGTGTATGTGGAGCTAGGGACACGAAGTATCAGCGAGGCGATTAAGCATGAGGCGACTTCTAGTGAATGGTGTGCAGATGTTAAGCTAATTAGTCATTAGAATCATTTACTGTATCGACAACAACAAGAAAAGCAAAGCAAAAGGCAGCATCATCAATGTCTGCGAACGACAGCAACCTGGAAATCCCATCCACCGAGGATATACTTCACCTCCAACAGACGCCGAATTTCGCGCCATCCTGTGCTGACATCCCCAGCGTCCTTGATGTCCGAGACGACGTAAATAAAGTCAGCCGGGGAGATCAAGGACCGTAAAAGGGAGCCTAGCAAGAACGCAATCAATGCCACAACGATAACGGTCGATAACGGATATACTGCCGTGTTGGCAGTTCGGAGCATGGGTAGACGACCATCGCCGATAGAGCTCCCTTCAGGTACGTCCTTCTCCATAGTCGAAGTTCGACGAGAGGATGACGCCGATTCTGAAAATACTGATCCCTGACCAGCATTTGCAGCACTCAGCCGAGGAGAAGGAGATGAGAAGCGAAACAGTGGATTCGGATACGAATTCAGGAAGCGTAGAAGGCCACTTGCTGCAGAGTCAGGTGGACGAGCTTCCTCTGAGGTGATCGTCTGAATGGGGCGCTGAAACGCTACTAAGCAATTCATTTGCTTCGATAGAAGTTACGGCACTTACTATGTCAGGGTTCTCCACGCTGTCATCTGGCGCGGAACTAGTGCTCTGGTTTTCCACGGGGTCAATCACAGGCGTTGAAAGAGCGGGTGAGGGTGTTTCGTCCAATAGATACCCAGAAATTGCAACAGGCGTTTGTAGTTCTTGTGGCGGCTGTCCAATGTCACCAGATATCCTGCAACTTTGCGGTAAGCAAGCTGACGAATGAAAGTCTCTTTGACATACCGTAAAAGTAAGTCCATCTTGGATGTTCGCGTATCCAAAAGCTCGTCTCGTCCAATATTCGTAAGAGACTCCTTTTCAGTCAAAATCGTCACATGTTGGCCATCTACGAGAACCTTGCCTGGACCAGAACGAGCTGGCTTAATCTCAATCTCGAGAACCGCACGACCTTCTTCGAGATCTAGCAACCATTCAGGCTTGGGTGGCGCACTTCGGGTTTCACCAGTGAGCGGATCTTGAATGGTGGACACCTGATACTGTGCCGTTGGTAATGTCAATCTAAGCAAGTGCCTCGGCGGTCGATCAACATTCAAGCCAGAAGAATGATGAGGCGACGGAGGCAGCGTGTATACGGCATACGACACCGGGAGGGAGAGTGATGTGCTACTTCCCCAACTCGAGTGTAGCTGTAAGCATTTATCCTTCGTCTTGTCAATCCTAGAGTTCACTTTGACTTCGTATCCTTCTGGATATAGCTTAGAGTCCACAATTATCTCCGCCACGAGGAGATCGATTGGATTGCGAACTTCCCCACGGGTCGTAAACATGGAAGGCGACCGCAAAACATCGCGGGAGTGTGACCGTTTCGAGCCATCTTGCTTTGATGGCGAAGACGGAGTTACAGTCTCGACGCTTTCACTTGATTGACTCTCTGGCGGAGACGGAGTCCGGGGCTTGATTACAACTTTGTTCGGTCGAGGTGTCCGTTCGTTCCCACTCTGTGCACTTGCGTTTGCACCCGCACCAGAAGGATTGAGCGCTACCAAACTATGATAGATCCTGTCCGAAGGCTCGTAGCCGGTGATCACCAATGTGCGATGAGGATCTCGCCTACGCAGTGACCATGATTGGTGACTTGTAACATCATCATCGTTCTTGTTAGAGATCACCATACTGGCAGCAGGTAATCTCATGAACGGTGGCGGCGATGTACTCTTGACATATGTTTCGACCGCAAGGATGGACTTGGGAAGCATCCCATTGATCATGGAGTTGACTGCCGCTGGAACTGAGCCTCCATAGTCGACTGCGACCACCCTGGTACAACGAGTTGATGGAATAGCATAGTTTTCCGCAGCATATGGGTCCAACGTTTCAAGTATCCAGCCATCCACGAAGACGCGGCCAACAGGTAGTTGATATGAGTTGTACTTTGATTGTGAGAATGAGGCGACAGATTCCGGAGAGAAAGATGCTGAGGCAATAAAGACGGCGGCCCTACTGTCATTATGCTGTTCTGAATCTGTGGTGTTTCGACGAGAGGACGTGCCCGGAATTGTCTGCTTTGCGGTGAGGTTGGCCAAGTAGAATCCTCTGTCGCGAAATGGAAAGCCTCCTTTAGTCACGACGAATGCTGTATGCGCATCTGCACCGAACGACTCAAAGACATTGACGGAGTCAAAACGTGTATCCCACTGTCTTCGACAGTCATAGCTAGTCAGCACAGACGCCACCTCTTCGGCTGACACACCTTCGATGACTTTCTCTCCTTTGTGGACCGGGATGACTGACGAAATGTCCTCACAAAGCCTGCGATGCACGGGGAATTCTTTCTCACTAACCACGGTCCACCCATCAACTATTGGTCGAGAGTGAAGGCGCTGTAGAAACGATAACGCTTCCAAAGCGTACTGCATCGGAGGTTTGGATGACGATGGGACAGCGTCAGCACCTCCTGCCATCGCTGGAGAGATGGCTGCAACTGCTTGCTGAGTAGTAGCGGTGGCCTGCTCCACGGCAAAGCTGAAGTATCGTGTCCACGTGTTGACAAACTTTGGAGCAGACGTTGAGAATTCGGTAACTGAAGACGGGCTAGAGGTACGTTCGCTGCTGGTATCGCCAACAGCATTGTCAACATCAGCCCCCCATTCAGCTCTTCTCCTCCTGATGACACCAAGAACAGGTGGTTGGTCCAGAGGTATCCGGATAGGTTTGACACGCTTCTGCTTGGCCAGAGTCTTGGCTTCACGATCTGGCAACTCTTCCACGTCGACATTCACCTTTGCACCGTTGACCATCACTACACCCTTCTCCTTCGTTACACCCTGTGGAGCACGACGAACAATAGCAAGTAGCCGTTCGTCACTAGCGTGGACGGCATCATGGCTGATTGTTAGCCATAGCCCACCTCCCGCAGAAGACAGCCTATGACGACGGAGACAAATAATGGATTGTGGCGGAGGGTCGACTACAATGTCCAATGACGAAGCCCATGTGTCCAGATCACATCGAAGTTCGCATTCAATAACCGGCATAGTAGGAGAGGAAGATTCCTTGTCCGCATTTTCGACAGTAGACGATCGCCGGTCTGGAGAACCTTCATATTCGATCCGGAAGCTGCCTTTCTCATGGTCGTATCGTATGTCATTGGCCCTGGCGCCCTCTAACCTCGTTACAACAGGAGGTCCTCCAAACTTGATGGCAAAGTCACCTACACCGGTTACAGCAGTTATCATTTGCTGAGGAATTGAAGTCTTGTTGGTCCAACCCTTCGGATCGGATTGCTCCAGAAGGGTGAGCAGAGTCGTCGTGGGAGAAAGTGCCTCAATGGCCCATCCTTGTAGATCGACTTGCGTTCTGATGACATTCGGGTCGACAGGAGGAATGTGAGGGAAGAGGTTTGGGTCGTCAGCACTGAATGCAAACACGTGTATCGTTGTCGGAGACTTATACACCGTCTTCAATAAGACAGAGTCTCGCCCACTATGATAACGATGAGAATGGAGTCAAGTAGAACGACATGAAATACGTACTTAGACGGCCAAGCAGGTTTCGTCTTGAAGTGCCAAAGCTCCGTCAATGGATTGACATCTTCGAGAAGCACAGCGTCATCGTACAATTTGTCCCAGTATGCACGAGCACCTGGAGTAATAATAGCGGCATATAGATCCCAAAGTCCAAGGCCAACGAAGGTCGCCTCCGCACGATACACAACCAGTGTTGGATCAATGGAGTCAAGTTGTGCTATGGATACACCACGCGCCTCGGTGGCTGAATAATTTGTTAGACATCATCAGAGAAATTGAAGAAATGGAAGCTCACTTCGTCTCCATTTCGCTTCTGGTTCCTGAAGAAGTGATGAAAAGTAAATGTAGCTGCGTTTCACTCGAGCTAAGATCGACTTCTGGGCAGCTGCGGTCCGTTCAGTCATAGTCTGTGCCTGCGGGGGTCTCTCCGCGACTGTCGATGTGCCGGAAGTACCACTCGTAGCCGTATTGAATGTTGAGGAGGAACGTAAGCTAAAGTCAGCGGTACTCGAAGCATCCTGCAGCATAGATTGCGACATGTAATACGAGGACGGATCTCGTTCTTCTACACGTTCTATTGGCTGGGGTATTCCATTCAATCGGAGACCACTTGAAGGACCCGACAGCTCGATTACAACAGTGACTTTAAGCACAGCGTGTTCATTGGGCAGCGCGGCGTGCTTCAAGCTGAACATAATCTTCTCATCCGCTTTAGCTCCAGATGATTCACTAATTGTGGCATGTTGAGTCCATGGAAGTCTCTGGACCTCTTCAGATGATGCTTTCGTGGAAAGTTGAACATCCCAGCCTTCATTTGCGGGAAGAGCACATTCGATAGAACGCGTCAGTCGACGGTGTTCACGCAAAGCATGGAGCTCTTCCAGTCCCTGCTCGGACGTATGTGTAGCATGATCTTCTTCCTCTGGCACGATCGAATACTCTATCGTGAGAGCTTCTCTGTCAATCGCAAACCGTACCCGTTCAAGAGAGATGCCATTGCCGTAGCCTGCGAGAAGCGGTATCCGTGTTCCACGAGACTTGACGGTCTTGAAGAAGCCGACCATCATTGAGCTCAGTTGTTGAGCCATACTGGATGCAGTACCGAAGTTCCAGATTGCCCTAAGGTCATGTTGCCAGAAGCAAGTCAGTCGTACGCGCGACGAGTTCTGCTTGCTGCTTTGTTCGCCGGTCGGGGTTTGTGGCTTGAGGATTTGGATGCACCATGCAAACACTGGACTGGTAAATCAAGAAATGAATAAACGCAAGACGATTGTTCTTACATGTGACTTCCGATCGTACATAAGGCGGTGACGGTCGCAGGTAGGCAGGCTCGTTAGGCGAACGAGGTAACGACGTAGATATGTCTATCAAAGTCGTCGCATCGTTGAAAGTTCGTGATATCGTGACAGCGTCTCGTGGGCTAATAACATTAGATTATAAGCAGTTGAACATGGCGACCTACGCACCTGGCAGGCCACCCTAATGTGAAGTTCGTCTTGACAATTCTCGTAACCTGATCACACATTTCCACCAAATGTGCACCTTCAACTGCAGGATCCCACTCCTTCCTCAGTTCCGGACTAACAAGAACGGCCTTGCAAGCATCTAGAGAAGGTATACCATCTTCGCCTAGTGGAACGTCTAAGACGGCTCTATAAACCGTCCCACCCTTGGTCACCTTACGATGTAGGATGACATTTGAAGGCTGAGGAGTAGAAGACGCTCTCCCTTTGCCCTTGACATTGGTTGAAGAGCTGCTCGTGTCACTGAAACGTTTCCACTCCGGAGATGAGTGGGAAGTAAGGAGTTGACGGAAGTTGTTTTGTGCGGCCTCGAGAGCGCCGTACCAAGAATCTTGCAGTCTGCCATATAATCAGTAATGTTCAGACTATTGTTCGTTGACACGTACCCTGCACCATCCAACATGGAAAAAGGTGAGCTAGCGAGAGCTGGTCAAGGCATTGAAGCCACATGCCGCAGCCACCCCCTCAGCGTCATACGATTTACTTATAAGGCTATTTCATTTATAACGGGCTTTAGAGAACGGCGTTTAGAAACTGAAGGCCATCAAGCACGAACAATGTCGAAAAGCAGAATCTTGAGTATACAATCTCATGTTGCCTTTGGATACGTAGGAGGAAAGGCTGCGGTATTTCCTCTCCAATGTCTAGGTTATGATGTCGATGTAAGCCTGACCCCGTCAAGAACCGGTTTTGTATTGACGAATGACTCGTTCACCGTTAGGTAGTGAATACGGTAAATTTCTCCAACCACTCCGGTGAGTTTGGATAGTATTTTCAATCCATGAACACGATTTATCGAATCTACACGCTTACTCAGGATATGCTCGCTTTGGCGGATCTAGAACATCTGCTTCGGAGCTGTCCACGATCTTCCAGACTATGGAAGAAAACGGACTGCTGGAGCCCGAAAGACTTTTAACAGGTTTGTCCTTATGTATTACGTGAAAATAAATGGTGAACAGACCTCCAAGTTATCAGGATATATTCCTGGAGGCGAGGCATTGTCGTCAGTCAAGGACCTTGCTACCAGACTACGACACAAAAATTCACAGATGATTTACCTTCTGGATCGTATGTCATTTCCGTAATGTTACATTCAATGTATCTGACCGTTTTCTTCCATCCAGCTGTACTTGGTGACTCTGGGAAACTCTATGTCGCCCCAGATGTCATTCCTATATACCGTTCCATGCTTCCACTATCTACTATTATTACTCCAAATTGGTTTGAAGTAGAGTAAGTTCCCTCAATATCGTCTCAGGCCAGATATTTACAACCCTTATGATATCTAGAGTTCTGACTGACATCCGTATAACGGATCTTCTATCGCTTCGGAAGGCCCTTCGCATCTTACACGAAGAGCATCACGTACCGAACGTTGTCGTCAGTTCGATACCACTGAGAGCTTGGATGTACGAGTCTTTACCGTCTCACATTCAACACCCGTTGGATGCAGACAATCCTCAACCGGACGACGGTTATCTTCTGTGTATTTCTTCGTCCACAGAGGATCCCGACAGAGGAGGATATCCTTCCACAGTCCACGCTCGTTCAATCCCTTTGATTCCAGGATACTTCTCGGGTGTCGGAGATCTCTTCTCAGCCTTGCTACTAGCTCACTACCAACCGACCTCCGAATACCTTGTATCGGAGTCCGTCAATGCAAATGGACACCCTCTTCCTATAGCGGCATCTGAAGCACTCAGCAAGACGCATGCTATGTTGGCATTGACCCAGGAGTACTCCATGTCGTTGCCGGAAGACGAGCGATTGCCCACAGACGAGGAGATTGATGAGCAGGAACCGAGTCGGAAAATCCGCCGTATGAAAGGGAGGGAACTGCGTTTGATTCAGGGCCAGGATATCATCAGAGGGACGAGACCAATAGAGCACAGAAAAATGGAGCTTTGGACTGGATTTTGGAGTTCATGATCAACAAGGACAGATATAGATGCAATTAAAGGCGGAATATGTGATTTACGATGAGATATCTAGAATTACACCGACAAGGCGGTCCGTGAGTAGCAACATACAGCAAGCATTATTGCTACAGAAATATCTGATGTACAAGAACGAAACGAAACATAGAAGTCCTTAACAGAAGCACAGCAGAGAAAAAGACGATAAATATCGCGACAAAAAATGAAAAGTTCTCCGCATGCCCTATACCTCTCCGAAGAAGACAGGTTGAGAACATTCTGTCTGTTCTGTACCTTCCTTGGTCAGGAGGATGTCGCGTATCTGACAATGCGAATAAGATCTGTGCAGGACAAGAAGCGCATACATGCAACGAAACTGACCTCTGGTGGGGGATTCAGGCCCAATGCGTCAGCCCTATTCCAGCGTTCCAGTCGGCTGACACCAATGCATGGTCCGTACTGGTAAGATCTACATATCGATAACACAATCAGAATGTGTATGTTCTAGGACAGAGACAATAGAGTACATACAGGTCGAATACACGGAGGATTTGATGAATCTTATTCTGATGTTCGCCATGAACTATATTGGCGTGTTAAGGTCAGCGCATACAAGGACGTTCTCTGCTGGACGATACGCACTGGGTTCTGCACCGCCCATTTTCTCCTTCGCTTCGGCATATGCGCCTTTCCATCTCTTGTCCTTCACATTCAGCTTCGGTCTCTCCTCAACCGGTTGAGTTCTCCCCCCAGAAACGTTCTCGACAGAGCTGCGAGATTTGAAGATGGCTTTCCCTTTCCCCTTCGTCTCGGCAGCCTTGTCAGTTTCGACTTTACGTTTCTTGAGAACTGGTCCTCCTCCGCTTCGCGTCGTTCTCTTCCCTTGTTGGTCCTCAGCAGTGGTAGTCTCTTCATCGCTTGAGTCCTCCACAATGATAGGTGTTCGAGAGCCCTCAGAGGTAGGTGAGGCTTTCGACTTCGCTTTGCCCTTCTCGAGTGTTGTTGCGGAGTTAGTCCGCTTGACACTGTTGAACTTGAGCTTTGCCTGCTTCATTGTGGGTGTAGATTTCCCTTTAGACGTAAGTGACGGTGATCTCGATGATGCCATTTTGTATGTAGTGGAACGGTAAGAGTATACTTGGTTCAATAGGTGGTCGTTGTGATTAAACTGCAGTTCCCGCCGCTTGTCCCAAAGGGGTAGTTCACTGAACCATGGACTTTGATCCGCTTGCTCGATAAGGAGGTTCTTTCCGAGATTCTCTCAAGACCATGTTCCACGTTTGTTTTTCTTACCTATATGTCATGACACAAGCTGCGATATGTGGATCTCATATAGCTGACCATATGCTTCAATTAGTAGAGACTACATGCCATCATCTGACGAAGCGACAGATTGGCAGGTTGGTAGCCAACGTGCGAACATGAAGCATTGGGCATCCTCCTCACAGGATTGACGCCAGCTCGGAGCTCGTGGTACCTTTGGGAACAACATAATGTCGCGACTACCACAAGACCTATACCAAGAGATTGCCCACACGGCTGTAGGCTCGGCACACTACATTATACCAATGTAACCATGCAGAAATGTCACTAGGCACGTTTCTACTACCCTGTGTACCATGCTTGCTCTGCCGATATGTCAGGAAACGCCTTTCCGTGCGACTGGTACTTCGCGATAAATTCTTTATCCTCTGTCAATGCGTGATATAAATTCGGCTTCCTCGAACGGTGGGTTTGTTCCTTCAGAGTGTTGCCTGAGGCCCTCTGCGCCGTACCTCCCTTCGGATTGGTTAGCGACAATCGGACGACGTTCAGATGGGTTCACGCTGGATTTTCCTAGCTCAGGCTCTGATTGTCCTGTTTGCCGGAGTTCAAGCGCTCCCTGCCCCGCTTCTAGAGGCTCGCCAGTCTACAAGCACGCTTAGTACGGCGCAGGTTGCGGCCTTCAAGCCTTTCACTTTCTACGCCAGTACCGCGGCCTGCAACCCTTCTACGACTTTGACTTGGACCTGTGGTGCCAATTGTAATGCTAACCCGACCTTCCAGCCCGTCGCATCTGGAGGTGACGGCGATCGGACACAGTTCTGTAAGTTTAGTTCTGTGAAGACTTCGGCGATCATTCTAAGTACTTTGCAGGGTTCGTTGGCTACGATCCTACGCTGAAAACCGTGATTGTGTCTCACCAAGGCACAGACACGAGCAAAATGTGAGGAAAATACTGCTTTTCAACCTTTACGACTGCTCATTTTCTAATCGTAGAATGCCTATTCTTACCGATGTCAATATCATACAGAATCCGCTGAACGCAACACTCTTTCCAGGCATCAGCTCCTCCGTGGAGGTGCACTCGGGCTTCGCTGGTACCCAGTCAAGGTAAGCTCGAATCATTGACTTGAAAAGTCTCGTCACTAATAGAAGCATTTGATGGCGTAGGTCTGCGCCAGACGTCCTTGCCGCTGTGCAAACCGCTTTGTCGAGACATAGTGCTAATCATGTCACTCTCACCGGACATTCCCTTGGTATGTAGTATCCACGGCATTCTGATTTTCCTTTGCTGCTACTAAATATCCAAACCATCCGTCCGATAGGTGCTGCGATTGCACTTCTTGACGCTGTCTTCCTGCCTCTGCATCTCCCAAGTACCGTCACCTTCAAGAGCGTGACTTATGGCATGCCTCGGGTACGAGTTTATATGCGTATTCCTGTATACGTCGGCATTTTGTAACTCACTTTCAAATGGTCATTGTAGGTGGGCAATCAGGCATTCGCGGACTATGTCGATGCGCATGTTACATTGAGCCATGTCAACAACAAGAAGGACCCAGTGCCAATTCTTCCGGGCAGATTCCTCGGTTTCCACCATCCCTCTGGCGAGGTCCATATCACGGACGCGAATGGTTGGGTGGCTTGTGCAGGTGGGTCCCCAGCATTTTCAGTTCCCGAGGCTGAATTGAGGAAGCCGGTCAGGTCAAGATAACACAAGTGACTTGTGTACCATCGGCGCAGTCCCAAACATCTTTGAGGGCGAGGATTCTGACCATTCTGGGCCATACGATGGTGTGAGAATGGGCTGTTAGAGATGTAGCTTAGAGTATTGGCGGATAAGTGTCTGGAATGCAAAATAAAGATGATAACATTCAATGCCATAATAATAGGTTGACTAGCTGAGTTGGATCCCGCCGTTGGCGCTTTCCATTAAGCGCGCGTACATGTGATCAGACGCGACAATCTGAACTGCAGTTCTGAACTGCACGGCGCGTCGAACGAACTTGCGCTGAAGTTTCGCAACTGCATGTCCTTTGGCCTACAAATTTTGTTTTTCGAGACCTCGGGTTTGCACTTGACTCTACTCACCGAAGACCGGTAGCCATAGTATCAGTGCACAAAGTCGGCCACCACTGATCACTTGAGGATCTCATCACGACATCACGGACGAGTGGCCATGACCTCGAATAAGCTCGTTCATTGGGCTCTTGAAGCTTCGCTTTCCGACTTTGGTTCCCCCTTTACTGAAGGCGACTCTTCGGATTCTATAACTTCATCATCCAGTTTGCAATATGTGAATTCTCAACTGCTAGCACATGGGTTCACCCACGGCACTGGACTATCATTAGATGGATTAGGAAAGGAGGACACGGAAAAGGTCGTAAAATGTTTACTCGGTATGTTGAGTCAAAGGATTGTATGTACGATCCAGTGCACGAAATTCCTTATGTCGTAGTTAACGATTTATATCGCAGGATGATATGTCACGAACTGAGGAGCTTACGACAAAGCTCCGGACGTTGTCTTATGAACATGAGCGCCTTGCATCTCTGTTGAAGACGGCGAATGACAGGGCAGCCAATGCGGAACGCGAAATGAATCTCCACAAGTCGCGATTGGCGTACGTTTGCTAAACTGTCGTGCGGGGCGTCGTATTGAACGAACGCACAGATCGGCAAATCAAACCTTGCAAACGACAGAGACTGCTCATAAACGTACAACTGCAGAACTACAACGGACTCGGTCCTCTCTCCAAGCTCTCCGTACGACACATCAAGCTGAGATTAAGAAAATGGAAAAGGAGAAGGACCGGATGATGGAGAAGTGGAATAAACTTGCTGACAATCAACTCAAAGCTGGTTCTGTCGCGTGCGGCATCAAATTTGCCAATTCGCAGGTCGTCGAGGCCTCAGACGTGCAATTGCGCGCTAAAGGCCAGGGTTTCCTTGAAGTTTCGCTTGAGCAAGCTGAACAGTCGCGAAGTCAATTGGCCGATGAAGTCAGGTCACTGCGCGGCATAGTCATTTCTACAGCTAATGAACTGCAAAGGATATTGCACATCGCTCGAAACCTTTCATCATCTGAGGTCCAGGAGGAGGTGCGTGGTATATATAGATCGTCATGTTCAGCTCATTAAAGACGAATCTGCAATCTAGCCTCCAACACTAACACTGACTGCACTTTTCCCGCTTTCGCCAGCAAATACCGCTAGCGAAAAGCTCTCCTCGCTTCTAAGCTCAACTAAGGACCTCATCGATCGATTAGCTCGTTCACATGCGACATTGATGCAATCTACCTCAGCTCAACCTCAGCCTGCGTCTTCAAATAAGCCGAAAGAGCAATCGGACCAGAAGGAACTGGATCGGCTCAATGCCATTATCGACACATTGCGAAAGGAGCTGAGTGAGTTTGTAACCGCTTTAGTGTCGTCTAGCTGCTGAATGAAATGCAGACGAGGCTCAAAAAGAGTCTTCGACTTACGCATCTCAGGCACAAGCACTCTTCGACCGCTTCTCCCAGGATCCACGATTACTACATGGTCATGATAACCCCGCAGACATAAGTGTCGACTTAATGATTGCTCCGAGAAGGGATGAAGAGCAAGACCGATTGGACAAGAGAAATCAAGACCTCGACGAAGAACGACGTAAATTTACCGAAGCTGCAGTGCGACTAGGTAAGGAGAAAGCCGCACTTGAGGTAAGATCACGAGTCAATTACTCAAATGTGTGCGTTGACGAATTTGAATGTAGGCGGAACGGCTAAAGTTCCTAGAGGAAAAGCGATCATGGCAAGTGGAAATGATGCTGGCAGACCTTCCGCCAACGCCGGGTCCTTCTTCAGTATATACGGCACCTGTAGAATATCAGCACGTCCCTACACCTGAAATCCAGCTACCTGTTATGCAGGTGCCTAGGTCACCTCGTCGCTCGCCACGCAAAGCGAAAGCGGGAAGTTCCAAGAAGACTCGCATTTCGAGACGCTCGTCAGGCGTTGGCTCCCTCTCACCACGGAAGTCGAAAGTCGTTCCAGCGTTCGAGACAGAAGTTATATCTAAACCGGTTGTACCCCAGTTCAGCATCAGTCTGGCTACGTCGCAAGGCCCCACGGCCATCGCATCACCCTTCGTCCTTCCCCCGCCTTCACCAGCAGCTTCCATCAAGCAAGCAGATGCATTGCTGTCGTCGGCATTACCACCATTACCGAAACTCGATATACCCCCAAACCCGACGAACATACCCTACTCACAATCGGATACCGCCTTACAGGCTCCAGAACCCGTTGCCTCGTCTTCCACAATCCCTGCATCATCATCAGAACCTTCGTTCCCGGTCAGCCAACTCTTAACTACACCTCGACCATTCCCCCTGGCGAAACCATTTGCTCAGCGTATGATTCACGCTTACTCTCCTGTCAAACCTAGTCCACTCAGTCGCATTCTCATGATGGCGAGTTCTCCGGATAGTCCAGAGTCATCAACTGACCCTGCGTTGCAAGCTGTTTCCGAAGAAAACGAAAGTTTACCAGATGTTTCTCCTACGCCTGTTATTGGTCTTGGACCACCGCCTCAGAAGAGAAAAGCTCCCATGCCAAGTCTCGCTGCCGAACTTGGGCTGGAGGATAGCGATGAGGACAATCCTCTTTTAGACAAACCGACCGAGAAGACCAAGTCTAAGGATAAGAAGATCGCTATTGGTCATACCCGGCTCACGGCGAAAGACAAGGGTAAAGCTCGCGCGGATCACATTGGCTCACGAGCGCGAGGTGTGGCGGTTGAGAACAAGATCAAGCGCATGAAGATGTCTTCGGGCACTTCCTCAAGTGGTGCTCCTTCAACGTCAAGAGTTGCATCTGGAGGTATCGTGAAGAAGACAACTAAATCAGTGACGAGAGGTTCAGTAGCAGTAAATACTACTGCTCCTACTGTTCCTCCCCAGGCAAAATTCGTGGGGAAGGCGAAGAGCGGTCCGAGGAGAGTTCCGATTAACAGCGCTGAGGCTGCGCCTGTTCCTAAAAGTTGGAAGGGTTGAGCTCGAGAGTCACCATGTATGTATGATACTGTTTATGACGGTTCCATTCATTATATCAGCATTAGCTGTACACACGCTATTCAGTACATCGCAAGGCTTCGAGCTTTAGCGAATAAGGTTTTGAGGTCCATGTTCTTGTGGTCTAATTTGAGTTCCTTCATGACTCTCTGGTCAGGGGGTAATACATGTCAATGACGAAGAATTAAAGTAATTGAACGCTGAGCTTTGAGAGGTACTCACCTTATTGTGGTCCTTCTGAGTTGCCTCATCTAAAAGATCTCCGACTATTTCTAATGCCTTCACGCAGACATCGCCGCCGCCCTGAAGTCTTAAGCGGTATACGTTGGAGTACCTGGTCCCATATACTTGCTGTCGACTCGTCACATCCAGCTCCAATTTCGGGACCATTGACTCATATCTGTCAGAAACGTCAGAAACACTGAAAAAAAAGAACGCGAGGGATCTCGTCATGCATGAGAGTGAAAAGTGGAGTAAGTTTGGCAATATCAACGTCAACTGCTACGAAGATAACCTGTCCTTCAGCGACGCTGCCATTCGCATCGTCCTTGGAGGCAGGGTCGCCGTAGCTGAATTGCAGGCAGGAAACAACGAGGCAGGCGGATGTCCGACACCAACTTACCAATTCAGGTGAGCTTGCGTATGCTACCAAGGATTTATTCATGATCAAGCCAAAGACGCGTTGTCAACTTCGAGTAGGGCGTCGACGCGAATCTGCACTGGTGCTTCACAGCTTTACGAGAGCGAACAGATACGATTGCTCAACGTTGGTGCAAGTTGGTTGTAGTAAGACCGTGCTGTTACCTAGAGTGACGCAACGATGAGACACAACGTAACGCAAAGATAAGGAAGAGGAGAATGAAGACCGTAACTTGTGCACGGAGGAATTCGGAAGACAACGTATACCAATTAACTTGTACTGCACCTTATTGTCCATTGGAAACCCACACACCCGAGGCGAGTTCCTAGACACTCCGACCCTTCCTATGCCGATAAAATAGTACAAATGTAACACGAAAGCTGCGGGGAGACTCAGACCGTGGCATGGAACTTACTGCCAGTCCCAAAGAGTCTCGACACAAAGGTCGACCTGTCAGAGACAACACCGTATCTCCCCAATTGTATCTTCTGTCGGCACGGTTCTCTCCGTTTAGCAAAAATTGAACAAAGATATGTCGTATTCATAGCATTCCATGGCGAGAACAGCAGCAAGTGGGCATGTTCAACTATTTTAAGCTTCGGTGCTGGTGGATGGACTAGGAGCTCTCGCGGTGGCGAGATGATCATGACAGATATGGAAAGCAGCCGCTCTTGACGATAGACGGCCGCAGTGGGAAGTGTTTCGTCGAGGAAACCGTGCAGTAGAGAGTATGCCTCAAAGATAAATATAATGAGGTGCTGACGAATGTTGTCCTGAGCAACGGTTTTTACCCCAGTTTTGAAGTATGCTTAGACTATCCCGAACGTTGGGATCTGCACATCATCAGTGGGGTGATCCCGGTTCAGAAGCAATCACTTTGCCGAAAGATTCCTTAAGTAATTTGGCACCTCATAATGAAGCGACTAGATACTTTGTTGGATAGAATGACAGAGGCAATGATGGTTGAGTATGAAAAGTGGCGGAAAAGGGCGGAAACCAGTGACTTGAACAACGATCTGTTGATCGATCGCTCATCCATAAATTGGACCTCCACCTCGACTTTGCAGACCGTGACGGTGTGTACGCTCCTCCATCGTATAATAACCGATTACCTCTTGAATCTTGTAAAAAGCATCTCGCAGAGAATACGTCTAACATGATGTTCTTCGTTTAGGTTGCAAAATACAAAAATGATCATCAGCAAACAAGTCGTCCGCTCCAGCTCAGCTGACTTGCCTCCACACCGGCCTGATATGGCGACGAATAATGATTGCAGTGTCGACTCCTGGCTAATCACACAACAGGATCCTCACATGAGAGACCGCCACCTCCAATTCGGGGCTCCGTGTGGCCACATTATCCCCCGGTGAGCCATGTCCTCACACGGTAGACGTAACTCTCCCTCGCTTGGCTCAAAATACCTTTTACCCATGTCTATCTTCTCGCTCTTGTACAGGCAGCCCTGCAGGACCTCACTTCTGATCCGATGAACCGACCAGCGCTCAATATTTGCGCACTCGCTGCGTTCCCTCGAGGCTATAAGAGCTTGGTTGAGACGCACTCCATATTGAAGACGGGTCCTCCTTCTTCTTTCATATCCACAGTCTCAGGACATCCCGCCAAGACTCTCGCCCATTTATTTCAGCAGTCCTTCGCGGCGACAAAGGCTCCTTCTCTGTCAGAAGATCGTATATAGAGACGATCGTCCATTCAAGATGGCTGAGAAGAAATCTGAAGGTTCTTCTTCTGATCATGCCAGTATAGAGAAGTCCAGCGCGCAGCGCATTGAAGTCGCGGATGTGTATGACTTTGGTGGTGATACGACCCTCCCACCACCGCCGAAACTCACTCCTGAACAGGAGAAGAAACTATGGCGGAAGATCGATATGAGGCTGATGCCTATTCTTACTCTCATGTATCTCTTTTCCTTCTTGGATCGAGGTGGGTACCTTGATACAGCGTTTATACGAATTCAATAAACTGAATGGATCGGATCCTATCCCGTCTAGGCAATATCGGTGAGTGAGAATACTGTGGAAGTACTGAGTCAGGTGCTCATATGCAGCATACCCTCATAGGAAATGCGAAGCTTCAAGGTCTGACGACGCAGCTTAACCTCACTGGAAACAAATACAACATTGCACTCGTGAGTTAACCGATTCATATCTTTTTATCGCTACAGGGTTCTCACCTCCAACATGGATCTACAGACAATGTACTTCGTTGTGCGTACTTTTCTTCTTATGTATCTGATGAGTTCTGGAGGAATTAAATTGCCGCCGGTCAACTAGCCTTACTGCTTGTTTGAGTGTCCTGCCAAGTACGCACTCAGTTTTTTAAAAACAGATTATTTTTTTCTCATCGACGTTAAATACCTAGCCTCGTGTTGAAAAAATTCCGTCCTTCAAGGTGCGCTCAGAATCTGATGCTTGTGCTGTTTCGATATCTCATCCTATTCGAACCATAGATGGCTGCCAGGGATCACAGTGCGTTCTCTTCTGTTTTGACTTCGTTTATGCTTCAACTCATTCTGTTATTCAGATCACTTGGGGTATCATCATGTTCGTCTCGTTGACTTTACTTGTTTCACTTGTTAACTTACTGGCATCATCTGATCAGGACACTCATGGGCTTGGTTAAGAAGTATGTCCGCCGGCTCGCTCTTGTCGTTAGTATTCTTTTCTAACATCACATCCTCATTCTTGATAGCTACCCACAACTCGTCGGTACACGTGTGGTATTGGGTGTAACTGAAGCAGGCCTATTCCCCGGAGTCGTATACTAGTATGTCATGTTCGTTACGCAAAGAACAACGGAAGTCATCTGACTTCGGTGAAAGCTTGACGTTGTGGTACCCAAGGCATATGCTTCAGTTCAGAGTTGGTATCTTTTATGGTGGAGCTACTGTAGCTGGTGCGTCTTTCTATGTGTGTTTGTTAGATTGCAATGCACTCACCTGATTAACACTTCGTAGGCGCCTTTTCTGGTCTCCTAGCCTTCGCAATCTCATTCATGAGCGGGACAGACGGCATGTTAGGCTGGTCTTGGATCTTCGTGTGTATCAGTATGCGTTTCATCCCATATTTGTTCTGATCAGATTGTGCCTAGATCATTGAAGGTATTGCAACAGTCGCAGTCGGCATCCTCGCCTTCTTCGGTATGCCAATTTCATCGTTACACTATTCTTCATGGTATTCATGCTGTCCACTCGCGAACAGTCCTGGTCGACTTCCCATCCACAGCTACGTTCCTAACACCCGAGGAACGTGCATTTGTAGTTTGGAGGAAGAAGTACGATAACTCGTCTGTAGGCGAGGAAGAGCATTTTGCGATCAGGCACGTCTGGCAGGCCTTCTCGGACTGGCAGGTACGACGCCCCTGTATTTTTGATGATAAACAGACATGATAATCCGACTGAGCAGGTATGGCTGCACATTCTTATATATATGTCGATCATCGGGCCTTGTACGTACTTCACCTCTTTCTGTGCCGTAGCGGCAGCCTCTGACGGTGAAAATGGGATTTAGTGTATGGCATCTCGCTGTTCCTCCCGTAAGTTTTGCTTTCCATCGTTCTTCAAAACTCAACCCAACTTCCTGCACGAACACAGGTCCATCATCAATGGGTATGTCGTCGTATGCAACTTTTGGAGACTCGACATGCTAACATGCCAACAGCTTCGGCTTCAATACAGCGATCAGTCAACTGCTCACAGTTCCTCCATACGTCTTCGCAAGTAAGCTATTTAGCCCTTTGTTGGTGTAGCATACTTTCTCGTCTTGATCTGATTTCGCCTTCAGCGATCGTCTTGATTGTATTCGCAATCTGGTCCGACCGGATCCAAAAACGTTCACCGTTCATTCTGGCTGGACTTATAATGTGCCTCATTGGATTCGCCATCAATATCTCCGAAGCACCTATCGGCGTGAAGTACTTTGGTACTTTCTTCTGTGTCAGTGGTAGTTATGCTGCCTTCCCTGGTATCGTAGCTTGGTATGTGCTTTGCTTGTCTTCATCTTATCTAACAGGATGGTTAACCAATTTCAACAGGCTCGGAAACAACCTCGCGGGGCAATACAAGCGCGGTGTTGGTATGGCTTTGCATATCGGTATCGGTAACTTTGCAGGAGGTCGGTCATGTCGGTCCTTAGCCAATTCATGGCGCTCATACGTCTATTTTAGCCATCGCCTCGAACATATACCGCACGCAGGACGCTCCTCGATACATAATCGGACGTAAGTCCCTTAGCATGTTGTTCATACACGTGTATCCTAACCCGATATGTTTTTACGTCACATAGACGGCGTGGAACTCATGTTCGTTGGAATCGGTTTTATCACCCTTCCGCTGGCCGTTGTGATTTATACGCGAATCAACGCGAAACGCGACGCTTATGAGAAGGAGATGGAGGAGAAAGGAATCAAGTATACTACGCAGGAACTGCGTAAGCTAGGCGATCGTGCACCTGATTTCAGGTACATTTTGTAAGGTCTTACCACACCCAACTCGTATTCTAGTGTATTTTGTATTGTGTTGTAGAGAGGCGATGATTGCATTCATGTAGCATTATTTTTCCTCTTTTCATATCCTCGTGTATAGTCGTCGGAAGACAGACACTTTCGTGAGCAAGCGTAAGAACTTGTCATTTTCTGAATTTGAATATTTATATGTTCGGGCGCCTGAATGCGGTTTGGTTGACGTTGACCACGTTCTAACTCTACATTTCAATACGCCCGGATAGGATTTGATATGTAGAAAAACTACATCGAATGCTTGAATTTCAGGGTGTGCGTGTGGAATCCGGCTCGAACATGCATGCTCTGGAACGTTTTCCTGTCTAACCATGAATTTGAATTAGGTACAGTGATGTTTACGGCATGACCTATACATGGTATGCCACTCCATAAGGCAATACCACCTCCTGTTGTCTTTCGACGACGATTAGGCTCTGGTCTGGGTCTTCGAGAGTATGTATCTGCGCGGCGAGAGAGGGCCCTAACCTCGCGCTTGACTCGTGCCGGAGTTGCGGGCGTGGATATAGGATTGCCTGTTTTCGGGCACTTAGTATGGAAGGTGAGATTCCCTGATACATTGTTCGTTTCTACATCGCGCTCTGTGGCCTATCTCTATACAGTACTCGCTGACACCTCTCTTCGTGTCTACCAGTGCATCGATTCCCCCCTGCAACGACATCTTGGAGTCATCGCCCTTCCCCTTTACTCTGTCTGTCATGGAGCACCTTGATTTCAGCACTCTCATGCCGGCCGAATTCATTGATCCCACGAGGAGTGATTTCGATGTCCCACAGGGAACCACTCAACGGAGTGCGTCTTTTGTAAGTACATCATCATAACTCATGAAATCGTCAATAACTGAGGTCGTTAGACTGGTACACCCACGACGGAAAATCTAAATGAACGTATCATGATTTCTACGTCGGCCACATTCGCCACCACATCTTGTCATGGGAATGTTGATCCGGAGACCATCATCCTCGCTTCCAGTGATCATGTCCACTTCTATGTTCACATCTTTCGCTTGCTGAGCGCATCGACGAACAATTTCAATCAGCTATTGCCGACTCCTCACAGAGGCCCAGAAATGCGGGCTATCGCAGTTTTCGAGGATGCTGCCACCCTCAATGTTGTTCTCCATGCTATTTATGATATCTCACTTCGTCAATTCTCGCCGCATCTGGAGGTTCTTCTAGCAGCGGTTGACGCTCTGAAGAAATACGGCATACCACTTGACCAATATCTCGTCCGTAGAACGCCTCTCTTCGAAGAGCTCGTCATTAAAACACCTTATCGACCGATAGAGGTGTACATAGTCGCTGCCGAAAATGATCTTTTCGACCTTGCCTCAGAAGCATCCTCCTTTCTTCTCTCTTACCCACTTTCCTCCGTCACGGATGATATGTGGTCAAGAATAGGGCCCCTCTACTTGCGCCGGCTCTTTACCCTTCATGTCGAGCGGCTACAGGTGTTACAACAGCTCATCGTTCAGCCTCCCCCGGAGCACCCCCCTACCTTAGACTGTGGTTGGGTAGATCACAAACGGTTGATGAACGCATGGTCCTTGGCATGCGCGAGCATCATCTTCGATGCTCAACCAGGTGTGTATGCGGTGGCTTGTGCTTTATAGGGAACCTTAAAACCGCTGCAGACTTATCAGCTGGGAAAATACGGATTGTTCTCCAGTCCCTCAGTCTTCATCTGGCATGCGGAGCATGCAAGGACTCGGTGAACAAACGAGTGAAAGACATAGTCATGAAATGGTCAATTACACCGGTGAGTATCAACGCCCAAAGCATTACATATGCCGCACTCGGCTTACACCTTCCCCGTCAGAGAACTATCCTGAGGGACACTGGAGGTTACCGCGCGGTTCTTCGATAGATACTTGCCAAGTGGTCTCAAGTGTTTCATCCTGTTGATTACTGACTTGTGTGTACCGGTGCATCTGTTTTGTCTAATCTTGGTACCCTTCAAGTTTGCTCTCATGTTCCGCTAAATTTTAATTAGGCTGGAAACCTCGGGGATGCTTATTTGATGTCACGTATTGAATGTTATGCGACAGCTTCTGGGATGGAACGGAACGGTGTGAAGGGTTCTGAGCTTTTACGCACAAAAGGTGCGCAGAATTGTACATTGGCATGTAATGATGAGGGTGTTAGAAGGCGTCGTGACCTTATCATGTCGCCTCATTGACCTTTCGCAGACTTTCGATGCAGGGCCTGGAAGGACAGCAGATCGCACCGAACGCTACTCAACGTCAAGGTATTCAAGGCGCTTTCGCAGTGGATGCGTCATGATGCCCACGTTCCTTCTATCTCAACAATCACCGACGACATATCCACTTCAACGACCGTCATATCCGCGCCAACTCGCACGGAATGCTAGCAGGTACTATGGAATTCTGCCGGATGAACGGTCTCGGTCTTTCAGATCAAGAAGTATACAATCGCCCCTGGGACAGATATAGCACGTTTACTCTCATCACCTTGGGCTACCCTGAAATATAGGTCTCGGCATGACTTCGTCACTTCTTGTGGATTTGTGTACGTTATTCGTGCTCCACCTCCACCGGCATCTGTTACTTGTTTAACTCACTAAGCCACAGCTATTTGCGCAGGTGGCATAAAGCGCAACTGCCTAGACTGGCACAAAAAGAAACATGCACAGAACAATTTTCAGTAATCAAAAATAACGACAGAGTTCAGACAAGACTTTGAGAAAATGACGATTACTGTTAACACTCCCGTAAACCGTAAAAGGCAAATGCCGAATGGACCCAGTTTTACGATATTTGTTCAGCGGCTTGAACGGTTACGGCACAAGATTCTCACCTTAGAACGATAGCAAAGTTCTTCAGGATGCATGTTCTTTCGGATCCGACTGAGAAGTCGTCCAGCTGGACTCGTGTCTGGCATGGGCGCCTGACAGGGGGGTTACGAAGCTTTAGGATGGAAACTGATCCTCCGGCATGACATACGAGGTCGTATCCGCATCATCAAGCTTCCCACTAGCTTATCAAACCCTTTGCACAGCGGTCATCGCGATGTCTTCAGTATCTTGTCTTGCCAATGATGAAATAGAACCATCTTCCACTCCCCTTCATACACTAACCGCCATGGACTACTTTGATTTTGGCTCTCTTATGCCTGTAGAGTATGTCGATCCTCCAAACGATATGCTTAATGTTCCACAGAGCATTGACCAAGAAACTTCGACGCCCGTAAGTTGAATCGTAACTTTTATCGTGGTAGCCTGATGTCATTTTTTTGGTAGATTGGTAGTCCGGCATGGGAGTCCAATAGACAGATCGTGATCTCTGTCTCGACTACGTTCAGCACGTTAGCTTTCCCTGAGGATGAAGCCCCTGATGTCATATTCACTTCCAGTGATCACGTATATTTCCACGTTCACGCTGCTCGTCTTTTGATGGCATCCAGGAACAGCTTCAATCACTTGTTGCCCATTCCACATCTACGCTCAGAGACGCAGGCCCTTGCGGTCGCTGAGGATGCCGCAGTTATCAATGTTGTTTTTCATGCCATTTATAAGATCTCTCTTCGTCAATATTCCCCACCCTTGGATACCCTTCTAGCGGCAGTCGGTGCGCTAAAGAAATATGGTGTACCGCTAGACCAATACCTCTTCCGTACAACACCTCTCTTTGAAGAGGTTGTCATAAAGACACCCTATCTGCCAATTGAGGTGTACATGGTCGCTGCCGAGAATGATCTATTCGATCTCGCTGCTGAGGCGTCCTTATTTCTCCTCTCTTACCCACTTTCCATTCTAACCAACAAAATGTGCGTGAGGATGGGTCCACTCTATTTGCGCAGGCTCTTCACTCTTCATACCGAACGCAAGCATGTATTGCAGCAGCTCTTGATCAACCCGCCCTCGGAGCATCCACCTACCCTGAGCTGCGGTTGGGTAGAACACAAACGGCTGATGAATGCGTGGTCATTGGCGTGTGCGAGCCTGGTCTTCGACGCTCAGACAGGTATGTACTTCCACCCAATGGTAGTCTGTGAGGTGTTCACCCAATCACCTAGTAGACCTGTCAGCTGAGAAAATGCGCAATGATCTCGAATCTCTTGGTCTTCGTATATCTTGCGACGCTTGCAAGCGATCCTTAAATCAAAGAGTGAAGGACATTGTGCTGAAATGGTCCATCGCGCCGGTACGCTGTAGTTAACGAGGGTTCTGGCGGTCGTCTTGGGCTGATGACTGCTTTCTTAGAGAACTATCCTGAGGGATACGGGAGGGTACCGTGCGGTTCTCCAATAGGACTTGATTCCAAATCATCTCGAAAGGCCGTCCAGATCTCCAGGAATATTTGAATCCCCCTGCTTTCACTTTGCTTTTTTCGCTAGTCTTCTCGTTTTGTTTCTTGCTTTTGTTTTCATGGATCTTTGTTTGAGTGGCAGAGTTGTTCAGCCAAGACTAGAGATGATGGTTGAATATCACTGCAGCAGAAGAAGAATCAATCGGTATGACATACTACGAACTCTGTGCAGAAAATGGAACTTCGAAGTGCATGACGCACGAAATATATGTTCAAATGATGCCTTTGAAGACCTAGACTCTCGAGATCCTACTCATGCTCGATGCCGAGCGGTCTATATAACATACCTTAGCTCAATGCAAAATCTTGGCCCCATGATGCTAGTGTTTCCAAACATGTACTCCATACTCACCGTAACCGCTTGTCCAATCTCCTCTCACCTCCGAGTCTAAGTTATTCTTCCTCCGATTGATGTACGGCGTAACATCTGACCGCAACATCAGGATGCAAAGTTCTGAGCTTGTCAAAGTAGACTTAAAGTGATGTTTTGACATTGTAACACCGTTTGCGTAAAGCACTATGATGTCAAGAAACGGAGCGCTGAGTAGCCAGAGACACAAACCTTCGAGTCTCTTGAGACCTTGATGTTTGAGATGCGTTGTTCTCGCACCTCTCGCGCTCTCCACCAATCCAAAAATTGGGATTCTGTCACGCATGCACGCCGCGCTTGACATTCCCCACAATAATATTATAAATTTGATCACCAACGACGTCTGCCCACCTACGAAACGCAGCTGCCGAAAGGCTCCAGTTATCCACGATACGACGGCCGACAGGAGAATCAGACGGATTTCCTATATACGAGGCCTCGGACTAAGAGAGTTACAACTTCGCGAAGTGAAGGAACCAGCGGAAAATTAGAGAAATGGAGTGTAGCGGTGTTCGGAGTCGCTGGCCAGGGGCCAACTAGAGGTATTCAACCACTTGATCTTCTACGACCATGTGCACAGGTGAAATCTTCTTGCATAGAGTGCCGCCCAGCCAATGACATACTAGACAGCCGCGCCGAACACGAGTGTCGTTCGATACCCAGTTGGCAGATACATTGGCGAATGGATCTTTTTCAGGCTCTCTTTGAAGAGCACAGCCCCATTGGGTCATTCTTCAGGCGTGTCGGATCCAACTCAAGGTTCACTATCTGTTGGCCAATCGGAAATACTCAGCCATGGAATACGGTAATCGGCTTGCCTCTAAAAGCCAGCGTCATGAGGTTGACGCAAGGACGTGCTTGGCCTAAAACTGCTGTCGTCGCTGGCGGCTTCCAAAGCAGAGGCAGCCTATCGTGGCATGTACATGAAGTGTTTGCTCACCCGTATTCGTTCTGTAGTTATGCCCATCCCGAGGAGACTCGAGGAAGAGCTACACGGTTGCCGGGAGCTCCCTATATTGCGGTCGTTATCGCGAGTCCATCGAGGAACTTCACTGAAGGGTGAGCTCTAGGGAGGCAAGTAGGCATCTAACATTTGTAGGTCAGGATTTGCTGCGGGAAATCTAGCCAACATCGCCGAAACCCAGCAGTCGAACAATCTGAGTTCTGCCCCGCCATCTATACATCGCATTGCGATATGCCGAAGCAGCGCAGGCACTTGGAGATCTAACAGGGAATCATCAGCCTCCGCCGTACCTGTTGTACAATGACAGGTTATCTGAACGCCAAGCACTCATACCCCTAGGCTTCCTGCACAATAGAAGTGAAGACAAAACACGTCGTTTCTGACAACAAGGCAAGAATTCAGTTCGCGTTGGACACCTATCAAATGTACAGACAGTAGTTGCAGCTTCGGTGTCGTGAGTGTGGATTACACATGACGACGCGAGCCCTCGATCAAGAGGTGGAGTAGAGCCCGTCCAAGATCAATGGTCGTTTGCAGCTTCGAAGTTGCATCCTCGCAACAACACCTACCTCTCGGATACCAAGATTCAATACAGCACTCAAACTCATTCTTGTCAAACACGGTTTGGGTATACCAGGCACCACAATGCTGTGGAGACTATTTGTGGGGTAACTACAACTCCCATATCCAGGATTAACCTAGGACCTCCTCGAGGACCTCCAATCCTTGCGCTTGTCGACGTAACCCCTGACGTTGTGGTTATTCGTTCCTTTTCCGGGAATCTCCTTAGGCGCTTAAAGTTCGACTCGCATTCTCAAGCATTCGCAGTCCAGTTTGAGCATCAGAGACCTTCGGTTGGATCATTTGGATCGACGCGAGGTTGGACGTGGTATATCTGGTTGATCCCTGTCCGAAGAGTAACAACGTGTATGCTGGCCCGCAGCGAGTCCTGACAGGGTTTAATCTGAGATTGGTGACTGGAGGACCCGGACTTGGACTCGGGGCTCGGACTGTCAATACGACGTACCTGACATTGCTTGCTAACAACCCTTGAACATCGCATCCTCTGCAATTGTACATGTTCGCACCATCGGCCTTCTCTCCAGCCTATAGTATGAGCGAATATACAAATGCTTTCGGCTCCTTACCTGGATGGAGTCCGGCCTGTGGAAGACCTTGCCCTCTGCTCGTCTAGTTGAGCCTCGTCAGGATTGAAATCCATGTGCGCCGCGCCTCGCGAAACCCATGATTTTTTGGCGCATGCTGAAGATACAAAGGCAGTGCAAGCGGAGACAACGTATCGAAAGTGAGGTTTTTTCAAAATTTTGTCGACCTAGAGGTCTATTGGTGTGTGGCGCCACGGGCTTGAAGAGTTTGTAATTCACAGAGAGCGTCCCCCCGTCCACCTTCTGCCATTGCACCCATGATGGTCATCGATGAACAAGCACACTAGGCCATCCCTGTCAATCTCAACAATCAACAAACCGGCAGAATACTCGGTATACGATAGGCTCGCTTCCGGCCTCTAGATACTTTCGGAAGACAATCGTTCCTTTAGGTATACGATAACCTTATCGACTGTGCTCTACTCAAAGCTTCAACCTATCCACGATGGCGACGACTACGCACAACGTCTTCCACCTTTCCTCCGAGTTAGACGAACAGTCTCCCGACCTCGTCATAACCTCCGCAAACCAAGTTGCATTCCATGTTCATCGTCATCGTCTGCTCGCCGCCTCCACGAACCATTTTGACACCCTTCTCAGCCTCCCTTCGAAAACAGCCATCGAGTTCTCTGAAAGCTCGCCGTTGATCAGCATTATGCTCAACACAATATATGACAAACCACTTGATTCGCTACACCCCAATGCTACCATTCTCATCTCATCCATCGATACCCTCAAGAAATATGGGATACCTTTGAATCAATATGTTCACTCGAATACACCATTATTCACCGCTCTCGTCGCGGCAGCCCCATCGTGCGCCATAGATCTCTACATCTTGGCAGCGGAAAACGATCTACATGAGCTTGCAGCCGCTATATCTGTATACCTCTATTCCTTCGATTTGTCCACTGTCACTGATGAGATGGCAATTCGTATGGGTCCAATCTATCTGAAGAAGCTCTTCCTTCTTCAAATCACTCGAATTGCGACCTTGGAGCAACTCATCGCCGCTCCATTAGCACTTCATTCACCTACATCCACTTGTGATATGGACGCACAACACTTGCTTGCCAGGCGATGGGATTTAGCAACTATTAACATACAGACGATTGCTACCGCAAGTGAGCTTTATGCCACCTCTCGGATAGTCTGCAGCTTGTTGACGTTACGCAGGCATGACGTCCGCAAGCATCGGCGGGGTTTTGGGAACGGTTGAAGCCCAGACCGAGTGCCGTTTCTGCAGGGATGCGGTGCAGGTCAGAGTCCAAGAGGTTGTTTCCGGCTGGGAGCAAGTGCAGGTATGGATTGCTTTTTGACTTCATCAGGCTTGCTCTCTGACATTACCCAGAAAACTATGTGAAATCTTGGTTCAACTCTGTCATGGTACTGTCTTCTTCCTGAGATGAGCGATGCTCGATACCACTATACACCATCAATGTCGGGCGAGAGTATGTATACACACATAGACACGACCGTCTCAAGCACTCATCTTTAGGGCTGGTTAGTATGTATAGAACATTCAGGAGGGAGTCCAAACATTTCCGTTGGCGTAATGAATATACCAAGTTTGTTAGCTTCACTGATGGTTGCTCGGGACTGCGTGGGAGCATGTTAGCGTCGTAGTAAATTGATTCAACAGCGAAAAAAGCAACTTATATTAGAATTAAGCTAGCAATGAAAGGCCGGCTAGCTCAGTTGGTTAGAGCGTGGTGCTAATAACGCCAAGGTCGCCGGTTCGACCCCGGCGTTGGCCACTATCGAGATGTCTCCCTAGGTGATATACTTTTGATCACGACGCCTCTGAAGGTTTCGTATGAGTATGTTTTATAATGTATTTTGGAGGCTCGGGATGAAATGAATGCAAGGTGAACTCGAGCTTACTGTAGGGCTGGGTCAACAAGCGTCGAACTCGTCGAAGACGTATCCGCGCTTACGTCATACTGCCATATATAGGTGAGTTGGAATCCACGACCCCTCGCAATTTCCTGTCGTTGGGATTGGAATTCCTTCCTGCAGTCATCTTGCACCCTGTTCACGATGTTGTCGCGTCTGCTGGGCATTCGTTCTCTTCCTCGCTTACGCTCTACAACGTTGCAATCGGCACAAGTGTTGTCGGCGACACGCTTCAGTGCTCAACAACAGCCATGGACGCGTTCGATCATGATGACGCGCCCGGTGCTCCTTGCGTCGAAGAAGGAGACGACAACCAAGGCGACGCGCAGCACGGCTACAGGACGAGTGAGGAAGACGGCGGCTAAGCCTAAAGAAAAAAAGACTACCAAGGCTGTCAAGGCTGCAAAGCCTAAGAAGCCTGAAGCAACTAAGGAGCCAATTGGTCTGTCATTCAACTACGCGATCTCACCTTGACAGGCCAGCTGATCGTGTTGCACTCATTCTGCCCACCACGACAGCGATTCTCAAGGTCCCGAAGAGACCTGGTCAGCCGTTCACCCTATTCGTGCAGCGATTCGCCAAGGGTGTCAAGCCTAGGGAGGGCGAGAAACCCATCGACGCTGGTAAGAGGTCTTTCATAGAGGCAGCTCAGGTCTGGCGCAACATGAGCGAGGCAGAGAAACAGGTAGGTTGTGTTCGCGAACTTGAGGCTTTCTGATGATATGAATTCACAATGCCTCGCCCTTCGCCTTAGCCCTTCCGCGATGAGAACGAAGCGGCGAAGAAGGAATTCGAGAACGTGAAGCAGGAGTTCTTTGCTAACCTCGACCCCGTTGCTTTGAGGAGGTACAACGAGAAGCGGGTCGCTAAGGGCAAGCCGAAGTTACATCGACCTGCTGGCACGTTTGCAAAGCGACTGACTGCATACAACATGTAAGAGCGCCCTGTTTATCATGCATGCATCATATCGTGATTTATTTATTTTGTCCTGTAGGTTCCAGTCTAACCTTTTCGCTCACTGGAAAGGAGAGCACCCCACCTTTGGTGAGTATTCCAGGGAAACTGCACGAAGGTGGAAGGCGATGTCGGATGAGGAAAAGGCGGTCAGTTCTGCTTATCGTGTTGTCCTCCATTGGTATCTGACGACTTGCATTTAGCCTTTCCATGAGTTGCACAAGAAGCATGTTGCCGAACGAGAGAAGAGCTTCGCTTAACTTTTAAGTGGTTTGGCCCTCATATGATCTCCATTATGTTGGTCTTTTGGGGCGTCATGTACATATACTCCTATAATCGTGCCGCTTTCGTTTCCCGTATGTCCCCCTTCAAATGGCTTGCAATCAATGTCTATTGGACTGTGAATAATCCTGTTCAATTCACTAGTTGGGCAAAGGCAACTCATGCGACTGTTACCTGGATCTACTACAGGAATAATCAAGCTACAAGTGCTCTTGGTGTTGCTTCCACTCGACTGCAGGCTGAAACGCGAGACTCAAGCGCCCAATCTCGTACAAAGGCAGATAATAAGCACACTCAGGATCACACATGATTACGGAAGTTTTTGGTGTGGATGCATGGCAATACAGCAGTAAGACATAGTGAGGGTGGTAAAGTCATAAAAATAAGCAGGCCGACAATGAACGTTTACTTCGCCTGCACAAATCAAAGTTTAGTGACAAAATCATGGAGATTGGATAACTTCCTACATACCAAGATGATACCGTCGAATCGCTGCTTGAACCATGCCATCGTATCCTCTTTCTTGATACGGTGCGCCGCTCCAATACGAGCCTTCTTCTGCTTTCTCCTTGCAACCCGGGCACCTGGCCTACCCATGACGACGTAGAAGTCCATTCCGAAGATACCAATGGTAGGGTCATAACGGGCACCCAAATCGATGTGCTCCTGAATACCGAAACCAAAGTTTCCGGTCTCAGAGAAGTTCCTGCGGCGGAGCTCGTACTCCTTGACTTTGAGACCACGTTCAAGAATCTCCTCAGCCTTGGGGCCACGGATGGTGACGTGTGCGGCGATCTTTTCGTTACGACGGATACCGAATGTACGGACGGTGTAGCGGGCTTTCGAGGTGACGGGGGTTTGACCGGTGAGTTGTTCGAGCACCTTGGATGCACGGGTGAGACGATCGCCGGATTCACCGACGGAGATGTCTATATCATAAGTTCAGAATGCTGCTACTACATACAGTGCAGACAAGTTCAAGGTAGGGAGACGCACTGAGGACGAGCTTGTCGATCTTAACCTCCTTCATGGGGTTGGTAGGGGCTGTCTTTTGGTCGGCCTGCATGATAACGGTTCGTTCAGCATCGTTTCATACGTTCTCCAGAGTAGTAATCTACCGACCATGTCGTCTTCGCCGTGAGTCTTGTCGTTGAGGTACCCTACCTTTGATTTGCGACTATCAGTTTAGCCTCTAGCAGCGTGCGTCTTGGTGGCTTGCGTCCGTGGGAAAGACTGTATAGTCTTCCGGCAACTGCCGCACAATGTTACAGCTAGCGCCCTACGCTCGCTTTCGCCGACTGCTTGTTGACGGTCATGTTGCTCTACTGGTGTTTTTTTGAATTTCGTCAGAAATCTGTGATCTGTAATGCACTGAAGCTGGAGAGTCTCTAACCTTGGCGCTGGTTTCGCTTTTGATAACTGGGAATATTCCGGACTATGTTGCTTGGTCGCCGGAAACTAGACTATACATAGGCTCCTCGGGCATGTCAGTGTTATTGTATATTGCTTTGGCCAGTACGCTGTTGTTCAGGGTTGTTTGATCGGACGTATTGAGCCTGTTTCACGCCGCAGTAACGCAGTTCCTAGGCTTGTACTCGTTGGTTATGACTCAGAGTTGACGCTCGAATACCTAGGAACTCCTGCTGTGGGCTGGTCTTGCGGAACTGCTCATGTGTCCTTGGCCGGTACAGCATCCCAGGCACGGCTCCGATGAATTGTGCATTTAGGTGCTTGTTATCTAGCAGCAGTCTCACTGGCATCGTACCATTTTGCGGCCCTCCGACCCAGGAAGAGCTAATATGAAGCCCGCATTTCCTCCCCAGGTAATTTATCAAGTTATATCAGTGTCTAGTGGTTCTGTATTCAGTCCGTGTTGCATAATGCGGCACCACTGCTGTTGGCTATTTCAATGGAACAGTTATGTTGTATATATTCGTCTTGTATGTCGGCCTCTTCCTAGCATGCTTGCTTGTCGCCTTGACGAAAAGGAGGGAATGTAACAGCCTACGTGGTATTGGACGCTCATGTCTAATCAGTATTTGTCTTTGAGCGCGATCTGCCTGGCTGTATCATCCTATAGTTATCCAATGCATGTATAGCATAACAGCTTCCGCCTGTAAGAGTGATGTATATCATACCTATTGAATGTATTCGAATAGGCTCATCGTGATAAACGTTGCTGCGTTCTGCGATGTTAAAGTAAAACCCTAACCCCACACAAAACTGCGGCTTGGCTTTGGGACCTGTGCTTGAGCTTAGGCTTTCCGCCACTAACCACGACGACGACAACGACGACGACGTACTCATGCCATATGTACCGGTATCTTGACCTATAACAACTGCTGCAGACAGTAGCTTGGATTGCCTTTCAAAGATTCTCGGTTGTATTACGGCCTATTGTCTAATACGTAAGTAGCCTTCGCTACTCTCCGATTCCAATTCTCCTCAATCACGCATATGCTTACAATTTTTGGACCGTGACTCGATCTTCTTTATTTACTTCACGACGATACAGGCAAGTCCATTGTCCAAAGTGTAACGCTTCCTAAAGGCTCTCATGCCCGGTGTCACTGTTCTGCCGCACTCTCCAGGATTCGGACATCACTCTCCTAGTGAGTATGTCGCCTCGCATTTGAAAACTCCGGGGAATAGAATCCACGTTTCAGAGATGCAAAATGGACATTCGATACCCCCTCGCGCCACTGTATCTGATATCAAAACGGCGGCAAGGGAGCAAGCACTCAAAGCGGGTCGGGGTGCTTCCCCCACAAATCTTCTCAAATCAGCAAAAGACCAGATTGCAAGAGCACAAATCGCGGAGAATGAGGGCGATCTTAAAGAATCCCTGAGTTCCTTGACGAAGGCTGCGGCACTGGTCAGTATATTCATGGATTCGAGCGAGTTCAAGCAGGAGATGTCTGGCAAGAAGGGTGTTCTTACGCGGGAGCTCTTGCACTTTCAGGAGGTGCGTTCTCACATCTTTTGCCTGACCGTGACTTACCTCCGCAAAGCACGAAGGGATGGGCCTGCGTGTTCGGACGTTACAGCTGGAAGAGAAGCTAGGTATGATCGAAACCGAAGCCTCTCAGTAAGTGGCAGCATCCTCATATGCTGCGCTTTAATTGACAATGTTGCAGACGTCCAGAGATCGAGAGCCCTGTGGGGAGTGCCAGCATTGCAGAACGAATGCTCAAGCTGCAAAGTGCCGGTCTTTCTGTGGAACCAGCAGGGCCAGCTTCAAAGCGAATCTCGAGAGACTTACATACCATTCCCCCGATATCTCCTGATACTTATGTTCCTGCACCCAACCGAATGTCTCTGCAAGGCCTGCCGTCTCCACTGCCAACCTCGTCTTCCCTCGCGTCACCCGTCACTACAAGCTCGAAACTACCTTCTCCACATACCCTCATTCCGGCTTCGAGCTTCGGGCCGCCTTCACCATCCTCTTCTACTGCGTCCTCACCACTCGACCTCACTGACTTTCAGCAAGCATTCCCATCTATAGATGAACTTGACGAGCGCGTCGCAGTGCCTTCATCCTCATATACGCCGCCGCCGCATGAGCCTTCACCACTCCACGCGCCAACACCGTCATTCCCGTCACCTGCACCTGCGTTTCCGATACCAAGACCTGCCTTTCCCGTGTTACCCCTCGACCATGCGCCTCGACCTTCAAGCACACCTATTCCTCCTACCATTGATACCTTTGTCAGTCGTCCTGCATCTCCTGCAGGCCCAGGACGATCTCCGCTCTCACCCTCTGTTCCCCGCAAACCTTCTGGCCTGGGGTTAAACCATAAGGCATCGAGGTCACCACTCATACCCAGCGGAAGTCTTACACCAAGTTCGGAGAAGCGGGAGTTGCCGTTCACGACGTTATTCCCGAGGATCTTACATGAGTACAAGCAGAAGCCGGGTTTCAAAGTGCTGTTGCTGGATATCCGGACGCGTGACGAGTTTGAACGCGAACACATCAAGGCTGATGCCGTTGTTTGCATCGAACCATCTATCCTCCTTCGTGATGGGTGAGGCTGATCTCTGCTCTGGACATTTGATCATTGTTTGACTGACAACATACAGCGTTTCCGCGGAGAGCATCGAGAACGCTCTGGTCATTGGGCCGAGGAACGAGTCCACGCTGTTCAGCAACCGTGACAAATTCGATTTGGTGGCCATATACGACGAAGAATCTGAGAACCCCAGTGCTTCGCCAGCCATTACAGCATTACAACGCGCTATTTACGAGAACGCCTTCAAGAAGATACTACGCAACATTCCCATGCTCCTCGTAGGAGGTCTGAAGGCCTGGAAAGCCGAGTTTGGCTCCGATGAGCTGGTTAGAACAGGTCTGGAACTGACGACAGCAGGACCTTCCACCGCGGTCTCGCCTCCCGTCTCTTCTCCGAAGATCGACGGTCTTGGCATCACTGGAATGAATGGCAACCTCGTAAGCGCATCTGCATCGATATCCAGTCTCAATGGTGCTGCAGGGGGCAACTGGACGCGAGGACCAGTTTCAATAGCACAACATGCGCGAACACCTGCCGAATCTGCTACATCCCCTGTGCCCCCTTCGTCTTTCCCTGAAGCAGTTAGCATGGGACGCAGTAGGTCTGGAACAGAGAGCGCTACCGATTCTGGGTACAAACTGTGGCTTCCAGGTGCCCCACCACCTCGGCCAAGGCGGTACGTAGAGCCGATTATTCACCGTTGTCATATTCGACATACTCACTATGAAATACCAGATCTCCGAATGGAGATAGCAAGGAAAACTTACCTGTCTCTCCGCCACCACAGGATCCATCAAAGCGGCTCTCCAGGAAACCGGCGATTTCCCGGCCCACTTCTAATTCCGTTCCAGCATATACACCTTCAATACCCGAATTTGTGAGTTCTTCACCACCGATCCGTTCATCTGCACTTTCCCTAACATGCTTCGTGGCTGACTTCTCAGAACACTACCCATCATGTATCCGCCTCTTTATCTCACGGCGCGACGCCAATTCAATACCCTCAATTCTCCACACGAACGATATCCCCTCAAGTTTCGGGTTCCAATTTCAACGTATCTTCGTCTAGCGTAAACGGACTTGTTTCTTTACCTCCTCAAGCATCTATCAATCCTTCACCTCTGTCCCGTAGGCGGTCTGATTATGTTGATCAATCGCAGGAAGCTCTATCTGGGATCACTAACAGACCGGCGATTGACTACCCTGCATTATCCGTACAGCATATCCTTCGTCTCCCACCTGCGGCGGCGTCCTCGAGTATGGAGAGGCAAGATAATCGACCACGGGTTTTGCAGCATCAGACAGGGCCGAAGCCGCCTACTATCGCGTCTGATTACCCAGTTACTTACTGGGCTGATGTTCAGATTGGGACGTCGGGTCTGAGAAACCTGGGGAATACTTGCTATATGAACTCAACGATTCAGTGCTTGAGCGCTACTGTTCCGTTTGCCCGGTTCTTCACAGGTGTGTTTCAGAGCTTGATGAGGCCGTCACGTTTGATTGACAGGTTTATGTCTTTCGCAGATGGTCGATGGAAGAGCGCTGTCAATATGGTGAATCCTATGGGCACGAAAGGCAACCTGGCCAATGCATTTGCCAGTATATTACGAGATATGTGGCAGGGTGAGATGCAGGCTCTGTCACCTGTCACCTTCCGAGTAAGTCTATTTGATTGCAATGTGTGATCTTGTCTGACGTTTCCCGCTAGCGGTCGATCTGCACTTATGCCTCACATTTCTCCGGCACGGAGCAACATGACTGTCAGGAGTTCCTTCAGTTCCTTCTTGATGGCTTGCATGAAGACCTGAACCGAGTATTGAATAAGCCAATCATCAATACTACGCCAGAACGGGAAGGAGAACTGGAGCGGCTGCCGACGCCGATTGCGAGCGAACAAGAATGGCAGCTGTATCGTATGCGAAATGACAGTCTCGTTGTGGATTTGTTCCAGGGACAATTCCGCAATCGACTGGAATGCTTGACCTGTCATAAGGTATGACTTTGCGTACCGTTCTCACATTCTCGATCACTTACTTACTGTTTGAATACACAGACATCCACAACTTACAACTCATTCATGTATCTGACACTCCCAATACCCTCGACTCGTGGTTCATCTAGAGCCTCGCTACATCAATGCTTAGATGCTTTCGTCCGGGAGGAAGTTATGGAGAAGTCTGATGCTTGGTAAGTTGCAAGCCAGTCCATTGTTCTGAACGACTCTCATGGCGTCTCTCCGGTAGGCATTGTCCCAACTGCAAAACGCTTCGGAAGGCGACGAAGCGGCTCTCGTTATCACGTTTACCTCCAGTGCTGCTTGTCCATCTCAAGCGGTTCTCACACAAGGGACATTTCACGGACAAGATCGAGACTTTCGTCGACTTCCCTATGAAGGGCCTAGATCTGACGAATTACATGCCCTCACCGCTACCTCCCGGCGTTAGTCCAGCGCAACCGTTGTCGCCAGACGACCCGCGAGCGCAAATACCACCATACAGATATGATTTATATGCCGTTACCAATCATTTTGGAACTCTTAGCAGTGGACATTGTAAGTTCTCTATTTATGTCCCTGCGAATTATCGCTGAATGGTCGCTTCCAGATACCGCTTTCATTTCTTCTCGGGGTGGATGGTTGTATTGTGATGATAGTCGGATTTCTTCTGCGGATCCTAAGGACGTTGTAGTAAGTCACAAATGCTTTGCGCAACTGGGTGGTAAAACTGATCTTCGCTACAGGGAAAGCCGGCTTACGTTTTGTACTACAAGAGGACCAAATTCTAAGTTACACTTCACACTATTGTTGTTTCCACCATCGCATTCATTCTTTTCTTCTCTTTCGCCCGGTTGTTGTTGCTTTCGCCCGTATTTCCTTTTTGCCATCTTTATGCATTGACTATCCCCTTCCCATATAACATAGTACATGTAATCCTATTGCCCAAAGGAACCCAACATTGAACCAATGCCGCATAGCACATAGGTGTAGGCGTACGAGAGACGGACAATTATGAAGGTTCAATGCCGTCCATACCATCCATACCATTTATACCATTCAGCCCGTTACCCCCGTTGACACTTTCCTGGTGATTCTCAATTTGCTTCATATGACAATTATGACACTCCCATGCCTCGCCGAATTCATCTCCGACCATGAACTCTTTCACAGTGAAGGAGTAGAAACATGGCGAATACTCGGTGCCACAACTCCAACAGTGCATTTCGGAGCTTGCTAGTGTGCTCTCGGAGTCGATGGAGTCCTCTGTTTGGATGATTTGATCGAGTCGACGGGCTTTACGGAGGAGACCGTGTATGTTGGCGGTAGGAGCTTGCTTGTAGTTCTTGCAGTATACTTGAACAGCAGTCTGAATAAGATGTCAGGCGTCAGAGAAAAGCAACGTCGAAGGCTTTCGACTTACCTCTCCAAGTTCGTTCATTTCGCACATCTCGAATCTCTCCCTCCGGTGCGCTGGATGTCCTTTGCAAGTCACAGTTGGTACCATGCACCCATTGAAGTCTTTGAAGTCAACAACAGTAGTTGTATCCCGCCGACTTGCTTTGACCTAAGCCCATCATGGTTAAGTGCTTGACCAAATATAACAGACGCGGTTCACTCACTGGTTGCATCTCAAACCCGAACTTGTGACCGGCCTTCCAAGCACACGAGACGTGATACTCAGCTGGACAATCACTACATCGTACGACTGCCCCTCCACTCTGATCACATAATGTACATTTCTACAAAGACCGTCAGCGTGATCGCAAAAGAAATAAAACAACTGGACATACATTCATCCATCGGTAAGGCGGCATTGTACTGATCCCTTCCACCAATCGTAATCGTGTCGCATCAGAATATGAGATCTCTGGGATGAAAACGGAGCAAAGAGTGTGAACCCAGGCTTGACCCTCTGTAGGTTTGCATGATCGTAAGAAAGAATCAGCTGGAGGATGGAATTGTTTCTTCTTTGGGTCCTTTCGTGTCCGTGGACAGAGAAGGCAGTCATAATTCTAAGAGTGGAGTGCGACATCAGTGACGTGAATGACTACATGGGATCAGTCAGGGCTTACCACCGAGAATTCCTGCAACTTCTCGTTCGAGCAGAGGTCGCATAGCCACTGGTCGAGGCTGGTCGCATCAACAACTGCTCCGATCACTCCTAAAGATAGACATAAGTCGACATTCATAGAAAGCGTGTAAGCGTACTCACCAGGATGTGCCCGGAATGAACAATTCCGACATCGCAATACTTTACCCGGAAGGCCATTCTTATAACAAGCCAAACATCGATTCTGCTGAGAAACCGACGGTGGAGGTGTAGCCTGGATAGTTGACAATGTCTTCACCTTTGGCATTAGGCTGAAGCCTCATATTCAGGAAAAACATGCACTCACCCGAGCGCGTTTGGCAGCCGGCCCAGTCAGCGGAGTACCTTCACGCTTGTCAGCGCCCTTCGTGTGTTTGGAAATCGTTTCCTCCCGGAACGGTCGGACGTTCAGGTCCGCGTACTTCCTCCAGCTGATACCACAATTATCACACAGTACATTAGTGACCAGGCCTTTCGGAGCTTTCCACCAGTTGTCGGATTCCCGAGTGCGGCAAGCACCACAGCTGGCGTTACCTTTGGTAGGTTCCGCAATAATTGAGGAGTCTTCCTCAGCAGAACCAGCGCGTGAAGGTGGACGAGCAAGCATAGAAAGACCAGATGCGCGGGCGGCTTTGATCCTACGATTCTCTTCTCCAAGTTTCATACTAAGGATAGAAGTTAAACATCAGACAGCGACGACAGGATGTGACATACTTCTTCCAATGACCATAGTACCTAACTACTTCTGGCATTGTCCTGGAACCAACCTCGTCCCGGACAGGCCGAAGTTCGGCACCGTGATTGAGAATGGCATCTTCGAAAGCAGCCTTCTCAGCCTCTGACCATTCTCGATCTATGTATCTCGTCTGCTCTGTCTTCCACTAATAGATAGGTGCTATCAGTTTCTTAATCTATTGCCTCCGATCACGTACAGTACTCACCTTCTCGAGGCGATTGGGGCTCTGCATGTTGACCGTTGCCATGTCACGTCTGTTCTGCCATGCCGCAGAAAACCGGCGAATCGCTTCTGTGAGCCAATCAATATTGTGCTTGAGTTTCTCATTCCTAGTCAAAGTAGACTTGTATGTCTCCACTGTTGGATCGAAACAATCAGTGTGGAATCGAATGCCGTATTTGGCAATTCATGCTTACTTGCAGCCACTAGAAACAAATAAGCATCAACAACCGGATGAAATACAAACGTGCGGAGTTCGAAAACCAAAGACGCACCTTCCTCGGGCGACATTTCGTGGACAGAGTTAAGGACCTCGATCGTTGACTCTGTTCCTCTTTCCTCTATCCCTGTTCGTCGTGTCAGTATTCTGCTTGTTCAGGAGAAAGGGAACACCAACCTGGAGGAAGATTATTCTCAGAACCGGCAACGGGAAAACAGTTAACCTGGTATTTGGGTCCAACTCTAGTAGCAGCTCGTGGGAAGATAAAGTCTTCGGGATCTAACATTTCCCAAAATTAGCAAGCGCGGTGGGGGGGGAATTTGTTGTCTCGCCCACCAAGGGTATCTTCAGCAACTGTGTATTGCCTGTGTCAAATCCGTCAGTCCTTACTCCCGCATTGTTCGACAGCTCTTGTCTCACCCAAAATATCTGAACGGCCACATCTTGAAGTGCTTGATTTCCACATTCTCCTCCTTCTCGGCCAACACCCGGTCTTTGCGTGGTCGCCCCCTTCCCCTCGGAGCGGGGGCGTTGGACTTGGGCTTGGGCGCTACCGGCGTGGGGTGTCGAACTTCATGGCTATCAACCTCTTCCTCATGTTGTCGCGAACAGGGGGCGCAAGTCCATCCATATCCACGACTAGGCTTGGCTAAAAGCGGTGGCGTCACACACGCCATATGGAAGAAGTTCTTGCAGCGATCGCACTGGACCGTCTCGGGGCTGTGGGGGGAATTTGAATGGCGCTATCCTTGGGGAAAGGCAGTTCGAGAGAGGTGAAACAGACACTTACGGTGGGCACCATTTCTCGCAAGTTGCGCATAGCCGTAGTTCATCTGTCAAATCTGGAACAATCTCCTTTTCTGCTACAACATACTCGTATCTGCCTGTGAGCACTTCCCTGATGTGATCAGGAACTAGGAAGAAAATGTCAATCTTCAATGTGCCCAAGCCGTTGGGGCCCGAGACGTACTGTTTCGAACAGAAGTTGCCTGTATCACCTCGAATTCCTTGCGAATCCAGGGGTCGAATAGTCGAGTAAAATAAAATCTATCTGGACGTTTCTTCCAACCAGCGAGATCAGATATTTTATCTCTGTGAATGACGTGGCATTTTGCTCGTAGTTGGTTGAGGTCGCAGACCTCAGAGTAGATAGCGGCAAGAAGGAGGCGGGAATCAGCGACCGGACGGTCACTCACGTCCCCCGGACGATAATACCATGCCAAACGGACACGTGTGAATGGTTCATTGCGTTTTCCTACCGAATCGAATGTGGGTGTGCCTTGCGCAGGCAAGAACTCCATTATGCGGGCAATTGAGTAAGGCGTGCCGTCACGAATGGACCAAGTAGGTGAACAATAAACATGGTCTTCAAAAAATCAGCATCTAGTTTAGAATGATGGAGAAGAGAGAGTAAAATTACCATTGACTTTTACTTGGTCGCCATTCCTGAGGGTAATGTACGTAGGCGAGGTTGGGACGGGCATGATGGGAGTTGAAGGGGGAAAACGGGCTGTGGCGAAAGAATAGGGAAAGAAGCCCTGCCAAAATCAGAAACGCCCGGAAATAAAGGATCTGAAGTGGGTACGAGTGTGCAAGGGTTTGTTTAGGCGAGGAAAGAGGAACTGGGGGGTAGAAAGCGAGGGAGGTAGGATGGAGTGCAACCGCAAGAAGCCTGCTGAGATCCGCTCGCTGAGGCCACAGATTCAACTCCGACGACGGCTCTCTTTGGATTCAGTTTGCTTCGGAAGCTTGACGGTTGCCCCGCAGCCACAGGTTTTCTTCTTTCTCACCTTTCTCTAAGCCCTTCTTTCCCTCTTAGTTTTATCATTTATCTCGCTATGGGTGCTTGCAATATGTGGCCAGAACAGCCTCGACTTTGGATGATAGGAGCCCATGCATTGCTGAGAAGACTTGCCCGTAACCTAGGTTGATTGCCACATCCGGTGCCGTTACGTTGCCGTTTCGTATATAAAGTGTTGAGAACACCATCCGGAATCACCCATGGTCTGCTCAATCAAATGTCACTCCTTATTCCCCTTCATGCAGGGCTAATCGCCCTTTATTGTGAACTTCTCTGGGCTAACGAATCCCCGACTTGTCGTGCAAGGGCTGTCACCCTGATCCGCTCTAAACGTTCAGTATGCCTGATCAGGGCAGTTTCTTTGTGAGGCGCTGGTGTGGCAAAAACAAGGACAATATGTTGAAAAATAAAATCTGAAATAGACCTCATAGCTCAGTGGCAGAGCGTGAGATTCCAGTTGAGGAACTTCCTCAAGGTCATCCGTTCAATCCGGGTTGGGGTCATTGCGTGTATGGGACATCAGGCGTTTTTGTCTGGAAATCTTTCACGTATGTTTGAGGTCGCCAAGTTAATACCAGGATCTCAATCATGCATTTCTCACAAGAGTCCTTACATCGTTTTCCGTGTTATCATGCTGAGACGGTACGCGAGGCTCATATGCAGTATGGACACTAGGCTTCTCAATTACGGCGATCGCGAATACGAAGTAATATAAGGCCTATCGTAACGACGAACACAAATGGTTGTTTCTGAACCGCATCTAAATCGAACTGGAAGAATAGGCGCACTTGTCGGCCTGTGTACTGAGCGTAGGAAGGACTTCAGAAGCTCCTGACTTTCAGAAATCAAGTCGATGGATTCAAAGGTGATCCCGAAAGCATTGAATCCGGATGCGGCTGCTCTAGGTACTGCGCAATCTCCGGGAAGGATTGAGCAAGAGCCTCATCGAGGTACCTGCGATAGGACTATCGGCATTATCAGTAAGAACGAGCGATCGACAATTGACAACATTGAGGGGCATACATGTATCGCATGAATTTTCCCATTCATGAACTGGTTCTCCGTAGCTGCTCTCTCTATTCTCTCCCTCGTCAAACTCATCGGGTTACGCGAATTGTCGATTTCATCAAGGACTTGCATAGGGATCATGGTCGGAACATGCTGTGACATATCGTCAAGTGTAGCAAGGTGATTGATTACATCGTTCCTGCAGAGAGTGTGAGACATAAGTCAATGTCCAATTCCCTTTGTCTCGTTACACCGGGTCTGATAGTTGAACGAAAGAAATAGAGACTGAGAGTACTCACACTCTAAGCCCGACCTGTTTCCCACCTCCAGGTCGGTCTTTTTCCTTTGTCAAATCATTAACCACAGTAGTCCCAAGGTTATACAGCGCATTGGCAAGCCCTAACAGTTCTGACTCTAGTTCTCCTTGAACGCCTTCGGGAGGCGGCGAATCTCCATCCCTGGGTGAATCTGGGGCAGTAGGTGTGTCACTGCTTGCAACTCCTGGTCGAGCCATGACGATCGACTTCGTTGAATGATGATAATAATCCTGTCTGGTTCGAGATAATGGTTCAAGTCATTGCTCGAGTGGCCAAAGCGTGGTGACCCTCAACACGGGGTGAACAGACGCGCCGGTGGTATTGTTTTGTGAACCCTGTCTGCAACTTGGAGATCGACGCTCGCTTAGTTGTCAGGATTTCCATTTCGGGAATACAAGGATCGACGCTTCTAGCCGACGATCTTGGCGAAGTTCAATATGGGGACTGGTCATGACTGGTCATGGCTGGTCATGTTCAAGGTTCGGGGTCACGGTATGATTCACTATTTACGTATTTCTCATCATACAACCTAGGCTTTATATTGTACAGAAAGACAGACAAATGCCACGCATCCAACATTCCCATTGTCCAATATTATAGCGTACGAATTAGAAAAGTATCAAAATATGTCTCCAAATCTTTCACCCCTTCCAAAGGTGTCACAGTACCAACGTACCCATCCGGCCTTACCACGATGATAGCTCCTTGCGAAGGGTCAACGCCATAAATATCATATCCTTTGCCTCCGGTGCGCCCGAACATGTCAACGTCATCCAAAAGGACCCTATCAAGCGAAAGGTTATTGAATCACTCCATGTATGAATGCTGGACTCAAACCTACCTTGACCAATGAGGTCGCAGAACCTCCGGAAGGTCGGTATAATTCAGGCATTCCTTTACCGTCGCACATATAGTCAGGATTTCGAATACACCATCTTCATACCTCTTCAGAAGACCAGTAGATTTACCCAGGTCGTCGGCCAGCTTCGCAACGCGTTCGATTTGCTTGATCTTCCCAGGTCCAATATCCCCTACGAAGACCACGAGTTTCCATTTCGTATTGGCTGGAAGAAGGTCTTGAATTTCGAAAGGACGTGCGTCTGCAGCTCGGACAAAGACGTGAGGTAGGATGCGCATGCCAACGGTTTGATGCGAAGTGAGGGATTGATGCTTTAGCTCTGTGATATTCGGCATTGACGGAATGGAAGAGGGGGAGTAATGAATGCCGATGCCGCATGAAAAGGCTCCGAAAGTTTGGAAAGCCCTATCGTAATGACGATGAGTTCAGTGGGAAAGATAACACGGGTTTGGCATTACGTTAAAAAACTTACTCGAGGAAGGCTTCGTGACTGACACCATCCTGACATTCTTCAGTCCTTGGCTTACCACTGAACAGAGCTGAGAACTTCTTGTCGAAGGCAATCAGGTCTTGTGCGTATTTCCGACGTTCAAATTCGTACTGAACATGTTGGAAACCGTGAGTAGCGGTCGAACAGATATAATAACGCGACGTACAGTCCTTAAGAGAGATATGTCTGCCCATCCTCGTAGAACATAGGTCATCTTCCAGACTGAGATGATATATCAGTACGGAGGTCGATCGAGCAGGGAGGGCAAAACATACTTAAGTTATGGGTATCATTCATGCTAGCATTCATTCCTTGACCTTAGCATCATTAGATGTCAGCTTGTGAGGTTATCATTGAGTAAGCACAGAACACACCTGCTTTAGGCGAATGGGTATGGCAGGCATCTCCAGCAATGAAGACACGTTCATGAACGGAGAACTTCTGCGCAACACGTTGCCCAACTACACCGACCCTAAAATTAGATCCATTCCCGTCTACTGTAAATAATCCCACTTACTGAGGTAAATTGTCCACCAGTCTATCTCACCAGCCTTCTCTATCGTAAATGGGCTGAAAGATTTCCTTGCAACCTCCAATAACTCCTCTGGTCCCACTTTCGTCTTCTCCTTATCGACACGCCCAGTTGCTTTATCGACGACGACATCTTTATCGCTCAGTTGGATGTACAGTCGGACTTTGTCACCTTCGCGAGGGATGATCATGCAGGACCCATTGGAAGAGTGGATGGCACAGCGGTTTCGGATGTCCGGGAAGTTGGTGGATGGTATGAGGTCAACGACTCCCCAGATGTAGTCTATGGTAGATAGTCAGTAAGGTCAAGGGAAAGGTTGAAGGTTATTTATACCCGTTTGTTCCCCGTCCATGATGATTCCTAGAGTTTTGCGTACCCAGGAATGTGCGCCTGAGAAGGTCAGAACTTATAAGTGTGTAAGAACTATACGTGACGCTTGACGCACGCACCATCCGCTCCTACAACGAATTTGGCGTATACGATCTCTGTATCATCCTGACCTTCACTTCCGAAGTCCAAATGCTTCAACGTAACCTGGATTACTCAAGGTTAAAGAATGAACCTTCCTATAGCTGTGTTCCAATATCCGGAACGTACTTTGACTGGATATGACTGTGGGTCTCTCAATTCGTTCTCATCATGTGAGAGTTCCAGAGCCGTGGGAATGATCGGCCTATCCACCTCCAACCCCAGCTCGCGCATTGAATCTAGGAAGATAGCTTCGATGGCTCCTTGATGCAATGTTACCTATAACACAGATTTATAAACTAGGAAGCGTAAAAAATGTAATCAAATACCTCAAATGGATATCGTGCTGACGGCGCTGTAATGTCGGCAGTTCGCCCGGTACGCTACGTCAAAGGAGCAACAATGAATTATGCACGATCGAGGTGACGATCGAGTTAACGCACTTCGATGCCACCATTCGGGCTAGGATTGTAGAATGCCTAAGAGAAATATATTGGATTGTCAAGAACGACCGAGATCGGCGATAATAAGGCATACCACCATGTGCATCTGGTTCCCTTCGCGGAGTAGTCGTTCCGCCAAACCATAGCTCTAGACCGAAACATAACCATAAGCTCTCCAGCGACACACGATCCATGATGCGTACCTGAAGAACCTCGATAGTCCTGGGTTGTACACCATCTGCTTGTCCAGCCGCCACCTTTTTGGGTCTTCCATTATAAAACAACACGCAACCAGTCAGATCACGTTAGTTAGCAATCGCCCGATCGAGCACTCTTGTACCGGCATACCTCTTGTCTATAATACGAACATTCACTCCAGCTCTCTTCAAGCCTTGCGCGCACATAAGCCCTGCCGGACCTGCGCCGAGCACCAAGACGTCGACCTTACTCTCGGTCGGCATATTCAGGACTAGTATTTGCAGCAGAAGTCGGATCCTCAAAAGTAGTTTTCAGAGCACAAGATCAAGTGCAGGAAAACCCAGGGAAAGCACAGCACAGAGAATCAAGCTATACGCGCTGTACGCGCTGTAACACATTGCAGTAGGGTCCTTTATATGTATGCAGTGGTTCCGATCCGAAGAATGGGTCATGTCCTTCAAGGCATCAAAACGAGTAGCAAAAGACCCAGGGAAATCCTGGATGAAACGCATCGGATTACCATCAGCCTTCCGCAGGACGCTCGTCCAAAAGGAATTATGTAGTCGTATGCCATGATTGCACTTTGGAAGCCCACGGGCAGTGTCTTCTGGAGGTGTCTTTCGAGACAGAAGGGGGATCAGCGCCGGAAAGTGATGTCCATGTTTGGAAATCTTATTGCAAATGAGCGCGTAGAAGGGTCAACGGGTTGCCCATGTGTTCACTTTGGTCGGTACGCTCGCCATTCTTCATCGCTCTCGACTCAGGGAAGAGTAGGTCGGACGTTTGATTTGTCTGACTGAGCGCAGACACGGACGTGTTCCCACATCTTTCGAAGAAGGCCTAGAATTTGAGCTTGAATAATTGGTATGTCAACTCCTCCAGGCAATGCGATGTATCGTGTAGGATACTCTACCCGTTTATATAACTTCTGTTATCAGGGACCATGGCTTCCAGTTCTGAACAGATTTTCCAAGCAGAAGATCGAGGAGAAGTTCTCATCCTTACCGCTACAACGGCAACTAATCATCACCGGGAAGGCGACACGATGTTCGTTCCTCCCCCTATCAGTGTCACTGTGGCGCACCTTCTCAAGAGTTAACTAAAAAGTGCGCTGGTCCCTTTCTAATTCTACAGGTTAGACACTTGCGTCTTAGACTACCTCGTGAAACGTGGCTTTCACCAAACCGCAGATGCGTTGATGCGAGAGGGGAATCTATCTCATCCTGATCAGACAGGTCCACCTGTAGACCTACCACAAAGCCTCATCTTGGAGTGAGTTTTTTTTTATCACCTTAGATATCTGCTGAACGCCGTCTTTTCAATATTAATGAATGTCTGTTTTGGTAGGTGGTGGAATGCGTTCTGGTTAATCTATCATGCGAAACGCCATGGGGACTCAGGCGCAGATGATGCAGGGCGATATGTACGGGTATGTACGGTTAATTATTCTGTTTCTTTTGGTGTCCTGAGAGGTGAAGTGATATGTACATTCTTCTTGTTAGGAGCGTGAGGCAAGAGAAGAATTAAGGCCTAGTATGGATGACGCAAGGACGTATACGCAGGTGTGTTAGTTTCTTTTGTTCTAATTGCTCATTACTAATGTAGAATGCGTGGGTTGTTTGACATGGCCAGCACCTTCGGAAGCAAGAAGCGTTGAAGCATACTCTTACAAAGCGGAATCAAGGGGCCATTGAGCAATGTCCGCTTGATTGAACATTCCGCATAAGGACAATGCGAGGTGAGCGACGATGTATATCTCCATGGTATACTACCACCGTGACGTTCACCAGAACCATGGCTACTGAAGAGGATAAAGGAATGCTTCGCACATTAATTGTTCTCACCACTCGCCACAATCTCGCTGTGTCTCACGTTGACCGTGGTTTCCTGCCATCTATTTGTTATTTGCTTTTCAATGTACTGTTGATGACCCAGATGTGCAACAAACTGTTTCAGGTCATCATCTTAACACTTCGCCTGCACGAGCAATCCACGGATGCTGTAACACTTCTTCGGCGGTCACTCGCTCCTTTGGATCGATTTTGAGCATAGACCGCAGAAGTGTGAAGACCTCCTCAACTTCGGCCTGCGTGTGCACCTCTCCAGTTCCTTTCATGATGTGTTCTCGCCGGTGTCGCCACTCTGCATTGGCAGCCTCTTGTGAAATCTCTATGCATGTCCCGCCAGTCAGTCAATGATGCATACTCACAGCAAAGGCAACGTATACATACGTACTCATACTGCTCAGTCGCTCCCGCGAATTCCAATAGTTCTTCCACACCAACGGCACTTCACCGCACAATGTCGCCATTGCGCCCAGCAGCGCGTCATTCGGCGCCGCAAAGTGGAAGAGCCGCGCTCCAAAGACCAATTCATAGATCTAGAGACGCTGTCTCAGTTCGGGGACAGCAACATGGTTATCTAACGCACCGTGCACGCAAACGACCAAATGTCACTCGCTCTCGTGGGCGGGAGGTCGTTTGACTGAGCGACGCGTCCGAACATGAGCTCGGGGGCGCACACCGCTGCCGGTGTGCAAAACGGGCGCACCCGCTCGTCGATCACGAGTGCTATTAAATACCATAAGCTTTGTCCCCCTCACGGCCACGACTATGCGATGAATCCATCGTACTCACCATTCCCCAAATCCATGATTTCCGCATGGAGGGGCATTTTTGCAAACACGGGATCCTTGCTCACCATATAGTCACTAATTGAAATTGGGGGTACGAGATATGGCGGGAATGCCTCAGGGTGCTCTGGAAGCACAGTCGGCAAGATGATGGTGCACTCCGGATGGCCAAAATAATCTAGGATCTCGCGCGGTGAGTGCTCGTTCAGTGTAGGCAGGGCGACGCCGGCGTTCCCTGCGTGGAGATCTACATAGCTGGTCCAGTGAGTCTGCACATTTTGTCATCCCAAGCAACGACGAGTACACTCACCCCCTTGCACAATCCCATGACGATGCAGCGCTGCGAGACCACACGCAATCTGGCGGCACAGCATCCTCACTTGCTTCTGGCCCACCGGTGAGCGCACGACACTGAGAAGGCTCCCGAGTACATCATGCACAAGGACCATGTGCACGCCGTTCGGCCCCTTGAGAGAGAAGCTGTCCCGCAGGCGTAGTATATCCTGCGTTTCTTCACCTTGCGGGATCCGGCTGAAGATACTGAGCTCGTGTGACGGATCAGCATCGGCGACACAAACCTTGAGCGCAACGTAGCGCTGTCTGTGGGAGATGTAGAATATGGAATTGAGATTTGAATGTATACTGATATATGCTTCTCGACTCACGACGGTGCACGGAGTTCCTCGGCCAGCCAGACTGTAGCGAAGGCTCCGCGACCGAGCTTGTGCAGAATGCGGTACTGCGAGCTGCCAGAAGGAGAGGATATGACATCGCCGAGGCGAATGGGATGAAAACCTCCCGTAGTGTATCGTCGGACATCCTCGACCTCATCGTCCGCATCCCAGTACAACGAGAGCTGGGTCATGGCAGGTGAGGCGCTTGGAGTCAGTAGCCCTTCTTAGGGCAGCAGATATACCTGGTGGAGTCGTGGTGCAAAATGGGAAACACCGCTAAAGAACGTCAATTGAAGCTATCAGATGTAAGTAGATAAAGCCCCTTTCATCGCAGCATGCACAGCGCTAACGATGAATAGTAACGTCAGACAGAGATATCCTGAGGCAGGAAAGTTGCGTCTCTGCTTATTCTGCCTCAGGGAGACTAATGCTGTGGTAACTACTGTACGTTTCCACCGCAGATCCACATACTACATGAGGCTGTAGATGATCTTCATATTAGTTTTTCGGCAGAGTTTGGACAAGGAAATGATTTTCTCACGATATTCCAATAGTCAGTATTACGATCGTCATGTCTTCTATCCTTCCCTGTCTAGCTTCAATACTGATTCATTTCTTCAGTTTTCCCTCTTCCTGCGTTAGTCGCGACGTCTGACACCCGGTCTGACACCCGGTTCCCCCACATTTCGTGTTCCGGTTTACGAAATACCACGAATACAAAGGCCGGTTTCAAGTCCCAGCATTCTCTGGTCGCCATCACTCATGTCCTCTCATACGAACAAAGGATTGATTAGCCGAGGAATCCTGAGTTAATTGAAGGACTGTCTTATATCTCGGAATTCGCTAGCCGTCTGAATGAGGCTAAATCGTGCATATTGTATTGCAATCATGAACGGGGTCTCATGACATTTCTTGATGGAAACACTGCTCCCGATTTTCGAAGCTCTCGAGAAAGATGGAAGGGAAGTGGAGGTCATGAGAGTAGAGAAATACACAGAATTTTCTCACCAATACAAACGGTGTTTGCAGGCGGTAGTAGGGTATCTTTTCGTTGTAGAATACTCGTCACTCTTTTGAAGTCTTTTCTAACTGGAAGAATGTCTGGTCACATGTTAACGCTGCGTAGCCGCAAAATCTGGCGGCTTATAATAAAAACATACAAAGTCCGAACAAAAGGAGGAATGTCACTTGGTTCTCAATAAAATACGACGCAAGAACTATATGGAATACACTGACGTTGTCTTTTGACCGATAGTTAAACGATATTAGGCCCAGTTTCATTTGGTTTGGGGGGCTGAGACATAGAACCCCCAGCCGACCCACCTGTTTGGTTACCATTTGAGGGCAAGTGAAGGTTCAAGTCGCCCAAATTATCCACCGGCTTAATAGCTGCCCTTCGCCTAGGTTGTGGTGCCAGTCTAGGTTACAACCCAGCATATCGTTCCTTCAAATAAGACAGAGCCCGTGATGAAGCCTGAGTAGCGTGGACGCTATCTCGACTTTCAGAGTTATGAAATCTCATACCGGTGATGAGATTTTTCAACGTCCGTATGAGGCTGGAGCTGACCAGGGGGTGGGTCCATCTCCGCGATGTCTAGAACAGCCATAAGAAGGGACGGAGTTGGTACTGCGTCGCTTGAGGTGAATTCCCGCGTCATGATGTAGTGCTCGATGTCATCTAGCATACCGCCAAGCGGTCCACGCACATGTGGTAACTCTTTCAGAACTAACTTGGCGAAGCACAGGGCCATCGTGCATGCCATGTCAAAGTCACGGACGCGGTTCTTCGCCCGAGCGTGCCTGGTGTAGCAGATTATACTCTCAATAACTGTAGTCAAGAAGGTCAGATATCTGATCTCTGACCACATAGAACCATGTGTCGACTCACCCACGTCGTTGACCGGGACATGTGAACGAGTGAAGAGCTCCCGCATCGATAAAAAGGCAGCCTCTCGAACACCGTCACGTCCATACATCAAACGCGCGAGGCTGTTGTGCACCTGCTCGTAGAGGAATACACTCTCCGGATGGTCTATCTCGAATGGGAAGGCGCGACATAGCCGATCCAGCATGTTTAACATCCTGAGAACGCTAGTCTCGTCCTCGACATTGATCCTTGTGAGGATATCAGTGACAAGATGCGCCAATGTTGACAGTCCACTGTCCACGGCATCTGAATGCTTCCACCGAGGTACTCCTCCCAGGAACCCGTGCGCCCTATTATTCAGGATATCACACAGACTATCCAATGCTGCGGGGCATTCGGTATCGTTGATACAGACACGTAAGACATTGTGTAAGAACTTGTCATCCATGAAGGTAGCATCAGCGCCTGCAAGGATGCGATAGTCCAAAGATCCCTCGCAAGTAGTAATATGATGCTTTTCACGTTCACGCCACGTCCGGCGGTGTCGACCGTCCATCAGAGTGGTTATCCACCTATGTATTTTGCGATGTGTGCTTTGAAGCATTGTGGGTTCAACGTATATTGGCCACGGACGTTGGCTCCATGACGGGATAAGTCTCGCAATTTTGGGTATTAGCCAAGACAACCCCCGAATAAACCATTGTCTGGTACGATATACAGAAAGGGCTTGTGGCGATCGATGGGGACATCCTGCATTGAAAGAAGGTAGAATGGTGGTGATTATGAGGAATAGGAGTGAAGCTGTGACGAACACCGTGATGATGCTTGCGACGATAGGATCCAGGCTCCATAAGAGGTCGACGAGGCCAATGAAGAAAAAAGCAAGGGCAGTCTGCAGCATGACTGGTAGTAGGGCAATAATCTCAGGTACTTTCCATTTGAGAAGACCATCGAGTCGAAACTGTCGAATACGTGCGCTCTCACGCGGGGAACTTGCCGAGTCACTCACATAAGCACGAAGCCATTGCTTTACCAGTATGCCCATGGAAGCTGCCGCCAGACTGAAAACCAGTGAGGCGAACCAGAGGGTATTGAGCCTCCGAGAAAACGCCGAATGTGGATCAACCTCCTGGTCAGGATCTGTCAAAATGCTTGTAACATTACTTCCAAGTTGGCCTGCTATTTTTCCGAGGAGTAAAACAGCAGTCTCTTGTGGGTCCTGTTGTAAAAGCTTATATGCTTCCACGTTGAACGCCGTTACGACGGCGGAGAAGAGACCGGCCTTTCATTTATTCTATGAGCGACTGCTAAGAAATGATAATATGAACACTTACAAAGACCAAGAGTGTGTCGATGTCTTCTTTCCATCCCTTTACCATGTGCTTATCATGTTCACGAAGCCGCTTGGAACAAGTCCTCCAGGCTTCCGATGCTGAGGTGGCGACTTCAGCCGCATAAGCTTGCGAATCAGCAGTCGCAGTTCTGTCTTTCCGCTATGTAATGATATACCATGTTATTTGGACGTCATCATTTCAATGATAATAACAAACATACCGAGCCATGTTGAATAGGGAGAAGAGATGGTGTTTTGTGACGTTGAGAGAGCTGTATATTTGAGGCCGAGCTCGGTATAAGCTAGATTCTCGGGGATAAGTCAATCATTGATAGTTGATCAGTCTTTGAAAATGCTCCGCTCACCGATGGTTGGGAAGAATTCCCTCGCACAGAGTTCACATCGTGGTCTGATCCACCAAATGATGTAACACTCGGGCTACTAACAAGTGGCTGCCAGGGTGATCTTGTCGGTCCAGGCGAATGATCTGCAAGGGGGACGGTAGTTCTACGTTGGGGTTGATTGGTTCTGATCGTGAGGGGAGGCTTGGCGAATGCGACTTCTCTAGAACGGCCGCCACCCGTATCGTTGCGAGGAGTGATGGGATAGTGAGGCACATTAAAGGAGTGATCAGGATCCTCTAGTGTTTGGGTGGTGCCACCCATGGCATCAGCAGAGAATCTACGGGGTGAGGCCCCATAGTCATACACTTGCGAAGTTGAGGGAGGACTGCTTTTCTATTGGGGGTCGTTAGTTAATACCTCGTAAATTTGTAGACGAGCGAAATGCAAATGTGACATACAGAGCGAATATTGGTCATGTGTATCGGGAGGTCTTCTGCCCTCGACATATCCCTGTCCTCAGTTCCTGATGCGATTTCAAAATAAGAGTGGGAGATTGAAACTGATGACGAGAAGTATATTTACTGCGAAGGACTGTCGAAGAGTAAAGTTGGGGTCAAAGCTGCTGGGATGACTGTTGCAACGGAGCTGACTTAGTATCAAGTATACATATCCTGCGCGAACTCCAACTGATTATCGCCCGTATACTCCCACCTGTGCACATGTCAGAGAGAAGTTTGCTCGCGCTAGTGCCAGTGCGGGGCTGTAATAATGGCTTTGGCGGGACTGTAGTCGTGGTATACCGCAGCGAGATGCCTGAAGGTGGTGCACATGATGGTATTGGATTTACTCTTCACAGAGCACAGGACGTCTGAACTTCCAAAATTAGTTAACTGTACACCCCGAGCTACAGTAAGTATCTCGATCAATCAACGTTCAACCACATATCAACAAGATGAACTTCAAGGTACAGTTGCTCCTCTGTAACGGATAGCACATATAACAATGGTGCATATGAATGTTATGGTTCATTCTGAATCTCCACTCTTCAAAGCCCTCGTTTTTCCATGTTTTGGTCCATTCGCCAGAACCAACATTGCAAGCAACGCAGCATCTGATTGAATGCTATATGTTTGGCCCAATCTCCTGAAAGTACAGTACCTAAAAATGAAAGCAAATAACTTCCTACGTTCTCATTCGGACTACGCAGCCAACCCATGTCATCACAAGGAAATGACTCAGACTGTAGACATTTGGTGCGGCTAACGCGTTCTCTCGAGTTTCCTAGGAGTATGGTCGCTATTCCCATCGGAGTGTGGTAAGGCTGATGTTGAGAAGACAATAAGATGGTTGATGACCAGTGGAGGCGTATTTAGGTGCTGCATACTGCGAGTAGGACCTTTAAGTTGGTTGACATCATGTATGTCCTGCGAAGAAACCACGTCAAGAATCAGCATTATGTGATCGACTAAGCTAACGAAGAAGGGAAAAAAGAGCGCAATTTTGCAAATGGTGGTACGCCTCGTTCGCTCAGTCCCTGAAAAACGCAGCTCCCTGATACGAGGAGAGCTGACCATCTCCTTGACGAATTCATGTAGCCACTGTTTCACCAACATGCCGACGGAAGTCGTAGTCAGGCTGAGTATCAAAGAGGCGATCCATAGAATGTTGAGTGGTCTTGAAATTACAGAATTGATAGATGTTGTGCCGGATGACGACGTAAATGCATTGAAGTCCTGTGAAGATGAGCAGAAATGTGAACCAGGACCAGCATCATTGTTTCTTGAGGGTCTCGTTGCAGAAGTCGGGAGGATTCCATGTTGAATGGTCCCGAAACTAAGAAGTTCTTCGGCGAAGTCAATTCCATCCCATGGACCTATTATCACACGCTAAGCGAAGCCTTGTAAGGAGCACCAAACAATGGAGACAATGGAATTACTCGCGGTCACATGAGTCGCGGAGTCGCGACGTGAATGGCGTTAATTGCAAGATATAAGGAAGAGGGTACTTGCGCCCCCTTCTGGGCCCCCTTCTGCATCCGCCACTTGTTAACTCTTCCCTCAGACGAGAGAACTTGCACTTACCACAGCCCTCATCCACGGTTCTGTCACCTTATTGCATTGCCTACAACACTTCTCCAAATTTACGCCACAATGTCCCTAACGTCTACTCAGTCTGCGCCGTCGCTTACCGACTTCAATGCCTGTATGGTGAGTTGTGGCCACACACTCGTAGACAACAACCACTGACATGAACCCCAATGAAGGCCAAGGACCTCAATGCTCCCACTGACTCGAACTCCGTCGGCGAGACCGCCGTGTCCGAAGACCATGTCGCCACCGAGGAACGCCACATTTCCTGCGACAAGTCCTACGATCTTCCCAAAGAATTTTCGCGCTATGCTTTCGCCCAGAAGCCCATCCGACACTCCACGACCAATGATCTCTTCCAGTGGCCACCTCCCCGCTCGTGTTCTCCCCCCTTCCGTTTTGATCCCTTCGCTGATAGCGAGGAACCACTCGCCACCCACTTCATCCCAGCTCCGGTTCCAAAGAACTTCTATGTTCCGCCTCGTCGACGCGAGTGGGTGCCGCTAAAGTCGGCCGATGGCAGGTACATCAATGGCATCGATGTATATCGCATTGCGGATGAGCCTGTCAACTACCCGAGTCCGGTCGCGCGACCGAAGACATCACACAGAGAGCCACTGTCGACACAGTGGCATGCACCACAGTGTCCTCTGGCTCACTGTGCAACACCTGCGGTGTCGCAGCCGAGTATGGCAATGGCCCCATCATTCTATGACGACGAGGATGACTTCGACTTCATCCTACACGCGCTCCGCCTCCCGTGGCTGGAGCCTGAGTGCAACCTCATCAACCTCGAGGAGTCGACCCCGCCTTCCACACCATCATCCTTTCCCCTGCTCTCACCCTCAACGCTCGCAGATGAGGACGAGGACTTACCAGTATTGGAGAAGGAGCAAGCATTGAGGGAATGGCAGGAGGCATCCCCTCTTGCCTGTGATTCTATATACCTCACTGGGTGGTGAATTGTTTTGTAGAACACTTGCACTCGAGAGCGAAGGACATTGTACTTACGTAGTCTCGGTTTTCTTTTTCCTGAATCACCTCGTCTTGTACTATATAGTTCCGTGAATGGCAAATGCCTTTGTACCGTGTTCGTCGGAAGGTCCAAAATAGGCCATGGTTGTGGATTACCCTTATGAAAACGCCCCCTCTTGTATTTTGGTCGTATTACGCGACGCGTGGAGCTAAATGACCGGCATGCAAAAGTAATGAGGCCCCTGGCGTGTTTTCTGCAGAACTTGCCTCATCTATGCCTAGTGTTCTTGGCAGCGAAAGTCCTGCTCATGAAATGATTTTGACGACGATGAGGAATCGATTGGAGATTCTTCGCCAAAAAAAACCACGTAGGCAGAAAGAAGCGCCAACGTGAGAGCTTCGAAACTCGTAACCCCGGATTTGCAGAATACCATGAGTATCCCAACTAGCTGTGAGTAAGATTACGATACGGCTCTACTAGATGGTTATGGAATATCCAGAGTAGCCCCAGAACATGTTGAATGCTACATCTACGAACACAGTTGACGTTAAATCACTCCGATACTCCACCAAAAACAAACGAAAAACGTGTCTCCCTCCAATGCCACCAAGGTGGATGCAAAAAAATATCAAAACGAGTGAACCACGCCCGTACCACACTCAGCGTAAAATGAACAACTTGAACACGCGGAACGGAGTTGTCGGTACCCTGCCATGTCTGGAGTTGTAGCCGCGAATAACTGGCCATGCACCGAAAGTCTTCGTGTTGGCGATGACTGGCTTGGCATATGCCTTCCATGCGGTCTTGAGGGGTACCAACAATGGTCTAAACATAAAAAGTTCAGCGCGTGGGCCAGACGTTATCGAAAGCGAAGATTGATCATGTTTACGAACTTCACGCATTTCCTACAAGCAGCATTTGGCGTCTTAGCAATATTGGAACACTCTGAAAGCTAGACAGCGAATCAACCAATTCAGTACCGATGTAAGGATTATCAGGCTATAGAAACACATACAGGTACTGGAGGTACATTTAATTTCTTTCCGGAATCTGAAAATGCGGTTGACTGGAACTTATTCATTGTCTCAGGTTGCTGTTCATTGTAATAGCAAATATCATTCACCGACGCCGAAAAAGGAGCATGCATGGAGAACATACAGCTTCCAGTGAACTCGGATCCTTCAAAGGATACGACATTCGCTCGTGGACTATCGATATCCTACCTCTTGAGTTGGAACATCACCTGGGAACGAAGACGCAAGGCTCGGAGGCCGCTGACGACGTTAAGGTACCGGAAGGAGAGTAAATGCATCCTCATTCTGGCCTGAATTACAGTCAGCTTGCGCGAGTAACAGAAGTAAGATATTCATCGTTACAATTTGCGCCTTCCGTAGTGACCGGTGGGTCTGGTAGGATGTCGTGATGACGGGGTAGGAGTGACTTCCTCAACAGTCGAGTGTCCACTCCAGGGACGCCTAGCAGGCCGAAAGCATCAACATGCAAGTAACTGATTAAACGCAAGCCTGGGCAAAGACCATACTAACACTCCCGGATTTGTAGATGGGGTTCTAGCTGCGAGAGATCCCTCGCTGAGTGTCTCCTAAGGCTGGAAGGTGATAAAAGAAAGCAAAGGACAACGATGATTCTCAGATATCGCTCGAATCCCACATCGGAGGTTCTGATCATAGCAGACCATATCTCGTCAAGAGTTCCTTGAAAATATGCTAGTCCTTGCCTTTAGATATCAGTAGAGTCAGGTCAGGTTCCAAGAAGAGTGAAACGAAACAGATACGCACATGATGACTTGACTTGTATCTCTTACACCTCAGGCCACAGGCCTTACAGCAAAGTGGATGTATACAACATTCAAAAATAGCATGAAAGCGCGATACATACAGTATGGATAAGCAACTACCGGGATCTCGCTTCCAACATCCGGTCATCAGCCCAACGCCAAGTCCGCACTTCGAGCTTGAATCCTTTCCGAATCCCATTCTCCTCATCACTACTCAAGATACTCACGCCATCCTCCGCGAATATAAAGTTATCCTCCGTCAGATCCTGCTGCAAGACTTGTAGGACTGTCTTCTGCGGCAATTGACGGTCTCTCGCTTTGGCTGAAGAAAGTAAAGGCGTAAAAGCGTTGACCGTCGGAGCGCTGGTCGGTTCGGTCTTCGCACCACTAGTAGGTACCTTCGCCTCCGTCTTATATGAATTTGACGTCGCCCCTACCGAATCACCTCCTTCAGCAAGGCTTGCAGTGGGATGAAGACTGGCGTCTGAGTTTCCAGTAGAAGGAACCGCGTCAGACATCGGAGCATCTGTGTTCGAGATGACATGGTTGCCGTTCACGTGAGCGCCAAGATCTGGCTTCGTTCCTTCTGTCGAAGGGGTCGTTGTGCTCTCAATAGAAGGAACTGCTTGTGAGGAGTCAGTTGGCTTTACAGGAGCTTTGGGAGGTCGAGTATCAACATCGGATCCAAGCATCGGTACGTCTGAGGTCTTGGAAGGTTCTGTTGCAGGCACACTATCGGCAGAATCATTGGGTGCCTGATCTGGCGAACTTGGCTCTCGAGTAACAAGGGAAATCGAGTATCTCGGATGAGGTTTCTGGACCTCGTCTTCTATGTTCTCCTTGTTCTGCTCGCCCACGGGAAGCTTGGTCTGGGGTTGTAAAACGAAAATCTCGCAGGAAGTCTGCAACAAAACAGAACGACCAGAAGAAGTCCTGCTACCATCCTTGGTATCGACCTCCACTTGTTTTTGACTTGATTCCGCCGACAGACGTCTTCGTTTCCGCGCCCGTGAGTCAGTCTCAGACTCATCACCACTCAGTGGGAAAAGGGCTGCTTTGAGACCCGATGGATGATATTCATAGCTACACAAATGACACCCTTAGCATCCATTGACAAAAAAAATGGCATTGAATGAAGCAACACATACCTGATGTCGGACCAACCTGGCCGCTGCCCAAACACCAAGGTCCTCGAAGCACAAAGCTCGGCATCTTCAGCATTCATCCGACGTTGAAGTAGCGAACAGGACTCGTCCCCAGAATAAGAACCAACCCTCCGTCGTTTCCGTCGAGTGACCGAACCCGAACTACACGAAAGAGCGAGCCTCCTCTCCGAATACTCAAGCAACCGCTGCGAGCGATTAGGAATGCTAAGGGAATGAGCGGCGCCGGGCTAAGTGAGGAAGAAATGCGCGGTCAACCGAAAGTTCAATGATACCGAGGAGAAAAAACTTTACCTCGACGAACTCGATATTCAAGATCTCAACACCAGCACCATCATGTCCATTCCCCCACCCAGCACTCAACAAATCCCTCCCATCCCCAAACTCATTCCCATCCTCGCCATCCTCCCAATCACTCTCCCCCCTGGCTTTCCCCTTCCTCTTCGCCGAAACACACTCGGCACCATATCCACCAACGAATCTAGCCTCCCTGGTCAACCTCGCTTCCACCTTCATGTCTTTCCCACTCTGCTTCGCCCGTTGGATCATCATCCAATTGACTTTCCCACAATGCACACTGGTACATATCAAGTCAGAATCATCAGTGTACACGCGTCTTCTACCAACCACTTCATACGGATGAGGTCCACGACGACTATGATGATATGGCATGCCAGATTGCAGATGTGAAAGTAACTGAGGCGAAGCGAAGAGTGGATTGAAAGAAGGGATTTCGGCTCCGCCCCATAACCGAGGTTGACGAGGCGGTTCAGTTGTTAAGAATCCGCAAGGTATGAGAATGGTCAGGTGGATTTCTCTCGGTTCGGGCTCCTTTGCTGAGAGCGTCAGTGCGGCGTTCGGGACGGGACCTGGCATCTCAGAGACATAAGGTGGGTCAGGAAAGTCAGTGAACGGGAACGGTAATTGTGGATAGACGAATGTGCCAAGATGTAATGGCGGTAAGCTGGGGATCATTGGATGAGGTGGAGGGGGGGGAGAGTGAGGGTGATGGAACGATTGTGGACCGGGTGGTATTTGGAAGGACGAAGGTGGTGGTGGCGAGCGTCGATGAGGGAATGGCATAGGACCTGCGTTAGCAAGTCCATGTGGGTGTGCATGGGTATGTTGGTGCAGATGTTGGTGCGCAAGTGGATGTTGGTGTGAATGAGGTTGCGGATGATGGTGATGAATGCGATGTGTATGAGGTTGAGGCGGCACTTCTCTCGGAGGATGTCCTTGAATCATAGGTCCATTTCCTGTGGGAGTTGAAGGACCCATGCCCTGTTTCTGAGCTCCAAGACTCTCTCGTCGGTCCATGCCAGGAGGAGGAACGATCCCATATGAAGGTGGTTGCATGCCCCCAGGCAACCCTCCTGCACCTTCCTTCAAAGACTTACTCGGTCGAGGCATACCAGACGAGGATGGCGGAGGGTTATGAACATGATGGACGTGATGGTGATGGACATGGTATTGACCACCACCAGGAGCAACTTGTCTCCTGGCCATTTCCATCTCCTCACGTTCACGTTCCCTGTCTCTCCGGTCGCGTTCACGTTCCAGTGAGGGAGGTTCCGCAAGCGATCTTGGTTCAGGCATCCAACCATGTTCGTCCCTTTGACTCTTCCGCGTAGGTGGTAATGGCGGCTCTCGCTGTTCTCTATCCCTAATCTCTCTAATCTCCCGCATTTCTCTCATCTCCCTCTCCTGCTCCCTCTCACGATCTTTCAAGCTCGTTCGTCTCGACCTACTCGGGCCCAAGCTAATACCATGCTTCGCAGCGAAAGCAAGCTGTCTCTCTTCTTCTCTCTGAAGATCTTCCGCGACCTTCTCTCGATACTTTGCGTCATAATTCTTGTCCAGGTTCAGCTGGTTCATGAGCATCCTCTCGTGTTCCTCCTTGTCGGGCATGCCTGACATGGCCATACCACCTAAAGCACCCAACATGAACCCGGGTCCGGGTGGTGGCGGAGGTGGAGGAGCCGGCGTCGAAGATGAGGAAGTCCTAGGTGCAGCAAACCGTGACCAGACTGGATTCGCGGAGGATGTGCTTGGAGGTGCACTTGGTGGATGGTTCATCATGAACTCTCGTTCTCTCTCGTGTTCTCGGTCCCGCTCCCTAGCTCGTTCCTCTTGATACATCCTCTCCCGTTCTCTCACATCCCTCTCCCTCTCGCGTTCACGTTCTCTCTCCCACTCTCTATCCCGCTCAGACCTAACCAAATCTCGCTCCCTTTCCCTATCGCCTCCACCCAATCCAAGTCCGGCGCCCATCCCAGGTCCAGTCAACAAGTCTCTCTCCCTATCCCTGTCTCGTTCCCGCTCCCTTCCTCTTGAGACAGGATACGGATTTCCATGCGCATGAGGAGGCGCGTTCATGGTCGAGGGTGTCGACGAACTGGTGTTGCTCCCACTCACAGAGAGATGAGGAGCGCCCAATGATGTACTGGGACCCGGGAAACCACTGTTACCCAAATGGGAGGGACCAGCGCTACGGGGTCCTGCGCGGTCGAGGAAATCATCACTTGTGCGTCGATCGCGTTCACGTTCACGGTCTCTGTCTATGGGTGGATAAGGAGGAGCAAGCGTTGGTGGGGGTAGTGAAGGGTGGTGATGTGGAGGAGGACCAATAGGAGGTCGTTGTAAACTGCCCATCGCAGGCGAAGCGGAGTTGCGTCCTGGTGGTGGTTGCGAACTTGTGCTATACGAACGAGAGGTCCGATGACCATGGGGAGGGCCAGGACCAAGGTAGGATGCAGGGTCTGGATAGATGGTCGAACCAGGATGGGGGCTGGGATTCAAAGATCGGCGGTCGCGTTCGCGGTCACGTTCCCTCTCGCGGTCTCTGTCACGTTCGCGATCAGGTATGAATCTTTCTCTGTCTCGTTCTCTTTCTACCCTCTCGCGCTCTCGATCTCGTTCGCGTTCAGATGGATACAGCGCCAATGGTCCCGGTCCCGGTCCACTCCCGGGTGGAGGAACACCCGGACCTGGGATGGATGGAGGCCCACCGGGGCGTGGTGGTGGCGGCATGTACATCGATGAAGGTGAGTTTGGGATTGAATGGGAATGTGCAAGCCCGTGAGGTGGTGGAAGTCGAGGGGGTGGAGGGGGATGTCGTGAATAGTGGGGTTCTGTCCCATACTGTGGTTGACCTGGTAGTGGAGGTGGCAAACCTATCAAGGTTGAAACGGATTAGTGCATGCTCTCAACAAAGCACCAAAGTTAATGAAAACAAAAAATAAGTAGCAAAAGGTTGCTTGTGTAGAAATGAAGCAATAGAGAGCCTAGAATAGACTTCGAGTTCGGCTGCTATTAAGGTTTGATCGTCATGAGGTCAGGTCATGACGAGGCTTCTTCGCAACGTGGAAAAGACTTGGAACGCACTAGCGTAATCGAGGAATGGTAGCACAAAGACGAATCCCTTCTACCCCCGGATGACGCTGAATAACGTTAAGAGTCGTAAAGCCAAGCGGCCAAGGAAAGTAGCAGAACAATCCGGAAAGACACAACAGAGACACAAAGAAAAGGACATACCGGGCGGGCCCATGCTATGATATCCTCCCTCGTGAGGCGGCGGCAAGCTAATCTCTGGTCTTCGATGCTTGAGGTCATAAGGCTCAGACACCAACGTACTCGGGGGCGGCAACCAATTGGTCTGCGACCGAGGAGGAAGTTCAGCAGGTTCTCGACCTTCGCGATGAGGTAAATGTTCAGGAGGAGGTGGCTGTGGAGGATAGGCTTGTGTCTGATGATGTTGCTGATGATGCGAAGGAGGTGAAATTGGCCTTGCATATCGCTGCTGAGGTGGTGAACGATACGGCGGAACTTGAGGTGGTGGTGGTTGTGCAAATCTGTCTCTTTCACGATCGACAGGGCGCTCCTGTGACGGAGGCGGATACTGCTGCTGAGGTGGAGGTGGTGGCTGCGACTGCTGCTGCCTTTCTTGTTGCTGTTGCTGCTGTTGTTGGCGCTGTTGCTCTCGCTCTCGCTCCCGTTGCTGTTGTTGTCGTCGCCTGTGGTCGTCGGAGGGCGAGTCCTGGAGGAGAGCACCGATGTCCATGGTGGCAGCAGGCAGAGAAGATGGTGGACAGGGAAGAAGGGGAAGGATGAGAAAATGAACCGATGGCGCCGAAGCCTGTTTCGCCGCGGTCGCTATCCGAAATTGTACAAGCGGTGTCTGATCACAGGGGCATAACACCAATCGAGATCGTTATCTTGCTTTCTTTACCGGACTTGCCACCTTGCTCTTGTCCTGTTGTTGTCTCCGATATGTAATTGCACGTACGACAAGAGGACGGGGTGTAAACGGCCTGCTTGAGAATCGAACACACGAGCAGCACGAGTCGTGGCAGAGGCGTTGTCTTGCGTCAAGGATGCTCGTTGAAATCGAAGTAGGCGCCTGCTTCCACGAGTCAGTCAATGCGCTAAACGTTGGGCTTCGATCATTGCATCTCAGATCTGCCCCAAGTTTGGTAAGACTGGGTCCCCGCAAATCTCCGTCGATCTGCCAGAACATATGATTCATATGTCATTTTCTAGCATCACCCGTCAACAGCAGACGACACCGAAAAAGTTCGGTCTACAGGCCAGAATGTTGATACATTAAACCATAACACATGCTGATCAGCATAAGGTGACAAGAGACATCGCACAAGTCCGATAAGTTGAACCTGCATGTCAATGAGCAGAACAATTGATACCTTCATTGCAAGGTGCGTATGTAAGAGGAAACAAAGATGCACTAGAATACAAATATATCTCGAGCAGAGCACGTCAAAGTCTAATCAGTAGCAAAACACCTCTCTTCTAACCCCCCCTTTCAGTCAGTCACTCGGAATGTGCGAGTTGATCTCTTCCAGCAATTCTTCAGCAATCTTCGCATTCGAGACCTAGGCGCGTCGAGGAAGGTCAAGATACGACTAGGTGAGATGCATGCACGTAAAACCTACCCGAAGATTGTAATGCGTAGTAGCACCATTTTCAAACACGCTGAACCGCAAGTATCGCGGGTCCTGCGCCAGGAAACATTTCATCCCCTTGAACAGCGTAGCGTTCAGTAGCACAGTATACACTGCTTCTTTTCGCATGACTAGAGAAATTCACGAAGGATCTTGTCAAGAAAAGAGCTAGACAAAAGACCGCGATGTACACACCTAGTCGAGCCCCCGTCCCGTCCTCGCGTTTAATGTTCAACTTGATCGTGCCCGTACCCTTCTCCTTCCATTGGTTCTGTGGGCTCAAGGCGAAGAGCTTTCCACGAACTTGGTAGATCGTGTCTTCCTCTTCCTCGCCAGTATACACTGCAAAAAGCAAATGGTCAACAAAGCTATTCGCAAACACAAAAAGCCACGAAATTCACCTTCCTGTTCGGTCAACTCTACCTTCGGCACCGCCTCGAACCCATTCATCCCTCCACCTTCCTCATCCTCCTCCGTATCCTTCCCAGCTCTCAACCTCTCCCCAAAACTCACCGCATTACCTGCACCAGCACCAAGCACACTCCTACTCCTGCTTTCATCCTCCTCTCCACTCCCACTCGCGCTGCCGTCTCCACCCAAGACAGAAGTCGAACTAGCAGCACTCGCAGATCCAAAGACACTGCCGAAAGCACCCTTCCCAGCATAAGCAGAGAACGCGGTCGAGGTAGTCGTGGTACGGGCAGGAGAATGTGATCGCATGGGGCTCTTGCTCCTCAACCCTCCAAGGCCAAGATGACCATGAGTAGTAGATGAGAAAGCCGACACAGTAGAAGAGACTGCGACGCTTCCGAATGGCGGTGGTGACTTTGGACGTTTTGCGGCAGTAGCAAACGGCGAGGTGCTACTAGCAAAAGCCTCAAACCCAGACCGCTTTTGACCGGGACTCGATGGCGTGGGTGCTGTCAGTGGAGGCGTACTGAACCGTGAGGCGGCGGTGGAGCTGGATACAGAGTCAGAAGGGAAGCGATTGGCATTGAATGGGGAAGGAGATGAAGCAGCGTGCGAACTCCAAGGAGACTTGGTGCTCGAGCTTGGGACGTTGCTACTGGAACTCGAGAAAATGTTTCGCCCCTTGACGGCGGCGAAAGGTGAGCTTGTAGATGCGTATGCAGCGAAGCCACTCTGCATGAAAAAGATATCAGATTCGTCCCATACCTGAAGGTCGGATCAAACAATCCGACGGTACGTACAAGTTTTGGCGCAGGAGGTTCCTTTACTTGCGTATTCGTCTCCTTTTTCCCCCTTTTCTCCTTCTTCTCTTCCAGCTCTTCGTCTTTCTCGAGCGGCGGTGTAGGAGTCCGACGTTTAGCCTTCCTATCGACTTCTTCCTGTTCGGGCACGTGTCGGTCGCTTACGGTCCTGTCACCCAACTTGCGTTTCATACCAGCCATATGAACCTCCCCTGGTGTTTCTTCTGCCAAAGGTGGGGAACGTTTACGAGCTGTCACAGGTGGCGGACTGGGCTTTCTAGAAGTAGGTTCCACGCTTGAGGCGCTGGAAGTAGAACGAGGCGGAGAGGGTAACGTGGGGGGAGTGATCTGAGACTGAGGCTGGTTCTCGACATCTTTGGCATCCTTAGACTCAGCACTGGCAGCAGGCTCGTCATTGGAAGGTGGAGGTGTAGCAGATCTACGTTCGGGTTGGCCTTCTGAAGGGATCTCGGCTGGGTCCGCCTCTCCAGAATGCTCATCTTCGCCAGCAGAAATGTCCTCAACTTCAGGTGGGTTGGGACCAAGTGGTACGGATATCGTGAAACCCTGTTCAACAAGTGCCTCCTCGACCGACTTGTCATCCTCCAGCTCGCGTTCAGAGATAGCAGGCGTGGGCTCATGGTCCATCTGCTCATGTCCTCCATCTTCGGATCCAGGTGGCGTCTGCTGTTGGGCCTCAGAGAGAACAACATCACCACCGTCTGTAGAGGAAGGATGTCCTTGGACACCTTTCCAAGATATATCCTCCACGCCGCGACTAATCATCTTGACCTTTGTCTCGATAGGCGGCGAGCTACTCACAGCAGCCGCATCGGCTGGATCAGAAATCGTAGTATCGCCCTGACTCTGGCTTTGTCTTCGTTGTTGGGCCGGGCGTGAATGACCCTTCTCCGAGGAACGCCTCCTCTTGGGCGGAGTTCGAACGCCACGGGGTAGTGAACTTGAGGGTGTGTGAGTAGCAGATCCGCCGGAGTCAGGGTCGGCGAACGCGATGTCGTCTTCTTCTTGGGTAACGCCGAGCGCGGTACTAGTGTTGGTTCGGTATTTCTTTACGGGCTTCAGACGATCCCGGTCTTTGTCTCGCGATTCTGTGGCTGGGTCGGCATCCTATTGTCCAGAAACGACATTGTCAGTATATAATACTCAATTTCGAACATGAGATGTGAGGATATACTCCAAAATCCTTAAAGTTATAGCAGACAAGAAAGGGTAGAAGAAAAGCGTTCATAACCCGAAAGGAGGCACACAATGGACTTACGCTAGATGTGGCCTGAGGCGTACCCGCTTCTAAGGATACCTCTCGTTCTCGTTTCCTTGATGTTTTGAGCTCTATATAACATTTCCGGTCAACATCTGCACGATACGCAAAGCTCGACTACCAAAGCGAGTCCGCTCAAACCCGCAAGCCTGACGAGTTCACTTACCACTGCTCTCTCCGCCAGCCGACTCTGTAGGAGTCATCGGACGAGACCTTGTGTTCACCTCTACACTTCCCTGACTTCCAGTGGATGGAGGGGTGCCACTCCTAGGTGATTGGCCACCCTCCTCTTCATTGTGTCTCTGCTCGGGTTCCATGATAGTAGTTCCAAGACTTCAATGTAAGTCGCTTTGGTAGCGACGACGATGCTCAAATTTCGGATGTGACAATTAGGTTAGTGGTTGTGAAGGTCCTGGTGAGAAACGAGGTGAGAGCGTGTTGAAAGTTTGTTCCTCGAATGCTCCGAGTGTTTGTGGCCGTATAACAAGAGTGGGAACAGCTCTTTATCCGGATAAGCGAGTGGCAGAGCCAACTTCGCTTACTATGGCCCTTTGTACTGAATCTAATCAATGTTGTATGGTCTTATACTCCGGTAATCAACTTGCTTTTCGGGGTTTAAATATATTTGTGATGGTTATTAGAGTCTCATTGTAGTCACCTCGTCCAACAACCCAAAACGTCATTCCTATTGTTTAGACAAAGGCGCTACCAATGTTTGGATACGCTGCATAGAAAACATGTTAGCTGCAAAGAGTCAGGTAGTGCGACGAAAGTTAGTGAATTTGTTATGGTACAGTATGATAGTATAACCTCCGCAACGCCAATGAGTACCTACTTAATCCACTATTAGCTATCAACTCCTCAGCCGGGCTACCTTCCTGTCTGCAATGAGCAAAGGCTCACATTGCGCGCCATCCAAAGGTAACAACCCACCGAATGTACTTGTCTGGTCAGGATCAAAGGGCGGGGCCGGTGAAAACTCAAACCCTTTCTGTATCGACATAAGCAATGCTGAAATTGGAGTTTCAGGAATAGCTTGTGGTTTTGGGAACTTCGCTTGAGGTGTCGAAGGGCTCGTTTGGAATATCTGAGGAAGTTCTTGCGGGTCGTCCATCATTTCCCTGATGGTGTCCTCGTCATCCACCTCCTCTTCGTCTGTATTTTCCTTAGACTTCGGTGTCACCACATCACCTGCTTCTACCTGTTGCACTGGTTCTGCTTCGGAATCCTCTTCCGAACTGACAACGAGATCTACTTCAATTTCCTTCAGTGCAGCCTCGACGATAGAGGGAGGAGGTGACGGGGTGAGTTTCGGGGATGGAGGCAAAGGCACCATCTTCGCGGCTTCCACCACCGTCTCTGGTATAGTGTGGACCTCCGGATCGTCTTTCGGCGGCACAGGTGCCTTCGCTCGTGTTGAGCGCGCCATTTCTGTCTTACTCTTTCCAACGGGTATTCCATTGACTGGTGCAGCACCTTTCGCTGCCACGGATCGTCCCGGTATAGGCTTTGCCGTCTCAACCTTCCTATTCGTGACAACTTTTGTCGTAGCCCTCGCCCGAGCAAGTTGAGACTGTGTGGGCTCGGTCAGTCGACCTGAGCTCGTAGTTCTCTTTCGTACAGTTATGGCTGTCGAGCCTGAAGTGACAGTCTTAGACGACGCTACACCAGATCTTGACGCCGATGCACCCGGCGCAGCCGTACTGCTTGATGAGGGCATTGTCCTTGGTCTTACAATATCCGGTTTCCGCACGACTGGTTTCGTGACGACTTTCGCAGTCGCACTGCTTCCACTTGTTGGCTTCTTTGTCTGTTCAGAAGCTGGTGCAGTAATGGAACGACTCGGTCCCGGTCTACTAGGTGGTTTGCTTGTACTCGCTTCCGTCGGGTCTTTGACCGCGAGAGCAGGATCCGGTAAAAGTACCCGTCGTGCACCTCCGATAACCCTGGGTTTGGGTGGAGCTGCAGAAGGATCTTGTGAGTCACTATGAGGAACTCGGCTAGGCCCCATCATTGGTCTGATAGGACCCGGTGTCTTTGCTGAGGATGTGGGAACATCAGCAAAATAGTCGGAGGCAGTTGAAGAAGTGGGTGAAGCATGTGGTCGTAAAGGCAATGACTGTGGTGGAGGCATATCTCGGCCCTCGGCCCTTGACGGTCCTCTCTGCATTGGAGGATGGCGCGGACGCGAGGGTCCTACGAGTGGCCGAACGGAAGAGTTGGACGAGCTTGCAGTCATCCTGGTCACGGCATGGCCGCTTTCGGAATGGGTTAGTGATGCGCCTGAAGCGGTTCGACCATGACCTTGGCCATCGCCGTTCCGCGAAGAGGAGCTTTTGGAAAGGTGTGTAGAGGATGAGGACGATGGGACAGTAGACCTAGGACGGGTGATGGCATGAAGCGAGTTAACGGAGTGCGTGGATTGAGAGGACGCGGGACGCGAAGGAGGATTTGAGGAGGCAGAGGGTGCTCTGGATCTGATGTCTAGATACTTCCTGATAGTAGGCGTGAGAGGTGATGTAAATCTACAGTGTGATTAAGTCAGCGCCAAGGAGGATCGTTAGCCAAGTTGCAACACCCACCCATCCACTCGGTTTGGCAAGAGGATTTTGTACGCGTCGAAGATCTTGCGACTAACTTTCCGCACATCTGCACTGGCATCGGTAGCGGTACATTTGATGAGGGCCTCCACTTCGCGTGCACGGGTTTCTTTCTCCAGGTCAGGAGGGTTGAAGCCATTTAGACATGCAAGTGCACATTCTGCCGCTGCAAGGCGGAGGGTCGCTGACTTATCTTTCGCAGATTCTGCAAGATATGAAAGGATGGTAGGGGCCTGAGTTGATTCAATAATACCAAGTATGCATGCCTTCGCCCGTGACATGACGACCTTATTAGGTCGAGTGCATAACGTGAGGAGTGTGGGCAAGAAGAGCGGAATGAGGCCAGTGAAATCCTTTCCAAGTATCTCGGCCGATGACTTGAACAATTCTAATGCAGTACCTGAGAGACGGGTGCGTTCAGAGAGTGCAGCACCACTCAACGGCCTGGATAGTGAACGCAGCGTCTGCACTAGTTCAGTAGGATAGTCGGCGCCTTCATCCTGCATCAGCGTAGTCAGTTTGGATATTGCTTTTGCGATAGCATCCCATGTTTCTTCGCTTTCAGGGAGAGAAATTTTGTCGCGAAGAGGCTGTAGTTTATATTCTAGTTGTGTAGACATGGAGGATGAATGAGAGGCGGTCGTGGCCGTTCGTGGGTATCCAGCGTAGCCTCGAGGCACGGCTCGAAACTGAAGTTGAATTAGGTGGTCCTATCATGTGACCGTGTTTCTTAGGTAAGCCGCTGACCCTAACCTTGGTGCACGATGCGTTTCAAGCGAACTTCAATATTGTTGTGCGCTGCGGTCAGGGCAGTGAGCTCACTGCGAACAGCTGCGAACACTCAGGCTGCAAAACTAATATGATGTAGGCCATCTTTCGATCAGGAATGTACGTGTATAGCCAGACTGTTCACACCGGTTGCGCAGTATAGTGTAGTTTAGTGCCGCAGCTCTTATGCCGAGGCGCTGCGCAAACAAACGCTTGATATATATCACTGGTCTCGCAGTGAGATCCTCATACATCTCCTTTAACTTCCTCTCCCCGCCAGAAACACCTATTCAGCCAGCATCGATGATGATTCTCGAGAAGGGGGTTCTTCCACCCACGCCGTCGGTGGTATGTCCAGGATGGCTTGCTCTGTGATTATTCTAACGACCATCTTCAGGTGGATACCAAGGAGTCCGAGAAGCCACCTCCCTATACCAGTCCAGAGCCGTCCTCCTCCTCCACTCAAACCCCACAACTTCCACCAGCAGTCCGTGCCAACAACTCTCTGTTCCAATCGCTTGTGCAGCAGCAGGTCAATCATCTGTATCTACACTCCAGGCACAACCCTATATCAGGTTTGTTATATGGTCACCTGACAAGATTTGTCCTGACAACACTCCTCAGGGTCTTATATTTTGAACTCAGAATTACCTCCTCTGGCTATCGGATGTGACCGACCCAAGCAATGTGGCCGCGTTCCCCTTGATGGTCAGAACAAGCGATTGTTCAAACAACCACATACACCAAACGCTTCATTCCAAACGCGACATGGTGCAATATCCCTGAACCTCGCCACGGCAGGCAGTACCGAAGATATTACAAGGACATACGTTCAGACGAACAGCAGGCATGGCAAGATTAACGTCAATCTAGTATGTGTCAAGCAACCCTGCACTCAAACGCCGGGCTCACTTTTTTGCTTCAGTTCGCACTCCAACTACACAAGCATATCTGCCTTGAGGTAGCCACAAGGCATGGTAAGTTTACATCTTGACGGGTCGTCTGAGGTTTTGCTGACATTCTGCCATTCCTAGGACACATTGTCGTTTTCTTGCCACAATGTTTTCAAGGAGCCATTCAAATCCGCTCTCGTCGGGGTAACGTCAACTTTCTTCCAGGCTTTGCACAATCTGCGCGCGTCGTTAGCGGCAATGATCGTTTTGCCCTCGTGCTCTTCGGAATCAACAATCTTACGCTATCTGACCTTGATAGCGATGCACTCGATGTCTGCCTGCTCAGCACCCGACACGGGAAGATAACCATCGGCATTAGTGGGGTTGACACATACGATGATTCGCAGTCTACAAATCTTCTGGTGAAAAAGCTCGGTTCCTTGTCTACGATGATTTTAGGTACGGACGTTACTCGGTAAACTTCATAAGTGTCATGCTTGTTACATTTATATGAGCTCTTCCATTTCAACTTTCATTTCATTTCTTATACTAGGTCATGCGGTTTTTGCTTCCGGACGCTTATCATAATCGCTGTTGTAGTTATATCCAGTCCTGGCCGGTTATTCATGTACCATTACACGCGTAACCAAAACGCCGTTATGGACGTTGTGGATATGCATGATCTAGAAACGGGTCGCTTGACTGATCGCGGATCGCAAGTCTCAGCCAACCTGAGTGGGTCTCACCATGACCCAGTCAAGAAAATGACGCTCTGCGATGAGGTCGGAGGATTTGTCTTCCTTCCCCGTGCCCGCTTGTAGCTTGGTATGTAACTTTATCCCCTGTGGTTCGGATGGCATTTGATGTAGAGCTCGACGTGACATAGTTGGAGCGATAAATCTACCCACGACCTGACAAAGATGCCAACATGCCGTCCTTGGGTATGAGACCTCTTCGATAAATACCCATCGTTGCTCGAGTGCTTTGTTTTGCATTTTCGTGTCAATATGGGGAAGGGGGAGCTCGACCCCGCGATGGGCTGTTTCAGACGACTGCTAGGTGTTGGGTTCGGTCGTCGCCACAGTCGAACCCAATCTTTATCCAGAACACCTCCGATGTCGGACCACTCAACAGTCGCTTCGTCGCTCACAACACTGGAGAAGAACGAGCAAGCGCCGGTGAGTGCTTTATTGCCTCCGATTTCCCTTTCTGTTTGCTGAACAGTGGGGGGTGTTGGATATCATTGCGGGTTTACAGCCGTACTATGCCACTCATGCATGTACTTTCTGTGGTCGGAACCGTTCTTCTTCTGAGGATACGCTTCCTATTCAAAGCAAGCGCCAGCGAGTGACCGTTCCACCGTACTCGACCCGTGCATCTTCTGTGAATGCGGAGAATTTCCATGACTTTCTCGGGCAGGATATTCTGAAGACTATTGAGGCGAGAATCGATTCTCTGAGCCCTGAACTTCGCGAACTCAGTCTGGACATATGGGGTAAGTCACATTATTATCTGTCAACATTATTCTCTACTAGTCATGGACTGATCTTGATTCATGGCAGAACATCCCGAGGTCGCCTATGAAGAAAGGTGACTACTAGATGCGTTTCTTATTAATATTCCATAAGCTCATTCTTTGTGCAGACACGCTCACGATGTTCTGACCAAATTCATGTCCAGCCAAGGTTTCACTGTTACACCTCACTACCTTGGGCTAGAGACCGCCTGGAAAGCTATCTATTCTCGCGGTGGGAAGAATGGTCGAGTCATTGGTATCAATTCCGAAATGGACGCCCTTCCGGGAATTGGTCATGCGTGTGGTCATAATCTCATCGCCGTTTCCGGTGTCGCAGTCGCAGTTGCTCTCAAGGCTGCGATGGAGACACATGATATCTCCGGAACTATCATTTTGCTTGGTACTCCAGGTAAGAATACCAATGTATCGTGAAGATGTGGTACTTGACACAGGCTACCCATTTGTAGCTGAAGAACATGGTGGCGGAAAGATCAAACTTCTCGAGCGTGGTGCGTACAAAGAGATGAACGTGTGCATCATGTGTGTACACAAGTTTTTCTTCACAACATGTCTCACATTTGCTTAGTATCGCTACGTTAGGTCCCACCCCAGCCCCGGACCTGCCAATACCGCCCTCGTTGCTCCTTGGCTCGCCTTACAACCTCTTGAAGTTGAATTCTTTGGTCACGGGTCAGTCAACATGAGATGCCTAGTATCAGCGGTCTGACGATCTCTTGCATACATTGTATAGTGCTCATGCAGCCTATTCCCCTTGGGAAGCCCAGAATGCACTTGATGCGGCTTTCTTAGCGTACTCCAACGTGTCTGTACTTCGACAACAACTGAAGCCGACCTATCGAGTCCATGGTATTGTTTCTGGCAAGGATTGGGAACCGAATAGTACGATATTCATTATGGCGTTCATTGCGGTCAAGCGTTAATGTCTCGCAGTCATCCCGGACTATGCCAAGATGAGATGGATCATTCGCGCACCTACCTGGGCAGAACTCGAGGGTCTTCGTGCTCGTATCACAAACTGCTTTGAGTAAGACAACCAGCCAGTCTGCTTCAGAAGAGTTGAGCTTACAATTATCAGAGCCGCCGCACTCGCTACTTCGTGCAAATGCAAGATCATTCTGGGAGATGGTTACTACGATGTTCGTGAGAACGACGTACTCGGTACGTGCATTCTAGCACGTGTTATCGCAAGGTTATTGAACGAACGATAGGTGAAGAGTTTTGTAAATTCATCGAAGAACAGTTCGGAATGAACGCCGACTCATCCAGCCAGACCATACCGGCTTCAACTGATTTCGTAAGTGGTGTCCGTAGTCCCTTGGATATGCTGTTGATATCGCAGTCCTAGGGAAATGTTACTTATGGTACGCGTCAATCTGCATTCGTCAGGTTCTCTGCTCATACATGTATCAACACAGCTTTGCCGTGCATTACTCCTACTTACAACATTCCCACCAAACCAAACGGGAGTAATCATACCCCTCAATTCGCAGAGTCGGCCAAAGATCCGGCCGCCCACAAGGTAGCAATGACCGCTTCGAAAGGATTGGCTGCTACTGCTCTCCGAGTGCTACAAGATGAAGAGTTCTATCAGCGGGTGAGCATGCAACTTACAGCTCCCACGCTATTCTAGGAGGCTCATTCACAATCGTAGGTCGTGAAATCGTTCGAAGGCGAACGAGCTTGATTACACTTCACGCACTGCTGGAATGCCATGAAGTCGCCACTGACTTTGGCTGTTAATGTCACATGCACACTTTCAACCGTCACCTGCTTGATGCACGTGTACTGCATTCTTGTTTCCATGTCGTCCGGCGCCGTCCTGAGGCTTCTGGTCTTCATTGCTGGACTTTGGGACCAGAGAATGAGGGCGGTTCTTGACCATGGATTGTATAATATGTGAGGCAACTTGTGCTCGACTAGAGTTCAAATGCTAGTTTCCGGTGACCCGATCGAAGTAACCTGGAAGTTTGAAGTACCGCACCAGTTCTCGACTCGGACAACTTATGACCGCACTACAGCCGAAGTCAGGGCGCAGTTCGGAATGTTGGAGCTCCGATAAGATTATGGCATTTATGAAGCTATTACCAAATCGAGAAGTGTCTGTCCTAATGCGGAAATGTTTTAGCCGTTCTTGCATGTGAAATGGCGAGAAAACCAGGCAAAAGTCAGTAGAGTAGGTTTCTTGCAACGCGACTGGACCTCTCGGAACACAGTGAATACTTGATAAATATCCTGGGTTAATGACATTCCCCTCAACTGCCGAGACTTGTATTGACGCCCATTGAAGGACGAATTCACATGGCGTGATGATATACGGTTACTTCCCCAGGTTCCATCCCGGTATATGTTTTACTCAAACCCCACATTCCTGTCGTTCCTGGACTCCCCATGAACAGCCTGCTCAGGCGTAGCCGTGCGTTCATTTCTCCTCGACGAACGATGGCCTCTTCAGCATCGCGTCAAGCGAACTGGAAAGCGGCCGCACCAGCACCTCTTCCTGGTCCTACCTTTGCAGCCCAGTCATCGCTCCCAAAACTTCCTGTACCGGATCTACCCGATACACTTGCGAAGCTGAAAGAGTCCTTGAAGCCTCTTGCTTGGAGCGATGCTGAGCTCGCTGAGGTTAACAAGAAGATCGACGAGTTTGGTTCTGGAGCTGGTGAGGAACTGCAGAAGAGGTTGACCAAACGTCGCGATGAGACGGCGCACTGGCTAGAGGAGTGGTGGGATGATCTAGGATACCTAACCTACCGAGACTCTGTATGTGCAAATGTGTTTACTACCCATGCTTTGAACACTGACTGGTGCCTTAGGTCATTGTGAATGTGTCGTACTATTGTGAGTACATCAACGTTCTAACGTCGAGTGTCACCTCCGCTGATGCCTCTGATAGATGGTTTCGATGACTACCCCGCACACCTGCCTCAGGGCTCTATCGCCAGAGCAGCAGCCCTTACGCGTGGAGCCATGCAATTCCGCCAATTGTTCAAGCTCGGACAAGTCAAGCCTGAGTCTACCAAAGAGGGACCTATATGCATGGATACTTGGAGGTATAATTCTCTCTTCCTTTATATATCGTCGCATTTTCATGCATACCATGAATAGGTGGATGTTCGACTGCTGCCGAATTCCAGGCCAACAAGGCGCTGACTGGAGTGTCTCGTATGCTAAAGATGGCGATCGGGGCGACTCGGGCCATATCATCGTACTCCGCAAGGGACGCGTTTGGAAATTGGATCCTTGGCAGAATGGTCGTTTGCTTAGCCTGGCGGAACTTCAACGGTACGTTGAACTTCATAGGTCACAACATGTGGGCTCATATAGGTCAGGCAACTGCAGCACATCTCGGATAACACTGCTTCGGAATACCCTGGTGTTGGCGTTTTGACTGCTTCCAATCGTGACGTCTGGGCAAAGGTACATTTTATCTGCGCGCCTCTCCTTGTATCATGTGTCACTAACAATGTTCTCTATAGGACTACGCCAACCTCATCTCGGATCCACAGAACGCGTCAATCGTCGAACAGATTCAATCCGCAGCATTCGTCCTGTCTCTCGACATCGAGCAGCCAACAGATCTCGTCTCATACAGTCGCGCGCTCTGGCATGGCTCCGTTACCCCTCATGCCGGTGTTAACAATAAACCACTCCTCGGGCTCCGAAACCGCTGGGTCGATAAACCCGTCTCATTTGTCGTATTCGAGAACGGTAAAGCGGGCATATTGGGCGAACATTCGGTAATGGACGGTACACCTACAGTTGCCTTGTGCGATACCGTGCTTGATATGATCGCGGACCCGACTTGGGACCAAGGCGAACCTACGAAAGATGCGTCTTTGCCTGTGGCTTTGGATTGGAAAGTCTCCCCCACCGTGGAGTCTGCCATCGAGTCTGCGGAGAAAGCGGCTTTGGAGCTGGTCGAGAGCCAAGCGATGAATATCTTGCGAACTCCATACGGGAAGGCCGCTATAAAATCCTTCAAAGTCTCGCCAGATTCGTGGGCCCAGATGGTCGTTCAACTCGCTTATGCGCGTCTTCTCAACTCTAAGGGATGGAAACGACAGGGAGGAACTTATGAAGCTGCTACGACCAGGAAGTTCTTCAAGGGAAGGACAGAGGCTATTAGAGTCGTTTCGAGTGAGAGTGATGCTTGGGTGAGGAGTATGGATGACGAGACTGTTTCGGTTGAAGAGAGGATGAGGCTTTTTGGAGAGGCGACGAAGAAGCATATTGGATGGGCGAGAATGGCTGGAAATGGCTTGGGCGTTGATAGACATATGCTTGGTACGCCTTCATTTCCCTTCCTTCCTTCTCTTAAGTGGTTGTTCATTCACCTATTCATATGAATATAGGTCTGAGGCAATCATTGAAGAAAGATGAAACCCTCCCAGCATTGTACTCCGACCCACTCTTCAAACGATCAAGCAACTGGGTGCTGAGCACTTCAGCTATCTTCTCTAAACATTTCGAGGCTTATGGTTGGGGCGAAGTTGTCCCTGAAGGGTTTGGTGTAGCATATATGACCGGTTTCGATGGTTTGTCTCCTACTCTCAATTCTCTCGACACTTGATGACTGATTGATCCTCTACTTACAGGCTATCTGCAATATACCATCACCTCCAGAACGGAGATGCCTAATGCCGAGTTCTGTAAGGAGATCGAGAAGGCCGCTGAGGATTTGTATGCTTTACACGCACAAGCTGGACAAGCTAAGTCTATGCTGTAGTCACTTGGGTTAATAGGGCATTCAAATGGCCGGTCTGTGAAAGAGTACTTACTTGTAGAAATAGAAGGGTCATGTACAAATACCCTGTGTTCAATCAACATATCCACAACAGACTGTGTATATCATAATCTGGTATTTTGTCCATGCAGCGCAAGTCGACCCTCCATCAGGTTCCTAGCTGACGTATTCGTCTTCAGATACTTTCAAATTCGTTTACAAAGCTACATGTCTTATAGCTTAGCAAACTGTCCAAATAGGTCGACTCAGCTAAGTGGTGAGATGTTTCGGATCGAAGCAGGATTGCGGAATAGGTGTTTTCGATGAGCTGGACGCACTCAACGAAATCGACACGAGCCCCGGTTTTCTCTCATTTGTACTGACGTGTCTCAATCATTGCAACAAGTGTGGCGTCGCGCTGCGCTGCGCTAACCTACTGGAGTAGTTTCCACCAAGGTCGATAACTGGAGCACTGGGAAGGGCTATTCTGATCCTGAGGCCTAATATGCCTCTGCAACACAGTTCAAAACGTAGTTCAGGAGCTGAATCATATTATTGCACGATTGCCAGAAGTTGAGGGTGGTTCATCTGCGTATCAGACTAAGCCCAAACGATTCCTATTTACCCTGCATGCTATGAATTCTATGGTTCAGATGAGATTAGAGACAATTCCGGTGAGGCATGTGATTTACAAGAAGGTTACATTAGAAATGGACACTATGTATGAGGTGGATCTCATCTCTGAACCAGGGTATGAGGTCTACTCTGAAATTTCATGCAGCATTGAGGACCTTACGTGATGAAACCAACCTGGTTCGTGCTGAGATAAAACACAAGAGATGATGTCATTCAGTTCTGCTGCATTGTGATGGTGTTCGGAAAAAAAAAACTGGATCGACGCCATCCAAATGGTGAAAGCAACAGAGATCAAAAGAGGTACGTCAAGGACATATGCACGATCACAGGAGTGGAGAGAGTATACGCTGAATGTGACGTATTTGTCGCAGTAGTTAGGAACGGTCAGCACATGGTCGTGCCGTTGGATCGCTGGTGACAACCGCATAAAAGCGGTGCTGGAACTCTGCAGCAACGCCGGTCAGGTGAATAGGTTGCGAACGACCGAACGAATCAGGACGCACATAATATGATGTGGTGGTGCGAGCTTGAGAATATCAGCGAGTTTTGGGCGTGTAATCGGTCGAGGCTTTGGAACACCAAAAGTAAGTAATGCGTCACCGTCGTGATGTATCGACATCCGCAAGATTTCTACCGCCGGTTGGTTGGTTATTGTGGAGACGTCATGAGAATATTTACAACGACGAGTGTACAGCACTTGGAGTTGAGAACCGTACCATCCAGATACCGTCCGGAAATAACATAGGATCCTCAGGCAGATTCATGTTCAGTCAAGTTTGAAATAGGACTGGTTACGTGAGCGAGTCAATAATGCGATCTAAAGACGCCTAAGCCCATGCGCAAAGCTGTATAGCGACGAACATAAAAACACCAGCTTTTGCACACTGGGTCCCACTTCAGCACAGGGCCTCGTGTATGATTTCTAGATGTTGGGGCATCCGGTGAAGTCACCCCGAACATGGAGTACGGCATGCAATGGCTTGGGGTCGCGATAGGAGGACGCAAGGATTCGAGTGTGTTTGGAGTTATCGCAGTAACCTCGGATGATCGACGAACAACCAGGAAAGGCACTAAGAGAGTTGAAAGCTGAGTCGTGGCAAAGAGAGAATGTCATGAAGAGATCATAGCCAGCATGGTAGCAGCATGCAGGCCTCGACGAGCACAAAGAGCCTATGGCTGAGGATGGTGGCGGACCGAGAGCAAGACGAGCATGTGCGCTTGTTGGAGGATGGCCCGAGTGAAGCCGAAGCCCACAGCAGCTCTTCCTTCTTGCTCATTACTCGCTAAGTCTCGCTTAGCCCGCTCTCCATTCACGACGATGGACAGGCCGCTAGGGCCTCGTTCACAGCCAGACAAGACGCGGACGGCTGCATACGAGTCGATATTTGGTCGACCTAGCGTCTCTCACCACCATCAGCAGCCTCCCCCAGCCCCCTCTAGCCACTACCAGCATCACCCGTTTCCACAAGGGAATGGTCAAGCATATACTCAGCCATATGCAAATGCTCAGCTCGATCGGAGGACGTCGCATACGTCCGTGCGAGCCCCGTCGATAAACTACACTCAGCAGGCCACCTACCGACAGCCAGCTTATCCTGGATACGCTCAGTCACAGTACGGGAGCCTTGCTCCTCCACAGGTTACCGGCAGAGCGCGGTCTATAGGTCCAACGGTTGGAACGATACGCCCGGCGCCAGAGGAACCGCCAGACCCTGGTCTTGAAGCTTTGCAGCGTACAGGGTTGACACCTGCACAAGCGTATCAGGCACAGATATACATGAATAACCCGATGCACCAGCAGGCGTCATCTTCGCAGTATGTTCCAACTCTAAATTCTACTCCAGAGCGACGTTCTCTTCCCGTCCAGTCGAGTGATCCCACTCTACCCCGTCTCGGTGTCAACATCGACACCGATGGAAAGCTTGATATTGACTTTGATGGCCACCTCCCTGAGGATGGCTATTATCATGATTCCTCTTTGATTCAACCGCATCCACAAGAATCCCAGGCTAGCAGCATCCGGTCACGTCTATCTGGCGCGTCCAACTTCTCGCCGATCATGGAACATCAGGCTACAAGCACCGCTCATCCTCCCCCTTCCTCTCGCTCATACCCCTTGCAGCTCGATACGGTAGCAGCATCTGCGCAGGCCGCCAGTGCGCTTAGCATCTCACCTGTGTCTTCCACTATGGTCGAGACAAATTCCGGAGCCTCTTCATCATCTATCGTACCCGGCCGTCGATCGTCAGAATCCTCGAAAACGCTTCCTGGCCCTCAGACACTTAGACGAGATCGTGGAGCGCAGGATCGCTCTCGGTCAATGTCTGCTACTATCACGCCTCAATTTAGAGCTATGTTGGAGGGTGGCCGAAGTCCCAGACCTCCTGTGCCATCCGTTCCACCAGGACGCGACTCATTACGACCCCAACGAAGAGGCCCCCTTGTCTACCCCGCACTTCTCTCACGCGTTGCTCAAGCATTCAAAGAACGAATACAGCTGTCAGATAGGGTGAAGGATGGCCTTACATACCACGATGCGTTTGACGGACGAGAAGCGGTCGATACAATAGCATATATAATCAAGACCACGGATCGAAACCTCGCGTTGCTTTACGGACGTGCGCTGGACGCCCAAAAATTCTTCCACGCGGTCACGTACGACCATCGTTTACGTGACAGCGCGAATGACTTGTACCAATTCCGAACGAAACTTCCTAGTCCTTTCGTGAGTGGCGAACTGGCCACTCCTGATGAAGACTCTACCAATAAGGAGAGTCCTACGCCTTCAGCAGAGTCTGAGTCTGAGAAGAAGGATGGCTCTAGGTCGACGTCTCCTTCACCTCCTGAGTCAGTCAAGACGCCAGGACATCAACGGCAGGAATCTCTTTCAGACGATGTGCCTCTACCTTCCGGTGTCTTCACTCTGCTCACGGATTGCTATTCGCCAACATGTTCAAGAGACCAACTATGTTACTCGATCGCGTGTCCCCGGCGATTAGAGCAGCAGGCTCGTCTAAACATGAAGCCTCAGCCGGGGTTGAAGAGACAGATCAGCCGAGAAAGTTTGGGTGACATCGTTGTATGGATATATGCGTGATCTGTCATGAGTTGACGCTGACATATCCATTTTTAAGGAAACCGGCACTCTCTGGATCCATTCCGTGCCGCAAGAGGTTGTCAACAGTGTCTCGGATGCGGAGAAGAAACGACAAGAGGCAATCAATGAAGTCATTTACACCGAACGAGACTTTGTACGCGATATGGAATATTTGCGTGATGTGAGCCCTCGCTTTCTCTCCTCTGTGTGTGCTTTCGTTAACTTACCGTATCCTTAAGCTCTGGATCAAGCCTCTGAAAGACTCGGACATCATACCCGCAGAACGACGGACGGACTTCCTGGAACAAGTCTTTTGGAATGTGCATGATATCATCGCAGTCAATACTCGACTTCGTGACGCGCTGAACAAGCGACAAAAGTCCTATGCTGTCGTTGAGCAGATTGCTGATATCTTCCTGGATGTCGTACCTCATTTTGGTCCATTTGTCTCGTATGGAGCTCATCAGCTCTATGGAAAATACGAGTTTGAGAAGGAGAAGGGCTCGAATCCAGCCTTTGCGCAGTTTGTCGAGGTGAGTGGAGTTTAGAAACCCGGTCGATGCAAGACACTTCACATTATGAATATCTTTCTATTTAGGAAACTGAACGGAGACCAGAGTCGCGCAAACTTGAGCTGAACGGTTATCTAACGAAGCCGACTACTCGATTAGCTCGTTATCCTTTACTTCTTGAAGCTGTTCTCAAGCATACGCCTCAAGATAACCCAGATAAGGCTGTCATTCCGAAAGTAGTTGTGATGGTTCGCGAGTTCTTGAAGGCTGTCAACGCTGAGACCGGCAAAGCGGAGAACAGGTTTAACCTGCTACAACTCGATCAGCAACTTGTCTTCCGCCCTGGCGAGAATTTCGTAAGTCCACCACGCGGCTCCGAATTTAAAAAAAAAAGTGAAAGTGGTGATATCTTACTTAGACTTTCAAGGATCTTCGACTTCGGGAAGAAGGCCGTGAACTCGTCTACAAGGGTGCTCTCAAGAAACGAGGTAACGCTCAGGGTGATCACGCCGACATCCAAGTCTTCCTCTTCGATCATGCCCTCCTGATGGTCAAGCAGAAGACGAAAGCGGAACAGTACAAAGTCTACCGTCGTGTGAGTTCTCTCCCTGCTCCCATTTAACCCCGTCATAGCCCCCCATTGAGATGCATTGGTATTCTTGGTATTATGCAGCCCATCCCACTCGAACTCCTCTTTGTCTCCGCCCCAGACGAGTTTCCGACGAATAAACCTAGGCAGAACAAGGCTTTGCTCAAGAACCTGCCGCACGCGCCGGTGATTACTGTCAAAGAAGCCAAAGGCGGTTTCTCGATTACGTTTGTGCATTTGGGAAGGAATTATTACCAGCAGACGCTTTGGGCGGGCACGTATGTGAGTCAGAGGAAGTGGGTGGAGCATATTACGCGGCAGCAGGAGATCATGCGCGAGCGTAGTGCCGTCTTTGAGACAGTTGTCCTCAGTGAGGGGTTCTTCGTTGGTGCCGTTAGGGTGAATTGTGCGGCCCCTTACAGTGAGTGGTAATCTTTTTTTTTGTACCGAGAGAAATGTCTAATGTGGTTGCGATAGGCCAAGGGAGGCGGATAGTTTATGGCACAGATGACGGCATATACTTGTCAAATCTCTGGGAACGTAATCGCGAACCTGTGAAGGTCCTTGCTCTGAAGGACGTCTCACAAGTAGATATCCTTGAGGATTATCAACTCCTAATAGTTCTCGCAGGTCCGTCTTCCCGCCTTCTCCTTCGTTCCTAACTGCATTACCGAGGCATTGACATATATATTTTAGAACGCCAAGTCATCACATTCCCACTCGACGCGTTGGATCCTATGGACCCAATGTCTGGTCTCAAGCGCGCGAAACGGATAGCCTCACATATCTCGTTCTTCAAAGCCGGAGTGTGTCTCGGCAAGACACTTGTTTGCGTTGTCAAGGCAAGCCCGCTGTCAAGTACGATCAAGACTCTGGAACCGATCGACCAGAATGTTCGTGGGAGGAGTAAACCGACATTTAGGAAGTTGCTTCAGGGCGGGAATGATACCCTCAAGGTGTTCAAGGTGTGTTAGAACTGATACTCTTCGATGTGCACTTGTGGACGTCGTGAGGCTTATGTTTGGCATGTTAGGAATTCTATATTCCCGTCCAGTCGAGTTCCATTCACTTCCTCAAGACGAAGCTCTGCGTTGGATGTACGAATGGTTTCGAGATCGTCGACCTCGAGACGCTTGATACCCAAGGTCTACTTGACCCTGCTGATACCTCTTTGGACTTCGTGCGAAAACGAGAGAACCTGCGTCCTCTGGCTATATATCGTATCGATAACGAGTTCTTACTTTGTTATGATGGTGAGCTCCTAGCTTTTTTTTTGTTTCCGCTTAGATGCTTACCAGTTACGCAGAATTTGCTTTCTATGTGAATAAGACTGGTTGGAGGTCGCGGAAGGACTTTATGGTCCATTGGGAAGGTTCGCCAACAGGCTTTGGTGAGTTTTCACTCAGTATGCGTACCTTGCATGACCGCTCATCGGTTTACGCTAGCTCTCCATTATCCCTACGTCCTCGCTTTCGAGCCTACGTTCGTCGAGATCCGACATGTGGAGACAGGTTCACTGTCGCAAATCATTCAGGGCAACAATTTGCGATGTCTGTTCGCGGACACTCCCCCTTCCACCACGAACTCCGCGACCCAGACACAGTTTAACCCATATGCTCAAGGACAGGGCTACTACCAGGCGCCTTCGCCGACACAGTCGATCAGCAGCCGCAACTCGTTGCAAAATGGTTACGGATCTCCATATACGAATGCGAATCCGTATTATGGGCGAGGTGGAAATTCGTTTGGACGGGACGAGATCATCATGTCCTCGGATGACAGGGTGATGAGGTTACAGTTGGCTCCGCCGGTGCAGCAGCAATAGCATGCATGTTTCTTCTTCCGTTTGTGCTTTTTTCGTGTTCATATTTTCTTCGTTCGTTTGCTCTCCTCGCAACCCCCTACCTCCTCCTCCTCACGACCTTTTGAGCTATCGCTATGATGGTCTGACGACTTGCATCTTTCATCATTTGCTGTTTTTGTTTTGTTTGTTAACATCCTATTACATGACATCTAAGTATATCCTACCTGCATCTGTATATGAAGCGCATTGTTCTGATACAAATATCTAACGTATAGCGTGTGTAGCATCTTTCTTTACTCCAAACTGTTTAGAGTCTGCCTCTGCTTTCACCGATTTAGGCTTTCGAAGCTACTTAGAGGGAGAGGAGCTTTCCGCTTTGCACCGATCAGGCACATTCCACGTGGCTTGCGTGCATTCACGTGCCGCGCGAAACTCCGTTTGAGCGCATACTGTGGGGCAGCGAGACTCGGACGCTCAACTCATTTGTTACCAACTATCAACTAGTCCCCATCTCCTTTCCATCCTCTTCGTCCTCGACGACAACGGCGACGATCATGTCTGACCTCTGGAGCCATCGACGGCGGAACACTCAGTCTTCCGTCCTCGACGAAGCCTCCCGGCAATACCTCGATGTTCCCCCGCCCTCTCCTCGTCATCGTGGACGGAGCCAGTTTAGAATGGAGAGCGACGCATCCGAGCTGGCGGACCGCTCATGGGAGTCTTCATCTAGCTCCAGTCCACCATCTTCTGCCTCCAGAATTATATCCACCATGAGGAGATCACTTTCGTACAGCGGAACACAAAAGAAACGCAGTTCAAGTCTAGCAGTATGTTTAGCTCTTTTTTTGCTGAAGGAATTATTATCTGATGGGTTTATGTAGAACATTGGGATGCACTCAACGCCTGAGGAAAGTCTCCCGCCATCACCGTCTGCGGTCAATGCATATGATATGCGGAATGTCCGTCCAACAGTAGAACAGATCGCTATGGGCCTGCACATATCAAGAACGCCTCATCTCGTGCCTTTGCACGCAAATGGTTCACGATACCGTAGACGAGAAACAGCGGACAATTCTAGAAGTCCATCTGAAGTTCCGTCTACACCAACAGGACAATTTCCGCAGACATTACCACATCAAAGGCGAGGCTCTGCACCACCGCTCATGTTGCCCCCACCGCCGCCACGTTCGTCCCTTAAAATCCCAGGCTCTCGCTCGCCTCGTAGTGATGCGACGTCACCTATACCCCTAACTCCATCAGCGTCGGATGCGTCCTTATCGAGCCTCACGTCTGCCGCACCGTCGACCCCACGCTCCAACAGGAGCACATCAACTGCGCACTTTTCGACAAGATTGCAGTTGAGCATGTCGAAGTTCTGGCCTGGTAGGAAGAGTTCTGCTCCTAGCAGCCCCACTATTATCAGGTCATCGGACGATGACTCGGTGTCGTCTGTCCTTACGCCACGAAAGGCCGTGAGGTTCTCGCCAGGTGTGGGAGTGGATAATTCGTGATCATGACCCGTGCGTGACTGTAAAAACATCTATCTAGGTTAGGATCATTTCAGCTTGGGTATTAGGTATACATTACATTTCTCTCCTTTCGGCATTCATCATTCTCTTATTTGTACTTTTTTTGTTTCAACAGTCAACACTCCTATTTTATTCGTCATTGTCTTCACATGCATTCGCAATACATTCATTCTGCAACGTTCGCTTTTTATGTTCTTTTCCATACACACTTCGTTAAGCACTTCATGATACATACGTTCTCTCCATGGATCATTAATCATTACGCATTCTAACGATCATTCGCCTGATCAAAGTAGCTGCTACGTCATTGCGAAAGAAGACTGCAAGTTCGGAGACGGAGAAGCATTCCATGAATGAGTTACCCCGTGGGGTCACTGGTCGAATAAGCAATTGGGTTTCCCCCATCGAACGCTCGGTGAGAGATCAGCACTCGGACTCGGACTCGGAATCCCACCAAGGTATATCCGAACCGAAAGGCTTGAGAGCAAGTGGTATATTCCTGAACCTCACTAGGAAAGTAATATTAATACATAATACATTGGCTTCGGGAGTAGTATAGTATTTCAGACAGAGTAGGGCGCGTACTTCCAGTACCTAGACCGAAGTTAGCAATTTGTCGGACACGTATTACCCAGGTAATACTTACCCTGAATGTGGGAACGCGAATATCCATGGAATGAGGATCTTTCGGAGGAACCAAGGCATCTTAGGCCAATGGTCCTTGAACTCAGGCGGAACGTGACTGTGTGCCAGCATGAGTAATGAGTATCTTTTATTGAGTGGTTGGGACTCGAAAGGCTGCTTACGCTCTCATGAAAGGTAGAGTCAAGAACGGACTTCCGTTATATTTGGACCACGCGATCATGTCGGCGAGCATCTTCTTTATGCCGTCCTCGGAGAAAACCTTGAGGTTTTCAGGATCGAGGTCAGCTACCTCATCATCCAGGTGTTGAATCTATTCGACAACCGATTCCAGGAATGTCAGAGCTCCCTTGCGAAGACCAGGATAGGACTGGAACGTGCGTACCATTGGGTCTCGAAGAGAAATCAGTTGTGACTTCAACTCTTCAGCGTCGAACCGTGCAGGTTGCGCTTGCGCTAATTGTATAGTGGCAATGATCGTCGCTAGTGCTGCATGGATACCCTTGTGTTGTTCGATCTCCTTTGAGAAGTCGAGTTTCTGGTTCAAAAAGGGGAACACAACTGCTTCTGCTCAAACCGATCCCAACAGGTCAGGACAGGTAATGCAAAGGGAGATGACTTCGAAGCGTGACAGGATATGGATATGTACCTTCGCCATCATGATGCTCTTTGAACAGTTGAGCCCACGCAAGACAGTACCCGAGGAAGTTCTGGAGGTCATCGTGCGGGACGTTTTCCAGGAGATGAAGGATATTGTCAAAACCGGTCTTAATCCCTTCATGGGCTATCAGTAACCAAGATTAACAGCGCACACATACAACATATCAACGTTATACTACTTGCCATGTATCATAGTCCATTGCAAGGTATCGTAGGTGTCTCGGGGATCATTCGTTCTAGTGAACACCGGCGGCATGTTGTTCAACGGTCAGTTAAGTGGTACACAAATCGCTGGCACCTGGTAGGCTGCCGCTTGCTAATATATGCTCGGTGAAACATGTTACCACGACCGTCGTTACTGCGCAAGACCTAGAGCAGACGGAAAGGAATTGAGTTTCGGAGACTAGACTTTGATCGTTCAGTGGCAAGCTTGGGGCCGGACCGCCACGCGTCCGACTCTAGGTTCGCCGACATCATCGGGCTGCGTGCATTTCGCAGGAGATTGAGTACTGTAGTTTATAGAAATCGGCTGGTGCGAGTTGCCATGCTGTCGAGATATTGGATGCCTTTCCGTAGCCGTCTGGAACGCGTTCTAAACAAAAAACCAGTATAAAACCTCCTCAGACGCTTGCTGGCCGAGGAGCCGTCGAGCGGTACCACAGGGCCGGAATGGAGGAGGCGTTTCTAAACCTTGAATCTGGAGGGGGGGTAGGTACCCCCCCTTCCAGATGTAAACTGCTGCTAAAACACAGCATTTCGCCCTCCGCCGACTCCTTGTTGGCCCTCACGACTCGGCGGCTCCTCTTATGGTAAGAGAATTTGCTGACTCACCTGTTTGCAACAATCTACAACGCCGTCGATTCTCGACGTTACGGATTAGCAAATTCTGCAGACTCAATGCAGTGCATCTGTTTGAAGTCCGCTTTACATCTAGAACTCGCCATAAACGCTACGGAAAGGCATCCATTTACGTCGTAATAAAGGTACTCCGAGAGGACAGAACAATTGCTGAATGCCCTATAAGAAACACGAAGGTGCCTAAGTACAATCACAATCGACGCCTGGAGGAAGACGGCAGTACTGATAGCTCCCGCGGGGAATGCTGCTTTCAATGCAAGCTATGCGGTATCTAGAGCAGTTGCTTATTGCTTAAGCTTACAGCTCAATTTCAAATGAAAGCAAAGGAAGATGCAGATTCATATTGATAATGACTAGAGGAGAAGCTCTTTGGTGATCAAAGAGAGCTGGCGTACTTCAGGAGAACAACTGTAGGTCAGAAGAACTTGTTGGAATATGGTTGAAGTGGCGAGCGTCATTATGCGCAAGGATGAGAGAAGCAGGACAGAGTCCCGCATGCTTGGCAGATTTTCTAGTATATAAGTAGTTAATTATACTTGTACGTACCTCCTCCGTTTGCCTCAGAGGTCAACGAGGTCAAACGTACCGACTCATCTTCTTCCTGCGCGACGTGTATTTCAATAGAACTGGCCTTCAGATGAACCCACCGTGGTCTGTAGTAAGGTAAGGCCACCCAAGGATGAACGTCCCGGCCTGCTAACTTACTTTCTATGACAATCTGAGCTTTACGAATGGGTGCCACATACTTATGAGAAGTAGTATGCGTATCGATGCACCCATGTTGAAACCTAGATAACAAAGATCATCAAGTCGAAGGAATGCTGGGTCATGGATTTCATTGGCGGTCCCATGATTTCGTGCATCCCGAGACACTGTTGAGAGTTCCACTCACCTTTGAAACAGAGGATTTTAATGGGTCAAGGTGATAATATAGTGATCACGACTGAGTCGATGTCAAACAGATGATGGATAGAAAGCATAATATGACCGAGATAGTTTGCGTCTCCCTTGCAAAACCAAGGGTCGGTTCTGTCATATCCAGGACTTCGAAAAGGGGCTTCGATAACCTGCAAACGCAATCCAGTAAAAGTTAAGTCAGAAATGATGTAAGAAAAGCCTTACTAAAAGCATCCTCCAAGAGAACACCCCAACTCGATCAGCTTAAGAGGCCTCAATGCACAGTGGAAACGGGGCACATTTTTGTCAAAGCAAAATACATAAGTCTCAGATGTGATGAGACGGGACCACTTTCACAGCACGGCATAACGAGCTAAGGAAGTCGTGGAACAAAAGTCGATCATATGAAAAAGGTACCTAAGCGGCATGCAAATCTTGAGATGTGTCCAACGCGAGGCAAGGAGTATGAAGTCAACAGAAAAGCTTTCAAGAAACCGCATATGGCGAAAACTTCCAATACCTATCAGCAGAAGATCAACCATTATGAGCGGGATGTTTGATGTGAGTGCAATTAGTAGTGGTGCCTTACCCTGAGTGCCGTAAGGCTAGAATAGGAACGACGAGCTTTCGGAGGACCCAAGGCATAACCGGCCAATGGTCCTTGAATTCTGGCGGCGTATGACTTGACACCAAGCGTGTTCACTGTTAGTTAAAGACAACGTAGCAAAGACGTGAGGAAGAACGAACCTGCGCATGAAAGGTACAATCATGAACGGATCTCCATGTGACTTGGAGTAGGAGTCCATGTCAGTGCACATTTTCCTCAAAGCTGGTTCGTCAAAGACTTTGAGCGAGTCTGCGCCTATGTGACTGACTTCGTCATCCAGATGGTTGAACTATCCGAGATGAATTATACGAGTATAGTGATATGTCGGAAGTCATACGTACCAGCGGGACGCGAAGTGGTACGACGAGCTCTTTGAATTGCTGAGGATCAAACTTGGTCAAGTCCGCTTGCGCTTCATGAATCATGGCAACCATCGCTTTGAGAGGTGCGTGAACAGCCTTATGCTGCTCAATCTCGCCTGAGAAGTCAAGCTTTGTATTCAGGAATGGAAATACAATCTTTTCTGTTCGTAAGTCGTCATTTTCAGTCATGAATGACCGGGAATCTGGAATAGGGGATTCACCTTCCGCGTCATGGTGTTCTATAATGGATTCCGCCCATGCCAGACAATATCCAAGGAAGTTGGCGAGGTCATCTCGTGGCGGATTATCTAGATGTCGAAGGATACTGTCGCAACCAGCCTTAAAAACGTCATGAGCTACAAGAATCAGTTCGGACACCGGATGAGTTGGCGTGCACCACCTACCGTGAATCATGTTCCATTGGAGGACGTCGAAAGTATCTTGAGGGGCCTGTTTCTTGTCGACCATCGTGATAGTATCAGGGAAGCGATAGCAATCTCTTATGCCTCCCGCTCTCCCGCTTTAAACAGCAATGGCCTGCACTGAGCCACGAGTTTGAGATCTACATTTGAAACAACGCCGAGTGTACCTGACGACTCCTGAGGTGGAACCTCATGTAGGAGTTTGTCATGATGAAATTGTGATTCGTCGATGAGTCCTCAAGGCTTCAAGGCTTCAAGGCCTCATTTCGGTATGCTGCTTTTCTCTGTCGAACAAGCAAGTACTTGTCAGAAAGTTGAAACTGACTTGACGGTGTAATGTTCTTTCCATTCTATTGCGGGAAGCGTTGTAATTTAGGCCGATCGGCGGATGCCGTCATCGCGTAAATGGCTGTAAGCGACCGCTGCGGCACCGCTCTACGACAAAGATTGTTGTATTCCTTCCGTTCTTTCCTTCCGTCCTTCATCTCTTCCGCGATATAAAGTCCATTGTGATTTCGTTATACGCCTCATCTTGTTTTAATTTTGGATATTGCTCATTTTGTTGTCAAAATGGCACCAGTCGAGACTGAGTATTACGATCTGGTACGCTTAATTGCATGGGTTACGGGTTGATCGAGCAGAGGGGACTCACCTTTTAGCCTTGTTTATTAGCTGGGAGTACCCACTGATGTTGGCGATCTCGAGCTGAAGAAAGCGTATCGTAAACAGGCCATAAAGGTTCGTCGGCTCATAGATCCACTCAGACGTTCATACTGAATGCACGCTATGTTCGCTTTAGTTTCACCCTGATAAGAACCCGTCACCAGATGCTGAGGAGAAGTTCAAGGACATCAGGTGAGTTCATATACTAGCGAGAAGACGCCAATAATTGACTGTCACGCATTCATGTAGCAAAGCGTATCAAGTCCTATCTGACCCTGTATGATCTCTTTCCGACTGCGGATAGCCCCAGTCACTGAGTATTGCTCTATGTAGAATCTCCGAACAGTCTATGACAGAAATGGAGCCAAGATGGTACGTCGTACAATAGTTCCTGTGTGTCTCAGTGCTCATATCATTAATCCAGGTTGATAAAGAAGGTGGTGTGACTATGGAAGACGCTGCCGGCTTCTTCGCGAATGTGTTTGGCGGAGAACGATTCATGGACTACGTGAGTGGATACCATCAAACTATCTCGCGAGCTTTTGACAAGTATTTCTAGATTGGCGAAATCTCATTAATGAAAGAAATGACAAGCGTTGCAACGACCATGATGAGTGATGAAGAGAAAGCAGACATGGAGAAAGACCTGAAGGAGAGCTTCAACCCTTCATCTCCTCAATCTTCTACTGTCACAGGTACACCGCCAGATGGTCCGTTGTCGTCGGCTACGCCCACAGCTGCAGCCGCACCCGAACAAGCTATACCTACTCCCGTTGCGCCTCAGCCGACACATCCCGCGCGTAATGGTGGCCAGGCTCTAGTTCAGTCACCTCCAATCGCGGGCAGTCCAGCGTCGGAGGCCAAGTCTGAGGACAAGACTCCTTCAGTCAATAGCAAGGAGAAAGAAAAGGAGAAGGAAAGGAAGAAGAACAAGTTGAGTGCGGAGCAGAAAAAGAAATTAGAAGAGCTTGAGGAAGAGCGCAGGAAGAAGATGCAGGAACGTGTGGACACTTTAACGAAGAAGTTGATCGAGCGGTTGCGACCGTTCATCGAGGCCGCTCAGCCTGGCGATAAGGATGATGCCGAAACCAAGGCCTTTGAGGCGAGGATTACGAAGGAAGCGGAGGATCTCAAGCTTGAAAGTTTCGGTATCGAGGTATCTATATACGTATTTCTCGTGAGACGCGATATTGACTGCATCGACGTCGTTTCTTGTCTAGCTTCTACACACGATTGGAAATGTCTATATCATGAAGGCGACGTCATTCTTGAAATCAAGAAAGTTCCTGGGAATGTAAGTCCTTTCTGTATCACATTGATTCTGTTTCACACTGATTTGTCATTGGCCTAATAGTCCAGGATTCTTCTCTCGTCTCAAAGAGAAGGGTGCTGTCGCGAAGGATGCTTGGGGTGTGATCGGCAGCGCGTGAGTGCGCTATTTTGTTTAATGTCCTACCGGGTGGTCTGACTTTCCAATCATAGTCTTGGGGTCCAGCACACGATGCAAGAGATGGAACGATTAGCAGCGAAGGGTGAGCTTGCGGAGGAAGAGTTGAGGGCGCTGGAGGAAGACATCACTGGCAAGGTGAAACTCATAGTGTTGCGTTTAAACCAATGAACTTTCCTGACATTGGAATATCTCACCAGATCATGCTTGCTTCATGGCGAGGAACACGCTTCGAAGTCGTACAAGTTCTTCGCGAGGTGAGCATTTCCGTACAACATTGATGAATGATCTAATTGAATCTTGTGATGTCTCTAGGTTGTTGATAAGGTTCTGAAAGAACCTGGTGTCTCCGATCCTATTCTCGTGAATCGCGCAAGGGGCTTGCTTCTTATCGGTGCAATTTTCAAAGGCGCAGAACCTGACGAATCCGATTTAGAACGTCGAGAACTCGAGAGGTACGTGGAAAACACAATCCTCATCTCTAACCATTATTCATCCATGTCGCGTTCGTTCTCTATAGGATGGTCGCGGAAGCTGCAGCTGGAAAGTCTAAACACCAACAGCTCCGTGCCCAAGCCAAAGCCAGGAAGGCTGAAGCCAACTCGTCGAAGAGCAAGGAGCCGAAAGACGCGCCTCCTGTCGAAACCAAGGATACCAAGGAAGCAAGAGAGTCGACGTCGGAAGCCAAGCCCGCAGCCTCGTAGTTTTATTTCCCACTCCTAATTCCTGTGTTCAGTGCTTGATTTCCCTTCACTTTCGGATTACATGGACGTCGACTCATGGTTGTGCGGATATTAGATTGATCTATCGTTCAGTGTTCTTTTTTCTTTGCATCTATCTGTAATAGGATAGCTTATGATTCTTCTTGGTAATAACATGCTAATTAACCCTTCGCTTTGGTCTCGAGTGAACTCTTAAAGCTGCGCATGCGTCAACATCGCTCAACATTCAACGCTCAACATCCAGCGCCTCTCGGTTATGCACGTATTAGGCAAGTCAGTTCGATTAAATTGATGATGTCATCGAAGGAGCCACTTGCCATAAAGGATTGAATATTAAGATTCTGCAGTTACAACCATCTGAACCTCTACACCATTCATCCATTCACAATATGTCCACTGTTGATACAGTGTCACACCATCCTCTCGTGCAGCAACTGCGTGAAGAGGCGTCCGAGGCTGCCCGGCTCAGCGGACAGGCTCTGGCGTCGCTCGCATGGCTTTGGCCAATTCGAGGAATCATTTATACAGTAACGCGTGAGTTATGGCTGCACATAGCAAGACCCCGAAAGTAGACTGACCGAGAAACTCAAATATAGATCCTCAGGTTGTCTTGTCTGTGCATAAGGCGCTCCTAACATCCTTAATCACTTCGACCATCATCTTCCTCCTTCTCGCGTTCTTCACGTATATCCCTCAAGCTGCCTTCCTTTCCATCTTCACAGGACTATTCATCGGCCCAGTGCTCGCCCTATTGCTCATTGGGGCCGAGTCAGTCTTCTTCATCACTTTCTTCGCACGCGCTCTCTTCCTAGAGCCGGCTCTTTCCCAAGTGTTTGACGCAACACTTGTATCTAGAGGACAGAGTGGCTTAGTGCGAGACGGAAAGACAAAATATGCAAGTAGTGGCAAGAAGGAAGGCATCGAAGGCGCCCTTGTACGACCTTTCCAGGCGCTGTCACGAGACGGGTTTGTTAAATACTTGGTTACACTTCCCCTGAATTTCGTGCCTGTCATAGGGACCGTTGCATTCTTATTCTTGAATGGGTATCGTGGTGGACCAGGTTGGCACGCGAGGTATTTCCAGTTGAAAGGTTGGGACGTGAACCAACGCAAACGGTTCATCCAGAAGAAACGAGCAGAGTATACAGCGTATGTATTCTCATTGATACATGTTGCCTATTGTGAAGCTGATGGGATCTGCTCTAGATTCGGCATGATGACCCTGCTCTTCACCTTCATTCCACTTATAGGCCTCGTGTTCAGCTTCACGAACACTGTTGGCGCTGCACTGTGGGCTGCGGAGATGGAAGCACAGGAGAATTTGATCGATAAACCTCAGACACAGGAAAATGCGGAGTCAACTCAGAGCGAGAGTTCGAGGGATAAAGCAAAGTCCGATTGACGATTGGCACGTACTAATGACTGGCTCCTAGTCTCATGATGATGAGTAAAATACGATGTTATCATCACAGAATTAACATATCCATCATTACGGTCAGATACAGTATCGCGCGGAAGTGATAGGTATGTATATGAGGGCCCGTGCTGATTGATGCAGTGTGTGCTTCATGAAAATACAAGGAGTTGCTTCGATGCTGTTGACGCCGACACCCAACAAAGTATCATGCCTTCCTATTATAGTAATTCCTGTCGACGGTGTTCGAGTTGCCAACGTTCACCATCTCGGATAGACATCTGTCGTGGACCGCCGTTTCGTGGCGCTGGACGCTGATTGTACCATAAGTGCTATATACCCGCCTCACCGTAGGATCATCAAGGCCATCCAAAAATAACAGCAAATCAGTTCCATTTCACACGAGCTGTGGGACTACGAACACAGTTACCGCCTCTTTTCACCTCCATAGTTACAGAGAGCAGTCATGCTGCACGCACTCCTACTTCTAGTGGCAACGCTCAGCGGGCTAGCGTGTGCCCAGCTGGATCCTCCTAGTACTTTCCCCCACGATTATCCTGGAAAACCCCCTGGCGGTTTCGGTCCCAATTGGCAACAATGTAAGTTTTCAATTCATGAAGTTCCAGGATCGTAAATGTAATGCAATCGGAAACTGAATGAAAACTTATTGTATTGTACCTATTAGATTTCCAAGTTACTGAACAGCTCCCTAACGTCTCATTCCCACTAAGCCGCAACTGGGCGGGAAACATTCCGGTGAACAGGCCGAACCACCCTAACGACACTCTATTCTTCTGGGCGTTCGAGAAGGAGAATGGATCTCTGACTGCGAATGCTGGCGAACGGAGCAATGAGCCGTGGGGTATATGGTTGAACGGTGGGCCTGGATCGTCGAGTATGGTTGGATTGCTGTTCGAGGTGAGTCATCACCGTGTGCAGGGACGTGAAGTGGTACTGATCAAAGCCATATGTGTATAAATATTATCTTCTGCAGAATGGACCTTTGCATATTGCCAACGACTTTTCGCTCTTTGCGAATAATTGGAGCTGGAGTGGTTTGGCGGATTACATTTGGATCGATCAACCAGTGTAGGTGGCTTACGTGTTTCCTGTTCGTTTAAAGGATGCTCATCGTATGGATAGTGGAACAGGATGGTCTACCGCTGATAGCGATGGCTATGGTATGTGTACTGCCTGTGAACGAACTGTCAGGCACTGACACCTGATCGGTATTAGTTGCTGACGAAGATCAGATGGGTGAAGATTTCGTGCGTTCATCTCCTTCCATTTTCAATGATGCTGCACGTCTGACGCGCTTCCTTCTGATAGTTTGGCTTCCTCACCAACCTCGTCGAGGTCTTCCCAAGTCTGAAGACTAGGCCATTATATATTACTGGCGAGAGTTATGCAGGGACCTATATACCGTACATTACGAAGACGTACTTCGGTCTCTCCAACCCGCCTGTCAAGCTAGCCAAAGTTGCTATTGGCGATGGAACAGTCGGATCGGCTCAAGTGTTTGAGGAGTTGCCCACAGTAAGGCGTTACCGTTTTGATATGTTGGGTCCCAAGATGCTGATGGATGCTGTCTAGTTGAGTGTTATCGAAACATACCCCCAGCTCATCGGGTACGATCAAGATGTGTATAACTACTTCAAAGAACAGTATGTTCATGGCATTGCGTTGCCTAGTTTCAAACTGATATCCACACATTGGTTCATCACATAAGAGCTCATTCGTGTGGTTACGACCTCAACCTAACCTACCCACAGAATGGCCATTTCCCTACCCTCCTCCCACCGGGCACTAACGGAGACCTTGCCTTCACCAAGAAACAGCTCTATACCAAAAATGCGCTTCAATCTGAAGCCAAGGCACGTCTTGCGCAAAACAAAGCGGAAGTTCTTGCTATCGACAAACTCCGAAAACGTGACGAGTGGCTAAAGGAGAAAAGGGACCTGACTGGACGACCGAATGGCACTATCGACCCTTGGTATAAATGTCTGCTATACGAGGAGATGATTGACTACGCATTGAATTTCTCCGTGCCTTGGTGTGAGTATGCTTTTACTGTGTGATTCGCTGAAGGATGACACTAACATTGTTCTTCAGCTCTCGGTGATGACGAGAAGCTTGGCCTGAACTTCGATGTGAGATGGTTCACTTCTTGACAAGTTGCTTCATCGTATATTGACACTCGTACCCATCTAGGTGTATGACGTTCCTGATGCACTGAGTCCTGAAGCACCAATGGATGCTACTGTATTCCTCAACAGTATGCTACAACGCTTCCATGTTACCTATATTCGTGCTTACAATTTGCTCTAGACAATGCAACGCGAGCAGCAATTCACGCTCCGACTAGCAAGGTTTGGGCAGAGAGTATCCGCTACCCTTTCGGTCTGTGGCCATATCGTGTTCTACATGTGATTTCTAAGCCCCTTCTTCCCACAGGTAACAGCGTTCATGGAGGGGACCCAAGTAAGTTTTGCGATACCTCGGCTGGGAATGCGAAGTAGTAACTAAAACCTTGTTAGGTGTGGAGTGCGTGATTCTAGCATCCTCTGTGGAGCCAGAGCATATCTAATTGAGATCATCTCAGACCTATGGTATTCCTTGATGAGCTTGCAAGCAATGCATCCAGCCACAATGTAGGTCTTATTTTCTATTCAGGAAACGATGATTCCCTTGTAGCCCATCGCGGTACGGAAGGTATGAGGCTATCATATCCTACTTAAAGTGCTGGAACTAAAATATCGTAAAGTCGTAATCCAGAACACGACATTCGGCGGTGTACAAGGTTTCTCGAGAAAGCCGTCTACACCTTGGTTCAATGACAGAGGAGAATTTGCCGGCATTGTACATCAAGAACGTAACTTGTCATTCGTTCTCTTCAGCGGTTCGGGACACCTCGTTCCCCAGCTACAACCAGAGAACGTACGCTATGGTTAGACTTTGCAAACGTTTCCACCGCTGATGACGGATGCCTGATTCAGGCATACATATTCGCCCGTGAATTCGTCCTTGGAAACAACCAGACAGGTTTCTTTGACGGATCAAATTCCGTTGTAGGTGGCGAAGTCACGAGCCTCTACGTTAACAACATCCTTCCCGGACAACCAGGTATCTTCGTCGGCTCAGCAACTACGGAATCTGCGTTCACCTATCCTTCGGCGACAATTGCCGCGTGGCAATCGTTCACTCAGACTGCGATTCCTGCAGCCCAGGCCACAGGCTCGTCGCAACAGAATAGTGCTGGGGTTCAGACGGTTATTACGTTCTGGTGTTGGACGGAGAAGTTGGTTGGGCTTTGGACTGCAGTTTGGCTTGCGGTGGCTACGTTGATGTGAATGCAGGAAGTAGAAGTGGAATGTTGTATTTCTCTTTGTCTCGTATACGTAGCTGCACCCTGGGACATTGCATGGTTTTCTGTAATCAATATTTGTACTTTGGCATTTCTACCTTCTCTTCAGGGTCTTCATTCTGGGCGCTCATGATACATGATTGCCCTCCCAGTCTTTGATGTATTCTGACAAGAACATAGATCTAGACAACCTTTAGCTATCCACCTTTACCAACACATGTCACCATACGAAGTTATACAGTACGCTTCGTCTTTGACTGGACTCCAGATTACGTAGGCACAGACTTGACTCGTTGACCCTACGTCACGATAGTAGCAGCCGCTGGTATTAAACGTGTCGGCAACGCTCATTACTTACCCTCATACCTATAAGCTCAGAGCTTGAAATTTGCAAGGCTTGGAGGTTAGTGCCGAGCAACGAAGGTGAATCGACTCATACATTGAAATATACATATTCTTATGTTTCGTTTGTCTCGCTAAGTAGCAGGCACCAATTATCACTACTATGTCTTTGTCGACCACCAAGCATGTCCGGGCCATTGCTCGTCTCGAGGTCGAGGCTCGAATCACAGAGTGCTTAGCAGCTCTTCGAGATCTCAGAACACAGATCAATTCACTCGCGGACGTGGACTGTCTACCAGATGATGTCTTAGTCGACATCTTTCTGGCCCTGTTACCTCCTTTTGAGTTTTCTGGGAAGATCAACAAGTTCGATTACTATTAGCCTCTTCTTCTTCTTCTTCTTCTAACACTTCCTCTTCTAGCACTTCCTCTTCTTCTAGCACTTCCTCTTCTTCTAACCCTTCTGATTCTTCTGACTCCAACTCCGAGGCAGGCTGGGATCAAGAAAGCAAGAGTGACTCCGAGGCAAACTGGGATCAAGAAAGCAAGAGTAACTCCCCAGATTTATTCACTGATCTTACAGTGGCAACACATGTTTGCCAACGCTGGCGAAATGTTGCTCGTAACACCGCTATTCTATGGACACACATCGTTATCGACGAGAGGGCTTCAAGGGTGTCGATGATGCTGGATCTATCCAGACAGGCATCCCTTCGTGTTCAGATTGAAGGGTGTTATCGGTCACAGCCATCATTGAGCTTGCTTCGTCCCCACATTTCTCGAATCCGATCTCTCATTCTCTCCGAAACCAGTTATGACAACGAAGATGAGGAGAGATCCTTCAGAGAGATGTACTTGGAGCGTTCCCCAGTTGCGTCCGACAACGCGCACTGTCAAGGAGCCAATCTTCCGACCGCCGCTGTCATTAAACTCCCATGTCTCAGCCAGGTGTATCTCGGATCCGTGCACTTGAATGACTCGCTTGCACTGTTTCGTGGTGCTCCCAGGGTTAGTCGTATTCGCATCGGTGATAGGGGCGTACTGGAGCTCAATAATATTGTGGCGATTTTAAGGACCATTCCTAACGCGGTATCTCTGCGAATCGAGGGAATGTCTTGTCATTCTCAGCCTGGAGTGCAACCTTGCCCAGTTGTGCTGAATGAACTTCAGTCACTGTCTATATTGAGCTCATGGACAGGTGCGGATCATCTCCTGGGCATCATTGTAGCACCAAGGGCGGCCTCGCTCTTCATTCAATGCAACTCCGCATTCTCCGAGTTGCCCATTAGCCGTGGCAATTTGGGACAGGGCATTAGGGAATTCTTTAACGACAGGCAATGTGACAGAGATATGTCCATATCATTGCTCCCTGGTTTACAGACATTCAGCCTCTCCGATGTGGCCTTTCGCATTGAGACTGCTCAATGGCAATTTGAATGTTGTAGCGTCGATGTTAAAGAAGTCCCTTTATGCCTCGATGCTTTGCAGCCCGTGATAGTAGATGTGCAAAATCTTCACCTCCACGTTCATCCGCGATGTCATGGCCAGCTTGCAACTTCAACCATCTCCAATTTATCACTTCCAACAAAGATCTTCCAGGCATCCACGAACCTCAACACAATAACCATATCTTCATTCGATGCAGCATTCGTGATATCCTTACTTCAGACTTGGTTCTCTACCGCTGATCCGAATTTCTTGCCGAACCTACACGAATTGAGTCTTCACAACATCCAGCACATCCCAGCTCCGATACGTTGTCGGGGATACTCCATACAGGATCCAACTTCCATCGTGGAGACGTTAATAACAGTCTTCAGGGCCTGGAAAAACATCGGTCGAGCGTTACCCACATTGAGGTTGCGTGAATGCTATGGTGTGAAAGGAGAGGATTCGGTACGGTTGTCTAGGATTACAGGCGGTACTGTCGTCATAACGTGGTTCGCATAACGTTGACGTAGAGCGACAGTTTGGAACGTGGCGAAAACCAGGACGAAAGTTTGACGAGGGTGTTGCTTACAAGTTCATGACCCCAGTTCGGTTGATGGCTTGTGGTGGAGTGTTTCTGCATAGATACGTCGCGTGCTCCAAAGAACGTAGGAATTATACGAGCACTTCTGCAAAGTACAATCATTTCATAAATCTATGTCGATCAAGTACGACTCGCTACTACAGCACAGTCCTGTGGTTCCTTTCATTGTGTCTGATATGACGTTGCAATATACTTTATGAATAGCAGCGGGAACGTTGAGATTTTCTGGGAGACCTGCGCATTCCACACGGACCGAAGGTCATTGCAGAGAAGAATTTCTGCTTCAAAACGTTCATAGTCTGAGACTATCATGAACAAGTGACGACAATCGGATCAAAGTTTGAATGAGTTCTTGAAGGTGACAGTGCGATGAATTTCCCCAGACGGCTGCACCAGGATGGCTATTTTTCTGTCAACTGTACACAAATGTCCAAGCAAGCATTTTTGTCGGTCCTACGACAATGGGTAGTAATGCCCGTCACAAAGATATCTGAGCTGGAAAATATTCAAGTAGCAGTGCTTAGGTATTGAAACATTCCAAACGTACTGGCAACTTTTTAACCGGCTTCCAGGCCATGTACAACGAGGTCAAGGAGCAAGTGGTACCCATACCTCCTTTGACCCAGCTCGGGGGAATGAAACCCTGAAATCAGCATACCGAGCCCCGCATCGAAGGGCTGTGGAGTGCACTGCAAAGATATTTAACCTTTGCAAGGAATTGTGATCCACGCCGCGCATAAACTTTGTCGTTCTGCTCTTCATGTGGACACAGAAAAATGGAATCTGGATTCTGTGCCATACGAAGGGCCACAGAAGTCTTTAGATCAGTAAAAATATGGGTAATTGTAATTGGAACAATTTACGAATGCTTGAGTATAGAATAGATTGAACATTTCCCGTCCTGGGGCACGAAGGCTGCGTCTCTGGCCACTTTGCCTCAGGGAGACTGCATTTCTCGACGTTCTTTAATTCATCTTTGTCGACTGCTTGCGGTTGGCCAGCTTCACTTGGAAAAGCACTCTCCGTTCTAGCTGTTCGGTGCTACAGATTTTCAAATGAAGTCGGTCAGGGGACACCTTATTGAGAAGAAGAAAGAACGATCCGCACACTGCATGTTGCTTGTTTTCCAACTGCAATTTGCATCGCTTGCATGCCCCACCAACCTAAAAGCATCTTTATTAAAGTAGAATGTGAGTAGTTCGTGCGATCGCCGGCCCCGTCATATGGATACGCAGCACCGTGATTTGCATGATCAGATATTCAACATGTAGAATACGAGGTCCTTACTGCCAGACAGTCGACTTCCGAGACGCTTCCTCGTTTTCAACCTCGATCATCATTAAAGAGTGATCGATCGGAGGCTGTCCGCGTTGAGGGTGGATCGCAGTTCGGGCGAAGAGATCCAAGAAAACGAGTAGCACGGCTACGTTAAACAATGCTTAAGCCAGGAGATCGGCTGTGTCTAGCTTCGGTCCAAGCACATGGGGCAGAAATTTGAGGGAGAGGGCAGTAGCTTTAGGGCGAGGCAAAACGATATCGCACGGGGTCGCTTGACCGTCTGAGAGAATGCATACTGACCAGTGACCTGAGGCTGTATGCAAGCCCACTTAGGTCGCAGTGAAAGAGGACTCGCCTGGTGACGTCAATTATTGAGCTGTTGATTAACGACGTGCCTCGAAGACGGAATACCACATATTTGAATGTGTTTCAAAGTATTGATTATCAGTCCATTTTTCGAGGCGAAAGGGACGAGAATGGTTTTGCCCAGGAGACTGATTGACGATGTACTCTGTCGACGGGTGATATATTCGTGCCGCTTGGCGGCAGCGAGAGCTCTTGAGGTCGATGGTTTTGTGAGCGTGGGGGCCAGCGATGAAGAAAGTAGTGTATATGTTCAATGCAAGTATAGGGAATGTTGTTTTGGCTGGACGTCTGAGACAGATCCGGTCAAATGCATTGTGGAGGCAATGTCAAGGCGACAGGGGAGGTTGGATGGATGGGCGCGCCGGGAAGCCGGTTAGCTAAGCAGATGGCCATATATGGAGATAGGTTAAATGAGAAAGAGCGGTAGACGAGGGTTTGTTTTTGTCCACCTCACCATCGGGCTTGTTGTCGCGGTCTCTTCGTCGCTGTCGTCGCTGTCTCGAGCTGCCCGCTCGCTACCACTCCTTATTTTACCTTCGTTTTAGACGATTCAACGACTAAATCATGAAGCTTGAAGCTCTCGCCGCTCTTTTCTCCCTCCTCGCCGCCGCCAACGCACACGAAGGCGTCTTCGGTCGTCACGCTGCCATCGCGCAGAAACGTCAGGATACTACGTCTTCGGTCTCGTCTGCATCCTCTTCTGTTTCGTCATCGCTAGCCAGTTCACAGACCTCGCAAGCCTCAACTACCAGTAGTCAGGGTGCGACATCTGCGGTGTCGTCCGCTTCAGCTACTAGCGCTCCTGTTGCTCCTTCAGCGCCTGCAGGTCCCCCTGCCACAGGTGCAAATGGTGTTCCTCCTTTGAGCCAGATTACGTCTGGTATGCCCGCTGGTACCACCTACGCTGCTTCGGAGACATTTCCGGCCGGCTCGACGCCCTCATTCTCTGGTGCCCCACCTTTGCCAACTCCTTGTAAGTAATATCAACAGCGCTTAACCCTTTTTCTTGCTTATTTTGTCCAACGATCAGTTGTATTCAGCCCCGGTAATTGGCCGGCTCAGGACAAGATCCCTCCTACAGGTGTGTACATCTTCTTTGACTTTCAACAGCATATTTATGGAATACCTGCTTTAGACTCTCCTGAGGTTCAGGAGTGGATAAAAGAGTTGGACGGTGTCAATATTCCCGATTTTGCACCAACTGTCGATGGTAGTTGTGGTGGAGACCCTGCAGCCGCCGCCCAAGCTGAGCAGCGTGGATGGTGGACTTGTGGTGGCTGGACCGGTCCAGAAGACATCACGATGTGCCCAGAGAAACTCACCTGGGGTATAAGTTTTGATGACGGTCCAGGTCCCTACAGTAAGCGATATGTTTGTTCCTGGGTAGCATCACTCTGATATTTTCTTTTGTAGCCCAGTTTGTTGAATTACTGATCGATGCTGGGATGTTCAAAACTGACCATTATTCGATAGAAAATTATTGGACTACCTGGATACCAAGAATCAGCAAGCCACTTTCTTCGTCGTTGGCTCACGATGCATTGAGCGTCCTCAATTGCTTATCGAAGAGCACATGGCTGGTCATGAGATCAGTGTTCACACCTGGTCACACCATGTTGGTTTCCTAGTCAGAAATATACAATCGCGTTACTGATGCGTTCGTTGTAGGCATTAACCACCATGACTAACGAGGAGATTGTTGCTGAGCTTGGTTGGACCCGCAAGATCATCAAGGAGGTTCTAGGCGTCACCCCAACCACTATGCGTGCGCCTTTCGGTGACATTGGTAGGTTAATTCGAGCTCGACTTGTAAACGTTTCTGACCTATTTTCTGAAGACAACCGTGTCCGTGCTATTTCGCTTGCTATGGGTCTGCGTCCTATTCAATGGACTCGTTTCAATGGCTTCGCATACGACACCAACGGTGTGTTACTCATGTTATCCAGGTCAATTAACATGAAGATGTTAACTCTATGACGCGTCAGACTGGAAGGTTGCCGCTGGAACCGTCTCTCCCACTGATCAGATGGCGACGTTCAACTCTATTCTTGGCAATGCTACCCTCATGGACAACGGGTATATTTTCATTTGACATGGTCGAATTGTGCAATGACTGATTGGGACTGTTAGGTTTATTGTTTTGGAGCATGATCTTTACGAACAAACTGTCGATCTCGCAGTTGGTTACACTTTGGATGCGGCTCGTACACACAACCCTCCCTTCAAGGTTAGTTTATTTCTACGCATTTGTTCCAACGTGAGGCTGATTCCTGTTTGTCAATAGCTTCAGCGTATCGGCGAGTGCATGAATATACCCCTTACCGATATGTACCTCGAGACGACCACCAACACCACCTTCCCAGCACATCGCGACACTAACACATCAGGTGATCCCAACGGTGCAGCAAACCAATCTTCCGGTGCGCGCAGCCTCACCTCTCCAGCCGTCAGCGTCATCATCGCTGCAGGAATGGCTGTTGTGGGTGGATCACTGTTGCTGTAACCGACGGCTTATGTTGTTGGAATATGAACTTTTTCCGAGACGTTGTCAGTTGTTATATCAACATCCTTCATCTCTAGACTACTCGATGAGATTAGGACATCGCATATCTTGTTGCACGCTTCCTTCCCACTGTCGTCGCGAGTCGCGTCTTTCTCCCCCCCTGTCTTCAACATCTACCTTCTATTCCGTCACACACTTTTGTCTTATTTTCTCTACTGTCTCCCTCTCTCTATCTCCATCACTTATACTTCCACTAGTTTTGGTTTTGAGACCCGTCATGGACAATTCCAAGAACTTACAGGTTAGGATTCAGAATGCTAATACAATGTCGAACTCATGCCCAGCTCTTGCTTGTTTTTCCCCACGTACGCCGTATGTGACTAAGCTCTGTAAACAGCGCTTACGAGAAAAACAGGTACCTGAAATATGTTCATAGACATCATTCATCCACCCCTATTCTGGCAATAGGAATATATGCTTTCTATCTGGTGTAAGCATCGACGAAGGGCATGTCTTCCGATTCGAACTTGAAACACTGGTACCGTGGAGTGGTGGGACAGCTGCGGTAACAACGCCAAGGCGGAGCTTCAGCTTCAACGGCGAATAACCTGCACAGAGATAACTGTGCATGGAAGAAGTTCACATTCGTCATGGGCCAATTCAAGATGAGTGCTTCACGGACGGGTATATTGATTAATTGCCATGAATACAGAACTCGGAACTTCACTTTAGATGGCTCCTACCTTCGCCCAGCATGACGCTCACCGTTGAATATTCGAATATGAATATGAATCCCAGCAGGCAGACTTGGCAGACCTTCGGGCTACCATCACTCTAATCTTTACACAGAGCCACTGTGGCTTGTGGCACATTCACAAGAACCATTTTCTGCTCATCGCTCGTGTGCCTCCCGAAGTAACTTAGAAGTTATGATCGCATACGCTTGCGATTTGCAAACATCACGAGAGGCCCTATATGTCTGGATGCCAATAAGCCATACTGAAGAGAAGTTTGTTTGCAGGCTCCCCGTCTATTGGGCCGATATCCTCCTGGACGTCCGGATGGAAATGATTCGATGCTCCAAGGAGGCACCATAGACGATCTCTACTACTTGCCAGATTCGCGAATGCCCTGAAATGCTGGCAGGAATTGGAGGTATCATATTGCGCGAACTACGTCGTATCCAACATCTCACTCTGAACACGGCGGTCAGTTTGGTCTGTGGTCGCCAAATGAGGCAAGGCGTCGAGGGAAATTCATGACAGAGAGACCGTGCATTTCTCTCTCAGGCTCCCGGAAACTGATGACAGAGGGAGTTCGTGCATTTTTGCTTTTTCAGGCTTCTGTGGCTGCTCCTCTGCTTTGTGGATTGGCTGTACGGCCAACATGGAGACACAGGTTGTTGTAGATGCTGCCATTGACTTACTGGGACAAGCGGCCCCCCCGTGCCGGGGGGACAGCAGGATTATAGATTTCAAAATGATTAGTTGAATTCATACCATCGCTGTTCCGCCTAATTTTGCTGTTGCATTGACAGGAATAAGGAGGCCTGTACGTCGTGATATCTCGTCATAATTTGTGTTGAATACCCTGTCTTCACTAGCATGTCCTTCTTGGAAACGCTTGAGACAGTAGCCATATTTACTTCCGTTATTCGCTAGAAGAAACGGCTATCCCATCTACGAACTCTTGAAGTTTCTGGCTGGGGTAGATCTGGGTCGAGCGATTCTTTCCTTCCTCATGATGAATCCTTCAGAGCAATTACGATCACGAATCCAGTGCCTCTCACTGCCAACAGCTTTTAGCCCAGAGTTCACTCCCACATTCACTCCGCTGGCACATTATTGGTAGCTATGTGTTCACGACGTCCTTGCTTCACGTAATGTAAGTTGGGACTCATAACCTGAGCCTCTGTCGAATAGAAGGTGCGATTTGGAATGACATATACATCATTCCTGGATCGTCGGGGTATACACCAGGAAAAGCTGCAAGGTGTATCTGGCGCTTTAGATGTGCAAAATTGGGCTTTATGGTCTATATGCCGTATCTCCTGCACACTGGTCAGTATATGCAAGGCATACTATTCTCCTTCACATTCTCGGACAGTTTCACATCCCCAATACAATCTCATTGCTTTAACTCGTCAACTACATAAAGGCATAGCCTTATATCAGCTAAGTAAACCAATGTCCAATGTCCGTCAATGTATTTCTGTCCATGACAGGAGCCCGAAATGAATGTGGTGAGTTGTGCACATAGCGACTACTTGCAGTTCGCCAATACACCTTCACCGGCGGTTGCAGCCTTCTGCAACTGTCCTTGGGCCTTCGTCAAGTTCGACGTCACATCCGGATCCGTTCTGCAAGGATCCCACCGTTATTGCTGAAGTTCCGCAAACTACCACAGAAAACTCACGACGTGATGTTCGCAAGCGCAGTGGTGGCAGTGGTGAGTCCATCTTCGACTTGCTGCCTAGCGTCAGCGGGAGCCTGTTGACCAGTGAAAAGTGATTTGGCGATCTGACTGATGCCATCTTGAGCGTTAGCAATTCCATCTGACACCTGCGAGATGCTGTCAGACCCCGCAGGATCGCTAGTATCGTAATGAGTATCAGCCAAAGGCCGAAAGACGAGACACTATCAAAATGGATGCTTACGAGGCGAGCTGAGTGGCCAGCGTATTGACAGTGGACTTGGCTCCTGCAATGTCGCTAACGATCTTCACGCGATCGACGTTGCATTGCAAGTTTCCTATCTGTCGCTTGTCCGCTTGAACGGGAGCTAAGCAAGAGAACAGTTGAGGCAAACAGAAGAAAACAAGATTGAACACGACACTTACCAGCATCAATCAAGACAGCGCTCAAGGCCAAGAAAAAGAGCAGGACAAGACGAGAGAACATAGTTAGCAGTTAAGGATGTCAAAGATGAGGTCGACTCGAGTAAAACAAAAGACACCAGGTCAATGCAGCTCTGCTGAGAAGTAAAGCGAAGTGAAGAAGGCAGACAGCCCATACCTACGCCTTATATACGCGGGGCAGCGTGTTGCGGAACGGCACGTCTGAAAATAAAAACGACATGCGGGAAACAAAGAAGCTGGCAACTGTCGTATATTGCTCCACGACTGATGTTCTAAAGGACGGAGAGATGATGTGGCATTATCAATACGACAGGGAGGCATACTGCATCCACATTTCCTGGGAGAAATACGGTATTCGAATGAAGGGAAGAAGCTGCGGGTGCAATAGGCTCTGCGGAAAAGCTGCGGGTGCAGTAGGCTCTGCCCAAACGTTCAACTTATACAAGTCCAGGTGACGAGCAACTGCACCCGAACATGGTATCAGACCGAAGCACCCGACCCGTTGGTCAAACTCTTGGCAGTTTTGACATATACTGATCAATACCAGTGTCGAAAGACCGTAGGAGTAGTGTTTTGCAATATTCCATAGAAACGACCGCATGCGGATGTATGATCTGTACAACCAGGCTGATTTGCATCAATACTCCTGGTTACGGTGCCCTGTTCAAGTGGTAATCGCAAACCCCAGCGAGGATTACTGTGCAAATATCTCACCGTTGAAAGAAATGACACCTTGCATTGAAACGTATATCGGTTGAACAACGAGAGTCTAAATGACAATGTATCCGCATGTACGTGTGTGTGGGCCACACAAGTCGAAGCATTCCGAATTGTCAACCCTAGTCACCGGCGATGCGATATTCCACGAGTTGTCTAACAAAGCATTCAATATTCAAAGCGAATGGAAGGATTGAGGATTAGATGTCTGCATGAAAGTCCAATGAGTACAGTAATTAGTCGTGACGTCGCTTGCACAAATTACTCATTTGTTTACGTGTTGTTTGCCTAGTTTCCAAACAGTCACGACAGAAAACAGTCTATGAGACTTCCATGTTCACATGAACGTTTAATCAGTTGCAATGCTTAGATTGTTATCACGCCTAATTTTAGGTCAAAGCTGATCTTGGCTGAGTCCGACCAACCGCAAGAAGTCTGAATGCCTGTTTACGGGTGCTATTCAAGCTTTCAAATTAACATCAGGGCAAGCGGTGATGTGATATCCGCGCCGACCTACATATGTGAGGTACGGGAATGAGGTGGTTGCTCGAGGGGAGGCTTAGCATATTGAGCAAAGGTTCAATAGTTTTCATGGGTATACTGACCTGCGGACATAATTGACCCTCACGTTTGTAGGGTGAGTTCGATTTATGGTACCCATTTTGTGGGTCAGGCTAGTTGGTTATCAGACTTGGTCCGAACTAATGAACGAGAGATTCAGTCAACATGGAAGGAAATCAATTGTTAGGACTCAGCAATCACAGCCAGGAGACGAACGATGATCATGTCATTCTTCAGTTCAACATGAATTTCCAAACTGTCCATATCTGTCGCGGATAGTGAGATACAACATAACATTATACCATGGATATACGAAAAGGGCGGAATACCAAGAACATCAGAAGGGCACCCTATTAAATCACAATCCAGACTCATCAGAACAAAATACTTAAAACGTGTTGACCCGAACCACATCATTTAGAAGTGGAAGAAACCGCGCTTCTTCTTCTTCTCCTTTTCTTCGCCGTAGTAGGAAGAACCCTGACTGGGAGTATCGCTGATCTGTGAAGCCTGGGAAGGAGCTTGGGAGGGCACAGGTGACGGTCGAATCTTGCTACCCTTATGGTCTGGTTTCGGTTGGGCGGGTAGTGCAGGTCGAGGTGGTGGGTCACGAGAGAAATATCGTTGGTCATAGTATTCCTGGTATGTTCGCTTCCTTTCTGCGAGTGGTCCTATACCGTTGGGTAGTGCGCGCGATCCAACGCCACCCAGGTCCAGTACTCGAAGATCATCAATAAAGTGTCGAGGAGTCATCACATGCGTCGAGCCTTCCATTCCAAAGGATATTGAGATGCCGTATCACATACACAATCATAGAATACATACCGATGTAGATGTCCTTATTCAAAGACTTGGAGAGCAAGTACGCTTCCCGAATTTCAGAATAAGTCATACCCCCGGCGATGAAGACGAACAATCTTTGCTTGTTGTCTTGTGCCCCTGCCCCAGGCCGACCTGCTCGATGCCAGCTGGGTTTCTGACTACGAAGAGAAGTTGTCTGTGGGGATGGTGAAGATCGCAAGCTAGGCGCAGGAGCGAGCGACGGCGAATCCTTAACGTAGGGGAAGACACCCGGATCCAAACGGTTATTGACATGATCCTACAGGATACATCGTGAACAAAAAGGTCATAGAGAATGCAAGACAACACACCTCGAGGACGGTAGTCAATAATGGCTTGTATCTTGATAGCTCATATTCTTCTTCGGTACTTTGCTTCTGCTTCAATCTTCTCTTTATGTCCTTGTCTCCGGGACCCTATCGGTGCAGAGATGTTAGATGTTTAACGGAGACTCACTACGAAGAGAACACAAACTCGCACCCTGCTGATTCGTAGTCCAAGGTGCACAAGAGCATTGCAAGCATCTTGATCAGCCAAGGATAGACGAGCGTGTTGATACAGTCTTCTTCGATCTTCATCTGGTACGCCATCACGGTACTGAATGTACAGGGAAATTATGCGGACTTTATTCGAGTTGCTGAAGTGGAGTTAAAGTCCAGCACGTCACTGATATAGATAGCTCAAAACTCACTGAAGATCTCGACTGTCCAATAGCGGCACCATTTGTTCCACAAGGGTCTTTGGTGTCTTTCCCTCAGGAGTAAGACCTGTAGCACAGTTCTTTGGGGATGTTAAATCAGAGACGGACATGGAAGGACTGTTCGCACCTGTTCTACAGTAGCAACATCCGTTAGTCGGTCGCGTTCGAAGGTGTCCATACACTCTTGAGCCATGTTTAGGTGGAGGGAGAACTGCGCGATGGAAAAACAGAGTTAGTTTACGTTATTGCAGTCAAATATTGAGAGTTCCATTTGCTCACCTTCTCACGCTGCTCCTGATATTGGGGAAGGTTCGCCAACATATCCTTCATGTCATTCAAACTGGCGGCACCCTCTCTACGAAGTGAAATCAGCATTCACACTTTGAGACAAACCTATCAGCCGACAACGCTACACGTACCCCTTGAATCCAGCGTTATCCTGCATGAACTGATTGAAGTCGGCCATCAGTTTGTCAATAGCTTCACGCATGTGCATGTGCCGGATCTGTGTCCAGACGTTGTCTGAATCCGAGAGCGTTGCCGTCTTGTCCTCGTAAGCACCAATAGCAGTTTGGAATTTATACCTGTGAGAATTGGCATGAGAGGTTATCGTTCTTAACGCTAAACAATTGAGAGGCATACGTGTATTTCGTTCCATCGTCAATAGGCAGTAAGTCATTTGCCATAGCTTGATAAGTGAACTCATGTAGGAAAGCTGCTGTTACGTCCATAGAACGATCTGTGATTATTAGGGTAGAGCGCGGTCGTGCAGGGTCCGAGGGTTTCTGATAAAAGCTAGATTAGCCTACAACCGGTAGGGAAACAATATCAGCACAGACGAACCGGGAAATCAGGATTAGCTTTCTTATACTCATCCAATGTGTCTTGTACCATAAACGCGAGTACCTTAGCAACGAAATCGCCTTCTACACTCTCGTACTCCCGTGCTTGTGCACCTCGAGCCAGGTTCGTCCTCCATCGACTAGTTGGTTCAGATGGCGGAGGTGCGGGTCGTGTGGCAGCATGGGGTTTGAGTGCTCCGAGAGGTGCATGATGAGAAGGTACGTAATAGCGGATGAAGGGATATTCATTCATTGATATACAGACGTTTGCAATCTGACTATAATTCAGCTGATTCCTTCACACCGTAACTATGCATCAACGAAGCGCACCATTTTGCTGGAGAAGCGCAGCTCTTCCTCCAAGTGGTCGCGTGAGGCTTTGAAGGCGTTGTCACTACGAGGTGGACTATATATACTGAAGAATGAGCCTGGTTGCTTGAGTGAGAAAGTATTGGACTCGATAGCTGATAAACGCATGTCATTGAGAGTTTGACACTTCCATAAATATAACATCACCTACCCCAGAAGTTCAAGTAGAGATCTTGAAGACCTTTGAGGAATGGCTCCGCAGGTGAGGATGCAAGCTGATCGAATAATTGCTCAGAAAGTCCTTCCAGAAGTTGTCAGCCCGATCTATTCATGAATATGTTAGATCGAAATCACAGACTTACTGTCTATGAAGAATAAGTGCGCCCCCGCATATTGCTGACGTCCATTGGAGTAATCGCGAATAATGCGCTCTACGTTCTGCGTTGTTGGCATCAAGATATAGACTGCTTCTAATTGTGGTTGCGGGTCACGGTGGCTAGTGATCGACTCAATCACTGCACGCGGGTTCAACGCATATTCATTCGGTTATAATCGGTTATACGCACCAGTAACATTCTCCTCCAAGATATCAAACTGCTTGAGCACGGATGACAACAATGCCTGCGAATGCTCGTCCACGACTAGGATCTTCCATTTCCCTGGAGGATTGACAGACCTGATCGCCTCGAGGAACTCTGTATCACATCATGTTCAGTTCTGCGACTCTGATGAGATACACGTCGTTAACATACTTGTTCGTACTGTGGTTATGAGAGAAGTCATTGTCCAAGGTGTGAATGTTCAGCCAGCGAACACCTGAGCACCGCCAACTGTCGCGATGGTGGAAGGTCAGGACTGTCCGCCAATATAACGCCTTGCTAACCGGTTCAATCTAATCTTATCTTGCATACGGAGATTGGACTCAAATATCCTCAGGACTCCTTTCTTTTCAAACTACCACGACCCTATGCATACAGTCTCTACACGTTGATTCTTATGTGCTTTTTCATGAATCATGTCGAAGAAGCGCAAGGAAGTTTCTCAATCTACTACCCTGCTTGACTTCTTTGGAAAGGGTGGTCCTGTTACGAACAAGAAACCAAAGACGCAGATTCCGAGACAGAACTGTTCCAAGAACGTTCCGGTCAAACGAGAACACTTTTCTGTCGCTCCTGAAGATATCATTGTTATTGACTCCGACGACGAAAACGAGAACGACGTCCCAGATGCCTCTAGTGACGTGGAGTTGGTAGATTGTCCTCCAACCACAGCGCATAGCAGACCTCTGTCGCCTCATTCAACGAATAGTCGGCAGGATGCACCTCATGGTCGCCGTTTTGTACGGACTGAGCCCAATCAATTTCAGCCTGCGGAGGTTTCGAATGAATCATTCGGCGAGCCTTCCTTACTCTCAACGAGTCGCAACCGCGCCACATCGTTCGAATACAGCGGCGCGTTTGGTACACCTACTCTGTTACTACCTCAAGAACCATCTTCACTAGGGAACAACGATATCAGAAACAATGAGTCTCTTTCTGAAGAGCAGACAAACGTTGCGATGGATTGCCCATCTTCTTTCACGCCTGCAAAGCGCGATGTGCCACGCGAACAGGCCACGGCCATGGGGACGCCCAGCTATGAGATCCCGGATTTCAATGTTAACAACCAGAAAGGACCAGACGTGATTGACATCTCTGACGATGAGTGGGGAACAGGCGATGACGAGACGGCTCTCGTCGAAACCGAACTAGATCCAGGCACAGACATCCCGTATGGTCAGGCCGACATCGATTTGACTTTGGATGAGGACGTCGAAGACCAAAACGTTGAGGACAGTTCATGTCCAATATGCGGGTTTATCTTTGACGAAATCTCCACTGAGGTATGTCTCATACCCCGATCCTGTGGAATGTGGTTGCTAATCTTGGCTCAGGATATCCAAGCACATGTCAATACTTGTCTTGATGGTGATCCAGGACCTTCACGTCTCAAAGGAAGTACACCGTCCGGACCCTTACGCACACTTTCGTCCCTACGTACGCGGAGCCTGGAAGCTATGGCATCTCTGCGCGCTAGCGTCGACATAGATCTCTGTGAAGAGACCGAAGATGTCAAACCCGGTGGTTCGAATGCTTTTTCGGTCATCATGAACGGCTACAAAGAGAATGAAGCTTGGAAAGAAGCATCTGTCGCTGAGGATCCCAACTTCCGGCCTGTAAAGGGCAACGGCGGACGACGGAAGGCTCCTTTCTACAAGGTCATGACTGGCATGCCGATCGCTGTCGATGCCTTTCGTTATGGAACAATTCCTGGTATCACTGCTTACTTCTTGACGTGAGTATGTCCGAGAAACGTTTCCATTTCGTCCGCTAAATCTCCGTCCGTAGTCACGCACACTCCGATCACTACACCAATCTATCCGCAAACTGGAAGAGTGGGCCAATATACTGCTCAGAGGGGACAGCAAACTTGATTAAGCATATGCTCGGTGTAGACCCCCAATGGGTCCACCCACTGCCCATGGATGTGCCTACAATCATTCCCAACACGGGTGGGGTACAAGTGACGCTTATAGAAGCCAATCATTGTCCTGGATCCTGTCTATTTCTATTTGAAGGGAAACAAACGGTCAACGCTGGCGATAGCGCGTACAAGTCTCACTTCGTGGGGTCCTCAAGGGTGTTCAGGTATCTGCATTGTGGCGACTTCAGGGCATCACCTCAACACGTCTTGCATCCTGCGGTCAAAGGAAAGAGATTAGATCATGTGTATCTGGATACGACATACCTTGACCCTCGAGTACGTTGACTCGCGGAGGCACTTGTAAATGCTGACCAGTGTGTTGGATAGTACTGCTTCCCGCCGCAGCCTCAAGTTATCTCTGCATGTGCTGAACTGGCAAGACGATTAGTCACGGGTAGCCCTGTGTCCAACGCCAGCAACGGTAAGATCCGGAACATGACAGGCTGGTTTGTGAAGAAAGAGGAAACCAACAGTACGGGTGTGCCGCCGTCGCAGGGCAAAACATTGGTAGTCGTAGGGTAGTTTCTTCTCCACAGCTTTCTCATCGCTCTTTACTGATGCACCTTGCAGAACATATTCTATCGGGAAGGAACGCATCGTAAAAGGTAGACAGCTTCGTTATATCTCTTCATGAACTTGCGCTAATGTACTTCAAGCGATCGCAAAAACATTGCAGACGAAGGTGTACTGTGACTCTCGAAAGACAGCAATCCTACGCTGTCAATCCGACCCCGAGTTGCATGACCTTCTGACGACCGATCCAATCGAAGCCGGGGTGCATTTGGTACCTCTGGGTGTCATAGCCTCTGACAAGCTGAAACTATACGTTGAACGTTGGAAGGGGCACTTCACCAAAGCTGTTGGGTTTAGGCCAACTGGTTGGACGTGAGTACGCATGTCGAATTCATGCATGAGTGCTCCAAATATCATGCTTTCCACAGGTATTCTCAGCCAAACGGCAGCGAAGCCCTGCCTTCCGTCGCCACGGTCATATCCCGCTCGCAGCAACGAACTTTCACGTATGCTAACCTCAATCCGATGAAGAACTCTACGGCAGCGCTTCAGGTGTATGGCGTACCGTACTCAGAGCATAGCTCTTTCTTTGAACTAACTTGCTTCGCTTTATCTCTTGATTGGGGTCGGATGATTGCTACCGTGAATGTAGGGAGTGAATTATCTAGAGGAAAAATGGCTAAATGGGTGGAGAAGTGGGAGACTGAGAAGAAGAAGAGAGGGAAGGTAGAAGTTATTTCGTATCGACAGCCGGACTATTGGTAGGGACATTGAATACACATTTACTTTCACAACCTCCTACTTTGTGTCCCTTTTGTTAAGATTCCGTTAAGGACTGTGCGCAGATCGGCCGAAAAAAAGAAAACGGAGGGGTGGTCCGTGCGCAAGATTTCAGGTATATAAGCAAAGTGGGCACATCCAGCAATCTTCATACTTACCTTGATGGCACTTGCCCCTTCACGTCCCGGGTTGGTGGGCCGTGGGATCACTCCATAGCACGGCGACCTTGTCCTCAGAGGGAGCCTGCGGTTTGTATGGGCTCCGGCTCATGCACCGTCTCAATATTTCCCTGTCCTGCTTCGGCCCTCGGGCTGAGCAGGCCATTATTTTTTGCTCCTTATTTGCTCTAACCCTAACCCTAGTGCAATACAAACAATATATCTCCTTTGACGTCTTTCCACTTTTACTAGGTTATCAGTTTCTTTCGATACTTACCTTGATCGTTAAGTTGAAGAGTCAACCATGTTTTAAAGTTAACAGCAATAATATCAATCTTTACTGCTCACTCTCCAGACTCGGATCCCGCGACATGCTGAAAATGGAGGAAAGCTGGCAGATGCTATGACCGGCACTGAACGATATGGTCTGAGTAATTGGGCCTAGCTGTGATACCCTTCTGTGTCTTCATTCCGTCCTGTAGACATCACGTCTATAGCCGTTGGGATGCCTGTTATGATCAAATGTAATAGTTGGTGGTGTAGATTCCGAGCAATGCATATACAGCACAGGAGATTAGGTATTTAAGAGTACAGCATTTTATGATTTACATGTCTACCGTGACCGCAATAGCATACTTACTATGTAATCATAATATTACATCAAGCAGCTCCGCCTTCCTCATCTACAATGACCACAGCCTTTCCAAAATTCTCGCCCGTATGGACAGATCTTAGAGCTTGCTCCGCCGATTTCAACCCATAGAAACGATGCTCACGCAGCTTGATCTTCCCAGCTAGAACTAGAGGCGGAATCTCCTTCTCGAACTCCACTAACGCCCGTTTTGCCTCGTCGCCGATGCCCACGATGAAACCGTGTATGGAAAGGGAACGCTCGAACACCTTCTCAAAATGCTGTAGTAAATGTGCACGGTTAGCAATCGTACTAGATATATTGTGGAAATGATGGGAACTCACCTTAACTGCACCTTGGTCTTCATTGTAGGAAGAAATTGCGCCACAAGACTACATTTCGGTATCGTCAGTACAGCTGGGTATCATAATATAGGATGATACATACAACGATAAGACCAAACGTGCTCATGTTGCACAGCGCAGCATCCAATGTGGAACCAGACGCGTTATCCCAATAGCTGCAAGATCGTCTCAGACGGCTGAATGCATGATGCTCGAATGGGCTAGACGTACATGTCGATAGGTCCGTGTTCAGCCAGGACCTTAGCAATGTCCGTCTCCTTATAATTGAAAGCGACGTCAGCGCCGATAGACTTCAGAAGGTCAATCTTAGCGGGTGTTCCGGCTGACGCGATGATCTTGAGGTGCGGATGGATGGTCTTCACATATTCAATCAAGAATCTGGCGCGTGGCATTGAGAGTAAGATAGGACTACCCGATAAAGAGCGTTCTGGAAAGCGGGACTTACGTGCCAACAGCACCAGCAGCGACACTGATATACAACGTCTTGCTCTGTAACCATGCTTGAGGTGAGCATAGGCTCATGGAGGTAAAATGTATCAAGTACATACAGTCTTTGCCTTCTCCTTAGCAAACAGCCAGCCTTGATAAGCGGTTTTCCCTATTCACACAAGATGGGCGAATAGCTCATACCAAATAATTGTTGAACGTACCTGGCATGCCGAGAATACCTACAAAAGCCGACATAGGCAAACCAGGTAGCTTTGGAATCTTGGTACAAAACTTGAAAACGTGTGTGATATTTCCTGGATGCACAACGTAGTTCTCGAAAGCTAGACACGGCCCGTCATTCATCTTTCGTATTATATTCACGATAGGAGATTCATTGAATAATTTACTCACTGAAATAGCCCGAGACGTAGTCACCAGGAGCATAAGCAGGATCCTCGCTGCGGATGACTTTCCCAACAGAGAAATTATCGAGACTGTAATAGAGGATGTAATGTTAGAATTCTGCACCAGGGGTCAAACTAGATTAAATACGGCTCTCCAATCTTCAAGGGTGGCGCAAACAAAGGGATATTTTCGTCGCGCATCCTATGACGCATGTATGGGTCGCTGCTGATAGCGAGTATCTTCACCAGGATTCCACCATTCAGTGGAACAGTGTCGGTGTCCAGTTGCTCTTCAACGTATTTTGTGTGCACCCCAGGCTCATAGTAACCAGTAGGGTGTTTGACGTAGATAACACGACCGTTGGTGACCTTAGGCATGAGCGAATTCGAGAGTAAGGGGGGAGGGAGGGGGGGTCAAAGAGAACTCATCTCCAGGCTAATGAATAACATTGGTTATATAGCACATAGCACCTATCACAGGAAACCCGACGGTCAAAGCGAATTCAGCACTGTTGAAAATATTACTCACATTCGGGAGCATGTCGTGAGACAGTGTGGCTCGCATAACCGAGGACTTGTGATTAGTAAGGGACAAACCACATTTATTCGTGAGAAGTTCATAGATTCTTATGCTATCAGATGGTTAATAAGCTTAGCGGCCACTGCAAGGCGGTTTCGTATGAGGCCATGGGGCCGCGGAATGGCCCCTAAATCTGACAAAACCAGATTGGGCGTTGATGTACAAAAGGTGACCTAAATACAATGAGGCAGATGCGCTCCCGAGTCAGAACGACCCACTTAGTGGCAGACCCACTCAGTAGCAGACCGACCCGGATGTAAAGCAATAGCCAAACTTACGTGCCTCACCTCTCGGGGGGAGCACCGAGATTATGCTCGAAATAGTTTCCTGGGCAAGTTCATAGAAATGAGAATGCTTCGGGTTTGGCGAAGATTGATCTTATGATTAAGCCTAGCGTCGAAGGGAGGTCTTATGACACGGCCTTTGTAAGGTCTGAGACTACAGTCATCAGACGACGGACACCTCTACCCGTCGTTAGTTCGTTTCGAGCCTAAGTTAAAGATGAAACCGAGCCAGTACCCACCTGTGCCCATGACTAACTAATCTGGATGCTGCGGTCCATATTAGGCAGTTTCTTATTTAAATATGGCAACCGCTTTGCAACGAGTCATCCGAAAACAAGTCATTTAGCTTCAAGTTGTAACAACCTCAACAACTTTGATTAAGTAATCCCGGGATAGCAAACATATCGAAAGCAGGAATATTTACAGGAGCCCATAAGTGCTAGCTAGCAGTACCCAGCTAATGTAGACTGCAAGTTCACATATTCTTCATTTGATTCTCTCGATCTCCGAAGTTCTGCAAGCTTTCGAGGTCGAAGATCGTGATACTCATTTAGGTAACAATATCCACTTTAGTGTTAGCGTCTGATAATGCATGTCAAAGTGTACTGTTACCCGGAGGACTAGCTGGAGCGAAACAGGCGTGGATAAGGTATCTGATGCATACCCCAACAAAGCAATCGATTATGCATGAGCAAGTTGAGAAAATATACAACTCCCCTTTTCATGACCTGCAGATATTCGAAGTCATTAAGCCCGCCATTGAGCGACTTTGGGTCTTTATGTGAATGCAATGTAGGCTATCGTCAGGCTCCGTATTCATTCAGTATGCAAAGAGGTAATGAGGGATCAGTGAGGCCGCCATGAATGTAATTGAGACACCCACGTACCATACTAGTATGTGTACGCGATAGACGTTCTGCGGTTCACGATGATAGATGAAGAAGCAAGATCTATTTCGTGATACATTCGAAAAAACGAACTACTGATACAGAGGTACCAAACCTCAAAAGCAGACAATCAAAACGAATCTGAGCGCAATGCAGGCGAAGTAAACCAAAACAATAAGGATACAACTTTGGAATCCCGAAAACCGAGCAGCAAACAAACGAAACAGCCGCTAAAGTTCTACGAGGCCGTGACTTGGTATGGAGAAGTAAGGGTCGCAGTCGCAATAAACTCCTCCCACGCTGCAATAGTCGCGGAGGGATAGGTAAATGTGGACTGCGTCACCGCAGATCCGACATAGATCTCGTCTTGACCGTGAATAATGTTGTTGACATAGAAGTTGCTGTCCTCGCCGCCGATGACTTTGACCTGATTGCCAGACCTTTCAACCAGGCCTGTCTGATTGTTACCAAGAATATACTCTCGCAGGAAAGTCAAAGCCTGTCAACGGTGTGAATTGAAATCGTAATGATAGGAACGGCGAGGAGCGAACCTGGGCCGGCTGAGACATGGGGACTTGATGTCCCGCTTTGGAGAACAGAAGGTAGGTTAAGCCTCGCTCTTGATGTACAACCCCGGCAACGTTTCCGTCGTCGTCAAACCATGGCGTAGATGGTTTCCTAGTGAAGCCCTGGATCCCGCCGAAAGTCGTGTTCTACCATATATTTCAGAATGCTATCTCAATTTCCGGCACATAAACCTACTTGTATCACCACTTCACGAACAGTTAGCCTTGTTGCAGAACAAGAGAGTGGCGGCTTACCCTCAGTTCCAAAATGGGCGACAAGGGAATCATCGTTCCCAGAATAGATGACAATGGGAATATTACGTTCCGAGGCGTTAGCAGCCAACTCTGAAAGAAACGCCATAGGCCTAGTCAAGCCGTGAGTATCTCATTATCTTGGTCTAGACGACGAACGTACTCGACACCTATGCAGGAGATGCCTCAGTCAGTCTGTACTTCACAAAGCATTGTGGCTTACTAGGATCCCAGCCATCATCGGTACCTAAGGCTTCAGTGTTAGTACCATTACTACCCGATTCATTTGAGGATCTGCGACACTGACCAAAAGGAGTTTCGATAGTTGGCACCCAATCTTTGACCGTAGGAGCATGGATGGCCGCTCTCGTGACGTTAGCTATGGCAAGGTAAGAAGGTCGCATACATGGATGAAAGTGCTTGACGTACTATTCAAGAACGGCGCCGCATCGAGAGGTGATTCAGGATTCAACCTGGCAACATCCATCAGATTGTGGGCTAGTCAAAATCCACAGGTTTAACGAACCCATCAGGAACATTGTAGACCTTGTGTGCGGAGTCAGTGAGTGAGAAGGAGAAGAAAAGTACAGTATGTCGAATGTCACTCACATCGAAGGCATTGTAATCTGGACCGTTGGTATGATCACTTAAGTCTGTGCGGGAGGCTAGCTCGACATCTGGGCAATAAACGATGGATGGTTGCCACTCACTCCAAGGCAAAGAGAAGTTCAACGCGTAGTCGACAAGCTCATCATATATAGCGCATCCGTAGAAGGGGTCAATCGTGCCGTTCGCACGATCACGGAGGTCCCTCTTCCATTGCAACCGTGCTTCTTCACGCCGTTGCAAACCACCTGGGTGTCCAGAAGCGCGCTTTTGGATACTTCCAATCAGCTCTCGCTTGGAAAAGATAGTGCGTCGCGAGGGAAGTACACGCTGCGCCGCGACCGCGAAGAGCGGGGGTATGGGACCGTCAAGAGTTGGAAAGTTGCCGTGTTGTGGGTAACTCAACGTAAGGTTATACCCACATAGATCCGACCTGCAACGAAAGATCGTGAGAAATCGAGACCTAGAATGATGAGACTCACTGTCCCTTGAAATACGCAAACACTTCGGAATCGTAAGAAACCAGCTGCGGGAATGTTTCTATAATGGAGACCTGAAGCACGCATCAGAACACAATCACAAAGTGAGACAGCCATGGAGTTACAGTGGGTAGATGGAGGTAGGTGCGATCACTGCCTATAGTGCCATCTCCGATAGAGATTTTCGCGAGTTGAACAGGAGGATCAGTAAGCCCGAAGTATGTCTTTGTGATGTAGGGCTGGATACAAATGAGTTCACGTATACTTTCAGGAAGATTGTGGTAGTCACAATATAACGTCCAGCATAGCTTTCACCCGTCAAGTACAATGGCCTTGACTTCAAGTTGGGAAAGACCTTGACAATATTCTCTATAAACCCCCACTGAAATTCCGTAAGTCAGAAACTGCTGTATGCGTGATATGCGACGAGGTACGCACGAAGTCACGCCCAAGTTCATCTTCATCGCGAACTGAACCGGGATTCAGTACGTGTTAACCGAGGTGCATTTCAGGAGCCTTACCAAGTCCCTGGAGGTCAACAGTGGACCATCCTGTGCCACTGTAGAGAATGATGAGCAAAGTATGTCTTACAATCCATCAAACACGTACACTGGTTGATCAATCCAGAAGTAGTCAGCGAGAGTATTCCAGCTGAACCGATTTCCGGATACCGAATAGTCCCCATTGATATGAATGGGACCGTTCTATAGTGACATCAGCGTCAGTACATTATGACAGAGACGAAAGAAACAATTACTCCCCTCAAAGACGACACCGAGCATACTCGACGAACCAGGTCTGCGAATAGCTTCTGAGAACCGAAAAGGCCGAAGAGAAGCGTGAAGTGTATATACCCTCCGTTCAGCCAGATTCCCCATGGTTCGTTGGTGCTTTCCGGGTCCGTCAATGAACCATTTTCCTTTTCGAATGCCCAAAAGAAGAGCGTGTTATTAGGATGTCCCGGACGATTGACCCCTACGTTGCCAGCGAAACTACGCGCGACATCGAAGGTGACGTTCGGTAGAGGACCCTTGACCCTGAAGTCTGCCGCAGCACCCAGCAACGATCAATGTGGTGATAAACCTGACATCAACGGGGACTTACATTCTTGCCATTCGGGACTGAAGTCTCCGGAAGGCTTGCCAGGGTAGTCATGCGGCCAACTGTTGACCACGCCTTGAGGATCGTTGATACCTTGAGTACGTACAACGGTCAACGCGGCTGACGCGAGGAGCAGGATACTAGTAGAGCGAAACATGTCGAGAGAAGAGTTGAGGCTCTGCAGTTCATCGGGTCGAAGTGACGTTCTTTTATAGCATTTCGCTGCTGCTCACGATGGCATACTTGCCTTGCGCCCGTGCACGTCCCTCAGGGACATATTCCGGGTTACAGGGACTCCCCCTGCCTTCTTGGTGCATCTTGCCCTGAAGGCATTGTTCTGAACGGGGCCACTTACTTCCAACGAAGATTCGTGACCTGAAGTAAACTGGAATTCCATGTGGATATCTGAGAGAAACTGCAAGCTCATTGTTCCGCTGTAAGAAAAAGCGTACCAGTATCAAACCTTCAAGAGTTAGAGCTTAGCAGATGACATAGAACACACTCAGAGATTGCTGACCCGGGGCCGTTCTGTCATTCAAACGAGAGGTTATCATTTCGGGTCGATTGCCACACAACCCTGTAAAACTCCAATCGGTAGTTAATGGGACAAGGAAGTCGGGTCTGCGCCTATTCGGAGGCGAGTCTGCTCCAAAACGACATTCTGAGAAAAGAGAGTGCAAAGCTCACGACCATATGCATATACACACCTTCGGTTTCCCTGCACATTCTTCCGAGCGTTCTTAGAACCACCGCGCGGAACGCTTGTGGTCGCCATGCTGCGCGAGCTGCCTGGAAGGGGTCTGTGTACTTTGCCCGACGATGCTCCATCTGCTTACGCTTGATCTGCTGTGCGCACACAAGTCAGCTTACCGCCGCTTATACAAGGATTGCTGTTTTGAGCAGTTCGAGATGTGGAAGGCGTCGCCGAGAAGTCATCAAAGGTATGGATCAGGTGATGGGAATACTGAATAGGTACAAAAACAAGGTTGCCGAAATGACGAATGAGTACGAATACTACGCTGTGAACTCCAGCTTGCCTGTATCACACAGGTGTCAGGGTTGAATGCGGTATCTCAGTGATGAAGACTCACTCTCGTGCTTCTTGGCCTCGCCCACTTTCCGTGCCGCCTTCGTTAGATCTTCTTGGGTGATGTATTCTCTGAATAAGAAATAAACGGTATAAATCCAAAATAAACGAAATTAAGTTCCTTAAAAAGATCTCACCGATCATCTCGGATGGCGAACATGCCCGCCTCGGTGACCACATTTCGAAGATCTGCGCCATTGAAACCGTCCGATAGCTACAAAGAAATGTCCATAAGTATCACAAGGGCATGACTGGATCATCATTCTCCAGAAGAATACGTACTTTCACAATGGCTTCGTAATCAATATCGCCGCCTTTGTTTACAGGTGCAGCATGGATTTTCAAAATTTCCAACCTTGCCTGCTCGTTCGGTAACGGGATCTCAATCTTTCGATCCAGTCGCCCTGGCCGAAGAAGCGCAGGGTCCAAAGTATCCGGTCGGTTGGTAGCCATGATCAATTTCGTGCGGCCCAATGAGTCGAAACCATCCATCTGGTTCAATAGCTACATGCAGGGAACCATGATCATGAGCTTCATAATACTTGTTACGGAGAGAAACATAATCGCCTTACCTCCATTAGCGTTCGCTGGATCTCACGATCAGCGCTAGTGCCTTCTGAGAATCGTCGACCGCCGATAGCGTCGATTTCATCCATGAAAATGACACATGGCTCATGCTCTCGTGCATAACCAAACATCTCTCGTATCACTCGCGCTGATTCACCAATGTACTTGTCGACGATTGCAGATGACACGACTTTGAGGAAGTTGGTGTTGAGAGTAGCTGCAACAGCCCGTGCTAGAAGGGTCTTTCCAGTACCGGGAGGTCCGTAGAGCAGCACACCTTTCGGCGGTTTAATACCTACTCGCTGGAACAATTCTGGGTTGAGCAGAGGCAGCTCGATAACCTAGATAGATAATCATCAGCAAAGAGGCGAAGTGCGTGAAAGAACCCGACCTCTCGTAATTCTCGAACTTGCTCGCCCAAACCGCCAATGCCAGCGAAACTAGCACCTCCAGGATCCTCCAGACTCATCTTGTACACCATCGGATCGACCTCACGTGGCAATATGCGCATTATTGTGAGGGTAGTCATGTCCAAACTAACTCGTGTACCAGTCTTGAGTTTTGCAACTGGTAGTGCTGGTCGATATGATACGACGTAGCGAGGCCCCGACGACGCCTTCACGATGACTGCATACGCCAAGATGGTTGAGTGGCATTGTATAACAAACTGCAGGTAACTCACATCGGTCATCATCTAATTGCTTCATGACTTCTCCAATGATTTGCCCTACGGATTGAACAGCCTTGATATCGTCCTCCGTCTTTTCATAGTCCTTTTCGAGATCCTTCAGTGCAAACCGAACTGGGCAGGTCCGAGGATAAGTCAATTGATAAGACCTCTCAATTGAAAGCACTCACGATTCTTCAGACTCTCACTAGTGTTCTCGTGCTGCCGCATTTTCTGGGAAAATGTCAGTTGTGCTTCATCATACTCCCGATAGTATACATACCTCGCGATAGCCCTTGAGAGCATCTCTACGTCTCTGGTCAATCTGCCCTGTAGATGAAGAGGGTTGGGAAGACATGGTTGGATGAAAGGAAGGGTGATGATGAGTGTAGTAGCTGAGCGTACGCGTCGGTACTGAATTATACGCGTCGCGCATCTAAGCACAATATTATAAAATTATGATCACTAACACGTGGCCTGGTGGTCTAGTAGTATGATTCCTTCTTAGGGTTCGAACCAGTGAACAAATTGGAGGAGGTCCCGGGTTCAATTCCCGGCCAGGCCCGAAGTGTATTTCTTTTTGAACATGTCTTTCTTGCCATTGCTCACGATCTATCGAAAATACAAACGCGTCAGGTTCAAAGACCTCTGGGTAACCGCTCGATATTATAGTGTCAACCAGCAACTAAACGATTGCGAAAAAACGAGACCATGCACTTAATGGTATATTCTAGGTATATTCCTGCTTTCAAGCATACAAATGCGTAGTATCACATACAAGGCTCAATATGAAGCACTTCATGTGACATTGTTGACTAATGATACAGGAATGACAGCGGTGCAAGAGTGAAAGACAGATATATAATACAAACAACTAGCGGCGGAGGAGAAGAAGAAGAAGAAGAAGAAGAAGCTATCCCTTCTTGAAGCCTATACCAACACTGTGAGTGACGAGAAAGAAAGACGATGACAGGCTCACGCACCTAAACGACGCCGCTCATAGAACAGGTCCGTTCTACTTGCGCCAAGATTGACAATCTTAGGACAACCATCTCGATCCTTCTCTAACCTGGTGCACTCCGCACAATAGTAGGCATCGGAGATCCCTAAATCAACACTGAGTCAATGTATCCAAGCATGTCATGAAAGAACAACATACCAGGCGAGCCACAGATTATGCATCTTCCACCGTAAGTACCAAAGTTGCACTCATCACAGATACGCACGAGAGTTTCTGGTCGCACGTAAGAGTCGCAAACGGGGCTGTAAGACAGAAAGAATCGGTCAGCCAATATGCAGATATAGCAACGGCTTGTACATACCATTTCCCGTCGCACTTCTCACATAGTCTCCCGATGGCTGAATGTAACAAGGACAGAACCATTAGCACGTTCTGAATATCATGAGAACTGAGATGCTTACCAATACCAGGCTGCCGCCTGCACATTATGAGATCTGCAGAGTAAGAGTGTATGAGCAAATCATAAGAAAACAACAAGCGCAGCACTTACCTGGATGGTGTTTGGACATGGTGGTTGAGCTTAGAGAACGTTATGAATTGGGAAATAGCAGCCGGGATTCAAGACTTCCAGCTGAGTCAGCATAGTTGCCGAATCAGGAATACCTAGAATGTTCGCGCAGAACGTTCGAACTGGCCCGATCAAGGTCCCGAAGAAAGGTCGTGGGTTGCAAAAGGACATCATGGACCATGGTTAATGCGACATGTATCATTATGTGGGAGAGAATGCACAATTGTCTAGTAAAACAGTGATAGTAGCACAAGAAATTCAGAAACAATATCATGATAAGTGGAAACTTCCAACACCCTCGTGCATGGCGACCCGCAACTTCTCTCGCATCACAGCTTTCGATGAGTACTCGGGTAACTTGAGGTAGTTCACGCATGTCATAACGCTCGGAAGATAGTCATCAGCGGTCAAAGGAGGTTCGTGAGGTTTTCTGACAACAGTGAGAGGAGGATTGAGGCCGCGGAAACCTGCAAGATCTGGTCAGCAATGCATCGGCAGCTGGGTACGTTCAGATACATACCACCAATGGGCAGCTTGGGGCTTCCAGTGATGAACTGCAGGTAGCTACGACGGGTTTGTCCGTCATACTCCGACATGATCTCCAACAGGTCGTGGATGGCACGGCTCTCAACATTAAAGCCATGATCAGCCTTGAGTGCTTCATTCAAAGCTGTAAATCCAAGGTCAGACTCTGGTAACACGGGAATGGAAAACCTTGACATACTCTCAAGACTCCAATCCTCATCAGGATTGCCGAAGAGCATAACAAGTTCGTCAGGTGTGAATGCCCGAAGGTCTGCAATTGGGAAGACCTTGGAGAACCCTTCCCGGAACGCCTTCGCTTGCAGCTGAGCACCGCGCCCGATGATGGCATCGATAACCTCGTGAATATATTCTTCAACGTTCTCCGAAGTAACAGCAATATCACGTCCACCGGGCTGAATCGTGCTATCAGCTTACCAGCCATGCCAATATCTGATATCGGAGTACTTACCTTGAGTTCGATATCGTAACCAGGTATTGTGAAATCAAGCGCAAGCTCTTCGATGTCCACCATACCAAGCTTGCGACGAAGCTAAAGCAAGAAAGTCAATACAAGATTACAATGTCATTGTCACAAAGAGCACACACCTTATCATTCTGTGCCTTCGTCGCACTGAGGTTGCGGAGTTTTACCAATGACGCAGCAAGGTCAGGATCGACGCGCTGCAGAGGGAATAAGCGACACGTCACGCATGCTCTGGAAAAGGTCTTACCTTGAGATTATCGATGGTCAGAGCTATAGTCTCGCCTAACATGAGCTTGACAAAGATCTTGTTGAAGGAAAGATCAATGATCCGAGAATCAAGCATGGCCTTGGCTACGAATTGGCCAATGATTCGGAAAATGTGTGTACGTTTCCTACAAAAATGTTTGCTCAATTCACATTAACCCGATCATAAAGCCATGCACACTTACTGTCCATTGTCATTGACTATATCGCTAGAGCTGATGGGAGCCGGGAACAAGCCATAAGGGTGATGGACGTATTGACCAGAAAGCGTGGGATCCGAGTCTCTCCAAATCTTCAAATCACGTCGAGCGAACTCTTTAGAAACGAGAGAGTAGAACTCGAGCGTTGGTCCCAAGCCGGTTCCAACTTCCTCGAAATACTCCACCTCTAAGATAGATGACGAAGAGCCATATAACTCGAAGACCTTGACAGCAGATTCTAGAATATGCTCTCGAGAGATTCGGACCTTCTGTCGCTGTAGACGTCCTAGGAATCCTACGCCATCATCACGCCTTGAGCTGTCTTGCCCGCGGCTCTGCTGACTCTGCCATTTCAAGATGAGACGAGCATAGCCAAAGGAGGTTGACTGCAAGAAGTTATATCGAGTAGCGAATGGGAAGAGGAATGGGAAGTGCTGGGGCAGATCTAAGGCCCAATCTGGCAAACACGAACTAATAAAATGTCAATTGGATGAACAGTAACTTGAATTTGATGTATATTTACCTTGCAACGATCATAGGCTCCTCCAGTTGTCTTGTGAGTTTCGCCGTCAATTTGTTGTTGACGAACGCCGATTCCGGGAGTGCTCGTTTAATGACAGGAGGTACCGGTCGTTCATTCTCGGCAGTATTGAGCTTATGCAGAACGCGAAGGAGGCGCAAAATCTTCGATGATGGTGCATCATCCGCGAGTAAGGATATTGTAGGCCCTGGCGAACGGCTCCGTACTGAAAGGTCGTCTGGTCGAGCTTATACAATGTGAGAAGAGGGAAAGGAAATGGTAAGATATGCGCTCACTTTCTGGGGCTTTCGCCGGGCCAGGAACCTTCTTGAACTTGACTGTATACACATTCTGCCAAATCATGCTGGGGGCTGTAGCATTACCAGCCTTCTTCTTGCGAGCCTCGTGTTGGTGAATCGCTCCATAGATGGTCAACTCCAAGGGTAGCTTCTGGTCGTCCATGAAGAATTCCAGGTGCCAATCACTCGGCTTTGTCTTCAGCGCAGTGGCATAGGAAGCCTTCGGTACCAGCGAACTCCGTGCAGCAGCTGCAGAGGGGCTGATCTTGGCAGGATTGGGAGTTGTTACACGAGTGCCTTGTGGCGTTTGGGCCACGACCTTGGATCCATCTTAGACCAGGAGAGTCAGTATCGTACCTTGCACATTATAATGATAACTTACCATCGCCAACAGAGACCGTCACAGTCTTATCAACAGTGTGATTCTCTAAGTCTCCCTCGTCCTCAATCACCTGTGCAGAGTGTTAACCAGAAACGCAGAGAGCCACACTACTCAACATACCTCAGCGTCGACATCTACTTCATCATCAGTAAAATCGCCATCGAACTCATGATCATCGTCATTCACGACGGTTTCACTTGGTGTTGGCTCCGCACTACCAAGTGCACCAGAGCCTTCGGAGGTAGGAGCTGCAACAGAATCAGCGTCCGTCACACCTGTCTCGTCAGGTGCATTAGCCTGTACAGATGCCTTTGCACTGAGACGGAGGCTCCGCCGACGCCCAAGGTCTGCCCCGGAAGATGAGCTGGATTCTGCTGGAGGCTCAGCCGGTTTGGGTACTGGCGGAGGCTCCAAGCTCGAGGATGCACCACGAGCAAGACCGGAGAAGGCGGCGAGCATACTGGACAATCGGGAAGAGCCAGACATTATACCGGCTACTCTTGGTCGGAGATAATCGTGTAGTGCTTGGAAGGTAGCAATTGCGTGGATAGAGACAATGATGTTGCTGAGATTACGTGGGATATCAGAATCCTCAGCTGCAACCAGACGTAAACGCAGCTGGCGAGCAAGTAGCGAAGGTGAGCTCCTCTTGGAGTCTGAAGGAGTACGTTAAGAGGCTGTAAAATTTCATAGCAACAAAAACTCACCATCTGGGCTTTGCGACACGGTGACAACATCAAGGTTCTCCATGCGGGTGAGACTCTCTTGAAGTTTCTTAACGAAGATACCAAAAGGACTGTGTCCGCCTTGAGCATTCGTGATTCGTCGCGCATTGAACGCTTCGAAAAAGAGCTCTTGGCGTCGCGTTATGGATACTGAGAGGATAGTGAGTACGGTCACACGCAAAAATACAGAAAATAAATATACTAACCACTACGTTCTGAATCCGTGAGGAATTGCAATAATCCATCGACCACACCACTCTGGAGCAACTCGAAGCTGGATACAGACGTATCAGCAGAAGCAAACAAACTTGCCAACTCAGCAAGAGCAGGTAGGAGGTCCTGTTCAGAGGTTTCCGGGTCGGAAATACGAGAAACCAGACGACTAAGGGTGGCGAAGAGATCATCGGATGAACCACTGTCATCGCCGCTGAGGTATTTGAACTTGATCACTCGTGAACGCATGGTGATAGCATCCTCCGGGTCGATAGACAGTGACGTCAACTTCCGGTAGCCGGGCATCGTAGCAGCCAGGGAAGAGGAAATGGGCATGTAGGTAGGCGTGTTCGACTCTGCAACAGACGAAGTTTCCGAGGAATCCTTATCTTTGTCTTTGTCCGCTTCCTTCGACTTGGAAGATATCAAAGGACGAGCAGCGAGAGTATCGATCTCATGGAAGACTCCTTCTCTACGGAACGCAGGTTTGTATTCGGCGGGAACCTTTTCCAAAAGCATCTCGACAAGCTGTAAAGCACCGATGACGAGAGTTGGATGATCTTTCGATGAAATAATCGATGAAGCAAAGCTGGCCACCGGAACGAACTGCATAAGATATCACGTCAATCAGTTAGGGATCATACGACAACTTATGGAAGAACATACCGTGAATACTCGCTTTATCTCGTCATCACTCAAGAAACTGACGGCCTTCAAGAGACCAGTCAGAGTCTTGATTCTGACAGGAGTAGACACGCTCGCGGCATAAACGTCGACAAGAATAGGGACCATGCATTGCATGAAGCGGCCAACAACTTCCGGTTTTGAACGAAGCAGCTCAGTCCTATCTGGAGGTGACTCTGGCACCACAGGGGCCGGAGGGGCATCTTCGCCTTCGGCGGATGGTTGAACATCAGCTTCAACGTCAGGGCCCGGGCTGACTGCGCGAGAGCCAGAAGCAGAGATAGTCGAGGGAAGTGGAGCATTCAAAGACGGGAAAACGGCGGGGATTCCCAAAGCAGCTTGACGAGCGGCTGCTCGTTCTGCCTTCGCCTTCGCCTTTATCATCCTAGCGAAGGCCTTCTCAGTGTAGCCTCTGTGGTCGAATATGCCGTCTGAAACATGTAGCCGTTAAGTATACAATACAAAAGGAGATGGACACCACATACCTTTGGGAATAGGAGGCATCAATTCTGAAATCAGACTGAGAGCTTCTTCGATTTGGTCCTTCGGTCGATGAGCAAGATTCTCCATGACAGTCATGTCCGCAAGTCCTCCACCCAAACCCTGACCGACCCCAGAGTCGCCCTGTTCTTCAGTACCATTTGTCGCTGGTGGCAACACACCGGTCAAGATTTGGTACAAGGTGTCAACGATACCCGCTTCAAGAATAACCAAGGTAATCTTAGGACTAGCACGAGCAGCAGTAGCAAGAGCACGAAGGAGTAAAGTGAAGGTGCTAGCTGCAATGAGCGAAGAACCTCCTGACGGAAGTAACAAAAGGTTGATGGCCTTGATCAAGTCGGCATCGACCAGCTTCTCTAAATTCTCGGGAGAAGCACGATGGTAAGCGTCGATAACACGAATGATACAAAGGCAAGCATATTCCACTAGACGTTGGTCCGCATATCCAAGGCAATTGCGGATGATTGGCCAAACACCGAATATCATGGAGAAGTGTTCAACAGAAACATTGCGACAACAGTTTGAAGCCGCTTGTAAGGCGGTCCGTTGCACAGCAATCGAAAAGAAATCGAGGTAATTGAGCAAGGCAGCAAGGCCGCCCTCACGAACGATCGCACTGGGGAATTCTTCAGATATCTTCTCCAGGGTCTTCAAAGACGATAAGCATTATTCCGTGACATCAACAAAGAGGACTTACACTCAAGGTCTGCTCAGCCAAGTCGATGTAGGATATCTCGATCAGTTTACTACACAATACGGGAATCGCACCGTGATACACGACGGTGTGAGCTACACCAGGTAGTGCCTCCATCAAGTTAGCAAGACATCTGCAAGCCAACACTTGGGCTTCCAGATTCTCGTCTCCGTGATAGGCACCACCAGTACTAAGAGCCAACGCGGCAGCAAGCGCTGCGTCTTCGTCAGTCTCGCGCTCCTCTTCATCTTCATCGCCTTCATCCGAATCGTTGCCAGTTCCACCGAGAATTCTGACGAGTTCGCGAACAAATGACTCTACTTGAAAAGAACCAGCCAGAGTGTCCTCCGTACTGATACTTAGGAGCTCGCTCAGCTCTTGGAGTGTCAAGAGACGAGTGGTAGGGTCGGCTGTTCGTTTTATATTGTTCAGCATCGTCTTGAGTCGACCGGATAACCCCAACATATATGAGCCCAACTGGCGGAAATCGCCAAAGATCCCCATAGGTGTCGAGTCGTCGTGGTGTATGCCACCTTGATCCTGCTCTGCCTGGTCACCGTCTTCATCTTCATCATCGTGGTCTTCGTCTTCTTCGTGCTCAGGACTATCGTTTTCGTGTCCATCGCCCTCCATCTCCTCGTCGTGATCGTGTTTTTCATCAGGGTGCCTATCATCTGTCGCCTCGTGCGCGCATTCAGCGTCAAGCATTTCAATGTCCTCGTCTTCGTGTCTCGAGGACGAAGCAGCAAGTGATATGGCCTTGGCCTTAACTGCTGCCTTGCCCTTGCCTGAAGCGGGCCTGTATGGAATCAGTGCCTGCGTGGGATCTATCACGCCTTGAGCAACACACCTTGACTTTTTCGGCATATCGGCTTGAGGTTCTGTACGGGATCGAAGGGAATATGTTCTAGTACGTTTGGTAGAGGATGAGATTGAAGCTGTCGCTGTCGTTGTTTCGTCTTCGTCTGAAATACCTTCGGGTGGTGCACGTTTCTTGCCTTTCACGTCTTTCACGGGCTCCTGAATAGTAAGCCCAGTAGATACGGGGTAGGTGACACGGCGTGCTCTGCAATGAAAGTAATCGTCAATGCGCTGCCATAAGGTTTGTTCTCGATGAATCAGCCACACCTCTTGCTCGCTCTGCTCGACTCCTCAGCAACCTCTTTGCCCTTACCCTTGCTATTTGCACGGGGTCGCTTTGGGGTAGAGGACGAAGGTGAAGCTTGTGTGGGTGTATCTTTCTCCTTCTGCTTGGCCTTCACCCTCGCACTGGATCGCAAAGTCTTGGATTCGGATGTGGTAAGCTCTTCTGGATGCGACGTTGATGGACTACTTGATGTCGCTTGTACTTGTTGGGTGATGTCCATTTAGTGTCTGCAGCCTGCCATGGATCCCTGCAGGTGTTGGCAGTGGAAGTAGAGAGTTGGGAAGAAACTTAGTGGAGGTAAGAGTCTGAGGAAACGCACTAGCCTGTGCGGTACCAATATAGGCGCTGACTAAGCATTTCCATTTTGGGTCTCATTGATGTAATTACTTAGAGTAACAGCTCGGCAGTAATTTGATATTAACACTTGCTTTCTCTTACACTCACTCACACTGACTTGCTAGTCATGGCTCGCAGAAAGAGGCAACTACTCGAAGACGACGACTCGGATTCTTCTCTTTCTGACGAGGGACACGACGACTACGACGACACTAACGATCCGGACGCTCGTGCGGAGCGTGAACTCTTCCAGAATCCTTACCAGCGAAAGAGACGTCGCAAAGACAGCAGGGAGGATGCCATCTACGGTGTATTCGCAAGCAGCGATGAAGACGAGGGCTTCGGTGGTCGTAAGAAGGCCCCGCCCAAGCGGAGTGACTGGGCGAAGGCACCTGCATTCGTGTCCGGAAACAAGGTCGACCTGGACAAGGACATGAATGTCGACGAGGGGCTACCGTCTGACTCAGACAACGACAAAATTGTCGAAAATGGGAACGAATATGATGATGAGGAAGAGGAGCTTTCGAAACCACCGTCATCTCAAGTATTAGAGGAGCCAGAACAAGAACAAGAAGAGCGACCTAGGTTTGGAGGAATAGGCTTAGGCAAGTCGAAACCTGGTGGCCCGAGCGGCTTCTCTGGCTTCAGCAAGGGAGGAATAGGTTCATTCAAACTATCCAGCATGCTTGAAACACCGCAAGCCTCGCCTCCGCCTCGTGAACCGTCCCCCATAGCCGTAGTGCCAGAGAACCTTCCCTCTGCCTTTGGAGCTTCTCGTACGCAAAGGTCTTTCCTCAGAGATGGAGGCGTTAGCAGTGGAGCCAGTACGCCCAGGCCAGTTACCCCGCTTCCCGCAGCTGAACGTCAACATTTCAGCAAGCTCGGCGGTACGTTTGGTGCCCGCTTGCTTGAGAAAATGGGTTGGCAGGCAGGCACTGGATTGGGTACGTCTGGCGAGGGTATCGTGATACCCGTGGAGAGCAAGCTGCGTCCGAAGGGTATGGGTCTGGCGTTCAAGGGCTTCAGAGAGAAGACGGAACAGTCCAAGGTGGAGGCGCGTCGGCGGGGTGAAATCGTCAGTGAGGAGGAGGAAGAGGCGACGATCAAGAGGAGTCGCAAAACAAAGGTACAAGTGCAAGGCGAGAGGTCGGATGCTTGGAAGAGGCCGAAGAAGGTCAAACGAAAGGTCGAGCACAAGACGTACGAGCAGATCATTGCAGAGGCCGGCCAAGAAGCCATTTCTGCGGGCATTGGCCAGATCATTGATGCTACGGGTGCAACGGTATGTTATTCCAATTCTTCAGTGTATTCGAGACTGACGGTTATGGTCTGTAGCCTCGAGAGATCGCGTCCCTTGCTGAGGTATCCATAGCATCATGGACCCCCACAGCAGAACCCATGCGACTTCCGGAACTCCGGCACAATCTTCGACTCATCACAGAGGCTTGCAAGAACGATTTGGATGGGCTCGCGCGGGAAGCAAGGGCTCTCGAAGAACGCAAGAAATGGGTCCGGAACGAAGACCAACGCCTGCGGAAGCAGGTCGAGGAGGAGGCAGAGTGTACGTTGTCATCATTTGTGTTGTGCAAATTCCTTTACTCATTCTGCTCCCAGTGATCTCTAGTTTACAACAAGTGCACCTTGTTGTCGATGACATCAACACGCAAGCAAAGGAAGCGTCATCGACTTATGAACCCTCTCTTGAACCATTCTCAGCCAGCTTCGATAAACTCGTTGGACATTACCCCAAGGAGTTTGACAGGTATCGTCTCGACGAGATTGTGATTGCGGCCATTGCGCCAGTGGTGCGTCGGATGCTAGCTCAGTGGAAGCCTCTCGAAGAGCCAGCAGAGTTCACTGCCAAATTCCGGTTGTGGAGGAAAGCTTTGAAGATGTCTGTACCTGACGAGTCACAACACGACCAAGTACAAGTATACGGCTCAAGTACTGTCATAACGACATCGGCGCCACTTGTGTATGTACCTTCGTTCTTTTCATTTGGTGAGTCGCCAACTGACGCGATATCCAGCGAGAAACCAATGACTCCATACGAGAGTCTAATTTGGAACGCCTGGCTACCAAAGGTGCGATCAGCGATCAATAATGACTGGTCTCCAGAGGACCCTCAGCCTGCTGTCCGACTGTACGAAGCTTGGTCGAGTTTACTGCCTCCATTCGTTAGAGACAACTTCTTTGACCAGCTTATCCTGCCGAAAGTCCACAAGGCTGTTAGCGATTGGAATCCACGAAGGCATCGGGTGCCGCTGCAGAGGATTGTTTTCCCTTGGTTACCTCATATTGGCTTACGATTGGAGGATGTGCTTGGCGATGCTCGACGGAAGGTCAAGAGTCTCTTGCGCGGTTGGGTCGTTGCGGATGGCATGCCTGAGGACCTTATGGTGTGGAAAGATGTAAGTAAACCAGTACCTTTCTCTTTCAATGTTTACTGAGATGACGTTCTATACAGGTCTTCAGTGCCGGCGACTGGGACGCAATGCTGCTCAAGTATATCGTGCCCAAATTGGGTGCTCGACTGAGAGACGATTTCCGCATCAACCCACGTCAGCAAGATATGATACCCCTGCAAGATGTTCTGGCGTGGGAGGGTGCCCTGAGACCTTCAATATTCTCTCAAATACTCGAGACCGAATTCTTCCCGAAGTGGTTGGATGTGTTGTACATTTGGCTCATTCAACCCAAGCCCAGTTTCGAAGAGGTCTCGCAATGGTATCAATTCTGGAAACAAACGTTCCCCGAGAATGTTCAGACCATGCCAGGCGTCGCAAAAGGGTTCACACGTGGATTGCAGCTGATGAACAAGGCTATCGAGCTTGGACCAGAAGCTCCTACACGCCTACCACGTCCAGAACACAAACTGGCCCCGTCTCCTTCCGCAAGCGCTACTGTATCGAGGCAGGGTACGCCAAAGGCACGACCTTCCAGGACACAAGAGATCACCTTCCGTTCCATTGTGGAAGATTATGCTTCGTCACATAACTTGCTGTTCATGCCTACCGGACGAGCGCATGAAAAGTCGCGAATGCCGCTTTTCCGAGTATCGCAGAATGTGGATAAGGGTGGGATATTGGTGTATATCCTAGATGACGCGGTATGGGCTCCGGATGGTGATGAATACAGGGCGATTACTTTGGAGAATATGGTGTTACGAGCGACCAAAGGGTGATAATATTGTATTGTATCAAATAGTATCTGTAGTTTATATATCCACGCTAGTGTATTATTCATGGTGATCCCTCCACCGCATCCATTGACTCTAGGCAATCCTTTCATCTCATACTTTCTAGACCTATATGTAGTACATTTTAAGAGTGCTGTACGCGTATACGCGCGTAGTACACGGCGCGTCGCGTCCTAAGACGATAGGTGCACGTGCGGCGACCCGGCGCTCAAATCGCTCGGCAACTGCCGGCTGAAGCGGGCGAACAATTTGGGAGGGCAGGCATACCACCGAGGCCGTCGCCGTCGTCAACGTCAAGACCGCAAGAACACAAACATGGTCAGTATGAATATCCTAGACGAAGCTACGAAACTATATCCTGCTGCTGGAATGAGAACTGGACCTTTGCAACGGAAAAGAGAGGCTGGATGCTGACGGCAACCTCTGGATGCACTCTGGCGACCGATGCTCCTTCCATGTTCTGCGGCTCTGGATGTCAACTTGGTGCTGATTGCTTTGCGTTCGTTCACTGTAGGCACGAGGACCCAAAAAGCACTTGAAGCGTCTCGCCGCTCCCTCCTCATGGATGCTGGATAAGTTGAGCGGTACTTATGTATGTTTTGGCTTGATTTTTGCGACTGTGCGACACCAGGTTTAAGCTATCTATGTTGTCAGGCTCCCCGCCCCTCTCCTGGTCCCCACAAGCTCCGCGAATCCCTCCCTCTCACTATCTTCCTGCGTAACCGTCTGAAATATGCTTTGACCGGCCGCGAGGTGCTTTCAATTGTCATGCAGCGATTGATCAAGGTCGACGGCAAAGTCAGGACCGACCCCACTTACCCTGCTGGTTTCATGGGTACGTTAGAAGGTGTAAAATGTGTGACATTTTAACTGAACTTTTCGGAAAGATGTCATTTCGATTGAGAAGTCGAACGAGCACTTCCGTCTCCTCTACGACGTTAAGGGCCGTTTCACCATCCACCGTATCACCCCGGAGGAGGCTACCTACAAGCTCCTCAAGGTCAAGAAGATGGCCATCGGTACCAAGGGCGTTCCTTACGTTGTCACTCACGACGGCCGAACCATCCGCTACCCCGATCCTGTGATCAGGGTCAACGACACCGTCAAGTTCGACCTTGAACAGGGCAAAATCACCGACTTCGTCAAGTTCGATACCGGTAACATTGTTATGATCACTGGTGGCCGTAACATGGGTCGTGCTGGTGTCATTGTTCACCGTGAGAAGCACATTGGTGGCTTCGATATCGTTCATGTCAAGGATGCTCTTGACCGGACGTTTGCCACCCGGTAAGCCAGTTTTTGTTTTGATATATGGAATCGAACTCATTATGTGGTTCAGTGTCACCAACATTTTTGTCATTGGTGAGGGTACAAAGCCCTGGGTATCACTCCCCAAGGGCAAAGGTACCAAGCTTACCATTGCGGAGGAGAGAGATATCAGGAGGAGACAGCGGGCGGCCGAGCAGTAAGCTTGTGGTGTTTTCTCTTTTCCATCCCTATCCCGGTTACCTGCATATGCCATGTATTGTATGCCCTTCCTACGACGCTAAAACCACGTGCATGCATTCTCCTCGGCGCGGTCACTTTTGATCCCATGTCACCTACATCGACAGTAATCCATTCGGTTCGTCTCGTGGTCACACTTCTTTTGAAGCCTTATAAGCTACCGCCGGAGCACCTGGCGGCGCAATCGTAGTCAAGCTGAGCAAGCCACGACGGTTACGGTCGGTTCGGCTGCTTATGTTGGTGTTATCCCCATTGAACTTCTCATTCTGAGAATAGGACTGCTTCAACAATCCCTAACGCCTAAAAATCATCTGATGTCTGCTCCCATTCTACAGATCAGAATCCTGAGTGCTTGAGGAGTCGTTCTGGACGTTATCACCTCCTAGCTGGTACATGCGGTTGGAATCATCTCAGGTAAACATTGCCTGTTTGGCTCGAAGTTACATCTTGTGACTGCATAGTTTTTGGCAGAATCCGTCCGGCGCTCAGGGACCCGAAACGTTTACGTTAATCAATGAACAGGTACTATGTGTTGGTCTCAGTGAATTATGTCGAAGGCTCATTTCCGAAACGGGTTTGTGTATAATACTTCCTCCGAGAACCCGCAGAAGCGGTCTGAGAGACGAATGAAACCGGTATAAAAAGCTAGTTGCAGTCGCATCCATATACCTCACCCACCTGCTTAGGCGTGTAGCTCACAATGTTGAGAGCCGCACTTCTTTTCGTTGTATTATTCTCTAGCGTACAGGCTCAAAACCAACCACCTAGTAGTTGGCCGCATGACTATCCTGGCAAGCCGGTCGGAGACTTCAGTCCAGCATGGCAAGACTGTAGGTCCTTTGTTTGACACATATCAATGGTTCTGTGACTGGTCATACAGATTTGCAGGTCAAGGGCCCGCTCCCAAACGTGACGTTCGATATGCCACGTAGCTTCGCTGGCAATATCGGTGTCAACCGAGCTGGCCATCCCAACAATACCTTGTTCTTTTGGGGTTGGGAAAAAGACCAGGGATCTCTGACCGATGCGGATAACACTGACCCGTGGGGTATTTGGCTGAACGGAGGGTAAACGGTCCCTTGTGCAGTGTTTATACCGAACGCTCAATGTAACCCTGTACTGCCAGCCCCGGTTCATCAAGTCTTCTAGGCCTGCTCTTCGAGGTGTGTTCAATCATGACCCACAATACATCCGACTCGGCTCCAACTTTCGATAGAATGGACCTATTCGCATCAATGGCGATTATTCAGCTTCACCCAATAGCTTCAGCTGGAATCGCCTTGCCGACTATTTCTGGATTGACCAGCCTGTGTAAATGTCTGTTATAGGTCTGTGCTTAGATGTTTTTGACATTCGTAACCAGTGGAACTGGCTTTGCAACGGCCGATTCGGAAGGATATGGTATGCCTGCTTCTTGAGTGTGCGTCTCCAGGACGGAACGCTCATTGTCGCATAGCACAGGATGAAGATGAGGTTGCGCGCGATTTCGTGAGAGTTCCGACAGATACCTTCTGACGGTGACATTCTAACATGCACGTTAATCCCAGTGGGGCTTCGTAGAAAACCTCGTGAAGGTGTTCCCTAACCTGAAGAACCGCCCACTGTACCTCACGGGCGAGAGTTACTCAGGACGATACATTGTACGTGGATTGCAACACCAAAAATGATGATGGCGGCAATGACGATTCTCTCAGCCCTACATGACGAAGGAATACTTCGGATTGTCCAATCCACCTGTGAAGCTCGCCAAGATCGTCATCGGTGATGGTACCATGGCTAACCTTCATGTCTGCCATGACCTTCCCGCAGTAAGTACCTAACAAGCATGACTGGCATTCGCGATGCATTGACTACTTTCAAGACTGCTGTAATTAATACATACCCTCAACTCATCTCCTATGACCCGGAGGTATATCAGTATTTCGAACAACAGTGCGTGTCCGACCTAGGGTGCTGTCCGTGCTATATGTCTCACATTTGTATTGGCAGGGAGGAACTTTGCGGATATAATGTTACTTTGACCTATCCACAGAATGGCTTCTTCCCGACCATCAACCCCGCCGATCCGGAATCCCCGGAGGCCAAGAATAACTTCAAACTTCGCCAGTCATGGCGGTATCTCAGCAAACGTGCCCTTGCCGCGAATATCCATTCCCGCAAAACTCAACTGGTATCCAGGAATACTGACGCTTTACAGAAGCGTGAGGCGGAAAGACAACAGTGGAAGAGGAATCTTAGTCAACGGGCAAATGGGACTATCGACCCTTTCTACGCATGTTTCTTGGGCGATGAGCTCATGGAATATGCGTTGAATTTCTCTTTGCCATGGAGTAAGTGCCCATACAGCCTTTGACGATTTTGTACTGACCATACGCTCAAACAGGTCTGAGCAATTACACCGGCAACCACGATTGGGAAGCTATTAATGTGAGTCGGCACACTTTGCCGCTTGACCCTTCACCTGTGGGTACTCACGCATCGTTAGGTCTACTTTGTGCCCGACGCGTTCGTTTTCGTCTCACAATATCGCTTGCATGCGGCTGATCCTCTATACTTCATAGCCTGAATCCAGAATCGCCTCTGGACGGAGTCCCGTTCTTGAATAGTACGTTCGTCTGTTCCCTTAAATTTACCCTAGTATTCAACAGTCCTCAGACAACGTCACTCGAGCTGCCATCCATGCCCCTACGTCTAAAAACTGGAGTCCGGGAATCAACTATCCCTTCGGTGCGTCTCTTTGTTGATGTTAGTAGCATCATCGTTCATAGTCTGACTGTATGTTATATTACAGGCGGACCTGACGGTGTAGATCCAAGTAAGTGTCCTGACATCTCTTGAATGTGCTGAACTGAAGAATCGCTATCACAGGTCCTGAGTATATGCATTACCTCAAATGTCTGGGAGTCTCAACTGATTCGTCCTGTAGATCTATGGTCTTCCTCTCCGAGCTTCACGCAAACGCGTCGAAGCATGGAATTCCTTTCATTTTCTATTCTGGCAATAGTGATGCACTTGATTCTCACCGTTCAACTGAAAGTGAGAAAGTGTTTTAACGTGACTCTTTTAATTTACTCAAGCCTTTCCTCACATAGTGACCATTCAGGTACAAAATGCTGTCGCACACTTCAGGAAGAGTGTACTGACACGCTCTTTAAGAATATGACTTTCGGGGGAATACAGGGATTCACTAGGAAGCCATCGACACCATGGTACGACGATGATGGCAATTTCGCGGGCATTGTTCATCAAGAGAGGAACGTCACTTTCCTCCTTTTCTCTACGGCTGGTCATCAAGTCCCCTTATATCAACCTGCTCAAGTGGGTATCTTCGATTTTCTCAGCCTTTCGTGCCGTCGCTAATACTTGGTTACAGGCACTCACCTTCCTACGCGAGTTTGTCCTGGGTGATAACCCGAACGGAACTGTCATCACCGCCAGTGGAACGACAAATGTGGTCGGAGGGGAGACCCCGACCTTGTTTGCGAACAATATCTTGCGGGGACAGGATGGAATATACGTTGGCTCCATAGTCACCCAGTCAACCTTCACCTACCCTTCTGCTACCATTGCAGCATGGGACAGGTTCACTTCAACTGCGTTCCCCACTCCTTAAATTGCTTCACAACATGGACTGCACGCATTATTATCACGTACACAGAACACTTTTGGTTTTACGCATGACTGAATTGACATAACGGCAAAAAAAGAAGACTCGACTCGCAGGTAATGAATGTTAACTGTGTCTATTGCCTAGTTGAACCAGCGAGTACATCACTGACTTTGAGTAGGCGTATGCCTAACATATTGGTATGATTGACAGGTTACGCACAAGCCGATCTCTGCCTCCTCAATGATATAACTGTTCCAAGAAAATTAGAAAGTTATGATACGTAGAGCCAAAAACAACGATATGAATATTAGGGCAAGAGCAGAAGTCCATACTAAACTAAACAGAAAGCAAAACGGAATTGACCTAGGTCATCTATTCGTCCGCAAGCGGAAACGTAGCAAGAAAGAATTCCTCCACTCCCACTGAACCATCGGGACTACCAAGACGGGCTGCATTATCTACATCGGCACTTGCACACGCCTCACATGACCCCAACCGATGCAGTATTTCCGCAGTCAGGTCCTCCTCCTTGAATAAGCCTATGAACAGCCCCTCGAAATCTGTAGCATTCACCATCATCCAGAACGGCTGTTCTCCAGCACTCAACAATGAACGGTATAGCTCTGGAGCTAGCATCACAGGCTTCCATTTCTTCGTGTCTGGGTCACAACGCCATTCCACACCTTCGTTCAGAGAGATGGCGGTGGCGGAGGGGAAAGAGGGTGAGAGGAGGTCAACGATGAGTTGATGTTGGAAGACGAGATCGAATGCCCAGACGACGTTGATCCCTCCGAAAGGTAGGAGCTTGAGATGTCGCATGATAGGTTTGCGCTCGTGCACTGTGCAAAGCGCTCTGAGGATCTACGGTCGCAATGACAAATATAACAGAGTAAGTTCTTGATGAAAAGGCGAAAGCCGTTACGTACCCCACGACAAGGCAAGGCAGACAAAACAAGAGGCAAACAGACGACCAAAGTATCGACCTTAGGGATGAACTCATATAAAGGCAATTCGGAGTACATCGCATATGGTACCACGAGTTCCTGTAGATGCGAATTATTATTCGTCGGCGTGAGCGGACTGAGATCTACATTGTCGTAGCATTTGGCGAACATCCAATCCTGACTTTCCACCAGGTTTACTGAAGTGACGGGTCGCTTAGGTAGAAGTTGTGGGAGTGTAGGAGTGGGGCAGTGAAGTTCCTTCAGGTTTGGTAGCGCATCAGGATGAATGTCGAGTAAGACAGGTGGTGGTGGTTCATCGTCTTCGAAACCTCCACTCTCAAGCCATAGCTCCGTTATGGTTGGAGTGCGATTAAGGAAGTCGGACAGAATAGATGCATCCCCAGGAACCAGGGGTATCTCGAGACATTCCAAAGGGATTTCCATCTGTTTCTTCATAACCTGCCTTGCCAACTGGCTATCTGACGTTTTCAGTATACGAAGCGCGCTTGTAGTGACGAAGAGCGCCATCGACTTGCGATAATATTTGAAGTTGTCAACATGACCAAGCTGAAGTTCGCGTAAGCGAAGTGGTCTGTGGCGAAGCATCTCTGAGTTCGGCTGCGGCAACGGGTCGGCCAATGGCAAGAATACACATTCCTTGATGTTCAGAGAACGTAGGTTGGGCAATTGGTATACCATAATCATGAAATCATCAGCGATGGGTGTGCGCAGAATGTTGAGCTCTGTTATAGAGGAGAATCTCGAGAAGGTTCGCAGGATGAGGAGCCCGCACTCGGACTCTTTCCACTCGTCCGGATCGTCCTCATCTCTCCAATTACTGAGGGTGAATTTCTTTACTTTCTTCATCAAAGCACAGGCACTCTGGTCTCCCGATGAAGCTGCCTCGAACCATGCGTTATGCGGGCCGTATGACATACTAGCAATCTCGCAGTCATCATCTCCGTCAAATACTAGTTCATTGAACAGCTTGGGGGTGACCATGGCGCAGAAGAACCGACAGACGAGGGTAAGGCTGAGAAGCGATGCCTTATACTCCGAGAGAGATTGTAAGTCTGGCTCATAGACGAATTGATCCAATACGAGGAGGTATATGTCAATGGGTAATGGTGGAAGTGGAAGCAGTTTTGCTCCCACTCGTCTCTGAGGTGCTACATAGTGCAGCATATAAGACGCCATTGATTCGAAATTAGTGATTGGGGAACTTACCAGTCCAGGTTGACACCACCATACTCTTCAATGGAGGACGAACGCAAGGAATCCTGGTATCTGAAGATCTCTATTATATGCACGAAATCACTGTCAAAGCAACCTTCGTGTGATGGGTATTGTATAATTTAGGAGTATACCGAAAACCACTGGAAATGGGTAAGAACAATCCAGCACGTTGTTGGGGGATGTAAGGAGACCGTCGCCTAATGTCAGTGTCAAGCAATTCATTAGCTTTGGCGCATTTACCTCACTTTCTCACACTTACGATTAGATTAGATCTTGTCCTTCAATATTCTTAAGGACAATCGACACAGTCAAACTTATGTCCATTGCTTCTGCACACTAGAGTCCTGAAACAGGATCCAACAATCGAAGAGCAAAGAACTATTTGAAGATGTATCTTTCCCCACATTTTTTCTCTAGAGGGTGTCCTAAGCTACCGCGCGTGCTGCTGTAGGCGCTTGTGTAGATGATCTATTTTTGTTCTAGTGCTTGACCCCATCTTCTCCGCAATCCACCATCGCGAGAACAATCCTTTCAAATTTCCTTCTTTCAATTGCACGACAAGCTCTTTCGTTGTAACGTCTGCGTCCTAATATTCAGTGCCATGGCCAAAGCTACAGAGAAATGTATTTACCTCACCCGACATGCTCAAGCCGAGCACAAGTATGTCATTTATACCACTGCTGCGTTTAGTTGTGAGTGTGGACGTTGACAATGCAGTTCATAGTGTCGCCAATGATTATAACAGTGTGTGCTATATCCCCCATCATCATATCCTCAAACTATATATTTACTGAACACCTCGATCAGTTCGCGATGCCCCATTAACTGCTCTCGGCCGTCAGCAATCTGCTGCTCTTCACGAAGCTACAAAGGATAATATACAGTGGACTGCTGAGCTACTCGTCAGCAGTGCCTTACGTCGCCCGTTATCGACCACGGTTATTGGGTACCCGGAGTTGAGAAAACGACTAGAGGCTGAAGGGAAGAACGTCGTTGTGCTGCCTCAGCTGCAGGAGGTACGTTGTCAAGTGTTCAAGCGTGACATACTCATAGACTAAGGGACACAGTGCAACGATCTTCCTTGTGATACTGGATTAGTACGTGCATTCTTGTCTTGCAAAACCAAAGTCATCTTACAGCAAGCCCTAGCCTCGTGAACAGCTTGAAGCCGACCCCGAATACGCCGGCCTGGACTTTAGCCTCCTTACACCTGACTGGATGTCAAAGCGAGGATTCTACGCCTGCGATATGTCCGCTCTCGAAGCCCGTGCACGCTGGAATCGCAAGTGGCTCCGATCAAGACCTGAGAAGGAGATCGTTGTCGTAGCGCACGGAGATTTGTTGCGATACATCACCGAGGGTTACAACTCTCATAGAATGTGGGAGAATGCAGAAGTCAGGGCTTACACATTTCTTCGTGAAGAAGAGGAGGATGAGGACGGGGAGGCATGGCTAGTGCCCTTGCCGGGTAATCCTGTTGCGATGGAGGGTTCGGCTTCGCCGACATCTTCTGAGATAGGATTACCTTTGGTATGAAGAATCCGTGCGATTGATCTTGGATATCCTCGTAGAAGTTTAGATGCAGCCATGTATACATAGATCCACGACAAGTTGTAGAGTTCCGAAGAATATACCGACTTTAGACATCCTCGACGTAGTAAGTGGTACTATTCCCTTACGATGCCTGGTGACCAGCAAGGAAATGTGGAAACAGAATAGATGAAGTCATCGACATGTCCATTGCAAGCGAGGCACCGCACAGCTGATACTCAAGGTATTGAGCTGAGCAGAGAAGCGTCATGGTTAGTCCGATACATGAAGTCGGGACACGGTGACGACCGCTACAAATCGGGATTGAGGTCGAGGTCGAGGTCAAACACTTGGGCAGCTTGACGATGATCAGGCCTATACGGATGGACACCTGGTCCGGCTCCAGGACCAGGGAATCCAACCGACTTCGTTGGGGAAACGGTTGGTGCTATAAGAAAAAAAATACCTGACTCAATTCTCTTCCACATACAGAAGGTATAAAATAACGTACGCTTCCCGACGGGGTGTGTCTCGCCCAGAAGTCCAAGGGGCTCTTCTTCGTTCATACGACCCCGACGCATCTTCTCCTCGTTTGGGAATGGCGGGAAGAACAGCGGCGGGGGAGGTTGACCTGGGAAGGACATGTCTGGCATGTTTGGTGGTGCGGAGGTGAAAGCAGATATTCGTGACGCGTATGTTAGAAGCTCTGGGTACGGTACAGATCCTGAAAAGAGCAAGAGGTCCAGTCATAACGCATTGAGAAAAAGGATCAGAGTTAAACATACTAGCGTTCGCTTCCTCGATTGCCTTCATTCTCTCGTCTCCCTCTACAATGATCTCCTCTAGGTCTTTCTTTCCCTTCTCCAGGCTTTCAACAATCTCCCTCCATCTTCCCTCCAGCTCCAGCACTTCATTCTTCAGCCTCTCGATCTTGCGCTGCTTTACTTGATGTCTCCTACTTAGTTGAACTGCAGCAGCAAGATTCCCATCTACGGCGAAGAAGGCTGAGATAGGTGGCGGTTGGATAGGTCTAGCTTGCGCTGAGGACAGGGAAAGAAAGAGATATTGTGCCAGGTTTTGAAGGTCATTCAGTGGCGCTAGGAGGGTCTCGGACATTGAGGCGGTTGGAGGCGTGTGTGTTGGCCCAGGTACGTTTGGTATACTGGATTGGCTATAGCTTGGGGTGAATATAGACATTTGCGAACTAGAAGGTCCGGCTATGGGTTGGGAGGACATGATGGCTGTCGTGGAGGAGAAAGGAAAGTTAGAGAGCTCATCGTGTCGTGCGGTGGAACTACTTGGTGATCAAATGCTCTTGTGCAAAGTACGATCACTCAACGCGTACACTCCGATCAATTCAAAGACGGCAATTGCAGTGAATAGATTAGCCCACTTCGCCGGGGAGTGCGAGAGCAAAGCGAGGAAGTTACAATAAATAGGTTGTACATTCTATACCCCATCATAAATATTGAGTCCAAAACCTACCAAGCGAATTAGGCGATATTTCCCTTCAAGCTATCCGCAGACCCTTTGTCATCTTCAAGTTCCTCAACAACTGACGATGAAGACGTACATCCACCCAACGCCAAGGCCCTGAACCTTCGTATCCGTTCTGCAACACTAACATGAGCCGACTTCCTCTTCGCTTCATCCTTAAACCTCTGGTCCTCTATGCCGTATCTTGCCGCGTATGTGTCAAGTTGTTGGCGGAAGCCAAGGTTAGGACAAATAACTGCCCGTTTGGAAACGACAAACCCCATGGCTTCATTGGGGGGCATGGAGGTAGTAGCAATTAGATATGCGCACACGACCGTTGCAGATCGTGATATGCCCATCAAGCAGTGCACCTAGAAAGATCATGTAACGTTGAGCGTATCCAGAAATTTGAACGATAGCGTGATAGTACACACAAGTACTTTGTTCTCTTCATTTTCTGCCAAGGCAGTTTTTATGAAATCCGTCGTAGTATCCAGATGATCCAAAATATTGGCATCGGAAGTATCAGCAAGGGGTATATGTAGCGTCTTTAATCCCAACTTTCGAGGGAACTTGGGTGTCTGCTCGAGTACGGAGATAACATGTGTGATTCCAAGCGATCGTAACTGGCTTTCATCGCGGGCCGAAAATAAGCTAGAGAGGTATAGACGAGGTAGAATGAGAGAAACAGCGCGACTGGCAGCCATCCGGGTGGCTTTTGGTAGTATGTGTGCTTGCCAAGTAGGCGAAGAGAAAGCGACCATATCAGCATTGAGGCAGGTCTGAATCCGCATAATTTACGACGCCCAGAGGACAAGATGAATGACATTGACACGTATTCAGGCTCGCCGTTGTCGAGTACCTGCATTGGCAGTGTAGATGATGTCTAACATATCATGATTGAGATCATTGCTACGTTGTTGATCAGTCTGTCCTCGACTTGTCGACCTCGGACCTGACTGCTATGCGAATATGAATCTAACGAGTCCCAAAGAAACGATACTAAGTGTATGAGATAGATAGCTAGAGATGGAGATGAAATGATACAATATTACAGCATGAGATAGCACAACAGAACCAGATGAAAGAACTAGATCATGAAGTATACACACGGTATGGGACGACAGGCGGACTACCATTCGCCCGCTCTAATTGCGCAAATACACTAGAACAGACATGATAATGAGCACAACGTCCTCAACGAATTCCACAAATAACGTACCGGAAGCGTTGCATATCAACCTCGGACTTGAAAACCATAAAGAAATGCGAATCATCGTGAGTGTCCATAGACTCGCAATTGTCACAGAGATCCTTAGCGCAATAAACGCAGCGGAACCATTCCCCAGTGATACGTTGCATACAACGATCACATAAGGCAGAAGGATGATATAGGCTCTGTAGGTACTCTGTGCCCCAGTCATATCAGTCTATGCCGGCATATTCTAGAACTGGAACTGGAACTGACCTTTGGGGTTCTGCGAATTGAAAACGCCACCAGGCGGGCCAGCTGGGCTCCTGTATAGATGAGGAAGCATAGGGAAGTCGCACTCTATTTGCGTGTTCACTGGTCGAGGTAACTTGAAGAATACATGCATTGGGTCATGCACGACATATGAACGTGCCTCGCACGATGCACACTGTCGAGTCACATCATTAGCTACTGCAAGCAATAGCATAGGAGGGATATATGCTGACCAAGCTGTACGAGTTCGGTTTCGAAACACAGTTTGCACATTGAAAGCGGACGCCTCGAATGGGCTGCATGAACAAATTAGTGTGATGGTTTTGAAAAGTTATAGAGAAGCTAAACTCACCTTCGTGCATTCACTACACCGTATGCCGTGATCTTCAGGATCCATACCTGAAACAGTGGCCACATCCAGCGAAGACCCTGAACCCGCCATCACAGTGCGAGCATAAGATGATAGAAGCGAATCTCGTCTTGATCTCGGAGGAGTCTCGAGGTTCGGTGCATCGCGATCCCACAATTGCTTTACTCGCCGACTCGCAATCTGGAGTTCGTCGCTGGGCAACGGGTATGGAATCTATAAAACGATATGTGAGTTCAACGGAAGGCGATTGCATGAGGCTGATATACCTTGATCATGATGTGAGAAGAGCTATGACCCCCATCCGCCGAGTCGAGGTTTCCTGGTAGACCTGCCGATTCGCAATTCGAGCAAATGTCGACAGAAGGACAAATAGCACAATGGAATCGTGCTCCAACAATGTCGAGCATACAGCTGCAAAATTTAAGAGATCAAGATGTGTCACATATTGTCCAGGGTACTCAAGCTACTCACTGAACACACTTCACTCCATGAGTCATGGCTTGCGAAGCATCATGATCAGCTTGGTTGGCAGGGAGAGGGAAACGTTGAATGTAGCGCTTACAAGGTTCTTCATTATCCGCAGGTATTGGCGGCATGTCCATGACTGGCTCACTTCTTGTGCGTGCGGGCTTCTCAGGTATCAAGAGGAAGGCATGAGCAGGATGCACTTCATGCACTTGACTGTCGAGATAAACGTGCCAATTAGCGAAGTTCCAACGTGTTTACATCAGTCATTACTGACCTGTAACAAGCCCTACAAAGATTGAAGTTCTTGCACGATGCGCACTTGTACCGCTTATTCACGATGACAGTGCCGCATGCAGAACATTCCGGGGAACGTACGTCATCTTGTTCTAGTATTCGTTCAGTAAAAAATTCCAGGGCTGCGTATCTCTGTAGACTCACCAACATCGTCCCAACCCCTCGGACCCCAAACCTTCTCCAAATACGCATGCCTCAGCTGTCCCTTCCTCTTGGGTGCACTTCTTCTCCACTGCGATAAAGCCAACTCTGCATCTTCCGGACTCGGAGGCCAATCGCCCGACCCAGGAGAAGACCCAGGAGCGAGCGTCATTTCCAATGCATGGATCACTCCCGCACTCTCGATACAACTGAAACAGAGTTCGTAGCCATTTGAACATGTGTCGACGGTCCTACCGGGGATGGAGAGGTAAGAAGAAGAGGACGCGGTTGAGGATCGGGGACTGATACCAGAGGTCGGTTTGGCTGGAGAGTTGATCGGGATCGCGGGAAGAGGTTTGTATGGCTTCTGCGGTTTGACCGCATTGCTGTCATGGAATGGGTTATCGTCGGCAACGAGTGTCCATGACGAAACGGAAGGAGAGGCTGAGGAAGAATATGCAGGACGGCGGGGTGGATAGAGGTGGTCGGATGGTGGAGGCGATACTTCCTTACCCTTCCCCTTGCCAAAAGACTCCGCATCACCGTTTAGAGATGGCGAAGAACACGCATTTGGAGGTTCCTTCTCTCCACACGTTGAGCACACATACCGCAGAGTCTCGAGAAGAGCACCGCAGTTTGAGCAATCGGTTGGATTCACCGGAGGCGCCAGCGGGGTGGAAGTAATGAACGGAAGCAACTCTGGCGGTATGTCCAGTGAAATATGGGAAATAATGGGTTCAGAGTTGGCTCGGTGGTTCACAAGCTGTGATGTAGACGCAGTAGCACGACGCGAGAGGTCGGCCAGTGGGCCGGTGTCTTGCTGTTGCTGGAACCAGTTGACTTGCATGGATGTCGGTCGGCTCTGAGCGGCGTCGGACGTATTGGGGTTGCTCACATCGGCATCATAGGTGACGCTACTAGAGTCGTCGTATCCCGAATCACAGCTGCTCTGCGCCACCGATGATCCTGCGGTATAGGAGTAGTAGAACTTGCCTCGGGGGTCTTTGTGCAAGTACAATTCCCCGCTCATAACTGACCGAGTATCGTCGGCTTCACTAAGTGAGATTTGATCTGACTCCGATTCCGAGGGTTCAGGAAGAGTGCCGAGCATAGTCTTGATGGTTCGCGCGTTCTGGTCGCGAAGCCATGCTGCACCGCGTTCGGATTGCAGCGTGGATGATCCATACGAAGAGCTAGGTGAACCGTTTAAACCCTCACTGAGCTTCAACCGCTCGAACACTGATGAAGGATCTTCTGCAGGTTCCTTGCCATTCATGCTTCCTCCTGGAGACAACCTGCTCGGAGCTGCCGCCACCTTCTGCTTCTGCATGTTCGGCGACAGAGGTACGCTAGAAACCGTTTGTTGGTCCCAGTCGCTTTCCGGAGGTTTAGCAGACCGTTGGATGAGAGGTTCCCTACTTGGGCCTGACATGATCGTTTTTGGACCTGCTCGTGCTCGGAATATGTCGTACTTGGAGCCCATGTCCTTTGAGCTCACAGTCACCGCATCATCTTCGGGTTCGGCTGATAAGGACGAGGAGAACGAAAGCGAATAGGCACTGCCATTTCGATCCTTGAACTCGTCAAGACTGACAAGAGAGGATGTATCGGAGAGACTAGGTCCATCGTAGTCGACAGAGATCTTGAACCTAAGTGTGATCTTCCCCCTTCCGAAGCTACGACCTGAGAGAATGGATGCTGCCGAGGATAGAGGCTCGTCGGAGCCAGCATGGAAATATCGAATTGCTTCGGTGAGGTCGGCGTCCGTCGTGATGTCAGTGGTCTCTCCGTCATCGTCAGTGTAAGTAATGGCATAAGAAGTGGCCGACAGAGCATAACATTGCTCAACCTACATGATCAGTCCATGAAGATCGACAGGAGCCAAGATAACAGACGAAGTCATACCTTGTGTCTAAGCAAGTCAAAAGTACATGATCGACTAGACGAGAAGGTTATCCGTTTGTTAATTCCATCGTAATGGACCTTTACGACCAGAGGCTTGTCAGGACGTTGTTCTGTCCAAGAATCACGGTCTGAGACACTGTACGCCGACATACAGAGTCATGGAACTGCGCAAGAGTGCTGTGTGAAGTTGCTTCAGCGCTTTCACCACAAATGTCGGCTCGGATGCAGTGACCGCTCCGCTAATTTTAGATGGGTATGTATGAACTTAGGTCCCTCGCTGGGTCGTTTTTATCGTGTTGATAGAGTGTCTATGTCGCAAACAGTGTGGTAGGCAGGGTGAGTTTCAGCATTATGGTTGAGTAAATTCAAAGAGATTTGGCCTAATTTAGATATTACTGGTAAGCGATTTACCGTGACGAAATAAAATATCAAAATCACAATCGAACTATTTGCCAATCCTCCAAGATATTCTGATGTCGACTTCTTTTAAATGTTTCGATACCTTGCCCATGAGACTTTTCAATGAAGCATTGTATCATTGAGAGAATGTGCGAGTTACATTTCACACTGCCAAAGCTCACTAGAGATCAGGCGCCTATTAGTGTCTTGGTCCGTGCGCAGGGCCTTTGGGCGTGGGGCTATATAAGGGCGGACGCAACGAGGGAAATCTTCATACTTACCTTGATGGCACTTGCCCCTTCACGTCCCGGGTTGGTGGGCCGTGGGATCACTCCATAGCACGGCGACCTTGTCCTCAGAGGGAGCCTGCGGTTTGTATGGGCTCCGGCTCATGCACCGTCTCAATATTTCCCTGTCCTGCTTCGGCCCTCGGGCTGAGCAGGCCATTATTTTTTGCTCCTTATTTGTTCTAACCCTAACCCTAGTGCAATCACAATTATATATCTGATGTCTTTCTACTAGTGACCTTTCTATTGATGCTTACTTTATCGTTATGTCGAAAAGTTAACCGTAGTAATACTCTGAAGTTAACGGTAATAAGGCCTTCTCTCTTTACTACTCACTCTGTCAGAGTCGGATCTTGCCTGCCTAGCCGTTGTGCCTATCTGTGTCACTAGTCTGTCACCTGGGCTTGCACATTTATAGGCGTTAGCATGCCTCTGACCAATTGATGTCATCGTTAGTAGCGTGAATTCCGAGCGGTGCATATACATGAGACTAGGTAGAGTATAGTTCACAAGTACATTAAGCAGCTCCGCCCTCCTCGTCGACGATGACCACAGCCTTTCCAAAGTTCTCGCCCGTATGGACAGACCTAAGAGCTTGCTCCGCCGATTTCAAACCCTGGAAACGATGCTCACGCAGCTTGATGTTCCGAGCTTGAACCAAAGGAGGAATCTCCTTGTCGAACTCTGCCAACGCCCGTCTTGCATCGTCGCCGATGCCCATGACGAAACCGTGTATGGAAAGGGAACGCTCGAACACCTTCTCGAAATGCTGTAGTAAATGCGCATGGTCAGCAATTGTCCTCTATGTGTGGTAGAAATGATGTGCACCGACCTTAACTGCACCTTGATCTTCGTTGTAGGAAGAAATTGCACCACAAGCCTACATTTCCGCATCGTCAATACAGCCGCATGTCACGATATGGGATGGAATACCTACAATGATAAGACCAAACGTGCTCATGTTGCACAGCGCAGCATCCAATGTGGGGCCAGACGCGTTATCCCAATAGCTGCAAGATCGTCTCAGATGGCTAGATGCATGATGCCCGAACAAGCTAGACGTACATGTCGATAGGCCCATGTTCAGCGAGGACCTTAGCGGTGTCCGTCTCCTTATAATTGAAAGCGACGTCAACGCCGATAGACTTCAGAAGGTCAATCTTCGCAGGTGTTCCGGCTGACGCAATGATCTTGAGGTACGGATGGACGGTCTTCACATATTCAATCAAGAAACTGGCGCATAGCATCGAGATTAAGATTGGCTTGCCGATAAAGAGAGATGTGGAAGGCAGGACTTACGTGCCGACAGCACCAGCAGCAACACTAATATACAGTGTCTTGCTCTGTAACCATGCCTGGGGTGAGTGCGGACTCATGGAACAAATATGTATAAGGAACATACAGTCTTCGCTTTCTCTTTAGCAAATAGGTACCAGCCCTGATAAGCGGTTTTCCCTATTCACAGAAGATGAGTCACAATAGCTCGTCCTCAACATTTGTTGAACCTACCTGGCAAGGCGAGAAGACCCGCAAAAGCGGACATAGGCAAACCGGGCAGCTTTGGAACCTTCTTGCAATGCTTGAATGCGTGTGTGGTACTTCCCGGATACACAGAGTAATTCTCGAAAGCTAGTACATGAGACATCACCATTCGTATATCCATCATAGGAAATTCATTGAATGGTTTACTCACTGAAATAGCCCTGGACGTAGTCACCAGGCGTATAAGTTGGATCCTCGCTGCGGACGACTTTCCCAACAGAGAAATTATCGAGACTGTAATGGAGGATGTGATATTAGAATTCTGCAAGAGGGATCAGATGGAATTACACACGGCTCTCCAATCTTCAAGGGTGGCGCAAACAGAGGGATACTCTCATCACGCATCCTGTGACGCATGTATGGGTCACTGCTGATAGCGAGTACTTTCACCAGGATTCCACCATTCAGTGGAACAGTGTCGGTGTCCAGTTGCTCTTCAACATATTTCGTGTGCACCCCTGGCTCGTAGTAGCCGGTAGGATGCGCGACGTAGATAACACGACCGTTGGTGACCTTAGGCATGAGAAAATTCGAGTTTAGAGTGATGAGATTTGAAGGGAACTTACCTTCAGGCAATAGAACAAGGTCTGTTATATAGTACCTGTCGAAGGAAGGCCGACGGCCAAACTGCACTCAGCGCCGCTCAGTCATACTTGAGAGAATGTTCGTGAAACAGTGTGGCTCGCATAACCGAGGACTTGTGACCACTAAGCAATGAACTACAACCATTCGTGGTCAAGAAGTTCACAGATACCTGCCCTATCAGGCGTGGAGAGAAGATGGTTGATAAGCTGAGTGGAGTTGCAACGAGGTCCCGCATGAGACCGCGGGATTGCCCCTAACGCTAAATAAGCCAGATCGCGCATTTGTGAACGAAAAATGACCTAAAGACAGGGTGGCAGATGTACTCCCGAGTCAGTATGACCCATTCAAGAGCAGACAGACGCGGACATAGAACGATATCCGAACACTTACGTGTCCTACCTCTCGGCGGAGAGCACGGGGACTATGCTCGAAGAGTTCCTGGGCGAGATCATGAAAATGAGAATGTTTCAGGCTCGGCGCGGATTCATATGACGATATATGACCAAACCCAATGTCGACCGGCGGTCAGTACTTTAGTTATGACATAGCCGCTGTAAGTTTTAAGAGGACAGTCATCAGAAGGACGACACCCGTGCCTGCCTGCATGCGTTTCCAGCTTCACGCTCGTCAAACGTTATGCACCATTTGGTTGTTTTCCGCGGCACCGTACAAACTCCTTGATGGCTGGCGTGAAGGAGGTTCCGCAAATAGATTATTTGAGCAATACTACACTTGCCGAATCCGGGCTTGCGAGAATGATTTCATGGTGTGATCGCGTCGATCTCCAGATCTAATTCTTCCTTAAACTTGCCTTCGAGCCTCGGTATTTGTGAAATGAGTGAGGAGCGTATCGAGAGGCTGGTGCGCACATGGATAGCTACTGAACAGCAAGAGGAGGTTGATGCCGCTGTCGCTGGCAAGTGACGTTCTTTCTGAGACGTTTGCACCTAATTCACCAGCATCCTAGAATTGTCGAGCGGAAACGCTTCTTTACTTCCATTAGTGAAGGCACTGGGTGAATACCTGACTTCCGAAGAAGATGATCAAAGAACAAAGGGTACCGTTTTATTCTCAACTGTGCCTATTCGACTTCTTCTTGATATATGCAATCCGAATCAGGAGTCGAATTCCTATCTTCTGTCCTGGCTCGTTTCCCCCGAGAGAAGTTGAATCGTCAATCTGGTATGCCAGTTCTCCAGGTATGTGTACCTCGTGTGCTCATCTTCGTCCCGTTTAATCAGTGCGCGTCTTGGTAACATTCTACTGCGGCAAACTTGAAGATACCGAAACGATTATACCAGCCTTGAAGGGACTCGTGGCTCTAGTTGCAGCTCCAACCTTCACTTCGACGGATGCGGTTGAGGTTGTGAGAGCGTGCGTACCATTATCCGTTAACGAAATGTTGGCTCTCAAACTGTTCTTAGGCTCTTCCGACATGTGAAGATGAAAGTGCTTATCCAAGCCCAACGCTTTCTTGTATTCACCATCATTGACACGCTGCTTGCGAACCACCGCGAGGGTGCGATGAATCTATTTTTAACAGTCACACCTATTAACGTGCTACCTCAGCTTTCAAAGGAATGGTTAAGGAGTTCCTAGACGGATACATCGCAATAGCAGAGGGTGAGAAAGATCCTCGGAATCTCCTACTGGCGTTTGCTATTGCGCGAGTGATATTGATCGAGTTTGATATCTCTGCTCATGTTGAGGTCAGCTTCCCGATATACGACTTCTTATGCTATGCTTACTTCGATGATGCAGGACCTTTTCAATATTACGTTCTGCTATTTCCCAATAACATTCAGGCCACCGCCGGATGATCCATATGGTATAACTTCCGATGATCTGAAGAATGCGCTTCGGTTAGTCTGATGTATTTCACTTTTTTGAGTGACTGTCTTACTGGTTTCTCTCAGTGCTTGTCTTAATGCTACGCCTTCATTTGGGCCCTGGGCGATACCCCTTTTCTTGGAGAAGGTAACGGCAGGGTCACCTGTCACAAAGGTAAGCTGCCCCCTTATTGCCTCGGAATCTATAATAATGTTGTCTATGCAGCGAGATACACTTCAAACCCTGGATGCGTGTCTACCAGTGTACGGCGCGTCAATGGCACGCACGCATGCTCGAAAACTATGGAACACCCTTAAACTTGAAGTAGGGCTCTCCAACCTCACCGCAAACTAAGCTAATCTTGATCATCTCTTGCAAAACATGCAGATCTTCCAACCTACTGATCCTGAGACCGAAGCAAAAGCCCTGAAGTCGACACAAATACTAATTCAAACTATATATGCTAATGGCGCTGACGGCGATAGCCAAGAGATCGAGGGATTAGCAAAAGAAGCTTGCGAGGAATGCCTACGCATTCTCAAAGAGCCCGAAAAGAGTCAAGCTAAGCCTGCGACCAAGGTCTTATGTGCTTTCATGTCCACCACTCGTTCGTATAACCTTGTCTCTATATATGCGTATCCGCACTGACGGACTCTCTAGCTTCCGTCGCCCGATTCACCTTGTCACAAGCCATCCCTCACTTTGTCAGACTCTTTTTGGACCCAGATGAAGCACCCAATCGGGCACCTACCCTTAGATTACTATCGGACGTCGTTGCTGCTGCGCGAGACTCTACTCTCAAGGATTTGGAAGTACTAGATGAAGATGAAGAAGTACCTCTCTCGCCGTACAAAGACGAAGTGCTTGGTGTCTTCAGCGTCGGGCTCAAGAACTCCGTTACTTGCAAGCACGCTCTGGAGGGATTAAGAAACCTCGTGACAACTCATGGATTACTCTCTGATGAGGAGCTTGGATTTATCGTGCATAGCGTCAATGAGATCCTTCTAAAGGAGGGTATGGAGGATGACGATATTGGGTACGAAAGGTTTGTTCCAAGTCATGTGTCTTCCGCTCATCGTTATTTCTGTATGCAGAGAAGGCATTCTAGAACTGTTCATAGCTATCTCAACCACCGCTCCGCGGCATGTCACGGAGACAACTCTACCCCTCCTCTTTAGTTCTCTTCCAGACCGCGCTCCTCCTCGATCAGCGGATGCAGACAGACTCAGAGTTTGGCATATTCTGGCTTTCCTCAAGAAACTATGCATCCAATCCGACTTGTTCGAGATGTTCGTAGTCCGATTATCAACTAAACTGGATTTGGTCTGTACACCTCGAACAGCCGCTGAGGGAGAAGAATCCGATGTCGAGCCTTCTGCTGCTTACGCACACTCCATTTTGCGAACGTTGGCAGACGTCCTTGCCATCAAAGTGGATAAGGAGCATCCAGATGTCGCGAAGTACATCGATCGGTTGCTTCCTCGGTTATATCACCTGCATATATACTCGGCGTTGTCTGCGGAAGAAAGTCAAGCGATTGCTACTGATGAACGCTTGGTCGCTGTCTCTGCCGAGATCATTACTTTGATTATGCAGGTCCAGACTGCACAGTACGTCTCGATATCTATTTGTCTGGCCATATTTGCTGATCTGCGCGCAGGAAGCAAGACGCTTTCATACAGAGTTTGTTTGCAGCATATTTCGAAGGGCAAGCGAGCCAGATTGCAGATGGTCAACCGAAGTTGCCGGCTGACAACTCGTTCAAGCCATTTGAAGTAGGTCTTCTTCTTCCCCTTGCTGTTGAAGAAGACTTGATGAATGTCATTTCAGCCTCAAGTGGATCCTTTACAGAAACACCTTGTCCCTTTGTTCTCTGCTGCAGTCGTTGCACTTCGGAAAGAGGTGTGTAACTTCGTAACCTCTAGCAAACCGTATTCATTAATCGTCAAATAAGGTTGCTTTTCCAACTGAGAACGAGGGAACTGTACTTCACTCGCTGCTACTATGGAGCCTTGATGAAGCCCAAACTTCACTACAGAGGGATGCATGTAATCATGCCATTGGGTCAGTTGTGAACAAGAGGGCAGAAGGACTATCATCGTTCCTGTCCGAGGAGTTGGACACCTTCTGGTCTGCGAACATCGCGGATACATCGGTTCCAGCAGAACGTCGTCGTAATGCAATCTCAGCATGGATCTGGGTGAGCGAACATTCTCCTTTATGTCTTCTCTCTAATCATGATTCAACTTTCCTCGTAGATTGCCAAAGCTCTGCTAATTCGCAGGCACAGTACCGCGATGTCATATGCGGAACGTTTATTCGTCTTGTTCGATGACACTGAAGTTAGCTGGGACGCAGCTAGGGCAATTGGTCAGATCGTCCGAGCCGACAAGGTGCTCACGAAGAGAAACCACGCGGTGATCAAGGTCAGGCCGTACCGTTGTGCCCGTTATGCACGCGATGCTGAGATCGTGGTAGATTTTGTATGCGCAAAAGTTCTTTAATGCGTTACTCCCTAGGATTGTGGAAGGCGCGAAAGCCCCGGGTGGTAAGAGTATCCACTGAATATTTTTGATATACTCCTCATATCCTCGCGTTCAGATCCTCGCCGACAAAATGCCTACTTGGTGGCGCTCACCTCCCTAATCAAAGCAATCCCTAAGACGACATATGCTCACGAGCTGCCGACGGTAAGTTCTTCCTTCTTGCGCTTCAATTTGCATGCTGACTCGTACTTTTAAGCTGATGCCTCTGCTTCTTCGGGGCTTGGAGCTGCCAGATCCAGAGATACGAGCGAATGTCATTGACACCTTCCTCGTGACGGCAGACCCAGATGCGAAGGAGAAGAGTGCCATCTCAGAACATGCCACTAGCTTAGTGCACACTATGCTGAAGAATAGTATGGTTTCTCAGCAGCCATCCGTGGTATGTCTTAGAAGCTGTCTGAACAAGATTTAACACTCACATATTCATTATGGCGCTACAGCGTTTGAGGGTATCCGCTTTGCGGTATTTGGCAAAGTTACCAAGCCTGGTCCGATACGATGTGCTGCATCCTCAGAAGGCAACCGTCGTGCGCGAGCTAGCGAAGGCTCTGGATGACCCAAAGAAAGCCGTTAGGAAGGAGGCAGTGGAAGCACGGTGCGTCATCTTCACTTTCTATCTAGTCGTGCAAGACTGACATACATCTAGGACGAACTGGTATGAATGAAGCCAGGTATTCTGTCGCTTGATGCCAATACTGACGTTATCATTGTTTAGGTTCAAGTTCTCAGGTTAAGTCGCTGAGGGTCTATCTGTTGCAAATGAAAAGGAACTCGAAGTCTAGGATGCAAGTGAATATAAGTACAGCCGATGAAACATTGAACATGCAAAAGTGAAGGAACTGTAGTTTAGATGTATTAGATCCTCTGGTATACACTGTATGGAAGCAATTTCCAAGCGAACGAATAAGCGAAACATGAAGACAAAGGCATAACGTCAAGAGAGCAGCTGGCCGCAACCGTATTCAACAACAGTTCAAACCTCATGGTACACCTGCCATGATCGCTTTCGTCTTCATATTTGCGTCTGACAACGCTCGCTCAAATGCCTGCAAATGCTCCTGCACCAGTTTCCTTCCGTCTACTCTTCGTGGTGGCACGAACCCTGACCTCGAGGGAGTACTCGGGACTGAACCTGCAGGAGGAAGGTCTTCTGAATCCAGCAGTCCCGCTTCCCACTTCTCTATCTTCACTCTACTCCTTTCAGCACTTTCCCACTCTGTCCTCCACCCGCCCATCTTGTTCTTCAATGCACGAATCTTCCTCCCTGCTTCGGTCGTTGCGGCCGAGTTCACCTGCGTTTGTTCAGAGATGACGGCAAGGGATGATGCTACAGACGCAGTGAAGGTACGTAAATGCGCGAGCTGCGGTATCGTGTTGGCTGGAGTGGGTGGGCCAATAATCGGGGGAGGTGGAGGGAATGAAGACTTCACGGGTGATATTGGGTATGCTGATAACTCGTAATCCTCTTCGCCCTCACCACCCATACGTTCTCTATCGCGGTCGAGGTATGCCTCCCAGTCCGAGTTAGCATTTGCTACCTGTGAGGTGGAGAGAGGTTCTTCTTGTATAGCTTCCATTGTGCGATTGCGTGAATCTTGTTGGGTATCTTCCTGCCGTGTCGGTGGAGGAGTGTCTATGATATCGTCCAATTCGTCCAACTGTCCCAGAACGTCGTTTCCGCCAATCTCACCAGAGATCTTTCGGAACTCGCGCTCATAACCGAGCAACTCGCGAACTTGTCCTTCCCGTTCGCGAGCAGTATCATCTATTCGGCGTATCATGTCCGATGCGAGTTTCTCCAGCGTGGACGCGCCATGATCGCCATCCAGACGGCGTAGTTGTGACAAGAACTTTTCGGTGTACTCGAGGTCCTGAGCGAGTACAACCATGGGATCCTGCTCTGGCAGTTTCGTTTCTTTGTGAGGTGTAGTGACCGGACTACTCCCAAACGCTGGGTCAAAGTCTGGTGGAACATCGATGGTGAATGTAGGAGGCGTTCGAGGATGGTCAGAACTTTCCGAGAATGTATCAGGTGAATCGCCTGGGTATGGAACGTCTTGTTCCCTCGGTGGTTCGTCATCTATGCCCTCGGCACCCTCATCATACTCTATACCAAACTCTTCCGCGAGCAATCTCGACCCCGCACTGGGCTCTGGCATTAGTGCCACTGCGAGCTCGTGTGCCAAAGAGTGCCGGCCATTCGCAGCATCCTCGTCCAATGTCTGCACTAGACTTGCTCCTCGTAATGAAGTTGACGATCGTCGACCGTTGATAGTTTGTCTTGAGGAAGGCGATTTACGCGGTGATGGCGCGAGAAACCTGGAACTTGAAGCACCGAACACGTCCTCAGCACCGAGGGTATCATATGAAGGCATTGAAATGAGAGTGAACGAGACTATAAGCTCGCTTTCCAGGCTGTTGGACGATGAATAGAGAGACAGTTGTTGAGTCGCGGTAAACGGTAAGTGGTTACGCGCCCATTGTAACCGCCTCCATTTTGGGCAGCCTGGACACAGTTGCCACCTTGTCTTTTGACTCAAACTTTCTATCCTGATCAAACTTTGGCTTCTACTTCACTTTAAGGAACCAAAGCTCAGACCGGCATCGAACGTCCATTCTATCACTTTCCTCAATCCAGCCGTTTATACTGATTGAACTCTAGGACATATTGTATATACAGCAATATGTTCCAAACATTCGGCTCGCAGACTTGGAACAAATTTGATCACTTCAAGGAGCAGTTCCTATACAAGAGTGACACGTTAGGTCAACTCAGGTCAATTATCGGAACGTTAAACCACTTGCCTTTGTTTCCACAAGCTGTCGAAGGCCAATTCGGCGCAGTATCACCGGACAGACATGCACCGGTAAACTGTGGGGATCCATTGGAGCCGGACCACTGCGAGCAGGAGACTTCCGTGAATGAACCGGTCAATGCACCGTGACCTAACAAATGTCATGAGTACCTTTCTAGCAGAGTTCTCTTGGAATCAACACCTACCGCTGGGGAAGAAAGCATTTGATCCTCCGGTGTCTTCGCAGATATCGAAGCTATGGTATGTATCAACTTAGAACATGTTGATGATCTTCTTAGGGAATCGACTTACTGGACTGGCTGCCCGTGCTGATTGTTGCTGTTGCTTTGCGACTGACCGCACCACTCCTGGTTTCCTTGAACAGGACACAAATCCGTGACTTTCACTACAATAGTCTTAAACGGACCAGGGAAACTTGGGCTGAAGGGATCCTGGGTCGCCGTAATGGCGAAGCACCGACCACAAGCGTCACCCGCGCCGAGCCCAGGCGCAGATCCAAAGGCAAGCTGGCTGACAGCAGCTGTAAACCCAGTTGCGGAGACTCCGCAAGCTACAAGTTCGAAATTGCACGTCAATCGACACCGCATACTATTCGGTGCCAGGGATGACAAAAGCATACCTGGCCTGTTGCATCCGGAGTAATGGGTGAACGACGCATTGCCAGACGGGTTCTGGATGTACCCTCCAGTTGCCCTCTTGTCGACGACAGTCAGCGCACTAGCCAGGCTGACTATGGCGACGAGATATAGCAGTGAAGTGATTTTGGCCATCTTGCACGGTGTAAATCACTCATCGTGTATTCATGCCTGGTTTTATATCAGTTTATTGACTCCGATGTTGGCCCCAGACCATGATGTGAAATATAAAACGACAGATCACGACGACTCGTGTGCTGGCCTGCCTATTCATGGCCGGTTCTGCCTCTCACTGTTCAATAGGATGTGGTGGTTGTTAGGTCACTTGCCTCCGCTAAGGACCCCGAAATGTTTCCGACGGTCACGAATGTAAGGAGCACAATGGGACCTATTTGTATATAAACTTGATGAGATTCGAGATATGTCCGTGCTGTTCATGATAATGATGGAGCTGAAGCGTATAGAAAACCGATACGAAATTAGCTGAAAACTGTGTAGGTGGCGTGAAAAGGAAGTTCGAGTATAGTCTATAGGTAGGGCTCATTGCTAGAGCGGATGATCTGCAGAGTATCCTAAGAAATCCCGACTATCAGTTTTCCGCGAACAAGAGTATGCGGGAGAAATGTTAATCTTCGTACATATACCTTTACGTTCTATTGAATTCGATTATTCCGTAATTCGAGGCATTGACTCGTAGCGTGCCTGAAATCTTCATCGCTGCAGACGCAGTACCCGTGAACGTGGAGATGAATGACCACATAAGAGCCGAATTACCGTTCCTGGACCCCAGGAGGAAGTGATTCCGACAGAACCGGATTGGAGCACCGACAATGTTTATTTTGAATACAGCACCGACCACAGGATCACTCTGAGAGAAGAACATATTCTTGATTCTCCAAAGATTACTCTGTGCTTCCCAGGCACACCTAAGTCTGAAGTGCCCTTTGAAAAAGTTGAAACGGTCCGAGGTTGGATAGGGCGAAACTAACGTGAGTTTCAGCATGCCTTGCAGTCAACCATCGCATTTGCCGAAGAGAAATCCAGCATGCCGACTTTCTCGCGGGGTTTGGAGAGGTCTCTGTAGTTTCCGCGATATCTCAACGCAGTTCGTCCATGGGAACTGGGCCATAAGTGCGATGTAATCCTGAGTATGAAAGGTACATAAAGTCTTGAGAAAGATTGACGTTACTGAGACCCACGAGCGGAGGAGCACGAACGGCCTCGAACCGTACTTGAATGCCGAGTGCGCAATGGTCCTATAGAAGATCTATGCCCTTGTCGAATTTGACATAGGAAACGTATTTAGCCGTGATAAACGCAAAGCCACCTCAATGCCGATAAGTCTGGCAGTCCATATGTTTTTCAAATCGCGGATCATCTGCAAGATTCGCAGAAGTATTCGGTTTCGCTATCGAGGCCATATCTATTAACTCGCTGATTATACTGCAAAAGATGGTAGAGAGGTACACTGTTATACGAGAAACTGAGAAATAGCATTTGAAGAAGCAAACTTCGACTCACGGAGATTTGCGTCACTGAGCCTGCTTCAGAATCGCCTCAACGAGACTGCGAAAATGATCCACGAAGAACTGCGCAAGAACATCGTCTATCGAACCGTTTGCCCAGTTAAAACACAGTCCCAGAGAACCGTCTTGCGAACCAACCGCACCCAACTTGATCGTAGCCCCGAGTAGAGCATCGCACTGTCCGAAGAACATTTCCCCCACCTTCCATTTCCGACCTGCCTCATTATCGGACTTGTCGAAGGGAAAAGGACCGACATTAGACAACTCGAAAGTTCCATGTCGCTTTTTCCCTATCTTTCCCCTGAAGAACGGTTGGTACCGGCCGAAGAGAAGATTGAGAGTGCCAACTTCCTGTCTGCACTTTGGCACTTTCTTGCGAAGATCGGATGTGGTACGTGCTGCATCTTCCCAAGGAAACCGTTTCGCCAGAGCCTCGAAGTCATCCACAAGCTCAGGAGGATATCTGGTGATGGGAGAAAAGAAGTAGCCTGCTGAAACGTGATCGCAGAATACGTCCGCTGGTGCTTTCGTGAATCGACGCAAGGAAATTGGGATGTCACTTGCAAGGTATTTGTATCGTTTCGGTGAATCCCGTAGGAGTGTGCTGAATACCATCACGGTAGCGGTGTGCAGGAAAGATGTAATCGTGCATTCATGAAGTCTGCATATCTTCAATAACGAGTCGGCTTGTTCCGGAGGCAGCGACCACAGTCGTGTACTGGTAAACATTGTCTCTTGCCGAGTCACTTCTTCTCCTGTCCACGAAGAACCGGCCTTCCGCCATCGGATGGGAGCAAAAGCATTGAAGATCTCCTGACAGATTTTGAAGAAAGAAAGGGATACATCCGTGGCCTTTTCCACTGTAGGTTGCAATTCAAGAGATTCGGGTATTGGGACGACGGACGAAGGCTCATCCTGTGACGGACTCGTGGAATTGAGTGCAGTCAAGAGAGAGCGGTGGAATGCAAGTCCACTCTGTCCATCGCCGATAGAATGATCGTAGTGAATGATCACTCTGTTATCCGGGAACACGCCTAACCGCCACAACGGGGTATCGGTAGCGTATTCTATTTGGTCCAATAAGTAGGATTCCGCAACCTCGCTCAGTTGTTTGCTGTCTGCATCGTAAAAACGGACAATTCGAGATAGATCCACGATCTTCAATGATACATAGAATGGTTGCTCCGTTCCTGCGTCGTGTACCTGAGTGCTTAGAGCGCGGTGTTGCTGTAACAGGAGAGTCAATGCGGGATATAGAGTATGTTTATCCAGACGACCCTCTCCGACATACTGGGCCGTGACAAAGACTCCAGTGTCAGCCCCTAGGTGTCCCCGCACAATGTGGAACTTTTCCAGAAGTCCTAAGGCAGATGAATGATTTCACCCTATATGTTATTAAGAACTGACTTACCAGCTTTCCTGGCAGGCTTTGGGAGATCAACCGGTTCCGCTTCAGCCCCACTCATATCTCCGAGTATAGGCTGCTGCCTTGAGAACGTTCTCTTGGAGCTGAAGAGCTGTGAGGGTTTACTCACACACCCGCATTCAGACGAACATCAAGTTTAAGTAACGAAAGACCAGACTGCGCTTAATTAGTTAGCGCAGTTTGAGTTACCGCCGGCAGAGTGGTACATCTCCCATCTGTCTTCCAGACATTCTCGTGAGAAACAGGTTGTAAGAGTATATGTCTGGACAAAGACGATGTGTATGTACAGTACATGACCACCTGGTCGCGAAGCGTATCCCAGTACTTCTGAACTGTTATCGAGAAATGTTGAGAGCAAGGGGTGAACCTATAAACGTCAAGCGAGGCCGAGTCAGGGCTTTGCTACTAGCCTCCCTGACGTAGAGCAGCCAGACACAATCGTGCCTCGCGATATTCCTGTCTGACACGCTGGAATGCTCGACGTGCCATGGGTAGCAATAATTGAAAAAGTGTACTCGACCACAATATTTCCAGTTGCTATTAGAAGAACTAGGCTTTCACCTCACCCAGCTTTTCAGGAGTATACTTCAGAACCGCACCAACTAACTGTTTGAATCCCTCAACCACCTCCTCCATGAACTCATCTTCAATCCCATCCTTCCCCCAATTCCAGCAGAAGCTCAGACTACCACTCTCCGCCCCCACGATGCCCAAGCTGATCGCAGGTGCAAGAATCGGGTCGCCCTGCGCGAAGAACATCTGGTCAATGAACCATCTCTCCTCCTCAAGGTTTTGGTACGATTCCTCAGGCGACGGCGGAGGGAATGGCCCAAGATTCGAAAGAGTCAATGTGCCATCACGCTTCTTCCCCATCTTGCTTTCAAGGTATGGCCTAATCCGACCAAACAGTAGTTTGAGCGATCCTGGTTCCCCTCGAGATTTGGCTATCTTCTTCCGCATCGCAGGAACCATCCTCGCTGAAACGTCCCAAGGAAACAGAATAGCTGACGCTTTCCAATCTCTCGAGATTTCGGGGAAATTGATCAAGGGAGGATAGAAGTACATCATTGACACATGGTCGCAGAGTTCGGTAGCCGGAACACCAGTGAAACGACGCAAAGAGACGGGTATCTCTGTGCACAAATATTTGTGCCTCTTCGGCGCGCGGTCAAGAAGACTGCTAACGACTACCACTACGGCAGTATGGGCGAATGAAGTAAGCGTAGACTTCTGGTCTCGACATATGCACATCAGCTTGGTGGTTTGATCCGGAGTTAAGTCCCAAAGTCGCGTCATGGTGTACGCTGTTTTGTCACGAGGGACGTTGTTTCCTGTCCATGCAGATCCTAATTTCCTCCAGGATACAGGTGCAAAGATTTTCAAGTATTGGTAACAAGCTAGCGAGAATGGGACCGACAATTTCGTCATCTTCTCCAGCGGCGCGACGAGCTCGAGCGTATCCGGGATGGGCACAATGTCGGCTAGTGGGCGAAGAGGTGTTTCGTCAGAGTTCAGCGCAGAGAGCAACAAACGATGGAAGGCCAGTCCACTCTGTCCATCTCCGATTGCATGCTGATAGGTAAAGATAACCGTGTTATCCTGAAGGACACCCATCTCCCATAACGGCAGAGCTGTTTCGAATTCAAAAGGTCGCAGGAGATATGAATCCAGGATGGCATCCAATGGTCTATCGTCCACGTCATGGAAACGGACCACCTTGGATAAATTGACACTTCCGAGGTAGACAAATGTGGGGTGTTTCGATGATGCGTCGTGCACTTGAGTACTGAGAGCACGATGATGTTGTAGGATCTCCGCGAGCGCCGGCCACAATGTCTCTCTATTCAATCGACCGCCTCCAGTATATCTGGCAGTGACAATGACACGGGTATCAAAGCCGAGCCTCGTCCGTTGTATGTGGAACTGCTCAAGCAAATCTAATAACGCTTTAGCCGTAAGGCTACGAATGAAGATACTGAACAATTTACCAGCCTTCCTTGCAATGAAAAAAGAATTAGTTTTCACCTCTGGCATTCTGTAAACGTTCTTCTGGCGTGTTAATGAGGAGATGGATTAGAGTGCACGAGTGAATACACTCTCACATGAGTCTTATAAAGCCCCTACCCAGGCCATTTAGGGGTTAGAGCTGTTTAGGTCAGGATCTTGCATTGTGCCGGCTCCGAGGCTGGTGTTAATCTAATACCAGCCTCGAACACCAGCCTCGCGACACCAACAATATTTGAAACCCCCCAGAGAAGTGTATGAGGCCCGAATTCCCGGGCCAGGCGGGATTCAGGTGCGAGAAACGACGATGTGAAACAATCTCTCTCTCGGCTGCGAAGCCTGGAGCTTCATGGTCCATAGCGTGTTCGAGATGTCCGGAAGCAAAATCAGCGATTCTGTCGTATGATGCGAGTTTAGACATGCGGGATAGCAAAGAATGCGACGTACGTACTCTCCAAAGGGTCTCGGTGATTGTTTTTTTGACAAATAACGAGTGTAACGGAAGATACCGACAATGAACGATCTTAGTGAGTCAGTGCACGAGCCTGATAAGATAAATCGACGAGTCGACAACCAGTCAACCCCAAACCCACTGGTCAGCTGAAGCTGCAGAACAGGTAGAAAACCGAAGGTGTCAAAGATAATAAATTACAATTAACATAGAGTGTCTAGGCCGCGACATCCAGAGACGAAAACAAGGTATCAATCGTCAGCAAGAGCACCGGTATGTGGAAAATGCTGAGTTAAAAGCCACACAATATCAGTCTTCGTCACCAAACCAGTGAGCATTCCTCCTTGAGAGAAGAGGACATGACGCAAGTTCTGTGAAAATATATGAATTCAGATAAGCAGAGATAGGGGGCTAAACACTGACCATTTTTTGGAACATATTTACGACTAACTGTAATGGTACTTCTTTCCGTAACTGCAGGACAGTATCATCCAGCAGCCCTGACAAGTCGGCTATTTCGGGTTGGCTTGCAGCTAACTCCTTGGAGAATGTACATCGGCGTTCCACACCTGATGTCGCATCCTCCGCGAGCAGAGGTTCTACCATTGTGAATCAGCATTAAACGGACGTTTGGATCATATTTGGGACTCACCGATATAGCCTTTCGCCTTTTCAGTGACGACATATCCAAGCAACTTTTCGCCTCTCACAACTGGATAACCATGGTATCCGTGTTTCCTCAAAAATGCATCTAAATCCTTAAAACTGCCTTGTTGCTCGTCTTGGATGACAACCAAGCTTTCCGCTGGTTTAACGATTTGAGCTGCAGTTTGCCCTTGGTCACGATATTCATCTGGTGGTAGCCAAGGATATTGGCGCATTGCGATCCAGACAGAGTAAATACCATCTTTTCCCAAGGCGTCGCCGACCCATTTGGATACCACAACAGAGATCATGATTGGTAGCACGTGAGAGAGGGCACCAGTAAGCTCAAACAAAATGACGACCAAAGAGACTAGTTGATCGTATGACATTAGATACTCTTGAAGCCAAAAAAAAAAAACATGAACGATACTTACTGGTCATTCTAGTAACGCCTCCCAACATCGCAGAAGCCCCGATGACAGCGTAGAATCCGGGCGATACGCATGGTATAGTCGGATCGGGAGGACAAGCAGAGAATATCCACGCTTCAGGATGAGCTCGTTGAAGTCCTTGACTACGGTTTGTAAGATTCGACATCCTTGGGGAGCGAACGGAAAACAGATTATTCACGTACGTCAAAAGTCCCATCGCACGCCCCAAACAGGCCCCAATCGCGATGGTAGGCAGGAATATACCTGCAGGCACCTTGTATCAAAATCAGCATCAAGGCCAACAGAAGGTCGGGTTTGAGTACCATCATCCCAAATGTCCAAGCTGTCAGAAGGACCTTCGTCATTGCCGTGAGGATAAGCAGGAAAACATTCTCCCACAGCGCAGTTGGACTATGGTGCTCATTGTCAATACCTCGTCATGAACCACCGATCTCGAACTCACTTGCAGAGACCATGATAGTCTCCCTTAGCAGGATCGCACTCTTGAAAAAGCTGAGCGACTAGTTCCGACGATTGAACCCTGAGGAATACCACCTGATCACTGTGAGATCAATACAACATACTTGGCCAGCGGAATACTCACTAGGTAGCTGACCGCTGCAGTGATAGCAGCAAACCCAACAACCTCCAAGACTGGCCAATCATGCAGCATGCTGTTTCGTCTGTACACGGCAGCTGCGGCGTTCAATCTGATTAGAAGAGAGCCCAGTAAGCCCTTGAGACATGCTATAAATCAGTCAAGGGTTTAGGAGATCAGTAGTGCGTGACGTACCCCCACAGCAGCTAGCATGAACCAAGGTATCTACCGAATTCATGGTAACAATCAGTATCATGAACGAGTGATACAAAACAATTCGTACCAATTCAAATGCACGCCAGGTGTCACTGACCCCAGTCACTTGGAACAACACCAGTTTCGAAGTGCCAAAGGGGTCAATGTATTGCAGAGACATAGCAGCAATCACGGAGGTGACGAAACCACGCCACATGACTTCACTCTCATTGCTGAAGGAGAATGTGTCAAGTTCTTCTAAGCCAAAGAGCACGCCCCCAAGGGGAGATCCAAAGGCGACTGAAACACCTGCTGAGGCAGCAGCAGCTAATAGTTTGCGCTTCTGGACTAGAAAAATGAGGTATTAGAGTTTGTCTATGCTTTTAGAGAGCAACCACGGACCTTCGCTATGATTCAGTCGGAAGACCTTCGCCAACAAGTAGGCCATGCAACATGCAACATGTACAAGAGGACCCTAGGTGCGATCAGCATACGTGAAGCTCAGAAGGCCGCATACAATCATACCTCCTTACCCAGAGAAAGCCCTGAGGCTACGGCAAGTGCGAGACCGAGCGCCTTGATGAGGAGGGTCCATGGGCTCAGGAAGGTATCAAAAATATAGCCTTTCAATATCTAAAACGAAAGGATTGGTTTGTCTAAATATGTTCACAAAATCAAACTGACGTACGGCCTTTATTTCAGGAACTAAATATCATGTTCAGCTCGAGCTGACACGATAAATGAGGATTGCACTCACTCCCAGTATGGAACGCACTTGGCGAAACAGAATCATTCAACCTGTGGAGCACAGAAATAATTGTAAAGACTTACTAAGGAGCATATGTTACCACCAGGATGGCAGCACTCCCTGCAAACATAATCTACTAAATATCAGACGTGAAACCATGTTGAGCTCAATAGACTTACACTCAAAGCAATGTATACAAATGACTGCAATATTGATGACCCCAAGATGGAGGATACGTGGAGATATTGGGACCAAGATTGCCATTCCGTACATATCTCGCCCGCTATGCATCTGTCAGTATTTTGTACGAGACAATCGTACAGTCACCCACGGTCGAGACCGCTACAACAAGCGACTTGATTGTAAAAGAATCCATAGGTACATCGCCCTTCCTTCAGGTCGCCGAGCCTATTCGGAAGATATATTGTAAAAATCTTAGCTCTTGACCAAGCTGTATACGGGGCATACCATTTGACTAGCACGTCAAGCCATGCACCAGCAGTGCCAATACCTATACCTGTCAGGAATATCACGAACCACATTCGTGCACTGTCAAGTATAGGTGCGAGGGCTCCTCTGAGTCCTCTCCGGGTGTGCAATGCTCTCCAACGTTCTCGTTCGGCGCCTTCCTCTAATAGCCAGTCTATGGTGCTCCGTTCTTTGTATGAAGGGCGTGGACCGAGACCCTTAGCAGACTGTGCTAGAGAACCATCTCCAAGGAGCTCATAGGTTTCAGCCTCTTCGACTGAATAGATATGATCGTTGTCGGTCGAGAACCATGGTGTACTATGTTCATCAGCGTGCTCTGTTGGCTCGCTACGGTATGTCAGACTAACTCTTATCAATAAATATCAAAAATATACATGCCTAGACATCATCAACCATATAAAGTTACACTATAGTCGTGTCCTGTAATCCAAACTGACCCGCCTGTCGAAGCAGGATGCAACGAGTAAACGCGCCTGCAACGCGCCAACCGAAACGCGGATTGATCGACAGGAGATCGGTTCGCGTCACTGTGAAATCGGTTCGGTTTGCTGGTCAATTTCAGCCTGGCACCGTCTTCATTGTCTGCGACGGTCATCGTCCAAAAACGCAGGCTTGGGCCTGCATAGGCCATTTCTATCACTGCCATATACATCAAGATTATTTTGCTAGGGTATCTATGTTTTGTCTTGGCCGAACAGAACTTCGAGCCGGTTCTCTACCTCTAGCTCGAAGATTCCTTCACGCGTCCAATGTTCTCCGCTTACCGCCAGGGAGCAATAAACCACCCACCCGCAGAAAACCAGACAAGATCAACTACAATACTCAACCGTTCAATGACGTTCCTGACAGCGAACACATCAACTACCGTCGAGTAACTGCCAATGACTTGGAATCTCTCACTGAACCACCTACAGAGGTCAAAATGCTCGTACGCGACTTCATAGAAGATTCATTGTATAACCCAAACTACGGTTACTTCCCAAAACAAGTCACTATATTCACGGCAAATGAACCCATGGAATTCGGGAAGTTCAGGGATAGCGCGGAGTTTCAGGAAGCCGTTGCTCAGCGGTATGCCAGCTATGGGTTGGACAAGGAAGGTCCTGGGAGGCAAATCTGGCATACGCCTACCGAGCTATTCCAGGTGAGCCCACTCAAACCGAGTCATGTGCAAATGAAGTTGAATTTTGTCAAGTAGCCGTTCTATGGCCAAGCTGTCGCTCGATGCCTTGTCTCGGAGTATTTGCTCAAGTACTTTCCTTATGAGGACTTGGTGATATACGAAATTGGTGCAGGCAATGGCACCCTTGCCTTGGACATCCTGGATTACCTTCAAGAGGAGTATCCTGATGTGTATGATCGCACGCGCTACACTATCATTGAGATTAGCAGCAATTTGGCGCAGATGCAAAGGGAGAAACTTTGCGGGAAACATCCGTGCGTGAACGTTCAGCACAAGAGCGTGTTCCATTGGGAAACATTGGAAGCCGCACCATGCTTCTTCCTTGCTATGGAAGTTATTGTGAGGCACTACTTCCCCTTTCAACCAACTTAGCTCACGATAATTGCGCAGGATAACTTTGCACATGACATGATTCGCTACGACCTCCGTACATTGGAGCCATACCAAGGATTGGTTACGATAGACGCGAATGGGGATTTCAGCACATATTATACGCGTGTAACGGATCCACTTATTTCATCCTTCCTGCAACTACGACGCCATCTCTCACATCCACCTCCCCTTTCTCGACTCCTCAAGTCGTCACGAGCCTTCCGCACCTTTTACACTAACCTTCCCTTCGCACCGAACCTCTCCGCACCCGAGTATATTCCAACGAGGCTACTCAGTCTTCTTCAAACTCTGCGCAAGTACTTCCCCCGGCATAGATTGTTGCTCACAGACTTCTCTTCATTGCCTGACACAACACCTGGAGTTAATGCCCCAGTTGTCCAGACTCGGGTGCAAAACACGACCGTACCAACCAGTACGCTGTTCGTCAAGCAAGGCTACTTCGATATCTTCTTCCCTACCGATTTTGAGCGACTCCGAGATATATATGAAGATATCATCTCTCAACCACCACCACCGCCAGAAGGGACTCTTCCTACGCGTGTGTCACCACTGGCAATGAACACATCTTCCTTGGCCCTAGGATCGGATTTCTTTTCATCATATCACCCGAAGAACCGGAGAGCGCCATTGGATGGGGTGACGAGTTCGAGTGGGTTGCCAGTAGGGGAGAGGAAGTCAAGTGTATTCACACATGCGGAGTTCCTGGAGACGTACGCAGACTTGCAGCAGACTAGACTTAGGAATGGCGAAAATCCACTCGTGGATTTCTACCAGAATGTCAAATTCTTATTCTGAGCCTGCTTCACCAATTTATCGGAGTAGTTCTGCTCCACTGTCCGATTCTCGGAGGTGTGTTGCTGAGTTTCAGAATGACACGCGGAGTGGAAGTTACAAGTACATATTAATTTACAATCTCAAAGCAACCGGATACAACTTCAATATAGGTGATGCAGAACACTCACAGCCCTGCATTCTTGAGCGCAAGATAGTTCTTGCCGTAGTAGTATGTAGTCACCGTCGCTGCGACGGTCAATACGGCAGGTACCGGGCCCTTGAAAGCCCTCGGGGCAGAGGAAAGAAGCAGGAGGGCAGAAGCACCTGATAATACGGAATATGAGTTTATTGAGTCTATGCCCGTTTAGGACGTCATGATAAGGCTTACCGAGAGCACCCTCGATACCAGGGCCAGTTCCCTTCGCCAGGTTGTTCGCACTCCAGAGGAAGAGGAGACCAACACTGTCAAGTGAATGAAGTCACTTCTTGCAGAAATAATCGACCAAAGACGGCTCACCTAACACCTGCGACAAGCGAGGGGATACTTCGTTTCTTGGCGAAACCAATTACACCGCCGACGATGCAAAGGCTACCCATTACGAAAGCGGGATTCGCAGACTAAAGGAGTCAGATGTTGGTAAGCAAATTTCCAACGATTACACTAAGGCTGGAAGCGGCGACATACCATGGTGCTCAGCAAAGCTATATACTGATAATCGGCGTCGAATATGTCGTCGTCGTTGGTTATAAACCCGCCGCGACGTGAACACGTATTGTGAGAGCCTCCAAGGAGGATGCCGATAGTCGGCGTGTTCTCGGCCTACCCGCGGTCTACCCCGCACTATCTTCATCCGCGATAGTTTGATGATGGAATTTAGCACTGATCTGTGAGTCAAAAGATATTGAATCCGCGTGAATTCGTGCGCCGATCAAGCGAAAGAACCGTTGCTTGTTCCAAGCGGATGCCGACCCCCCAACAGGTGTGGCGTGGTCGCCTCTCCAGGCTTCCTCATTTTACTGCTCGTGTTTCGTCTTTCTTCCTCTTATCCCCTTCCCTCAACTCCTTTTCCCTTCCCTTTACTTTTGCTTTCTTTCCACCTGCTTTTTATCGAAATGACCAAGTTCGTGTCTATTTCTTCTGATTTCTAACGATTTATTTGACGGTGCTGACACCATTCTTACTCAAAAGAACATCTATTAATGGACGAAACGGCTCACAGGTATGTCTTCCTTAGATTGATACGGAGAACCTTTCAAACGCTAAAGTTAAACGTCTTTTTAGACTTCTCGAAGGTATGACACCGTCGATCGCTACGCTACACTTTGGCTGACTGATGTCGTCTGTCATTCTGTAGAAAGGCGCGGAGTTTATCTACGTGAGTACCAATTCCGACATTTTTTCGAGGGGCTACCCAATCCTGGACTGAGAAACGAAACGAAGAACCGCAGGAGATGACAGAGGGCAGCTCGTAAGTGGGAGCCTACGTCCATCGTTGGGATTGGGCTCCTTCGTCGGCCCGAACACCCAGGAGAGGCCTCTAAGAACTGTATCTCATCACGCTCTGTTCCCCCTTTCCCCTTTTGAATTGAATGGTCTTCTCTTCCATTTTACTAATGGAGTTGATGTTACAGGAGCAATTCCTCCGCAGCGAGTCAAGCCATGAAGGCCTCCGCAGTCGAGAACCTCAAGGCCAGGGAGAGAAAACTTCGCGAGGACCCAATGGTCATAATTCACAGCCCCAAGCGTGTCCAGTGCAACCGTTGCGGTGTCGAGATTCAGCTTTCAAAGAAAAGTGACTTTGATCCGTGTCACTGGAACAAGCATCGCGAACGGTGTTTGAAGAAGCGGCCGAATGACGATGTCAAGAATAAGAAGCTTCATGAAGCTGGCGGGGTATGTGCTCCCGCCTCTGCTCCTGATCCAAGTACGTGTGGTTTATGTCAAATGTTACTGTCAGCGAATCCGTCAATCGACTTGGCCTACAGCAGTCAGGGTGGTCACCAGACGTGCTTCTTCACTGTCTTCTTACACGCCTTCGCTTTCACCGGACGTTGACGAACAAGAGGAACCTCTGAGCCCGCTTACGTCCATCGCTTCTGACGAACCTCCCTCACCAACTATATCTCCTCAATCTCTGGTAGTCACTCCGAAACCTGAACATATCGAGTTGCCCTCTGTCACTTCCCCCGCCGTCATCGTTTCCCCTAAGCCCATGCACATACAGTTACCTACCATCGTTCCCCCTGCTGTTCCTGTACCTTCCCGTCGATCCCCCTTCACCTTGGATTACCGTCCGATCTACGACTCTCATTTAGGTACCCCACTCGACCATCCTCCGACTGAATATTTCCGATGGTCCCAACTGAGGACATCTTATCGGTCCCCTTCTAGAGGTTCTGATACGTCACCGACTGTCGGTACTCCCGCCATTGCCATTCCTTTCGAGGTCGAGCGACTCCAGTCAAGATTCTCAGACTGGTCTATGCCGCAGGCTTAACGAGCAATGCCAACCAACCTCCCACTTTCGGTTTCCGGACAAGCCAGGTTCGGTTGACTGACTCGCTGGACAATCCCTCGAGCTGGGCCGAGGGGCACACTGCACCAACATTACTGCCGCCTGTGATGATACTCCTTTCGAATCCGCATCGCCTTGTGCGTCCCCCCTCTTGCTTTCATCTTGTATGTTTGTTTTCTTGTTTGTGTTGATTTTCGCTTTTCCGTTGTCTAACGTTATACATACTGTCTTGCATTTTATCCTTGGTCTGCAGCACCTTCGCAATCGGAAAATTACCATGCTCATACAATACCCTATCTCTCATTTTGATTTGTTTCTCATGTTGATATTCGTCGTTGCTCTGGGAATTATCATCATTCGAGTTCATTGTACATCCTTTCCCTCTCATCGTGCATTATTTTGTTGTCCATATCCCGCAATCACGTTTGCTGTCAGTCGCTTTTCCCCATTTTCTTCCCTCTTTTGTTCTCATATCACCGCATTCCAAAACCCTCATCCCCTACTCTTCTTGCTAATCATCCAAAACAACCGGAAGTGTACTTTGTAGAATAATCTGTAGATGGACATGTTTATAGTCTAATCGCTTTACCCTATCCACACTCATCATCTTTAACTTACTCTACCCGCTCTTCTATCACGTTGTGTGGCCGACATAATGTCGTCCAGCTTACTCTTCTTGGATACATGTATGATCCATAGCCGTACTTTATGACCAGGCTTTCTTGAAATTATATGACCTCATGTCAAAGCTTCATTCCCAGTTTCTTCTAGTGACAGCATGAAGCAAGCAAGAGTTAATGATGAGAAATGCAACAGAGACATCATGAATCATTCGTCGTCACGAGGCGGGCGAACAACCCCGCTAACCAACATCTTTCTAACGACAGGGTCCTCGTCAGCTTTAGATCCCCTACAAACACAGAAAGGTCAGCAAATGTAAACATCAGGACTACTCAAACCCAGGCTTACAGGACAGCCCTAACGACATCTTTCAACACTTTCCCGCTCTCCAACTCGATCTTCTCGATACCTGGTAGCCCATCTGCGCGTGTAGGTCCGACATTCAGATGAAGCACGGGTATTTGGAGCTCGAGTGCGTGCTTTAGGAGACGGAAGGCAGAGAACGTGGCTAGTGTCGTGCCGATGAGGAAGAGGCGTGAAGAAGACTCTATATCACGGAATCTTAAAGTCAAAAATAAACGATGGGAAAGTAAGAAGACATGTTTTGGCGTGGCTGATAGATGAGAGCAGACGCACGAGCGATCTTTAACATCGGGTTGTATCGATTCGCCGAAGAAGATGAGTTCTGGCTTGTGCTAGAGAAGAAACGTTGTTAACATGCGATAAAGAAATGCAAGAATATTATTCTAGACAAACATACTACTGAGTTCTGACGGCCTTCTAGTAAGCAAGTTGGGCATACTGGGACCACAAAGTCGTCATACGACACGCCTTCCAATTGAACCTATCATACGAGACGGTGAATATGATAATCGGTACGCAGCAAGGTGATATACTGACGTCTCCATCTGGATTCGTCCTTGGCTTCTGTCCGGTGGCTTCCAGCTCGTCAGCGTACTCCTTCCATTGTGGGTTTGCAGTGGACAGCCAGTGCTGAAACGTATTCCGGTCGGTTACATGTCCGTATTTGCAATGCACTTTCTAACGATCGAAACAAAAAGACTGATCAGCCAGACTGTCAAAATATGGAGACGGTTTGGACTCACATGTAGAGACCCGTGCAGCTCCAGTACGTGATGTTGCATTGTGTGTTTGTCCCAAATACCTGCCAACGCTTTATGATGTAGTCCATCGACGTTTTGCGTGATCAACCTCGGAACAAATGACTTGTACTGCAATGCAGCAAGTGCATAGTGAGTGGGGTTTGGTAAGGCATCAAGGACGGGTTTGTAACCAAGATACCCTCGCAACCTTTGGTGTCGGAAGACTGTTTGTCAGCGCAACTCCGAGCATGCAGTAGCGTCGACAATAACGCGTACCAATATCTCTGTCTAGACAGAATGAACATCTAAGCAAAGGGGCAATACTGTGTAGGCTCACCGGAATCCAAATCCTTTCGGAGACTCGTCCATAAGCTCATGATACTATGAAATCATAGCACTGTAAACATGAAGTTCTTGCAACATAATGATGCATGTGGTACATACAAATATTGGTCTATTCGTTGCAGTATATCAGACTCGACGTCGTATCGTGTAAGACTTATTTAATAGCGACTCACTTGTAATTCGGATTCAGGTATATTCCCTTCTCGCCTCTGTACGCTCGTATGCCTGAATCGACACTGACTCCAGCCCCAGTGATAACCGCGACATTTCCAGGAGCCAAGAACTCAGCAATGCGTTCAACAGCAGCAGCAGGACTTATGGTTTTCGACGATGTCGCAGAGGAAAGAATAGCCTGAGGAATGGTAGGAACAGAGAGGCGTACCATGATGCATGTGAAAGCGCGGACCGCCCAAAGTCGACCTGACTTTCTCGACTTTCACCGGTTTGATTCAGACTATGACTACCACCGATTTGACTTGTTCTCAACGACTATGAACAGACTTGCCCCGTTGACATTATACACTCCTGGTTTTGCGCATTATGGTATAGCTTGGTCGCCATTTCATACGACGAGGCTTGCGGTGGCTAGTGCTGCGAATTACGGCCTTGTGGGGAACGGTCGGTTACATATTGCTTCGATAGCCTCGTTGCCCGGGGTCCCACCTACGATTTCACTGGAGAAGTTGTAAGTAGTCTTGCACTCTCACCATATGTCTGTTTATTGATAGAGAAGGAAGCTATGATACTCAGGATGGACTATATGATGTAGCTTGGTCCGAAATCCACGAGAATCAGCTTGTCACTGCGTCAGGCGATGGGTCGATCAAGCTATGGGATATAATGCTCAATGTATGTGCGCTCCTAGTAATATATATAGCATTCCGGATGTTGAAGATGAATTCCAAGCGGCTCTAGGACCTGCCCATCCGAGCCTGGCAAGAACACACTAGGGAAGTGTTCTCCGTAGACTGGTCTAACATGAACAAGGACTTGTTCATCTCATCCTCATGGGATGGGACAGTGAAGCTCGTTAGTCTTCTTCACCCTTATTAATGTACCCGAATTCATCCAGGTCTGTACTTCTATCACCAGTGGTCGCCGGAACGTCCGCGGTCGATAACCACCCTCCAGGCCCATACCACCTGCGTGTATCAAGCCCTCTTCTCGCCTCACGAACCCGACGTTATAGCCACATGCTCAACGGATGGTACAGTCAAGATTTTCGACCTTCGAATGCCAGCATACGCCCCGCCTGCTCCAGGTTCCGCTAATTTCACTAAACCACTCTCAGCTGCGGCTCTCACAGTTCCAGCTTCTGGTACGGAAATTCTGAGTTTAGACTGGAACAAGTACAAGCGGTACAATTTGGCTAGTGGTGGCGTAGATAAGATGGTGAAAGTGTGGGATTGCAGGATGGTGAAGATTGGACCGGCAGGACAGGAGACTGCGTTCCAAGCCGTAGGAGGTATCTGTGAAGCTCAGTTTGCTGGACACGAGTATGCTGTGAGGAAGGTCCAATGGAGTCCGCATCGCCCTGACTTGCTGGCGAGCGCGAGTTACGATATGAGTTGCCGAGTGTATGTCTCCGTTTCTCGTTCTTGGCTTCTTTCTTCTTTGCACTCTTCTCTTCTTCTATTCCCATACTATTTGAAGTTAGTTCTGAAAGTAGTTTCTAACCACGAGCTTTTTGATAGGTGGTCAACCAACCCTACAGCGGCAGGTACGAACTTGGTGTACATCCACGACCCTCACACGGAATTCGTAGTCGGATGTGGATGGTCACTATATGAAGAAGGCGTCTTGGCGACTTGTAGCTGGGACTGCAAAGTAAATGTTTTCCGGATATAGTAGACTAATTGGTGCGTTTTTCGTTCCGTAGTTCGTTTACGAAGAATCTAATTGTAATATGCCAGCCAGCTATGCCAACGTGTACCTTTAAGACGTTTCCGAACTAAGAATGTATCATCTCTGTGTGTAGGGTTGAGGGTAAGGACTGTTATTGCTCCTGTCTTGCTGAGACAAGTCATATGCCTCAAGAACGTTGCTCAAGCCATTGATATCGTAGGTAGGCAGCTGTCTATCATCGTAACAAATTGACTTGTCCCGATTCACTGAAATATCGGTTGTACCCTATCTTTTAACGGGCCAAACCCGGCCAAACGTTTCCGTCGGATGCAATGACACCCAACAATGTCTCAATGATTCTCGTCTCGCATCCCGGGAAGTGACCCTGCTTTATTCAAACCGTCATCAATGCCTAGATGCCACAGATTCGAACAAACCCGTTGTGAACATTGTCGTTGACAGTGTCCACTCAGCATTGCGGTATGTTGTCTATTCATCTGACATCCGGTCGGATTAGGCGGCGATGCAGATGCTTTACTTCGTTCTCCACCGGGTTAAGAATGCGCTGGACCGAATAAGTCCGGGGACCGGGGTGCGTACTTTCGCTCAGCTTGACCTCAAGAAGCCTTAGCCCCTATCGGGCCCTATCTTTTGCTGAATGATTTCTGGTCGTTGGGCTCGTTGACCGTTGGCCGTTGCTCTGATCACAGCTTCAATTTAAGATGTCCCGTTTGGCCTTGGCTCTTGGCTTTGTGGGTTGGGGGATATCCTTTGACATTCTCCTCGTTGTGTAAGCTAAGCTCAAACCTCTGAAACCACTTTCCCTTAGCCTCGTAAACATTTATATGTTCGTCTGCATAGATGTCATCGAAAGAGTCGGTCACTAAAGGCAAATGCACCTCGGCAATCGAGAATGATGGCACGATCTGTCGAGGAAGTATCAGTGATAGTACAAAAAGGGTCCTTTCAGTTGTGACAGCTCTCACACGCCATTCACCATTGTGTTCTCTGAATGAAATCCTCACGCTAAATGCATTGTGCTCGTTGCGAACGAGGACAATGGGCACATTCGCAGGCGGACCAAGGATGGGCCCGGAGATTCGGCGCAAAACTGTTGTCAAAGCGCAGCCGAAAATGAGCCAAAAGAATCCAGGGAACTTTGTGCCTGATTGTAGACCTGCCTAATCGGGTAATTATGGAGACAATTCGCGTGGACGGGAGGTGGACGGTTTGTTTTTGGTGATCCTTTAAGTAGACCTCGCGACGGACGGTGGTCTGCACAAACTTTTCTCCCTCCCTCTCTTCCGAGGCTCTTGCAAGTCTCTATACCCTCTCCCCCCTCTCTTTCTATCTTTCTCGAATCTTAGATAGACTCGCGTCTCGCTCTGCCACTCATTGCTCTCGACGTCTTAGAGCATACCTGTCGTTTAATCTGCTAATTGCTATATCCCCACACGATGATCACGACACAATCCTTCTCGGCTGCACTTTTACTCTCCCTTCCTCTTACAGCGCTCGCTGGCCTCCCTCATCAAGGTTCTCTCCGCCGTTACCACTATGACCATGCGAAGAAGGCCGCTCTTTCTCGTCGCAATGGACCGACGTTCAAGCTGGTAGATGACTACAACAACCAGACGTTCTTTGAGTGAGCTTTTCATGGTTGTATGCGTATTGAACGACTTTATAACGCGTCTACTGCTAGCATGTTCGACTTCTTCACTGACAAGGATCCTACGAACGGTATGGTCACTTTTGTTGGCAAGGAAGAGGCCCAGAAAAGTGGCCTGGGCTTCGTTCAGGACGACGGCACCATTGTTCTTGGTGTCGACGACCAGACCGTTTTGCAACCTGGCCAATTCCGCAAGTCGTACGTATTACTGTTACACCTCGGCGAATTGGCAACTTGACCGAGTATTTTTCCAGACTCCACATTAACTCGAAGAAGAAGTACGATGCTGGCAACTTGTTCATTGCTGATTTCTGGTCCATGCCCCATGGCTGTGGCACTTGGCCCGCTTATTGGACTGTTGGTGACCAATGGCCTCAGAATGGCGAGATTGACATTATTGGTACGTGCTTTGATATGATTCCGTCTGTTGCATCTTATTGATTTTGCCTTTCTTTGATTGATACAGAGGGCGTGAACGAGAACACTTCCAACCAGATCACCGCTCACACCGGCAGCTCGTGTGTCCTCCCTAACACTCTAGCCAAGACAGTCGGACGAGTCGTTGGCAACCAGTGCCAGACTATCAACGGCGACAACCGTGGTTGCGCCTTTGTCACTGACGACAGCATTACCTATGGCCATGGTTTCAACATGCAAGGTGGTGGAGTCTACGCGCACATTTGGACCACCGACGCGATCAAGGTCTGGTTCTTCCCTCGCGGTCAAATTCCTCAGGACATCGCCGACGGTAACCCCAACCCCGACGGCTGGCCTACTCCTGCTGCTATTTTCCCTGGCGGTGACCAATGCGACCTTGCGCAGGGCTTCAAGCAGCACAACATTGTGTTCGACATCACGCTTTGTGGCGACTGGGCTGGCCCTGCATACGCGGCCAGTGGCTGCCCTGGCACTTGTGCTCAGGCCGTCGCTGACCCTAGCAACTTTAAGGGTAGGTTTCCATCTTGATTCCACTGAGCGAGCGCAGATCCTCATTCCCTTCCGTATTCAGTTGCGAAGTTCAAGATTGCCTCTCTTAAGGTCTATAAACAGCAATAGAGGAAGAATACCACACTCCACTTGACTCGACCACAACGGTCCTTTCACTCCTTTTACCAGCATCATCATCTTCTTCTTCTTTGGCAACACTCCCAATCAACATCAATTCACTTGTATTTCCCTCACATCCAACTCCTCCATACCACATTATAGAGATACTTAAAGCGGGCAGCAGGGCTAGATCTCCAAGTCATCTCTAATTGTTTTCTCAACTTCTCCAGCTAGAGCCTCTAGCGTTCCACTGGTGCTTTTCTTTGTTTTCTTACGACGTGGGTGGGGCGGCGCCCCTTCCCGGGTATATTTCTTGATTGGAAACTTTGGTCAATTGATTGGCCGATCGGTTCATTTCGCGAAGGATGTCAACTCGGGAGGGTGGACTGGCTTTCTCCCTACCTCGAGCTGTGTTCTAGTGTTGCTACTCACTATTCTTGGAGGTATGACGGTAGTAGCTTTGACTTGTTGATAGTGACCTCATCTCGTGCACTTTACTCATTTGCTTATTTTGACGTGTTGCATAGTGTTATACATATATATCATCGTACATTTCTCAGATCTGTTTCGCATGTGTGAAAGATGTGGGACTTGGGTGGCGGGTGTTCAACGGGTATGCTGGTACGTCTTCGACCTTGTCATGCCTAGTTGTTCACAGAAGTAGTTGACCCTGCACTGGTTGCATTCCCCATCGTGGTCCTCTACCAATGAGGGTTCGTACTAGTGATAGACCTTCATCGTAAGAAAACTTTGCTGCGCGCTACCCTAGTCCTCTTATAAACAATATGCGCTGTAAGAGGATTCTGAAATCGCTCAAAGACTCTGGCTGGTCCATCAACTACAGCCGCCAATTTGGGAAGATGACAGACCGATTTGATCGATCACGGTCTGCGAGCATGACATCGCAACAACTTCAATGCTGTTTACGAGATTACAGAACTGGAAGAAGTGAATTTGAATCATGCAGAAGGCTGTCAAAGGCGACAAGGATGAATATTCAGCAATTGCATTCTTCGATACAAAGCCTTTGTACGGTATACCATTTTCGGAGACCCTTCAAACCGAGACATCATCACGAGTCCGGGCGAGATGAATGTCGCGAAGGCAGTCGAGCCTTTAGGCCAGGTAGAATCACGCATCCCCATCGAGCATAGTTTTTGTTCGCTCCTGTGTGGGGCTTGGCCTGTAGTAAGTACAGTACAATATTGATCGACGTCGACAAGGCAGACTCAATCGAGCATCGAGCGCTTCCAGCGGGTACCCTTCATTTCACCTTCCCCCCTCGACATTGAACCTTCCCCTTCAAACAAGCATCGTATTCTGCAACACCGACTACCATTTTCCTTTTCAATTCTGTAGATATGCGAAGAGGCCACCGTGACCTACGACAAACAGGCTTCAACTGTCGTATATCTCATTATTCTAACCGTTATTGCGTCATATTGCGGCTTGCTACGGTGATCCCGCCTAATAGTGGGCTGGGCACAGCGAGATGCATACGAAGAGTCGATTCTGCTAATCTCCTTACAGGATCAGACATGACAAAGACATGCACAGCTGCCCCCTAAATACTTCGGTGTGTTGTGGTGGTTGTTTCTCTTGTACCCATCGCTCTTGCTATGGTACGCTTCAGTCAGTACGTGGTGTCTATATTGTCCCTTTTTCTTTGGGGAGAGCCAGAGGTGCCACCGGCCGAAGGCGGGTGCCTTCTGAACAACTCGAGTGCGCTCACGGCAACAAACCAGAGGAGCAATGCGTCCAAGTCCATAGCCATTGTCGGCGCAGGAAGTGCCGGACTTGCAATATTGAAGACAATTTTGGACTTGCCGCAGGAGACACGTCATGGATGGGAAGTCGTACTTTATGAGCAGAGAAGAAACGTTGGAGGGCTGTGGTTGCCTGACCCAAACGAACCTCAGCCACCAAAGCTACCAGAGACGCCTCTGTACCCACGCTTGCGCACGAATACGCCTCATCCGACGATGACTTATCCTGGATATACGTTCCGCCCGCACACACCGCTCTTCCCAACGCATGAATACGTGGAACAATATCATGTGGACTTTGCCGTGAATAACAATCTCACATCTTATATTCGTCTTAACCATACAGTTCACTCCGCGGGTTGGAAAGGGAACAGTACAGTCGGCGAATGGGTTGTTGAGGTACATCATACCAATGGCGAAGTCAAAAGTATAACCAAGCGTTCTTTCGATCATCTCATTGTTGCCAACGGACATAACCACTACCCACGTATTCCGAAGTTCCAAGGAACCGATGAGTGGTTGGCTCATACACCTACGGGTACACGGAAGCGAGAGATAGAACATTCAATATTTTACAGGTATCCAGAACGATACGTGAATATGACAGTGCTCGTCGTTGGCGGCGGAGCCAGCGGACGTGATGCTGTGCTTCAGGTCGGTCCCATTGCAGTTAAGGTGAGCCCTCTTGGATCACTGTAGTGCACGTGTGATATTCATGATGGGCTAGACATATCACTCACTCAAGGAAGACAAGGAGCCAACGCCAGACGCGAACGTCACAGTTGTACCTCGCATCTCGCACTTTACACGTACTTCAATTGTTTTGGTGGACGGTAGATCTCTAGATGACGTCGATGCAGTTATCTTAGCGACTGGGTATGAATTCCTCGTCCCATTCCTGTCACGACCGTCATCCGACCAAGATGCTTCCGTCGGACTTGTGGAATCCCCCAAAACGACACTCAACTGTACCACCGCTCCAACCCTCATAACGAATCTGAGATACATCTTCCCTCTTTGGGAACATATCTTCAGCCTCTCACAACAATACCCACCAACCGCCCTCTCCTTCGTCGGTCTTCCTGTTCTCATAGCAAACTGCCCGTCGGATATCGCTCAGGCTCTGCTAATCGCTCATGCCCTCGCGGACCCATCGACCCTTCCATCTCGAGCTGAAATGCTGGCAGACCTCGTAGCACAAGAAAGCCGTCTGCGTGAAAGAGGTTACGACCCGTATTACGCAGGCCACAAGATGGTCGGCGGAGATGATGATGCGCAGGCGTATCAGAACAACCTCGTTCGTTACTTGAAGCAGAAGGGAAGATTACCCGACGATGGAAAGGATTATGTAGAGCCATGGAGACGAATCGCAAGGAAGGAGTCTTTTCTCCTCGGAAGGGCGTGGCGAAGGATTGAAGATAATGGTGAGGCCGATAAATGGTTAGATGGTGTTGAGACGGAGGATCAGTGGGCGGATTTGATCCTTAGACTGGTGAATTGGCAGAGGAAGCACGAGGATAAGTATGGGCTGCACGGGTCTGTGTACGTTGGTCAGCCATGGGACGAGAGTGGGTTCTAGTGCTGAATGTGAATACTGAAATGCCACCTTTCATCCCATCATTGTTGTACTGTATGCGGGTCAATCGTCCTAACGAAACTTTCTTTGCCAGAATGGCAAAATACCAACATTGAGTTAGCGGTTGAATGATGGCAATTGATTGAAATCATGGCATTATGAGTTCAAATCTCATCTCGTACGTCTGATAATCATTCCCTGAGGCTACTGTATGTCTACTTCCACACCCGACGCTGAACTGTAAGGTAGGGTTTGATTTTGGTTTATTATTATGTGTGGGTTTTCACTGATGTGAGCTGACACTATCGTCAGCAGACCGAACTAGTCATCCAGATGAAACGCATATGATCGGCATAATCTTACTGGTACCTTTGGAGAAGTCGCCGTACAAATACGCCACAAGGTGAAGGTAGGAAGAATATCAGCTAAGACTACTTTGGAACATCAATGACCGCTGACTCTTTTTCTTCCCCTTGAGTGATGAGATACTCGACTGTATTCGCGAAAATGCTGGCTGGTGCTGTATCATCCGAATGAATTAGTATTTTCACATGCGGACTGGTCTGTAATGAAACGGGATACTGATACAATCTGCCCTGCCATGCAAAGGATCTGTATTCGAGCAGCAAGAGTTAAACTTAACTAGCGGCCTGTAATTTCATGCAACGATCTGGCCGACGCCAAAAGCTGTTCCACTGTTCCCAATGAGCGGCCGATTACGATGAGAAGATATCCGAGGCCCCTAGGACCAACCTCATCGTCCGTTGAGTCATAATTCATGTTAGTGCACCGGCGGTAAGCTTCTCGTCACGAGAATGATATGAGAAAATGCGGGCCTGGCATTCACTAGCATCGCACTTGTGGCTTTGGATCTCCTTTTGGTTTAGCTGATAGTGCCGATGTACAGTTTGAGCTGCATATTTCAACGAATACCGAGATCAGAGTATCGATACATCTTCATGAACGGCAAGGACCCTGGAGCGATGGTTACAGGACGAAGAGCCACAAGGATACGTGGTACACAGTGCCTTGGATGGAGCCGCCCAGCCTCCAGTCGCAAACCAGCAGACTGTGAAGACTGTGAATGAACTGTCAATGCAAAGACTGATCTTCAAGGAGACGGGTCTCAAATTCAGGAAGAGGCGACGGAGACCCAGCAAAGTTGAGTTTGATTCGAAGCGACATAGGTCAATCAGAGGACTCAACTCACATCCTAGAATGCCACTAATCAAACACAGAGCAGATGCTCCGATCATATCCTGGTTTGGGCGGTAGCCCTGGCATTTTGAAAGGTTTCTGTCAATCGCATTTGTCGAGCCTTTCCTCTTCACGACATTATGAAGATCCTCCTAATGGGGTCATGTGAGAATACCGTGCGTAGTCGTCAGGAAAATCACGATAAGCAGTTTTGGCTACAAATCGATGGTCAAGCCTTGTAACTTCAAGCAAGACCTTATCAGCGAACCAAACGCTCATAACGTCCAATGTATACCTTTTATGATAATCCGCATATTTCCCGACGGCGGTAGGATGATCGGGAACGCTGTCTTCTCTATAGGCTGTGCGAGTGAGCGAGTATCTATAAGCCCTGAAAAAGTGAACAAATTATAAGCCGAATAACCTCGACTTACAAGAAGACATTAACATGCGTTCCTGTCAACTTCTTACACTCATCATCTGAAGCGATGCAAGAAGGCTCTGGGCGGCAACCTGAGACCTTTAGAATGTCAGTGAATTGAGCTCGCTCATAGCCGCCTGTATTCGTATGGCAAAACTATCTGTGTATTGATAAAGTCCAGGTCCCAAGAGTGTGCATGTGAAGACGAATACCTGGCCACTAGTCAAGGTTAAGTTTACATCCGCAGAATCAAAGGATCAATAATGTACCCGTGACGGGTGGGTGGAGAAATCATCTGAGCTCTTCCTGCCCCAATGCATGTCAAATCCTAAGGTTTCGGGATATTGTAAAATCAACGCCATTCAGGTCGCTGTCGAGGATTTGCGGCGCCACCACATACGGACACCGCGGGGACTCCGAGGCTACTCCTTTGGACAGGTTTTCTCTTTGTAGACAGGAAAAGCTTTGTCTCCGCAAGTGTAGTCCACAGGAGAACAGGTGGGACGCGGTGCGTGGTACTCATAATGTTGGTCTATAGGTTACGAAGTGAAGAGTGACATAAAAAGGATCGCGCGGCGATACCAAATCGGGATTCGGCAATCCCGGAATGTAGTTCGATTGACTCGCGGCAACTATGCCTCCGAGTCAGGAAAGATAGATATCCTTGTTCGATTTTGTTTGACAAAAAGCTCAGGTCGCAACGATACGATGGCTACATGGTGGCTCAAGTGTCTCCTGGATGTATGCGGTGAGATTCTGTCGATGTTCTCTTTTAGCTGCTCTTCCGAATCGTCACAACCGATAGTCCCGTCCGACCAATGAAATCGCGTGCAACAGCCAAGGGCATGACGATTACATTTAGAATCATCCTAGGCTCCAGGTCGGCGGCGTCGGACGTAACTCGCAAAGGCGGTTAAGAGGGGCAAGGCCGAACAACACTGCGTTCTGCTCGGAAGCAAGATTTTGGTAACCTTCAGCTTCCAAATTTGCATTGACTACTAATCACTCTGTGGTTATTCGGACACGCCTATCGACATGGGTGCAGCTGAAAGAGTTGGATGACTGCCCTCCACACATAACTTCGTTCCTGACTGCTGCTGCCCTCTTTCCCCGTTCGGCTGGCCCTAGCAAGACATCCAAATATTCTGCTGTCTCGAGAATAGACCCTAATTTTGATGGAGGCACATACCGTTCCGCTGTCAGAATGGGTTTCAAACGCCTGCAGCGTGGCGTCTGACGCTGTCACTAGTCTAGTAGCCCTCATATAAGATCCCGAGTTTTGAAGTTGACCTGCCACTCTCTTTTCCTACTGCTCAAGCCTGAGCTAGCCTAAAAGAGTGCGTCTTTTGGTTCTAACCTCAAATAGGATCTCGCAAACATGGCCCAAAGCTTCGACAATCCTGGGGTGCGCACTACGTTGGGGGCCGTTCTATTGGGCAGTTTTGTCAGTGTCTTGTGAGTATTGTCATTTTCAAAGGACGTAATGCTTTGTACTGAACCCTGATAAAGTCTTTCTGGATGTGTCGCAGTGCAGGTTGCTCTTTACTATCGAACCTATGCCAGGGACCGTCGTCGTTTCAAGTTTATGGTACGAGTTCATACGTTGTGCGCCTGGTTCTTGATTTAAGTTCTCATCGACAGGTTGCTTCGATATGGTAAGTGTTTAATATACGACCGATTTGTCCTAATGTTCAAAATTTCATAGGATTCTGGATCTATCGCATACGACTATGGTTTGTATAACCAACTGGATGCATCTCATTGATAACTTCGGCAACCATGCGATAACCGATAGGATTGCTTGGTGAGATCCCTAATAATCCCTATACCCCACGCTACGTTTAACAAGGAGCTACCAGGTCTGTGTCAGTTAGCATTGCCATTACGGTACGAACAAGGATTACAATTTAGACAATCTCAGCTTCTGACAATTTCTCAGGCTATCCTCACATTCTTTGCACACTGGTGAGATGCTATGTAGACCTCGGCTATGCAATTCATCGTTGCTCACATGATGTCCTAGCTTCTTTGCCCACCGGATCTTCGCTCGTACGTATCTCCCGGACGCGTCAAAACCATCACGGGAAAGATGAACTGAAACTTGATAAACAGTGAGCAAAAGGAATTGGTTCATTACCGTGCCTATCGTAAGTCGACATGTTGGCATTCTCCGAGCGCTGATACTTATGACCTCCCTCAGCTTATTCTGGCAACTGGCCGTATTGGTGCGTATGGTCAGGTCCGATTCAACTCCTGCTAATCGTTTGGCGATAATAGGTTTCGCACTTGGTGGGTAGTACTATGTTGTTGCGCTACGAAGTATTGCACTGACCGAATGGGTTCAACCAACTTAGTAACAACAACCAAGATGTAGGTCTGGAAGGCTAGCATACACTCCTCGGTGATTGATGGTCGTTTCATGCAGGTTAACACTCAAGTCTTATTCTGCTTTCGTTGTGAAGTACACGGTATGCACCTCTGCATAAAAGCTTCTCGTCTGTTCATGATATTGCAGTGGTCGTTCACCCTGGGTCTTAGCTTGGCGACCGCAGCTGATATCCTTATTGCCGCCTCTCTCTGCTGGTATCTAAACAAGAGCAGAACGGGATTTTCTGGGTAATTCATTCAAGTTCTCTGGCTTCGCTCTAATCACTTTGACATTCGCCTCCAGCATGGACACCGTCATCGATTCGATCACGCTGTACACAATCGAGACAGGACTAGCGACTTGGTGAATGCCATGAAAGTCTTATGTGCACATCTCTCTGACGGAAGTTGGACCCAAGCATTACTACCGTCGTTGCTTTAGTCTGCGTGCGTTCGAACACTTCACCCATCTTCCGCTCCTAGTGCGAACTCTGATGACATTCTCTCCTTTCAGTGGTTGACAATGTCCCATAACCTCATCTTTCTCGGTCTCCACTTTGCAATCAGTAAACGTAAGTCTTCGAAGTCATTTCTAGTCACTAGGCAGCAACTTCATCAGAACTAATTGGAACTTCCGTGCAGTGTATTCCAATACTTTCCTTGCTACGTATATATCTCCAGTCGTTCTGCTTGACGTTGTTCTTTTTATCTGATCACTTCCTAGGTTGAACGCACGCAATTCCCTACGCGGCCGAACGCAGGCATCAAGGGACCATGAACTGCCAGTTCTTTTCGCTGATAACTTTAGTCCCTACGGTCGAGGGGAACAATATGTGAGGGCATGTAGTCTCCCGTTGTCGTGTTTTCTCACATCTCTTCTATCAGCACGTGGGCCGCGATGGTGATCTAATTCCAACTAAAGTCAGCCGAGGACTAATTTGTCTTGTGCGTGGAACTCATAGTTTTACTACTTCAGGTGCAAATCAGTGTCGAGAAAACCATTGAACATGACGATAATGTCAACCATGTACGATCCGATATCTCAAACACGGCAAAGTACGATGACGCAAGTGTCAAGTCGTCAGGTCCAAGCTGCCAAAAATTCTGCATGTAATGGCGCATAGATGGCTTTGTTCTCTTCATTCATGCCGCTACAGTTCTATGTATTTTCCCTTCGTGATTGGTTATTCAAGATAGTTGCCGAAACAGAAGGTACTGTATGATTATGGCGACTATAAGAGCATAATTCAAGTTGCGCTTGACGAATTATAACAGGAAAACGGAAGGAGGCAGCTCGTTGGGTCTCTTATTATGTATTATTTCTTTTGTACTCATATTTATACTAGTCATTTCCAGAGGGTTTTTTGTGAACTTCAAGCATGCGTGATGTCGGCCTGTTGTCCATACCAAAATTCACAGAACAAAGACATGGCCGGTGTCTCAACTATCTCCTAGGGACATCATCCTTATATTCCTGTGTTGTAAGAGATTCCAGGTACCGTTTATTTCGACATTGATCGCTATATGTTTAAGAATCGTCGACGCTGACTAGGTCGCACTGGCAGGTAAGTCAGAACGGAAAGAGAACCCAGCTAAATGATTCACCCCAGTGCGCAGGTGTATCCTATTTGAATACTATGTGGTGGAGACTCTATGCTTGATGCTTTATTGAGGTCCACCTGTCCATATAGTAGATTTGAGACCTTAAGTGAACTGGCCGCCAGTCTGCGTCGAATCTTTTCAAGTTCCATATTAAGTAGAGCACCAATAAGCGCCGGAAGCGGTCCTGACCCTCGTGCCCTCAGTGACCAGTCTGCTTCAGACATTCAGGATACATACAGGTATTTCTTTCTTACGATTAATTTGCTCGACAGCGGAGTCCTGTTTTCTTGGCGCTAAGAGTTGCATTCTACTGCCCGTACTTTACGACTATCACGACCGTTGTTTTCTCTCCACATTCCGCGGGAGAATCTCGCAACTAAGGCACCATGGCTTTCCCTATTCCTACGCACTTGCCACGCAAGCGTGACAATGATGTTTCGACAAACCTATTGTCCAAGATGTCAGATACCCCATCCAAGTCTCTGACTTATGAGGTGGCGTCGTCTTGGGTCACTGAACTGGACAACACGATTCGCGAGACAAAGGTACATTCGCAAGTTCGCAAGAGAGTCAATAATGGCTGAAATTCATGTGATGTAGCGAAGGATACATGACCGTATTCAAGCGGATCTTCCTGCTTTCGAGAGTCAGCTTATTTCTGCAAAATCCGTGCAGGAACGTTTGCAACAGCTGAGCAGCAATGTGGACGAGTTGAGCAAGTCAATATCGGATGCCGAGGTGCGTGATGAACACGAACGTTATGATATGCCTACTCAATTTGTCTGAAGTCAGGCTTGATACCCAGACTTGTCATGACCCTCACACAACATGCGACGCTGGCGCAGGACGTGTCGGATTCCGATGTTAGATTCAACGCTCTGTTACATCTTTCTCAGTGTAAGAAGCAACTAGGCGAGCTCACCTCGTTGACGCAACAAGGCAAACTGCCCGAAGCTGTGCAAGCAAGTGAAGTTATGGATAGACTTCTTGCGGAATGTCCGGAACCATTAGACAGTGCGGAAGTAATGCATAACCTAAAGGTATACCCAGTCCTGACGCATTCATCAAGATACTAAGTTTTGATTTAGCGTACAGCCAGAGCTGCGAAGGATCGTGCTCTTGAACAACTGAACGAAGCCTACTCGCGGTGTATTGTCATCTCTGCTGAGGAGTTCCTTATCCGAACGTCCGTGCTAGGTAAGTATCCTTGTTATTCTAGTTATTTCTCTGCTTAACAACAATGCTAGTGAGACAGTCAGATACGATACTTACCCTCCCGTCGATACTTTCCTCCATTCCTCCGGCATCCCTGTCCTCTCATATGAACACCCTCCGGAGAGACTTGACGATGCTTTACATCGACTTCATTTGCAAGCAACCCGCATCTATCTCCGTGGCTTCGCACAGCGCTGCAGTGGCACCATCAGAGTATAAGTTGTCTATTTTTCCGGCTCCCCCAACAACACATAACCTCGTTTCGAGGATCGAGAACCTTGCTGCTGTTCTGGACTTCCTACGTGACCATCTTTTCCCTCATCTACCCTATTCGTCATCGTTCGCGTTGTCGCTTTGCAAACCAATCACCACGGCTCTCCTCAATCATCTTCTTGTTCCGTCTCTTCCTTCGTCTTTGGATGCGCTTCCGTCATTCCTCCAGCTTACACACCGAGCCGTGGAGTTCGAAAGGGATTACATTTGTGGCGTACTTGGAGATACATCACCTGAGAAGGACGTCAAGGCCTGGGCTGATGCTGTCGGTACTCACTATGAACGCAGGAGGAGAGTGGATCTCCTGGAACGCGCGAGGGCGATTATCACTCGAGAGGACAACATTAGTGATGCCTTTCGAGTGGAGGTCATTGTCGCGGAAGAAGCTTCCCCGAAGAAACACTTGATGGATGCCACTGTTGCACCTAAGACCGTTCCTCCCGTTGAGGAAGAAGCATGGGACTTCGAAGAAGAGTCGTCTACTCAAGATTTCTCAGAGGAAAATGGTTGGGATTTCGAGGATGATGTTGAGGCCAAACAGGAGACAACAGGAGGTTCATCTGCGCTGAACGACAATCCTCCACCTAACGAAGAAGATCCTGCTGATGCTTGGGGATGGAATGATGATGATGAGCCTACACCTCCGGATGAGAAGGATGGATCGACGGATTCCTCTGCCTGGGATGATCCATGGGGAGATGAGCCTTCAGTACCCAAGCCTGCCGTCGTGGCTAAACCCGCTACAAGGTTGGAGAAGGTGTCAAACAAGGGGAAGAGCTCCGCCACTTCGTCTGCGGTACAATCTCCAGTGCCAACAGCTGCACCCCCGCCTACACCGGCTATGCCTTCTTTGGCGAAACAAGGCACCCGTGATCTGGGGACCCCTCAGCAATATGCAGAAAAGGAATCATACCTCGTCTCTGGCCGCTCGCAGGAGCTCGTTACCTTGGTGGAGGATGTCCTTCGCGAAGCTGCCGAATTGGCAAAGTCAAAAATACTTCCTTCGGACTCACAACGTTCGCCGGTTGGAAGCATTCTAGGTCTGACATCGTCCTTCATTCTGGATCTCTATCGTGCTCTGTATCCAGTTACCTTTTCTAACGCCCTGTCAACGTCGCCAAAGCGAGCTATGTTCTTCTCAAATGATTGCCTCTGGTTGAGTGGAGAAGTCAAGCGGATATCAGCTCTTGGCTCTGTACCCTCACCGACGAAAGAGAAACTCATCCAAGGCCAAGAGCGATTAAAGGTACTCGAGGAGAGTTGGTTCGAAGATGTCGTGGTAGGTACCTTTGACTAATCACATAAACGTCAGGTGTTGACCAGTATTGCGCAGGATAATCAATGCCTCAAGGTGAACGAGATCCTAGACGGAACTGAACGCTTCAGAGACACAGCAGACCAAGACAGATATGATGAATCTGAAAGCGCTATGAATGAGGTATTGCAGGATATCCGTCACTTTGCCAGGGAGGTCAAGGTGAGTTTATCTTCATAGGACTATAGTATAATGTCATATTCAAGATCATTTTTAGCCGGTCCTTACCAAGACCAAGTACTTCAATGCAATTGGCTCTATTGTGGATGCTGCATTGTCTCGAGTTCTCAGTGATATACTTGCCCTGTCGGATATTCCTGAAGTGGAGTCGCACAAGCTCAGCGAGCTCTGTCGTATTCTCAATGCTCTCGAGTCGTTATTCGTTGAGGATTCTAATCATGCAAGTGTACTTCACCATGATCTCTCGCTATATCTATTAACCTATATTATTTCTAGCCTTCGTTCGTTGTTGCGTATGTCCCTTCGTGGCTGAAGTTCTCGTATCTTTCCGAACTCCTGGTGCGTGCTCATACATCAATCTTGGGCTTTTCTCTAATGGGACGTATGTAGGAGGCATCTATTGCGGATATCTCATACCTGTTCGAAGAAGGCGCACTGGTCGACTTTGAGATCGAAGAGCTCGTGAAGTTGGTGAAGGCTCTCTTTGCTGATACCCCACTCAGAGCCAACACCATCAACAAGCTGATGCAAGGTCATCCTATCCGGTCGTGACATGTTCGGTGCTGGATATTTCTTGGTTATTCTTGTATACTTGTGGGACGGCAGGTATTCTACTGAAGCACTTGCAGTTTAGTCGAAATCATAGCGAGTTGCGCAGTCTCAAGTCCCTCTACAGAATATTGAACATTAATTAGTATGAGCGGTCCTTTGAGAAAGCTGTTTACTGCTATTTTTTGGTCTCATCATTTATAGGCTGCTCACACAACGATCGCGTCTTGGCTTGGCAATCGGGCGTCCTTTGTTCTTGCAGTATCTTGTTAGGATTGACGAAGTACTTTTTGCTTCTTGCACGTGTCGAATCTCTACAGCGAGAGGGAGATGGCGATCATTTTAACAGACTTCCTGAGTTTCTCAACGACCATGCCTTTCTTGAAGACGTGAGTTCTAGACCTGCTCTAAAGCGTCTGACCAGTTACTTTTTCCTGTCTTCACAAGTTCCTTTCACCTGCCACAGCTCGAAAAGGCCTGCGGCAGCCAGAAGCGCATCACATTTGACGATGAACGTCTCTTTGCCTCTACTTGTCTTCGTACGCAGTATTGTGACCGCCTTCACTACCCACAACGCATTTGCGATAGGACCTTCCTTCAGTGATCGAGAGCGATTCTTATGCCTATACCGGCTATAGGGATGGAACACCGCCCGATGGACAGCACAGCACAGTCTCTTCCGCGATCCTGTGTGCATGAGCTGGATCGCCGAGATCTGTAGTGCACAGCATGCGCCGCGCAGATAGAATATACTTCGTTCGAGACCTTTGCATTCATACTTACTGCGATGAGGTCTGAATCGATGATTTTGACCTTTTTGTAGTTTGGGGCAAGCCGGTTTTGCCTGTTCAACGTGACCAAGCCCACGGACGAGCTGTTAAATCGCGCTTGTACTTTATTTGACATCGGTCCTTTGGAGTCCGACAGTTGTCTAGTAGGCTTTTGATCTAAGTCCTATAACTCGCCTTCTATTTTCGCCATGCCTTCATGAAACGGACGGTCTTTTCCTAGTGCTGCAGAACCACCTTGAATCGGCACGGGTTTGTTTGTCCAGGGTGCTGAGTACAGTAATATCGCCGTCTAGAGAAGCATGCCGACTGAAACGTTGCAAAAATTCTCTACCACATCTACCAGCACACTCCTGCGATAGGGATAAAAATGGCAGTTTGAGCAGAGAATCGTTACTACCATGTCATACATATTCTCTAAAAGATCGCGTCTCCGTCTAGGTGTCCTGAGGTACGAGAGCAGTTCTATCTATTCTGCCTCCGAGGACCTCAAGCGAGGTACCGGAAGTATGCGGGCGATATATGTGCAAGCGACAGCCAGACCTTTAAATTTTTCAAAATCAGCCTCCAAATCGCGAGGCATTCATCAGCTTGTACAAAGGCGCGAAGACTCACGTTATACCAATAGAAGGAAATCTGATCATCTCTTGTTTCCTTGAAAGCCATGAAGCGATAACCCACGAATACCGCTAACAGAACAAATGCGGCAGACGTAAAACCATCCAGTCCCCACGTCCATGCCAATGCCATACTCCAAAAGCTCATCCCGACGATCACTGTCTCGCGTGCAATATCTGGTCGAACGATTGGGAGGGTATGGCGGCCAATAAGACTATCACCTTGGACGTCTTTAAAGTCTTGGGTGTGGATGGTCGTCACATAAATTCCAAAGTTCATCAAGATGGCGAGCAGAACGCTGCCTTGAAGATTTCGGTATTGAGGGGCTGAAGGGGGGGTTGGTCAGTGATTGCTTGGGTGTGAAATGACGGGAAGTTCACCTATTGTCAGCGCCGCACCCGCCTCAAAGGTGCATAGACCGAAACCGTTGAGAAGGTTTTTCATTGCCCAATGGCTCGCAGCCGCTTGCTCATTGTAGATGAAGGTCAAGACGGTCAACACAACGCTCGTCCACATCAGCTGGGTGCTATACCAGAGGGAGTATATCCAGCATACAGGTACGAGTAGCCATCGCAATATCAACGCCTGACGCAATGTCATACGACCGGAAGGAATAGGACGATCACTTTTATTGACCTCGTCTTCCTCTGGATGTGTAGTCTGGTTTGAGACATCGCATTGAAGTACGTGTAACCAGAGCCAAAAAATGACTTGGGGTATACGAGCAAGCTGGAGTTTAGGCGAGACGGCCATGGCGAAGAGCGACTGCAAAATCTGCCCGTCAGAAATCCAATATAGTTATCACGTATATTGCTTCGTACAATGGGTGTAATGGTCGTCTTGAAGTCCGACTTCGTGAACAAAAAAAGCGTATACAAATGGCCAAATAAGGACCCTGCATATGGATGAGTGGAGGTAGTAGAAAGGTCTGCTGAAATTCTACGGTGTTACCCGCATCCGTCTAGATCACGAAAACAAGAACTCACCCGTTTCCTTCATCATGATTCTTGAACTACGTAGAAGACATCGTTCTACGGCAACCTATATAGCATGCAATCAGTCTCAAGAAACCGGTGGGAATGGATGCTACCTAGAATGATCCCAATTGCAATGCATTTTACTCCAGAATCCCCAACAGATAGGGCATTGGGATCAGCAGCGCTGCTTCAAGCATCCGAGACTTGGCATATCATCATTGGCAGCTTAGTTACCACTCAACAGGCAATGGAAGGGCTCAGATGTATGTGCATGCTCTGTGTATGCTTCCGGTAGTCTCGGACATCTTTCAAAACATTTGTTATTGAATACAGGTACCAAGAAATGATGGAGGAAAGATACCAGAGTGCCGCAGCATGGAGGGTCCTCCGAGCTTCGGAAGCACCAGCATATGTAGCGTCATTGGGATCAGAACAATTGCATAAACCACTTCCCAGACGATGTATGTAATGGTTATTCTTGTATACGCTTGAGCTCGGATAAATTGTCGCTTAGCAGTTGGGTAGTTTCATCGCGAGAGACTTGAACTCCGAGCCATTATAGACGGCGAAGGTTAGATGCGGTGATAAGATTGAGAAGACGGAGGCCAAGCGTGTCTGACCCTGAACGACGTCCCGCCTTAAAAGTCAGAGCAGAGCTTGAACCATATACACAGAAAGAACTCATAAGCTCAAATCAACTCACGTTGGACTCCATATGTATCTTCGAATCAATGGTTTGCATACTCACTGCACCGGGGAAGTTCGATCGGGGCATGTGAGATTTGAAATTTGAGCGTTAAGCCAGATTCAAAGATTGACAGCTGAGTATGAGTAGAGCGAATAAAGGGTGTTAACGCAAATCTAGTCGTATCCCGATCTTCTCGGTCATGGAAACGCTATGCCAGTGTTTGTCGAAAGAACTCCGAGTAACTCGGAGACAAGTGTTTGCGCAACAAAGTTCGCAGAAGATCTTAGTTTGATTGAACATCTAAATGGTTCAGGCAACCTGGGGACGTATCGTGTTACATTATGAACACAAGCTTTGATGGAAGCGTAGAGAAGGATAACCTGGAGGCCGTCTTCATTTGAAAAGGAATAAGATGGTATATTGGCATGTTTTGGATGTGATATATTGAAAGCATGCACAAGTGCCGTATGCAGTAATAAGGACTCCGTGGCGATGGAACGCTCAGAGGACGCTCTATGCATATGACGATGTCAGCTAGACTATTGTCTCCAACTGGCAACCAACTCACTTTTCAATGCAGCACAAGCTGTGATCAAGGAAGTCGTTGCGAACCGAAGATGGATGCAAGCCTGGCAAGACGTACTGCCAGCGGATACAGCACGTTCCGAAACCACATTCCTTGTCGTAGTTGCATGAGGCGCGACTAAGTCGCGTTGGACGTTTGAACTACACTGCCTGTGGGAGACTAACGTACGCGCCCAGCGCATCCGCCGAGTCCGTCGGTATCGTAACAACTTGTAATTGAGGTGGCCGACCAAGAGGTAACAAGCAATCGGATCATATCTTCCGGAATTAGAGCTTCCAAGTAAGGAAGGAATTGACCTCGACGCCTAATAATCTGTTGGGAAGAACGACAGAGACTATTTCTTCTTGCACATTTTTCCGGCCTACTGCTGGCACTGCTTACTTGCTTCATGTAAGTGACTGAAATGTGATCTATCTTCATATCGGTGCCGCGGTTCGTACATTCTTTTCTTGTGGCACAAGTCAGCTGAGTCAGCTGCTAACTATGCACTCTAGATGAACGTTTGATAGCCTGAGAGATCTTATAGGCCTTACCGGTGGCATTCGGACTTGGGCTGCTGTCAGTGGTCGCTGCTGCCGCTCGGGTTGTTCAAGTCATTGTAGGGCACTACAAATTGCGAGTTACCACTCTCAATTACGCGCTATTTCTATTTACCGGTTTTCACTGGCTCGCATGGCTTCAAACGCGCTGTCTTATGATATCGCTATCGAATGCTTCACACGCCTGTACATGAAGGTGATCAGAAGGCTCCTTTGTGCATCCGTTGGAGTCAAGAAATGATTTATAAAGGTGTAGGAAAAGGTTTATCTGCGTATGTGACTCGGACATATCACTTGCCAGTGCCTGGACCGTGTTCACACATTTACTACGAATATGTCGCCTGCAGTCGTGCTAAGCCTGACGGTGATCTTCTGTGCTTGGCTACTTCGTCGCCTCAGCCGTATTGGTAGTCGAGAGCGTGGCCTTCCACCTGGTCCTCCGACTCTGCCTCTGATTGGCAACCTTCATCAATTCCCCATGTCGTTTGCACATGTTAAGTAAGTTGTACGCGCTGTCCTAACTTTGACTATGATTCATTGCGACATTATTAGATTCATGGAATGGGCCCAAGTTTACGGGGATATCATCTCGGTACATCTCGCTTACAAAAATTTCCTTGAAATTTGCCATTCCTGATATCTATCAGGTAAAGCTTGGTCCTCAAACTGTTGTTGTTTTATCCAGCCCAAGTCTGGTCCGTGAATGCATTGATTTACGCAGTGCTACCACGTCAGATCGCCCGACGCTTCATATTCCCAAGCTGTTGTACGACGACAACGGAGAAATGTCTCTTGCTCGATATGGTCAGTAGATTATTATGATCGCAGACTGTGCCATTCTGAACTACGGACGTCTCGCAGGTCCTACATGGAAGGCAATGCGTCGAGCAGCGCGTGACATCCTGAGTCACGAAGCATGTATGAAGCACCTGCCCATTCAACATGCAGAAGCTGGTCAATTGATGTATGACCTCCTAGAGCATCCCAAGGTGCATGCCCATTGACTGTTACATCTTTCAATCTCAATCTCAATTTCTTGAGCAGGAATTTTACACTCACATTTACAGGTACTCCGCATCTGTCATCTTCTCTGTTGTAGCCGGCATACACTGTTCGCAATTCGAAGGCAGCGTTGTTGAAGATCTCGATAGTATGTTACGTCAACTAGAATACATCTTGAGACCCGGTGGCTCCCCGCCCGTTGATCTCATCCCACTCTTGAAGTACATCCCATCGAGGTGGGCACTGTGGAAGACGAAAGCCAAAGAAGTTCGGGCGGTACAAGAGAAGCTCTTCTTCGGCATACTTGACCATTGCGTCGACCGCATCAAACGTGAAAAACGTAATGACTGTTTCTTAGAATACGTTTTAGACCATCAAAGTCATTACGGCCTTGATTACAGGCAGATGGCGTAAGTGTCAGTATTATTACTAGTCGCAAATGAAACTGACAACATATCAAGATATCTCGGGGGAACACTGTTCATGGCTGGCGCCGATACAACCGCAGTTTTTCTGCGATGGTTTATCGCATGCATGGTCACGTATCCCGACATCCAGAAGCGAGCCCAGCAGGAGGTCGACGAAGTCATCGGCCTCGATAAATCCCCTGTATTAGATGACATTGAGAAGCTACCATATTTACGGGCAATTATTAAAGAGGTATGGCTGATTCACAAGTGTAATATTGCACACAAGTTCAACTTTGAACAATGCAATAGGTTCATCGATTTCGCCCTATAACGCCAACTGCAGTGCCTCATTCCGCAACTGCAGATGAACGAGTGGGTGCCTGCTCAACCCCCAATATATCATATGTGAACTTATAGATTAAATTAGGTCGGCGACTTCCTGATTCCGAAGGGTGCGACAATCTTCATGAATGTCTGTAAGTAATACACCATACATGCATGCTATTATCACACCTTTATCTTTGTTCAGGGGCTATCTATCACCACGAGGATTATTTCGACAACCCAGAGCTTTTCAATCCCGAGCGGTACATCCGGTCAGAGCATGGTGCTAAACCTGGAGTTGACACTACGGGACTTCGGGATGACCTTATGTTTGGCGGTGGACGTGTATGTCTTGACTGCCTCTCTTGTTTTTGTGTACTAAATGCAGCGCCTTTTAGCGAATTTGTCCAGGCTCGCACTTAGCTTCAAATTCCATTGTAAGTTTTCCCCAAATCCGCGGAATAAATCTCGCTTCTAAATTTAACATCTCAAGTTCCTGAATACCATGGACTTTTTGTGGGCCTTTAAATTCCAACCCGCAACCGATGAGGTCACAGGGCTTCCCATTCCCATTGACCTAAACAGTTACAACGGTGTAAGTTTACGCCTTCTCCAAGCAGGACTTCTTGACGTTGACATTTTGCAGGCTCTGATCGGTTCACCAACGCCCTTTCAATGTGAAATCATACCTCGAAGCGAAGCGAAGGCTGGTATGATTCGCGAGCAATTCGCGGCGGCAAGCCCTACGTTCGAACTATTTGAACAACACACTTCTCTTCAAGACAAGCCTGATGATGGGGCGTGAAGATACTGTTCCTCTATTGCTACTTAAAGCCGACCGATTGTGTTCTTGCTTTCATACTGAATTTGTGTTGTGGAGAATCACTGCAGATCGAACGATGTTATTAATATTACTCTCTCGTGGTACTGTCATGAGACTACCTGACTGTCTCGTAGGATAAAACGTTGACACCAAATGCATATGAATAGTGTGACTCGACTACGAATGCCACCTATGAATGAACCTGTCTAGGATCTACGATGCACTGCAGAGTCAGACCCACCAAGTTATGAGTACTTAACATTGAACATTGAACAGGCGAACGTGTAGCAAAGTCGAATGTGAAGTCAGAAAAGGAAGTTAATGTCCCAAAACCGGCATAGGAGCAACGCACGGGCCGAGTGTGATCAACAAAGACAAACAACTGCTCGTCGGAAGAGCCACTGAGCTCATTGTGGCCAACGACGAACAACGACGCTTTTCATCACCGACGCATGTCATGTCATCGCTGGAGGTATGTCATTTATTTCTTCTGTTCTGTGACTTTCACACCTCTCCCGGCACTATAGACCTTCGAGAGTACTCTCAAAGATGTGGTTCAGGCGAAACGATTGTCTCAGTCGAAGATGAAGAAACTTACCGATAACGCACTGAAATGCATGAAGGTGTGTGACTAGTTCATTTGAAATGAAGCTGCCCTCAATTTCCTGATTTTGCAGTACGATACGCAACTGGTTTCGACGCTCTATCGCACCCACAAGACACTGTCTACTGCCTCAAAGATCTCTAGCCTATACGTTTTCGATGCTCTGGCCCGTGCGGCACGACACCAGGTCATAAAGCAAGATGTGAAGGTGGATTCCAAGTCTGAGAAGGGCAATTGTGCCACCTTTCTCCTCAAGATTGAGGGTGTCCTTGATGGTCTTTTTCAGGACATGGCGTCGCTGGATCATCCTGATGCAAGGGTGAGTTTTCATCTCCCTTTTTTCGTCTGACTCGGTTCTCTATGCACTAGTCGTAATACTCTGGTACCATATGGCTTGCTTTGCCATCCACGTACTAACTGTAGTCAATGTCTTGCGCTGATGTCTATCCGTCGACCCGAAACTTGCTGACGTTACTACGATCTGTACTGTCAATTCCGCGCTCTGGCCCCGTTGTGCCAACTCCGTGCAGTAATTACTGATCGTCTGTAGCATGCCTGTACGATCGCGCTTTTAGTGGCGTCCTCATGAATCACGTTCAGCCACCAGCGCGTTCAGTCACATGCTTTCGAATCCTGTTTTCATTTAGCCTCTCGTATCGTTGATAGGTTCTCTGACCTGCCGGCTTCTTTTTCCCGACCATTATACAGGAAAAGACCAAGAAGATTCTAGACATTTGGGTCAAGTCAAATACGTTCCCTCCGGATGTACTAGAGCGTTTGTCGAAATTGGTTAAAGAGGTTACAGAGCAAGGTGCTTATCATGTTCATATGTTTTCGCTAAGTACTTCCCATCTGCGTAATCCCATTATTTTTCTCCCGCCTGAAGGCGTCCCACTAAGTGAGAATGCGAACTGAAATGTAATCTTGTCTGCATTAGACTCCAATAAATTCGTATCTGTTGCAACCGCAGACCCGCGGCAGCAGACGACTCCGCCAGTTGCGGTTCCGACGCCTCCACAGCAGGTGGCAGCATCAACACCGCAACTCCCAGCGGCACCGACTGCGACGCCGACAACCGACGTACAATCAACACTTCTAGCGCTTCTCAGCCAAGCTGCCAATGCCGTTGCAAGCAATGGGTGAGTCCAATTTTTTTCTCAGCACCAACGCGTTTGCTCACAATAGGCGGCAGGCAAACAACTGCAAATACGCCCGCACCTGTAGCGATCTCACAACTTGATGCGAACCAGCTCGCATTGTTTCAGCAGTTGGCACAGTCAGCCAAAGCAGGGAGTGCAGTCCCTACACAGCCCTTACCATTACCCGTGTCATTAGTGCCATCCGCTACTGCAAATGTTCCCCCTGTAGCACCTCCAAATGGAGGGCCGCCTCAGCCATATCGAGATGATCATTTCGGCTTTGGTCGTAGAGATCCAAAATATGACAGATTCGATGGCCCAGAACGTGCGAGAGACCGTGATGACTATTATGACGATCGTCGCAACTTTAGAGGCGACTTTAGAGGTCGCTTTCCGAGAGGCGGCTTCCGTGGTCGCGGCGCCGGACGCGGACGTTGGGATGAACGCGAACAGTATACAGACAGAAACAGAGAGCGCGAGTGGAATTCGCCTTCTGAAGGCAGACACAGTCGTTCTCGAAGTCCCCCTCGTAATAGATTCGCCGGAAGACGAGATGTCAGACCTTACAGTCCGCCAAGGCGACCATCTACTTCGCAAATGTCCGGCGCTCCTCCAATGACCCCCGGACCACCCACGCTAACTGGCAGAAAGGATGAATTTGGACGAGACCTCAGGCTGGATTCGCCAACGCAAGCCACACCTCCGGGGACCACACCCCACCAATTAAAACCGCCTTCGATACCGATCTCTACATCAGTAGTTTCTGTAGACAGCACCGAAAAACCTTCCCAGCCGATACTCGCAGATCATTCTGCCTCTGCGCAGATAGAGTCTAACTACCCCGTTGCATCATCATCATCATATTCATCTACAATACCTTCAGTTGCATCGCAAGACAAACTTGGTTTGGATGTGTTCGATCTTACGACTTTCAATCCGATGGAGCCGTCGTCGTGGGAGGCGCTGGGAAAAGCGTGGGCAGTTACGAACGGCTATCTGCCGTCACAGGAGGAACTCATGCAGTACATTATGGGCGGGAACATGTTTCCTGTAACTAGTCAGTATGGCGTGCAACAACAAGGCGATCATTGGTCTGGTCATGAAGAGAACTGGAATCGTCCACAAACAAATCGAGGAAGAGGAAGAGGTCGCGGCAGTTTTGGTCACGGCAATAGCCGAGGGGGGCAATGGGGATATTCGGGCGATCGACGTGGGGATGACAGGGGTACAGATGCAGTGATGCTGGGCGGAGGGGAGGAAATGGAGAGTTCGTATGATACAGGTTATGAAGGGGCTGCATGGCAGGAGCAACAACAGCAGAGTGGTACTTGGTCAAACGACAGTCGCGGGCAGTCTGTCCCTAGTGAAGAGGACACCTCGCAAGCTGAGCACCTCAGTCCAACTGGAGGAGCTCCCACAGGTAGGATGCAGAGAGTAGGTGATAAGTGGGTATTCGTGCGAGGAGAAGCGGCGACAACAGAAGTAACATCATAGGATGGACTTCCCTGCACGTTCTATTGTAATATTCAGTTCCATCATTCGATCCCCTCGTCTCACACAGATTCCGTCGCATTTCCCATCCCAGCCAATTCATAGTTATAGTTATTTCTTACTCTTCCATGCTCGTTGTCTCTGTATATAAGTCTTGGTCGATTGACATTGGATTCCATGTCGGAGGCAGTTGAGCACGAGAAGGGATTTGGGAAGTAGATGAGATAAGCCATCGTCGCGGTGCCTATGCCGATAAGACTGCCGACAATCACATCCTCTTTGTGATGCCTCTGAAGATGCGTTAGATGCTAGAAGACATTAATGCAAATACCGGTACGCACGTAGTCCTCGACTCTCGATATGGCTACCCAGGTAGCGAAAGCTATGGGCAGGAGAGTGAAACACACTCGTGCAATTCGACTTCCGAGGAGTGACCGTGAAGGGATACTTCGACTAAAGCACCAGGCACCGGTGACGCCTGCCAACCATAGGAAGAGGAAGATCATTCCAGAAAATGCTGTTGAAGAGTGTCCGGAAGGGAAAGATCGTCGGCCATCTAACACCTTATCAAGCTTTCTGTCAGGTTTAGCTCATATTCAGCAATGGGGTACAACCAACAGAGAGACTCTACGAACCCCCTGCATGCATGCAATTCTTCACTCCATTTACATCTGGAGAGGAAATCGGGACGAAGGCGACCTGCGGCAGAATGAGTATCTTCATGCCTGTACAATAAAAAATGTGCACTTGCCAACTCTATTCTTGAGAGCTTCTGTTGTGAGCGCAGTGAATGCTCTGCAAATCAATGTTCAGGTTCACGCCTCCAAGAAAAAAGGATAATATCGAATAAGCACCTTGAAACATACAGGCCTAAGGCGCCATGATGGATCTCGAGGGCAGATGCTCTGATGAGACCAACAATAACGACAAATGCAAGGGGAACAAACAAAGCGAGTATCCACGTTAGGTTGCCGCTTATTCTGCATACCATTGAGAATGTTATTTATTGCCTATACTCAAGTCGGAAAACGTACTGGTTTTCTTTGTGTGTATAGTTAATGAAGGGGTCATCTAAGGAGAAATCGCGTTCAAAAGGTGGCAAGCCTTTAATGAGCCAAGCAATAATCCAGGCGATTGAAGCTATTATCCTACGTCCGATGTTCACTACCTGCTCGGCGAATGATAGCCTAATTCATTACTTACCAGTCTACGAGGTATGCACGATCGAACCAGTCGAAAGATCCGGGATTAAAAGTATGGCTCACACTTTCCTGAAAGAATGTAAGTAGGCTAGACATGTTTCTCCACGAAACCTGGGGCATTGGAGCTTCGGAGGGGTGTGTCTTGATTCAGTTATACATTTGCTCCCTGTAGGAATATTAGATAAGTTATTCTATCATCTTTCAGGGATGCTCTACCGAAGCGTATAAAAATCTTTACCTCGAAAGGACACTATAAACAAGGGCTCAGAGCGAGCATGAGTGTGTGAGGGCTGGAGAAAGAAGTGCGTGGGTCCATGTGTATGCGGCATCTGCCGAGACCGTAACGGTCACGATAGGTCACGGTGTTACTGGTCGCGTAGCGTGACTCAACTGAGCCACGCCGAGACGCGTCGCTTGCCAGCACTCTTTGTTTCTAATTTCTTTCAGGTATTACTGACCCCCCCCTCTGCTAACCATGGCGAGGGCACTAAAAGATGCTGCATCCTCCAAAGGTCAGCAGAACATTACGGCTTTCTTTGGCGGCGCGTCTGGCAAGCCCATTCCCAAACCTGCGCCAAAGGCTGCAACGAAGGCGGCCTCTAGTTCTCGTAAGAAGAAACCTGTAATTATATCTGACGATGAACCGGAGGCTCCAAGCGACGGTATGGCGGTGGATCTCACAGACGACAACGCCACTGAACCCCCCTCTGAACCTGCTGACGACTTAGAAGATCCGAGTGATAGCTCGGATACGGACCATCAAACTCTAGCAGATGCGGACGAGGATGGTACACATTCTGAGGAAACATCCTCCACAAGGAAGATTTCTACATATGTCGGCGGTCCAGACCTGCCTCCAATCTCTTCCATCCCTTCGATATTTTCGGACATGGTCAAACGGTTTCCTCAGATCAAGTCTGTCGTGGAGCACTTGAACGGCCGCAAAATGCGAGTTGCCACTATGTGTTCTGGGACCGAATCACCCCTCCTTGCCCTCGATCTTATTCGTAGAGCAGTTTCTGATTTATATGGAATCAACCTGGAGTTTGAACACGTATTCTCGTGCGAGATCGAGCCATTCAAGCAGGCTTATATTGAACGCAACTTCCATCCTCCCCTTCTATTCCGTGATGTTTGCGAGCTTGGAAATAGTCATGCGTAAGTGTTTCGTATAGTTATCTTTGTACGGTTCTTACGAAATGCAACAGGACGACGGTGTATGGTGCTCTTGCACCTGTTCCGGGTGATGTCGACATGTTGATCGCGGGCACTTCCTGTGTCGACTTCTCAAATCTCAACAACGAGAAGCAAGGCATTAACGATGGCGGGGAGTCCTCGCGTACATTTCAAGGCATGATGTCGTGGGTAAAGCGCCATCGACCTCCTTTGGTCATTATGGAGAATGTGTGTAGCGCACCATGGGCCGAGATTATCAAATATTGGGAACGTACAAAATACTCGGCTTCGCAATTACGGGTTGACACGAAGTTCTACTACATCCCTCACACTCGGACGCGTGGATATCTTCTCGCCGTCGACAAGAAAGGTTCATCTTTGACTGAGAAATGGATGAAAGTCCTAAATGAAATGAAGCGGCCCGCTTCTTCCACTCTTGACGCTTTCCTCCTTCCTACCGATGATCCTCGTATCCATCAAGCTCGCGAAAAATTGGTTCGAGAAACCGAGAAAGATAGAGGAGGCCGGCTGGATTGGTCACGATGTGAAAATCGTCATCAAAGAGCGCGTTTGGACGAACAACTTGGTAACAAAAGACCTCTCACTGGTTGGGAAGAAGGTATTGAGTTTGACCATGCTTATTTCAAAACATAGTAAACTAATCCCTCGTTAGGTGGTCAATGCAAACTACCTGATTTCGCATGGAATGATTGGGGAATTGCTCAGGTTGAGCGAGTTTGGGATCTGATGGATATCTCCCTGATGCGGGATGCCAAGAAGGGTGTCGACCCTTCATTTAAGACGTGAGTGCCAGTTGGAATGGTGCATTTTTCTGTATTGCTCACAATCTCCCATTAGTCAAGTGTGGAATTTGTCGCAGAATGTTGACCGTTCAACTGGTTCTAGCAAGGCCGGAATCTGCCCATGTTTGACGCCGTCTATGATTCCCTACGTAACCAATCGTGGTGGCCCCATGGTTGGTCTGGAGGCGTTATCACTTCAAGGTCTGCCTGTGGACGAATTGCTATTGACCCGGGAAACCGAGGATCAGCTTGCTGATCTCGCTGGCAACGCCATGTCCACCACCGTCGTCGGAGCAGTCATGATGGCAGCCATGTTTGTTGCTAAAGAGTTACTCAAGTCAGGCGACGACGGACAGACTTATGAACAAAAGAAGCAGATCGTCGCAGATGATGACGATGAGGAAGAGGATGCTACCATGGAGATTGACCAGTCACATACCGGCGATTCTGTAGAAGATCACATCACGGGCGAGGGACTTCTCACAGAGAAACCACTTCCCTTAGCTGCTACATCCAAGACCTCGCTGCAGGAACTCTTGACGGATGCTGAAAGAAGCGTCAGGTTTTGTCTCTGTGAAGGACGTACCACTGTCACCGACCGACAGGTACTCCGGTGCAAGGACTGTGGCTCAACGGCATGCGTCAAGTGTGCAGGTAGACCGGAGCATAACTATGAGCCTATCGACGTTATTGCCAATCCTCGTATCCATCCTTCTCAATTCGAGCAGAAGCTCAAGGACACACTGCCGATGTCTGTAGAGGTCGGCCCTGTTACCCAGGATTTGCTCGACGACTTGAAGACGTCTGCTGCACTTTTGATTCCCGAGAAGCGATGGACAAGGTGGACGCAAGCAGTCCTCCGGGCGACCCGAGAGGAGCTTCGGTTTGCCGAGCCGAAACGCCAGGATATCTGGAGCATTACTTATCAGTCTCCTAGTGCTTTACTAGAGCTCTCGCTTCACCCTCAACAGCCTGAATGGCGGCTCTTCGGTAAGCCATTAGACAACGAACCGGCCAACTCGGAGCTCCGTAGACTTCTGGAGAATTACCCTGTTGCTCGCTTCGTGTGCAAAGATGGTCTTTTTAATGGTCGCTGGGAATTCGCTTTCCCTCATACAATCGCCGTACCTCTCACAATCAAAGGGAGCGAGCCAGTACCCTCGTATGAGCAGAAACTGGGCTTACAAGTTCCGAATCTCAGAGACAAGATGGTCAACTCGATTCTGAACATTTCGGTACCTGCCGAGCAAGTTCAGAAGTTCGAGCGGAACATATCTGGAGCATACACTCTGTTCGATAAGTGCGGTACTGCCATGGGTGCGTTGCACAAGAAAGAGGCAACGGATGCAGATTCCGGCCTCCCTCCTATTTATCTCTTCTTGGATCCCTTTAGATGTTCCGATCCAAAAGACGATGGATTCGTCTTCTCCATCAGCAAGAGGCGTTTGGAGTACGGTGAAACTCGACCTGTGATTGCTGAATTAGACGTGAAGTGGAGACAGTCAACTAAGGAATCTCAGGTCGTATCCTGCATTGTTCCCTACCGCTGGACAGAATCCGCAGAAGTCAGCTTGAAGGTACGTACGTTTCTATAGTTCTCCTGGATGCACTCTAATTTCTACGTTCATTAGCCTGCCCAAATTCGCGACGCTATTTGTGCGACGCCGGCAGCCAATTTTGAGCTAGATCTAACCACAGAGTCGTGTGCAAGTAATAGAGCTTTCTTGGTCTGTAAAGTGCCTTTAGACGAAGAGGCGGGGCCTGAATGGCCTCGAGGGCGTTGGCAGGAAGTTGACAAGGTTCACGAGCGTATCACATTCAAAGCTCTTGCTTGGTTGCTGGAGCGAGTCAAGAACGTGGATGACCGTTTCGGAGAGTGGATGACATCGAACTCGCCTCACGACTATGCTGGCTGCCAACGATGTGCACCTACTCCTCCAGAGATACATTGGGCTTTAGTCAAGCACAGCCCCGTAGCCGTTGAGGACCCGGTTCAAGCAGGAGCATATGAAAGGGCCTTGAAGCAGCGTCCGCCACCTTTCATTACCCAACTGAAATTAGACGAACGGCAAATCGCTACTGTTCGGATAGGGATCAACTTCGCGTCTTTGATGCATCGCGCTCTTTCACGAATGCCTCCTACTACTGGCAAAACGGGACAAACAAGTATTGTCTGGCGTATTCAAACGAACTACGTCCCTATAGCCCGGTTGCCGAGGCATAAATTTACTTTGTCCAGCAATCGACTCGACTCGCAGCATAAGCAGCCCCCTTCATTCAAAATTCCTTTGCGTCCAGAGCAACTTCGATCACTTACCTGGATGGTAGCTCAGGAATCTCCCAAAGCCGAACCATTCATCGAGGAGGAAATTTCAGAGGCTGTCCTGGAACCTCTAGGATGGCGAGCGGAAGGTCGAGCACAGCGACCTATCAACGTACGCGGAGGTGTCCTTGCAGATGAGGTCGGCTATGGCAAGACTGCTATCACACTTGGCCTCATCGATTGTACAGCCATGAAGATCAAGGACGCAGTGAAGGAGAATGATGTGATACCGGGCAAGATTGCTGTCAAAGGGACTCTGGTCATAGTGCCTCCTCATTTAGGCGTTCAATGGCAGTCTGAGGTCGAGAAATTCACCAAGAAGGACCGTTTCAAAGTCAGGCTTCTCAATAATGCTGCACACCTCAATGCCGCAACGATAAAGGACATAATGGACGCCGATATTATTATCGTCGCCTCTACCCTTTTCCGGAGTGATAAATACCTGGAGAACTTATCATCTGTGGCTGGCAGCTGTCCTATTCCTTCCAAAGGCTCAGGTGGTCGATACGCGAACGCTTGCATCGAAATGGCTCACTCGTCTTTGCGCCGTCATGTGGATTTGCTACGCGACGAAGGGGCTTCTGCGCTCATGAAATCTATTGAAGAGGCCTCCAAGAAAGGTTTGTCATACACTGCAGTCTGGTCAAAACATTCTCTCATTCATTCGTTAGGTCCTGATGCTCATCTGGTGTTGCCAACCAAGCGACTAAAAGGCAAAACTTATCGTAATGCAACGCGCGATGTCGAGATTAAGGAGGAATCACCGAAAGACGAGCATCCTGTTCAAGTTAAATCGTCGAAGGCGAAACCGCTCAATGGCAAAATCATGGAAGTCTTCATACCTCGTCCTCCTAAGCGTAAAACATCGACCAGTGCCTCATCGTCAGCGACAGAGGCGTCACCTCCTGTGGCGAGCTCGAAACGTCGGGCTAGTAAGAAGATCATTGTGAATGACTCTGACGAAGATGCAGGCGATTCAAACGGATCTGATTACTACGAGTCACCCGCTGAAGAGTCAGGGGATGAAGCGGAAGATGTCGTTGATTCGGATGAGGAGGACAAGAAAGGCAAGTCAAAGCCAAAGCCTAAAGCGAAGGGGAAAGCGAAAGCTGTTTCCAAACCTCGCGGCAGCGCAAGTACTGTCTTGGACTCCGACGTCGCCACAAGTGAGGATGCAATGGACGTTGATGAACAGGCGCCAACGAAGGGGAAAGGCAAGAAACCGGCTGTCAGCTCCAAGAAGAGGAAGTCTGTTGAACCTGACGATGACGATAAACGCCCCGCTAAGAAGACGAAGCAGCCCCGTCATGAGAGCGACCCATGGAAGCTCAATACTAAAGCAGTCAAACGCGACTGGACTCAGATGAAAGCACCTCCTTTGGAGATGTTCCATTTTGCTCGTAAGGTTATTGATGAGTATACCTATCTGGGCGGCCTCGTTCTTTCGATGACTAGCCGCCTCTCTGCCGATCGCGTTTGGGTATTGTCAGGGACTCCGCCTGTCCAAGACTTCCCGGCCATCAAGACGATTTCAGCGTTCCTGGGTGTCCATCTCGGTGTCGATGCTGACCTGCCCGAGAAACCACGGAGGGGCGCAAGAAAGACTGACCTCACAGGTAGGCGTTAGGTCTTTCTTCTACTCCTGTATGATGCTAAGATCTCTCACATCCTAGCTGCTGAGCAATTCCACTCTTTCCGTGAAACACATACCTTGGAATGGCACGCACATCGCAATGAGATTGGTCAAATGTTCCTGAACCGTTTCGTTCGTCAGGTGAGTTATATAATTTTCACTCTTCTTTCCAGAAGCAGCTGACGAGAAATATAGAACATCGCAGAGATTGAGGAAATCCCATGGAAGGAACATGTCATGAAGATTGAACTACCCGCTGCCGAACGTGCAATCTACCTTGAACTCGAGCATTACTTGAGGGCTCTTGATATGACTATCAAACGTGGCAGGAAGAACGAAAGCGATAGGGAGAAACGCATGCATCAAGCACTCGGCGAAAGCGCGTAAGTTCATTTCGCTTCAGTCTTCCACCTCCTGTGGACTAACCATTTCGAAGCTCCGCGGAGGAGGCTCTGCTTAAGCGATGCTCTCACTTCGACCTCGAGACGGCCGACCCGAAGCACGCTCATGAGAACGCCATGAAAGCCTGCGATGTCATCGTCGAAGAGAGAAGGAAACAGTTGGAGGATTGCAAAGCGGACCTATTGCGACAAATCACGAATGCTTTCAGATGGGAGAAAGCAATCGGCAAGATGGACGAGGAATCGCTTTTCCGCGAGTACGTTCGGATATCTCAGAGTGAAAGCGTTGGCGACAAGGAAGCAACAGACATCGTGCGAGCAATCATCGATAGGGCCTTAGACGAATGGAACACTTCTAAAGGACCCAAACCTGAGGGGAAAACAGACGACCTCAAATGGGAGCACCGTGAACAAACACACGATATTCGTCGCACTCAAAGGGAGTTACTTGGTCGGGTCCGCTCATTGCGCTACTTCACCGTCGTGCGTAATCTGCAGAGTGAAAGAGAAGAGCCATATGTCATCTCTTGTCCTATATGCGGGCGTGACAATATTGGCATTGACAAGATTGCCGTTTTGTCCAGCTGTGGCCATACCGGATGTTACGCCTGTGTCATGAAGTATGCCGACCGTGAGGAGTGCGTTTACGCCCCTCAGGGTGATTGCAGGGCTGCTGCTCGAGTTCTTAACGTCGTCAAAGGTGCTACCCTCGGGGTTGACGATGTTGCCAGAGACGGCAAAGGAAAGCACTTCGGTCGCAAACTGGAGACTGTCATTGATCTCCTTCAGTGAGTACTACCATTCGATCTCACTTTCTTGTTTCTGACATTGTGCAACAGGAACAAAATTCCGAAGACAGACCGCGTCCTGATTTTCGTCCAGTTTCAAGACCTCATCAAGAAGGTTTCCGAGGCCTTGGAGCATGCGAAAATTGGATTCCTTCAAATCAAGGGATCTGCTTCAGACAAGTCAAAGGCCTTGAAGAATTACCAGAACAACTCGAAGGAACGTATCCTCTTGCTGAATGTCATGGACGAGAGTGCCAGTGGCGCGAACTTGACGATTGCAAACCATGCCATCTTCATTTCACCCCTTCTTACCGACTCGAAGGAGACCTACCTTGCCAACGAGACACAGGCTGTCGGTCGTGTTCGACGATATGGTCAAACCAAGACCGTCCACATCTACAGGTTCTTCAGTATGAATACCATCGACGTCGAGACCTACGAGCAGAGGACCGGTATTAGATTGGAGTCGTAAAGATCTTTGGGTATCATTTACGGATGTTTGGCTTATTTCTGTCTCTTGCTTTCGTGCACTTTTGCTGTGTCAACTAGACCATAACCTGTGTCATCCTTTCATTCAATTGAGTGTGCTAGAACAATGTTCTCTATATCGCATGTTGTAATACCTCATATCTCATGATATCATATTTCTTGGTTACTTCAGCTCGAACACTATGAGGTGGAAACAAGTGAATAATATTACAGTCGATGGGGATTAGGATATACAGTACAGTGATGATCATACAGTCCTGGCGATGAATCGATGAATAGGTGATACAAAGGGCTGCCGGTAAACCTTCTATTTCTCCTCCGGTACGTCAATCATATTGGTCTAGTCGGGGACAAGTCCCTCCGACAGAGATCCAAGGCTTCATAAGTATGCCGAGTGGACCTTGGGTGAGTGCACAATGGCCTCGTGGGGAAAGCTGCCCAGGTTACTTGGATGACATGACATATCCAGTCGTATCAAGAACGCGTTTGCCGCATATCGCACATACACCTCGTTTGTACGCACAACCTGAATAACAGGAACATCATGTTAGGTCTAGTATGTGAGGAGGAAAGAAAAGACATACCATGACAGTACTTCGCCTTGTTCTGGGTAACCGTAGACTTGCAGTCCCTACACTTACCCTGATACGGCTATAAATATCAACATATGAGCGATCAGCTTATTGAAACCAGCGGTTCATGGAGTTCACGTACCTGGAACCTATTCTTCGAGCTTCCTGGTCGTGTAAGTAGCTTGTTCTCACCGATCTTCCTAGACCCCTCCTTGATGCTTTGTGAGGTAGACTGGAACGGATCGGGAGCAGCGACTTTGGAGGTTTTCTGTGAGAAATCATTGAGTGAGTGCACCAGATGCATGTAGGGTGTGTATACTTACACTCTCGCATTTCTTGCATACCATAGCTGTAGAGTGGTAAAGAAGGAGTGTGGTGGCAATGTGCTAGGAGTAGCAGCCACTGCACCTATGCTTACGATCTCGCATGACTAAGCAGAAAGCTTTCCATGTTTGGAAGGCTCACCAATTGCAATGTCTACGAAAATTACTCTATTCTGCTTTCCACTTTACGCATATCCATAAAACCCATTTTCTTCTTTCTCTTTCATTTTCTCCCTCGCCTCGCTCAACAGACCACTCCCTCCTTTTACTTCCCAATGTCTCTCTTTCATCGATCTCATCAATTTCGAACCCATATGCCGGCAATGCATTCATGAACAATTGTAGCGGGTAACGTCCGGTGTGTAAACCTGCAATGAGATAGATCCGCGCTAGTACGGTCTTCCGCAACATCCACTGCAAGGTCTGCAGTAACAACGGGTGGAGGTCGGGATTCCACAAGGTATCCGCCGCAATAACGATGTCAAAACCGTCATCAGCGGTCGCACGTTCATACTCTTCGAACCTGGGACAATGTCTTATGACATTGAGGATATCATCCGGATTTGCTCCCCATTTATATGGTACTGGTCGACAATATGACATAACCTTGTTTTTGACAATGTTATCTGACAATGTCTCGATCAAGGGATCGTCAGGATAGTCACTCGCCACGACGAAGACATCGTCCTGGAAACGTTTCGCGATGAGTATACTTGGTAACCCTGCACCTGCTCCGAGTTCGAGTACGCGAAGTGGAAGCTCTTCTCGATCTCGAGCGTGCGCGATCTCTTTATCGATGTGCAACTCGTCAAGATGATCGGCGAGGTAGACTGAAGATATCCAGATAGAGGATGCATGTAGTGACCAGTTCTCTGGTTCTGTTTCTGGTGTTTTGAGCGTAATTTTCATTAGTCTCCCTCGGGCGGTCTGTGCATACACGGAGTTAGGGGAAGGAGTATATGTGTAGCTTGAGCCGGAAGAGGAGAGGGTGATAGGTGCGTAGTCATATAGAGTCTCCAAGGATTCTGACAAGATGTCCTCTGGATCTAGAGGAGTACTCATGGTAAGAGGTTATGGAATAATAGGGGCTGCTGCTAATGGTTATGATCCAGGCGCAATTACCAGATGCGGACGATCTCTGTCGAATAAGGCAACTGCTGCTCCTTATATGGTATTAGCCTCATGTAAGCATCAATGCAGCAGCTGATAAATGGATGCATATGATTTGCAATCCGTAATCTACCGTACACATCAGGACTTCTGTGACAACTCGACAGCATTCTTGAAAGCTCCTAACAGAGCTGTCAGCTGGATTCTCTCACTCGCACCGGAGGCTAGACGATGCCTTTTGAAAAGGATGTTAAGCGACTGTGATACGTGTAGCCAAAACATCCAGAGAGTACTTACTCAGTCGTTGCGAGGTGGTCCAGAAGGTATATACGTGCATGAGGCTTGAACTCTAGTTCATCGATATAGTCGTATGCACCGTTGATCATATCTTGTAGAGCGAGTCCATGTTCAGTCTTCACCGAAGTGATCACTGCGAAAAGACTCGTAAGCACAAAAGACGTGAACCCTGAAAAAGAAAAATCAGTTTACTCTTGTACGAAGTGGTGAATTCATCTGAGAACATAGAATTGACAATAGTTGCTATGTCAGATGGATGAGGATTTCCTGTACAGTTGTACACCTCGTCTGCGCCGGTCAAGTCATAGGCAGCATGACAGGCTTGAAGGACATTCAGTGCTCGTCGCATGTCTCCTTTGGTCAGCTTCAAGAGTGCCTTCTTGCCGTCTTCCGTGAGTTTGACCCTGCAAGTGAATCCCATAAGCCGAATTTCTATCTTGAATTGCTATTAAATCCTACCCCTCAGCTTGAATAACAACATCGAGTCTCTTCTCCACTTCCGACGTGGGTAGAGGTGAGAACCGGAACCGAGTACATCGACTTTGAATGGCGGGAATGATTTTGTTGACGTAGTTGCAGATGATACAGAAACGGACGTTCCTCGTATATTGTTCAACGACTCGACGAAGGGCTGATTGTGCAGCGGTTGTCATCATATCAGCTTCGTCCAGAATGATCAGTTTGAAGCCCTTTGCGAACAGGGTACGAGTTTCGGCGAAGCTCTTGATTTGTTCGCGGACAACGTCAATGCCACGGTCATCGGATGCATTTAACTACGAAGACACAAAGAAATTGGGATTAATCACGTAGAGAATAAAGGGCATGTGCATGCTCATGTACCTCCAGGATCTGCTTCCTGTAGTCCTTGCCGTATATTCGTCTTGCCAAAGCAAGGATAGTCGTGGTCTTTCCTGTACCCGGAGGCCCATAAAAGAGAAGATGTGGAAGTCTATTTTTCTCAATAAACTTTTCAACTGTCAAACTTCGTTTCAATCAACTCAGACTACGAAGAACGAAGAACAGAGGCGCGCACGTGTTGAGGTAATGTCTTTGTGTGATACGATGTCATCTAGAGTAGTTGGTCGATATTTTTCAACCCTAAACGGTCAAATACAGTTCATATTGGTAAAAATATCCAAGAACTATGGACTCACCAAGGCAAGTTATCATTGTCGATATCTTGTACAGGATCCACTGCCTTTCCTTTCCCCTTGAAAGTCTTAATCACTGGCACCTGCTCTTCAACATGCATATCCTCATCGCTGTCCATGTCTCTTGGAAAATATATCTGTGAGCGAAGTAATAGGAAATGTTGTTAGCGTAGTTGCAAGGTGAAGGTTCGAGGACAAGCCGGCTTGATGAGAACGCGTCGCGGTAACATGAAGACGCGCGGTGTCACGCATCACGCGACGCGACTCGGTCACACGGATATGACCGAAGCGGAGTCTGAACTCTGTTACGAATCCCACGGGCCAGCCACAACTTACAAAGCCGTGAGAAAAACTCAAGAGGACTATAAAGTTCTAAGCGGGCTCTTCGTCGCATCAAAAAATCGCTTTTGTCAACGACTCCACCGTTCAGTTCGTTGGACAGACAGAGGCGAGATGCAAATCTTCGTCAAAACGTATGTGTTTGCTTAGTATTTCAGTGTGCAATGGATTGGGTGTGCTGACGGTGGAATGCGATTTTTAGCCTCACGGGTAAAACCATCACTCTCGAGGTTGAGTCCTCGGACACAATCGACAATGTCAAGGCCAAGATCCAAGACAAGGAGGGGTATGTGCTTTAACGTCCACCTCGAGGATCGTCTCTCACAGATGTCCCTATTTTAGTATTCCCCCAGACCAGCAGCGCCTGATCTTTGCAGGCAAGCAGCTCGAGGATGGCCGCACGCTCTCCGACTACAACATCCAGAAGGAGTCGACCCTTCACTTGGTCCTCCGTCTGCGTGGTGGTGCTAAGAAGCGTAAGAAGAAGACTTACAACGTATGCTCATTTCGTGATACACAGCAGTTGGAATGTATGCTTATCAAGAGATATTGTACAGACCCCCAAGAAGATCAAGCACAAGCGCAAGAAGGTCAAGATGTCCATCTTGAAGTACTATAAGGTGGAGTCCGACGGCAAGATCAAGCGTCTCCGTCGTGAGTGCCCCTCTGCCGAGTGCGGTGCTGGTATCTTCGTACGTTTCTGCTAGACTTCTTTGTCGTGTTGTAATTTTCTGACCTTCCGATAACAGATGGCTTTCCACAAGGACCGTCAATACTGCGGCAAGTGCGGTTTGACCTACATTTTCCAACCTGGCACCAAGCCCCCTGCTGTCTAAGGTGCAAGTTACGAGTTGATAGTCTAGTTGTATAGCGCTTCTGTATTACCTTTCGACCACCTGTGTTGTATGCACGTCACGAATGCTATCCTCATGCTCCTATCCTCATGCTCGCTATGTTCCATAGTATCTCGACAAGAGAACAATGATGACAGTTGAAAGTTGAACTTTTGGAATGACCATCACTACTCACACGTGGATGCGTTCCTGGCCAGCGTCAGTATAAGGACTTTGGTCACATTTTCCTCATATTGATAAAAGCGAGTTTTCAACGTCTACCAAGCCAAACGGCACGACTTTTGTGACTCGGAATACGTTCCTTCGACGAGTAGAAGACAACGTTTGTAAGTCTCGAATTTCTTGTCTAATGCCAAGCTCACCTCGAGTTCAGCAAGCCACACTTGAGTATCGTGGCTGCTTGTCTACATGCACCGTTGTCTCCAGATACACGAAGTCCTAGAGCGTATTGCTGAATATCTGGCTGAAAACCCACCACCAGATGGCCATGACTTCGTCCTTGATTGGCCAGAGGTAGCGAGCGCCGCGGTCCTTGCATTCGCTTTGACCTGTCGTACATTCTGCAAGCCAGGTTTGGACGTATTGTGGCGCAAATTGGAAGAATTGTACCCTTTGCCTTTTGCGTTCCAGCCCGGGATAAATCTTACTACTAAGAATGAAGATGGTGATACTGTACGTCCCCCGAAGGCACTATTGCCGCTGTTTTTTTCTAACATAATCTTTGCACAGACGGTAACTAATCTGAGCGGAATTCCACGACCTGATGACTGGGCCCGATTCAGCCGTTATGCAAATCGAGTTCGGATTCTCGGTTGCGATTCTCTCGGGCGACGACATATCGATGCGCGGATACTCGCACTCTTGAGTATTACTCGACCTTCGGATTACATTCTACCCAACCTTCAACACCTCAGTTGGCACGACCCGAGACCGGAGTACTCCATTTACTCGTTGCTTTTCATCTGTCCGGCTCTGACTGACATCGATATCACCGTCGCCTCCGATACCGTTGCCATGAGCCTTCTGGATACTCTTCGATATACAGCCCCTGCGCTGCGTTACGTGTCGCTATCCTTAGAGGATTTTGAAGCATCGAAGGCGACACAGGATCTACTTTCGCAAGCGTTGCGATCGTGGAAAAATCTGTGTTCATTCAGACTATGCGAACAGACGCATATTTTATCTTTATCTCGGGATGACGTCCTCTATCTCTCCAGACTCGCGAATCTGCGAGATTTTGAGGCGACGTTGGAAGAAGAGACATTCATTGCAGTACTAGCAACCGAGCCAAGACCATTCTTTCCTAGCTTGACATCTCTAGACCTACATGCTTGCAATTCGCGCGAACTGCTGGTTGCGGGTAAATTCACCCAGGCCGTTCAAACGCAAGCCCTCAAAACCATTCGGATTGGCCTATCAGAGCAACCTACTGCTCTTTCTGTGACAACCTACCTTGAAAAGGCCGTTGTGCATCATCGCTTGACTTCGTTGGCATTACACTTATATCCACCAGTAACCTTCCATTCGGATGCCTACGTTCTCACCGAACAAGCGATCACTCCAGTTTTTGCTCTCAAGTCACTTGAGTCTCTCCATCTAGGCGGGTTTCCCTCTCGCTTCACGAAGGACACGTTTCAAAAAATGGCACAATTGTGGCCGGCCCTTGAGCATCTAGACTGCGGTGATCGGGTTGCTGCTGTACCCATGTCAATCATTTCCGTCGTCGACCTAGAACCATTTGCATTGTATTGTCCCAAGTTAAAAACTGCTTCTCTTCCCCTCAACATAATACTCCCTGCAGGGGCCCTCCACCCGACAAGAAGACATGCACGACGTGTTTCGGACGTGTGCCTGACAATTCGGATTGGGAATTCCAGGATACAGGATGCTCTTAAGATGGCGGCATACCTGACGAGTATGTTTCCGAAGGTTGATGTGATGCCAGGTTTTCATTCACTAGATACCAGAGGGGAAATGGAGGTCAAACGGCTCAGATATGCTTTGGAAGTGTTGATAGCAGTGAGGGGACAGGAGAGATTGATAACATTGGGGAACAGCTGAATAAAGCAACCTTTGCTTCTCTTTGGGAGACCTGAAAAGCCGCCCTCGGACCACTCATCGATCACTCACCATCCTACTCTAGGCTGTTTCTTGGCCTTTCAGGTTGATACTTACAGAGTAGGTAAACGTGCCCAATGGCGCCGCGGAAAGTCTGCTACGCAGTATAAATACTTTCTCGCCTTGATATGAACACTTGCTGTCACACCCACGCCTGCTATCGATTCCAGGACGATTCAAGAGTTCATATCACTTAATCATATGCCGATCGTGTTGAGAAGGGAAACAAGGAGAGATTTATGACTTCAAGGAACCGACAATGTCTCGGGTGCATGCGTAGCAGGTTTAGTAATGTCTCCGAAGGGATAATTCAGAAGATGTTTCGATTACTTCGTCTGTCGCTCGTTCACTCACAATTTTTGAATCTTAATAGGCCTTCGTAGGATGTGTCCCTCGTGTATCGCTAACCTCAGATTCATGCCAAGTAATGTCTTATCAGGGTATAGAACAGTAATGAAAACCCCGTTTAGAGCGAAGACAAATGTAGGTGTTCCGGCAAATCGTCGATTGATGCCCCTCATAACTCCTCTACAGTGGTTTAGACACCTAATTAACATTCACGGTGCCCAAAAAATCGGCAAACCTCTTCATCTCACGCTGTGCAGGGCCACCTTCATCCCAAGTATGCATGACCTTGTGAGAGAGCTGTTCCAAGTTTGCACGCTTGCGTTTCCCATCTTCGCCAAAAGCTTTTTTCAGAATAGCAGCAGCTTCTTCACGCACGGCATCCATGGTACCGGCAGGTGCTTTTCCAGTGCGATATAGCGGCTTCAGGCCATGTTCTCCACTTCGAATCTCGAACAGTTCATAGGATGCGTCCAACACATCCGTTAGCCTAGCCGCGTTTGCAGGTTCATCGGCAGTGTAGGGCCAGAAGATCCTGTGAGTGCATCAGTCAATCTCGCAGTTTTGATGGATCAAACCTTCTTACATAGGTACATTATAACATATCGCCTCGATGGTGCTATTATGGCCACCATGAGTGATGAACCATCCTATAGCCTGCACATATATCAGAATATGTCCATCAACAAGGCTTGACCTATGGTAGCACACCTCGTGGGCAAGGACAGCTTGTTGGGGAGCCCAAGGCGTAAGACGACCGAGACCGTACATGTCCACTTTCTCCCTCACCGCGTATGGAATGTTTGCAAATGGAGAAGTGTGGCTCAAGATCTGCGCGCAGCTCGATGAACAAGTGCGTTTCAGGACAGACAAACAGGACGTACGAATGGAATCTTTTGCTCCATGACGACGTCCAAGAATGCCCATAGTTTCTCAGGCTCTGCAGGCCAACACACGGACCCAAAGGCGAGCTGCAAAGCACATCAGAAAGGCAAGGCGGCAATAGCGAAAACATACATATATGACGCTCTTGGGACCATGTGACGTCAAGACTGATTGGAGAAACTGTCCGATGTCAGCTGCATCTTGAGACTGCTTGTTCTCTCCCTCGATCGCCTTCTTCCCGAATGGGACCATTGGACCGATGGCGTACACCTCTCGAGAGGTTTCCGCGAACCAACGTCGGAAAATGTCGATTCCCTCCGGTTCGTATGGTTCTGGTGTCGCCATGATTAGACCGTCACAGTCCTCGACAACACTGTCATCCCGCAAAGAATACATCACTCATATTACGAGAGACATAACGAGAATGCCTTACTTTTGCATCAACATCATGACTGCACCAATCAGACCTCCAAAGACGAGCTGCATTCGACCTTAGATCGGGAAGATCATCAATGGAATACAACGCACCTGCTGAGGGTGGAACTCGTAGTCATACATGGGCGGCAAGCCTGGGATTCGCGTCACCTCGCCTTTAGTAACCAAAATCATCTGCGCCGAGTACATTGAGTTCCACAAGATGGAAGGTGCGAGACAACCTACCTCCGAGAGGACTTCATCGATCTTTCGACTGGTCCTCGCAGCTTCTTCATAAGCGCTAGGACGAATATCTTCTCTGCCGCCGTAGTGAATAGGGGCAAGGAAGTGCACCAAGGACGACTGCTGAGAGGGCATCCAGGAGAAGACCTTTACTGGCTTCACGCTCAGCTCTCGTACCACCTGCAGGGCTGGGTATCCAATGCACTGTGCACCACTTTTCAGCACCTTGATTAGGAGAGCTACCTAAAAGTACTCACATCGATGACCACGGCATCGGGACTGGCAATGGGCGACAGTTCCTTGCCCATGCGGGCGCAGATAATCGGCTCTTCATTCACTAGCTGCCCATAGACCTTGGTGAAAGGCGCCCTGGGAGTGATGAAGGTATCCTCGGGTTTGGCGATCTCACCTTGCTCGAGGGCAACGATTCTGGTACATTCATCGATAATGAGGATGTAATGAAAACCTTCGCAGATGGACAGTACCTGATCAAGGGGTGCAACGTCTCTTCGTCCGTGCCAAGGTTTCTGGCGACGTCCGTTACGACGCGATCATAGAACCCGATTGTCGTGAAGAACGTGATGTACACAGGCCTCGTTTGGATGAGTCTGGCGGCGAAAGCGGCAAACGGTCTCGTATGCCCTAAGGTGGTTGAGCGACGAGAATGCCAGTATCTGCATTCTACTCACCAACGCCTTCATGGGAGACGAGGACAACGTGAGGCATAGGGACGGAATCAGTGGCGGAGGACATGTTTTCAGCTATTTTCCCGAGATGTTTCACTATGAAACATCAGAGTGTTGCCTCTGGTGTCTTTATACGTCCAACGACTCACGAAATCGATCGGATGAAAGCCTGCTGTTTTCTTTACTCGACCGCATCATTCACATCATCAGAACTTCCATTGCAGAGAACAAAAATCAAGTAGCCAAGCGCTAGGCCTACTTGAACGGACTATAAAATTTAACGGCAGCAGACTTCCACAGATTCTGACCGAGAAGACGAAGCGCAAGCCTGAGAGTTGCCGAGGTTCACTACAAGTCTCCAACGTGACAACGTAGTACAAGGCGGCTAACAAGTCGGGCGTTAGCCAGCGACCAATGGTTCTGGTGAGTACCGACCGTATCTAATACTACCTGTGTGGTAAGAGTTCTGCAATTCTAATCTTGCGTCTGTCATAGAATTGTCGGGTTCCCAATTACTGTACTTGGAGTTTGTCCTTCGATTTCCAAGGACCCTACATCACAAAAGATCACTCACGTTCAGGGTTCAAATGGCGTGCCTTCACATGGCTTCCCCCATTGAATGCCTGTCCCTGGCATCAAACGAGACCATAAACCCCGAAACCCAAGTCCTGATATTTGAGAAGTTCGGTTTGATTAGGATGGGAGTCGGCCTTTCATAGAGGTTCATTTGCATTTTTGCGCGCTTCAGTCCATCCGATCAAAGAAAACTGCACTCCACTTTCAGCTGCATCTCTTGGATACTTCAAAACTTGTGTTGAGCGTAGCGCGTGAAAAATCGAGGTGAGTGGTCAGCTGTGAAGAAATATCTTCGATGTCAAATTAGTTGCTACTGAAGCCTGGCCTAATTGTTCAGCCTAACTGCCTGACGGCATTTCGTGTATCTTGCCTCCAAAGAGAGCGTAATGGCCGCAACGGTCAGTTTGAGACTTTCACAACGCCGGTGGTAGTTTCGCCAATCTATCGCGTGTTCGCGAAAGACGTTGCAAGTCAGGTTAGCGGTCAATACCTTACTGCGCCATCGCTATAAAAGCCAAACGTTCCGACACCAAGATGTTGACTGTACAGAAGATACCCCACGAAACCAACTGCACTCTTTTGATTAATCGTGATGGATTCAGTGGCTTGCATCAGTTGCGCCCCGAAGTGGGATCTCATGTATGTGTCCGTCTTTTGTCCAATGAGAGCACGAGATCACACCGAGTTTGCGCATAGTGCGGGACCTCCTGTACGCCAGAAATCCATACTACCGTGAATCAAGTATCACCCCCTGATCATGTTGTTCTGCAGCTTGTAGGCTACATTTTAAACACGCTGTTCTTAGGCATTCTCGTGGTTCAAGTCTGTGCGTACATCCCTCTACTTCGTTCGCCTATCGATCCCGTTCTCACACATGGCATAGACTACTACTATCTTTGCTTCCCTAAGGATAAGATACAGTACAAAGTGCTGGGTATGTATAGTCGAGGCTGACTCTATTGGCTTCTCAAATTACTCATTTCCTTTCTTTCTTCCCCAGTTTACTCCATATTTATTATCGAAATCGTCCAGTCAGCCTTAATGGGTAAAGATGTTTACTACAATTTTGTCACACTTTGGGCATCAGACAAGAGCTGGACTACTTTCGGGACTACGTGGTTCAGCTTCTCGATCCTTTGCGGCATCATCGCAACCACTGTACAACTGGTCTTTGCCAACCGGCTCTGGATCCTGACGAAGTCGCGCATCTTGACTAGTACCATTTCATTTGTAAGTAACGAGTGATGGATCGAAACTCTCATTCCAGCTAATCGGTTTTCATTCGACCTTTATACAGCTTGCTGTGGCTCAGGGCACGGCGGCGATCGCGACAGGAATAAAGGTAATGTATCTCACACCTGACAAAGATGCCGACGGCCTCATTGCGTGCGACCGACAATCCTACAGATGAAGATCGTTCCTGCGTTATTAGACCAGAGCTCCACTTTTCCATACAGAACGGTAGGCTTAGTGGAACGCATTACTTTCGAGATGAATCACTCACCGATCGGGTAGTCATGGCTCGTACTGAGCGCTGCGAATGATCTCCTAATCGCAATCGCAATGACCTACCACGTGAGCATTCATGGCTGCAGCTCACGAGTGAACTTGCAACTAACGGTATTCTGCGTAGCTCCTCAAATCTAAGACTGGAATAGCAAGTACTGATGTCATGATCGACCGTATTGTTTTCCTCGTAGTTGAGACCGGGACAGCGACTGGTAAATGTCAGTCCTGTTTATGATACAGTGCTTTGATCCCTTCCCAGCGGTCACTGCAATGTTGGACATCGCCTTGTTTCTGGGCAGAAACGTAGGGGTTTTGCTTCTCTTATTTCAGTGTAGCGCTAATTGGCTTGACCCAGGACACCACTTTGTATGGTGCAGCGTATGTACATGTCTAGCTGAACGTTATATTCAGTATTGATTGACAAGATGTAGCGGTGCATTCCTCACCAAGCTGTAGGCGGCACTGTTTGTTTTGAGAATTGCATCGTCTCTAATAAAAATTTTCAGATATTCCAACACACTTCTCGTTGGCCTTAACAATCGCGCTGTGGCAAGGAGAACCAAAATATTCCAGACGGCTGATAGTGCGGTGGTCGAGGGGTCCCAGTGTGGTTCACGTGAAAGTCTTCCATGACACCCATGCTGTCATCGAGAGCATTGGTTTGAAGGAGCGTTCGGTGTAAGGTCTGGTGGCAAATTTTGACTCCGAGCCGAAAGGACCCAACAGTGGTTTTGGTGGTTTTGCTTTGAAATCTGCATTTCTGCAGCACAGCCCGCTTCACTGTTACGGCAATAGTACCTACATACTCGGTATCTGAATCTCACCATTCTTCCAACTCAAGTTCTGAATGTTTGAAAACTCTACTTAACACTTTGACTATACCAGCAATGGATAGGTTCGAAGCCACAGGAACCAATCAAAGAGAAAATCATACATCCACAGTAAGGGACTTGCGGAGCAGAGCTTCGAGGCAAAAGGACTGCCAGTCTTATGGGCCCTAAAGGCCCTACGCGTGACGACTACGGTCTCGATGTCAGCAGTCAATGGGATAGATGTTGGAATGCCGACAGACACCCCTGCAGTGCCACACGCTATTCACTATGCCTGATCTTCTTTAAAGTTTCTGGATCTTAGATTCTTACAGATAGCAGGGTGGCGACAGAGATGATCCATTGTGGAGACGAACCGAGTTGACTTCCTAAGGATATGAATAGTGTACGATAGCATATCCATGTCTTCGCCGAGAGCTACACATGAAAGGTAGATCAAACCGTCATATAATAACCACCCTTGTGTTAAAGACATAACCGCCATCTGCGCAGAACTTTAGTATCTTGCTTCTTGGCCTACGCCGAACCTGTTAATTCTGTCAGAAGGCATCTGACTGCCCGAGGTTTCGTCGGAGAGCCGTGAGTAGAAGAATGTCAGTAAGACTAGACATCCGGATGATCTCGATCTCCTGATCTATAGTAATTACTCATCGACAAGTTTCTTCGCTGAAGAGTACGTCGATTCAACACGTTTTTCAACGAGGAGACTGAAAATTTTGACCCTGCAGAACTGGACAACCTGGCAGAGACGTTGAAAACCGTAGCCGGCTGCCGAAGACTGAAGGAAATGTACTCAGGCATTAGAGTTTTCGCTTCGGTCATACCGTACATGGCGACCAATCAGAACACAGCATTTCAAAAAATGTTGATCGGCGGCAAAGACTGCTATGGTCCCCTCACCAACCTCCTCCTCTCTCTAGCCTCCCTGCCCACTGTTCTTTGGCTTTTCTCTTTCCATATGCATCCTGCCCTCCTCATAGACGAAATTCTTGAGAACATACTGAATCATGTTCTCGATTGGGACTCCGAGAAAGAATATCGGTGGACCCTGGCACAGCTTGCCAGGTGTTGCAAGTCATGGAAGGACCCTGCTCTAGACAGAATTTGGAAGAGGTTGGCGGACATGAAGCCCATTGTGGGCCTTGAGGTACCTTTTTCTGTTCTTCCACATTGAGCCTTGTCACCAAAACTCTTGAACTTTAGTCGCAGGAATTGTCCAGCTACACATCCAGAGTGAAACAAATCACTCTGCGTGGAGACACGGGTTATTCACCTTCAGAACATGTTTTGGCTTTCCCAAGGCTTCAATATGCACTCCTGGAAGGAGCGGGATGTAACGCCCCGATAAATTGGGCACTCTCACACTCTCTTCACCGACTCAAGGTGGATATGCGCTGCACCAACTCAAAAGTTGACGTTCAGTATGAACGGTGCGAACATGTCACGAAGATCGTTCAGCACATCCAAAATGCGTCAAATGAGGGGCTACAGAAGCTTCACCTCAGAGGCTGTATCACTTCGTCTTTGAACCGTGTCATCGGCGTCTTGACATCTTTAAGGTCCCTCACGCTCTTGACCGGGAGCACTCTCACACCGCGATTATTGACTGAGATCACTACCTTCCCTTTCCTCCAAGAATTACGACTTCACGCCGCTCACATTGATGCGGACTGGTTCCGTACTACCAAGACTCCCTCGGAATCACCGACATTCCCTTCACTTCGACGACTTCACATTAGGGGCCAACAATCCCTCATACACGCTATTGTAGAACTCCTCCAACTTGACACGTTAGAGCACCTATACCTAGAAGCAGACCGTCCAGCACTAGACATAACCGCATGGACGCCCATAATGGATACCCTCGCAGTCAAGGCTTCTCGGAGCCTTCGTCAGCTCACCATAGAGCATTGCACGGAACTCGATACCCCTACAAACAACATCCACCTAATGGGTTTATCATCCTTCACCTTGCAACACATCAAGTCGCTCTCGAACTGCGCGGCTATGCGCAAATTCACTTTAGATACGACTTTACCCATCAAGTTCACGGATAGAGATATAGAAGATATGTCTTCATGGTGGCCTTTCCTTGAATGCCTCGATCTGGGTGCCTTACCCGGGCCTCACGAAGATCCTGCCTGCTCTCCGACATTGACTGTCAAGGCTTTATCACATTTGGCAGGTCATTGCCCAGAGTTGAAGGACCTTATTATACCACTTGATCTCTCTGCATCCTCCGAAGATGATCCGAGCGAGGTTGTTCCTCAGCAAAAATTGAAGACTTTGCGAATCGGACGTGTTGCTGACTCGAAGTCCATCTCGAGCTTCGTGCAGACTGTCTTGATGATGTTTCCCTCCGTAGAGGCTATAGAGTGTGAGACCTCCGACGGAGAAGTACCTGTCGCTCTGCCTGGCCGCCAGGAACCTGATACTGGAGCAGGCACGGAGGATGAATTGGCGAACGGGCAATGAGCGAGGTTGCTACTCATTCGTCCCGTTCGCGATTATCAGTCCAGTTAGTATGTCGTGGACTGCTGTATAGAGAGAATCTGTTACCTTTAGATATTTATAGAATTACAGTACACGTCGTTTGTCTGTTTTATCTGTTCATGCGTAGACTCATGGACTCTTAGATGTGTAGATACTAGACATGATTGGATCGTAAATTATTCAATGGCGAATCAGAGCCTTCGTTACTAATGGGTTAATCACTCCAGAGCTTCGACTGAAAATCTACTCTCGACGTCTGACTATGTACAAATAGTAATGGAACGCTTCGCCCAGCTGCCGTATCTCCAGCGTCGTACCCGGTCTTGTCAGGTATCGTTTCCGGAAGTGAGGTTGACCGAAAGTCAGATAAAGGAATATTCCGCCATTCCTGATGACACTGTAAGACGCGAATCAGTGAATTTGCCCAGACGATAGCTTCCGCTAGTAGGCGACTAACCGTAGTACTTCGTCAACTTCTTTGTTGCAGCTTTCCACGACATCCTCAGATGGGTCCTGGTATGGTCCGCCGGATTTCAGTACCTGCAGATGGGGAGCAAGTGTGAAATGCATACCCAGACATCGCCTTTGGTGGTCATCATAGCGTCCATTGTTCCTGCAAAGTCCATTCTTCAATAACACGTGAGCGAGAAAGAGAGTGGACATATTCACCCTTGTCTAGCGCGAAGTCGAATGACCCAGACTCAAACTTTAAGTCTCGAACATCCATTTCTAGCCCTGAACATCACTGCTGAGGACGGCAAGAAAGGCAGAGCAGGAAGTTCAACATACATTGCATTTCAGGCCTAAGTTGCTGGTGCTTGTGACGCATCTTCTTGATAAGAATATCTGAGTACTAGATGTGCTTATCTGAGTCAAGAGGGCGGTGAATGGGGGGGTTAAATTTCCATGCCTACATCGGTATTCACGATATTCTTGTAACCATCGTCATACATCTTCAATACGCACTACATCAGCCGACATAAAGCTCGAGATAAGATTCAAAAAGCGTACCTCTTCCGAAAGTGTCGAATTTCCGCAGCCAAGCATCAAGATTCTCGCATTTTTGTCAGGGACAAGCTCTCGAATGATATCCGCGATATCCGCATAAGTCTTGAACCAGTCAAACGAATCTTCTTCCGACTCTCTTTTCAATAGAAGAAAGCCACGAACAAGGTCAGAAATCTTGGTAGAAACTTGGTACATAATGTCAGAGTATCTTACTGACTGTATCGTTCATCCCTATCCGATGGGAATCTGCAGTGTAAATAGCTTATATCGCGCAAGCGATTAAATACCAGACTGGGACGTACCAGTATTCCTTTGTTCCGTATTGTTCATTCTTCGCTGGCAAGACGTTGGTCATGTTACTGGTTCTACGCGGGATATTCAAAGCCTCCAGCTTCAGAGACGGACATGCAAGTCAGAACAGACGAGCCTAGAATTAAAGAAAGTTGCCTTCGATCATGACTGATCGACCGATTACTGTTAAATTCCGTCATCTAGTGACAGAATGTAACTGCCGTAAGAACGGAGGAAACACACTGGACATGTCATATCACAGTACTACGGCAACGAACTGGGACAAGAAATAAACAACGAGAAAATAAAGACAAGAAGACGGAGATATGGACATATGTTATATAAAGAGGGATAATAGAGAGCACCGGGATTATGGATATCGAACATAACGAAGCAAGAAGATATTACTCCAGACAAGAAAATAGGACGGAATAAATCAAAAAGAAGAGAAAGACTACATTGAACATATATTGAACAGAGAGATTAAGCCGAGGTAGATGGCTCATCGTTCACTGGCGACGTTTCGTCTGCTGTTAAGCCATGCCAGAGCCCATCAATGAAACTCCTGAATGTGTTTGTCATCGTTCTCCAAAGTCCTTCAGCCGGTTTATAGTTCTCAGTCCTCGCCTTGACCAAGCGAGCCTCGACCTGTGTCCGGCTTGCATCTTCCTCATCCGTTTCATCTTCTCTCGGCCGCTTGCGTGAGGGTGTTTCTGTTGAGGATGGGACGGCCGTGGGAGGACCTGTGGATGGGGCTGGGGGAGTTGTCAAAGCTCCGGAGGGTGGTCCAGGTTTTGTGGGCGGAACCTCAGGTTTATCGACGGTCGTTTCGTCACCATTAACGTGGCTCACTCTAAGAGCAAAATTGAGTGGAGGATGACATATGCTGAGCGAGGCTCTGCTTACCCGGTCTTCTTAATTGAGCAGCGCTTTGCATGATTGTTCCAGTTACCGACCGTGAACTTCTGTGTCGGGTTCAACCTAATCCATCTCCCGCATTGCTTGCAGAACACTTCATGAGGTTTGACTTCGCCTATACGAGGGTCCGCTTCCAACAGTGCTTGTCTCTCTGCTTCGGTTCTCACTTGACGACGAGGCTTCTCACCAGGGGCCGGGGTACTGGGTACTGTGGAAGCCGCCACTGATCCACCGTCGTCCTCCTCTTCCTCATTCTCCTCTTCTTGGCCGATAGCTGCAGGAGGGCTAGAACAAGGGTATGTCAGCTATACTCACTACGTCAACAAGGGGGATTGGTAAGAAACATACATATGCTCCTCTTCGCTTTCCCTCCGACAAGCTTTCCGGTGCGTGATCCAATCTTTCATGATATACCTCCTCTTGGGATTGAGCTCCACCCATGTATCACATCGGGCACACAAAGCACGATGAGGCTCGACGTCCTTGCAAAGCGGGTCGTCCTTGAAGAATTGCATCCTTTCCTCCTCGGACTTCCTTGCCCTCGTAGTGCCCGATTTCCCCACGGACCAAGTTGGCAAGACTGATGAACCTTCAAGAGATCCACCATCCGAAGCTACAGAGGCACCACGAGAATGGCTGACTTTGCTGGGGGCCTTCATGGAGGACTTGACATTAACCGTAGAAGGTGGTTTCATGCTCGCAACAGGCGAACTTGGAGGAGGTGGCGGGCTAGAGGATGCGATGGCCTTTCCACGAGTTTTGGGGGCATGCTTCTTCGCAGGAGTAATAGTTGGCATTGGTGTAGATCGCGTTGTATCGGATTCGGCCATATTACTACCGGCGTGAGCAGTAAATCAGGAATGATGGATGACTATAGGACGTGACCGAGAACGTACTCGCTATCGGACTCTCGTGATACAGATTCCCTTCGTTTCTGCTATCAATTAACACGTCACTATTGTAATGCGGGGTACAGAAGCTGAGTGTAGGAAAGCGCACCCTCTGACGCCCTAAGTAAGTCTTCTTCACGGTGGGTGATCTGAATAATCAACATCAAGACTGTGCGAAACGAATAGATATGCATACCTGTTTGGTGAGGCCAAAGGATTTACCATAAAATCTTGGTAGATTTCGACAAATCTTCACAGAGACGAAAATCTCCAGTCGGTGGCTGACACTGTCAGCGGCAAGTACTTGTTTGTCCCTGCAACTCCGTAAGAAGTTCTGGAAGTTCTGCAAGCGAGTGATGATGGTATTCAGTATTCAGGACAATATCAACACGACCACTCGTAAACATACAGAAGCAACCTCTACGCTGGTGAAAGATGAAGGAGGTATCGCTGAAGGAGAAGATAAACTTCGAGTTCAAGCAGAGGTTCTCTGAGCTGGTGCAATCATTCCTTTCCGCACATTTCGGTTCACAGTCCGACTTTCCAAATCAGGAAGTATCTTCCCAGCACATGGCTATCAACGCGACGCGTTTTTCGCGCGAACAGCTCCCGGTGCATGTTTACTCAGATACTTATCACTAGTGACAAGATATGACTTGATATCAACGAAAATTTATGTTTTATTCCCAGACAACATGGTTGCATTTACCCTTTGCGAATCGTCTTACAGTAGAAGGGTATGAAAGGCGGTAAGATTCTGCTTCCGCTCAGACGGAGTTAGTAGGTATGTGCTGTTCACTATGGTTGCCCGTCTTCTCTGAATACTTGTTTATTCACGGAATAGACAGGCACACACCGGAAAATTACACCATAATCAAAAACTCTCCACAGAAGTTTTGCATGAATCGCACCCTGGCTAGATGCCAACTTTTCATTTCATGTTCTTCTCGAGTTTCATCCGGCATTTCATCGTGGAGGAAACTTCTAAGGCGCTGACTGTCTTTGCAAGCTACATCAATCACAGGAAAGATCGGCTCGTATATCTCCACTGCCTCGATAGGGATGAAGATGCATACGCTTCATATATCAAGTTGAAGGTTTTGAAACAGGAAGGGGTAAGTGATTAAACATTGTGCGCTTCAGTATCATGCTGGACCATTTTTGAAGGGCACGCTGGGCCCTCGATTCAAATAGACATCGGATCGGAGCCGCCAGCTTACTCTCTTGTGGATAGTGTGTATGCCTTCCTAGAGTGTACACCTCCGATCACTATTCCGACGGTACGTCCATTCACTCTCTCATTCTCTGGGGTTCAATCCGATCGTTGGTTCACGTTCACCTCTAGTATGCGGTACGTTTTATTAGGCCGCGTATGGTACAACAACTAAGCTGGATTTTTGTATCAAATGGAGCCCAAGGCTGTTTCTATTCATTCGTGAGTGTGCTGCTTTGCTGATTGGCCTGGCGTAGTCCATACCAAATCGTTTAATCCATGTCACCGACTTCATTCCAAATGGCGAACTTACTGATGTGAAGAGATTGCCGCATGGACATGGCCTCGCTGATAGAACTGCTCGGCTCCGAGATAACCGCCGATGTGTTGACTATTGTTATCATGATGAACTTCCGTTTGTTTTCATGCAATGAATAGGTCACCTGTCATCCCGGATAAACCACGATCTGTCAAAAGATTTCGCCTGGAATGGTCTCGTACAGGCTGGGGATAATGGGTGGGCCTCACATGTGTGAAATATATCTGAAATATATCCTGCGATAACTGTTGTGAGTTGTACCTGCTCACTATACATGCTACTTAACACTCACTGGACGAGATAACGACTCGAGATGTCTAGCAGTGTGGACTCAGAGCAATCGCCTCCAGCGTATGCTATCGCCGTCGATTCTGGAAGCTCACAGATTGGCTCCCCGCCTCCCTCATATTCCGCACCGAAGTCCTACAAGATTGGCTCACGCACTCTGGGATCACCGCTGGTCGACATCAACCAACTGAAGGCGCATCTCGCGTTATTGCATGCGTTCAAGTTGCTAAGGGCTGACATCCAAAGCAAGTCGGCTGAAGAACTGGAATTACCGGCTGTTGTGGACCGACTCGGTGAGAACGAACGATGGGCATGGTTTGTTGGATTAGCTTTGGAGAGGTGAGTAGTCACACTCGCCGTCATCCCAATTTTGATTAATTCATTGACGATGTTGAAGATTCCAACGGTGGGTTGAAACGGTCAAGTACTCGTCAGAGATTTCGGAGTGGATAGAGCAAGAACTCCCTCCACTGGATGTCTTAATGGTCTGGCACGCATATTTGTTGAATCCTATGTACGTGAACCAGATGTCGAAAACGTGAAAATTTCCGATTCGACTGTAAGTAGTTGGTATCACGAAGATTGCAAGCGTCTTCCCGCATTAAAGGTCTTAAGTGATCTGAAGGATCATCTTCTGAGCGCGATTGTAAGTACCTACCTGTTGAGCTCCTATAGACAGTGCTGGACCTTTTCTAGGTACACCTTGGTGACATCAAATGCTATGTACCATCGGCAGAACGAATCTCCAGCTGGCATAAGCAGACAGGGACATATTTCGATCCTCTGCAGTCTGCTTCATATATGTCCCATCACGACGTGGAATGTCCGTATTGTTGGAAGCTCATTACAGCTCGTACGCCTTCATCTGCGCATACTGAGCTGTCCATTAACATCCAGATTGCAGCATTGATCACTGAAAAAGATACGGGTTACTTACAAACCAAATTTGCAATCAGTTGTCCATCCTGCCGGAACCATATTACGAAAGAAACTCTTGCGATAAGCAAATTTGCCAATGACCTTGTGATGGCAGTCGATCCTGAAGGAGCGCCGTTCAAGCATGGCAAGCAGGGATATCTAGCGTGAGTCTAGCGAACCAACCGTATGTTTCTGAGTAACAATCATACACTCGTGCCTTCCAGTGGGAGTGTCTCTACCTCAGCCGATCCATTCAATGCCCATGCTGCGGCTCTTGTGAAGAACGCATTACTAACTAACGAGTTGTTATTTTCAACAACTATGCCGGTATGTCAATGCTCTAGAGTAGATATGATCCATCGTTGAGAGGAGACCTGTAGGCGGCAAGTAGTTTACATGAAAGGCGCATCAAATTCCTCGAACGGACCGATAGCTCTATATCAATCTTACACCATGAAGTCGCCGCTTGCGTCCGTATCCCACGGAGGTGCGTGTCATTTCACTCCGTAGTATTGTGCCCCCGTTAATCTGTACTACGTCAATGTAACTAGACGTAATCGAATTCTCAGCGCGTACATTGATGATCGGCCATTCTCCATAGAATTGGTATCTGCTGTCCTCCGGCAGGGGTCTTTCATCGACAAGATGCATGACTTTGCCTGGACTGAGCCTGGCTACTTTGACGATGCTGTGGATGAAGTAGTCCTGATTCGCGCCATTGCACGTTATCACGCGTATGAATCTCTCACTATTGTCTTTGAAATATCAAGGTCTCCGAGTACTCATGTTCTCACAGTTTCTTGGACCTGATGAGCTCTTCCCCAACTGCTTTGTTTGTGCCAACGTTAGATATCGATCTAGCTTGGCACACGCACCAAATGATGGGGGGCAGATATAGTGAGCAATGCGTGAAGTTCCTCGGAAAACTTGTAGAACAGTCAGTTCGTCTGAATATCTTGACGTTTTCAGGTCGTGCTAATACATATTCACAGTGACGACAAGATCGAGGAGAACTTTCTCGCTAACGCTTTTGACATTACATGTAGGGCATGGCAGGTACGCATCCCAAACATAGTATTTATCGCGTCCGAAGATTCAAGTCGTTGCTCTTCCAGGAACGGTTCAACGTTCCATATATGCATTGCGGTTGTCCTCTGCCAGGTGACACAATCGGGCAAAAGCTCACCAAGATAACCAGAAAGCTCAGCATATCCCGTTCGAATGATTTAACTAGAGCCTCCCTACATCCTCCTAATCACACAGACGCGCTCTCTGCGACGCACCCCAGTGAACACAACGCAATCGAGCTGAACAGCCCCTCAGCAACTGCCGCGCATAAGGCTCGCTTACTGAAGTTGGAACAAGGACGAGAACGAGATGCCAAGAGGGTCGAACAAGGGAAGATGGACAAAGAAGCTTTCGATCGACGGGCAGCTCACGATGCCGCATTTTTACACCCTGTGCCGTTCTACTATCCTCCGGTAATCGGTTGCGCAGCCTATTCATCTGGTATCGGGAATGCGGGAGTTGGAGGTGCTTGTGCGGTAGTGAGTTTTATCTGGTGTCAAATTTTATCTGGTATTGAATCATTTGCAGGGGGCCGGTGCGTGCAGCGGAGGGGGTTGTTCAAGTGGTGGATGTGGAAGTGAAGGCAGTTGTGGAGGCGGTTGTGGAGGTGGAGGTGGATGCGGAGGTGGGGGTTGTGGTGGCGGAGGTGAAAGCGTGGATAGTTGAGCACGGTGGTTGTTTTTTTACATTTGTTGTGATATTTGTGGAGATTCTATTCCGGCTTCTTTTCATATGCGTAAAAATTATTCTATTTTCTATAATCGAATGGTGTGGCGCAATAATGCGAGTGTTGCATCAAACCGAATGCCAACGGCGATACTTACTAAATAAGGCTCGACATCGAAGTATGCTGACAGTGAGCCTAAAGCTGCCGTTGTTCGGTTCAGGTCCGGTTCGGGCACTTTTTCATTGAACCTGAACCCGAACTTAACCAAATTTTGGGCAATTCAGTGGACCTGAACTGGACTGCGGTTCACCACTGGTTAGGTCCAGTTCAGGTCCGGTTAGCGTTCGCACCAAGTTCGAACCAGTAGATTTCTAAAAGAGGGACTTTTTCTTGTTCTGATATACATCTGAGCTACGATCCTACTTGCTCTATTGCATCCTCTTCCCACCGTTTTCGTTGCGCTTCACGTTGCGCTGCCACTGCAGCCGCGCGACGTGCCCTTTCTGCTCTATAACGAGCCTTACATGTTTGTATCGCCTCAAAGTTCTGTGGAATAATGGAACCTCTTCGCTTGTCATCAGTAAGACCTGCACTTGAGAATACACGCTCGCAAGGGACGGATGAACCCTGAATTGCAAGATAATCCCGTGCTATATCCCCAAGCACAGGGGCTCTAAGAGATTCCGCCTATAAGCAGTATTTATGAGATCTAGTGGCGAATGGGACTCAAATCAATGCGAAAACAAACCTTCCAGTAACTGAGAAGATCAAATGGCTGACCCTTTGGCACAACGACGAGATCTTCTTCAAGGTACTTCTTCAATTCCGCTCGGAGATCCTTGATGGTTCTCTTCTCGCGCTGTCTTCTGTTTGCTGTAGCATTCTCAATGAACGCAAATCCGTAGCTACCCGTGACACCTTGTGAGATTCCTGACGAAGATGGTCCTGGAGCTTCATTGCTGGACTCTGAAGCATTAGGCTGACGATGTGCTTGATATTCATCAAACTGTTGACATGTCAGCATATCGGCCAAGTTCATAGCATGATCAACCACTTACAATGCGCTCCATAATAACGCGGGCTTCTACCTGCCCTTCTTCTGTCCACGCTGATTGGAAATATGCATCCTTAACTCGAGGGTCCAAATCTAGAAGGGATCAGGTTCAGTGTTGTAGCATGTAACAATACAGAAATACTTACAGAGACATACAATGTGTGCTGGTGAACGATCGGACAAGTTATAATATTTTCGAAGATTGTTGATGCCGGCGTTGAGCATAGGCACCAGCGGTTTCATATCTGAACGCTGCGTAAAGCTTTCCCACACCCGAATGAACTGTTCATAGACAGGAAGTACCAGCCAAAGTGTCGGTACTGATTCCGACGAGAATGTCTCTTGGACCTTTGATGCTTCCTGCAGCTGTGTTAGAGGCGTTATAAGTAGACTGAATTAAATAGATACCTTTAGTACTTCATGGATTAGTTCAATAAACTTCCATTCCTCAGAAGAAAGGCGGTATGAGATATATTTTGGCTGATTTTTCTCGACATTAGGAACTTCGTCAGAGTCATCGGCTTGATTGATGAATGCAATGACAGCCTGAGAGTGAAAGACGTCTTCATGGGACTTCGAAGATGATACAATGAACCGGGTTGAACTTACCTTTTTCAACACAAGCAAATGCCCCAACACTCCAAACCATGAACCCCAGCGTGTCTTGCAGTACGGTAACAGTTCCAAAACCTCTATTGTTGCTGCGCGACAGCATTTCTTGAAGAACTGTTTTGCTTGAGGTGATCTTCGTACCTGTGTATATGTGTGGTGAGAACGGATCAGCACTGAGAAATTTAGATTTAGATGTTACAAATACCTTGGCAATAAAACCTCGAACCTTGAGAAGTAACTCGGCAAGGAGAAGAGCCTCCTCTGATGCCTCTGGGAGTTCCTTCACTGCTTCCGCAACTTCCACCATTAGTCCAGCAATTTCTTCCTCGGTATCCTCTTCATCTGGATCCACATCGCCAGACGGACTACTGGCTGGTGCTGGCACAATAGGGACCATCCGATTGGACTTCCCGTTCTTCTTAACTGTCTTCTTCGGTGACAAAGCCTGCAGGAATGCAGCCTCTGCAAGATGTACGGCATGCGAGAAACAACTAAACAATAATGCGAGCGTGAGTATCACTTAATGAAGACAGATCAATGACATACTGCGAACGTCGCTCGAGATGGTTGAAGTCAAGAATCCCATCTTCGACTGCGAGCTTTTGACCCAGGATCCGGATACCTTTGTCGTTAGTGGTTAAGTTGTCAGCGGTGAGGTTGCCGAGCTACATCAATAATATATATGAGAAAAAAGGAGACTTGAAGATGGCTAATTGCGGTGAGTACATACCTTATGTACAATGTTATACTTCTTACAGATGTCATAAAGCTCCTGTGCCATGTTCTCGCCACTGTGGCTACCAAGCAATTCACCAAAGGAGAGAAGCTCTGTTCACAATGTCCAGTCTGCGGTGATGTAGTGCGCCATAATGGCTAGGTAGGCTGTCATGATCTTGGATGTCCAACCATCGAACATTAATGAAACTCGTCCAGGTGCTTCTTCAAGCTCTTTAGCAAGCTCTGCTTGCATATCTTTGGCTCTTGCAAGTATGATCTCTGTCAGCTTGGTGCGATGAGGTATATCAGAGTCTTTGGTCTTGGGACGTTGATATATCAGTATGTCGCGCAATGATTCATGATCGACAACACTGATAGCCTTCCATATTATATGTTAGTATAGTCATCATTATCCGGTCAATATATATTCAACACCAACCTGGTCAGTTTCAACAATAAAACGTACGATCAAGTCAAGGAGACGTTCGCATTGCCATTCCTCAGGGGATAGCTCAGTTCTCTCGACAAATTGAAGGATACTTGATTGACCACTTGCATAGAATCGTGAGTAAAATTGTTAGCATAGTATTATTCAATATACATACTCATTCTTGCTCGTTACACCATTTAACCGATCACGCTCCTCCTCTGGCATAGCACGCTCATTCAGAGGTATGCCATTCTTGACGCAGCCTTCGCGGTACACCTTGTAATGGTCCATTCCAAACCGCGCAATGTGAGTACGCATAGTACTGCTATTACCACTGAATACTGTCTTGGTAGACCCCGATGGACTCTTCTTCTTCTTCGCTCTGGTAGGTGAATATTGAAATTAAATCAGTACATTTTCCGGTCATTGATATAGTATACAGTAACATGGTCACTTTTACAGGCACATACAGACAGACGGAACACTCCCATAACTGAACACCATCCGACGCTCGTTCACCTGCTGACTTGAAGACTTGAAGGCAGTCTTTAATGGCATCACGGCGGTTTTTCTTTCCTTTGGTCAACGGTTCAGCCATGTTGGGCTCAGTGGTATCAGAGTCAGAATCATTGAGTTCGATCGGCATACTACTAGTAGTAGAGGGTGGCTCCGCATTTGACACTGAGGCCTGTGATGCTTTTGGTGGAAGTCTTCTCTCGATGGCAGTCTGTTTCGTCTCTGGTTTCTTCCGGGACTTTCCTTGTGTACTGGTCTTTCGGCGTTTCTGTGCAGTCCCAGTTGGCACTAGTGAGTCATTGTGTCGTTTCTTGTCAGATGGCACAGTTTCGGGAACACATTCAATGAAGCCATCATTGTGACGGATTTGGCGCAGAGAAGCTGTTCCACGTTGTCGGCTAACAGGTGATGGAGAAGCGGGATCTGTGCGAGGAATGCCTGCCTCCTCCTGACTGGGTGAATGAGCCCACTCGATCTCGGTTGCCTCTTTCAAGGAGCCGTCCGGGTTTAGAGCACAGCTGTCAGCCAGAGGATCAGGAGACACCATGTGTGAGAAATGTAGGGTTTTTTTTTTCGACATACAATGTATGTTTTCCTTCTTCCTTCCAGTAGCTACTATACAGTTACATCAATAATTTGTATCTCCGAGTGTCTACCAATTTCCTATATAATACAACGGTTCACGGTGCGAACCCGGTTCGAACAGGTTCAGACCTTCTGAGGTCTTTGTCGAACGTGAACCAAAAAACTTTTGCTTAATGTTGAACCTGACCAGAACTAGAACCGAACCATGGTCAGGTTCAGCATCCGACATCAGTAAAACGGGGAGATCGTGGTATAGCATTACATCAATTATCGCATACCATGATCGGTAATCCACAAGGTAGCAATGTGGAAGGCGGTAAATGACGATGTGAACATGCCGCCAACATTGTGCCAATTGACCAATGCAATGTCTGATAGGGTCTATTGGCGCAATCTCTACACTATTATACTACATGCGTAATCTAGTGTCCTGTACATGTTATTTGCTGTACGCTTCATACTGACAAACCACGTCATCATTTCCAAATATGCCAAGAACTCACCCGGGTGGCTATTTCAACAAGCATAGTAAAAGGTAAACGAGCAAGGTGCATTACTACTACAATACATTAGAGACTAGCAAAGCCGTCGTTACTGCCCTCTTCTTCATCTGACCCCTTGTCCTCCTCTTGTTCACCCGTACTACATTCCGAGTCATCTTCACCTGAATCGGAGTCTATGAGCAGCGAATCATCATCGGACCACGATGATTCGACGTCTGACTCCTCCTGAATATATTCCCTTCCTTCAACCTCTTCCACATCTGACATGGCTGAATCACCTGCCTCGGTGGGGCTTAGAGTCTGAGTCTGCGCCAGATGTCCGACACCAGCTCCATAATGTCTCAAGAGCATATCACGGTCGACAAAGCTACACATGAAAACAGTGTATCTTTAATGTACAAGCCGGGAAATGAAAAAAAAGGACACGCACATTCCGACATAGAAGTTCAACCAGTCCTCCGATACACCTGCTTTCCTCGCAATACTGTCACCATTCGAGTGAAGCAACTGAGTAGTTTTTCCTTCATTGAATGCCGGCATGAGATGGCATCCGCGTAGGACATAAGACGGATCCAGAAACCCAAAGGCAAAGGGGTCGTCGTCTGGTACAAATCCAATCTTGGGCAGACGTGAAAACTTGAACCCAGAACGGTAACCGCGCTCCGCTCCATACCATCGCACCCAGAGGAACTCCATATGTCTTCCATATATGGAGGGTATATGACCGCAATTTTCGCTCGTTGGTATTACAGAAACTGTCGCATGATACACACCAAGAACTCTGGCATACCAGAATGAGTGTGCACCTGCCAGTGAGCGTGTCTCCATAGATTTGATCATTACATTGCATTGACGCATCGGGTTGACAGAATCTTGATCTCGTCGGACGTCGTAGGTGGTGTAATTGAAGCAAACGGTGTTGACTGAATAGATCTGATTGTTGGCAATCCGAACACAATTCCGGTCAGCGTCACTGAAATTGCCATGATTGTCCCCGTCAAACTCCTGGCCTAAGAGACAGCCAAGTAAGTGGTCTTTGAGTTTCGGTATAAAGTTCTATGAAGAGTGTGGGGGAGGTGTTCTGTCAGCACATTTGCCATACTCAAGTGAACCTTATTCGTACTGTAACTGCTGGATCTGTGCGATTATTGTGCATGAACTTGGAGAGGTCGATCGGATTATTCAGTGAAGGACTAATATAATGATGGAGCTCTGGCGGCACAAATATAGACGGATCATGAGAACGCTTGAATGTTTGTTTGCGATGTGCCTTCCAGTGTGAGTAACGGATGCGCATGTAACGCTTTCCGATTTGATTCTCATGGTTGCATTTCGGACCTAGACGATATATACGTTTGACGACGCAATGAGCATGTTCGCCCTGGGTAGCAATATAAGTAAAGTAACTTGATGCAAAGAGATTGAAGTCACTCACAATTTGTGTCGAGTAATTATCAGTGGTGCCAAACCTCCGTATGTGCGCAGGATAGTCAGGCATTGCATGCCATTTGTACGTGTTGAGATTCAGAGCCTTGTACTTGCGTGAGGCGGTAGAGGCTGCAGGAGCACCTGAATTTGAAGACTGAGCTTTCCTTCTCTGGCGTGCCATTGCCTCTCGAGGGAGCTCACGCGTATGAAACTTTGGACAAGTAACATCGTGAAAGTGACGAACGAGCTTTGCAAGGCTTCTCGTAAGTTCCTCCAGGTGGGCAATTGTCTCCTCGGTGTGCATGCGAAGCTTCGCGAAGCCATGCCACTCAGCCATTTTGAAGAGAAGCTTTGAGACGGCCTTATCATCACTTTCATCTGGAAATAGCCCTTCAAAGGCAGGGATAGCACACTGCAAGAGATCCTCAAAGTCGCGAGCACCAAGTTTCTTCATCTCCGATGCCTTGTTTGCAAAGCGCCTGATTGTGTCACGTCCAAAGCGTGGTATCTCCCTATACCTACAATGATTGTCATTTCACAGGAATTCAAATTTTGGCAAAGGATTCCTTACCTCCGGTCAAGCTCTGCAACTCGTTCATCACCATTTGGCTGAGCATAAAGCAGTCGAATGAGATGTGTGAACAGGGCCTTCCAGGTACCCAGTTCAAACTCATGCATGAAGTCAACGACCAGCATGCGATGAAGTATAGTATCATCACCAAGTCTCTCAACAAATGCATTTGCTGTTGGCGTCGATGATGTCGGCTTCAACAGATCTTCAACTCGGCTTGATGCAATGGCATAACCCTTCCGATAAATAAGCTCCCGTGCAGCGGTAACTTTATTGAACATGTATTTGCAAATACCAGTTCCAAGTCGAAAGGCGAGATCGCGAGATTGACCAAACAAGCCCAATGAAGACTTCGAGGTTAAGCAACGGGGGCACGGACAGAGACCCTGGTCACGAATTGTAGCAAGGAGAATTCTAAATCAAAATAATCAGCATAATGCATAGTAAAATGAAGTCTATAAATTTACTTTTCTGGGTAATCCGCTGAGTACGTAAAGAATCGAGGATAGACACATCGCTCGACTCCATCTGAGCAACAAATAACGATGCCATACTTGTAAGCATGTAGAAATTCATCATCCAACAGAAAACGCCAAACGGCCTGCATAAGTTCTCGTCGACAGTGCGTGAGGATATCCTTCTTCTGTGTATGCCATTTGGGATGCCATGCTGCGATTTCATCTTGAATCCAATCAGGTAACTGGATAAAATTTAGGTAAGAGCGATGAACGGCACCAACCAATAAAGAAAACGGACTGAAGGTATGTAAGCCAGATGATGACAAGCACCAGACTCTGGCTGCGACCTAATATATTTCGATAGATTCCCGAACATTAAGTAAATTGGCCAAAGCTTTGCGGTTCCGAAGTCAGCCAAATGTGTGGCATCAGACCAGAACATCAGCGCGGCGACAACCTTTTCACGCCGGCAACCCTGATCATCAGGAGGAAGCGGTGCTTTCCTCTTAACCCAATCATCCTCCTCGAGAAATGCGTCAGAGTTGTAGAGCTCACTAAAGACGCGTCGATCATTGTCTGAGTTTGGTAGCCGTTGAAACAGTTTGAAGGGAGAGTAGTGAAGGTATGGTGATAGCTTGTCTGTAAATGCCGTTCGAACAACGTCGACAAGATTTCGATACTGCAATCCGGGTATAGAAAATTGACGGGGAGGCACATCCCTGTCGCATGATGGAACCTCGATGTTGATTTCCGTCTCCTTGAAATGAAAGTCAGGGAGTACAGAACTTGGCGAGGTATTCTGCCCATCCTCCCTATCATCCATTTGTGCCAACACGTCAGAGAGTCTGGCATTCTGGCGGTTGGTGCTAAAACCTCTGCCGAGATCTGAGGGCCGAAAATCAGGATGTAGGAGAACGTCATGAACCAGTTCATCGACTTGAGCTTCGGACTTGTTTGTACTCCCGTTGTTGACCCAATTCATTAACAGAGCAATAGATGAGTTGAGGTATGGCCAGGTTTCAGGTCTGTTGGGCATGCTAGAGATCATATGGGCACTTTCTTCATTGAAGCTCGCAGATGGATACTGGGCTAAGTCATCGAGGGAGATGGCGGCATCTGGATCATGGGATGGACGGTGAAGGAATCTTCGCCAAATACCAAACACATTCCGCGCTGTATCGAATGTGTCCCTAACGACAAGTACAACTCGGCGAAGAGTGTTCAGACCAGCTGGCGGTTCTGGCAGAGGTTCATTGTGCCTTAGAGGACGTCTCGATTGGCGTAAGGGCTGCATTTGCTGAAGCGAGTTTGTACATGGGGTGGATTCAGTATGCAGTGATTGCTCTGCAGAAATGAAGTCTGCAGTCATGGGTGTATCTACATGCATCGGCTCTGACACCACATGAGAAGCTACCCGTTCTACCTTCTATCGAGCAGCGTCAGTCAAAGAGTTCAGTATTTCACCTTGCGAAATAAACGCACCCGCCCACAAGCCCGTAGCCTCACGCTCCGTATGATATTCAAACTTGATACCATCTGTTTGCCAGAAGTGGAGCTGAGGGCGCGTGATGATTGAGCCAGAGATGCCGCATACTTGGAACATGTCTTTCGGTGTTTCTCAACAGAGGCTGAATTTCCGAATTGTCTTGGACACCCTTGTGAGCAGAGAATTGGCGCCATAAGGACTCTCAGTGACAGAATAAGATAGACGAGAAATGTTATCTTGAGACAGGCCATGCCCCTGCAGCAACGGTGTATACCCTTTGCGAGGAGGGAAGGGGGGGGGCGGGGGGGGGGGGGGGGTGGGGCGGGGCTAGGGGGCTGGTTGAGTCGGTTGGTAGTCAGAGTTTGAAATCGAGATGGAAGCGAGAGGCTAGGACGGATGTAGGCCGCTTCAGAACATATCGCGAGTGTCGGGATACCAACAGCCTACTTTTACCCTGTCGTGCGTGGCAACCAAACTGCAGCGAGATCAAGGCATATATAGAGTGGCTGTCTTCATCCTGTGCTGTAGAATATGTCCCCCATGTCATCTCACCGCACTACGCCTATGCCATCCCGGCGCACTCACAGCACTGAAATACCCTTCGTCGGCCCTCCTTATACTCAACGTGACAATGGCCGTACCCGCATCGACGCTTTAGAAGAAGAACTAGCAGAACTGCAGGAGGAAAATGAAAACCTAAGGACACATGTTATACAGCTACAAAAGAGTCAGAGCAATGGAAACGAGAAGAAGAGAACTAGCGACTCACAGTGCATAATATCATGCCATCCCTGCACATGGTGAACGGTTACTCACGGATAGTCATCAGAGAACAAACCACTAATGCATTGGGTCGTGGTCATCATAGGCTTGTTCACATTTCCGATAGTCCTGCAACCGTCATCATGAATGCGCAAGCGCACATGGTCGCGCTCAAGGATGAAGACAGAGTGGCCTCGATCGAAGAGATGAAGGAGATGGATGAGGATTCGCGCGATGAGAAGATAGAGGAGGAGTTATCTGAGTGGAGAGCGTAAGCGATTATGTTCCTATACAGATCCAAACTTACTACGGCATCCAGTCAGGAAAGAAACTTGATCGCTTATGGGCAGCTTCTACGACTTCTCCCAAATTTGGAACGTCACTTGAGCGAGTCAACACCGGAGTCTGTTGAAGATTTCACTGTGCGAGTGAGTGCTTAAACAGTCAATGTTTAACTATGACTTACTTTATCACCATGATTACTTCTGCAGCTTCGTCGGGGTGCGAGTGAAGCAAGAAGCGACGACATCAATCGTTGCACTTCCAAATTAGGCAGCCTGTTGAACCACGTCCAAGATCCACGTGAACGACCGGACCCTCTGCTCAACGTCGATGGCAACAACATGAGGGCAAACCGCGGACTCAGTCACAAGACATGTTGCCGTTGGTTGCTCCCCATCGACGTCGCCCTTACAGAAGAGTGAGTGAGTGGTGATAGTTATGAGTGCTAGAATCGCTTACTGGCCGTTGTTGGCAGGACTCTCAGCAAAGCGGCCTCTCTTGAGATTGACCTCAGCGACAACTGGTTTATACGACTATTCTACAAAGATGGGGAAGGTGATCCGAGCAACGTTGAGGAAAATTTCCTCATGTCTACAATCTTGGTCCGCGTAAGTACTATCCAGTTTCTGAGATCCACAGCTGAACCGAGTTGTCTTTATGCAGCTTTATCAAGCCGTTTTCACTTCGCCCTCATCTGCGACAGGGAGTATTGATGGCGACAGCGACGATGAAGATGCCGCTCGCAGAAAGAGACGACGAGGCTCACGCGCCGTCCGAAGCTCAGTTGCAGACAAACTCCATATGAACAATCAGGTTACTCCACGGTCAATTGCTTACATCTGTGTGCTGGTATGCTTCCATTCAGCTTCATTTCAGATGTAAATGACACCGCTCTGACATTCATTTTCAACTAAAGGCACATTTTTCTCTCACTGATGCTACCCAGTGGGACACGACTGTATACGACGTCGACTATACAGCGATGTATGAGTTCATCGTTGACTACCTTGAGGACACTCCAACTGAACAGAGCCGGAAGAATGCAGAGACAATCTTGAGTTGGTGGAATAGGTAAGTTTCCTCATTTGTCGACAGTCACACTTCATTGATTGTTCGACCGTACAGGAAAGTTTTCAAGGGCAAGTCCTCAGGCATTCATGGCAATCAGAACAAGTCGCGAAAGCGATTGGCGGCTCAGCGACGGGAGAGATCAAACGTAGTATCGACATCGGCTGATTCTTGAATTCGTGGTGACAATTTTGTTGGGCTTCACTGCGGCCGCATTTCCTTTGTCGCTGAGCATGTACTACTATCTTATTAAATGCAAATATGTTCTCTTTCAATTGGTTGGTTTGTACTTGAGTCGACTGTCAATAGACAGCAAGAGGGTCCAGCAGCAACCCACATCTTCGAGTCTCACCCTATTCTCATGAATGAACAAGGCGTTGACTGGAGCCTCATTAGTTGTAAGTCTATTGCTCGCGAATGGGCCAATGGGTTGGTCACGAGTATCCAATTGACCAATCTTCCAGCACGTTGATACTTGATTGCTGAACTTGACACCCAGTGATGTCCGTTTCGCCAGTTGGCAATGAGTTGGCGCTTTGGCGTGAGGGAGAATATGCCAGTATATTCGCCTGTGAAACGCACGGCGATCGGGCTCATCTCATAACGTAGACATGGATTCACAACGTGGGTGATATTTCATATTCTCTTACCACCATTCCCCGGTTTTACTGATGGAACCGGTTCGTCGGGGTTCAGAACCGAACAACGGCAGCTTTAAGTGAGCCCACCAAATCCACGACCAACTAACTGTTCAGCATTCCCGAGCGGCAGCCCAGTACGATAATAGTTAACGTTCATCTCCAAGTCTTCAGTTATAGCTTTCTTGTGCAAGATTGGCCCGGTCCTCTGAAACAATTCAATCATGACTGAAACCAGACATCACCTGATATCAGCGACACTATTACCAAGTCTTGTCTCAATTAGGCTCTTCTATGTTCAATATGTCCACAGTACCCGTTCTTGCTACGCACCTTTATGCTCAGGTCTATGTCCTGCGGTTTGGGGCTGAAGTATTGCTTGACTACGAATATAGCACCCGCCATCACAGTGCTCTCACGCTTCAACAGGATTAATGAAGGCATCAAGCACTGGACGTCTTCACCTTTACAGCCACGTATCATAGCGTAGTACTAGGGTAGGTTTTGTTCAGATACTCGTGGTATAATTTCACTAATTTTCCTTGTAGAAGATCCATATTAAGCTTTACTTTTCAAGATGTTCCGCGGCTCTGATCCAGAGGAATTGCCGCCACCTCCGGCGTACTCTACCATTGTAGATGCTGTATCTGTCGGAATCGGGAGTCCTGAGACTCCTCAACCTCGTCCTCCTCGACGCGAACTCCCTCCCGTACCCTCCGCCTCTGTTCCATTACATTCAGCTACTGCTCCACCTATACCTCTGCTGATCCCTTCCCTTCCCCCAAGTCCGGTCACTCCCGCTCCTCGTCAAGCCACACCCCCTCCGCCCTCCGCCAGGCTCCCCCTTTTAAGTCCATCTCCCTCATACCCGGGACCGTCGTCCTACAAGATCGGAGAGAAGATGCTACCATCACCGCTGGTTACCATTGATCAATTGAAGGCGCATCTCACGCTACTAGGAGCTTTCAAATCCTTAAGAACAACTGTTCAGACCCAGTCGGCGGAGGAGTTGATCTTACCTCCTGTTGTTGAGCGAATGGACGTGAACAAACGCTGGACTTGGTTCGTCGGACTTGCTGTGGAAAGGTCAGTTGTCCAGCGTTATTTCGTGATGATACACTTTCCATTGATTAAGGGCATTTTTCAAGATTTCAACGATGGGTCGAGACGGCTAGGAATGTGAAGGAAATCCCTGAATGGATCGAAAAGGAATTACCACCATTAGATGTCTTAATGGTTTGGCATTCTTACATGCTAAATCCTAAGTACGTGAAATGAAGATTCGGATGATTCGTGTGCTTAAAATGGCCTTGATAGCTGGTATCGCGAGGATCTCCAGCGTTCACCTTTACTAAGGATACTCCGAGACTTGGGAAGTCGTCTATTAACAGCCGTTGTAAGTCATGCTTTCCATTTCCCTTCATTCTGAACTTACTCCTGTTAGATTCTCATTGGCGACATTGGTTCTTATGTTCCTTCTGAGGAGCGTATTACAAGTTGGCAGGAACTCACGGGAACATTTTTCGACCCCTTGGCGTCCGCGTCATGCCTATCGCATCGTAATCTTGAATGTCCATATTGCTGGAAGCTTAATGAAGCACGTAAGTATCAGTTCATCTTCTCAGCTTTGCGGCTGCCCGAAAGTGAATGCTTTTGGTCAGCGTTGATTACAGGATCCGACACAGGCTACCTTCAAAATTGTTTTCGTATCTTCTGTTCACGCTGCAGCAAATCGATCACCAAAGCCACTCTCGCAATTTCAAAGTTCGCGAGTGACCTCATTCAAGGGGTGGACTCAATTCAACATATGTGACGTTGCAGACAGGCAAAGAAAGCCATTTTCTGGCGTGGGTACCCAACAATAGGTTACTTTCCGGATCCGCTGTGCTCACGTGTACCCCAGAGGGACTTCAAGTCGTTATCAGGGACTGCACGTAGCACGACGGATAAAGCACTCTTTGTTACAGAACAAAGTATTATTTGCGTATCCTATGCCGGTGCGTAGCAATGTCTTAGGTCTTTGGACACAGATGTCTACATGTCTTGCCTAGTCGGTGATCATCCTGAATGAAATGCGTACCAAACTGCTAGAACGAATCAACGGCTCTCTGGAAATCCTATACCAACAAATAACGACAGCTGTTGCGCATGTACACAGGTATGTAGATGCTGTCAAGGATTTATGTTTGTTTGACCGTCATATTTACTGTTACGAAAGACGACACCGGATATGTAGTGCGTACATCGACGATCGACCATTCTCTGTTGAACTGGTATCTGCTGTCATCCGTCAAGGATCGTTCATAGACAGGATACACAATTTGGGCTGGCTAGATTCTGGTCATTTCGAAGGTGCTGCTACCGAGAGCATCTTGATTCATGCAATCGTGCGTTACCATGCGTACGTCTACATCACAATTCTCGAGTTATCTACTGATTCTCTCTCCAGTTTCTTAGATTTGATGACTCCTTCGTGTACGATGTTACTTGTTCCAACTCTGGATATTGATCTTGCATGGCATACTCACCAAATGACGGGCTATGCCTATGGCGATGATTGCGTCAAATTTTTGGGTCATCTAGTGGATCAGTACGTGGCTCTGTGAGGCTTAACATGCTTCAACTCATGTTGATACGTCTCGCCCTAGCAACGACAAGATCGAGTCGAACTATCTTGCCGATGCGTTCGACAAGACATGTCTTGCATGGGAGGTGAGTCTTCGAGCTCAAATCTTTGATCGTCCAAGTTAACATGGTACAGCGACGATTCAATATCCCCTACATGCATTGCGGTTGCCCGCTACCAGAATATACTTCTGTGGGGAAGTCACTCTCTCGAATGGCGAGCAAATTGAGCCTATCTCGCACGAAGAGTGCCAACCCTTTGTCGCCGCCTTCCCATCCAGGCGCTTTTGAAGCTACCCATCCAAGCGACCACAACGCAATCGATGTGCAAACTCGAAGATCAATCGTCGCGCACGAGAACCGCTTGGAAATGCTGAAACAACGAAGGGAAAGAGACGCCAAGAAAGTTGAACACGGAAAGATGGATTCGTCGACGTACAGGCGAGGCATGTCTCATGATGATGCCTTTCTCTATCCTGTGTCATTCAATCATCCCCCCGTTGTTACAAGAACGGCGTCCTCACCTGCCTATGGCTCACCTGGTACCTGTGCAGTGGTTGGTCACACAATAAACTGAGTAGAATTCATGTATTAACGGTTTGTTCTGTAGGGAGCTGGTGTATGTGGAAGTCTAGGCGGATATGGAGGCAGTTGTGCTAGCTGCGGTAGTGGTGGTCCAAGTGGATACGGGTGAAAGTGTAGAGGAGATAACGGCACTACAGATTCGATCATTCAACTGTACGTCCTTGCGCGGGTGCATGAACCTTCAACCTCTGCGTTCACTCTTTCGACATTGCTAGAGTAGATCTCCGGTTACTATTCTGATCAGCACGCAGTTATGCACTTCCAATGTCCCAGTACAATTATTTGGCGAGGCGCGAGATGTCAGTGCAGCACTGAGCGGGCGTTTTGCTTGCGGGTACAGGATATGTATAGAGCCGCAGGCGGCCATCCATCCTCATAGTAGCCTGCCCACTTGCACTTTCATACACTCACAGCTTTCCCGTATGTGCGAGTAATGTTATGAAAGCGACCATTCCTTCTGCATAGAAGGAAGCAGTGCAGGCATGTCTCGTATTCATGTAACAATTTAGACCCGCCCATAAAATCAGGCCGAACGCGCACGTATTTCAAGCTTACTCTGATCGTGACGAACATCAACGAATTCGGACGGCTCGCCTAGAGGGGACATCCACCAACAATACATGCCAGACAAGACGCGTCCCTCTTCGGCGACGCTCAGATATGGTCGCCGGAAAGAGTCCCAAAATATCTTCCATGAGCGACTATGTACAGCTAGAGATGTATAAAAACACGAAAGATGGAGCGTGAATAACAGCAGCTTGTATCAGACAACCCCAGGTACGATATCTAGTTCATCTCTCTAAACAGAAGACTCACCGAGAATCGTGTTATGTGATTGACAGGACAGATCTTCCACATACCAATATTCACAATCATGGTTCTCGCAAAGTCTTCTGCGATCCCGACGAATCCGTCTGCTCAAGTACAAGTCGTTCTGAAGTGGATGGAATCCATGACTGAGGGAGACTTGGATGGTCTTGAGTCCACCTTGGCGGACAATTACATCCACGTTGTCTTGCCAGCGAGCACCGGTGTCGCTGTCCACAATGACAAAGAGTCTTACCTAGCCAGCGTCAAGGAGGTCATGAGCATGTTTACTGGGAATACGGTAAGACATATTGAATCACATTCATCAAACCTGCAACTGAATACTTAACTCGCGTCATTCTCAGGCAACAATCTTAGAGATCATTGAAGTCCCGGGCGTAGTTGTTCTTCATGTAAGGCACCGTGAATACGCTGGATGACAGGGAAATACTGACCGCTAGACCTAGGAATCCTCTGATGGCAAAACCAAGTTTGGCGTTGATTACAAGAATGAGGCTATCATGACTTACTACCTCGAACCAGCTGGAGAGGGAAAGTATAAAGTAGCCAAGGTCAAGGCTTTCGTTGATTCCAAGTTTACGGCTGGATTTGCGGAGGAAGTGCAAAAGGTTTTAGCAAGTTCTGCCAAGTAAATTGAGCCGGTTTATAGTAGACGTCCAGTAGTGGCTTGACATGTATGTGCTACGTTATGCGATAATACAGCTTTTCGAAGAGATGTATAGATAAGCTTAATGTCCGATATTGAATTTCCTCGTCCTGAACGAGTTTGACCCAGGTATTTATCCGGGGTAGCCATTTAAGCGACGTTGCAACCCCTCTCGGCATCTTCAGGGAACGGGTGTGGAGGGTGTCCGTCTGTGGTTGTTGTCTGTGTGTCCTCAGAACATCCGCTGGAGGACAGAGAGCCTGGGCGAACACGCGTCTCGAAGACTACAGTAGATAGTTCTCCTAGCGTGTCTGTATTCCAGGCGCGTCCTTGAGCTACGCGGTAGATGATGAGGTAATTTGATATCATCTATAGAATATCGACTATTGGTCAGCCAGATTATAGGGTATTTGCGATCTTACCTGTGTAGCCGGATAAAGACCGAGCCAAATTTGATTTATAGGGTGGTTCAGAGCGTATGTGATAAGGAGTAAAAAGGAGCAGAGTGAGTGAAGAGCTGCCGATTCGATGAACATCGTGGCAATGGAGGTGTAATGCTTCCCATACGTCTGGCCAAGGACTTCCTGGCCTTGACGGCGATAGGCAGTCAGTCGGCCTGCAATCATCAGAGTCAAGATGATGTTCAGAGAAAGTGAAATGGTGAAATATGACAGGGCGATTGACGCCGTGGTCTTGCTGAAGTAACCTGCAGGAGAAGCAGAATCTATCGCAAATACAATGCCCGTAGCTGAAGATGGCTGTGAATTGACGGATCTGGGCAGAGACAAACAGGACGTACCAATAGAGGCTAACTGAATCAACCCGGGGAAGATCATGATAATCCGGACCTTTCGTCCCAACGTACCAGTCCAAATGACCTGGCATCGCCATAACTAGGACACAGGGTGCTTAACATGCGCTGACTATAAAGTGATGTGGTATACATACCAATATTGCGTCTGCCATGATATTGCCAATTATGTATGACGCGCACGACAACAATTGGCTCGGTGTCGAGAACTCGATCTGCAAGAACGCCCAAGGACCACCACCAGGATAATTTCGGTTGTCGATATAGGTCAATTGAAGACCGTATGCACATGTACCGGTCCAAATCGTGTTCATTGCACATAAGCAGGTGGTGTACGCGATCAAGAATCGAGTGAAATTGGTAGTTGGTTTGCGTTGAAGTAGGCCTCGTATACAGATCGTGTAGATCACAAGTTGAATGCCTGCCACAAAAATCAGTTGAACTTTGCTTGGGCAGGAGACAACGGCAATATGACTGACCGTAACCTACGCCAGTTAGATACCCACTCGCCAGAAACGTCTTTTCCAGAAAGATATCCGATTGGGATTCGCCCAATGGTCCGTAATACGGGGTGGAACTCTGGTCAGTAGAGTTCATGATGGTAGTTGTGTAGAGAGCGAGTAAATTGCGTGATAGGCTTCAGGGTATGAGAACTACACACTGGTGTCCTGCCAGTGGACTAGAGATGCGATAAATATTGAAGTCCAGCAATACGGCTTTTATACAGTCCTGGCTTGGACAATATTTGCGTGGATTCGCGTACATGTTGAGACCGACCATTTCGATTCAATGCCTTGTGTCATGGAGGTTGATGTTCTTTCCGAGTACGAGACCTAGAGAGTGTCATAAAGTGTAGACCTGTGGCCGTTAAGCGCGGACCACTGATAGTGTGTGCAAATCTCATCATCCAAAAGTATATGCCGAAGGCGCAGTGGCATGAAGTGCGATGCAATGTCTACACCAAGATTAGAAGTAACCGGCTAGTTAGAGTCGTAACGCGGGAGGTCAACACAGAACGAGTGTGGCAAGCTGACATGGAGCAGGGCGGATACGCAAGCTCGCGGCTGAGGCCGTTCATGCTGTGGAGAACCGTGTGCCGGCATTATCGTTATTTTCATATGAACTTCTAAACTTCCCAACGCACCACTTCGCACCGGAAATGAACAGAGCACTGAATTGAAAATTTTAGAAGATGATATGAGCGAAAAACGGCGTTGACAAGTTCTTACATTCCCATCTGGGATGCCTGTCAGTCTTTGAAAACGGAACTGGCAGCTTCATGTGTTCCGAGTATAGTGAACGCCAAAGAATTCAGATCCAGATCCAGTCACCTTAGAATTGAGGCCACTACAGTCTACTTAATCTGACATTACGCCGCGAGCGTCACCGCAAGTCGCAGCAGTTCGCGGCAAAACTTATCAAGTCCATATTCTATTCTTTTTTAAAGCATTCTCGATATTCTGAGAGTCCGTGAATAATGTCAGTCAAGCATCAACGAAGGAAATGACAACAGCGCACTTATGTGGTACAAGAACGGGTCAGGAGGTCTGTTGTGAGGTAGATTACACTCAACAACCCATTTACTCTATTTGGTCGCACACTATTGAGATGGGAAAGTATTCATTCACTAGTAAGGGATCCCCAAACAAAGGGGGCGCGCAGGCCAGATATATACCGATTGAAACGGAAATTAGTGTGCAGCTGCGAACAGAATATATCGAGCGTGAACGAAGGAAATGACAACAGCGCACTTATGAGGTACAAGACGGGTCGGGAGGTCTGCTGTGCGGTAGATAACACTCAACAACCCCATTTAACCTACCTGGTCGCACATTATTGAGGTGCGAATTATTCATTTCACTAACGGATCCCCAAACAAAGAGGACACACAGGCCAGATCCTGATTGAAACGGAAATTAGTATGGAGCTGCGAATAGAATATAGGACACTATATTTCGAAAAGCTGGCAATACTTAAGGAGCCTGGTTCCTCTGAAAATTAGCGTCCAACAGGCTTTGCGTTAACTGAAGTGAGTAACTTCTTCCGATCTGAGGCGAAAGAACAATCGGCAAACCACCCTCATTACAGCGTGCTTTCTCAACAAGTTATCCCTTACCCGTACTACCCGTACTAACAATCTGCCATGGTCGTCGAAGTTTCCGCCGCCATCTCAGCAAACCCATCTCCCCAGATTCAGCTCGTCTTGAAATGGGTAGAAGCAGCGATTGGCAAGGACTTCGCAACGCTCGAGGCGATCATCACCGATGACTACGTGCAAACTGTGCACCCTGACAATCTCGGAGCACCTTTACACAAAGGCAAGGAACCTTTCTTGACCCACTACAAGACCGTTCTGCCTCTATTTGTGGACTTCTCAGTAAGCCGATATTCAATCTGCGCAGAGAAAAAGCAAAGGAAGACGTACCTGTATTCTATTAGGTTAAGATTTTGGAGATCATCGAGACACCGGATACAGTTGTGGTTCACGTACGTCCTAAAATCACAAGGTCGCTTGTCGTCTACTGATGATAGTTGGGTAGGCCAAAGGAAGCGCAAAGACGCAGATCAATTATGACTATGAAAACGAATACATCATGATCTTCCATATCGTGAAGCAGCAGGATGGACAGCTGAAGTTGTCGAGTGCCAAAGAGTTCGTAGACTCAAAGTTCATGGCAGGGTTCAGGCAGGCTGTCGAGGCAGCGTTGACAGCAAAGAAGTGATGATTATTTCATATTTTACGGACTTGGCAGGGCCTATCACAAAGATCAGCACGAGATTATAACAAAACCAATACTACTTACTGAATCGTCGTTGAGCAGGGCAAGATGTGATTGACATGACAGGACCATCATGAAACAAACAAACATAAAAGTAAGATGTAGAGGCAGAGCTTGTGATTACTTGCAATCGGACAGAGGCTTTGAGAATGACGTTCGATCTGAAAACTTCCGTGACGCAGAGCCCTTCTAGATAACGCAGCGAAGAAACAAGTACAGTACCCTGTACAAACCCAAGCTAGAGGTACAAGTACCATAGCCAATAACCGTTAAGCATAGAAAGGAATGGGATGAAATAAAATGGTAATCATGGTAGTTGGGGTAAGAAAGGGAACGTGTGTGTATAGGCGTTTGTAAGCGTGGGAGAGTCAGAATACTGTAGTTTGTGCTCTCGACTCTTCATATTCCGTCACTGATTATCCAACGACATGAGAAACGACGGGGGTGATGTGAGCAACAGACATGCGTGCGCCGCGGTTTGGAAGAGGGCCTGGCGTGGAGCTGTATATGTTCCTGCGAGCGTTCCAAGTGTAGAGCCGAGGAGTGACAGAAGGGGCGGATGAAGAGGTACTGTAGAAGAGATTGGACTGAGTGGGAGGAGTAGATGGACGACCCGGAACAACTAAAGGAGGGGTGGTTAAAGGAGCGTCATCGATGATTGGATGAGGGGCAGGAGATGTGCGAGGAGGAATAATGGGAATGGGTGCAGATGTGTCTATTTCAACGGAAGAATCCTCCAAGTTATCTGGAGGAACTCTGAGACGTGAATGGAAGACCAAAGTGGTACGCCCAAACGCGTTGGTCTCGCTCGACTCTCGTACCATGCGAGGAGCGCGGAGAGTGTTAGGATAATGACTCGGACGCGTGTTCCTCATTCTCTCCGCCCGTTGCACCTCCAGTCCAAGGCGCGTATAGCGATTGTCCGTCACATCTACAGGAGTGTCCCTGCCGCTCTCACTCTCGCTCGAGCTGCTACTATCATCACTGAGCTCTGGTGGTATGACAGGCCCAACCCCGACATCTATCTGCGGTAACTGTGCGGGGTCAACGAAGGCCTCGTAGACCGCGTCATCGCTGTTGAAGAACTCGTCAGAGTCCGGATCAAAGGCGTTCACGTTCCAAGTGTCGTAAGTAGGATGAGGTGTCAGTTCGGGTTCTACATGAATGACGGGATCTTGGGTAAGTTTGGAAGAAAAGAGAGGTCGGCCCATGGTGCTGGCTTTTGGCGATAGAATACAACGGTATCAAAAGGTGCTGCTGAGAGCTTTTGGGGGTATGTGATTGAAACTGGAATAGAATAAGTAGGAAGGAGTGAACAGAGAACAAGAGCTGGCTTCGCATTGATCAACAATCCTAGTCTTACTTTAGGGCCGGTGCGGTTGTCTGCGGCTATTCCACTGACCCACATCGCTTGTTCACACTCGGCAAGGAGATAGAACGGACTTTTGTCAGAGTTAAAGGTACAGAAACAGCGATGGGAATCTAATTTACACGTTTAGGAAATACAGGTCGAGCATCCAGGGATCATTACAGTTATTCAAATAGTGTAACGGTACCCGCTCCAGGCATCCCCCTTCTCGCGCTTAGCATCCACCACACTGGCGAACGTGCCGTTCTTTGCAAGGTCTGTGTTGTTGTCATTAACCCCTTCGATGATTTCGTCGCGTTCACCTCTGTCGCGTTTCGCGTTTTCTCTCTTAAGCAGCACCATGAATAGCACAGAGCAAATGAAGCCTATGCCGATGTACATCAGGACGATCCCATGGCCCAAGGTGTACCACGGTTTGTCCCGCGCCCGGTACTGACCAACATGCATAATGAGAACTCTGAAAATCACCATGGAAGATCATGCAGAATGACTCACGACGTTCGAGCTAACAGCGCCGTTGATGTTGCCAAAGCTGATCACCATAGCTAGAGTGACACTCCGCTTGTAGGAGCCTTCCACGTTATTCGACACCCAAGCAATTGTGTTCGGAATGTTGGGATAAATCCCACAAGCTGCCAGGTAAACACCGAAATAGGATAAGCCGGCATTCCGCGACGCTATGAGAATGATATATCCAGCAGCACCAACGCAACAGTTGAACCTACACCACAGAGTCATGAGAATATCTCTGTGCTAGACAAAGGCCCACTTACATGTTCAGGTAGCCTCTCTGGCCTTTCTTGTCAGCGTACCAACCGACCAGACATGTCATGCCACATGCAACGACGTAAACCGGCACAGTCAGAAGATTGGCTGGCGTTGCGGTGTAGCCAAGCTAGTAGACGTGCAAAAGTTAATTCCTATTTGACCAACAAAGCATTTGTATGACTGACCTCGTTAATGATACTAGGCAAGAACAGAGAGAAAGCATAAAGTGGGCCATCGGAACCCATGTAGAGGAGCACTGAAGAAGTCTTATCAGAAATGCTTCCCTGCTTTGAAGGCTGACAGAACCTACTTCCAAGCCATGTCTTCCAATCCAACAGACTCTGCCATATATACTTCCACTTGAGCTTTTCGCCAGCCGCACTGAACTGATCATCTTCTTGCAGACGACGAATGACCACAGTCCGTTCGGCTTCGGTCAAGAACTTCGCGGTATCAGGGAAATCCTGGATGATCCAGAATGACATCGCTCCTGCGATAACGGTCAAGAGGCCTTCCAGGATGAAGATCCACGCCCAAGCTGGCTTCCCGCCGATTCCGTCCATGTTTGAGATAGCGGCCTGTCGTAGGGATGCATAGATGAGTACCGCAAGATGTCTAATGAGAAGCTGAGAAGCTGACACATACAGCGAGAAGCCCTCCAAATGCCCCAGACACTGTTGCAGCGGAAAAGAAGACCGCTGCGCGAATGCCGAACTCTGAACGCTTGTACCAACTGACAATGAATTATTATTTAGGTGAATCACACTTTTACGGATCTTGAGTGTACTCGCCATGATAGATAGTAGTTTACGCCTGGGAAGAGACCGGCCTCAAAGAGACCAAGCATCCATCGCATCCCTGGAAATAGGCCATCACGTAAACGTCAGGAGGCCACGTACAGGAATTCTTCGGCTTACCGAGCAGTCCGCCATAATTGTGGACGAGCCCTTGCACAGTCTGGAAAGAGCAACGTCAATTACCCCTGACAACTCTGGACCTTGGAAAGGCAAGACATACCATCATGATACCCCACAGAAACATGAGTAGCGAAAGCCATACGGACGGACGCAGACGTTTCAGGAAAACGTTAGACGGTACCTGAAGATACGAGTGGAGAAAGATTTAAATTATTCCTCATCGCCTTGGTTGGAGAAGACATACCTCGAAGACCGAATAAGAGAAGAAGAATATCGTGAGTGCAATGTTGTATTGCGTGTCGCTAATGTGCAAGTCCTGTTCCAATCCATATAACTGATACAAAAGACCTTATCAACGTCACATCATCCATAGACACCAACGAAACTCACTTTGGCATTGCCTATGCTTGTTCGATCCAAGAAACTCAACAAGTACAAGAACGAGAGCCACGGAACCAATGCAAGGTCTAATTTGCGCAAGAGTTTGCGCTCATCAACACCGCTGACGTCGACATGGGCATTGTACACCTCATGTGTAAGCCTCTTCTCAACGTCCTCGTCAACATTTTCCGTACGGACAATTCGGGCCTTTTCATCCGAGAGGCGAGTGGACGATGCAGAGGGCGATCGCGCCCGACTCTTCTCCAGCGACGATGACATGTTCGTGGGGAAAAAAGCGCGCTGTTTCCTCTCGGTCGACGAACCGAATAACTGAATGAGAGAAGGAAAATCAAGTGGGAAAGCGAGAGATGCCAAACGTCCGCGGTCCCATTCAAAGGCTTGAGCTTCTCACCCTATATAGAAAACAAAAATAGGTATCTGGACCTTGGTATGATGGCGTACGAATAGCTGACACAGGATTAGTCCTCGGCAGGGGCTTTATCCGTGGCAGGACATGGGGAACAACGGCCCACGAATGGGAAGATCCCCAGACATTGGCGTCAGCTGCAACCTGGGCGAGCGCCATTCCCCACAAATGTCCTTCACGTGATGTGGGGTAAACGAGTGGGCGAAATTGACCGGCGATGAACGCGTTCCTGAATGAAATCGGTCTCTGCTTTGTTGTAGACCGTACAACGTCTGTAAGGGATTCTCTGTAGGCTAGTAATTCCACAGAGACTTACACCCAACGTAGCCCAATATGAGCCACTCAAATCTATGCGTTCGAGAAAGACCAATACTACGCTCAAAAGGCAGATGCGTGAGTAGCTGAACACACTAGCAGTGCCAAGAATATCTGCTGAAACAGCAGATACATTCGGGAATGCAGGTGGTGCAAGATAGCTCACGAGTTGTGTGAGATCCATCGTTGAAGTAATATGCAGGGGAGGATCGGAGCCGGAGCCGGATTCACAGTACTCAACGTCTTTACATGATATTTAGCGTTGTAGTAGAGCACAAAGGATTTAGTGACAGCGGCGAATTGAGGCGACGCCATAACCCGTTTTTTTCAAGCTTGTTGAAATAGTTTTGGCCGCATGCGAACAAGAACTCGGAAAAGAGCAAACGTCAAGACCCCCAAGTAACTCCACCGATCAATCGAATGGCATTCGATCACTTCTGTGATCGCGTTTCTGCAGCAGAAAGTTGTCCAGCAATTCGACACTGCTCAAAAGGCGCTCGTCAGGTATATTCAGTGCTATGTGAACTCGGAGAATTCATCATCAAAATGAAAATCGCCCTTCGAGGTCGTTCAGGATGAACCAAATAGTCACAATCTACCCCGGTGACACTACAGACCTGACAGGCAAATGTTACAGATTGCTCTTGTATGAACCTCTCTCACGAAGCGGGTCCATAGGAAAGAAAACAGCCATTGCCCTCGAGTCCACGAACTCTTCGACCTTTCTGATCTTTAGTTCTCCGTCTGTTTGTTTCGCAAGATGAAATACCATCATGTACTCGTTCACATAAGGCGCGCTATGAAATGTTGCTGTGGTCGTTGCCTGAGAACACATTTAAGCCTTCGAATGCCGCCAAGTCACGTATACATACCTGAACAATGATCTTCATTGGTGCTTCGATGACTTCGTGGAGGTACAGCTGAACAGATAGAGTTAATCCCGCGAGCTCCTTCCTAGTCTAACCAGAAATTATCATACCTGAGGATCTCGGAACAACGAGAACGGAACTTTACGTGCATAAGCAAGAAATTGCTCCTTGTTCCTGACCGGGTACCCAAGACTTCGCGGCAAGAATGCATAAGTATAATCTTCCGTGAGAGTTGTGGCAAGAAGCTCGGTAGAAGATGGATCCGCAGAGCTGAGAGCTCTCATCCACGTCAGCGCAACCTTGAGTTGCGGTGAAGGATTGGCCGGAATAGCATCGGAAGATGCAAGGGGCATTCTTCAATACTACTAGCAAACTAGGGGAGTGGGAGACGATAAAGAGCTCAGTACTAACATTCGAAAGACGGTGTAACGAGACCCACCTAATCATCTAGCTTCAGACTAGACAATACCAATGAAGATTTTAAAAGAGGTTCATTTATAACCAGAGTCATTGCCCCGTGGGCATACCAGGATGTACGAGGAAATGGCTAGCACATCCTGGTGTGAGTTCCCTCGGTTCGGGCTCGGCCGATATATACGTTGAAATATTCAGAGTACATCATGCTTACTCGCCGGAGAAGCTATGAAATGACAGAAGACTGAGAGGTTCTCGTGGTCGAGACGATCTTCGATGCTGTTATCTAACCGATGATTACTGTAGCGTTCCAGCTCGACATCTTGGCCATTTCGAGAACACCCGCGAGCAAGAAGTGAGGTAGACTGTGAGAGACGAGAGACAGCTGACTTGTCAACTTGACAGCTGTCATACGTCTGAGGTAGTGATGATTTGACGTTGAGTTGTGGCATGTCACTTCCCATCTTGGACCAAGAAAGAATGGAATGGGGACGGCAGATTGTCAGAGTACTGCAATATGGACTAATAGTTTCCGGAAAGAGGAGCGCCGCCGCCGACGACGCCGACAAGGAATTGGAGGAAAGGCATGCCACATATTACTGGTTGCATCGAGCTGAATCTGTCGAGGCAATTATTTTAGAGTCATGCAGGTTTACAGTAACATATACCGTCCTTACTTACCACGAGAGAGACTAGAAATGCTGGTTATAACATCGTTATCTTGAGATGTAAAGCAAAGGATGCGCACATACTTACTAATGGTTGCTGACAGTGCCTTCTCAGTGTGTTAGCGCCCGTATTGGAACTTCTTTCCTCTAAATACTGCTACCTGGTCAACGTTCAACCCGTCACGCGTCATGTCTTTACCATACTTCGAGTGTTTTATTCTTTGCTGTTTCAAAGAACCCGACGTTGTCGTAGCATTACGAAAGCCACTGGAGCCTGCCAGCAGGGATGTATGGAGGAAACACTGCCAAAGCTGAAGCGTTGTGACTCTGGCCGTTGCTATCTCCGGGCTACAAGGCAGCTGTGAGGTCATCGGAAGTATCGTTGACTCATTTGCGCCCGCCCACGGTGGAGAAACTGACTCCCGATGTACTGTTCTGGGACGGATAACGCACGGCCAGTCTCCCAAGGCAGTGTAGAACAAAATTCAATCTTCGTGCCTCGGGATTTCTTTGTCTGACGGCACGGCCTTCCTCGAAATTGCATACCGCCTCGCTATAGACGAAGATTGGATCCTTCTATACCGACTTCGCAGAGTGAGGTGCTGTGGTGGTAACTTTAATGGATTGATCGAAACGAGTCAAAATCGGAGGTTGTGTGCTCTTGGACCATGTGTGGTCATGAAATTGACTTTCGGTTTCGGTGCCGCTCTAGTGAATTACACAGCTTTTGAAACCTGATAAATATCCCGTATGAGTCTCTGACCTCTCTACTCACTCTTGGGCCTTCATGGACCCAGTTGAACTCCTTCAAAAAACTCTTTCTGTCTTCTCCGACGTTGCTCAGGGCGACAATTCTACCATGGCCACGGCCACTAATGCAACAAACTCTCCCTCTTCTACCAACGCCACACCCGGTCTATCTGGATTGCTCACTATGTTGCTCTCATTTTCTGCACTTACAGACTGGTTGAAGCTGTTTGTAATTGGCGGCGCCGTTGAGAGCTGTCGACGCCTCCTCTTTAGTTTGTGGCGTTCTTTCACGCAGTCCTTCTGGATTACTGCTACCTTTGACTGCGATGACCTGAGCTTCAGTAAGTGTACTTGAAGATGTGAAAATGTCGACTAACTCAATCACCTGCGTATAGATTGGATCATGTTCTGGCTGTCCAAACATCCAAAGTGGGGTGAGTGATACCTTAAAGCCTATCGATGTCGTTATTCACATGGTTTCGTTGTAACAGGCAAGGCACGAACCCTGGAAGTTAGCACTCGCTCTTTCGGATTGAGCTCTGCCGCTGTGACTGTTGATGGAGAAGGGGATTGCGACAGCAACAGGAAACTCTCCTACCTGCCTTCTGTCTCGGAATCCTATTCTCTGTGGCACAAACATCGCTATATGACTGTCATAAGAGAAAAGAGTCAAGACGGATTTTATCGCACAGTGGAAACCTTGCAGATCAAGTAAGTTTTATATCCGCGCGACTTTCTTTGATCGGTTATTGAGCTATTATTCTTATAGAATCCTTGCGAGAGATCATAGAGTCCTGACTGACCTCCTCTTGGAGGCAAAAATGGCATATCAGGCTGCTCAAGAGCATCTTATATCTGTCTATGTCTCCGACGCGTGAGTACTTTAATTGAGAGGTGAATTCTTCCCATCTGATCGTTGTTCAGTTGCAACTCCTGGAGGATGGTTGCCACACGTCCCAAGCGGCCACTAAAGTCTATTGTCCTTGACCCTGGCCTGAAGGATTTACTCTTGGAAGATGCTCGTGACTTCTTGGCCAGTAAGTCTTGGTACTCTGAACGTGGCATTCCATTCCGCAGGGGTTATCTCCTCGTGAGTTATCATCTAATGCCAAGTTCTCTCATATGCTGATGATTTCATCGTGTGCAGTACGGTGCTCCGGGCTCTGGCAAAACTTCTATCATACAAAGTATCGCAGGAGAACTTGGCTTGGACGTCTACGTCATCTCACTTTCTCGTATGGGTCTTGACGACACTGGTCTCAGCGAGTTAATCTCTGAACTTCCGGAGAAGTGCATTGCGCTGATGGAGGATATCGATGCGGCCTTTCATCGTGGAATCACTCGTGACATGGACGAGAACCCCAATAAACCAAAGAAGCCTCAAGACGAGCGTGAGAAGGAAAAGGACGAAGACAAGAGTTCTCGCATCACCCTCAGCGGTCTACTCAATGCGCTTGATGGTGTTGGTGCTCAAGAGGGTCGTATCCTCTTCGCCACCACTAATCGGTACAATGCACTTGATCCTGCCCTTTGTCGCCCAGGGCGCATGGATCTCCACATCGAATTCAAGCTCGCTAGCAAATATCAAGCCGAAGAGCTCTTCAAGTGCTTCTACATGCCCTCCGATACCCCTATTCCTGAATCCTCTGAGAAGGTCGTGGAAAAACCCGAGCAGGACGTTGACTCCGCGTACGCTTCTGGTTCATCGTCTCCTGCCACCTCTGAGGTCAGAGATCTCATCGACCTTGATTGTCCGTCATCGCCGCCATCTACCGTTGCAACTTTTTCCTCCTCATCACATACCCTGACAGGCCAGACTCATCGTCTTCGAGGGCCCAAACTGTCTGCAAGCCATGTCTCTGCATTGGCTGCTTCCTTCGCCGCTGCCATTCCGGATCGCGAGGTGTCAATGGCTAGTCTACAAGGCTATCTCATGATGTACAAGACTCGGCCCGTGGAGGCTGCTCATGAAGCGCCTGCTTGGGTGGATAGACAGCGAGAGGAACGGCTGCAGAAGACCAACCCTACTCCTGGAGATACTTCTACTTCCTAGCAGGTGGTGAATATTGGTGCGCTCGTGGACGTTTGAATAGATTTTGTAGCCATAGTCATAATGCTTTCTTACATTGCTGTCGATATACCCTTACCTTTGCAAACATTTCGTAACGCATATGTATATATAAATATTCACAAACGACGAAACGTGGTCGCGAAGTATGCAGTAATTGCATTGCCATTCCCAATCATGTGCATCGTGGGTACCAAACGTCAACGATTAGATCGCTGTCAACCTCTGACCTTTTTTACCGAAAGCCGTAACGATGGGCAACTTCAGAGCGTCAGGCTTTCCGGCCTCTATGATGTACTTGTTCGAACGCGACGCTGGCATGGTGAGTGGCCGGGAAAGCAGAAAAGGAATTTGCACGCACCCAATACTAGAAGATACGCAACCATTCCCTAGTTTACTGTACTAAGTAATATGTCAGTTATTCTCTCTCAGATTACCTCTATTGTATTGTTTCTCCGTTTCAGCCCTATTGTGCCTCAAAAAGGGCGAAATCCGCAAAGGACAACACTTGCCTATTTCGTCAATGATCAGTGACACAAGGAACTCATACGCGCGATCTTTCTCCGCTGCTGCCACTGCAGCCATCCAATTTCTTGCATATACCCCAAGGATCCGGCGGTGAGCTTGATATTTTAACATGCTGACTTCTTTCTAACAAAAAATGGTTGTTATTTGACAAGATATTATTCGCCTTCTTAGATCTCTGACGATCGGGACCAAATAACATGGAGGACTCGGATTTGAAAGGACTCTTGAGCCTGCCAAATGAGATTTTGCTGAGTATACTGGGCTCTCTGAATCTCACTGATTTACTGAAATGTCGTCTGGTAAGGACTGACAATTTTTTTTCCAATCTATTCTTTCTGAACATCGATCCGCACCATTAGATATCCTCGCGCTTTGACTCGGTCATACGATCTGATGCATCATTCCAGTATGCTATTGAGCTGCGGGGTGCAGGTTACGAAGAGATCCGTGCATCTGGTCGAGATCTGTCAGAACGAATGGCGACCCTACGAGGTAAAGAAGACAAATGGAAGAACCCCAACCTACACGTTGCCGGTCATGTTGACAGTCCGACGGCTGTAACTATCCCTTCTAACAACATCTTTCATCGGGTAACGATTGTCAACGGTGCCATGGTAACTTTAGGATACCATACGGCGACCGATCCCCAATGCGGCAAAGCTTTGGAACTGCTGGACTTCGAGATTTTGGCTACCACATGTACAGTTGTGCCAAAAGTGCTGCGGTTCGACTTCCCCTTCATGACATTTCATATCGATCCTATCGAAGATCTTCTGGTTCTCGCTGCACCCGATCCGTATGTTATTCCCCCGTTAGAATGAAACGATGCTGATAATATAGGAAAGGGGTGCACATTTCCCTAATAAATTTTATTTCAGGTCTCTGAACACAGGAAAACCACATCCACGTACACGGCAACCTGAAATCGAGATTCCGCTACTCCCCTTTGCAGTTACATTTGATGATCTCCTCGGCGGTATCAAAACCTTTGGTGATCTCCTTGCGATCCGTGTACGGACTTCAACTTTGGGGTCTCAACACGGTACATATCATCTTTACCATTGGCCTTCTGGTCGCCTTATAAGAGTACGTAGGTATTCTCATCGCATAATATACCTCACCCAACCTGGTCACAGACATGGAGCGAGTCGCCTCTTTCGGACACGTTTCAGGCAGGAATCATTCTTGTGAATGATGGATATGTTCTACTCCTAGTGTCACAATTCCAACCTGTGGCTCTGCAAATGGTTGAAGTTTACGCTACGCGACCTTCGTCCAACGGTGGATTCTTCAACATCGATCTCGTGGCAAAGTTCATCTTGCCACCGTTGACCCACCACGGCTTGTATTTGTTACAAGGCGAATCCGTGGGTTTCTCCGGAATGTCTTCCACAGTGAAGCCAATTCCACATATCTTGGTCCATCTCACAATAGATTTCCGTCTACGGATGTTCACACCTTTGTCAACCTTCCTCAATTCACAGGTCAGAAGCCATCCCGTCGGCGCATCACCTCGCATTTTCCTATGGTCAGAGTGGGGCCCCAAGAACACCAGGTTCGTACCATACGAATTGAGGTCGCCACCTCCGGTCGTAATCGGGTTGCGAGTCATTTTATCCGGATCATCTGATTGGTACACCATCTGGGATTTCTCCCCACGTAGACGACAAGAACATATATCTGGGCCCGGGAGTAAACGCCTAGCGTTTTCGGTTCATATGCCTTCAGACGTCGTGGAAGCGTCAGAGACTCTCGCATTTGCCGAGGATGTGGAAGCGACCTTACCGTGCCTTGTCGATGCCATAAAACTTCCTGCAAGCAGGCTGAGTGTCAACGCTGGAGCCTACTATATCTGGGTTGATACGATGGATGGGCCGAAGGTGAGTTGTACTGTTGGGCATGGCCATTGACGTTGAGAATGCTATTCACTTCTGGTATTGTAGGTCCTGAAGATGGAGTACGAGGAGGGTATCAGGAGATTTGATGTCATATCTTTCTGATACTCCTTTTATCCTTAAATTAAGGGGATTCGATCATACTTGCTTTCCAATCTGCTTTCATTCGCTTGGTTCTCACTGATCATAATCGCAATTGTCTTCTACATACAACTTTTCTGAACACCTAGCAACGCTTCAATCGACAAGATCATTTATCACAGAGATGACGAATATATTGTACACTTCCTTTGCTACTTGCTTTCTATCTATGGGATTTCATTATGTTTGTTTTCCTATTAAGTGTTACATCCTCTCCAAATGAAGCGAATGCAGAAGAATTGTCCCTTATTCAAATCGTAAATGCCACAGTAACAAGACTCTGGAGCCATTTAAGTGATGACGGTAGGCTTGTCACGACCAAGGAACTCCTTCAGCTTGCTGAGCTCAAGAGCGACCTCAATGAGACCCTTCAAACCCGCCTGAGTTTCCTTCGCGAGCTCCTCGGCGCCCTTCTCTTTCGCGACATACCTCTCCACATACATACGAACGGTAGCACCCTGGCTACCGGTTCCACTCAACCGGAAGACGACCCTGGAGCCATCAGTGAAGTGAATGACCTGACCTTGATTCTTCGATACGCTGCCATCGATGGGGTCGGTGTAGTCGAAGTTGTACGTCTGACTGACAGTGAAGGATTGTTTTGTGGAGGCGGAGGTATGGGTGGTGTTGAGAAGAGATTGGGAGGAAATGTGCTTGTTGAGCTCATCGACGAGCTTTTGGGCACCCTCTGAAGAAACTTCCTCGTAGTCGTAACGAGAGAAGAAGGATCGACCGTAAACCTCATAGTGCTTCTGGAGCAACTCCTTGATGCCGATAAGGGAGGAAGAGTCCTTGTTGGCGAAGGCAAGAATATTCAACCATGCTACAAGTCGTGTTAGAATGACGGGACAGACCGCTTGACGGACATGGTGCACATACCAACAACAGCCCATACGCCGTCCTTCTCCCGAATATGATCAGAACCAGTTCCGAAAGACTCCTCGCCGCAGATCGACAGTTTACCAGCATCCATAAGGTTGCCGAAGAACTTCCAGCCTATCATGATACTGTTAGCTTCTGTCGAACGTTCGTTGACAGGCAACGTTCCATACCTGTGGGAACCACGTAGTACTGAAGACCCTTCTTCTTTGCGACATAGTCGATCTGCGCGCTGGTGGGCATACTCCTTGCAAGCCCCTTAATGCCGCTCTTGAAGTAAGGAATGGCGTCCTGCGCCCAATCAGCGATAATGGCCACGCTATCACTGGGGGTGACGAAGGCACCCTTGCCGTAGATCATGTTACGATCACCATCACCGTCACTAGCAGCACCAAACGCAATGCTGTCCTTCTCGACACGGTCAACGAGTTCGTGAGCGTAGGTCAGGTTAGGATCAGGATGTCCTCCACCAAAGTCCGGAAGAGGCGTGTCGTTCTGCACGGAGCTCGAAGGAAGTCCGAGGGTGTCAACGAAGATAGCACGGCCGTAAGGACCGGTGACACCGTGCATACCGTCGAAGAGCACCTTGAAGTCCGACGAGTGCTTCTGAAGGAATGTCTTAATCAATGGGAAATCGAAAATGCCCTCAAGGAGCTCGACATAGTCCTTCACGGAATCGATGATCTCGACCTTTGAAGGACCGAATTCGAAATTGCCGATCTTGGAGAGGTCAATGGGAGGGAGGTCGATAACCTTGTACGACTTGATAGTCTTGGTCTTCTCGAAGATCTTGTTAGTGACATTCTCGGGTGCAGGTCCACCATTGGAGACATTGTATTTGATACCGAAGTCGTTGTCAGGACCTCCGGGGTTGTGTGAGGCAGTAAGCAGAATTCCGCCGTACGCCTTATATTTACGGATGACATTTGAGGCGGCGGGGGTGGAAAGGATAGCGTTGTGTCCAATGATGAATTTAGCAACACCGTTGGCGGCCCCGATCCTCAAGATTGTCTGGACAGTCTCTGGCGAGAAATAACGGCCATCACCGCCGATAACGAGGGTAGCACCCTTCGGTTCAATGGAGTCGAAGATAGATTGAACGAAGTTCTCGGTGTAGTGCTATATGAAACGCATGAGTACAAGCCAGCACGATTGAATCAGATCAGGAGACACATACCTCCTGCTGGAAGACCTTCACTCTAACATTGCATCGTTAGTTCATATTCCCTAATATATGCACCTCGATATGCACGATGGAACATGCCACGTCTACATCGACGCCGTCGACGCGTCGTGAATGAACAACGACGCTCACCTCTTTCGTAGTCCAGAGGTACCAGGCTTCTGGCCATCGTACGGCTTTGTTGGTATCTCCTTGACTTCAAAGGTCATCTTGGTAGTATAGCAGGTATTGTTGGGCGGATGATGAGGTGGTTGAGGGTGACAACGAGCTCGAGGCAGCTTCGCTTCGGTTTAAATATTCACCTCGAGACCTTGGTGGCTGAAATCTCGCCTAGATCTACATGACGCATAATCACCTTATCCGGCAACCCTCCCACGTGGCACAGCAACATTCACAATGGTTGAAGAAATATTTCATCGATCGGCGTAGCACTACAAGTCTACAACTTTACTGTAAGTTATAAGGCTATATGTCTGGCAACGGAAATGCAGAAAGCATCGTATGAAGCAGTATCCTCATTTTTACTTGTGCAGGACTGGTGGACAAATGAAACGCAATGCAGTGCACCGCTGCCTTCTTATCAACGAGATTCTAGAGAGAATCGCCGACTACACGACGGGCATACTAGGGCAAGAAAAGGTCACCGTTCAGAGTCTTGCATTGTCTTGTCGGGCATTCTCTTCCCCTAGTCTCGATGTTTTGTGGCGAAACCTCCACGGTATCTACCCTTTGCAACGTGTTCTTCAACTCCGAAGTCATCTGGAGGATGAATCTGCGTCTGACATTGACAACAAAGTAGGGGGTGACTGTTTTATAGCGAGTTTTCTACTAATGGAGAGCTCGCGAACAGGCCATAACAAGGGTACCAGGCCCCGATGATTGGAGACGATTTTACAAGTACGCAAATCGCGTCAGGCATTTGACGCATTTGCTGCTCGACCCGGTTGACGCGGTCACGCTACAGTGCTGGAGCATTCACAAACCTCATCGTCATCTTCTTCCTAACATTCAAGGACTTGTATGGGTGGATCCGCGGACAGAATATTCCCTTTTCCCATCGCTCTTCATCGGCCCATCGTTAACAGATGTTACGGTTCATGTAGTATCCGACGGGGAGGCCTTGCATCTATGGGACACCTTGCGATATTCAGCGCCTCGACTTCGAAAAGTCTTCGTACACTTAGCCGATTTCGACACGTCCCCCATTTCACTAAATGCGTACCACCAGGCAATACGCTCATGGTCGAACCTTACCCAGCTTGAGTTGCTCGAAAATCCTAGGGTGTTTCCTCTACAGACCGAGGCTATTGTATACCTCTCTCAACTACCAAGTCTTGACACGCTGGAGATATCACTGGCAGACGACTTCGACCTCTCCATACTATCGGAAGGCATGCCGAATGCGTTCTTCAGCTCCATATCGACCCTAGCCCTCGAGATTCCAAACTTCGGTGTGCTACGTGCTGTGGGTGTCATTCTAGAAAAGATGCCCTCACAAAAGCTTAGACACCATCGCATTATGCTGGTAGAGCAACCCACAGCAGCTGAAATAGGGAGATATCTGCAAGCCGTTGCACGCCATATTCACCTAGTATCCTTTTCATTATCTCATGATGAGGACATGACGTTCAAAATGAGTGCAGATTACGAGCTTAAGGGGGAAATATTGGCGCCACTATTTGGTCTTCATTTGCTTGAAAATTTCGAAGTGTCCACATTTCCCATCCGATTTTCGAGGGAAACCCTTATTAAAATGGCCGAATCCTGGCCAAACATCATCGACTTTCATTGTCCTACCGACGACGTGGACCATGGTCACATTCCCGAAATTTCTCTCGCAGACTTGGAGATCCTCGCAACCAAATGCCCTAAATTGTCAACCCTTGCCTTGCCACTCGACATGACCCCACCTCCACCCGAAACTCTTCCTTCGCGGCGACCGATCAGAGATCGTTGCACCAGTCTCAATAAGACTCTGATGTTGTACATAGGGAAGTCCATCGTGCGAAACCCGCTTGATGTGGCTGCGTTCTTGACAAGTTTGTTTCCGCACGTCAGGGTTTGGGATAAGCAAGGACGTTGGGATCCGGCGAGATCGGACGGACTGGCGCAGCTAAATTCAGCCATTTCAGCGTTCAAATTTGTTCGAGAACAAGAACGACTTGCGGCATAGATTGAGTGTCCGTTGGAGGAGGGTATAGGTATTGCTTTGACGGGGACAGCCAGCCTCAGTCATCGTGGTTCTACTAGGAATTATTTTTTTTCCTAGGGGAATGGATGTAGATTTGCCCACTCATGCAGGTCGGGGTAAAGCTACGACCCAGGCGAACGAGGAGCCTCAGGTTCGACATCTTCGGTCGCTACAATACACATCAGAATAGACCGAGACGTTAAGCAACTCGAGAGCATTCGTGACTATTCGCCGAACATCTAGATAAGGTCTTCTAGGGCTTTCCAGCCCATACCTCAGATAAAAACTCCTCGACGCCCGTGAATTTATACGACGGAAGGAGCTTATCCCAATCGTCAGTTCGGATGGTGTAAGCACCCTTCGTGATTCCAATAAGAATGCCTTTCAACGCTACCTTCGAGAAGGACTCGACTTCTTCCTTTGGTATAGATGGATGCCCGACCACAGGGAACCAAGACGTGTTGATATTTCCTGTTTCGAGGTCCTCCAACTTGATCGTCTCGACTGAAAATGGTTGCCCTGTGGAAGCGCATCAACAGGTATTATAAGGGGACCGACGTGGAGTGGAACTGAACAGACCTCTGATTTTCTCTCCCAAGACCAGGATCTGTCCAATTGTAAGGTAGTTGCCACGGATGCCCCCGACCAAAGGCCATTCGCCTTCGAAGTCTATGGCCTCAGCGACTACATTTGCGAGATCCTCAGCTTTGGTAAAGGTCAAGCCATCGATATCGTTGCGACCTTCCACTACGATAGCACGGCGATTCTGGAAGTCGAAAGGAAGCGAGAGGGGGGTAATATGTTTAGCCGTCTTGTGAGGAAACGCAAGGTAATCTGAAAAGAGGCCACATTGGAACAAGCAGTATTCCAGGACCTACACGAAAGGATGCTCAATGTGACGGCACAGAATTAAAACGAAGAACCCAATGTACCTTCTTCTCTCCGTTCACTTCTCGAAGATGTTCTCGGACAGTCTCTTTCTCTGTGTACCAAGGTATCGCCGTGACATTGGACCTATATTTGATTAGCAACGATTCCAATCTGCGATGCTATTAACGACTTACGATCCCCACTCGCTGGGAGCAAACCTCTTTACACCTGCTTCAATAGATGCATCAATGAGATTCTTTTGTGAGACGCTCCCGCGGTCACGGTCCACCACGACGAAGGAAAGTACAGTATGGACCCCGCGCAATGCATTGGTCAGTGAGGCCTTGTCCTTGTAGTCGACCTTGACATAGGTGATATCAGGGTGGACTATAGCGTCAGGAGGAGTATCCTAAATCCAGGTCAGCATAATACTGTTTGACGGCACAGAAGACATATACCTTGCGAGTGAGAATTACCAAGTGATGTTTCTTCTTGGAGAGAAGAACTTCCACTATCTCGCTCGCAACGTCTACAACGGATGGTTCGTTTAACAGGAGGTAGTCATAACAGTCAAATGGCTTAGTTACTTCCTGTGCCGCCCGCGATTGCGATCTTGACCATGATGCCTTATCCGACCTTTGCACAACTGACTCAAATCTCGACCCGGGGTGATTTAAGTAACAACATGAATAGATTAGTAATGCCCTGCCCCGGCTACCGGGATATAAACTCGAAGAGTTCTTTGTGAACTGTCAGCGTTGGAAAACTTGGTCAGAAGTAAAACCTCAGAACGTTAGTCATGCTGAAATAAGCGGCCCTACTCATGGGACCCCCGAAGAAACAAACGTACAGATGACAAATGCGCAGACTGATCAAGGCACTGCATCGAGCTGCGGTCTCGATAACGAAATGTCACAAGGATATTGACTTGATTCAAATGAGTGCAAAACGCTCACTAGAAAGCTGTTAGCAGTTGATAGTAGAGTGAAAGACGCCGTTCGTTAGCATCAGCGCTAGCGTTGGATAAGTTAATTTATTCTCTTCGATTTACCTTATTGACGTTAAATTGCCAAATTGCCAGTATCTAGAAAGACGTGGCACAAGCTCTCTTGCGAAGTCAATGCGACACATTTTTTGCGTGAGCAGCTCTCAATGCATGTTATTCCCCTTATTTACTTACCAGGGACAAGATGTGACTTGATCTCAATCAATATTGAGATTTTATTCCCAGTCGACACGCATCTAGCCTTTGTGATTGGTCTTCTATGGGCCTAGCGGAAGGGTACGAAAGACCGTGCAAGTCTGCTTCTGCTGAGACAGATTACGTACGTGCTGTTCACAATGGTTGCCCTCTTCCCTTAATGCTTGTTCATTCACCGCATAAACAGGCACGCGCCCGATAATTACACCATAATCAATGGAATTCTTGTATGAATCAATATAGATTTTTATACCAGGTAGATGCTAGCCTTCATGTTCTTCTCGAGTTTCATCTGCCATTCCATTATGTAGGAATCATTCTAAGGCGCCGCATGTCTGTGCAAGCTACGTCAATCACCGACAACATCGGAGCGTGTATGTACATTGCCCTTCATTCAAATATCGCTGATGGTCTCGAATCGGAGCCTTCCGCTGCCTCTCTTGTGAGTTGAAAATAGCATTTCCCCAACCGCCTCCACGTGATCTTCCTCCTACAGTGTGGACCTTCAATCACTGCTGTGGCACTACGTCTGTTCACCTAGTCTCTCATACCTCTATCACTCCTATTGGTTCCCTTCTTACGTGCTCCGGAGTGTCGTCCTGCAAAATTGGAGCAAAATTATCACAGGTGGTCGCGGTTGACCAATGACTACATATACATGTCACGCATCTCATGCTATTAGGTTCAATCAACTCACCTGTAGTATGCGATACATGCCATTAGGCCCCGTTCGGTACCAGGATCCAGCCGAATTCTTGCAGCCAAAGCGGCCTAGGCTATTTCCATTCACAAATGAGTGCGCTGCTCAGGTGATGCGCCCTGGCATACTTCGTAACAAGAAATTACGTTTGTTTTCTTGCAATGGAAATTCAGTTGCATGCAGTGCGTTTTCGCCGACGGTCTCTTTGCAAGATGACATCTTTCCTCTTTGCCGCTATTCGCGGAATCATAGACTGTACTAAACCAGAATTACAGCGCAGAGGATATTGAGGTCCATTCTCAGCGAAGGTGACATTTACTTGGGATCATAGCAGTCACAATGGTACAAGCACCCCTGCTCCATGAATGTAGAAACCCTGTTCGTAAGTGCAATGCCTTCGGAGATCAAGGTTCGTATGTTGGGTATTTTCAATATCATTACGCTATTAGCTGTGATATTGCTGCGATCTGTTGGTAAAGCACTGCCTTGAACTAACGCACGTCAATTATGTGAAAGGCTGTCTATGACCCAGCCTGTGATAAATTGTGGCCAGTTGTACCTGCTTCTAGCACTATAAATACTGACACCGACCAGACAGGGCGCCCTTACGATAATATCTCGAAATGTCTGGGAAGGTAGACTCAAAGCAACCGCCTCCAGCATACATTGCCACCGCCGACGCCGGAAACTCGCAGAGCGACTCCCCACCTCCCTCATATTCTGCACCGAAGTCCTACAAGATTGGCTCACACACTCTGGGATCACCACTGGTCGACGTCGACCAACTGAAGGCGCATCTCGCATTATTGCATGCGTTCAAGCTGCTAAGGACTGACATTCAAAGCAAGTCTGCTGAAGAACTGAAACTACCTCGTGTTGTGAACCTATTGGACGAGAACAAGCGATGGGCATGGTTTGTTGGTTTAGCCGTGGAGAGGTTAGTGATCACACTCGCCGTTATTACAATTCGACTAACTCATTGGCGATGTTGAAGATTCCAACGGTGGGTCAAAACGGTCAAGTACACATCAGAGATTTCAGAATGGATCGAGCAAGAACTTCCTCCATTGGATGTCTTGATGGTCTGGCACGCATACTTATTGAATCCTATGTACGTGAAACAGATGTCAAAAACTTTCGCCGTGTCTCATTTGACTATGACGATAGTTGGTATCACGAAGATTGCAAGCGTCTTCCCGCATTAAAGGTCCTTAGTGACCTCAAGGATCGTCTTCTTACTGCGGTTGTAAGTACCTACTTGCTCGGCCCTTGTTGACGATACTAAACGTTTATTAGGTACGCATTGGTGACATCAGATCCCATGTACCATCGGCTGAACGAACCTCCAGCTGGCATAAGCAGACAGGGACATATTTTGATCCTCTGGAGTCTACTTCACACATGTCCCATCGTGACGTGGAATGCCCGTATTGTTGGAAGCTCATTAAAACCCGTATGCCGTCATCTGCGCATATTTAGCATTCCATTAACGTCCACATTCCAGCATTGATCACTGATAAAGATACGGGTTACTTACAAACCAAATTTGCAATTACCTGTTCATCCTGCCGGAAGCATATTACGAAGGAAATTCTTGCGATAAGCAAATTCGCCCAGGACCTTGTGATGGTAGTCGATCCTGAAGGAGCGCCGTTCAAGCATGGCAAGCAGGGATATCTAGCGTGAGTCTAGCGAACCAACCGTATGTTTCTGAGTAACAATCATACACTCGTGCCTTCCAGTGGGAGCGTCTCCACCGCAGCAGATCCATTCAATGCCAAGGCTGCGGTTCTCGTGAAGAACGCATTGCTAAATAATAAAGTGTTGTTTCCAAAGCCTATGCCGGTATGTCGATGCTCTAGAGTGAATATATCATCCATCGTCTAGACGAGATCTGCAGGCCTCAATACATTGGCACGAGATGCGCACTAAGATCCTCAAACGGACTGATAGTTCTATATCAATCCTACACCGTGAAGTCACCGCTTGCATCCGGCTTCCACGGAGGTGCGTGTCATTTCACTCGGTATTCCGCCTTTGTTTACCCCGTATCGTTTCGATGTAATTAGGCGTAATCGAATTCTCAGCGCATACATCGATGATCTGCCTTTCTCCATAGAATTGGTATCTGCTGTTCTCCGCCAGGGGTCTTTCATCGACAAGATGCATGACTTTGCCTGGACCGAGCCTGGCTACTTTGACGATGCTGTGGACGAAGTAGTCCTTGTTCACGCCATCGCACGTTATCACGCGTAAGAATCTCTCACTATCGTCCCCAGAATGTCAAGTTCTCTGAGTATTACTCTCATAGTTTCTTGGACCTGATGAGCTCTTCCCCAACTGCTTTGTTCGTGCCAACGTTAGACATCGACCTCGCTTGGCACACGCACCAAATGATGGGAGGCAATTACAGTGACCAGTGTGTAACGTACATCCGGAAACTTGTAGACCAGTCAGTTCATATGAATATCTTGATATTTTCGGGTCGTGCTAATGCGTATTCACAGTGACGACAAGATCGAGGAGAACTATCTCGCGAACGCCTTTGACATTACATGTAGGGCATGGCAGGTGCGCGTCCCAAACATCGTGTTCAACATGTTCAGAGGCTCAGGTTACTACGCTATAGGAACGATTTAAAATTCCATATATGCATTGCGGTTGTCCTCTGCCAGGTGACACAATCGGGCAAAAACTCACCAGGCTTACCAACCGGCTCAGCATATCTCGTTTGAGTGATCCAACTGGAACCTCCCTACATCCTCCTAATCATACGGACGCGCTCTCTGCGACGCATCCCAGTGAGCACAACTCGGTTGAGCTGAACAGCCCTTCAGCAACTGCCGCTCGTAAGGCTCGCCTGCAGAAGTTGAAACAACGACGAGAACGAGACGCGAAGAAGGTCGAACAAGGGAAGATGGACAAGGAGGCTTACGATCGAGGGTCGGCTCATGATGCCGCATTTTTGTACCCCGTACCATTCTACTACCCTCCAGTAATTGGTTGCGCAGCATTTTCACCAGGTGTTGGAAATGCGGGAGTTGGAAGTGCTTGTGCAGTGGTGAGTCTTATCTGGTATCGACCTTCATCTAGTGTTGATTCATCTGCAGGGGGCCGGCGCGTGCAGCGGAGGGGGTTGTTCAAGTGGTGGATGTGGCGCCGCTGCAGGCGGAGGCGGTTGTGGAGGTGGAGGTGGAGGTGGATGCGGAGGTGGAGGTGGTGGCGGAGGTTGTGGAGGAGGAGGAGGTGGTGGTGGCTGAGCATAGTGCTCGTTCTTTTTTGTTATTATCTTCGTGAAGAAACCGTGTTTCATTATGCCTAGAAATTGCGCGCTAAATTCGACTGTTGAGGCATAATACTGCGAGTTTTTCCATTGAAGTAACCGCCAACGACGATACCTACCAAATATGGCTCGACATTGAAGACCTCAAAAACAAATGCTCTTACAGTAAAACTCACCATCTACCACCTGCGGCAGTGGCTGCCTGCAGCTGATGGCTAATAAGTCTGTATGACATGCAACATGGGCCGCGACTTCTGCCTTGCAAATGACTGCATAACTAAAGACTACGAAATTCGGCGTCGCTCTCGATTGAGAGGGAAAGTCGGCCCGTCCGAAGCGAACCCACAGTCTCCCACAGGCAGTGTAGCGACATGGATCCCAGGAATACTTTTCATGTAGCGGATTGGAGCTAGGTTCTCTCCCTCGCTAAGTAGATAGAATAGAGAACAGTAGGTTCGCTTCTATTCTCTAGGATACTCTCGGAAGACAATCGTTCCCGTCACATATACGCCGCAGTAGGTTAGTACCAATTACTTGATGTGACTACGCATATCCTGACCGAACTGAATTAGAATTCCATTCAGACCGCATATTCTTCATTTGTTGCCCCGCAACAACGCGGCCGATTTTGACAGAGTACTGCTTTACACCTGAGCAACTCGACGCGCCACGATGGGGAGCGAGAGGGATTCAGGTCGTAGCCTCCTGACGAGACTTCCAATCGAGTTGCTGGTGCAAATACTCAGCATTCTGGACGGTGCCGAGATAGTAAGATGTAAAAAGGTGACTTAGAGTCGACCCGTCGCTGCTACTCCCACTACTGACCCGACGACAATGGCAGATCTCCAGATACTTCAAATCCATTGTAGACGATAATGTGCTGTTGCAGTACATAGTCGAACTTGATGCCGCCGGATATTACGACATCCGAAAGCCAGACGTATCGCTGGTTGATCGTTTGAAAGCGTTTCGCAACTCACAGCGGGCGTGGAGAGATCCCAGACCGAAATGTATAATAGCCGGTATGCGCACGGAGATTCCATCGTACGCCAGGATGGTGGAGATCTCTTACAGGCATAGCTATTCTATCAATTACAGCATGCGTAACAGAAGTACCTCCGACTGCGAAACTGCTGTGGGGATAGTGGATACCCGACCTGTCTTGGAGTTTTCCCATCCAAAGTTCACCCGTGAACCATTGACCGTTCCCACACATGAAGGCTTGCGATTGTCGCCGGATATGGATCTCATGGTGGCTATCCAGCGTGATAGGTGCGTTTCATAGCAGTTCAGTTGGAGTTTAATTGTTGATGCTCTTCATTGCAGATTCCTCTTTCTAACGTTAGAGGGGAAACCGCATCCTCTTGCGGCGCGTCCGAATTTCCAGTCTGACACAACCATATACAGTCCGCGTGGTTGGGTTGATGCAGCCGGAAGTTTCGTTGTACTTGTGCAGTCGGACTGCCTCGGTCTTTCCGTGTATGACTGGATATCCGGAGACGTGTGGGGGTGAGGACAATTCCATCACTATACATCCAACCCGCGACTGATGAATGTATGTTAGCCTATAGTATTGTCGTATCAATTCGCAGGCGTGGTTGTCACTAGAGAAGGTTATCTTTTGATAGCCACTCACGCGCCCGAGCATAACTCAGCTGCACTTCATCTCGTTATCTTGCGGAAAGAAGCCAGCCTGACCAGGTCCCCCTTTAGTATCATAGCGACACCTTCCTTGGACCTCGGTTTGCCGGGCTTGTTCCCGTAATCGGCTTTTACTTGGGTGACGGGTGTGAGGCTACGCATACCTGCTTTGCGACTTCCTCATCCAGTCTAGTCGGATTGAGTCTGAATTATGCCTCTTTCTTCATGCGTCTCAGCAGCCTTCTTTCCATGCTCGACAGGGATACTACATCGATCCAGGTCTTTCCATGGGAAGCGTGGGGTCCACGACACACCCGTGCATTCACAAACCATCTAGTCCATGATTATGCATCGGTGTATGGTAATCGGGTCGTGGCCTTCAAACTTGGGAAAATCTTTGACTTTAATCCCTTGGATATTGCAACGCATTGCTATGGACCGACAGAGTCTGACGATCGCCGTACGCGGAATGAAGCAATTACGACATCCACTGTCTTCCCGCTAGAACACCCCACGGGTTTTTGGACGACGTCGTCACGTCCCTGCCGTACCGTGAAACTTCTCTAGCCGGCTTCGGGGCTGAAAATTTAAACGCGCTATCTGAAATTGTCCGATACCAGGATGGACCAAAGGTAAGCTGGAGCTCGGGACTCGGTCTTCAGCAGCATGAAGCCTTACGAACCATTTCGCTAGCTGATATACGGGACGAGCAACCCAAGCGGTACAGAACTGGTTCATTATGTGTGGACGCTGTGTTGACAAGAAGCCGGCAGGACCACATTTGGCGGCAGGTGAATGTAAGGATGTACTATAATTCATTATTCGACATATTATGCTATTATACCCAATCTCGCCACATCCCCAAGCACGACATTATCAATCAACCTAGTCCTCCCAACCCACATCGCTCCACTCAGAATCACTGGTCTATTATGTCCCTCTAGTTCCCATGCTGATCTAGTCTCCTCCCCGGGAACAACCTCGAAAGTTTCTGGGTCGTTCATCTCGAGATAATCTAGTCGCATGTCGATCCTTGTTTCTAAAGACGACAGTTCTTGCGCTTTACGCTCAACCAAATTATAAGCATTGGCGATTACTTCGGCTTTGCTTGATCCTGATTCCCAGCAGGTCTTTGCCGCTTGAAGGGCGGCGTAGAGTGTTGGTGCAGCAAGTTCGCGTTCGGAAGGCGTGAGATAGGCGTTGCGAGACGAGAGAGCCAGTGAGGATTTCGCGTCTCTACAGACATAAAACACGTGAGCACGAGACAGAAGATTTGATAAGACGACCGACCGTTTGGTTGGAACAATGAATAGGTTTTCCAGAGTTGGATGCGACAGTAAGAGATCGCGAACCATACGTCGAAGCAGAAGAGCTTGTTGGATGTCTTTCTGGCCAAAGTACGTTCGTGAAGGCTTGAAGAGGGATGAAGATGTAAGCTTCGTGATTTTCGAGAAATTTCAAAGCAAAACGGACCTCAATAGCATTGAATAGTTTTGTGACAACAGTCGCAACGCCTCGGAAGAAATCTGGTCTTCGCGATCCTTCCATCTGATGACCATACCCTTTGACTTCAACGAATGTACCCTTCTGCGCCAACTTATCCTGGGTGATGCCGGAAGGATACATTTCGTTTACAGTGGGCAAGAATAAAGCGGATGGTGAGCGTGTGATACTAGATCCGGGAACTGAGTGCGACAACGACGAAAGGACATCCAAGTCGTGAGGAAGAGTACGAGGATATGTTGCGAGATCTTCGTGAGGTGCGAACTGAGCTGGATTCACAAATATCGAAACGACGGTCAAATCGTTTTCTGCAAGTGATCGACGGACTAGTACGTCATAATAATAAGTTTACGGCATGATGGTAGAAAATAGAACGTGGACATACCCAAGGAGGCATGACCATCATGTAAAGCACCCATCGTTGCTACAAATCCTACAGATTTCTTTTCATCGTATGCCCGCCTTCTCCACTCTCGATACGAAGCAACAGTCTGGAATATCGGGATGGAGGACAGTGGTAGCCCTGCTACAGAATTGCTAGACATTTTGCGACCAAAAACGAGAGGATGCACGGTAACGTAGAGTCTACTTCTTGGAAACATATACAGCTCTAGAACACCTCAGCTTGTGGCACGATGTCGCAAGGAAAAAGCTAGGTGAAAACTTTTAATTTTCGCCTCCATGGTGCGAGTCAAATGGAAAGCAAGGAGATCCGTGGGCGTCTCCGGTGAAGATCATACCGGTTGAATCGATTTGGTAATTCGTTCTTTCTCATGCGCTTCCTTCATATCGTCTAACGAGTCTTTGTCCAGCTCTTTGGTCTCCAGCAGTTTCTTGCATATCTAGCACGCTGGAAGCTTGTTTTGATTCCACGCTCTGGGACACCTTGTTAAAGGTCCTCTGATCAAGGCTGTAGCGTCGCTCATGCCAAGGCAGTCACAATGAGGCTTTCACACTTTCCTATGAAACGCTTTTTCAGTCTTTGTCCAGACCACTCACATTGCCTCGTTAGAGGCTGTGCATTTATTGAATGGTTTATCGCACCCGTATTTCACAGCTTGATTTGGTGTGCTCTTTTTGCTCTTTGTCATAGCTGCATACGTGATACTGGATATTCGGGGATCTAAGGGTTGCGCTTGGTTAACTTCTTCCACTCTCTACGCCATTGTCTGCGTCAACAGTGGATAGCGAAAGTAAAAGCTGTCGGAAGTGCTTCAAAATTTCAGCAAGAAATTCGCTTCACTTACAGCCCTTTGCATAATTCCGTGAAAGTCGCCATTTTTTTCTCTCTGTTTGACCGAGTTTGTTCTATACAAACAGCGTGACTTCATCGTAACATACCTAAGTGAGCAAAGCAATACAGACCCGGAAGCTCACCAAGTTGCTTACACTTCACCGCGATGACAACCACACACTACAGCGGTGAATGGACTGGTCACCGCTCAGAACACCCTGTGTCGAACAAGCAACTTCCTCCAGGGTATTTGTTATTCTGTCCTTCTAACTCTCACAAGCAAAGGGATTATTGCACCAGATATCTTTGAGGGCTCAGTCACGAAGGGACGGTTCTTATCATTCCTACGCGAAAACATGGTACTGACGTAGCTTGAGATGAATTTGTCGAAGGTGGAATGTCGGCCTTCGGAGCTACGTAGATTATGGAGTGACAGATGCACTAAGCTAGAACTTCGTAGTGCCCCCGCCGTTCTACAGGTTATACAATGAGAGTACATAGAGTGATATTCTTGAGGCTGCAAGCTGCACACGGCCTCAGGGATCGAATTTGAAGGAGTCACGGTTGAGCAAGTCGCGCGCCGCCACTGCCAACTGGGATGCATCATACAGTGTCACTGTGCATAACATAGGTCACGCTATTTGGCATGATCAAAGCTGGCCAAACAGAAGAAAAAAATCCGCGACTTTCACGGAATTATGCAAAGGGCTGTAAACTTGATAACCAAATTATTCATTCCTGACCCTAACCAGGCGACACCAGATGATATCACAGCTTCTGATTCTAGCCACCATGTCGTTGCTACAGTACATTTCAGTGGTTCAAACGTTCAACGTTCAATACCCACCATATACTCACCTTCGCTTGAACTACAACACTATCAGACAATATTCACTCGACATACAGGATACTTTATAGAGGCTTGAGGAGAACAGCGATGCCAGTACCCAAACAGATAATCGAACAAATTAAGAAGCTTATCCCGCCTCTGAATGGTTCACTACACAAAGGACAGTCCGGACGAGTTGGTGTGCTGGGGGGTGCTCTTGAGTATGTGCTGTATGGAAAGAACGACAGTGATGCAGAACTGACTTGGAATATAGCTATACAGGGGCGCCGTTCTTCGCTGCAATGTCAGCCCAACGAATTGTACGTTCCTGCTATGGACTTAGTATATGAATACACTCTTACTTGACAACATCATTCCACCTAGGGAGCCGACTTGTCCCATGTCATTTGTTCCCCTACTGCCGCTGGCGCGATCAAGTCGTATTCGCCAGACTTGATCGTACACCCGATCTTACATGAGAATCAGTACGTTCCACGATCTTTCTGATAGCTGTTTTCAACATCTCCTGCTGAACTACTTGAGCCACAGAACGATAGACAACTTGACACCAACGTTGTCAAGTCTTCTTTCGCGGTTACATGTACTTGTCGTTGGGCCGGGGCTTGGACGCGAAGACTACATGCAGAAATTCGCAAGGTTGGCTGTCAACCTTGCCAAAGACCAGGTTTGTTTGTTACTATAGTCGAATTCCGAAATCCCAACAACTCACGACGATTTGATACGTCAGGGGATGTACATCGTGATGGACGCGGATGCACTACTACTCGTTGGAAGTGACCACTCGCTCGTCAAAGGCTACAGACGAGTGATCCTCACGCCAAACGTCGTGGAGTTCAAGCGCCTCAGTGAGACAGTGGTAAGCAAAATTTTCCATCTCTCACCTGAACTCGCTTTCGATTACTGTCGCTTTCGCAGGACATCGATCCTAAGATACCTCCAGAGGACCGTGCCGCTCATGTGTCCCGTGCACTCGGTGGAGTGACCATAGTAGAGAAGGGCGCTCACGATATAATTTGTACAAATACTGGCGCTGCGACTGAGGAAGATGCTAAGCTCAGTAGGGTAAGTATCGCAGGAGCTGTATGTTGTTGTGCAACCTCAATGTTTGGATGATGTGCAGGTACAACCAGGAGAATCCACAGAAGAACAGGTCATTGTAGACGTTCCCGGCGGTTTGAAACGATGCGGCGGTCAAGGGGATATTCTCGGTGGTTGCATTGGTACGATTTTGGCTTGGGGGAAATGCTTTGAAGAAGGTGCTTTCGGGTACGTATTTTCTTGATTTCTTTTCGTATGTCAAGATGGCATTGTTCACTGACTACGTCATATGCAGAGATAAGGATGTTCCAGTTTCTCGCATTCCGCTGTTAGCTGCTACTGGGGGTTCGATGGTAACGCGGACCGCCTCCAGGAGAGCTTTCGCAAAACAGGGACGCAGTAAGTTTATGAAGAACTTCATTCTTCGACATGATGATAACGATATGTCCCATTTGCGTTTTATTCTAGGCGTCGTTACGGAGGACATGCTTCCTGAGATTGGGGGTGCGTTTGCAGAGCTATTCGGAGCGGAAGGTGAGAAAGGTTGGGGTTCGAGCAACCCAGAAGGTAAATTGTAGGTGTCCTCCTTGACTGTGGAATAGCAGGAAGACCAAGGAGATATTTATGTATGAATCATTGTGAACGAATACTCAATGGAGGTATACTGTTACACGATATAGGAACTCATTGTCTCTTTGTGTGGAAGAGTAGTGTACGGCCTATAGCGACAAATCAAGCTTTCAACTAACTTACTGACGCATCAAATAGGCTGCATATAGTATGTTTCAATACGGTTGTTCGTATGTTCGTATATTACTATTCATACATATACAAAACGTCTAGAGAATCTACAGCGGCCCAGCAACCTTCCTCCAACCCAAGCAAGCAGGCAGGCAGCAGAAAGAATGAAGAAGAGGTAACAAAAAGGTATATATACCAATGAGATGACAGTATGAGCGATAAGAGCGTATGATATATGCAGTATGGGGGGTAACGATAAGTAGATGACCATGTAAGAGCACAAGCAAGTAAGCAAGGAGGAGAGAAAAGGAAGAAACGAAGATGTTTATTTGTGCTTTATGCCTTGGGCACGCGAGCGTATTTCCTCCTGTACTTCGTGTCGATACTCTCGAGGTAGTATGCGCCTGGCCAGATGTTGTCAAGCGAGCCTTCGGGGATGTACGAGCCAGCATTGTGGTTCTTCTCTCGGAGCTAGAGATAGACGGACAAACAGTGCGACGTCAACGAGACAATTCACAATGAGATAATGGAAGGGAAGAGGACGAACCGTGAGCGCATCAACGTATTCCTGGCAAGGTACAAGCTTCATGCTCTCCAACCGACTAACAAGATCAAGCTTATCCTTGATCTCCGTCGTGTCACCCTTCACTTTGATAGTAAAGAAGCTACTCGCGAGACCACTTCCGAACGCAAACATCGAGATCCTCTTGCCTTTCAACTCCTCAGGCTCAATCGTCGACAACAGAGACGCAAGACCACCATATAACGAGGCAGTGTACATGTTTCCACACCTCCTCGCACACTTCATCGACGCCTCCACAGTAGAGTCAAATTCAGGCTTCGCGAAGGAGATGAAGGTCTTCTCGAGGACCTTGTCCGTGAGCGACGCTTCATATGCTTGAGAAAGGATGGCTTCGGGTTTGGGCACGGTAGCGTATTTGGGTGCGCTGGGGTTAGCCACGAAATCGTTGTAAACGAGACGAGCATGTGCTTTCTGGACCATCTTGCCATACGGTGAGTGGAACACAGGGTAGTCGATATCCTCAAGTGAGAAAGGAACTGTGGTATCGGCACCTGAGGCTTTCTTGGCCTTGGCGTGTTTGTTGCGGAAAGCAGAGTATGAGGCGTCGATGGCGGAGGTGTAGGCGGTGATGGAGAGAGGTCCGTCGACTTCGGGGTACTCCGAGTCGAGTTTGGGTTTGTAGAAGTCGTAGGTGTGGACCATATGGGTTCCATGAATGGCTAGTAGAAGTCAAAGTAGAAGCAGTCATTATTAGCTCGAGCGACAATCAAAAAAAGCGTTAAAGGCAAGGTACTTACGTTCGAAGGCGAGAGGAGCACTGGGACCAACTAACAAAGCAAAAGCGCCAGCACCACCTGTTGGTCGACCAGAGCCCTCGGCGTAGATAGCAATGTCACCACCGACGACGATGGCGTTACGACCATCCCAGGAGGAAGATTCAACCCAGTTAATGGCGTTGAAGAGAGCAGCGGTTGAGCCATAGCACGCGTTCTTGGAGTCGACGCCCTCGATGTCGGTGTTACCGGCGTCGGTGAAGAGTTCCATGAGAACGGTCTTGGTGGCTTTGGACTTGTCGATGATGGTCTCGGTTCCGACGTCGATACGTCCAATAGACTTGGGGTCGATATCGTACTTTTCGAGAAGGTTTTGGACAGCTGGCGGTTATAGGCTATTTAGAGTTGACGTGAAATACGAACAGGAGATGACGTACCAGTTAGAGCGAAGGAGTTGATGTCTTCCCGGTCGTCGCAACAAGCCATGAATTTCTGTCCGAGACCAATGGTGTATTTGCCCTTGGAGACACCGTCGAACTCCTCCAGTTCCTCCTCCGAGATGCACTACAGGGCACGCGACTAATGTTAGTATCCTATGGCTAGTAGACTGTTGGCATGTATACTAACCCTGCGAGGGAAGTACATCTCCATGGCGAGGATACCGACATCCTTGGGTCGAGGGGGAGCCTCGAAGTCATTGGCAGCAGTGTTGACAGGGATAGTCATGGCGTGACGGATGGAAGTGGACGTTAGATTATTAGGACTGCTGAAGGTGAAAGGTAAAAGGAAAGGGACAATTGGAGGGAGGCAAAGGAGTGGAGAGATTAGGACGCTTTATATGTGTTGAAAATGCGGATGGGACGAGACTCGCATAACAATTTACTCGTATTTTAAACTTGGGTGGTACGATCCCATTTGGGTCTCTGTTGCGCCCTCCCCATTGGCTCGCTTACCTCTCCGCACCAACTCTGCCTCAAACCCTCATTCGCCCATTTTTCTTTTCATGACTATGCCTCTGCGATTCATGCTTTTTATCGTGTTACAGTGTTTTTAATCCGGGATACTTTGCATTCTATATGGGCTCCTAAAGTCAGGAAACTAACGCTCAATTTCGAATGCGCTGCTCTACAAGACCATACCATATACAAAGCTCCGCCCCTTGAACAATAACTACACCATTATGGAACGATGTTTTATATGCTAACAGTCCTCTAGTACCGTCTCGAATTGACAGAATGTGCTGCCTCTGCGATGTGAACTGAAAACACCATCATACCGGGAGCATCGCATCGATCAGGCAAGCACGTCCTCTTACACCTTTGTTATTTGATGCCAGCTAAACGCAATTTGTAAACAGGATCGTACGCATGTTTTTGTCTTCCATTGAGAAACAAGCCCTGTATACGGGCCCCCCTCATGTCTCGGTAGTCAAACCCTCTTGCTTCGAATCGCGGTTTCAATGCCCTTTTCATACAGATACAATATCGGCGCTCAGCCAGTGCTTCTGCACATCCCGGATACCAAGGAGAACCCCAGCGTCATGAGATCGTCGCTATCTGTAGCTGTGTATTACAGTTTCCCAAGCTGTCCCTGCTTGTACTCGGGCATATCAATGACGCTCACCGATGTCGTTCCACTACCTATCCGCCATTCAGGACAAATCGTACTATCGTTCGATTGTGATTGACAATCCCAGCTTGCTTTTCAGGACGCTCATATCATAACTAGGCCTCCGGAGTGTTTCCGATGAAGATTTCTGATAAGTAATGTGTTCTGAGACATGGGGCAGTCAGTCGCTCGTGCTTTCGAATCTCGACGGTTTATGGTACGCTTTCCGAGCCCTGAACCGATCCCTTCGGATACTGGAATGAGGATCAACGACTGATACACGCACCGAACGCCAGGTGTATGCGGCTGTCACAGTAGTCAGGCGTTCTTCCATGGCCGATATGAACGTAAACGCTAAAGACGAATATGATATTCTCAACAGGCACGATTCTATCCATATCGCCACTGTTCAACAATCAGCGTGCTGATACACTCAATCAATGTAAGTTACGTACAGTGCGACGAAATGTATTCTAGAACCCAGACCTACCCTCCTCTGCCTATCCCACACTCCATCCCTCCTAACGTAGCCAACGTAGCCAACGACAGCATTTAATCAACCTACGTCCCACTACTCATCTCCAACAACGCCTCTATACTCCTCCCAAGGTCACCTTCATTAGCCTCCAAAACCCACTCCACAACCTCCACATCCATGCCCGGGAAGATCTGTCTCAACGTCTCCCTCGCAGCCGACGCCGCACTCTCATGTGCTCTATCAATCTCATCCTGTAATCCCGCCAAGTCCAAATTCGGCGTAGGCGTCCTCGAAACATGAGGTGATTGTCCCAAACCGAAACCTCCTCCTTGCATCAGTTGCCCTTGCTGCTGCTGTTGTTGCAATTGCAGAGATTGTACTCGAGGTGCTTGAAGTCGATTCGCGGATTGCGAAGGCCCCATAGAGAGTGGTTGGTTTGTATACGGATATGGTCCACCACCAGCTTGCCGCGGTACCGGTGCTGGTACCCTACTAGGCGTCTCCTCCAACCCACCTCCCGGAGATCCATACCTCAAAGATGACTGTGACGATTGAGGCGACCTCCGTATCCTAGGCCTATACGGAGTCTGCAACTGGTCCGGATAACCACCACCCACACCTGCTGGTGCTGCTGGGGTCTGAGGATGCACCCCACGTTCCCGATCTTCAGCAAGTCCGAACGGTCCAGGAAGGTTAGCCAATGATTCTTCTGCACCATCCAACACTTCGTTGAAGATCCTGCCAATGGCGCTCAACGGTTTCGAAATGGTGTCTCCGGTCTTTTGGAGGAACCGTTTGGCGTCTTCGCTGATAGTTTGTACGGGTGCGGGTAGGGCGAGTGGTTGTGCGGATTCTTCACCTGTATGTGAAGATGGGAGTGGGGATTGGGTTAGTGCGGAGTTGTTGACAGCGGAGGGCGCGAGAGGAGATTCGGACTCGGTGCTGGGTGTTTGGGTGCCTGTGCTTGGGAGGGATTGAATGGCTGCTTCGACGTTCCTATGGCAATATCGAGAAATCAGAACTCAGACAGAAAACGATATGATTGGGGGGATTCTGTTCACCTTTCGAATTCTTCCTGAGTGATGTTGGATAGAGAGGTATGATCCATCGTCTCGACGAATGATACACCTCCCATCTGCAAGGTGTTATTCGTCCCATCAGAAGAAGCATTCGAGGGAATGCGAAACTGGACATACTAGACTGGATAAATAGTATCCGGCCTCGCTTTGAAGTTTAGCAGGATTCCGGAACCGGTTGATGAACCTGGACAACATGTTCATTGTCCCGATGAAGTGCAAGAAACAATCCAAGCTCACTCGACATTCGAGAGCAAATTTTCCGGGTTTGCCTTCAGGACGACATAGATCAATATAGGAACAAACGTATCTGCTCCTTCCTCCTTCCTCAAATGTCGTATCAGCCCTGTATATAGTAGAAGTGAATAGTATCAGCAGAAGTTAGGAAGCGAGTTCAAGAGCGGCGGACCGAAGATGACCTTGCAACAGTTCAGGATACAGATGAGTTTGTCGCGTGGGGCTTTATAATGATTGATCTTCAGTAGCTCTAAAAAGACAGATTGAGAGGAGTGTCATTATATAGACGGCACAGTTAAGTCCTACCTTGTTGTGCAAACATGATGAAACCCTCGCTACCGTCGCCATCCGGTATGTCAAGATGTTGGGGCTCTACCCAAGTAAATAGAGCTATTCGTTGTGATAGAACGCGATCTCGTTCCAGATCGTCTGTGGTGACCGGTCGAGGAGGTGTCATTCGAACGAGTTGTGGCGTAAAGGTGCTGTACAGAGATATGAGGCGTGTGGGTCAGAAAATAAGCAAGAATGGAACGTACAAGTCGTAAAGTCTGTTCATAACCAGTTTCTCCATTCCTTCCATTGCATTGTCAAATTCGGCATCCGAAGCATTCCGCCAAACTTCACATTCGCGCATACGAACAGAAATAAACTAAACAACTCTGAGTCAATTGTGCGAGATGTGTGTTAACCAAATACGAAACGTACGTTGAGGAAGTCATTGATCAGTTTCATCTGGTCATTCACAGTGAATGTCCTCTTTGCGAAATTGCCAAGAAAGCTATAATAAGCAGGACCGACTGTCAGCAAGTCGTAAGATAGAAAATAGGACACTGACATACGAGCGGAGATACTTGGCTACGGGTTCAGCATTCTTATGCTTCATCTGGTCCAAGAACTTCTGAAAATCAAATGTCGGATTCTCCCCATTCTGATCTTGACTTCCACCGCTCCGACTTGACGATCGCGTAGGTGTACTAGAAGAGCCATTAACAGGTGGTGTACTAGTTCGTGGTACATTTTGTTGTGAAGCGAAAGATGAGAGTGTGGCGGGAGAGGGGACTGCTGCTGCGCTGTCTAGTGACCTTGGTCGTGTACGAGGACCTAGGGGTATCGAGAACGTACGTGCAAGTGCGGCAAGAGATGGAAAGGTGGGTATGGGGGACGAAGGTCGTGGTGGTAACGGTAATGTCTGCGTATTTGTGGTCGGTTGTTGAGGCGTAGATGGTGACTCTGGTAGTGTGGCCGCAGATGACGACTCAGGCAGGGTATCTTTACTTGGAGGTTGTGGATGAGGTTCAGTAGTCTCCCATGCCTCTCGTGCGGCCTTCTCCTCGTGATTTGCAAGAGGATCGAATTCTTCTAGGATTTGTAGCTTTCGCTCTTCGTCATCCATCCCCTCGTTCTCATCTGACTCAGCCTTGGAATTCGTCGGTCCAAAGCTTGGCCGTTCTTCCGGCAGCAGTTCATCCTTGGAGAATGACAGAGGTTTCTCCACGACAGATCCGTCAGAGAGGTTGCTAGGAGGTTCCTGCCAAGGATTCAAGTCATTAGGAACGTTAGAATTGTGCTCGGTCGAAACATTGTCCGAGATGCGTAAGGTAGAGAGATCATGAGCTGTTTGAGAGACAGCTAGGTTGGTGTTGAGTTCCATGGCCTCCTTTCATATGATGGAGAGCAATAGACAACGAATAGCAGGAAAGACTGGAAGTTCAAGGTGAAGCCGCACGAAGCGGAGTGACCGTTTTGGGCGGCTCGTGCAACTTGCCTCAAGCCTGCCTCGAGCACATGGCACTTTCCTCAAGACCACACCGCTCATCGTTGGGGACTTTCACTACCACTGTCAGATATTGTTTGTACACAGCGGCGAGAATAAAGCCTTGAACTCAAGTGGGGACGCCAGGCCAGCAATGGAATCTGTACCCACAGAATTACTTGTCAAGTTTCTCGCCTTATTGAATGGCTACGAAATAGCCAAATGTCGCAGGGTAAGCTCCTATGTTACACATCCAGTCGGAATACGTGCTTATTAATGTCCAGGTCTCGAGGCGTTTCGATGACATCGTTCGCAATACTGTTCTATTGCAGTACTTGATTGAACTCGATGCGGCAGGTTACGAGGATCGCCCCAATGCGTCTGCACTGTCCATCGGGGAACGCTTCGAAGCTTTGCGTGAGTCCCAACGCCTCTGGATGAACGCCGATATTCAAGCAGAGGCCCAAATTGGACCTTTCAAAATCGGGTCTGAGGTGCTAGGATACGGCCAGCAGCGTTGTTACTCGGACCTAGCCTCCGTATTATTTGTTGAGATGCAGCCTGCTACCGATCATACTGTCACACGCATACACCTGGCGTTGCCTCAATACTGCGACGCTGTGCATGTCGTTCCTGAACAGGATCTGCTGCTTACGGCTTATGGCACAAGGTTCATTTATATGTTATAATATTATATTCGTAGCTTGATCGACACTGCACAGGCTGCATCTGCTTTCACTCGCAACTCAAAAACAACATGAACGTGCTTCTCGTGAAGTTCTGCACATGCAAACTGAATTTGGGCCTAGTGACAAGATGTGTGTCCTACGAGATCTCCTCGTCATCCTTCCCAATGAGCACCACCTTGCTGTCTATCGCTGGACATCCGGCGAACTTCTCGGGGTGAGAATATGTGACATAGTCTCCATTCATGAAAGTTCACAGTTACTACAGACACATACTTCATTGCACACAATATGTGATGTCAGGATTGCCAATGGGGATTTCATCCTTGCTCTCACATCCCACAACAATGAACAGATGGCTGTTGAAGTTCTTGGCTTATTCAACTTGTGGGCTCCATCAATATTATCTCACAAGGCAAGATTCATGTTGCCAGTACTATTGCCAGAGTTGTTTGTGGACTTGGACTATCCAGAAATCACTCACACCCCCAAACTCTGGTTCAACAAATCCATCTGTGGAGTGGAACCTACTTGTCCAATCATGCCTTCAGATGGCAGCTTTTTCATCATCAATGTTAATTGCTTCTTCCTTGTTTTGGTTCCATCACTATCATTTCTGCCTGCCTTGCATCACCATGGCGCAGAGCCTCTGGTCATACCTTGGCCTAAATGGGGACCAAATGGTACAAGAGTGTGTGAATATTATGTAGATCATCCTCTCTATGTCATTGGAACTTCTGTTCTAATGTCTGATGCACTCTGGAATTTCAATCCTCTCACACTTAATGCAGATTCCTATAGTGAAGATCATGGACATGTGAATTACATGCCTACCAAGTTGGATACTGATATAACTTTGCAAGAGGATGTGATTACATGCTTGCCCTATCAAGAGATACATTACTATCTTGAAGCTACTCCAGATTGGTCATTTGAAATGGAGCCTTATGTAGTGGAGAGTCTGAATGGTCCAAAGGTGAGACTTTGAAGTGGCTTTTGTTAGCTTTAACTAACTATATGATAGTTGGTGCTAGAGGATAGTCAATGGAATAATGGGCACAAAATTCTTCTGCATATTCTAAAGCTTCATTAAGGCTAAAGGAGAGGTAGAGAGTGGTAATAATTTATTTGCTATCAGTATCTTTATTTTAGCATAAAAGTCAGTGAAAAGAGGTTAATGATTAATGGCATACTTTAGAAACTAGTGAGATTGAGTATAATTCATGCATTATTTTCAATAGTGCATTTTAGTATCACTTTATATTTATTATTTTTTTATGCAATCTAGCCTGCCTTATATCAACTTAGAGTTTACATATAATTAGCTAACTTCATATTGCTGACATTGACCATATGATATATCAACTTAGAAATGAATTAGAAGATACCATAATTTGCCAAAGAACATCTTGACTTATCTTGGAACAATTCCAATTCTGCACTATTTCCAGCAGGATAAATCAGTTTCCATTCATGGAGATATCCAGAGAAATTTCATGATATAATAGAAAAGTAATGATGTCTTCCAAGAAGCCATATGGTGAACTAGCAGGAATGACAATAGGAGTTGTGATTATATGATGATCATTATGGTCTGTTGATTTATAACAATCTATTGCAATGTTCAGTATATTGAAATCAAAGGTTTTGTTGAGTTTGAAGACTACAAGCCTATTTCCATATAGTGAAGAGCAATACTAGGCTACAGCATCTGTGAAGACACAGGTGACATGGGTGTTAGAATTAAGAGCGAGCATGCAGCGCGAGTCGGGTGATGAGCGAGTAAGTACATTGGTATATGTCGGGTTTGTCCCCTAGAGTACGTACAAAGGTGGGCAAATGTGTGAGGAGTCGACTACATTATGCTACACTATATAGCTACTACGGGAGCCTGAAAGGTCCGAACATGAGATAGTGGTGGCAGCGCGACTATGCAAGTTTGCTTGGTACCCAGGATTTCAACACACCCCCTCGAATGAAGCATGGTCCATGAAAGAATGAAAGAAAGAAATGAGTGAACAGGGATATGGGGGAAATGGTCAACATCAACAAAATTTAAAGCGCACCCCCTGAATCATAAGTTCCTACCACTCCGCTCCAGACTCCTCTGATGCAACGATAGCAGTGGAGGCAGATGGTGCTCCATTCGATGACGATGGGCAATCTGAGTGATAATGGCCCTTCTGGCCACAACCAAAGCAGGTGATGTTGGCGAGTGAGGTACGAGGCTTTTTGACCAATGCAGCGGCCATGGCCTGGTCAACAGAGGCCTCTGAGGCACTTGAAGCCTGGTGAGACTCTTCATTAAGCAAGTGAGTAATCACATATGAAACTGTGAGGTCATCGGCAGGGGTAGAGTCGAGTGTAACAGTGAACTGCTCATACGAGCGAGGCAAACCATTCATGAGAACAATGATTGTATCTTCTTCATCAATGTTTGCACCAATCTCTTCAAGCTGGAAAGCAGCATGGCGCACATCAGCGATCCAGCGGGAAATAGGTGTACCGGGTGTCATCTTCATCCTGAAGAATTCACGACAGAGGGAAACATGGGTCCCAAAGCTGCAGGCCTGGTGGATAGTCCTAAGGTTCTCCAAAATCTCGGCGGGGTCAGAGCCTCGAACATGAGGGAACTGAGATGGCTCAATGTGAAGGATAATCTCCGCACGAGCCTCTGCACACTTCCTCCTCCAACTCTTCACAGCCTTGGTGTTATCACTCCCAGGAGGTCTTGACTCTATTCCATTGGCAACTCCAACAAGGTTTTTACGAGTGAGCAAAGCATCAATCGTTATGCTCCACTCATGGTAATTTGTGTCATTCAATTTCGGAAATGACGAGCAGTCAGACATAATGGAAAAGTGAGCAAGTTGATCAAGAAATGGTCAATCAGTGGGAATGCTCTCAACGAGCAGGTTACAGATACAGTGCGAGTACCAGCATCGGGTTTCAATTGGGGGTCCGAGTAGTTCAATCGAGGATTATGGTTACGGAGTCAATCAAGTGAGTGTGAGTTGATCTTGTCCGAATTAACCTTCAGACAGAGGTGACACATTTGTGTTAGAATTAAGAGTGAGCGCGCAGTGTGAGTTGGGTGATGAGTGAGTAAGTATGTTGGTATATGTCGGGTTTGTCCCCTAGAGTACGTACAAAGGTGGGCAAATACGTGAGGAGTCAACTATGTTATGCTACACTATATAGCTACTACAGGAGCCTGAAAGGTCCGAATGCGAGATAGTGGCAGCGGCGCGACCATACAAGTTCACTTGGCACCCAGGATTTCAACAATGGAAATCCCACTTTTTTTATAGAAAGATAAGAGTTGATGTAGTATCTTTATCAGGCATAGAAAGAAGGCTGCTAAGATGTATGATAAAAAAGATGTGATCCAAATTAAGACCAAAGGAACTATATGAGCATGCTGTAAAGCAGGCATGACTTCTTTTATATTTTTCACTCAGAAATAGGCCAACTGCAAAAGAAGGATTGGCAGAATAAGGTGTAAGAAAAGTTATACATGAAGAGAAGGCAAACTGCTAAGTTGAATCCTCTCTGCAAGACCACAAGGTGAAGAGCAGCTGAGTTGTGCTTAGATACTTAAGTGGTCACAAAAAGATAGCCTTCTCTAGCAATAGCCACACTTGTGAATGGTGTTAAGAATGTTATAGGCTTTAACACACACTTTCATCAGTAATGTTTTAGGAATATCTCAATAGAACTCACCCCCAGCACATCTCCTAATATCCAGTCATATACAGAAAGTCCAAGGCCATCTGACTGCACAAGTGCTATGAGGCTTTCAGCTACATGAACCCAATCATACAGTGAATATATGATTGAATCATATTGGAAACTTATATGTGCTGCAAGAGAATGTGGTTTTCCCTCTAATGTTAGAAAGAGAATCTGCAATGAAGGTGCATCAATGACTGAAAACTGATGAAAACACTATGAGCACACCTAGCAGACTGGACAACCAACATAAGATCCATATCCGGCATGAATTGCAATCCTTCATGTGCAGGAATGCTCAATGGTTCAGGAGTAAACTTGGGTTGGAGAGACTGTAAGACAGGCAACATATCTACTATCTCTAAAGTGAATTCATGGTCAGCCGTGCTTGTATGGTCTCTTTGCCAATCGACATGAAAGCCCTGGTTATACAATATCACCATGCTTCGAGGGTTTGATGGAATATCTGTGCGCCTGCCAGCCACTATACATCGAGGTCTGGGATTTCTCCATGCTCGCTGCGAACGGCGGAACGCATCCAAACGATCGGCCACAGATAGACCCGGCTTCGGAATGTCAACATATCCGGCTGCATGGAGCTCGATCTTGCACTGCAGCAGCGCGTTATCGTCGATGATGGATTTGAGGTATCTGCATATCTGCCATTGTCTTGTAGTGAGTGTTGGGAGTAGCAACGATGAGTCGACGTCTTACCCTTTTACATCTTACAGTTTCGAGACCGTCTAGAAGACTCAGTACATGGACAAGCAATTCAGTTGGAAGTGCCGTGAGGTGGCTTTGAACTGAATCCCTCTCGCCCTCCTCCCCATCATCATAGTGCGCCGAACTGCCTTCTGTTTGATGTTTATACAAGCCAGGTGGCGAAGAATAGCAGCATAAACGAGATCCCAAGTTCGTAGATGTACATGCAAGTGGTCAAGCTGCGTTTGTGGTGCTGTTGTTCTTCAAGATGCTCGCGATCATGCTCGCGATAACTGACTCACATGTACTGAGGTTATGGGGTACTCATTACTGACCTATACGCAACCTATGCTCACTCGAGTCACTCGTATCAAACACTACAATTCCCCCTTAGGTTCGATGACATACCGCAAACATGGTGAAGGTTTGAACGAGGCCCAATAATTGTCACGATGGTTCCAAGCAATGCCCCAAGTCGACGCTGATATCAGAAAAGTAAACGCCGATCGGGCAACAATTGAACAACTTATAATGTCTTTGCACTGCTTAGTATCAAACGGGGGTAACTCTGCTTCTCCAAATTGCAGCTCAATGCGAAGGCTTGAATAGTCGGCGCATTCTCACTTCTCCATTCTATCGGACGCCCGATTCTAGAGGGCTTTTATCTCTTTACGGTTACATTGACCTCCCGACTGAGAGAGATGTGACTCTTTTCAACCAGATGTGGCAGCGAGCAGACGATTCACTCCTCGGGATATGAATCCGGTGGTCGGGACAAGGGATTAACAATCTGTTCTCATAGCTACCTCATTCGGGATATGACGTTTCGTTGAAATCTAGTATAAGAAGTCAGGAGGGCCGTCAAGCGTTGTCCAACTCAACTTCCACGCTCAATTTGCTCTCTGTATAAAGAATAAGACATCATGGTCAAGATTGCAGTTGCGGGCGGGACAGGAAGTAAGCCATTTGACTCTCACTGTTTGCATGCTGTTAACAATATCCACTGTAGACATTGCCGGCGAGATTATTGAGGCGTTGCTCTCAAAGAACAGACATCAGGTGGTTGTTCTTACTCGCAAAGTTAGTGGTCACCGTGTCCCCCATTGGTATATTGCTGACGTAGATTCAGGACGCTCCTATTGACCCTATAGTCCACCCTGACATCACCTATGTCAAGGTCGACTACAAAGACAAGGCGTCACTGACCAATGCATTGCGCGGGGTCCACACCGTGCTTTCCTTCATTGTGGTGGTTCTCGACCCCGGGAGTGTTGCGCAGAAGAATCTCATCGATGCTTCTATCGAAGCAGGCGTAAAGAGATTCGCACCTAGTGAATGGGGATCGTAAGTCTCTTAATAACATACCCGATCGAAACCATTGCTTAATGAACATAGGTCCAATGTCACGGCAGTACCTTGGTACGTAGAGAAGGAGACCGTTAGAGAATATCTTCGAGAAGTGAACCGAGAGAGGAAGGTACACTGCGTTATTTACCTCAAACCTATACCGTCAGATTAACCGTTCCTACTCGAAGGTCCTGGAATACTGCTTATTCCAATGCGGCATCTTCTCCAATAATCTCGCAACTCCTCACAAGACTGCTAAGCATCTTGTTCCTATCATGCTTCCCTTTGACTTCCAAAACCGCCGAGCTATCGTGTTGGAAGGCCGCAATGATATTGATAGCGTGACCTTCACGAAAGTTCAAGATGTCGCTAATATCGTTGCCGAGGCTATAGATTACGAAGGCGAATGGCCTGTGGTCGGGGGCATCCGTGGAAACAACCTTACAGTCGGACAGGTCCTGGCACTGGGAGAAAAAATCAGAGGTATGTCCTCGTTGGTGGCTAATTACTCTTCGCTAATCCATCGCTGCAGGTAAACCATTCGCCGTCGAAACACTAACGTTGGAGGACATCGAGTCAGGAAATATCAACACGTCCTGGTACCCTGTGCTCGAGCATCCGTCCATACCAAAGGAAGAGATTGAGTCGTTCTCGAAGATGGCTCTTGGAGGCACTCTAATTGGTATAGCAAAGGCTGCTTACACGATACCAACTGATGAGTGGAACAAGCTTCTTCCCTCATACAAGTTCGCGGACATCGAGGAGTTCCTGTATGAGGCATGGGCCGGGAAGCCTTAGGCTACGGGATAGAGATATATGGTGAATGGTGACGAATGCTGCGTTCCGCTCTAACGTGTACAATAGCTTGAATCATAATGTTCTCGAACATAGAGACATTTCCTCTGACCCAGGCTCATCGTCTGCCTAGATGGTCTTGTCAACGTTTCGCTAGAAGAGACTATTACTAAGACAATGTGCAGTATGTTTCCTCGCTGTTGAAATCAGCCATTACTCCGTCCTGTTCCTCGATCAGTGCTGCAAGGCTCTCTCCTGCTCCCGCACATACTTGAACACCAAAATGGGTGAACAGAACTGTTCCGACTCACTTTCCGTGCCCTTGGCTAAGCACAAGTTTGCATGTGCAGCCCATACACAATTTGCTTTTCGGATATAGAGTAGAGATGGATCGATGCATCAACTATGAAGTATGTTTAAGAGAGATACAGGGTGAAATGAAATGAGAATAGATCAGTGCGGGAATGGATCTGAGGTATCAAGGAGATAGGGTATCAAGCGAACGAAAAGAAAACACAAACGTAAGAAGATGGCGAACCCGAAGAAATCGGAAAGATCGGGACCATCAGTCACTGCACCATCAGCACATAGGCTGGAAAGGTATAAAGATGCATGACTAGAAAACGACGAATCCATCGGGACGTGGAAGAAAGAAACGAAAATCCCTCTGACAGGTCAACAAGTGACCACGATAATTAGAGAAACGTAGAAAAAGGTACACCAGGCATAAAGGACCTAAACGTACAACGCCGTACAACGTCTGTTCAAGATAGAGTGGGAGAGGGAAGGGACTCTGGCGTATCCTCGAAGATCCCACCTGGGTATCCTGCCGCCTTCACACTCCTCTTGCCCTAGTACGTGGATCAGCGAATGATTGACTGCATAAAGGAAAACGCCTTACGACGAGCTTGAGCAAACTGGGTGTCTTGAACATGCCTGCGAACCCTTGCGATACAGAGGGGCTCATGGAGACATTGGAAGAAGAGGGACTAGAGATCATTGGAGTATTGCGACAGACGTGTGTCTCCTGTATCAAAGTGAGTAAGGATCAGGAGGTGCATTGATATTAGACTGGCCATGGGCGAGACAGCCTTCAACAAGAAGGCGTGGTCAACAGGTGCATTCTCCTTATCGTCAGAAGCACCTTTCGCCGGGGTCGAAGCAGCCGAAGCCCGACCCTTCATCTTCCTCAACGTCGCAATCTCCTTCTCCAGAGCGTCGCAGCGCTTCATTTTAGCTACAAACGCATCTTCAACTGCCCTCTTACTCAATTCCAGCGTCCGTCTCTCCTTCATCATCGTGTCCAACTTCTCCTCTAATACCCGGTGCTTCTCACGAGCGTGCTTGAATGTCGTCTCATCCTGTGCGGCGAGAGTATACATCGCTCGTAGTTGGCCAACCTCCTGGAACATTCGGCGGTTGGTTGCCGTCAGTTCTCGGCGAGTCGCATCCCGGTCCTCAGCGGCAGTGGAGAGACGATGTTGTATAAAATCAAGGTCTTCGCGAGTAACCTGATGCGCGTTGCATTCCTGTTCCAGCTGTTTAGTAAGAGACGCCTCGCGATCCTTGGCCTCTACCTCAACCTTCCGGAGCTCGGTCATAGCATCGGTGAGTTTGGCAGTGAACTCGAGCTTGGTGTCCTCGTGAGCAGCAGTAGCAGCAATCAGTGCCTCATCGGCAGCAGCAAGAGCATCGTCTTTCATCTTGATATCCTCTTTGAGGCTCGTCTCAGATTCGAGTATCAGGTCGCGTTCCAATTCCGCAGCAAACACGGACATGCAGAGCTCCTCCTTCTCCACGTCATGAGCATCAGTGAGAGCTTCGAGTTCGTCGTTCTGCTCCTTGAGCCGCAAGTCCTTCGACACGATCTCGCCGTCCTTCCGCTTTAAGAGAACATCCTGTGCAGCAAGTTCGGCCTCCTGCTCCTTGATCTGAGCTTCCTTTAATGCAAGCTGAGCAACTAGTTCCGAGACCTTTGTCTCCGCAACGTAACAACAAGTCTGATATTCCGCGCTGACGGTTCGCTCATCCGAAAGCTTGCCCTCCAAAGCCGAGACCGTCTCATTCGACACGTCAAGTTGAGCCTGTCTGATGTCGAGTCCGATCGAGAGCATCAGGACATCCTCCTGGAGTTGACTGACTTCCAGAGACGTCAATGCATGAGCGGTCCTCTCCTCGTCAAGCGCAGCCTTGCCATCAATGATGCTGAAAGCAGACGAGAATTGTTGGAACTCCAGATGGACAATCTGGCTCTCCAGTGCAGAATTCTCCTCCGTCAGACGAAACACTTCGGCCTCCAGCTTGGCCTTGTCAGCCGCAGCCATCGCGAGTAGCTCAGAATGGGATTCTTGCTCCACAGCACGGGCGGCATTGGTGTCGATGACATCCTTCTCTGCAAGCTCTAGTCTGGCAATCGTCGCATGGATAGCAGAGATCGTCGCCGCACGTTCGAACTGAAGCGAACTATGAGCAGTAGTGAGAGCGTCATACTCTTTGCACAGGTGATCGTGAGACACAGCAAGCTCGGCCGCCTTGCATTGTGCGGAGTCGAGAGCCATATAATTGTGGTCGACCTCGGCTTCTAGCTGGAGTGCGTAAGAGACAAGGCCTCCGATGGTCTTCTTCTGCTCTTGGATGCGCCGACGCTGATCCTGCATGACAGCCGCATGGATTCGTTGCTGCACCGACGATTGCTTCGTGAACGAGGAGAGTTGGAAGAGTGCTCGGAGACCAGCTTGGAATAGTGTCTTTAGAGGGTCAGGAGGAGACTCGGGGAGAGAGGAAAGTGACGAGTCCTGGAGACGATCAGTGGTTTCCATGCAAGAATGCAAAGAGCGACTTACGAAGGAACTATTGAATGATGAGTCATATTCGGCACCTGTAGGCGGTCCCGGGTATGAGAATAACATGTTGTGTGAATGTAGTGTTTAGTGTGACGTTGGGAGTATTGAGAATGACGGAGTGAGGCAAAGATATCGATAATCAGAAAGTACGTCCCCGGCGTATATTATGTTTTCTGTAAAGCTGACATGATGGGCATATCAACCGGTGAGGCTTTCTGACTCGGAAAGCCTCACCGGTTGACTGAGCTGGCCCGCATTTCAATTCTGGCTGCGAGTGGATCAGAGTCAGCGGATACTTTGCACCAATTCAACCACGAGAAACCCTCCACGGAACGCCACCGCACAATCAGACCTATGTCTTGCAGTCCAGTATATCAAGAGTCCGGAACTTGGTTTTGAAGTGAAGACTCAAAAGAAAGGTCAGCCTCCGATAACGCGACGAATGCTGCGCGCGCCTATCCAATCTAACATATTACTGGCTGCCCCAAATGGGAAGTGTAGTATTGTAAAGTAGTACCGGATGTAAGAGACTGTACTTGGGCAACACTCAGGTATCGAAGTTCGTCAATCAAAAAGGGTAGAAGACGAGATAGTGAACCGTGTGCTCTGTTCATGCATTCTTTTTGTCAACACACTTATTGGTTTTTTGGCTGTCATGTCGATGGACTCTGTGAATCTGAATCTCGATCGAGTTCGACGGTAATGCGTCTACTGAGTAGCAGCCGTTACAAAGAGAACGGCCGCATCCTAGTAGGTCAATTTCCTGAAAATGCAAATGTTCCTGCAATCGATAACTTATCATTATTATTTCTAGTGTCATCCTACATGACAAGATTCACGACATTGATTTCTTCCTCCTTGGCAGTACAGTAATCCTAGTCTTGGCTCCCTGCGAGTCGTCGGCTAAATACTAAGAGTATATCTCAGCGATTTCTTGCTTGGATCTCAGTTTCTTAGGAGCACTATCTCAATGTTAAATTTTGCGTCAGCCATCGCGCTCAGAGAGTTGAGACCTAGACATCTGAAAACTTACTGCAACGATTGACTAACCTATTTTAGACGTGTAGGTTCTTTTGCATAGCTTGCGCAGGAGAAGGTGATTTAGCGAGTCCAAACCTCAATGATCATGTGCACATTCGACATCGTGAAGGCTGTGGCGGTTATCAGTAGGCTTGTTATCTATAAATTGCTCCTGAAGCGAACAACTCAACCCAAGCCGACTCGGAGTTGGATTGGTCTTGTGGAAAGCTTCGTGCATCGTGGGTAATGGCCACCCTGGTGGTGGCGGATCAGAGCCTCGGATGCAACGCATAATCCGTCATGTGGGTGCCTGAGAATATAATAGACGAGCGGTTCTATGAGCTTCCACGGCTTCGTTCACTTAGCTTCCTAGAATCGCGACAATGCCTGCATTGAAGCCGTTGAAGAACTCACATGCATGTCTACGGATTCTGACCTCAATCACTAATCTTGAAGCGCACAGTATCAATGTTCAAGAAAGAAGAAGGGATGTATTGGCTTGTCGACGACATGCTCTAGCTCTGGGAAGTGCATACATAGATATCGCCGTCCGTATGTAAAGTCTCTGGATTAAACACCTTCAAGCTTCACCTATCGGCCTGTGAGTCAGAAGAAAAAGAAAAGTAGACAATGACCTTACGATTAGAGAAAGCAGGATCATACGACACGCCGGATATCATGAATCTCTCTACCACTTCGCCGGTGCTCCTTGCTGAATTGTCCTTTTAATATTGAATCCTCATAATGTTTTATGAAGAACTCACCTCTCGTTTCTTATCATCCCTCCATGATGCCTTTTTACCAACCTAAACATAAAAGATTCAGCATTTATTTCTAACAAAAGCATGAGTCACGCACAGGCAATGGCGACTGAAAAAATGAGACGTTAGACCTATGAATAGGCGAGATGGAAACGTTCGTGCTTACAGGAGAGGCAGCGGCGAGCCCAACAAGGACAAGGACAGCAAATGCAAAAGTGAACTTCATCTTGGAGGCGATGCGGAGGAACCGATAACGAGCCCGAAGGCGAGCAAGCGGGGTTTATATAGTGAAATTGTGTGCCACATGAAACCCTCTGTATCTCAAACTTTGATTCTCGAAAGCCGCCCTGGAAGGGACGAACGCTGGCATCATCACCACGTGCAATAACTTGAGCAAGGAGCCATATGACGACTTCAAAGCTTCATCTGCGGGTTAATGTTTCGTGGTCGCGACATCCTCCGTAGATTTATCGGCAGTTTAATTGACCTCGCCGTTGCATCCTTGGCATCGAGAGTACCTCTGTCCAGCTCGGGCCGCTTGTTTCGATTATTGTCTCGAACATTGTATACCTTTGCTGAGCTCCCTTTTAGCGGGTTACAGTCATAGACGTCCGATGTCAGAATTCAGTTTAATAAAGCTGTAGAAGAAAATTAGGCGTCACTGTAGCTGTCATGATTTGAGTAGCGTGACGACGCCAGGAAGTGAATGATCATGATGGTACCTCCTTCCAGCGAATGGATTCGGAGATGAGGCACGATCGGTGGCGCTATTCGTTAGTACAGGACGTTAATTCCAGTAAAGCTGATGCCGAAGCCATCGGATTGAAGCCCTTCAAGGAGATGGTACAGTAACGAACGACCCTAAAGATATTACCAACACCCCCGAACCCCGAACTCAATACGCCAAAAGCGTAGCTCTTCGAGCAAAGGCAAGGAAATCCTAAGCGCTGCTGAAGGCACGAAGGTTGCAAATTCAATTAGATATTGGATTAGTGGGTCGACCACCTATCCCCACCGAGCATCCCATTGTCCTATAGTCTCAGCCAATATCCATCGAACCCCATTTGTTCCATCAGCGCCGTCAGACCTAAGCAGAATGCTCCAGGTATCCTCTGATTCGGCTCTTGGAGCTCGAACGGACGATTGGGACTGAGGAGGCGGGGAAATATAAGCTACGGGCGAGGTCGGGACGCTATGTGCTGCAAAAGCAGCGAACGGTGAATGCCTGTAACGAACATGTTCATATCAGGAGGTTGTACTATAAAGTACATGGACAATACTTACACAATGACGTCGAGTATCTTCTGTACAAACTCAGGAGGAAGTAGACCTGACCAGCGTAAGTGCGTGAGATTGCCGACTTGCAAGGAGAGTGGAGGGTCATAGACAGCAAGGTACGGGTCTACATTGTCCCCACTTCGTAATCTGCGTTCAGAAGAAGCCATTGATAAGACCGATAAATTTGAATATGGGTGTTTGATTCACCTTTCTGACCCAAGACAAGCCATTCCGACCCACTCGAAGTAAGCTGTAATTTTGTCCTGCCGGTCATCTAGGTCAACCCCATGATTTTGCCTCTGGTGAAGGCTTTGCAAGTCGAAACTGGGAATCTTCACATCTGTAAGGTGCCGTATCGAGGGTATTGCCGTGTGCTTCTTGGGACCTTCGACGTCCGGCGGTGCAAACTCAGGCTGGGTGGAGGTGTAAATGGCATCCCACGGTCCCCTACGCTGATCCCAAACCTTCAAAGCAGCCTTTTGTTTACTCCCATAAGGCGACCAACTATGGATCTTTACTTCATGCGTTTTTGGGACGTCGCCCGATAGAAAGATGCGGATAACTGAGAAGGTTCTAAGTCTGGTGATACAACACTCGGATAACAAGACGTATTCACCATGTGTATCTTCCCAAGGTTTCCAAGGAAGATGTTTTCCGACCAACCCCAGTTGTTCATACGTTTCTTTGCCTACAGCTAGAGTCAAAAGGCCTCTAGTGTCGATACACCATACATCATCGCTATCATGAGCAGGCTTTCCCAATGCCAATAGAGAACTATTCAAAACTGTCAGGGAGTAAACAAGCATTGGGATTGAGAACGACGTGCCTTGATACTGAATACTTCCGTATGAATGAGCTCGCAAACTCAACGAAGTCCACCAAGGCAGTCTTCTGAGAATGATAACTAGTTGTTAGGTTCTTCAGTTTGTCCTCCAAGTCCGTCGAAGATGGTATGACGACGTCAAGCTACAATTCATGAGTCAACTCAACAATCAATATAAGGCCAGATGAATTCACGGACTTTCCTGCTGAGTGAAAGGATGCGAGGCAGTTAGCTGGGAGAGCTTCGAACTTCCCGCTTTTGTGTCAGACACACGGTGTAAACCTTCAGTGACCCTGACACGCTTTCCTTCAACCATGATAGGATTGACTCTCTGCTTCACGCAGCGACCGCCTGTCAGCTGGATGAGGTACTATAGTTGGAATCTTGGATGATAGGCTCTCGGTCGCGTATTGACTATTCAGCTGAAGATACGATAGCTGGAATTCTTCCAATGCTCCCGGGATCTAGCGAGATAGCGAGGGTTTACAATAGACCCTATTTGAAGATGGAGAGACGAAGCCAAATTGAAGACGGAGTAACCAGAAGAAAGGAGGAAAGAGACGAGTTACAATACAAGAGACGCCTACCGACCACCCTGGACTGTCCACCATGTCACTCTCTCCTCATACCACACCTTCAGGTCAGTATACCTTCTTCTACCTAATAGACTCCCTACAATAATGCAGGCAATTTACTACTAGGTTTCCTACTGCCGTCCATTCATGCAGCACCACCGTTCTTCACGTCAGTTGACCTGCTGATCATAATGTAGACCTGTTCTGATCTGACCTCCCTAGACAGCAACCTAATCCTGCCACTCAAGCGATTGTCACAGAACAATGGTCGAGATTAATCCTATCCTACGCGCGACATAGACAGCTATTTACGGTAAGAGTGGAGGATGCTGAGGTGACAGGAGGCGAGTGGGATGAGATCTTGCGAAATGATCGAATAAACCGTACGTCTCCTTACTGCTTTTTGGTTGCCTGTATGAGTCGGAGCATGATACTGATGAGTTACCTGAATAATGCATAGGGAGACTGAGATCATCGCATCTAGCATATATACTAGAACAGATGGCGGCGAAGAACCAGCTCGTCTATGACCCACCGAAACAGTCACGATCTGCTTTACTGTACTGGCGAACACCAGAAGAATGGGCTGAAGTTCTGCATGAATGGGTACGTATATATCAATTTTCTGGGCAACAAATTGACTTACATGTTCCTGCCAGGCATCAACAACCGGGCAACTCAACACCATCCTCACGTTTTACGAGATTATAGAACCACCAGTGCCGTCACCACTTTCTGGGATTCCAATGCAAATACTCAGGAAAGCCATTCATATCCTTACGAAGACGAACCGAGCGCAGATTATCGCAGTTGCAGATGGCGAAGGTGTACGGTTCTTGCCAGGGAACGCAGGGAAATGAAGCGGTTACGGATTGTATTTATAGCAGATACTGCAGCATTGCACTCTCTATGTAGGAAAGGTAATACGTGGCATGTACAACATGAACTACCTTTTTAGGACCTAGTCAAAGTAATTCTAAGCCGATGACGAGGATCCAATATTTTAACAGCAAACCACAAGGCCCTTGAGTAGTGCTATCAAGCCCTGTTCTTTGCAGCAGCAACAAACAAGCTCCCAATACTTGTTGCCACCGCACAACTGCCCACGAAAATTTCCACGTTCCCGAATCCAAACTTGCCATACTTCCCGCCAAACGAGGACGACTTCCCTGCATCGAGTAACACACCGGAAAGAATGGGCCCGATGACGGCAGCGATACCTTTCACGAATGCGAAGCAAGTGAAAGTGATAGTGGCTTGTTCGGGGAAACGGCCTGCTAAGTCCGAGGCTGCTGCTGGCCATACGGATGAGAAACCTCCGCTCTGTAATTAAATCAAACCAGTCAGTTGAACAGGTAAGGGGCAAATGTAAGAGAACATACCAAACCACCGAAGATGATAGCGAAGGTAAATACTCGCGCCAAGGAGTCTGCAAAACCCCAGAGTAGGAATGCCGAAATCGCGCTTCCGAGCGCACTGGCGAACATGATCCAAGGGTAGGGAAACCTATCGCTCAGATGTCCGACGAGGATCTGGCCGACCACCCCAGATGAGTTGAACAGTGAAAGCACGATCGTGGCGGATAGAGGTGAAGAGATGGATGTGGTGAACATGGCAATGTAGAGCGAGACAGGGAAGTAAGAGAGGGCTTGCAGCACATTCGTCGTTGACTATATGACGATGAAACTTCAATGGCACACAGATGAACTTGATCTCTAGAAACACTCACGAATGTCCAAAATACAGGTTGCTTGAGGAACTGCATTTGAGGGGGGATAAACCTCGGACGTCTCTCTCCACGACGGAACTTCGGCGTTGGAGTGCGATGGTGAATGCCCAATAGAGCAAGTCCGGCGATGATAGCTGTACCAATAGCCCATATACGTAAAGTCCATCGGAAACCCACTTTACCCAAGAGTGCGTTTACCATGAGCGGGAAGGCAAAGCCTACATCAGAAGCTCGACGTAAGTCTATGATCTTGAACATGGAGTAATGTGAAGCCCACCTCCGACACCAGAGCCCGCAAAGATGATGCCGCCTGCGAGACCACGTCTTTCGATGAACCATTCCGATAGTAGATTGATGACAGGCATGTAGAGCATGCCGCCACCTATACCAAAGCCTACGCCCTGGAGCAAGATGAGAGCCCATATCTAGAAAGAGGTTAACACAGGGCCGATGCTGCATGAAATTACCGGATGAATATACCTGGCTAACGAAACTAGAAAGGAATAGACATATAGAGCTCAAAGCAAGACCAAACCACATCGTCGTTTTCAGCAGGTCGGGATAACGTTGCAGGAAAAGTGATAGGAAAAGACCCTGCATTGTGTCAACGAGGAGACTGGAATTATGGTAACATCCTAGTCACCTCGCCATATTGAATAGCCAATGCGGTCGTCCCAACTGCCGCTATAGCAATAGGTGATTGTTTGTTGAAAGGAGGATGAGAGGTGTAATAATCTGTCCGACGGGATCAGAACACGGAACAGGATGACATATATATACACCAATCGCTCACCTTGGAAGATACCATAACTATAAAAAAAGGCGATAGTAAGAGTCGAAGATAGCTCAAACATCTGGACTCAATTAGTTCATGCATGATGTGCAGCGTACCTGAATCCAAATCCCCACACTATTGCTTCAAGAAGAAAGGCACAGCAACAGAACGTCCACGCTTTGCGACCTCTATCAATGGGGGGAAGGGACTGCACGTTAATCAGCTCAGCGTTAGAATCGTCTAGTATATCTCCGGCTTGCTGGCTGATAGAGATCGCAACAGGGGTCTTGCCTTTCTCACCCGAAAACATGTCTTGAAGCTCGACAGCAGGACCTTCCATGGCTAAGATAACTGAGCAGAAAAATGCTACGGAGCCAAAGGTAAAGAATCGAGGCAAGTCATAAATGGGCGTCTAGGTTATATTTTTAGTTCACAACACTACACCTGCCATTTCGGGATGCATTATTGCACCTGCCATCCAGGCGCTAATAAGTGGGTTTTGGTCGACGAAAACCTGTTCAACAAAGTTCAAACATCCACTGCTGACAAGTGATTCGTTCAATATTAACCTATTCTACAGGTTCATTGTCGAAGGACAATCCCCTTCGGATTTATTTATAGTACCATCTGTATTTGTGCGTCTAAAGCGCGAAGCATGCAATCCGAGTCCTTATCGGTCAACATTAGAATGAGGCAGGCTCAACGGAAAGCCTCAGTGGTTGACATGCCAGCCGTGTCAGCTTTACAGAAAATATAATATATGCCAGGCAATGAATTTCAGGTTATCGATATCTTTGCTTCACTCCGTCATTCTCAATACTCCCAACGTCACACTAAACACTACATTCACACAACATGTTATTCTCATACCCGGGACCGCTTACAGGTGCCGAATATGACTCATCATTCAATAGTTCCTTCATAAGTCGCTCTTTGCATTCTTGCATGGAAACCACTGATCCTCTCCAGGACTCGTCACTTTCCTCTCTCCCCGAGTCTCCTCCTGACCCTCCAAAGACACTATTCCAGGCTGGTCTCCGAGCACTGTTCCAACTCTCCTCGTTCACGAAGCAATCGTCGGTGCAGCAACGAATCCATGCGGCTGTCATGCAGGATCAGCGTCGGCGCATCCAAGAGCAGAAGAAGACCATCGGAGGCCTTGTCTCTTACGCACTCCAGCTAGAAGCCGAGGTCGACCACAGTAATATTGCTCTCGACTCCGCACAATACAAGGCCGCCGAACTTGCTGTGTCTCACGATCACCTGTGCAAAGAGTATGACGCTCTCACTACTGCTCATAGTTCACTTCAGTTCGAACGTGCGGCGACGATCTCTGCTGTCCATGCGACGATTGCCAGACTAGAGCTTGCAGAGAAGGATGTCACCGACGCCAATGCCGCTCGTGCTGTGGAGCAAGACTATTACTCTGAGCTACTCGCTTTGGCTGCGGCTGACAAGGCGAAGCTGGAGGCTGACGTCTTCCGTCTGACGGAGGAGAATTCTGCACTGGAGAGCCAGATTGTCGATCTGGAGTTCCAGCAATTATCGTCTGCTTTCAGCATCATTGATGGCAAGGCTGCGCTTGACGAGGAGAGGGCCGCTCATGCATTGACGTCTCTGGAAGTCAGTCAACTCCGGGAGGACGTCCTGATGCTCTCGATCGGACTCGACATCAGACAGGCTCAACTTGACATGTCGAATGAGACGGTATCGGCTTTGGAGGGGAAGCTTTCGGATGAGCGAACGATGAGCGCGGAATATCAGAGTTCTTGTTACGTTGCGGAGACAAAGGTCTCGGAACTAGTTGCTCAGCTTGCATTAAAGGAAGCTCAGATCAAGGAGCAGGAGGCCGAACTTGCTGCACAGGATGTTCTCTTAAAGCGGAAGGACGACGAGATCGTCTCGAAGGACTTGCGATTCCAGGAGCAGGACGACCAGCTCGAAGCCCTCACTGATGCTCATGATGTGGAGAAGGAGGAGCACTGCATGTCTGTGTTTGCTGCGGAATTGGAACGTGACCTGATACTTGAATCTGAAACGAATCTGAAGGAGGATATCAAGATAAAAGATGATGCTCTAGCTGCTGCCGAGGAGGCGCTGATTGCTGCTACTGCTGCTCACGAGGACACCAAACTCGAGTTCACTGCCAAACTCACCGATGCGATGGCTGAGATCACGAAGGTCAAGGTCGATGCCAAGGATCGCGAGGCATCTCTTACGAAACAGCTGGAACAGGAATGCAACGCGCACCAGGTTACTCGCCAAGATCTCGATACTATACAACACCGTCTGTCCGCTGTCACTGAGGACCGGGATGCTACTCGTCGTGAACTGGCTGTGACCAATAACCGGATGTTCCAAGAGGTTGGCCAACTACGAGCGATGTATACTCTGGCTGCTCAGGATGAGACGACATTCAAGCACGCTCTTGAGAAGTACCGGGTATTGGAGGAGAAGTTGGACACGATGTTGAAGGAGAAGCGTACGCTTGAATTGAGCAAGAGGGCAGTTGAGGATGCGTTCGTGGCGAAGATGAAGCGCTGCGACGCTTTAGAGAAGGAGATTGCGACGTTGAGGAAGGTGAAGGGTCGGGCTTCGGCTGCTTCGACACCAACGAAAGGTGCTTCTGACGATAAGGAGAATGCACCTGTTGACCACGCCTTCTTGTTGAACGGTGTCTCGCCCATGGCCAGTCTAATATCAATGCACCTCCTGATCCTTACTCACTTCCATACAGGAGACACCCATCCGTCGCAATACTCCGATGACCTCCAGTCCCTCTTCTTCCAATGTATCCATGAGCCCCTCTGTATCGCAAGGGTTCGTAGGCATGTTCAAGACACCCAGTTTGTTGAAGCTCGTCGTAAGTCGTTTTCCTCTATGCAGTCAATCATTCGCTGATTCATGTACTAGGGTAAGAGGGGTGTGAAGGCGGCAGGATACCCTGGTGCGATCTTCGAGGATACGCCAGAGTCCCTTCCCTCTCCCGCTCTATCTTGAACCACTCTATCTTGAACACACGTTGTATGGTGTCTTACTCTGAGGCCCTTTATGCCTGGTGTACTTTTTGAACTTTTCCCTAATTAATGTGGTCACTTGTTGGCCTGTCAGAAGGACTTTCGTTTCTTTCTTTCACGTCCCGATGAATTCCTCGTTTTCTAGTCACGCATCTTTATACCTTTCCAGCCTATGTGCTGATGGTGCAGTGACTGATGGTCCCAATCTTTCGGTTTTCTTCGGGTTCGCCATCTTCTTACGTTCTTTTCTTTTAATTCGCTTGATACCCCATCTGCTTGATACCTCAGATCTATTTTCACTTTTATCCATTCTCATTTCATTCTGTATCTGTCTTAATCATATTGCATATTTAATGGATCGATTTTTCATAACTTTACCTCTAATGTATGTCCTTCCTGTTCGACGCCCGACCTCGATTTGAGGCTGCGCCTGGACATCAGATGTTCTGATCAACGTGCCAGATCCGCTCGCTTTCGACCAGCTTCCTTTCGCCAAATCATGTACGGGCTATATGTTCAGTTTCATGCTTGATTAAGGGCAGGAAATGTGAGTCGGAGCAGTTCCATTCACCCATTTCGGTGTTCAAGTGTGTGGAGCAGGAGAGAGCCTTGCAACATTGAACGAGGAAGGGGAGAGAATAATGGTTCCTTTCAATAACGAAGAGACATATTGCGCATTGTTCGAGTCTTAGTATCTTCCAGCGAAATAGAGATACAGTTTTCGCATGCGAGACAAAACGTTGAAGACCTTTCAAGCAGACGATGAGCCCGGGTCAAAGGAAAAGTCTCGATGTTCGAAGACATTGTGACTAAAGCTATTGTACACGTTAAAGCGGAACGCAGCCCAGAAGCATTCGGCACCATTCACCATGTATCTCGATCACGCAGTTTAGGGCTTCCCAGACCATGCCTCAGACAGGAACTCCTCGATATCCACGAACTTGTATGAGGGAAGAAGTTTGTTCCACTCGTCAGTTGGTATGGTGTAGGCCGCCTTTGCCATACCAATCAGAGTGCCTCCGAGAGCCATCTTTGAAAACGACTCAATCTCTTCCTTCGGTATAGCCGGGTGCTCAAGCACTGGGTACCAGGACGTATTGACGTTTCCTGACTCGATGTCCTCCAATGTGACCGTTTCGACAGCGAACGGTTTACCTGCACGATATGTTAGCGAAGATCAAATAGGCACCATCGACGATTAGAACTGGACATACCCCTGATTTTCTCTCCGAGTGCCAGGATCTGTCCAATTGTAAGATCGTTTCCACGGATGCCGCCGACCAGAGGCCATTCGCCTTCGTAGTCTATAGCTTCGGCAACAATATCAGCGACATCTTGAACTTTGGTGAAGGTCACGCTGTCAATATCGTTGCGGCCTTCCAACACGATAGCACGGCAGTTCTGGAAGTCGAAGGGAAGCATGAGAAGAAGAAGATGCTTGGCCGTCTTGTGAGGGCTCGCGAGATAATTGGAGAAGATGCCGCATTGGAATAAGCAGTATTCCAGGACCTTCGCGTAAGAACGATTAATCTGAGGGCGTAGAATTGGGGTAAATAACGCAGTGTACCGTCCTCTCTCGGTTCACTTCTCGAAGATATTCTCTAACGGTCTCCTTCTCTACGTACCAAGGTACTGCCGTGACATTGGACCTATGTTCAATTAGCAATGATTCCAATCGGCGATGTTGTTGAGAGACTTACGATACCCATTCACTGGGAGCAAATCTCTTTACGCCAGCCTCGATAGAAGCGTCGATGAGATTCTTCTGTGCAACACTCCCGTGGTCAAGATGCACCACGATGAAGGAAAGTACGGTATGGACCCCGCGCAATGCATTGGTCAGTGACGCCTTGTCATTGTAGTCGACCTTGACATAGGTGATGTCAGGGTGGACTATAGGGTCAGTAGGAGCGTCCTAGATCGACGTCAGCAACATACTAATGGGGGACACGGTGGCCACTTACTTTGCGAGTAAGGACGACCACCTGATGCTTGTCCTTTGAGAGCAGTGCCTCAATAATCTCGCTGGCAACGTCTACAGTGGATATTTCGTCTAACAGGATGCAAGCAGTGAGAGTCAAGTGACTTACTGCCTGTCCCGCCTGCAACTGCGATCTTGACCATGATGTTTTATTCTTTGGACAGAGAGTGATTTGAACCTGGAAGTCGAGTTGGAGGATGCAGGATGGAGTGCAGTTGACACGGCGTTCCTTCTAACCTCTTATAGTCCATTTCGACGAAACGCCGTATCCCGAGTGAGTCAGCCTGAGCAATGAGAATAGACAATTGGTAATTCTTTGTCCCGACCACCAGATGCATATCTCGAGGAGTGAGTCGTCTCCTCGCTGCCAACTCTGGTCGAAAAGAGTCAGATCTCCCTCAATCGAGAGGGTCAATGTAATCGTAAAGAGACAAAAAGCATGAATGAAACAACCGCAAGCGAGCTGACGAACCCCTATAAAATGAAGTGAGAATGCGCCGACTATTCAAATGCTCGTATTGAGCTGCAATCTGCCAGCGGAGGAGAGTTACTCGCGTTTCATACTAAGCAGTGCAAAGACATTACAAGTTGTTGGACGGTTGGCAATTACTTTTCTGATATCAGCGTCGACTTGGGGCATTGCTTCAAACCATCATGACAATTATTGGGCCTCAGTACCGGATGAGCGAACCGTCAGTGCGGAGTATCAGAGTTCCCGCTACGTTGCGGAGATGAAGATCTCAGAACTGCTTGCGCAACTTGCGTTCAAGGATGCTCAGATCATGGAGCGGGAGGGCCAAATTGCTCATCGAGACGTTCTCTTGGAGCATAAGGACTGCGAGATCACCTCGAAGAACTTGCGGCTCAAGGAGCAGGACGACAGGCTTGAAGCTCTCACTGATGCTCATGATGTGGAGAAGGAGGAGCTCTGCATGTCTGTGTTTGCTGCGGAATTGGAACGTGACCTGATACTTGAATCTGAAACGAATCTGAAGGAGGATATGAAGATAAAAGATGATGCTCTAGCTGCTGCCGAGGAGGCGCTGATTGCTGCTACTGCTGCTCACGAGGACACCAAGCTAGACTTCACTGTCAGACTCACCAGTGCTATGACCGAAATCCGAAAGGTTGAGGTCGAGGCGAAAGATCGCGAGGCATCTCTTGCGAAAGAGCTGGAACAGGAATGCAACGCGCACCAGGCTACTCGCGAGGATCTTGATACTATACAACGTCGTCTGTCCACTGTCGCTGAGGACCGGGATGCGACTCGACGTGAGCTGGCGGTGACCAACAACCGGATGTTCCAAGAAATTGGCCAACTACGAGCGATGTATACTCTGGCCGCTCAGGACGAGACGACATTCAAGCACGCTCGTGAGAAGTACCGTATTTCGGAGGAGAAGTTGGACACGATGATGAAGGAGAAGCGTACGCTTAAATTGAGCAAGCGGGTAGTTGAGGATGCGTTTGTAGCTAAGATGAAGCGCTGCGACGCTCTAATATTAGGGAAGGAGATTGCGGCGTTGAGGAAGGTGAAGGATCGGGCTTCGGCTGCTTCGACACCAACGAAAGGTGCTTCGCTTCTGACGATAAGGAGAATGCACCTGTTAATCACGCCTTCTTGTTGAACGGTGTCTCGCCCATGGCCAGTCTAATATTAATGCACCTCCTGATCCTTACTCACTTTGATACAGGAGACACACGTCTGTCGCAATACTCCGATGATCTCTAGTCCCTCTTCTTCCAATGTCTCCACGAGCCCCTCTGTATCACAAGGGTTCGCAGGCATGTTCAAGACACCCAGTTTGTTGAAGCTCGTCGTAAGGCGTTTTCCTTTATGCAGTCAATCATTCGCTGATTCATGTACTAGGGCAAGAGGGGTGTGAAGGCGGTAGGATACTCTGGTGAGATCTTCGAGGATACGCCAGAGTCCCTTCCCTCTTCCACTCTATCTTGAACGAACATTGTACGGCGTCGTACGCTTAGATCCTTTATGCCTGGTGTACTTTTTTCTACTCTTCTCTAACTACTATGGTCATTTGTTGGCCTGTCAGAGGGCCTTTCGTTTCTTTCTTTCACGTCCCGATGAATTCCTCGTTTTCTAGTCACGCATCTTTATACCTTTCCAGCCTATGTACTGATGGTGCAGTGGCTGATGGTCCCGATCTTTCCGTTTCTTCGGGTTCGCCACCTTCTTACGTTCGTCTTTTGGTTGTGTTCGCTTGATACCCCGTCTGCTTGATACCTCAGATCCGTTTCCAAACTGATCTATTCTCATTTCACTCCGTATCTACCCTAATCGTATTGCATATTTAATGCAACCATTCTTCATAAGTTCATCCCCTCTGGATAGTGTTCCTGTGCCATGATCTATCGAAATTACGCATATAATTCCTGGTAGGAAATTTCGTAACATCCGCTCGGCATGGGCATTAGACTACCTGAAGTGATGCTCGGCCAGCACGGACGGAAGTTGAAGAATCGTGCAGCACTGAGAATAGATCAGTGGGAAGAGACAGTAGTGGCCTTCTATCAGCAGGTGAACGTGTTCGTGTTGCAATTCATATTTGCTACTGACAGTAGTAACCAGTGGAATAGAGGCGAGTTCGTTGCTTAAGTCGAACGAGATTCAACAGGAAGATTCAATGTCGGAATGATGGATAGTGAAAGCTATAATACGCCAGAGTACAACGTGATGCCAAGCGTCCTAAAACCGTCCCTCACTGTTGGCCATACATCTCTATCACGCCTTCTAAGGCTTCCCAGCCCATGCTTCTGACAGGAACTCCTCGATATCCGTGAACTTGTACCAGGGCAGGAGCTTGTTCCACTCATCACTCGTCACAGTGTAAGCAGCGTGTGCAATCCCTTTCAGAGTGCCTCCGAGAGCCATCTTGGAGAAGGATTCAATCTCTTCCTTTGGTATAGACGGATGCTCGAGCACAGGGTACCAGGACGTGTTGACATTTCCTGACTCAATGTCTTCCAAAGTGATCGTTTCGACTGCAAACGGTTTACCTGCGGCGATGCATTAGCAGAGATCGAATAGGACGGAAATTTGACCGTACCCCTAATTTTCTCTCCTAAAGCCAAGATCTGCCCCACTGTAAGGTAATTGCCGCGGATGCCCCCGACCAAAGGCCATTCGCCTTCATAGTCTACAGCCTCGGCGACAATATTTGCGACATCTTGAACTTTGGTGAAGGTCAGGCCATCAATGTCATTGTGGCCTTCCAATACGATAGCGCGGCGGTTCTGGAAGTCGAAGGGCAACATGACAGGAACAAGATGTTTGGCCGTCTTGTGAGGGCTTGCGAGGTAATTGGAAAAGACGCCGCCCTGGAACAAGCAGTATTCTAGGACCTTAGAACAAGAAATGTCAACGTGACGGCGCAGAATTAAGGTGGAGAACTCGACGTACTTTCTTCTCTCGATTTACTTCACGAAGATATTCTCTAACGGTCTCCTTCTCTGCGTACCAAGGTACTTCCTTGACCTTGGGGCTATGTTTCATTAGCAATGCTCGCAGTTCCCGTCACTAGTTCAAGAGACTTACGAGGCCCATTCACTAGGAGCGAATCTCTTTACGCCCGCCTCGATAGAAGCGTCGATGAGGTTCTTCTGGGCAATACTCCCCGGATCGAGAACCACTACGACGAAGGAAAGTACGGTATGGACCCCGCGCAAAGCGTTGGTCAGCGACGCCTTGTCCTTGTAGTCGACCTTGACATAGGTAATGTCAGGGTGGACTATAGCCTCGGGAGAGGGGTCCTGCATTCACATCGGTAACGTACTAATGGAAGACACGGCAGCTACATACCGTGCGTGTGAGAATGACTAATTTATGTTTGTTCTTTGAGAGCAGAGGCTCAAGAATCTCTCTAGCAACGTCTGAGGTGGATACATCGTTTAAGAGGATGTATTAGTGAGAGTCAAATGACTCACTTCCTGTGCCGCCCGCAATTGCGATCTTGACCATGATGTTTTATTCTTCACAAAGAACAAGCTGATCCGGGAAGTTGAGTTGGAGAACGCAGGATGGAGTGCAATTGACAAGGCATTCCTTCCGACCTCTTATACCAGCTTTCGACAAGATACCGTATCCCGAGCAGATAGCTGTGAGAACGAATCGGTGACCCCTTGTCCCGACCACCGGATTTAAAACCTGGAAATGTCTAAGGCAATTCGTCCGCTCGCTGCCACATTGGTTGGAAGGTCAGATCTCCTTTCAGCGAAGAGGTCAGGTATGAGTGCAGACTTTCAAAAGCATGCGTCAAATAGCCATATAGGGAAGTGATGAATCCCTAGAACATCGGATTCCCGATGAAGTGGAGATGAGAGCGCACCGACTCTTCGCACCCTCATCTTGAGCTTGAACTTGGACAACGAATGGGAACCCCTTTTGATTGTAAGCAGTGCAAAGGCGTTTACCGGTCGGCCATTACCTGTCTCACGTACATCCAAAAGCAGGATGAGCTAGTTGGATCGATGAAGGGTTCGAACGATTGTGAAAATTGCAGATCTGGACCTGAAATGGGGAAGCATCGCGTTTTATATCCGTGGCTCAAGTGGGTATGGGGTGCGTATAAGGTACAAGTGTCTCGCCTAGATGGTCGCAACGAATCAACCTACGTTATCATATCGATCACCGGTGGCCGCCACAAGGATCGCGAGCCAATAACACCACATTGTAGCGGCTTAACGGAATTTGACCACAACTCTTACCTCACGTATCATTCTCTTCACTTGATAATCCATCGAAGCCACGTATCCGTCGTCAATGGTCTTGCAGCAGTTTGGCGTACCATGATGGGATGCGAGGACACTCCAATTGAGTCTATATGCTGATAGTCGCCTCACCGCTGCTCCTCACGCCTATGATCCCCTGTCTACATTTTCGTGTACGTCAGCGTCGCTGCACGGTACTTTGCAACTCGTGATTTGCTGTCGTGCCACCAGCACACGACCTGAGCTGTGTCATCCACAGGAAAAGAACCAAGTTTTCCCTATGGAGATTAAGCAGCGGACAATGTCCTGCTTGTAGAAGCGCACCGAAATGATAGGCCCAATAACTGATGCAATATCTTTTGCGATTGAGAAAGCACCTAATTCCGGGGCTTCATGTTCAGGACCTGGAGTTGAAGAGGTGAATGCCACAACATTGTATCCGTCACCTTGTCAGGACGATCTTGCTGATGAAGACTCTGGAAGACCTACGCCGAATGATATAGACGTACCAGTCCGCTGAAAAGAATAGTGAATGCGAATATCTATACTAGAGTGTCTGCAAACCTTAGAGGAATAAGGCAAATGTTCATCCGAACATGGAGATGAACATGATCCGGGTACACGGGAATATATCGGTCAAGCAGTACTTGGCAGACGACACCTGCAGAATTGACTGAAAAGACAAGCGCTGTTGAGAAAAGAGAGGCGATGTCGTAAATGTAGAGAATCAGGGAAGTATGCATGTGCTTGTAAGATTGTCGCAGACGACTGTAAAGAGCAGGGGATAAGTAATATATGTGGTTAGTCCCCTAGCTTCGTGCTTACCTTGGTCCAGAATACGATGTTCTTGATGCGGTGGACGTTGGGAGGTAGGATTCGAGGCCAGGCCTGTCCAGCTGGGAATGGACGAACAGGGTTTATGGGACGTAACTCGGGGCGGGGACGTATCCAAGGTCACAAATGGCAGCCATGAGTATGAATGCGCATGCGCGAAAGAACCATCTTCTTAGTATATCGCTATCTAATGGCGGGAGTTCCTGTTGCAAGCCAAAATTCTGGGATAGGATCTGTGATGTCGGTGCTGAGGGTTCATCCTTGGGTAGAGTGAGAGTGTGGTTCTCATCTGACTCAATGAGACCATTATCGAATGTTGATTTCTTGCCTCTGACATCTTGTGTTTATGTTGTGCTCAGAAGTCTTCTGGTTACAATCCAAATGAAAGTCGACTATCAGCGTGCGAAATGGGAAGAGTATCTGTAGTTATTGAAACTTGCATATGGGCAAGAGTCACATCGGGACGCACCATATGCACGTCGATCACTTAAAAATCACGTTTCATTTGCATAGTATAGTATCGAATGTCGGCATTGTTTTAGTCACTGAATATCGAGGAATGTTGCAGCGTCTGAATGCAGCATCTTTTCAGTGCCAAGTCGAGTGTAGCAGAACGTACTTTTCACCTAAGGTGTAGTGCCGGCCCGACTTTCTGCCTCAAGAATGACTGAACCTATCTAGTGACGCAGAGTTACGAAGTCTCAATGTGAGTATTCAACGGGCGTCCTATATTGGAACAGCTCGGCGTTCTCCAGTGCATTTCATTCGGGGCAAGGTTGTGGGATCCTAGGATTCCTAGTAAATCGATAATCCTGAGGCGCATCACATCTTTCCCTCCGTCCACCATTGTCAACTATAAGCCATCTTCCTCATTATGTCGCTCTTTGTCCTGCAAACCCGCAAGCATCGACAATTTTTGTCACGCCGAACTACCTTGGGGAGGCATACACCACAGTTGCCGCCAGAGTTATGGTATCATACCGTGGACTGTCTCGCCGCGAGCTTCGGTGAAAAAGACTGGAGATTGCGAGTGAGTGGAATGATCATCATCAGATCACGAGAATGGGATTACGGTATGCTCCGTTGATGTAGCAGAAAGCCCTTGTGGCATGTTGTCTTACATGTCGTACCTGGTACCACCAGTCATGTCAACTATTGTATCAAGATCTCTGGCTGGATGGTAATTTAACAGCAGGGCATGCCGCTGCTCTATGGAAGGCCCTTGCACATCCTCGCAAAGATTTTCAACCAGTTACACATGTGAAAAAGCTTCATTTTATCTTCAGGGAAACAGCCAAGAAATTAGAACCAAAACAAAACCCTCTCTCCTCTTGGACAGGTTGGTCAATACCACTGTATGGTATCAAGTTTAGCCATGTAACTCAGCTGCATCTGAGTTCTCTCAAATTGTACCATCACCATTCAGACTTCTTCAAAAATCTGGCTCTTATGCCTTCATTGCATACTATATGTATGGCTGATTTGGAGATCTCTTTTAGCCAACTTAGAAGATTCCTACAGGCATCTGATAGGCTGCAACATCTTTCTCTGAATGAAATACAGCTTTTGGGAAATGTTTTACCTTCACAGGTATCTAAAGCAGTTTCACACTGTTTAAAGCCAAATATCAAGTCACTTGATATTATAAATTATCAGAATAGTAGATATACATCACTCTTTATGTTTCTAAGCCAACACAACTATATTTCAGAGCTGAAGAACCTCTTTATAACATTTGATCGAATGATTGTCTCACTTTATGATATACAGGTGTTCAATCAATTTTTAAAGATCTGTGGACCATCACTTGTCAGGTGTTATATTTCATCTGCACAATATGAAAATAAACAATGTAAGTTTTTATTATCTATACTTATATTCAAAGATCTTATGATATAAATGGTTATATAGCAATAAACTTTGAATATAATACCTCTCTACAGCTTTTAGCATTTGATGTTAATGCAGAAGAGAACTATGAAGTCAAGGTGCCTTATGCAGTGACACTGCTTTCTACTGTGCATTCCAAGATGCCTATGACTGTTTATCTAGCATATCCATCAAATGAAGAGAAGTCTTGTAAGCAGCTTGAGACTGCACTGCTTAGTATGAATGTAAAATACTTGAAGCTTGTGCAAATCTTCACCTCTACAGATAATGCTCCATGGAATTTGCTTTTTTCTACTTTGTCAAGCAAAGGTCTTCTTAAGATAGTAGATCATCATCCCAAGCATAATAAATTCTGTCTAAATAAAACAATCATAATATAGTTTTGTATCTATACTTATACTTAGCTTGTATAAAACTTGACACAATCTAATTGAGAGTTTTGCATACATAAAAGATATACTGAAATATATAGATTATCTATTACTCTACTTTTAAATAGATATCATTGTATTTGAGAAAATTGTCTAATCTCCTGTGAACTTATTGCAAGATTCATACTTAGCTACAATTCTATTACCTCTCAAAGAAATCAGTCTTAAAATTCTTCTTCACCTTTTAGCATTCAGCTTGAATATACATGTGTGCAAAAAATGTAGATAAATAGCATGACCAGTATAATATATGTAATGATAGGCCAATGATATTTGACTAGAAGGCATTCCGGAGAGGCCGCTGAATGCAAGATGAGAGTATGTGAAGGCCAAACGAAAATGAGGAGAGCATTCTTGTTATGGGACACGGGCGCCAAAGCGCCGCTGGCGGGAGGGCATCTGAGTGCATGTCCCGGGACACGATGGACCCCAACCACTGCAGCGGGGGAAGGCGGGGACGTGTCGAACAGTGATCGGGAGGGTGGGGAGCAGTCGGGAGAGTGGGGAGCAGTCGGGAGAGTGCCAGACAATGTGGAATAGGTAGAGATAGTCGAGAATGAATTGTTGATGGAAAAAAAAGTGCCAGAAAGTGAGGAAAAGTGGCCAAAATTGCGATGCGTGTCCCATGAAGAGCCAAAATGCAAATTCTTCATGGGACATGCTCTGCGCCAACACTCCAGCCAAAAAATGCATGTCCCATGAAAAGCAAAGGCTCATTTTCTTCATGGGACATGCCGCTTATTTCTCGGAGATGCGCTGCGCGGCATCAGGGCCTCTGATGGAGGAAACCCCATCCCAATTAGGCAGGTATGTAAGTAAATGGCCTTTGACCGCTTTCTCCACCCTCTACAGTCATGCTAAAAATCGCACATTTTGGTATATAATACTATGTACATAGGAATTAATGTCTAGCACAAGAAAGGAGTGAAAAATGCACTGTTGAGCATACAAACTGGTGAGGAACATTCACTTGGGCAGAATGCCTCACTTAGGCGCTCCGGGGTCCGGCCTCCGGCATTTCCCTTTGCGTGTCCCAGCGCGTTTTAAAGGTTGCATTCGTAGCGCTGACACAGGAATGCGATTGCTTTATTAGGTAATACGACGAGTCCGAGGAAGGATCGCAAAATCTTTGTGAAATGGCCACTTGCTATGAGCCGTCGCCTTTCTACCATCGTACGGGCTTCTGCGTTCTCTATGCTTAGAAAATCAATACCTGGACACTATGCTTAAGATAGCTTCTTACAGCTCGAACTACGAAAGGTTTGCGATATTTCCGTAAGTTGGACAAGTTTCGAACAAGACCAACATTGGTCAGCCGTAGGCAGTGAACCTTTCCCCCTTTTCGTTCTTACTCGTTTCTTTATCAACAATCAACAATATCCCAGGCGGAACTCGCCACCAGCATAGTTTCACCACATCACTAGACATGACCACGCTCATTGATACCTTCATGCCCAAAAAGCTGTTACAAAGCCAATGTAACGCCGCCCTGGACACCTTATGCGTAAGTGTCATTCTCTGTATTACTTCTTACTGCTTAAAATATTATATACAGAAATCCGCCCGTTCTACGGACCCTGGCTCTGACTCGGAAGGTCCCAAGACAACAGCGCAAGCCGGCTTGCAAGCTCTATTCCAACTATCCGCCCTGAAAAAATCAACCAAAGCTCAAACTCGTATCTGCGAAGCAGCGTTATCCCGCTCCGCTCAGCGAAGCGTCGAGCAGGAGGGGAGGATCTGCTCTCTCTCCACAGAAGTCGTCGAACTCGAAAAACAACTCAACACGCTTTCTCAGGAGCTCAACCACACCTTGAAGTCTCTGGCAGTGGAAAGGAGTGCAGTTTCCCACCTTCAAAACACTGAGGAGAGCCTCAACACAAATATAACTCGTATAACGAAAGCCCACAAGTTCCTGGAGACCGAACTCGCCAATGCCATGACTGCATACAGTACGAGTGACTCGACCCAACTCGCTCAGCTGAAGTAAGACATTGTCAACATCAATGATTCGGGCGGTCACAAGGCTGCGAAGGGTCTCTTGGCCAAGAACGATGCGAAACACACCCGATTGCAGGAAGAGATATCTCGCGTCAGTGCGACGACAGTCGCGTTGAAGGCGCAGGTGGACGCCTTGCGGGCTGAATGTTCACTTTCAAAGGCTACATTGGTTGAAGCGACGCGTGCAACTACCGATGAGCAGGCCGCTCACAAAGTCACTCGCGAAGAGCTTTCGAAGGCTCAGATCGAGTCTGCCACGCTTTCGACTTCACTGGAGGTGTTGCAGGAGGAGCAGAAGGCACTCCAACTTGCTTTCTGCGCTGCAAGCGAGAAAGCTACAAAAGAATATAAGATTACCGCTCAGTACTCAGCCAAGATCGTGGAACTCCTCGCCGAAGTCAAGGAGAAAGACGATAGCTTGAAGACCCTTCAGACTACTCACCATACGATGAAATATGCACACAAAGTGCTTCTGGACTCTCGAGCGATATTCCAAACAAGCATCGCACGCAGCAACAAGGCCTTGGCTGCCTCAAATAGCACGCTTATAGACGCAAACAAACGTTATGGGGCGCTCAAAACTAAACTCTCTGAGGCTCTTTCTGAAAACGCGAAGCTCAAGGCTGATGCACGGGAATGGGAGTCTTTCTTTGCGACGGTGAACACGCCACGGAAGAAGGCAAAGGCAAGATCGGTGACTTCTACCCCAATCAAGACTGCTCTTGGCGATAAGGAGAACGTGTTGGAGGCCTGAATTCGTCAAGATTTGGTTCCATTGGCTACAGACTTTTCAGGCCGGATCTATATCTTTCATTTCTCAGTTGTTCTTGTATCAATATAAGCTAAGTCAACATTGTGACAAGGCGATAAAATACCACATCAGTGACCGGATAATGGATATGGTCGCCAGATAGCTAGGAATGTCAATCATACCGCGAAGAAGAAAAAGCAGACACTCTATCCATCATCCAAAGGTCAAGTCGACACTAGTACCCTCAGTTTCCTAGTTTAGAATGTGAGTTATAGAAATGAGTCCGTCTTGAGAATTGCGTATTGTGCCACGGGGCGCGATGGCATAAAATTTATCAACGTGCTTGGGTGTGGTTTTCAGTGATTGAAGGGTGGAGATGACCTGCATAAGATGAGACGCCAGCACAAGGGTGCGATCCATGCAAAATATCAATGGTACCGCATGCCGGGGAATCCGTACTGATAAGGAGGGCTGTATTGCGGGAGCTGGACCTTAGCTACAGCATCTAACGAAGCACCATCAACATGAGGCAAGTAAATACACAATAGCTCGAAATCAACGCACTCTGCTCTTCATCATGCCCCTGGACAGTCACGATATTTACGTGTAGAATACCTTCGGCGGCGACGGCCGGTAATAATTGGTGAAGCATCTTGCCCGCCATTCCGTCGGCGACCACTTGAGAATCTCGTTGGACAGTGGTGAACTGAACACGTTGCACAGATGGGAAATGGCGAGTAATACAGTCATCCAGATCCTTGAAGTCATCCTCGTTGACGTTCTTCCAGTCGTAAGAATCCAATACGAAAGACAGTTCTTGGAGCAACTCGGGACAGGGGAGCTGGAGAAGCATTGTAGAGAGGTTCATAGGACAATGGCGAAACTCAAGTTGGCGAATATTGGAGCTTCGACGTAAGTCAACTACGCCCTCCGGTGATGCTTTACAAAAACAATAGATCAAGACGTAGTTACATCTGAGGTGTGAAATTTGGACTGACCAGGGCGCTCCCAGTGTCGACGACGTATCACAATGACCAGATGCTCAAGACTACTTCCGAGAAGAGGAACCAACTCTCCCGTCGTAGTGGGGCCATTTTTGTTCACTACCAAGGTCCGAATCGTGTTTTCAGAGAACGTCGTGATAATCCTATTTAGGACGGCATCATATTCATCACACTCTAGGAAACGCAACTGGACCTTCCGAGGCTCAGGCAGAGCCACAACTTGTGAATCACAGAGCAACGCAACGGAAGAAAGCGTCAAGCTGGAAATGCCTGGTAGAGCGCAGAGCATATATGATAGGAAAGACTTGGGAAAGTAGCCTGCAGACAAGCTAAGTTTCCGAAGCGCCGTGCAACTGGAAAACTTGTCTGCAAGGACGGCTCCGAGAGGCGATTGGGTAAGGTGAAGGCCATGCATCTCCAGTACGTGTAATTGAGGGAGAATGCGGGGAAGCGATGAAGCTGCATGGAAGAGCCAGTGCGTCGAAGTCATGCTGACGGCATAAACAGTCTGACCGTCCCGAACGACAAAACGTAACTCGTTCACCCAAGGAGCAATCTCCGGCGACGCCTTGAGCAACGAAAGAAATTCGTCCAACTTGGTCCTATCCTTCAGGACGATTCTGCGGAAAATATGTCGCCTACTGGCAGAATGCAATATCCGACAACTAAGCGCAAAAGCACCCAGTGCGTGCTTGGAATCACAGAGTTTCTCAGCAATTTCGCTGAGGATGTCGTATGGAAAGATCAATTCTTGCGATGCTGTCATTACTGTGTAAATATAGCGCGTGTGTACTGTGCTGGCAATGACGACAATGTTGAGGTCAGTAAAGGCTCAATACATGCGAAAGAACTGATATGTACTTACCAGAGAGACGATAGTGGGAGAGGACAAGGAGGAGCTTCAGGCCACCTGCCGATGATGGGTTCAGGGTCTGGGTGGATTGGCCAAAGAGGGTGACACTGCCGTAAGGTCGGGTCGAACACTGAGCAGAAACAGGCAGTCGCTTACCTTGTGGATCAATGTGGGCGCTCCGTTCTCAATAAGGTCCAAGGGGAAAGGAGTCAAAAACAAACTTGCGACGCACCTTGGAAGAAGTTCCTGAACTTGCAGAGAGTCGATGAGAGGGCTGATCAAAAAAAGAAGAAAGAATATACATCTATGAAACAGCCGGAATCCTAAAGAGATACATGCGTATGCTAACAATGCAGGAGGGTGTGTGTTGTGTATACGCTAGCTAGCTTGTATGTACGGTATTAAACTATATACGAAAGCGAGGTAGTAAGTCTTTCCCCCCGCTTTAAACGTCAAGAGAGTCAAGAAACGCGATAAAATGAAAACTTATAGGTCCCGAAAACGAATACTGCCAGTAATACGTATGCAAAGGTATGGAAAAAGAAGAAGATGGTTGATTGCGGAATTGGGATTGGATGGGAGTTGCATTGCATTGGAAGAGAGAAAGAGAGAATGGGAGAGATGCGAGAGAGAGATGAGGGGAAAAAGGAAACAGAGAACGGAAATGGAACCTTGTGTGTGGAGAGGGCGAGCAAACCACGGGGATTAGATAAATGAGAGAGAAAAGGGAAAAAGAAGGAGAGAGGGGGAAAGCGGAACGCAGGAAAAACAAAGCTGATGATGATTAAGTTCACAACAGTAAGTATGTAAACCCTACCCATGCAAACAACAACACCGGGGAAGTGTGAATGAAGAAAGCAAGATGTGGAGGGCGAAGCACGGAAATGAGATATAAACAATACCGCGGGCGGATGAATAAGTTGATACGGAGGGTCAAGAGACAGGTAGGGGTAGGGGTAGGAGGAGGGGGGGGAGGAGAAAAGGTTCAGATGGATCGGACTGGGAGGGAAGCTTGGAATACAGAGGTATGGGTCTTTGTAAAAGGACCAGGTCAATGGTGCTACTCATTATACGACTCCTTTAGGGTATGAGAGAGAGTTCATAGTCCAGATCTGGAGGAGGAAAAGGCGGCTCAACCACTAGTACTGCTCGCAGTATGCCAAATCGACCCCAAGAATCCACGCGCAGACGAAACTAAATCAGCAGCCCTACCCACAATACCTTCTCGCTCAGGACTCCTCATATCACGTCGACTCCTCTCCACGCTACGTATTGATGAAGGCGACAATGGTGGACTAGTCGTCGCAGTAGCTTCTGAAGGAGAAGTGACTGGCTGCACGAGACTAGCTTTGGGGAGCTTAGCGGAATGATTGGGTGAGTTGGGACCGGATTGCAGGACGGCAGGGACAGGATGGAAAGTGTTCACTGGCGAGTTGACAGGTGTAGGAGCTGTAGGTGGCGAGGTGTGACGAGCCTTAGTCTCTTCTTCCTCGGGTATAGGCGATGGAACAGTCGCAAGTCGAGGTCTAGCCGTACGAGAACAATCTCCCTCACTAGCAGTACTGCTTCCACTACTCGAAGCAGCCTTATTCGGACCAATAGTGGCTGTTGACGAACTGGCAGTAGACGATCCGGAAATACTGGAAGGCGGCGAGCTCGTTCTTGTCGAACCAATAGAATGACGAGGATTGTCCAATTGCGCACCAAGCAACTCGGGGGAATACGGTTGATACTCGACATCGCTCGCAACCCTGACGGGAGACCCGACAGCACTAGGTGGGCTCATGCTATTTTCGAGTCGGCGTCCCGAACGATCACGACCTCGTTCCTCGTCAACTCTTGGACATGACCTAGAGCTTCCACCACCTGCACTGCTGGTAGAGCCACTGCGTGCTTCACGATCACGATCTCGTCCTCGAGTTTGGTGCGATGCGCCGATCGCGACAGCTGAACCTGTAGGTGAGATACTTCCAAGCGGAGAGTTGTTCCCTCGCGAACCACGAGAAGCGGACCTCTCGTGATCAGAATACGAAGACGTGCGTGTAGACGATCGACCTCTCGACTCCGATCGAGAATCACTCGAGTAAGAATACGATCCTGTGGTTGTAGATCCACTATGTGAGATGCATTGTGGTGATCGGCCGCGAGATGGGAGAATGGTGATATCCGAAGGTGAAAGATATCCTTGGTCGGAGCCCTGTCGTATAGGTGACGTCCGTGAAGGTCCACTACCCATAGACATGGGTCCACCCATTGTCACATCAGGATCCTCTCGAGGAACAGGCTTAATCGCTATAGGCATAGCACCGGATATCGACGTTGAAGCCTCCATCGGACTGGCGCTTAACGGTGATTCCTCTTCCCTCTCTTCCTCGGCACCTGTAACCTCATTGACGATCACCGAAGGCACCCTTGGACTACTCGTATTCATCGTGGCACTCCAATCTTCTCTCCGACTGCTGCTGGCACTACTTCGTCCAATGGATACACCGGAAGCACCACCTTGCGAATAGCGTATGATTCGTGAAGCCGGTCCTTCATCCTCATCATCCTTGTCGTCAGCTGAGTTCCGTCTCCGTCTTCCAAGATGGCTCCTTCGTTCACCATAATCCTCTCCAAGATCCGGTCCGCCAAAGTAATCATATGCATCTGGCTGTTCACTGTGGAGGTCATCCGAATGCATCGGAGAATCCACCACCAACGACTGGTGTCCGAAGAAACTAGAAAGGACAGTCCGGGACGTTTGTCGAGCCAAGTCATTGTTTTGCACTAGTGGTAAAGAGCCAGCCGATAAAGAGCGATTATGTCGTAAATTACTGCTGCTGGACGAGCCAACGCTGAAATACGATTCCCGATGATGATAAACGTCTTCTGAAGCACTAAGACTTGCAGCACCAAGGTTCGGTGTGGAGGGCAAGCTGTAGATACTATTCGAAGGCGGGAGATAAACGAGCTCGAGTTCCTTCGGGTTCGGGGTGACACGACCCTCGACGATATCCTCGAGGTTATTACCAACTCCAGTGGTCTTTAGGATCGTCGGGGCAATAGGTGCAATGGTGACGCGCTCTCGATCTGAAGAGGCTTGACGGACTAAAGGCGGCCGGACCCTCTGAGCGGACTGTGAAGGGTTTGGATGCCCACTGGCACCGCTGAGTGGAGAATGTCGCGATCTTGATGATGAGGAGGATCTAGACCTCGAAGACGAAGTGCGCATCTCCAGGACGTCATCGTCATCATCGTCTGAATCAGAATGTGGGTGCTCTTCGCGATCGCCAATGAAGAACGACGAAGGTTCGTCGGACTCATAGTCGTAGCCCGCTTCAGAGTCCTCGTCGTACCTAAGTACGCATAAACATAATGATCAGTGTAGCTTTGTTGGGCTACGTGAGAAATGAATGCTGACCCGCCATCATAAGCAGCGTCATGGAAGAAGCTAGCACGCCCTCCCACGAAGCTTTTCCGCTTCGGTTTGGGCTTCTCGATTGCAATGCATTGTTCCACGAATGTGTTGAAGCTAATATGCTTCTTCTTGTGGCCAGGTCCACTGGACTGTCCACTGAGATCTTGATCGCTGCTTACAGAATTTGACGAATCGGTCGACGATCGTGATGAGTTCTCTTGTAGTGGATGTGGCAGTTCCGGGGCGATGATTCGAGGGGGAGAGTCTTTCCTGTGCGGACGCGACCGCCAACTAATATGCGTGTCGCTCTTCGTGTGAAGGAGCTTGGGGTGTTCTAGAGTTCCCTCCTCGTCAGAACCCTCTTCGGACTCTTCATGATCAAAGAAGGGGCTTGCGGGGAGAGAAAGGAGTTGGCTGATGGTTCGCCGCTTGAGAATGGGTTTAGTGACACCTGAAACAACAGGTCGGGTGCCAGAGATGGTATCGAAGCTGGTCTTGCGGGGAGTTACCTTTTGCTGTTTGTAATCTGTCCAGTCGGTGCCCACATGCAGTGGGCCATACAGCCAGGTAACGTCCGAGTCTTTCAGCCTGAAGAAACGATGGTCAGTACGCTTGATCAAAGATAGAAAGATGTGGGCGATGAAGATGAAGCAACGAAGCAATGACACCGCAACCTCGCTTCGGACACGAGGCGGCTATCTCATTCAAGCAAAACTGCGACACCAACGAAAGCACCACTGACGAAGATAAGAAAGCGCATATAAATGAAGAAGAACGTACCAATTGAGAGTTTCCGGATTGATAGTCTTTAGTTTGTTTCTCTGCTTCCACCACGTACGCCAACTCGCATTCTCTAAACGCATGCCATTCGCGATGGCATTCTTCTGCCTTGTCATACTCCTCCATGACCTCCAAACGTCTTCTTCCCTCCATTCGTGTGAGAGGTAGTCGACCTGTCCCTGAGGAAGTGTGGAGAAGGAAGAATCATCAGGAACTGCGGTATTGGAGACTTTGACGAGAAGTGTTGGCAGATAACTCGTCAGAGTCGCCGGGACAGGCATGTTGCAGAGAGTAGGAAGGAAAGGAGCGAAGGGCGACAGGATTGCAAGCCAAGAAGTTACAAAATGGGAAAAGTGACTAATGTAAACTACAGGAGACCGAGCGGGGAAGCAGGAGGAAGCGTTGAGGAGGATAGGTCGGCTTGATCCTGCCGGAAAAGCACTGTAACAAAATGAATCACGCAGGCTTTGGTGCTGAGGATCCGATGCAGCGAGGAGTATGGGAAGCTTGCTGCTGTAGACGGCGTGCAGGGGGGTTGAGCAGGATGGGGTGGACGTCGCCGCCGCCGTTAGACACGATGAGTAAACGGCATGGAGAGGGTGTGGAAGGGAGGAGGATAGGGAATGGCTCTCAGTGGGAATTCACTCAACCAGGCGGCGTTCCCAAAATGGACATCATCAACTCCGCCTTCCCCCGAGCCGGTGCCCCGGAGACCCGCCGGAATTCACATCACGTGCTCCCGCCTCCCCTTCCACCTCCTTGCCCCGCGTCTCAAACGCCCGAGGGCTATTGTGTTCATATCGTCTGTTTTTTTTTTCACTCGTCTGCGTTTTTTTTCACTCGTAACCAATCCTCGTTCACCATCCTTTCAATCCACCCAAGGCAGCGCTATGTTTTTTGATTCGCTCCCGAGCCGTCTGATAAGTATTCAGACTCTCCGGCAGGCACCGCTCATCATTCTGCCGAAAATACTCCTCGTGGCCGTTACAATCCCGGGCTCAGTCTGGTACCTGTTCACGCGCACGCGTCGACTCGGACGCGTTCTCGACAAGTCTCAACGACAACTTACGGTAGTTCTCTTGTCTCTCTAACAAACTTCTTGTGCTTGAGAGGTATTTTTCCTTCCAGTGTCCTTCAAGCATTCCATTCAGATTCGGATGTACTGCACCTCCCAAAGCATCACTCCGCAGCATCACACTCTGAGAAAAATCTCATTCCTGCTTTGACAGCTCGTCCATACCGCCCGTAGCTGGCAACCACACTGGGCTCATCGGGCGGGTCATTTGACTCCACTCCTGTTCACCCATCCCGCAGTATGCTCGGACGTTGTAGCCCAGAACTTGGAAGGTCCACCGAGGCGTACCGCTCAAGCAATCTGAATGCAACGACCTTAGTCGCCGTCCAACATCCTATTGCTCCTGGTTGCCAGCTAAATGCCGAACCCGCTAGTCACATTCCAAGCTCCCGCGAGCTTCTTCCCCCGCACCCATCTTCACCAATTTGACAGCTTCTTGATGCATGCAAAGCGTTTCCCCAGATCTGGCTCACCGGTGATCGCCATCTCTGCCTCTGTGCCCACTGAATGCTCCGAGGTTCTTCTGTCCATTCCAGGGGCCAAAGTCCTTGATATGGATGCACGTTTATAGTCATCACCGGTCACCTGTCGCTGCATTGTTCCCTCCTTGTTCCAGCTTCTTCCCAGCAACTTTCCGCGCTCCCCATATGCATAAACTCAATCCGCACTGCAATGACATATGATCTGAACACACTCGACAACCCCGCGGGCCTGACGGGCCACCGGCACCCTACATTTGACATTTGGTTGATTCGGTGACACATTCCAATCCTGATATCCTGGTTCTGCTACGTAGGTATGCTACTGCCGGAGGTTGGCCGCGCTGCTTCGAGCCTTTGGCATGTCAACAGATGCGCTGAAACTCGTAACCGTTGACAGTCTGCGGAGCTTAGCCGTGAATGTGATCGTCCTCTGATTCTCTGAAGCTCTCCTTAGCTTTCCCCCTCTGAGCCTCGGGCTGCGTACACTGCACTGACTCGTTCTCGGACTCATCATTGGCACATGAATATCACGTTCCTCACCTCAACACGCCGCTCGCGACCTATTGCACGTTATGCTTCAAAGCTTCATGTCTATCCATGATCCGTATGACATTGATATTCCCTCTTTCTTGTTGCATATTGCCTATACAATTCCGTATCCCGTTTCTCACCATCCCTAGTTCCCACTCCAATTCCAATTCCACTTGTCTTGACTCTTGATTCTTGTCCATGCCCAGTCGATCGATTCCCGTCGGTCCAAGTACTCGGAGGCGCCGACTCCAGTTCTTGTTCCGGCAGTCGGTTTCTTTCGATCGCCCAGCAAAACACCAAACCAATCACACAAGCAGAAAAGTCAAGCCAATTGGGGGGCCTCGGTTCCAAAAAAAGAACAGACTGTGGACCGACCGACCGCCCGCCGTCACCCGCCACCACTCGCCGCTCCAAAGAAGAAAATCACAAGATAAAAATTCCGTCCAGCTTGGAAACAACTAAAGCAATCTGGATAACAGATGAATCGATTAATTACCTTGGCGAGATGGATTCTGGTAGGCTCTCGCGATATCGGGCGTTGTCATTTTCCGAATGATATTCGAGGCTTTGTCTTTTGCGACCTCACCACTGGCTCGCTGGGATAACGCTGGTGTACTTGGCCCACAATTTGTTCCCGGGACAATGAGGAGGAATTGTTTAATTCTCTGTCATGCGTTTTTTGTTTTTGGTGAAGCGGAAAAGTATCGGAAAGTTGCCGAATAGGAGACCGAAGGTGACATGTTTTTGGATATTGGACGCGTGTCGTCACGCGTCACACCGTGTTTGAGACGCGACGCGTTTGTCTTTCCACGAACATCGGAAAATATCGACACGGTGTCGCGTACGTTGAACATTGAATGTTCAGTGCCGAATGATGGCTACCTGAGTTATGTATCGAACATAGCCAGTCGTATCAGACTCGTCTTTCATTTCTTGCTTCTAGGTGAGGTGACATAGTGGTCGCAGCCAGGTACTCAGAACCAAAGCATCGTCACTGGATAAAAGACATTGAGTGATCATTAGCCAAGTTTCCCAAGCAAAGAACACTCACATGAAGAAGGATTCACTACTCATTCGCTGACGAGTTCACCACATATAATCTGAACAATTCCCTTCTCAACTAAAGCCGACCCTGCAGCTTCGATTGCCCGTTTCCCCATCATAAACGTACATTCAGGTTGCGACGGTTCTTCCGAGTCATCATAGAAATAAACCAGGAATTGCTCTAATCGAGGGATCCCGACTGACGCAGCGGTAAGTAATGTAGCCTAATCCAAAGTCTTGGGCGTAAAGGGTAGTGTTTCGAGAGTGTCGGGGAGTGAGAATAAACAGTGAAGGGAAAGCTTTGTGACCGTCACCGGAGTATTGGTGAACAGAGTTATAAGCCATGTCTAGAGATGTAATATTGTAGTATCAGTGGGACCCACGATATCGATGTGGAGGATGATACGCTTGAGCGAAGACATTGAGGGAAATGATGTAAGACGGAGATCAGGCGACGCGTGTTGAGCAGTATAACCAGAAACTGCACGCAGATTTATCAGGATTCTTCTGCTAAGCATCTTAGCTGAACATACCATTGTCTCCCATCCATACCGGAATTTTAAGCTCCAGTTGCTCGAGAGCGAGCGACCTGTGTTTGAAAAGCCTATCCACGCACACGGCGCAAGGCAGATAACGCAATGTTCCGGTGAAATATTTGATTGAGGCTACGTCGACTGCTTTCATGAGGACGGAACTACTGTACCATAGAACATCAGTGTCGGTGATGATCAACTTGGAAACTTTGACCATGGGGGGAGGCACCGCGAGGGGTAAAGTGTCTTTGCCCCAATGCATGCCGGAGTGTTTGATGTCCAACTCCATCGTAGATGCAAAATGACTGAGGAATTCGAATTCCATGACTAACGACCCAGATACCGGCTTTTCCACATAGAGAGTGGCGATTTCGTCCAATGAGAGACGATCCAATTGAAACGCGTCGTCCGAGGATGTGTCGCTTGACCCCGGAGCGAGAGTAAGAAGTTTCAAAGAGAGCCTACGAAGCCTCGGAAGTCCTCTCATGATATAAATGAGAGATGACACTTTGACCGGTGGAGCCCTGAAGTCAACATGTAATATTGAAGAGATTGTCAAGTCTTGAATAAATCTGCCTAGATGGGGATTGTTCGCGACGGAATTAACAAATCGATGTATTTTCATTGGGTTGTGGCTGGATAGCGTCAATGAAATGGTACGAAAAAGGTGACGCCTGCAGAGCTCCCGCCAATCCTTGGAAATCAGGCAACAGCGTGAAAGAACTGCTTTCTTGGTGCGGAGAAAAGAAACGATCTCGACGATCACATCGTAGGGAATCTTCGGTGTATACGTCGTCATTCTGCAGTATATCAGTGGAGATTCAAGCAAGTTGAAGTTTGGAGGACCCGAACGTAGTGAAGATGAAACGAAGAGGCGGAAAAGAAGTGGAGATCTGAGAAACAACTTGAAGCCAACTGTGACAAGACGCGTAGTGTCACGCGTCTCAATCATCGTGTAGACGCGTCGCACACGGCAACGTTCACCACAACTACTTGCACGATGGTGAGCACCACGCTCCAGCCGCCGCACGAGGAACTTCAATATCTTAACCTCATACGTACCGTTCTTGACACCGGCGCTGTACGGCCAGACCGTACAGGCACCGGTACACTCTCAATCTTCGCTCCACCACCTCTGCGTTTCTCTCTGGCGGACTCCACATTTCCCCTCCTTACAACAAAAAGAACCTTCCTTCGGGGCATCGTGGAAGAACTTCTATGGTTTATTCATGGGTCTACGGATTCGAAGCTGCTGTCGCAGAAGGGCGTGAAGATTTGGGACGGTAACGGCTCGAAGGCGTTTTTGGAGAAACGCGGGTTGGCACACAGACGGGAGGGGGACTTGGGTCCCGTATATGGGTTCCAATGGAGACACTTTGGCGCAGAATATGTAGACTGTGATACGGATTATTCAGGCAAAGGCGTGGATCAGTTGCAGGAATGCATTCGGAAGATCCAAGAGGACCCAACGGATCGTAGAATTATCTTAAGTGCTTGGAACCCTGCAGGTAAGTTCAAAAACCTTTTCTTCATGAATAGCCGTTGAACTGTATTCTGTAGATATACCATCCATGGCTCTCCCTCCCTGCCATATGATGTGCCAATTCTACGTGCACCTTCCCACATCCCCCGACGAGAAACCCAAACTCTCCTGCCTAATGTACCAACGTTCCGCAGACCTCGGACTTGGGATCCCTTTCAACATTGCCTCTTATGCTCTCCTCACACACATGATCGCACACGTTACTGATACCGAACCTCACGAACTCATCATCCAACTTGGGGACGCACATGTCTACCGTGATCATGTGGAGGCATTGGAGGTCCAACTAAAGCGAGAACCGAGACCTTTCCCTAAGCTGAAGTGGAAACGAAGGGTAGAGAAGATTGATGATTTTTTGGCAGAGGATGTCATCGTGGAAGGCTATGATCCTCATCCAAGTATCGCGATGAAGATGAGCGTATAGGTGTTCTGAATAATTGCATGTTTCTATATACCGTTGGTTTGCTGTTCCAGTCGCGCTGTATCCTGTATCTCGTTTCTCTGTAGCTAAAGTAGAATGTATACCCATTAGACCTCTGGATACCCCAATTGCAAGTTCCTGCTAGTACTGTACGTTTCAAATTCTTATGCCGAAAGCATTACGATTATGGGCGTCTACCCTACAGATGTTCTCCGCAACCACCATTCGAATATGTTTTCGACAAACCGCTTTCGTCAAGCCCACCCGTTCGCTGTCCTCGCTTGCTTGTACTCGTTCTTTGATTCATGACGTACACACATCGCGTCGGTTCTCTCAATACCAGTTTCGACTCTCGTTTCTGTCTCGTCGACACTTCTTTCGATCATCTCCGCAGCTTTCAGAGAACAGTCCACCACCACTTCCTCCAAAACCAGATGGAACGAAGAAGAAGATTCAGGATACAATACGAGAGAATATATATACCCTTCCGAATTTCCTCACTGTCTCGCGTATTCTTGCATGCCCAGTCCTCGGGTGGAGTATAGTCCACGATGACTTCACACTTGCGATCTCTTTGTTGGTTTATGCCGGCCTGACTGACCTCGTGAGTGTCCTGTGTTGGCGTTGAAAATAAAAGGAGCGGAATGAACTTCAAATGAGGAAGGTCGACGGATTCCTGGCAAGACGGTTTAAGATGCAAAGCGTCCTTGGTACCGTCCTAGACCCTGCAGCGGACAAGACGTTAATGACAACATTAACTATTACCCTGGCTATGAAGGGCCTCTTACCTGGTATGTGTACATATGCTGAAGGCGTACTTCTCTTATTGTTTTAATCTACGATTCATGCACAGTGCCTTTGGCGGTGATCATTTTGGGTAGAGACGTCCTTCTGATTCTGTCCGCGCTTTGGATTCGATATACCTCGCTACCACCCCCAGTAAGCAACTTAGTCTATGTGTTTTCTCTATCAATCAACGTTACAAACTTGGCCGTAGAAAACGTTCTCCCGATATTGGGACTTCTCAACACCTTCAGCTGAAGTTCGACCAACATATATCAGTAAAGTATGTACATTCATGCTTCATTGTGATCTGGCTGGTCATGATAAATTGGCATCTACATAGGTGAATACAGCGTTGCAACTACTTCTCATGGGCACGACTACCATCAGTCCTATATTGCCCTTCGATATCACCTTGGGCCTCCAAACACTTCAGTACGTCTTTACCGAACGTTGAATTTGTGTACAAGGACCTCAATTTCTTATAATTTACGTCTCCTTTTCAGATGGATTGTAGGCGCGACCACGATATGGAGCGGAGCGTCGTATCTTTTCACCAAAGATGCTGTACGAATCATATCGTCTTCGACGAAGAAATCTCCAAAGCCATGACCTCACTGTGTCAAATCTTGCGTGCCGACTCATCTTGTCTTTGACTAGGTGTATTCACAATATATTTGCCTCCGCGGTATACTTTGATAATAGCCGCATTCTCAATATTCTGCATGACCTTGTGAACTCGTCCTTTTCAGGCATCTACTTTAGATCGTTCGAGTCTGCCGTAGAATTGGGCAAGCACGAACACTTACACTTCCTGCATATCAATGGCGCTCGGGGTGAAAAATTTATTTTCACATTTGCGCGCGCTATACCTGACACCTTCAACCGGCGTTCCTGCGAACACCTCTTTCACCACAACCTCATTGACGATACTTTCCGATACACACTCTGGGTAACCAAGGACCAAGTAGCATCTATCGCATGCCTGGCGGTTTTTCCGCGCTTAAGCGTGCTTGATATTTTAACAAGTATCTGCGAATCCCACAGACTTACGAAGAGTCACGTCTGTTGCGCCAGCTGCGCTGGGTAGCCCTACTAATGTGGCTGTAAGCTCGTGACCTTATTCTGTCAAACTGCTACAATATGTTGTTCTTGGTTCGCGATCCTAGTGGCGGCCTCTGGTGACTGATATGATAAGATAAGTTGACCGGCTGCCATCATTTAGGTGAGACACCTTATACCCACTTGAGCCATGCTTTCCCATTTCAGGCTTCAGGCCCAACAGCAAAGGAGAAAGATCTGCAAATTTTCACAATTATTTGAAGCCTTTATCAGCTTGTTCCTATCTTCATATTATACTTTACTTAAAGGGCTTTATCTGCAACACCATTATAAATATAGCCTAGTTTGATGTATGCTCTATTCAATCTATTGCATATGCTAAAGGTATAATCTATTCAAATTGTAAGCCTCAAGTTTGAATTATTTACTAGTAAAAGAACTCACACTATTATTAGTAAATATATATATAAGATTTGAGCATAGTTTAAAAATAGCTAACAGTTATAAATCAAATATTTCACATTATTTTTATAGTATATTGCATCTCATTTGCTAAGTATATTGAAGCTAGTAGAAACACTGGATCTCTTTTAATTGTACAATTTAGTTCAAATTTCTCCATATTCATCTATTATACAAATCTCATACCACTCATCTTCAATATATAAAATGCCTTTCTCTGCTAGCTTAGAAAATAGCTGAAACCAATTGACATATTTGTCTGCCTCAGATAAGCTAACAAGTTTAAAACTAGCTGCATTCACAGCCAATAAGCTTGATTCAAACTGTTGACAGGTTTTTTCATCAATAATTGGCTGATGAAGATTTACAGTTACTGGCATTCTTGAATGCACTGTTGAAAGTGATGCTAATGTAAATGAGAGTCTTTCTGTGTCTGCTCTAAAACTTAGATATTGCAAGCATGAATTATGCTGAAAATCAATGGCTACCAAACTAGTCAGAATAGAATAAAACACTGGAGGTGCAATATAATTATCATCTTCATTCTCATCTTCAGTATTCAGATATAACTGAATATTGCATTTTGACAATGATAATCCAGAGCTTGACAGAATTTGATTGATTGCTGATATAAGCTCAGGTGTGAATTTATGTATATCATATAACAAGATATTAAAAAGTTCAAGGCTGGAGATATAGCCACTGGATGCCTTTCCGTAGCGATTTAGAATGTGTTCTAAACAATAAACCAGTAGAAAATGCCTCAGACGCTTGTTGGCCGAGGAGCCGTCGAGCAGTACCACTAAGTCAGAATAGAGGAGAGGTTTCCAAACCTTGAATCTGGAAGGGGAGGTACCCCCCCTCTTCTAGTTGTAAACTGCAGTAAAAACCAGTAAAAACACAGCATTTTACTCTCTGCTGTCTCCTCATTGGCCCTTGCGACTTCAGCGGCTCACTCGTGCTCCTTGTATGGTAAGACCAATTGCTGACACATCGCTTTACAACAATCGAAATCAGTCTATGATGCAGTCAAATTTTGATGCTACGGGTTAGCAACTCCTGTAAACCCAAGGCAGTGGGCCCATTCAAGGTCTGCTTAATATCTAGAATTCACTCTAAATCCTACAGAAAGGCATCCACTGTCAAATAATGACTGTAATAGTGATGAATCTGCCTCTTGTATTTGCAATGATTTCAAGCTAGATCTGGGCTGTTTTTTGCCTGTATTAGTTGTGGCAATGTATGGCATTTTAGAAGATATGTCAATAGAAGAAAGTCTCAGATGCTGCAATTTAGAACATGATTATAACACTCTGTGAAGCTGCTTGATTGAAAATGTGTCACCATCTAGACCCAAATTATATATTGGCAGAAGAGCCAGGCCTCTAAAAAAGTCTAAATGAATCCAGGCAATATTGAGAGACCATATAGTAAGATGGGTGATATTATTGAATCCAATAGGAAAGAGTGGTATAGACCAGCCCATGTCATTTATCTTAGGCTCCCACTTTGAAAAAACAATTCTAAGGCTTTTCAAATATGCAGAGTATGCCTTATAATGATATGCATATGTTTTCCATAGCTGGCTAGCCTGTTGAGCTTTATCAGCAGCCAGATGAATATGTCTGTAGAGAAAGGGCAATGCATATGAATGCCAGGCATGGTAAGTGAGACAACATGCATTTAAGGTGGTCCTCTAGATATACACAAAACATGTCAGAGCTTCATATCTTCAATGTCAGAAATACATATTCAACTCACTCTTCCTGGTATAGGATACATACTATTATCACGAAGCTCATAAAATGTACTGATTGGAAGTTTATGCACCCAGTATATGACTTCAAGTTGTATCTCCAAGGGCAGCCATGGAAGCTGCATGACTTTCCTACTCTTTGGTCTCTTCTTGCCTTTATTCTCTTTGTTCTCTTTCTTGCCTTTATTCTCTTTGTTCTCTTTCTTTCCTTTAGTCTCTGTCATCTCCTGCTTTGCCTGGTCAAACCTTCAGTGCCGGTGAAGACAGCTGAGAACAGTGAGGGTAAGTGGGGTAGTTGAAAGGGGAAGGTATGTGCGACCAATTCACCCCACACTTGTTATATATATCTTACAGACAACCCTAGGATGCCGATACATGCATCTTACATGCACCACTGTGCATTCGCAGCCCCCGAGCGATCCAATCACAGAGGCACAGTATTAGGGTTCAGTCGAGCGCAGAAAGCAGTTCTCAGAGCGATGAGCGAGAAGCGCACAAGGACACAGCATATTGACAAAGATGCTGAAGAAAGATACAAAGCGCGAAGCCGATTGAAGGCACCGCCGGTATATGTAGGACAACTGTCAGAATACCTACAGCCCTCGATGAAGAAATCAGCCGCAGTGGCCATGCATGTCATTTATTCTTCACCCATTACTCTCCAGGCCGGAGTCCAGAGGGCACGGCAAAATACCACGTCCATGCGGTTAGTGTCAGCTCCTAATACAATGCGCGCAGTCCTCATGGAAAGGAAGGTGCTGCGAAGCCCCTGACGAACCCACATACCCAAGCTGATCGAATTCCTGCATGGGACGTGCGGCCCTAACTCGTATCAGAGAACCCAAGTACACATAACCAACAGATATTAGTAAAGAAAGGGACGAGAAGGTGAGGCGGCGAGAGCGAGTGAGGGCGAGAATGACTGTGCATCGACTTACCAGCAGCCTGACATCCTCCACACCCCACCTATCGTCAAACCTGACCCTCACCTTGCCCGAAGGCACCCTTGCTACATGTCACCCTAGCTATATGTGTAGAGTAGTCGAGCGGGAGACCTGTATCGTTCAAGGTAGGTCATTCCTCATGTTCTCGAGGGGGTCCAAATCGTGTCCAGGGATCGATGGCCGGGCCACGAAGCACCAGAGAGACAACCCTGCAGCGGCGTTGGAGTCGACAGGCATGAAGGCAGCAGATGGAAGAGCTGCTCACCTTGAACCAATAGGAATCCGGTGAATAACCGACCGATCACCGATCATGTTGTTTGCAGTCTATCGTGAACACTTATTGCTCGCTATCGACTGGCATTCTCATTGTTGTTACGAGGAATGGTGTCTACTGATGGTTCGAAGCCGTAGTGTTATCGATTGGCCAAGATCTTGCCATTTCCCCGAGCAAAACACACGAGAGTGTGCCGAGCTGTCCTGCCGATATAGGATCATGCACCTTGGATGTTCACGTTGGGGCTTCGTCACTTAACTCTGCGTCAATACATGGAGCACATGCCGAACTGCTACCTTTTTCGACTACTGAATTCAGTCTCTACTAGCATCTGTGCCCAACACGTCGTTCTTGATGCAGAAAGTCGAGCCGGTACTACGTAAATTTGAAGAAGGTGAGGGCATCTCAGCTGTTTTTCCGCTGGCCCTTCCATTTCGTATGACCATATTAATATCTCCGCGTATGCAGTACACCGTACCCATGCGTCTGCCACTATTCTGACTGGAAAATGTGGACGTCATGGACGTTACAGTCTATTCCACTCATACGCATATACTGGTTGACGGTATGATAGTTAGTCCATACACGTTTGGGGCAGGATGGGTGGTTATAGATAGATGTCTTAGCCGTCTAATGCCAACATTGTGTAAGAAGTTGGGCGGGTTCCACTTCCATATTCTTCAGGTCAAAATGGGTCGAGGCGAGAAAAAACATTCTAAGGTCGTTACATGAGTATGTTTCCCAAGTGCTTCTATACAGCCCCTTTGAATATGATTCATAAATAAGGTGAGCACCTTGTTTCGCGGCTAGTGCGGTCAGATTCCAATTCTATACCATTCATTGGAGTCAGTACGAATGTCAGCGGATAAGTCACAAAAGGAGATATGAGAAATGGCAAGAATGTTGAGGAGATAGATCAGACAGATCGTACTTATGAATATATAAAGACGAACCTAGTGATGTCGGTAGCGATGATCGCAAGCAAACTATCTGCAATCCCAGCAGTTGAGCCCGGTACCCGAGCTTGAACTCGTGTCCTGTGACCATATTTGCGATGCCTATGACCGCGATGGGCCTCCAGTGCTGGCTAGCCATTTGGTGCGAATCCATTGCGTGTAACAGAAAAAAATTAAGAGCGTATACATACGTGTATTGTCTAATGAGCTAGGCGCGGTGGGCACCAAGAAGACCCTTTGGGACGTTGACAGCAATGCAGGTAAAATCGCTCACCCTTCCAGCAGCATGAGCAATATGTTCCAGCCTGACCTTGCACTCTTCGAGACTCATATCCCGGTCGATATCCTACACTATGGGTAGGTTGAGGCTTGAGGTGGGGTACCGGTGCTGGCTCCAGTTCTAGCTCTGAGTCTGACCTTGGCTTGGCTTTGCGCACGGGATCCTCCGCCTATAGTTTCACTGTCCGAAGGAATAATCCAAAACAACCCTATACCCGCTGAAGGACTGGAAACACACACGCGAAGGCTCGCGGCACCCAGTTGCGGTCTCAGCGTTGTCGGTGACAATACTAGTCGGACCATGGCAATGTCAGTAGTGGTTGGCGTGAAGTCTTTCGACCTCCTAGGCTGACAATCTTCGAGATGGACTTCGACTAGTGATCTAGAAAATCTATTAAGTACAAAACAATTCGCTGAGAAAAGACTGGTAGCAGCCAAAGCGGCAGTGAGACGCATGATAGAAGCGAAATGAAAGAACCAGAACGCTGAGACAACGTGAACGAATAGTCGTGATGTGATAATGAATAATAAAATACGGCCAGAGGAAATTGAGCAAGCGTAAACCAAAATGAAACAAGATGGTCCCTACGCTGCGACCGTATCTGCTGCTTGAATGAGGCCTCTATGATCACCGGGTCATCTTCTTGTAGACGGAGACGCAGACTTTTGTGATGATACCATCGTAATCAACAGAGGCACACAACGAAGAGGCATGAGTCAGGAAGGCTAGTCTAGACAAAAAGCGCTTGCTAAGAACCAGGTCTTATGTGAGCATATAGAAGCAGAACGCTGAGCTTAGAGAGCATTTCGGGAGCAATTCAGCATCAATATCCCAGAAGCAACGATGCATGTACCGCATGCAACTCTGAGTCACAGATATACTTACCAACCTGCAAGCATATTGGAGCAACCGTCATACCCAACAGCACAGCTAGCATCTTGGATGCAAACAAACCAAGCGATGGACTTGCATGTAGCCTTCACAAAGTAGTAATTGACTCGACGACTACTTGCTGGCCGCCATTACCGAATCGTGAAGTTGAATCAGTGACCAAGAATCAAGCTTCAAGATGGATATGCCAGAACCAACCGCGTAGGAGGACGAAAGAAAAGGTATTGATAAGCTCTGCAAGGTATGATATGTAAGACGCTCTGTCAGCAATCTCTCATTTCTCTGGAATCAATCGATGGAATACACTGTCAGATGCCAATCAATGATGGCTTCCTTCGCGCGCATCATTCGGTACCGATCCCAAATTGGAGAGTACTCTGTAGTTCGAGGTTCGGAGGCTTTCTACGTCATTCACCTCTCAAAATGACCTATTTATTTCTCCTATATCAGTAGGGCTCTTTTCGGCATATATGTCACGATATGTTTATTCAATAAGGGACATTTTGTACAGCGTAATGCACGTTCTTAGGCTTTCCAGCAAGGTAAGTCGAACATCTCTCTTTTGGAAAACGTATCAAAAACAGACTGAATGGACAGGACTAGGCTCAACTATGGACCATAGTTCTCACTCAACTTTCGCTGCCATGCCAGAAGCGATGACGCAACCTGGCAATGACTTCGGCATCCTGGCGTGTCCACTATGGCTACTTAAGTACTTACGTCCGACTCTCGCGGTATATCGACGCGACCGGAAGTCTACATATAAATTGTGGAGTATATAAAGGAGCCTAATTCAATCTAGGACACTAACACAACAATCCATCCATCAACCTTGACTTACGATGTCTTTCTTTGCTCAACCTCCCACTCCTGCCACTAAGCTCGGTTACCATCGCAAATTAGCACCGGCTGCTGGTCTCCATGTGTCTCCAATTGCCCTTGGAGCCATGAGCATTGGCGACAAATGGAGCGAATGGAACTTTGGTACCATGGATAAAGAATCGAGTTTCAAGCTCCTCGATGCTTTCTACGAGGCTGGTGGAAATTTCATTGATACTTCCAGTAACTAGTAAGTCTTCTGACACTGTGTTGTAAATACAGACTAACGTAAGCTTCATCGGCTCACTCATAGCCAAGATGAATCCTCTGAAGAATTCATTGGTGAATGGATGGAAGCTCGCGGAATTCGTGAACAGATGGTCATCGCGACCAAGGTATGTGCCGTGCTCCCTGATGCGCTTTTTCATCAACCTCATTGGCTTTTTTTTTATCATCAAAGTATGGTACCAATTACAAGCGTGGAGACCCGACTCTCAAGTTAAAGACCGGTTTCGTCGGCAACAACGTAAAGTCCATGCACAATTCAGTTGAAGCCTCCCTCAAGAAGCTGCGAACTGATCACATTGACATTCTCTACCTGCACTGGTGGGACTATACCACACCCGTCGAGGAGGTCATGAACGCCCTGCACAATCTTGTGGTGCAAGGAAAGGTGCTATATTTGGTACGTCCCATCTGACTTTACATGTCATCCGTAGTAATTTATTACCATGCAATAGGGCGTTTCAGACACCCCGGCTTTCATTGTTTCAAAGGCGAACACGTACGCCAGACTCACTGGAAAAACCCCTTTCGTAATCTACGAGGGTGCTTGGAGCATTCTTCAAAGGGACTTCGAGCGCGAGATCTTGCTGTTGGCAAAGGTGGAAGGTGAAAACAACTGCCTGCTGTCTGGTGTCTGCTAGTTCATTGACAAGTTCGGCATGTGCAGGAATGGCCTTGGCACCTTGGAATGTCCTCGCAGGTGGCAAGATTCGTACCGACGCCGAGGAACAGCGAAGACGCGAGTCCGGCGAGAAGGGTAAGTCGAATCGGGATCCCATTCACGCCTTCCTTTGCTCATATGAATTCTACTCCAGGCCGTATGATATTAAGTCCAAACTGGGAACGTACCGCAGACGAGCGTAAAGTGTGTCTCGCTCTAGAGAAGGTCGCTGCAGAAGTCGGTGCCAAGTCAATCACTTCAGGTTAGCTCTTTCACGTCCATAGTGTGAGAGACATTTGTCGCTGATATATGGCCGCCGTGATCCTGTTCTTAGTTGCTATCGCATATGTGATGCAAAAGGTTCCTTACGTCTTCCCTATAATCGGCGGCAGGAAAGTCGAACACCTCCACCAGAATTTGGAGGCCATGGAAATCGCTCTCTCCCCTGAGCATATCCGGTACCTCGAAAGCATCCTGCCGTTCGATCTTGGTTTCCCTTACAGCGAATTCGTACGTGCAATTGTGGACTTGTGGGATTCTTATGGTTTTGGCTAATGCGACCTCCTTTCGATAGGGTAATGGAAGTGACTATAATGCGATGTACAAGAACGCGGGATATTTCGAGAAGTGGCCTGATGCTCAAGCTATCCGACCTACCAAGAATTAGGGACAGGGATCCCTCAGAATGTTTCTTTCGACATCTTCTTCAGAGACGTGTTTCAGGCACGAAGATCCTCACAAATGCTGTGATTTCTGAATGGGAATCGTATTCATGTAACGGTAGATGAGTCTACAGACGAATTGGAATTACGCGTCGATAGATACTGTTGTTCCCGAAAGCCAAGATTAGTATTCAATACATGCTTATGGTATCTATTACAAGAGTCCAGTGATACACAAGAAAGACTATGGTACCAAACAAGCTGGAATAAACAAATGAAGATTACTGCTAAATTGGAAAAGGAGTTATGACGGTGCTCGTTCTTTTCCCTTCCTACTACTAGTTGCTACAACTGGTGCCTCGTCTGCTGGGCTGGTGATTCGGCGACGACGAACCTCCTGAAGAGCAGCAGCGATAGCTTCCTTTGAAGCCGTTTGTTGTCGCCAAGCTTCACTCGCTCGTCTATGGAAACATGAATATGAGCGCGTTCAATGGCAAGCAGTACTTCAAGCAGCAAACTTACTCTGCTCGTCGGATAAAGATCACAGATAGTACAACCGTTTTGAAGGTCCTCTTTGGAACTTGGTGCTTTGGGGGATCGATCGTGAGGAAGCCTATCCTTGCGATGGCTGCTAGGATCTTCTGCTCGCTGTACCATCATATAATGTGAGTTTCATGCTGAATTACAGTATCAGCAAACACGACTCACGTTCTCTCAGACCTCCCTAGAAGTGCCAAAAGGTATCTTTTCTGATATCCCAAGTCACATCGCAAAGTTGATTCTCGGGTGAACTTGGCTTTTAGGTACCGGATTTGTACAACCAGGCCCTTGCATTCATTCTTATGCTGGATCTTGACAGACTGAAGCTGTTGCTCATCGCTAACGAGGCGCATCCTCAGTCAATATCAATGTCTCGATAAAAAGTGGAGACCACCCACGCTGCACAAACATGGGAGCGCCACCGTTCCTCCCCTGCACGAGCCTTCTCCTTCTGGGACATAAGCTCCTCCTTCAAAAGACGAATCTGGGACTGTGCTTGCTTCTGGGCTCGTTCAGCTTTGCCAATAGCCTCCTTGCGTTCTGCTTCCAATTTGTCTTTCTGTGCTCTAAGAGACTTAAGATCCCTGCCAAAGGCTTCGGCATCCCTCTTGACACGGCGAAGGTCTGCTTCAAGAGCTGCGACTGTACGAGCGACATCATCTTTCTCGCTGGCCATCTGTTTCTTCTCTTCTTCTACTCGCTGTAGTTCGTCATCTCGCTGCGAGAGCGCCCGGCGCAGATCCTCGATTTCCAGAACTTGTAGGTCCAGCTGATGACGTCTGTTATCGTGAGACGTCTGTCCAGCGACGCAGTTATCGCGTAGCTTGTTGACATGCTATAGGGCATCTGATTCAGTAAAAAAAAAAATGATGCATCGTCACAAAGATAGAAAAACCTTAGAGGCTTCCGTATAACGCTTCTGAAGATTCTTATGGTCCGCAACAAGCAGAGAACGTTCCTGTCGCAGTTGTTCGATGGTTGCGGCATTTTCCGCCACCTTCTGTTCGAGAAGACGAGCTTTCTGGTCAATATTCGCATTGCCTACAATATCCAGTCAGTCTATACCGCGAGTCACTATTTTGGAGGAAAGACTCACTGCGCAGCTCGGCTTCCAGCTCGTGGTTCTCCTGTTTGATCTTGTGAAGATGCTCCTTGATTTCGGACATGTCCTACATAACATACAGGTCAGTGTTGTATCCAGCGTTTCAACATTTATTCACACTCACAGATTCTGTGCGACGAAGCTGCAAGGTGATTTTCTCCCTTTGCCGTTCCGCTTGAGTCTGTTCCGCCGTCAGAGCACGGAGACGAGAGCGCTCCTCCTTCAACTCTTCCTCCAGTTCCTCGACCATACCCTTGGCATTGGCAAGTTCCTATCAAGAAGATCAGCAGGTAATCCTCAAAGCAGGTTCATCCACAAATGCCTTACCTGTTCAATGTCACCTCTGTTTCGTTCACCCTCTCGCTCCTTGTTGGCATAACGCTCAATTTGAGTCTTCGCGTTTCGCACTTCGGCATTCAGGCGTTTGGTGGCATCTTGCAAAACAGCGTTCTCGCCCAAGAGCTTCTGTCTTTCCCCTTCCCATTGCTGCTTCATAGAGTTCAGCTGCGTGTTGACGGCTTGTAGGTCGCCTCGTAGTTTCTCGCTGGTCTTGGTCGGGGGTGTTGGCGGTTCCGTGGCCATGCTTATGGTTGACGTATCGAGGTAGGAGCTGCAATCCTGGTTAGTGGACCACGCCATGGCAAATTGAAGTGCACATACCTATCGTCTCCAACATTGATTTCAATGATTGCACTGAGATCAACCTTGGTTCGACACTTCTGACACCTTACTCGCTGGAGACGTTTGATCCGACGCTCTTCTCTTCGAGACACTAGCGCAATCTCAACCTCAAGCATCGACACCTTCGTCTTGGCATCCTCAAGCTGCTGAGTAAGGCTGACGACGCCTACGCCTGCATCTTCGAGGCGGTCGAGCTTGTCGTCAATGTCCTCGTTGGCACGCTCGAGCTCTTGCTGGAGTCTCTCGATTTCAGCGATGAGAGGTGCCGCGGTTGCATCGTTCATCGTGCTATGCAGCCATGACATCTAGAACCGAGATTGTGAGTCGCCTGCTGCTACGAAAACGATCTAACTTACATCTCGCAGGGGTCCACCGGGTGTCTTAGGACTCTTCATCGACAGAATATGTCTATGCATAGGAGAGATACCACTGTTGTTGACAACACGACTAGGCGTATTGAAGCCCTGGGACTGGGTCTTCAACATCTTCAGTCGCTCCTGAAGGTCCTCCTTCTCCTTCTCAAGCATCTCGATCTTCGCATCCTTGGCTTTCTCGATAGCCTTCCGAGCAGGCGATTGACTAAGTGCAGTCTTCAATCTCGCAACTTCCTTGTGTGCCTCCGTAAGCTCATTCTCAAGATCTTCAATCTGAGCTTGGAGTTCAGGATCAGGTCCGATCTGCGATGGTTCGTGATAGGACCTGGATTTGTCGAGCTCACGCTCCAAGGCTGCGACTTTATCCTTGAACGCGGCAAGTTGTTCCTCGTCCTCTATCATCCTTTGTTCAGCAGCTTCTAGTGCTTCTTCCATTTGACGAGCCAATTCAGCGGATTTCTTGTTCTCCTCTTCGAGGTGGTCGACTGCCTGAAACTCTTCTTCAAGTTCGCGCTGGGCCTCCTCGAGTTCCGCATGAGTCGAAGCGATTTGATGTTCGAAGTCCTGGATACGTTCCGCCGCAGTGCCTGCATCTTGTTCCAGCTGAGTGATATAGTCCTTGGAAGCTGCCAATTCTTGCTGCGTAGTCTTCAGCTCCTTGTCTAAGTCTTCAACACGACGAACAGCTTGAGAGAACTTGTCAACAGTGATATCCAACTCCTCCTGCAAGTCCGAGTTATGCTGCCTCTCGTCCTTCAAATCGTTCTCCAAGGTGATGACACGATCTCCTTTTCGTTTCACCTCGTCTTCTAGCTCTTTGATTTCGATCTCGGCATTCTTCAGCTCACCCATAGCCTTACCCACTCTCTCGTTCGCAGCATTCAGCTCAGCACCAAGATCTCGACCGCTCTCCAGAGCACCTTCAGCTTGCTCGATGCGTTCCTGGAGGATATCCCGCTCCACAACTACCTCAGCCAACCGCCTCTCAACCTCTCTGACCGTCCGAACTTTATCTTCTTCAGCAAGCCTGGCCTTCTCTTCCGCCTCATGTTGCTTATTCTCCAACTCCCGGACAATGTTCTCCACGCCTTTCTCCACTTCACCCATGCGATCTCTCCATCGTTCCTTATCCCTGGCGCGCTCGTTCCTCTCGCTTTCCAACGCCTTTTCAGCTTCTTCTTTTTCGGCAGTGCACTTTTCTAGAGATTCCTTGAGGTCGTCGACCATATCCTCAAGCGCAGCCTTTTCCTCAGCCATTCCTTCTGCAACTTCGGCAACATCACCGAGATTGAGGCCTGGGCCGACACTAACTCTCCTACCTCCGCTCGTACGTCTGCTGCGGCTGGAGTTGTATGTACTCGTGGGACTTGGGGTGGTACCCGCCTGACTGCCCGATCCTTTGTCCTGGATGTTTCCGTAGGTCTCTTCGTACTCCCTCAATCTCGCCACGAGACCTTCGTTTTCTTCTTGCAACTTCCGATTCAGTCCATGTAAATAAGAGTTCAGCTTCCCAGCGTTGAACCTTCCGAGACCATGTCCTCTCTCCCCCAATCCAATGACGGGATCGAAAGAGGCGTTAGCGCGTGCATGGGTGGTAAGGTCTTGCGAGGAAGTCGTGGAGATGAATGATACCCGTTCTTCGTAAGGAGACTCGGAACGAGAGCCAGTATCCCCCGATTGTGTCGATTGCGCGGGAGTTGGATGAGGCGCGAAAGTCTGTGTGAGTGGATGAGAGAGTCGACGACGGACGGGACCTCTCGGGCGAGGCGTTACACCTGCGAAAGCGGAATGCAAGTTCACTCCGGGAGTCATGGGCATGGCGGTTTGGTCTGCTTCTTCAGTATTTACATTGTTTTGTACACGATAGGGATGGGGAGTGGGTAGGAACTTTGGACGGGGTCTCGCTGTAGAGTTAATCACGGAGAGGAGGAAAGAACGCTTGTGGGCGTGCGGAGTGGCGGGGTCTTCGCGAAAGTCTTCTTGGTGTGTCTCGTTAGAGCCATGCTGCTGGGGATCCGCTCGCCAGGTGGTCTCATCCTGGTTACTTTCGTCTCCTGGATTCTCTTGTGGTGTCGTTGACACTTGCGGCTGAAGATTGAAACGGGCTCGGGGACGAGGTTGAAAAGCGGGTGTAGGAGTAAACAGGGCAGAAGGCGCAGGGGATGAGAATGCGCTTGCAATCTCTGCAGGCGAAGGCATATGATTATCATACCCCGTCACATTACTACTAGTGTCTCGAGTGGAAGAACGCATTCCTTCTTCTGATGAGAAAGTCGGCTCTCGCTCATCTTGACCTTGGTTCGTGTGCTCCTGTTCTGTATGAAGGTTGGATTCGATCGACATGTCTTGCTCAGACTGTGAAGGATGTTCCTGCACACTTCGATCGCCAGAGACATCCGCAAACCGAACTTCCTGTCGAACAGTGCGTGGTGAGAATGCGGTAGTAGGTGACGCAGTGGCAGATCGTGGTAGAGGAATATTGAGCGCAGGAAGGGGGGACGCATTCTGAGAGTTGGGGTAGGATCGGGTCGTGCCAGGTGTGGAATGCGACGTGGATGAATTTGGGGAAGGTGTCGTACGAGTCAGAGAGGGTGTCCTAGCAAGGGTTCGTGAAGGAGGTCGGCGAAAAGATATGTTTCGCAATTTGTCAAATGGAGATGCCTGGATCATATTGTACTTTATGTCATATATCTCCTTGTCTGGCAGTGCTCACCTTTGGTTCAGAACGCAGGCTGACGGAGTAGTCGTAAACTTTCTTCGGAGTAGGTTGGCCATCGGGTACAGGAGAACCAGAGCGGCTCATTGACTGGAGTGCATCACTGATGTCCAATTCGTCGTCGTCGTCGACGATGACAGGCTCTCCAGCTGGAGGAAGATAGTCATCTGCATCATCTGTATCTTGATCACTAGGTTGAATGTCATAAGCGCTTCCTCGAACATTTGGAACACTGGGGATCGCGCTGATATCGAAGCTATTCTCAGCAGGTGCACTACTGCGCGCACTAGCAGAGAACCCTCTAGAAACTGATGCAGAAGATTTCGTGGATCGTGAAGCAATCGAGTGTGCAAAGCGAACAGTACTTGTCGTACTAGATGGTGGTCGTATCGTAGAAGCTGCAGTGTGATTAGAAAAGGCAGCAGGGGTGGAGTGTAGGGGGTTGAACGAGTTATCTTCCTCGGTGCTGGTCTCCTCCATGGTTGGTAGTTCTGCAGAGTCATCGAAGCCTGGCAGAGATGGCAAAGATGGCATTTCTCTTCCCTCAACATCTTTAATGCGCTGCCAAACTCGGTCGGGGGTTTCGAGTAAAGCAGCCATAGTCGGTTATCGCTGTGACCACTTGAACTTGATTTATCTCATCAGGAAGGACGTTGAACAACTATAAAACTCACCTACAGCCACAAAAAAAAAATCAAGAGTCTAAAACAAAATTCAGAATGTCTACTCCAGACAGAACAAAAGCCAGAACTGCAGAACTCAGGCAAGGGGAACGACAGGAAAGAGAACGCTCTACACGGGCGCCTACACGCGACGCGACTCAAACAGTGCATGTGACCGCGAAAGCTGTCTGTATTTGGTGTAGTTTGGGCCGAAAAGTGACTGAAATTTGAAATTGGTCAGGATGGTTGCCATATATGGACGGTTCGGTCGAAAGGCAAGTTCCAGTGTGAAATGCTGGGCAGGCATGTCTCCGCCAACTGTTATGTTCACTTTGATCATCCTCTCCAGCTGCTAGACTCTCCTTAAACTTGTATTTTACAACCTTTGAACTGTCTCGGATATACTTGCAAGGATATACTCGCAGAGCTCGCTGGAAACCTTTACCTTCTCTATCCATGTCATCTCCTGGTTACCTGACATCACCACTGTCACCTGGCCGTCCCTTGTCTCGACCGTCTTCTCGAAACTCTGTCATTTCACAGAACGGAAGGTCGTCTAGTCCAATAGTTACTCTCCAAGAAGAAACTGGTAAGCTGCACGTATTCTGGTTGAATTCCAATACCGAATGCCAGGTACCATGTGTCAAACATGCCCTTTCGATGGTTTTCATACTGCTGGATGTCGAATATGGTTGGGAACAGCTGCAGGGGCTCAGAGTCTTTTCAAAGGCTTCCATGTGTATGTCAAGCTCGTCACAACATGATTGTTGCTTCCGAGCGTTGACGCTCACTGCTGATACACATCGCAAGCCCTTGAAGCTATCCCGATCATCTTTCCCAATCCAGAAGTATGCAGGAACCTATCATCCTGACTGATGAAGAGTGGAACTCTAAGATTGCATCTGAACGCCGCTCTTGGACTCCAGGCGCACAATGAATATATCGGCCGCTTCATTCTATTTGTACGGACAAGGGTTGCTTTACAAAGGACCATATCTATATACATCCTGGAGCCTTCCCCTTGACCCAACCGCTTCCCTTCGAGGCATACTTCTGAATTTCCAAATTGTAATGATGCTGTCAAGCATTATCTGTTATTGGCGCTGCCTCATAACCAGGCTCCAAGCCTAATCTCACGTCCATCATCTTCTGCTCTAACGACTCAGGGCGTTTCCCATGTATCGCCTCAACTGACCTTTTGCCTTCCGACTTTCCAGTTGCTATTCGAACACAAATGTCGACCCTCAAACACAACATTCGACAGCAGCAAGCGCAGCTGCACAACCTGGAGAACACCCTCCTTCGTGGTCCACGACCACTACCTCCGGGCACATTTAACTCATCACCATTATCGCCCGAATATGATCAGTTCTCTCCGCAACCGTCCTCTTCAAGTCCGACCAAAATGGCACGACGAACGTCGTACGAAATCCTTTCAGGACTGGCTGGTCCTGATTCAAGTATCCCATTACCACGGCGAGATACTCGAAGTTCATCGTTTGGTGATGAGAACGGTATAAAGGAAGGCATTCCGACTAGTGGCTTCGGCAAACTACGGCCGCCCAGCCCTACGCGGACATTAAGTCGTACGTAAAATAAGCTTCGTTCACTCGTTGACATGGGGGTTTGACGAAGGAGTTGGCTACTTCTGATTGACTTAGGGATTCCAGTCTCTTCTGTAGGTTAGTACGAACCTGGGCGTTTTCAACATGACACTACCGTTGGACGCAGTTCTACTTCTTATGTACAAGCGCATTCAGCTGAAATGACCTCTTTTTCCTCTTCGCTTGTTCTCCTCCCTTTGTAGGTAACGCTCGTGCGCTAGCAGAAGAGAACTCCGACAACGGTGGTCTAAACGCCTCAACTTCTTCGATACCTCAATCAGCTTCACCCAATCGTCGAGCCTCATTCGCTCCTGGGAATACAACGAAAGTACTGGCAGATCTTCAAGCTGGCGTGTTGAATGCAAAGAACGCATTGGAGAATACAAAGGCACAGTTGAGGTTGAGTCAGAGGCAGGTGAGTCAGTTGACGAGGCAGACAGAGGATCTGAAGGAGGTCAGGGAGCGGTTGAGACTGGAGAATGAGGGTCTCAATAACGTGGTTGCAAGGAAAGAGCGGTTATTGCAAGAGGTGTGTATTCTTAATTCATTCGACAATGATGTAGCTAAAATTAGAGAATCTTGCATTAGGTCCTTGAACGAGCGCGGAAAGCGGAGGCGGAGGCGGTATCACTGAAATCCCAACTCAAGACCGAAACTTCAACATCCAAGAAAACCCTCCGTGAGATGGAATCTACACTCGCCGAATCACAAGCCCGATCGCAGAAATCCGAACGCGAATACATCACCTTGCGAGAATCCATGAAAGGCTTGGTGGAGTCTTTCCGTCGGGATACAGACAATCTTCGAGAGGAGATGCGCAAGCGGGAAGAGAAAGTTCGGAAAGAGGCTGAGGAGATCGGGAAGAAGTATGTCAGGCTGATAGAAGAGGTGAAACGAGACCGGGAAAGTGGTGAGAGTGGGGAAGTGAAGAGGTTGGTGGAGGAGAATGTGAGGGTTAGGAGAGAGATCGAAGACGCTTTCAAATCTGAGCTTGATGAGATGAAGGAAGAGGTAAAGAGGTCAAGTAAGGAGACGGAGCAGGCTCAGAAACAAGCAAAGTCAGTCCTAGTCTTTCTCTTACTGATGGTTTGCTTTATTAAATCCGTTCTCAGAAACACTGCAGACGAGCTCTCTCGACTTCGCCGCATGATACGGGCAAGCGTCTCGCCTTCAGTCTCATCTATTCCAGTTCCTTCAAGCACTTCCTCTCCTCCACAACACTAAGCATGGTCTCATTACCCTCGTTTCAGATTGGTTGCTATCGCTTTCCACACTCGTCCTCTCTAGTTTTCGTCTTAGTCTATTATCGCAGTACATTCGCTTATTTACATACCCCTCTGCACCCACAACATCGTGGATTCACTTACTTACCCTAGATATCGGCATCCATACCTCATTACCATTATGCATTTTTTCTGCTCGCAGATCTCCTAAGCATACGGACCTGGTGCATCTTGTCCTCGTGTATGCTACTTTGACAGACAGTGTAGCGTCGTGGCGAGAAGGTGGATCGAAAAAAGAATGAATTCTCGGGTAGATCATTAAGATATATAAGGAGTGTAAGGAAGTAACCAAGAAATAATAATAGCCTGTAGTAACGTGGTCCAGTGTTCAACTTAAGTAGAAGTCATTGTCCCGAGTCTCCGAGTCAAAGCTTCCAACCTCCAGCAAGACCCATAACATTATTAGGATCATACTGCGCCTTGATAGCCTTCAGCCTATCCAAATTGTCGCCAAAGATCCTTTCCAAGGGGGTGTCATAAATAGCATAGTTCCCATACATCGGCGCATCCGAGATATCTTGGCCCTCACTAAGCGCAACCTGGGTCAGTTGTTGAGCACTTTTTCGTGCAGATTCGATCATGAGGTCATCAGAGGCAGAAAGCAACCAAGCGAAGTAGATGTTTGTTGGCAGGAGAGCGCGAGCGCGAGTGGGAGGGTAAGCCGCTGATGATTCTTCGGCGTGGCTGAAGAGACTGGGGAGGAATGGTTCGACGTCGAAGGAGATGAATGTGGCAGACGCAAGGCTCAATCGTGTGCCCCAGAACTGAACCGAAGAAGATAGATGAAGCATTCAGTGTAAACGATGAAATATGTGTGAACGTACGATCGTTTCGTTGACAACGGCATCTAAGAACTGTGGAGTATAGTCGAGAACAGGGACAGTGTTGAAGATTGCACTGCAAAGAGTCAAAGGTGAGAGCATGTTAGGGCAGGGTCATGTAATCTAAGAGCGTACCGAGTGCCTGCAGTGATATTTGCAGGGGCCGTCTTAACGAGCGAAAGAAAAGAGCGGGTTGAGATATCTTTGGTGAAATGAGGGATAGCCAAGAAGTCGTCGAAGATCCCAGCGGGTGGAGAAGGACCATCATAGAACAGAATGAGAGACATTCCCGGCTATGCATAAAGAAGTTAGAGTTAGTAGCGTCCTCCATTTCCCTGAACGTAATCAGTAGAACACTGACAGCGCCAAGCACAAAATTGTACGTCGGGAGAATTGCGGCCTTTGGATCGCTGATTTCAGAACCGAACTTGACAGTAGCAGCATTGACTTTGTCAAGATGATCGCCGGTGATCGTGATCAAGCCTCCCTGACGTATAGAGTCCAGTTATAGTTAGATATATGCTTTTTAGACTTTGAAAGATGAGGATCTTACCCAAACTTGGCCCTGAGGGAAAGCCTTGAACGTGAATTTGGTGACGATGCCCTGGGAAATCGGGTTATTTGAAATTCACGCAGCACCGTACAGCGCGTTACTTACGAAGTTGTTGTAGCCTCCCTATGCTCATTCCATTCAGGTTACAACATCATAGTGATGAAAAGTATCGCTACGTACCTTCAGCGCAAAGAAGAGATCAGGATTTGATGTCTGGGTCACTTCCGTGACGGTACCATCCGGTAAAACCAGCTCAAATGCGACAATGGTATCGACAGTCAAACCATGCTGGTTCGTCAACCACGAATATCCTGCCAGTGAGCCACACATCAGCTCATCCCATCTCCAAACGTTATAGCGAGAAGACCACAAACCTCCACCCAACGTGAAACCAGCGACACCAACGCCAGTCACGCGACCTCCGACAACATTGACACCCTGGGGTTCAAGAGTAGCGTACACATCGTCCCAAACGAGACCTGCGCCGACGTCCACTGTCTGGGACGTAGCGTCATAATTGACCTCTGAGAAACGGAACATGGCGATCTGTACCCCCGATGTAGACGAGAAACCTGGATTTGAGGCATGTCCGCCACCTTTCACCTGTAATGACGTATTTATTTTAGCCAGGTGGGTTTGTGCGGAATGTACGATCACTGACGGCAAACGGCGTTTGGTTAGCACCAAGGATTTGAAGCTGACGAAGACGTCGTTGAATGAGCATATCGAGGTTCTACATTCCAGAGAGGTATGAGGCGTACGATTATACCAACGTCCTGAGCTGACCCCGGCTCCACTGCGCAAGCAGCTAGATCTGAACTTGAAGAAGCCCAATGCGAGACATCCTTGGCATAGTGAAACGACACTATAACATATTTCAGTTAAGCAAGATTGTGGCGTATGCAAATAGAACTTACGAGGCCACCAAACATCCGAAGCAGACGAAACGGCCTTCGCGATCTGTTCGCAAGTACTAGTCGTATTGAAGGACCTAGTTTGATGCCGCGCGCCATTATGCGCTACGGCACGAGCACCAGCCAGGAAGAGGGCCAGAACAGCGACAAAAGGGCGCATGGTGGTGGGTGACCTGGGGGTGACTTGAGATATCACGCATGTTGGTATATGACCATCTTATATTTCTTTTCAATGCCTGCTGATGACAGTTGAGCGGCACCTTGGCGATAGCACGGTGACACCTCGTTCCCTCCTGGGCCGTGGCACCATCTTCAAATGCGTAACATTTTCCTTCGGCGATACGGTGCTGCAATCCGTTATGACGGGATGAAATCGGCGAAAGCTTTTTTGCGTGTATGCAACCCTCACAGTCAAATAAAATCGTACTTATCCTAACTGAGCGGTGTTCCACGTTCCAGGCTTTCAGGCTTTCAGCCACACTTGGAATGGCTTCGAAGAATGTTGTGCGCGCCTATATGCAGGGTCTTCAAGTGAGAGAACGAACCAATTGAAACCATCCATAACCGGTCTATTGTTGGAATGATTTGACCAGACCGAGCTAAGTATTTCATCAGGACTTCGTGGCATTTGAATTGGAATGGAATGGAAGAAGGAATTGGCTAGGATACGTCTTGGCTCCTGGTGGCGGGAGAGTCCGGGGAGCGTCACAGAGGTGATGCATCATTCCAAAGCGCTGATGATTCGTGAGACAAGAAGTTTGAGTGAAAAAGCTCACAAACATCGCAAATACACCAAGTAGACAAGAGACCACAACGTCCCCAGCGGAATTTCTTGACAAGCGTAGAATATTGTAAGGTTTTTGGACATTCTCACTGACACATGGAAATGTCCTAAGCGGATCACTGCCTCCATATGGATGTGGATGTTGGGGGGGTGATTGTAAGGTGATTAAAAACGCATGTTGACATCGAAGCTGGCATAGGCCGAAATGAAATGCGGCGACACATTGCAGATCACGTCAATTACATCTAGTTCAGGGCGGATGATGCAAAAAAGCCGGGAGTAGTAACCCATGTCTGTGAGTCACAAAAGCAAGGCTCGGGCTACCGGACAACTGTGGAGTTTTAAGCAAACCAGGCTGTAGGCAATTGCAATTTGTTTGCAAACTAGCAACATTTTGGCAGCGACAGCGTGCCACGAACGTAAGGTGGCACAAGAAGTCTTACAAAATGATGTCCAAATTCCCCAGTGAGACCAGAAACCTTTCTCCAAAGCTGCGATGCAGGATTGCTCCATATTATGCATATGGATACCGTGACTTGATCAACCAAGCTAAATGAGCTCTGTTTCCACTTGTCAACATTCTTCGTCAATGTATTGGTAAATGTAGGTAAGGATAAGAACTCCCACTCACCAGGCTGTGGATTTGAGAGGTCCGTTCATAGCATACCTTCCTGAGACCTTGCGCTCTCTGCGCGGACCAGAAGGCATCAAAAATCGGTACCAGATGCGTGCACGAGCTTCTGCACGGAGATCCATGGCATCAAACCTGCAGCGAATCATAGGCAAGGCTTGCGACCAAAAGTACGGTGGTTTCATCCGAGCAGACTAGAGGCTTGTGATAGAGTCCAAAAGTCTGTTAACGACGGACGTCAGCGGACGTCCCGCCGGGCCAGCTGCTAGGGATAGTCCGAGCGAGGTTGAAGTTTTGGACAGAGGCGTCGCCTTGATTCCAACTGTATCTTATTCAATTTTAGTGGAGCTAGTAGGCCGCAGCTGCAGATCCCGAAGTCACCGCGAAGACTGACATGAAACCTTGAGTCAAAATGCGACGAAAATCAGACACAACGCCTGTTTGAAGATAACGGTTACTAACGTTTCGAAGCACGTGGCAGAGTGGCTGAAATAGGCAGGTCGAGTGGATGGGAATCACATGGAGATCTGTGAATCTGGTTCCGGCACTTTCAATCCGGGTCTCCATCATACGCTATAACCGCAAGCCTCTCATTGCGCTTTACTCTCTGCCTTCATCTCCTACCCCGCATTCCCCTCATATCCCCCTATTCATCGTGCTCAACGTCCCCCAGCTATGTCTGTCATTTCCACCGCTATTACAGATCTTTTCAAGATCAAACATCCAGTTCTTTTGGCTGGTAAGTGATGGCGTTTCAAGCAATGCGGGGAAGTCTCATGTATGTGGGGTAACCGTGTTTCAGGTATGAATGTTGCGGCCGGTCCTGAGCTCGCTGCTGCTGTCACCAATGCAGGCGGTCTTGGCGTCATCGGCGGCGTGGGTTACACTCCCAAGGTCCTTCGGTCGCAGGTTCGTATGCCAGATCCTTCTTGCAAGATCACATCACAATTAAGCTGTCATCGCTAGATTCATGAGATCAAGAAGGACCTTGTTGACAAGAATGCACCCTTCGGTGTTGATCTCCTGCTTCCTCAAGTTGGTGGGAATGCGCGCAAAACCAACGTAAGTTGACGCGTTACTGTGTAATGCTATGTCGGTTTCTGATTTCACTTCCTGGATCTTCCAGTATGACTACACTAAGGGCCAACTCCCGGAGCTCATCGACGTTATCATTGAGGAAAAGGCCTCATTGTTCGTTTGTGCTATCGGTGTTCCGCCCAACTGGGTCGTCGAGAAGCTTCACAATGCCGGTATTCCCATTATGAACGTATGTCTATCTTGACTGCCTCTCGTTTCATCGACTTTAATATCATTATTTATATTATCATAGATGGTCGGTCATCCCAAGCACGTTGCCAAAGCCCTCGACGCCGGCGTAGACCTTATTTGTGCCCAAGCAGGCGAAGGTGGAGGACACACCGGTGACACCCCTGCCTCCATTCTCATTCCCGCCTGCGTCGATGCTGTAAAGGGTCGCAAATCATCACTTAACGGTCAACCCATCTACGTCATTGGTGCCGGTGCCGTTTACGACGGAAGGGGCCTGGCAGCTAACCTTGCTTGGGGTGCACAGGGTGTATGGGTCGGTACTCGGTTTGTTGCGAGTACAGAGGCGAGCGCACCGAAGGCACATAAGGATGCACTGCTGAGTGCGAGCTATGAGGATGCAGTTACGACTTTGATCTATACTGGCCGACCATTGCGTGTGAGGAGGACGCCTTACGTCGACGACTGGTACGTTCTCTGTCCGCCATTACTGTCCATGTTCACTCATATTGACATGATCCCCTGTTCCAGGAACAACAACAGACAAGCGGAGATTAAAGAACTCACTTCCAAGGGAATAATCCCCAATGAAGAAGAGCTCAAGAAACATCCCGAGAAGTCTCTCCAAGCCCGTACTTTCCTCATCGGCCGCGTCGCAGCTCTCATTCACGACGTCATTCCCGCCAAGGATATTGTAGAGGGCATGGTCAATGAAGCTGCTGAGATCATTCAGAACAATGCAAGCAGGGTGAAGGTCAATGTTCCGGCTAAGCTCTAGGATGTAATGGCGTAATGGAGGGTAGTGTATGAATGTTGTACAGTCAATCTAATGGGATACCTTGTATACATATCTACTTATTGCCCTGCTTTCTTCCATCGTCAGTGTCTCTGGATGATGGTATAATGAATGGTATACAGAACAGTGAACACTGAGGCTCAAAAAAAATAACCGAGGCTATGGGTATCATTTGAATGCACTCTTTCGTCTATCTCCTAATGCTATGGCTCCTGCGATAACTTTCCCTGTCCGATCCAGCCCAAGCGTCTCATTGAAGTTTGTCTTCACAGGGTCTTCTCGACCTCCATTATCACTAACCGCCCGCTTTCGTTTCGACCCGCTCACATTGACAATGCCTGGCCCACTAGTACCAGATATTGATAATTGAGCATTCGGAGCAGCCCAGTCTGATGGGAACTTGGGACGTTGAGGGACGCGGAATACTTCAAAGTTTCGTGGTGCTTTGGGTAGGGGTTTGGCGGAGTGGGAGTGAGAGGAAGCTTGAGAGGGAGTGTGATAGTTGACTGTGGAAGATTTTGGAGGTTTTGGCTTTGAGCCTGATTTGGACTGGGATGCGGGAGGAGTGAGGATGTTCTTGAATGGGAAGTCTGGTTCGGAGGAGGGGAGACCTATGATATCCAATTCGTCGTCCTGTTGAAAAATTTGAAGACCCTCGTGAGCTATTGAAACCAACAGAACGAAGAAATACATACCGAGTCAACTTGACTGAATTGAGTCTCGGATTTGAAGTAGGAGCGTTGGGTTTCGGTTTCTAGTCGTGCTTGTCGGGCATCGTCTTCTAGCCTACGATTCGTAGCGTGTAATGCCTCGATTTCGTTCTCGTGTTCTTTGATGCGAGTCCGGAGTTCTGCGATTCTGGCAGTTTGTTTGAACTCCTGAAAGAAAGAAAAAGTGACAATGGATGTCAGATAAATAGAAACAGCTCAGGTAAGAGGAACAGACCTTCTCCTTATGCGCCAAAATCGTCCCTTTCAACTTCCTGATCTCTTCCTCCCTTTCTATCACACTCTCCCTCTGTCTCGTCAAGTCTCTCTGTAGACTCTCATTCCTCCTCACCTCTGTATTATATTTATCTTTGGCATTATCCGCCGTATCAATCGCCTTCTGTAATAATCGTTCCCCTTGAGAGGCCTCGCTCTCGAGCGACGAGATTCGGGTATCGCGAAGACGAATACTGGTTTGAAGAGCAATAAGCTCTTTCTTCTGTTTGGCTGCAAGTGCGAATTGGGGCGTTATCCGATCTCGAAGGTCTGTGATTGCATCTATCAAAGCCTATACTCTCAGTCACATTGAGCATTGGTTTACGGAACTCTTGAGAACATATTTCGAGACCATGGAGTATTTCTCACCTGAATCACATCTCCACCCTCTCCCCCAATCCCATCAGCCACTTTCTGAACCTCCTTCACGCTCCTCTGTACACTCCCAACAGGAGTCGTACAATCCATTCCCTGTATCTTCTCTGTGACATATTGAGCTTGCTTGACGACTGCTTCAGAATACCTAGGTCCTGCCTGGGATCCTGAAGCTTCATCACAGTTATCTATAGCATTGTCACTGATGTCTATAAAGATGGGGTGGAGGTCCACCTCCTTGAATGGGATACGACATGTTGGGCAAGGGTACGATCGTTTTCGTCCGCTAGGGTTGGAGGGACCTTGCGTTTGGATGTATGTTCGGAGGGAGGTCTCACAATGTCCGTGACCTAGGTAAACATCAGTATCATGAATATAAACCGGCCAAAAGCACATTTTCGAAGCAAGATATCACGGTCGATCGAAATGCGAGCAATGCAACTAAACGTACCGCATTTGGCAGAGAATCGAAAGAGTGAAATCGGGTGCTTGTCAAGACAAATACCGCAATGTAGTTGCATGATTTTAAATTTGCGACTCGTTCGTGTTTATAGGAACGAAGGTGGATGGAGGTTCAAACGTTCAGTAGGAACTCGACGCGTCGCGACGCGTTTAGGTTGATCACGATCGATCACCTGACTGTGACCTGGCGTGTTTCCTTCGTAGCTCCCGTCGCATTTCGAACCTTTCCTACACAATTGCCTCCTCCATCCGTCTCTAAGGTTTCACGCAATGGTATGTTATCACTGGAGATACAAACTGAACAAAGATGGCCGAGCTGGAAGCGCATTACTCTCGTTTGCCTTCCAGGTACATCAGAGGTTCTCGGTGTTGCAGTCAGATCAGGGACGTGAATCCCTGTCATCTTAACTGCCCTTCCAAACTGCGTCCATCGACAATATTGCCAACAGCGGGACTGACTCGGTATGTTACGCTTACTGTTAGAACCGGTTGCCGTGATACTCTTTCCTTCATGTGGTTCCTCAGGTATATTGCACTGCGACCCGCCTTATACCAAGGACTACCTGAACTTTCGTATATATATACGCCTTGGGTGATTTTCATCGTTACGTTTCCATTCGTGAGTTGACTGTGTTAAAGGATAGAAAGCATGACCTACGCGATTGCAGCCTGCCAGGGTCTCGAGAGCGGTACTGACCGAACTGATAAGGAACGGAGTCGATTTTGAAATACTTACCGAGTATCTGAGTTGCATCTAGGGGAGCGTTCATGGTGCGATCACATTTGGGATGTACATAGACGACTAATGGCATCTTTCGTAGGCATGTTGAATGTAAAGATTCAAAGTTGAGGAAACACAGAAAGCCAAGGTGGCTACTTCTAGCTCTCCTTCGAACTATTCCGCATCAAATTAGTGCGAGCCATCGCATATTCACCAGTAAGGACTTTCGCGATCTCCTTAACCATTTGGCGTCCCCAGTAAATCCAATCGGAGTACCTCGTATCTCGTGGACATGCCCGAACGCCCAGCTGTCGAATGCGACTGTTAGCCGATTGTCTTCACATCGATTCCATGGTAAGACCGTGCAAAAACCCATTCCTCTAGAGCTTTAGAATCCATAGAGTCCGACGATGATTCAAGCACCCTCGGTTTGCCTTCGGTGAGGCTTTGACTGACTCCTCGAATTTGTATAGCTTTGACAGGCACATCTGATGTCTATTGGCCGTTGCAGACGCTGGCGTTACATGTCAACAGGGTATAGAAGGTGGGCTCCTAGACACTGTTGGCAATTGCCGCCATCAGACGGACAACGTTCTTGAGCAACAACTATAGTAAGTTGTTGTTCATGGCCGAGAGTCTCACCCCGAGTCTTTACAAGCTATAGTACTCAGGCGGAGATACGTCTAAGGGACCTGTGATGCCTCTATCCAGGCTTTCTCCATTCCGTCGATACGCGTGCCTTGTCTGATTCTCGATGGTCTATTCCAAGTGACCGATTTGGTGCCAGTCTCCATTTGGTTCTCACAGAGAACCTTTACTGTGGAACGATAGCAGAGTCTTTACAATCTACGGTGTCGCTTCCATAAGCAGCATTTGGTCTCATAAAAGGAGTATGTTTCGCTGTCATCTAGATGCCCACCTCCTCACTGGCTATTGACTCAATATCAACACATAGCATATCCTCTGAATGCCTTCCCCAGTCATCACCGGGCTGCTGGTTGTATTGTTAGCATGGGTGTTCTATCGCCTGAACAAGATCGGCTCTAGGGAACCTGGGCTTCCTCCTGGTCCTCCCACCATTCCGCTTCTCGGGAATCTTCATCACTTCGAAACAAGAGGGATGTATCTGAAGTAACTTCCGCTCTTATCTCAAGTATAACGTTTGCTGACTATGCTTGCCTTTTCTCCTAGACTTACTGAGTGGGCCAAGATGTATGGCGACATCTATTCCGTACGTTCATACCCCACTTTTCCATTTAGTCGCGTCAAGCTCACATGTAGCATTGTAGCTCAAGTTTGGTCCTACCCCAAGCATAGTCATCTCGAGCCCGAAATTACTTCGAGAGTACGTCGATATGCACGGTGCAACTACCTCTGATCGACCACCGGTCTATGTCGCCGAGCTGGTTTCTGGCGGTTTTGAGCTGCCTCTCACGCGATACGGTTCGTTGATCGTCCTTTGTGGTTCGAGTAGCGTCTTCTCACACTTCTCGTTTCCAGGTGAAACTTGGAGGATCATGCGCAAAGCCGCGCACGATATGATTTCGAAAGAGGCTTGCAACAGACACTTGCCCATCCAGCGTGCCGAAGCCAGCCAGCTCATGTTCGACTTGGTCGGCAGTCCACAGGTACGTGTCACCTAATGTACGGTTGTTGCATGTTCCCGCTTACATGTCGTTCTTGTCATGTAGCATTTCTATACCCACCTCTATCGTTATTCTGCTTCAGTCATCACCTCCGTCGTTTACGGCGTCCACTGTCCAAAATATCACGATAGTTTCGTCGAACAATTTGACCATTTCACAATGCGACTCGAAGCAGCGCTCAGACCTGGAAACAGTCCACCGGTCGATATGTTTCCTATACTGAAGCGCCTTCCGGAATTTGTGGCTCCATGGAAAACCCGTTGCAAGGAAGTGCGCAAGCAGCAACGGGAAATATTTTTCGGTATGCTTGATCTTGTGATCGAACGTCTGAAGAATGAGCAGGGTAACGAGTGCTTTATGGAATATGTCGTGGAACGTCAGAAGCATTACAACCTTGACCGGGAAATGCTTGGGTATGTCTTCAATACGTTCTCACTTCGAATGAAGAGCTCGTTAATGGTTGTGACAAGTTACCTCGGAGGTTCGCTCTTGCAGGCTGGAATAGACACCACGGCCATTTTTTTACAGTCCATGGTGGCATGCATCATAACGCATCCTCACGTTCAATTACGTGCACAGCAGGAGATCGACGATGTCATCGGACCCGATAGAACTCCAGACTTCCCGGATATCGAGAATCTTCCATATATTAGAGCTCTTATCAATGAGGTAGGACAGCTGGGATATAAAGTCACTGTTTAGATATTAACATAGTGCACCAGGTTCATCGTTTCTGTCCTGTTGCACCAACGGCTATACCTCATGCATCGACGACTGATCTGCGGGTGCATAGTATTCTCTCATTTCAGCTGAATGATTCTGATCTTGAATCTAGCTTGGCGAGTACTTTGTCCCAAAGGAATCGATCATATTCTTGAATACTTGTATGCTCTCTTTGGTTGAACTTTCTATTGCTTCTCATCGTTGTTTCTTACACATCAGGGGGTATATATCGTCATGAAGACTATTACGAGAATCCGGATGTCTTCGAGCCTGACCGATACGTGAAGAGTGAGTTTGGGACAAAACCTGGAGTTGATCCTACGGGTTGCAGGAACGATTTTGTATTCGGTGGCGGTCGAGTGAGCTGATCTTCTGCGGCGCTCTTGAACTCATCCTCGTTTTTACTACTCTATCCCACAGCGACGTTGCCCCGGATCGCACCTCGCGAACAATTCCATTGTGAGTCACAGCCATTTATGGTGTACTAGCCTCTTATGATTCGATTAGGCCCTGAACGCGATGAACCTTCTTTGGGCTTTCAACTTCAGTCGAGCTAAGGATCCCGTGACCGGACAACTTATCGATGTGGACTTGAACGATGTCAATAAAGAGGTATGCATTAAGTCTTGATGAATGTAGGTATGGCCCAACTGTTTTTCAGGCTATTCTTCTAGTTCAAAAGCCATTCAAGTGTCAAATAACGCCTCGCAGCGAAGGAAGAGCGAAGATGATTCAAGCGCAATTCGAAGCCGCAAAGGGAACATTTCAACAGTTCGAGGGACGGATTATCTCGTTAACTGAGGAATAGATTCGCGAGGTACAGCTCGATTGATCATTGCTCCTGTTCAAATGTAGCTGTCCATACCCGCAACCGCAACCTTGTAGATCTGCACTGTTTGAGCACTCCGACCGTTAACTTTCCCTCTTGCTATTCACTAGAATTGTGCATGATAAAAAGCATCCGTCCGATCTCAAACTAGCATAGCCATGCGCACGTTGATATATAACCCTGTCCATCTAGATGTCTGGCCAGCCGTGGAAGCTATTCTCAGTCAGATACAATGATAGCAGCAGCAGGGCAATCATGCGATTCCGTAGTGAGTCGTACGGGCACACTCTCCCTGAATGGGGCGAAGCATGAACGTGCGCAATCAGGTGGTATGATTGACAGTACAACTGAATCCTGTTGGTATCAGACCAAATAGTCAATCAGTTACACGCCGCCATCAGATGATAGAGATGGCATGCGCGACCCCGTTCTCATTCGGGCATGCCTCTCATATCCAAACCAAGGATGGAATGAACGTATGATGCTCACCGAAACTTTGACTCCACTCATGGTGAAGCCACCTATAGTTACAGAGGGAGGGATTACAAAGGATCCCGACCATTTCATTGAACTTGTGCCACGTTCTGAACTGTGGATAACACCTTGTCCTATAGGTTTGGTAAAGCCCAGATGACTTCTCTTTTCCGCGATAGGCATTCCAGCAGCCAATGCATCAATGGATGTACGTCTTGACAGTTGTACTTGTATCGGTGGTGGGACTGCTCGAGGAACGAGTCGCGTCTGGATTGAGCTGGTTATGGAACGAATATGTGAAAGTGGATGAAAGGATGACAGAGATGGGTGATACGAGGAGAACGGTGCGAGGGAATCTTCATCACCAAGTAGGGTGATGACGAATGGAATCGCTTCCTTGAGTGCGCATACGCGCGAACGCGGTAAGAAGACCTGGTGGCGTCTGCATGAAGCATTTGCTATTTGAGTGTATATGTTAAACTCACGTGTACCACAACATCATTGTGATCTCGCCAACGAGACCGCAATACAAATTTAAAGAGGGTCTTTGGACTATTAGGATTCTTAGTCGTCGGTGATGGTGGTGGAAACGGAACTGCATGTGCAGGCCGAGTGAGCTCCTTGTAACGGAATGGAATGCAGAGCCTTGAGAGCGGTAATCAGGTTTAATTGATATTCAATCATGAAAATGACATACCGTTTGTCCTTTCGCCACCAATCGACTCTATCACGTCTACGTCTGATGTATACGTAGATGCCATAGGAGATATTTAGGTCGAACCCTAGTATGCCCAGAACATGCGCATGAAAGGTCGGAGGTAGTCTGGACTTTTCCCCGGTTATCCCGTTGGTGTAATGACTCGGCAGTGTGTATCGGAAGTTGACCTTTGACGGAAACATAGCGTCGCGCTCTGAATCCCAAATGTAAAGCGTTTCATTGATGATGTTCCCGTCAAAGGTACCCCCTCTCGCTTCTTCTCTAAGCTTCATATGACCTTCGACCTAGAATGCCGCAACTTTAGACATAAATTCCAACCCTTGTATAGCGGAACTCACCTTAACTTCCAAAGATAAGAGATTAGAAGGCCTAGCAACCGCTATGAGGCCAACGATAGAACCGCCAGTAGAATACACCGGATCTGGCACATTCTCGTCTTGACCGCTCAACAGCAACGTGATATTACTCGAGTGTTTCACGAAATGCCCTGCAGAAGCGTTTCCGAACGAAAATGCTGCCATCTCTTGCCCGGTGTCCATGACAGAGGGCTGCGTATCTACCGAAGAGGTCATAGTGGGTTTCCTATGAAGCGGGGAAAATGAAGCATCGGACGAAGACCCAGCCAGCGAGGCGTTGCGTCCAAGCGTCCCGAGCTCAGAAACAGACGCAGTGGAGTATAGGTGTTGTAATCGAGAATCTGGGAATACGCCATGTCGATTGTCCGTTCGACGCCCTAGCTGTTTTTGTTCCTGAGAGTCCAGTGAGTCCGAGTCCAACGAGCTCCGAAAATACTGGACGTTAGCAAATGGATGTGACATCGGGTTTGACCATAGACAATGGGGGTACGCAGTGAGATAGTTGGGCCCTGTGTAGGCGTCCATAGGACAGGAATACCCTCCGAGAAATGTTTCGATCAGACAGGATTATGTGATAGGCACATTGATGGGCAGTAAGAGTCTTGGTTGCTATCTTTATCATCGACGGCGGCGATGTCGTCTGTAGTGGCGTACACAGCAAGGATTAATTCAAGCGTCAGCTGCTGAAGTTGGCACTTGGGGTAATCGGATGACATAGTGAGTATTCGTATCCGAATAATCCAAAGTGCTCGCACCCGAACATAGACATAGCGTCGATGCGACCAGATACTGAGGCCCCAGGGGCGATGGGATGTGAGATCTTGAGAAGCAAAAACATAGCTATATGAGGGGTTTGGTTTATAAATTAGGGCGGTAGACTCACACGATGCTACAGAAATTCCAAAAGCATACGTTCACATGTACTTTTCTTGGGTCTCGAGTGTGAGAATAGTGTGGGCTAGATCCTAGAGACACAGTGTAGGGAATGATTGAGCAGAGTGAAGAAAAGATGTAAGATATAATAATGGAACTAAGAGCACCACAGGCGTTAGAAGGTGCTTACCGAGGCGAAGACAATGAGTCCCAAACTAGCCTACCAGGTGAGAAAACGCGGATGAGATTATTGTTAGTTTCAGCAAGTGTCACAGAGATGGTGTCCGCTGTACGGATCACCATTATCATTCGACTATATATTTCTAGTGCCAAATGCATGCATAGGCGCATCTTGTTTGCCATCCCGAGCGAAGAAACGAGTGAATGCAATACGCAGACATTTTAAATATTCCCGCGATGCATCTGATATTTCTCCACTCAGTGCTCGGGTTTGTGCAGTCATATCGTGAATATGTTGGACCATTACGTTCAAATAAAACGCTCGCTGCTGAAGCAAAATTGTGCAGAACCATCCAGGGACTGACTTCGAGAATAACCTAACAGACGAGATTCAAAGGACGCGTAAGTGATTGGCACGAAACGTGCAGAGAGTGTTCATCAGCGCAGTGTTCGGATGAGATGGGCCGGTTGTCGTCTTTGCTTCTGACTGCCATGTTAGTCTGTCTTCCTGACCATCGATGCCGGCTATGCGTTATGGATCACTTGTAGACGTCCGTGTGAGATCAAGGGCCCAGCTGCAACGTTGCAGCCGAAATCGATTGCCAAGTCCCGAAGAGGAAGGGTATGTTATCTGCGATGGAGGCATAGTTTCAAACCAACTGTCAAGCTACAAGCATCACGAGGCGACATTCAGGGTCCAAGGAGCGCATGTTGTTATCGTAGAAGGCATTGGTGAGGACCTGACTGACTCTTCATGGCAGACGATTCCTTAAATCAAGATTCATACGACATCAGTCAGTGATAGTTGGAAAAATGGTATTCAGTAGAAAAAGAACCTCACCATATCAAGACTTCATGGGTACTGAATCATCACCCTTGAGAGTAGCGTGGATCAAACAAGTTAGATACTAGCATCTAATTGATACCGAAGCCTCTGTAGCGTACATGCAACCTTCGCGTAATGGTTCACCGTGTTAGATTTTCAGGGTGAGTGTGAACCCATGAGGAGACCTGTACAAATACTTCACCGAGTTCCGATGATGGCACTTACTAAAGGCAAATACTTGCATGTGGAATCCTGACAGGTAAAACAGTCTAGCGAACACCATAAATCCTGGTGAATGACAACATCAGAATTGTATGACTATATACTCACTGTAGCACCGTGCAAACCGCGCCCAATTCGAACCGGTGTCACACCCTCCTACCGTTCCAAACGGATAGTCCAATCATTTACTGCGTCCCCCTCTGTTCCACGATGAACATGATACACGCAGATCAGAAATGATGGAGGTTTCCTCAGCAAGATGAGGGCTATAATTTGGTAATTCTCGAAATGGTGAACTGCGGCCGGAGAACGTCGATGACATTTAATATTCCTAGGACGCCCGGCCATCGCTTTACAGCAGTGAGAATGATGATCGTCTTGAGTGGATGACAACTACGGCTTTAAGTAGTCTCTCTCGGGCTCCGATAGATACCAAAGAAGAGCTGACCATTGATCATAAGTACCGTAATCTGTCATATTTGCATGTTCTCTGCATCTGTCGAGTATTCCGTCAGAAGAAAAGGTAATACGCCTCACCTAGCACAGAAAGAGAAATCCCTATGAAATGCTTCCCGGTTGTACTTGTACCACAGCTGGAATGCGCGACCCCTTGATACCGATGGCGTAGCTGAGTTGGCAAATCATGGAATCAGGATACGAGGAATCCTCGAGGCTGCAGACGCTTAGCAAGCTGATGAGATGAGGCATAAGGTATTAGGGCCCAATTATCCTTGTTCTTGTATACTTCCCGAAAGCGTGTAAAGAAACATAACACCGAACTGTGTCATTAGTGCCTTCTCAGATCCCGTAAGTTGAGTCCGCCGCCAAGCGCATATGCTGTACTAAGACAATGTGGCGCGAACACCTAATCCTTGCCTTGCATGCGCACCAAGCCTGTACACTTATCCCATAGCCAATGACTTGGCTACATACGCAACGCATTATACGGAGCCAATAAGACTAAAATTCCTGGGTGAGAAGGTTATGATTAAGCAAGACTGGATGAAAATGCAGAATTGAAGGTAGAGGATGTTAGATGAGAGACGTACTGAAGATTCGCACAGGGAAACTGCTCGGCAGAACAGCTAAGCGCCGAAATCCGTTACCCCTTACATTCGCACCGTCGAAGAGTGGAATCCTCCTCTCCATTCTTATTCTGACTTGTTCTGCTTTATAGCGATCCTGTAGCTCACTATGGATTCTACTGCTCAAAATAATGCCAGTATAGTTTCCGCACTCATCGACGATGTGATCATTATGGTCTTTGAGTGTCTTGACGTCGTTGATATACTCAGAATCAGACAAGTGTGTATCAGTGTTACTGTGGCATATTCAGGACTGTTGCCTGTGGCACTAACATGTTAATGTAGACATGCAAATATCTGGCTGCCCTTACTCAGAGCAAGCAGTTATGGAGCCATATTCTGTTTCGGACCGTCATCAAGCGTAATATTCCCTTGCTCCCCTACACTCGAAGCTTCCAAGTTCTTTCCTCCACTGAAGTCGAGATTGTCGCCAGCCATGCACTCCGTTTGCGAAAGCAGACCATCGCACCACCACAGTTACGGAGGCAACTCGTACTTTCTCTGGATCAGTCGCGTTCTGTATCCTGGTTACAACTCGTTCGCGGGCAATGGCTCTTGGCGGCCTTCTCTGATACACAAACGAGTATCATCAGGATCTGGTCTGTTATGGACTTGCTTTCTAACTTCGGGAAATCATCGCCTGTCGCTGAGGCGTATTTGGAAGCCCCCGTTGCATCAGGGATGGTTCAGACTCGGGACGATCAATTGTACATTGCTTTATATCTCAGAGGAAGGTACGTGCCGAGATGCTTTGTACAATTCTCGATGCCTGATATATCGTAGTGAACCCTCGATCGACGTTCTTACGCTCTTCACATGCGATGAGCGGCTCGCTTTCTCTTGTGTGGCTCATTTTCCAGGCGCTGCCCACCTTCGCTGTTTTGACGAGGATTGGATAGGGTATGCATTACATCATGAAATCAGCGTACCATCTCTACTCAACTGGAACACTGGCGATTTCATCCACCTTCGTAAAACGCCTGATATGCGGGTGAGTGTGTTATTAATTGCTTAATGAACGAGGCTAATCTCCATTTAGGGAGGCTGCATCGCGATGGCCCGGTGGAATGATTACGTTGCAGTCATTAACCCCATTTCATTGGAGTTGTATCGGCGAGATGACCAGAGTTACTGCTTATGGGGTGAAGTGGATTTGCCCTGTCCAGTTGGCTTTGCCGAGTTTGCACTGGCCGATTCAGCTGAACACTTAACTTTCTGCTTATCCTGCGAACGTGGTGTATTTGTATACCAGGTGGTGTTTGAACTCCCACATGACACCCCACAGCTGAAGTTGGTCTGGACGTATCGACCCAAACAATATGAACTTTCCCGTCCCTACATCTGCAAGCCCAGGTTTGGCGTAACTCAACGAACATTAACATGGATTGATACCCCCATCTTATGAATCCACTCGCTACTGTAGCTTTGTCTATGCCAGACTTCCCCGTCTTGGATCTGTCTTTCGTCCCCCCTTCTTCATTGTCGATGATTCATCATTACCCGCGCAATATTTCATGGGTGTACGAGACTTTGACGAAGCTCGCGGTATCGCTGTCTTTGGGAATGGATTTGGTGAACTCGCGCTATATGACTTCAGCCATTCGGATCCTCAAGTTCTCGACACCGCGTTGAAGCCATTGTGCTTTCCTGCCCTTATTCATCAACAGCCCATGCCGACAGTACGTTCAGTACATCCTTGTGCATCCCCATCGGTACTTATGATCCTCATTTTAGGTTCCTATTCTCTCAGTCCCTGCACCTCCTTTCCCGTACGGAGGATGGGCATACGAATCACAGGAAGAGCAGACTTTGCTCTTTAACTACTGGCGCTCGTTTTCGCCTTCACGCCTTCCCATGGAATGGAATACAGATTGGGAGAAATCCAGAAATTGGCGGCAATTCGTTGATGCTTGTGACCTAACCTACGGACTTGCTTGGACGCTTGAAAACGCGACGTTCTACCTTGGCACTATCATTCCGCTCATGCGGAAGGATGGCCTTGGCGGCGAAGAGGTGATTTTCATAGCGGGTGGTCTTCTGTTTGCATACACACAGGATTCAGAGTATCCCTCTCTTCTGGATCCATCCCTCCCTTACCTGAGCATCTTCAATTCTTTGGATGCAGGTGGCAGGATATGGTCGTTTGTGATCATGGAGTGTAATCGCACGGATCAGTCAAAGATTTCCGAGCTTCTGCGCGCAGATAAGATGTGGATGTACGAACGTCAAAAATTGAACCGCAACCGATGGGAAGAGATGCAAATGCGTGGAGGGGAAGTCCGCTCACGGTTCTTGAAGCCGCTTCGCGATCGCCGATGGATCCTTGCTATGTTTGGCCTCGAATGAATGGTGTTTTTTTTTTTGGACAAGAGTCTCAAGTTGGCTCCTCCTGGATCTGTGATTCCTATTCTTATGCCTTCACACTCGAGTTGGCGTGCCCCCACTGGCAGCCAGGTATTAATGACTTCATTGGCCCGGAGGTCATCTTCCTGGCAAAGCGCTATGCAAGAAATATCTAGGCAGCGTCAGGTAATATCTAGTGGATCGCACACTCAGTTGCGGGACTTATGAAACTGTGCAGCTGTACCTTCTCGAGCCCTCTCTCATCTCACAGCATCCAACACCTCTTCGTTCGATAGGTCTAATTCTCAACGCCCCGTTGCCACAGCTCCTCACAGATGCGGTGTTACTCCTGGTAAATGCGCTGCTTTCGACAATCCTCGTGCTATGTCCTCGAACACCTCTGGTAGTCATCCATCCATCTCTCCTCTCGGTGCCTCCTTCTGCCCCTACAGCTCATCAAGTTCACAATGCACTAGTCCCTGGCGAAGAGGAGAATTGCCGGCTGCTGGAAGAAAATACGAGACTTGCTCGACGCACTGCGGATACAATTGAGCGACTGAAAATACTGCAAGTGAGGACCACTGAGCTGGGCGTTCAAGTTAGGTTACTGAAGGATGCACATGAACCTACATGAACACCGCAACTTTGACACACCTAGTATACCAGAGCCCGGTAAGTCGCGCGCGCGCATACAGCATGAGTTAACTCTGTATCTAGCCTCCGGAAGAAACATCATCGGAGATAAAACGTTCAAGCAGATGGCCGGGTTCCCAAGAACTCTGTGGAAGTGTTGGCTATGATGGCTAGGTATTCGAGTATGGAAGAATATGTCAGGCTGTGGTGAAAATTTGTGGAAGGGACTCCCTGCCTGTGTCATGTACATTCATTATGGTATCTGTTGTACGAATCACCATTATTTTTTGATTATATATTTCTCGAACCCGCAACATGCATAAGTGCATCTTGTTTACCGTGCCACTGTAAGCCACGACGAGGACGACGTCGCAAATATCAAACACTACACGAGTCGACGACGCGTTCACTAACCTTAATGATTTTGAGTCACCTGATCGCGTCTATGCAGAGTTGGGTCACCACCGCGTCCAATTGTTCTTCATCACGGTCATCGACGACTGTCCGACAGTTCTTTCATCTTCAATAATAATTGATTCATACAGTTCGAGGTCTGGGACATATCTATCATGGGCAGCAGAGAGTGTTCTATATGCCTCGAGGATCTCAAGAACCCGGTTGTCACGCCATGTGGTGCGTTATGGTACCCTGATATACATGCTCTTTAGCCTTGGGCATCACTGAAAGCTGTACGTAGGTCACTTGCATTGCGAAGCATGCCTCTTGACATTCGTTGAACGCAGCCAGGATGCAATAAAAGCATCCTGCCCAACATGTCGGGCCTCTTTCTCTCTCGGTCGGTACTCACTGAGTCACACTCTCTACAACAAGCTCACGTAGTGATCTTGGACACTAGTTCAACCTGACTTGCGTTTTATACCCAAGAAGTTCCAACCGTTCATTATGCCTAGCATCCGACGCGTGTATTTGCCAGAGCTGGAACGCGGCGACAATCAAAGTTTGCAGAACCAAGTCCGGGATCTCGAGAAACGCGTCAAGCTTCTCAAGAAGGACAAATCCAAACTTATGGACAAATGCGAGAGCTTGAAGATGGAACGAGATGCCTTCGCTGAGAAGGAGTTGGAGGCTAGAGAACAGAATCAAGAGCTGAACGATGATTATGATGATGTCAGCGCAGAGTTGGTCCAAGTGAAGGCCCGAATTGAAGACTTAGAGGAGGACCTAGAGGTGCAGTTCGCGGAAAGAAACCACTGGGAACAGTCGCACGCAACCTTGCACAAGAATTACAGACAAGTGATCAGGAAGCTGGAGGAGGCGAACAAAGAACTTCACAACCACAAGTGCGTGGTAACAACGCATCTTTTGGTAAAGGATATACTCATCTTAGGACTCCCATTGGTACAGAGAGCAGCGTCGAATAAGTGAAGAACGACTTCCATATGCTCGATGTGTCCCGAGGGCCCGAGTTCAAAAGCGAACAAGTGACCAAGCAGCTCTTGATTCCCCCGGTCCTTCGACGTCGGGTGCTTCCTCATCCTCCGCTCACACCACTCCCGACGGCCGAGCCATACAACCCATCCCCAAACGCCCTCGTCTGAATCAATCGTCTCGTTCGCTATCTAATTCAGGTTCAAGCTTCCTTGGTCCGCCTCCCACGTACTATGCGCCTCATCCTGATCCCCAACCACTGCGTGAACGAATGCCTGTACTCACTGAATCGGATTCCGAAGGCGGGTCATTTAACGACCCGCCCGTGAGGAAGGTCAGTCTGCCCAGACGTCGTGTTCTACGGGCCAGACGTATTGAGGATTCGGAGGAGTTGTAGGTACCCTAGTGTGTTGAAGTTTTAATGGATATTGTGTAGTGTGCATGATAGCCAGTGGTCGAATCGAAGCAGATAATTCAATCACCATAAGAGACGCAGAGCATACCACGGTTATTCAGATACACCATATTATACATGTTATACATGAAGCACATCAAGCTTATACACATCAATTATCAAAGCTTCGCCTGCAATTTGATATTCGCAGATCGTTCCTGAAGAATGGCAGCAGCATCAAGAACCATGTTCTCAACGATCGTCTTCGCAGGCAGGATGTCTCTGATGAGTGCAGCAACTAGACCCATGGCATACGGTTGACTCTCTTGAAGCTTCTCAGGGTGCAGCTCGAGGTCGTGACTTCGTGGAACGATGCCTTGAGAGACGAGGGACTTCATCTCCTCTTTACGGTTTTGCTCCCTGTATTCAAGACACTTGTCAGATTCTAGAAACAGCCGAAACACTGAGGTGATAGACTCTTACCAATCATCGTAATACAGTGTCCTCCTTAGCCTCACAGGCCGACCCGAAAAAGCCTCCGTTCTAATCATCCCATCCAAACCTGCGCTCACAAGCAACTCCTTATGGATCCTAGCCGCACAACTCTCCTCGCTCGCTACAAACCTCGTCCCAACCCATACAGCTTGAGCGCCCCAACATAAATTCGCCGCCAGTCCACGACCGTCATATATAGCACCTGCACCAAGGACGTAGATAGGTTTGCCCGTTAGTGGGGACGTGTGTCCACGAGCGGCATCAACGCATGCGGGAACAAGGATACTAGCGGGGATCTCCCCGGTGTGTCCCCCGCCTTCACCTGCCTGGGCACAGATGAGATCCACACCTGAAGCGATTGCTTTAGGGACGTGTTTCGGATGGCCGACCATCTGCAAGCAGGAACTTCGTAAGCGCAAGAAGCCAAGTCAAATATGATACGACTTACGTTCATGACGAGTATACCAGCAGCGTGCAATTTCTCGACGGCCCATTTGGGTGGAACGCCTATCGCACATACGAATAGCTTCGCCTTCTCCTCTATGATCACATCAAGGAGCGCGGGAAGTTGACCTTTGGTGTAGTCCGCCTAGAAATAGATAAACTTATCAATGAATACGGGAGGCAAACGCCTCGAAACGCCGTACATTTGTCTTCCGAGCATTCCCTCCTACTTGCGGGATAAGTAAATCAACACCGAAGGGACCATTAGGGTCTTTCATCTGTCCCTTGATATCCCGGATCTGCAGTTGACAATCAGCGAGCTCCCAAAAGAAGCAGACATAGTTGAGAAACTCACAATGGTCCGTAGACCATTTGGTGTGAAGCCGTATCCCCCAATGACCCCCAAACCACCTGCGTTCGTCACAGCTGCTGCGAGGTCTGACCCTGCAGCACGGTCCATACCTACACATTCGAAGTTAAGTGAGTACGCGATAGATGATGAAATCCAACGCACCTGCAAGGACGACAGGATGTTTGATCCCGAACAGTTCGGTAACTGGTGTCGAAATAGTTGCAGACATTTGGCTATCGCACTGCTGAGGAAGTGAGCACTTAGATGAGATGAACGCAAGTCTTACCAGTCCACAGTCCACAGTCAGATATAGGAGACGGATGAGAACAGCTGAGCAAGTGCACTGTGCAGTGCTACTTTGAAACGCTCGTGTTAGTCTTGCGAAGCGGGAAGAAGGTAAGCCATTATATGATGGATCATTCTAATCGACCTCATGGGGTTCGCGGAGGTCCTTGTAGGCGAAAATCCATCGCTTGGGCAAGAATTCAGAGACATGTGTCGCGTAAAAGGACAATCCGGATAACATTCTGAATTGTATGGAGGACGGAAGGAGAAATGCTTGAGATAAAGGCGGTAAAGAGAAAGCAAAGAAACACTTCAGCGCCTGTCCGACTCTTCCGAGTCGGAGTTTACAGATCAACGTATTCTGTCAACGTTCTTGACAGAATCCCGACCAATACAGTAATCGTATTGCGTATAAAACGACACTGACTCCTCGCTAACATTCTGGTTGTCCTAAATTGTACGATAGTACTAGTGTATATAGACAGACGTTCACTTAGCCTATAGGGTTTGATGGAACTTCAATGTAGGCTGAACAGAGGTAATTATCAAAGAACTTACATAACTACAGAACATTATTCGTGACTAAAGCACTATACATGAGGCTCTAAAGCATATAGATATCAATTACAACTTCGCAGTGATCCTCACGCTCCCCGCGCGCTCTTGAAGGATCGTTGCAGCGTCGTTGACCATGTTGTCCACGATAGTCTTTGCAGGCAGAACATCGTTAATGAGGGCAGCAACGTAACCCATAGGATACGACTGACTCTCGGCCATCTTCTCAGGATGCTTTTGGAGATCGTCATTTCGGGGGACGATACCCTTGGACATGAGGTCAAGCATTTCTTGCTTACGGTTCTTCTCCCTAAACACCAAACAACACGATTAGCCTCGACTCATAACTAACCGCAGAGAAAAGTCACAAAGGACTTACCAATCTTCATAATACGGCGTCCTCCTCATCCTAACTGGTCGTCCACTCCAAACCTCAGTCCTAATCAACCCATCCAACCCAGCATTCACAAGCAATTCCTTATGAATCTTCGGTGCTCCACTCTCCACACTAGCCACAAACCGAGTCCCAACCCAAACAGCTTGAGCGCCCCAGCACAAATTCGCAGCAAGACCCCGTCCATCGTAGATTGCACCAGCGCCGATGACGTAGATGGGTTTACCGGTGAGAGGGGATGTGTGACCTCGGACGGCGTCGACGCAGGCGGGGATGAGGACTGAACCGGGAATTTCACCGGTGTGTCCGCCGGCTTCACCTGCTTGGGCACAGATGATGTCGACGCCGGAGGCCAGGGCTTTGGGGACGTGTTTGGGGTGGCCAACCATCTGTTTTTGAGAACGAAGCAAAAGACGTCAGGTGTCAAGTGATATTGGGGACGGCGGAGTTTGTTCCTTGAGTGATACGTACGTTCATGACAAGGATACCGGCACCGTGGAGTTTGTCTACGACCCACTTTGGTGGGACACCGACGGCGGAAACGAAGAGCTTGGCTTTCTCCTCGATGAGGACATCAATAATTTCGGGGAGCTGGCCTTTAGTGTAGTCATACTATTCAAGATATCAGTCGAAAGCTGAAAGCTGAAAGTTGTGTTTAACTTACATTTGTTTTGCGGGCGTTGCCTCCGACCTGCGGAATCAACAAGTCAACACCGAAGCCTCCATCCGGGTTATGGAGAAGTTTCTTGAGATCCTTGATCTGCAAAGTGCCGCGAACGGTGAATCATTCAACGAAAGCTCTTTATATTTATTTCTTCTGACATACCATCGTTCGGATACCCTGTGGTGTAAAACCGAGACCCCCAACAACACCGAGACCACCAGCGTTCGTCACGGCTGCTGCAAGTTCAGGTCCCGATGCACGATCCATTCCTAATAAGAAGTCCTGTTAAAAACCATGCTCACAGAAGACAAAGACAAAGACATACCCGCAAGGAGAATGGGATGTTGGATACCGAGTAGTTGGGTCACAGGCGTCGTGATAGAGGCAACCATTTTGCTTTAGCCAAACGAAGTGTATCGAGCGGCGAGTGTAGGGGGTGGAGAGGGATTGGTAGCAGCTGCAATCCACCGAGCTAGATATATAAAATTCCATGTGGGCTCGCCCCACGGGACCGATGCTTCGGACGGCGGTCCAATAGCAAGGTAGTCCGAACCTTGGCGAACCATAGCAGTCGATACGGCTTCTTCATAACCCTTCCGTGTACCTGAAAAGGTAGCGGAATGAGCACTGATGAGCATGAATTCGGGGTAAGGTAGATGATGGGAAGTATTTACCGGTGGAAAAGCAACTTGGCGAGCAAAAAGAGATGGTAGAACCATTCGGACGACCTCCGACTGCTGAATCTACCGCTACTTGAGGACGATGTGTGCAGAAGAACTGCACCGACAGTCTGGGATAGGATCAGCAATCTGATTAGATGCTGGCGGCCATCATATCTGATAAGTGGCGCATGAACATTTGATCTTATCTGATGTGAGCACAAGGCCGGATCTCTCCCGAAGTTCCATGTTCAAAAGTTCAAGTCGAACTTGTTGGCATGTTCCCGTTTCTCTTCTGTTCTCTTTGGTGCTCGTATGCTTGTCTTATGTCTTTTAAACGTTCGTCTTTTATTTTGAGACACTTAGCGGCACCCGTCGCGTGTACATGCCTAGCACCTTAGTCGCGTCTCGGCGCCATCTAGCCATAGCATCGGTTGAGCATTCCTCTCTCCTCTCGTCTGTTACCTTGCACGATGTTGGTTGAGTCGATATCTGAATATGTGGGTCCTCACGCATACAGCGTTCATTCTAAAAATTACGGGTCAGGGACTTATCCGACGAATTCCAATAGTCTTCTATAGGCCAGTCTAGACCGTGCCAGTCTTTCCTCGATTACTCCCGATCTGGACAGCATCGTGGTTACGGTTGTCTCGCAGTGTCTCGAGCTCTCCAGGATGCTAGTAACAACAGCGACATGCCCTTTCAGTGTGACGGGTCGGTGAACCACGGAATCCACCCTTGCCTGAGTCTTCCGAGAAATTGCAGGCTATATTACGACGCTCGACGCTGTTGGCCGCCTTAGACGTCTTAACATCGCAAATATCATACAGTCAAGTTCCATCACTTTACATCCTCCTCCTGTCACATGCCTACGTGCGTCATTTGCCTCGACGTACTCAAGAACCCGGCCGCCCTACCTTGTGGTAAGTACAAACCGCATCCGTGGTTTTGCCTTCCTGCTCAGTATATGTAGGACATGTCTTCTGCTACGAATGTGTCGTGCAGTTGGTCCGTAACGTCCATCCATACGTTAACCAACATTTTTGTCCGACATGCCGGCAAGCTTACACTATAAGTCAGTCTTCTTTTTACCCCTTGGTCTCCATTCGGTTCACCAACACTTATCGCTTCAGCAACTGTCAACCCGTCCCTAGTTCCACCACACCTTCAACTTCACGTCTCCCCCTCTATCCGCAAGCTGTCCCTCGATTACAGTGTACCAAAATCGACTAGAAGTAACGAGCCACTCGAACTTGAATGTGCTCGCCTCAGAGCCGAGAACCAATCCTTAAAAAACTGTTGTAGTGTCTGGTGTAATCGCGCGAGATTGCATGCCAGGACCACATTGGGCTTGATTGGGATGGTGAGGATGGGAAAGGACGCTGCCCTTCAGATGAAGGCGCAGAGGGACGAATTTGAAAAACAGCTTACTTCGTTGAAACGGAGCTGGGACGAGCGAGAGTACGTATTACCTTTTTCTTTTAACCGTCATCCGACTTAACACTAATATCGATTTTCGAAATCTAGCACTCCTCCGGAATCTTCGTCTCCCTCAGACACCTCTTCTCCTTCGGTATCCTCACGAGTCTCGGCGCCATTACCTCGACGACACCAATCTCCAACGTTCTCGCCTTCTCCGTTTTGCCCGAGGACCCCATCTCCCTGTTACTCGGAACAATCATATCACCCTGACTGTCCCGATTGTCAAGCTTCCACACCTCCTATCAAGCGTCAGCGCACTAGTGAAGAACCTACGTTGAAGATTATTGGTGATGCGTCCTCGGAGTGCGCTCAAACCGCTGTTTCCATCTGTTAAGGTACGAATATCTCCATTTACATCCTATGCGCTCGAAGATAGGTGTACTAAAGGCCTGTCGTTCTAGTAGATTATTATTTTGGATTTCCTGCTATACCCGACGGACCTAGACTAAGTAATCTGTACTATTATGTTTTCGATGACTGCTGCGCTATCTGCCTCCTTGCTCTTTGTACTCATTCTTCCCCACTCAACCCCGACTTCTTGTCATTGTGTCTTGTATCGATTATAATTACTGTACTAATGCCACAGAAGCTTTCTTGGCAAGCAACTTGCAAGCCATATCTTTATGACCCCATCGATCGACCTAGGCCAGGATATTCGATCGCCCTCGATCATGGAAACGAGTCACTCAAAATGACTGCCGGGCCCGGTATATAGAAGGAATTTTCTTGCCCGCATCAATGCACAGATCCGTTAGTTCTTGTTCAACCTAGGTTCAACCCCATGGATTCCAAAAAGTCGCCGACCATCTTCCTGAACGAAGTCTCTCATGAGCAAATTGAATTGTCTTCCTTAGAAACACAACGACGTCAACAAGATACTCAGAGCAATGCTTCGATCACAACAGAGCCATCACCCTCTGTAAATATCCAGGAGCTACCACCAGTCGATAAAGGGTGGCAGGCGTGGTCGTTCTGTTTCGCAGGTGTCGTTTTGGAGGCTCTCGTTTGGGGCTTTTCTTTCAGGTCCGTGATATTCTTGACTTTATTAAATGAGCTAATGAGGAAACATTTTGTCTTTGGTTCCAGTTACGGAATCTTTCAAGGCAGGTCATGTTCTTGAGTTTATATCCATGCAGCCGTAGGTTCTGACTTGAGTTAAACAGCTTACTATACATCACATCCTCCGTTCGACAAAGCTTCTCGAATTGCGGTTGCTTCCGTAGGGCCAATAGCGCTTGCCATCGAATATGGCGAGGTGCATTTCCTTCCGTCGTTCCAAGCTTCCTCTCGTAACCTTACGAGCAAATGTCTAGGGTTTCCTATTATCGTTCTTCTACACACGATATCCTGACTGGATCAAGACCTCTATGTGGCTTGGACTTTTACTCTCTGTACTTTGTCTTGCACTCTCCAGCTTTGTAAATCAAGTAAGACGTGTCACAACTGCGTATAATTAACTGATCTCACGGTTAAATCAGGTATGGCTCCTGATCTTACTTCAAGGTGTAGGGCTAGGTGTCGCAGGTGCTGTGCTATACTGGCCTGTAGTTTTATATGTCTCCGAGTGGTTCGTGGAACATAGAGGGCTCGCTGGTGGTGTTATATTTGCCGGAGGAGGTCTTGGGGGTAAGAGCTTCTGATATGTACATATCTAACGCAGCTTGCGAACTAATCGATTCTTATCTTCTCAGGCTTTTTCTTCCCATTCATCGTAAACTCACTGTTGGATCATGTCGGACATAGATGGACGTTGCGTGCCCTCGCTTTGCTCCAGGGGGTCCTCGGTGGGATCGCACTGTTGGGTATCCGTCCCAGGATTCCACCCCCAAAATACCGTCCTGGACAACGGCGTCCAAGCCTGATGCCACGACGATTACAGTTCTTCAAGAGAAAAGTCTTCTGGACATATGTATGTCTTTGCGCTTTAACCTGGAAAATGAGCTCCTTCTCTTTGACTCTTGCTCATCCAACGAACAGTCAGCAGCACACTTTTTACAAGCAATGTCGTACTTCCCCGTCTCGCTTTATATCGCTGTCTTTACCGAGTCCATCTCTTCTCCACTATCCGCTACCATCGTGTTATCGCTATTCAATTCCGCAGGTGTCGTGGGTCAAGTTCTATTAGGTTATCTTACAGATCGGTTTCCATATCCTTGGATCATGTTTGCTAGTACCCTGGGAACCGCTCTCTCTGCATTCCTGCTTTGGGGGTTCGCTGATACATTGGCTCGTGTCTTTGCTTTTGCAATCATATTTGGCGGTCTGGTACGTCTTTACAACACGTCTAGTCTCAACCTGCAAGTCTTATTCCTTGACATAATCATTGGCAGGGTGGAGGGTTCGCTTCGATCGCCTTCGCTGCGGCAACAGATTCAGCAAATCCCAATACAGAGCAGGCACCAATAGCTCTAACCGCATTCTCGGTTGGCAAGGGCATAGCTGCTGTTGTCGGACCTGTGCTGTCTGGTCTCCTCCTGGAAGCGGGAAAAAGCGTCAGTTATGGTCCCTATGGCAAGTTTGGCTTTGGTCCTGTGGAGATATTTGTGGGGTCTTGTGCGTTGGTCTGTTCATTCTGTAGTGTTGGTGTTGCGATGTCAAGACCGCGGGTTTGAACGTCTTCGACGGTTACGTTGATAGATTTAGATTTGGTACGTCCTCCAGTATGTTGGGCATCTCGTATTGTCAATGAGACTTTTTCCTTTTCGGAAGTGTGCTATCTCGTTTTCTAGACTAGGGCTTCCGGGCCTTATCCACTCACCTCGTGATAAAGGGTGATACGGCTCGCAGTGATCACGGAACGGATAGCGTACTATTACGACACCTACCGCATGATCAATCGAGTCATAAAATCACTGGATGCGTCGGTTATATTTCTCTTCGTGTCCTTTATGCCAGCAAGCCTTTGAGGACAATTCTCCAGATGGATTCGCAGGGATCTTCCACCCTTATCATCAGCTACCAATCCAAAGACATTGAACTGTCTTCATTAGAGACTCGGAGGCATCAACTTGAAAGGCCCCCTAGCCACGGAGACACATCGCTTTTCGCAAATCCGGAACCTTCCTCATCCTCAGCAAACGTACAAGTACTTCCACCTGTCGATGAAGGCTGGCAAGCATGGATGTTTTGCTTCGCGGCTTTGGTGTTGGAGTTTTCCGTATGGGGGTTCACATTTAGGTGAGGTGTTTCTCAAATTCTCACAGAGTTAGTGTTTTCGGTTGACCGTAGTTCGTTGTCGCTTTCATTATCAGTTATGGCATCTTCCAAGGTCAGTCGTTCATAACAGGACAGCTCAATGGGGAAGGTTAAGGCCTTCTGTCAGAATATTACACATCTCATCCGCCGTTCAACCAAGCATCTCGTGTAAGTGTCGCTGCAGTGGGTCCAACTGCTATCGCTGTTCAATACATAGAAGTACGTATCATCATCGATGGCCCTTGTTGTAACTTATTTCATACAACGCCCCCAGGGTCTTCTGTTGTCATTCTTCTACGGAAGATATCCGGATATGGTCAAGAAGTCTATGTGGTTTGGACTAGCGCTGTGTGTCCTTTCGTTGACGCTCTGCAGTTTCGTGAACCAGGTGCCGTCACAGGAGCTTTTTATATTGAACAGCATACGGAGCGGGACTGACAAAAAGCTTTGTAAGTAGGTCTGGCTCCTCATTTTGCTTCAAGGTGTAGGATTAGGTATTGCCGGAGGGTTGCTTTACTGGCCTATCATTTCCTTCGTATCAGAGTGGTTCGTCCAACGCAGGGGGCTTGCCGGAGGGATCATTTACGCTGGGTCCGGCATTGGAGGTTGGTTCCTGGCTGTGATTACGACATGAGTCTTCAGCTTCTCAACGCATCAATAGGTTTCGTCTTTCCATTCCTGGTGAACGCACTCTTGGTCCGATTTGGACACCGTTGGACTTTGCGTATAATTGCCTTGCTTCAATGTATCCTTGGAGGTGTTGCTCTCCTGGGTGTCCGGCCACGGATCTCTCCGACGAAATATCAACGAGGTCAAAGACGACCGCAGCTTATACCGCCAAGGATACAGTTCTTAAAACGAAAAGTATTCTGGGCAAATGTAAGTTGCGGAGCTTCCTCCGCGCTCGTGTGCGGGTGCACGACGCTTATCTAATGTACTTCATAGTCAGCGACGAATTTCCTCCAAGCAATGTCATACTTCCCTGTTTCCCTCTACATTGCCGTTTTCACCGCAAGTATCTCCTCACCCTTGTCCGCGACGATCGTATTGTCACTATTCAACTCCGCCGGTGTCATAGGTCAAATCATAATTGGCTACTTGAGCGATCGATTCCCCTATCCTTGGATTATGTTCACGATTTCCATGGGAAGCGCGATTGCAGCCTTCCTATTGTGGGGATTTGCGGACACGCTAGCTCGTGTCTTCGCGTTCGCTATTATCTTCGGTAGTCTGGTATGTATGCCTTTCTATGGTAAGATCACTTGATGCTGACCAGATGATATGAATAGAGTGGAGGATTTCCATCGGTTGCTTTCGCAGCAGCAACAGATTCGGCCACTCCAAATACAGAGCAAGCACCAATGGCTTTGAGCGCCTTCTCCTGCGTCAAAGGCGTGGCTGCTATCATTGGACCCATCATCTCTGGTATCTTGTTGGAAGCAGGAAAGACTATCACTCATGGCCCTTATGGAAAGTTCGGTTTCGGACCTGTGGAGATATTTGTGGGCAGTTGTTCGTTGGCTTGTTCGCTTAGTAGTCTTGCTGTTGCGGCTACTCGACCACAGGTTTCAAGATAGTCTGATTAAGGTTACCTAGGATGTGCTAAAGCTTGGTACGTCTTCTTTTTCTTTCTCTAGATTTTGTGGATTCCGAATTCGATCCTGATGCGCTTTATCCTGGGCGGCAGCTTGATTATTTACGTCATTCACTGTCGCATTCACTAATCACCGGTCTATTTCCCCTAAATTCCGAACATCGCCGATCATGATCTGCAGGTTCAAATATTCAGACGATCATCCCCCAGAAAGCAAGACTGAAAAATTGTAATGACGGCAGCATCGATCCGTTATCGAGTCAAACCTAAGACCTTCGGGATACATATATACGCATCATAATAAACGCATTCCTGCCCTCTATCCTCAACTTCTGTGGGAGTCGTTTCAGCTGCCATGGATTCTGAGTCAACATCCATACGACCCTTGAATCCTCACAGTGACATCGAGCTGACGACGTTGGAACAACAAAGGAGTGATATTTCTTTATCATCAGAGCAACCTGGGGCGTCTGTGAATGTGCAGGAACTTCCTCCTGTTGACGAAGGTCGTAAAGCATGGATATTTTGCCTCTCGGGATTGTTACTTGAAACTATGGTGTGGGGATTCGGTTTCAGGTGCGTATGCCGCCTTCCCCCCGCGATGTGATGATCTTAAGCTCGCGTTGTCCATGGTGAAGTTATGGAATCTTTCAGGGTATGTCTGCTGTTCAAAGTATTGAGCGACAATGCGCAAACCCACAACTGTCAATACAGCTTACTACACTTCTCACCCTCCATTCGATAAAGCCTCCCATATTGCGGTTGCTGCCGTAGGTCCAACAGCTCTTGCGATTGAGTACGGAGCGGTGTGTGTTCTAGCCGATATCAGAGATCAAATGCAATTGAACGCGACACCCACAGGGTATTTTCCTAGCTTTCGTCTACGGCCGGTATCCAGACCACATGAAGAAGTCTATGTGGTTTGGCCTTGTTCTAAATAGTATGAGTTTAATATTGTCTAGCTTTGTGAACCAGGTCAGTGAAGCTTGCGCAAGAAATGATGGTGATTGGAGTCCGACCACTCGCTTTTCAGGTTTGGCTATTAATCGCGCTCCAAGGAGTCGGACTTGGTATTGCTGGGTCTTTGCTTTACTGGCCAGTCATTTTTCTAGTATCCGAATGGTTTGTTCAGAGAAAGGGGCTTGCCAGTGGAATCATCTTTGCTGGGTCTGGCATCGGCGGTATGGGCCTTTGTCTTGAATTTTATCCATCATATTAAGGAAGAAAGCAGGATTCATTTTCCCATTGATTGTGAACGCATTGATGGACAGTCTGGGTCATAGATGGACATTGCGCATTTTGGCAGCGATTCAAGCCGTATTCGGTGGCATTGCGCTCGTAGGCGTTTGTCCTCGCATCCCTCCCATCAAATATCGTCGGGGTCAAAGACGACCCCAATTCATTCCCCCGAGGCTGCAATTTTTCAGTAGAAAAGTCTTTTGGACATTTGTAGGTTTTCATTCATTGCATGGTGGCAATCGTCTGAATGCTTCGAATTTTTCGTGTTAGGCAACCACAACTTTCTTGCAAGCAATGTCATACTTCCCTGTTTCTCTATATATTGCCGTATTCACAGCGACGATCTCTTCTCCGTTGTCAGCCACGATCGTCCTATCTATGTTTAACTCATCAGGCGTGGTCGGACAAATCCTCATAGGATACCTCAGCGATCGCTTCCCGTATCCCTGGATTATGTTCGGTAGCACTATGGGGAGTGCTATTGCCGCCTTCCTCCTCTGGGGATTTGCTGATACGCTGGCTCGTGTCTTCGCATTCGCTATCATCTTCGGCGGTTTGGTAAGTATTTCTTTGCTGTCTCACTGTTCAAGTTGTACTAAGCATACGAGTGCAGAGCGGAGGATTCTCGTCCGTCACGTTCGCCGCTGCTACAGACGCAGCCAACCCTAATCCAGAGCAAGCCGGTATGGCGGCGAGCGCAGCAACTCTAGGGAAAGGTATTGCTGCTGTCATGGGGCCGATTATTTCCGGAGTGCTTTTGGAGGCGGGGAAATCGGTATCAAGTGGCCCATATGGTAAGTTTGGGTTCGGACCTGTGGAGATTTTCGTGGGTTCTTGTGCGATTGCTGGTTCTATGTCTAGTCTTGCAGTTTTAGCTACCAGACCTCGGCCATGAATGCATCTCTCCGAACCCCCTAACTTGGGTCGAAGATTCACTTCAGTTGTTATACTATTTTGTCTTTGGACCTTCTGACCGATGGGCTGATGGGTAGAATGTGCGCCATCTCGATCCATAATGACCGTTTCTACCTTCGTACAACCATGGACATCGAACTTCGCTAGTCGTCCAACATTGACCAATCTGTCCGTGTATGGAACGAGGTATTGACTCGGGGGTCATCTTACCTGGAACATACGAGACAACAGAGCGCAGAGTCGCCGCAGACTTGAGTTAGTGGCCACCAGCTCAGGAGTTAGTCACTAGTGAAACATTTTCCTTAGAATACAGTAGCGACCAGATATAGGTAAGAGGATACGCTCAGCCAATAGTCACAGGTATAGTGCCAGACATAGACGTAGCTCGAGGCTTGAGGCGTAGCAAGATATTACGTGGGACAAGTCATTCACGAGTAGAATAAATAGCTCTGTGGCGCAGCCACGGAGAAACTAGATGGCCACCATGGGGCGGAGCATGCAAAAGTGGATCTCAGAGAGTGATCGAACTGCGAATATAGTTCGTCAGCGACCGCGAGACATAACCAGGCAAAAATAACACGTACTGCTTTGTGCCATGGTTGGGGCAAGCCCTTCGATGGCCGAGGCAGGTGGAATCGGGCTCTCCCTTTACAGTAACTATATCTTTGTGTTTGACGGAAGGGCATGGGTCGACAGGCCTAGGATCCTGAGGGCGTGCCTCTCATGCCTTTATTGCGGCATTATATTGAATTTTCTTCGCGCAACGTTCTTGGCTCGGTGGACCCAAGACCTCGCTGCCGCAACAGAAGACTTGCAGAGTAGTAGTAATAATACACATTTTCAGTAACAGTAGAGAGCGAGCAAGTTCTATAGAAGGAGAGTAGAGGTTGAAATGTGAAGTCCAAGCAACTGGTGGGACGGGGGGCCTCAGAATGACGAGGGGAATTGAGCAAGGGAAGGGCTGTCTTTATACTTCTAGTTTGCAAAATGTCATGGGAAGGGACACTCTCGCTTCTGTTACGCAATTAATTTCCGAGTGTGGCTCGGATACTCAAGCATTTTGGCCACATCGTGGCAGGGGTACAATAGTAGACCAAAGGCTATGTCACGGTGTGGCCTGATTAGACAGATACTGAACACGGTTGGTTGCGTGACACAACAGCTAAATCTGCAATGAACATGGTATTAAATACATGTCAGCATGTGAATAGGAGCATGAAAGTGTGAACGCCAACTTTGCACTCAAATGCGGGCCAAAACTATAGTTCAAAATCGGCCACAGCGGCTTAGTCAATAGACTATGAGTGCTCAATGGCCGGAGTCAAACTTTCTCCCTTGCAAAACTGGATGCAACTTGACTAGAGGATGTAGAACATAGCAGACACAAGCGGTATATAAAGACGCAGAGACATCACATTGTAAATTTCTGAGATGATCTTCGTGTCGCAAGTTCGCTTTCTTGCAACGAAGGGACATAAATTGAACCTTGTCTGTAGAAACACGTAGCACACATTGGCAAATCGACAGGCTCAGAAAAAATTGTTGTCACTTACCGTGTGTTCAGCGTCTTTAGAGCATTGTTAATGAATGGTTCGACCACATGTCTGACGCTGTATTCTAGCTCTGGCGTTGAGATTGTCCGCCGCAAAACCCTTTTGTGGGTTAAACACAGTAAATTTGAAACCTGAACTTGTACACGATGTAGAGCGAACTTTGCATCGCCAGATTTGGCATCCTAAGCGTCTATTCGTCCCCGTTGTGCCGCGGCCCGCGACCGCACTACGGTCATACTGAGTATCTCCTGGAAAATACCTTCTCGTCCTTGTGGAAGATTTATTACGTGAAAATCCCTCTGTTATCCATGAACACGCATGGCGTGCCTATAAACTAGCATTTTAAATATTCCATCCCAGCTGGCGGCCCGTCACAATCATGATCATGCTACCTCACTGAGCGGCTGACCATCCCAGCAGGAGTATCCTTGGAGACTTCAATTACAACGAGGGTCACGAACCTACGGATTCTAGTCCATATATATTGGGTGGTAATTATGCTTTGATACGTGTGAAGGATGTGGTACCCGCATACTGTGACGGTCTTCGTCGGTCTCTGCCTCCTCGCACTTCAAGTGCGTTGTGAACCCTCTGAGCTTGTTCGAAGGAACTCGACAGGATTAACTGACGCTGTTACCTGGGATCCTCACTCGCTATTCATTCATGGCCAACGCGTCTTCATCCTGTCTGCTGAACTCCATCCGTGGCGTCTTCCCAATCCGAATCTCTGGTCTGATGTCTTCCAGAAGATCCGGGCGAACGGGTTCAACACTGTGTCGTTCTGCATAAACTGGGCAGTGCATTTCCCAACTCCAAATACTAACAATGGTACTGGCGACTTTCAAGAGGGCACCTACAGGGATATTCAACGCTTCATAGACGAAGCAAAGAAGGCCGGATTATGGTTAATAGCAAGGTTGGATACTCGGTTTTGTGATCTCCTAAACTGATATATGTATATGCTGCAGACCTGGTCCTTATATCAGTACGCCCAGAAGCAGTTATCACTTGTGCTACGTGTTAACATTCGATTTTTAGATGCAGAAACTACAGGCGGCGGGTTCCCTGGATGGGTAGGCAATATTGCAGGTTCTTTGCGGACAAATAACATGAACTATAAACAAGGTAAACCCCGCTTTTGACACTTCACATATGTTTAGCCTTTATTTCGCCGTCAGCATGGCTTCCCTATATGACTGAGATATCAAAGATAATTGCTCGGAATCAGCTTACGAGCGGTGGACCAAGTGTGTTTTGATATGTGCCATAGCTCGAGATTGAAACTACTGACACAGCTCCTCTGTGAAGTAATCCTTGTTCAGGCAGAGAATGAATTCAGTGTCGGAACTGACCGCAGTCCATACATGCAAGATGTCATTGATACGTACCGCGCTGACGGTGTCATTATTCGTTCGTATATGCCCTACTTCCTATGATGCGCATCACATATCAATGACCTGTCATTGAAACTTATCCAGCCATTACCCACAACGACCAGCACGCTGGTGCGGCCGGCAATTTCAGTCCCGACCTACCTGGCACTGGTAGAGTAAACATATACTGGTAATATGAAAGTCTCGAACTGAAACGTATCATATGCCTGAATTGGTTACGTGTAGTGGAGATTCCTATCCACAAGGCTCATCTCGTTGGGCACAAGTCCAGACGGTGTACTACTCGAACCATGTAGCCGTCGCCCCCAATAATCCTCTCTGTCTTGCTGAGGTCAGCTTCAAACCCATTCACATGACCTTATTGTGTTGACTTCTGCGCTCCAGATTGGAGGTGGTTTCCTCCTCGGATGGGGTAGTGTTGCGCGAGGTGGAACCGGCTATGAGAAATACTGTGAGGAAGATTCGAATTCTTACTGCATGTACTGTTTTAACCTGGGTTTTAGCGGGTGATTTGACGAATGCAACCTATGGTGAGTAAGTTTGCTATACAATTATCATGATTTTCTGACCGAATTACAGAGAACATCTTCTATAAGGACACATAGTAAGTGAGAATGTAGCTGCGCCGCATGTTGCTTACTCCTGTCAAAGTGCACAAACAGCGACCATCCTCAGTACGTTCCGTACCATTACTACTTACAAAACTACTCATTCGTTGATGACCTTTCAGACGTATACAGTGCGATGGGTCTCATTTTAACTAAATATATATGTTATTCATGATACCATTCCTAGTGACGTTCGGAGGTACCAACTGGGGGCAGACTTCCGAGCCGACAGTATATTCAAGCTACGACTATGGAGGAGGTAAGACATAGATGACATAGATGACATCGGTCCCAATATCTCATTCTGTGCCAATACACATCCGGACAGGTGTCAACGAGAACAGGGTAGCCATTTCGAAGATGAATGAAATGCGCCTTCAAGGTACATTATACTTCCGAGATTTCTTGCCCAGGATCACTCTCATATTCCTTTATAGGTCTATTCCTACGTGTTTCAAGAGACCTACTCTCTGCAACCCTTATCGCAAATGGCACCAACTACACGACGTCGTCGTTGATTCATACCGCCGAGCTTCGAAACTTGCAGAGCAACGCAGCGTTCTACGTTCTTCGACATGATGATGCTACGTGAGCCCAAGACGTTTATTCTTATCTCGTCCTCATGTCATTTATGCATACCTACAAAGGTCGACTGCATTGACGAGTACTCGGCTCAATGTATCGACGTCCGCCGGCACATTGCTAATTCCGCAGAATGGTTCACTTGTCTTAGATGGAAGAGAGAGCAAGATTATTGTCACAGATTATACATTCGGGACTTCTAAAACGAATATTCTCTACTGTACAACAGAGTAAGTCTGACAATGCACCCCATCTCAGATAAAAATATCAATTGTCGCAATTAGGATCATGACTTGGACAACGATCGATAACCAGGACTACATCATTCTCTATGCCTCACCCGGTCAGACAGGCGAAACCGTCTTCAACTTCGTTTCCACTCCAACAGTTGACTTATCAAATGCACCTGGTGTCATTTCAAAGATCTCTGGTAACCACTTGACACTGAATTACATGCTGCAAGGCTTCGGTGTTACTACGATTACCGTTGGAACGAACAAGGTTCATGTAGTTATTATGGACAAGACGACGGCGTTGCAATGGCACGCATCCGATATTGCTGGCAAGGGTGACTTTGGAGCACATTTCTCTATCGGTACGAACCAGAGGTATGTATGCACACCGGACTCGAAATAGTCTCGCTGAACCCTACTTGTATTTGCAGCGTGTTGGTAGGCGGACCATATCTAGTTCGTACTGCGTCCATTTCCCGCGATACGCTGTCCTTGGTACGAAACCTCGTTATCGTATGTAACATGCTAATCTGATTGTCCGAGCTGTGATCCTTACAGACAGGTGATCTTAACGGAACCACGAACGTCGAAGTCATCGCACCCGCTTCTGTCACCACAGTCACTTGGAATGGGAAACAACAAGAGTTTCATACGACCACGCGGAACTCGTTGGCTTTCACAGTCGGTAGTAGCACTCCGGCTGTCTCACTTCCGAGACTCGATAGCTGGAAAGTTTTGAACAGGTATGCAGAGCTCTCTTCCGGTCTTCGTTCCGATTAACACAAAGCTTCCCATAGTCTTCCAGAAATCGACCAAACATTCGACGACTCATCATGGATTGTCGCCAATCAAACTAGTACCAACATCAGTCTTGTCATACTTTGAACCTTAACTTCATTCATATGACTGTGTTCTTGGTAGTACACCAATCTTCCACCACTCTCTGGCGATCACGTCTTATACTCACAACAGTATGGGTACGCACTACGTTACCTTCTCCATGGCCTAACTCAATTTTCCGGTCCAGGTTCTATGGTGGTAACCTGATCTTCCGAGGCCACTTCAACGCCACTGGCTCCGAGACAGCAGTCAACCTCACCGTTCAGGGCGGTTTCGCGTTTGGGTATTCCGCCTTCCTGAATGGCGTATTCGTGGGCTCGAATCAAGGCAGTTCTACTGTTAGTCAGGCCACGGATGTTTGGACGTTCCCTCAGAGAGCTGTTAAGATTGGCCAGGATAATGTAGTAGTGGTCTTTCAAGGTAAGTTTTGAGATGGGACGACTGATTGATTGGATTCCTGACAATGTCGTAGACCATATGGGCCTTGTTGAGACGAGCAGTATGTCCTCTCCTGATCTCGCCATCTTTACTGTTCGCTGACGAGGATGGTAGCTAACGGTGGCAAAGAACCTCGTGGTATCAGAGGTTATGCCCTCATCTCTAGCTCCTCCACGCCTACGACCTTCTCCCATTGGACGATCCAAGGCAATCAAGTATGTCTATTTCTCTCTCCTTGCCTATCATCAAGAAGTTAGAGTATTGAATACTTGCAACTCTGTCCGGGCGGCCCAGCGAATACACCAGATACATTCCGAGGATATTTGAACGAAGGCGGACTCTTCGCCGAACGTATCGGGGCTCACCTTCCAGGGTTTCACGACGATGATTGGCCAACTGCATCTCCCATCGAGCAAGGCATAGCAGGCGCAGGTGTTAGTTTCTTCAGGACGAACTTCACATTGGTAAGTTATCATGCCGCTCTTTGGATTGAATAGTGAGTGAAGAGCTATTGGATAGGACTTGCCCGAGGGTTATGACGTGCCGATTCGGTTGGCTATCACCCCGAGTGATATTTCGTCAAACTTTAGAGTGCAAGTATACCTAAATGGATGGCAGTTGGGAAAGTATATTAATAACATCGGGTCAGTGTCCACGTCTATTGAATACTTGTTTCTGAATTTGGTTCTCACGCGAAACCGTTGATATACAGGCCTCAGACAGTGTTCGTCCTCCCGGCAGGGTGAGTCCTTGCAATCACATCTCATCTCAGATGCCTTCTTACTCGAAAGGATGATTTGCCATAGAATCCTACATGCCCGCACACCCAACACGCTCGCTGTCTCCCTTTGGTCACTTGACGCCAAGGGTGCTTCCTTGGCAGGGATTCAACTAGTCGCTCAAGATGGTTTGTATGAAAGTGCGTTGGCTTTGGACGGGAGGTTGGATGACTTTGGCGTCGAACAGGGGGCGTTTAGACCTGAGGGCAGAGTAAATGGAAAGGTTGAGGGTAAATGAAGTCGGAGACAGGTTGTTCGATACAAGTCGAGGAAACATGGAATCATTGAGAGGAGTTGTAAAGCAGAGCAAATAGTAACGGTATACGAATATTGTGAGTATAGCCTATGTGGTATAACAAACATGTGAACCAAGAAAAAAGCATGAAGTTGTGATCGTGAACTAGACAGCCTCAGTCACTCTCTTCACTCTGATCTTCCAAGAACGCCATGATACGCTTCCTCGCATTGTTCTTGGGCAGAATCTCAACCTCTTCATCACTCTCATCTTCATCCATACCGTTTCCTTCGGGGGATCCACGACGAGCAGTGACAGTACGGGAAGTTCGAGACGAGCGGGAGGTGATGGCTTTCTCAAATTGCTTGACGTCCTCTACGTGTATAAGCAATCATATCAATCACTGATCTTCCAGAATGACAAAACCAATAAAGAACTTACCAAGCTCTTTCTCAAACTCCCTTTTCTCCTTCAGCTCCTTAGCCAACTTGACCGTCCACCGTCTTCCTTCCTTTGGGAATCCACATTCCTTGATAAGAATATCTTTGATAAGTTTGATTTGGGCACGTTTCGATGTCGGGTCTGGAAGGGCGGAGAAGAGCTTTGTGTAGGGTTTGCGATGGCCGGAGGCTGAGACGAGTTGCTAGAGGAGAGCAGGGACTATAAGTGCGCATATAAGTAAGAAACGATAATGAAAACGTACCTTGAGACGCTTGATCTCTTTGTCATCTTTATCTTCTTCGACAGGTTCTTTCTTCTTTCGACCACGTTTCGCTGGTTCCTTTTCCTGTGCGAGAATTAAGTAATAAGTCAAGGCATTCATAATCGTTCAACATTCTTGAAGATGTAGATTTAGACTGACCGTAGCTTTCTTCTTACGTTTCGGAGCTTCGTCATCGATCAATACACTCATCTCAGACTCACTTCTCTAATGCATCGAAAGAGTGTGACATCAAACGTCATGAATTGGGATGTATGAAATCGGAACAGAAGGCATACCTCCGCTTCAGCCTCTTCGAGCTTAGCTGCCTCCTTCTCGATCTCAACCTCAGCTTCTGCTTGCTCACGGTCAGAGGCAGAAGCGGCCGCTTCGTCTTCTGACGTGATTAGGGATTTGGATTTTGGGACCTTGGATTTAGTAGGAGCGGTGGACTGCGGGGTCACAGGAGGGCGGGTTCAATAAGAAATACGTATAAGGAGGAACTGTTTTAATGATGAAACTGCACCTTGGAGGATTCGGATGGTTTCCGGGGCGAGTCTGCTTTGTCTGATGAGGGTACAATGGCCTGCTAGGAAAGAAAAATTAGAACATTGTAATCAAATGACCTTCTATATACGCACGGATGAATGATATGTTTTCTTCTTCCCAGAATCTTTCGTTTTCTGCTGAGGCGGCGGCGGCCCTTCCTCGTTGGATGAAGGAACGATGGACTGGCATGCACGAAACATTAGTAATCAGTACCTTGGTATAAGTCGAACTGCAAAACGCGTGTACTCACGGACGAACGATACGTCTTCTTAATTCCAGTTTCCTTTGCTTTCTTCTTAGGTGGAGGAGCAGCCGTTTCCTCGTCTGATGAAGGCACGATGGACTATTCGTACAAATTTAATGTACTGTTCAAGATAGCATTACAATTACGTACAGCTGAACGATATGTCTTCTTCTTTGTAGATTCCTTTGCTCTCTTCTTGGGCGGAGGCGAAGAGGAAGACGGTACAGCGTCGGACTTGCGTTTCCTTGCTTTCGCTTTAGGTTCTTCCACCTTCTTTGCCTTCTTCACTTTCTTGACGGGTTCAGGTTCAGGTTTAGGTCGATTCTCTTCTGGTACGATCTCATCCTCTTCATCTTCAGGGTGCTCTGCCTGATACTCAACCTGTCTGGCGCGTGAGAAGTACGCTGTTGCAGACTAAGGGTAACCGTACCTGAGCTTGATCAGTGGCGGTCTTGATAGCGTCTTTTAGCTCCCTACTCGACAGGATGACAGACTCGTCTATTCCGAGTCGCATTGCAACCTCGAGCCTTACGGCACGGATTGTCCATTTCCTAAGATTACTGATGAGAATGGTGACATCATAAAAAGTGAGAAAGTGAGGACAAACCAGAGAGTGTTGGAGGCGAGAGCATCTTTGATGATGTCCTTCGCAATCAGTGTCACTGCCCCGACGCTGACTTCTGGTTCACTGCTCATTCTGATTAATCTGCAGAGTTGTCGCTGGGAAGAAAGTGCCTCAGACGCGCTCGAGAAAGACGCGCTTTATCCGTGACGCGTAAGGCACGTGATGTATTCTTGGCGGACGCGCCTCCTGCGCGTCGGGTTTCTGTCTTTTCTTCGAGCACACCGTGAGTGGACGATCTGCGCGATGGAAACGACAACCACCCCCAGCATTGCGCTGTCCGCCGCAAAGGAATGCACGCTCAAATCGTGTACGCCACATCTCATGCCCTTCCACATCGCCTATTCTGGCCCTGCTCCAGTTAACACCTACTTTCGTCCACAACCAATCGCTCCTCCTTCCTTTGGTTTCACCCCTACCACCTTATCGGAATCTCAAGACACCATTGTAGACACAAATTCACAACAAGACGCGTCTAACGCGTCTTCTTCGTCTTCACTTACGCTTAACGGTGACGCCACACCTCCAGTGGAGAATGGAAAGCACTTTGTTGCTGCGTTCAGAGGGAGGACAGTTCACGGTTTGGAAATCGATTTGCCGGAAGGATACACAGGCTTAGTCCTTCGTGCACCTTCCGCCAATGCACCACCTCCGCCGTCCCGTACCAAACGTGAGGCGAACAAACGGTCCACACGACGTGCGAGACAGGCGGCAATGGAAGAGGAAGAGGAAGATGACGACATGGATGGTAATGTGATGGAACAAGATACCCAACCTGAACGCATGCTTACCCCCGCATATACATTTGACAAACTCACGATCTGGCATCCCGACATTCCGATGGATACGTCCAGAGACGAGTACTTCAGGGCGTTGTCCGAATGGACGAAGCTTGGTGCAGTAGTGGGTGTTTCTGAGACATACCCCTTGTATTGATAAGTCTGATAGTCCGACCTTACTGCGTTCACAGTTACATGACTACGAAGAGTAATCACCTCCTTCTGGGCCTCTACCCAACTAAAGTTCATTCTTCAAGGACAGTCAGAGATCGGCAAGTTCGGACGTCGAGTAGCGTGGAGCCCGAATGAGACGGTATGCCCAAAAGCATCCGGATCGAGTCCCATACGCGAAGGTACTGCCTCTTCGGATGGGTATACCTTCTTATTGCGGACCTTCTACTATAAATCATAGAGAATGGCTTGGTATTTCCTTGCAATGACGATCATACTCGGAGCGTTTACAGTAGGCTGAGGTGTGCTTGCGGCTGGATTGAAGACGGACGATAGAGTGGCCGTCTGATAATATATGTAGCGTTACTTGCTGGTATATGGCACTGGGTCCTTCGGCCTCTGATATCAATGAATAGACGGCGGAAAGTGGAGATCTGCTATTGCGGATGCGGATTCGCAAAAATGATTATGAGACAGCAGGAGGATCAAAGAGAGCCTTTTCGGGACGTTTGATGAAAATGTTTCGGATCTCACAATGCCCGATGTTTGATCTCCGCCTTCGCCGCCATGATACTCAAACAATCTGCTCATGCAAGAGAAACCAAACCCGAAGCATGAGATTCAGCAAACTTCTGTCCTGGACTCCTGGTAGCGCAGTCTGCTCTGGATTTTACGGATTAGGTTGGGATGCACTACTACGCTTGCCTTTTTGAGCCCGACACTTCCTTGTGACACGGCTTCTCTGGGACACGACGTTGAAGTCGCCAGCTGTTTCGTTCAGTTCTCTACCTTCCTTGCTTTTCATGACTATAACGTAAGCGCAGTTAAAGATGTAGAACGTTCTATAGCTCACGCGTGCAGCGTTGCTAATGATATGACCCACAGGTCTTTCCTCCAGCGGCATCGGGTGGTGTCGCTGGCAGGCCCATGTACTCCGATTTTCAGATGCACAAAAATACAGAAATGCAATTTATAACATAGTCTCTGAGTATCCAGTGAGCCGATAACGGTACAATGTGCTGGTAATACTAGTTGCCAGGGTCCACCCGGGTAATATTACAGGTATGCCATTTTGGGCGATCCTAACTTTATTGTGGTTGTATTTGTTCTTGTGTAACCGACGGATTGACCCTTTTATACGCCCCGGACGCCCCAATATCCCTTCCCCTCTTACTTGTCGACTTTGACTTTGAGTTGCTTATCCGCTTGAAATTTCGCGAAAGCTGTTCACTAACCCTGCTCGTCTGCTCATATTCATCTCTCGAATTTATAATAAACAACACCTCCCTCTCTTCGCGCGTCGAAGACCAGTGTATCCGGCCATGCCGGACGCGTTGTGCAGCGGCTTCCTCTGTGAAGCTTACGGCCTCATCCTACAATATTCAGATGCCTACTACAATTTCTTTTTCAACAACAACATCCCTGATATCGCAGTTGTCACCCCCATCCCCGCCACCCGTACCTTTCCCTCCGCCCCAACTTATCCATCCGGTATTACCTCCGACCTCACCATCTACGCCACAGTCATTGTGACGCTCTTCATCTCAATCAGCTCTTCGCTATATATACTATGTGCTCATGCTCAATCCGGCCAAGACACCTCTCGCCGCTCACGCCACAATTCGTCCTCAACCTCACTCTCTCGGTCAACTATGCTTTTAATCCTATTCGGCGTCATTATCATCATCTTCGCCTCCCTCACGCTCAACTCCACCGCCGTCACTTCCCTTCTATATACCCTCCTCGCTACAAACCCGCTCGAATTCATTTCCTCCATTATCGAGTACTACGTCTCGGTATGGCGGAGCGCCACCAAGTTACCTTATCTACGTTGGTTGCCTCCCATCATCCGGTTTTTAGACGATTGTACCAGGTTACATGGGGCGTATTTACAGATCATGGTTATCCTGGGGTATCTTGGGTTGTTGGATCATCGGAAGGATACGGACGTGAGGACCTTAAAGACTTTGCCGACGCCTGGTCACGGTTTGAAGAAGGCTAAACGTCATGTTTCGGTTCAGGTTCAGGTCGACGCCACTACGGCGAGGGAAGCATTACATGGGCTTAAGGCGAAGGAGGGTGCTAACCAGAGCACCTCCGTCGCCGATGGCTTATCGTCGCACAACATCGTCTCCGTTCCCTCGACTTCTCAGCCGACGCCACAGACCGATGTTGCCTCCGACCCTTCGCCAAAGGTGCCTCCCGAAGACGTTTCTTCTGTGAAAGATACGGCTCAAGCAGATGTAAGTATATTTCTCTTGTTGTGGACGTTGTGTGCCAAATACTGATGAATTTTTTCGTGTGTGTGTACCTTAGGACCCACTTTTGCAATCCTCAGTCAATCGCGCGAGTCAATTTGAAGAGCCTTTCCCTGATAACGAACATCGTAGTGATGTTGAAGTCGAGTCGTCCGAGGGCTTAACTACCCCAACACCGTCTCGAGGACCTGATACTGCCGTTACTGTTCGCCCGACGTCTTCTACAACAACTATCTCCGCCATAGAGGTAAGTGCTTGCTCATCAGTACCTTCGCTGCCGAACATTAATTCAGATCAACTACCTTTTCTTACTAGGTCCCGATCAATGTTTTGCCGCCGAATGACAATTCGAACAACCCGGAGACCGGATCGTCTGAAGTGGCGGCACATAGTGAATACCTACCCATGCAATCATTGTCGCCTCTCGGTACCATTTCAGGCAGTGTTTCTCTCTTGTCGCAAGTTGTAAGTCATTCTTAGACTTCTGCATGTTTGAGCTTGAATGTGACTTATTGTTCTTGCAGGACTTGGATTCTTCTGATGAAGAGTCCATCAATTCTTCCGCTGACTCGAGTTCTGCTACACTCAATGACCCTGAACCTACCATCTACGCAAAAGACAACCAACAGGCGCACATAAGAGAACTCGATGATGAGCTCGACGCTGATTTCGAACGATCTCTAAACATCAACTACGATGACCCTAACGCATTGGGAGTCGAGTTCCAGGACGAGAATATCCCACCACCATTTGCTCCGTTTGATAGTCCCCGGCATTCAGAGCACGCCGCTTCAGCGAATACTTCGCCTGCGGTGGTGCTGGCTAGGGACCCTCAAGGAGTGATTGGTTCTGGCAACGTCAGCGTTCTTGGTCCTCCCCCGGGTATCCCTCATCCTGTTCGTGGGGCATATGGGCCTCCTCCCGGAATATTCACTCCCCCCAATTTACACAATGCTGTTGCGCCGACTGTATGTGTCTTATTTGCATGCAATATTTTTTCTTGCTTACGTTCAATTTTTCCTCTAGGGCGAATACCTTTATCCTACGCTTGGGGTATTCGGACCTCAGTATGCTGGTGGCTACCCTCTTGGTAATGGTACTCTACCGATTCCGGCCATTCAGCACGTTCAAAATCAAGTCCCCCCCTCCGTAGATCTCGCAACGTCTTCTGTGAGTGTCATTTGATATTTGATATTGTCGAGTAGCGTTTCTCACGTTTCAGTCTCCTCAGAGCGAACAGGCCGACGAAAGGGACTACCCGGAACGCGGCGCAGATTTCTCATCACAGGCTCCTGACACGTTCCCCTCTGCTGGTTTGCCGCATCCTAATTCCAACTTGCCCACGGTTAGCTCGAACGATTACGAAGAAGACGAGGAAGAAGCAGATGAGCTAACATTAGAGAACGACTATCCTGACATCGAAGAAGGACCTCTAGCTAGCCACGGCTCATCAACGTCGTTTATTTCGGAGGACCAGGATACTCAGCAAATGGATGGGTCCGAAGCGGATGACTTTGCCGACAATGACGAGGATCCTATCCTCAGCAACCGTGCAGATGACACGGACCAAAACCAACACGGTGAAATATCTCCAGCGACAACTAACAATAACGCTGCGAACGCCATCATTACCACTCATGTACCGCCGTCGCTGTCGCCATCGCCGTTGATGCTTCCACAGACTTTCCACTTCTCTGTTGTGCCAAATGGCGTGGCCAAGAACCCTTTCGCATTTGGTGTTTCTTCGGGTCCACAAGTAAATGAGGCATCGACTAGCACTGGTCAAAGTGTTGCTAAGGGCAAAAATGTATGTCAATTTGTACAGCTAAATGCATAGAAGACTGACAAGTTTTTAGGTCCAACCTCCTGTAAATCTCGTCGACGTTGGCAATAACGGGCCTGCGGGTTCGGGGTTCAACTTCTCCTTTGCACAAAATGACTATCCTGATGGTCCCAAGGGACTATTCGGATTTGGACAGCCTGTCGTGAGTTCTCATCGTATATCAGGGAGTAATCCTGATAAGTAAATTGATTTTATATGCCAGCCACAAGCGCCACGCCTGATAAAGAAGCTGAAAACGCCCAGAGTTAAGAGGGAGCAAGATGAGGCTGAGGTTGAACGGCGCGAAGAGTCGGAACCAAAAAGGATGCGGCAGGTCGAAGCGGGAGAGTGTATGTCTGTATGAATAATTATCAATTTCTTTGTTTTCTGACTTGTGAGCAGATGAGAGATTGGAGTTGATGAACTCAGGTACATGTGCCGATGTCTTCAAGGCTCGGGACGTCATCACTGGCAAGGTGGTCGCGCTCAAATGTTTTCATGACACTCCAGCTGCTCGATACAGTGGCGAAGTAGAAGTGCACTGGCATAAACGGTTGAAGGAATTAAACCGAGGTGGATCGCAGTGAGTGATTTCCCAGTGAATATGTCTCTCTCTTGTCCAACATATCTGAACCTCAGGATATAGGTTTATACCGGAATTCATCGCCGCAGTCGACGATGGTATCCACATTCAAATCTTTATGGAACTCTTGGGCCCAGATCTCAGCGTCCTCATCAACAAACTGCGTAAGAAAAAGGTCTACCTGAATCTGGAAGATATCCGGAAAATTGCACATCACTGTGTTCAGGAACTTGCCTGTACGTCCTCTATCTCATTCTACCAACCAAAGCCAAGTCAGGCTTATGTCATCTACAGTTTTTCATCAAAACCACATAATACACTGTGACATCAAACCAGAAAACATTGCCTTCGTTGCCCGGGACTTAGCTTACCATGAAATGTATGAAAGTACAACTGAGGATGGAGAAACAGTAAGAGTCTCACACATTGTGCATTCCGAGTGATCAAACTAAAATTCCAATGCACTATAGCGACAATATGTTCTACTACGTTCAACCGACCTTTACATCTTTGACTTCAACATGATGTGTGAAGAATTCAGTGGTTCATCACGACAAAATGGTACGCTAGATCTCAATCCCCCAGAAGTCCATTTTGGTGAGTTGCTACGTCGTTGGAATTGTTATGCTTCCTGTGCTTCGCACTGACTATTAATGCTAGGTCTTGAGTCATCCTATCCTCGAGATCCGTGGTCCCTGGGAGCGACACTCTGCGAATTATTCCACCTGTCTCCACCATTCTCTCTAGAACTCGATAACTGCCAGCCGGAGGTCGTAAATTTCACAATGCTGAAGTTTATGGAATCCGTGCTCGGTGCTTTCCCAAAGGACCTCCTGCCAGAGTGGCAAGCGGACGAATATGAAAAATTCGAGTTCACACCAGACGCGGCCTTGGTTGAACGAGGAGAAGAGCTCCAGGTGAGTGGCCATTCAACCGTTTAAAATCACACCTGATTTATTGAATTGCTCTTCTAGGAATTTCTGAACTCTGGAACAGAGTTTTCCGACTTTCTCTCTCGTTTACTTACAATGGATCCGGAGGAAAGGATGACCATGAGTCAGGCACTGGAGCATCCTTGGATTAAAGACTTAACGCAGTAAAGGTTTGATGGACTGGTACGTATACATCTTCATCTGCGGCGTATCTAGTTAACGGCTTACCGGACCATAGGCCATTACTGGTCTGTTTCCAGGGTCTGCTACGTGCAAGCCTTCCCATGACCTCGTCTCTGCTTGGGGGGTTGCGTAGTACATGTGCAAAGCACTTTCCTTGGTTAAGTGACTGCTAATACCGTCCTCGGGGCTGCTGTTAGGAGGGGCTGATGATGGTGCCAGCTTGTCGGAGGGACTATGTCCTCTGAATTCGCACAAAAGCCACTAGAAGAGCCCTGCATGTCTGCATGTGCATAATGCTGCTCTCTTTCTTCCGGTATCACAGTCACAGATTTTTGTACTATATCTCTCTATTCACGGTAATACTGTAGATTACTTTATTCAAATCGACCAAGTATGGTTGTGCGTGACACCGCGCGGAACAAGCCTAATAAGGGGAGGGACGGAGAGCCTTATTCAATTTCTTCGGTACCATAACCTTCGATAAGCCATTTCTGGGATAGGTTATGTGTATATCAAGCGCAGGGTCACTTTGTGTGTAAACTCGTGCCTCTTTCTTTAATTTGTTTGTGCTTGTATGTCCGGCGTACGACGGTATGCGGGGATCGATGGATCGAAATGATAATTATCTTTCGATCCATCGCGGTTGTCTATGGTGCTAACGATCTGGGCTGAAATCAGAAAGGGCTCCGACAGTAGAGGTATATGCACTGAAAAATACACTTTCCGATATCCGAGGTCAGCACGCAAAGTAGGCGAGACAACCCGTCAGACTTTGGCACCGGGCGGAGCGGTGTACTTGCATACCTTCCTTTTTGAGCGCGACACTTCCCATGACATGGAGGGGCGACACAACATCGTCTTCTCTCAGTTTTGCCCCTCCAACACGATCACAAACGTAGGAACGTGTAGAGATTGCAAATGTTGGTCATGGCTCATGTTTTCGCCTTCAGGCTCTATAGTGAGTGCATGACCCTGCATGGGATTGGCCCATGTACTGCGATGCTAATCTTTCAAATACAATTGACGGCATAGCCTCTTTTCTTTCAGAAACATGCAGATGTATATATCAGGTACTGGGTCGACATTGGAGATATACAATATACCAATTCAGGAGACATGACAACCTATTCTTTATCATGGTCCTATTTGGTATTGTGTGATCAACAAGCCTCTTTAAGTTCGGACCCGACGCCACTTCTTTGTTCTTCGCGCTCTTTTCGAGCTACGCGTCTTGCTATCCGAGCCCCTCACCTACTCAACCTACTCATCGAATACTGTCATCTTTTCCTATTTTCATCCTTGCATAGTTAGGTGGTCACCTGAAGACCTGAGGTTTGACTTCCATCATGTCGTACGCGACGTGCACTAGGGTCTTTGAGAGGGCCTACGCGTTAGTTCTCTCGTTCTCAGAACGCTGCTCACCCTTCTCCTCTTTCTTCCCGACCTCCCCTTCCCTCTCCAACAATTCTGGCATTCTGGTGGCCACCATGGTGCCCGCCACTCGGACCCTCCGTTTTCCATCCACAGCGACCTGCCCGTCGAACGCCACCTATGACCTCGCCGTCTACACTACATTCGCCGCGGCAATCCTCATCTCACTCGGCGCGTCACTCTTTATTCTCTGTGCCTCACCACCGAAGTCTCGGTCGACATTGAACTTAGCGTTGTTCGCGGTCTTGGTCACGATGTTTGCCACTCTAACTTTCAGCTCTCCCGGCCCATTCTCTGTTCTTCGCGCACTCCTTCATAGCGATCAATTCGACGGTATCCTCTCATTCGTCCCCGACACTTTAGAATTCTACGCCACAGTCTGGCACAATGCCACAGAACTACCTTATTTGCGTTGGTTACCTACAGTGGTTGAATTCTTGGATACTTTTGCAGGCATGCATCGTATGTATCTGCAACTGATGGCTATAGTCGGGTTCTTCGAGGGTAGGAGGAAACTCACGGCACAAAGGATCGCAGCATCATCAAGACTTGGGAAGGTGGCGATATGTGAAATTGGGCTTCAGGTCGAGGCCGACCTTTGTATCAGCGGTCTGTTACCTGAAGCGCAGGAGGGTGCTCCTCATAGCACCTCCTTCATCAGGGGTGTCCAGCTGACTGATATCGAGTCCCTCGACTCGATTGCCCAACCCAACCCACAAACCAGCGATGTCTCCAACGAACCATGGGTCGTTTCCAACGTTGATGATATTACATCCTCAGAAAATGTAGACACGTTCCAGGTGCGTCAGTCCCTCCTTTCCTATCGTTGTTCCTGAAGACGCCTGACAACTCTGCTGTGTTTAGTATCCACTCTCGCAGCTGAAGCGGCGCTATGCATTACCGGCAAATGAACTTCATAGCGATTCTGCTTTGAAGCCGACTCCAGAAGAGTACGAAGGTGTGGCGTCAGATGTGCTTCACCCAGCTGGGTCCTCCTCGTTTGCTGCCGAAACATCGTCTCCAAATGGATCTGGCTCGTTTTCGTGTCCAGGATTACCTTCCACCACCATCTCCGCAATCATTGAAACGGTGAGTCGCCTCATTTTCTTTTGCGAATTGACTCTTTAAGATCTAACCGGATGTATAGTCTCGTAGTTGCTCTGTGTTATCGCGGGACGATAGCTCAACAGACTCTGCAGAAGAGTCTAGCCTCAGCACGTCCACAAGCGATTCGAGATCTGCTGGTCTCAACAGCGACACCGGCTATTCTCGCTTGGGGCAACTCGACACTAAAAACCTCAATGGTTTAGAATTAGTTTACCCTGAAGATCTGGAAGATTTTGAACATCAAATACATAATGAAGGCGGTCCCATGGCAAACGACGTTGAAGGACGCATTGCTCCCATTGATAGCCTCCGGCACGAGCACGCCGCTCAGACAAATGCTTTGCCTGCGGTGGTGCTGTCTGAGGTAACTCATGGGGCAGGTGAAACAAATTCCGTACATGCACATGGACTGGTTCCGACCTTCGCACATACGGTACGTTCATATAATATGGAAATTTACTATACTTACATTGTTCCATGGACAGCCAACACCGAATCTAAACGCTCCGGTGGCCACACAACCGACACTGGATGTCACTGGTAACCCTACTCAGGGAGGATTTTCATTCAGTCGTCCTCTAGGTCAGAGAGGTGATAATCAGAATCAGAATGCCCGTTCTGCAACGCTCGACTTGACAAAGTCCTCTGTGAGTGGCCTTCAGTATTCACTCGAGTATTGACTCTGACACCGGATTTCATAGAGCGAGGACACAAACACTGCAAATGAAGTAACAAGCTTTGAAGGCCCATCGCGGAGCTCTGCTGGATTTTCCTTTGCGGGTTTAAAGCGTTCTCTTTCCAGGCCACCCAAGGTTATCTGGAAAGATCCCTCGGCACAATCTGGCTCGACACGACGTCTCGGAAACTATGTGGACAATGTTCAACGTGCTGAACACCCTCCAGCAACAGCAGAAAGTTCCTTAGCACATACTTATAGCTCTAAGAAGCTGCCCCCGCCTCCAGGACTGCCTCCGCCACCAGGACTGCCCCCACCGCCGGGACCTCCTCAACCTTTTCACTTCTCTCGAGATGCTCACAACAACCCTTTCGCGCTTAATCCTCACCCTCGCCAGCCGTTTAACGACATATCCCATCTTTTTAGTCCAGACAACGTCGTATGTCCTCTTTCCTACCTGATCAGACACGTTAATGACCAAGACATATTGTTATATCTAGCCTGTTGCTAACCTCTACACTGCTAATAGAAGAGCCGTACAGGCCACGCCGCCCATCTCAAGTAACCTTCACAGTACCAGAGTTCATGCTCACGAGGTAGGTTAACTATTCTATTGCGAGAACATTGCTCAGTGTATACCTCAACCTCCAGAAAATAAACAAATGTCCTCCACACAACAGGTAATCGCGCGGCTTTTTGTGCGAGTCGCAGAATACGTGCTGAACGAATTATTCTAGGGGAATACGGATGGTGGCAAATAAACCAGTTGATGTGGCTCACCGAAGACCAGTCAAACCATTGCCAAAGAACGTACCAAAGAACATGCAGGAACCTCTCCTATTAATGAAGGATGCAGAACAGGATTGTATGTTCCATTTTAATCATCGATACCGGCTTTCCCTAATTTCCAAATCAAATAGATCGCATATTAGAAGCGATCAATTCCGGTGGTTTCTCCGATGTCTACAAGGGTAGAGACGGCAGCACAGGCGAACTCGTTGCACTGAAACGCTTCAAATCTGATTCCGAAATATCCGGTCCCGTTGGCCTTGCACGCGATATGGCTTTACAGGAGGTTCGTCTTTATGCTCGGCTGAAGAAATTAAATGCAGAAAAGCAGTACGTGATCCTCGCAGACACCAGCAACTTCCATGCGAGCAATCTGATTTTTTTTTCATAGTTCCTTCCCGGAGTACAAGGCTTCTTACGACAATGGGAAGTTTATCACAATCGTCATGCAACTATTAGGTCCCGACCTCGGTGACTTGACCACAACATTGATGCGGAAAGGACTAGAATTGTACCCGGGAGACCTACAAGAGATCACCTTCCGCTTGGTTGACGGCCTTCATTGTGCGTTCGATTTCCCTGCTCTCGCATAGTAATATTATTTAATACTTTATTTCCAGTTATACACGGATTAAAATCTGTGCATAATGACATAAAGCTCGAGAATATTGCACTCGTAGACGGCACATGGAAACCAATAGAGGTGAATGGGAAGGTGAGCTGATGTTCGGATTATTCCGTGTTAACGTATATTGATGGGGCTGGTTTCAGTCTTTCGCAAAGTTGGAGTCTACAAAAGTCTGCATATTTGACCTCAACGTCGCGCGGGACGATAGCGAGAAGGCCCCCGAGATACAAATTCACGGCGGCACTACCGAGTACTATTCACCCGAAGTCCTATGTAGTGCGTCTTGAATCTCATCCATAGACTGCCCTGTTTCATTACCCTGACTTTCCTTGTAGATGCTGGATGGGGGTCCCCACGAGACTGTTGGGCATTAGGCCTCACAATCCACGAATTGCGGCACCGCAAATCCCTTTTTACTATGGAGGCATACGATCGAGACGCGAAGACGTGCGCTCTGGAGCAATTACGCTTCATAGAAGCTGCACTCGGCCCATTCCCACCCGACTTGAAACAAGAAGCAGATGCAACTCTTCTGCTGCCTTCCCCAGAACATTGTTGTGACTGGACAGATCAGCTGCAGGATGCGGCGGAGAAAGTCAGGGTAATTGTCATTTGGCTAATATCGCAACCGAAATAAAATGACTCAAAACTGATCTGTTATGGTTAGGACTTTTTCAACCCCAATGAGCCATCGGACCCATTAGATGACTTCGTGTCCAAGCTACTCGTCGTCAACCCCAGGACTCGCATGTCAATGCAGGATGCACTGAAACACCCGTACATCAAACATTTGGCGCGTTCGGGTCTTCACACTCTCAGATGATGGGCAAATGGACTGGGAGGCTCCTTTGCTCCTGTGATACGACTAAGGCTGCTTCACTGCACTAGTCAGGCCAGTAGATATATCCATAACGCGGCGCTGCATGAGTTTTTTCCCCTAGAGTCATTTTGCTGCAGTGTTTGGCACATCAGTGCATCAGGACAGACATTGGACAATATGCCGCCCTGACCCCCCCCCCCCCCCCCGAATATGCTATATTTTATGCTGTTTCCCTTGATTTTTTGTATCGTTAGCCCGATCTCCAGTTATCATTTATTTGTAAGACTCATTATTGTTAGTTAGAATGCGCGTAGCAAAGATCAGAGTAGTGGAGAAACGACGGAAATGAAGTGTACTTCAGCACTTGCCTTTTCCAGCAGCACGGCCAGGAAGCGACTTCGTTCCCGTTCAAGCCTAGACGTTTGAACCCTGCAGTGCTAGGCTCTGTTCTCTACTGTACATACATGCATGGCATCCGGTTGAAACAGTACAGAACATCACTCTCGCATTCTATAATACAAGAACTAAGTACCGTCTCTCACTCATTCCTGCTGGAATATTCATCGGCAGCCCTTGCAAGTTTGCAACCGTCTACGTCACTATCCAGGATAACGCATACGATCTGACACGAATGCTTAATTGGATGAGCCCAAAGCACGCTTTGTTATCGTTCTGCCTGGCTCGATTTCTTAGAGCGCGAGTACATGATGACTCGATGAGTTCGCGCCACTGTCTCTTCTCAACCATTCTACTTATACGTGATTGCTCTTACTTGACTCCGTCAGATACGTCATGTCGCATTTGACGTAGCTGGTGCTCATGGGACCGATTTAGGTGTCTATCTCAACGGTCGCTATCTGTCACATAGACCTACGACGGGCCTATTGAGGTGAGAAAAGGAATGATTCGTAGATCGATGCATAGTCCACCCACTCGCTATGCTTCCAGACCAGCTCGTGAAAAGATTCACTACCCTCGTCACAGTCTCTCGCGTCACATTCTCCACAGACCAATTCCTCCACATGATGACGAACATTATAGACTTCTCCGTCATCTTAGCAAATGAGACCTTACGACATGAGTACATTCAACAAGTACTGAACGTAGTTTCCGTTTCAGGTATCTTCATCCAATGTCATGCAACATATCCTCAGATGACCATTGCTTACTCACGGAGGTCTCGTTTGAAGAATTATCGTAAGCGAGTACTTGGCATCTTTTTCTGCAGCCATCGACACGGTGTGCCGAAACGACCCCACAATGGGATGCACTTGAAGTCCACGGCACTATCATGATGAATACGTGTGGGGTTGGATTATTCATAAGCAACTTCGAGTGAGATTGACTTAGTTATGTCGCCGTTCTCAATGTTTTAAGAGTCATTTCAGCAACATAATGGATCCAGGTCCCCGAGGTTATCATTCCTCGGCTGCCTCATTTAATTTCGTCGATGTCATTCGCAGTTGTAAGAAGTGGATCTATTCTTGCCGAATGTGCGAAGTCCCCACTTCACGGCTGACCCTAAGGAAGAAACTGCATCATCACACTTCACTCGCAGTTCACGACTCAAGTCTGTTTTAATTTCCCATCTTATGGTAAACCGCTCTTTCACAATTTCTACATCTGTCCTTTACTGAGCATTGTATTGGACGGCGTAGATGCCTTTACGCATCAAAGAAGTTTTCGACGCTCATGACATCTACCTGTTACGGTGCCTTTCCCTCTAGTAGTCCCACTCGTGGATAAACCACAAACTCACACTTGTGTTCCAGCAAACAGAAGTCATACACTGCAGTGAACACTAGCCCTCAAATCACCGATCTACAGAATGCTGGCGAACACGACGCTGACATGAAAGTAGGCACCGAAAGTGATCCCTGGTGTAATTGCGAGTTGATCTATCCTCATCTTGACCCCTCATTGACGTGTTCGCCGTCGTGCTAAGTCGGAGAAAGAGATATGTGGGTCGTCCTCAAAGTAGTCAGTATAGAGCCTTGCGATGTAGCGGTGAGACTTTCAAGCCAGTTTCATAATTTACTGTACTAGCGGAAGAAGGGCCTCCCCTGTGGGAGACTTTAGGGCTTAACGTGAATAGGAAACAATGATTGTGTAGCTCGTGAGCTGGTATAACGTCAGCTGAATACATACAGCAACTGACGAACCATTACACCCTGGTATCCTCATCACAGGACTTAGCAATGAAACCATATTCTTCTCCCTCCACCAGATACGAAGGAAGCAGAAATATCTGGACCACCATCTGCACAAGCCAATCAGGATACTATTGGTGCTATCACAATGATGACTACTCTAGTAAGATACTAATAGCAACTTGAATGTTGTACATACGTTAGATACTGGCGAGCGGAATGTTCGAGCGAAAATACGAGTAAGCTACCTACACAAAGGGGAGGGGCGGAGCGCGGCCCTTGAAGTAATTACTGCTACGGCAGTACTTACTTCAATTTGATGTTACCTCAGCCTAGTGGAGGTAACAACCAATGAATGGGGGTGAATGGAGGGAGAATGCGCAAGCAAGGACATAGATTAAGAAAGACGATATCTAACTTGGGTGAGGGGTGTGTCGAGGTGGTGTCGTTGTATGACCGTCGTCTTGGGTGGAGCTGATCGAGAGGGTCGATTTGAACCATTCGGATAGAGCGGCCCTGCGGTCATGGAATTTTTGAGGACATCAGTCGATAGGATAGTGTGGGTGTTGAGAGATCTTCATAGAAAAAGACAAGAAAGCTGGTGTAATACTTGATGGTCCTGTTGGTAGTAGAATTGTGTTAAGAACTGGGTGATGGTTTCTGTGTGTATGAGATGAAGAGAGCGATTGAGCTGGGCGTGACCTCGTTATCTCAAGGGTTGCTTTATGAGAATATGTGTGGCTTCGAAGTATTTCAAGCGAAGTGAAGGACCTATACCGGCTGTTTTCGTGTAACGGTGAGGTCCTTTCCAGATATTGGTAGCATCGTCTTCTAGTCGTTTGGTAGCGTGCTGCTTCACTACGATGAGGACGATGGATATGTGGGGAGGAAGGAAATCGCTCGCTTCTTGCTGATTCTGATTCTGATTCTGATATACATGTCCAGGCATGCTAATCGCGTCTGGCGCAGAAGATGGGGAAGAATTTCTGAATGCAAACATGAGTATCAGGCAAAAGCGCCTTAGAATGAAACATGTACCTTATGACGCCAAACATCCTTTACTGGATCGCCTTTAGGCCTCTCTTAGCCAAATCCTTGATGAACGGGAAATTGAGTGCCTCTTTCATGGTCGGTCGCGATTTCGGATCCATGTCGAGTAACGTATGAATGAAATTATATAGTCGACTTTCCATATAGTCGTCAAGTCTGAAGTACGTCTGAAAAATACAGAAGTCAGTAGAGTAAATAGCGCAGACGAAGCGATTGTTCCTACCTCTAATCCACGGAACGACCTCCTCGCCTCGGTTGGTAAGGTACATTTCAAGTAATGCCGCTCGTCAAACCAGTCTGGTTTGACCCTGGCGCCGTCCTCGGCCAGATTGGCTGGCAGTTTACAAAAAACACGTTCCATTACTTGAAGTTGCTCAGGAACGTCGTATGCAGGAGACCACCTCTTGACATCCAATGGGTTCTGCCCGACATGTAACTCCAGCAAAGTGACCCCCACAGCCCACACATCACGACCTAAAGACCAATCCTGACCTATGATACATATGCGTGTAAATGTGGTGCAAATTCCAAGAGTCTAAGGTTTTCTTACCAAGCAGAACCTCGGGTGCATCGTAAAGTATGGTGCTGTAGGCACTTGTATGCGGTCCCAAATTTCCCGTAGACAGGCCGAAGTCGTACACTTGTAGAATGGGGCGTCTCAGCCTCGCAAACTTCGTATTGCAGAATTGGAAGTGATCAGTGATGCACAATCAAAAAATTTGTTTAATTTGAGCTCACTCGGACTACAGTCCCGTCGGGATTCTTATAACTTTCATGTACGTCTTCATGCCAATCGTCGTACAAGAGAGCTATATTGAGGGGTTTAACGTCTCCGTGTATGACACCAATGCCATGCAAGACTGAGGGAAGTATCTCAGCCCACTGTCGAACACAAAGGAATGTTCACGTACAGTCGAATACATCCGTAAGCTGATATGTAAATGATTGCATGTCTTTCTTCGAGATTTTGAACCCTTTGGCTGCGACGTCCATGGAATATGTGCAAAGATCGGGCCCAAGCAGCTCCATCCGGATACTGACTATATCACCTTGTTGGTACCAGTCGTATACTTTAACAACACCACTGAGGTCATGTAAAATTCAGTCTCCTTTTCCATCACAGAGGATCCTTCTACTTACTGTCCATCTTTGTTACGTTCGTTGACTAGCTTGAGGATACCAGCCTCGTGAAGACCCCAGTGGGCCTGGTCCGACTTGAACTTTTTCACAGCTAATTTGAAGTTTGTGTGGGGATAATGGTATGCATAGACCGTTCCATAGGCTCCTTCGCCAATTTTACGAGAGGTGTGAACTAGAAAGAAAGTGTGTTAGGCTTTTACAGGACTGGAAGAACGATGGGCTTACAGCTTCCAACTGGAGGAGCGACTGGCGGCCCTCTTCCCACGCGTCTAACACGCAGAGGTGGGAGAGTCACAACGGGTTCCTGTGGGCGCGACGGTAAAGACGCAGGCTCCTGAGATCGAAGTTAATCAGAGCACTCATAAGTCTCTTTGGTAAAAATAAAAAAAAACATACCTCAGGTTCAACACCAACGGCCGCCCTCCAATTGCGGGTGTTCGTACGATGGCTCTGATTTATGACCTCCAGTATCTCTGGATGTGCACCAGCCGGGGATGAGGTTTCTTGTTGCAAAGACGGCTCGCCGCCGTCCTTAGGTCCAACTGCATCCGCCGTAGATTCTACCACCTTGCCAGGAGAGGATACTTGCGTAGCAGGTGTCTCCTTCGGAATAGAGGGCAGCTTGGATGTGTTCGCCTGTAGTTTTTTTAGATCAATATACTACATCAAGAACGATAGAGCACCAACGCACCGATGATTGGTCATGGATGGTTTGCTTCCCGGTAGGCTTGACCGTTCCCTCCCGTGGGGAAACCCCGGGACGTTCGACTATCGGGGCGAGTGACACTGGTGTTACCAACCTATCAACATTTTGTGGCGTTGGAGCCAAGAGACTACCGGAGACATTGTCTGTTTGGTCAGTTGAGGCATTGATGCCTTCCTTAGCACGTTCTCGCCTTGTTCCCTTTGTTCGTATGTTGTTGAGCAAGAGTTGGAAACTCTCGCGGTCTGCCTGGGTATGGCCTGCCCTGGGACGAGCAGCGTTCTTTGGACCACCTGACACTTTTGGACACTTTTTGATGCGTCTAGCCTGAGAAGCCCAAAACATAGAGATAAATGAGATGCACTATTCTTCTCAACAGGACAACGCAACTTACCAAAGCCTTAGACGGACCGGACTCAGTGACTACTTTGGAAGGCGAGACATCCTCCGAGGTGCTCTGGGTAGCACCCTCATCGGTACTCAAAAGCTCTTCCGTAGTAGAGTCGACTTTCACGCCTTGCGTGGCGTGATGCGAAACAAGTTGGTCGTCCTGTTGCTCGAAAGTGAGCCACATCGACTACTTGGATAGACAATCATAACTCACAGAGACTTCACCTGAAATAGTTTCAGTCGATGCTTCATAGCTGGGCGAGACATCCTCCGAGGTGCTCTGGTTAGCACCCTCATTGGCGTCTAACAACCCTTTCGTAGCATCGACTTCTATGTCTCGTGTGGCGTAGGATAAGGCTTCCGCGATGTCTTCGTAGGTTTTTGATGCGTGGTTGTTTTCATTTACATCGGGACGCGAGCCGTAGTTCAGGAAAGTTGAGCAGGATACATATAGACCATACCACCGAGTACAGCCATTGAACACGGAGATAGTAGGCGGGAGCCATCGAAGGTACGGATACGTCGTGGCAATGGCAAAGAAACTCGCGAATTCATTGTACATATCCGAGGCAAGCTCGAGGATATCATGAACTGCGAGCCTCAATGACCAAAATGCGGCGTCGGTGGCGTCGAGTGAAAAGTTGACGGAAGTGGCGATTGTGGCGAGGATGACGAAAACCATGGAATTCATAACAGTTTGGGATTTGACTTGTTTGGTGAAAATGAGGAGAGGAAGGAGGATGGAGATACCAAGGGCCAGGGCCACAGTGGCGTAGATCGAAAATGTGTTTGTCGGGATGGCATAGTAAGTAGAGGTGGGTTGGAGGGGAAGCGATGATGTGGCGAGAAGGCTCTCCTTCATGAGGGAAGGCGCAGACTCGGATATAAGGGATGAATCAGAATATGAGGATGAGGAGGAGAATATTTGGGACGCGACGAACGCGCAGGCTCTGGCGAAGAGCCCAGTGCACGCCGTATACGACATGACTGACACACTGGAGGAATGTTCCTCGACAGTAAAAATTGATATGTAGGAGAGAGGAAGTATCAAAGGAACAAGACGAGACCGTCCTGGTACTAGCTGGTAAGAGCAGTAGTTAGAACTGAACGCGTCTAAACGGGTGAGTGGCGTTAGGCCCATGCACGAGTGACCTGTTTACATAAGGTCAACAAGGGCTTTGAGGTCGCTTATTTCGCCGAATATGGTAGGTCAATATGAAAACGTAAGAAGGTTCATAGAACGAGTAGTAAATGTATACTTAACATCCATAATATGAATGGGGGAAAATTCTCTTCGTGATAATGTGGTCTCGGATCAATTCCCCGTCGGATGAGTCCGGCCACTATACCACCTGTAATTGCATCAAGATTAGTGTTAGATAGAAGAATCTGCAGAAGCCGACTACCACCAACGGCGTCAATACCATTGTAGAGTAAGAAGTCTAAGACATACCTGGGAGCATCGACGGTAGTGGTGATCGAGCTACATGACGCAAATATGCAAGTATTTACGCACCGTTCATAGGCAGACTTCAAGCTTAAAGAGTAAAACATAACCCGAAGGCGAAGTATCGAGTAAAGCAGATTATTGACGGCCAATATCATTGGCATGCTCGCAGAGTATTACGCAAAGATATGGGTATGAGCATTGTTTGTTACCACCGGAAATCCCAACCAAAAGAATATGACAGGAACCATGCACGAACGGGAGATGTATGACGGAGAGGGGAAAAATCAAACATGACGCAGGTGCAACTCCTTAGAGGACCATTGCAGCAGCCAAAGCACCCACTGCGACCATAAGGCCACGTCCAATGGCAACGCTAGTAGCGCCGCTATCCGTGCTGTCAGCCTCGCCGGTTTTTGTTGAGTTGGTGGTAGAAGTGCTCAACGCAGCAGCAGATGCGGACGTGCTCGTCACGCGCGTCACCCCACTAGAGGTAGAAGAAGCGCCGGATGTTGGAGCAGAGGACACAGAAGAGGCGGCAGGGGGACCACTTGCAGGACTAGAGGAGCTGGAAGTACCTGCGGTGGAGCCACTGGTGTTGGCAGCACCCGCGGTAGGGGGAGGGGTAGCCTTGGAAGGATCCTCTAAAGCACCGATACCCCAAGGAATGGGGTCGCCGTTAGGCTGATTCGCGTTCGCCGGCGGAACGGAGTTTCCAGTGGCGTCGGCGATCGTGAAACGAGTTGTCCAGGTGAGATTGGTCGTAGCTGGCGAGCTGAATTGATAGAAGTAGATCTCAGAGTTAGGAACAACCTATACAAAAGTCAGATTCATCACGACATTTTGACTAGCTATAACATACTGCAGGGCAAGGAAAGGTGAATTCAGCCTTCGTAGGATCAGTACCATCAACCGTTGCAATAGCTGGTGGGGGACGAGTCAGTTCTCGGTGACGCCAAGAGTGATAGAAAACATACTCGTTATGTGATTCATCTGAAGGTTGCTTCCAGACATAAGTTCAATGTTCATAGTCTTCCACACGCCAGTTGTGTCAACTTCCCAGGTGACGGGGCAGTTTGCACCTTCATTGAAAGAAGATCCTGGACCAGGTTCCGAAGGAACAGGTTCAGCGCGGGAGACTGCAAGGGTAGCAATAAATGCAGCGACAAGAGCTTGGGAGAACATAATGGAGAAGAGTCAAGTTTTTCTGAGGTAGGGTATGTGGTTGTGAGAGCTAGTGAGACACAGTAATCTTATTGTCAGCCGCTTTGCTTGAATACTATGTATGAAACGGGACGCCCACTTTGAAACTGTTCCCCGACCGACAGGTCAAGCGACTCTTCCGGAATCTAAAGAATGACTACGAAACAAAGGAATGGAATGCCCTGGAGGGTAGGGCGACGCTTGAGTGTGCGGTGAGAGGTGGAAGAGAGCAACTCGCCAGCACCTCCCGTACCTTGATCTTTTGCGCGCTTATCATCTGTCTCCAAAATAGCACAACTACGGTTGCCCGCTTTGGTACTCTGCATTTGGCATTGCCATGGTGTTTGATACGTCGTTCTTAGTTTGCCTAACTGATAGAATATCACTCACACAGGTTTCAACATGCTAGGTGAATTGCAGCTTCAGTGGCTGACTACCATTACGACCGCCCATTAACAGCCTGGGACATCAGAATTTCCTCAATACGAGAAGTTCAGAGGTGGACGGCGAGTTTCGACCGTAAGAATTCCTATGGCTACAAAATGGTATAGTACACCAACGATCCACGCCGGCGCGATTGATTACGATTAATACTAGAGTTATTCTTCGATGAGCTGATTACTTCCTCCGACCAACGGCCTTCAGAAGGCCTTTCACGTTAACATTCAGCACAGACTGTTTCGACATCGTTTTCCTTGCGCTGTGGGGAACGGCAGTACGAGCGGTGACAGGTGACAGTGGACTCCGAGGTGCGGGCGCGAACGAAGACTCGAGAAACGCTCGCCGTACTTCCTCCGCATCACTGATTGGATTCGTGGGACACACGAATGCCGGACTTTGTGGAGGCAGCGCAAGCGGCGCTGGTCGACGCCGTGTCTTCGTTGCTGAGCGCACAGCGTGGCTTGAATCATTGGTGCCCGCGTTGAGATCCGGACGTGGGGTCAGCGGGGATCGAGGAGAGATTGGAACTGGGAAAGTATCCAAGAGGTCTTCTGATTTGCGCATGTGTCTGGCAACTCGACAGTTTTGTGATGGTATGGCAATAGTAGCCATGTTAGGCGAACGAAGCCTCGCACTGTTGAAAGCAGCCAGGTCGTCTTGAGCAGCAGTCTCGGCGTCCATGACATATCGAGGATCCAAGTCCGAATCCTGAGTAGCCTGCGTGGATACGCTCCCTCGACGTTCTTCATCCTCCAAAGAGGCTTCAACCGATTTGCCTTCCTGAACCGTAGCGTCCAAGTGAGAACGGAACTTCACCCAACCTGTCTCCGCTTCATCCTTCAAAAGGTGGCTATGTTCCAATGCTTCCTCCTGATCGCGCCAGGCAGTACCGTCTTCATCTCTGTACACATCTCCAACGCCGACAAGTTGTCCATTCACTCTTTTGGCGCCTCCAGCTTTCGCCTTTGCCTCGTTGTACCGTTTGATTTGGTCCTCAACGCTGCCACCATCGACGAATTGTGCAAGAGCGAGGTCTGTAGCCAATGGTGGCGGTCTCACTTTGGGATACTTCGTAGCTTTGGACTTCGTGACAGTAGATGCGACGGAATGAGTGCGAGAGTGTGAAGATGTTTTGGAAGAAGGCATGGTGAGTTGTGTAGGAGTGCGAGCGGGTGGAGGGGGTGATGGAGTCGATTGTGTGCGTGATCTGAAGAAAGAGAGGGAGCGAGAATGTTTCAATGATTTCTGCCGCGTAACCTGATCAACCTGAGAACTCTTATCCTTAGAAAAGGACTTCTTGCGTTTCTCTGGTACAGATGGAGGGCGAGCAATACCCTGAAGGCTCACAAACGTGGATGTGTAGCCAAGGGACTCAAGCGTGTTGGCTTGATTCTCCTTGTCGCCAGAAGAAGGGAACGCAACAAACGTCGCACTGGCGATAGAGCCCTTGCGTTCCGGTGAGACAGGTGCAGGAGTGCCTGGCTCAACGTGAGAGATCCAGGAGGTGATGTTCGTCGTAAAAGTTGATGAACGGTTTCTACACCTGACAGGCGTATAAGGTTCGATGGACGTATACTTGGGTGTAGTTGGAAGAGGCTGTGTAGGTCGCTCTTTCTGTGGGGGATATGCGAGAAAAGAGTATGAAGGGAGAAACAAAGGTGTAGTAACTTTAGACGAAGATTGCGTCCGTGTACGAGACGATGACATGTAAACTGCAAATAGAATAAAATAAATGGGTTGAAGTTGAAGCATGTCGGAGATGAAATGACACTCACATGATGTTTCAACTAGACAGCAGACAGCAAGAACAAGCAAGAGAGCAATGAGATATGAGAGCGGGTACGACAAGTCACAAGATAGCAGCGGGATGTATGGATACAGATGTCAGAGCAAGAGTCTAGGTATTACAAGTCGAGGTCGTTAGAGCAAGATCGCTGCACAGGCTAGCTGGCTGATGATGGACCCACAAACCTATCGTCGTGGGTTATATCAGTCAGGGGGAACAAGATGAAGCGCGAGAACTCCCAACACAGACAATAACGCGTTCTTCCCGTCTCAATATAAGGTCTTCCATTAAGCCATCAATGCGGAGAACCTGTCAAACTGCCTTCGACATAACAACGACTGGGTCCCATGAGGCCACGGGCAAATCCAATTTTGACGTACTGTGGAGGCCTTCGTTATTGTTCTTGCGGCGTTATGGTGTTCTGGGAGACCGAAAATACATGAAGAGTGCATAGCAACTTAGAAGCCGAGGGAAATGAAGACAGCGGGTGGGAGAAAATTGCGCGCACACGACTTCTCGAATACAAGGCCTTCCCTTTTCGACACAATAAGCCCGGCCGCCAAAGCCCGAGCACCCACAAATGTTAAACATCTCTCTCTCTTACAACAGTTCAAGGCACTAATCAGTAGCTTAGTGAGACCATACTATCCTACTTAGAAGAGAGGCCTTAAGCGAGGATTTGAGAACAGAGAAAGAAAAGATTAGAGTATTTACTAGGGACGAAGCAATTGAACCCTTGTTTATGACCACTGTCGTACCTAGTTCGGGCGGCTGAAGTCTGAGGCTTGCAGGAACAACCAAAGTTACCAAAGGATGAGGAGTGTTGTCATATGAATACAATAGATGCATAATCTACATACTGTCATAGAATAAAAATAAACGAATGATTTACTACGAACGCTTTTCACAGCCCACACCCCGAACATGCCAGATATTTAGTGAGGTGACTGAGGCTGCAGCGTCATCGAGCGATGACCTCTACCGCTAGCAGTAATATGTCGCAAATACGGAGGCTGTTCAATTCAGCCAAAAATAGCATCGCGGTCGACGGGGTGTTCAATGGAGTGTTCAATGGAGTACTTTACGCGACATCCATCGGTGTCCGGAGCAGTCGACTGCTTTTCGCGACGGTGTCAGCGAAGGTGACGAAGTCCGGCTTCAAAACCCTTCCTCGCTAAAGTGGAAAGAGAGTAATCATGAAAAAAAGTGTAGCAATCACATCAGATGAACAGACATACCCTCATGACGTAGACAGCAACCTGCTGACGAGTTGCATCGGACCCCGCAACCTGTTCATCCGTTGTTTCCTTCAGCGCGAGACGCAGGAAGCCCTGATCTTCGTCGGAGGTGCAGCGAACTGTCGGACGTAGGCCTACGCTCATGGCGACTTTCCAGACTGACTCGCGACGGAATACTGAAAGAGCATAAGCGAGGAACCTATAGAACGAAAAGTGAATAGCTACCTAGTCTCTCCTCCTTGGTCTCCCGATGACACAAATGCTTGACATGACCGTACATGCCATCGGTGAAGTCTCTTTCACCCCGCTTGACCCAAAGTTTCACTCCTTTGAGTTCGGCAATGACGTCCTCGTCCTCCTCTCCAGTCAGATCTGATCGAGTGGAATGTCAGTATTGGATAACGTCCTTATTCGTAACTTTGCATACTGGTTTGTGTGCTCTTGGTATATGACTGAGCTGTGAGCACGTGGTCTGGAGACGGCGATGAGATATTGTCAGATTCAGTTACAGGCGCATCTTGCGTCGCATTCGATTTCAATAGAGTGTCATGGGTATCCGAGGGAAGGAGCTCAAGGGGAGTTGAGCTGCCTGCAAGGACAGACGGCGTGGTCCTGTCAGCGCACCAGACTGGTCGTTGGGTAGTAGCACCTGAGGAGCCAAATCCAGATGATGCGCCAGCAAAGGCTGCGAACGCTGTTGATCGTTTATACTAGTAGCAGGATAGACCATCAGTCATTTCCGAACACTGTTGTGAGAGTGTCAGCTTACAGAAGCGACAGTGCGTGCGGATGGTTGAATAGGTGGTTTCGAGAGCTCCATTGATCCGTCACCAGCCTGCATGAATTTACTACGTTCCAGTACTCAAGCTCATCCAGATAAGGCAGACGAACCTGAGTAGTGGATGGAGGGGTTACTTCGGGAGCACATGCATCGTGATTATGAATGACAGTAGCATTCGCTGCCGCAGCACTAATCGGCTGGTCAAAAGGCTCTGGTGATGTCTCTTCAACCTTCATGGGGACATGATCACTATCGTCGACAACTTCTGATAATGAGCTTCGCAATCTCTTCTGCGGTGGGCTGGAAGATCTCGAGGGCTGATGACTATGATGTCAATTTATGGAATGCGATGAAGCTAATAAGAACTTACCGAATTCGAGCGAGTATCTGCATCGATGGGCTAGACAAGACAGCATGAGTTCGTTATCGCCGTTGAAGTTGGATCGAGGTGTCTACATTGTCGAAATCGTCGTCTCTAAGCTTCCTCTTCAGATTGCTTGGCTCAAATGTCTACTTGACTTTCAGTATCTAAGTCATCGATATCAAGGCAGTCGCTTCTTACAATGTCGGTCGGTGCAGGACAGTCAGAAGAAAAATCTGCATCACACTCAACCAAAGTCGCACTCGAGGATGAACTGCTAGTCGAGTTGCTTCGTAGCTTACGGCTTCGTTGGGAACCTTGTCTACAAATTCGCATTCTTTCAATTTGAATACTTCAGGGATCAATGAGCCATACACCCAACTCACCTTTCTTTTCTAAGCGACCTCCTTTTAGAATATTGGTAGCCAACCGCAGCAGAAAATGTAGCGAGTGCACAGCACACGACATTGAAGTCATTCAAGGGAAACATGGTGCAATGAATACCTATAGCGATAGTTGCAAAACAAAGAGAGATGAGTGTTAGGATAAACGTACCCTTACGGCGTTGGTCCTTCGACGGCTCTTAATATGACCTAAGCGTACAGATAACATGCTGCAAAGGCGAGGAGAATACCTTCAAGATCTACACGTGTTGCACTACGGCCAACGTTGCATGCTCCAAACCAACTACCCACCCCTTCGAATGGCCGACAGATTAGATAGGAACATAACAAAACCAGGCAGCAAAGTGACCAACAGATGTTCTCAAGAGCAGTAATGATTATTGAATAGAGTGGGGCCCCGTAAGGTACCACTATCAGTAACGCGTCTATTCACCACTGGTGCGGTTACCGTGAGATGGTTTTGCGTCTTTCAGCCATCCGAGACCAGGCTAGAGAGACATCCTAGAAGACTCCCAAGACTATGAATACGTGGGTATCCGAGCAATTGCAGAGGCTAAACGTCGTCGGCAGCGTCAAGGTCAGCACCGGATGGGTGTGAATTGTCGTGGTCGTGAAGCAGCCACGTCAGCTTGCATTTTGGAATTCCCCACGCTTTGCGATGCCATCTGCTACTTATAAGTTTCAAGCTCTCTACCGAGTTTGAAGCTACTGGGACTCTGCTTTCTTGACACTGTCGTCGAACATGTTGTTGTCAAACCTATTCGCTGTGTCACTCGCCCTGACACCTTCGTTGGTGTCAGCAGCCCTCTTTTCGAAGGATTCACTTGTGAAATCGATCGACCCGAAAGGATTCAGAGAAGCATTGAAGGAGAACGTATGTCTTCGCATTACAATGGACAGGGCTGTTACTAACAAACAGCTATAGATAACTAGTGTGGTTGCATTCGTCGCACCATGGTGTGGGGTGTGTGCTAACATCGCTTGAGCTCACCTTGGGCCAACGGTACTAACGTATATTTGCAGCACTGTCAAAGAATGGCACCGGAGCTCAACAAGGCTGCTCTCGGCCTTTATCCACTAATACCGACGTACGCCGTGGATTGTGACAAATACAAGGGTTTCTGTGCGAAGCAAGGCGTCCAAGGGTTCCCTACCGTCAAAGTACGTTCGATATTCATTCTCTTCTCGATTTGGGTACGTACTGAATCTATGTAGGTATGGCCTCGCGGCCGTGATTCAGATCCTGTTACCTTTGATGGTCCGGATCGCACCGCAAGCGCATTCTTCTATTGGGCTTCTCGCAGTATACCTCACGCCATTAAGAAGATTTACAAAGTTGAAGATGTTCCGAAATGGGTGCAGGAGGTAATCATACATTCATCATGATCTCTGCTAACAATCTAACCATCTTGAATAGCATTCAACGGAGACTCGAGCCTTGCTAGTAAACAATGGAAAGCATATTCCGCTTCTGTGGCAGGTTCTTGCAAACAAGTACAGGGATTACTTTGCATTTGCAATTCACCGCGATCGCAAGGGCAAGAGCTCGGTCAAGATGGGCATGGAGGCCGGCGCAAAGGGAACATCCAAGGTTCTTATATATCCTCCCGGCAAAACTGATTTCGTGCGCTTCGAAGGTAAGCTTCCACATATGCTATTGCAGCCCGTTGTCTAACATTAGTTCCAAGGTATCACGAAGTATGATTCGCTGTCTAAATTCTTCGATTCTATTATCGATGGCACCGCAAATCTCGAAATAGCAAACAAGGAGGCAGCGCAGGAAGATTTCGTTCCCGACGAAACTGAGCTCGAAATTGAACGCCAACAGGAAGCTCAGCGGATGGCTCTCGCGCACGGTGGATTTAGGTGAGTGTACATACCTTCAAGGGAACTTCTCCCGCGTTCAGGAACATGAGTACCTGATCGTTGCCATGTCATGCAGTGACCTGATCGATTTTGAGGAGGCCGTCAAACAGTATGGTACTGATTTCCATGGCAAGCATGGATACCCTGGTATGATGGGAGGTCCTCCGATGCCGATGAAGAAAGATGCGAAGTCCAACGACGACAAGCCTGAGGATCCAATTCAAAAGATCCTTAAGCATCAGAAGGAGGAGGCTGAGAAGAGTGCGAAAGCGCCAAAGATGGCAAAGACCGGTGACGGCGGTGAGATTGTGTTGGAAGTACCGACAGAGACTGGTCACCCCAAGACCCCTGTAGCGGACGCAGCGGCGACTGAGACTCCTGCAGAATCGACTCTTTCCGCGTCTTCATCGGCATCGTCTGATGTTCCTGAGGAACTGCTGACATCATCCACTGTCGAACCTACTGCTACTTCAGAGCACGATTCTGTTCCCCGTAGCACAGCTCATGATGAGTTGTAGCAGTCATGTACACTATTCGTATAAACTTCATTACGATCGAGTAACTTATTTGAGCAGTTTGATATTATCGATAACCTTCACAACGTTACTACTGTCGATCGAGCTCGCAATGGAACGACATATATTATAGTTGATCATACGCTCCGGTGTTAAACCCGATTGGTACAGGCAAGCTGTGTTATTCCGAACTTCTGCAGAGGTTTCTCTCTTGCTCAAAAGCTTATTCCAAGCTTACCAGAAATGGCTCTTTGGGCAGGTTGATAGACTTGGAAATTGGATCGCGCATTCTTCCGAGACTCGACCGCTTGCCAGATAGCTGCATCGATGTCCAAAGCACTCCTCCAGAACGCTCAGAACGCTGACTCTCGTTTCTTTACTCACATAAACGCTCTGGACGGTCGCCTTGGTGTTCATCTGACGTGAAAGGTGTTAGTGATGATATCAGGCTTGGATTGGAGTGTATCACGGTCCGAGGTACAGAAATACTTATCGTGTGGATATCTCCTCCTTCATTCTTCACGGCTCCTCCCAACCCTTGTTACCGCTTGGACGGTTCAAGCCGTGGCCCACAAGGATGATATGAACGAGAAGTTCCCGGTGACCATGAAGGTTTGTTCTTGCTCAGCTCCGTGATTCGGACTCGGACTCGGGGGCGTGATGTCGCTCTAGAGAAACCTTGTAATTTACTGAATGTATGATTTTCTTTGTTAGATTTTGAAGCTGTTTTTCCGTTCTGTCGATGCTTGGCTGCTCGGTTGGCTCTGCTTCGGAAGAACCTACAATGACAATGCTTTTGCATTCAGCGCTTCGGGTTTAGACCAAAGTGGTATGAAGGCAATAAGCTAATGAGACTTTACCTTCGTCAATTCGCGACGGCATGATGGACAGCTGTTACCGCATATTACATACATGCAAACGATGCAGGCCCGAAAGGTGCGTTCTATGCCAATTTTCGGAATGCTGTAGGAGGATTCTCGCAGACGCAGCCTAGAGGATGGCCCCAACCCTCGAATACGAGGGCCAGGTCAACGTATGACAATCATAACGTACGGCCGTCTCGAAGTTTGCCGGAGATTGGTGTATCTCCTAGGGTGACAAACGGTGCGAACTTCGTCCGCCGTGGCCAGCCATTCGAAGCACGAAGATCCTTTGCGAGGGTGTCAGTCGCAAAACTTTATGGTAAGCTTCAGTAACTTTCTGTATCCTGACGGCGTCCCGCTGTTAATCCTGTGCAAGATCTTCAGCCCTGCATGAATGGTCGCCGCTATGGCCGTCTGTCTGTAAAGACCGGACGGACATCATTACTGGAGGTAACTTCAACGGACAATGCTAACGATTATTCGTTGCCAATTGCTCTTGGATGGTTCTAGACCTGTCTAGCCTAACGTCCCCACATGTTCAGGACCGCTAATTACGCCTCGAATATCCTTCACGGCCTCTACACGTTTTAAGGCATTCTCAGGGATGTTCCGATGGGACAATTCGAGATCGCTCGAGAATAGCCGAACTCATGGTAAACAAGTTCGTCGTCAAGTGTTGTTGGCCGCCGGTCTCCGATTCTCCTTTTCCTAAGTAACGCAAGTTGGTTCATTTCGCAGCGGATCGATGGCAACGATGTTTTCTTTGTACTCTCTTCCGTCCCGCGGCTGGCGTGGAGCTGTCTAGGTGATTTGTTCAGCTGCTTACTCACAGACAGCCAAACCTTGTGGTCTGTATCTTTCTTCAAACCCACGACTGGCTAGATCTACAGATGCATCATCGTGAGGAGAAGATTAAGGAAGTTGCTAGATCAGCGAACACCGACAACTTGCCTTATTCGCTAAATGCTTCCGATGTGTCGCAATGTAACGCCTGCCCAGTACGTGAGTACAAAGACTGCATCATCGTGCGCGAGGCCTGCTTTTTCATTGATTTGCACGATAGACGCCTCTGCTACCAAGAAAATTCGTGGTATTTAGAATGTCCAAATCGATACATACAGGATTTTCCGGAACTTATCGGATGATGGAAAGACGGAGCCATTAGCAGAGAGCACTGTCTCGACCCCTCCTATGCCTGGTAAAAGGCGGAAGGTCTCACCCTCCCACAACTCGAAGGAATCGGAACTTTCCTTCTCCGCACGCGGCGGCTATATGCACAATTTCCAGGCTTGCATGTTATCGACGCATTTCAGCATGACTAGCATCTGCTCTCGTGGCTTTTGCCCCACCTGTTCTGTATGTGAGATCGAATTGGATCGGCTTTTCGACAGGTCTCCTATAGACGCCTCGAGTCGCTCCCCTGCACCTCTACCTTTCCTAACACGGCTGAGTACAATACGGCAGCAAGTACGTCTCTGCGCACCTCACCGTTGCGGAGTGTATCCTTCTGGTAGAATGTGACGGTGTCTTTCATCTTATGTATGTATCGGCTTACCGGCGGTTGCTCGGCGAAGCAAAAGCATGTAGTTTAACTGCATACCCGATTCGCTTATGGAGGCTCGGTGCCTCAAACTCGCAACTATATGAACTCACTATGATGCCTGACCTCTCGTCCTTACCTCCTCGCAATTCTTTCGCAGGGCCGTCGACTCGCAGTCGACTCTATCCATTCTACTCTCTGTCTTGCCACTATGCCTCGAAGTAACCAAGACAACAACCCAGCTGCTGCACACCAAACTAAATTCCGTGTTGTGCCCAAGAAAAGTTATAGCGAAAGAATGTCGGAGACACGTGCAGAAATTCGTCGCATCATGAAGGAGGCTCTTCGTATGTTGCGCCACATTCTCAACTTTCCTGTCTAATAGACGCCATAGGAGAGATTACTGGTGACCAAAACGCCGCTATGCGTTGGCCCAGCTATTGGAAGGATATTGTCGTGAAATACAAAGTGGTTATTGAGGGCTGGCCGCACAATGAGGTCCCTTTCAGGAATCTCAGCGACGTCTCGAACCTACAGAGGTTGGAGCTTCTGCTCAAGGGTTGGCAGGAGAAGACGATCTATTTCCGTCGCATCTCTGACGCTGAGTTTGCCGCTATGAGTGCACAGCAAGAGACGTACGGAGAGCAAGAGGCATGATACTAAACGCTTCGGACTGTAGTTGCGGTATGTGAGGTGGAAGGAGGGCTATCTCGGGTGAGAGATAGGCCCAATATTGTGGTCGAGGTCTCGCCGGTCGTTCTCATACTGCTTTATTCTCGAAAACACGCGGCGTCATTCACGGTAGACGGCTAGGGTTCATCCATTCCTGATAGTGGGCGGATGATCATGTAATAGTTACCGTGGAGCATTATGCTTTCATTTACAACGCACTGTCTCGAAGGTTACGAGCTTCTCTTTCGCTGCGCAGGTGATATTTCTCACTGAGGTGTGAATCGGGATTCGGACTGGGAAAGAACCTTCGAACTCGGACAAGTTTGACAGCGAGTCAAAAGTCAATACGATCTCCGACATCGATAACCTCGTCAGTATGACACGAGAATCGGAAAAGCCAGCGTCCCGTGAACCTATCCGCCCATCTGCTGACATGAAATTTCTCGCTTCCGTCAGCAACGTGGAGAGTAATGAATTTGACCCAAACCCATGGTGCTTCCCTTTACAAGAATGCCGGATCGACCCACGATGTCGAATTGAGAACCGTGAACATTGAGACAGGGGAATTCAGCTTGGTAGAGAAGCTTGCACGCGTCCCCAAAGCGCCCGGCCCCTTGTTGTTAAATTCAGCATATGTGACGTGGTCAGTTCTTGGATGAAGACGGATGAGCTGAGACAGTGAGAGAGAGAGAGAGACAGTGGGACATACTGAGGGGTGCTGTCACGGGGATCAGACGGCTCCAGTATCTCAGCATTGCTTAGCATTTAATAACTCACTCTGTTTGCCATACTGACCATCCGGCGGCGGGGCTATTCCATAATAGAGTCAATTATCATGACGCCCAAAGAGGAAATTACCTACACGTTGCTGTTAAGCATTGTGTTTTGGAAAACCACTCGAGCAAAATCACGCCATGGACGTCCCAGGTAGGCAGTTCCAGTTCCTTGAACTATTGAGTTGTCGATGACATACCAATTAGCGTCATCGGTCGACCTTCCAGACGCTGTGATCCATCCGACCCCAGTCTGGACGGTCTATAGTAATAAGGATAAGAAACCAATGGTCAGCTAATTGAACAAAAAAAAACAGCAACCCGCGTGTACATACGTTGATGACAGACTTAGTGATCCAGATACTTGGACAAAGCTTATCAGTTTTGAAGGTGAAGTGTGTTTGGAGAATGGCCTACGATGAACGCATCCCGAAGATCTGATTTTAGAGAAAACCCATAGGAGATGATTCGCAATATGAAATTGGCAAATGCACTTACAAAGTCCGTAGCGCCTTCAATCCAGCATTGGCTGTAGTATTGACTAGAACATGCAAGATCGATTAGTGTTACATATTTTGCAACTAGTGCGGAGCAATTACACTCCAACGTTGGCCAGCAATGTATCTCTGGCGATACCTGTGTCAAACGAGAAAGGAGAAGGGATACAAGTAACCCATACTGATAACCAGTCAACTTCAACCCGTAGGCGCCGAATTGTTCATCCTGCACGCTCAAGGCAATTGCCTGAACGTCAGTCTGTATTGGACGCGTTTCATGAGATGCCCATCAGTAGAACAAAAGATACGCACGCCTTGACCGAACGTATTTGCGATGTTCAGGTTGTAGAGCGAAACATTGCTTCCATGCACCTGCACAGTTCCGCTGGCGTCATTGGATCCAGCTGTGGATGCAGGAATGTTGTTCGTGATCGTCACAGCTATGTGGCACATCAATGCTCCTAGAGTCTAGGACCACTTATGCCACACGTACTATTGCCGCTGTAGGAGTTAGGCGTACTTGTTTGACCGTAGATCTTGATGTTAGATCGTGTTATGACAGCTTGTTCCTTGTAGGTCCCAGGAAAGATGAAGTACACCTAGAGAACGGTCAATATACGCGCAGAATCGACCGGCGCACTGCTTACCGAGTCTGAAGTATCCTTAAGCGCAGCTGAAAGCGTTGAATACTTGCCTCCTGAGCCTACAGTGATCGCCCCAGACGGAGGGCTACTAAGAGCACATACGGGCAAGAAGAACAATTGAAACAGCTGAAAGACTGCCAGTTGCCACAACATGGTGAGAACGCTTGGTCGGCCGTCGACCCTCCTTTCTCCTTAAAAATCTTTCAGAAATGATTTATTTTGGCTAGAGGGGAAAACTTCGCAAATAGTGAGGAGCCAGGACGGCCCGCAGTGTCGTCAGTGGAATGTATCTATCTTAAGAACCTATAATGAGAAGTCCCATACATAGAGCAACCACCGCACGAGCCGTCCGCGCTATCGCGAATGCATTGGGGATCTCAGCGACATGAAACCAAGATCATATGGGACACAGACGAGGTTCCTCAAGTCAGATGTATCCTCAAGAAACATTCAGAGAACAACGTAGCGGAACAACGGGTGACAACGGTCCGGACGATAAAGGACAGTCTCTCGTAGCATGATAATGCAGGTGACGTTGGAGCGATCCCTCGTTCAAGAGAAGCAGTGGCACGTGGAAAGTACTGAGTTGCAATTGAATAGGAGACGTTTACAGAATAGCTTTGCGCCTTGAGGCAGGCTTGGTCCTCTTCCTCTTCTTGCCCAGTGCGAATGCGTTAGCACTTTTGAGATCTCGGCCCAACAAGTCCTCCTTCTTGACTTGGTAGATTCGGACCTGTGATGGACGGGGATCAGCATATGGCTACATTCTACAAATAACGCAACGGAGAACGCACAATCCAGTTCTCCGAGGTGAATGCCTCATCTGCGTGTCCAATTTGTAGCGTCAGTAAGCATGTACAGTGGGCTAAAGGGTATAGGGCGTACCTAGGTAGTCCAGAGTCGGGCCAGTCTTTGGAACATGCTGACCACGCACACGGTCTACTGCCTGATTGCCTCCGAAGAGCTCCGCGAAGCTGCGGAGAGCGCATTAGTGTTTACATTATAATGTAGCAATGACGGCTACTCACCGGTAATAAGACATCTTGTACATCAAGCTGTTCTTCATTGCAGGGGAAGCTTCATCGTCGATCTTGTATTCACCCTTCCGAGTGAAGTAATTGGGCTCCTGGATCTCGTCAGGCCAGACACCTTGTGCGATTCGGACCATCCACAGGAACTTGTTGATATCATCACCAGAGTAACCAATCAGACCTCCGAAGATAATCAGGACATAGTCGACGTCATGCTTGCGGAGGATCGGATATGCGACCTCTTCACTGCTTGACATGGCTTTGCCGACAGTCGCGATGTGAGCTGGAAGGACATGGTAAACGTTATATCCTGTGCAAAGCATGAAGATCACGAAGATCATATGAAGGGCTCACTGTTATTCCACGTGTTGTTGTCAACCAAGGTTGGGCGATCGGCCATACCCGCGATCTGGTAGCCATAATCCCACCAACTCATCACAACGGCAGTTTCTGGCGTGTTTTGTCGGAGCCAGTAGTATGCCTCACGGAAATCGTCAATAATATGTTGACTACCATCGGGGTTCTGAGAAGCCAGCACAACAGAAGGTGACGAGTATGCGTTGGCAGTTACCCAGGTGCAGTGCCAGACGAAGAAGACGAGCATGCCAATGGCTTGGAGAAGGACAATTAAACGGGTGTCCAGACCAAACACACCAAACGGCCTTCCGCTCTTCTTGGAAGTTCCAGACGTGACTGTTGCGACAAGGTCACTGAAAGCGGTAGTAGGAGCCGGGGCCGCGGCTTTGTCCTTCGCCGCCTTCTTCGCTTTCTTTGATGTGGGTCCAGGCGTAGCGGAAGATGTGGCCTCTGAAGGTGCCACAGAGTCAATTTCACTAGGAGCTTCTTCCGCTGATACTTCGGGTTCGACGGGATTGATGTACGTATCAAGAAGGGTTGAGAAGGCAACTGCAGCAGTCACACACACAACAGGTGTGAGCGTAAGCATCAGACGGACCATAACACCGGCAAAGTAGCTTGCGACGACAGCATAAATGATCACAAAGACATGCTCGTCACGGAGTTCGCGGAAACACATCACAACACCGGCGGGGAATAGGAACACGAGGAATTGCAAATCCATGAAGAAGGACGGCCATGCAGTGGGTTGATGTTCTGAGACTGAAGCGATGATGGGAATGTACCTGAATGTGTAGAGTTAGAGTGAATGGAGAAGCTAAGAAGACAACATCCGCACTTCTTTGCGTAGCCCGTGTCCCACAATGAATAGAAACGACCGGTCCAGGGCGCGATCCATCCTTTGTACGTGAGTCCAACGATACCAAGAGTACCAAGCACACCCATGCCGACAACGGAGGCGTAGAGAAGGGTTTGGAATTGTTTAGACGACACATGAGAGCGAACGAGTTCCGCGAACGCGATGATCTGCAAGAGACCGAACACGCCTGATGGAAGCAAGATGCTCAGCGTACTAAACATTAATAGGAAGAAAAACTTACCAAGTGCGGCCATATGTTCACTTGTTCGGACGGGCTGGAAGCCAACGAAGGGGACTTGCATACTGGCAAGTGTTCCAACGGCGTACCAAGAAGAGTAAGCAACGTAGAGCCGGCTACTGTATCTTCCCATAAGAATAAGAGCCAGTGCATGCAGAGGAATCATGTTTGTGATGAAGGCATAACCACCTGTACATAATCATGTAAATATAATTCATTGAAGAGATACGAAACTCACCCCATGCGGCCACCATGTAAAAGTAGAAAAGAGCGGCAATGGTTCCAAAGAACGCACTTCCTATCTTGAGCGCCTTGAGCCAGGCATAGAAAGTGAACATGAGAAGGAAGATAGCAATAGCTTCATTGTCGTACGAGCCAGCCACGGAGCGGGAGATATAACCCGGCACAATACCAATGAAAGCGGCAGCGAGGAGACCAGCACTTTCATCCTTCAATTCCTTCGTGAGCCTAAATTGTAGGTTAGCATTGAGAACGATAGCAATATTACTTGTCCCTCGTACATGTAGGTCGACCAAGCGGTCAAGGGGCTGAAACCAGGAGCAAGGAGCACACAAATATTACGAATGTCGACGGGCAGGTGCAATGCATGCAAAATCTTGTAGATGACGCCGCTTGTTACCATGAGACCTGGGTAGACAGTACCGCCAACGACACGGCCCAGGGGATACCATGCTGTCGGATCGAACCAGTTCCAGAAATACTACTTGTACTTCAGCATGTCTCATTCTGACAGTGAAGGGAGAGTGGACTCACATAGAAGCCCTTGTCCACTATTACCCGCGTTGCGCGACTGAATAATAGTTCACACTTTCAACGACGCACTTCGTTGAAGCATATGCCTACACGTACTAATTGAACCACGGATCGCTAAGACATAGATATGAGCCAATTGGTTCCAAATATGGGTAAAGATACACCTACAATTCATGGATGATACTTTCGAAGTTGATAACAGCGAACAGACGAGAGGCAATAGCAGCACCAGAAATGAGAGCGAGTGCAATAATGCGCAGTAAGGACGACGTGTTAGTGACTGTGGCAGGGGAGATGTCAGACGGCAATGCGTATGCCTTCGTGGTCATGGCCACTACCTGAACGACGACGATTCAGTCGTCAATATGTCGTAGGGAAGAATATGGATTGAGTGAAGTCGTTGGAAGCGTTTACTTGCAGTCGACGTGTCTGAGGGGAGGCGTGTATTCTTAGATCAGAGTCCCTGGGGTCTAGTCCAGAAATAGAGGGAGAGGACCCTGGGTACCTGCAACTTTGTCTAGGTTACTTGTAACATTCATCTCCGTCAGCTCGTTGAATCCGGTCAATCTAAAATAAACTTGCAGTCTCGAGTTGAGCTGCCATTGGCACTCACTTGTATTGGAGACAAGTCACAACTCTACTGTGTTTTTCACCGCAGAAACCTCGGACTTTGGATCTTCTTGTGTGAATGAGATAGACGCAGCGACGCGAAGTTTACTTTTGGCCTTCTTTCCGTCGAAGAACGTAGGATCACAACAGAAGCGTTATCGCCGCAATACAGATGGTATGATTCCAGAAGTATCTGCGGAGTTATGTTCACCCTTGATCCAGAATAGACTCGCCGTCTTCGCTATTGCTGTCTGGCGGACAGTGTAATGTTACAATCTCTGTATTCTGAATTGCATAGCATAAATCAGAATACAAGGTTAAGTACGGCAGCATTCTATCGCTTACTGTTTTGTTGATCGATACGATTGTGGACTCTCCACGCTCACGGAGGGGTCAAGTATCGCGTTCCGAGTCCTAGGTGGAAATATTAGGGACGTCGCGAGGTCTTCAACTTGAACACAATGGTAGATGATAAACGTTTAAACTTTGAAGCTCTAAACGACGATGCTGGGCTGCTAGGCATAACACTGACAGGTCGTGCTTCACGGGGGAACCCGAGCGGACATCGAAGAATCGAACGCAGGTCTTCACCGAAAGCAAAGTACGAATTCTGCTTACGCTCAGGTTGATTTCTTACTTCTCACACCAGCTACACTTTTGCCTTTGCATTCTAATTATGCCCTTAGAGATGAATACGGAGTCACTCGTTCCCAGGGAGGATGGTGACAATAGTCGCAACACACTCGAGATTATAGGTAGGACCGGATTCCGTCACTTGTAGGCGCATATATCCACTTAATGGTTAATGCTAACATAAGGGAGCCTATTGAATGATATGGGTACCTCTTTCGCAACGCATATATCCACCCCTCGGCTTGACTCTGCCTCCAATCCCTTTCCACTTTCTCCTGCTCAATTTGTTATTATAGACAGCTCACTCGCGGACAACGCGCCTCCGGTTGCGGATCCTTCACCACCTGCTGGATGCTCTCGTACCGACCGCCGAGGCGACCGTCTCAAAATAGCTCGCGTGGCGTTGGACAAATGGCGTAATACGCGATGGCAGGAGAAATACAGCCATTGCGAATGGGGACCCCACGTTCTGATGCCTGACCCCGTCTTCAAGAAACTCGTGAATCGGACTAAGCTACGCACCGTTGCCGAAATCAAAGCTGCCACGAAGTGGGACTGGGCGGAGGAATACGCACTGGAGGTTGTCAAGGTCCTCGATGACGCGGATATCCAATGGCGAACCGAGAGGGACGATGCTATCGCCGTCAAGAAGGCAAAACGTGCCCAAATCAGCGCACGGAACAAGATTATGCGTGACGAGCGCAGGAGACAAGAGAAAACACTAGAAGTGGTCCAACGTCGACTCGCTGCCAAAGAGGAGATCACGCCTCCTCCAAATTCCTGGCACAACGTGCCGTATCATGTCGTCCCACATCAAGCAGCGGTTGCTTCGTCCCAACTTTCTGGACATTACCCCGGACATTACCCGCCACCTCTGCCTATCCGTGCTGGTCCGCCACCATATTCCCCTCCACCGTCGTATAGCCACTCTGCTCCATACCCCATCCCCACTACTTTGATGCATGAAGCCACCTCTTCATCCGGTCTCTCTAACTCCGGCTACTATTGGTCTTACACCTGGGTTCCTATGCCTGTTCCTATGCCCGTTCCCCCAAGCATTTCCATTGCTAATGTCGCAAACGAAAGGTTCTAATTGTATTATAATGATGCCTCTGTATTAGTGAATTTGCATTGTTATTGCAGCGTGTTCGCCAAGTTTTCATAATTTCAACATATGAGAATTACCAAGAAGGGCAAGTTCTGTAGTTCGCTTACGTCGCCCGATCATTGAGATCTATGGTCGCCTTGTGGCTAGGGTATGTAGCTTAAGGCTTACTTTGACAACTGATTACGATTTAGTCCTCATTAACACCGTTTCTATCTCTCAACCGTAGAGTAGAGACACCTCTCTGCTCAATCTCTCTGGAGCTATGTCAGACAAAGATGTTCTCCTGTCCATGGGGTTCGATACCGCTCGAGTTGAATGTTAGCGATCCATGTTATAGATGTTTGTTACATTGACACGCGTGGATTGACATTCACCCTTACTATACAGGGGCATTGAAAGCCACAGGAGGTCGTGGACTTCAGCCAGCCATGGACTTCATCCTCGAGAACGAGGGCAAGCCGGTACCCGATCTCTCTGCGGTCTCATCTTCCCGTCAAGCCACGCCATCAGGTGGAGGCGGAGATGCAGTGGACGAAGATGAGGATGATGCGGAGGCGTTGCGGGCTGTGTATGGGACCGGCGCTGCAGGACAGGCTGCTGCTGCCGCTGACGTGGAGGCTAAGGTACGGTTTCATTGTCAATATGCTCGGATACAACCGCCCGTTGTAATCTTACTGATGTGAAATATCTCATTATAGAGTATTAAGTGCTCAGAATGTGGCAAGATCTTTAGAAACACTGCTCTTGCCAATTATCACGCAGAGAAGAGTGGTCACGATCAGTTCGAAGAATCAACTGAAGAAGTATGTTAATCCGTGTTTATCATTGATCTGATTAGCTGAGAAGTATGATATATGTAGGTCAAGCCTTTGACTGAAGAAGAAAAGAAGCAAAGGCTTGCCGATTTGAAAGAGAGAATGGCGGCTAAACGAGCCGCGAAGGCCAAGGTTGAGGCGAAGGAGCAACAGGCTAATGAGGCCATTAGAAGGAGGGCGGGAAGGGTCAGTAACCACGTTCACTCCTTTCTTCCAAATTTACTGAATGAGGGTGCTGATTTATAGGATCTAAATGTGTTGCGGGAAGAGCTCCAGGCGAAGGAAGTTCTGAAGGAAGCTGAGGCGAAGCGCAAAGGTCAGGAGCATATCTTCCGGCTTTCATGTTTGACTGAACAGTCTATATAGAGAAGCTTGATGATGCCAAGGCACGTGCAGCCATCAAGGCTCAAATCGAAGCCGACAAGAAAGCTCGCGCAGAGAAAGCTGCTCGAGAGAAGGCCCTTCGTGAAGGCAGAACTTACCCAGAAGCCGCTGCCCCAGTCGCTCCAGCTCCAGCTGCTTCGGCGCCAACAGGCACGGCGGGCAAAGACTACCCCCAGACACGATTGCAGATCCGTCTTGCAAGTGGTGGTCAACCGTATACTACCACGCTCTCAAGTGATGCCAGTGCGTATAACTCATTCATCGGCGGTGTTTATAATAGAATTGACAACGGCGTTTGTAGCTCTGCGAGAGGTGGCAGAATACCTTGCCGGTCAGACGCTGTCAGTAGATGTGGAAACAGTCACGTTCGCCCAACATTTCCCAAGGCAAGGTCTTCGATCACCTCACGTATGAATCTGCTGACGTTTGTTCGGGATTTCTTTTACTGAACAGGAAAACGTTCTCGCAGTCAGACTTCGAGCGATCGTTGAGAGATCTTGGTTTGACGCCTTCTGCGGTACGTGCGACGATTTTTCCAAACTAGACATCGACTGATGTGTTTTTGATCATTCGTGCGCAGGTACTCATTGCTTCATGAAATGACTATTTCCTGCGGCCGCTGCACGACTTCCTAAAGATCGAGGAAGGTTCCCTTTGAAGTTGTATTTGTATGAATACATTTGTACCGATTGCAATCTTGAACACGCATTACTGCCGTAGTTGGTCTAAGGATAGGTATAATTAAGACGTCGTGGAAAAGGTGCGGGAAAATCCTCCTGTTAGGTTCAAACATCTGGCCGCCCTGATGTGGTATAATTAGGAGCGGTGCGTATCGAAGTGTCTTCGACAACACGTTGGAATACCATGTCGGTGTAGACGGATCCAGTAGTCGGTCCCGAAGTACTATTGGCTTGCCTACGAATGTTCAATTGCAGATGAGAACCCTAAAAATACATTAAATCATGCACAATAGTGAAATTAATCGAGAAGGGCTCACTGCTAATGAAAAGACTACGTAGGCAGCTCTGAGAATATAGTCAGGGTCGAAGAAGGTCAAGATAGAATGAACGATAGAAATACATACATGAAACAAACAAAAGGTGGGACCCCGGTTATATTGAGCGCGAACATCGAAGTATTGAGTAGAAGAACGGCTATGAAGGGTCAGACTAAACGAGAAATAGCTTCGGTCATGATACCTACCGAAAATCAGCGCAAATGCCCACGTTCCATCCACCACAATGCGATACAGTAACGTGTGGCTGGTATACGAATGTTGGAAGTTGCGCAAACAGTTGAAGGCTGTGAGAGCAAAAAGTGTGGTCTGTGTGAATAGTGCTATAACCCTACATGTGACGGCTCAGTTATTGGATTAGCAGCGAGACGACGTCAGACCACTAACCAGCAAGATAAGGAAAGGAAATCGGTTACAACACTCAGACAGATTTCGGACACGGCCATTTTAGGTACGACAATTACTTGGGCTACTACCATTACCACAGCTTCAGAGGCCAAGAGGAAAAGGAGCATTCGCAATATAACCTGGCTCCTGTTATAGATTGCATAGACTGCAGCATTTCCGTCAACATGACAACAAGTCAGTGATCACGCTGCAGAAAGCAATCATACACGATCTCGTACCTCTTGCTATGAGCGTGGCATCGACCACCCATATCATGGTGTCTAAGGCCAACTCGCAGGAGAGGACCAACGCCCTGCATTGCGTGGCCGACAAGGTAAGGCCCGTGAACGGACTCGTGATATTGACCAGAGTCATCCTTGACGCATGCACCAGTCAGGTTTGATAACCAAGACAATCGGGAGAGGAAACAACATACCCCACCGCGAATATAGGAGAATAACGAATGTATATATAGCACCATTTTGTCCAGGTGCTCCTCGCACTGTCAGACTGCCATAAGCATTTAATGTCACTGAGAAGATAATAAGAGCAGAGTAGCAGACCACCAGATGTATTTAATCTAGAACGAGGTAATTAGCGTAATGCCTGAAAAATAGTATGACATCGCCGGTCCCGCACCTCCTCTGAGAGATTGATCAATATGTCCCATATCATGACCGTGACTAAACTGCATGTGGGTACCTCCCTCGTCCGTAGTTGTATTCAAACTCACTACATGCACACACTGAGTTGGTCGCTAGATCCAGCAACAATAGAGACATAGATGAACACAAGCGCTAACGCGGGCGTGAAAGGCGTATAGTGAGGATATAAAGCGAGATCGAAGGGTCTTTATACCATCGCCGTTTCCTGTCAATCAAACGTCATTGACAAGCAGCGCGAGCTAGTACGATGACCGTTCCACAAGGCGCTCCGATACATGCATACATTGTTTCCCCAACGATTTCAAATGCACAGTTCTTGACGTATCCATACTGCTTTGACTCAAACTGTCAAGACAAGGATATGTGGCATACATTAATGGTCCATCTAGGCATGTAGGCAGTAAGACATCTTAGCAGGATGTCCGAGAGAGTGTGTGAAAGTCTGCACTGGGTCCGCTTAACATCACTGACGGCCGTACGTCACGGTAGATATCATAGATCCGGTTTGCAAATGGGCAGAGGGTAAAATAGTAACAAGATGTCCCGCGCAAACATCAGCATAGAACATAGAAGAGTTAGTAATCTGGCAAAGATTACGTTCGCCCGATACCAGGCGATGGCAAGAGTCACAGAAAGTAGAAACAAGTCGATTCAAAGCGGAAGCGACTTATGACTGGACGTCCGCGCCTTCCGAATTGGGACTTTCGGTTATTGCCGAGGATACCGATCGTCCTGAAATGGTGCGTTTCTCTGAACCTTCAACGTGAGGATGTTCATACGTTGTTGGGCCAACCACCTAATCTCTATTTCGAACTTGCCACGTGGTGAATATTTAAGATGTCGCACCCAACTGCGACTCCGATGACACTCGTTTTGCCGCTCCCACCGTCAACGGGTACGTCGAGAACCTTGATATACCGGTGTTTTGGCCGCTAATCTGAACTTGGTCTATGAACAGAGATGAGATGAGATATCCGAAGGATACGGTGAGGAAAGCTATGATTGAAGTCTCGAAACGACCAATATCAATCTTTCGAGTCCTTGCGTGAGGGTACTGTAACCTCCTTGTCCATCGGGACCGCATGACATGGTCAGATGGACATGATCAACTCGAACAATTAACTGGAGGTGTGTCTGGTTGTCTTTATGTTAGTTATGTAGCGATCTTGGAGGTGCATAAGTCCTTCGAATGATTTGACTGGGTTGATTTTGGATGCAGGATAGGTGAATACTACGGACCCTGAGAGCGGTCAAAGATCTGGGAACGAGCTTGAAGTAAAGATAGATTCAGCTTTGCCAACATTGATGTCGACAAGAGAGCTTCCCGCCAAAACGAGACTTGCCAACAGATCCCTTCCGCTGGCCAATCATTTACGAGGCCCTTTTCAATTGATACCATTGTATATGCTCGCTCTGTGGCGGTGTTTACTTCTTCACGAGGTTGTCAACCATCATAGCTTTACAGGAGGTTGTAGATGTGGTTGTCAACAGACGTTGAGACGGTTATGTTTGCATAACATTTCTCAAGGTGTCCATCTGCGTTCCCGGTCATATCGGTTAGGGTTTGACTGACGTGTTTTTTTTGTTGCGGAACAGAGAAACCTCCTCACGGTCCGACTTCTCACGAACACCTACGAACATAGAGTTATTCTGGTTTGACGCCTTATGTGGCCAGAGCTAATTGTCTCCCGCGAAAGACAACTGCTGATATATTTGGTCGGCGCACATGTCCTTATTACTTGCTGGAGTGACTGTGCGTTTGACGGCCTCCCCATCTTCCTACGTTGTGGAGAATTTCATACCGGCTCAGCCGTATCGCCATTGCACTTTCGATCCTTCTGCCGATGAGCACCCTGTCTAGGTAGGATCGCAGTCTTCATCGTCCACGATCGGGAGGTATAAGTACTTAAATGGCTGAGCAGGGCGCCGGCGGTTGCAACTTTCCGGTGCTCCGAAATGAAAAGTCATGGAGACAGAGTGGTGTCCGACTTTGAGCGGGACGACCGCGACTGACTACATGTTAGTGTATACCATCCACTAAGCTGCACCTTTTCATCCTGGAAACTTACAACGATATGCAAACTCGCATTTACAAGCTTCCCCACATACTGACGCGTAATTTGAAAGACTACATATGATATAAGCGTTGAATGATTCCTCGTGATAAGGCACATAATATACACTGATTCTTGAGATCACGCTTCTGTAAATAATATGTGTGCGCCAAAGCACTGGACCTGCCATCAAAGACATATCAGTCCTCTCGTCGGCCGCCCTGCTTGTCTGAGACCCTGCTTTCATGTCGACCTCCTCCTGCTACGACCCTCATTCATAACCTTCCTACATGTTTGCTAGTTGAATCTTGCGCAAGTTATGGAGGACTCTGCTTTAGGTTTGCAATCCCCTACTTCACCACGTCCAAGACCAGGCGGTCCTCGTAGCAGAAGGCCCCATTTCAAGACCGCGACCCCGCTCAGCGTGAACAGTAACGGCAGTACTTCGCCTTCAGATGATGCCGTCCCCGCATATTCGGGTCGGACTTCACCAGCTTTAACGAGCTCGAGGCCGCATTCGCCATCTCCATACCTGGCATCCATGCCAAGCCTTTCCCAGCTTTCCGAAGCTGCGTATATCCACCACAAACCAAGAATACAAGTTGACGAGGGCGTACAAGCCACGCCTGATGAGTTACTTGCGGTCACTCCCACAAGACCAACTACGCCCGCAGTTAAACTTATCACGAAACCGCCGACATTGGAACCGCCACCTGCACTAAATTTCGAATCGGCACCCATACAATGGAAAGGCCTCACTTTGGAAGCTGCACAATGGAACTTCTCCTCCGATCAGCTCCAAGATATCGTCTCCCGAGCTATTCGAAAGTCGGCAGCTGAGTCGTTTATACGACTACTGTCAGTCAAGACCCTTGATGAAGAACTAGGACCGGAGATGGAACGTTTGGACCATGTAAGTTTCACCTTTATTCATGCCCGCAAGGCCTCTAATCTCGCTGGTGAAGTTGAAAGCGACTACACAATCTCAGTATCGCTTTAACATGCATCGACGGACCATGTTGCTTCAATCACTTGTTGCACTATCTGCTGGAGATTGCGATAATGCCGCGTTGGCAAATCTCACTACTCAGCTTGCAGATATCACCCGCTCTTGCGACCGACTGATGGAAGAAATGCTTCGGATATCTGACCAACGAGCTCAGATCCAGCGGATACAGGACGTCCATGATGCTTCGGCGTTAGCAATGGCACTCAGGAAGCTGAATGGAAGTTATGCTAAACGCACGACGGAGCTTCGAGAGACTCGTGTTCAAGTTGAGTCGCTCAAAGCGGAGTTAGAGGAGGCGTGGCGTGTGGCAGAAGATATGGCTCAGGAAATGGACGACTTGGAGAACTTCCAGACCGGGTTTAGCGAGCCTGAGGATGAGGATGAAGTAGAAGAGGGTGGAGATGATGAACAGTACGCGGATAACGACGAGAGCGTCAGGTTGGCGACAGTGATGAACATCACTGGGACAGCTGTTGCCACCAAGGCAACCTTGACGAATATGGCTGAAGGGAGTCGAGGGAGGCCGGACAACCAGAAAGAAAGCGACCGAGCAAGTCGTGTGTCTGCAGCAAGGAAAAGGAGCAGTCGAAGATCGAAAGCCAGTCTGCGGTTACCAAAATCATCGGCTGGTCCCGATCGTCAAGCCGATCGTTCATCTGTGTTGTCGAGGAGAAGTCGCAGTAAGAGCGTACGAAGGGGTACTGTCAGTGAAGATTCTCCCACAGCACCTCCTCTCGTGCCTCCTGTCCCGAATGCACATCTTGACCCACCCTCTGATTCGTTCCTTATCATGTCGGAAACACGTCCGGCTTCCCCCTCTTCTCCCGAACCCGAGTCGGCTCCGCCTGTCCCTCCAACATCTCAAACACGCGTATCTGATGCTGCCAGTATGTTCTATTCCTTGACCGACGTATTTGCAATAGTTCTAATACCTTCTACAGCTGATTCCGAAACTGAATCCCTGCCCGATCCTGAAACCGTATCTTCCCTTTCTAAACGACCGACCACACTCAACTTCGAAATGCCTCCCATTACGATTTCCCCGCCAGAGGATGAGGACGAACGGACAAGGCAGGGAGAAGCTGGACAACTACCCGACCGTAGAGTACAATCCATGCAACCTGCTCCAGCACGCACACGATCCATGGACGATGTGGAAGTAGGGACAAGCCCAAAGGTTGCGAGAAACTACAAGAAATTTGATGGGTGGCCATGGGGCATGAAGAAAAAGAAGAATAAGAGACATTCAATGCCCATGACTAGGAATTCAATCGAAGACGCACGGAAAGATGTGCAGAATACCAGCACTGGTTCATTGAGTCAGAAACTGCTCAATGCCGACACTTCAGTGAAGTCCGTACCTTGATAGGGTGACCAGCTTCCTGACTACTGCCCTTTTCCCCTTCTGGATTCCGCATCAAACCTGCTTGGCATTCTGGCTCAGCCTACGTGAGGCTGCCTTTTCACGACTTCTCATGTGGATTCATTTTTCATTACATCTGGGAATCATAAGAATACCCTTCTCTTTCCTTGTTCTTTTTGCTTTCTCGCTACCCATAGCACATTCGTTTGGCATTTTCGTTGTTGTACCGATAACCCTGTGATATCCTAATGAAATCCGTCAGAACTCTGTATTTTACCCGACCCTAACGTATTACTAGATGGACTCTATTTCGCACCTCTCCGTTTATTTCAATGAACATCTGCTAGTCGGAAACCCGAGGGAATTCTGAGAACGTGTCTCTCCTGAGGAATATTACGATGCATGAAGCGACAATCAATATTGAAGGGGTATATGATAGCTTTCCGAGTAGAATACAATATGCAGATCATAAATTAACCCTACGTCAAGCAATGCATACAATGACGATAGGACGAGTGCATCCTCACAGAAACGACAAACAGCGTGAAGCATCCTAATGCTCCGGCGCAGGCGATGATGGGTACCACCACCAAACGACCTTCAGAGTGATCCACATGCCTAAGAGCGCAATAACGCAATAGCCGATTATCCTCCATTGCTTGACACCTCCGTTGCCTATACCAAAGGCATTTGCAGCACGTCGTGAGGATGATGCTAGTGATGAACCGAACGAGGAGAATGCGTCTCGCTACGGATAATCACGTCAGTAAGGTCGAAAGGTGCTGAAGGTCTCTGCGACGTACTGTATGGTCAAGAGTCGAGTTCTGTCTCTCAACGTCATCATATATGTCCGTGGTGACCTGTTAATTAATTCAAAGCTTGCTAAGAGAAGCATTAGGCCAGAATGAAAGACCTACTCACTCCTCGAAGTGTACGGAGTTTCGAATGTAGGTCGTCTAGACGTTCGTCGTTCTGAAGTTCATAGGTATCTTCTACACCACCTTGTGAAGATGACATGATAGTATAATATGGGGATATCCAGTACCCAAGTGAGGTGAAAGGGATAGGATAGCCAAGTGGAAGTATAGCGTAATTGTGCTCGGAGAGACTGGGTTGGAGGTGAGCGCTTCAGCACAATGCCGTCGTATCATAGCCGCCGGGATCTTATCTTATCGAGTTTACAGCTATTCTTGACATGAAGTCGGTAACCCCACAGTCTACACAACTTTCGACCATAACCACCATGTCACTGAAACGATGTATTTTCTGAAGAAATACAACATCTCTACCACTACCCACCGCTACTGAGACCTCAGGATAGACACTTATGGGGATATGCTGTCTCTCATTGACCTTCCCCCGGAGCTCCTTCTCCAGATATTCGGCAAGATCGCGGTACAGGATATTCTATCCGTGAGGCAGGTCAGCGACTATATCGCTGTTAGCCTTCGTTGCATTGAAATTGTTGCGGCTTACTTAGACTTGTCACTTTCAATACAATGCTACCCACGAACGAAGTGTCTGGTTTGATGCACTATACACTCTTGCAGTACAGCAGCATCTGCCATTACCTGGACTACATAGTCGACAAATCATCAACCTAGACTCCTCGGAGCTGGAACGACTAGCCCGCCGTGCCTCTCGATATCATCAGAACTGGACTTCCCCGTCCCCTACATGTACCCGCCGGACTGAGATTGACTCAATCGAGATCTCTCCTCATGCCGGTGTTCGCATTCTCGCCATACACTTCTTACCGGGAAAAGGAGGCCGTTATCTCTTATCCTCATCATTCCTTGAATCGTCACTGGAACCTCGATCTATTTCAATGGATTGCTGGGACGTTGATGGTGATGTGCCCAAACGCGTCGCTACGATTTCCTTCTCATCCTTTGCTTCAATTGTCGTAAACCAGGATCCTGAGCATCCAGGTGTGGTAGCGGTTACTCGTCGATCAACTAATAAGTGAGCACAACTTTGTCCTGCAACGCTTCGAGTAAATGAACGGATCGATGCATACGCTCACTTGTTATGTTGCCCGCATGATTACTCATCTTCCCCATTCGTTTCCAGTGTCCAAGCTGAGGGTGAACCTATTACATCAGTCTACTCCATCAACCTCGAATCAGAAGATCCTGAGTCGGTATTCTCTCTCATTTCCGAGTTTCCCAGTGCACGTTACCCGATCATCATGCATGGGTCCCGATTCCTCAGCGCGAATCATATAACGAACACAACACAAGTCATAGATACCGAGAGTGGTGACTTAATATGTGTCTTGTGTACACCACTCGTTAACAACGACCCTACATTGAGCGGGTTTGAGGTAAGCTCTTTCTCTTATTTGTTCCTTTCCAACTGCATTCAATATTACGTGTTTCATCATAGGACTTCCGTTGCCTCGATGCAGTCGTTTGGCAACAGTTTGTCCTGATCTTCCGTCAGAATTGGATTCACTTGTACAAAATCCCGAACAGAAGTCAGGCCTCTACGTTACATAGCAATTCCCCCGATCATCCACCGGAAATTCGACCTGTCGCGACGCACAAATGGCCATGGCGTATCGATAGTCTCGAAGTGTCCACCCATGATTCTTTTGTTTCGCGTCATGCCCGATTCATGTCCCAGCCCTTGCCTCCTAATCAACCTCCGATGATCAATATTCTCCTTCGCTTCGACTCCTGGTATCCATGGCCTGTCAATACACTTCATCATTATACGCTATCTCCGTGTTCATCCTACCACAGGTCGTCTGCTGTACTCCCATACCTTGCCGCGGATAGTATTCCCTTCATGGAGACGTCTATCACCTCACACATGCGACTTTTCACACCTTCCGACTTGACTATAGGTCAATATGGGACGGCTCTTTGGATCGACGCTCAGTCTGACCTCACTTCCTCCACTCAAGCAGGCGACCTTGGCCAACGATTGGCTGGAAAGGTCTTGCGCTCTGAGCGCGATTCTTCGTGGGATTCGGACCGTCCCCTGCTCAAGCCAGGTCTACCTGGTGTTTTACTGCTTACGAATGAACTGGAAGAGAACATGGGAACATCAGGATCGCTTGTCCCCGTTATGGTGTTTGGGGTATGGGAGACCCATAGTGAATGGAGCAAGGTTGCTGTTGAGGAGGGTGAAGGGAGGATTGCTCTGGGATCTGTGGAAGGCAGAATTTGCGTGATGGATTACGTACCGCGAGGCATGGAACTGTAAGACATGGAAGATTGGAGTGGGTAAAGCAGTTACTTGACGAGCCATGAAATGTGGGACTCGTTGAGTGTATGCGGTTTTCGAATCGCTGCTTTTGATCAAGGTTAAGTTTGCTCGAACCTTCCGGGACGGGCTCAGCGATGTCCATAGTGCGGACCTTGATCCATATTGACCATAAGGCTAGCGCGAATTGTGCGGCTTGCCTCATGTCACTATGATCCCATGTCAACCAAGGTGAGAGTTCCCGATTTGGATTGCCTTGACTCCCAGCGGAGATATTTTTGATAAGCCATATATGGCATGACCGGCCCCACCCGCAAGTTCAATAAAATACAAAAGCCCAGCAAATTGACTCCATTCGTATGATATAATATGTCCCCTTCGGGGTGACATACGAAAAAATTGGAACGATACAGAGAAGATTAGCATGGCCCCTGCACAAGGATGACACGCTTTCCCGGAGTGGTAGACCTACGGGTCTCAATATTTATTGCCGCTCAATCCTCTGAATATTTTGTTTTGCAATTGCCAATCACCACTGATGTCTCCAACTTTAGGCTTTCACTAACTCAGCCTTCAAACGCCACTAGGCCAGCCTCCATAACAATGAATCGTGCATAACTTGCGACCGAGGTTCGCTCCTTGCACCACTCGGTACAGAATTTGCTAAAGACACCGAACATAATCTTTTACAGGTCCTTCTTTCTTCCGTTCTTTGACCGTCAGTTCACCACTGCCTCGTGATGTCGTCACAGGCTCACGGCATTCTCTTATTGAATGTCTGATAAGATATGAAGTGCTTCTGATTCGCTTCTCCCCGAGTTCTAAGGGCTCACTTTCCATGTGGGTCAACCAACATCAGACATGTCTCCAAGACGAAAGGATCGAGCCTTGTGCGGGGCCCAATTGGCAAGCCTGACTGACATATGTCATTCACACGCGAACTTCTGACGATCGTGAGGCCCCAAAGATTCATGTTCAGACGTTCTACGCCCGCAAAAGGTTTTATAAACATTCTCAGCAGTGAGACTAGCGATGTTTGGTTCCCACCTTCTACCATGGCTTTGCTCCCTTACCACATCGATTCTGTGCTTCTCGTCGGTCTAGCTGCGTTGATTGTCCATAGCTTTATCCAGCGCAGAACAAATACGGCTCGACTACCAGTGCCACCTGGCCCTCCGCCTTTGCCAGTCATAGGAAATCTCCTAGACCTACCCGTTGCCGCGGAGCCTTGGAAGGCCTACGCTGGGTTGTCACAGAGATATGGTTCGTCCACATGATTTGATATCTAACGTACTTCAAGATTCATGGCGATTTCGTTTTAGGGGATGTCGTTCACCTCTCCGTATTCGGACAGACAATAATTATCTTGTCTTCGTTGGAGGCGATCTCAGATCTTTTTGAGAAAAGGTCGACCATATACTCATCGAGACCACACTCTACCATGCTGCACGAGTTGTAAGCGGACGCAAACCCGTCGCGCATCGCATTGGTCACTTATCTTTATTTCAAACTTAAAGGATGGGGATGGACTGGTCCCTTGCCATCATGCCTTACGGCGAAGAATGGAGGAAAGTTCGACGGGGCTTCCACCAGTATTTCAACTCGAACGTCGCTCCGAACTACCACACCGTTCACGAGGAACAATCACACGATTTCCTCAAGCGTTTGCGGCAAACGCCAGAGGACTTTCTGGACCACATCCGGCAGTACGTACTCTGTTTGTCTGGGCAATTCCAGTCTCCCTGTCTGGATATGAACTTGACTTCTTCTGGCTATATCGTAGTGCCTTTGCTGCCACGATTATGAAGGTCACTTATGGCATCGAAGTAAAAGATGCGGACAACGAGTACATCCATTTGGCTGAGAATGCTATCATCGGGTTCAATGCAGCTGCTCAACCGGGGCGTTTCCTCGTAGACAGCTTCTCGCCCTGTAAGTTGATATCATGCTCACTTTCAATCACTTCGACGTCAAGCTCATTATGTACAGTGCGATATGTACCGGCTTGGATGCCTGGCGCTGACTTTCAAAGACTGGCAGCCCACTGGAAAGAAGTCGGCCTTCAGATGCTCAACAAACCGTTTGATGCGGTCAAAAGTGCCGTGGTTAGTTTGTTAATTCACCACCTTGAGCACAAGTTTTTTTCATGTCTCTTCAGGCTTCGGGATCCGCGGTACCCTCGGTCGCTAGTGACATGATAGAGCATATATTGTCCTCCCCTGACAGAGAAGAGCAAGAAGCTATTGCTCGCAGGAGCGCTGGCATCGCGTACGTCGGTAAGGAGTTAGCGTCCATACAACGTGAATAATTCCTGACGAAGAAGCATTATGTTCTTGTCCTGCAGGGGGTGCTGATACTGTAAGTCACTCCGAATATGTAGACCTTCTGTTTCGCCTGTTTAATTTTTGGCTTTCACATCAGACTATTTCTGCCGTCTCGTCGTTCTTCCTTGCGATGGCTATGTATCCCGAGGTTCAAAAGAAAGCACAGGCCGAACTGGACGCAGTCGTAGGACCGAACAGGCTACCGACATTTGCAGATAGACCCTCACTTCCATACATCGAAGCGATCGTAAAGGAAATTTTGAGATGGAAGCTAGTGACGCCTATGTGTACGTGGAAGCTGTTTCGTTGAGCTTGCTTGAATTACGCTGAGATCATTTATCTTTAGCTGTTCCCCATTGCACATCTGCTGACGATGAGTACCGAGGGTTCTTTATTCCGAAAGGCTCGGTCGTCTTCGCGGTAAGGCGTTCAAGTCATTTATTTGTAAACGCCCTCTGATCTGGGTCGTGCTAGGCGGCTTGGTCTATTTTGCATAACCCCGTTGAGTTCCCCGACCCGGAGTCTTTCAACCCTGACAGGTTCCTTAAAGATGGGAAGTTGAATCCTGATGTCCTTGATCCGACTGTCGCATGCTTCGGTTTCGGACGCAGGTAAGATATCTTTTCTCATGTCGGGTGTAATCTTTACTTATCGTAAGGATCGTCTTACAGAATATGTGCCGGTCGCTACTTTGCTCTGAATCAGCTATATTCCACTGTCGCGACTGTCCTTCATATCTTCAACATTTCTCCCGCTCTGGACGACAAGGGACACCCGATTCCTGTTGAGCCACATATGTCTTCTGGAATCGTTTCGTGAGTGTGCTTTGTGTGCTTGTTGAGCTGAGCGTTCATACCTGGTTGCGTAGGTATCCGGAGCCCTTCAAGTGCAACATCAAGCCTCGCTCTCCAGCTGCAGATGCTCTGACAAAGGAGTCCCACCACGAATAATGGGCCTTGGGGTTATTATGGACTCCGGGAAAAAACAAGGACCACGTCTTAACCATTTATATACCCTAAGTATCTCTGTCGAGCAGTTATAGCGATTGCAGGTTCAATTATTGTGGGCTATCCTGGACAGGCGAGCGCGTCTTTGTGGACTCGCACATGTTATTAAAGACTGTATTGCTTGTATTGTATTGTTCAACAGATCCTTGTATACCTTCCTCGATTTATATTTGGAAATAAAGTTGATACTTCCAAGAAAGACATACTACTGCGTTCCGTTGCGCTACGTCGGGAACTTCCCACCCTACGTCAGCACTTCCATGTAAGCAGCGTATGAGAATTCGCCTTGTAGCTCCCGTATGTACTCACAGGTTTAATCCCGACCACGACGATCTCGTTCGTGTCCGCTCATTCCGAGGGCCATCCGAGTTGCTAGCCTCCTTATCTCGACGTCCGAGGGCCAGAACCCCTGTTCATCGAGGCACAACGATGGCGCCCGCCTTCAAGTCATTACCGGTATTGTTACTGGCCCTGGCTGTTCCAGTTCTGGCACACAAACATCACGATGAACTAACGGAAGAACAAGCTCACGCACCAGTGGATGCCATTCTATGGTTACACATAGTGCTTCAGGCCGCTGTATGGGGTATCTTGTTCCCTACCGGAATGGTCTTAGGACTATCCAAAAGTCGATGGCATGTACCGCTTCAGGTGCGTTTCCCGTAAGTGAGCAGGCATGTCGCGGCCTGATTCTAGGTCTTCAGAGTGCAGGGTTTGTCCTTACGGCTGCCGGATACATCCTTGGACATGCACATAAAGGCCGATCATTCTTAGCGGGTGCTCACAGCACTATGGCCAACATACTCTTTCTCCCTATCATCTTGCAGCTCTGTCTGGGCATCTACCTGAAGCTGCACATACACGAAAAGAATATCAGACCGTATGCTGTGATACTTCATGGTATTGTTGGAAAGGCGTATCCCATTTTTGGATGGGTTCAGATGTTGTTTGGTTCGATCACATTTGGCGGGTATTGCAGAGGTGACAATTTAGGCCAATGTCTGGCTCATTATATCATGGTATGTTCCTACTAACCTAATCTCCGCCTATGGGTTCTCACTCGTATACTTCTAGGGAAGTGGTTTCATCGCGTATGGAACTATCATGGCGATACTGCTCCTCGTTGGTGAGACTTGGATACGTGGCAGTGGTCGAAGTCCGGAGTGGTGGGACTCCTGGGTCATCACGCTATGGGGAATCGGTAAGCGTCATACTCGCGTGGCTCTGAATCAACTGACATTCATTTGGCGACGCATATAGTCAACACATTTACCGAACACAGAGGTTCAGCGTGGTCCGTGAAAGATATGCAACATACGTGAGTCCTTTATTCTTTTTAACTGGTTCAACCATCTCAAGCGGCCCTTTTCTTAGTATCCTCGGTGTTCTTTGTAAGACTACGTTATGTTCTTCGACAGTTTGATCTAAACATTTCCGGAATCAGGGTGGACTGGCGGCATCTTAGGCATTATTCTATCGCGCAATAACCAGGTATGATTCATACGTATGAGTTGATCTCCGGGTGCCTGATAAAACCATAGCGTACCGTTGTCCCAGCCATTATGTTCGTCCACCCTTTCTCAACTTAGTAACACCCCATTCAATTATCCTTTAGCATCATTCTAACAGGATGGGCAATGTCCGAACATGCTCAAGCACTTATGATCTCCACAAGAGTACACGCCGTCTTTGGGTACACGCTCATGCTTGCAGGAGTCACTCGTATAATCGAGATTTCTTTCATAGTACCAAAGTACCACTCACTAGAAACTCCCGCTGTCGCGGACGACAATCATAGCGAACATACGCTTGCTGAAGGCACTAGCTCTATTGCTCAAGCTGTGAAGACTTTCAGGCATTTGCCCCCATTTGTACGTACTAGCGTCTTGTGTGCTCTTCAGGAGAAGTTGACGTGTATTTCTATATATAGCTTCTTGTTGCCGCTGGGTCAGTATTCCTTGGTTATGGCATAGTGAACAACTATTCATATGACATCCTTTCCAGTCTTCTATTTATGTCAGGCACAGATGAAGAACTCAGGACGGTACACGACGCCGGCATGGATCATGTCACCTACATCTTGATCATGTTCAGGTACGCTGCATTCTTCCACCCCCTTAATATCCTCTTAGCGCCCTGCCGTACTCATCGCTCCACTCCAACAGCTTGTCCTTCATTATTTACACCCTCATTGTCTCCCTTATCAACCTCTACGCATCGAGCGGCCGAAATGCCTCTAACGCGAATACAGAGAACGGCGCGATTGAGCTGGAGGAGCCTGCTAACAAATGGTATGCTCGCGTCCCTGATGGTGATGCTACCGAGGCGCATGTTATTGGGGATGATGAAGATTAATGACACATGAATCTTTGGAGGCAGGGAGGGGATCGTCGATTGATTATTTGTGTGTTTCGCTTTGCGCTTCGTTGTTGTTGTATTCTTCGTCTTTCCAGATGGTGTTGTTTTGGTGAATAGATTCATCTGTTATGTCATAGAGTAATTTTAGTGTATTCTGTTCCTTCATGACTCAAGCGCAACCCACTTCATATAATGTACTTACAATTCAACACGGACAAGACATGATGCAAGGGCTTAGCCCGGTGGGGTTGGAGTATTTCTTGACGGCAGTACTTCAGTTTTGAGTACCCTATTAACTTTTGATTTGGGTTTAGGAGCTAGCGACGAGAATGAGTATGTAGAAGCGAAAAAGAAAGCCAACGGTTATGTTACCATTGATGTTCTCGGTGATGTAGAATCGACGTAGAACCATGATGGCCTCTTCGCGGCAATACCCTCCTATCGCTTCATATGACGGGTGCTTCGGATGATCGAGCCTAGAAGGAACTGGCATTAGCACAAACCTTAAGCTCAGCGTCAAAGACCAATCTGAAAATGCTGACCGTTTGTTCACCCCCAATACACTTCCGCATCCTCCAAAACGATCATTTTCACAACCAAAATACACTTCCTTGATCCCCATTTGTCTCAGAGCCGAAGCACACATTATGCATGGTTCAACTGTGACGTAGAGCGTTGTCTCTGAGAGCGGGTATTGAGTGATCTGGGGCGTGAGGGTTTTGTTTTCGAGGATCTCGTCGATTGCCTCGAGTTCGGCATGTCGAGTAGCCTGCATCAACAACAGAAAAAGGGTAAATGATCGTCCGTTGTGTTGAAAAAGAAGGGGGTATTAAAGTAGGTGAGGAAACGTACGTTTCGCAATTCGTTCGTTCGATTCCTCGCTTTCGCGATAGCCTTGTCGTCTCGAACGAAGACGCAGCCGACTGGGACTTCTTGCGCTGCTAACGCTTCTTCTGCCTATATTCGTTAGCACGAACAATCATGTCTTTTCAAATGTGAAATCATACCATTTCCATAGCCACTAGCATCCACTTGAGATGGACAACATCTCCTGAATGTTCAAAAGCCGAAAGATCCATGGCGAAGTGTGTTTAGGCTGAAAATTAGACAAAAAAGACTCAACACCTCGATTGAGTGCACATACACAGGTTTGAACACTGACTGACTCACGATGTACAGTACTACTCACACTTAGTCGAGAAGTCAACGTCGGTTGTTTGGTGCGGTTCGCAGTCAAACTAAAATAGGCATCTTCGTCCTAATCAGGCAACGGCTTTAGATTATAACAGATGTAAATACCCCGGCCGGTGACATACAAGGGCCGGAACCAAGTTTCAATCTAACTTACATAGGGCATCTAAAGGCGAGTTGTATAGTCTTCATGCCCCCTTACCTTCATAGATAGTTACCATTTAGTTCTTAATATCCTCAGATGCAGGCGATACACCTTGATCGTCGCTTTTGCCAACGGCTCGCGTCATTCACGAATCGCCAGCTCGCTGGTCCGAGTCGTGTCAACGTCCTGAACAACCTCACACATGTGAGACATTACACACCCATAAAGGTCGGCCTCTACTCTACACCTCAATATGCAACCCATAACATGACTGAACAACAGTTCCCCAAGTAGTCCCTTCAGGATGCCTTTCGGGACCCATCCTCGCCTTTCCACATTCCACGGGGAAAACAAGGTCCAGCACATGAGAACGATCATGATCATATGACTGAATCTGAGGTTGCTGAAGCTGAGAGGCTTGTTGCTGAAGAAGGACGTAGGAAGCTGCTCGAGTTGGGGTATGACCCGACTAGTTTTTGGGAGCAACAAGTGGTTTGGGGTGATCATGATTCATTCCAGTCAGTATCTTCGCATCCGTCTCACTCTGATATTCCTCTTAGTCTTCCTCTTCTGAATTCTCGATTCTTACAGACACGTCAACAACGTCCGATACGGTAAATCTCATCATTCGAATCCACATGAATGATCAACAGTATCTCACACATAGACTTTCTTTCTCAGTAAGATTCTTCGAATCCGGCCGCATAAAGTGGATGACCTCGTTAGGTGACGAAATCGGAGGCCCAGAGAAAGCAGAAGCCATGCTCAAAGGAAACGGCATCTCACTCATCCTAAAATCCATCTCCGTCAACTTCAAACGACCGGTCACCTACCCAGACACCCTTCTCATCGCTCACAAACCGCACACCAAGAACACGTTTTCGTCAGCTCACACTAGTGTTGGCGGGGCCGAGAAGAATGGTTCTCGTTCTCCTGATTCTACTGAGCCGGAGGAGAAAAAGTTGAAGTTGCCGAAGACGCATTTCCACGCACTCGGCATAGCGTATTCGTACGCCCAAAGGAGGATCGTGACCGAATCGGATTCTGTTCTCGTCTGGTATGATTATGATCGACTAACCAAGTGCGATCCGGGAGAAAAGGCTAGGGCGGTATTACAGAGGAGGTTGGCTGAAGGGTTGGCTAGACAGCACGAAGCCGCGGCGGCGAATGCGTCATCATAATCGTGTTTTCGCATCTATAATGTACAATATACACCTGCTCATCTAGAAGATACAGTATGTAAATATCGCGTACAATGTTCGAGTACACCAACTATAGAGCTACAAACGGTAGAGAACTGGATTCACTCAGGTCTGGTTGGAGGCGGTTGCAAGTCTAAGCTATCATATACATTGTTCGTATGCGTATAATGCGTGTCAGCCCAAATGCCAACGTGGATATCAAAAATCCAGAAAACCATCTATATGATACAAGGTAATGCAACTTAATGCAGTCTGATGCGAGTAATGAATATGCACCCGGGAGAGTGATCATTCCACAATGTTAAGTTCCCGCCTCCGCGTGCGCGCGAACTGATCTTTATAGGTATGCCAAATCCTAAAACCAAACGAGTAACATTTAGCAAGAGGATGATGATAGTTGAGATGAGAGAATATGGCTTACCACATGAGCTCTTCAATGTATCGCTCCTGTACCCGCCTAACCTCATCAAGTGTCGGTTTTTCGCATTTCTCAACTGGTATAGGTCTTCCAACTGTACGGGTAAAAGGAAGAGTTGTTCGTTAGCTACCCCTGGAGCACGATAGTCATCGGCCAAGCTTATGGACTCGGTACTCACTAACTGCAACAATTCGTCGTCGATACGGCAAGAGGCCAAGATTATCTATATAATGGGCAATAGGTTGTCAATGGGTCATGCAAAACACGAGCCCACAAATGGCGAAAGAACAGTCGACACATACAATTTAAAAGCCCTCGGCCGTGGAAGAGAGGCAACGTGAAACCGAAAACGTTTTGGAACTTCTTTTGTAGGGTATAAACTGTGGTTCCTTTCTCGTTCGGCATTTGTTCATAGATCTACGCATAATCACAATCAGTACTAGGTAAAAGCAAAGAAGGCGGTGCATATATATATGCATATGCAGTTGACAAAACGATACGTACGTCGTTCTCTCCGAATGAAAACACGGGAACCAAATCGGCTCTGAATAACGACATGATATTCGGAAATGAGTCAAAAGCTCAAATTAGGAGGGGGCCGCTTACCCGTGTTGAATGGCGACTTTGATAAAACCCAGCCTTCCCGCAGAAAAGAAGGGTTAAAAAAAAGCCAATTGAAAAATACCGTAAAATCCAGTCCTCTCACCTCTTTCTCAATGTCAGATCCGCAGTTCCCGGGTGGGCACTCAAGCTTTCAGCGGCACCCCCGACAACAATCGTGATGGACTGCCCCGGGCCCCCATTGAGAATATTCGAACATGACTGTCTGCTAACTGAACAGACACCCATTGCCAGGAGGACGTCACGATAAAATGGAACTCGGAAGTTGGATGTCAGGGTTAGGAGGTGGGGGACAATGCCGGGGAATGCTTCTGAGAAACCTATGGCTGCGAAAGAGAAACGCAGGATGAGGGTGATATGGTTGGGGAAGGGGGAAGGATGGGGGAGAGATGATATTAGTTAATGAGGATTTGAAATTGGGGATTGAGTATGCGGGGTTGTGGGGTAATAGCGTACCTTCAGTTGCGAATGTGCACATTGCACCCCTGTAAAATCAAAGAAGCATAAATGTGTAGTGTGAATTTGCGAATTTCACAGCAAGAATTCATGCGACGTACATTCCAATGATACCTGCAAGCAATGAGAGATTATGCCTTTTGCATATTGAAGAATGGGGAAGACGTACCATGGGGATGATAACCGAAAACATAAGGTCTATCAGCCGGAAGATCACAAGTCTACGAATTCATGCTCGATTGAAACCCGTTGATAAAAGAACAGCCAAGATCACGGACCTTCAGGAAACTAGATGGAATTTGAGATGGTGTACAACATCAAACGATGAGGGAAAGAGAACTCACGATGCAGGATAGTAATCAGAGAAGTACTTCCAGAACTTTATAGACCTAAACCAGGGACTTATCCTTCCCCCCTTTTCCGGGCTGTGATCGACATATAATACCCATAGCATATACCAAGCCAGTACAGGCCAGAGTGGGGGAAACGAACTTCAAGCACAACTTTCAGTAAGGTGTACGAGTTTAGAACGATATAACGAAACACATACGCTAATACCAGGAACAAGAAAGTCGTAATGGCTATCATGGTCGACCATATTGCCACCGCCAACGTCTGCAACCTCCGTCTTCTCGGGATCTTCGCTGGGACAAAGCTAAATGTCACGAGGTCGCGTGAGCATGACTAGTCCTGAGGAATAACGATGCGAAGAAACCAGAGCGTACTCGATATTGGCATGTATTCTGGGCAGCGGACGTAAAGGTGCAGTGGTCAGAGTGGAGATGCTGGTGAGCCGTTCCCTGAGGGACGATGCCGACAGTGTCCGTGTCGCGGTAGAGAAAGTACTTCGCGTCTCCATTCAGAGATGTTGATGAAGCGGCGGGCAAGGATGAAGGAGGGCTTGCAGAGAATATGAAGGAAAGTATAAAGCTTTACGAGTATAAGGAAAGGAAAGAGCGTCGTGCAGACGAGAAGAGAGGGAGATGGTCAGGAACAGACTGCAGCTGCATATGACGAACCGCTCTCCGCACTCAACCTTCGCGCTTACATCACAGACATGACCTGCACTAGTCGGAATAGACACACTTAAGAGTCTTAGTCTCATCCTTGGCCTTCAGTCAGAAGATCATGGAATTCAGGAATGTTTACACTACACAACTAATATGCCGAAACATTTCTAAACGAAAAATGGAATGCAGAGAACACAGAACAGTCGACAGCTATCACAACCAACAACACCCCGAGTCCTTTTCCTTTACGCGTACAAGTCATCATCTTGCACATCCTCGCCAAAGCCAGCGTTGCTCGTCGGGGCTACACCAGCCGCAACAGGTACACCAGTGCTTTCGGGGAATTTGAATGTCGTACCAAACGACCTCGACTGTTGAAGGTTCTGAGCGAACATCTCGTACCGCCTGATATCTCCATCAGACACCGAGCGACGAGCATACTTCATGGCCTCCTCGAAGTGTTCCCTCGTAATGACCGGAACGGGGTCCTCCTCCTCTACGTCCTCCTCCATCTTAGCCTCATCAACAGCAGCTTCCTCCTTCTCCTTTATCTCTCTCGCTTTGCGAATATCAGCCTCAATACTCTCTCGAATAGCCAACTTGGCAGCACGTTGGCAAATCTCAGTAAGATCGGCACCAGAGAACCCGTGGGTATTCTTCGCCAAGAAGGTAAGATCCACATCCTTTGCTATAGGAGACTTCCTGAGTGCAGCTCTGAGAATCGAAAGACGTGAAGGCTCGTCGGGAAGAGGAATGTAGATGAGCTGGTCGAGACGACCAGGACGAAGAAGAGCAGGGTCGATTTGATCCGGTCGGTTAGTCGCACCAATGATGAAGACGTTCTTCTTTGCATTCATACCGTCCATCTCAGTGAGGATCTGGTTCAGGACACGATCACCTGCACCTCCAGCATCCCCGGCTGAACCGCCACGGGACTTGGCGATGGAATCCAACTCGTCGAAGAACATCACGCAAGGTGCAGCCGCACGAGCTTTGTCGAAGACATCACGGACGTTTGCTTCAGACTCACCGAACCACATAGTGAGCAGTTCAGGACCCTTAAATCAACCACAGTCAGTATATAGCATTAAAGGAGTACTGAAGAGAGACATACCTTGATTGAGATAAAGTTTGCCTGGGTCTCATTGGCAATAGCCTTTGCGAGCAAGGTCTTACCAGTACCAGGAGGACCATAGAACAAAACACCCTTCGACGGCGACATACCGTACTTGATGAACTTGTCGGGATGCTCGACCGGGTATTGAACAGTTTCCTGCAACTCCTGTTTGACCTTGTCCAGACCACCAATGTCTTCCCATTTGACGGTAGGCACCTCCACCACAGTCTCGCGAAGGGCAGAGGGGTTGGAAGTACCGAGCGCGAAGCGGAAGTTGTCCATCGTAACACCGAGCGAATCGAGGACTTCGGCATCGATGGTATCCTCCTCGAGATCAATGAGGTCCATCTTCTCACGGATTTGTTGCATGGCAGCTTCTGAGCAAAGAGCAGCCACATCGGAACCAACGTATCCATGAGTGTCGGCAGCAATTTGCTCAAGATCGACGTCATCCGCAAGCTTCATGTTCTTCGTGTGGATGCGGAGAATCTCGAGACGGCCGGTAGGATCAGGAATACCGATGTCGACCTCACGATCGAATCGACCGAATCGACGAAGGGCAGGGTCGATAGAGTTAGGTCGGTTGGTAGCGGCCATAACGACTACGTTCGAACGAGCCTTCAATCCATCCATGAGGGTGAGGAGCTGAGACACAACGCGACGCTCAACTTCACCATTGGTCTAAGTTCATAAGAGTAAGCATAGAACGTGAGGGATTGCAAAACAGGACACGCACCTTTTCACGCTTAGGCGCGATAGAGTCGAGTTCATCAATGAAGATGATAGCAGGGGAGTTTTTCTCAGCCTCCTCGAACGCCTTCCGGAGATTACTCTCAGACTCTCCGGCCATCTTACTCATGATCTCAGGACCATTAATCAAGAAGAAGAACGCGCCAGTCTCGTTTGCGACCGCGCGCGCCATCAGCGTCTTACCAGTACCGGGGGGACCGTACATGAGAATACCACGGGGAGGCTTGATACCAATGGACTTGAAAAGTTGGGGGTGACGAAGGGGCAATTCGACAAGTTCACGAATCTGGGCCATCTGCTTGCGACAACCACCAATGTCATCGTAACCGACATCGTTGAGGTTGGCCTCCTCGTCTTCGCGCTTGACCGGGTCACCCTCTGTAAATGTTGGTCAGTGACTAAGCAAAGCTCCTCAAGATTTTCACATACCTGTGTGGATGACAGTGTCTTGCGCAACGATACAGAACTCAGCTGGATCGGTTTCGATGACCTTGAACTCCACTGTTCGCATACCACCACGAACGAGGAAGGTGTCGCCTTTTCGGACGGGACGGTAGGCTGTAGAGCATTGAATGAGTAATCAATCCTCATGAAGATCCTTACAAATACATACCTTCGAGGAAGTATGGCTTGAGGTAGACATCGAAGATGTTACCGCTGAGGCCCTCAATCGAGTCATCAAAGGGCAGGATGTGTACGCGCTTTCCGTACTTGATATCGAGACATTGGTGGACATTGACGAGATCACCGAGTTTCACTCGTAAGTTGTTTCGAGCGACCTTGTTCATCTGGATCTTGCCCTCCTCGACATTATCGTCGCTTAGGCAGATGAGGACAGTATCTCTCCGCTTCTTTCCCCTATGATACCAAGTGAGTCAGCAGGCCGCACAGGGTCCGAAAAATCAAGACTACACACCTGACGATGATAGTGTCACCTCGGAACAGACCAAGGGTGTCCATTGTTGCGGGGTTAAGAGTAGCGACTGTGGGGTACGCGTTAGTTCGCGCATTAGTACAGACCACAGAAAGTTACATACCAGAGTTGTCATCTGCTGTCGCCTCGTCTACAATGAGACGATTTGGCCTGCAAAGGGTCAGTAATCACCTTTGTCCCAGAGTATCGCATGTACTCACGATTTCTTGGGTCTCAAGATAGCAGTAGAGATGTCATTTGGTCCTGGACCGGGGGCAGCACCTGAAGGGTCGAGTGAGAGGTCAGGCATAGTGTTGTCGTTGTCGTTCGTGAAAGAGATGAAGTGGTGGTGATGGTTGAGGAAGGAAGAGACTTAAGAGCAGTGGTCTGAGGACGCGCGTCGTCCTTCGCTGACGACGCTGCTCATTTGGCGCGTGGTCTCTGGGACCTGACTAAGTTCCCACGCTTCATTTCCCGCTCTTTCTGGCTCCTTCCGGGACATTCCGATCGCCCGTCCTCCTGCGTGCTCAAGTTTGACCGAATGGGGGACACTTACTGTAGCATACAAATCAAAATTCCAAAGTACCAAAGAAGAGGTATCACATTCAGGGTATAATACAACGATGCGAAAAGTACAAGCGCCCGCTGAATTGAAGACCGACCCAGCAGAGGTATAATCACATTTCCTCATCGTCAAAGTCGATTTCCTCCACTGGGTAATCGCCTACCTTCAACCGGTCTGGACGAATGAAAACCCCAAAATTGGGTTTGCATTCGAAATAACGGACTCCTTGAACACTAGCAAAGCAGATGAAACTCAGTCATGGAATTGAACCACCGAAAGAGAGATGAAGACAACTTACGAGCCATCGTTCTTGCCCATAGGCTCGTCATACTCAATCCCCACCCATATACCTTCCCCGTTCCCGAACTTCGTCGGACCAACAAAGCGCACTGTACCGCGCTTATGAAGGTCTGTTTCGCTCGTCTCGACCTCGCATCGTGCACCGATGGGGATATCAATCTTTGGCAGCGGCTTCTCAATTTCGGCTTCTTTTTCAGCAAATCGTCCTATCTTGTTTCGTTGCTTGTAAGCCAGTACAGTATCTAAAAGTGCTTATGAGGGCTTGTTTCTATATGGAGTGAATATGACAACAGACCTCGTCGTTGAGCATAATCATCCTCGGAAAGCTCGAATTTCTCCACTTGCGAGAGGTCAGTCAGTTGTCCAGTGAACGATATGGACGGGTTCGTGTCGACAACCTAGGACATCTCGTTCAAAATAATGCATCGAACTCCGGCTATGAGAATCGCACCCTCAGCACTTGAAAGTCTCTCACGCCATAAAACCCAAGCAGCTTCGATTCATCATCCAATACGACGAGAGGATCTGTCTCTTGTTCGCTATTCAGCAACTCAATCCTCTGGTTCTGCACAGGGATTCCAGTGATTAACTCAAGCTTATTCTACAACCAAAACCACCAACTCGTCAACATTCTAATCGACATCCCAATAAGCAACCTGAACACACACCTTAAGTTGGCCAACACTCGTGTGCAGGTCAAAGCGCCTCTCCGATCGGGTATCGGGCGAAGTGACGAAAACGGTGACTGAACTAGACATTGGTTTCCAATCAGTAAATCTTTCTGTATCCAAGCAAAGCAGGTATGTGGAGCTAAGGTGATGAAGGTGATGACTTGCATTGGTTTGGGTGCACGCATGGTTAGTGCTAGGGACTTACGAATATGAATCGGCAGTCAGGCCTGATCGTTATGGTTTGAGCTCAAGCTCAAGCGTCAACAAAGTTGATGTATTGCAAATTACGCGTCGCGACGCGTTGGCGCCCATATACAGAATACTTATCCACTGAACTGCCTGGCAGTCCTGTAGTTGGCAACTACAACTTGTTAGCCGCAATCGATCTTCTTCCGTTCAGTGGAAGGCCTACTCTGCACGGATTCCGGACTCTCGAATGATAGTGCCAAGGATTTTAATCAGTCTCGGCTGAGTGGACCCGTCGTGGGGTGTTCTCGTACGTCTTTTGTTAATGTTGTCTCGAGTCACTTCCATTTGCAATCATATATCGAAAGGTCATCAGTGCACTCCTGTGACTTGCAGAACTAAAATCGTGCGGATGATATCCGACTTCGGCAGAGCTCGCAGTACCACTCGCTTCATCATGGTGCTCAAGCGATGTTCAGACGGTATAAGTAAGTTGACCTTAGTCCAATAACCATTACTTATAGCTTTTGTTGCTACAGATGGAGAATTTATTTTTCGATCACTCACCCAGTTAGCTTCCAACACCCAACGGTCTAGCAAAGCTACGTCATTCAGTCGGTCAACTATCCCCAGCATGCACAAGTACTTAGGCACCCAAAGGTCATGCGAACTTTGTTCATGCGTATAATCTTTGTTGAGCCGCCTCTTCTTCATTCTACACCATCAATTTAATGTCACTGAAGAACGAAGGAATGAGAATCACTATCTGCCGAACTTGCCAGTGATGAACTGCAAATGCAACGTTCGTCCTGGGTCCCGAACCCAAAGCCGGAGGCCACAGACAAATTCAGGCTTTATGTGACCTCTCAGATAGTAGTGCCCGTGTCAGTCTCGCGGAATTCTTCTGCGCTGTGCCTTTAATTTCCCAGCACTAGTCTATACCTCCAAGAGAACAACGCCGGTAAAACACTGACGATATTCCTCTAATAGACTCAGCGCACTCACTGTGGAACCGATTCCGATGCAGAGCGCGCGGCCTGACATGACGCGCAATGCTTCCGACAAGGTTGTACCCAGCTTAACGCCAGAACAACCACATGCGTCCGGAAGACGAATTGGCCTATACTTTGTACTGGAGGATGAATATTGGTTTCCCAGTATGATATATTATCAATTGGATACATACACAGCACCGCCAATGCAGACTCAACTGTCGTATAATTAGGATCTCAAGGCGTTACGACCGCTGGCGCTGCTGGATCAGCTATTTGCATAAATACCACTGGAGACAAGCCTTGAAAGCCATCAAATAGCGACCCTTCCCCCCAACGAATAGTCATGCAGATGAAACGTACGTTTCTTCTCGTCCCCCCTTCCTTTTGTCATGAATCACTAAATCTGTGTGCATACAGTATCTCTCCTTGCCGCCGCCTTGTTTGTCTATGTTGGCAGCACCAGAGCCGCCCTCCTCGGGCTGCACCAACGTGCACCAACGTGCGACGAAGCAATGGGTACCGATTGCAATTTCTTCGACGTTGACGATTGTGTCGCCAACCTTGTATGTCAAACACATACCCACCCCCTCCCAATGCATATCGCATCGACCTTGACCTTGTTTTGCCGTAATACTAGGTAGCAAATGGCATATCCGAGGATGAAGACGGACGTCAAACGTGCTCAGGTAACATCAGGGGAACCGACTCCGAGTGCACCGTACGTGTTTCTGGCTTCCCCTTTTCTTCCTCGTGTGGGATAACTGATGTACGATAATTTGAACTGCAAGTGCTCGTGCAATTGCGGTGCCAGTGGGGCGTTCAATAGCCGAGGCGATTTGAACGATCTTTTTAACGGCATTGCGAACGCCTGCATCATCGATGCTGACAGTAGTGCAGGTCTGCTAATTCTATTCAATATCGTTGTCTGCGGCGGGGGGGGTCTGAACACTCGATTTTTTTTTTCGAACAGGCTCCGACACTTATCAGGGAGTTATTGGTGGTCGCATATCGTGTTCGCTCTTTTGAGGTACTACGGTGCATGAATCGGACGATTAACCATTGATGCGCTAAATGATAGTTGCATAGTTCCTCAGTCTAGACACCGCAGGCATTAGCACATGATTCGAAGAAATGATCACATTTATGAGCCAGATTCCCTGGTACAGAACCAAAGAAAAAAATCAAGTACTCAACAAATCAATTGAATAACTTTCACTAATAATAGAGCGATGTCTCACTGGCAGCATCTAGCATCCCATGATCAGCCCATCGTAAGGACCGTCGTAATTAGAGTCGTCGCCCTCGCAGATGTTTGGTACATCACCGACGGTGCATTGAGTGTTATTATTATCCTGACCCAGGTATAAAAAGTCTGTACTCGTTACACTGGTAAGCCATTGCCAGACTCGGATGGTACAATACGTTGAAAGCACACCTTGACCAACCTAACATCGGGCGAGCAGAAGTTGAAACGATCATTCAACCGGTTAGCTTTACAACATCCAACGGTCTGGCAACGCTACGTCATTCGATCGGTCCACTATTCCCAACATTTCTCAGGCATGCACAAATATTTAGGCATTCAATGGTCATGTGAACTTCGCTAATACGTACAATCTTTATTAACACCTCCTCTTCTTTATTCTAGTACTCCATCATCAATGTCACTGAATAACGAAGAAACCGGAATCATTGTCTGCCGAACTTGCCAGTGATGAAATGCAGACGCAACGTGATAGGACTCAAATCAATTTAGAAATGAGCAGGTAAAACCATTCGAAACTTGGAGTTAATCTGAAGTTCATCTGGTGTATATATACAACTATTATCTAAATACATGTGGTGACAATGTGTTCATATATACTTATGGTATCGGTCAGGTTCGAGCATGGATCAATGAATGTGTTTGGGCAGGTTTTAATAACTGGTTACAAATGAATAACGAGAGGAAAAGGTGTGTTCGTAGATCCGAAATGAAAGTGATCGTAACATTACCCCCTCCTCTAGAATCGTGTCCTCACAATTAATTTATGATAGATATGGAATTGTTCAATCATACCATGATGATCCATTCTTCTGAGTTTTCTCTCTCCCGTTCTCTATACCATACGACCCAGAGTATTACTCCAACAGTGCATAGGATTATGCCGCCAAAGACGCTAAGGATGATGGTTCCGTCTTTGTCCATTTCTACCAAAGAGCTTTCATTGGTTGAGTGAATGAGTGTTCTAAGATAGGGGAATCCATACTTGGGATTGATGTTGGTTCGACGAGTTGATAGAAGGAAAGAATAGGGTATTGCCATTCAAGTTTGACTTTCGTAGGCGCGGATGTGATTGCCACGTGTGTCAGTTTGAGCGTCTGCTCATTGATGATCCATAACTCGCCGGCATTCGGGTAGTGCTGATTAGATATGATTTGTGCTTTTCTTCGATTTTCGAATAATTTAATTGAATCTGGGTCCACAGATATCATTGCTTTTTCTTTTTTACGACGTTCTGCCCATCGCTGTACTTTCTGATCCCAATAATCCCATTCTTCTTGTGTCGCTTCTCTAGGAAATGACTGTTCCATAATTTGTGCCTTTAGCAATATTCTTGTGGGTGCTTTCGGCGCATTGGGATGATCTTTATGGAATTTGTCAATAATCTTTTTGTCTATATTTTTAATAATTTTATGACGAGGTTCCCATGTGTTTTCAGAACGTGGTTTTCCAGCCCACTTGATTAGATATTGAAGGCCTCCACGTGCCATCTTGGAGTCTAATATGGATTCAGCTTTGTCTTCTAGGATATCGATAATTATTGGAATGTTTTTGTGTATTTTCTGATTTGGGAATTCCAGTGTATGATATGGCAATAATAATGTTTCATTGAATACGGGATGTACGCCTTTCCATGATTTTGGTAGTTTGAGCTTGTATGCACTAGCTCCAATTTTCTTAATAATCAGAAATGGTCCATATCTTTTATCATCTAATTTTCGATTTGATCTGTCTGTTCATATATGTGTAGCTTCAAGCCACACTAGATCTCCATCTTTATAATTTATGGCTTCGCCTTTATGTTTATCGTATTGTCTTTTCATAACATCCTGTGCTAACGTTAATGATGCTGATGCTTCTTCTTGGATTTTCTTCATTCGTGCTACAAACTGCTCTGCAGTTTCATTACGAATTTCCTTTTTGGTTTCTACACCAGTGTAGGCTTCTCGTCTGTGATTCATGTAGAATGGTGAAAATCCAGTCGCAGAGTGGACTCTATTTCGATATGCAAATATTGCCAGTGGCAACCATTCTGGCCAGTTAGTTTGTCGGTGATTGATGAATATTCGTAAATAGTTTTCAATTTCCTGATTGATTCGTTCAGTTTGTCCGTCTGTCTGCGGATGGTATGCCGTACTAGGATTTCCCTGAATTCCTAGTTTCTTGTATAAATCTTTTATAAAGCTGGATACAAATTGCGGTCCACGGTCTGATGTCATCTTTTTTGGTAATCCGTGCAACGGATATACATTTTTGATATAGAGATTAGCCCATCCTTCTGATGTCAATTGCTCCGTAGTTGGTATTTCAATATAGTCTTTTGATTTCATGTCCACAACTACTATGATCGCATTATGCCCTTGCGACTCTGGTAAGTGTGTAATCATATCTACTGATTGATATTCCCAATTGTGTTCCAGAATTGCATTTGGGTGCAATGGAGCATTCTTCGGTTGATGGTTAATCTTGGTTTTTTGACAAGTCTCGCAGCCTTTTACATATGTTTTTACATCTTTTTTGATCGAAGGCCACCAGTACGATCGATAGATTAGTTCTTGTGTTTTCGCTTGTCCAGGATGACCAGCACTAATTGAATCGTGATGCGAATGAATAATTTCTCCTCTGAGTTCCTTATCAAAAGGGATAACAATCTTCCCTCTTCTCCAGATAAGACCGTCCTCGGTCTCATTGAAATCAGCATCTTTTGTCAATAATTTTAGTCATACATTGTTCTCATATTTTTCAGTGTTTTTTATGATTTTCTCCCGTAAAGCTGATGATCCGAGGATTTCATTGGCTCAGAACCATTCTGGTTTTAACAACGTAATATTTTCATTATGACTATCACCAATATTGTGATGGGTCTGTCGCGATAAAGGGTCTCCCTTCATCATTGTGTTTCCGGGTTTGTGAGTCAAATTGAAGTCATATTGTTGTAATTCTTGGATCCATCGCGCCTGGCGATGATTTAACTTCTGGGGTTTTTTGAAATAGCCAAGGTTCTTGTGATCAGAATGAATTTCAAATTTTTGTGCAGCTCCCATCAAGAAGTGATGCCATTCTTCTAATGAGATCATGATGGCTAGCATCTCTCGATCGTAGATCTCATAGTTTCTTTCGGCTGGTGAAAGGCTTTTCGATAAGAAGGCGATGGTTCGCCATTGTCCATCTTGCTTCTGTGCAAGTTCAGCTCCAATAGCATATTTCGATGCATCACATTTAACTTTGAACTGATCTTCATTATTCGGAATACCCAATACCGGTGCCGTGGTAATGGTTTTCTTTAGAAGTTTGAAAGCTTCCTGCTGTTCTGGACTCCAGATCCATTCTACTTGTCCGGTTAATTTATTCAAGGGAGTGGCAATTTTGGAAAAGTCTTTGATGAATCGTCGATAGAAATTAGCGAATCCAAGGAATGACTGTAATTCCTTTTTGGCTTTTGGTGCTGGCCATTGCGTAACTCCATTGACTTTGGCAGGATCCATCTTTACAGTTCCTTGCGAAATAATATGTCCGAGATATTCTGTTTCTTGAGTTTCAAACTCGCATTTTTCTAGTTTGCAGGTTAACTTATTTTCTCGTAATATTTTAAGGACTTCTTTCACAATACAGCGATGTTCCTCCAGGGATTCGGAAAATATGAGTATATCGTCAAGATATATGATTACTTTTCCTTTGAGAATGAGATTACAGAAAATGTCATTCATCATCATCTGGAATGTAGCAGGACTATTCGTCAATCCAAAGAACATGACGGTTGGTTCATATAGTCCTCTATTCGTGATGAATGCAGCTTTCTCTTCGTCTCCTTCTTTCATACGAATATTGTTGTATCCCCAGCGAATGTCTAGTTTCATAAAATATTTGGCACCCTTGAGCTTATCAATAAGCTCCGATATCAATGGTAAAGGATATTTGTTTTTCTTGGTCATATCGTTGAGTTTTCGGTAATCCTGTACCGGTCTCAATTTGCCATCTTTCTTTTTGACAAAAAAGAAAGGTGCTCCCCAGGGAGACTTTGATGGTCAGATTCTTCCCATCTTTAGGTTTTCTTCGAGGAAACCGTCTAGGATTTTTTGTTCTTCAACAGTCATGGAATACACCTTGCCTGCATATGGCGATGAGTCTGGTAGCAATTCTATTGCATGATCCCATGGTTTCCTTTCCGGAAGGACGTCAAAAGTATCTTCAGTGAATACATCCGTGAATTCACGATACTGTTTTGGAACCATTTCTTCGAAGGTTTCTTTCTTTTTCTGTTTACTTTGTTCGATTGCTATGTCCATGGCGGTTACGCGCATTCGCTGAATATATTCTCCTCGTTCTTTATACCAAGCATTGGTATTGAGTAAATATACTGTATCTCCTTCTTCGATCTCTTGTTGTCTTATAGTGATGCATGTGTGTGGGCATCGGTTAAAGTCAACAAGTTGCAATTTGAAGTCTATTGATGGATTATGGTATTCAATCCATTCATATCCAAGGAATATGTCTGACTTCCCCAGATCGGTAACTAGAAGCATGATCTTCTCTTGGTGATCGCCAATTCGAAGTGTGAGTTGGACATATTCTGTGATCGGTCCTTGAGAATTCTCGCTGTTATCCGTGTTATAGACTTGGATCAGTTGATCAAATCTAGAGGTTTCGATTCCATGCCTTTTTACGAAATTATAATTTATGCATGATCCGGTACTTCCGGTGTCAACTAATGCTATTGTATCATGAATTCTTTCTGTTTCTGGGATGATCACGGTGACCGGTAGGTCCATTTGTTTCCCTCTTCCAAGTCCTTTGACAACTCGGAGTAGTGGTGGTCCGATGTTTGTGATGCTTTTATCCGACGCACTCAGTTTATTTTCAAATTTTTTTGTATTTTGTTTAGAGGAATCAAGCACAGGTTCCGCCCTGCCGCGCTTCTTGGTAGAAGACGCCTCTGCGTTAGATGAAATATTTACAAAAGGGGGCTGTCCGATTGATGTACTACAGGCATGTATTGAAGATGGTTTCATAGAACCCTCCAGGGGTTTATCCGAGTCATTGTTCTTATCCGGCAAGTTACTTTGTGTGTTTAAGCCTTGCCCGAGCCAAAATTCAGCTTCTTCGCCTTCTCCGGGTTCTTCTCCATCCATCGCCGAACCATGGCGATCATCTTGTCATCGTCGTCATCATCTGAGTCGGAGATCTCCTCAATCTTTGACTCTGATTTTGTTTCATTCTTTCGAACACGTTGAGTGTTTGTGGAAGATCCCGATCAATTGGGAACATGCCATGCACTTCTGCAAGTGCCCTTCTCTGATTGCTTAGCCTTACACTTAAGGCAATTCCTGTCCAAGTCCATGGGCTGTCCACGCCCTGTGAACGTTGTCCCAGTTCCATCTTTCTTTTTTCCGTAGTCCTTCTTCGGACTCTGATTCTGAGTTTGACCCGATCCTTGGGTCTGCTGCTGATAACTAGGGTATTTCTGCCCATAGTTCTGGTTTGATCGGAAAGGTCGATATCCAATCTTCTTCAAACACTTCTCTTCTTCCCGATGCCTTCGCGAGGCATCAATGTCAATGATCGCTTCTTTCCACTGTGCATAAGTGGTTGGTCGTGTATCTCTGTCAAGAGCCCTATCTACTATGGACTCATTGCAGTTTAGTCGGACAAGGTCGATAGTGTGTTTATCTTCCCTTTGCCTGCCTGCTTGCGTGATGTACATTTCCAATTTCTGGAAATATTCCTGTGCCGTTCCATTGCCTTGGGTCAAGTTATCCATTTGGATAACTGCTTGTTCGACTCGATTTGAATCGAGGAACACTTCATGTAGGTCGAGTATTAGCTGTCAAAAATTAATTCTCCAGCTGTTTGTGTCGACATCAAAATTGTTGTCGAAGTAGTTGTTGACCCAATCATCAACCTTTGGGCCCTTCATATATGAGAGAGTCATATCGACTTTTTGCTCATCGGTGAGACCAATGTTCTTGGGTGTACGGTACCATAGTATCAATTGCCTTTTGAAAGAAAGGAATTTGTCTTTGCTTCCATCAAAATCTGAAGGTTTCGCTCCAGATGCCTTTGTGTTTGGCTGTGGCGGTACTGGTGGTGATTGTTGGGGTGGGTTTGGGTTTTGTTCAAGATCACCGGTGTCGGCTTGTGTAGAACCCATTGGTGATATCGGTGATGGTGGTGTGAAATATGTGAGTGATGAGTGTGGTGATGATACGAGCGGAGGTGGAGATCGGTGTGCGTAGAATTGGTAGATAGGTACAGAATCAGGGAATATGAATGAAGACGTGATATGTGAACAATAGTGTCTTGTACTGGGCGCACGACCCTGTTCTGGTACTTAGACGAGTATAGATCCGAGGTAAAGGTACTCCTTCAAAGTGTTCTGGCCAATGGCCAATCCGGACACACGAGGTAGGTAGATATAGTAACTATGTAAAATGGTTTGGCCTTTGAAGGCGCAAAAAGAGAAGTTGATCTCCGCGGTAATTGCTTTTCAGCGTGCGAGAGAGTCAAAGAATATCAGCGAGGTTCGAAACCTCCTGCCATACACTCAGTCGTTTAGGTCTGAGCAGGGTAAATTCTGGTAGGATTTTTCAACGGCCCCTCTGTCAAGAAGGTTGCAGCACCGCCTACTTCCTGGTTGCTTCAAGAGCGGACTACCAGGTGAGAGTAATGATTTTATGTACTAAGGGAATACAAGGGTCGCAATCTACAGGTGTAGTTGCGTGATTACCCAGGTGGAGGAGTGGAGTGCAATAGAAAAGTAACTAGGATTGTGGAATTCGGATGCCTCCGAATGAGGTCTTGAGCGAGTAAGAGTAAAGCAGAGTTGGGTGAGGAATGAGGTGGTTGCCGTCGAGTACAACGGACTTTGAGTGAGGTGAAGTGTGGGTGGAAGACGAGGCAATGCCTGTCGAGAGAGTGCGAAGGGGCAAGTTTCAAATTATGATAGGACTCAAATCAATTTAGAAATGAGCAGGTAAAACCATTCGAAACTTGGAGTTAATCTGAAGTTCGTCTGGTGTATATATACAACTATTATCTAAATACATGTGGTGACAATGTGTTCATATATACTTATGGTATCGGTCAGGTTCGAGCATGGATCAATGAATGTGTTTGGGCAGGTTTTAATAACTGGTTACAAATGAATAACGAGAGGAAAAGGTGTGTTCGTAGATCCGAAATGAAAGTGATCGTAACACAACGTTCGTCCTGCGTCCCGAACCCAAAGCCGAAGGCCGCAAACACATTCTGGCTTTACGTGACCCTTCAGACTTCACCATTCGTGCCGGTGTCGGATCCCTAGACGTCTCGCCAAAATTCTGCTTCGCTGAAAGACACACTATGCGGTTCCTTTCGTCTCCTAACATATGCTATGCCTGCAAGAGAACAACGCCGGTAGAACACTGACGATGTTGCCGACTGTCCTCTGGTAGATTGGACGCACTCACTGTGGAGCCAGTTGTTATGCAGATCGCGCAGCCTGATATGACGCGCAATCCATCCAACTTCAATGCTGTATCCAGGATAACGCTAGAACCGCCACGTGCGTCCGGAAGACAAATTGGCCTATACTTCGTACTGGCGAATGAACATCAGTTTCCCGTATGATATATTATCAGTTGGACACATGCAATGCACCTCCAATGCAGACTCCAATAGGTCGTCATGGCCGCTGGGTCAGCAACTTGCTTAAATACCACTCGACCTAAGTCTTGAAAACCATCAAATAGCGACCCTTCCCCCCAACGAATAGCCATGCAGATGAAATGTACGTTTCTCCTCCCTTTCCCCTCTTCCTTGTCTTGAATCGTTGAACCTATGTGCATGTAGTATCTCTCCTTGCCGCCGCCCTGTTCGTCCATGTTGGTTGCACCAGAGCCGCCCTCCTCGGGCTGCACAAACGTGCACCAATGTGCGACGAAGCGATCGGTACCGATTGCAATTTCTTTGACGTCGACGGTTGTCGCGACGCCCTTGTATGTCAAACACATAGTCACCGCCTTCCAATGCATATCCCATTGACCTTGACCTTATTCTTCTGTGATACTAGGCAGCATCAGGCCTGTCCGAGGATGAAGACGGACGTCAGACTTGCTCAGGTGTCATCAGCGCAACCAACGTCGAGTGTTCCGTACGTGCTCCCTGCTTCCCTTTTTCTTCCTCGTTTGGGATACCAACTGATGCACGGTAATCTGAACTGGAAGTGTTCATGCGACTGCGGTGCCAGTGGGGCGTTCAATAGCCTAGGCGACTTCAACGATCTTTTTGACGGCCTTGCGAACAGCTGCATCCTCGACGCCGACGGTCATCCAGGTCTGTTAATTCTATTCAGTATCGTTGTCTGCAGCAAAGGGATCTGAACACTCGATTGTTTTTATTTTTTAAATAGGCTCTGACACCTATCAGGGGACCATTGGTGGTCTCATATCGTGTTCGCTCTCTTGAGGTACTACGGTGCATGAACCACATGATTGACCGTTGATGCGCTGAAGGCTAGTAGCGTAATTCCTCAGTCTAGACACGGCAGGCATTAGCGCATGATTCGAACAAATGATCACAATTATGAGCCAGACTCCCTAGTACAGAACCAAAGAAAAAACCATATACTCAACAAAGCAATCGAATACCATTACTAATAACGGAGCGATGTCTTGGCATCTAGGATCCCATGGTCACCCCATGTGAGGACTGTCGTGGTTAGACTCGTCGCCCTCGAAGATGTTCGGTACGTCACCGACGACGCACTGAGCGTCAGTATTATCAAGTTGAAAATCAGTACTCATAGTTACAAGCCATTGTCAGATGGTACAATACATTGAAAATGCACCTGGACACGAAGCCCATTTACCCGAGTACTCAACGTGCACTTCACCGGATGGGCGGACATATCCAAGGAAACGTCCTGGAAGGATAGGTACAATATCCTCTTCGTCGTTGATATGTGTTAACAAGACATGTGCGTCGACGTAGTTCGCGAAACTTGCTTGATTACCAACCTAACAATGGGCGGGCAGAAGTTGAATAAGAACGTCTAAATCAAGTGGGTAACGAAATGCAGGGAAGTCCTCTACATACCCTGGCATTCCTATGGTTGAGCTTGAGCTTAAGCTTAACAAGCGTCACTGACAAGATCAATGCATAACAGATTACGCATTGGCGCCCATATCATGAGTAGCATCAGGCAAAAGGGTCACTGGCAGGGCCTTGTTCTAGTATACTACATCCATCTAAGTTAGTAGTTATCAACTAGTAACTTAGCCGTATTCGATCTTCTTCAGCTCAGTTGGAACCCTACTCTGCACGATTCCGGATTCTTGAATGATTGTGCCAAGAAAATCAGTCTCAGCTGACTGGACCCGTAGTGGGATGCTCTCGTACCTCTTTGCCGACTCCGAGCCTTCGAACGATCACACCTCCACAGTTCCGTCATACAGTCTTTTTTTAATGTTATGTCGAGTCACTTCCATTTGCAATCATAAGTTGAGGGATCGTCGGTGGACTCCCAGCGGAACTGAATCGTCCGGATGTTATCCGACTTTGGCAGAGCTCACATTACTGCCCCTTGTTTCATGCTCAAGCAACGTTCAGATGGTATAAACTCACTTTATTCCGATAATCATTACTTATAGCTTTTGTTGCTATAGATGGAGGATTTATCTCGCGATCACTCACCCGGTTAGCTTTACAGCACCCAACAGTCTAAAAAGCTACGTCATTCAGTCGGTCAACTGTCCCCAACGTTTCTCAGGGATGCACAAGTATTCGCGCGCCCAAAAGGTCATGCGAACTTCGCTAATGCATCCAATCTTCTTGCACTGAACAACGAAGAAACGAGAATCACTGTCTGCCGAACTTGCCAGTGATGAAATGCAACGTTTGTCCTTCGTTCCGAACCCCAAAACGGAGGCCAGGTTGCAAATAAATTGGAGCTTTACGTGATCCTTCAGAGTTGCCCCATTAGTGGTGTCGGTGTCAGATCCCCAGACGTCTCGTGAAATTATGCTGTCTGAAGGACACACTGCGCTGTTCCTTCCATCTCTAATACTAGTCTACGCCTCTGAGAGAACCGTGCGGATAGAACACTGACAATGTTGCAGACTTTCCTCAAAAAGATTCAACGCACTCACTATAGAACCAATTTCGATGCAGAGCGCGGACGCTCAATATGTCCGACAAGGTTGTATCTAGCGTAGCGCTAGAACCACCACATGGTTCTGGAAGACGACTTGGCCCATATGTCCTGCTGGAGAATGGATAATAGTTTGCCGTATGATACATTCATCATCGGCCATATGCAAGGCAACCCTCTCCGAGACTCCAACGCCGACTCCAATTCAAACGTTTGTATGACTAGCTTCTCGACGGCACCCTCGTGAGGCGAGTCCCGGCCGCTGGCGCCACTGAAAGAGCCATTTGCATAAATACCACTGGAGACAAGCCTTGAAGACCATCAAACAGTGACCCTTCCCCCCAACGAATAGCCATGCAGATGAAATGTGCGTTTCTTCCCCGCCCTCCCCCTCCTTTTGTCTTGAATCATTAAATCTGTATGCATGTAGTACCTCTCCTTGCTGCCGCCCTGTTCGTCTATGTTGGCAGCACCAGAGCCGCCCTCCTCGGGCTGCACAAACGTGCACCAACGTGCGACGAAGGAGTCAGTTCCGAATGCAATTTCTTCGACATTGACGCTTGTGTCGACGACCTTGTATGTCAAACACATGCCCACCCCCTCCCAATGGCTATCGCATTGGCCTTGACCTTGTTTTGCCGCAATACTAGGTAGCAAATGGCATATCCGAGGATGAAGACGGACGTCAAACGTGCTCAGGTAACATCAGGGGAACCGACTCCGAGTGCACCGTACGTGTTTCTGGCTTCCCCTTTTCTTCCTCGTGTGGGATAACTGATGTACGACAATTCGAACCGCAAGTGCTCGTGCGACTGTGGTGCCAGTGGGGCGTTCAATAGTCGAGGCGACTTGAACGATCTTTTTGATGGCATTGGGGACGCCTGCATCATCGACGCTGGCGGACATCCAGGTCTGTTAATTCTATTCAGTACTGTTGTCTCTAGCAGATGAATCTGAACACTCGGTCTTTCTTCCGGACAGGCGATGACACCTATCAGGGAACTATTGGTGGTCGCATATCGTGTTCGCTCACCTGAGGTACTACGTTGTACGAACTATAGGATCAACCGTTGACGCGCTACGCGTTTGTACTGTACCTAGTCCAGATACCGCAGACATTAGTACATGATCTGAACAAATGATCACATTTATGAGCGTACGTGGACATACAGCGAGCTCCGAGCCAAGCCTGGTATTGTCTAACATAGGGCGCGACGCTCGGGGACAATAAATCGGGGGAAGAAAAAAAGCCAAGCCAAACCCGACAGCATCGATTTCAGACTGTATGTAAATTCCTGTTCAGACCTTCCTAGTACAAAACAAACAAACAAATCAAGTACTCAACAACCCAATTGAATAACATTGCTAATAGCAGAGCGATGCCTCAGCATCTAGCATCCCATGAGCACCCCATCGTAAGGACCGTCATGATCAGACTCGTCGCCCTCGAAGATGTTCGGTACATCACCGACGATGCATTGAGTGTTCGTATTATCTTGACCTAGGCATAATAAATCAGTACTCGTTACAAGCCTCCGATAGAGGGTATAATATATTGAAAACGCACCTGGACACGAAGCCCATTCACCCGAATCCTCAATGTGCACTTCACCAGATGGGTGGACATATCCAAGGAAACGTCCTGGAAGGATAGGTACAATATCCTCTTCGTTGTTGATGTGTATTAAAGAAACATGTGCGTCGACGTAGTTCGCGAAAGCTTGATTACCAACCTAACATTGGGCGGGCAGAAATTGAATAAAAATGTCTAGATCAAATGGTGAACGAAAGCCGGGGAAGTCTCAACATACCCGTGGCATTCCATACGTGATAGTTTTGAAAGTAACACCGGAAACGTGTAGAGGTAAATAAACGGCATCGATCAAGGCGATTGCTCCGCCTGTAGAGAATAGTTCAAGATGTAATTACTTTCATGACACGACCGAATGGAGGATATCGAGTGATATAACTTACCCAGTGAGTGTCCGAGGATTGTCACCTGAGTCGCTTTGAATCTCGTGATCGCAGTCTGCACTGCTGAGAGGACATCAGGAGCAGATCTGAGGCCATTCAAGATCAGCAATCATCAACATTCCGAATCAGAGGTACTTCAGAGGTAATATTACCTAGACTGAGTACCAGCAAATCCTTCATGAACTTCGATCGAAGAACTTAGACCGGGGAACAGCGTCGAATCCAATTGTTTCAAGGTAATATCAGCATCCGTGAGCAGTGCTAAACTGGCAACCACGGCAATCTGTCAGTTCCATCCACGTCCACAACCGTTTGTAATTATGCTGACTTACATTTCACCCGTATCAGTTCCTTGATGAGATACGATCACGGTTTGTAGCGTTGGGTCGAAACCCACATACCCTAAAAAGGTTATTAATAACCAATAACATCCGGTCACCGAACTGGACATACAGAACTGAGTATCACTTCCATCCCCACCAGATGCAAGCGGTTCAAACGAAGGATTCGCTTGACAGTTTGCACCACAGCTCCAAGTGAGAGTCGCCGATGGTTGACAGTACCCGGTACTCGCATAAAATGTGAATGGTTTGAAGGACGCGATCTGAGCTGCCGAAAGCGCAGTGATGGTTTGTCTTTTCTCCAAGTCAACTGTAGGTGCAGCGTGAACGAGCGTGAACGCCACGAGTAAGACTAGCCCCAGTGTGAAGTCCATAGTCGAGTGAAGCCCCAGAGTCGAACGAACGAATGACAAAGAGAGTAGAAGGCTTAGACAGGAGCAAGGCCACAAGTCAGACAGTCCAGACGTAGGAAGCAAGAGCGACTGAGGCCAGGGAGAATGAGAATAAGACTTGACCGGATGTCTTATACTCCTGAGGCCGAACAGCTCAGCTAACAACGAAGCATACCTGTAAATAGCCTATGCTGCAACGGAAAGGACAGAGACTGATCCGAGAAGGGCAAATCAAACAACCGCTGACACAGAAGCGACGAGAACCATATGCACGGACATAGAACGTTGGTGGCGGTTGCACTGAACATACCAAAAAAAAAGAACAAATCACCAAGCAAGGACTAATTGCCCTTACAGACCAGATGGTACGACGCGCTATGTAACGGCGCCGTATTGCAATTTGTGTGAATCAGCAGAATTGCGCATGTGTGCGCAGTGGATCAGTTTGCACGGTGGTCAGACTTGACAGGGTTCACATGACATGCCTCTGATGTGAGCGAATCGCACAAAGTCCTGAGGCTGCACCGGAGTCAGATAGTTGCGTGGTTCTAACAAACGTGCACGGCCATCGATCCTGGAAGTCACAAAGCCAGGACAGTACGAAACAATATTTCCGTTAACTTTGAAGTGTAGAAAGAAGCAATTTGAAGAAGCCTAGCAAACCAGCTGTGGTTGTCGAATACAAGTCTATTCAGGGCTATTTCTGTGCCATTCAGGAAATCGGCGCCTGTTCTATATGTAGTCGCCCTTTAGCGACACACTCCCGTTTTGGAAAGCCTTGTAGGTCGTTGTTACCGCTAAACAATCGCCAAGAGGCCCTAGTGCCGATGTTTACGAGCCAGAGTCAAGATCACTCCTTGGCAAACCGGCAACTTGGGTACCTAGCACCTCCTTATACACCGTAGATCATGATAAGTAACTCACTAACTACAAGCAAGAAAATGAAACACGATCGAAACCTTTCCACCTAGACTCGGAGGATCCTCGGTCGGTAACTTCAAACGACAATTGACTGCAATGATGGCATTTTCAATTCTCATGTTTACTTTATACCGGGGCTTAGACGTCGACGAAGCATAGATACAAAATGTCCGATGAGATTTAGACAGGTGGTATGGGGTCATGTTCTCCGATACCCAGATCCATAGAGATGAAAGCAGCAGATAACGGTATTTCAAAAGCATTAATGTGCGGCGCAGACAAGGGCGAAAAAAAGAGAACAATGAGAAAAAAAGGATAGACAAGGGAAAAAGAACAAATAAGCGTCCTCGCACCAATCGCATGAGAGTATGAATTCGCCGGAGGAAAAAAAAAGGGTAACGTGGCATATGCGGTGTGTGCTGGAAAGATGCCTCTCACAATCTGTCAAAAGCCCACGCGGGCGGTCGTGTGTACACCGAGATTGGGAAACGGGGTAGAAGCGAGGTGTCACCGAAAGCCGGAGTGCTTCTGCTCGAACTCGTCCGACGAGACCGATGACAGCAGAAATGCCATCGTACCCTGAGTCGAACATTTGCCTGCATGTGTCGGGACTGTCGTTGCTCATCGAGTCTGTCTCCCACTCGTCAATTAAGAGACTCGACGAGCGGGTTTTATTGTTCACAGACCCGACCATATCATCCTCTACCCCCACCCCCAGGACTCCCCTCCGCATGATCCAACTTCCCATTAACACCAACCCCGCCGCCCGTCAGAGATGAGGACCCACTGATCCTGACCTCCTCACCATCATCAACTCCGAGATCACTCACACTCATAGCAGTCCCGTCATCATCACCTCTACTCCTTTTCCTCCCAAGCATACTCGGTGACATACTCTCCATCGATGAACCAGCCGGAGTTATGGCAGTATAACTAGCGTTAGAGCGCGTACTGCTGACACTATTGGATGCAGGCCGACCGGGGGAATGATTTTGGTGGGAAGGGAGTGAGAGGGAGGGGGATTGTTGTTGTGGCTGCTGCTGGGAAGATGGGGAAGGCCCGGAGAGGAAGTCTAACCAGTTAGGACCTGAATCATTTGTTGGCTGTTGTGCGACTGTCAAGGGATGTTGGGTAAGCACCACCCCAATAACTCAATTACGAGCCACAACACATGAGATCCAGCAAGTGAGTTCCAGAAAAGTCGGAAGGAACGACAACAGTTCAAGCGAGGAAACACGTAAAGAGGAACAAAGGGTGTAAGAAGACGACAGCGTTACATACCTGAATCGCGTTGAGCCTGAGACTGCTGATTGTGCACTGGCCAATCAAACGCTGAGAACGTCGTCGAAGCACTTTGGTGATGCCCCGAATGATGGTCCCCAGTCGCGCTATCCAACAAATCTGCAAACAAACTATTGTTCTGGACATGTTGCCCGCCTGTCACCCCTACCCCACTTCTATGAGATCCTTGTTGTGATTGATACACGCCAGTCTGTTGCTGTGGATTCGCATACGGCCCAGATGAATGCGATGGGAAAGTGACAGAACGCAAAGTCGGAGCTCCCTGTTGTTGATGCTGCGTAGGACGGGAGAAATCAAACGGTGGGACGAATCCTGGTGATGTTTGGGAGTTCATCAACCCATTATGCGAATACAGTCCTGAAAGACTCGGATGTGGCGCTCCATGGGGAGGTAAACCTGAGCCCAAAGATCCTAAATGACCAGATGGCGGAAAGTTCAAATCGACTTCTAAGCGATAGGGATAGGTGGGACCACCTCCCGAACCAGCAGAGGAAGGACCCATTGCAGCTGGTGCAGATTGAGCGGCATGTAGATGGGAATCGGGGGAAAGATCACCTGTGAGAGGTGCTAACCGTGGACGTTTGTTGTTATGATTGGTGTTGCTGTTCATGGGGAGGCTTCGCATGTTGGATGCTCCCAGGTTCAATCTCTCGCCCGAGATAGGAAGATTCGGTGAACCTAGACTGTTTGGTGATCCTCGGGTGTTGCTTGAACGATAGTCAATCTGCGGGCGTAACGACAGGGGTTCGATATCAGATCGTCTTGTCGGGAAAGAAGTGGTACTCACGTCCATGTTGCTTGATAGGTCGGTGTGAAGCGACGGCCGATGTGAACCCAACCCGTTGCTGTTGGTATTCTCGATCTTTGGCTTGGTGGACTTGCCATTCATCTTGGGGCGAGACCCGTCGTCTTCGTCACCGTCTTCATCTTCGTCTGCGACGTCCTCGGCTTTTACACCAGAAAAGTCATGCGGTCCCTTGGTATCCCTCTCCCCTTCGAACTGTCGCCGCCACGTCAGCACGTACAACACCTTAGCATATGACAGTAGCGTACTCGAAGGTGTCGTTGGACGATGTTATTGACATCACCAGAGCAGTATTGGTATAGCTTGACATGATGCCCAGGACGTTCTTCTATAATTGAACACGGCCCAAAAATAGCACATAATGAGCGCGAGAAAGGAAAGAATGACAGCTAACATACCAAAGATAATGACAGCAACGTCTACTGAACACAACACACCAAGCTCATAAGCCTTCTTGAACAGACCATTCTTGCGCTGAAAGAACGTCGATAGATATAAAGCAGCGGAAGATGCGACGGTCGCGGGTAAATGGGCGATGCCAAGAGATTTGTGCATAAAAATAGGAACTGACCTTCAAAAAAGTGACAGAGCGATTGCGTTCGTGCTATGAATGGCCAAGTAAAAAGCGTAAGCGAGCTGGATATAGCGAAGCTGAAGATGGGATTGGACGGCAAAGTGTAATAATAGGAGAGGGTGGCGTGAAACGTTGCAACGCACTGTAATCGGTTGGATTTCGATCTTTCGCCTGCCCATGACTGCTGTAGGACGTGTTTGCTGGTTGCTCGTGGGGCTGTTATAGTGGTGAGCAGAGAGTGGGAAGAGGAGCAGGAGGCAGAGGGAGGAAGAGAAGAAAGTGTACAGTGGGGGACCTTGTTTCAAGCTCTGAACTTGAAGTGGGCTTTCGGCATGGTATCACTAACAACTCGCGCCGGCCGGACGGTGCCCAATGGACAACAAGCGCAAACCCCGCTCAAACACGGAGCCCCTTGCTCTCCCTTCGCTGCCACCGGCTGCCACTCTACTGCACCCGTGTCCGCAGCAACATCATCACCATCCTGACCTTTGCTTTCTTTCCTCCTGCACCTCCCGAGGTATGTTCTCTCTGAACACAGGACCGCGTTTCGCCTCGCAACACACAGATTCGTCGCTAGATTCCTACTCCGAGGCCCACCGAGGGCTGCGTCAGCGTCATGTAACAGCCCACCCATCTCCTCGTGCTTCGCGTATCAAATCTTCTCCTCAGGGTTCTGCCTTCATATCTTCACACTCTACGTCTATCGTGCCTTGTCTGCCCATCTGGCCTGCCTGTGGAATGCTCGGTCTGCTGACTGACACGCTGGCCGCCCGTTCTCACTCTATGTATCTTACTTGGCTTTTACCGTGGTGGCCTCCAACCCATACCCGGTGTTCAAGATCAGATGCTCTAGATTCACTTTGCTAGTTGCCCCATTCCATGATCGTCCACTAGAAAGACGATCTGTTGGGTATCAGCTTCTTCAAAAGAACATTGCTCGAAGCTTGCAAATGTGCTGCGCAGTCTCCTGCCTGCATGCTGGCCAGATGCTAGCCCTCTTTTCTGACCATCACACGTTCTCCCGCCACCGTCGCGTTCTCTCTTTTCCTCGGCCCGCCGGCTCTCTCCCTCCTCACGTGGTTCCGGCTTCTCGGCATGCTCCCTAACACCCGCGGCGGTCTCTCGGCAACTCTGTCCCTGATCGAAGGTTACCGACGAAACTCGATCGAGTCGGTGTTGTGTCCCGATTAGGGAGGCACAACTGCGACAGCTTGAACTTCACTCTTTCTTCCATTCTGCTGACATCGTGTTTCCCTCGCATATGTTACTCGCTTGAAACTCGCTGCTAGGGCTTTCCCTTGTTGCCTCGTTCTCGTTAGCTGCGCATTCGGCGTGATGTGCCCGCTTTCACTGAAAGCGTTTGTCACTCCTCGGCGCCGCGATATGTTTCTTTATCGCGCTAGCTAAAGGTAGGCAGAACCCCTTTACGTGCAAATAATAACCATGATGATACCGTTTTGTAACTGCTATCCGTTGCAGGTATCCTCCGATATCTTCTTTTCCAGGACATTCATTATCCTGCTGTCAGGCTAGCATTGTCACATGCCGTACGATCCGGTTACATCTTCCTCTGACATTGACAAAGGCTCCGCCGCTCTCTCATGCAATTTCCGCCGGCTTTCTGGTACCTCCAGGCGTTCCTTTTCGACAAGACCCTGTGGGTTTCGACCGCTCTCACCAACCGCACGATATAGGGTGCTCCAAGCAACGTTTGTCTTCTTCCTCTCGTGCGGTAGTAGTCCATCGTTCTGCTTGGCAAAAAGCCGTATCGATTCGCCTATTCATATACAAAGCTCGTTCTGCGACAATTCCACCAACATTTTCTTGGCCTTGTGGGTATGAACTTGGCAACACCTCTGGGAGTCTCTACACCCTTATGCAGGCTTACAAACAACTTTCCGCCCGCTGCGCATTGTATCCGGACAACAGTTCTCTCATCCCACGTCTGCATAGTACATTTAATTCATTAATTTGCCAATAGCGGCGTCGCTCATGGACAAGATCCCGCTTGGCTGAGTCAGAGTCTGACCGCTACCCAACTGGCCCGCTACCCGCTACTTGTCTCTCTTCCCCGCCGCTCTCTGCTCTCTTAGTGAAATCTCACAGAAATTAAAAATCCCATCCGGTGGCCGCATCAAACACATTTGCATTTCATGTCACAAATGAACGGTCTATCCGATACATTGGAGCAAATCCATACTTTACTTTCTCTTATCTATCCGCCGGCAGCTCTACGAAATTCGCTTACTCGATGTCCGAGGTATGCCAGACATGAGCACACTGCCCAGTTTCCCCAAGAAGATGGATCTCATGCAACACGAAGAGGTCCTAACGGCAACATGCGTTCGCTTGCTCCCACGCAAACGCCACCAAATCGTCATCGTTTCTCAATGGTAATCAAAGCACTCCATATCGCCGTTTGAGCGTTCATCTGTCTCCCTGTCAAGTCCATCCCGACCCATTGGCCCCACCTGCAAGAAACAATTTGCCGGTACAGCCTTTACGTTCTTCTTCAATGGCCACCTCCTCTTCACTGTTTGGAACACTCGGAGTCCCGTTTTCAGTCAGCCTCCCGTTCTCTCATTCTCACGCCCGGGACTTCTGTGAAACTTTGTAGAGGGTGTGACGGTGCCATCAGCCCTTTGAGGGATGGGAGTGGGAAAACGTGCGTATCATTTGTCTTGTGTATCTTGTGTGTCTTTTCTGTCTCTTACGTCTCTTAAGGCTTCCAAGGTTCCAGGCTTTGTGCTCTACGTATGCTTGACTTATCTCTCAGCTTCTGGTAGGTACCGTTATGTTGTCTCCACCTCGCCTGTCCGGGACGAGTTCGGTTCTCATAGGGCTTGGATCTATTCATCCTCCGTCCTGATTGTTTCGCGGGTAGTTGAGCAGATAAGGTAATTTTCACTACCGTTCTCCCGTCCCCAGGCCTTTCCTCCCTCCAATGGCTTCTCCGTTCCTGGCCGGCCTTTAAAGTTCTCAGTCCTTCCATTCGTTCTCACTCACTTCCGATCGCCACTCAAGCCGGAATCCGAGCCCAGGGATTGGCTCGCTCTGCTGCTTTACCTATTCACCCATTTTTACTGTCCCATCGTCTTTTATCTCACAATTTGACATCTATGATCCCACATTTTGCCCTCGACATTATCCACGCCCTTCAATCTTTAAGACTTCAAGTGCTGCGGTGCCGAGTGTTGGCTGATACCACACTGCAGGATCCAAGATCCGTCAGCTCGTTCACCCGTTCGCTCAATACCTCCACCGTACCAGTGATCTGTCTCTCACCCATCCATCCTTTCGTTCCACCTGGACGTGCCTGATTCCAGTTCCACGGGCTTATCCATGCTTTCTTAATAGATGATCACCTGTGTGGCGCTCAAGAGCAGCCACTCGACTGAAAGCCTGGTCCACGAACGCCAGGGAAGATGGCGGAGACGAGAGCAATTCATTCATTGCTCTACACTTTCCCCGGAGTTCTCATGTTCGTTTGTTCCTTGGATGGTCTACTGGTTCTTTTACGGTCCTCCTGTTCTCTCAGTCTTGTGTCTTCTGTGGGCGTTCCATGGCATCTCCGGAGAACGTCATGTGCCGCAGAGAGAGTGGGAGTCCAGAGCACACATACAGTATCCCTTTGAAGGCTGCTGACGATACCAATACATGATTAGGTTCATTGCATTGAGCTCATAAGGGAAGCGGGAGAGCTGGAATCAAGAATCTGCTTGGTATGTACGTTATTGAAGCACATGTTGAGTTGTTCTTTTCTTCGCTCCCTATCTGTATTGACTCTATACAATGGGATAAGGAAATCCCTTTGCACTATTCCACTTGCACTGCCACGGATGTTATGTCCGAAATGCAATGACTGAACGGAGCCTGAGCTTGAGGGTAATGTATCCATTGCAGGCTGGATGCGCAGTATGGTGACGACCATGTGTGCTTCTTTGCATTGGAGGACCTAGGTCATAGGTGAGCAAATCGTTTACCGATACGCATTGACGTTCCCGTCACCGTCTTCCTGCGACTGACCAATTCACGCGGGCCCGGTGGCAAAGCTTCGAGTCTCGACCCAACTGCATTGCGATATGATCAGGATGTCACCCTCGTGTCTGTATTCTGTAGGAGCATGTCTGGAGTGGACTTTCCTTAGAGGAACATCGGTGCATTTGAAGACCCTTTGTGCAATTGGGGATGAGGGCGCATCAGGTACGATATATGTATGTTTGACCTCGCGACGATCCCGTATAGAGGTGATATCGCAAGTGACCGTTTTCTTGAAGAAGAAAATTGGACGTAATCGGGAGTATATACGCTAGTATTCAAAAGGTTTCGAGGTGAATGTTTCAGCTTAAGGCGCACATGGACCAGCGCGACTTCCTTAGTGGTGAGTGCCACGCCCTGACCTTCAACGCGATAGAGTTTCGATACCGACTATTTGTTTGTTTCAGAGCGTGGCAATCGATTCGACGCTGCAGTATAGGATCAGCCCTGGAGAGTTGTAGACGACCCGAAATGAAGCGATGCCTGAAAGAAACTAGGATCAAGTTGTTTCACAACCAGGCGGCCAGCGGGACATGCAGCGTTTCCTCTTTACAACCGGAACCTTGGGTTGAAGTCCCTAGCCGCTGTCGAATTACCAAAACAATATCAATAGGATCTCCGCCGTGGAGCTTCGCTATTGTCTCCGAACGAGTGGCAGACATTCAAGTCCGATCGTCGTGTCCAGCATTTCAGACAAGGTTCACACTCAGGTTCAATCAACTTGGCTAGATGATATTTACCGTAACGAGATTGTGGCGAGAAGTGGCCGATGAATCGTGGCAGCAGCTTTCGGGGCCGCCAGGGTTCCTAGGTCATTCAAGGGTTCTGTCAGAAATAGAGGCATTCGTAAATCAATGGTAATGTGGTTCGCGTTCAATCGTTGTTTGCTTTGCCAGCGTCCGCAGTTCTGAGTATAGCGACAATATTTTTAGAAAGACAAGTTTAGAACATGAATATATCTTTGGCACGTTCCCAAAAATATCAGGCTAAAAATAGCCCAAGCCGTGTGGTATTTTGGATTCAACGCCGCGCTTGTCACGGCTTGGTTATCGCGAGACTCTTTCAAGGTTTCATTACTATCAGGGTGAGTATCTCTTGATGCTGCGCATTATACGGCATTGAGAATAAAGATCCTGATACGGATTCTAGTTGACCGCCTAAACGCAACGTAAAGATGGGCCCTGGAGATGACAAATCGCCGTTGAGTCCAGCAAGCCCCGATTTCTCACCAAGTCTAGACATTTGGTCACGGAGAAGACAGCCTTCCGAGTCCACACGAGTATCCTTGCGGCCAATTGCGAGGTCTTTAGGGACATGGCTAATATACCCCAGCCATCTGCCAACGACGGGCCAGATCATGGGATCGAGACATATGAGAGCTGCCCCGTTATTCGTCTGAGTGACTCTGCACTCGATATGAGGCACTTCTTGAAAACGATCTATAACTTCTCGTAAGGAAAAGTTTCTGTTGCCAGCGCCGTTTACTGCCTTTCCGACTGATGTTTTCAACCGCAGGTACTTTCGTCCGGGTATGAAGGCCAAATTCCCCGTCGTCGCAGCAGTTCTCCGTCTTAGCACTAAATACGAAGCTCCCGCTCTTCGTCAACGTGCTATCGATCTGCTCGCCACTGCGTACCCAAGTACGTTGGCTGCATGGGACACGAGGTCGAGATTGCGTCTTGTCCCACCTTTCGAAGCTGAAATAGGATCTCTTTTTGCGTTGGCCATCGAAACAGACGTCCGAGCTATTCTACCTGGGCTCTATTATGCGGCAAGCAAGCGATCACTCTCTGCAATGCTCACTGAACTGCACAGCCTTCCTCTGAATGAAACAGTGCGCCAAGACGTTATCTCGAAGTTTGTTGTAGGGCAAGACAAGTTACACCGCGCAGAGATCAAGCACATTCTTTTATTCCTCGATCCGTCGTACCAACGCGCAGGATGCCGAACTGCCACTGACATTGGCCGTCTTCAAAGTCAAGCTTCTGCTTGCATTTTGAAGACTGTCGACGTCACTGAATCGTACCAACAATGGTGCAACGACCACCCGAATGACGTAGGTGCATCGCTATTCGTATGTGAGATATGTTGCACGTTGGTGGCGAACACAATCAAGGAGGGTCGACAGAAAATATGGGATTCACTACCTGAAATGTTCGGGTTACCGGCATGGGAAACGTTACTTGCGGAAAACGATCTCGAGGAAACCATAGGACCAGACAGTGGTAAGACTTTTGATGCCTAACGGTCTTAATGACTGGTCCATTGCACCTCAGCCAGCCTTCATCCGGGGTGTTGAATTATGGGCAGAGTTAAAGAGGCGGGCCCAAGTGTGTCATGACTGAGGACACATCGATGTTCATTTCCGTGACATACTTAGCACACTCTGAATCAACCAGGGCACATCCGAAGAACATGTACAATATCAGGCTTTCAGAGGGCAGAAGTATGGAGAAGCGCTTGCATTACAGATAAGCCAATAGGATCTATTACATGCAGAAGACGAAGGTAAGAGAATTGAATAACAAATAGACCTTTACAAGAAAAATAGTGCAAGAAAGACGATATACAACACATTGTCCCCTTGTTCCACCAAGAAAACAAGTATGCGAACAAACAAGGGTTTAGTTACATCTAAGGTGGCTTTGTACAGATTGATCAAGACGATGATGGGCAAGGCACAGCAAGAGAGAGCAAAATATTACAGATGTAGGAGGTAACGCGATGACGGGGGTTGTTTGTGAAGATGAACAAACGTGTGTACAGATAGACAGACGATAAATTAAGACTGGAAATTATTCGTGTCTAGATATCCGCTATCATGCATGAAGGAAGTCCACCGTTCGTCTAACCGCGAATCTCGGGAGGCAAGTCCGAGGTTCACAAGTTCAGCTGGTGGAACATACGCATCTGTGACACCTTGGAATGCAGGAGCCGCGGGATACATTTCTTGACCAGCCTGAGGACGATCAGAAATGTATGCCTGTTGCTGTTGATGTTGTGAGGGGATCTGGTGTGGTTGGAGGTGTGAGGGTGCTTGACGATATTGAGGGGCGGAAGTGGAAGGTTCTCCGTATTGCATATGTAGGGGAGAAAGTCTGTACTGGGGTTGTCGTTGTGAAGGTTGCGCTGATGGGGGTGAGGGTTGTTGTTGAGAATGTGTTTGTGAGACTTGGCGAGGTAGTTGAGGGAGCTGGGGAAGTTGCAGGTGTGCATTCTGTTGGTGAAGTGGGCTAGATGTGTGCGACTGCGGCGGCCATGGTTGTCCCCCGTAAGAAGATGCCGAAGATGGGATTTGGTCATATGTTGGACTGACAGAATAGTCTGTCCGTTGATTCGAGGGTGCTGATTGCGTAGGATAAGGGACGTTGTACGCCTGGGAATACCATGATGCGTCTGAGGCCGCGTTGAGGCCAGGCAAAGGAGGGATATGTGGGGCAGAAGGTGGCGAGATGACAGGGGCAGCGTAATCTGAATTATAAACACCACTGGTATCCAAGTGAAGTCCTGGGAAGTCTGAAGATGCGTTCTGCATCATCATCACCGGTGAAGGTCGCTTTGTCTCCACCAATCTTGTCTTGCCAGCGAAGATTTCTAACTCATCGGCGTTTTCGTCTTCGGGGTGTATACTCCAGAGCGCACCGTCACCTGGCCTATCTGACTGGGTGTTGTTAAAAGCGTGATGCGCTTTCTCCTGAAGTTTCGTTATCAGAGGCTATGATACCTGTTCGTCAATATCGGATTTACGATGAGGATGCGATGAACTTACCAAGGCACGAGCTGCGCGTCGGCTGAGCTTTGCCGCCTTCGTGAATAATTCACAAGCGGTGTCAAGCTTCGTGATTGCTTGCTGCGCCAATGGTGAGCGCGGACCCCTTGTTACAACGGTGCCGAAGACGACCTAACCAAAACAACAGCGATCAGCGGAGAAGTGATTCAAAGTGCGAAAGGTCGCATACTGCGGAAGAGAATGCATAGGTCCAGATGACCCAGAACCGCGCGCATAGCGTTGGTAGGATATTGAATTGGTCGTTGATGGCTTTTAGGATAGTTGTTGCAGCTCGATAGGATGCCAGAAACGAAGGAGCGTATTGACTTCTCAGTGGGTTCTCGGGACAATCGAGGATTGCCTGTGCGAAGAATGCCCTATGAATCGAAAGCAGAACTACAAAACAACTTGTAAGAACCTGACGAGAAGAGACGAAGAAAAGGATAGTCACTTACTCACTTCTCGCGAATGCGAGAGCACGAAACGCGTCATAGACACCGACAAAGGAATCTCTTCATCGGGGTCCGCAGGTGTTTTGATATCTTCCAAGAACGCAGAAGCGTCTGCAGGGATAGGGAACTCTCGAACTTTGCGATCGAGCTCCATGATGGTTGCGTATGAGGGTGCTTCTGCTGTTAGTGTGCGAGCTGCGACTTCAGCGACACATTGGAAAGCGAAACGGAATCCCCAGGTCCCAACTAATGCTTAGGGAGTCAGGAGAAATGGTTCAAAGGTGAGGGAGTTGTATTTAATAGCTTACAATCATGTTCAGGATCGGTCTCCTTGGAAGGGTCGTCTTCCGACGCTGGGAACTTGCAGTCAATATAGTCTCGTGAAAAGGCTGGAGGTCGGCCTGTCGTTAGACTCTAGAGGAGTAGTAGTGATTAGCGAACATTCAAAGTCAAAGTGGGTAAGTCAAAGGGGAAACATACCTGCCACGAGTCCGCGACGAAGAGGTTCCAGAACAACAGGCGACGCCTATTTACAAGAGCTTCGGGTAACCCCCAGCGCGCGCTGTCTCGATCTGAAAGCGATGATGATTCAATAGGCCAGGGTCATATTTCAAGATGTAGTACTCACGTAGACCAATCTACTCATGGGAACGTTATCAACATCCAGATGAACACGGTGGACCAATGAGCGAAGGACTTACACTATGAGAAAGCTGGGCAGCAAACGCAACCAGCGACCAAGTAGTCTCCAGACTCGTCTCACCGCCACCAAGCTCATTACCCGACATACCATTATACACGCTCAGTAAATGCAAAGCCTGTATAGTCACGACGGAAGGCTTTTCCAATATCGGCTGCAGGACCAAAGCGGCTCGGGCAAGCTGGTGATAATGTTCGCCCTCCGAATTATACGGATCTTGTTTGAGGTCCATTACGGCGCCAAGCGCGAAGATAAGATATAGAAGAGCGAAATCGTGCGGCCCGCTGTAATCAACCTGGGCGGCTTCCTCGGGTATAGGTCGATGATAGATCGAAGGTAACATCTCGAGTTGCAGCTGTTGCTGAGACACTCCGCGAAACAACCATGCGGCATTTTGGAGATACGACTCGCACAAATGACATGCCCTCTCCCAGCTTGGTAGATGGCTCTCAATCAATTCCATAACAGCGTTGACAGGACCCATTGGTGTGAACGGGAACGCGGCGGAAAATCGCGACAAGTCTGGATTTACTGGAGGACTCATAGAGTCACGAAAAGACTCTGGAGTTTTGCTGCCAATACTGTTATTCGGGGACACGACAGGTGAATCACTCTCTGTCTAAGAAATGTCAGATGCCGGCTGAAGATATGAGATCAATAGAGCGCATACATATAACAGATACTGCGGATGATCGAAAGGAGTGTGTCAGTTACCACATACTCGGAGCATTAATCAACGTGTCGGTCAAATTCGTACCTCTGTTCCGCCGGTTGGGCCAAAGAAGCGAGACACGCCATGGTCATACACCGACAACGTGCCAAAAGCTTCGATCACGTCCGCCGGCTTAACAGGAGTTTGGTTAGAGACTGGTCCATCACTTTCTTTCTCCGCGCTAGTGTTTACCAGCGCATCGTCTCGAAGAAGTGGATGTGGCTCATTGGAGCATTTCGCTTGTAGTATCGCCAAGGCATCTTCAAGCTGTCGTATGCGTTCGCCCATCTTTGCTATTCGTTTGTGTAGATGCTCTGTTGCAGCCAATACAAACCTGTACGACACATGAGATTCCAATTTCAACATGATCGACACAGATGCAGTACCGTGTTCCTTGGCCCGTGGCAAGACTCCCTAGAACCATGAATGAGTAGGTTCGATCGAAGTACATGATGCAAACATACCATTTGGACATAACGCTGCACATCCCCGACGCTATATTTCTGTTAGAGACGCGTTTGAGCGCGCATCGAATTGTGCGGCCACTCACCTGGCATGACTGGCATGGAATTGTCTTGTCGCAACGAATCTAAGGAGATCCCAAAGTGAATGAGAAAAGCTTGGAAAAGCTTGTGAGAGCGTTATGTATACCTTGAGTCTGGAAAGGCATCGGGAAAGGTTGTGTCAAGATACTTATAAGGCCACGAGAAGTGCGGTGATCGCACCTACGGCACTCTGCGCACGAGATTTCACCCCTGCTTCGCTTCAATTCAATTTCACGGACATGGGAGGTGTCTAGCTTGTCCTCCTCGACATCTTTGCGAACGGGCCTTCTGTTGCGGGTGGCGGGATTGGACTTGGAATGATCTGCTGGCATGGAGGTAGGAGAAAGAAAGACAGCTGCCTGAAGTGGGTATTGTAAAATGCGGCTATATCTGTTCCCGATTACCTTCCTTGCTGCGGTATTGTAATCTCCTGCCCGTGGGAATGCTGCTCCCAATCATAGCCTGCTGCGTACTCTTCATCTCATCCTCTCTTGGCAAATTTGCTTCCACCTTTCTTCTAGACCACCATCATCTACTCTGCCTCCTGTCGTATAGCCCTACAGGCGATGCACTCCACCTCAGCAACGACTTGACAACTCGGCCGATCCTCTCCTCACATCCTCTGTTTGATCAGCGAGAAGTTCTCCTGAAATTATCCCTGACCGGCCCTGACCAATAGCCTTTCGCCCGCCGGCATTTCCGCAGGCGAGGGCGAGTCCTCAATGGGCCACCGGCGGCTCCTACAATGCTAGTACTATTTTGCAGAATGTCAAGGTGATGTCTTCGCCCTTCTTCGCCTCATCTAACAATGCAATATATTGCCAAGTACTGCCTATGCCCTCCTTCAGTCATTTCTTTCTCACTATCCAGGTCTTCTTGATTTCAGCATCCCGCTGTTGGACCATTTTGCGACAGCCTGACTCAAGCTTGACTCTTCGATCTGTGGTCTCTAAACTCTAAACGTGGCTCTCGCTTTGTCTTTGTCTTGGAGGGCATGTGAAATTTTGAATCCTCGAAAACTATTCATGCCCGACCATTGTCTGCAAATCATCGCTGACCAAGTGGCGGCGGCCTTCATCCTCGCTTACCTTACCAACATTTGTCGTGACAAACATGCTGACGTCTTGCTCACATGCCACCGACATTCATGTGATCCTATTAATTTCACCAGCTCTGGCATGTTAATTGAAATGTCCTTTTTGTTGCCGTCGTCACTTGCCTTGTCTTCCAGATAATCACAAGACTTGGCATTCATTTAGGATCTACCTAAGTACATACATAGTATGATATCATAAGGAGATTTGGTTCAGAGGGGTATCGTTGAATATATAGCCGTAGAGATACACTAAGAGCAAGCAAAAACCCGTTCACTGAAAGCGGGAAGTGAAGTAAATACTTGAATTCGTAGATGAGAAGCGATAAAGGTAGGGGTGGCGTGCAATGAATCGAAACTTGTAGCATTTGCATGCGATCATGAGTAAAATCGGCACACTCTAGTTTGAGTCCAAGTGGAGCGCGATAGGAAGGGGGCCGCGCGTTAGGGGGAAGTCAGGAATGTGACCTTACGTTGAGCAGAAACCGGAGTCGCTAAATCGTTCGGTGGACTTCGAGGTGGATTCTAATCTAACGTTATCTGCAAATAATAGGAGTAAAAAAAAGGTAGCGTGCGTCAATACAGAGTTTCAAGCCAAGGACGAGATGACGTCTGGTAGTCATTGTGACTCACTGAAGTAAGCATGGGCAAGAGCCTCAGCGGCTGTGACGCGTTCAAAATGATCATATCTGAGAAGCTTGTCCAGGAGGTCCAGAGCTTCGCTGGAAGCATTCGCTCTGTTCTCCGGCGTTACGAAACGTGCCCAGGGGATCTTGGGATAGCTGGAAAGCTGGTAGTTAGTCGGTGCCGACCATTATAGGAGTAACAAAGGCTGAAGCTTGAAACAGGTCGTACCATTCGAGGAGAGCTCTGTTTTCTGTCTGGATGAAGAGTCCGTACTTCTCGAGGTATTTCTCAAAGTTGTCTGTACCAAGGACTTTGAGGATGCGAAGGAGTTGATCTTCGTTATCACGACCTCGGAAGAAATGCTCCCTTCCGAAGATCTGATTCAAATGAGTATTAGCTTGAGCTTCGCAGTTAGTCGATCGAATAGAATCCGTACCATAGACGCAAGCATGCATCCTATGCTCCACATATCGAGGCTATAGTCGTACTTCTTGTATCCGACTAGTAGCTCAGGTCCCTTATAATATCGAGAACCCACTCGAATATGGTATTCGGTATCCGGATGATAGAATTCCGCTAGTCCCCAGTCAATCAACCTGAGCTATTTACAAAAATCAGAGATACGATGATGATGAAGATCATGGGAACTACGGACTTTGCGGTGCTCGCGATCATACATGACGTTCCCAGGTTTAACGTCCCGATGCATGATCCCCCTAGAATGAACGAAGTCCAACGCCTGTTCAAGTTCGTATTAAAACTCGCCATATAACAGGATCTCAGTGTACTACGCACCTTGAGCAATTGGAAAATATAATGCTTGATCTCCAACTCCGTCAACGTAGGATACAACTCCTTCCACTCCACATTCCGCACAAACTCCATGATCAAACTATTCGATCTTGACAAAGGGTCCCGAACGACGTCGAGCAAACTAACGATGTTCGGTCCCCCAGTGAGATTACGCAAAATTTTGATCTCGCGCTTGATCTTCTTCTTGGATACAGGCTTGAGCACTTTGATAATACATGTTTCCTCATTTGACATATCGATCCCTTCGAATACCTATTCCATACGCCGATTCCAGCATCACGGAGACGTCGAGAGTAATATGTACGACATACCTCTGAATATTTACCGCCACCTACCCTCCGCACGATCTCATATCGATCCGGGACATTCCAATCTACATGCAACCGTTCTGGGTTAAAGCATAAGTAAGTTCCATCAGTCTTGATAGCAAAGTTTCTAGACTTGAGAAGAGTGACTGCTTACCGTAGTCATACCACCCCGGTCCCAGGCTTTCATTCACGCTGGCATATACACGAGCCATTTGGGATGCAGGAGGCGCAGATTAGCTAAGATCAAAGCTTGGCAGGGAAGAACAGAAAGAATAAATGAGAGTATAGCGGTCGTTCTCCCTGCGACCTACGCGTGGTGCCTCGATGTAGAGGATTAACTGCTGAACAGACCTCGCAGCATGTTGAGGCCCATGTGCATCGTGGCCAAGGAATGCTCTACGCTTACCTCCAAAGTCAATCAAGCCTACTGCAGGCGCCCTCCCAATCATCCTGCCGCCGGCTAGACCACCCCGGAGTTCTAATTTAGGCAACTCATGTGGTTGCACCCAGTCCATCACTAGGTTCGAATACTGCCGATGCATCTTGACGAGGACGAGGCCAGTCTTGTATTCGCTATATAGTCGTCGTACTGGGCCGCTACATGTAGGAGAATGGAGCAAAAGATACTTCACTCCTAGTGCCTCATGAATTTCATTTTATCTCTCCTCTTCAATCGGGCGGAATTCGCCGAAGTGTTCCTTCCCAGTACCACCATCTCGTCCTCGAGGCTTCCGTCCTCCATGCAGTCTCAGTCGCGTTGCCGAGTGGCACATGAATACAAAGCTGAACCCTGAGGCCACTGTCTGGTGACGTTTCTCCTCTGGTTAACCATTGCCATGGCCCCGTATTATCAGACCGCAAAGGTACCGAATTGCGCTCCGTCAGACCTACGATCCATTGACGAACATTTCCTGTAAAGTCTTTTGCAGACGTGTCCATCACCGAAGAAGGAATCGATACTGATTCTTTCCTCAATGCATCGGACGACTTCGTTAACATGTTTGGTAAGTCCCTCGCTAACCAAGATAATGGCAAAACCCCGTATCAATAAATCGGTTGCTTTTTCTTCTGTAGACCTTCTGGGCAAGGGAGTTTTTGGCTTTGTTCAGACAGACCTCAGGAACAATATTGCCGTAAGTGCGGGGGTTACTCGCCATTCGAAGGCTTGATGTGACGTTCCACTCCACTTGTGTCCCACCGGCTACAGGGCGTGAGGGAAAGATATAATACCGCTGCTTCTACCTCCACCACTTTGGAGAATCTAGTGAAAGCTGAGGCTCACGAACATGACCGCCATGGCACAGCGTGCTTAGTGCGACTCATTCGGTGTGTATTATCATGCGGGTTCCCTTCGGAACATGAAGCTGACAATGGTGTTTCTTTGACCCTCCATCAAACCCCTGGCTCCTCCATCTTCTGCCGGTGATATGGTCAATAGTGGTCTTCTGTTTACGTGTCAAGCACTCCAGAACATGCAAACCGACAGAGCCTCGGAGCTTCATGTTTGCTTCAAACGCTCTTATGATACTCATTTGAAGCACCATCACACGTTTATCATCCGTTCGGTTGTTTCTGTAAGCCTTTGACTTCTTATAGTGTGGCTTGCCACTCCGATTCTAGGCATTTAGCGTGTTCCTGGGACTAACCAGACTTTGTTTCCGGTTATATCGGATTTTCAGGTCGCCATTCGAGCCGTCCCTCATCGCCACGATTTCTACAACCGAATCACTCAAGGTAGCCCACACGAGTACTTTGACGAGGAACTAGCCAAGTGGCTGGTGGGTCTACAGAACATCGTACAACGGATGAAAACTTTTCTTGAGCAAGGTGGATACGGAAAGGTATAATTCCGCTACAAAGTCCAGCCTTAACATTGGTCTGGGCTTTCCTGGGTGCAATTCCAGACACAAGCACCCTACGTATGATATGTTTATGTCTGTGTGTTCATGGCAGAGCACTGTCAAGGGCCATCCATATATGCCAAGTCTTGCTCCACCCTAAGTGATTCTTTTCGGACATGTGGCTCATACAAGTTTGATGTACCGAACGCTATTGGCTAGACTTGAGGAGCATTTTCATTCCGTGTTGCAGGAAGTTTGGACATGTGGACCTCGAGCAGTCTCGAACGTAGCCCTTTGAAGTCGATGTCCCGCATGTTCTAGGTGTTCTCTCATTGGTCTTACACAATCCTCTTCCAGCTGGGTGACATAAGTAAGCTCCAGGGTACGGTCTCTTTCTGTTCTGGAAATATCTAGTTGTCTGGATACGCAACAGCAAAGATCCTTCCGCAGTGATCTTACTCGCCATAGTGGAAATACACATCCCACGGAGAAAAACGCGAAAGGCAACTCTCTCCCCGCAACATACCGCCTCACCACATGCAACCGGACCGAATATAGCGAATGTTCTGAGTTGTAAGGGGGCCAGAGCTTCCAGTCGCATTCCAAAGTTTCCAAACCTGACGGTGATTCACAGAAACAACGTTCTGTGGCTGACATTGGCCTGATGGAAAACAACATAGAAATATGGAAATCACCCTGCAGCCGGCGGACATTGCTCGGTATCAGAAGGGCTTAGATTAGCAACCGAAGCCCACCATAAGAAGGCTTGTTACGAAAACCGGTGAACACCTGCCAAGTGGGTCACTCGAACACCCCCCCCGTCGTCGTACTCTCAGAAGCAAATCGGCGGCGGCATCTGAGAGGCAAAGACGGAGAAAAGAGAATACCAGGTTGAATACTTGGTGGAAAGAATCTATCTATCTCGGTCTCTATTCCACGTTGTCGTGATCAATCGTGTTAGATGTCGTTGAACTCTGAGGGTGGCGTTGATGCAGACGAAGATCGTGTACATGTCCCGTCTTCCTGGCTGCCGGAGAAAAACCGAAATCCTTATGTGAGTTGCATGTTCAAGACCTGGCCAGCGTGTAGCTTATGTCCGGTAAGTGAGTGTCGGAGAAATGTCATGAGCGACCCTAGAGAGTGACAGAAGTCTAATAGAAATGAAGAATGACAAGTGAGACTTGCAGCATCGGCGAAATGAAGACTTCACAGAAGGTGTGTGGCAAGAGCTATCGGCGGGCGGGTATCTGTTATATATGAATGTCAGAGAAATCGATGAAAGATGCACCGATATGACGGAGAAAGCTATTTTCTCGAAGACCGGGGTCAAATAGGTATGTTGGCAACGTCAGACGGAAGGGAATAACGCATGATAACAACGCTAAGAATCCTTTGGCGATGTGCGGGAGGACACTATGTTGGCCCACTACCACCTGTGAGGATCCGAATAAAGGTTAGCAGGAAGGGAGGATTCCGGAGGAGTTCAAGATCCTTTATTAGTATGATTGGTAGAAACGGTTAGAAGACCATCGCCTCCGGCAGGTAGGAGCTAACTACCTTTCGCAAAAGATGGACATGGCCAAGTATCACACGTTCTGCCGAAAAAGGTACCCTGGATGACAGAAGAATACGGGAAATGTTCGACACTGGACCCAAAGAGGCATGTCGTACCCTGATTATCTGGACGAGGCTGGGCGTGTTCTCGCAGACGAGCTACAAAAGTGAGAACGGGCGAGATGAAATGGACGAGGTATTGCTGGATGCGAGGAGGTACCTATCAACATATTCAGTCGTCTGGAGGACAGATCCGACATACAGGGTTTGTCATGTTTAGGAAGAGCGGCGGCCCAGTGAGACGAAGAATCGCATATTGAGTTTGTGTGAGAGGAGGGCGCACATGACAGAAAACATAAGGCAGTGCAGTCAGGTGTAGAGCCTGGATACGTGTGCATGTCAGAGATGGTGTCTAGACAAATGTGTAATTGCGAATGTTGGGCCCTTGAAAGGAAAGTGAGAACATCGTTTTTAGCACACCACCTAATCGGGGGCGCGGAGGTCAGTGTCACGGATTTTCATCATGGGCCTGGGAATTGTTTTCTGTTTGTTTTTCGAATTTCCGGCAAATCGACCATTCAATGTTTTCTCTTCTCTTCGATCCCATTTTATAACCTTCCACCACGTCAAGCCGCTCTTGGCTACCCTCCCCCATCATTCCCCGTACTCCCCTCGTCGCCCTTGTCATCGCAGGACACAGCGAGCTCGTTATTTGACCTACTGTTCGGCGGACATCAGAGATGGAGGAGATTGAGTGAGTGACTGTGTCCGTTTTAGTCAAACGCTCGTCCTGATGTTGGACACACAGGGAACAGCTGCCTTTGCCACCTGCTGATCAGATGCCCGCGTCCTCTGGGTTCGTTTTCACCATGGCCTTGAATTGTTTTCTGGCTTATCTTTCGCAGCATTATTCCTCAGAAACGCAAGGACCCTCCGCCAGAGGCCGATTCACCTTCGGTCTCTCCCACAAATGGTCGCGTTCCTACTGACTTGAGCAATGCCTTGGAAATTCCGAAAGATGAATATGAGAACGGTCGCGTAAAGTGCGAAGGTTGCGGGGAGGAAATTTCGATCAGGGATGAGGCGACGGGGAGTTTTACTGTAAAGCACTGGGAGGCACATCGGACCGATTGGTGAGCTTATTTCCTTTTTGCAAGTCAACCATCTAATTCAATTATTTTCTACAGTCCCAACGCCAAACAACCAACTCCGGAGGCTCCTTCACACACGCCAGAACCTTTGCTGGAAAGCCCAGGACTGCCGGCAAATAAACGTCGTCGTCCGAAACGAAACGAGGAAGAACGCATCGCTTATCTCCGCCATGACCCATATGTTGCCCAGTTCGAAGCATATCGCGTTTTGTGCGCGTCGTGTGACAAATGGATTCGATTACGTCCAAACTCAACTTATTGCTCAATTCCTTGGGATGCCCATAGGAAGAGTTGCCTTGCGAAGCGAAAGTGAGTTGTCACCTTCACACCCTCATTTTACGTGGACTCACGAGACAGTCGTCGAAGTGCAAAGAATGGAAATAGTTTTGATGACCGCACTGCCTTATTTGCCAATGACCCACATGTTCGCAAGTTCGATACAGAACGCGTTCAGTGTAAGAATTGTGAGCAGTGGGTTACCTTAGGTTCCACTGACAACACCACCGCTGTCAAGACATGGAGAGAACATCGAAACGCATGTTTGCAAAGTGCTGCTTCTGCATCTACTACTCCTGTTCCATCTACATCGACCGCCAGGTAGGAGGATTCTCTAATTCTCTAGACCAATGTTACGGTTACTCATGCCTTATTCTCTAGTATACCGACAGCCGATAGTGTACCTCCACCGTCGAAGCACCTGTTGGCTATGGTTGCGTCATCTATGCCGTTACCTGCGAGTATCACTCAGATACCTCCATCGTTATCTCCTTCGACATTCAAGGACTTGAATCCATCGAACTTCCCTCCCGCTCAAGAGTCAAGACGTCGCAACGCTGAACAGCGTGCGGCCGCACTTCGTTCCGATCCATTGATCGGCGAGGTTGAGCCCAATCGGGTCTTCTGCTCATTATGCCAGAAATGGGTACAACTAAGACAAGATAGTTCTTATTGTGCCTACCCTTGGCTCCAGCATCGTAGCAAGTGCCTAAACAAGCAGTTCGTATTACGTGTTTTGCCGTGTATGATTTGCACTGACCTGGATACGACATTACGAACAGACAGAACGGCGGACACAAACGCGAGCGCGCCCAGCGGGAGGCCGAATATGTTGCGGCAGGCGCGTTCCCGAAAGGCGAAACTGGTGCTGACGACTCCGATGAGCCCGAGTCTGAGGAAGGCGTTGAGTCCGGTGCGGACAAGGATGCAAAGGAAGCAAGACGACGGGAGAAGCGCAAAGCCAAGGACGTCACCACATTGTCTCGGAGAAAAGACGCTTCTAGACGGAAGTCTCCACCTGACCTCTCGTATCCTTTCGAGGATCCGGACGCGGAGGGTGAACCCGACTATATGGATGTTGATCTAGGTCATCCAGCTATTCTCGCGGATCTGGACTCGCCTGCAGGACGGTGAGTTCGCATGTTGTATATTCGCTGTAGACTTTCAAACGCGAATTGCTCGTTTCCAGGTTGGACTTCGCCTTCAAGTCCATTCGACACCTTTTTAAGACAACCTATGCTCGATCAGATGATCTCACGATCGCGACTCTTGTAACATATCTGAACGCCGCCATGCCACCAGACAAGCACGAGGACTTCGACACGACCGAGGTCATCAAGGCTGCCACGGCACTCCATGAACGCGGCGACTTTGTTTTTGTGGGCGATGTACTTCGCATACCCGAATGAACCGTCAAGTTTTCTACCCATTGGTTGGACGAATCTACGTTGGACCATGCTTTTTCTATTCCAGTTCTCCGCTGTCCTCTTGATCAACAATTGTTGTGCTACATTTAGGTTTCGCCATATTCACGAAATTTCCGGGACATTACTCGGCTGTATCCAATAAACAATCAACTGACGATGAACGTAGGCTTTGGCTACGACTTTGTTTCTTTTAGATCTCGCCTCTCATTCCTGCCCCTCGCTGCATCTGCATTTCATCTTATTCTTATTGGTGCCTAGTTGCTCCCCCTCATACACGCATTTATGATCTGGTGTTTTGCATTGTTTTGAATCTGTATCTCTTGTTGATTCCCCTGTTCTCTTGGTCCTCTCTTCTCGGGCTTTGAGGTTATGAATATGTAGACATTGACCGATATCGGACACTCGTCGATACAAATACAAATGTAAGGTTCTTTGTACACGTCATCCTTACAAGAAGATACGTTATACCATCTTTATGGACCGCGTGGTACTTCGCTCTGGTTTTCGACGGGGCCACATCCTGAACGTTGCATATTGGATATTGAACGGCGGTGCATGTACATCCATCTGATGTTGTTCACCCTGCTAACAACTAGGCATTTGTCAACATCATCACATGTCCGTTAGTATTGACGCTTCACGATGGTTCTGGCTCTTGACAAACGCCTCTGATAGCCACTGCAACTTCCTGTTCCGAGCTTAACGGAAGAGTGCCAAAAGACCGACGAGGGTGTGACAATCTAAATACGGCAAGTACAGTGTTCATTTAGAGTTTCCCCGAGAAGTTCACAGGCTATCACACATGTGTCTTGGCAGACATGCAGATGCCGGAAAAAGGTGTCAATTGTCTGTTCTACCATAAAGTACGCCGTGTATTACGATCAAGTGAACAAACGAAGAGAAGGGAGGAATAAAGGAGAGTAATTGTTAATAGTCCTTTCGTATGGTTATTCTGGGGAGAAGTGAAAATTGGCCTCCTTTCATTCGTGAAGTGATATGACGGACACACACCATCCTCTAAGTCGATATCCACATTGCCCTCAGGCAGTAGTAGTGGCCGCCACATCGCTGGTGGCAGTGTCGGAGGCACTTGCACTGTCTGTGACACTGTCGGTAGCCGTCGCGCTGACGCTGTCTGTGGCGGTAGCACTTGCGCTGACACCGTCAGTAACGCTTGCGCTTGCAACGGCAGTCGTGGTCTCGTCACTCTTGGTGACGGTCCGCACAAAGGTAGTATTGACGACGGTCAAGAAGGGCGACTCTACAAACGAGTATCCAGTGTGAATCTAACGCGGGTGTTTAGAAAACAAAAGAGAGACTCACCCGTCAACAGAGTGTTCACGATTCTCGTCATGGTGAAGGTGGATACGGGAGGAGGGGGAGGATCTTGTCCAGCGGGGGCGGACGAGGCAGCAGCATCCTGGGGAACGGGAATCTGTAAGGATGTCTGACTTGAAAATTAATGTGGTTATTGGGTCAAAGACGTACTGCGAAGGCTATTCCGAAGACAGCTACAGCTATGGCGACGAGAGTAGCACACTTGAAGAGCATGGTGAGCGAAAGATGAGAGGTGTTGGAGGGAAAAAGGTGCTGCAGAGAACTAAAACAGTTGTGTAGGTGATGGGGACATTGAGGGTTTATTCTGTCTTATACGACTTCCTTAACGATGCATATTGTGTTTAGCAAGCAATATCAAGTGGCCGATCAATCGGCTGAGTAGCAGAAAAGCCTCCCACACGAAAGTGGGCTGTTCTATTCCCAGGCACCACTAGTATGAATGCCGACCGCTTGGTTTCAGACTTTCAATTATGATGAACCTATCAACAAAGACCGGTTCAGGCGATGTACGACTTTCACTACATTTCAAGGTGGTCACTTACCATACATGGCCTTATGCTTTCCCAAGTCCGAATGAGAGTGCACTGCGCAGCGATCGAACGGATCACTTACTTGAACGTTGAGGTCATAACAGTTCCGTAAACATAATCCATCACGGTCCCTTGACAAGAGCGATAGTATTCTTTGCATTCTTACAAACGACAACATAGAGAAGGTACCTGTAAGACCGACAGTACGTGCGAGTTGTAGCTCACTGTACAGGTCTACACAGGCTTTCAGAAGGTAGTTCTTTTGGCGGCGCAGTAGAGGAATCGAATATCTGTTCTGAATTCAAGTTTGGTCGGCACCGAACAGGATAGACTGCGCATGAGGATGCCGTCAGAGAGAACCGACACACCGGATGATAGAAACAGAATGCTAGGGCGACCTGCGCAGATTTGCCGCATGCAACAAACCAAGCGTCGACCGCATATCACCGACAACAACGCAAGTCAAGTCCGAAAGCTAGAGGACCATAACTATTGACATTACTTCGTTCGGCATTGCCAACGAAATCAACATGATTATCCTTCGTTAGGAAACCCTCACAGTCACGCCAAGATGCTCCAAAGTTGAGGAGCCAGGAACAGGATCTGAATCGCGAGATAGAGGCCGGGCTATCGTAGGAGCAAGATAATGCTGTGTAGAGCGCATTTGTCCAGATTGAGTTGACTGTGTATTTGAAAGGAATGGAGGCATTTTTGACAGTACCCAATACCATCGTCTTGACGTCTTCAGCCGCAATCACGCGGCTACTGTACACATAGGCATGGGAACGATGCGCACATCGTACGAGAACACGGATACCATGGATGCAAATTGTTTGAGTTACAGCATATAGCACTCTAGATGTCGTAGAAATTCGCAGGCAGGTGCGCAGCAGAATCTGTGTTGATGTGCCCAAACCGTAGTACAGAAGCCATCAGCGCAATGGGAAACCAGGTCAAGGAGGAGAATCTTACTGATTTACTATCAGTATTTTTGAAGGACTAGTGAGAGTTGTAAATGTTTTCCAGCGTTGAAGGTGGACGCTGTTGATGCAGTGCAAGAGGCAATTCAGAAATGACCGGATGTTATCACCGGGGTCAGGGTTTCAAATATTGGGCGTCTATATGTCGGCTATTGATGGCAAGTTTAATGGTTGGACCCCGTCCCTGCCAACTCTCATATTGCCACTCTATTGATTTTCGGTCGACACCATTCCCATGGTGCTGGTTTTCGGCGATAGGGATGGTCTGACGGAAGCTGAATGGAAAAGATCGAAACTCACCTCTCTCAGCTGAAGACTTACAGTATCTTGTATGCGTTTTCTTCAATATAGTTAGACACAGACTGCCGTCGACACGTCACAGATCGCCCTACTTGCGGGGCACTTAGTAGTGCACAGCACCGGGCACCTTCTCAGAAAGCTGTCACTTCTGCCGACACCATGGGCGGTCACGGATATCCGACTTTACGTCCCTATTTCGGGCTTGCAACGGCGACGCCTCCAAACCAACAACGCGGTACTTGGTGCGTGTATAGGTTGTAGCGCAGTTCCATTTTCTCACAATTGTACCAAGGTGCCCTCAATGCTTTCCTGTTCTGGTTGCGCCAATTGCGCTGTATCGGATCACCTTTGGTCATACCCAACGCTTCGTTTCCCAAGGATTCTGCCTACATGTTTCAACAACTTTCTCGCAGTCTGGCTCTTCGCGATGATCGCGCTTAACTGTGCCTTGACTTCCCACATGCATGATCGGAATTGATCGCAATGGTTGCCTGGGTAGGAGACTGAAGTGCTTCCCGAACGGTTCAGGTGCAGTAAGGTAAACGTACTGAGGACACTATAAGAAGCGATCGCTTTACCACTGTCATCCCACTATCAACAGTGGCCTCGGACTCCAACTACCAGAGCCCTCATATTCGTCCTTCTTTGGCCCCAAATGCCTCACTTTAGTACATTGGTTTCTCTTATTGTCCTCGCTATGTCGTTGGGCTCTGACGCGGCAATTGGCCCGGTCACTGACCTCGACATAGCGAACGCCGCAATCTCTCCAGACGGTTTCTCCCGTCAGGCTGTCCTCGCGGGAGGTACCTTTCCTGGACCTGTTATCACTGGCAACAAGGTAGATCCTGTTCTCCGGAACTGTAATACTTGGATCTCACTTACCTTCTTCTCTAGGGTGATAACTTCCAGATTAACGTTGTCAATCAACTCACCGATGCCGACCAGCTCAAGACCACAACCATTGTATGCATACCTTCACAACCTTGTATTAATTGGTTTTCTGACAGAGGCTCTAGCATTGGCATGGTTTCTTCCAAGCTGGCAGCAACTGGGCTGACGGTGCCGCCTTCGTCAATCAATGTCCTATCGCGTCTGGCAACTCCTTCCTGTACAACTTCAACGCAGGTGATCAAGCTGGTGCGTTATTCCTTTCCGACTTATTGGTGATGAATGCTTAAAGCCATCCGTCTCCAGGAACCTTCTGGTACCATAGTCACTTGTCTACACAGTACTGTGATGGCTTGCGAGGTGCCCTCATCGTGTACGACCCAGATGATCCTCACGCCAGTCTTTATGACGTCGATGATGGTGAGAACAATGCTTAAACCGTTCTTTGACTCCGACTGTACTGATGTCACCTTCCATGTAGAAACCACTATCATCACCCTTGCAGATTGGTATCATACATTGGCTCGCGAGGGTCTTGCCTTCCCGTAAGTTCTTCGCGTCCTTTCCTTACGATTAATACTCACGAGTTCCATCAGTACCGCTGATGCCACCTTGATCAACGGATTGGGTCGATATGACCTTGGACCCGACTCAGATCTGGCTGTCATCAGCGTTGAGTCCGGAAAACGGTAAGTTCGCTGTATGTCGTTGTCTGGTTTATCTCTGATCGAGGTCTTCTCTTCGTCAGTTATCGGTTCAGGCTGCTTGCCATTTCATGCGATCCCGCATACACATTCTCCATTGACAATCACACCATGACCATCATTGAAGTCGATGGCATAAATAGTGAACCCCTCGCTGTTGACTCACTTCAAATTTTTGCTGGTCAGAGGTATTCGTTCGTGGTACGTAACTGCTTGTCCTATTCTCTCACGATGCACCTCCACTCACTCGGCATATTTGTAGCTCGAAGCGAATCAGTCAGTTGACAACTACTGGATTCGTGCGGAGCCTAACGTCGGCACTACCGGTTTCTCAAACGGCATCAATTCGGCTATTTTGCGTTACGTTGGGGCTAACGAGACTGAACCGGTCACGGAACAGACTACGAGCACTTCACCGATGAGCGAGGTTGATCTGCGTCCACTTGATAATGCCGCAGCCGTAAGTCCTCGTCGTCGCTTACGATTTAAAACATCCTAACCAGAAACTCGTTAGCCCGGGGATGCCGTTGCAGGCGGTGTTGACCTAGCTCTAAACCTTGACTTTGCATTTGTAAGCGAGACGGAGCAATGTTTCAGTAACGGTGCTTTGCTAATTCGAGAATCGTTGGCAGGACGGCACTACCGCTCAATTTACTGCCAATGGCGTTACCTTCGTTCCCCCCACTGTACCCGTTTTGCTTCAGATCATGAGTGGCACTGTGGATGCTACGGACTTGCTTCCTGCCGGTGCCGTGTACTCATTGCCTGGCAGCTCCACCATCGAGATCAGCATGCCGGGTGGCGCCGTTGGTGGTGGACATCCCCTCCATTTGCATGGTGTAAGTAATTTCGGCTGTTTTGTAATCAACCGTTGGTCTGATGTTTTATTTTTCACAGCACGTTTTCAATGTCGTCCGTAGTGCAGGCAGCACCGACTACAACTATGCCAACCCCATCCGTCGCGATACGGTCAACATTGGTGCCGCTGGTGACAATGTTACAATTCGCTTCACGGTGTGTCTTCCAGGGTAACTTCTTCTTGGCTGTGCTTACTGAGCTTTGCTACTAGACCGACAACCCGGGACCGTGGTTCCTCCACTGTCATATTGATTTCCATCTGGAAGCTGGGTTTGCTGTGGTTTTCGCTGAGGATATCAATAATACCGTATCGGCCAATCCCGTTACCAGTAAGTGTTGAGAATTCTCATTTATAATGTAGAAGGTGATTAATGATCTCCGCAGCCGAATGGAGCGACCTCTGCCCCACCTATGATGCCCTTGATTCTTCGGACCATTAAGTGCTTTCAATAGAGAGGAAGCAATGGGATGAAGATGGACCTTCTTTAATGTCTTGAATATTTACTGTCACAACACCCCTCCTTTTGGACTATGTATGCGACTATAGAAGCAAATAATCATGGAATCTGTCTAGAGAGCAGAGAATTTGTTCAGTTGCAAACAGTTCACTTTTTGCAAGAGACGCCAGCGTAGGTAAAATGACCTCAGCGCTTACATGACCTTCAGCTCTTCCACTTAGTCCTTACACTCGTCGTCATTTGGTTTGTGTATCCCTTGGGCTGCTTTAACCCCTTGCTGTCTGGCAGATATTGAGAACTCGATTTCAAGAAATTCGGACAATGCCCTAGAGATCCTACTACTTACGGCCAGAAAGGAATACCATGATACTGGATCTTTCTTGACCCACCTTATCCTCATTGCGCCACGCTTTAGTAAATCTTGCCAGTGAAGATGGCGCGGATCCCTCATGATAGGATATGATGGATCGCCATTCCTCCTGTGATCTTTTACACGGCGAGAAACGAGAAATGTGGTAATTCATGTAGCCTGCGTGGTTGAACTTCAGATTCCGCTCCACCCAGGCTGTAATGTGACGGTCCTTGGTGAAGCTCTTCACAACAGGTGTATCCTCGTTATTCTCTTCACTTGATATTTGCAGTCCTCCCGATTGCTCTCCCTCTTCCTCGGACGCGACGACAACGCGATAACAAGGCATTTTGCAATTGTCTTCACGTGATCGTGTTTGCTAGGAACAGCCTGACGTCGGTTGGATCCGTCGATCGTTTCGGATGGTTCGCTCCAGACCTCTACCGCCCACTGGGCAAAGAGGCTGAAGAGACTTGGAGCGTTCAATAAATAGGTCACAGCCTCTCTATTTTCTTCTTCCAACTCCCACCATCACCATGCTTTCAAACCGATTAACCCGCTTTGCGGTTCTCCTTACTTGTGTCTGTTCCGTGGCTGCCCAATTCCCCCCATACAGACGGAGACGTTCTTTGGCAGGTTCTGTAATTGCAGGAATTTGCGTTGGTAAGCTCTGTTTACTAGGCATGATAAGAGTTTGATTTGAACTCGATTCCGTAGCGATTGTCTGCGGGCTACTGCTTTTATCGCTATGCTGTTTGCTCACAAGGCGTCGGCGTCGCCGAGGTCTTGCTGTAATCCCTGGGCCCAATGGAGGCTTCTTCCGACCTAACCAAGGTCGAATGCAGAGCACTCAATTCAATCAACAACAAATGCAGCAACCGCCTCCCTCCGGCTACAATGCCAGCTACAGCGGAAGCGTACCGGCAGGAGGATATCAACCTCCCCCGGGTGCGCCTCCGCCCCCACCTCCACCGTATCCTGGCAAGGAGCCATATACCCAGGATGGTGTGCCCCAGCCTGGTGGTTTTGCTCCCCCGGGGCCTCCGCCAGCTGCTCATGTCAATGAGAATGTGAGACATATGCATCTTGCTTTTCATTTGAGCATTGTACTGATGATAATTTTAGGGACGTACTGGATGGTTCAAAAACCGCTAGTTCGATAAAACCAATTTTCACAATGGACATTTGTATACCCAACACTAGATATCCTATCAAGATCCAAGATACAGTACAGACTTCAGAGACGTTTTAGTTCTCATTGTAGCGCTAGTTAATGTAGTATACTTGTGTTGATGTACATACCATGCATCGTGCTCTCTGTTTTGATCTAAGCTCGTATGCCTTTTTGCGCCAGTAGGCATGACCACATGCATAAGCGAATCGTCTTAGTGCAATGAGTCGTCACAGATTTCTGCTCCATGCGTCTGTGTACGTGCAAAAGTATGGAGATCCGCGGTTGCAAGGTTCAATGACCTTGCGTCGTTCATGACTCCTCCAAGGCGTCAGCTCCACAGTATTGCGATAATCATACTTTGAAATAGGGAAATCCAGACATCCAAGTCGTCTATTGACCTCAATATTATAATGAAGCCACCATCTACCTCGCAATGAACATTGAAAAAGCGGAAGATTAATACTTCAGATTCTCGTCGTCGGAACCTCCTGTCCCAAGTTCAGCGCGATGACTGGAACCAGGAAAATGCAAAGCCACGTGGAATTTTGTGGTTCGAAAATCCAACCGCACCAAGTTCATTTTGGACTTCAAAGCTTTACCTCCTCCCTCCCTCCACATCGTACCGTCCTGCGCTACACACGCTTCTTCATCTCTTGGGTTGTCTTATTGTTACATCTGGTCTACGACCCGAACGGGTGCTATGTCTGAAATTTTGCTGGTCTTATTTCTCCAGCTGTCTTTTCTTACGCTTTGCGTTTTGGAAGAATCTCTTGAGGTAGTGCTTGATGCTATAGCTTTTGCATCGTGACACATTTCTCACACCCTTTTAGACTTCGTCTATACTAAAGTCACCCATACTATCGGATGTTATTACTCTTTCCCTGGATGTCACTATCTCTCTCTGTCGAATTTCCGCTCGTTTTCTGTCATGCTTTGGATTTTGCAATGTTTCAAGCTTGACTCACGCTCGGCTATCTTATTTATCCCATCTCCGTGTAAGTCAATCTCATTGTAATACTGTAAACCCTTGGTCATAACATTGTGGCAAACGCAGGAAATGGGTATCTGCCTTGATTCTCTAGTTAACGTTACTGTCCATTCTCTTCCCGCGGACAATCTCTCTTCCCGAGAAGAACGAACCAGACTCCAGAATCAACTTGCACGCGCGCATAGCAAGCTGTCCCAGGCTCAAAGCGATCTATCGAAATTGCGCCGAACCTATTCTGCCTTGGAAACCAACCTCGCTGGCATACGCTCAGAGCACTCCATGTTGTTGGAGACTGTTGAAGCGCTTCGCAATACTGGCGGAAACGTTTCTGTGGTCTCGGGTGTAAAACATACGGAAAAACTCAGTCTTTGCAATAACTTGACGAACCGAGGACTGCAGCTCCAAAACATGGAATATCAGACGGCTACCACTGTGGGCGAAAGTGGTCACTTCTGTGACTCTTCGAAAAGATGCAATAATCCTTTTATGAAGTCACAAGCCCCTTGCTCTTCCCTGACTGCTGAACAGGACAACGTTCAATGTATGCACCAGGCACAAATACTCGACTACAAGAAGAAAGCTGTTAGCTTCCGTCAGCACTTTGTACAACGTGACGCCAAGCATATACGGGTCATTCACCAGCTTTCGTTCTTCCTGCTCCTTCTCTGGCAATGGTCCCATGTTCTTCGAACTCGATCGACGCATGCATCGACAACCCGGACGGCTGATATTCTTTGGAAACGCTTTGCTGACCAGAAACTGGAAGCTGGAAGAGAGCGCATGCGTGCGCTAGTCGAGAACATTGAGCTCAAGGATCAACTGCTTAAGGAAGTCGAGATTCATCAGGATGATGCGCTGGTTCACAGGTATCATCGTGGAGAGTATCGTCTGGCTCTTCGACTCTGTCAAGAAGCCTCTACCAAGTTCCGCAAGTATCGAAGATACGCTCTCGGTAGATATTCTCAAACTGTGACTCGACTTTTGGCTGGGTTACTAGTGCTCTGGCGATTCAATATGGTTCTTGCTAGGGAGCTGACTGAAGCTAAAGCTATGATTCGTGCTCTCGAAACTACTGCTGCCGATACTTCTTCTGCGGAACCTTCTTCTGACGACCCCAACGAATACGACCATATCCCTTCCGCCGCATTTTCCCGTTTGCCGCGTATCGAAGCCGCAGCTGTCTATGTCAACCTCTGTCGCAAGTATGATCATGTTCAAGCGGACTACCACCGATTCGTAGAAAGTTGCACTCAGGCGTCGGCGTCGAAAGTCAAAGTTGGCGCATCTGAAGAGCTCACTTCTTCCCTCCAGGAGCTCCAGACGGCGTACGAGAACTTGATTTCCGAACACAGCGAGGCTCTGGATTCTCTGGACAGGCTCAAGGCCGAGGTTGAATCCAGGGACCAATCGCTCAGCGACTTGCAGAAGCAATCTAAGCAATTGGAAGGACACCGCCGTTCACTTGAGGAAGATCTTCAAACCGCTCGCGAACTGTTGCGAATCTCGCATGACCAAAGGAAAGAGGTCGAAGAACAACTGTCCGCAGTGCGAGAACGGATAGAACAGGCCGCCCAAGACCTTTGCGCTAAGGACCAGGCATACCAGGATAAGGACGGGGAGCTCACAAGAACGAACGAAACTATTTCCTATTTGCAGAGTCGCGTTGAGGCGCTTGACGAGGAGATGCAGGATCTGTTGCGAAACTCGGAGATGGAAGTTACGCGACTGCAGCATAACTTCGAGGTTGCAGACCAGAAGTTCCACTCGTGCGAGGGTGACGTCGCCCGACTCCTTGGCCAGCTAACGGATTCCGAGAACGCCATTCGTGTGGCCGATACGCAGAGACAGCAAGATGAAGGTTTACTTCGAAAGGCTCAGGATGTAGCCAAATCTAATGACGTGCAGAGGCAAAGGCTCGAGGCCCAATGTCTGGAGGCGAACTACAAGTTGCGCGAGGCTGGAAATACTGTCGACTCCCTGACCAATCTGTTGGCTTCGTCGAAGAAGCGGATCGTTGAGCTGGAGGCACTGATGGAAAGTCTTTCGAAGGACTTGGACGTCTCTCGCGCCACCGCTCTCCACACTGCAACACGTGTCACAGAACTTGAGCAGCAGTTGCAGGATTCCGAACGTATACGACGGACCTTATCCCAAGAACTAGATGAGGCCTCTAGAGCTCAGACTGCTATGACGATGTCGCTAGCTGACTCAACAATCAGGTATTCCAGGCGCTCCGAGGCGGCTGAGGAGGCTTTGCCTTCGTCCAAGCACGAATTCCTCACGTCGAGACTTGTCCGCTTGCAGGCTACGGTGCGAAAGCTGGAAGGCATGGATCGTTGGTATCTTGATGCACTCTTCCGAAATCAAGATCACTTCCAAGATGCCCAGTTCCTCACTTCTGAAGGTGATTCCTTCGCTGGCCAGGACCGTGTCACATCTTCATCTGCTGGACCGTCATCCGGCGGCCTCTCATCTACACGCTCGTCGGGTCCACCTATCACATCGACCTCTACTAAGTCTCAATCTAAAAGACTATCGGGTGGTGTACTCTGCGGGATTCCCAGATGGAAGAAGCGTACCCCTGTAACGCCATTGCCAGATACCCCCACTTCTAAGACCACCACTCGTCAACGTCATCGCCGTCGGGCAATCACTGAACCCGCAAGTAGCATTAGGGAGGCGGGAGTTAATGAACTTCATGCGGCGTCTAGCCCGTCTGTAGTCCCATTAGGAGGAGTACCAAACGTGGAGCGCAGGCGACCAACAGCTTATGCCGCACCCACTCCGGGCGGTATTATTCTTAGACGCAGTGCAAGTTCGGTCAATATTGCAGATGTGCTGCCAGATGAGTAAGTTGTTGTGTCCTAACGTCTTTCAAATCTCTGTATCTGACGCATGAATATGTAGTGACATCGATGTGTTTCGTCTATGCCTTCGAGCTCCCCGAGGGGTACCTTCACAAACACCTGTGTTTACTGGTATCCGCAAGGATGTACGCATTCAGCCCAATGACTCTGGCATGGGTCTCGGGGTCAGACCCTCCAGTAACAAACTTATAATGCCAAGAGGAATACCACCTGGCTCGCAACCTTCTGTATAGTTTTATAAGCTGTGTCTTTGATACGTTTTCTTTGTCATGTCTACATTACACGGACATAACCATCATCTTTTCTAGCTATGTAACTCACTTACATTCCTTTCTTTTTGTATCAACTTGTTTGAACGCTAGAATGGATATTTTCCCATATAACCACATTGGTATGCTAGAAAGTGTTTATTGAGAGGTTCCCCTTTTCACAAACCAACTTGTTTTCTCCCGCGCAACCAGAGTCACGAGAATGAAGTTACTAAAAGTGACGGTCTGTATCACCACGCTCCACCAAAAAGAGAAGGGGGAGAACAATTTCCTTTCCAGCTTCTACGCTTCCATTTTGCATTCAAATGAGATGGGGGAATGAAACGTTTTCGGCTGATACAATTTCGTAAAGTAGGGAAAAATCCTATGGAAGAGTATTGAAATGATTGGGCACATTATGAGATATGCAATGACGAAGTATTAGGAGGAATAACAGGGTAACGATACATTCTTGGATATACTACATCTCAGCATGGCATACTAATGACTTGAGATAAAAGTTTAATCCGCGCGAGCGAACTTGACACCGCGTTTGCCAAATGAACCATCCTCCTCATTATCAAATGTGGGAGTAGGCGTGTCAGTAGCAAAGGGAGTTGTGCTGGTGGTAGTAGGCGTGGAACTCCCGAACCCTGGGAAAGGAGGATAACCGGGGTAGACACCCGGGGCGGGGCCAGGGGCAGGGGTCGGAGCTGGGACACTACCTGCTGCCACATCGGCTGAGGAACGAAAGTTAGGCAAAACTGACCAACTCGGGTTGACTATAAGTTACTGACCTGCGTTGTTGATGCCCGAGAAGTCATAGTTGCCGTTGGCACGTTTGCGGGGAACACCAAAATTGTTAAGGCCATTTGGGCTGTTGAGATTGTTGCCATTACCAAAGGGGCGGAAGCCTGGAGCTGGGGTTGCTGCGTGGGAGGGGGCGGCGTCGCTCCCAAATCCTGGGAAGGGAGGATATCCGGGGTAGTTACTCGCGTAAGGGCGGTTATCACGATTCTGAGAGTCTGGAGTTTACAAATTTTAGACAAATTCGTTTAAGTGAAGTTAGATACGAACTGTAAAAGGGGTTGGAGTTTGGATCGTTAGGATCATAAGCGTGAACAGACACTACAGCTGCGAAGACAGCGAGGACAAGGGTGGTGAAATTCATGTCTGCGTAGATTGGTTGGTTATGAAGGGAAAAGTTTGAAGTCGTGAATCGATCAAGTTGAGCTTTTACAGCGTCGAAAGTCAAACTTATATACCTGAAGTCAGAGCCCATCCGAAGCTAGGCATCCGACAGCGCGATGCCCCCGTCTTCCGCTAGCCGTCATTCGAATGCCCAACCTTCATGAAGGGACTGACTGCACCAGATTCCGCAAAGACTCGGTTATGACATCAGCTGAATGCTTCGTTGGGCGACTTCACCTCGTTCAGCAGAAAAGTCATTGTTGTATGCCGATCATGTTTGGCGGGAACGGATGGGGGCCAGCTCCATACTCACCCGCCTCGGTCTATTTTCGTCATATCGAGCAGTTGAATGCGCCTCTCGACGTAATGATGACGATAATCAGGAACGTTTATGCATGTCTTGTTATTGACCTTTCGGTGTAGGAGGTCCTTATGGTACACAAGGGATCAAACAATTCCAAATCATAGATGGCAAGTTGAAGTCGATGCTCTTACCATTGTGTAAGTCTTGCTACGGATAGAGACGCCTATCAAGGACACGATAAAGGGTTTACGTGGAGATATTTGAGGCAATTTACGGGTACCTTCTGCGATATCATTGCTGTATGTGAAGCTCGTTCCTGTAAGTTGAAGCCTGCCAGTGGAAGGCCAACGTACTAGGCAGATATCCCAAATTGAGAAACGTTAGTTTACGGGTAATAATTACGTAAGACATTGATCCGCCGGGACGGCTTCGAGACGGTGATCTCCGGCTACCACTATTTATGGTAGTTCTCTGGTTGAACCTCACTCGTCCTCGATGTTTTCGTCGATTCTACAAAGACACATGAACATATCAACTTGTGTGCTATTTAATTGGCATTACCCCTTGCCAATGAGTATATTTTTTGTAGGCTCCGTTTTCTATGTAGTGATAACTGATGAGTCAGGGCCGCGCGGTCGGTAGCAAATCCCGAATGCCGATTTACATGCGATGGGCGCTTGTGCTGATGCAAGTATACAGTGAGGGAAAGGAGCCACTTACACAAAACAGTTGGGAGTAAACGCCTTTCAGTCATCCCTCCATCATGCCGGCTGAACCTCGTCGGACATCTCGCAAGCAAGCCAGCGAGGAGGACGTCGAGCTCAAGCGTGCTCGTGGTGAGATATCCTGCGCAGAATGCCGGAGGTACGAATTCAGTTTGCCAAGGGTTCCTCGATCAAGTTTTATTTTGGTCTTGCAGGTTGAAGCTAAAGTGCGACAAGAAGTTACCTTGCGGCTCTTGCGTACGAAGGGGCTGCACAACTATATGTCCCAATGGCAAGCACATGCGCATACATAGTCCGATGCATTCTTCTGAATCTTACGAGCAGGCAGTCTATCGGCGGGGCAAGGTACACGGTAAGCGCGTCTAGCCCCGATCTCAACTTCCAAACTAACTCGTCCTTGGCACTAGGTTTATATTGGCGGATACGGATCAGCTTCATCGCAAGATATCAGAGATGAGTGAACGAATACGACAGCTAGAGGATGCGCTTGCTATCTTCCAAGCCGGAGTTTCAAGCGAGAGGCACCCGTTGCTTCGTGATGAACTCCTTAGCATTAAATTTGGACCCGAGGTCCGGCGAACTGTAGATGAAGAACACTCAAGGAATGCTCTTTCTCAAACAATTGACGCTTTGGGGACCCTCACCGTGGGTGACCACGGGGAGACGAAATTCATCGGTCGTTCAGGTGGCACAGAAGTACGTAATGTGGATAATCTCCTAGAATCAGTTATTAATTCTTATGTTCAGACTTTGTTCATGGTTCGTGCCCACAAATCACATAATATCGTCACAGGTGAAGTGATCTTTCTATCTAGGCATTTGATTCGCCCGAATGGGGCGCCGAACCAGAGGATTCAGTGGAACTTGAACTACCCACCCTTGACCACGAACTTGCGAACCTTTCTATCACCTTCCCTCTGAACGTTGTTCCTGAAGGCGTCGACGCCATACTCGATAAACTTGAGAAACACCTCCCGCCACATCCTCGAGCCTGGGCTCTTTGTGAGGCATACTTGGAACATTTCACTTGGTGGTTCCGACCACTCAAACGCGACGAACTCATTGACGAGATCCTCTCACCGATATATAAATGCCTTACTGATCCCAACAGACGTAGCTACTTTGCCATATCGCAGCAGGATAATCGCTGTCCTCATCGACTTGCCGTCTTATACTTCATTCTGGCTATCGGTGCTTTGGTCGACCTGACGCTTCCTGCGTGCAACGTCGAGGCAGAGAAGTATTTTCAGCTGGGTCGAGCCACACTCTCGCTTCGGTCTATATTCGACTCACCGGAGGTCGAGACGGTACAGGCTGTGTCGCTGATGGCTGCGTACCAGAGCGCCTGCTCCCAGCGGTATAGTAACGATAGCGCGTGGTCCGTTATATCGCTTGCTGTTAAACTTGCGCAGAGCGTAAGTCTTTTATATCTAACAGTCAGATCTGATTGACATTTTCTCTTTATCCAGCTTGGTCTTCGTAAGTCACAGTGAACGATACACTAATCCATCCTCTCGTCTGAACTGTAGTTCCATCTAGACAGGGATAGCTCTCAATGGAAGCTTGATCCTAAAATAGTCCAGCGCCGCAGGAACCTTTTCTGGGAATTGGCAACGTTCGAGGCAACCCATGTTCGTTCTTATCTGCTGTGGCTGAGAGTCATTGGCTGACAGATAGTGACCTGTAGTGCATTTCACTTGGTCGACCGACATCGATATCTGAGGTCCATATCGATTGCGAACTCCCGCTTGATGAAGAGGAAACCATCGGTGAAGATGGGGAGAAGATTAGTGGTTGTCAGTAATATTGACCTTTGTTGCGTTAACACACTCTCACATCGTTGACAGTCTGGTTCTGGAAGATGAATTACGCCAAGACTGTGTTCATCAAGGTCATCGACACATTACTTTCCGCCAAAGCACCCAACTACGAGAGTGTTTTGGAAATGGACAGAAAGATCCGACAAGCCGAATTGCCCAAAGTCAAGTTATACCTCAAACCCGGCGAAGATGATTATACAGATCCTGGAGCCTGCATGAGGAGCTACCTCATGTCGCAAATTCGCTCAATTTGTACGCCCATGTCATTCGTGTTCACGCTGTATGTGACCAGCGTTCTGATTGATTGACTTTCGCAGCTATGCTCGCTATTCATAGGACCTTCTTCGCTCAAGCACTCCTTGACCATCCGACTAATCCTCTCCGAAGTCCATACGCGCCCTCGTTCCTTTCCATCAATCGTTGTGCTTGCATCCTGATTAGGTCTTTCCTGCACCACTTTGAGAGGAGACCTGATTTGTGCGGACGGTTCTGGAACATCTGGACCCACGCGTTCACAGCTGCAGTAGGTTTCATAGGGATTCTTTCTTGAAGCGCGTATTTTAATGTTGTCCCTTTTGTAGGTGGTCCTGGGTTCAACGGTGAAATGGTGTCCAAGTGCCACCATGGCTCCTAGTTCGTTGATCGAGTTAGACCTCGCAATCGAGCTATTCAAGAGGGGCGCTAATTCATCGCCTAGGGCCCGTATGGCCGTAGTATGTTGTGTTGTTGTGTTGTTGTTTGATTCGAAACCTCATCGTTGCTATTTTAGCCTATCCTTACTCGTCTCAAAGAGAGAGCCACACTTGCATATCAGCAGTTCCGCAACAGGCGTATTGCACCGACAACCTTGGACATTCAAATGGACATGGGGCCTGAAGACACAAGTGAGGACAAGTTAGCTATGTTTGGTGGCCAGACAAGAGTGGTCTCCACGAAGCTTTTAACAAGAAAGCGGCCAAAGAACGCAGGTGTCGCTACCCACAGTCCTTCTGCCAGTACCAGCAGGTCAACTACAGCGAGTAGTGATACAAGTCCAAGGTCGAGACATGCGTCAGACAGTCCTGTAAGGCATGACCCTCCATCACCTGCTGACTCAGTCGCCACACCCGCCGAGAGCATACCAGAAAGCCTCATGGCTGCGTTCAATGAAGTTCATCCCACCCTAGTTGAATATCTTTCGTTTTTCCCTTCCTCAGCCGCTGTTGTCGATACATCAAAGTGCCTCGTCGATCCTCCCACTGCTTCGTCATCATCTATACCTAACTCACCCCCAACGATACCCAACAGTCAAACCTCGTTACCCGCGTCTTTCGTCCGGCCGCAACAACCATCCTCTTCTATGTCTCCTTTCGCGTCTCCCCAGAACACCCATATCTTTCCTCAATCAAATTTCAACTACTACGCTGGACCTTCTCAGCCCACTGAAACCCACCGGGCAATGGAAACCAACGCCGTGTTTGCCATGGGCCCCAACGGGAATGATGTAGTTGGGATTCCGCAGATGCTAAACTTCTCTGACGAAATGATGGATGAGCAGTGGATGAACTTGATGCGGGACACTGGTGTCTTTGATGTTGGGAATGGATACACCAATGGGTTCAACTTTCCAGGTCCCTCCCAACAATCTAATGGCAATGGGAGTAATTACCAACCACCAAATGGAATGATATAGTTACTGTTACGATTATTTACGACTCGCAACTCACATTACATTGTATTTTTGCTTTCGGCTTTGCTCTAGCTTGCTTACGCTATCTATGTCCTGTCCCGTAATACATGCATCTGTAGTCATTATGTCTGTATCCTCGGATTCCGTCCTGCAACTTATACTGTATGTTATTTATTGCTCTCTGATTGTTTAGAACAATATATTGCAGTCATTGTCCTGATTCTATATCTTTGGAGCATGATGGTGAGCGTAGGCTTGATGCATCTTCGTAGCCTGTCGGGAGGAATGCTCATCGCACTGTACGTAAAGAAAGGATGTGGTTGGCATTCAACTATTCTGATAGCTTTGACCACTTTATGAGCCTAAGAAAACAAAGCGATGGTATCTACATACCATAATGCGTGCGGATGCGCAAATCATGGAACTATTTCCTGAATAATCTTCCCAACTTCCATCGCCATCTCATCACATCCCCACTGAGCCACAACGCTTACCCCAACAGGCCAACCATCTTCAGCCAAACCAGCAGGTACATTCAACGCGGGCAAGCCAGCCAACGAAGCTGGGACAGTAAGGACGTCTTGGACATAAGCCTCCAAACCGTCGTCGCGGATCAAGGCGTCATCTAGTGGAGGTGCCGTTCGGATCGCTGAGGGATGCAGTAGAACATGGACACCTCGCACTTCTGACTGAGGTTCCGGTGAGTGTGTTGAGTTGAGAGGATTTGCAACATGGAAGATTTTGTTGAAGTCTGCTCGGATTAGCTTTCTGACACGCTGCGCTTGGAGGAAGTAGTTGTCAAAGGCGCTAAAGACGGACTGAGTAGCCGCAAGAGCGACAGTACGACAAGAATGGCTCACTCTGCTGTCAAGGCATACGCGCCGAGCAATATACGCCTTTGAACTTCTTTTCCAAAACCTTTCGAGCGGGTAAGCGCGTAGACGTTGGCAGTCTTCGTTGTGTCAGCTCCCGGAGGTGGGTCGACGCGTAGTCCTAAAACTCATGGGAAACCTGAACTCAATATGCTTATCTATGATGCTTACCGTACTCAACGCCATCATATCGTGCCATATTACTGCTGGCCTCTGCACTAGCGATCACATAGTACGCGCTGAGAGCATACGGTGTTGAAGGTAGACTGACGGGAATGACCTGAGCTCCCCGGGATTGCAAAGCATCAATAACATGTCTTAAAGATTCTGTGATACTCGAGCTAAGCTCTGCGGGAAAGTATTCCTAGAAAAAGAAATGAGAGATACCAAGAGGCATGAAGTCGTAGCAACATACCTGAGGGATACCAATACGGAGGCCTTGTAAGGATCCTCCTTGAGAAATAGAGAGCCATTCCTGCATGCTACGCGAGCATGCTTGAGAAGCCTTCTCTCGCGTTTCAGGTGTCGCAGCACTTGGGTCCCTGTAATCGTACTGTCCAAGCGTGCCTGCGAATGACATGATTGTATGCACATGTGTAAAAATAAGGATAAGTTACCAAAGACCCGTTGTACCTGTTTCACGCTGCGAGCCATGATACCAACACAGTCTAGGCTGTCTGCAAATGAGACTACGCCCCACCTGAAATAGATGAATTGATATGAATGCCAGAGTAGGTTTGGGTGCAGAACATACCGACTGATTACCCCATAGGAAGGTTTAAGGCCGACAACACCACAGTAAGCAGCGGGAAGTCGAATGGAACCACCAGTGTCTGTACCTAATGAACTTCGCCCTGTTAGGCTGTGAAGGGTCATAGTTCCGATAAACAGAGCGCCTACACGTCACACATGCCAGCTGCAACAGCTGCAGCACTACCGCCAGAGCTTCCACCAGCGGATCGGCGCTCATTGGGTTCATGTGGATTGACAACAGGACCGTGGACGGAATATACGTTCAATGAACTTCATTCATCGACAACATTTGAGCAAATGATTGACTTGGTGTAAAAACAGGACCATACCCCATGCCAAATTCATCGCAATTTGCCTTGCCAATGATATCTGCACCTGCAGAGCGGAGAAGCTGTACCACAGTAGCGTCGAAGGGAGAATGAAAATTTCGAAGCATCGGCGAAGAGCAACTAGTCGGCATATCCGAGGTGCATATATTGTCCTTCACAGCTACAGAGACTTCGCGAAGGGGACCCGTTCCAACTGACTTCCTTGCAGTCTCAGAAGCTGTGAAAACCAGAGCATTAATGTCGGCATTCTTGTCGTAGGTTGCTTGAGAAGTTATCAATCTAGCATGATATCCGAGTATGTTCAAAGCTCTAAGATGACCGCTACATCGCAAGGGGCGAAGCATCGAGCAGAAAGGATATCACTGAGACCGACAACTCATATGGCGTAAATATTTAGTGAAATGTTGTTTGTGTCTGTTGACCAAGAGCCTCTAACGCACCCTGCCTAATTCGTAAATTTCATTGTATTTTTAAAAAGCTTCCTGATAACTATCATGCCTAGCAGTCTCGCCGCACGCAAGGGCGCACTCGCTTCCAAACTATCTTCGAGGCCTGCGAAGAAGGCGAAACTTGAAGCAAAACTAAAGCCGAAAGTCGCTCGCAAGGGAACTCCACCACCAAAAGCTTCCAAGGCATTCAATGGCTCAGAAAAAGTACATAATGTGACCCCCAAATCAGAGCCGAAAGGCAAGGGAAAAGCCAAAGCTGTCGCCGAAGATACGACTGGACGAGCTCAGGCTACGCCACTTCCCACCTCCTTCAAAGTGATCGCCGGGTCATATGAAAAGTTGCTCTATGGACTCGAAGGGACCGTCTCGGTTGAAGACTCCGACCTTAAGTTCAAGCTGAAACCACTTTTCATTTTCCCTGCACATATATCCTGCATTAAGGCTGTCGCTGCTTCTCCCAATGGAGGCAAATGGCTGGCTACCGGAAGTGCAGATGAGATTGTGAAGGTGTGGGATCTACGGAGACGGAAGGAAATTGGAGGTCTGATGCACCATGAAGGTACGCCGTGGTTCACTTATAACTCATAGGTATGTTATAACAGCTCTTTTCAGGGTCTATCACACACCTCGAGTTTCCCTCACGTTCACATCTACTCTCTGCATCCGAAGATGGTACGCTATGCCTCTTCCATGCTCGTGACTGGGCTGTGCTCCGAAGCTTGAAAGGGCACAAGGGTAGCGTGAACTCTGTTGCTATTCATCCTTCTGGCAAGGTTGCACTTAGCGTTGGAAAGGACAGAACGCTTCGAATGTGGGACCTCATGCGCGGCAAGGGTACTGCAAGCACAAAACTAGGCAAAGGTGCACAGTCTTGTCAAAATATCGCAGTGCTCTTGAATTGATTCTTTCTTCACAGAGGGAGAGCTTGTCAGGTGGTCAGTCGACGGCTCTCGGTTTTTGGTGCAAACGCAGTCAACGATAGACATCTATTCTACGGTACGGTTTGAATATTAAGTCGGATATCCTGTCGTTCCATCGACTGATAGCTCTGATAATCCACATCCTAGGATATGGACCTACTGCATACCATAATCCATCCCTCGCGTTTGCACGACGTCAAGTTCTGCAAACGCGTAAACGGCGAAGGAGAAGTCCTATTTGCCGCAGCCGAGGACAAAAAGCTATCTGTCTACGACGTCCCTAGTGACGAAGACACACCACCTACGGTCATCGCTGAGCTTATCGGTCACACTAACAGGTAAGCTACCTACTTGCTTGCACCAGTCAGCTTGATCAACAACGTGTCCTAGGGTAAAAGCCGTCGACGCTCTTCAAATTGCTCTTCCATCGATACCCAACTCTTCTCGGACCTCAACCACACTCGTCAGCACCATTTCATCCGACGGCAAGATTCGCATCTATGATCTAGCATCCTTACCTACTGTCCCGACGAACGGAGAGAAAACACAGCTTACGCCTGTGGCAGAGTATGACACGAAAGGCAGTCGTCTGACTTGCGTCACCCTGGCTGATGGCGATATCGCTATCCCTCAAGCAGCTAATGTAAATGGGAAGCGGAAACGCGGAGAGCAGGATAAGGATGAGGAGGGTGAAAGTGAGGAAGAGGCGTGGAGTGCGCAAGAGGAGTCGGAAGGTGATGAGGACGAGGATGAGCTGGAAGGGGAGGGCGAAGAGGAAGATGAGGGAGAGTATGAGAGTGCATAGTTTGACACATTTGCTAGTGACTGCGTTTGGAGATACCAATACACTATCGTTACTTGCTAGTCAATCAACCCGCGTGGTGGTCCGCCTCACGATCTGCATTTGACTACGGCCCATGCTGAATGCAACCCTTGCCTTGCTGCATGGCAGAATAAACGAATGGCACTTTGAGAACCCGATGAAAACAATAGTTCAAAGGTTTGAGAAACAATAAATATTGAGACCCGTAGGTCTACCACTCCGGGAAAGCGTGTCATCCTTGTGCAGGGGCCATGCTAATCTTCTCTGTATCGTTCCAATTTTTTCGTATGTCACCCCGAAGGGGACATTATATTACGGCCGTCTGATGCGTCAGCCGCGGACATTTTGCATTTTGTTCAACTTGCAGGTGGGCGCTTCCATCAATCCAGACTCTCAGATGACCTTGGCAGGGATCTCGTTTAAAATTCTGACGACGTACAAAGTGGTCATTTCTCCTCCAGCGGATAATGTTGAATGTATAAGTAACATGATTTCGAGACGGAAGGCAGTTTTTATTCAGAGGTGGTGGTATACGTCCGAAAACATACTAAAGGTACACTAGGGGGGTCATCATGGTCATCGTGACAGCACCACTGTGGAAAACCAACACAGACAGCATGCTATATCCATAAGTCCAACAAAATACACGGGTGATGCACACAATATGCGGGAAATGCAATGGAAGCGGTCCGTCTAGAAAAGAACGCGCGCAATCTTCTCCCAAATGTTTTTCGGTGGTTGTATTGGGAGTTCGGTCTCTTCTAATGAAGGGATACCCTGCAAAAAGAAAATCGAGTAGGGTCAGATTGGGATGAAGGATGAGAGTGATGGAAGAAAGAAGGTGGGAGACCTACAGTGACGAAGTCCATCTCCTGAGGTTTCCAGATCCTCGTCCGTTTCAATAGTTTCCATCCGAAATAGAGTGCAATAAAGAATGGGATATTGATGTCTAGTCAGTGGAATCAAACACACACCGCCATCAATAACCGAGGATCGAAGAAAGATATCATTAATCGCGAACGTACATGCAGTGAGGAACCCTGAGGCGTTGAAGTCCCAGAATACGGCCAGTCCATTGATGAGGATGAAGATGGTGGACCAGAAGATACCCCAATATGATAACCATGGTTGGAGGGAGCTGTAATAGACTAGTTCTTTGCGGTTGAGATGTTGTGCTTTGAATCCACGGTCTGATATCGAGAATGTAAGTATGAAAAATCAAGGGAAGGGAAGGATGGGGGGAATGAATGAAGGCTTACAGAAGAAAACGTAGGTGATGCACATGCCCAACCAACTGAAGAAACCGCCGACCGCCGAAAGGTTGACGAACCAGCTGAAAGAAAAACACGACAATCAGGTCATGCCCTCCACACTGCCATCATACAATATTCGAAAACTCACTTGAACACAGTCGCAGCACCACTGCTCACATTCATAAACGCCAACAACCCAAACAAACTCGTCGTGATAACGGCAACGATCGGCAACCCACTCTTCGTGCAATACGCCAAAAACCTCGGTGCCTGTCCTCTCAAGGCCAAACCATAAAGCACACGAGAAGACGCGAACAAGAACGAATTGCCTGCGCTGAATGCCGAAGTGAAGATACCGGCGTTAATAATGTGAGGGAGTACTTTGATACCGGCACTGGTCATGACGATGACGTAGGGCGATTGAGCGGCGGTACCTGTGCTTTGGAGGAGTCGGTCGTCGTTGTAGGGGACGAGCATGCCGGTGATTAGGATACCCAAAATCTGGTGAAGTTGAGAGGTGATTGATGACAGTGAAAAAAAAATGCGGAGAAATGATACTTACGTAGAAGACTAGAATACGGTAGAACACCCTGCGCACCGCCATGGCAATGTTACGACGAGGGCTTTCAGTCTCGGAAGCGGCACTAGAAAAAAAGACATAAATACAATGTTCATTGACTTATTGAGTGATGAAGAGGGATCCGACTTACACAGCGACAAGCTCCATACCCTGAAAAGAGAAAGCGGCTTGGACGATCTGAGTGAGGATTGCGAGGAACTTGTCAAGACTCGGGTGATTGGGTTCGAGGCCGGCTGGGGCGACTGCGCCGGGGTTTCTCCAGTACTACAGAGTGTGGCTGGACGTTAGTGGTTCGGATCTGTTAGCCTTATCGATTGAATACTTACTCGGAAACCGCGACGATCGTGGTCAGGTCCTCCACCAAGATCAATAACAAGACCAGCGATAATTAGACCGGTGATCATGCAAACTAGACCATGTCAAAGTTAACTCCTCGAAAAAGGTGTTGAAGCCCAATTATTGGAACTCACGTTTGATAATGGAGAAAATGAACTCGGACTCTCCAAAGTATCGTACACCAAAGATATTGATCACACAAACTAGCACGCAAATGAGTGCTGTGTAACCAGCTTGATGGTTGAGCTGAAAATAACATGAAAGTCAGTGATCAAACTCTGATACTGTGAGAACACTAGTACACTAGCGAGGAAAGGGAACATACATTATCATCCCAAAAACTGATAAGAATAGTGGCAGCGGTGATTTCGACGGGAACCGAAATAGCGTTGGTATAGAAGTAATTCCAACTGGAGGGCGACAATTACTAATCAGTCTCTGCACGATTTTTTTCTTTCTTCTCAAAGGTGTACCTACCCAAGCGCAAAACCAAAGGCTGGATCCACCCATCGGGCACCGAAATGGGGGAAGGTACCAGATATGGGCGCATGAGATGTCATTTCACCCAGAGAACATAGCGAAGCATATGCGACAGTGCCGACTAGCATGTAGGCGATGAGAGCACCAAGTGGGCCAGCGCCTGACAATGCATGACCGGAACCCAAGAAAAGACCTGTTCCAATAGTTCCAGCGATCTGAGCGCAAAGTGAGCTTCTTTTCTTCCGCGAAAAATCAAAGTGAAATGGGCACTTACAGCGATCATCTGAACATGACGCTGTTTGAGACGACGTTGCACACGATCCAAATCAGCAGTATCCCATTGATACTGTTGGGGACGATTGCTGTCTTGGTGGTGAACGACATAATCGTTCACACCGCCCTTCTCCAGAGAACTGCCATCTGTCTTCTCGTCATACTGCGGAGGTTGCGCGGGAGGTTGTTCGTGAAAAGACATTGTGGATCCCGTATACCCAGCAGGAGTGAACGCGTTGGGAGGAGGGAGAGAAGGGAGGGGGACAAGCACAAGCTAATGAAAAGCTGTTGTGCGTGGAAAAGCCGGGGTGGAGACTGGAGGAGCTATTTCAAGGGACAGAGAAGTGTCCGCATGGAAGTGCGGTGCTCTTCAAGACCTCGTGAGATAAGGCAGTTTGGCAGATAGCACTTGATTGATGGGCAGGAACCTGGGACTTCTCATCCTCCTGCGGACTATTTTCCGTGGCCAAGCGGAGCATTTGACGAGACTCGGCGCAGCTTTTCGCGTTGGAAGGGGCATTTTCTCCCGTACAGAATACATATGTTCAAAATATTTTACGATCGAAGTGTTGAGAGTCGCGTGAAGTATGTCTCCGGTCATTGACAGCACCCAGGCACCCCTTTGGGACACTCGATCGCGAAACGAGATCTAGTGCATTCTCTATTTTGATAGCCGCCCTCCTCAAGAACAACGCTGCTGCACGACTTCGTCAATCCTGACTAACGAGAACGTCCTCGCAAGACCTATAGCATGCATACTCTCTCACAAAATCGACCTCGAAATGCGATACCTTCAAACAAAACCTACCGGGACATACCCCACTTTCCGTCGTTTTCCGACGCCAAAATTGTTTGTGCCCCCACAGACGAGACATTACGAGTGGCAAAACCTCACTGCCAGTGGGGTCAACGATTCACTAGTTTTGTATATACCCGTGTTGCCGACTGTCGCCTCGTCGGTCCATGTTTGGCAGTTGTCATATGCGCCCAACAATTATAGACTGATAAAGAGTCTCCAGAGCTCTCCGCGCCACTCCTCGACGACGCCAGTCTACCCAAGTTTGCTCCATGAAATACCGCCTCTTGAGCGTTCATATTTTAATGGTGCCTGGACTCAGGGACCAGAACGGGCTTGAGAGCATTCGTCATTAGCATTATCTGCACAATGCATGTGGGACTCGAGATGTCAAGCTGATAAGAGTTTTCTCTATATCGTTTGATCGACTGGTGAACCCAAAAAAGGTGGCAGTGAAGCAATCATGATCATAAAAACGGAACCAAATCGCCATGATAGAATCAGGTATCGATCCCTAAGATCCAGAAGAAGGCAGCCGTCATGCAGGGTCGCATACCACACGTGAAATCCTGCATCATAGCTATCGTCCGGCAGACAAGAACGGATTGAACTCATAAGGATATCGGATTCATACCAAGTAATGTCTACTTGACATCCGCTGATGTTGTTTCATCTTGTGAGCACGGATACCAAGCATTTGCACATGGTTGCAACACTTGGCTGGACTAGGATTCGATATTCGACGAACGAAGCGCTGGCGAGTCTGTCGCAAGTAGCGTTGTCGTTGTATGATGCAGGCAACAGACCCGAGTTCACCATGGAGGTTGAACAGGGAGGAACAAGAATATGCCTGATATGTTAGTTAGAGTTTTGGAAGGCACCAGGAATGCGACGCTCATCTGCTGTGGGGCACCAGGACGGATTGAGCGATATATCACATCTGCAGCGCCGTAGTCACTTGTAAAAGGCAGAAAACAAGCCAAGATTTGTAATTCGTGAGAGCTGGATGAGACCATGATGTCAGTTCAAGTTCGAAGACATAAGTTCATATAACCCAAGAAGAGGTGTACTCGAGTACACGATGGGGTCGAGCGTAGACAGCAGGTTTTATAGCAAACATGCATTCACAAAGGACACTCAGGAAATATCAGAAATATAAGCAAGAAGCCAGTATTCGGGAGTAGTAGGGTCGACAGTGACCTTGAGGCTCTTGAAATTTTGTCAGGTTCCCCAACGGGCGCCGTGCGGAGTGCAGTACAGTAAATACTCCGTCATCTGCGGAGAACGCTTCCGTGAACCCGGCGCAAATAGCTCCTGAGTAGCATTGCATAAGAAATGAGAATGCGTGGTCAGCAATGCGAGAATGCTTGGTTCAAGTTCCGAATACATGAGCGCCCACCAAGAGTCCGATGATCAAAGATGAAGAAGCGAATAGCTTCACACAAGCTATCCTGTCCTGAGTTGCGGCGTCGATATATAAGTAGGCCCGAGTCGCTGTTCATTTCCGGACGAGAAGCATCCAGCCAAATGTGACAGAGGCCCGGCTGTACACATGAGCGCTCAATGGAATGTCTGATGTTGGTGTGACGAGAAACGATCGGCAAAGCATAAGTGCCGCTGAAGACATGAGATAGTGAGCACAGGTGAGCACACGACCACCGCTGGCGCGCTACGCGTCACGCAGCGCATGTCAGTCCAACGACTGCGGCCAGAGTGTGTACGGCATATACTGTAGTCGTGTGCGTCATGGTGTAGAAAAGACAGTCTAGAGGGCGGAGCTGGAACGGTTGAAAATGGACGAAGGGGTGTTGTGCTGTCTTGCCAAGGTATGAAGGGGAAAACGAGCACATCGATCGATAGGTTAGTATTTCCGCGTAGGATGACGTTCGGAATTCCTAGAACTCTGCACGGTTGGGGAAAGTCAACTTCCATGTTAGAGACACGTACCTGGCAACAAGAATGGGGGTGCGGAGGGCGGGAGGGGTCCACCTGGGGGTGCAAGAACCCCTGACGATGTGAGTACGCAAGAACCTTGAGATGTCAAGTACATCTTTGGGCTGGTCATGTAGGCAATATCGATTCGGAAGGAAAGCGGACTACAGTACTTATATGAGCTTTGAGGAACATTGTGTTGAGGGGATGAAGCTCATCCAAACCCTCAACCTAAAAGAGGTTGCTTTAATCAAGAAGCAGATAGTGGAACTTCGAAGGACAGTGCAGATCGTTGTGGTCGATGATAGTAAAGACAAGCTTGCTTCAGGCGCTACAGCCTGAAAGTGGGCGGCTGAATTTAGATTGGGCATTACTGTTTACGGATGATGACATCCAAAAGCGGTATGTCACTGCTCGTTACACTAGTCACGGCTGCTTCATGCAAGGCGGCCCGCTGGAACTCAGTTGCTCTCGGGTACTTCCATCAAGTCTCTCGTTCACTTGCTGTGGTTCTTCGACATTTCTTGCTTTCTGCATGCATCACACGTAGCTTTGAATTGCTATAATGACTAGCCGACTCAAACGAAAGCTCAACGACCTTGGAGTTGATACTCAGAGCAGCAAGGCTACTGAGAATTTCTGCCTTGTAAGCCACATATCCATTGAATTGCACCATGTAGTTCGCTGACGGATAATTCATTTGTTTAGATTGGTACATCTTTACCCCCGCTTGAGAAAACCAAGGACACGAACGAGTTTGTTCCACTTTGGAAGCAGGATGTCCGAGATGAGAAAGGCAGAAGGAGGTTACACGGTGCTTTCACCGGTGGTTTCTCTGCAGGCTACTTCAACACAGTGGGATCCAAAGAAGGTGAGTAAATTACCTCTTAGTATCGTACTCACAGACTAATGTTGGCGTTCACTTAGGATGGACTCCCTCGACCTTCGTCTCCTCGCGTGCGGAGCGCGCGAAGCAACAGGCCGCAAGACCTGAGGACTTCATGGATGAGGAGGACTTGGCCGAACTGCGGGAAAGCAGGCAACTTGTGGATGAGAATGAGGAGATGACATTCGCTGATACAGAAGCGGAACTTCGCAAGCGTCAGGGACTTGAAGCAGACCAGCAGGAGGAGTATGTATTTCGATCAGCTTTCATGTTTCATGATGTCTGACATCCTCTGTTTGTTTCTTACAGCTCTATTACTGCTGCATTAGCTGACGCCCTCGCGCCACCTCCAACGGAGTCTGCAGGCGCGCGGATTCTCATGAAGATGGGTTGGAGACCTGGTCAAGGTGTAGGTCCGCGACTAACTTACGAACAACGCAAAGCACAAGACCGTACACTCGGATTTGCCTCAAACGAAGACGATGCTGAACATGAAGCCAAGAAACATATGTACGCTCGTCGGGATACACCCGTGCTGACGGCTGCTAGAAAGGACAACGCTCATGGGTTGGGCTATACACCTGGAATGAGCTTGAATGAGAGTTTGGGCGTTGGCGGAATGAAGGGACCTTCTGGTCCGAGGTTAGCTTGTGAGTGTTTTCGGTCTTGTGCTTCTATGATCTGACATGTCGCCATTGCTGACTGCTCTATTATCATTTTAGTTGGCTTTGGACTTGGTGCGCTGAATGAGGCGGAAGAAGATGACCTGGACATATATGATGGCAGTATGGGGCCAAGAGGTCATAGTCGAGTTGCTTACGACGCATTAGAAGATGATGACCGGATAGACATGGGCTCTTCGTCGAGACCTGGCAACCAGGGTCGAGCGGGACCGGTCAGTACAATTTGTCATCTTGGGATTAATGGACCCCCATCTGACATGTTCTTCGTCAAGAGAGCTTCCTCGAGTACCTCCACGCAGACGTTCGCTGATGGTACACCCGTGTTGAAGGGTTTTGTATTGTTTCCTGAACCAGTGGTCCTTCAGAATGATCAGTATGTAATGTTTACCATACCTCTATCTTTAGAGGCTGACATTTCAAACAGGTTCCCTTTCCCCGAGATTCCCAAGGGGTGGAAACCAAACCCTCATAGAGTCTGGGACGTAGACAAGAACAAGGAGAACATCGATGTCGCAATGCGGGAGAAGGGGGCGCAACCGCCTAAGACTCGTGCAGAGTGGAAGGAGAGTCTGCTTTCGGCTGATCAGGTATGTCCTGTCCATTGATTCGCAGTAACACTCAAATAGCTAATTCATATATGATAAATTACAGCGTGGATCGTTACTCGGCGAGACACCACTTCCGTCCCAACCTCGTTCAGTCTTCGACTATCTATCACAGAAGGATAGAGAACGACTACAGAACGTCCGTGGCAATATCGCTTTGCCAGCTGACCAGAAGGTTTCAATGCCTCCACCTCCACCGCCTTCGGAACCTCAACCACCTTATATCCCCGGACAAATCCATATCCCACATATTCATCCTTCAGTGGCCAAAGCCGCTTTACACGGTTTTCAGCCATTCACCGCCGACCCAGTCAAACAATCCCGCTACACTGCATTCCTTCACTACGCTTCCCAAACCTCTGCCGATTCTTCTCCAAGTTCAATCGGTATAGGGCCTATGCCAGATCAAACCAACGATGAGTTCAACAAGGAACTGTCCGATTACGCCAAGTCTGCTACGGTGTTCAAGCCGCTTTCTGGTGCTATGGCAGGACGGTTCACTAGCTCTAAGATTCTTGAGATGGGTCCAAATATCGTTGAGGGGTTACATACGCCTGATGTCCGGACGACACCGGAGCCAGATGAGAATGGGCAAATTGGGAAGGAAGGTGAAGAGAAGAGGGACGAAGACCCTCGGAGAGGTGCCGTCAGGATGGGCATGTATGGGCCTTTGACGAGGGAAGTCAAACCCTGGCAACCTGCCCGGTTACTGTGCAAGAGATTTGGCGTGAAGGAGCCGGAAATCGAGATGACAGATGCCGACGCTGATGCTCGGAAGGCTGGTGAGGTGGATAAGTCTGGCACAACCACTTCTCCTCTCGCGCCTTTGAAGACTATTACGGAAGGTCTGGAGAATAAGCCAGAGTTGGCTGAAACGTCCTCTTCTGTTACAAGGAATCTGGCGAACGTTGGATTGGGCGAAGATGAAACTCAAGGACGCGATATTCTCACGTATGAGAGACCGTCTATGGATGTCTTCAAGGCTATTTTTGCTAGTGACGATGAAGATAGTGATGAAGAGGATAAGGAGAACAAGCACATGGATGAGGAGGACCACATTCCGTATTTCTCCTCGTCAATGCCTGACACTGCGGAGATGTCGCAGACCGAGCCCACAACTACTCAACTCCCAGCCACTGCGAAAGTCACGGAGCCTGCTGCGACTACGGAGAAAGTGGACTTGGCGACATTTAAACCTACGTTTGTACCCCGCGCAGATCGTGAAGCTCGTAAAGACAAATCTTCCGATAAGAAGAAGGACAAGAAGAAATCGAGCAAGCCTGCACTCGTGTCCTTCGATGATGAGGAAGGTGGTCTTCAAGTGAGTATTGCAGCGTCCAGACGTAGAAAGCATAAAGACGAGAAGGATGGAGAGCGGAAGAAGAAGAAACGGAAGGAAAAGGAGAAAACGGCTGAGGAGGAAGATGAGGGAATGTGGGAAGAGGCACCGCCGCCTGAGGTTGTTAAGAAGATGGACATGGGAGGTGTTACTGCAACTCCACCTGTTCTGGATGAGCAAATGCCTGTTGATGATGCCGAGAAGCCAGCGGGACCACAGCGGGGACGAGCGAGAGCAGTTGACTTCATGTAAATGGTATGTGCATTCGACTTGTATTGGCAAGTATTAGTATTCACGCCTTTCATATTCAGTCAATTATAGACCAATCACGGTTGGCACTCAGCACCGCGGAATGCACATTTCAAACCTGCTACACAACCCTTATACATCTGCTTTAGGTTCCAGCTTCCTGAACTTGCCCTGCATCCAAACTCGGTACATCTTCAATTGTCTTTTCCGATTGACGATCAACCGACGATCAACCCCCAATTGCTCCATCGAAAACAATGGGTGAGGCGATTGAGTATCCTTCTCTAGTAGTGGGTGTAGGATGGGGTGGATGGTCGATTGGACGGTCTTCGACGTGGAAGTTCCATTCGCTTTGGGAGGCGGAGTAGAGCTTGGTTGGGTTTCAGCATTGATGGTAATAGGTGTGGAGGCCCTAGGGGAAGGTGTTTCGGACGCTTGAGGACTCTGTACACGAGTTGAGGGTTCGGTGTGAGGAGGCGTTTCGCTTTCGTCACCTTCCTCTTCGACCTTGACTTCCGAAGGCGCGTTCTTTACTGCTGTGGGTGCCAGCGAGCCGGTGAAGAGTAGCGCTAGTTCATCTATCGTCGACGAATTGAAATTGGAGGTTAGATTCAGAATGAGAGAAGAGTTGAACAGGTTTTGCTCGTCTGTACGGACCTAACTCGAAGAAATACACTCTGGTCTTGTCACCTCGGATGTAGAAGTTGTCTTCTAACAGTCGTCCACCTTTGAATCTCAGCTGTGTGAGGTCATACCGACCATAATCGCGGAAGAGAACTAATCCTCCCGGTTTCAATATCTATCATGGCTTTCAGTCACATCGACACTGAACGATAATCCGGAACGCACCCGATGGATGTTGACGATAGCCTGAGACCACTCGCGTGGATGTAGCGCGCTCAAAACAAATACCAGAGTGACGATGTCGATGCTGTTCGGGGCGAGGTCGGGTGGCAATGAGTCTGAAGAGAGATCCCATACCGCCGACTTGATGGTGCCTACTGGCGGTTCTAGATATAGCGGATTGCTCTTTTGCACGGGTCAGTATAAATAAATCCTGTTCCTTTCATAGACAAGGTAACGTACCTGGACAACTTTGACGGCGTGAGATGCGTAGTCGTATGCGTATAAACTCAATTGCGGGTTCTTGTTGGCAGCAAGCAGAGGAAATACAGCATTGCCGGCCCCTGAAAAACCATAATTCTCAATACAGTGATGGATGAAAGCTCTTACGCTTCTTTCTTACCACACCCCAGTTCGGCGATTGCTACTGGACCAGCCTATACAACGTCAATTTGGTGTGTAAGTGAGTATCCAAACGACCTACATCAGGTTCTGCCGATTGAAGTAGTTCTGGGAACTCGTGATGTAGCCTGAATTACGAACTATAAATGAGATGGAGACAAAGACATAGGAATGAGAGGTGCATCCACACCATTTTCGATTACGAAAGAAGTTGCCGGCATTCATCTTATAGAAATTATCCCTGGACAAGTTTAGTTGAACGAGCTTTGGAGGTTCAGAATACACGTTCTCACCAATGCCTGGCAGGTTTCTCGTTGTACTTTTGTCTCTCTTCTTCTGGCACCGGCGCAATATGCTGTTTCGCCAGAGCGTTCGCAATCACCTCGCCCTGGTCTTCAGGAGGGGGTACATGGTCCCAAGCATTCTGGCTCCATACATCCGCATCCTCGGTAAGGAATCTAAGCAAACACTGAAGCCTGAGTTTCGAGGTTATACTGTCAAGACAAGGAAGTTCACACCTCGACCCAAAAGGTGGCTTCTCCTCGGTGATATCTTGGATCCTCGAAGTCGTCCTCGGAGGATTTCTTGGCCTACTTGGACCAGCTTGTTCAGGTCCGCTGGTCATGGTCAACTCTACAGTATGGTATGTGTGATTTAGCAGAGCGACAGTTGTAGAAGGCCGGAAACGAGTGTGGAAAGGCCAGGAGCAAAGAAAACCAGTTTCATCCAATGACACCTCGTCGATCTTATTCGATCGTTGTCTCGATCACTGAGATCTGGGCAGAAGTCTATCCTTTTGCTGTCCTCGATAGCGAGAACTCGTCTCTTAGTATATACACCACTGTTTTCAGAAAAAGTAGCCAATCCATTCAGACACTTCGCACCGATATAGTGATCCAAGTCTAGAATAAATGGTTGTGATTAGAAAACACATGACAAACATTATATTGATACAATGCAAGTAAATAAGTATTCCATGTATACATCATCTCCAAGCCAACGACGGATTAAGCTGTGGTGAGTGCGGTGGGGAATTTGACTGGTGGAAATACGTTGAATGCGAAGGTGATGATAATGAGCCCGGCAGATACAGTGGTATAGTCGGAATGAGCTCGAAGACATGCTGCACAACCGGCCTTGCTGCTACTGCTCGAGATTGTCCAGATTGCGGATTAGAGTCTGGGGCGTTCATGACACCATGAACGCGAGGCTCCTGAGAGATCGTTTCGTTCCATCCATCTGGTCCAGGACTAGCAGGTGGAAGTGATGTCGTGCCACGGCCATCCCAAATGCAACGCATATCGTTCCCTGGAATGATCTGTGCGAGTCGTCCCGTTTCGACATGTCGAATTTCGATGAAACGAGTGTCAAATAAGAGAACATAGGGAGGATGCCATGCAACGTGTTCTGCCGTGCCCTCCCATTCAATCGTCTGGATTGAGCGGCTCGGATCACCATGTCGGTCGACGTAAAGACCGAACTCTGCAAGCTTATTAGCACGAACGATGATTTCCAAATATCATTGTACGTACCATCATAACATAGCAAAAATTCATCCTTGCTCGATCGGAACATACCCCTCGGTTTGCATGATTCACATCTCTTGGCCAACTTTTCCAGACGAGGGTCTTCGCGTTGAGGAATAGTTACACTCTTGAAGCTGGGAGGGGTTATCAGGACCTGCTGAACAAAAGAAGACTGAAGCATTGTACTTACTCTACAAGATCCATGATCTCGAAGCCCTTCGTGCAGAGAATCACGATCTTGGCTTTCAGGAATATCAAATCAAAGGATTCGGATGGAAGGAAGAAGTCCTATAGTAGCATGATCAGTCCCTGGATCGACAGCATGGAATGAGGGTCGACTTACCCTGTAAACCCTAAACCAATCTGATCGCTGCGATCGCAATCCTAGACGAGAGCCGAAAGTTCGAGGAGCCTCCGCGCGTTCGTTGATTTTGCCGAGAACCGGTTCGAGAACACGGAAGACGCTGTCCAACTATGCGAAAAAGTCAGCGAATGAAACTTATGAGTCAGGAGGAATACCGTACGCCTTTCTTCTTCATGTAGATAACCAGAGTACGGTTGTTCAAGTTGCCGACACTGAAAAAGTGCACATCCTTGCTCCCACTCAGCTTCTGGGGTGTTTGAGACGTATGTGCGCTCTGCGGAGAAGATGGCACCAGCGCCTCGATATGATATGCGAAAAGCGACTGTAGAACTACCCTCAATAACAGCGAGAACTGAGATTCATGAATACACACCTTGTCTGCAAGAACCAAGAAGATGCCGAACTCTTCCAGCATGGCACATTGCGTTACCATCTTCAAGTGAAGTACGCGTCGCATCGCTAAAGAACACAGTCAGAAACGCAATAGCCAGATCATGGTGAATCAACTTACATCTAGAATCATGTCGGAATCCAATCCAGACACCCTCCGCGCATCCGATAGCGACTAATCCACGGCCGTCTGCAGTAGCTATTCGGTCTATAAGCTTCCATCAAAACAGAATACACATCACGAGTACTCACTGAACGGAACTGAACAAGTGACTTTCCCGGTATAGGCACCTTCGTGATTCCATGATTGTCCACCAGCGTTGGACATAGGCGATGGCGCCAAGAAGGTATCTGCACTGAGAGTTTCGACCTCGAAGACCTTGTTAGATTCCTGCACGACCTTTCGAAGTCCAATAGCTTCATCCAACTTCTGTTTCCACTCATTACGAGCTTGTAGAGATTCGGCAAATACGGTGTACAAGCCCCCTAGGCGGCCATTGTGATGAATCGTGCATGGGAATACAAGACGAGAATCGGTGGCGGCATCCGGACTATTTGCGGGGCCCCCGTTGGAGTTGGATACTTCATGCTTCTCGCCACGAAGCCTTGTTCGCAGAATACTGGAACTACGCTGAGTAGGTTGGTCGGTGAAATTGGCCAGTGTCAGCAAGTCAAGAGGGATCGGCTAGGTAAAAATGCATGAGTATGAATTGTCGTGTCAGATGTATGGTACATACCCTGCGATAGACATTGTACTTGGTGACGCCGTCCTTCTCTTTGGGTTTCGTCATCACCACTGTTATGATAACAGTAAGCATAACCGCCGAGCCCTATAGGTTAAGCCGCTTACAATAGTTATCAAAGAGGAGCACGAATAGCTCGGTCCAACCGCCGAATTCGAATCCTGTATCAGGCTGGCGCAAGAGCCTGCCTGCATGTATCAACGACCGATTCTCATTCAAGAGGTCCATGTCAATGAATTCGCCGGACTTGAAGACGAGATTCGAGTTGTATCGCCAAACTTCGACCTTCTGTTTGGCTGAGACGACACCTGGCTCTGTCTCCTTACCCAATGCTTTGATGGCTTCGAGCACGAGAGGTATAGTATTTCTGTCTTCATGACCTTCTGGCGACTCATCCAAGATACTCTTAAGAAGAAGCTCGTAACGAAGGAGACGAGGGATGGGTCGATTGATGAAGTTCTTCATGTCCAGTCTATGTGCGTCAGGATGCCGAGTACATTTCTAAGTGAATGACATCAGCCAAAGGCAATCGTAATAAGTAGCAAAACACTCACATCCACGAAGTCCTTGAATTGCGGATTATTCGCCATCTCCTCATCAATGCGATAAGCAGCAATGGGGTAGTTGGGAATATACTCCATGTAAGCTTCACGGAAATTGAGGACGGCGTCATAGACGGCGGCAGTGACACTTTTGATGACCGGATGTTCTTCACGCTGGATCTCATGGAACGTATTGAGCATCTTGCGGTGGTGTGCATGCAGCTCAGCAAAATTGTGGAACACGTCAGTGATGAACTGAGGTAATCGGTCTCGAGAAATAATCGGAGGGTCCATCTCACGGAGAGGCGCGACATACATCTGGACACGTGCGGAAAGGGAGTCAGATATAGCTGCAAGGCACTCGGCAAGCCACATACCGTCTCGATATTTTCAAGGTCTTTGACATAGTCCATTTCTCCCTTGATGAGCTCGAAGATGATGCTAGCAATAAAAACATGATGAGTGGTGTATATCCAAAGAGACACTGAATGCCTACTTCTGACGCTTCGCTTCTTTCTTTGGAAGAGCCTTGCGTATTTCCTCAGATACAAGGTTGTGCCATTCCAACTTCCCTGCAGGGCCCTTACCCATACTAGATTGGAAGGTCCACAGCTGAGCAATCGTCTGCAACTTCTTGATGGCTTCAATAGCCTCCTTCAAGAACTCTGCGTCAGGATTGCCATCAGTCGTCTCATTGCAGATAGCCTCGAGCGTGACCGGGTATTTCTGGAGATGTTCGGAAGGTCGGTTCAAGAAATGCTTCAAATCCAGACGATGTGCGTCGGGGTGACGAGCGCATTGCTATAATCAAAATCAAAATCAAAGGCGGTACATGAAACGATGGAGAAGTCTAGACTTACGTCCAAAAATTGCCGGAACTCAGCGTTATGTTCCAATTCATCCTTCATCCGTTTCTCTGCGACGGGAAGGTGTCCAATGTAGATGGGATATGCCAGCCGGAATTCGGTTGCCGATTCCAAGAAGATATCACCGATATCACGGATGACTGGGGCTTGTTCACGTTGTCGGATGTTCAGCATTTCCAACAATCGTCGATTGCATTCACGCAAGTCGAGGACATTGCCGAAGACGTCTTCGATGAAGTCATCGACTTCACCTGCACGGATTATGGGAGGGTTAGCGGTACGCAGAGGACGAATAAATAGCTGCATGCATTTAAGTATGAATGATGAGAATATGCGACTTATTCGGACGCTGGACGTGTACATACCGATTCTATGGTATCTAGATCTTTGAGGTATTGTTTTTCTTTGCTGATGACTTTGTAAATAATGCTAGGGCACTGTTAACATTGTGCATATCACGAATTGCTGTAGAGAAACTTACTTCTGGCGATTGATTTCGCTCTCTGGTAAAGTGTTGAGAAGTTCTGGGGGGACAGTTGCGTTCCATGCATCCTGATAATCAATTTAGCGCCCAACGATCGTTGCAATGATATGCGAAATGACTGACCGTTTCTTGATCTGTGCTCTCTTCAACTGGTGCAGCTAACTGAGGCTGTGCACCCCGCTACGGAGTAAATAGTGTCAGATTCGGAGGTTTTTACCAGCATATAAAACGGATTCACTCTTCGAGGACAGGCATAAGAGTAACAAGGCGTCTCGTCGTCACATGAGGAGGAGTAACACCTTGTGAGCATGGTGACAACACCAGTCGGGAGCTCCTCTTGTTCAATCCTTGCATCTGACGCGCCTTCCAAGTCGTCCAGGAACATGTACACGTCTTCGACACCATCCTGAAGCACGCGCCCTCCCCATTCGACTTCGTAAAAGAACAGCTGCGATTGCAAGCTTCGTGCGACTTGCAGCGCCGCGCGTCGGTCGTTTGTCGAGATGCCATGAGTAATAAGTAGTTCTCGTTGAATAACGGACTGGATTGTGGAGACAATGTCTCTGCCAGTGAATGCACGCGGATATGGAATACCACCCTTCACATGTGTTCCTCGAGGCACCTTGTCCTTCAGCCTAACAGCGATATGACTTAGCAATGCAGGGTTGAAGAAGCGATCGTCGCCTTCCTCGCTCTGATCGTCTTCGGGGAAGTAGTCCTCATCATAATCTTCATGTAACTCCAGTGGCCGCTTGATGTCCTCCAGAGTACGAATGATGTCGTTGTCCCGCCAACGCTCACGACTAGAGCCGGCCACTTGCGACGGGCCTGCGTCAAAAACCGGTTCTGGAATTGAGTATACTTGCTGCGGTGGAGTCGGTTTGTATAACAGCTGCGAATACATGCCGTCTGAGCCGGATCCAGCGGAGTTACCTCGGTCAAGTGTTGTGTACGAAGCCCCCGAACGAGGATTCAGCGTGTCGTTCTCCGTGAATAGAGATGAGATGTTCGTGTTCGTGGTACGTGTGGTCGCTGCAGACGGGTTGCGATGAACAGAGACATACGGTTGTGCAGACGATGCACCGGAACCTGCAGAATGAGAGCGGCCAAGGTCGGGTGCATCTAGAAGCGCGAAAGCACAAGGCTTAGCATCGCGAACGTTTGGCGAGCAGTGCTGAACTTACAAATGGAAGGAGCGCCGTATTGTGAAGGTGTGTAACTCCGACCAGGCTGCAACAAATCCGACATGGGGTTCGAATATGCAGCTGGACTAGCATACATATCCTCGAGAGAGTCTGGTGAACGAGAGCCGGTCTCGTCAAAGCCATTCTGGTATGCCGGCATGTTGTGAGGCTGATGCTGAGGATGAGCCGGCGTTGCATTGAAGTAGTAATCATTTCGGGGAGATGTCCATGAGCTTCCGCCATTCACGTCTGGTACAGGCATGGAAATAGACGGTGCCTCGGACGCTGCAAAGCTTGATCCGGTACCAGGTCGATTTATGCTTGGGCTTTGTCGCGAGTTGGGTCGTGGATCAATTGGTATAGCATTGTAAGAGCCATAGCGAGCGTGACCATTAGCAGCCGCAGCATCAATTGGCGTTTGAGGCAGTCTGCGACCACTGCAGCCAGGTCAACAAAGCACAGCGCGAATTGTTGGACGACTTACGAGTCTCCACTTTTGTACTTAGATCTATCAGGAGGGGGAGGCACGGGTGACGCATTCCATATACGGGGCTCTGGAAAGGCGGACGGAGACGTCATAGCTGCACTCGTCCCAGGCAACGGTGGTGGAGGAGGAACTTGAGGCAGCGGTCGTTTGGCTCTCGCAGTTGGTGATGTGGGGTTTGGCAGAGATCGAGGGGATGAAGGAAGACCGACCTTGGGAGCTGTCGAGGGTTGTCAAATTAGCGCATCAAGACGGGATGAAACGTCGGCAACGCACAGATGGGATTTGAGGATCGTGGTGGTTGTGGAAGAGGTGTTGATTGAGGTGTATCGCCACCTTCATCTGTGAAGCGGTTACGAGCCGTTTCATGGTCGCGTTCACCGGGTGACGGCAGCCTTTGCGAACCCTGGTCTGATGTTGGTGACTCTTCTGCAAAGCCGATGAGGACTTGATTGTAGAGAGCAGCCAGTTCTTCGTCTCCTGGCGGCGGAGGAACGGGCGGGTGTGCTGCGACAGACATGGTCACTATACTAGAGTAACCACCTTGTCTTCAGCTAATGGGACTACAGTAGTTAAAGCAGTAAGCAAGTGTGGAACCCTCTCAGTCTAGCCACTGGGCGGCCTGCGCGACGGCGGCTCGGGCGCTCAACTATCACCTCCACGTGCGGGGCTCGACGGAGGTCCTCTCCTGCCGTCCTCCCCCATCTCCAGATATCTGTACTCGTCTACTCTCATTCTTGTCATGGTTTGCCCATTCTTTGAATTATCTATTCAACTCAGAGCTCAAGTGGAGAACGGGACCCCCGAATAACCATCATGACAACATGGCTGTGCACTGGACCAATCGTCCTCACAAGGGGAACGAGACGTCAGGTTCCTGAAATTCCCGTATATGCATGTATATGCGTATGTATATTGCATGTTTCAATGCTTGGTCAAGTGGGTACCTGCGCGTGGACCGGTCTGGATCAAAATTCAGGTCCAACGCAACGTTTGATCTTCCTTTGACGCAGCGTGCTTTGCTTTGGCTTTGGCGTGCCTTTTGTCCGAGGCCAAAGGGCCCTATGTTTATAATGGCCGAATCTCGCCAGCCTTTCTTTCTCCACTCAATTTCCACACTCAATTTCCAAAAGAAGCTCATTGGCTACCAAATTTCCGTCTCCACTATCCACACCACTCTTACTCTATATGGCTCCTCAGAGAACAGCCAAAACAAACAAAAGGGCGAACAACCCGGCCAACGAGGCCTCCAAGGTTACCAAAGTGTCTACCAAGGCTCCCGACGCGTCTGAACGCGGTTCCCAAGAGCCGAACAAGATTCCTCGCCCTCCCAATTCTTTTATCCTCTATCGTTCTCGCAAGCTAGTGGAGATGGCACAATGCAAGACCTCGTCCACCACAAGACAACAGGCCAACCTCTCGAAGGAGATATCCCTCATGTGGCATGAGGAGTCCGACGAGGTGAAAGCTCGGTACACTAGCCTGGCCAAGGCGAAAGCTGAGGAGCACAAGATCAAATACCCCGGGTACAAGTACTGCCCAGGAAAAGGCAAGAAGAGAAAGTCGGCCGTCAAGAGAAGCTCGTCAGAGATGTCTGGTTCATCTTGTTCCTCTGAGAGCTCTGCCTCATCGCAGGGCTCTGATGCATCCTGCTCGACCCAGAGCTCATCCTCGAGATCCGCGGTGCCGAAGTCTGTGATGCGTTGGTCCCCAGTTGCGATTCCATCCTTGACTCCCCCTTTAAGGGGTGCAGAACGCCTTGTATCTTGGCCACCTGCGGCTCCTTATGTAGGTCTAGGCTCTGCTGCCGAAGTCCCTGAGACTCTCTGGGATGAGATGTCTCACCAAGTCGATACCCAAGTCGATACGCGCCTCGTCGCTGTTCCGGTACTGGATACCTGCTTCGACGCTAGCGCTGGTTTCTACGATCACGATGGGTCGTATCCTTACCTGCTTCCGGTTCCCGAATGTGAACGTTCGTTCAATACCCAGTCATCTAGTATTCCAGATGCGTGACTGACTTTCTGGTTCTGCAGCCTCTTCGAATACCCTGCAATACCGAGCTCGTCACCACCAGGACTGGATTTAATTTAACTGAAGGGACTACTCGCTTTATCTGACTTCTGTCTATGCTATAAACTTGCTCTTCTCTTGGCTAATACACTTGTTTGGACGTGAACTTCCTTTCTGATACTTGGCCCACATTGAGTGTTGAGATGCCCTAAAAGGCAAGTCAGAAGGTTCGTGTCCCCGGATTTTCGATGTCAGCCCCGATACTCTGACCGCTGTCCTCCGGTGGGCGGTAGGCTGACTGCGAACACGCCTGGCTGGTAGGCTATAAGTAGGACGGGGATGGTTCATTTGCCAACATCCGTTCTTTCCCTTTTACCTTCACGCTCCCCGCAGACCCAGGCGGTCATTTTTACGCTTTCGTCTTGCTTTCCTGCTTTCGCTTTCTTTGCGACCGGTTCGCCTATCTTGACTTTCCTTCATATTCACTCTCACTCTTTACATCACTCGAACTTGACGTCCACGTCTTCTTCATTGATCTATCCATCATGGTTGTTCTTTCTCCCCGCTTCACCCTCCTTGCTTCTCTCTCTGTGATTGCTGGTCTTGCGTTTGCGCCTTCGACCGCCGATGCTGCCGCAGTTGAAGCTCGCCATCACCCCGAGACATTCGGGAAAAGCAGTCGAACCCCTAATTCCAGTCCTATCAAGTCGTCAGGTGCTAAGTCGCGTTCGTCTGGCTTCAGGCAGAACTCTAAAGACAGGTCATCCTCCAATGAGACTCCAACAAGAGATCCCAAGCCCACCATTCCACTCCCTGTAGGCGCTTATGGCCAGGCAAAGGTGCAAGTGCAGGGTGCCGGACCAGTGAGTGGAAAAGAGACCAAGCATCACAAAGCTCAGAATAAGGTACGTCGCACCTCACTATCATACGAGCGGCGGACTCATGGTACTACACATTTACAGCGTCAATTCTTCTATGATCCTTTCAATCCACTTTTGCAGCTCGGTAATCTCTGGATCGGTGATAGACCTCCTCCGGAACGCAACTTCGACAGGACTAACGCTCGCGTTCAAGTTCACCGTTCGTCCACTCCTCAATCACACGACCACCATCATACTGCCCACGCTAAGGTCATCGTGAATGGTGATCATGATCATATTGACGTTCTCGAGAAGAAGGCCATCCCTGACTTGTCCACGCCACTCCTGGACGAGGAACATTCATTATTGGTCCCAAATCAACTCTTGCCTCGTCATAACAAGCACCATCACGTGCATGGCAGCAAAGTCTCTGTCAACGGGAATGGTGAATATGTCCATGTTCACCGACGAGACAACGTTTACCAGTTTGAGGGCGTGCCGGGTACTGTCGATATAATGGTGCGTGATTTTGTCCACCAATCCCATGTTCTATTCTGAATGAAAGCTGTAGAGCGATGTTGCGGATTCGACCTCAGGACAAAAGATAGCATCTCTGGTGCTGTCAGCGACCAACGGCACCAATGGATCTAGTCCTGGAGATCCATTCATCTTGAATGCATCTTCAACCAATCAGACGCAAGTCTACCTCATCGCCTTGCCGCCCGATGACACCTCCGATAGCTCGAATTCTACCACTGCTGCCACATCTGAGTCCTCCAACTCTACCTCGTCTGCTAACTCGACGACCGCCGATACATATCGTAAGGTGGCTATCACCATTCCCCTCTTCGACGCCGAGAATGCGGTCATGGAGTCCTACTGTGCCACCTTCGACCCGAAGCCCCCTGCGCCTGCCCCTCTCACGGTCGAACGCTGTACGAACGGGACTCAAAATGATGAGCACAAGAGCCAAGTCTTTGCCTTTGAACCGTCTACCGGAATTATCCGCCCGATGTGGTTCGAGGGTGAAGACGATGGGACGGAAGACGATGATACTGATAGCTTGGAAGACAAGGAGGCTGGTACCCCAGTTGCCCCTGAGGATGGTAGTAACAACTCGACGTCAGTCGCTCCCCAGGATCCCGGTACTCCTTCTACGGATAAGACGGCCAACGTAACAAGCATTGACAGCAGGATGGTTGATGAAGAGGATGGTGACGTAACAAGTCCACCGTCCGCTGCTGCTTTTGCTCAATCTCGTGCTATTGACAACCCATATGCAATTGCCAGAAATGTCACCTTGGTGTTCAGTCCTGCCCCTCCAACGGTCGCTTCCTCAAACAGCGAAAAGGTCGGCGATGGTCCTGCCGATAGCGCTTCGAGCGTGGACCCTGCATCTACGTCTACTCTCTCATCATCTAGTGCAGATACGTTCACCGCGGCGGCTACCTTGGCAACCCTTTCCAGCTCTGCTCCTGCTTCTGCCTCTGAGACCGTTTCAGCTAGTGTCTCCGCCATGGATGCCCTTTTCACGTCAACGACCCAATCGGACACGCCGGTCTCTTTCGCCTCCGCATCTTCGACCACGACGTCGACGGCTGTGGTTACTACTGCTTCAGCTTCAGCTATATCAGAATCTACAGGATCACCTGCAAATCCCACCTCTGGTGCTCTTGATGTTGAAGTATTCGATCCTAATGCTACTGGATCAATGTCGACTGTGTCCACTGCGACGTCGGCTTCGATTACATCGTCTTCGACTTCGCCCTTGATTTCGCTCGCGGCCAACTTGTTTGCAGCATCAACCACCGATGCGCCGGAAACATCTACGACTGTGACATCTTCGGCCGCAGATTCATCGAGCCCTAGCGTTAGTTCTACTGTGTCATCAACATCTGCAGGTATTGAGGCCGTCTCTTCTTCCTCGGTCTCGGCAACCAGTGTCGCCACTAGTGCGACCACTTCGATGACTCCCGTCAGTACTGCACCGTACGAGTGGATGTTCAAAGAGGGTATTGCGAAGGATGTTTGATAACGGGAAATTTTTCAAAGTGATAGCGAGTTGCACCAATGAGAGTCTTGATAATTCTTTTTATACACACATACATTACTACTCACCACTCTTTAATACACACCACTTTACCTGCTTCGGTGTTCCGAAGGCGTCCATAACATCTCGAGACTCGGAATGAGTAGTGTCACCTCAGTGAAACGAGAAACAGTATCGATGGCATATCTGACTGGATGTTAAGACATTGCGTCAAACATATTCGCTCAGTGAAGAACTAGATTTCTTCTTCCTGAGCTTTATGTGGGAGCGTCGACAAGAGGCTTCAAGTCGGTGTTCGGTGACGTCCCCACGTCTGGTAAGGCAAGGTAAGTCTAAGCGCCCACGCGCAAGTTGAACAAAATGTGAAATGTCGGCGCCTGAGTCATCAGACGGCCAAAACATAATGTCCCCTTCGGGGTGACATACGAAAAAATTGGAACGATACAGAGAAGATTAGCATGGCCCCTGCACAAGGATGACACGCTTTCCCGGAGTGGTAGACCTACGGGTCTCAATATTTATTGCTTCTCAAACCTCTGAACTTTGGTTTTGCGCCGCAGCTTACTCAAAACTCATTGAATTTATATTTTATGTTTATATCCGGTGTTTGAACACTAAGGAGAAGTTCATAATAGTCATTCTTTCATAAAGTCATCTCATTACATGAGTCTATCTAAGTCATTCAAAGTCTCAGCTCGTAATAATGGGCTTTGAGTTTGTCCTCGTAGTCGCCGGCAGAGCATCTGACAAGACATCACTCTTAAGTTCTTCACCGCCAATCTTCTCATCCACAATGATCTCCACAGAGGTATCTGTTGGAGAGGAGTTTTGCTCCTCATCTCCAGTCTTCTTACCAGTCCTGATAATTTTCCTCTTGAGAGTGTACTTTTTGATGAAAAGGGCTGAGGACTGTGATAAGCATTTATGCATAAAAAATGACAGTAGAAAGAAATCTCACTCATGAAAAGACTGAGACAAACTAGAGGTGTACAAACTAGCCAAATCATGGATATACTCTTAGTATAAGCATGTAAGACTTGCTGCTGGACAGAAGCGGGCTAGACCAAACCAAATTGAGATACCAGCCTTCAATTGGATTAGGGTGAAAAGACTGTCTACATACCTGGATGTTCTGAAGTTGTCTTACACTGTCCACTAAGTTTGCACTTGAAGTGTCTAAGGTGAAGTTGGGAATAGCAGAGATCCTCTTTTGCAACTCTGTTGACCAGATTGCTTGTCCTACTGCAGTTCCAACAGTAGCACCAATCTGCCTACAAGTTTCAAGTCAGCCAATTGCTCTGAGATAATACTGGGTGTCTGACAGACCTAATCAGACCAAAGGTAGCAGTACTAGTGGCCATGTCCTTGATAGGCATTGCAGCTTGCATACCAATCAGTGGAGGATGGAATAGCCCACCAAATCCAATACCAGCAATAAGTGGATAAACTAGTTGGAGTGCTCTGCTGAATGTGTTAGCATAGTTGACAAGTTAGGATGATAAGAGAAAAGAGTTCTTACAATGAAGACTTCTCATCCAGCATAATCATGATGCCATATCCAACAGCCATGACAGCCTAAGGGTCAGAAAATGAATATGAGATGAACACCTCAAAAAAGATCAGCAATGATATAAGCTTACCCAAGAGAGCCAGATGATCTGTCTATAGTCTCCTAAGGCTACAACTACAAAGCCTACCAGGCCAGAGGATATTGAAGATCCCAAAGAGTTTGGTAACATTCTGAGGTCTTAGTTAGTGTCATATTTTAATCCAGACCTGAGGGCTGAAAGGGAACTTACAAGAGTCCTGTCTTAGTAGCTGAAGCTCCCAGTACCTGAAAATACACTGGCAAATAGAATGCACCTAGGAGAAAGATATGTTAGCTAAGGTTTAAGAAGGTTGGGGAAAATGTACTTACAGGAGAAGAAACATAGTCCATGTATGAAAGTAGTGATAAGCAGGATGCCTGTAGTTCTGGTCTGGCAATGAATGTATAGGTAGGAAAAGAAAGAGAATCATTAGTATAATCTACGACTTACTTGGAACAACCTTGGAGGGACAATAGGTGACCTGATGGTGTAACATTCCCAGAATCCAGCCAGTATGAGCACAATAAAGCCACAAGCCAATGGAGCAATAGTTGCAGGAGAGCCCCCTACAAGCAAAGACCCAAAGTGAACATGCAAGTAGATAGCATACCAAAGTTGAAGCACACACATCCAAGTTGAGATTCAGTGAATCCAAATAAGATGCAGATGACGCCTGCCATAATGAGGAACAGGCCGGGGAAGTCGAATTCCGAGATATGTTGTCTGACAGTCTTGTTGTGCTTGACTGGGTTGAGGTGGAGGAAGAAGAAAAGAAGGACCGTGGCAACCCCACCGGTTGGCCTGGCATAAAATGTTGCTTGAGCTCCGGGATAAATAAAGAGGAGATGAAGGGACATACAAGTTTACCCAGAAACACCTGCATAATTCTCTCATATCAACCGGCGGACGACAAGAGGACGAAGAAAAAGATCATACCAACGCCAGGACACATGATCCGTGAACGCCTACAGAAAGAGATAAGTCCGCTGAAGATGACCGCACGCAGGTAAAACTCACCCCTCCGACCAGTGGTCCGATCAGACTAACAAGGCGGCTGTGTCAGAACCTTGATATAAAGTTCAGAGTGTTATGATGCTCACGAAGCAATACCCCACAGCGAACCCAAGTAGCCAGCATATTTCCCTCGCCTAAGTCACGAAAGCATCATGTCAGCGTTTCAACTATGATGATATAATGGATGTCAATCCGCTCACTCTTCCAGGCTGACAATATCTCCGATCACAATATTAACCATTTGGACAATGCCTTAAGGTGATTTCATCAGCATTGACCAGAAACGTGACCTCGAACCGTACCTCCGCCGCCGATTCCTTGAATAGCCCGCGCGACTATCAACCACGCCATACTTTGGGCCGCACCGCATAGAGCTGAACCAATCTGGTTGGCGAGCACGTCTAATGTCTATCAATTGAATATCAGATAGGAAAGCGGACGTACGAGGAAGACAAGTATGGATGGGTACAGGACTATCTTTCGGCCTACTAAATCCGAGAGTTTGCCATAGAGTGGACTAAGAGTTGCCGAGGCGAGTAGGTATGCACTGAAGGTAGTGGTTAGTACAGCCAGAACATGAATGTTCAGTGACGGTAGACAGGTAGTAAACTGACCTTCCCACCCATGAGTAGTCTTTTCCACCTCCGAGGTCTGCAGTAATCGTCGGTAGCGCAGTCGCGACGCTAATGACTCATTCAACGCTTTCAATGCTTGACGAAAAATTATATCCCTTACATAGTTTGGTCGAGGGCAGACTAAAATATTAGGGATTGGCATCAGCGCATGCGACTCAACGTATACACTCACCAAGAAGAGAGTTAACATCAGGGAACAGAAAACAAGGGGCATGTTATTATGCGGTAGGATCTGCTCTTCATCAGCCTTCCAAGCCTGTCCGGGCTCGGATTTCTTTTCGTTCATGGGCATCTCAGGAGTCAAGGTATTGTCTAGTGAAGCGGGGGCGTGTACCAAAGCGTTCGCAGAGTTGGAAGCAGAGTGAGACATTTGTGGCCTGTTTTCAATAGTTGCTTGCAGGAAGAGAAAGCGGGCAGACGAACAAAAAAAAGATAGGCTCACGTTGGGCAACTCAAGTGTGCTTGTAACTACTAACGCCTCAAGTGGAGGTCTGACTCATGTACACGGTACTGCTGTAATAAAATGCATTCAAAACACAACGTGATGCGGATATCCGGCACCCAACCTCCGACGCAGTGGTTGGTGGGCATGGTCGACGTGGGAGGCGCCCAAAGTTTCCTTCCACTTGTCCATATCTGGTCGGTGCCTTCGAGGGCGTCATTCAACTCAATCTTGAACTCAACCATCCTCGAGTTGACTATGGCATCTCACCATTTAAGATACGGATTCCGATGCTGATCCTATCCTCCACATCAGACCTAGGTTCACTGCTCTCCTAATCCATAAATGCGACCGGAGGCTTTCCCGTTGCTAAGTACTTTAGACAAAGAGAGGCCTGTGTCTCACCCAAGCAAGGCGTATATTGAAATTTGCTTTCCATTCAACGACCAAAACTGAAACTCTAACAGAGTTGATTGACCAGACAACAATGGAAGATCTCAAGATTGCACTGTAGATTCATCTGCATCCAGATCCACTCAAATGCATGCCGTGCTGACGTCGCTTCTTGATGGTCGAGGAAAGATTGCACCGCAATCTGCTCCGAGTACCCATATTCTGGAAACGTGGAAATCGCCAAGACAAAGGGGAAGTGGCTGTTCGACGGTCATGGTGCCACTGTGGTTTCTTTGCCGTTGAGGTTCGCTCTTTGTGTCTAATTAGCCGATCCTTTGACTTGGAGATCCGGTTCGTTTGGCCCGCTGGTCCTGCACTCTTAAATACAACCTCAGAATCCGAAGTCTCACCTCCACGCCGCCTCCCAGCGCCGCTCGGGTGTATAGTGCCCAAGTTTCCATCTTCTCCTTCAGTCCCCACCCTACATCCTCCTGCTGTCACAATGCTTTCAATCAGTCCGGATCTCTTGCTCGCGGCGCAGATGGCCTTACGCGCTCCGGAGGACACTCCACTCGATCCAGCTGTTCACAAGTCTATCTGCTGCGAGGCTGCTCGTTCACCTTCGCATTCCTCTTCCTCTCCTCGAAGCCTGCCTTCTTTGCAGTCCGACTTCTCTGGAAGTTCTAGAGAGCTCTCCCCCATCACCCCGCAGGGTTCTCCAACTGAATACTCGTGTTCTCAAGATAGTTCTCTGTTCAGTACCACTGGCAACTTAGAATCTCTTAACCTAGGACACCCGGAATCCGTCTGCTCTGATATAAATGACCGAACCCCTCCTTTCGAGTCCTCGGGCGAGGACAACGGCGACGACGAAGATTATCGGCCATCCCGTAATTCACGGTCTCGTCGATCGGTAAGCTATTCATCATGTTTGATAAGGGTCAACCATTTGAACATTCTCGTATGTGTTGCAGACCAGAAAACTAAAACGGCCCATTAACAAGGACAACCGCACTCCGGCAAGGCAGCGGGCTCAGCGTGCTAAGCAAAAGGCTGTAAAAGGTAAGCAGGCGATTGTTAAGAGCAAGCAAACGACCGTCAAGAACGAGGGTGAAGGCGAGGCCGACTGCAAGGATGTATGTGATGATCTTCCGTACTGTGATGATAAATTCTCATTGTATTCTTAGAAGAAGCGTGTCGCCTGTCCCGTTGAGGGATGTAACAATACGGTCGCTCGCCAGGCCGACCTCGCCAGACACATGGAGATACATACTGGGTTCGTGGAGTTGTTATTCTATTTCCTCAAGCTACTCACTGTGTGCCCTCTTCTTCTAGTCGGCGTAATGCTTGCGAAGTAGAAGGATGTCCCAATACTTGGCTTCAGGTCTCTAACTACGAGACCCATTTTGGAGCTGCCCAGTATGTCATTCCCTCTGTCCCATTTTCCGCTCATTTTATCTCATATCTTCCCGTCTTGTAGCTCAAACAACAGAAATGCGAAATGCAAGGTGTGTGGAAAACGCATACCGAATTTTCTTGCCCGGACGCGACACCAAATCGATGAGCACCCCGAAGTATTCAAGGTCTTCGTAGAGAACGCTTCAGTTAGGCAGAGCAGCCGTCAGTCTGTCAGGGTGGAGTCTGCTCCTGCTTCTGAGACGTCTGGAACGTCTCAGAATGAAGACCATGACCAGGATGGATACGACCAGGAAGCAGATATCCCTATGAACTGTACTGATGAAGAGGAATTGTCTCCTTTCCGCTACCAACCTCGGCCGGATGTAGAAGCCTACTCTCGATCTGCACCTTCCTCCAGCGGTTCTGATTCTTGGAGCTCAGGACCTTCTTACCGGCCAACCACACCCTACGCGCCTCTCTCATCGGTCGCTGGACCCTCCAGCCGACCTGCTTCTCATTACGCAGAGTACCCTCGTTATTCACAGGACTCTCAACACCCTTTGGCCACCCAAGCTTCCCAGTGGCCTTCCACTGCTCCGCCCTCCTGGAATCATAGAGACCATGCGCGCAGCCCGCGCTCTGGATATCCTCATGCGTATCCTCCCAGCTCTGGTATGCTGTCCACTCGGCCGATCGAGCCGACACAGGCGAGCTACGGTTCGCAGTACGACTATCGTCAACCCGTCTATCCTCCACACGCGTTTAGTGGTCCTGCCTACCCTCCTCCACTCCCTGGACCGTTGACTAGCACCACCTACCCCTCGTACTTTTCTACTGGTCCTGCACACGGCTTCTCTGGGCCTCACTCTCCTGCAGTTGAACCGCCGCGTATGTGGTCTAGCTCCTATGGATCTCGGGATTCAGCCAGGGGCGAGCCTGGATATGATCATTACAGGCGATACTAAGCTCGCTTCCTCTTGATACCTCAAAAGTTCCCATTTCTGTGCTTGCGTTACGCTCGCTTTCATTGTTTTCATTTGCTCTATTTCCGCTTTGTGCCTCAATCGCGCAATCCTGTAAGTCTTACTTTATCTCTAATATTTGCTTCCGGCCTTCCTTCTTGCTACATCTATGCTCTCTACTCTCGCTTGTGTATCTTAATGCTCTGGTAGTCTTTCCCTTGTACATACTAGGCAGTCGATCCATTTAATCTCATTCATATCTGAATGTTAGCATGCGCGAGAGACTAACAAGGACACTGGTACTTCTAACGATAATTTCTAAGTATTCTCGAATCCGATACAGAAATGGAACGATTCCTAAGTGGCCGTTGCGTTCGCTCGATAGGAATCGCAAACGTGAGGATCATGGACCTGAGAAGGATCTTTCGTCAAGTACCCTCTCTTGACTCCATCGAAGTAGGACCTATAAAAAACACCTAAGTCACAGCATCCTCCCGTACGTATCAGGAGTAAAACATACCACTGTCGAGAAAGGTCTCCAGCGAGATCAGAAATCTCAGTCTTGAAGTTCCAGAACTGCATAAAATGGTCAGAAACGATAACCTCTCGCAACACGTTCATTATGAATGAGAAACGTACTATCCACCCTCTACCTTGACTATAAGCGAGTTTCTGGGCATCGGCCCACTTGTTCAAGAAATCATCGGTTGCGGAGAATTGAGTGGGAAGTCCCCATTCACCGAACCAAAGTGGGCTGTTACCCAGGGCGGCATCGTTTTGAACGCGGTTGAGATCTGTAGGACGCGTATGCGATGAGACACTGATAGATGACCGGCAAAAAATTAACATACTGCAGATACTAGTCAAGTACGCCTCCGGATTGGGGTCGGCAACTCCCTGCAGTTAACATGTCAGATGGTATCGCGTTCAGGATACGATACAAACACGCACCCCAAAACTAGAATTCAAAGAAAAGGTCAGAAACCAAAGATACCCTGAACTACGTTGCTACTTGCTTACCTGTAATATAGATGGTTGTCATAACCTTGGGGACCGATAGCAGCATTGGCAGGATTCGCGGGATTGTTATGCTGCCAGTTGATATCCATGAAGCTGAACGAAACCATACTAAGGCCCAAGGTGTGCTTCAGTCGGAGATAACTCACTTCGTGACCAATGGCTCTCGTTGGCTATTAGCCGTAGCGAGGTTGAAGCTGAATATGGAACCAATCGAGAGCTCGAATCCGAGCTCCACAAGAATTGGAACCGACGCCAGAAGCGCAGACTTTACCTCAGCGTTGAATATATCACTGGTACTAGTACTGGCTACGGATGTGAGAGCCGATGTGAAGTTCTTCGTTTGTACTTTCATATCCAACTGAACACCGGGGACGGGTATCCCAAGAGTCAGTTCCACTGCTCGAACTACCTTGACGAAATTTTTCTGAACTACAATCAGACAGTGTTAGCCAGTTGCGAAGAAGTTGGAAAGGAGGCTCGCACAGTCGCCATAGTTAGGTGTTTGGCTGGCATCCATGATAGGCTCGTTGACAGCCTCAATTGCGAAGACTGAACTGAAGTCAGGATCGAGGTGTGTCAATGCTGTCATTCCTGCCGTCCAGACTAGCGCACGATGATAGTTCGCCTCGGTCTGTAGAAGTTGTCTCAAGCGAGCCGAATAACCGAAATGAAAGTACTCACATAGAATTCGACATCGGATGTACACCTGCAGTATACATATTCTTAACAGCTTGACAGGTTGAGAAATAAAATTTACGGAACCTTCCCGTGAACATCTGTCCGGGTGTTTGAACGCCAGGAAGTGCATGGTGATCCAAGATAGCAGCTATGCCCGCGTCACGAAGTTGTTTCAAGCCTCGTATCTGGCCCATAGCAATGTTCCTGATCAGGAGCGCGATTCAGATCGTGCGAGATAAAGTAAGCTCACCAACTGTCGAATACCGCCTCTAGGAAAGAATTCGGTCTTACGATCCACGAGGGCCTCTACAATCCAGTACCCAAGCTAATGAATAGGATCGTTCAGCTGTTCACGCATTAGTCATTGATGAAATCGCTCACTGGAATACGGACTGTGTTGATACCAAGTGACTTGAGTTGATTCACATCATCTTGTGTGAACCACGTCGACCTAAACAACTATGGACTCAGCAGGCCGCAGCATGTCGTCGACTTCTCGGCGACATACCAATGTTTGTCAAATATCTCATCTACGGTCTTTGGATAAGCTTGAGCAAAAGCACTGTGGTTATTTGTATGCATCGGTTTCGGGGATGGTACGGAACATTCGGACATACAATTCTGTAGCGATGCATTGAGAACAATCGTTACACTGCTGTCCACCCATATCGAGCCATCCTGCGGGCAGGTTAGCCTCACAGGGAAGATGAGTGTTTTGATGGGACACACCTTGCGGTAACATCCATGCTTCGAGAACTAGCCTTGCAAGGACCGCCATCAACACCTTGTGAAAAATTCTTGAAACATCCTCTCACCATGAACCCAGATTTACGCCATAGATTTTATCCGGGATGCCCGCTAAGGAACTTTGCAGAGAGATAAGCAAAGTGAGTAGAGCGAAAATAGATTTCATTGCAGAGCTTATTGCAGTGTATTCAGTGTATTCAGCTGAACTGTATTGCTGAGTAGCTCAGTCATTTTATACGAAACTTTTCACTTATGCTCATCGTCCCATGATCGTCAGTCCCATACGTTCAGGGTCGACGACCGTACGGCATCTCCATTGCAAGAGGTCAGCAACCGAGCAAGAGAGCATCTTCAAAATTCTGGAACCATTATATCGGTCTTGCAGAGGAAATAGAATGGTTATTTGAGACAACCCGCCAGCATCATGGCACGTTCCACCATGCCGCTAGGGGCGCACCTTGGGAGAAGACCTCTGCATACAGCGCCGCTTCGTAGGAGACCATGGTGAATGTCGTGAATAACGTTCACACGACAAGACAGTGCAGGTCAGATGGTCTCGGGGCGCATAAGGTCGTCGAAGAAGACCCAGATCCCGAGACCCAGCTGTATACAAATCATTCTTCTAGAATTGTGTCGGTGCTTCACCATAATTAGATTCGAAACATTGTCCATGTGTACTCACCTCACTGACACATATATTCAGCCAAGAAGGTATTCGAAATGGCACCAGTATACGTTGATGTCGACGGCCGCTGAAAGTGAATAATGAATTGACGACCGTTTGGTGGAGCAGTACTCGTTGCGTTCAAGCCTGCTACACTCTCTTGTTTGTTGTCTGGCTGATACCTCTTCACACAGATATAAGCACCTATACCACACATCGTGGGCCTACATATGATAGAATAAGTTGAGGATGAAATACAAGCTCAGTTCAAGCCTGAAGTTGAACGTTGAACTTTTTGAACTTGACACGCCGCATGACAGCATAAGGCTCGGCCCGAGAAGCCGTGGGCTTGAAGTGTCCGCCCAAATCCTCTCTCTTTAAGCAGTAAGATTGTGGGAGTACTTGGAAGTATTTCAGTATCCCTCAGCCACCTCCTATGAGAGGGTGTCGTTATGGATGCCTGAAACATTCCTGTCACGATGCATTATTCTATGTATCATGAGGAGCATGGCAGCCTCCTTCACGCCAGGCCGGGAAATTTTTGCTGGGTCTTTGTTTTGACACATGTTGTTTTTGCGGTGGATATATGTACCTAGAACGGACATACAAGTGCGATCTCGTCGGAGAGGCAATCAAACTTACTGCAAAGTGGAGAGCATGACCGCGAATTTCGGGAGTGCGATTGACTCTACAATCACACGCGAATACGAATGTCAATGCTACAATTGACACACGTACACAAAGGATCGTGTAGCTTGATAAATTCGTGAAGGCGGAAAGGCGGGCATACTTAGCGACGTTACAGGTGGCAACTGCCTCGTGCTGAAGTTTAAAACAAAAGATGATTCGGAAGCGAGGATGTAGGCATCTTGCGGCATCGGAAGTAGGCACAGTCAGAAATGTTGCGATATGGTGCCGGCCCTTGGCCAGAGATAAATAAAAGCACTGCCAATGGACTGAAAGGTTATCCAAGAAAATAGACCCCTCTCCATAAATCGCCACCCCAATCTTTTATTCGACCATGCATCACTGGCTCCCATTTTCTAACATCTTCACAGCACGTTCCAGGTCTGCATCCAAGGTAGTCAGCCAACACCATTCCCAATTTTTCCGTACCCTGTTACACAGATCTTGTAGCTTCTGTAATTTCTTAGCGTCTCGATTCTCCTGAGGCGTCCCGAAAGTCAAGCCAGGATAATTCAGGGTAAACAGTTGACCATTTTCCCGGGAGGTCTCTAGGACATGCTGAGAGAACGGACGACGGACTGCATCGTAGACCTTCAATGCGCGGGACAAAGTGGCGGGTGTAGTTACGGAGTGCCCGAGGAGCGTAGCCAAGAGAAAGGCGTCCTAAATTCGACATCGCAACGTATTGTCAGTGGGGCCGGGAGACCGACGTGCTGTCACGAATGAAGATAGAGTACCTCAATGGCTTGTCCCGCCCCTACGCCTTGGTAGGGAAGCATGGCATGTGCCTGTGGCGGACACAAGCTACTCGTTAGAACGCTCCTCATACAGATCTGTCATCTGATACATACCGAATCACCGATAAGAGCTACACGCTCCGAGACGTACGAACGTAAGGGACGCACGGTATGCATTGCCCATCTGTTCAGGCCTTCAATGCTCTGAGTCACGAGGCAAACAGACGTGAGACGAGCGAGTACTGTGACAACAAAATACTGGAACCGACGATAACCTACCTGGAACAATGCGACCACCTCTGGCTCCCATCGATCAAAAGCATGAAGCAATTCATCACGAGAAACGTCTTGTACCCAAGGCCCTTCAAACAGCGTATTTTCCTGCTCCCAATGTGAGCGAGTAGCCGCGAAGTTGATGCCAGTACCTCGTGAGATGGGATATGCGGTGATTTGCTGCTTTGATGTGATGGAATTAACGGGACTCGCCTGCCTTAAAGGAGCAGGATCCACCCACCGTATTCCTGCCCACATACTAGTAGAACAATATAAATGATGTCAGTTCCAGCTAGTGAATAACACACTCACTATCATCGGGTCATGAAGCACCCTATGGCCAGGTAACTGCTGGCTCAGGGTTTGCGAGGGAAATATGGTCCTATACATCGATAGACCGCTCCAAACTGGATCAACTCCTGCTAACGCCTCTTGTGCTTCTTGTGTGTGACCCTCTGATTGAGCTTTTGTTGCGAGATCTCTCAACATGGTAGCACGGACGGCTGACCTCACGCCATCTGCGCCAATTAGCAAATCACACGTTGCTGTAGTTCCATCCTGGAAGTGCAGGTGTATAGGTAGTAGAGACGATTCGGACTTGGATGCTGAACCCTGACCATACAGATAAGTTTTGAGGCGCTTGGCGGTGTGCGTTCTGCATGAGGTCGAGGACAGGTGGAGGAGGAGGACGGCTTGGAAATCGGGGCGATGGAAAGTTATCATACCTCCTAGGATATAAGTTGAAACATGAATAAATGGAAATGGCCGGGGTGCTCACCCGGTGTGATAAGCTGGTGGAATGTGTGGCCTATGGGCTCATCGCCTTTACGCAACGTGAACGCCACCTCTGGTTGGAACAGCAAAAATGCGAGTCAGCGTTTCAGTTGATAGACGTCCTAGAAAGACAATTGTTACTAGGAATATCGGTAGGCGAGATGACAGCGATTTTAGCTAAGTCTTCTGTGAGACCAAGACTCTCCATGATATTCCAAGTTCGGGGCCACATGCCAATGCCGGCTCCTACTTCGGAAAATTGGCCGGCGGCCTCGTAGACGTCGACCTGGATATCCGAATATTTTGATAATGCCACAGCCATCATGAGCCCGCCTACCCCACCACCGCTAGTGATGACGATAAAGTCGATGTGAGCTGACGTGATTGTGGAGGGGCAGTTTGGCTCACCAGATGGCAACGGAGAACTTGCTCGAGGTGGCCATGCCTAGGAAATGTGTGGGTTAACGGAGAGCAGCTGAAGAGTGGAATGATGTTCGAGGACTCGCAAAACATCGCAAAGATCTTTATATCATGATGATGGCGTGGGTTGGAAAAGAAGGTATCAGAAAGCACGAGAACGGGTTGGACCAAAGTGAACAGATGAGAGTCCGAATTTCACGCAGTCCAAGGACTAAAACACCGCTCATCTCGTACAGAAGACGTGAAGCAATGATGATAAAGGTGCCGCTTGTGTACTACGAATGTCGTGTTCACGAATGTTCTGAGAAGGCTCTCGAAAGGTAACCTGATGAACGGTTGTCATTTTGGACGAAAATCATACCAGCCCGTTACCGCCTCCGGAAATCAAACTATTGTGGCCGTAAATCCGGAGGACTGGCGGCCATGATCCTACCACAGTATTAGTGTCCGCCGAGTGGATGATAGAAAATAGTACTGTTCGGTCGGTATGATGCCGTAAACTCACCCGAAAATAATGCTAAGTCCGGATGCACTGGGGTTAGGACTGCGAGGCACACGGATCTTTCATGGATTCTTTTACCTTCTGCATTTCTACTCTATCATGACCATCTATGGTGCATTCCAAATTGTGGGTGCCCGTGAGGGAATGCTGAACACTGAGCGCTGAGCGCTGAGCATAAGAGCTTGGTTAGTTCGCGGACGTCGAGTCTGTCCGCCGCCGGCTAGTTTGTTGGTACATGACGTTTGGCAGTTGAAGGAAACAACCTGTGTGAGAAGAAAGGAACCTTGGTAAGTGACAGCAAGGACGCCGTAGCACAACCTTGACAGAAACGGCCAAGCAGAGAAGTTGATTATTCCATCGACATCCAATAATATGTCATACGTAGAGTACGCAGACAGACGGATACAAAAGAAGGCAGGCAAGACCATGGTTCGCCCCGCGAAGCCTGCATCTCACGTCTGATCGCTCCTTTGAAGTTTGTACAAATTGCGATATCTCCGCTTATCTCAGCGGTGTATGCAAACGCGAACAATCTCCATAACAGGGTGGAAGAAGTAGGTTCAAAAATATCATGTGAATGCCTTGAATAACTGAGGAGACAGGTTTTCTGAATTGAAGCCACTGCCTAGGAAAAAAATCACAAGGTTCGGGATCCATCACATTTGCACGCATCACCCGAACATGCTGTAGTAGTCATTGCCCGAAGTTACCAATGATGACGTACAAATAAATCCCAGAGCTTGTCAATAGGAAGTTAACAAGTGAGGATATGATATTCAAATGGGATAGAGATAAGGTCGCGCCGGCGGAGCGCATGTAACCTCATCAAACCGTCGTAGAGAATCGGAAGTTAGCGCAGTTGTCCAATGGCAGAAGAGGCCGCTGCCCACAAGGCGGTGGAGGGAGCAGTAGTTACTTCGATAGGACGGGTTGGACATCACCTGCACAAGTCCACGTAAAAGCCCCCTCCTACTACGCGATCAGACCGGGGACTCTTAAAAGACATGTACCTGTCTCTTAGAAAGGGAGAAGAGATAAGGCGAAGCGATATGGTAACCTCCGCAGTACTCTTGATATTACTGCAGCAGTAACAAGTCCCCGCGCAACGAAGGTGGCATGCCCGGGTAGCGATGGACGCCAACTAGTGAACGTAGGTAACCACGGTCGCACGGCGCGAATGAGGCACCTGAGTATAACTGAAAGGATATGCAGTTGCCGAATAAATAACCGCCAGAATCATTTTACGGCGATTTTGTGGACATACAGTAAGCGTACCTAGGCGCGGTGCGAATAGGTAATGCTGTAGAAAACCTGAAACACAGGCAGTGCGGTTGACATGTCCAGATGACATGAGGACCCTAATGAGCAAGTCAAGTTGCAATACGACGTTCACCATGTCGCCATCCTACGTCGGGGGGGCCTATCTTCAAACCGCTCAGATAAAAATCGAGTGTCGTTGCTCGACAATGGGCTGAAATGCGGTGGGCCTCCCTTGGCAGGGGGCTATTGCTCGAGAACGCCTGGGCACACGCGCGACATACGCCGACCAACCTCACCGCAAGTGCATGTCTGTCCACATGCAATGGCAGTCGCACCTTATGTGCGCGGATACCCATGGTTGGGTGAACCTAGGACCAAAACCACCGAGAATCCTAGGGCCGGCCGTACCTCTATGAAGTCGGGTGACTCGATGCAAGACGTGATAGAACCCTACCCGTGTGATAGCGTTCTCCAACCTTGGATCCTAACATACATGTTCGGCTGCGGGATCGCCAATTTCTCAACGGTTCTCCACTCGTGTGACAGGAAACGCGAGATACGGCACCTCATGTTCGCACAAAATGAGGCAGCTGTTAATTTCCACCATCCCGCGAGTCTTCTGCCTTTCGACGCGTCTATAGAGGGTGCCTGTCCGGAAGTCATCGTTTGCTCAAGATATGACGTTGTGCTTACCCTTCACGGAAGATCATCGTGGAGGAGCGGGAAGTTCAATTCAGCTTCAGACGACATTGATTGCTGCGCCGTGACATGTGCTCTTGGTCCTGTTCAAACGCTTGCAGCGTCGCTGAGCATGGCATTCAAGATTGCTCATTGTCGCTTGTCTTGTGATCCTCATCGATATGTTAGAGTACTCGCTATCTGATGGAAGTTTCACCGTTACTCATTCCGACATTCGTCAGCAAGGAAGAGACGAGAGATATAAAAGGGCGACATACAATGACAGGAATGCCCCAAGATCCGCCGCCCTTGCACTCTCCTCTTCTATTATAACCACACTGAGCTATTGTTACATACCTCTTTATCCACTGCCTCCCGCCACATATGCATACCCAGGAGAAGTTTCTCGGGACAAGAAGGGCCTACAATCGACATTGTAAGTACAGTTAGCGACGAGCATTCAAGCTTCAAGCGTTGACTCAAAGCTTTTTCTACACGCTTCCAGAGACCCCGGGCTTGCCATTTCGGTAGCAATATGCCGTAAGAATTCATATCACATTCCCTCGGAGTCCATGCACGAGACTGTGTTTGCAGACTCGCGATTCGAAATGGATCCCCGTCGTACCTTTCTTCCCAAACTGCGCCTTGTGGATCGCTGCATGTATTCCACGCAAGACATGCCCCTGGCGGGGCAAGTCTTGCGGGAATATGTGCAACTTTCCGTCGCACCGGTGGAATGACGCAAGGACGGAACGTGCTTACCGATTGTAGGACCAACACACCGCTGATCGTATCTCGCATGACACTGATCAGCATCGCATACTGTGCATGCGTGGAGGCAAGGACAATAAGCCTGGGAGCCCTATCCGATGAGCACCTTGAATAATCACTAACGATACTCTCAGGCTGATGAACTGAAGCAAGACGTACCCCACCTTCCGAATCCATACCACACGCTCGGCATCAGTTCGACAGCTAAGGTACGCTAAGTCCGCACTTTCGATACGAATCTTTCTTAGCACGAGAATTGCAGTGATTTGTGTCGGCCGAATGTGCTTACTGCGGGGGCAGGACGGAGCAAGGTACCACAGAATCACTACTGTTCGCTAGTGTTCACAGAACCAAATTAAATTTCGTTCCACGATTCCGCATTGAGCAGAGATTGCTGAGATAGGCTATATTTGACGAGTCATGGCGGTGGCGAACATGCGGCAATATTTCTCACAGAAGAGCCTTCAGGCTTTTGGATGGGAGACGATCAATGACGCCCACGCAGACTCAGCCATGAGGCTACTATACATCGGGGTTTGCCGCCGTGGCGAAAAGAATGCAATCTACCCGATACAGTAAAGATCATGGCTGATGCTACATCATGGAATATAATGCGTATGTATGAGAAATGAATAGAATGTAATAGCAGACCCTGGGTTTAGAGTGTAAAGCCGTAAAGCTGAGAGCCCAAATCAAGCGTAAAGTCTAGAAAGTCCGTCCGACACCACCACATACGCCACAGGTAGTTTCATCGAAAAGCAAAAAGGAAACTGTCCCGCTGCCGCCGCACCTCCAACATAAATGTCCACCCAGCCGTGGGTCACCGGGGCGTACGACCACAGCGCCGGGCGGTGGTCGACCCATCCCTGGCAACTGAACGGTTACTGGAGGCGAACGAGTATTTGATGGATTACTGCCATAAGCAGTGGGCCGTTGGAGCCCATCAAGATATGGTGACATAGGGACACCCCCACCAGGTGTAGGTATGACCCGAGATTGTGAAGGCGCTGACGCCCCTGGGTATCCACTGTGTATCCGCGATGTGGATGACGATCGTGAGAGACCTGAGTTTAACGGAACGTTGAGCGAGCCGAGAGAAGAAGAATATTGATGGAGTCCTCCTGATGAACGTAACGATGACTGCGGGGGCCTGAACGAAGGAAGCGGGCGTTGGTACTGGGTAGACGCATGAGAGGCATTGGAAGCTGAATTCCAAGGGGTATACGTGATGGCACCGGCGTACGGTCTACTGTATTTATTCCAGCATTTCTTGTGCGGTTGCGAAGGATCATAATTCTTATATCCTGTATTATGACCTGAAAGCCTGTTAGCACATGAAATGGAGATGGTCTATCCACGTACACTTTTGACATTCGAAGCCAGCAGGATAGACAAGCACTCTTCCATCTTTCAGCAGTGGATGACCAGGTACTGGTGTCTTCGTTGGCTTTCCATCATCTGGAATTTCATTCGAATTGCTTTCATTTGGCTGTGAATGCCTTGGAGGAGTTTCAGGAGGGTGAAGGTATTGCCGAGGTGATGACGAATCTGAAGGAGAATTCGGTTGAGAAGTATATTGCGAACTCGATCCTCCAAACAACGTTTCCGGATTTGCGGTTCCGCCGGCAGCATAGAACTCTTGAGCAAACTCTGAGATTGGCCGTGATGGTGGTGACGAGACCGGTTGGTGGGGGATAAAGTAAGGAGATGCTACTCTAGATGCTGCAGATACCAGAGGATGTCTCGGAGGAGGTGGGCGACCTGTAGGCTGCCTCGATACATTTCCTGGATATCCTGCCCAACTAGGCGGAGGCCACTGTCTGCCTGTTTGCTGAGGTGACACTCGTGATGGTGCGACCGGAACCACTGGTCGCAGTGGTTGCTGGAATGGCCTTGCAGGACCAAATTCAATCGATGTCTCGCCCTGGTACACGTCAGGAGTGGGTGTGTATGCGGGTGGAAGTTCTTCCGACAACGCATCAGGGATATTAAGGCTGCTTGAACTCCCTGAAGACTCCTCGTGGTGAAGCGAGGCTGTTTCGCGTGAAGTGGTATCGTTTGATCTATCAGCAGAGATGGAGGCGTTGGAAGGCGAAACAGTGCTGCCGGATGCATCTCGATTACCGTTTGTATTTGGACTTGAAAGAAAGGGATTACGGGAGGACATGTTCGTTAGATTGCAGAGAGCAGTCAAGTAGTACCGGTACTTCTAGGCATAAATACGAGGTCGCATGCAGCCAAGGGTCACTTTCCGCAGAAAGCTGTGAGCGTCACGGTCCATAAACGTTTAAACATCCGTGCCGGGCCAATTCAAACGACAATGGGCGATGTATATGTAAAGGAACAAATGTAGATACTAGGCTGTGTGTAAAGTACTCACAATACAAAATTAGGAAGAAGAAAAAGAGTAAACAGTGTAGCCGTAGTAATACAGTGGTATATATAGACAGCTCCCAAGTAGGTTTCTACATGCAGAGAGAAGCAATCCTAAGAAATCAGTCCAGGTGCATCTAGTCTTTGCTGCTTAAGCTCCTGAAGAACTCTGCGTAGGCATGCTCAATATCAAAGAGAAGCTGTGGATTTCGCACCATGAATACCCGCGGAAGATACACTTTTGTCTAACCACTTACCTGTCGTGATTGCTCCTCGGTGATCTCTTCCGAGGCTTTCATGCCATTCAGCGTGATCAACCTAGAGATATGAGGTCGGGAATCACAATGATATGAAGTGATTAATTCGGGACGTACCATCCAACCATTTTACTTCGACCCTCCCAGTCCTTACTGCCCTTAAAGCGGGCATAACCGGTCACAAGTTCCTGTAAGATGGGATGCAGCTGGTCTTTGGCCCGCAGCCGAAGCTTAAGTGCGTCCATGAACGTAATAAAACTCTGTGAACGGATGTCACCAAATCATGTTCTAACGATAGAATTTGAATTTCTCACCTGCGTGGTCTCTGCCACCCATTTACCGGTTTCTGGGCCGGCTTCACTAGAATGCTCCACCGTAGCAGGAACTCCGACTCTAAGTCGATGCAAAGCTGCTGGATGATCCATCTGAACATACCGAGAACAGTTACGTTCATAGACTGGCCAATCGTTAATAGCGTGGTGAATGACTGACGCGATATCGGTTCATAAATTCCTCTATTGAAGGCACGGCATCGCCAACCAGCTTCAGCATGGTCTTATATTGTGATAGTAACCTTGTACATGCTGGAGAGTACCTCTTCAACAGCGAAGCTCAGCGTGATGTCTTCAATGTGACGAAGTGTGATAACATACTCGGCTGCTGTAACCGAATCTCGTACATACGCCCGTTCAAGATAGTCCAGAGCGACAATGATGCCAAAGAGTGTAGCAAGGAGTCCATATTTTTCCCGTTCAGCATTCGTTGTGTATAGTCTTGCTTCTTCGTCGAGGTTCAGCGGGGTGAATGGCGCGGCCATGGTAGGGGTTGCTAGTTAAGGAGTGGGATCTAATCTAATCGAGGTCAGGTCGGTTGACGGATCTAAAGCCCCTTCATTGAAGTTGCGGTTCCAGTCCGGATGCAAAAAAGCGTATATTAAATCGTGAGCAATGCAAGTCTAAGTAGATGATAGCACATATCATATAAAGGAACGCATGGAGTCAATCTATCTAAACCAAGGCCACGCCTCCAACGCATCCCATAAGAGTAGCATCATAGATACCACCTTTTTCAGTCTCTAACCAATCATCTATCTCCTCGAACAGTCTCATTGCTCGCCCTCCTTCAAACTTCGTCACTTTCTTTCCAGGCCACATCGCCTTTTCATTGATGCCAGCATAATTGAACTTGATTTTGCCGTCAGAACCGTCGGGGATTTTGACTTTGAAGTCGGCAGTCCAAACGTCGTGACCATAGAACGAGCCTTCTTTGATATGATGACGTGCATATTCATCAGGCGGGTTTAGGTCGAGGGACCACTCGAGAACATGTGCATCGAACGCAACAGCTACGAACGCATGAACAATTGCGCACAAATGCAGAAGCACTTGCAACTCACCTGTCCAGATGATATCTACATGCCTCACAACAAGTGTGAACGTCCTTGTGCCCGCTACTGTATCGATAGTGTCATTGACGGCTGATACACCGAAGTCGTATTCCGCAATGCCTGCAAACTCTGGATTGACAGGAAGATCCAACTTGTACGGAGTGAGGAACTAAAAACAGAAAGCCTCGTAAACATCATACTTGTTGAATATATAACAAGAAGACCACAAACCGCCGAAAATGGATACACGATATCCCAATCGCCATTCCAATCATCCATGGCGATAGACTTTGGAGCGGGTGTATCAGGCAAACCGAACTTTTGAGCAATTTCATGTGCAAGAAGGTTGAACGCAGGTGCACCATCCGCAGCAGCGAAGTGCAAATGTTGCTCCTGACTGGTAACCTACAGGATAGAAAAGTTAGCGGAAAGAAGACTTGACAGAGGTTCCCTGCTTACATTCTCCATGTACATTACGAAGAAACGCTTGGGATGCATGCGATCGAATGGCTCACGCATGGCGAATATGGCCATAGCCACCGCCGTGACCATAGTGGGGAACAAGACCGCCCGGGCAAGAACGCGACGAGGGATACGATGTGCGAAGGGAATAACCAGGGGCAGAGCATATGCACCAGTGATGGCGACAATAGTAGCAACGATATGGTCCCCTGGTGCCTGTTCACCCATACGACCAGTCTGCCGTCACAAGTGAGTATATATATATCGACATCGTCACTTCACAAGCAATAACGTACTAGTGGAACAAAAACGTCCAAGACCTGGTAGACTATTTGCGCTCCTGTCGTAAGAGGAACGAGTTGCCCAAGGGCATAGCTCAGTAATGACATATCATCCCCCGGTTTCGAAACAAAAGAGTTCAGGAGCAATGCCAGAGTCAGAGGAAGGCCAGATAAGAAGAACACCACTGAGGAACCGACATTGATGAGCTGGAGACCACTGGCAAGGAATGCGTGTAGTATAGTAAGAGAGGAGAAGATCGTTTGCTCCCGAACGTTGCCTACTAGAAGCTGAGAGGCAAGAGCGCCTTGATAGCATTGGAAGATTAGAAACGAAAAAGGAGATCCAATTAGTAAGACGAACCTCCTAGTGCTGCGGGTCCAAACAGTGCCAGACATGAGAACTCTACAGAGAACCAGCTCATGCCCTTGTTCAATACAGATCTCATAACGAAAGCAACCACATTCGCGCCGATTAGTGCTCCAAGAATGCCCACAGAGAGTGCAAAGACGCCGCGAAGGTTTTCCGAAATTATGCCACGACCTTGGCGCAACGCAGGAGCAGGAGGGACGAAGGTTGCCCTCACAACTATGATGGTGAATACCAACGATGCTCCATATAAGACCTTGGCTGTCTGGAAGGAGTAAACCCAGAAGTGGGACAGTGCGTGGAAGAATACAGTTGCAGGCTTGCTGTAACCCTCTGTAAGGGAGGGTAAGGGAGATTCGGCCGATGAGAGGTATAATAAGAGTGCAAGTGTATTATCGGCCATATGCTGGATGAAACTAAGTCAAAAGCGAATATACGGGTTAAATCGTGACACGCACCTGTGCGACACCCGGCTCGATGTTTTCCACGAGGTCCAGACGAGTGTGATACAAGTAGGAATTCCCTACCACTGCCATCTGACATCACTTATCAATATACCTTACCATTGGAGGCCGGAAAATAGACTTACATCCAAACCAGTGACATTGAGATACAACTCAAATTGCCTAAAGTCCGTGCTGTGATCATATGTGCGTGTCACTGGTTATTTCTCTGCCTCTGTGTTGGAATATTGATGGAGTCAAGGTGACTCAACGGGACTTACTCTGACATCATGATGCCGGAACTGAATATTTCGTTGGCAACGACGGTTCCAAAAGGCCTGTAAGAGGAGTAAGTATCTCGCCAATAGCGGGATTTTATTTTTAGACTTACCGGGGAACCTTGGAATACGCCTGAATCATCTGTTCTGAAGTCGCTTGGAAGAGCAACTCAGGGCCCGTGGTACCAGCAGCTATTCATTAAGTACTGTTCAGTACTAGGTCTATCGGGGCATAAACCCTGCATACCTTCTAAATTTATGGCTGCACGGACGCTATGACGCACTGCATCAGTAAACCTGCTGCGGAAGACAAAAAAATTTCCCCCACGTTTTCGCTGTGGGATGCTGCGTTGAATACAAGTGGGATCCATCCTGGAGAGATTCTTCGGCGTTGTTGAATACTAGTAGTGCATATATGAATGAAGAGCAGAAATTATCAACTAATTAACGCACAGAAGATGATAGCATGTGTAGGTTCCCAGTCTGGCGTATGAACAAGAACCCGAATGCATTCAAGCATGACACCGACCGACAGCGCGTCATCAGCTGGGGACCATAACACGTAAGACATGAGAAATGATTTCAGTAGTGAGGACGTACCAGCTCCCGGTGAGGGAAGGGTACTGTCCACATGAGAGTTGACGAGGACCGCGTTCTCCTTCCCCTCAGGTGTGCCATCAGAAATGCGTACGATAATGTTCGTGAGGCCCTTATAAGTCTTGTACAAACGTTTGCCCATGATATCAAACCTATCATGAGGTTAGTGCCTCATTCGTAAAGAAACAGATACTTAAAAACACACCGATGATTTCCGTCTCCGACTTGTCTCCAGACCTCACATTCGAGCTTGCGCCCTGGCGAAGCCTTCACGACCTCCTCACACTTACTCTGTAGTTCCAACGCGTGCATGTGTACCCACAAGTCACCTAATGCATGTTCGAGGGTCCCGACAGTGCGATAACCAATGTCCTCGGAGAGATATTTTGCATGAGAGAGTATCTGGGCTTCAGATATCTGAGGCAGAGACGTGTCATTGTTGACTCTGCATAATAAAATGGTTGAGACAAAATTCAGCCATCATGGCGAATGGGAAGGTCTCAATTATTCACGCACAGATCGATGACCGGTTCGGGCAACGCTAGACCACAAGCGGAGGTGAACATTCAGAGAAACACTCAACCACATGCAATGAACAGTACTCACCATATTGTGACTTATACGCGAGGAAAGGACCCAAAACAAAAAGCGGCGCAAGGACTAATAGAGAGCGCACGGGTCCCCAGCGACTCGATACTACGCGCGTGGACGACATTTGGTCACCAACGACAACACTGGAGAATGATCCTGGTGCAGTAACACGTCTTCAAGTAGTCGTCATGAAAGAGTGCATACTAGAAGCGGACGCATTTGCCAAGTTGGCAGGCGTCAGGCTGTCTGAATGTGTCAGGTTTGGTGACTGTTACTCGGTTTCCGAGGTGTGTCCGACTGTGTCCGAGAACCGAGAAGATATTCCACTTTACAGTAACCGAAGTGCAGACCAGTATTGTAGTAAAGGATATGAGATTTTAACACGTAGTCTACTCTGCCCCACCATCGAACCCTCCCCTCCGCCTCTTACTTTTAATGGCTTCTCGATGTCTTCTTTTCCACTCTTGCGTGAGCTCCTTCTTGTTATCTTCCCAACGCTGCTTAATCTCCTCTTCCGTTTGAGTCCGACGGAAACTTCTCCAGTCGACACCACGTTCTCTTGCGACATCGAAGAAATCTTTCACTTTCCCTTTGATGCTGGCACGCTCTTCAGGTGGTATGGGGAAGAACAACGGTTCTTTTGCATCGAGTGAGAGAAACCCCGCTTGAGCCCTTGGACGTGTAAGCACATGAGTGGACGTCGGCATAGGTTCGGCGACTGGCTGTACTATCTGAGGTTGAGCAGTGCCAAGGTTGAGGTCATCTTCGTCCAATTCATCATCGAGATCGAGGTGTCCCAGAAGGGAGAAACCACCTGATATACACGTTAGCACCTTAAATCAACCGTTATACTCTCGAACTGACCTTCATCTTCCCTATGAGCAAATAGATCTTTCAGTTTAGTTTTTGGTTCCGGTCCTTGTAGTGCACTCGGTTTCGCAGATGCGGGCTCTGGAGAGACAACGACGGCTGCAGACTGGACGTCTAGCATCTCGCCTTCACTTTCATCGTCGGATGATGCACTGGCATCGGTGCGAGAGACAACCTCTAAATCGTCCACCACCTCCGTCGTCATGGGAGGAGCTTCTCTCGCCTCATCCATGTCCACGTCCGAAAGGCTCTCTTTACCACACCAATCATCGTCTTTACCGCCAAACAGTGACTGTAGCAAGCCCAAAGACGCGTTCTTCTCTTGGAGTAAATCGTTGTCCAGCGGCAAAGCTGTACTGCTTGGCTTTTGCTGGATTTTTGGCTGTGCCTTTTGAGCGACCTGAGCTGATTTGTGTGAAGAAGGTGCCGATCGAGCGACGGGCGTAGGCATCGAAGGTACAGGAAGCACTTCCTCTTGGTCTTCTGACAATAGCTCATGCTCTGGACCACTACTGTCCGTATCAGACGAATCAATTGGTGACGTCGGCCGGACAAGTTCCGCCGCACGAATAGCAGTATCTGGATAGGCTACAACAGCATCGAGAAAAGCACCCTTTAGATGGTTAGAGCCGAACTTCGTGGGATCTATTGTACGTCTTCGCGCACGTGAAGGAGGTTCTTTTGGTTTTTTGCGCTTTTCCTTCGCACCAGCCTTTTTGATTTTGGGGGCTGCTGCAACGTCAATGGGGTCCGGGAGAGGATGAGTTGGTCGCATCCTGACGGGATGGATCATACGACCTAATGCAGTTACTTTCCATCCTTTGCGGTCTTGCACGGTTTCTGGGGTAACGGGAGACATATTGTCGGCGTGTACACCTTGTACACCACGAGGCAGACGACGCTTCTTGCGAGGAGGTTCACCGTCCTCAGCTATAGCCGGAGCATTTTCCTGCGCAATTCTGAATTCTAGTGCATAAGGACTTGTGCCGGAAGGATCCACTAGTAGCAACGTACCTCTCGCGAAAGTCTGGCTTTGCTTCTCCAAGACGTAATTTGGCACCTTTCCATGTCACGCCGCTCAGCAAATTCATGCCTATAGCTTCTGGTAAGATGCATATAGTCCGATAGATAATTGTACACATACATTTCGTAAGTTTGGACTTCGTCGTTTCAATCGTAACATATGCAAACTTCTTCGGTTGGCCGAGAGCGTCCAGCTTTCCAAGACCATCGAGAGCTTTGACAGTTCCGAATGAACCTAGTCGTTGTGATATGTCTGCAGCGCTAAGGGCTGGTGTCAGTCCGGAGACATGGATACGTTTGGTGATAATGTCTTCTGACATGCTGTCTGGAAGAAAGACAAGTGCTCTGAACTTCTTGCGTTGTGGACGCTGGGAGATAAGATTAGATTGCATATATTCGACGCGTCTTATTGGGCGCTAACCGAAACGCTGTTACTGTTCGAATCTTGCAGGCGACCTACACCTCGTTTGATCGCCACACGACTCTTCACGTCTTGTTCACGCCTGTATACTCTCTGTATACGCCGAGAATACGAAAATGCCATCTTCTTACTCTCCTAAGTCACTTTCAGATTGGATCAAACCCTCTCGTAATGAAGCAATTGCACGGCTACGGACAAATGCTATAGCATTGGTCGCGCTCTTCATCGTGACACACCTTGCTCCTCTGCCGTCTCTATGGACCGCATTTCATGTAGTGTCTACACGCGCCGAAGTTGGGCCAATTTGGTGGGCATTATGTGTCATTGGTAAAGAACATGCTTCTTGGGACTAGGAAACTTGTATTCATACACCATCGCAGAGACGTTAATGCTTGCTGTATTGGGAACTAATATCGTGCAATGTTCCTACGCGCTTCAATATCCTTCAACAAAAATTAGACCACCGCCTTCCACTCCTACAAAATTCATGCCTCAATCGCCGGCATCCAAAACACCGCGTCGGCTAGGCATCACTCCCACAGTACGTATGTCTTTCCCTTCTATTTCTTCACGATTATTGACGCACTATCGTATATCTGCTTAGTCTACACCTCAGCCACAAAGGACATTTAACGCATCCTACATCACTTCACCAATCTCAACGCCGTCGCGAACCTTGAATTACACTATTCCTCCATCGGCCGGTTCGCCATTTGACACCTTTCTGGATACGTCAACTTCAAGCCTACCCGGATCACCGAATCCCATATTGAGTTCTCCTCTGGCGGCTTACAGAGGAAAACACAGTTCAAATATTGGTCGTAAGTCTGAAACCTGCGCGTAAATTTTCTTTGCCACTGACTGTTGTGTCGACCACTCAGGTGCATTTGACGGAGACCTACTAAGTAGACTGACAAGACATGATGACGATGACGACGAAGATTGATGTATGGGTTTACGGGTTAGCGTTTATCACGTAGCCGATTACACCAGCACTCGCAAACAGGATACTTCGGTGCGGACATGGGTTGTCATGCAAGTGGTAGAACTTCTCACTCAGTCTGGTATCAAACCTTTCGTCCTGTCCTGTGATCACTTGTTCGTTACACCACATTAGGTTCCCTAATCAAACTCCTATCTGCTGGTTTATGGGATCTCTCTTTCACTCTTCCATTCGATTTTGACAGCTCGTTGATCAAGGATTTGAGCTCACCTTGCTGACCAAACAACAGACACAGGTAGAACCCACGTCAGGCGACTAGACTGCCATCAAAGACTACACGCGCGGGCACCATGTTTAAGGTTACGCCTTTCAGCCATTCGTGCTGAAACGCGTTGCCACTATCATTGTATGCCTCGCGGTGTACAGTATCTTTAGGACTAGAAGACGGTTATTTTGGGTAGCCGCGCAGGAACCTGATATTCACTTCGCAATCATTGACGGTATCGATCTCGCCATTGACACCACGTAGCATGGGGAATTGAACCTTGGCACTACTGCAGACAAAGGAGCTTCTCTCTACAAGTTGAAGTTTTGCGTGGGTAGAGAATTCTGGGCGTGCCCGGACTACAAGCAATTTAGTGACTAGCTACTGGGATGTGTTGTTTGGAAGTTCGTCCACGCTGTATCCGTGGCGTTGATTTTAGTACGCTGATTATAATCCCACAGGGTCATCTCGCGGCAGTGCAAGTTCGAACCTAAACGACATGCATACTAGGGATGATGAGCACGATTGAAGACCGCCATGCAATTTCCAACCGTTCTAACCCCATCTTAAAAGTCGTTTCTCGTCTCCGCAAGCGTAGACCCCGGCCCCGTCCTACACGCCTCGCAAGTCGAATCTCTCCGCACCACTGACATTCAAACTGTGACCGTAGCCACCACTCATGTTCATACCGTTGTGTGTCCTGATCTCCCTTATCGTCTGTGATATCGGTGGCGCATTCGAGGTTCCAACTATCGTCCGTTCTCCGTTCTTGAACGAATGGACTGCATCCGATCGCGTGTCCCAATTCAGCTCTGGTGGTGTACGCAAAATACTGAAGCTTTCATCTTCTCGCGAACTTACACAACGTTGCAGTCTTTTACATGGACAGGATTAATCTCCGTCGACAACGTCACCTATGTGTGGTGGGGAGATACCCTCGATTCCGTTGCCCACAAAAAAACCAACCTCTTTGACGTACAAGTCACTCCCACACGAACGATCTATATCATGCAAGCCGGGCTTGTAAACCTGAACGTCACGGCCTTCTCTCCTATAGAGGTATGAAGAATGCTGGTAATCTCCCCACTCCCCTTTACTCACAAGAGGCCCTGCAGCCAACCGATCTTCTTCGACAATCTCTTCCCTTTGCCTACCTATCGCTGTCGTTAACGTTGACAGCCACTACAGAAATTGACACTAATGTCAGTATTTATACATATATTGATGGAGGTCAGTAACAAAAAGAATCACAACTGCGTGCACGATTCATTCTATTGAGCAGACTGGACTGGGAATATCGAAGGAGTTACCTCAACTGGCGAGGTATGGCGAACTGTGTATCTGGGCGACAATGTCTATCACCATTGTCAATTTCTCAATACTACATCTACTCCCGAATTTGGCGACCAACTCAATGGAGGATTAACTAATGTTGTCTACGGCATGTCTCTTGTGAGTGTTTTCTCTGATAAGATGTGAGCTTCGTTCAAACCAGACCATTACAGAACACTCCCGGGCATATCACTCAGTGTTCGGGCTCGTCTGATTGCTATGATCAATGGCTTGCAACCGGAAGACTTTACGAGTGTAACAGTTCCATGTCTAACCCAACAGTTTCAGCACCAGGTATACGATTCCCCTGGTGAGATATTCAACAATCACAATCAGAAGACGCTCATCTATCTCAATAAATGACAGGGCGACATTGGCTTATGCTATCGAACTAACAGGGGTTCTTAGCCCAAGTGGAAACCAGGTCTTGACATTGTTATGGACCCTCGGCATGATGAGGGACCCTGCGATTACCTACACCACTCCTAACGGAGCATCGCAACATCGGAGTCCATACTTCAAATCGCAATATTCTAACATCTCCTCGATAGTGAGTGGTCCGCTCGACGCCCCTTGTAGTGCCAGTTAAAAACTCTATCAGGTCGCTTTCGTCTTGAAAGATTTCGATAATGCCACGAAGAGAGCGGACGACCTAGATAAGGCACTTTTGGATGTTGCTCGGAATACCTCCTCCACTTACGCGGACCTAGTGTCGCTTTCGACTCGAGCCGTCATGGGTAGCACTGAGCTTGCAATATCGAATGGATCGGATGGCAACTTCAACACATCTGATGTTAAACTCTTCATGATGGATATTGGCACAAGCGAGTACGTACACTTTAAGACGTTCAAAAGTTTACGAGTCAATATCCTTTCCAGCCGTGTCAACCCCATAAGCACACTCTATGCCGCATTTCCTTTTTTCCTATATGTTAACCCCATGTACCTTGGTTATTTGCTTGAACCTTTGTTCGAATATCAAAGCTCTCCTCAGTACCCTCTGCCATACGCTGCAGTTGATGTTGGTGAGTACTTACTTTCGCCCGTTCCGGTCCATACTTTGTTATTTTCTATCCAAACAGGTTTGCAGTATCCGAATGCGACGGGAGATAATCAACCACATAATCAGGGGCTGGACGGTATGCACGCCGCGTCCATACCTTCACATATTGCCATTTCAGCCTACTGTCAAACACAGAATCTGGCAACATGTTGATCATGTCCCTGGCTCACGCACGGGCGGCCAACGATACCACATTACTCGTCGCATATGTGTGTTACTCGTTATTGTTTCTGGTTAATCCTTATACATTTCTTTAGTATGACCTCTTGAAATCATGGACGGAGTTCATTGCGACCTACGCCTTAACACCACCTCAAGGCAATGCGTATGCAGCGCTTCTCTTTCCCTGATGGTGCACAACCTTAATGAGTCATTTTCCAGATCGCCGAACTCGACGACAACCCTAGTCCAGTCTACGAATCTTGCGTTGAAAGGCGTTCTTAGTATCCAAGCAATGTCCGAGATTAGTCATATGTTAGGACAGATGGATGATAGCAAGAGGTATTCGGTGAGTGGAACATGATAAACGATTCAAATAAGGCTGTTCAAGTGGAAATCTAGGAACGAGCAAGTAACGACGCAAGGGTTTGGAGTACTGTTGCCTTAGCATCTGACAAGTCTCATGTCCTTTCAAACTACGGCGATTCCGACTCTCACTGGGCCCTCATCTACAACTTATACGCAGATCGGCTACTTGGTATGGATTTGGTGAATGATTCCGTAAGTCCTTTCATTTATCATAAGGCCCATGACTGGTGGCTCATTGTAATCTAGGTCTACGATCTTCAAAGTACATATCTTAAAAATATGACTTATGGTACAAGTGGGTGTCGTCTTTCCGCCGTTCCCACTGTTCTGTACTGAGTATTCAATTATTGTGAAGAATCTCCGTTCTATGGTGTCCCCATGGATGATACGAGTGATGTAGGAGACGCAGGTGAAGAAATTCTATATCTCCGCCTACTTCACCGTGACATATATAACGACGATAGCTTGGACTATGTTTACCGCCGCAGTTGTCACTGATAGCATCGTCCGCGATGTGCTTCTGACTGCTCTATGGACACGTTTGAATGCCACCGGCTCCGGCCCTAACCTTTACAATACCACTACAGGCACTTCGGTTAGCAACAACGGCGAAATGGGGTAAGACCTTCGAATTAGGGCCATCCTCTAGAACTTCACGGTTTCACTTACAGGCCAGCAAATGGTGCAGCATTTGCTCTTTTGGCTTTAACGTATGTGATTTGGTCATCTCGCTCGTCTCTTTACTTTATCGTGATTACTATAGGATACCCGGGTTATCGGTGGCGGCATCCAATAGTGGAAACGGAAATGGATCCAATAGCTTGTCCTCGCAACCTCATAGTCTCGTAGGCCCCGTCGTTGGTGGCGTGCTTGGGTGTCGCACTTTCTGCGCTAGTAGTCACTGGCTTCTTCTTCCGGAGGCGTCAAGTACAACAAGAGATGCTACCATACAATTTGAGCCCATTCGTCAATGAAGAATCCTTTTCAGGGCCGATTTCCGCTTCTGCGTTGATTCAGAACCCTACCGATGTTATGGCGGTGCCTCCTGTATCACCAAACACTTATGTGACGACGCCCTCTGGAAAGGTCATCATGCAGCCGTCGTTGGAGAAGTCAAACCTTATGCCGCCTGGCATCGCATCCTCTCCGACAACTGAAACGTCCATTCCTTTAGTTCCTCCAGATGCTGGAAGCTTGAATGAGGCAGGAGGTTCACAAGAGGTTGAAGAATTGCGTGCAGAAATGGAGAGACTTAGGAGAGTGGTCCTGGACTTGCATGCTGATAGAAACGAACCCCTACCCACTTACGACACTTTCGAAATGCCAGGACCATGATGTAGCCCATTTTCGATCTATGTTTAGACTCTCGACAATTCTTCTTTTTTGGACATCTGCGTTGAACTCGATTCTCGATGGTTTGCGTATCGTGTATGTATACATACAGTATGCCATAGTCTCTGTACGGGGCAACCATTTATTCCTTTCTGTTTGCGAGATACCTTTGATAAGATGCCCATATTGCCACTAAACACAAGCTGTCATTCTGTATATTCTGGCGGTACATCCGCACCATTGGCACGCAACGCTTGCACGACTCTCCGCAAGCTCTCCATTTCCGTTCTCAGTCTGCTCACGTTTGGGCTTGGGACAGGGTCTGGCGGTGATGACGGCGATAGGACCGTGTGCCCAGGAGGACCGGGCTGATTTGACAAGCTCGCCCCTTCAAGAGGGAAGACTCGTAGTGTTTCAAGATCAGGTGCTGGTGCACCCTTTGATTGAATTGTAACGCCACCAGCATCGGCAGTCGAAGATATTTCAGGTGGATTGGTGGACACGTCCGGTACAAACATCGGTGGTTCCCAATGTTCCTTGTTTCGCTTGCGAATCCAAAGCAGGATGGTGCCTGAAATGAGCGCGAGAAGGGCCAAGCCACCAATTACGCCGCCAACTAAAGGACCGACGATGTTACGATGATGCGATGAAGTTGTGCTAGTTTCGGCCGGAAATATTGGCGCGACAATTGATCGCTGAGACAATCTAGTTGAGACGTCAATTTGCCAAAGCCCCTCCAGCCCGACGGGCACGCACCTCAGAGCAAGTGGTGCAAACATAGCTCCTTGTGCTGGACTGTAATAGACAACAATGATTAGAGACGATATTTCATGGTATAGCATTTTGCTGACCTGGATACGCCGAGAGCATTATCGTTCTGGGTATTATACAGTAACGGGAAGCAGTCGAGAGACCCATTGACGTGAGCATATATATTAGATATGAGGATATCACGAGTAGCGCTGTCACTGAGTACTGATGCAGTAAACATGATACAAGCTGCGAGGACCATCAGCATTGTCGCATCTGACATATCTTGCAGGACCTACTGTCATCTGTAAGGTTACTTGCGCTATTCATCGGAATTCCGAAAGCTATCCGGCCAATATGATGATTGACAGAGTGAGGTTAAAAATGTCACATTCAAACTTACGGAAATTAGGAGAAAGACGATTAACTAGTTGTCTTTGATAGTTGTACACCTATCAATCTATCGATAAGTAGGTTGATAGTGTGACAACCATCTCGTCTTACAGAATCGTCCACCATATGAGTTTGGAGCAAGCGGTCGGCGAAAAGATCGTAAAGTTGTTCCCACTGAGAAGATGACGCATCCAAATCCAGTGAGACTCGCCAGCTCTCTGCCATGGATTCTGCAGAGTCCTACAAAAAAGTGAATTAGAGGTCGAACGCTAAGCTCAATAATCAAGATACCCACCAAATAACGTTTAGCATCGTCATCTTTGCCCAACGCTTGGCTAATGAGGGACATAGTCTTGACACCAAGCACTCCTTTCAAAGTCACGTCTGTAGAGTTCAGAATCTGAGCCGAGCTGACGGAACCCCTGCACCCGAATGTTGGTAACATATAGTCACGCGACTATATGTCAACTCACTGATCCTGAGGTGGTGCAAGTGAGAACATAACGAGGTAATCTGACCACGATTTCAAAAGTTCATACTAAAAGGGGGATTAATACTGCATCATGACAAGCGAATGTCGCTGTGCGTACATGTTGTGCAAGAAGTGACCCGTCTCCGGACACCTGTGCGTGCGCCAAAGCCATGATCAACATATCGCCAGTCACTTCAAAGACCATATTTCAAACTCGCGTCTTTATAATCAATATTTGAGATACGTACTTTTCACGCCCTCGTTATGCTGATCATTGTTCCCCGTAGCATTTGGATAATTCAAACCTGCTTGTATTATAAAGGTCGGGGCACCTGAAAGGTCCATAAGCTCACTGACCAATATCCAATGCGGCGTATGACAGCGGGTACAGCTCTGAAGCCTGGTATTCGAGAAGAGGGGCAAGGAGCCATCCTGCATAGGTAGCATTCATGTAAAGGAAGAAGGGGAAGGAGGAATAAAGTCTGTCAACCGGATTGACTCGCCTGAGAAACGAAGTTAGTCGCGCATGTGTAATCGTCGTCGAGAATGTTACTTACTTGCTTTGTCCAACATCCATCATGAACATCTTGACATCGGAAGTATTCCAACTTCCGTCCGTTCCGTTCGTTATGGTCAGTTCTATGGCGCTCATAGCGAGAGAAGCGGCAAATGAAAGTACATTGACTAGTGCTTGTGACTCGGATACGCTACCAGCATCCGCAGATATTTTCGCGTCCAGTCCGTCTGCTCGTGAAACTGCATTGGGGTAGTCAGATAGAAAGGCGTCGACCTGAGTATGTTTGTTAGTGGATGTAATGACGATGAATGAAATAGTGACTCACTACTTGAGATATAGTCGAATATTGTGAAGCAAAGTAAGGACTACGAAGCTGTAGCTGTCCTCCCGGCGTTATATAGGTGATTGTGGGGTTCCTAATCACGCCTAAACACCATACAACAGGCTGCGATATTTGCAAGATATTCGAAAGTTCTGAAGCAATGGCATATACTGTGCCGACTCTATGCACCGGATTGTTAGCTTATACGTATAAAGAAATCGTCATCCATTGAGAGAACTCACTGTGCCACAAAGCCCGTCTGAGTCTGTGCCGCAGCCGAGATATCAGAGGATCCAAAACCCCCGTTTTCAATGAACTCGACCTCGCAGTTTGTAATATTACCCGTACAGGCTGTCACATTCCCGGGGCCTTGCTGTCATATTCGAGAAAAGCGAACATAAGCATCTTTGCACTACAACAAACGAATAGAGCCTAACAGTTGAAGAGCCAATAACTAGCTGCGACGTCCCATTCTGCTGACCACTGTCGGTCTGGTTGAACTTGAAATATTGATGGTACAAACTAGACTCCATCGTGACAGTGAACCAGGAGAAACCATCGCCCTCCGCTCGACTGATCCATTCTTGAAGATGCCCATAAGAATTGACCAGGGTCAACGAGCAAAAAATATGAGTTGACATACCTCCGCTCACACCTAGATACACTTGAACAGAATGCGACTTGCCATCGTTTGAGATCGCTTCGAGTGCAACGTACGACAATGGAATTGATTGTTTGATCGGATCCTGAGGCTGTCGGGGGATCGAGAAGCATTGGAGACGTTCAGTTCAATCATCACACTTAATACAAATCATTACCTCGATAGGGGACAAAATGGTCAACGTCAGGTCCATGGGGCCGGCCTGAATCATATGAACCGTACGCGTGGGCGAGATCGAAATATTGAGGAAGTTGCATAGTTGAACACTTAGATTCCCCGGCAGACTATTAATGTGAGGGCCAAACCATTGGTAAACAGTGCCATCGACTCTGATAGCACCTTGTAATGGGGTGTCGGTCTGTCCCAGTCTGTGAGATTAACGTCGAACGAAGGGGCAGGATAAAAATCCCATACCAAGTCAGTCAACGGTGTAGTAGGGAACTGTGTCGCCATCAACTGAGTGCAAAATGAGAAATACGGCGATCGTATAAGGGTAGGGTACTTGGTGGTCTGAGAGATGACTTCCTGTCCCAGGAAAACAATCAGTAGAAGCAAGACCGCCCAGCCCATGATTGCAGGGGAGCTCTAGGGGTCTAGGGAGATAAGGCAGAATACATAGCGCAGCCCAATCAACATATACGATCCAACATGCTGAAGGTTTGACATTAGTCTGACAGCACTGTTCTGCGCATGCCTAAGTTTGATATCATTGACAGGTATCGTTGATTGGTGGCTTACGAGTAGAGAGCACAAGGCCTCGTGAACCTGACAGACGAGAAGTCCGACGAATAGCGTACGAACTTAGATACACCAGTCCTGCCAATCGATCTCGATGCGGTAGCTAGCTTGTGGAGCCTGCAGTGCTGCCGACATAGATAATCACGCCTAAGCACACACGCACTGAATGTATGTTACCTCTCTCCACCATTCGCTGAAGACCTTACATCTCGGGTAGTCATCAGTCATGAAACGCATTCAATACCTATTGCGGCTCTTCGCGTGTCTCGAACTATGTATCCGTTGTCAGCGCTTTCGTCAGTTCATACTTGTGCTTGCCTGGCTCACCATTGTTAACGGCACACTGCAGGTGGTCAGGCGTTTTGAACAGCACGAGGACTTTGAATCTGCACCGAGGTGTCTTCTCTAGACACATTCGGCGGAGTTCGCTTCATAACGCTGGTGTGATATGTTTACGTTAGAACACTGGTAAACATCGTTGATCAACAGCGTGGAATCCCCAGACCAAAATGACTCACCCAATTGATTAGAGCGATGTAGATTAGGTATCGTACAAACGTTCCTGTCCTGCGACAAGTCCACCGAAGTAACACGTCAGCGCTTTGAGCTTAGAACCCATCCACTCCTCTTCCACCTCCACCATCTCCTCATCATTTGAAGTCCCTCTTTGCCTTTGCTTGCCCTTGCCGTTTGGCTTCGACTCATCGCCGCCCAGAAGCTCAGATATCTCATTGAGATTAGTATTGCGAGGTAGAAAATATGCAACGTTTTTTGTGATCTTCCGTGTTAGCTTGAATAGCTCCGCGCCAGGTATCGGTTGTATACTTGACAAGTTGTATTCTGGATGCTGATCCTGTTCTTCTGCACTCGAGTCCGGTTGTGTTGGGGTTTTCTCCGAGTTTGGCTGACCATCCAGGTATTCAGGACCACCCCAAGGAGGGCTAAGGAAGACGACATCAATTTTTCGGGTATCCTTGTTGGGAAGTGTGAGGTATGAGCGTGCAAAGGAGATATAGTCAGCGAGGATGAACTCTATCCGGTCAGCGACGCCGTAGATGACTGCATTATGTCGTGCAAGCGCTAGCCTGAGGGGTGAAGTATCGAGGGCAATGACTAAGATTGATGTATCGTCAGCTACAGTCCAAAATGCCGGAAAGGTCGGACATACCATGTTCACAAGTCTTGGCAAAAGCTATGGCGTTCCCGCCAACCCCACAGAAAGCATCAAGTATCGTGTTACAACGACAACGCTCAGCAATCTGGTCCGCTATGAGTTCTGGAGTCACGCTGTACCAGCCTTCTTCATCGAGAAGACAGCCCTCAGCATACAATGAAAAGTATCGCTGCCGTTGGAAGAAGTCTAATAGTACATTGTTAGACAAACAATGTCACAAAAGAGCTGCAATACACGTACATTTACGCAGATGTTCAGGTACTTCTGAAGGGTCAGTATAATGCGGTACGAGTCCAGTAGCATCATACTTCTCATTCCCAGCTCCGAGAAGGCCAACTTTTCGCTTCTTCGTAGGTTGGGTATTTTCATCTTCCGCGTCAACCTCCGACGCCTTTCTTACAACACCAGCAGCCACAACACTAGTAGACGAGGCTTCGGTCGTAGGTTGAGTGTTCAAACCATTGGTAGGTTGTCCGAAGGCTTCTTGAACAAAGAAAGAAAGACCAGAAAGACGCGACTGTTTGCGGCCCATTAGATGACCTGGTCCACGGCAGCGTTACAGCACAGTTTTACGTTCTGAACAAGGATAGAGCAAAATTATCATTCTGGCTCACTCTGCATGATTTCGACCAAGTACTCACATTGGAATCTGGGCCAAGGTCTGATAAGAATCTCGAGAAGCGGCGCCTGCGCAGGTAGGGAATTCGTATGAGCGTCTATTATCGATCAACTGGAAACTTGAAAGCGCTCAGCGTCTCGAACGCTTTTCTTTATGCCGTCCTCGTCTCAACGTACCTTCCAACTCCTACCTTGCTTTCAATGTATTTTCTATGTCGGACTGGAGTGTTGTTGCTCAGGATACGTGCTGAGTATGAAAAGACACTGAGATCCGACATTGACAAGCATTGGCATCGCCATCAATACCGGCATTCATTTTGAACGTTACGTCGCTTGAACGGTTTCCCACCACTTTCATCACAGGACTAAGACCCTCGTGCAATATGCATGCACTTGGCCTTGCAGACAGCCTGAGGTCCCACCGCACAAGCTTTGTTTCCAGGCTTCTAGCAAATCTCGGGAGACGAAGATGGTCCTGGCTGCAGCATAGTATTTACTTTGTCTGGAATGACTTTTGCTGGTCTGGCCATCGAGACATTCGAGTTGGAAATCCTTCTTCCAGACTTTCAAGTTTTGTGGTGTTGATCTTACGCTGATGAACGTGATCTGACACAGTTGATTTGCGGCTGTGCGAAATTCCGAACAATATGCATACAAGTACTGTAGTAACCAAAGCAGGACTGGTGCCTGTCCTCGCCCAGGTTTTCTTATCCACATCCCGTTCCTGTCGTCGGGCCTTCACTATATTCTACTGCTGCAGACCTCAGTGACCTAACATTCAGGCCCTAGCTGGCGAGGATGCTTGCGCTCTTCTCATTTCTTTTCTTTCTATCTCTCAGCCACACCTATGTTGTTCGTGCAATCCAAGTTCCCAGTATCGTCCGGTCTCCATATTTCAACCTATGGACTGTCACGGATCGCATGAAAGGTGCCACGGGTGGATATTCTGATGTTATCTTCGTGCGTACGAGTTTCTCAAGGTGACAACTTCTCGCGGGTTTATATGAGGAGGTAGGGCCAATCATGGGATGGGTTGCTCTTAATTAACAATGTCACCTATTTGTGGTGGGGCGATGCTCTCAATGACTACACCAATGGCAGCATGCTCCTCTACACGGATGTAACACCCACGCGGACGATCTACCACATGAAAGCTGGACCTATATACATGAACGTTACTGCATTTTCGCCTATAGAGGTATATGGATCAAATCAATCGCAGGCTGTCAACGAATTGCTCATTATACGCCTCACAGCCCAGTGATCCCGTCCGACAGTCTCTGCCGTTTGCGTATCTATCACTGTCGCTAGGGCTGTTCACCGCGGAGCGCACCAACGTCAGCATATTTACAAGTATCTCCGGAGGTCAGTCTCGAAGAAATCGGCAGATCTATGCATAACTCATTGTCTTGGACAGCCTGGGGGCCTGGGCCTACTACAGACGCAGAGGTGTTCCGCACTGTGAACACAGGAAACAACGTGTATCACCAAGTTATGCTGTATCCGAATACTTCAACGCCTCAATTTGGCGAGCAGTTGAACGGCGGACTAACGAACGTTGTGTACGGAATGCCTCTTGTGAGTGTGTTCATTTTACGCGCATCTTAATACTCATCAAGCGGACGTAGGATACGCCAGGTCATATCACTCAGTGCACTGGTGATTCGTTTGACTGCAGCGACCTATGGAAAGCAGCAGGAAAGCTCTATGATTTCAATAGCACTATGTCCAACCCAACTGTTTCGACATATCCAGACAGGTGATACATTTACTATGTTGAAAGGAACATCCAGGAATGCTAATGTCTTTGAATTACAGGATGCAAACAGGGTTGAGTTATGCTGTCGATGTAACAGACGTTCTGGTTCCCGGAGGCGAACAACTACTTACCTTGGTGTGGGCTATTGGGTCGATGAGAGACCCTGCGGTAACTTACACTACTCCAAGTGGAGATTCGCAACAACGGAGCTCATACTTCAGGTCACGGTACTCAAGCGTCTCCTCAATAGTGAGTCTATTATTTGTTTTTCTCACCTCGTAACGCAAAGACTGATGCGTGCGCCAGGTTGATTCCGTACTTAGCGACTTCAGCGATGCCACGAAACGTGCGGACGGCCTAGACCAGAAGATCGTCACCGCTGCTCAGAACACATCCTCAACATATGCAGAGTTGGTGTCACTAGCGGCTCGAGCTGTCATGGGTAGCACTGAGCTCACAATTGCCAATGGGACTGATGGTAATTTCAACACGTCCGATGTCAAATTATTCATGTGGGATATCGGTGCCAGCGCGTGTGTATGCCTAAAATCTTTCTAAGTTCTTCAGTTAATTTAAGTCACTTCCAGTCGTGTGAACCCCATAGACACGCTCTATACGGCATTCCCATTCTTTCTCTATGTGAACCCCACGTACCTTGGTTATTTGCTTACACCCCTGCTTGAATACCAAAGTTCTTCGCAGTACACACTTCCGTATGCTGCACTCGATATCGGTAAGTACTACAGTATGCATTGTTGCAATTCATGCCTAACCCGTCGATGTTGATATAGGCCAGCAATACCCAAGTGCAACTGGAGACAATCAACCACATAATCAGGGATTAGATGGTAAATAGTCACCACTCATTTAAACTACTCCTGAGTGAACGGTGAATACCTCAGTATCGGGCAACATGCTTATCATGGCACTAGCCCATGCACGCGCAACAAACGACACTTCGCTTCTTCTCAGACACGTACGACATCGCATTCCTTCTTCCCCCGGCGTTTGACTAACACATTTTGTTCAGTACGACCTACTGAAATCATGGACGGAGTTCATTGCTAGCTACGCATTGGTTCCACCCCAGAACAGTTCGTGCGTGACTATCCTCTTCTGTTGAGTCAACGGCTATAATCGAATTATTTCAGAACAAACTCGACGGGACAGATGGTCTCGTCCACCAATCTCGCTCTGAAAGGTATCATCGGGATCAAGGCCATGTCTGAGATCAGTAGTACGCTGGGACAGACGGACGATGCGAAAAGATACTTGGTAGGTAAATTTCGATAATGAATGAAACACCGTCACGATATAACTGACTTTGTATTTAGGAACGAGCAGCTAATGATTCGACTGTATGGAACTCTGTCGCTTTGGCTTCAGACAAGTCACACATTCTTCCAGATTATGGCGATTCTGATTCGTCGTGGACGCAAATCTACAATCTGTATGCAGACCGGCTGTTAGGCACACACTTAGTCAACGACTCCGTGAGTGTTGCTTATTGGTCTCCTGCTTGTGACAGTTCACTCACTTATATCCAGATTTATGACTTGCAAAGTAAATACTACCGAGACGTTACATATGGCGCACGTACGTGTACACCTTTCGACATTTTCGATTGCAACTGAGCAGGTACTTTGATGTAAAGAACCTCCATATTACGGTCTCCCTGTAGACAGCACGACCGATCTAGGAAACGCAGGTAAACAATAAACACTCTTTCACTCTTTGCATTGAGTCAGCTAACACGATGCCCAATAGCTTGGACTCTATTTACGGCCGCCTCTGTCACGGATGTCACCGTCCGCGATGTTCTTTTATCTGGATTGTGGTCACGTTCGAATGCCACCGATTGGAACAACCTTCCCAATCTCTACAACACAACCTCGCCTGAGTATTTTGTTGACAACGACGGGGATGCGGGGTAGGATTCCAATGCCACCATGTGAATGTCCAGATCGTTGAAATTTTTGCAGCCCGTCTACAGGTGCAATGTTCGCTCAGTTGGCCTTAACGTGAGTATGTTTAGTGCAGTTCAAGAATATTGTGAATGAATATGTTTCCATAGGGTACCGGGAATATCGACGTCGGCATTTGCCAATAACACTGGGAGTGGTTTATCACCCAATAGCGATAATACCGGCTCAAACCATCGCAGTCTCGTGGGTCCCATCGTTGGTGGCGTAGTGGGAGGTGTCGCTTTTCTCGCATTGTTGATCGCAGCATTCATCCTCTGGCGACGAAGGATGCAAAGGCGTGAAATGGTTCCTGATAGCTTCATACCCGTTGTCAACGACCAACTTTTCTCGGGCGAACATTTCTCAGAGCCGTTTGCTCAATCCCCTTCGACTCAGCACCTCACGAGTCCTGTAATGGTCTCTACCGTGTCGCCAAATGCTTATACAACCACCCCCTCTGGCAAAATCATTATGCAACCTGTATTGTCGGAGAAGGCTGCTCTTGCCATGGCTAGCCCCGCGACCCCGCCAGCGACTGAAGTAACCAGTCTGTTATCTCCCTCGGAAGCTGGAGGTTCAAGCACGACGGATAACGCTCGAGAAGTGGAAGAGTTGCGTGCTGAGATGGAGAGACTTAGGCAAGTGGTTCAGGACCTACATGCCGATAGGAGTGAGCCATTACCTGGCTACAACGCTCAGGCTTGACGAAAGTTGGGCAATATGTCCTTGACATCTAAAGGTTCATTCCTTTCGTTTATCTCGGGATCTATGAAGTACTATTATCTGATGAAATACCTAATGGCAATATTGTATGTATTGTGCGGCCCTCCAGTGGTCTTACCGGGCTTGCTGTAAATTAGAGGTTCAGAATATGAGCTGCGGTAACTGACATGAGCGTCTCATGAACTGAAGGCCTTCCGATGTCGGCTGTGCTTCATTCGACTTCTATAGAATGGAACGATTGTCTTCCTCTATAGTGGCTGAAACTGAGCCTACATTCGACTCAACGATTCCTGACAACTAGATAATGGTTCGGCTTTTCGAGCTCAATTTACCTGCTTGACTGTTGCGCAATTGTCGCATCAAGAGAGAACAAGCACCGTAACCTTCTGTTCGTCGCTCCCATGTTGCACCTTATCCATGAGTCTGCTGTCATGCGCGACCCATGTGGATCTGAATGAATGGACATACGATCAATTGATCCACGACGGACAGACTCGGCGGACCTCTCTCAGGCCAAGACATTATGCCTGACCTTCGGCAATTTGAATGAGATGTGTTGATATCGTGATCGCCTCAAGGCCGTGTGCGTCTTCTACCCTGATTCTGTTCGAACTTCCTTGTCTCCATCCTCATGATACTAAATTCTAGGTGTTGGACTCTGCTTCTTCAGATAGTATCAGCTCTCTTACTCAGCCATGGAGCTTTGTCTCAGTATGATACCAAGCATCCTGCCCTAGTCCGATCACCCTACTTCAATTTCTGCACTAAACTGGTGCCGACGAGTTTCCTCGCTAGTCCAATATCTGATTTGGTACGAATCGACAAGCTGATTCCCCTGCTGCGACACTGAATGCTCGGACAGGGGGATAATCCATGGCAGGGTGTTATCAGGATTGACAATGCCAATTACCAGTGGTTTGGTCCTCCGATTCAAGGCCAAAGCCAGAATATACAACTGAGCAATTTCCTCGACATTACGAGCACTCCCACCCGTACTGTCCACACAATCCAGGCCGGTTCTATGCAGCTCAAGCTCACGCTTTTGTCCCCCATCGAGGTACTAATCCATCATATGCTGGATTTTGAAGGATTCGATTCACCCAACTGAGACCGTTCACTACACTTGGTAGCCTCAGGATTTCCTCAAACAGTCCATACCATTATCGTACATATCACTTGAGAGTACATCTATTGACGGCCAGTCGCATTCTACTCAAGTATTTATTGGTGTCAGTGGAGGTGCGTCAAAAGTCTAGCTTCCAGATCGCAAGTTTCTAATGGTTTACAGCAGAATGGATCAGTCGTACAGAGGGCGATGGCTTCTCTTGGTCTACCGTTACTACTGACTCTAGCATGTACCACCAGTATTTCAAGTTCAGCCGGTCAGATAGCGGTCAACAGAATGGAACCTCGCAACTTATCGTTGGCACTTCAAGGGTTCGCTTCTGTTTTGCGTGGGAAAATGCCGTTGTTTACCACTTCATATTTCCAGCCAGGTCCTGGCCAACTAACAGCGTGCACTGGCAATATCACAAACTGCGCGACAAAGTTTGTGCAAAACGGTAGCTTTCAACCTTCCGACGTGTCTGCAACCCCGCAAACAGGCTCAGGTCTCTCAGCGCAGTGAGTCAAACCAATCCAACACCAATTTTACGTTTGTTACACACATATGCCTTACCGTCCTCAGAACCGACACAGTCTATGCCTTCTCAACAGACCTTTCAGACATCTCACAAACGTCTGAACCTGTTGTTTGGTGTCTTGGCATAGTCCGGAATCCCACAATCACGTATACGGACCCTAGTGGCAGATTACAACTTCGGAGTCCATACTTCGCCTCCCAGTATTCGACGATATCTGATGTGGTAGGTACACGTTGAACTCAGTTCATACGTATGTCCACTGAAGTCTGATACTGTAGGTAGATGCTTTCCTGTCCGATTATCCTAATGCTGTGTCGCGTGCAGACCAACTGGACGCGAAGATCTTTTCAGATGCACGTAATGTGTCCCAATCGTCGGCTTTGAAAAATGTGCTTTCCTTCACTGCTCCTGTTGCTATGGGTGCAACGGAACTAACCATAGCGAACGGAACTGATGGGAAATGGAATACCTCTGATGTCAAGATGTTCATGAAAGACCTTCCGGATAGCAAGTAAGCGTGTTCATACCCCACTTCTTCATTAATTAAGACTTCAAGTGCAGTCGTATTAACCCGGTGGATAAGCTATATTTGGCCTTTCCTTTCTATATGTACTTGAACGCTTCCTACGCTGGACGGTTATTGGCCCCACTTCTCGAATACCAAGATTCCGAAATGTATACGCAACAATATGCTGCAATGGACCTAGGTTGGTGGCCTTTCTTTAATATCATTGTCTGGCTTGCTCACAACAGGAATAGGAACGACCTATCCAAATGTGACTGGAAATAATGGTAGGCATAACCAGGGAGTGCAAAGTTCGTATCTCAGGTTTCACGAGTAATTGTCACATTCAAACGTCCTCCTCTCAGTGACCGGCAACATGTTGATCATGGCCTTGGCGCATGCGCAATTCTCGGGTGATGGATCACTAATAGCGCAACATGTATGTCTACCACGGTATTATAGGATTATAGCACTGATCACATCTTCAGTATAACCTTCTGAAGTCGTGGTCCGATTACCTAGCTACTTTCTCACTCGCGCCACCTCAGAATCAGTAAGTTAATCTACTATAACTTGTTTTCATTTTTGCACTCACTTATACCTGAATCATAGAGGCTCCGATACGGGTTCACAAGCTCTAAACTCTTCAGACGCAACTTTGAAGGGCGTACTTGGCGTCAAGGCGATGTCGCTTATTAGCCAAACTGTAGGGAAAGCCGATGATGCGCAGCACTATTCCGTATGTCATACACTGCACTCCATCTCTCACGATGATTTGGTTAATCCAGACCTCATTCATGCCAGGATACTGCTGCATCTATGGTGAAAAGTTGGCAAGCGACGCAGAATCTGGATGCCTCTACGTCTAAGTGGGAGCAATTATACGACTTATTCGCCGATCGGCTTCTGCAGACAAGGCTGGTGGATGATTCTGTAGATACCCCACTTTTTCCCTTGAATTTCTGAGGCTTACTGACGGGTTCGTAGGTGTATGACTATCAGACCCAGCTTGTTAAGCGACTCGCACCTAGCGCACGTATGTTCTGCGATAGATGCACTGCTAGTTTGACATTACTAAAATATGGGACTCTTCAATCAGCTTTTGGCATATCAATGAATAGCGATAGTAGCTTGGCGAACGGCGGTAAGTTGTCTGAGAGCTTGTATTCTTTTAAAACCGTACTGATGGGCGGAATGTTAAGCGTGGACTAGCTTCACTGCGTCTGTAATCAGCGACAACGACGCTCGCGACACCGCCATATCTGGCCTCTATGCTCACCTTAATGTGTCTCTCGACTGTCCCTCTTTACTTTATGATAACAACGGGAATAGTCCCGTCCAGAAAAATGGCGCATCTAGGTCCGTGAAGCTTTGCATTGAATGGCGTTGCTATTGACGTCTGGTACTTGTCACAGCCCAGCACTGGGCGCTATGTACGCGCCGCTCGCTCTGAGGTGAGTGCGCTTGGGTTGTGAATTGATTTTTGTCAGAGTTTGGTAACATTTCCTTCAGATTGCCACAACAATCGATTGTCATACCTCCATCATCCCCGGCAGAAACAGGTTCACCTTCATCTCCTCGTCGCAGCATTGTTGGACCCGTGGTTGGAGGCGTGATAGGTGGGTTGGTCCTTCTCGCCATTATAGCAGGCGGCGTTGTCTTGTGGCTTCGCAAGCGCAGCAAGGACGATTGGGAACCACCCATGTTTGTTCCGGACTTGGCGATCAATCCACCAACTGATATGGTTTCTATGCCCTATGCCGGTGGCGTCGTAATCCAATCGAAATTAACACAAGCAGCCCCCGCACATGAATCACTCCCTATGCTGTCTCCTGAAGCAGCAAGCTCGTCACAACAACTTGGAGCCGAGCATCTCGCTCCTGAGCCTGAGCCTGCCCCTGCCCCGGCACCGATACCACGAACTGCAGCTAGGGCTGTAGATGGATTGAGGTCAGAAATGGAGAATCTGCGAAATGTGGTGCAAACCCTGCGTGCAAACAGAACAGATCTTCCGCCAGAATATACAGAATGACCTGTCATGTAGTAGTGTATTTCTCATATCTAGTTGAAACTTTGCCATTTTGTTATGTGAGCTATAAATATAGTCAGCGTGTGGCGCGTAAAGGATGCGCGTCAAGGTTTGTTGATGCGTCCCCCGATCATAGTTCTCCGCAAAGCTTATACAACTTGTATGTGTTTCTCACCGTCAAGGAAACTTTGTCCAGCTGGCTCTCTTGCAGGCCTTCCTTCTGTCTGCTTTTCACTCGCTATACCGCAAACTGGCCATATGGCGTCCTAATGGCTGGCGAGACTGAGGCAGGGAGTGTGGTCTTACCTTCCATGGACGAGCCTCTACCTGAGTATGCCAGAGCCTGGGGACCGGGTTTGAGCCGTCTCACAGAGTTTCCCGAGGGTGGCTACGATGACCGTATCGACAAGTCAAACATATTCGTATTTGAAAAGGATCCAAAGACTGGAGAATCCGGTCCATTCTATGTCGTTGCTGAAGGTTGCCATAATTGCAAGAGGCTTTTACAGCGTTGTAATCGAGGCAAACCTGGCTGCGACCGGTGTATAAATTCTAATCGCGAATGTGTTAGCGTTGGTCCGGGATGGGTACGTTTACCCCTCAAGAAAATTACGAAGACCTCGCGTCTCAAGAGGCGCAGTGAACGAGGCTCCCAAGGCATGAGCATTAGGGCCACTACCGTGACAGCTGTATCTAAAAGTCGCGTCACCGGAGAAAGCAATGCTAGGCCTCATCGCGCCGCCGCTCCTAAACCAGGCACTCTTGTCGAATGGCCTATTCTCGAAGCAGAGAAGCCCAATCACGCTTTAGCACATTTTGAAGCAGCCTCAGTAGATCCCTTGGAGAATCTCCGGAGTCCAGCTGTCTCAGGGCTCGATACCCCTGCTTCCCTTTCCTCCGTGTCGACTGGGCCCAAAATTAAGGCAACGAGAACTAAGGCTAAGGAGAAGAATGATATTACATCTGTTGCATCAAGAAAGAGAGGTAGACCTGTCATCTCCAAGAATGCGGCTTTGATTGGCTTGTCGGCGCGGAAGAAAGCGAATAAATCTCGTAAATGCAAGTATTCTCTCTGCCAATCAACATAGCCTTGCGTCTTAACGAACGCTTATTGGCAGCTGCAGCCGAAGGGAATCCATGTCCGGGTAGCCTGTTGAAAGTCGCGTGGATCGAGATTCGCCCTCCCGTTCTCATACCAGCGGCCTCGAATGCTATCGAGACTCGTCCCAGACCAGCTGGCGATCCTCGCATTTGGACAGTTGTCAGTGCCAAGATCCTTCTACGCAATGCTTGTTATATTTCGCTCACGATATATTCGCTAGAACAAAGAGGAGCTGCTAGAGGTCATGCCAAACCTCAGGGGAGGGATGTTTTATAGAGATGGAGAACCTCCCATGCTCTTCGTCGAAGGCGCCGCCTGGCCTGAAGATTCGTGGAAGGACCAGCAGGTTGTGCTCTCATTGTCAGTCATTCAGCTGTTCAATTTTCGTATGTAGGGCAATGACTCATACTTTTTCACGTCCCAGTGTCCGAGAGTGTACCATTCGCACTTTAACTACACAACAAGCTGTTCCAAATGTCAACCGTTCCAATGATCTGGATGCAGATGCCACTTTGGCTTACCCAGAAGACTCGGATGAGACTATGATAGCAGAACCGGAAGAGACCATGAAGATCATCGACGAAGCTGCAGCTTTAGAGCCAGGATTGCCAAATTGGTCTGTCCAGTTCGGTGGGGAAACTTTGACTTATCCACTGGACGTCAGCTCTTCTGTGGTTGTAGTCGCCAATGAAATTCAGGGATCGTTTAGTCCAGCGAGTTCGACTCGGCCATTCCCTCAATTGTCTTCTCATGCTGGGACGACCAACGAAATCCGACACAATGAACCTCACGACCCTTACATTCTGGCAAAACCCTCAGGCGATCTTCAGTTTCCGCCACGATCGTATGCGACGTTCCCCGCTTCTACCGGTCTCACCGGAGCTTTTGGTCCCCAAAGACTCGAACATAGTCTGGGAGAACTCAGATATCCTCCGAGTTCAGATATCGAAATCGATGAGGCTGAAGGGGAAGGTGAAGGGGAAGGGGGGATGTTGCAGTATTGGGATCGTAATCGTGTTGAATGGGATAGGTCATATAGGTCGAAGCCTTCTTTTGATCATCCCCGAGAATTTGCACCGCAACCCCCGCCAAGTACGACTGTGGTCCAATGGTGTAAGTGCATTTCCGATTCGCCCTGGGACACTATTCATGTGTTTTTGTTTACTAATAGCTTCCATCCCTCCTGACGTTGAGGAACCTTTGTCATATCCTATGCGTATATCACCACCTTCAACTACCAATGCGAGTACTTGGAAACGAATGATACCCCTTTCTCCGCAACAGTGCAGACGTTATCACTTCAGCTACGGAGACGGCACAGATGAGACGAGTCTGATCAGCTCTGCCGAGGAGACTCTGGTATACCCTGAAGAACCACCATCCGAGATCGGGGATGTTTCCGTTTGGCAGACTCTTCCAATACCCATAGACCCTCATTCTCTCCATACCCTCGCAGAGAAGCCACCGGATGCCGTCCAAATAGAAAATACCCCTACGTCGAGCACTGCGCCCCCAGAACCACCGGAAGATATCCAAGCTCTTCTGGATGCCAAAACCTCTCAAATACCTGTTAGCCTTATTATTTCGCGGGAGGCAAAACTCCTGCCTTTCAACTTGTCGGAGAAACATGGATGCGTTTTCTTGGGATTCTTCGATATCAAGGATACTAGCGTAAGCTGTCATGATTGAATGTGCCAAATGTTTCGCTGATAGGCACATTTTGGGTGTTTTTAGTCTGAGGTATCAGAGACCTCTAAATCGGATGGGGGTACGACATTCCGTGTACGGTGGACCTTTCGTTTCGAGTGGATCCGAGGCGGAGAACTCGATTATACCTTGCCACAGCCTTCCAATCCTTGGTGGATGCCGCAAACTCCAACCTCTGAGGACGATACTGCGATCATGCATCCTTTCACTATTCTCCCTTCTCAATTCACGCTTACGCCCGTTCGCAATTCAGTCGATGACTCGCTAGTGGCCGTATCTGAGCCAGTGACTAGAAAAGGGTGGCATTGTGGTGGTTGTGGCAGGTTGAATGTTCAGAGGCATTTCTGCTTTGAACGATGTCCTACTTGCGCAGTAAGTCTTCGCCGTTTGTGAAGATTGTAGATAATACTGTTGGATTACTGACGTCGTGCCCCCTTCAAGGCATGGAATGGGATGTCCCCAGTCGGCGCAATCTACGTTCGCAATCCATACAACACCGCACCGATAACTTTCCCTTGGGATAGGTACCCATCGTCCAGCGTGACTTGCACATCAGTGAAGAACGAAGAAAGTGGAATGAGGACGTTTATCTACGAGATTAGCCCATCGGTGGTCGTGAAACATTTCTTCACTTGCAACCAAAGGGCTCTGCAGGAAGATGCTACTTTGCTTTTCCGCGAGTTTCAGTTGACGGTTAAATTGGAATGGCAAGGTGCCAAGACCAATTTAGCTTTGGGTATGTCTCATTTGTTGGAACTTTGTGAGTTGAATCCAATCTCAGGGCACGTTTTCCAGGTCCCTATTTCACCTACTTGGCGGGCAACGGACATGAAGGTAATCATTCCAGCGAGGCTTGGAAAGGGGCCGCACCATCTATCGCTAGGTCTCGCAAGATCATGGAGGGACTGATGCAAGGAGATGGTAAAAGGCTCAGCAAGTCATGCACATTGGAGAACCTTACAGTGCTTGCTTGGTACGCCACCGGTCATAGGAAGGTCAGTACATCTCATCCATAGTTTGCGTGTCTTCCCTCAAATTTGTCATCGTGATAGTCCCCAACGCCATTGCCCGCAAAAGGTCGTGCCATTGCCCTCATGTGTCTCGGCGCCGATGTCGACTTGACTTTGGTTCCTGTCTCGGGATTCCCTGCGGTTCCTGAAGTTATCCCGTTCCCAGAGACAGGTTCTGATGTTCTAGCGGCCGCTGAGAGCCTCCCAAACCTGGAGTATCCAGATGAGGATGAGCTGGTCGACCACATGGATGTCGACGATGAACCAGATATCCCGCTTGCTGGACTCCTTCGGGAGGTTCATAAAGCTGAATTGGAGCAGGCTGCTCCCGTTCCTGCCCTTCCTGTGGAGAAGGTGTCGAAGGAGAAACAGAAGGGGAGCAGTAAGAGAGGCAAAGGCGAGGAGATATTCGTGTCGATGGTTCATGGAGACGTGCTGGTATTGTCTGGTGATGATTTCGAGGTACGTACGATGAGCTTGCCTTGAGGTGAACCTAGAGTGACGAAGGTTCTCTGACACAGTGGTCAATGCGACGTACTGGGATGTCCATCGGCAAGTATTCTCCCGTCTTCGTATCGCCGGAAACAACAATACTGACCTCGGATGAAGTCTTGATAGGGATGACGGCTCCAACACAAAACTAACCCAACAGGACATTTGTAAATTATCTTCTATTTGTGTGATGCGTTCAGAATCTCGGGATTTCATGTAGACTATCATACCCGCAGATTCATACCCCTTATTAGGCCTGTGCAATCGTATAATAGTCACGAATTCGCATACTCGAATCAACGCTCTCTTGTGGGGCTAGTTTCTCCAGAGTTGTGCGTGAGAGTAACAACCGCTCTTGCTTCATTCAGCCGGTCCTACAAGTGCAGAATTGTTTGGAACGCCTTCAATTTCCGAAAACTGAATCCACTGTTTCACTCATGCGTCAGAGCTTTTGGGATTGTACAATTACAAGTTCTAGCCCTAAACCTGAGATAAAGCGTGAGCAAAGACCGACCTCATCAGGGAAGGCCATTACTCACCTGTCACTTTGCCCACAGCAACCATGTGCTTCCGCTGGAAAGCTAATTATTGCATACGGACATAGGCATATCCGCACATAGCCCCATAACTCCACATGCGGTTCCCCTAGCATCATGCATCTCCTTTCCGTTCGGGCTTCGAGCTTTCTGGAGCCTGAGGATGATCGGGTCTCAGAGCACCTGCGCGACGAATGTGTGCTTCAGATCGTGAAGTCGAGATAGCATATCTAACATAGAAGATTACTGTTACGGCCATGGTGAAGGCTGCAGCAGGGGTCACAAAGTCTTTGGGTCCGAATGCCATGTTTGTGAGGTCCTGGAGAGTCACGGTGCAGGAGATGATTACGGGATAAAATCGGTGGCACGGTGGTCGTTGATCACTCATCCATTCGGGTAAAGGACTTTCCTAATGCGTGGCGTGAGTTCCATATATAGCAACTGCTTTAGTTCGCGTGTCCAATCAGGATTTCACGCTTTTACAGTTCTCATGGATCCCCGGTTGAAATTAGTTCATATTTTAAGACTGTGGCCAGGTTGTCGCGTGTCCATTCACCACGGACCGCTCCCTCGGCATCCCGGCGAGCGACTGTTGCAGTCGAAAGGTGACCAGAAGTATTACCATTATGCCGCAATTCAGGCATCAGAAGACCCTCTGCACTAAACATCCGGAGTACTCGTAGATATCCTGCGTTAAAATTACGAAGGAACAACATCGCATCCTGGCAGTCGCACCAATTCCCTCGACCTCCTTTCCAGCTACGATACGTCGCTTGTACACTCCACACGCGTTTCACCCGCGCGCGCTATATCCCGACAAAGCTCCGCAGCTAGGAGCAGGGGATGTGAATTCTGCCAATCGTGTGATGATAGATCGAACTTAACGCAAGTTCAAGTGAGTGCTGACATCGATACAATGTGTCACTGCGCGGGCACGGATCCCGCGAGGGCTTCCCATCATGTCAAACTCCCTCGAGATGTGGATAGCATTATAGCAATACACGCTCTGCAATGACACGACCTATCAGAAATAGCGACAAACAACACAGAAAGCAACTATACCAGGAACTAGCTAGCTTTTCACGGGTGTCTCTCTCCTCCTGCAGAGCCTCCTGGAGCTTTGATAGCTGGGCAGGCACGGTGGCGTCCCCACCGCTAGAGAGAGTACTACGCTGCTGGAAGTCCGAGAGGAACGCACTGATCTTCACTTGAGCAGCACTGCTTGAGATGTTCTGAGCATGATATGGTTGGATTCGTAGTGGGGGTGTAACGGCGGCGTCCATAGTGCTGTTGACTTGGCTTGCAAAAGGCAATAATGGAAGAGTTATGTGGCGGATGGTGGTAAAGAGTTTTATAAATGAGACAGGCGCTCTCGCCAAAAAAAAAACAGTATAGCCGCCGAGTAGCCGTTTGAACCGTGGAATAGAGTGGTACGACACCCTCTCCCGTGTGCGATTCCTCTCTCCCTCCGCCGCCACCCTCAACGTTCCACTCAATAGGCTCATTAACTTGCGCTTTGTCTGCGGGCTTCGACTCCAGACCTATACCTTAACGACCACAACCGTTCTAGACCTCTTGCTACTGTACACACTGCAAAAATAATCATGGGAGCCATGTCTATGCTGGCGTTGCTTGTCACGCACCCTCTAGAGTTCCGCACGCTTTTGCAGTATTACCTCTGGCACGACCAACGCGATGTTTCGGCAGACCACGAGCGAGAGAGCACCGGCTGGGACCGGGAGACCATGCGGAGGTGTTGGCATTTTCTGGACAAGACCTCCCGTAGCTTTGCCGCGGTAATTAAACAGTTGGAGGACGATCTAGCTCGTGTAGTGAGTACTGGTCTTATCTATTTACTATGAGGAGCGGTCCCTTCGCGTTGACGCGTAGCGCGTCATCAGTTCGCTTTTTGCTAGCGTTCGAGTGAATGAAAGAGCTATTCAATTTGTCACAGTGAAGGCGATATACTTCTATGACCTCGGTGACATGTTAAATGCCTCCGAGTTGATTATATTCATCATTCGATACTTGCGTGTTAGAAACATATATATCTAATCATTGTTCTTTTGCCAGGTATGTTTGTATTATCTCGTTCTTCGTGGTTTGGACACCATCGAAGACGACATGACATTACCAGATGAGAGGAAACAGAAGGTCCTCCGTTCGTTCCACGAATTGACTTTAACCCGTGGTTGGTCGTTCGCCGAGAATGGTCCCGAGGAAGCCGACCGTCAGCTCCTCGTCGAGTACGACAAAGTAGTCGACGAACTGCTTTTGCTCCCTCCCAAGTGAGCACCCACGTCTCTTCTTGTCCACGACTTGCCATCTGAAACCGTCTTTATCAGGTATCTCGCTGTCATTGTCGAGATCACGAAAAAGATGGAAGTAGGTATGGCGGACTATGCACACAAAGCAGCAACGACAGGTTCGGTCTACCTCGAAAAGATCGAGGACTGGGATCTTTACTGTCACTACGTTGCCGGCCTTGTGGGTGAAGGTATCTCCGGGCTCTTCTCTGCCTCAGGGAAAGAAGCACCATTTATCGGCGAACAACTCGAACTATCGAACTCCATGGGCCTGTTCCTTCAGAAAACCAATATCATTCGTGATTATCGGGAAGATGTCGAAGAACACCGGTACTTTTGGCCAAGGGAGATCTGGGGTGCGGAGCGCTTTGGAAAAGCTTGTGGTGGTCGACCTGGGTTCAAGGAGATGAAGGAGATGTATGAGCCTGGGAACGAGAAGCAGGCCCTCTGGGTTCAGAGTGCTCTGATTTTGGATGCGCTGAGACATGCGACGGATTCGTTGGATTATCTCAGGTTATTGAAGAACCAAAGTATTTTCAACTTCTGTGCAATCCCTCAATCTATGGCGATTGCGACGCTGGAGTTGTGCTTTATGAACCCCACGATGTTCCAACGAAATGTCAAGATCCGTAAAGCGGAGGCTGCCTCCGTAAGTCGCTGCCCGCATCTACGTTTTCATATCCCTTGTGGCTCACTGTTTTCTTCCTTATAACAATAGCTCATAATGCGTTCAACGAACCCTCGAGATGTTGCATGCATCTTCCGAGAATACGCCCGTAAGATTCACCACAAGTCTGTACCCGCAGACCCAAGCTTTGTCCATATAGCCGTCGCATGCGGAAAGGTTCGACCATCTATCATTTTCTTCCGCCTCTCATCTAATGTGTTATATGTCTTTCGTTCCCTCAGATCGAGCACTGGTGTGAACAATACTATCCCTCCTTCGTCCGTATGGTTTCATCTGGTGGAGCCGCAACACAACAGTTCAATCCTTACGATGCGCGTACTCAAGTAGCCGTTGCCAACGAGGAACGCGATCGCGAGCTCTGGCTTGAAAAGCGCAAACAGGACATCCTCGCGAAGACCAACGGTACCGATCTTGCTGGCAAACTGAAGAACCAGAACCAGGACACAGGTTCAACGTTCGAGCTGCTCGCCTACGTCGGAATTGTCTTTGCGCTCATTGGAGCTGTGATCATTGGTGGCGTGTACTTTTTGATATATTACCTGGACGCGTAGAGTTCAACTCTTGTGTTCGTGCGTACGTGGATGATGGGATACCAATGCTTGGGATGTACTCTTAAAAGGATTCTTTCACGTTGCGTTGACGGACTTTTATCACTTTTGCTTAGATCTGTGACGTTAAAAGTCGTTGTGAATGATACCATAATAATACGCGACATTGAAAAGACCCATAGGACATGAGTGAAATATAACATATATACAATAAACGTCCTGACAATGCATGACAGAGTCCATAATGCATAAGGCAGTATTCAAAGTGTCTGATCTAAATATTGCGAGATCACTTCTTGCGTTTCGCGGCTTGAAGAAGACCGCATTAGTCAGGGCTCTAACAACATGAGTTTACGGAATTCGACTTACGACCTGATTTGCCAGCAGCTTTACGCTTGTGACCAGTCCTGCCAGACTCCTCTTCCTCTTCCTCAACGTTTTCGTCATCAGTTTCTTCAGCGGCCACTTTGGCTTTGGGCTTGCCTTTGCCAAGCTTCTTCTTGCCTGAGCCTAGGACAACAGGTGCTCCTGGATCCTCCTCGCAATCCGGGCAGAACCATTCGCCGTCTGGAATGGCGTCCAAAGGTGGATCCAAGCACCCGAGATGATATGGACTGTCGCACTGCACAAAGAACTACAATCAACGTTCGCGCTGGAAGTAGATGAGACGGTATCCACCTTGTCACATTCCAGTGGTGCGTCATCCTCCCCGTTGTCCTTACTACAGACCACACAGAGCTCGGGCTGTTCCATGTCAGCAGGGTGGCGAGGTAAGTCCGATAATTTCTCATTAGGGTGAGCAAGGAAGAACGTAGTGTTTTGTCCAGCCGCAACTCTGCTCAAAGCTATCAGCCGACCCAAACACCAGGATGTTAAGGTCGTCACTCACTGGAAAACATCGATGCCAGACAATGGTTGAATCTTGGTTGGCTTAGTTGCGCTCTTCGCTTCGTCCGGCCCCAGACCAAGCTCGCCTTGCCAAAAATGGGTAAAAGACTAGCATTAGCGGAATAACAGACATACCGTTGGTTGCACCCTGACCAAATGCAACAGTCATGATGGTATCGTCCTCGTCGGGACATAGTGCGAAGTGCGTAGTTCCGCCACAACTGGCATCCGTGATCTTGAGTCCCCTGCGAGTGAAAGTGAGTCCTTGCAATAGGATTGAGCGGCAGGCAAACATACATAAGATCGGGGAAGTAGCGGAATGTCGACCAAGGCTGTCCAGAAGAGCCTGATAAGACATACGCATTCTCATTCAGTACATTCGGCCAGAAGCTTGCCGTCTAATGACACACCATCACCAGTATTCTTCCACTGTGTATTGCAGGACGAATTACTATTAGCTGATTGACCCATGAAGCCGCACACAAACTGACTTTACCAGTCATCCAGTACATTCCTTGCTTGTCAATGACGACAGAGTTTGATGGTCCTGCAACTACCTTGACAGCTCTCAATATTTCATTCGGTCCGGAAAACTATGCATACATGTAACCATTGATCAGTTATAGAGAGAACTACATCGTGAGAGGACGTAACTTACATGTGGCACAATCTCCGGAATCAAAGTATCTTTTTGATTTCCCAGACCCAGACGGCAGTATCCGTTGTAGCCCCACACATAGACCAGGCTAACATATTATAGTCAGCACCATAAGATCAGGGGGGAAGATGAGAGACATGTACCCTTCTTCGTCTCGGGCTATACTATGTTGTTGCCCACATGCAATCTCCACGATTTTCTTGTTGTCGAACCCTCTCACAGGAACTAGGAAGAACAGGCAATTGAGACAGGTAACATTTACATATATATATCGACTCACTTGGTTCCCATTCAGCATCGAAGACAACCTTCCCCCCAGTGACAATATGTTCTCCAGTCTTGCCATTACCCAGTTGGCCCTTTTCGGCACTTCCGAAAGCGAACACTACGAGAAAACGTCAACAGGACGGCTGGTAAACCGTAAAAAGACATACCTCGTCCGCTTTCTGTCAAGACAAGAGAAAAGCTGATACCAGCTGCTGCTTTGACTACAACCTCCCTATTTCCATTGACTTTGGGAGCATGTCCGAGCTTAAAGGTTGATACTTCCGGGCATGGAGGGTGAGCGCACTATTAACAGCGCGTCTCAGGCTTCTACATCATGAAGACATAATAGTTGCATTTCGAAGCACTCACCTGTCCCATCTTATTATCTCCCGCGGCCCAAAATTGGCCATTGCTTCCGACCAATATGGTATGACTTCTTCCACACGCTGCATCCACAAAAGTAGTTCCCTTTGGTGCCCCCAAGTCTTGTGCCGTTAATCTCAAGGGTGCGTTCTCCGAAACCGCGTCACCTGAAGCGCCCAATGCAGAACGTTCGTTTCGTCCAAAGAGCCAAGCAGTCCCATCAACATCCAATGCGACACAATGGCACCCGGCGCATGAAGTATGTATTGACGTGACTTTGATATTTCCGAGGGAACGTAGTATATGCGGTTCTAGGAGGTCTGGACCGCTGCGAAGACGAGCATATTGAGTAACTTCATGAAGTCGGAGCTGGGGAACTCACATGGGCCCTTCGTGAACTTTCTTCGCGCTTGCTGACTTGCGACCTAATCTAGGCCTGAATAAGATAAGTCGTGGTCAGTAAAGTTCACAGAAGCCCCTCCGGTGACTTGGCAATTGATTCTGCCAGTCCGCCGAGAAGTTGAACCTGATAAACTGAACCTACCAGTCGGTCCCACCGCATAGCAACACTGCATAGAGTTAATGTGAGCGCGTGCGAGAGTTTCGTATTGTATTGGCATACCTCGACCCCATGTGAATGGCTTGTCAGTGACTGGCGCTGTGTCTTTCGATGTCGAGGCACTCATGGGTCGCGTTTGGATGGCAACAACAACGACGTCCGAACGCCTCGACCCGGCGCGCAAATACGCGCCTAGCTACCTTTGTTCCCATATACGTTTGCGTTCATTCCAAAGTCGACCGTGCTTTCCAACGAGTTATGACACTGATATTACAGTATGTTATTATGGAATATACACATAGAGAACGTCAGAGCATGACCGGCATGCTTATAGAGAGCATCACATGAAGAAAACATCGTCAAAACACGGAGAATACAGGGGTCTGGAAAGTGCACAGCAAGATGAACGGAACTAGGAGACGCAATAAATAGATGTGATAGTACAAATATCTGTGAGAAGAGAAGGGTGCACATTGTGAGTAACGAGATGAATCAAAATTGTGAAGGACCTACAAAGATCATCAGCACTGTTCCATATGTTTGTTTCGAATATGCTCAGCAAAATATGTTTCCGAATACTCCGACTGATGGTCACAGAGCGGGCACGAGAACTTCCATGTGAGAGGTACATGGCATCGAGTGACATGCGCAAACATATTCGCAAGAGTCAGGTTCTCCGCACAGGTCATTCCGGTAGCCTCATTGACCCATCCGCAAACAACATGTTTTCTGCCATGTACGCCGCGGAAATGTTCTTGTCGGATATGACGAGAGAGACATCTGCTAGTTCTGACAGAGAACTTGAACCCGCAAGTGCCAATGTGGCATCCATGTTCGTCTGGTATGAGTTGCTGCACGATGGGCCTTTGGTTCATTTTTGGGCGAATATCGGAGCTGAGCTTGATTTTTTTGGGAGGTGGGGTTTGAGGAGCAGGGGAAATACTCACGCTCGAGGTACTTGTCATGGTCGGGGTTGATGAAGGGACTGAAGGTGACCGCGACAGGGGCGACGGGGGAGCGGAAGTAGGAGTCCGGACTACACCAAAGGCTTCCTGAGTGAATGACTGTAAAGATCTCATCGCACTGATATGCAGGAAGGTGTCGAAGAGAGGTGGCGTAGGGGTGACAACCTCTCGTAGAGGGTTGTCAGGATGCCTCTTGAGGTATTGCTCAACTCCTTGCATACGTAGACGATGCCTCTGAAGAGTGGCATCACGACTTTCCGGAAGGAAATCCTCGGGCTGTGGAAGTCTAAGGCTCGTATAGGGTACGGGCTGCACTGGTCGAAGAACAGAACCAGGACCATTTGGCACGGAAGATGCGGCAATAGGCGAATACATGGCGACAGTAAACACAAGGAAGCCAATTTGACTCAAAAGTGGCGCGTCGGACACGCGTGAGTACGAGCCAGTCGTAGACACTAAGGGGTAGAGGGGAAGAAGGTAGGGTAGCTGGATGGGCGCCTTTAAACAAATAGCCATTTGTCCCTTTGGCCTTTGGCTTTGATACTAAAGAAGTGGCACAATGCGCCGGCGGACGTATTTATCACTGTTTTGCCGAGGATTGTTTGCGGAAAACAAGCGTATTCCATGTTCAGGATTGTCGTAGGATTCCTTGCACGAGTCTGTTATTGAGGCAGGCAGTGTAGTCCAGAGATGTATCGTGTCGCGACTCGCATGGTCGAGGCGCAAAACCGAGTACGGCTTTCCATAAGCGGTAGATCGCAGTGAGAATTAAATATCATGCTAGCCCAACCAGACGGCGGCCCAAGCGAAGGTGGTCAAGAAAAGTATCAATTCGGCTCTGGGGTGACCGTCTAGATGATCAGGATCAATCGTCCTATAGCACGTGCGTATTCCAACAAAGCTCCAGGGCATATCCATGACTCAAAGCGTTTTTTGCATGACTCACCGAAATGTCGCAGTATAACAAGCAGCCAGCTTTCAGTCCCCAGTAATTATTCTGCATTTTCAGAGGACTCAAATGAATAACCCTCCTAAAAAGATCTTGTAAGCATCATACACGATTAGTTTAGCAGATTCTCAACGTCGAAAGTCGAGCTATCCAGTCAAGAATGATATCGAAATGGATGTTCGAAAGGATGGCACGTAGAGCGCTTCTGCTCGAGATTCTGGTTCTTAACTTATCATAGCGCTGGAGCCTGGTCGGGGGTAGTGGTGGTAGAACAGCTTATAGGAGACTCGGATTTTAGGAAGGACTGCATGACTCTGCGCAGTTTGGGGGTAATAATGATAACCTATTCGAACAAAACTCGGAGAAGAGAGAGCATGAGAGGTAAGTACATGAGTACGGAAGCAACATGACAATAGACGGATGATAACTTGAAGTAGTCCAGTATGTACTAATGAGTACAGGATAAGTGTGAGCGAACGTTAAGAGACATGGGTAGATAATGTAACATCAATGGCCGTAACAGTAAAGCAATGGGCCCGATGGCGGGAGCTCAACGAAGCTTGCTCGTCTTGTTACTTAGCGGGTGAAGTTAATTGAGTGGATTCGTCTCATATGCTGCTTGCAAAGCGATTCGGTGCTGCTTGAACAATCTTCGCAAATAGGGCATTTCCACATCCAGCTCGCTCCCGTTGTTTTGTGGATGTGCTGAGTTATTATGTGACTTGCTACAGACTTCACCACGGTGAACGTTTCGCCGCAGGGCCCGCCCTGCGTAGACCATAGGCAGGGGATCTTCGCTTTACTTCGAGTATCCAGTTCGCCTTCAATTTTTGCTTCACTTTTGATATTGATGTAATGTGCTTGACGGAGGTGAGCGGATAGTTGAGTAATCCCCTTGGTACCGAACGAAAAGCGACAAGGGCCAGTAGCGGTAGGATACTGACATTCATGCACATCCACGCTGACTTGAGTAAGAATTGGCTCTTTAGGAGATTGCACAGCAGGAGGGTCTTGAACTGCGGGTGGAATATGATGAGCGTAGTGCTGAGGAGCTCCATTATCGGCCGTAGTCGCATAATACATTCCGAAACTGCAGAAACAAGGAATATGTACTTGATGCGAGTACGATTAACCAATAAACATACGCAGGTGTTTGAATATAGTTAGGATTATTAACGTTCATCCCACTGTAGCGAGAATAGCTACTTGGACGTTAGGCAATGCGAAGGGATGCACAGAAAAAGCAACACACTCCGCGTAAAATGATCCAGACATGGTGAACAATGATATGGAACAGGGAGAAAGTAGAACTCGGCAGAATGAGGTTGAGTAGTCAGTACTGAATATTGAGAAAGACGTGACTAGCGCGCGCAGACGCGCTCTTAATGGGACGCGATCGCAAGGTCACGCGGAATCCATGTGACGGGCTTTCCAAGGATCGCAAAACCACAACAATAATTCAGGAATGAAGCTCAATAAAGGTTGAAGTGTCAGAGATAGGCTAAAAGCGCTTCCGTGAAAAGGGAGGTGTGAAAAGCAATGTGAAGTAAATTCAAGTGACAATACAATAAATTGACAGGCAGAGTCGTTGAAGAGTGGCAAAAGGGTTAGACTAAAGGTTGAGCGTGTGCACATACACATAAGGACCAATCTGTATGCAACTTCATCTACATCACATATCCCATGATCATGTTTCTTGTTGATCATTCACAAGGTACTTGGATCGGTTGCTTCGACGTTAAAAGCGGAGAGATGTCCAATGTTGTAGTTGGAAGAACAGCGTAATAGGAAGACCAGAGCAGTCGAATGTCGATAGGGGCAGGTAAAAGGAATCCAGCGGTATGCATCCGAACTGTAGGTAGAGTATAGCGCAACATGGTAGAGGAACTTGGAGAAAAAAGGAAACACGCCACTTGTCGATATATCCCAATCGTAACAAGCGCTCTCACTAGTAGACCATTGCGTAATCCTGCTTGCAGAATGGGCGCTAACCAAACGACCGTGGATGGTGATCGAACTTGGTCAGTCTGTAAGTTCACCGTTTACTACAGCCACCACCAACACAGCCTGGCAATATGGCGTCGACCGCGTCGTCTTCTCAGGTCGACGTCCTGGATCAGATATTCTCTGGATTGAAGAACAAAAACCACCAAGTACGGCTCCAAGCTGCCGTTGATCTCCAAGCCTATGTATGCCCAACATTTACTGCTGCATTGCCCCCTCTAACGTACATGCGCAATGTCCTAGGTCTCTACAACTATTCCAGAAATGAGCCCAGATGCGGCTGCAAAGATATGGGAAGACACCATCAACAGGAAGCTATCTGATCTTGTGCATAGTCAAGCCAACTTTGAAAAGTTGGGAGGCATACTGGCGATCGGTAAGTACATGTCCATCGTTAGCATAGGTTTCCTCATTTCATTGCGTTACAGACCATCTTTTGGATGCGAAGGGTGACGGTATTATCGAAACCTACCTATACCGATTCTACAACTATGTCAAGGCACTCCTCCCAAACCCCGACATAAATGTTATGCTCGCTGCGTCTAAGACTCTGGGACGGATTGCCGAGATTGGAGGACCATCGTTTGGAGAGGTCTTTATGGACTACGAAATTCAAGAAGCAATTGGCATACTTCAAACCGACAAGCAAGAACCTGGACGATATGCGGGTGTCCTCATTCTGAAGGAGCTTGCTCGCAATAGCCCAACGTACTTTCAGGCCCACATAGGTCTTGTCTTCGATAAAATCCTAGTCCCATTGCGTGACCCTCGTATCATTGTTCGCGAAAGTGCCGCCGAGCTATTGGCTGCATGTTTAGAGATCATCACACAGAGGGAGCGTCAGACTCGTAGCCCATTCCTCCTGAAGATCCTACAGGATGCCCAGATGGGACTGAAGATGCCTCAACCGGAAATTATTCACGGGTCACTACTCACCTACCGAGAGCTTCTGCTACATGGTGGCATGGTATGCATACGACTTTACAGTGCGCGCTGAGCGAGCTAATCGGTTTGTAGTTCATGAAGGAGAATTTCCTCGATGCTACAGAACAGCTACTCTTCTTCAAGACACATCGAGACCCCCACGTTCGAAAGATGGTGATCACCTTGATTCCTACTCTTGCCGTGTATGATACACAAACCTTCTCTGAGCACTACCTTCACAAGGCGATGGGACATTTGCTCACCCAGCTGGAGAAGCCAACTGAGAGATCTGTTGGTATGAAAACATTATCCCTTTGCTCGACTTCCCTGTGCTAACTGGGGGTGTAGCTTTCATTGCTATTGGTCACGTTGCCACTGCAGTGGGCAGTGGAATGAAACCGTTCTTAGATTCGATCATGGCACACATTAAAAATGGCCTACAACAACGAGGGTGCGTTGAGTTACGTCCTTTACACGGTGAATGCGAACTCACTGAAATTACAGGAAGAAGAATGCTCCTTCTGAAGAGCCGATATTCCAATGCATCGGTATGCTCGCATCGGCCGTTGGACCAAATCTTACAAAATTGCTTCACGACCAACTGGACCTCATGTTTGCATGCGGCTTGAGTGAGCCCTTGCACCAGGCCCTTGTAGCCATCTCGCGTCATATCCCGCCGCTCCTGAAAACCATTCAAGGTAACAGTTTTTTGTGCATAATTTGCTTCCTCTGCCTCATATTCACATCGAGATCGTCTACTGGACATGCTGTCTCTCATTCTGAGTGGCAAGAACTACAAGCCATTAGGAGCGCCGCCCCTAGTGCGAAACGAGACTCCACCTATGACAAGAGAGTTCAGCAGTGCCGACGTAAGTGCCATGTCTGGTGATGTTGGGCTTGAACTCATGACATACTTTAGGGTACAAGCACAACGAAAGGCCCCGAACTTCTGACCCTCGCTTTGACAATCCTGGGCTCTTTCGACTTCAGCGGTACGTATCGACATATTGTACGCTCTGTTGCACGCCACCTAACATCTTCTCAGGTCACATCCTGAACGAGTTTGTCCGCGACTGTGCCCTTCCGTACCTTGAGGAAGATAATCCTGAAGTCCGTCGAGCGGCAGCATTGACATGTTGTCGGCTCTTCATGCGGGACCCTATTTGCTATCAAGCTAGCAATTATTCCATCGAGATCATTGGGGATGTTATCGACAAGTTACTGACCGTCGGCATTGCTGATCCAGGTACAGTAGTCCGTTTAACCCCGCGATTAATCTACTGAACGCGCTTCCAGACCCAAGCATTCGGCAGGCTGTACTATCATCTTTACACGAACGGTTCGACAAGCATCTTGCCCAAGCGGAGAACGTACGGTCATTGTTCGTCGCGCTCAACGATGAAGTATTCGAAATCCGCCTCACTGCTGTAACGTTAATGGGTCGACTCGCTTTGCACAACCCTGCATATGTGATGCCGTCACTCCGGAAGACACTGATACAGCTCCTGACAGAGATGGAGTATTCGATTGTCACGTACGTGAGATACCTTTGTGTATGTGTCGATGATATTGATCACTCGATGGACATTCAGTCGTAGTCGCGAGGAGTGTACCCGCCTCCTGACGGCCCTGATCGGTGCAACGCAGAGGCTCATCAAGCCTTACGCAATTCCTATGCTTCGAGTTCACCTACCCAAAGCAAACGATCCGAACCCAATTGTGGCAGCAAACGTTCTTATGTGTCTTGGCGAGCTAGCTTGCGTCGGTGGTGAAGACGCTCAAGCTCTCGTTCCCGATCTCATGGATGTTATTATGACAAAGCTTGTTGACCCCGACCCTATCAAACGGAATGCTGCCCTTCATACTTTGGGCCAAGTCTGTTCAAGTACGGGCTATGTCGTCACGCCGTTGATAGAGCATCCGCAGTTATTGCAGATCTTGAGCCGCATCCTTCGCACGGAACCCAAATCCGCCGTCAGGCGAGAGGTGATCAAGGTGCTAGGTATCCTTGGTGCTTTGGATCCTTACAGGCGGAAGGTATGCTGTATATTCGACGTTGTATTTCTGAACGAAGGCTGACTGTCGGTCGTGTAGACAAAGCCTGAAGAGGAAGTCGTGGCCGAGATACCTTCCAATCTCACCAATCCTGTTCCAAGGAACTTGACCGGCTCTTCTACATCGTCCGACGATTACTACCAGACAGTCGCCATCAACGCTTTGTTAGGTATCCTGAAAGACACTTCTTTGACCAATCACCATCACAAAGTCATCGAGGCCATCATGTCAGTATTCAAGACCCAGGGCCTGAAATGTGTCACATTCCTTCCTCAGGTATCTACCCGACATGCTTTGTTGCATATTTATCAACTAACATACATGTTGTCAAGATTATACCCGCGTTTGCTAGCGTCGCCAAAACATCGCAAGGTCGTATTCAGGTTTTCCATCTGGAGCAACTTGCCATTCTCATCGGGATTATCAAGCAACATGTTCGGAACCATATGCCAGACATCTTTTCTCTGATACAAGACCTGTGGGAGAACACTTCACTACATCTACCCTTGGTCTCGCTGGTCGAGGCTCTTGGCAAGGCAATGGACGCTGAGTTCAAACCTTTCCTACCTCACATCCTACCGATGATGCTCAAGGTCTTCGACGGCGAGATGAATGAGAAGGTTGCCAGTACTCAAATCAAAATTTTCGACGCTTTCCTCACCTTCGGGGCGAATATCGAGGAGTTCCTTCAACTCCTCATCCCCATCATTGTGAAGACTGCGGAGAGGCCAGATGGAAGTACAGCATTGCGCAAACGTGCCATCCAGACCATCGATGGATTGTCAAAACGGGTGAACTTTTCTGACTTCTCATCGCGCATCATCCATCCTTTCTCTCGTGTGCTGAACCAACCGAACAATGAACTTCGGATGGCGGTCATGGACACACTATGTTCCTTGGTCACCCAACTCGGATCCGATTTTGCTGTTTTCATTCCGATGATCAATAAGGTGAGATCGACTTTCTCGCATTGAACAGTTTAGGACACGTCTTATTCTGCAAATGTAGTGCCTGCTTCGAAATCGAATATCCCATCCGAGATACGAGTCTCTCATAAGCAAGCTCCTAAACGGTGAACGTCTGCCTCAGGAAAGTGGTGTCCCAGAGCTATTGTGAGTATATTCCTGATCTTCTATGGCCTCCTCTTAAACATTTATCGCATAGCTCGAGCGACAGTTCAAAGGCTGCGGAGTATCAGGCCCCCGCTGAAGCCACGAAGATGGCTGTCAATCAGCAGCATTTGAAGCAAGCATGGGACGTATCACAGATATCCGGTAGGGAAGACTGGCTGAAATGGATGCACAACTTCTCTGTGGAGTTCATGAAGGAGTCGCCATCGCATGCTCTGAGAGCTTGCATGAGTTTGGTTGACGTTCACGCGCCTCTCGCCAAAGAGCTCTTCAATGCCGCTTTTATTTCGTGTTGGGGAGAGTTGTACGACCAATATCAGGTACGTATACACATACTCTGCTGAACCCATTCTCATGTCAAGGTTAGGAAGATCTCGTGCGCTCTATCGAGTTCGCAATCACTTCGCCACTAGCACCGTCAGAACTGGTACATCGGTTGCTCAATCTCTCTGAGTTCATGGAACATGAAGAAAAACCGCTTCCCATCGAGAACAGGACCCTCGGAGAGTACGCTATGAAGTTCCACGCTTATGCCAAGGCACTACACTATAAGGAGCTGGAGTTCTTCACCGAGACCTCGCCGACCATCATTGAAGCTTTGATCGGCATTAACTCCAAGTTGCAACAACATGACGCAGCGTGGGGCACCCTGCTTATTGCTCGTGAGCAGTACGACGTCAGCAAGCATGAAGAATGGTACGAGCGATTGGGCAGATGGCAAGAGGCTCTGCACACTTACGAAAAGCGAGCGTTAGAGGATCCTGACTCATCAGACATCGCCATTGGAAAGATGCGATGTTTGCACGCCCTTGGTGAATGGGATCAACTTGCAGCTCAAGTCGAGGAGCACTGGTCTCTCGCCAGTCATGAAGATCGACGCGAAATCGCGCCAATGGCGGCTGCCGCTGCTTGGTCTTTGCATGATTGGGATGCCATGGAAGACTACATCGCCACCATGAAACCTGACTCTGCGGACCGTCCATTCTATCGTGCGATCCTGGGCGTACATCAAAATCAGTTCCCGAAAGCCATGACGCAGATCGCGAAAGCTAGAGACCTGTTAGACCCTGAACTTACCTCGTTAGTGGGCGAAAGCTATGGTCGATCTTATAAGTTCGTATTGTAACCGGACGGCCAAGGTTGTGTGCTGATAGTACTTTCACAGCACTATGGTCAGGGCACAGATGCTCTCCGAATTGGAAGAAATAATTGCATACAAGCAGTACGCGGATCAGCCCGAGCGGCAAGAAATGATGAAGAAAACTTGGATGAAGAGGTAGCTGTCTTCACTCTCATCGATCTACTATTCATCTCACCCCGCTCTAGGTTGCAAGGCTGTCAACCTGATGTTGACGTTTGGCAACGGATCCTTCAAGTTCGAGCTCTGGTTCTTAGCCCTGACGACGATCCTGCAATGTGGATTAAGTTTGCGAACTTGTGTCGGAAGTCTGAACGAATGTTCCTAGCTGAGAAGACTATCAATTCTTTGCTCACCCCGGAACGAGTATGTCGCCTTCATAGCCTCCTTACTTTGTCTCTCATGGCAGTTTACAGCTCCAACAACATTATCGTGACCAGCATCATACCAAGGCTCCGCCAAACGTTGTATATGCTCACCTCAAATACATGTGGGCAGCAGGTGCTAAGAAGGAGAGCTTGGATTTCTTGCGTCAATTTACCGCCAGTCTCATGAGGGATTTGGATTCTGAGCCGCCAGACCAACAGAACAACCCTGTCGCCAAACAGAAGATAGAGGAACTGACACATCTTCTCGCCCGATGCTGCTACAAGCAGGGAGAATGGCAGATGGCAACGAAGGATGAATGGAGTAGCGTGAGTACTGATACAGGCATAGGCCATTATTTTCACTCACCCAATGTGCAGAGAAACATCAAAGACATACTGAGATCATTTGTCCTTGCCACTCACTATGACTCTCAGTGGTACAAAGCTTGGCATACATGGGCGCTGGCGAACTTCGAGGTCGTCAACTTTTTGGAAAGCCAAACCGAGAATAAGCTCGTGGATGGACCCGGCAATGACTTGGTTGTTCATGTTGTACAGGCCGTGGATGGTACGTAGGGATGTTTCGAATCAACGATTCGTGCTTTTTCTTAATTTGCTCGTATAGGGTTCTTCCGGTCCATTGGTTTACGCAATGAGAACGCACTTCAGGACACTCTTCGGCTTCTCACTCTCTGGTTCAAGTTCGGACATCATGACGATGTGAGCCACTCAATGGCTGGAGGCTTCTCTACCGTCGAGGTCAACACATGGCTAGAGGTTATTCCTCAAATCATAGCACGTATTCAAACGCCAAGTGCCAACATTCGCCGTAACATCAACACTCTTCTGACCGACGTCGGCAAGCAGCACCCGCAAGCACTAATCTATCCACTCACAGTGGCGTCAAAGTCTTCAAGTGCTGTGCGGAAGAACGCTGCCTTGGCCATCATGGAACGCATGCGAGAACACAGTCCAGTGATAGTCGAGCAGGCATCGCTTGTCAGTCATGAACTCATCCGTGTAGCAATCCTTTGGCATGAGTTGTGGCATGAAGGCCTTGAGGAGGCTTCGAGACTTTATTTCACTGACAAGAACCCAGAGGGTATGATTGCATTCTTGGAGCCTCTGCACGACATGCTAGAAGCAGTAAGTGATCCTCATTCCCCACTTGTTTCAGTGAAGGAAAATTAACATCTATTCAGGGTCCGAAAACTGCTCGTGAGACGTCTTTCACCCAAGTCTTCGGTCGAGATCTACATGAATCTCGCGAGGCATGCCGACGGTACCGTTTGTATGGTGAACCACAGGACATCGAGAAAGCCTGGGAGATTTATTACGGAGTAAGCAACACACTCTTCCCTTTGCTGAAGCTGAAGTCTGAGCGAACTGGCATTGTAGGTCTTCAAGAAGATCGAAAAGCAATTGCCTCAACTTACTGTTCTTGACTTGCAATATGTTTCACCTGAACTGCTCAAAGCAAGGAACCTGGAGTTGGCCATGCCAGGAACATACCAGGCTGGCAAGCCAATTGTTAAGATTGAGAGTTTCTCGCCCAAGTTGACCGTCATTCCGTCGAAACAACGGCCGCGTCGTTTGGCTCTTAAGGGAAGTGATGGTCAGGATTACCATTATCTTTTGAAGGGTGAGTTCCTTAATTTACTCTATGATCGCGCAGACCCTGAAGCGACACATCAGGTCATGAAGATCTCCGACAGGACGAGCGTGTCATGCAACTGTTTAGCTTGGTCAATAACCTTCTTGCTGTGGACATCGACTGTTTCAAGAGGCGTCTACACATCCAGAGATTCCCCGTCATCCCTCTCGCTCCAAACGCAGGTCTCCTAGGATGGGTGAAGGACAGCGACACTCTGCATGTTCTTGTTCGGGACTACAGGGAGTCACGCAAGGTACTGCTCAACATCGAATATCGTCTTATGCTGCAGGTACGTCCTTCACCACGACTTATTGACGTGATGTGAACTCAGGTCTTCCTAGATGGCCCCCGACTACGAGAACCTCATTTTACTTCAGAAAATCGAAGTTTTCGAGTATGCCCTCGAGAATACGACTGGCCAGGATCTCTACCGGGTTCTATGGCTCAAGAGCATGAGCTCAGAACATTGGCTTGAACGTCGCGCCACGTATACCCGTTCGCTCGCCGTGAACAGCATGGTCGGACATATACTCGGCTTGGGTGATCGTCATCCCTCCAACTTGATGCTTAGTTCCAAGACGGGTAAGGTGGTGCACATCGATTTCGGTGATTGTTTCGAAGTCGCAATGCATCGTGAGAAGTTCCCCGAGAAGATTCCCTTCAGGTTGACTCGCATGTTGACACACGCGATGGAGGTACGTCATTATCTAACTATCAGTCCCATAGCTTCGGAGCTGACGTTTGATTGATGCTATAGGTGAGCGGTATAGAAGGCAGTTTCAGAAATACCTGCGAGATCAGTATGACTGTTTTGCGAGACAACAAGGAGTCTCTTATGGCCGTGCTGGAAGCCTTTGTTTATGATCCTTTGATCAACTGGAGGTTGATGCAAGCAGATGTAGTCGATACTCGTCGCCCAGAGAGTAAGTCGCTCCTGTCTGTTGTCTTGCAAATGCTGATGCGATGTTCCGGTAGCTCTCGTTCGTGGTGCCGAGCTTCGTGCTGCTGCTTATCCTCAAGGTCCTGCTCGCAAGCTAAAGGCGGATGAGAACGACATTCTCAATGGTTCGTTCAATGCTTGATTGGCTCAGCGTTTGTGACTAATAACTCGTCAACAGAGGCGCAGGAAGTTCGCAATGAACGAGCGTTGTTCGTGTACAATCGTGTTCAGCATAAACTTACAGGTAGGTCACCATAATTAACCTGCTGGCAGATACTCACGATGTGCCTCGTCAGGTCGTGACTTCAATCCTGACATTGTGCTCTCCGTTCCTGCCCAAGTCGATAAACTCATCCTACAAGCAACTTCGATTGAAAACCTCTGCCAATGTTTCTCAGGATGGTATGCATATTCTACAGTTTCTCTATCTCCTGACTAACGCTCTATCCTTGTCAGGTGTGCTTTCTGGTAACCATAATCTATTTCATTCTCATGCTATGAGTCGTCGCCGTGATTCCATGTGGGATTGGTATCTTTTCTTCTTTGCATCGAGAATGTCGTTTTCGGAAAGTAATGTACATCGGTTTCTTTTACAGTTAGAACATACCGAACTCCAGCTATGTACTAATTTCATTATTATCTGCTTGTAATTTAGTCATTTCTCATCTCTTGAATGAACGGGATCCACAATGTGTCGACAGTATACTTTCCAGATCCTCAACACCGGAAGATAGCTAAGTATTCCCAGGTACTATTCTTAGTTCTCTTGAGCTTCATAGGCTCCTTGGGCGGAGATGGAACACCATCCATCGAGTTGGGGTCAAGAGTAATGGGTGGGCGCTTCAGGGTGGTTTTGGCTCTTTTTGGAATGCGGGGCCGTGAGACAAGATCCAATTACAGGTTTTGCAGGACCGCTGGTGTTCAGAATATCAAACACTGAAATCCTCACTGCCAGCTTCGTTACGCCCTGGCATGCTCAAGGTTTCTCGACTTATTGAATCGAGGTCTCATATTTGGGACGTGCGCGAATTCAAATGTTGACCTGAACGTTGCCAGACCGCTGTACTGGAGGACCAAGTTTACTTCATTTCTTCTAACCATCGCGAGCATCCTAGGATTCCCACATATGCCGTCTGCTATCTAGATCTGTCGTGCTATCCATGTATCTCTTTCACCACTACTTCCGTCACCATGCCCAGCATTAAAGATATACCGGCGGAAATATTCTTGGACAATCTTTTGCTAATGTTACCTGTTCCTGACATCTTGCGGCTAGGATGCACTAACCGTTTCTTCTACCTTTTGACTAACGATGAACCATTTTGGCATCAGAGGCTCCAACAAGATTTCAACTTCCCTAGCTCGGATACGGCCAGAACAACGGGATGGAAGTTTATATATAAACGTTTGACGAATCCTAAGGTCTATCTTTGGGGGTAATCATCCTTTTTTGTCAGGATGTGCTCACTTTGGTGCTTACTATGAAGTTTTTGAATAGACATGCATCTTGTGGAAGGCTGGGAAAAATACCACTACCTATGCAGCACCTCAGTGACGGTGTGCCGTCCCCTCACCATATGCAGTTACCAGGAGTGAAAGTGGTCAGTTTGGTGGGCAGCGGCTGGCGAGTACTGCCATATCAATAAGTTTATGAATCTTTGTTACATTCTCATGTTCTAGGGCATTCCATGCCCTCGATACAAAGGGAAACATGTATGTATGGGGTAAGGATGCGTTGTTGCCTCTGATAGTTTCAGGTTCATCTCTCTGCCATAGGTACCCTGGATGGATTACGTCCTGTCTCGATACGTGACGGGTTCTCTCAAGCTTCAACAATCACCTATGTTCCCATGAGGTTAGGCCTTCCAAAACCTATTCGCTCTGTCAGGTATGCACTGCATCATTTGAATGGCCCACGGAGTAAATCATCCCTGGACATGATTCCCTTTACAGCTGTGGTCGCCTTCATGCTGCCGCTTTTGATGCCACGGGGAATATCTGGAATCTGACATCGTGGGGAAGACCATTCCGTCTCGTCTCTACGCTTCTTGACCGATCATCTCCGCATTCGACTCCCATCCAGGTCGAATGTGGCTGGTGGTCCGTCGCGGTCCTTACGGCATCTAGGGATGTCATCATCTGGTGGCCCACGCGCGGCGAAATGCTGCAACGCATTCGGGCAAAGAACCGGGAGCTCGACAAGTACAACCCACAGTCCAAGGCAAAGCCAGTATCTGACCTAAACCACCATAACCGAGGCGTTATTTCCTACATTCCATGCTACACTTGGGAGTTAGCCATGGATCCTGTACGCCTTCCTGGCATTCCTGTCAACTCCTTGCCGGACTTGGTGCACACGGGTCTCTCACATGACGCGCGGCAGGAGGAAACCGTGCTCACCAAGATTGCTGTCACGGAAAACTCCCTTATAGGACTGACTAACAAGGGCCACGTTCTGCGCTATACGAGACTTTTCAATGAGAATAGTTACTTGTTGGGTTTGTGGGAATATGTAAGTATCCCTTGTACATCGATAACCTCAGTCTTAGACAGCCCTCCTAGCTGCCGTATTTCAGCGATCTTGCCAAGGTCCGAGATTGTGGTCCTTTTGCAGATGGCTCCGCTGATCATATAGACCCTCCACAAATGATGCATATCAACCATGCAAGTCCAGTGCTATATATAATGTCGGTAGTCGATATACTCACTGGTTTATCTGGTAGATATCTGCCCATTTCCGAACCTTCTGTGCGTACTCGACGGGGGCCCGAGATCGATCTGTCGTCCTTATAAATAAACCTGAGAACACTGACACTCCGGTCGTTCCTGAGCCCAACACCGTCAAACCTGTCATCCATCCTAACCTTCAGTTCCAATATGTCATTTCCGTCGTCCTAGGTGACTTGCATTACGCTGCGCTCACTTCCACCGGTAAATTGTTCACTTGGGGTGAATACAACAGAGGCGCGTTAGGTTTGGGTGACCCGACAACGATAGAACCTGGTCAACCTGGTGGTTTTGCTACTGAGGAGGAGAGACAGGATGTGATTAGGGAGGGTTTTGCGACCTTGGAACCGCCGGATGTGAAAGTGCCTACAGAGGTGAAGTTTGAGAATGGGAGAGAGACGTTTTGTTTTGCTGCTACAGCCGGTGGATGGCACACCGGAACGCTTGTCATCGATATGGATGTGAGTATTCCTACTCTATGAAACTTCGGCATATCGCTGAATACAAAATGTAGCCGGACGCGGAAGAGGGTGTAGTCACTGTAGAGGAGGGAGCAACACATTAACGTCCAAATCATTCTCAGCAGGCTCAGCTTTTGCAATCTAGGTCAAATACTGATGATCTAGTTGAGTGCGAGTTTGTCTTCTGCGTTGCATCTTCTGAGAGGGGAGGACAAGATCAAGATCAGTTGTAAGGTGTTATTTTACCTACATGTTGGAAAGTATATACCATACCTGGGTGTTCTTGGATATAGCGAACACCGCTTTGTAGTACTGGGTTTTTCTTATCATTAAGTATAGCTATCTGTCTGCTCATAATCTAGTTCTCTCTTGAACTGTCAGTAAGTCAAAATGGATGCAATGACGCCATAGTCGGACCGCAGTCCACTGCCCCGTCTCTCTACCCTCAGGCTAATATACTTATGTAGTCTGTATTTGTCTTCCATGCCACTCGTTTCTCTTTCACCACTACTTTCATCACCATGCCCAACATTACAGACATACCGGTGGAAATATTCTTAGACAATCTCCTACCAATCTTACCCGTTTCTGACATCTTGCGGCTAGGATGCACTAACCGTTTCTTTTACCTTTTGACTAACGATGAACCATTTTGGCATCAGAGGCTCCAACGAGATTTCAACTTCCCTAGCTCGGATACGGCTAGAACAACGGGATGGAAATTCATATATAAACGTTTGACGAATCCGAAGGTCTATGTTTGGGGGTAATTATCACGTTGTCTAACTTGCCAAATATACTAAACACGAAGTTTAACACAGGGAAGCATCCCATTCAAGACTGGGGATAGCGCATTTACCCATCCAGAATCTTCGAGACGGCGTACCAACCCCTCAGCATTTGAAGTTGCAAGGCGTGAAAGTAGTCAGTTTAGTGGCAGGTGGTTGGTGAGTCCACCTAGATCACCAATATTCTGTATGCTCTCAACGCTCTTGGTAGGTCGTTCCATGCCATTGATTCGAATGGAAGCGTATATGTTTGGGGTAAGGATGGATTATCACTTTTGACGGCATTAGGCTTATGTGTCTTCGGTAGGTGTTATGGACGGAACGGGGATTGCCTTGAGAGGCGACGGCTTCTCTGAGGCCTCCAAGGTTGCCAACTTTCCTATGAGGTTAGCCTTGCCGTTGCCTGTTCGTTCTGTAAGGTGCGCATAATGAACTATGTAGTAAGACTCATTTCTTTATACGACCTCACTATCACCTTTTACAGCTGTGGTCGCCTTCATGCTGCTGCTTTTGATGCTACTGGACATGTTTGGAACCTGACATCCTGGGGTAGACCTTTCCGTCTTGTCTCCGCCCTTCTCGATCAATCATCTCCGGATTCAACCCCCATCCAAGTTGAGTGTGGTTGGTCGTTCACATCTGTGCTTACAGAATCTGGAGACGTGATTGTCTGGTGGCCCAAGGTGGGTGAAATGTTCGAGCGCGTTCGAGCAAAGAACGAAGAGCTGGACGAACACGACCCGCAATCAAAGGCACAACCAGCACTTGAATTTAATCGTACTGGCGGTCAAGGTTCATCTAATTATATTCCGTGTCATGTTTGGGACTTGGTCATGGATCCTGTACGACTTCCTCCCATTCCCCTTGGTTCATTTCCGCACCTTGAACACACTGGTCTCTCGCATGAGGTGCAGCAGCAGGAAACCAAGCTCACCAAGATTGCCTCAATGGATAACATCGTCATCGGGTTGACTAACAAAGGACACATTCTGCGTTATGCGAAACTCTACAATGAGATCGAGTATACGCAGGGTCGTTGGGAATATGTACGCTCCAGTCTCGGCCTTCTATATAGTATTTAATATTTCTCCCCAGTTGCCGTATTTCAGCGATCTCGCCAAGGTGCGAGAGTGCGCTCCTTTCGCAGAAGACTCAGAAGGCCGGTTGGAAGCTCCACAGGCGATGTATATCAATCATGTATGTCTAATCTTACTCTATCACTTATGGTTCAATATCCTCACCTTTACCTATCGTAGATATCCGCTCACTTCAGAACATTCATCGCATACTCTACGGGAGACCAGTCTGTCGTTCTTATGGGCAAAATCGACACCGATGACCCTGTCATCCCGGCCCCGGACAATGTCAGACCCATCATCCACCCTAACCTTCAATTCAAATCCGTCATCTCTGTCGTCCTAGGGGACTATCATTATGGTGCTCTCACTTCCACTGGTAAAATGTTTACTTGGGGCGCATATTCGAAAGGTGCGTTGGGTTTAGGTGATCCAACGAAGATCCAGCCAGGCCAGCCTGGTGGATTTATCAATGAGCAGCAGAGACGGGCTGTCACTGCTGCAGGGTCTCTAATCGCGAGGGTTCCCGATGTAGGAGTGCCTACGGAGGTGAAGTTTGAAAGGGGCAGACAGACGTTCTGTTTTGCCGCTACGGCTGCTGGGTGGCATACGGGTGCCCTTGTCATTGATTTAGATGTAGGTCTTCCAGTTATACCGCGCATTGATACGTTACTGAATAGGATGTCGCAGCCGGACACGGAAGAGCGCGAGGAAGTGGAAGAGGAACCAATGCGCGGATCCTTCCCTCCTACTGGCCCAGAGCGCAGGTTCGATACGGGCAATCCGTTTACAGGCCATCGTGGCCTTTTGCCCTTCCGCGTTGGCTTTGCAGGGAGAGGTTGGGGAAGGGCGAGCCCAAGGTAAAGCGAAAGGTCGGAGATAACAGAAAGCGTAAGAAACGAATGCACGAACGCGAATGGATTTGTACACTAGAACACTGGATTTGGCATATAGGATGGAAGGAAATGGATTAGTGTATAATGATAAGATCGCATTCTCAAAGCAGAAGCAGGCATATCAGATATGAATAGATACGAGCGTACTTCTCATTTTTGGTCCTCTACCCTTCCAACTCAGCCAACTTCTTTTTATCAAGCTTCAGCTCGTCATCGGCCTCAGCATCTCCTAAGTCCGCTGCGTCGGAAATACGTTCTCTACTACCTTCAGGGAACGACGTTGCATCGAAGCGCTTTCGCTCTCTGAACGGATTGGGCCTCTTCACGCCCATCTGAATAACAGCCTCCTCAGGAATCTTTCCAGTCGGGTTGAAGTACGAGAGGTCGTTGCCTACGTAAGAGTCGATAGTTCGGATCCAAGCGTCGAAGCTAACACGCAAGCAACTCGGTCTCAGAATTCACATCATGGGTAGAAAAAAATGAGCCGTCTACGTACATGCCATCTCGGTCCTCGACGGCTCTCATCCCCGAATAGATGAACTCCTGCTTGAACTTGTCAATTTCGGCCCTATGCACTTCGAAGTCGATTGTTGGTCTGTATTCTGGATCTTCAGGTGTCTTGTTCTCTCGCAAAGGCTCGGTCTTTTTATTGTAAGAGTTGAAGAGTGGGTACTCGAGAAGTAATCCTAGGGCCGGCATACGAGGGATAAATAGCTGACGGATGCCATATAACTGTGTAGTAGGTTGGGTAAGTGGGGAAATGGAGGTCGATAGTCGATACGAAGGAAATTACCTCGGAGATGACTTCGGCGGGAGTCCCCGTTCGAGCTATGAGGATCAATGCTGCTATCATTTTACGCTGGATGGTTTATAGTGAGTCTACCGGTAAATGTGTCACATTTCTCCAGACCTACAATCTTTGATTCGTGTGAGCAGGGACGCATAATAATCAAAGGTAGGGCGCATTACCTGGTGGAACATGAAACTTTGTCCGTGCAAAAGCACAGCGATCCATTCTGTATCACCATAAACAACTGGATCTGCAATCTACTGACCATCGTTACTCGGTGAAGTGGTGCAAATGGGATTATGCGCACTTCTATCTCTCTAATTACCCGCCTACTGCTCGCATCCTTCGGAGATGCTCCAACAGTGAAGTTATGGAAGTTATGTGAGCCGACAAACTTATTCGCAACCTCACGTAGCTTCTCAACAACGTCTTGGCTGACGCGCCATAGTCGCTTTCGACGCATGTCGTCGTCTGGAGATGATTCTGGTGAAATGTCAACCCAGAACGGATGGGCCTGTTGTTCGTAACCTTCCGGTGCTTGGTTAAGAATTATTTTGTGTAGACCACTTCCCGGTTTTGGCGGGATTAGGAGGTATGATGGGAAGAAGTAAGTGTATTTTCGACTATCACATACACTGTTCAAAGTGTTAGACTGCGGTTCTTGGACATATAAGTGGAAATGGATTCACCCTCTCGCGTTGAATGAGTTTTGGACACGTAACTGCAACCACGTTTAGCATATGATGCCTTTAACGGAACAGAAAAAACGTACGAAGTTCCATAATCGAATCTCTGGAGGTAGTTCCTCGTTGATGCGAGCTACTAGATCTGGGACATCCGGTACCTGTGTGATGATTTTCATTGAAATAAGGTTGCCTGCAGCGTGAACACCAGCATCCGTGCGTGCTGCACGACCAAGATTGACCTGAAGCATTGTTTAATTGAGACTGGCACTTCAAGAAGATAGCGAGAAGGCATACCTTCACGGGGTCGTCAGCATTGTCCTGGGAAACGGCTCCAGCTTTCACGAGGGCATTAAACAGAGTTCCCTCAATCGTCTTGACATTGGTGTCATATTGCCTATGAGGATGCCTACTTTCAGGCGAACTATCACTAAGTCATGATTCGACGATCCACGTACATTTGCATGCCATTATACCCTGCGCCAGAATACCCAATCAAGAGGGCACATTGTCTCTTGGGCAATCGAGGAGCTTTTGGCTCTAGACTCTCTGCATGTTCCTCTCCGTCTGGACGTAAGGTCGCTCTTCTCCTCGAACGACGATCGGAGCGTTTTTCAAGTTTCTTTTGCTTCTTGCTCTGAGGCCGTTCTGAAGAAGCTCTGGACGACTCTCCTTGAGTTGCGGCATTGACTTCTTGAAGATTTTGTTCCACAGGAGAAGTACGGTGCTGTTCTGCGGAAGATTCCTCGCTCACCTTCACGCGTTTTGGTTCACTGGCACCGTCTTCGAGCATTTCTGCCTGAGATCGCTTCAGTGTTGGCTCGCTTTGGTCGCTCTGCATCAACGCAAAAGGGTAATGATCTATTGTCAATGACCTCGTAAACCACTGTGAAAGCCGAATAGGTTGTCGAAGTTGGTGTAATGAAAGTGGGTTGAGGATTCGTCTCCAGAGCAGATGGTGGAACATGCACAAAGCAGACATCGGGTCTCAACACCTCGGGCGATCCGAAGCTTCAAATGCAAATGTTCTCGACAGGGATTATTTGCGGTGATCATGATTAGAGACAAGTTGTTGGTGACAAAAATATATGTGAATTCGACAGGAACGATTGCAAATGGAAAGTTTTGGGCTTTATTGACAGACTTTACGTCGGCTTCTTCGACACTCCACTCTATGCAAAAACTATTCTCATCGTAAGGATATGAAACTAGCATATACGCCAGAATTCAACGATGATAACGAAAAGTTCAATAGCCATCTTCATTGGCTTCCAAAACCTAAGTTATCCCCAACTTCCGTATACGATCTCTCCGCCGCGTGTACGATCACAACGTGGTCCGAGACGTGTTTCGAACGTACACAATCCATGAACAAAGTCGTAATTGTTAGGAAACAAGACAGCAAGTCAGGATACCCGATGGTCGAAGGGTGAAGGTGAGGCGGAGTCACGCGGCGGCATGCTGTAAAGATTTCAAGTTTGGTGTCCGAACCCAGAGCTCATCTTGCCTTGCTTCACCCCCTCATCTTATCGTACCACTCTCCTTCTCGAGCAGTGCTCCTCCTTATTGCATGTCCATCACTACATCCTCCTTTTGCTAGAGAAGAGTTCCTACTTAATCGATACCCCTTTGGACGTTAACGACCCCTCACTTTACTGTAATCATGAAAATAACCAGGAAGATCGAGCAGGCTACCAAGGAAGATCGGATTTGGTGGTCCTTCGAGTACTTTCCTCCGAGAACTGCTCAGGTATGATATAATATTATCTGCGTCGAATGTATTCATCGAATAAATGGAACTTAGGGTCTTCAAAACTTGCTCGATCGTATCGAGCGTATGCGTGCACTGGGCCCCGAGTTCATTGACATAACTTGGTATGTTACACAACTCTTCGAATATTGTGCACAAGCTAAGTATATATGTTCAGGAATGCCGGTGGACGTACTTCTGATCTCACGTCGGAAATGGTCAAGACATGTCAAAGTCTCATCGGCATCGAGACATGTATGCACTTGACCTGTACGAACATGCCGAAGGAGAAGGTGGACATTGCTCTAAAGGTTCATTTATATCATTACAATTCTAATAATGAAGCCACTGACCTTGCTGTGTTCATAGGAGGCAAAAGCACACGGATGTCGAAACGTCCTCGCACTTCGAGGCGATCCTCCAACAGGTAAAATTGAGTGGGAGGCAGTTGAGGATGGCTTTGCACATGGTATCGACCTTGTCCGACACATCAGAAAGCTTTACGGCGATTATTTCGACATTGCGGTTCCAGGTTTCCCTCAGCAACAACTCCTTCCACCAGAGGAACTGGCCCAAGAGATGAAGTGGCTCAAGGAGAAAATTGATGCCGGTGCGAACCTCATCTTCACTCAAATGTTCTACGATGTCGAGATTTTCTTGGAGTGGGTCAAGACCGTTCGTGCTGCTGGAATCACAGTACCCATTGTCCCTGGTATCGCCCCTATTCAAACTTGGAATGGTTTCCAGAAGGCCACTGCGCTCGCGCAGACTAAAATCCCTCAGTCCTTCTTAGATGCCCTGGCGCCATACAAGAATAATGACGAGAAGGTTAGGGAGATTGGTACGAAGCTTGTCGCGGACATGTGCCGGCGTATCCTCAATGCTGGGATTGGCATCAGGGGCCTTCATTTTTACACCATGAACTTGGAGAAGGGTACCAGGTTGCTGCTTGAGGAGTTGAACCTCGTTCCTCGTGTCGAGGTCGTGAAGCCTCTGCCTTGGAGACAGGTACGTATCCTAACACCTTCAACATTGATTCTTCCTCTGATCATGTCGTTTAGTCACTTACTCCCAGTCGTCGAACCGAAACTATCCGTCCTATTTTCTGGGCGAACCGTACCAAATCCTACTTGTCACGCACCGAGAACTGGGATGAGTACCCCAACGGTCGTTTCGGTGATTCTCGCTCTCCAGCGTACGGCGAGCTTGACGGCTACGGTATCTGGATTAAGCAAACGGTATGTCAAGACCTAGTAACCTACCATGTATCAGATGATATTTATCGTTTATGCCGTCGTATTCTAGAAAGAGCAAGCGCTACAATTGTGGAACCATCCTACAACGCTGGCCGACCTCTCGAAGCTATTCAGCCAGTTCTGTCGGAATGAGCTTTCTGCGCTGCCATGGTCAGACGAGGCGCCGTCCGAAGAAATGCAAGTCATCTCGACGCAGCTTGCCAAGTTGAACGAGTTGGATTTCTTCACAATCAACTCTCAGCCTGCTGTTGATGGTGTCAAGAGTGACGACCGCGTCTTTGGATGGGGCCCTTCCAATGGATACGTCTATCAAAAGGTCAGTAAGCTGTTGGTCCCATTCGAGTTGCCAGTATTTACATGTTTGCAGGCCTACCTTGAGTTCTTCGTATCGCCGGAGCTCCTCGCTGTCTTGCTTCCTTACCTCGACCGCGATCCCATGATCACATACTATGTGATCAACAAGCGTGGTGATTTGCGGACGAACACACAATCGGATGGTCCGAACGCAGTGACATGGGGTGTGTTCCCTGGTAAGGAGATTATTCAACCAACCATCGTTGAAGCAATCAGCTTCATGGCGTGGAAGGTATGTGATCAATACCTTATCTGGTCATGCAACATAGTGCTGATTTTGAATGCTTTAGGACGAAGCCTATGAACTTGGAAATCAGTGGGCGCGATTCTACGAGCCAAATTCACCCACTCGCAAGTTTATCACTGACCTCATGGAAACCTCTCTCCTCGTAAACGTCGTTCACAACGACTACAAACATCCTGACGCCATCTTCGAACCTTTCTACAAAGCCGGTGCAGAGTTCGCTGCTATGCAGGCCAAGATCAACGGTGCTCCTGCAGCAAACGGCAATGCTTTACTAAACGGATACGCCCACTAACGCGACAAACGCGACACCTTGATCTCAACACCACTCCATCTTCTTGATATTTTCGTTGATTTCGTTGAAAATGACCCCCGCGTCTCAACACCCACGGTAGGGTTGCTCTATTTCTTCAAAGCATTACCCACCGGGTTCAACCCCGTCTGAGTGCTCTCACTCCTATACTCATATCAGTATTTCCATCTTCTTCCAATGTGCTTCTTGAACTGTTAGATTCCCTGTATCAATTTGACCTCGCATAAGTACTCACATTTTGCATAGCATCATCTCTTCTTGCTTTTCTTCGTCATTGACCGCTGCATCAACTGCATATCCCTCATCCTCGTCTTCAATTCTCCCCACCCTGGATCCTCATCCTCACGTACCTTGCATCCAACTGCAATCCTCATTTTTGTATTGTATTTCCATAATACGTCTTCAATGTAGTTACGATAACGTCGATTTGCCGTACTGTATGTCGGCCTCTGAACTCGGAGTGTTATTGTCCTTCAACATCCAACGCTGGGTGTCATGCTCGAGTAAGTAACTTGACAGTGGTCTCCCTGAGGCACAGTAGCCAGAGACACAACCTTCGCGCCTTAAGATGTCTCTGTCCAATCTCTGTCTGACCTTGACAGTACTGCCAGATGCTGCCTGGAACTGAAGAAATTCGGACCGCAAGCCGAATGCATAGACAGTATTCCCGATCTTGACTTTTCCCACCGTTCGAGAAGCACCGGTGTGTCTGCTGTATGATGGCCCGCTGAAGGAGGAAAGCAAGAACAGATGAAGGGTTGAAAGACCAGATGGGGGTATGTCGGAAATCCTTCGCTGCAATGGCAGGTATGTATCTGCCTATCTTCAGAGTGTCGTGTCATTGATTAATGCAGGATGTGCGAGTGGCTCATGGAAACGAGGCAGTGACGGCTCCAGCATCAGCTGCTCAAGAGCGTTCGAGACAAACGTATCAATGCTCGAAGGTTTGTTCGCCATAACCGCATGGGCTAAGACGTTACTTGAACCGACAGATTGCAAGCGGCATGCCGTCTCCGTTCGGGAAAAGCAAGATCTGTTGATGCAAGTGCCGCAACGCTTTGTAACTTCGAAGTGTTCTCCGATTTCTGTTCGGCTTCAGTCAATTGTGCAAAGTCAATATGCACTGGAAGCGGTCTGGAAGATGACGACAGGTGGAATGAACGAATGTGTGGATCGATGAACCTAGAGACAATTCCGTGACGCTTAGGCCTTGTGCTTGCCTGCCCTTGCCAGGAATACCCCGAGCGATTTAGGAGTCAGAAGCAGCGCCGCTGCGCTACCGATATCGTATGTTGCAGTCTCTGCTCATGTGCTTTGGCCGATGTGCAGGACTGACAGATATATTTTCTGCAGCGGAATCAATTGTAAAACCGTGCCTGTCTCGTGCCAGGTTCAGGTCAGGGTAAACTTGTATTTGTTCCTGGTTATGTTGGACATCCAGCCTCCAAGCACTCCACAGAGTTATCTTGTCAAACCTTACGAATGGACAACATCACGACTTTTATCGTGATAGGTACGATACGCGCTGTGTGTGATTAAAGGGCGGAGTTCATTGATACCGCAGTTCACAGGAATGTCATCGAGGCTTCTTGAGGCTTCAATCAAGGCCTCTGGTTGGTTCAGGCTCGCCGAAGGTCAGGATTTGCTGCTTCCGCTTGACGCTGACTCAGTCCAGTCCTATCATTCGCCGCATTGACTTTGTTCCTGCGCAGGTATCTCAGGGATCATTCTAGAGTTCAGCGTTCAGAATTTGATCCATGGAGGGTAATACATCCTTTGTCCATTGCACGCTGAGTCCCACATCAGATGCAGTGACATCTCCGTTGCTCGGGTGCAGAGTACGGGTCGTGAATGTCACGCACTCTTCCATGGTGGCAGATCGCCGATACAGACCAATCGGCATTGCAGAATTTTCAGAAGACTCGATCGGACTAAAACATGGGAAGGCGCTGTTTCGGTGGCCGAAGAATAGGCAAGCACCGATTAACAATGTAAGATTTGCTGTGATGCGATATACTATCACTAGCATGGGTGCGCCAAGTCATACATAATATGTTTGGCCAACGTTTTACTACAGAATGCGACACTCGATATTGGAGTCACCTATTTTCGCAACTGGTCACATTTGGACGGCGATGGGGAGTTTACACATCAGTCAAGTGCTGATGGTGCAGGCTGCCTGAGATCTTTTACTTTGATTGCGAGTGCTTCTCGGAGCTCCGCTGTGGTAAAGTAATTCAAATCCTATGTATGGTCATCCTGGAATAACTTTCTGTTCCAGTCTTCTGTCACCAGATTTTAGGGACAAACATCAAGAGTTATCACGCCGATCTTTTAGAGACGGACACGTCGTAAACGAGCCGCTCCCGTACGGCTGCGCATTCACTTGCAGGAGACATACTGCTTCATTCGGTGAAAAATACAACCTGAGTACTTTCCCGAAGTCGGAACCTGCATAATCAAAACGCGCTCAGGCAAAGCTGGCACCATCCCGAGCATCATGTATAGGACGAGTGCCATGAATGCCCGCCAACGTTTCCTAAAAGGCCGATTACCAGAACCAACGCGTTTGTAAGCCCGTCGCAATTGTATCCACCGGGCGTCCCGGCATTGACACTTGATGCCCTCGCAGAACTAGAAGTCTAACTCAAAACAGCAGTAGATGGTGCTATGTTCCTGCAGCTTCGCGCCAGTGTTGGCCCAGCTCTGTGGTACAAGGACCCAGAACTTGGACGGCGTCTGTCACCAAGAAAGAACCTACATCTTCCTGCACGAATACAGCGCCGTCGTGAATTTCTTACCTCGACGACGGAGTAAAATGTTTTCACCGGCACTTTTCCTGGCTTTCGAGTCATTGGTCTGACAAGTCAACCATAGCTAGTCTGTGACATAGGGAAAACTCGATCCTCCCGAAGCCCCTTCCGCGGACTTAGGTCCCAAGATTACTGTTGTGCGTCACTTTCTGAGACAATTAATTATTGTCTGGCTCTCTGCACACGCAAATCACCTCACTAGCCCCGCTGCATCTGAAACCCATGTCCCCCCGCCCCGCGTCGGTCATTGGTACTCATTTCTTACAAGCAATTGGTCACGGCCGAGATAGCCTTTCGGTTCACTCTGTCGCAAACTAGTATGCATCTGGATTCAATGTATACGTTTTGCACCCCCCAGCGGCCAATGCTTGTCGAGCCTGGTTAGGCCGGCTTACTATCAGTGTACCCATTGCAGTGCCTTTGGTCTGGTCTGTGGCCGCTTTTAGGATATGCGTGGTAAGTAACCCAACTACCGGGGGGAAATCATTCGCTCTGCTTTACCACAACGTCCTGGTCGGTGTTCTCGGTCGGTCTATCTTCACAACCGATCCAGGTCGCGCATTGAGTACTGTCTCGACAGCATCGCAGGTTACATTAACCTATGCATCCTGATTCAAGTAATATGGACACTTCCAACTTTGTACCCTGAAATTCTGCCACAATTTGTGATCAGTTTCGCGGCCCGCCAGCGAGCCGCGCAGGCTGGACTGAATTGCAAGCAGACGAGTCATGGTACACCGTATGGGCAATATCCCATGATTCCAGTGTCCAGGATCAAGAACCTAATGCCAATGATGTCAAAGTTATCAGCAGTTGCGAGCGCTTTCGGCCGTCAGTCCAAGACTTACATGCTTGACGCCACATGGCATCATATCTTTCAATATCTAAGTAAGCTCTTGCTGAGCAATGTTACGAAGCCCCGAAGGTCGAGTAGACTTCTCAAAAGGATACCACGATAGGTCGGACTGAACATTGAGGTCGGCGAACACCGAAGAACGTTTCATCAAGCTGCAGAAGTTACGATGCAAAGCCATGTGAACGAATATATCACAACCGCAGTCGTACGCAGATCCCCACGCGACTTTGCCTTGCCATAGCTTGACATTCGCGAGATAGCAATCTCAGATGTTCTCGAATTCTGCAGCCAACGTTAGGTGATGCACTCACACAGTTGAACGTATTCGGTCTGATTGGAACTTGCAGGGAATCTCGCCCCAGGCTCGTGCTCGTAAATGAAGTCGATAATCGCACAAAGATGTCCTGAGCAGGGATGTATAGCAAGCTAGTCTTGGAAGGATTTCTGTCTTGTGGGTTTACTCAGTAACTCGGAAATGGTGCATTCGAAAGACTGTAGATCCCTAGATAGATAATCCCCAAATCAGTCAGGTGGCCAACAACTCGGCACAATTCTTGAAGAAAGATCCGTTACGCTGTGGTTGCTCAAAGAATAGATAAGGTGTGAACAGGGTGATGGTGGCTTTGAGCCAAGTAAAACCATTCATAATCATGACCTGTGCGCCCATGAGCATAATATTCAACCCCTCACGTCATGGGGGGGGACTGATCACGTACCAATGTTACCGCAATGCTGGGGATGTATTTCAAAGACATATGCGCAAGCTCGGCGACGATAGAGTTCCGTTTTTCAAGAAACACTGTTCGAGAGGCTTTCAATCGCCATGGGAACCGAAGGGACGTCTTCCCATTTCACAAATCTGTCACTTATCATCGGGGTGACTGCGGGGAAGAACATGTGAGGGAAAGAAGCGTCGAGCAGTAGTAAATATAGAATTGGTGTATGCAAAGCCAAACGTGACACAAGGTTTGACGAGGAACGTACAACGCACGGCCAAATGCCGACCGGCTATACTTGGAACCTACATGATACTTTCAAATTTCTCCAATTGTTGCGCCGAGAGTATGAGTGAAATTGCCGTGTACAGTGAGTACAGAACGCCCTATGAATTCGGGTCGATCTGTACTGTACTTATGTCAATCCGATACAACTCCACGAAGGACAGCCAGTAGGCTGTGCATGCACCAGAACGTCTTGGCAAGATCACTAGCTGGCAGGGTGACGGATCTTTCAGTGGCAAGCGACTACTGTTCTACACTTCACCTGAAGAATAGACCATGTTCGCTTCAGCTGCCAGAGCTGCGTTGATTGAGAGGTAGGAATGCCTGAACTCGAACCAGGAGTAACATATTGAAGCTCCTACGTATGCCAAGTAGGCTAGTCTATCGCCTCCCGTGAAGCTGACTCTGTCAAAGGGTGTCAATTTGGAGGCCGATTCGAAGCCGTATTGTCGGCGACCTTGAAAGGGTGTATTTCAGTGTTTCAGCAGACCAGTCTATCCTAGCAGACCCTATATGGGCAAGATCGTCGTGGCAGCATATAAGGAATGTCGTAGGACAAGACTATCGGCATACCTTGGCACTGCCAGGATCAGCAATCGAGACTAGTGAATGGCCAAATGCGAAATCTCCTACTAGTTGCTCTAATTGAAAGTTTGCAACCAGGATCGATCTGAGTGAATTCGTGTTCGGCTGAACAAAATGTGATCGCGACGGTTGATCGTGATCGGCGAGGAGCCTTGTTACTTTTCGGTTCTATATCCTCTTTTGCTGTCTTTCTTCTTGCATTTCGGAGGTCCATTATAGAGAATACGTGCACTGCGTTTGAGGCTATTTATTGTGATTGTACCTTCCTCGGCTGAGCATCGGAGCATGATCACTGCTGGCATCCCAACGGATAGGAGAGATGGTCGCAAGCACCGACTCCTGAGCTTGAGAGATCCTTGACGTCGCAGTAGTAGTAAGGGATTGGACAGATGATACCTATCCGCAACGGCAGCTCCGATAATACCTCAGTCTTCCTGCGAGGCTGCGAAGGGTGCGATGATCGTGCGTCTTTGGTTATCTTCGAATGTTTCCCTTTGTTCACTTACCTCGTGATGTTCACAACCCTTGAAGTATGTTATCATTGTCCTAGTGAATGGTGAATCACCGCATGGGAGGATGCAGGGGAGGACCGGTTGACGGTCCAGACAGTCATGTTATAGTTTCCTGACAGGGTAATCAGGATGTTGCAGGGCAAGTCACCTTCGCGATCTCATCACGGGGACACGTCGCCTTTAGACCGGTGTCTGAATACCAAAATCAATTTGGATTTTCCAAGTGGAAACCCTGCTTGCTCTTCACATGTCCAAAGGTGAGTGTCTATATCAAGCCGCATTTTCACCCACACGTTTATTTAAAAGGCTGAAGGCGCCCGGATGGCAAGCGGTCGAATGACAGTCCTGGAGGTTCAGGAAATGAGATGATGGGATGGCAGCACCGAGACGCTTGGCGGACTGAACATCGCATGTGCTTGTGGATGATCTGTGTCCACGTTGACTTGACAGTTATACCAAGCGATGTCCCTATCTTCAACTCGAGTAGTGTCGACGATCAGGTTCTGCCGTCACTGCTGTCGCGCCCTTGCAGGGATGGCGAATAAATGAACGCCAGTGTGGGGTGACGTGATTGTTGGCCGAACCGGGTGCAGATATAACATATCCTATAATGGGAATGCTTTGTCTTATAGTCGTGAAGCCCCTTTTGGCGAGTAAGTCCTATGAATTTGACCAAGACTGCCTCAGGCACAAAGTGACCGAATGATACGGCGGCCGTCTTGGGCCCTGAAAGCTTTAAGGTGAGCCTTGTAACCAAGGAGGCCCTTGCGAGTCTGACATTTTCGACATAGGAGAATATATGACGTTTGATAGATCATGCTACCTCCATTCTATAGCGAACTGCGAGAATTGCGAGGACCGTGTCAAGCAAAGGTCAGATATTTCCTTCGCAATGATATATTCGCCTTATCACCGTCCCGGAACCGCAGTGGGAAAAACCGGAACTTGTCCAAGAGAAAAGAACATTCGAACTCGAGAGTAAAGCGATCTGGTATATCCACGTTTTCTGAGTTTCCAGAATTTCCAAGCTTTACGCGAAGTTCGTATCACGGATCCAAAGCCGCCACATGGTATTATGCGCAGATGCAGTAGAATTCCCATGTTCAGAGGTTCGTATGGCACAAACACCCACAGAACACCACAACGCCAGATGGTCTCTTCTTCCCGAAGCGCAGTCACCAAACCGGGAGAAATGAAGGCCAAGTCTGTGCGGGATGCTGAAATGCAATGACGAGACGCCTGAATGAACCCTCACGTAACGTTTCATTATGTCAAATGGGATTAGTAGAGATGTACGTACAAAGGCAGGTGGCGAGGCTGACATGCTTCTCTCCTGGTTGAAGCCCACCCAATAGTCGGTTGTCATGAGACCTACCTCAGTGAATGATAAGAATGAAAATTAGAACGCCAGCAACGTCAGACGTCACGGCATAGGGGGCTTTCATTAAACAATGCGAACCTCGAGATCGCTTCTTCTGTCGGCCCCGCCTGAAAGGATATACGAAATATTTCGTAAACATACGTGGCTGGCCGATTCTGGGGGGAGCCGAACGTGCCAGCGCATCCGATGACAAGTCGTTCGTGAACAAAGCGCTAAAGTCAGTAGGTTGATCAGTAGCATCTGAACAGACCGTGCCCTACCGTCACAGAAAACAACTTGGGTGCAGTGAGTTTGATATTCCGGTCTGAGGGGTATAACTTAGCATATGGAGATTGATCAGTAACAAGATCCTCGGAGTCCGCATATGGTGATGTAAAGAACATCCAAAGTGAAGTTTGATATCCCGGTCTGAGGTGAATATCATGTTGAACATGAGACAAGAACAGTGGGGTAACCAACGCACAGCAACGGTGAACCAAAGGGCGTAGGCTCGGGTAACACTCGGTTATGATCATGGTCGTGATACCCTCGAAGACCGTCTTTATGCTGAACGGGAAATGTGAGCGATGATAGCACGTCGGTGATCGCGTCGGGACGGTTTTGCTTCGGTTGTCCGAAACAGCCTCGAGATTCGCAAGAATATAGAAATAATCTCTAGGGTATTACTTACGCGCGAAGCTTCCAATACGAAAGGCCGGTAAGCACATGAATACCCATGTTCGTGTGGTTTAGCTGGGCTAGCAAACTTTCAACCAAGACAGGTCGACATATCAATATAGAATATAGAATAATACATTACCTTAAAAGAGACTCCCGAATCCGTCAAGGTGTACGCCGGAAACAGATCGAATTTGATCAAGAACCTGTTCAACATCAGCTCAATAAGGGAACAACCATCCGTCACTCAATTAAGACAGGGCCATTTTTTGCCTGATGGCTGTTCTGTCCTCAACGGGGCCCTTGGACCCTGGAGCGTTTCAGGTACACAAGCACGACTCCAGAATCCAGACTCCACCACAAAAAGGCACTGCTTCCTGTCAAGGACGGAAGACACACATCTATCGATCGCGGTTCAGGTCCGATCAGGTCCTGGGGGCTGCGGATGCGGTTTGTATCTGTCTGTACCTGTGCGAGTTGTTGAACAGGTAAGGACTGTGCCGGAGGTTGATATTCTAGAAAAGGTTATGTACCCCGTAACTTTGAATTGTGTGTAACGCTGTCGGGACTGCAGGGGGTTTGGGGTGGGGTTTACATAAATGGTATCATGGCGGGACCTGCAGTTAAACAAGAACGCTCAGCACCCTTCCATAATATCACCAAACGAGAAGGGTGTGCTGGAGCGTTTGAATTGAAGAAGACTTTGAATAGACGGGATTACATACAACAAGGAATCATTTCGGTGGCGCTTTCAGACACCGCCTCCACAGTCCTCGTTTTCATTGTGGGCGACTGAAATTATTTCAATACACAATTCGTATAACTTACCATGCTTGGCGGCCGAACCTTGGGCCAAGAGAAATCGACATCAACACAAGGGACGCAAGGAGAACAGGCTCGTGCACCCATGCTCAAACACAAGATCAAACCCCTATTCACCTATTCGTCCATTCTCGGTACCTCAAGACGGGCGTACAGTACAGCGAAAGGTCTTTTGCCCCAGAGCACCTGGGGTCTGGATTCTCCCGGGACCGAAAAAAAAAGACCCTATCTTGTATGTCCTATCTCGTGGTCCCATCTCGTGGTCCGTTCCCCAAACCCTGGAGTCCGATCCACGATCGCGTTCTTTCTTGGAGCTGCAAAGCAAAATGCCGCACTTAGCGGCTGTTTGAGGATTACCTTTTTGTTGAGTGCGACGATCGAATGCGGCACTGCGCGTGGAGTCGATTGGAGAACCTTTTGGATGAGCACAGCTGCATAGAGGCAGTGAACAGTGAACAGTGAACGGTGACAGAGAGAGGGGCGGTATAGGGGTTGGAAAGTCATTAAGGCACGAGGACACGAGTGTGGCACCGGTACAAGTGATTGAATGGACGGAGAAGTGCGGCGAGATATGATATTGAGTATGATCGCGAAAGCCTTTCTTGTTTTGCTTCTGAGAAAGATCCGGTTGGGGTGGTTCAGCAAAGAAAACAGGACGTTGACTTGGATTTGAGTGAAGGTATCGGATCGGGGAGAGAGCAATGAGCTTGTGATGAACCATAGACAGGGGTACCGCATATAGGAAGATAACAAATGTTCACTGGGAACGTGGTTTCGGATTGTCGGAGCCTGCGGCCGCCTTGTTGGTGGGGTTGGCAGGAAAAGGGTCTGATAGCGACAACAAAGGTCCCATGATAAACCGGAACTCGATAACTCGTGCATTTGCAACGGACAAATGTGGTCGCGCAAAAAGCTTATATCGTCAATACCGCTGGTGACTTTTTGAACGTTGAATCCGACTATAGGGGGTCATTGAGCAGTAGTAGGTGGACCAAGCGAAAGGGCCGATCGATATACGAATGAAAGGACGATTGGGATCCCGATCAATTGTATAAAGTTCCAAGATCACTTGTGAAAAAAAAGGGAGACAGCAAGAAAACGGAACACACAAGTCTTGAGACCTTGAGGTCCGAAGGTTAGAGTTTGAACTTGAATTCAAAAGTTCAATTGATGGAGACGGAGAGGCCATTGATATTTCCATGATCCACTGGGATCATGGATATTTTTTCAACGCTTGACATTTGATATCGTCCCAAGGTGGTTTGCCTGTTCAGTGAAGGGTGAAGAGAGAGGAAGTAAGAAAACAAGGTTAGAGTTTGAACTCGAACTTGATGGATACGGAGAGGCCAGTGATTCCATGATCCAAATAATGAATCATGGCCCATTTTCCAGTGCTCGATACCTGATATCGTCTGAAGATGTTTTGTTCCGTTCAGTGAAGAGTGAAGAGAAATAAAGTGGTGCCTGGGAGGATTGATGAGATTCGACGCACACAACAGATGAAGTCTGAAGATGAACACTAGCCGTGTTGTGGGTCCCTAAAACGTGAGCCTGCATCTATGAATGCAAAGATGAATATCATCGTTGGCTTGACGATCCAGCAACCGGTCCCCAACTCCATCAAGGGTAAAGACTTGTCAAACCAACCCAAGCGATGTTGAAACTTACGAGATCATTATTAGTACGTTATAACTCATTGGAGACGGCGTTTGTACGGAATGACTGGGAACCCTAGTCCCAAGGCGGTTTGCCTGTTCAGTGAAGACTGAAGAGAGATGAACGAAGGAAACAAGGTTAGAGTTTGAACTCGGACTTGACGGATACGGAGAGGCCAGTGATTCAGTGATTCAAATAATGGATCATGGCTCATTTTCCAGTGCCCGATACTTGATATCGTCTGAATGTGTTTTGTTCCGTTCAGTGAAGGGTGAAGAGAAATGAAGTGGTGCCTGAAAGGATTGATCAGAGTCGACCGTACGACAGATGAAGATGATACTGGCCATACAGTAGAAACCCAACGTGACCTTTGAAGACCCTGAATCTGTGAAAGCAAAGATGAATACCATCGTTGGCTTGACGATCCAACAACAGCGTAGAATAACAATCCCCACTGTCGCGCCTGACTCCCAACCGCATCAAAGGGTGAATCTTGTCAGACCAACCCCCCAAAGCGACGTTGAAACTTACGACATCGTTACTTACGTACCCCCCTACTCAATTAAACAATCAATCCTGGATTAATGATAGGGCGGGCGACCCTGCAGCGTAGTGGCAAACAGCATCCGAAAAGGACAAGCAAAGCGCCGCTGTCACCCTAAGACCAAGACCATGCCCCAAGCATGTACCAGCTTCATGATCCCCAACTTCCCAATGGAAGTGTCAATGGGTTCGACATTTTACGTACCTCCCTACTCAATCAAAACGACTTGCCTTCATGATGGCGTTACGCACCCATGACCTGGTACATGACGTCGCATACAAAAAAACAGCTCCAGCTGAAGCGACGAGTCCCAAGTCACCCAAGAATAACTCGATACACGATACACGAATTCCTGGGGGCCCTGAATGAACCCTATAGATGGTACGATTTGCGCGGACATAAAGGCAAGAAAAAGGGTGACGAATGGACGGACCCGAATTAGAGAGCTTGTAGCACTCTTCCTTGAAGCTTCAGCCAAGGCGGGAAGTGGTAGGTGGCGAGAATATGTCAAACATGCAGCAAACCGTCAAAGAAGCTTAGACTCTGTAACGTGGCGCGTTTTTGGCGGCGGCGTCGAGTGTCATTTTTTGGAGACTTGGCGGGGCGCATGTAGAGTTATGTACTTCTTGAGTGCTTGAATGGTTGTGTGCTTTTTTTTCTTGGCCGGAAGTCTGGCAACTTGATCACTTTGAATTCGCGGAGAGTCTGGATCTTGGTCGAGTCATCTTGCGTCCATATCAACGACGTTACGAGGGACGACGAGGAGAAAGCGTAAAGGGTTCGCGGGAGGCCGTCCGAACGTACTCCGAAGCTTGGTTCCCCAAAACCCCAGTCGTCGACTGTCGCGGTATTGCTTCGACATTCGACATAATCCAGCCACCTTGCAGAAATGATATTGGCTTATGACAATAAGTAATATTCACGAAACGTGATGATGTTGATGTAATTGCCGCCCCCGCCGCCGTCATAAATTGATGATATGGGCTAGGGGAATTCTGGAAGCCTGAAGGGTTCTGAATAGAACGATTTTTCTCGGGTAATTCAAAAAAAAAAAGAGAGTTATGATTTGTGTAATGATGGCAGAAGCGCATGTGTTCTTCTCAAAGGAAGCGACGAAGAAGCGACGACTGCAACAGTCAAGCGCAGGCGGCTGTCGAATGAAAAAGAAGCGCAATTGAATCAACGAGTCCAAGCGGCGAGCGGCAGTTTGCATATATATGTATATTTGTATGTTTGGATTATGATATGACATCGACGATGGAAGGTGTCATTAGGGGAAGAAGGTGCATTTGTACGGGCTCGGGAGCGAAAGAACTCGTAGCGGGCTTGTGAAAGTTTGAAATACCATGGATCATGGGTTTTAAGAAGCCTTGAGAGAAGGTTGAGGAGGGAAGTGGATGTGGGAGGATCGCGATAGGTTATAGGTAGGAGGAGGTGGGAAAGGAAGTGGAAGGGTGGAAGTGGCCAAGAATGGCGATATGGATGACGAGAAACAGCCAAGCGGACTTGGGTAAAGCAAAAGCGAAGGAGAGAAGTGGAGAAGCAGGATGTACAGAGCGTATATATAAGGTGCGAGTTTGAGAGAAGGAAGATTTGTGACGTTTCGCATTGGCAAGTATCATGATCATAGACGAGCGATGCGCGGGAGTAATGGAGGAGATCGGCGAATAATCAGTACGAGACTCGAAGGTGGAAGGTGGAAGTTGGAAGGAGTCGAAGAAGAGTGCAAGCCTAGACAGCTGGATCATCGGTGTGGGGGTGGCTGGGCAAGAGTAGACTAATGGAATGCTTCAGTGCTTTAGCGTATTGTTATTCGCGTTGAGAGAAGTCGGGAAGAGGTTTGACCGGAAGGAAGGATCAAAGGATTAAGACAATGGATGACTTTGGGCGTCGGAAGGGGGTCTGACGTAGAGTTGAAGGTTTGTGTGCAAAAGTGGTGATGAAGGTGATACATTGATAGAGTGAGTGATGGTGGCATTCTGGATGAATGTTGGAAGTTGACCGTTGTCGAGATCAGTAAAGACACGATCAGAGGCACGGATGGGATGCAGAAAAGGAAAGATTGGATGGCAATGCACGTCAGTACGGTGAAAAGACAAGAGACCAGATGAGGGTGCGGGGAGAGAGCGAGGACATGGGACGGAGAGCGACGGAGGGAGAGAAGGGAAGAAGCTACGCGGGGGTAAGACGGCGGCCGATAAGATGATGATAGGGAAGAGGAAGAGGAGGGGATGGGGGCAGGAGAGACGCGTGTTGGAAGAAGGGAAGTGCCCGAAGAGAAAGGAAAGAGGAAGACTGAACGTCGAGGAATCGGCCGTGTTGAGAGGGGGAGAGTTGAGGCAGAACGGGAAGCGGGGGAGAGACTGAGGCCGGGGCCGGGGAGAGGCGATAATGGATGGAAAATGAGGAAAAAATGAAAAGAGGAAGTCCGAAAAAGGGGAAATTGCGACCGCAGCGGAGGGCCAGTGATGCCGGATTGGGGGGGAAGGACGGGCGTGAGAGAGAAGGGCGATCTGAGATTAGAGATCCGCGATGAGGGCTTCGATGGGATGCGCGCGTCAGGACATGGCAGAGATGTATTGACAGTGGTCTTTAACAATGCACCTATAGCCTTGCGAGTCTCTATCCGTCCCTGCTATGCTCGACCACCTCCCCTCCTCCCACTTCCCCTACGTCCCCCGCCAGCCCTTCTACGTCGACCCCTTCCTCCACGATAAGCTGCCCCCACGTCAATCCCTCTCCCCGGACAACGACGGGCCCTTTGCGTTCACCACCCCCCGTGATATCAACAGGCCATCCTACCCCCGCCCGCTCTCCAACTCGCCTACCCTGTCCCCTCCGCCCCTTTCTGCGTCTTCTTCGGGGACCATCCCCAACGCCGACCACCACCACCACTATCAGTATGACCACCGCACTGATTTCTCCACCCCAGACTACGAGCCTAATCAGCTCTCTCAGTCCGAGTGCCCCATGGACGCTGCCAGACTGCCCTCTATTTTAACTGGTCCGTATTTCTGTTTCTGACACGCTCTGCCCCCTGCTGACTTTTCTATTTTGATAGGCGCATTTACCGTTTCCCCCATTGCGTCGCCCTCCCAGCTTGTCCATCCGCAAAGCGCACACCCGCAGTCCCGGTTTTCCTTTGACCAGCAGCCGTCCATCGACCGCCGCCTGAGCGAACCTGCCATTCGCTCCCTGTACACTACCACCCCCCACCATTCCCTGTCAAATCAATTACCCCCCCTCCATCAGAGCGCTGCTTCAAATGACCAAGCCGCCTTTGGCTATTCTTCCAGCCCGTCAAGCGTCAGTACCGTCGTTCCCGCTACCCCGCTTTCCCCGCGTCCGTCCTCCTCCCACACTCATGTCTCGTCTTCTCTTTCCTACTCCACTTCTTTCCCCTATCATCACCAACGCGTTCCAAGCGACGGCTCGACTGCTTCCTTTGGCGATCCTTGGGCTCCTCCGACCGCTAAATACCAGACTGCTTTTAATGAAGCCGGTGCAATCGTCCTGGACTCGTACGAGAATGACCGTCAGGTGGACGATCTCTCACCCACCGATGAGGCGTTCAATCTCACCGCCAACGAGGAGGGTGAGCGCGAAGAATTTGCTGAGGAGAGCGAGAATGGCTCCGATAAAGCAGGCGAGAGAGGAAATGCAGGAGGCGCAGAGAGGACTCAGGGCGAAGGAAAAGATAAAAAGACGTATTCGTTTGTCAGTCTGCCTGGGAACGCGGTCAAGAAACGTCCCAGGAGGAGATACGATGAAATTGAGCGATTGTATCAGTGCAAGTGCGTTCTTTCTTTCCCGCCCTTTACGCACAGTCTCCTGACGCGATTTCACCCAGTTTCCCGAATTGCACAAAGGCGTATGGGACCTTGAACCACCTGAACGCACATGTCACGATGCAGAAACATGGCGCAAAGAGGAGTCCTGGTGGTATGTCTCCTTGGTCATTTACCTCGACCCTTCTCACTCATTCGCACTTATTATAGAGTTCAAAGAACTACGGAAACAGTGGCGTCAACAAAAGAAGGAACAAGACGAAGCCGAACGTCAACGCGAACGCGAAGCCAGAGCCCAACGCGCCATGATGATGTCTTCATCTCCCTCGCATCATCCTCATCACATGCACCATCCTCATCACCCTCATTCCATCTCCGCCCACTCATCGCTTCCCTCTTTGGCCCACGCCCCACACGGACACCCGCTTTCTGGGCATCCGATATTTCCGAACGCGAGTCCGTTTTCGCCTCATCGATTACAAGCGGGTGGGGGTATATACGCTAATCATCCTAGTCAGAGGATGAGGATGGAGATGCAGGGGGTGAATACGAGCCCGGTTAGGTTGTTTTCTGCGCCTGTGGGGACTCCTTACCATCAACAACAACACCCATCTCAAATACCACCGCAATCGCAGCAGCAGCAAGGACAGAGTCAACAGATGTCGATGTCTCCGCCTAATTTTGCTATGGGACATCCAGCTTCGTCTCAAGCACGACATTCGGTTGATTTGGGATACCCTCCGACTCAGGGACAACAAGTATTCCAAACACATCCGTCGCAGCAACAGACGTTCCAAAGTATGGATGGTGCTGCTTTGTACCCGGGCGATCCTCGTGCAGGGGGTATGGGTGATGGTGGTATCGGTGGCGTTGGACATCCGGGGTTGTTGAGGAGGAGTTCTATGAGTGATTTTTCGAATCTGTCTGGAGGTGGAGGTGTAGGAGGTGTAGGACCGATGAGACAGCATCAGAGGACGAGGAGGATAAGTTCGCATCCTTATGCGAATAGTTCGAGTCCTTTGACGACTGAGCCGAGTATTCCGTTGCCAACTTCCCATCCTTCGCATCCTGCAAATCAGCAGCAGCAGCAGCAACAGCAACAGCAGGAGAGAGGCTTGTATGGGTTCTCGGGTCTTGAAGGTCGATTTGCGCTTCCGTCTCAACCGCAATCCCAGCAGCAGCAGCAACAGCAACAGCAGATGGTAGAAGGGTTCCGATATCCTCATCCTCACCCCGGCCAGCACCCGTCTCAACAATCCTCTCACCCTTCTCACCCTCACCCTTCGCATTCCTCACATCCGTCTCACCCGTCGCAACTTGATGAAGAACTCGAAGACGAAGCGTCGTTTGCTCATTATTCGTCTTCCGGCGCGCATCAGCAACATTCACAGCAGGGAACGAGTACGACGAGACCGCCGCAGGGAGCGGGTGGGATTGATATGGTCTCGCCTTCGCCGTTGGCTAGTGCGTCTGCTGCTTTCCACCAACACCAACAACATCAACAACAACAGCAGCAGCAGCAGCAGCAGCAGCAGCATCAAGCTCAAGTTCAGGGACAAGGACAGCAGGGACAACAGGGACAGCAGCAGGGGCAAGATCCGTTGATGATGCCTCAGCCGAGTAACTCGTTCTCCTTTAGTCTTCCAGATCCCCATTCCCAACATTCCCAACATGAGCAAGGCCCTCCTTCGTCAACAGAAGATAATACGCCGAATCGACTCGGAAGTAGTCGTAGTGGGCATGGGGAGGAACCGTTGTTGACTTCTCATGTGTCGTTGGGGTCCAATCGGTTGCCGCCGAATAGTACGCTCTTGACGGCTTTGCCTGGGTTTGAGAGTCCCGGGGATGGGCATGGGGGCGGTGTGCTTGTGGAGTATGCAGGTGGGGGAGGGGGAGGGGGAAGTCGGCCGGGGACGGGGAGGAGTGATGGGAGTGTTAATACTGCTGGTGCTGCTGGCGCGGGTGGGGTGGAGGATGGGTATGCGGTGGCTAGGAGGTATAGTGTTGCTGCGAGTGTGGGTGGATGGAGGGAGAATGAAGATTTCTAGGTTGGAGTTTGGAGGAGGTTTTTTTTCTGTGTTTTTCAACGTGAGTTTTTTGCTTTCTGTGCTTCCCTTTTTGTTTGTTTGTTGATTGATGTTGATTTTTTTTTGGCTAGTTCAATGTGTGCTCGTTATACCAACATATCCTAGCTTCCACCGATTTCTCCAGTTTCTCTCAAGTTGGACTTCTTCTTTATCCTGGACTCGAGTTCTCTCTCGCCCCGTTTACGTCTCCGTCTCCCGTCTATTCGGCCTACTTCCTACTTTACGGAACTTCTCAATTCTCAATCTACCTCTCTCTCTCTCTCATTCGCTCTCACTCTTGTCTCCATCCTCCAGCCTCCAGCCTCAATTCTCTATTCTCTATTCTCAAGCCTCTTGTCGTCCATATCCTTCCTACCCTAAACTATCTCTATCCTACCTCACTACCCTACCCTACTGGCGCTACTACTCGCTCTCCAACGTGAGCGTGCTGTATATACTTTTTTTCTTTCCTTTTCGGGTGCGCCGAATTTGTACTATTGCTGTACATTATCCCCTCAATGACTTCGTCTCTCGCCCCTCACCTCCCCCCACCCCCTCGATCCGCGTTTCGACGGTTCACCTTTACACCTTCCGTCGACCATCGACCCTCGACCCTCCGCCCTCCGCCTTGCTATTTACGCCCAACTAGTCACTCTCCCATGTTTCCTCCGTCTTGTCTCATTGATTGTACTCACATCCCTCCTGCCTTCTACGCGCAATTCTTCCCGTCGACACACCTCCTCTGTGCCATATTATAACTTACTACTACCCTACAATTCCTCGCCCCTGCTCGGTTCCTTTGTTATATATATATACACACACACATAACGTGGATGGGATGGATCGTTTGCAGGTAGTTTCGTCTTCAGTTTTACATTATTGTTCTTTGATCTTTGGCGAAAAGCGTCTTTCGTTGTATATACTTTACGCTGCTTTGACTAACTTTGGGTTATAACATAGTCACTTTAGTTTCTTTTTCCCCCTGGCATTAACTTCCTTGTTTATTATATCCGTGTTGTTTGTTGTTGAGCATTACATATTATTATCCTTTGAACAATTACTCGGTGTGCTACCTCCTCCTCTTCCTCCTCCTCCTCCTCCTCCTCCTTGCTACTCTCTCTCTTTACTTACTTACTCACTTACTCCTGGTTCTTTATTTTCACTACTGTTCGCTTTGGAATTCCTCCTCCTTGTTCGACTTGTGCATAGTGTAGACAATTGTTATAGTTGACCGTTGTATCAGTGTACATCATCATCCTTCATCATCTCCTCTATCATACATATCGCTACTTATATGAGTATCTCGTTAGATCTCGTTCCGTTGCTTGTAAGTTCAAGGTCCGGGTGACGTGATGGCCAGGTTCTCGGTTAACGAAGCGAAGCGAAAAAAAAAACCCCCACCCAAGACACTCTTGAGTTCTCGATATATAATGCAAATGGTGTAATGTGATGGCAAGAAAAGCTTCATGTTCAGGACACGAGGCGCCATTGCGCATGCATTCGGCAAGACTTCCCCCCCTGCTTGCTGGTTTGAAATAACTCTTGGCTGAGCTGAGCTGAGCTGGGCCACGGGGCGTTGCTTCTTCACGATCCGTTTCACGACTGTAAGATTCTAAGAACAAAGGAAGAGAGCTTCTTCTTCGTATATGAAGCTTCAGAGTTTGAAGAATCGAAGTGTGACGTGTTCCTTCAGGCGTCCTGTTGGGTATCGAACGTTGGTTATCTCGGAGGTACGGCGCGAGGGTTTATGATACCGTTTTTCTTTTATTATACTTGGTATGTAGAACCCGGGTACCTCCCCCTTTCACTCATTTCACGCATACGGGTCTGGCTTGCACGAGACTTCATGCATGACGTTCTCGAAATGGGAAGAGAATGTAACCTTGAATAACAACTTAACTTTGTACATCCTAACTTAAGCGGACGAGAGAAGGCTATGCAGCTGAAAGGTTTTACTGCACCACCTTCGCGGGAATTGCTTGAAAGCAACTTTAATGAGTAGCGGCAGTAAGCGAAATGAAGAGGGGACGCACTTTACGCAAATTACTTCGCATAAGCTCTGTCGCCCAGTATGAAGCCGCTATGCCAAAAGGAATGTCTACTGAATGCAGGCTCCGTCCCTGTAAGTAATTGAACTGCCAATAGGACTTGTCACCGCCATCACGCCCGACCGACCTTCGGTTAATGAACTCGTGGTCGACGGTCACAGATCGTTAGATCTATAAGGGTATGTAGCAATCCAATTGTCATGAAATACGTACTATGCCACGTTTAGGTTCGTTCCAAATGGATTTGTTCCTTTGGAGATTGTCAGTTTGTAGATATGGCCACCCTTCGGCAGTGAGTGGCATGATTGAAGCGTTCCCTGAATTTGGACATAAAGGGGAACCACCTCTCCGTTGGACCTGTCAGTGTCAATCGAGGTACTCCTTTTTTTTGCTGGGTGCAATTGGAGCGGGAAGTGATTATTGGTGAAACATGAAAGCATAAGGGGAAACGTGCGGGTGACAGCGTCCTTGACAGTGAGAGCGGTACCGTCGCTTGGGTGGAGTGGGGATGGCCACGTCCTGTAGATCTTGACAGTTTGGCCAATATGAAACTAAAGGTATATGAGATGGGGGCCATCACCCGCGAACAAGGAAGTCAAGATTTGAGTCATATTAACGAGAAGGTAAGCGGCGAAGTTGGGACGCATCAACCAATCACATACCGACTTCTGTCATTCGACTGGCAGAACTGTCTGCGTGTCATATTTCCAACAGAGCAGTGCTTCGACCCGAACAAAGCAATTTAAGAGCAGGAAAATAAAAATGAAAGTGTGGCCACAACCAAAACCGAGATTCGAAGCCTGGACGTTGCAGCCACCAACAGTGGCAACATGAAACATCACACGGTCAGTTATTCTACTGGCTGGGGAAGTATCAAGATCGCCGAGTGTTCTCATTATCCGGGATCGGACAGGGGCGGGTTGCAAGCGCAATACTACAAAACAAAAAAATCAGGCTCTTTCACGCAGGATACCAAAGAAAGCCTCTTTCTGTCACTCGTCCCTCAGCGCAGTGCCGCAGCGCGTTACCGGCCGCCGAGTACGCATACGCGTCAGATTGGGGACAGAGTGAAACGCGAGTGAAGCGGGCCAATTTCAACGTGTTTTTGTATGTTTTTCCTCCGGTCGCCCTGAAGTGAAAGAAATAGTGATTTCGTAAAGATGAGCGACTATGAACGCACTGAAGAACGAAGCGGGAAACTCTGAAAGATGGACGGGGGAATAGTTCTGCGTGGCGTCTAGCTCATGTTCTGTTCTCTTGAATGATTCCTTGGTTCGTTATCGCCGGAAAGGAAATGGAAGCAAGCGGATATGCTCACAACAGCCACTTCTGCTGCTGTGACGAGCCAGACTTCATGTCAGCGGAGCCAAGCAATTGCTGGTGATGATAGTGTTTAATTCGCGTGAATCCAATGCGAGCGTTCGCGAGTGTCACCTTCGACGACTTGCGTCAATGATTGTATCATATTGGTGCTTTCACCACATTATCCGTGGGTCTGGACACGAGTCCCGGTCTCGAAAGTGGCTGGATCGAATGTTAAACGTTCATTTAGGATCAGAACACGTACACGAGGCTCGCAGTCGATCACATCCTCGAGATATGTTCCGGTGGCTCCACGGAATCGAAGATTTTCAGCTTCTCCCGTGTATCACGCTGGACTGTCGCACTCGAAGACTGTTGGACAGAATCAAGCAGACAGTCCGTATAGAAGCTTGAGGAAACAATAGCCTTTGAGGCGCAGAAGCTGCGACTCCGAAACTCCGATGAGACTTCTCCTTCCAACGAATGATAATTGTTTGAAAAGTCACGGACATGCATGCACCTTCTTGTGCACGACTCCTGTTCGGCTTCGGACAAAAATGGCTACAAAGGACGCGGGCTTTGCGTCATCTTCCATGAGTCCCCACGAAGTCTATCACATTGCTCAGAGTACCGACACAGAGGAACGTTTTTTTTTGCTCACCTGACATAGGACCAACGATAAATGCTTATAGCATCAAACACGTTCAGAAACATGGCCAATCGCGGTGGGGACTCAGCGTTATGAGCTTGTCAGTGTTTCATGTCTCCAGAACGTTGCTTGCAATAGAGATTTACGAGCCATCTATCAAAGTGGATTTGGGCGTTGCCCTTCAGCTGACGTGCCTATGATCCTCAGTGATCATCGTTGCGCCCAAGATGACACGGGTACAGCGACCCGAACTGCGCTCTGGGCCATATACCCTATAACTGCAAAAGTCAGCAGTGTCCCAATATTCGGGCTTCGTTGCTCTCACAGCGGTTATACTTACACCGTCTTCGCAGCTTCGATTTGCATTGATCTTCTGCTTCTGTCGATGCGATCTTGTATGACACATTGACGGGGTAGCATCACGTTTCATCGAATCCGAAGTGCAGACCCTTCGGTGAGAATATCGAAGACCGTTTGACAAGTCTCTCATGGCATCCCACGGCTGTTCAGCAATTCAGTGGACCGGATTACCGAAAACTTGCTATCCTTCAAAATAGCATTTCCTCCCGGAGGGATACTGACATTCTGCTGACGTTCAGCCTTGAGGTAAAGATAAGTCACAAACTCCAATCAGCGTCCCGCGTATCCCCACGAAGCGAGTGCAATTGGAGATAAGAAAGGTGGATATGAAAGGAAACCAAAGACCATAGGAAAGGAGGACGCTTTGATAAATTGCAGATGGTCGAGAGCAAGTCGTCATGGGACGATATCCGGTTGAATTGGCGTTACGTTACGAAGGCGATCACACTTTTGATCGGTCTAATCCCGTGAGCGCCTGCAACTTCTTTCCATTCACAACCACAACATATCAAAGGAAACATACTTGAAAAGTGCATTTCTCTGCGTTATCAATGCACGTCAGCCATGCTCGGACGCCCTTCAGAGCTCTGTAACTCAGAACGATCATTGGCTAAGCATATCATATCCTCGTCTGCTTGAACGTCTCGGTTTGTAATTATAAGCCCAGGGCACTGCTCACCTGAACGTTGAATCACCGCAGGGTTGTTGAATGCGTCCGGTGCGTTGTCCTTCTTGGTTTGTCCCTGCTTTAATACTGCCGAATTCCTTGCAGAGTTCAGTCACCAAAATTCCGGATGTGATAAGGATGCACCCGTAATTTGGTCGTGTTCACGGCAGATTGCTAGTTGTCCGTATCATTGTATGAAAGACGGTTTGCTTGTAAATCGGCTGATCAGTTCGGCCAGTGCGAATTCACCTTGCATCGAAGAACCACGACTGCCAGGTGGGCTGTTTCTTGTTGGAGTCAATCAACATGAGGTCAATATAATCATTCGATCTATTTCAGATTTCCTGCTTTGGACATCCTCCTTCGTGCCGACTTGACATGTTTTCGATGTGCAGGCTGCCGTCTCCGTATCAATTGAGTTTGTTCTTCAGTTCAATGAGTCCGCATTAGCTCGTGATGACACGAGAATCGAAGAGAATAACGGTCTTCGGAGATGTACCGACGGGGAGGTCATCTGGCTATGCCGAAGCCTGTTTACAGGGTAATCACATATTACCAGGCGCGGTGAGTGTTCTCATGACCACTGTAAATGTAGCCTTGCACCTTCGTGCAGGTCTTCTCTTGTATATGATGCGGCCCGGCTTCGGTGTTCTCGTCATCGATAATAATTAACGCAGATCGCACCGATGGCTGTCTAGGCTCACCCCTCTTTTGTTTCGGACAGTCCAGTACCAGTGGTAGATTCCGTATTCTCATGTGGATATTCATCCGATATTTTTCAACTGCCGGCTCCTGGATGTTGTCTCAGGCGCTTTAAAGGCAAATGGTTACATTGTGGTTTGAATTCTAATGCATTAGGCGGTTGACAACGCTCTTGTAGCCCGAGATATATGTTACAAAAAAAGAGCGTTCTCCCTCACCGTACTACATTGACTTCTACCATGCATATGGTCCTCAGCTTCTTTTTAGGGTTTAATTAACTTCTGAATGGCAACCACCCCCTCATCCCGCACCTCTCGATTCACTGGGAATACCTTCATACAGGTTTTCAGGATGCTCTGTTATGGTGCAAGCTGCCTTGTTGAGCATTTGTCATGCTATCTATCGCACTCGAGACGCCGTCGAAATATATCATGTTAAGTTCTACCCTTACGGCGCGCCGAAATACAAACCTTACTCATGATACACCTTACTCAGGCAGTTGACGAGTGTTTGTTCTTTGTACAGACCGATCGGACCCGATGTTTCCACAGGACTCCAATGGCACTTTATCGAAAATATCGTGCCTTGGAGGCTTGATCTCTTGCCATCGTATTGCCTTGGGATCTGCTTGGCTTGCTGGCCGCCGTTCCTCTCTGGACGATGGTCATCTGGATTCTGTGCATGTAGAGTGTAACAAGCATGCCTCTGTCCGTCATCCATTACGTTGAAAACGCTCGCTACCTTGGCTCAACTCCGATGCCTTATAGCATCTCTAACGGAAATCCACGGTCGAGATACATGCTATAAATCGGCCATAACTGAACGACCGCTTATCATTCCTACAACCTACTTCATTGTACCTATCGGTAACTTCCTAACGCGATGTTATGATGACCTCTCTACCTGATGCTGCTTCGGATAAGCGGCTGTAGCAATGATGGAAGGACGCCACCATCTCTAGTGATGCGTCAATAGCGCGGTGCCTTGGGTTCTGCAGTCCAAACAAGCAAGCATATGTGACAGGCGGCGTCCATGCACCGTGTAAAATGACTTGACTGGAAAGAAACTTGCCTAGATTCTCTTGAGCTTAATTTATCTCATTAGGTGATTGAATTTGAGAAAGCAGATCGGGGCGGGCTGGGTCTTGGGTTTTGCCAGTCCGGTCTCTGGGATAGGACCCGAGAAGTAGATACAAATCAAGTCAATGTAAGTCTGCCGAGCATCTCACAAGGCTCGCGCCACAATACCTCATAACAAAAGCTCACGAATGGATAGAATCAGGCCACCGGTATCAGAATATCCCCCGTTCGAATCAAGGACACTGAATGGGCAATCAGGTGTTTATACGTGTTCTGGCGCTCCGCTAATTTTTTTTTGAACTTTACGCAGCCCTCTCTTTCCATCGAGGGCTCTCTACAAAGTAGCTTACATACTACATTCGAAGTATACAAATCATGCATAAGTATACAGAGCCTCTGTGGTCCGGCCTGATTATAAGTATCAATATATGCTTAGGATATATCAAGTTCAGCGTGTACACAATTCCAATAGTAAAAATTCTCAGATGTTATCACTTCCTGGACACTGTTGCATCGTCTGGTTGCTGATTCCCCGGCCACGCTACTTACGTCTTCACTACCATGAGCGCCTGACGACACAAAGCCTTTACCTTCCTTTTCCGTCCAAAAGGCTCCATATAAGGAAATATGATGGCACATGGACAAGCTCAGTCACTACCGTCACCGTAGCTCATTGACAACACTACTCATTTATCGTCCTACCAACCCTACTCCGTTCTCTCGCAGACCGTAGGTTTGAATGGCCAGAAATGCATATCTTTGTCTATTGCTGTGCAAAGTTTCAATATGGACCAAGTCAGCTGCAGATCTTTCGCTTGTCATAGCGTCTCTTGCGGCTGACTGAAGCTTGTCAGCCTCTTTCACTTTGTCAAGACGTTGCATGACTCCAGATAGTTGCCGCCGCTCTCTCCGAGCTACTTCCTAGCCCTACGATGACGAAGCAAGGCGCATCTTTTCCGAATCCTGCAGGAGCCTTGCTTAGGTCGACACCCCTGCGCGGCTATGATTCCAGCAATTCACTCGACATCAATACGTATCTCAATGCCACTTTGCGTCAAAGTTCAGATAATTTTCTTATTACTTCAGGACCATCTCTCTCTTTTTCCGACACAGCATATTCTCTTGATGACAATTCGCTTCTTGAACTGGCTACTCCCCCTCCACTTTCTGCTGCGAAGTTCCTTAGAACTCCTATCCTCTCCACGTTGGATCAGGTTGTATCGTCTAACTCCTTCGAATCTGATATCTTGATCAGCATTCCGACTCCTCCCCGAGTCAAAGCAATGCTTATGGAGCCTATTTGCGTTAGTCAATGGACCGTGAGTATTCCGAGTACTCTGCTGGGAGCATTACTTGAACGCTTGTAACAATCTGTAGGAAAGACTCGATGCTGAAGTTCCGCCTCAACATTCTCCGTGGGAGGGCTATGCTAACAGTGAAGACAAGACCGTGGCGCCTCCTTGGATACCTGATGGTTCTATCTTTCCGCCGGATGCCTTCGGTACTATCCTTCGTCATAGTCACCATCGGCTCTTGAGTCCAGCGCCGACCTGGGGAGAGCTTGTGGCCTACCCTCAGCTCTCCGTAGATGCACTTGCGGATGATCGGAGCGAAACCTCGACAGATACACGTTCGCGTGAAGTAATGACGGTGTCACCTCTACTGCCACGAGTTGGCTCGAAATTCGGCCTTACCTCTCCTGGTTCTAGTTTTGCGGTACCCACCATCATGATATCCAACTCGGCTGCCATGCTCCCGTTGTCGCTGGAATCATCGTACAGTTTAATGTCGGCTTCTCCTCTGGCGGTCCGTCGAGGACAGAATTTGCCTGCACCTCTGTCAATAGTTTCCGGGAAGCCTCAGGACAGTGATTATGGGAAGGACATGCCCTATCCTGGCATTCCGAGTCCTTTTCTCGGTGATCATACACCAACTTTTGAGTTCTCGGCTAGCACCAAGATCGCACCCTTCGGTCTGGATGCAATGTGTGACGATTTGCGTTCGCGCATTCCTGCTATCCGTCCAGAGAGTCTACAACTGGAGCTAGTTGACACTGTTTCAACATCGTCTGAAACAACTGAAGACGAAAGAGACGAATGGGCATTTGCTAATGGTCTGGAGACGAGTTTTGGCAAGACTTCCTCCGACATCGATGTCCATAAAGCACCTCCTGTGGGCAACCTGAAAACATTGGCTTCACCGAGAAAAGCTCAAGATTCGCCCAAAGCCGATTCTAGTGTTTTGCTTGCTGAGGATACTCTCAGGGATTCGACCAATAACGATTACTCTTCGAACTCGATCTCGGAACCTAGGGAAAATATGCAGCGTACTTCCGTGCCGGACGCGGCCAAACTGCAGCGGCGTAGGACAGTCATCATCGAGACTCCAGAGGACGGCCCTCGGAGACGCACACGAGTAACTTTGGATCTGTCGCATCTAGCAGACTGCGGGGAAACGACCGTGGACGGTCAGGATTCTGTTCCTTTCGATCCGACCCCTCTTGAGCGACTCAGCCTCTCTCCTTTCGATGTTACACAGTCCACACCCTCGAAGCGACCTCCCAGTAGCGCGACCTTACGACCTCCAGCGAAGGGAATCCTGAAGGAGAAGAAGAGCGTGAGATTTTCCGTATTGCCTAGTATGCACGAGTATGTCTTGGAAGATAAAGAGGTTGAAGATGAAGATAAGCCTTCATCGCCTCCAGCACGCCCACCAACCCCCGTAGGTCGAAGGCTATCAACAGCACCTAAATCGAGTCTTCGACAAGGCTCTCCACCTCGTCAGAATATCATACTAGAATCAGCAGCTAAAGATCATCGAGTGAGCTTTCCGAAACATCCAGGTGTCAAGTCGATCTTCAAGGACTCTCCTCCTCACGGAAAGCGAGAGTCAGCTGCACTCAGTGTGAAGTTTGGTACACCGCCTGTCAACAAGCGACCTCCTCTACGACCATTGAATGGAAAACAGAGTCAACCGCCACCAGCGACTAGTCCTGCCAAAGGAGGCCGTTTCTCGATGGTAAAGAAGGATGTCAGTGAGCCGAAGAAGATGAGACCTGCAGGTACCGTGTCCTTGCCACCGAAACCACGAAGCAGTCTCGCGCAGAACGAGAATACGGCAAGCCGAGAATCAACGTTACCCAGTCCTGAGAAGGCGCGAAGAGGATCTGCGCCAGCGACGCCGAAGACTCGAATGCCATTCCGTTCGATGTTTATGAAGTTGAGGTCTGGATAGAACATTTATATCACAATGTCTTTCGTGCAACTTGCGGTGCTTGGTTAAATATATGTAGTGAATGCTAAGTTACAGTACGTTCTACCCAACAGTATGGTACATCATATAAGTATATTATATTGCATACGTTATACGAGGTACTTCTTAGCACGCAGCGGCGGGCGATTTAACGAATGAATAAATTAGTATGGGAGCATATAACAGGTGCACAATGAGTAGAATCTAATGGATGACTGCATGTAGAGGAAAGACACTATGAGTTGATATACATCTAGCATCTTAAACATTTGGATGCATTTCGAAACGAGCTTGACGCAGGTTAGCCAACTCCCGTTCTACATCAAGATGAAAAGTTAGTAACAACAAAAGTCAAGTGATCCAAGTGCGACCCACCTAGCAGAGGACTGGTTCCACTTAACGCCTCCAGAGTCATCTGCACACAGTCTAAAGCGGATGTAACTACCATTTCGCCCGGAAGATGAGCACCAGGTGTTGCGGATCGACCAGATGAACTCTGGCGGGGACGCATGCGTCGGAGATTAACAATGCCTTGAATGAGGACTTGGGAGATGGTCGACCAAAGTACCTGTGACATACAAGTTAGTCTATTGTCTTAATGCTATTAATCGACTTCGTTCTACTCACTCCCATGATAGGGTCGACGAAGCTGAGGGATCTGACATCTACTTCTCGAAGTAAATTCGCAGCAGCAATGGCAGCAGCCAGGGTGCGGCTATTAGTAGGATCTTGACCCTGCTGGAGAGGCGTATGAAGCTGAATAGTGGCGCATTGGACTAAGGTATGGCAGCAGAGCATGCATCGTAATTTCTCAGTGTCAGTTTGGGCTGGTCGATCGTCTTGACTTGAAGAGGCCTCAGTAAGTGAAAGCCCTGGCAATGACCGCTTGAAATGTTCGATACGATTGTCTAAAGCAAGGAATCTTGTTTGGAAACCTGGTGCACCTGCTTTTCTCAGCGTAAGCATCTTCCAAGGCAGATAGTATAGAAAATGGAATGGCTTACCTGGGTTCCATTGGTTTGCAAGGTCAGTAGCTCGTTCAAAAAGAGTTGAAACCTGGGCCCGAAGTGCCAAACAGCTCCTGTCCCATCCATTCGACGCAGCATTCTCTAGGAAATGCTTGACTGTCGGAAGATTTCTATGTCTCAGCGCCTGAGGATACTGTCCCTAATATACCCACGGTGAACAGCGGCGACCGTGTCAGTCTGGTTCACTGAAAAGAAAAAAAAGGCTGTATGTCTCTGACTGACCTGTTCATAATTCGACGTTTCAATCGGCCACGGCGTTTCAATCTGCGACGCGAAATCTCCACGAGAAAGTACGGACTGAGATTTCAACGCGACAGTCCAGCATCGGTCCACGCAGTACACGACCCAGAATCCCTGTATGCGTTCCCCTTCTTCGACGTCATCTGCTGGTACGGGAAGGCGATAATGTGCGCCACTAGACGGTGATGTGGAACCTCCGCCTTGGACGCCTCGAACCTTATGAAGATCACAAGCAACAGCAAGTGACACTGCCGCAGTGGCATGATACCCCCCTTCTAACTTTCGATCTCTATTGAAGAAGTAAAAGGAAACCAGGACCTCTGCTTGAAGTATCTCGATCATCGTAGCGGGGTTGATGTTGGCCGTTGCCGCTGCAAGGGCTTGCAGGACACGAGAGAGAAGTTGTGGTTCATGAGACCTCAATTGAGGATCGTCCACAAGCTGAAGCGTGAGCAATTGCATAGAATTCACTAAAGCGGGGGAGATGGTGGAGGTGGAGAATCTGCCTGTTAACCTGCGCAAGAAGCGCGGCATATTCAAGAAAAATCCAAACGTGGTGGCATGATCGAAAAAGGTACTCAGACTGGATACATATATTGGTAAGCGAAATGAAATCATGGTCTGCTATTGAAACACGTACAGTCTTTGCTCAACTGGGTTTTCTGAGTACCTGAGTGTCGGTCGTCCAGCAGATGCTTGACCGGTTGCTCCGCGGTAGGCTGCGTGTGGATCAGTCAATGTAACCGTGTCTGAAGTGCGACTCTCTAATGCTCGGATACGAGCTTCCAGGTCGGCCACGTTGCGCTCAAGGACCTGCGAAGGCGTCGGTCCAGCATCGGTGTATTCGCATTCAGTCTCCTCCGCACGCACACATTGACCACAGATCGGTCTGACTCCGTCGCATCGCTACAGGAATTTCGGTATTAGCATCAAGTTTGCGAACAGTATCAAGCAGGTCAGTTACCATCTTGCGTCTCCTAAAACCCCATGCTCATTGTCAATCATCATTAGCGATTATTCGACTCTTAAACATACCTGCATCGAAGACAAGCCTTGCCTCTTTCTAAGGGAGCAGAAGATGAAGATGCCATCGCTTGACTTCGAACTCGATTGGAAGAACAGATGAGATGGAAGTGAAGAGCTCGTCAATGGTCAGTCTCACCTCAGGCACATTGTATATATACCAACCACGCAGCATGCGCATGCACCACGAAGTGAGAGTGATCGATTCTTTGTCAAGGTCCTTTGCACGCGCCGCTGAAACGAACAAATTTTGCGCAACTAAACATCCGTCGGAAAGAGGCGGCACCGCCGTGAAGGACAAATATTGATAATCAGACTTGGGGTTCATCTTCTCTGACTCTTACAGAGTCGAGCTAGGAAGGCGAATGCAATGGAGCTACAGTGCCCGCCACGCCGAGCCTGACTCTGTACAGTTCGCAACTGACGCTTCACGCCGGATGTCGCAAGCACTACGTGCGACGTCAGCAAAAAAAAAGAATTGGTCAAAATCAGGAACATACTGGCTCACTGTCTGAAGCATTGGCTTTGGATATTCTGCTGCATACCCTCCGACCTCAGTCGATGCGTGACGAAACACCTTCGCGCAGCAACTGCGTCAGACGGCAATGAATATTGACGCAATGTGTGTGGCCTCCCGAGCATATCTGTGTTCGGTATTTCTTCAACTGCGTTATGCCCGACCGATGTACGAAGATACTTATTGTCACCAAAGTGGCCTCTGACGGTAGACAGAAGCGATCGAATGGTGATCGGTCATACCAAAACAGGCAAGTCCGACTTTCAAGGGCTGCTGCAAATCTCTCCCAAAACGGTTCCAGCACCCTGCGTTTTGGCCCTTAGGGAAAGCCGGGTAGGCATATGTCTGCTCCGGAAGTACAGGTTTCCGCTCATTCGCGGATCTGTGGGCAAGAGACGCGTCATCCTGCGCTGCTGGATTCGAATTGTTCATGGTGATGCCAATTGTAGTATTCGTCATGCGAATGTCTTTACAGAATTCACTGTGTTTCTACTGTACTCGATCAGCTTTTATTCCTTCTTAGTCAGTAAGATGACGGGTTTGTTACTATCCCCATCTTCTGGCGATCCGCCATTACCTTGATTAGTCAAGAAGATTAGGGAGACTCTGTTGGTACTTATTACGTCTAATGAAGGTCCAAATAGGTCCTACACGTGATAAGATGATGCATTTTGACTGGGAAAGAAGAAGAGTATACCGGTCGCAAGAGATAGATCTAAACCCGCTGCTCAGATCTATGGATTACAAAAGGTTTTCGAGTTCCGGCAAAGCTGGCATTGATATCCGCCTCAGCAAGTGACTCGATGTATGTTGAATCATCGTTCTCGAAGGAAGAGTCGTCCGTTGCGCTCGCGCTCCGCTGACAGCTCACGAAAAGGAGAACCCACTTGAATTCCAGTGCCCAAGCGCTACTACTAGCCGGTGCAGCGTGACTTGATTGGTTGATGTCGATGACGTCCTTTGGCACAGCCAGTACTTCGAGCTTTCAAGCTTCAACGGTCTGTACAACCTTCCGGCCCATAATAGCTGAAATAGTAAAAATAACATAGATCATTATAAATAGAAAGCTCTGAATCTATGTACAATAGAGGTGCTTAAATACAAATATGTAGTACGAGCTTCATTATGATACCGTAACGTCTACAAGTCTACAATGATACAGTCAGGATGATGCATGATACATAAAAAATGTGTCCGGAAAATTGGGTTCAATAATTTAGGGCTATGCAACGAAAGTTGGAGAGACGCAGTCTCAAACGTTGACGCGATGTTGTCGGATTTCCGATAAACGAGTGTCTGTAACAGATGCGGGATGAATAGGGAACAGCCATTGAATAGAAAAATGACGGACTCATGTAAGGAGAAGTATTTGCGAAGAATTCCGAAGCGTTAATGACTTGCACTAACGCCGACACGAGAACGTCTTCTCCCGGGAGGGCAGAAGAAGATGCCCAAGCGGACCGCATACTTCTCAAAGACCTAAGTCCGCCGGACAAGACTTCACTAGTCATAGTCCAAAGCACCTGAAAAATTCAATACAATATCAGGGCTAAGCAGAGAACGACTTCTCATACGGAAACCTTACCGCCATGATCGGGTTAATGCACGGTAATTGGCGGACAGGAAGAATTTGAGTCAAACGGACGATAGCGTTCGCCGCTGTCAAGCATCGACTTCGAGAAGTGGAGCTCTGGCCAACGAAACGAGTATGAAGCTGTATAGTGGCACAGTGACCTAGGGAGTGCATGACGAGCAATGTGTGAGTAGTGTCGGGATTGACACGTTCCGGTGAGGGAAGCGTCTGTTTGAAGCGTTCTATACAAGCATCGAGTTCATTGAAATCGGCTTGGTGAGAAGTAATATCCTTCTCCCATAACGTAGCGTAACGCGTCGTCCTCTCATAGAGTGCTGCTGCCTTTGCATATGTTGCAAAGAAAGATGCGTCACGTTTGCCACTTCCGGTGAGAAGACCTTGAATGAACGTCCGAATGGTGTGACTATTTCGAGAGCGAGGTTGCTGTAGACACCGCAAGATGCATCAACAATGCCAATGATTGAAGGGAAAATACATACCTGACCATAAGCCTCCAATTCCAGCGGCCAAGGAGTGTCGATTCTAGTACTGGAGTTATCATCTTCCGTGATCGTAGACGGAGATCCCAAGGCGACGACCCAGCATTTGTCAAGGATGAACGTAGTCCACCAGGCATGAATACGCTCCCCTTCCTCTAAGGCGTCCCTAGGTGGCGGCAACGTGAAACCCAGAGGGCTCATTGACATATCTGTAGTCGGCGCAGAAGAACCTCCTCCTTGCTTGTGCAGTCCACACATGATGACCAACGACACCGCAGCACCCGAATGAAATTTTCCTTCGATAAGACGGCTGTTGTGGAAAAAGTAGTACGCTAGGAGGATTTCTGCTTGCAGAACGTAAAGTGTGTCCTGAGGCTGCGCACTAGAGAGCGCAGCATGGATACTACTCAACGCTCGGCTGAGGAACAGAGCCTCGCGAGCTGTGTACTGTCTGTCGCGTGACAACGAAATGCCCCACAAATACACGGCATTCCGCAAAACAGTTGGTGGGCGAGGCTTGGATACCGTCGGGTTGAACATACTTGCGACAAATCGAGAGGCTTGGAAGAAAAAGCCGAACTTGGCGGCATGAGGGAGGAATTGATTGACCCTTAGGCACAGTCGTCAGCAGTCAAGTTTATTCAGCGGTGAGGGAGAAATATCTTACAGAAATTGTGCCACGCGTGGAGGTGGTTCGGGTATCTGCCACCATTCTTGAACGGCGGGTGGAGGAGAAGCGACTGGTGCCCGGTGATACGGGTTATGTAACTTGACGAGAGAGGGGTCATCCTGCTCGAGTTCTTGGATGCGCGACTGCAGACGAGCTATATGCTGCTCGAGGACTCTGGCAGTGGACGGTACAGCGACCTCGTTATATTCGCATTCTTCCGAGCGGCTGAATCGTAGACACTGGTTGCACTTAGGCTTGTTCCCGTCGCATTTCTACACGAACGTCAAGTATCTGCTGAAGAAGCGTTTCTGGTCACCTCACCATCTTTCTCCGTCTGTAGGAATTTGTTAGCTTCGAAGGCCTGCCTAGTGTGTCTGGTTACGCTGACCTGCAAGGCACACACGCTTTACCACGCGGAAGATGGGCGGGATATTCGGCGGACATTATGAGGAAGCTGTAGGCAATACCTAAAGGAGTTGTAGAGTATGGAAGTAAGCTGGTGAGTGAGCTGTTACTTCGTTGACTTCCTTGGAAGCTCATTTATATAGCTGAATTCTTTGGGTGAAAAGTTATGAAACGACGGGGATGGATATCACAGAGAATGGTATGGAGTGCAGTGGTTACCGGCAGACGAGACCAAAGTCGTGAAGATTAGTCTGATTTCACAATCACCGAGGCTGTCAACTTGTGTGTCGCCGATACTCTAGTCATCGTAATGTTTTCCATGTCACCTAAACCGACCGTGGTATTCATGAAATCATCACGAAAGCTGTAGTTCTGTAAAGATGGAGTAGCGTAGTCAGTAATTATGTCATCAAATGCGAGCCTGAGTACCTTTCATGCAAGTTTTCTCGCCGTACCCCGACGCGGTATCAGGATCGAACAAAGACCGGGGCAGGCGAGATTGAGTTGGAATCTGACATTCCGGTTTTTCGAACGGGATCCTACATGATGGGCATTCACATGCGCTGGCTATGAGGGGGATCGTCCGGTTTCGCAGAGTGCTCTCTCAAAGTCTGTCAAACGCTTTGACGAATTCAAGTCTGTTCGGGTTCGGAAGACTGTGAGAGCTCGGTCTCGTCCATGTGGCAAGCCGATTGCTCCAAGGTTAAGTTACGATTGCTTCGAGTGATCGATTATGTCAGCCAGGTTCATCCAATTGTCTAATGTTCGAGTCCCTCCCTGCATCCTCTGCTATCATCTTTACTGCCACTAGCCTGTTGCACAGCGGGTACATCGACCGTTCAGAGTTCGTCGTCGTTATTGTATCTTGGGGCACTCAACATGCCTCGCGGAATACCGAATGCGAAGCGCGATGAATCCGCAATGAGATTTACATCTTTCCATGTCCCGTTGGCGTAAGTACCGCCTTTCTACCAAGTTAACTGACATCATAATAATATTATTAGACCCAACCCCAAGCATGTGGGGTCCACATATTTAAAGTCTGAGTCTCAAACCCTGTGGTCCCGGAACGCTGCACGCGCCGGAAAGAATAAGGCTGTTGCAGACGAGGTCAGCGCACCATCAGGCGTAGAGGCAAGTTGGGCTTCCTCATGTTGTTTTTTCTCTGTCGTATTGAATTTGCATGACAGGGGAGACGGGGATCCAAGGTTCTCGTAATTCATCCGGGCTCACGCTGGTTACGTGTTGGCCGAGCCTCGGACGTGACCCCAGTAACTGTACCTAACGTGATCGCAAGAAAACAGAAAGAAGCTGTCCCGGAACCAGTTTTTGTTCCAAACATCATAAGGCCCCGAGAAGATCGCAAACGTGGTCATCCTGCATTCATTCCACAGCCCAACGATGAATATGGTATCTCATTACAGTCTGACGATCCGGTACGTACCCGATCTAGATCTAACTGACCATCACACCAACTCCAATAATAGTTCGATGAGAGGGTTGCAGCTATTACTATATCATTGCGAGACCGGATGCGTTTTTACAAGTTGCGGGTTGCTACGAATGCAGCGAACATTGCCTCAACTTTCAATGAATCTTTCAAGCCTGAAATTCTACCAGAAGAGAATGATCCTTTCCGTGTGAATTGGATCAGTACGTCCGCAAAGGAATACCACGTGGGGGAGGAGGTAGCTTGAAGATATTCTATTTCAAGGTGTTTCATCGGCTAACCCCTCATCCTCAGGCTTTGCATTTGTCGGACCCACACTCCTTAGGCTATGTGGTCCGATGGCCAATTTATGGGAGAACCTTCAACGCCAGAGGCTATCCAAGCCGTCAGTTGATTCTGGAAGACGTTGAGACAATCTTGCGTAACGTCCTCCAGGAACAGCTAGACATTGACTCGCGGTCCTACAAGGTAAGATTTCTTCTTATTCTCACTTTCGTATAACTCACATACGTTCTAGGACTACTCAGTTGTGCTCGTCGTTCCAGATTTCTATGATCGCTTCTACGTGCGAGATATGGCGCGCATGCTCCTGATAAATATGGGATTCAAACAGTTGTGTGCACAGCAAGTAACAACTCAACATCATCTGCTCTCATGCTCTGTCTGATACAATGTTTTGCAGGAGTCGCTAGCCGCCACATACGGCGCGGGGATGTCGAATGCGTGCGTCGTTGACATGGGCGCTTGCAAAACAAGCATTGCTTGTGTTGACGACGGGCTCGTCATAGGGGACTCCAGGTGAGGACCAATTACAATTATCGAACATAGTGAATAGCATTCCTGACGAGGTCTAGAATGTGTTTGAGCATGGGTGGCGATGATATCACCGAGTTCCTTTACGTTATGCTCGAGAAAATGAACTTCCCATACAGGGATGTCAACCTTGCTCGAAGCTATGACTGGCATGTATTTGAAGACCTCAAAGCCCGGCTTTGTACTTTAGCTGAGGTATGATGCCTGCATACGTTGACCTTGACAGCTTACCTTCATATATCGTTAGGGTGATGTGGGACTTAACCTCTATGATTTTGTTGTTCGTCGGCCGGGTAAACCGACGGAGAAGTATGGACTTCGAGCCTATGACGAGATCATTCTTTCACCGATGGTATGATTTGATTCGCCGTATAATTGCGGCCAGATCGAGGAAAACACTAACGATTGCGACAACAGTGTCTTTTCGAGCCCAGGGTCATTGAATTTGACAATAAACGAGCTGGCAAAGGCCCAATACCGTCGATAGACGTAACTGAAGAAATAGTGGAGCAAACTTCCGATCATGTTGTGGGTTGTGTTCCTCCATCTTCGGCATCAGCGGTATTGACGCTTTTGCTGGTACCTTTCGTAGACGCAAGCCATGATGATCTCAACTCAACATTTACTGCCCACCGCGCTCCCCAAGCCCATCCTCGTTCAACAACCAGAGCCTCAATCGTCCCTTCCCGCGTCTGGTCCTCAAACACCGGGTATCATCAACCCAGTACAGCCTTCTCCATCAGTCCCCCAAGGTCAGAGTTCCGTAGTTACTCCCGTCCATTCTTTAGTGGGCGGTCACATGATGGTTTTGCTAATTTGTATACTCTCACATCTAGAGGGCGAGGACACCGTTACTCCTACTGCTGTTCCTTCTGTTCCTGCTGCTGCTCCGGAAGGCTCTGAGAATCAGGCTCCCGAAACACCGGAACAAACAATAGTTGACGCCTCCACGACTGAGCCGCATAATGCAGCCTCTACCGAAGTTAAACCTGTAGCGCCGACAGTTACTGGCGATGGCACCGCAGACGCGCCAATGGAGATCGTCGATGTCGACGATGGCGATACTAAAGCCAGTACCTCAGTTACGCCGGCCGCAGTACAAGTGCAGCAACCAGTACTTTTCCAGCCCCCTCAACCCGCTCCTGTTTATCCCGGTGGTTTCCCTATCGACGTGTTCTTTGAGGCAAGCAAGCTTCCTCTGGATGTGGCCATTTTCAACAGTGCACGAGCTTCCGGGGGAGATGAGAAGATTCGCAAGTACCTGCAAGCCGTACTTGTGATTGGCGGGACAGCGCTTACCCCCGGGATGGCACACGCCTTGGAGAGTCGGTGAGTTGTCTGCCCACTTTGCCGTTTGGGCCAGGTCATATTGATGTCACGCCCCGAATTCAGATTGCAGGCAATTGCGACACCACTAGTGCCGAATATGGAGAAAGTACAGATAATCCCTCCTCCGAAAGACGTCGACCCTCGAGTACTTGCTTGGAAGGGTGCGGCGGTGTTAGGCAAGATGGACGGAGTGGCTGATTTATGGATCACTCCTCAGGACTGGGTGTGTCTCGCATTTCTGCAGTTCTGAACCATAATTAATCTCTCTATTCTTCCCAGGATATCTTTGGCATGCGAGCCTTGAGGGAGCGGAGCTTTTTCCTATGATCACTGGTATGAATATTGGCATGATATGTTTCCCTTGACCTGTATTATGGATGCTTGTACAGTAATAAATTGAGATTGAGGATATCAAGGCAACAGATTGCCAAGAATGATGCTGACATGCGAAGTGAAAAGAATTCAACATAAGTAGGAGCAGTGTCCACGAAATGCGTCCAAGCCACAACAAACGAAACCATGAACTCATCGCCATTCGATGCACATGAAACCATGGTCAAACACCGTACTTATCCTTCAAAGCTACGAAGTCATTCGGGGTGAGGTGTTTCCAATTGTCCACAAGGTACTGAATTTCAGTACGTCCTCGTCTAAAATGGCAAGAGAGTTAGCGCTATGGTGGCAAAAGGTCGCGGAGCAGAACGTACTGAACACGAGCATTCCAGTCTAATCGCGACACACCATCTTTACGCCAAGTTGCAGCTCCAGGAACCTCATCGTCACTTTCCAATTGTTTCCTCTTTCCCTTGCCTTTGCCACTGGAAACGCCGACTTCGGAGCTACTCGCTAAAGATGTGAGCGTCTCGATAGCGTTCGTCAAGGCAGATTCGGCGAGGCGATTTGTGGTGAACGGCAGTGTATAGATGCTGCGGGGAACATCGTCGGGAGGATACACCATGGTCTTTCGGCATATAGGGCAATCAACACTGGTATGCCAGAAGCCACATTCACGATGGACTTTAGAAAAAAACCACTTTAGGATACATAGCCCACAGAAAGAATGACCACAACCAGCAGTTGCGATGGTTTGCGGATGCGCTCTGTGAGAAGGATAAACCACATGCAATACACCTCGCAAAGGGAATATGATCGCTCACAGCACGTCAAAGCATCTGATGAAGATTTAGTGTGAGTATGCGAGCACCGATGAGGGACAGCATGCGGAACTCACAAAGCACATGCAAACTGGTCGTCAAGCTCTTTTATTATTTCCTGAATTTTCTCAGATCTTCGGGACATCGTATCATGTTTCAAGTGGAGCAGTTGGGAGTCCATATCACTCAAAAGGGCATCTCGGGACTTCCTGATCTTTTCGGACTCTTGAAGCAATTGCTCCAAGTCTTTGATCTTTCTATGAGCGAGTTCAAGTTCATCGCTCTCTGAACGTTTCCGTTTCAAAGATGGATTTTGATGATCGGGCTGTAGGGTGCGTTCAGAGGAACTCGAGCCTGCTTTTGGAGTTCGCGAGGGTTTAGAAGGGGGAACTGCACCCTCCTTGCTTCGCCTGGAGGCATTCGGTTTGGAAGCATCTTCTTCAAGCAACAACGATACTTCGTGCTGAGAATCGATCGAGGGACTCCGAGCCGGCACCGGGAGAGGTCCCCTCGACTTTGGGGTCTTCACGACGCGGCGTCCAGATCGAGTGGTTTCCTCAGATTCTAGAGGTAACATCGTCTTCCTCCGTTTATTAGTGCCTATGTCAAATCAGAACCCTAAGATCAAGCTGGGGGGAAGCAAATGCACTGACCTCCTGCTACAGCCCTACCGATGCGAGTGTTCTTCTGCGCTATCTGACTCCGTGTGGACTTGGCCATTCCAGCAGCAGATGCCCTAGTTGTCATGCTCATGGTCACAAGATTGAAGGCGGTATATTCTCAGCTAGGAGTATAATGAAAGCGAAAGAAGGGTATATGGTGGTCGTCGATCTCATCCGCATCCGCAACGCGTGTGAATGCAGCGACGCGCCGTGCACGTGCTGGGTATCGATACGCGCTCCGACGATTTAGCGCGAAGAGACTGCAGGAGGACTGGAAGCAGTACATTTGAGTATACGAATGTCGAAACATAAAATATAATGTCCATCTTATATCACTTTTGAAGAACCAAGCACATTTTGTGCATACCATGGTTACACTGCAGTAGCTCCATCCAAATCAACCATACAACTTATCCCTGGGTATCATACAACAAATCCGAAAAGAAGAAATCATTATTAGTCGGGGGAGGACCGGCAACAATCCCACTGGGGATCTCGGCTCTGTCTCCCGAAAGATCTAATGAAATGATTGGTGAACATTGTCAAGTTCAGCAGGACAAGAATAGACTCACTTAGCAGCCTAATCTTCAGACCAATCTCAGTTAACGCTTGGACAAACATCTCGGTCTCTTGAGATGCAACATGTCCCCCATCTCTCCTTAGCATATTCAGTCCATCGGTCCAATCGGCCCATCTTGATTTATCGGGCGCAATTTGAGCCGCAAGCAACCCACCTCCAGCAGTCAGCAGTGCGAATGACAGAGGCGAGGCTTGCAGTTGAGACGTTGGACTGTAACTGACTTCTCCCTGTTCTCGTAAGATATTCGGAAATGCCGCGCAATTTCCCGTAGCAACTTCACTAATTAGCGATATGTCGATTCGGTCGGGAAGATCCTCCAGCCCGCTCCGAACGACAAACTTCACTTGGCTATCCATGTAATGCAGGTATTTTAGTCCGTTATCCTAAACCCCAAAGTCAACATTTGGGAGAACCCGCCGTCGTCAACTTCACATACCAATCGCATGAAACGCCACGGCATGGTGGGCTTTCGCATCGTATCCCGAGGAATGTTTGTCGCTAGAGGAATAGCATTCATAAACCATGCACCCTGTAACAGGCAGTGTATTCTCTGTTGGCGAACAAACTCCAGAGAATCTTTGTATAGTTTCGCTCGTAGGTTACTGTGTGGATCGTGAGAAACGTAGAGAACGTGATCAATATAGACTCACCGTATTGGAACCTTGCTCATGACGTCGTCTTCCATCTCTAGTTCCTTCATTTGACGGTCCCGGACAGCCCGATACTCGCTCTCAAGGAATTCCCGTTCGACCTCATGCCACGGCCTTACGTTCTCCTTCCGCAACGCCTCCTTCACCCTATCACGGATCAGAACAGGTTTACACGAGGACGTGGGGAAATCACGTACTGGCTTCTCGCAAGTGCAACGACTCGAGAAAAGTCACCTCTAGATGCACCACTCTCGTTCCACATACGCAGGAAAAATTGGGTCGCTAGTCCATGCACTTTCTCAAAGTTCAAGAAGAATGGCTGAAACGTAGTTGCTGCAGAATCTATAACAACTCGTGAGCACCACGTAATAGGACCTCCTCGTAAAAGACGGTACTTACAAGACCCGAAGATTGCCCAATGCTCTGAGAGCAAGTCGACAACTTCATTCGATGCCTTCGCAATAGGGCATCGACGTTCCTCCGGTCTACTCAGCTGCTCCTGAACGATCTAAACTAGCGATCAGATCGGCATGAATAACAGGACAACTGATCACTAACCTTTGCAAAGTAGTCTGGATCTTTCGACACAAGTGCTACCTAAGGCGACCATCAGCAACATCGATGTTGATTCATTCAGGGCGAAACTTACCAGGCATTGCAAACCAAGTACCCCAACCTCATGGAATTCCTGGCTGATATCTTCCGTATCAAAACCAATCTGTCTCCATTTTCTTACGCCGCCGGTAGCTTCCAGCTCCTCGTGAACTTTGCTCTTGGACCAAACGAATGCGAGGGCGTTTGCATGGGACGGGTCGATATCGGGCTCCACCATCGTCATCTTCCGTCGATACGTTGCGCGGACGACGTTGGCTTGGTAATCCAATATACAGGACGTAAGGTCTTCGATTGTATGTGAAGACATCAGACCCTGCGAGATGAAAAGATTAGCAAATTTTTGCTCTGCAGTAAGCTTGATACGTACAATGACGGCTTTGTGGACATTCAGTCTCTCGAGCGCGCCCATGAACTCCTCCCAACGAGCATCGGTCGCGTGAGCCATGAGAGAATTAATCAACATCATACTGTGAACAACTAGTCAGCCATCGCAATGGACTGCAACGCATTGGTGACGAAGTGTACCTGTAAAGCGCCATAGTCGTATCTGCACTACCCAAGCGACTGACGACAGTCTCCAACATTCGTTTTTCTTTCCTCATCTGCTCGAACACCGCCTCGAAGCCGTACCTATACACCGAGCCCGGAGCAGGTGTTGGAGGTGCTTTGCTTGAGCTAGGTATTTGAGGACCTGGTGCACTGGCCGGGTTCGCCTCCACGAGCTTCTTGAGAATGGCCGTTGCGGGGCGACATACGTTGATGAGAGACTGTTCGGAAGCTAGAATTTGAACGATCTTGAGGATGAAGCTCTCGGACAGATCCGCCCAGCCGTGATCGAGCTCCATGAGGTTCTGCATAGCGGTCAAGGCATACTAGTGTCCACGGGGTCAGACAACTATGAATCATTTAAAACGATATAAGCTCACAGCGAGGGTATTTCCATGGCTGTAGCTTATAACTCCAATAAGCTCTCGGAGCCCATCACGATTCAGGAATTCATTAGCAAATTGTTCTTCCTGCAGTCACGGACATGAGTGCATGAATGAGATCTTTCATGCCAAATCTTACCTTGATGTATTTGCGCAGGGCTGTGAGAGTTAGCCCGAGGCGTGCATCCTTTGCAGCGAGTTTTTCAACTATCTCTGCAGCTTCAATGGCAGGAGCGTTGACAAGTCTACAAGGGTAAACGTAAGCAATTGCAGACTCGTAAAGCATGGCCACAGTTCAGATAATCGCGTCGTAACAATGGTACATAGGAACATGAAACTAGTACTGAATACAGTGGCGGGTACCCACTTCAGGTTGACCTTCCCTTTGATCTTCTGCCTCAAGTTGTCGTTCGTCACAAGCTCATCCGTATCATCTCTCAAAGCGAATACACCAGGTGGGTCCTTGATCTTGAGATTGATACATAGCTGACGTATCACGTCGTCCACGGCAAGAGTTGGCTCGATGCGGACGCGAACAGTCAGTCCGTCCTTTGTAGTAACAGTATTGGTGGGAATCAAGCCGGAAGAAGATTTCGTCGGTGCCCCATTGGTAGCAGACGAGGAAGCCGCCGGGTTCCTAGTTGCACCATCCGGTGAAACAGGGTTCGACATTGTTCTGAGTGTGGTATGAGAGCAATGAGAATACTAGCAGTTGGCTTGGGTATATTGGGGTATGGGAGTGACCAGAAAGAGTATTTAATTGAAGACCTGAGGGGGGGAAACGAATAGTGAATCATTGAAATCGACGGATAGCAGAGTGAAGTTGTCCATAGCGAGACATCGGGTGTTGTGTCCGTATAGACTCGCAGTCACACACATATATGATGTTGTGGTTCCTCTCTTAAATGCCAGTGACAGAAAGATACGTACCAATTTAGCCGGAGGAAAGATAGATGCAAGCAACAGTAACCGATCTCGTTAGCTTAGTTGTGGAGGAGGATATCGATATTGGAACAGTATGGAGGACGCCAATTAGAGCTCCAGGTGGTATACAATCCGTCAAGTTGTGAAATAGGGAGTACTCAAGGAGAAAGACCGTATAGCAAGGAAAGTGGACGAAGATGATATGGGAAATGATATAGAAAGGTGGTACAGGTCTAGGACAGCTCGCGGGATTCAGCGGCAAAGTAAACTTCGGCGTCCGACACTCTTACAAGTTTCCAAGTCGATCATGATCAAACGTCGCATCGCATCGCCCTTCCAGTCATTCGCCAACAGCGTACTGGATAGTTCTGATGATCTTCATTGCATTACGAACTTTGATATATTTCTATGACAAGATTTACGTTCTATTTTGATCGTAGCGTTCTATGCCGCTGAATATACTGTAGTAGGCTGATCCCTAGTTATAGCAAGTTGCAGGTCTCGCAGGAACAGGATCGTGGAATCTTGGCATTCTCTGGCTAATGAATATCTTGAGATTGTCTCCTTTGACAGGTGAGTGTTGATTTCTAGGTATAATTGCGCGTGTTGGTGGGTCCTGAAGTGACGGTCCGTGGATGTGTGATACGTATTTCTTTGAATTGTGTCAACAGGACATGCCAAAGGATACTCAGCAGGGCTAAATATAGAGCTCTATTACCATAAGGTGTGGCCTGCCACTGAGAACAAAAGGACTGGATTGTGGAGCGTCGTGTGGCACAGTGGTCATTCCGCATATAAAGAGGATGCTGCGCCGCCATACCACTCGTTCCCCGTGGTCCCCCCAATCACTCCTTACGCGAAATGTACAGTTCTGTTGATCTGGAAAAGGAGTGAGTTCGCGCTCCCCCACCTCCCATTTCCCATTGTTGATATTCCACAGTGTTTCCGACATCAAGTTCATTCTAGATCCAATTGTCTACAATGTTCGTCCAACTATGTGTGGACTTGACCATTGTACTGTCATGCTCGACCCTCAAAACAGACGTGAAGTGAAGGCGCACGTAATGGAACACACGAAGACATTGAAGGCTTGGTACATGGATGGCCTGGGCGAGAATCTCTATCGATGCAACTGGCGACACGGTATTCGGCCGTACGCAATAGGAGGATGTTGTAACAATCAGCCATCGTACCCATTGGAGAATCTCTTCCGGCACATCACGATACTTCATCTACCGTTGGCTCGGAAATATACATGTCCACTCTGCGCGTTCACCTCGGAATTCAGGAAGGACTGCAAAGATCACCTGATCGACCGCCATGGCGCCACTCGCTTCAAAAAGCTTCGGAATGATCCCAATAAACCACGTTATGCATCTGAGTGAGCACTTTAACTTTTTCTCGTCGTTGTCACTTCAATTCACTCCTTCCTTGTAGATCGTCTGTAACGCCAGGGCCTGAATAACTTGCTGAGAACGAAGATGTGACTTTGGGTGATTTCTGACAGACCACTGTTGAGAGCCGTTCTGCTGTCATGCATGCGTACTATTCTGCAATATTCTCTTCAATTTTTGGGGTCGTTCAGGTGACCCATGTGATATGTTCAGATTGTCTCGGGATGTGTCCACTGAGCTCCACTCATTGGACTCTACTTTTTTTGATTATGTACATATCCTGGAAATTTGGAATAAATCGAATTTAAAGACAATTTGCATAGCTATACACGATGGCCTTTATACTACCTCCTTGGCCTCACATGCAAGGCGCGAACTGTACGGTAAGTAAACACGTCCTGTACTCATTCGGGCAGTGTGCATCTACACTACTTCGTGTTGAAGTGCATAGGCGATATTCGTAGTGTGCTCTCATTGCTCAAAGGCTCCGTTCATCTTACTTACTTTGCGAGAGCAAAAGGAAACATGTCCCTCTGACGAGAGTGGGATTTGAACCCACGCCCTTTCGGACCAGATTTCAAGCCTTAGTCTGGCGCCTTAGACCGCTCGGCCATCTCGCCATATGGTCCACAGCAAGCATAAAATTCCAATCGCAAGAAGGAAGAGGCAGAAAGACCACCCGAAGTATAACTACCTGATATAGTAATATGCTTGAGGCTGTTGACAAACAGGGCCAAATCGAAAAATTCCGCTCAGGCGAGGCACTGAACCCCTCTCCTGAAAATTCTTTGCTAAGCATACCCGATTCATACTTGAAATTTGAGCATAGTAAAATTTTCACCCCCCCCCCCAAACTGGGGAGTATATGAAATGGCTAATCCGCAATGCGTAGGTTTCACATAGCATCAAAAAAAATCACTTCCTATTAATTTAAAATATGTTCTCTACGGCCTGGTGGTCTAGTAGTATGATTCCTTCTTAGGGCTTCAACCAACTGAATGGAGGAGGTCCCGGGTTCAATTCCCGGCCAGGCCCTTTTTTTTTGCCAAAGAAATGAAGATGACTGAGTACATGGCTGAATTTTGATACGTGAAGCAGTCCCACTTCAGATCCCGGGAAATAAGTGCTAGCCGACCATAGTGCTATAGAGGTTACAAAGAGGTGAGGACGAAAGAAGGAATGCTATCATCAGAATAAAGGTACAAACGTGACAGTACACAAGAGGGTCAAGAAGAACTGAGGAACGTGCACCCTGTATACACGGTGGAAGTGAAGAAAGAGCACCACAGAGCGCCGAGAAGTGGACTGGAAGATGTGCATGGCATGAAGGATGATGCTGCTATAAAGCCATCACGTCTGGAACCTGCGCATCGTCTGGATTTCATCCAAAAGTACCTGCAGCCGATCGTCGTCAATCTTTACCAGACTTTAAAAATGGTCAGTAGAGCTGGATACGAATGAGCTAAGCTATGCAGACCTCGGAACTATACTCTTCGCTTCCTCGGCATCTGCAGGACACAAGTTCGCAATTTGTGCAGTTTCAAATTGCGTCAACGCCGGCTCACGCCTCAGGATCCTATCAACACAGGGTCAAAGTCAGAGAAAGACATGTTAATATACTACACATACTCTCGAACTGCGCCTGCAGAATCTGTCGTGTTGAATTTGGCAAAGGTCTTCACGTACTCCAAGGTTTTATTATAGACGCTTTAGGGGACTGTAAGATTAAATAAAATGGTGCAGCCTGTCAAGACTTACGCAGTGTCAGGTGCCTCCTTGTCTCTGTTCTCGAGCAGGTACTTCACCTCGGAGATGAGGAGACAACCGGCATTATTGAACTCTGATCACGATTGTCAGGAGCGTATCGGGTTAATTTGTATATGACTGCTCACCAGGGCCGAGTTTCAACGCAGCCGCATCTTCCTCCTCAACCTGGGGTCTGTGGCGCAACCGGGTAGTCATCGAGGTTGGGTTCGCGAGGGGGTTTGTTTACGCTTTGTTGTCCAAGACCTTTAGAAACTAACAAGACCAAACAACCAATTTTAGTTCTCCCGCGTGCGGAACATCTTATCTCCCCACCACTCCATCTAAAGCCACCTCGTGTATAGAGCGAGGTCGCTCTCCTCTCACCATAGACCATCCTGGCGCATCGGGCACCCTCCGCAGCCCTGTAGACTCCGAATTAGACTTTGACTACGCCTATACCGACCACGAAGCACTCGAGATGGTCAGAGTGACCACCTATGGTGTGGCCAATGCAAATGAGGGGAATAGTCCTCATGGAATAGACATAGAACGTGTTACCGACGGCTCTGGGGAAAACGAAGCACTGTTAGGAGGCGACTCGCACTCAAAGGCCCATTCGAAGCTTGAGGGACATGCGACACTGCAGAGCTCTATTGGGAATTTGGCGAACACAATCATCGGAAGTGGTAAGTTCACTTATCAGTGTTTGGCTCGAACATGTTGACCTCATTTACATGTGATGAAAGGCATGCTCACATTTCCTTTGGTGAGTTCTATACCGATGTCAACCACAGTCCTTACATTGATCTGCTTTATGATGATAGGCTCTTGCGTCTTCGGGTATCATTCCTGGCATGATTACATGTCTTTTCTCCGGTGGAGTTGCAGCATTTGGTCTTTACTTGCTCTCACTTTGTGCCGTCAAAGCTCCAAACCGCCGTGCTTCCTTCTTTGCTGTCGCTGAGTTGACTTTCCCTCGTGCTGCTGTATTTTTCGATGCTGCTATTGCTATCAAGTGTTTTGGCGTGTCCATAAGGTACGTGTGACGTATGTTATGCTATCACAGCACTGTCTCTGACAGCTACTTGATCAGTTACTTGATTATTATCAAGTCGCTTATGCCCAACGTTGTCGCAGCACTATACCATGATCTCACCTCACCAGATACCAATCCACCAACTTGGGCGTTATCCGGCCGTAACTGGATATCCATCTTCATGCTTGTACTGCTACCTCTGGCTTTTCTTCGTAGAATAGACAGCCTACGGCACACGAGCTACATTGCACTTTTTTCTGTCGGTACGTCCAGCATGGTGCAGTTGTTATAACGGTCGATGACGAGTCTGACATATGCTTTAGCATATCTCGTAGTTATCGTTGTTGTGTGTTATTTCTTCCCCTTGGAAGGTACCACAGCGCTAGGCGAGATTCACCTCATTCATTTTACACCAAACTTCATTTCTACATTCCCCGTACAAGTATTTGCCTACACATGTGCTCAGAATGTACGCTATGAACTTTTAGTTCAGCTTCACTCTTGCTGATGACGCGTTGACATAGCTTTTCCCTATTTTCAACGAGATAAACAACAACTCGCAGGAACGAATGAATATCGTCGTCGGAACATCCATCGGCTCTGCGGCGCTGATATACGAGATCATTGCAGTGTTTGGCTATTTGACCTTTGGTACAAAGGTCCGTTTCATCGAGCGGATTGTCTGTGAACTGATGTCTGACAAAGAGATGTTAGGTCGGCGCCAATATAATTGCCATGTATCCTTCAACATCATTGTTTATCGCCTTTGGTCAACTTGCGATTGCAGTTCTCGTCCTCTTCTCTTATCCGCTGCAAGTACATCCATGTCGGAACTGCCTTGACAAGGTGTTTCATGGTGGTCACGTCCCTCACAAGCAAGTGGTGGAGAGCGATGAAGATGAACACGACATCGAAGCCGAAGACGAACATGGCGGAAGTCATGATATGAGCAAACTGAAGCACACTCTTCTCACCCTCGCCATCGTCGCAAGTGGGTTCACCATCGCGTATTTTGTGGATAACCTTCAGATGGGTAAGTTATCATTCGCCACTGCTCGTTTCATGATCGCGCTTATGTCTGCACGACAGTACTGTCTTTCGTTGGTTCCACTGGGTCAACGACCATTTCATTTATCCTGCCTGGTCTGTTTTATTGGAAGGTAAGGCGTGACAGACAACGGAAGCGTATTTTCAACATGTTCGCTGATGGAACGAACAGTTGACACGTAACGACCCTAATGCAAACAAGACTCTGAACAAGGCATCTCTGGCCCTCGCGATATATGGAATGTTCATTTTCACTTTCTGGTGCGTCATCTGTTGCTTTGTGATGACATGATGCTCAATGTTTATCTCTCGCAGCTTGAGTTACAATATTTATCAAGTGATTAATGTGGAACCGGCCAGTCCCAATTATGTATAGCTTCTTGACTTTTAGGTTATGTTGTCGATATATTGTATCATTAATCGTGAATCTCTATGAGCCTGAGCACCAGTGAGATGAATGGAAGACGAATGTAGAGTCGAGGTGCAATGCCAAGGTGGATGAATGCAGACGTCGTCTAGATGCAAACGCCAGATATGTAGGCGCCCTAGGAGAATCTCAAGCGCTCGAGAGCGAGAGACCCTTACCCTTTGACCTGATGTACCCATCCTCTCTTTCCACTCAGTATCTCTTTCTTTCTTTTGGTGCTTACCTGAGAGTGTTTGTATAGCGTGCAAGAGATGTCTGTTGGTAAGTTCGTCTTTAAAATTGGGCCAAATCGAGGGAAGCGTAGTCGGCAAAGCTGATGCGAGGGAACACACCTTGTCGCGACCCTTTCCCTTGATTGAGGCTGCGCAAACCTGCGTATTCAAAGTTGATCGTCTTTTGTTACAGAACAGTCCACGCTGCTTTCATCTTCCATCGAGGATCGTCAAGATTCCTCCGCTCACGAAGTTACCATGGAGGAGACTACCGTGGCGACAAGCCTGATCCACCAGAACACCCCGCCCTCCAGCGCAAGCGCACCTGAAATACATTTCACTCAGTCTGGTTCGCTCCCTTTGGTCACTCCTTCACCGTCACTAGACACAGCGCTAGCGCAGTCTCCCGGCAATGGCTCATTCGATAATCTGTCCAACATGGGAGACGCTGCATCGTACACCGAAACTATAATCGAAGCTCTCAGAAGCAAGGATAGACTCTACGTCCTCAAGCTTGGGGAGATGATTGAAAATCTCATTACTGAGCGCAGGTGAGTGTCTACCGGGGTTTGCTTCCCCCCGACTGTCATCACACGACGTCTTCTCCAGCGAGCAAGCGTCTGGTTAGAATTGATCTTCGCATGGTCTGCAGTCGAATTTGCTTCGTTGGTACTGATGAACGCTGTTACAGGACTAGAATTGAACTGAATCCAGCCACTTCGTATCAGCGGATGCTGGTTCATCGATGTTCATCTTACTACAACGTATCTCCGGAGACCGACTCCACCACGAAAATGATCTTTGTTTCCTACCGAGCAGAAAGTCGGATGTAAGTGCTCGCTGGCATCTTGGAGACGTGATACTCATCAGATACATCCTCTCCTCTTAGTCCTGTGCGACGTATCAGTGAACTTGTTCCCGCAGAAGAGTCTGCGCAGCCTGCATTCAAAATAATGCGGAGGGGTGCCCAAGAACGCTCGAGGGGCCGGCACAATTCGCATCCTGATTCCGTTATTGGCGAGGATGCTGATATGTCAGATGTAGAGCCATCTGAAACTGGGAGTATCAGTGCACGCAGTAACGCTACAGGCAGCAGTAGAAAGCACTTGACCATAGAGGAGCGGGAAGCTGCATACAACGAAGCCCGCTTGCGTATCTTCAAAGATCTCGAAGAGAAGGAGAAAGCAAAAGATAAAGATATGAGTGCCAATTCCTCTACCATCAGCCTTGTTTCCGGCTCTGCCTCCACTAGTGGGGGACGAAGTAGCATGGGTGACATGGATGACTCTGCAAGCTCTGCGGCGACCGAGAGTGAATGGTCAGGTCCCGCCGCGCGTGACAAACGAGACAGTCGGAGGGGTGGGTCTGCTGCCTCATCGTCTCGCTCGTACAATCATCCGAATGGCTCCAATAGTTCCCGCAATTCTCGCGCGACTTCACCGTCTTATCCTACCGTATATGAAGGTCCCACTTCTCCGCCTTTCGACCCGACATACAGCGCGCAAGGGCCGCCACATGGCTATATACAGTACTACTACCCTCAATATCCTCCTGTTGGCCAGCCGGGGCACTATGTGCCTCCATATCCGTATTATCCGCCGTACAGTGGCTACCCAGCGTCGCATCCACAATCACCACCGCACCATTCAGACCCGACTAGTCCGTCAGGTACCGAAGGCATGTATCCTCCACCCCCAATGGTATATCCCGGCCAGTACTGGTCTCCCCCTCTACAATCGCCTCCTCACGTCCCTCAGGGTTCTGGACCAACTCATTCACACCATTCTGGCCCTCCTCCATTGCAACATTCCAGCTCTTCACAGGGCCATCCTGTACCGCAAAATACGCAGTACGTGTACACGACTCCCGGTCCTTATTCGTCCTACACTATGCCCGGATACTATCCACCTCCCCCGCCGTTCCAGCCTGGGCAGCAAATGTACCCACCACCGCCTCAGATGCCTGGCCAACCATACTACACTGAGATGGTAACACCTCCGGAATCTATGGGACCTCCTGCTATGAATGGACACAACATTGATAGTATGAACATGAGTCGTACCTCATCAAGAAATAGCAATGGCCATACGAATGGTATGGGCAGACGTGGTGCGCCTAGGACACGACAGTCCTGGAGTTATGGTCCTGGCCCTGCTCCGAGCGGAATCAACTATGGCTCAGGCGGACAGGACATTGTTGGACCCCGCTTGAGCACCAGGAGACCGTCGGGAGCGTCGACAGGGAGCGGGAGTGGGAGTGCCGGGAATAGGACTCCTGGTGATGAGACTTCTTCTACAACAGTGAGTAGTCTGTCCTTCTAATCTTTTCATTTGTATTGCCAGCTTCTTTGGGGATGCAACGTGTTACAAAGGCTTCAATTTCCGATGCCCCTTTATTCCTTCTATAATATTCGCAGATCATGATGATTTGTACTCACGCATCTGTTCTTCATCTGTGATCTGCGTTCTCTCTTCCGCACTTCTCGTCTTCTGAAGTCTTCTTCTACCACGTCATCCTCTTCACAACGGACATTCACATCAACTTCATCGAAGCATCCTCTACCTGCAAGGCCCGATTGGGCTGTCGGTATCCGGGTCCCAAACCCACCTCATCACCACAATAATCCTCATTCTCGCACAATGTCTCCCGCTCGTATGGGTGGTCAGCATGGTACTCACCATCATCACCTGCAGCGGCAGCAACCAACCCTTCAAGCCACCGACTTTCCACCATTGTCATCTGCACCAGAGAAGAAGACTGTGCCAGTAGCCAGTGGCGCTTGGACGAATGCACCTAGCACGCGTTCGATTATAACATCAGTCAATCCAGCTGCTTCCGGAAGTGCTTTGGTGCACTACCCCAATGTTAATGCCAATCCCTCCGGCAATCAACCTTCTGGCGTTGCTCCTGGAACTAATGGGATGGAGCCAGGATTCGAGAGACCTGCTCCTCGCGGAAATGTGGAGCTTTTCAACCCGAAAGCCACGCCGAAGAAGACACCGCCTAGCTGGGGGAGTCCGAACGTAGGCACGCCAGAAGAGATGACGAAGGAGGCAGGAAAGGATTCCTCCGATGGAAATGCCGACAGTGCAGTGGGCGATTCCACGATCACTGACAAGTTGGCCGGACTTGCATTGGAGGATCAACCAAGCCCAGATTTTCAGGCAGAGTTGGAAAGGCCACCCGCCGCAGATGCACCTACCGAGGCTAGCAATGGCACTTCGTCATAGTCGCCATAGAGGACATTCGTACTCATTCCGCACTGTCACCCGTTGTTGTTCGTGCCCTATTGCTGTCGGTTGCTATTCATCTGGCTGTCACGTCTGTAGTCGTTGTGGTTGTCGTAACTCATATCGCAAAGTTTCATCACCCTACCGTGTATTACTACGTACACCGAGGGCAGTTTACTCATTTGCTGTGCATTCTCTTACATGTTGTATTTGCATATCGATTTCTCTTGAAGATTCTTTCATTATATATTAGATCGGAATTCGTCATAATGGTAATAGGAATTTGAGTGACTTCAATCCAGGACTTAGTGCGTCCAGCGCGAGCTTTTCTAAAACGGAGTCTACCAAGAGGAGGGAAGATGCAAGAACTTCTTGACTCTCTGCCAGACACCCTGCACTCTTTCTGGATCCTTATCATCGTCGAAGAAGGACTTGACTGCAGTCCGATCCGCCGATAACGCTGGCCAAGCATTCGCCTTGCCTGGGTTTTCAGTCGACTTTGATTTCATCGCCTCTCCTCTGCCCCACGGATGTAACGCCAGGGGAAATGCTACTATATCGCATAGCCACAAGGCCGGATGTGCTGGAGCACCATGTAGCGAAAGTGGGCGAACTCGTGATCGTGTAGAGAGGATGCTAGGTCGGGCAATGGGAGAGAGGTGGTCCATAGTCTGAGTTAAGATGGATATACGTCGAGTAGGTTTCGACATGCGCGGGATACGCTTGGCAGTAGCGACACGTTCTTCCTTCTCTTCTGCATCCTCGACTTCGTCTGTGACCTCCTGGAGGCTATCCAATGATGGTAGAGTAACGATGATCCGCGGGATACTGGCTTTGGTAGGTTCAAGGAGGATTTTTGATTCCGCGTGAACAATCTTCTCTATATCCAGCGTTGACTTCCCTTCTCGCAAATGGGCCAGCGAGTGTGAGAATGAACCTTGCAGAGATGCTAGCCAATTGTTGCTCGTCGAGGATGTCCAAGACAGAGCAGACAAAGTTGACTGTGACTTGGTAGACGGCGTGGATACCAGAATATTATGGTTATCCATACCCTTTAATTCCCTTGCGATTTGTTCCAGCTGAAAAAGCATGGACTGAACATCGCCTGCTGATTCCCATGGGTTCGTTGACGGCGGGCTCGGAAAGTCCGATAAGCTCAGTGCCATGGAGTCATGACTGGAAAGCGTAGGGAACGAAGAAAGGGAAGGTGGCGGGGAATACGAGTAACTCGTTAGGAGCGTATTAAAGTGGGCTTCCTGGAGATTTGATAAATCCAGTGAGGTGGATTCAACAATTCTAAGCCGATCTGAGCGTAGCTTGGGCCGTTTGGGGACACTTGAAGTCCCATAAGCCTGCTTCCTGGATCGTTCAGGGGAGGCTGACAAGTCGGATGGAAATGACACGATGGATGTTGATTGCTCCATGACCTTATATGAAGGCGTTGTCAACAATAATGATGGATGTATGGCGGCTGGGATTTGTATGGTGGCTGACTTCGGAATGAGGTGGTCATACGCAGGGTTATTGCGGAGGTTGGATGGATTCCTCGATTTTAGCGAAGAGGAACTGGGACTCTTGGTCTTGAAGCGACCGGATAATGAACGCGAACTAATCAGCCCAGAAGGCGCATTATTGGACGTCATTTCTGAATCGCTTGAATCGTAGTGTGATAGAGAAACGTACATCCGAAGCAAGACTGTGGCAGTTAGCCTCGATGTCACATTTTGATCGAGACCGACGAAGTCAGCCATCAACTCAGTGCTCGGTAGACAGGAGTACAATGCACGTTACGAAAACGGCAACAGAGATCAAAGACATGACCACAAGTTGAGGTCTTGCATTGTATACAATTTAGATAAGGTTATCTCAAAAATGAAGAGGATATATGCTTACTTGGTGGTAGAGAGGAAAGCTTTCATACCACACACATCCTTGAAAGCTCGGTGGTATACCCACAAACCAAGAGTGATGGTTACAATAGCAGCAACAACCTGGATTGACGCAAGGGGAACATTTGAACGCGTACTTTGTGTCTGACCTGACAATCCCGGATCAAAGGGCAGTCTAGCGTTCAGCAGCATGGAAGCTGCGAAAAGCGCTAAGACAGTGGCAAATCGCCTACATTCAGATATGCAAGTTAGAGGCGCCATATATTGAGTTGAGTTGATTGTTGAAAAATGAACATACAGATGTGTAAGGAGATTGCGTTCAAGCATCGCAAAGTCGCGAGCGTTGCTTCCATGAATACTGAGATTCAAAGGCATGTTGGTCTATGTTCGACTACGATATGGGTTTCACTTAGTAATGTTAGAGTCAGTCGTGTGCTTCAAATACATTTTACCGTGATAGGAGTATGTACTGAGTCATTTTGGTGAACGGACTTTTCCCAAACGAGGTTAAAACGCGGTCACGCACAGGAGGGCGGCTAATAGTACGCGGTTGTTTGGCGTTGTGTTGTAGTTGTTCGAATTGGATGCATTGTTCATTCGCACAAACCCCTGTCCTTCCACTCTTTCTTCCCGGTCCCTCCTCAAGTCTGCTTGGACTCTTTGGAGAAAGTCGTTCTTTGCTTCATTACACGATCGTGACGAGATACTATATACGAACTCACGACATCAATATACGATCATGGGCTTTCTCAAGCGTTTCTTCTCCTTGAGCAGCAAGCGGTCAAAGAAAAGCAAACGGACCCGCCAGGAAGATAAAGTTGACGCTTCTGGTCGGGTAATCCAACCAGAAGTACAAGAGGGAGAGGTCACGCGTCTATTACGCTCCTCTTCAGCTCACTTCTCTGTTGGAACAGAGGTTGACTATTCTTCATTGCCACCTATTCGTATGTATGCACTGTGTCTGAATGTCGATGGCAACTCATCCTTCTGCAGCCCACCCTATCAACAACGTTGTAAACACGCCATCTGGAACACCCGCTCGTTCGGCCACAAACCTTCAACGATCCGGTACCTACAGCGTCACCGTCCACGGTCGTACAATCCATTCGTGCACTGAGTTCCCGAATGCCAACCCACCACTTCACGAGGAGTCAAAGCACGAAGTTCTACACCGTGATGTCGAGTACTTCGATGAGTCACCAGTGCGAGCTCGGTTTGACCCCAAGTCTGTGCCATTCACGCCGCACGATCAGAGTCGCGTTCAGCGTCTTCGTAAAGATCCTTCGGTTGCAAGCTTACTTAACATGTACGATGATAAGGGGCGTATTCATTCCAAAGCATTCTCGAATACTCCTCCAACTCCGGCACCCGTACAGGAAGTCGGACGTGAACAGGTGAAGCGATCCGGTTCCACTCTTCGCCAGCTTCTCGGCGCACCAGAGTCGGATCGTGCCAACGATGAAACTGCTATGATGGGCGACATCTCATGGGCGGAACGATTCATTGGGTAAGTCATCATAGTCCTACATGTCCATCGTGGTTTACTAATAGCACGCGCACAGCGAACACGACAACGCGAGCTCCGACTCTCTTGCTTCCTCCGTTTCTCTACCCCTCGAGACGCCCAAGGACACATACCCACACACTCTTTCAAACCCACAAGTTATCATGGACACCGCCTTCACAATCGACAACTCTCTTTCTGAACTCTCTGTCAATTACCCGACGTTCTCCTCGATGGAGGTAGAACTCAGCGGTAGCACGAGCATCGATACCTCTGAAACATCTGCTCTGAAAGAACCTAAACTTCCTCAAATACCCGAAGTGCGTGTTGCAGTCCCATCTACACCCCACCGACCCGCCACGGAAATCTTTGGCTTCCTTACAGAGCGCAAGAAATCCATCCTCGAGAAGAACCGGCAGAAGGAACAACAGCACGATCGCGACTTACCTGCTCTTCCTACCCCATCCGTCTCGGACTCTTCATCACACCTCAAGACCCCGATGTCCACTTCGAACTTTTTCTCTGCGACACCCACGACAAACTCAAGCCCTGCTACGACAAACAGTGACACCTCATCTGGTCAGATTCATACTGCCACGATAACGAAACTCACGCCAGTTATGAACCCACTCTCCCGTTCGACTGACACCCTCAACCTCTTGCAGTCTTATACACCGTCAAACACCACCAATGTTTACCCCAGATATCCACTCTCTGCAACCCCGACTGAACACCGCGTTCGGTTCGACGACGAAGTGGATGTCGCACGCCGCGACATCCCTAACCAACCTACTGGCTCGAGCTCAAGCAGCGGAGCCAGTCAACCTAGTCGGATCCCTCGAGGCCCCCGACCCGTACCTATCATAGGTCCTTCTCCCTCTTCACGAGGATCGGACCTCGCGTATCTCCAACGTTCTTCAAGTCCTTTCTCGTTCTCAAATATCCAACCAGCTTCCGAGGCTCCTCAGAAGCAATCCCGTATACCCAAGGTATCGACTACCTCTCGTTCGCAAGACCCTTTCACCACAACATCCCGCAGCCGTCCCCACCGTCGTACTGGCTCTCGCAACTCCAACAGTGGCAATAGCATTCTTTCTGATTCTGATTCCGACCAACAGAAAGCACCTGCTGCCAAACGTAACGGGTCACGGAAGGCGGCACCCGTTGTGGAGAAGGAGAACAGTCCTGTCTCGTCTACGACTCAACCGCCCAGGACACCAAACGGTCGGGCTCACTCGCATTCACGTGCTATCTTTGATGCACGACATCCCAATCTTGTCAACGGCGAAGTGCCTTCTCCAGCGTCATCGACAGAACTATCGCCTATCGCCAAAGATATCATGGCGAACCTTAGGAGACAGAAGCAGAGAACGACAGAAGATGGGGACCGGTATGCCTATGCCGGGTTCCAGCGGTAGCAGGCAGTACTGGCTGCTGCTTGAACTGTTCTCTTTTATCTTACTTCATACCATAGGGTTATTGAAAGGCTTATGAAAAGGACTATTTTACACGGCGTCGTCTTTTAGTTTTCTTACTCGTTCTTGTCACTTTTTGCTTTCTTTTGTTGTTTCGTTTTTCTAGTTGTGTTACAGTTTTGTTGAAGCTCTCAGGTTACTCTGTATTTCCGCGTTACATTCTTCTCGTTACCAGTATTTATCACTCTCTGGCTCACACGAAGAAGAACTAGAGTTGTTTTCGTCATGAACCACCCTGAATTGAAGGAAATGCAAAAATACAAGCAGCTAAGCTATTGAACCAAGAGCAAAGTTGCTGGAACGTAAAGTAACGGGTTACGTCATATGGATCAAACCAGTGACCCTAAAAGATGAAAAGGAGTGTGCGGTAGGCCTCGTAAAGTCATTGGAACATTAGTCGTAAATGGACCTTTCATAGTCGTCGTTCTCATTCGTCGTCCCGTCATCGGCATCGAAGATAGGCTCATAGCCGTCTTCCTCGCTCGCCCTCGAGCGCATATACATGCGCACAGCTAGAATGACACCAATCACACAGGATGACAATGAGAGGAAGATTGCACCTGCAAGGAGAGCGAGCACAACAGGGCGCGATCTCGCAGCGGAATGAATGCAGTGACGGACACGTTGAGGGACGAGTCGATGAATGGGGAAATGACCGCTGACGACCATCCTGATTGCCCGTTTGACGAGAGGCACCTCAGAGCTGAATGTACTTCCGAGGGAGAGACTATTCAGAACGGCGTCATCGTTGAAGGAGATGGCGCCTGTGGCTCCTGAGGATGCTAGCTTCTCAGCATAGGCGACTTGCTTGGGACGGACTTTGTTGAATTCTCGCAGAGCTTCTGCTGCATCGGGCGTGGTGGAGAGCATCTGGACGAAAGGGACACCAAGGGTCTTGTTGTCTTTACCGACGTCACCAAAGTCGAAGCTAATGATCACTGATGAGTTTCATGCACGCATGCTTGAAGGGAGGGAAACACATACGACGCATAGACGTTCTTGAGGAAGGGAACACCCATGATAGCGTCGAATCCGATATCAGAACCAAGAGCTGAAGCCGGAAGATTCAAGTTCCTGTAAATTTAAGTGAGCTCGCTGAGTTCCCTCATGTCGAATTTCGACATACCTGAAAGTGTTCTGGCAAACAGTTTTATTTCCGACGTTTTTAACGACAGTGATATCAAGCGGGTGGATAGGGAATTTCTTGCCACTATATAAATCCAGTAGATCAGCATTAAAATACGGTTGGCCTTGAAAGGGAAAGGTAACGTACCCAAAGTCGAATTCCAAGTTAGTTGTATTCTCGCAAGGAACCTCCCACAATCCGCTGGTCTTATTGAACTTGGAACCTTCAATGCTGCTATAGATGAAATCCACAGCGGCAGGTGGGAATTGCGAGAAGGTGAATCCAGTGTCCAGGACCATGACAGTCTTCCCAGCAGCTGCTTCCGCGACGTTAGACTTGTTGAACTTGAATTCTTTCCTGTTCACAACCATCTTATCCATCTGGATAGACCACCGAGGCTCAGTCGTAATATTGACCAACTGAGCGGGAGTCCGGTTTAACTTTGGTTGGGAAGTGATGTTCTTGAACACTGGTTCGTATTCACCAATGGTGAAAACACCCTCTTGGTCGCCGTTAGGATCATCTGTACGGCCTAGAAGCACTGTGAATAGGTTGGGTGCACTCGTGTTCTGGGCGAAGATGTTGCCGAGGAAAGTACGTCCTTGGGTGTTATTGCGTCCAAAAGAGAGGAGCGTCTCGACGAAAACGGTGGACGCTTGATCGAAAGCGAGACCCATGATACCGAAGATTCCGTTGTTGAAGATCGCACCAAAGTCAGTGGCGGTCGTCGCATTCACCAAAGCTTTACGACCAAATTAATATGCATACGATCATAGCATTGAATGTGAATACCTTGCGAATTAACATGGTAAGGGCCCAAAGAGACATCCGCGAATGCGATGTTTCCAGAGACTGCGCCAATACCGAAAGTCAAATTGGCTTGGATGTTGGTCTGATTCGTAAATGTGACATTGAATGGTGGCTTAATCCATAGGTCAGATGAACCAGTGTCGAGCTGGATAGGAAATTCTAAAACGAGAGGTAAGGTTCATCTCCAAGAATGTATTAGGGTGGTTGAGCTTACCTTTGCCGCCGACAGTGATGTTGGTAGCATACTGATAGGGTATATTATATCAGATGAAGGGGACAGATACATTTCTGGAAGTTTACTTACGACTACGTCCTTGGCGTTGTTGACATTCTCCACGGTGCTGTTATTAGACCCTTTGCCTTTATGCATCTTCATCTGGTGCATGCGAACACCACGTCCATGATGTTTCGTTCCACGAGGAACAAGATCCTGGGCTTGGGAAGCCCTGACAGGAATTCGGAGGCCATAAGTAATACCGCACAGCGATACAAGAAGGAAGAAAAGAAGGGTGTTCATGACGAAAAGAGTGAAGAGAAGAGCGAAAAGCAAAAAGAAGCAAAGAATAAGAAACGGGGGAGATCCACTCGCTTTGCCATCATCTCTATCCCTGCCTTTTAACCGTTGGCAACGCTCATACAGGCGGCTCGATGAGGCTGTAGAGAAGATCTGAAACTGATATTTGCCCTAATGTGACGTCCGAAAGGGGTAATATGCTGCACATATAAGGAAGTCACCGTTGTACAGCCGCTCAGTGTGACGGCTTGTGTCACGGTCATCCATTTGTTGCGATGCGACTGTCTGTCCCATCATGATGCAACGTGCCAAGATTTATGAATGCATCGCCCTTGAAGCTTGAAGGACCTTGGTTGCGAGACACGTCTTAATCACCCACATATGCCCAACTTGCGTATGAAGATGTTTGCCAATTTGATACACCTTGTTGTCTGGGAAGCAACCTCGTTTCGTGTCTGAGAGAGGCAGCTTGACACCCACGCCGTTGTCGATTCCAGTCCGTGGAAGACATAGTAGCGGCGAGAGATGGATTCTTTTTCTGAGTCCAGCGTCGTGAATCTTCACGGATCGAAATCTAGTCAACTAATGCTCAAAAACTCTGCGACAATGCGAGTACGCACCTTTTCTTCGCTTTCAGATCTCAGAGGACACTAGTGGTCTGTATGGCTGATGCTTTGCATTGCAGTCGCAGACGACCGGCGAAACAATTCGCTTGGTTAAGTATGTATCGCGGGACGGAACATGTTTTGGCGGATTTAAACCTGTACGCTCACTATCAATATCTCCTGGTCGAGACCAGGTTCACACACAGAAACTGCCTGAGAATGCTCTCTGGCCAGACCGCAGTACTGAGCAGTCTGTGACAGGCTTGAACCTATTCCCACCACGTGTTGGTGGGGTCGATCGCGTCTCGATCGCGTCTCAATACTAGAGCGTGGCGTCACGGTCCGGAATCTCTCATCCTCCTGCCGATTATTCACCGATGCTGCGAGCCAGAACATTCGATGGTCCGGTCCGTCTGGGATGAAGACCTTAGCCTGCTCAAAATACTGACACTCTCGGACCTCGGTATGTCTCTCTCCATGCTGCATATAAATTCTCTCAGGACAGAGGTAAGACACTCTCACCTCATACACTCTCCCTATCCCTCATGTCTTTCAACGTCACAGACGACCTCCCCCTTTTTCTCGGTCTTGATTTGTCTACTCAGGGACTCAAAGCCGTCCTCGTCACTGAGGAAAGCAATGTAGTCCATGAATCCGCTGTACGTTTTGATCAGGATCTACCCCACTATGGTACAATCAATGGTGCCATCATTGGCCCCGGAGAGGGCGAAGTCACCTCCCCCGTGAAGATGTGGCTTGAAGCCTTCGACCTCATCATGACTAGAATGAAGGCTGCAGGCGTCGACTTCAGTCGCATCCTTGGCATCTCCGGTGACGGACAGGTTGGTCATGACGCATCATCATGGAGGCTGCAGTCAGCTCATTTGAACTGCTAAGCAACATGGCTCCGTTTTCTGGTCTGCAGAAGCAGAGACATTACTTTCCAACCTCGATTCCTCAAAATCTCTCGCTGAACAACTTGCGCCCATTGCCTTTACATTACAAAAGTCTCCAATTTGGCAGGACTCCTCGACCACGCGCGAATGTCGTGAGATCGAGGAGGCAGTTGGGGGACCCCAAGCTTTGGCAGACCTTACCGGAAGCCGTGCCTACGAACGGTTTACGGGAACTCAGATTCGCAAGGTGCTTAAATCCCTATGACCTTTCCATCCGTTCTGATCCCGAAGTTAAAACGACCGCTTCTTTCACCTTTAACAGATTCGTCGCATTGATCCGGAACGTTACAATGCTACTTCTCGGATATCGTTGGTGTCTTCTTTCATGCCATCTGTCTTTCTCGGTACGGTTGCGCCGATAGAGATATCGGACGCAAGTGGTATGAATCTTATGGACGTTCTCACTTACAAGTGGGATGACAAACTGTTGAACTTTTGCGGCGGCCCGGAACTGCGTAGCAAGCTGGGTCCCGAACCTGTCCCGGGTGGTACCGTCCTGGGTAGGATTAGCCCTTGGTGGGTACAACGGTGGCAATTCAACCCTGGTAAGTAATCATTGTCTCGTGCCCTTTCGCTGGTCCTGACTTTGCCTTTCAGGATGTGTGATTGCGCCATTCACTGGCGACAATCCGGCCACTGTTATCGCTCTATCTGCGCCGGGAGATGCCATCCTCTCCCTTGGCACGTCCACCACTCTATTGCTCTCTATTCCTCCTACCGATACCCCTCCGAAACGCTTTACGTCATCGCATCTGCTTTCTCATCCTACAACCTATGACGCACACATTGCCATGCTTTGTTACAAGAATGGCGCTCTCGCAAGGGAACAAGTTCGGAACAAATATGCCAACGGTGACTGGTCGAAGTTCAATGAGCTTGTGGAACAGTCGCCTGCTGGGAACGGTGGTCTGCTGGGTTACTACTTCCCATTACCAGAGATCATCCCTCCTAATGTCATTGGCAGCCACTTCTTCCTCGCTTCGGAAGATGAAAGGACCATCAAGCGTCTGTTTGAAGAGGAAGTCTCGTCGACTGCCCATCCTCGTGCTATTCTCGAATCACAGTTCCTCTCTATTCGTTCCCGAATCGAGGCTATCCTACCGGAGCATGCACCACCCCTCCAGCGTCTGGTTGTCTGCGGCGGCTCTTCTGCCAATCCCGTCATCCGTCAATTAGCCGCGGACGTGTTCGGTATGCGAGTCTTCGTCGCTGGGAAGGAAGGTGCTGCCGAAGGAGGTGCTCAGCTTGCTCGTTACGCTTGGTGGCGAGAACAGAACGGTGGAAAGGGTACCTTTGAGGAAATGCGTGCCCTCGACGGTGTAGAGGAGAGGATGAAATGTGTTGCTGAGCCTCGACTGGAGAACGTCAAAATCTACGCCTCACTTGTTGATCCATACCGGGAAGGAGAACAGCGCGTCGTTGAGATGTGTCGACCACGCGCAGGCTAAGGCCTAAAATCTGGACTATATTGGTTTTCCTTTTCGTTACTTCGCGGGACTATGTTATTTGGACCTGTTTTTCTGGAAGGACGTTTGTAACTGTAGATGATATCGTGTTGAAACCCACTTAGTCGCTATCTCTCTAAGCAATATCATGAATCTGTATCCTGCTTCTCGACATACAGTGCTTGATTGTGGCAGGAAATCACTATCTACCAAAGCGGTTCTCCTGCTTGTCGAGGATGCATGGCGCATTGCCATAAGTATGGTAGTAAGGAACGTAAGCCTCCGAGTCGTTAGATGACGTTTGAGAGCGGGCTGTTTGAAAACCGTATTTCGTGTCTCCCAAGTAATTTACGGTAACACTAGCTGCTTTTGTGATCAATTACACGATGCATAGAGCTTATGAATTCGATATATTTCCTCTTTCCACCAAAGTCCTTCCCCAAGCAGTTAGGCGCCTCTGCAACGATCTTCAAATTCAATTTGATTTGAGCAAGCAACTCGGAGCTAAAATTCAGCCTTCCCATTTTCACATCTCGCTTTGCAGTAATGCGTCTCTGAGTCTACTACGCCGGGTTATCTGTTCAAGAGGCACGGCTCTCATAAGTCATGATCTTTTCGTTGTTCCATAATCCCCAGCACCGAGAGGAACGAGCTGAAGCTCTTGTCTTGCTCCGTAAAGAATCTCTCGACATATACAATCGGCTCCATTCCATCGCAGAAGATATTAAGTTTGTTGAGGACGTATGCCAGAGCTATCCGGATCTGCCTGTCCTGCGTGAGCTAGCATGTACGCCTCGGTACTGACATCGCTGAGTTGATCATTTTTAATAGCAAATCTCCGCTGCGGCGCATGGTATGTGGATCCAAAGCTGGTACGTACGCTTATTATAATTTTTTTTAAACTTAGTATTCCTAAAGTGAAGTCAGATGCGACATGCGGGTGCCTATTTTAAGTCAACAGATGGGCATACGAACAACTGGAGTTTCAACCTGAGGCGTCCTAACCTGCATCTCCTTTCCACCGTCATACATTGTCATGGGTATGTGAATTTCTAATTAAGCTTCGCATTTTTGTTGCTCACTTCATGAACAGCATCATACTAGTAGACTCTACTAGGGCGGGGAAGCGCATGCCTGATGCGCTTTCGAAAACCATACCGATCTGGTGCTCAGTAATCAACAAGGCGATCAGGAAACTTTACACCAAAGATGCAGATTGGGACACACACTTTTACTGTCCTCCAGGAGTAGTAAGTGCTCAAGAACAGTCCCAGATTGAGACTCGCCTCGACGACTGGGCAACTTCACTAGCAGTGAGCAAGATATAACCACTCTACGCCAGTCACCTATAGACTTGATTTCAGGAATCCTCGTATTCACTTCCAATCCTTCCTCTTCCGCTTAGACCAATGTGGATCACACCGTCTGCCTCTACATTTCCTCGATTGCCTCCTACCAGCGAAGCACAATTTTTTCCAATCATATGCGTGTCCGCTTCCAAACAGATCCAGGAAGGAATTGAACGACGGTCACAAGGATTTGCGTATGTACAAGGGTCTGGGGATGACCATGAACTATGGGGACTTGTGAGAACTTCTGTAGACATTCTGTTGGCTCTGGTCCTGACCTGGACTCCCAGGGATTGACACCGCAAATTTTCTGGCAACATCAGGACCAACTTCTTTCGGCCACTCGTGGAACTTTACCCGAGGTGGTAAAGACCCTGGTGGCAAGTTCACCGCACCGACAACACGAAGATTGGTTAAAACCTCCTACACCCATATCCAAAGTGGGAGGGCGACTCCTGATATGCGCTATTGCTGATGTCCCTTCCGGTCTTCCCCCGCATCTTCCCAACTCCGACGACCGAATAGCATATGTTATAGTTACAAATGAACCCACTGCTTTCGACGACGCTGTTGGCAAGGACGAGTTCGAACGGAAAGACGTGCTTGTGCTCTCCATGCAAGAGGGTAAGAGAGGGCAAGCGCAATTTCTGCAGACTGTTCTACCCAGAGCGGTTCCGTTCATAGGAACCTATATCATGGGTGGGACTAAAGTCTGCATTTGTTGTCACAACGGAAAAGATGCGAGCGTAGGCGTCGCATTGGCAGTTTTGCAGATGTATTTTGACGACGACGGTAGGATACTTGCTGTTAAACAACAAGAGGACCTATGTGAGTGTCATACATACGTGGTCATTGCTGGACCATCTCACACATGCTTGCTTAGGTCGGCATGCGAACAAACAGTCGATCGCCACTCGCCTGCAGTGGATCATTTCAAGTCGACCTGAAGCAAACCCTTCTCGTGTCACGTTGAAGCGAGTGAACGAGTTCCTGCTAACTCCACCACAGTTCTTACGTACTATCCTCGACGGTTCCAGCTTAGTCTAAATCTTCGCGTCTTCGATGTAAAGGTATGTACGGATAGAGCAATTAACAGCGTATGCGTGGCTGTATGGTGCCTCCGTCGATAATGGTACATATATAGTAGCATAAGTCAGCTCAAGAATATGGTACGCGATGTGTGCTATGATCCTCATTGTGCTGTTTACTCTGAAATAGTCTGCAAGGTCCTACTCCATTCGACGACCTTGGGATGTGCCTTGACCTGTGAATAATATGAACGACCGACTGATGATATAGCTCAATAATGCTCTGACCTTTGCCGGATCGAAATGCAAGACCTGGAGTCCCTCTAAAGACGTCGCGCGCGACAGAGCGACATATGCCTGACCTGAGAGACAAAACGTTATAGATATACTTCGGTAACAACGTCAATCAATAGCATACCTTTCTCGAATACCTTGGCCAAGTTGACCTTGACTCGCTCAAGTGTTTGTCCTTGCGATTTGTGGATAGACATGGCCCAAGATAGGATCAATGGTACCTATACACGTAGTAGAAGATAAGCGATCTCTCCGCGTCACAGCAAGAACGTATGTCGTTGAGCCCGTACCTGTGTTCGACTGACTTGGATTTCCCCATTCGGCAGCTCCACCTTCCATACCTCGGGCTGAATGAGAATCCGACGTCGGCTGGTGAGAAATTCCACAACAGGCCACACCATGCCACCTGCTGGCTTTTTCTCATTTCCTGCTGGCCCTTTGGATGTTGGCTTCTTAGGCCCGTCCTCCTCCGGTGGGGGATAGGCGGTCCAATCGGTCCCATCTGAGAACTGAACTACGGTACCCATGGAGCCATTCACGTGAAATTCGTCCATGTTCTTGATCAGCATGACCTGATTGAAGAGTTGAAAGAGTGAGAAGGAGGACGAAAGTATGGATACGAGTTAATGGAAGGCGAACCTGAGCGCCAACTTTGAGCTTGAGCTGTTGTGGTGCCATGAAATTCGCTAGCATCTTCGTGCCTTGATCAGTTCCATATAACACTCCACCGTCACTAGCAGTGTAGATGTGTTCGTGAGAGCCTTGGATTCCAGACATTCGAAGACGGTTAGAGTTCTCAACATCTTCTCGTCGGGGAAACCTGTACACATATGATATGTGAAACTACTGTATGAAGTTGCGAGTGAATTAAGACTCACAGTTCAGTCGCACTCACACCGTCCTCATAGTCAATTTCTCGCTCGAGGCGCTTGAATTTCATGATGCTTTTCTGCGTCAGTCGACCGAAGCGCATTTCGTTCAGCATGTCGACAAACTCTACATTGGTCACACTTCTTTGTCAGAAAAAGGGCTATACACTGCTACTGAGCTAGACTTGCCGGGATCCCGTTGACGGAAGACTTGAGTCAAGTTGAAGGTATTCTTAATGGCTTGTTTCCAATACTCTGCTTCAAAGGCGAATTTGACCTGTCCACCTTTGTTCACAGGCGGAAGCTGGAAGAAGTCGCCAGTGACAACCAACTAGATATAGACTCGATCAATCAACCTATTGGTTTCTGTCCGATAAGCGTACTATACCTGGATACCACCGAAGGGCTCAACATGTCTTCGAAGGAAGCTGCCCATCCTTGCGAGCTTGTCGAACAGTTCACCGTCAACCATGGACACTGGCGTAGCGTAAGCACCTATCAATAAGCATTGGGGATAGAAGATGTACCTTCATCGATGATCAGGACCTTCGTTCTTAGCCACCGTGCCATAGCCTTCTTATTCTTCTTCACCTTTGTTGCGAGATGCTCTGCATCTTCGATGCCCAAGCCGATACCGGCAAAAGAGTGTATTGTTACACCACCGATATTACAAGCGGCAATGCCTAGTTTGTAAGATGAAATCAGTACTGAACTTCGGACATCTGACTGTACGCGTAGGTTCTCACCAGTGGAAGCCGTCACCGCAATCGCGTCGGGAACCTTGCTGTATCTCTTCTTGAGAGTCTTGATAATCTCGCGAAGGAGGACCGATTTACCAGTTCCAGCGCTTCCGGTATAGAATACACTATTGCCTTGCTCAACAAGTCTCAATATATGCGTCTGTTCCTGGCTCAGTGCCACAAGGCCGGGCTTGGTAGGGACAGAAGAAGTCTTGGGAGTTACGGTGCCGATGGTATTTCGCGACTGTGTGGTATGCGCGGTAGGTGGGTCCCTATTCCAAGAAGAGGGCAGTTGTCGACGTTTATTGGCGGGTTCAGGATGTGTCGTGGCAGGACGTTTAAGGGTAGAATTTGATGATGAAGAAGAAAGGCCGGATTGAGAGCTTGGATAACTTGCAAGGACTTTCTCTGTACATGCAGCACGTTCATCTAGTGCAGCCTGTATATCTCTCAAACGTTTCTCCATTCCAGAGAGCGTTCGTGTACCAGATTGAGAAGAGCTTGGGGTGCTATCCTGACTCGATGATGGTACAGGGTTGGAAGAGAAATCTCTTTTGATAGACCGCAGGCCTGACATGACTTGTTTCTGTTGCGACATGATTGAGCTATTGAAGATGAGTATGTATGCGTTTGGGACCCCAGCAAACCACTCACCCGGATCGCTTTAGACGTATTGCACTTCAACAAAGAGGATGTTCTTCTCGAAGGATCCCTTTAGGCTGGGAACTGTGACTTGTAGATGATGGCTCAGGCTATTGCATAAATCTAACCTAGGGGTATCGCTGTGACAACATGGAAAACGACTTGTAAGATGTTGTCTGCAGTTGCATTACTTTGAAAAATGGATACTAACAGCTTTGGATGGGCACGAAAAGGCAAGCAGCGTGTAACCGCGAGAGAAAGAGGACAACTTCGACGCGACGGAGCGCGCGCGTATCCACGTGGTCGTGTCGACGCGTCTGTGGCTGTAGGCGCTTCGAATGGCCTTGTCTCTTTCACTCTTTGTACTTTGTGCTGTTCACAATATACCCACTTTTCACTTTTCCACTACACTATACACCCACGAAAGAAACAAACCCAGCGTAATCCCACAGAGCAAGTCATACCCTGCGCGGAGGGGTGTCACAGAGTCCCAGGTAACCATCCATCTGTCAGACTTCATCATTCATTTGACTCGTAGACTAGGGTGATACGATAGATGAGATTCCACTATGGAGAATACTCTGAATACAATCAGGAACAAGATTGTCAGCGACAAAGTCAGGGAGCGGCAAGAAGGGATTCGCATTTTGCAGGAGGCTTTTCAACGGAACAGTGTCATTCTCGCGGTTGATCAGGATGGTAAAGGAGGAGGCTGGTTGGTGCTTTTCCAAGCCCTCTTCAGCGCATTTGCGAAGGAGCATAAGGCGTGTCTCAAAGCTGGAAAGGACCACCCAGTCGATTCATTCACGGGAAATGGTGTAGCTCTTCGCAGACTTTGCGAAGTGGTCTCGGCGTTGCGCTTTCTCGTGGAACGCGGTGTACATCGAATGAACACAAGGGTCGTAAGTGCCCTCCTCGAACATCTGGTTAGACATGTCCAGTACCGAGGACATACAACCGCAGTGACACTCGATTATGCGAAAGCTATCAAGTGTCTCCTCAAGTGGAAACCTCATCTTCAACATCTAACTGATGAGAATTGGGTGACTCTCACGACCTTAAGCTTTAACATCATTCTTGGCGACCGGATTCATGCACCTCTTGTCCAGGAGACGACGGATTCGAGATCTCAAGGTAGTCGGGGCGACACGCCGGACACACAGACAGTAGCCTCTGAGGTATTATCACAGGCTGACGAGGATGATCCCATGGATGGTTCTCCTGTTACAGGCAAACGTCGTCGTGTTGAGCAAAGTACTCCACGGCCTGCAGAGATGCCTGGTCCGTCAAGAAATACGGACATACAGATGCTGCCTGTTACGTTGGACCGGATTGAGTTCATGTCTATACTTGCAGTTCTCCTGGGCTCCAGAACATCCCCACTCGTACTAAAGGAAGAAGAGATGCCGAACTTATGCGCAGCTATCTTGGATCGTCTAGTCCGTTTTCTACACCTTTTCCAGCCCGACTCCTCTCTTCATTATGACTATCTCCGAGCCTTGAATGCTGTTTTGTCGCATCTCGCGCTCAATGAGCGTACGCTCGTTATTTCTTTCGCTAGAGAAGCATGGCCCGGCTTGCTCAAACTATGGAGTACCAAGAATCAGAACCTGAAAGAGCATCTTGTCATCGTTCTCCGGACTCTGTTCCCATACTTCACAGCAGACCTGGATGAAAGTCATGCAGTTCAGGTCAAACTCTATGAAGGTATCAACACCCTTTTCCGCATCCTTTGCCGGGAGGCAGAGAGGCGGGGAGCGGAAGGCCTTTCAATGGAATCTTTGCGTCTAGAGAGCATTCCATTAGAAAACAAGAAAGACAAGTCGGGCGCATTTATTGCCAACACATTTCGTTATGGCTGGCATTTTGATGCAAATCAAGCGATGCTGTGGGCGATCTTCGAACTGCAGGCAGACTGTGCTCAACAAGTTAGTGCGCTCTCCTTGTCCCTATTACTTATAAGTTGACATGGTGCCGTTCTGCAGCTGTACAAGATGTCGGAATCTATGCATGCGACACCTATGAACGAAAGTTTTGGCAAACGTCAGAAGTGGATTAATCCCATCAACACCCTCCTCGAGTCCATTGGCATCCATACCCCAAACAATGTTCGCGTATTCTATCTCCAATCAATACTATTCTTTACCGATCGCCATTGGCGCATCTTGCATGCAGGCCTTCAGAAGCAGGTCGCTGATTCGTTGCAAACTTGCCTTGGTGTAGAAGATCCCTTAACCCAGTCATGGACGGTCTTATGCCTTGGTGCTATCGCCCATGCGCAAGCATTGAGTCTCGCCACGATAGATGTGCCATTGTCCCCTTCTCAGATATCTTCACACGACTACACTATTCCTTGGGACTACATCTGGCAACAAGTCATGCGCCGGACTACAGCCACGGCTATTTCAAGGGCGGCCTGCCACGCAGCCAATATCCTGCTTCTGCACTCCAAATCACTGTTGAACTCACACAAGGTGCTTACCGAGTTGGAGACCTTATCCAAAGACCTTGCCATCCAGGGACCATCGTATCCCTGTGACTCTGCTTGTTCTTTTCTAGTCTCGTGCATGCGAGTAGCAAGCCATGACGTTCGACTGTACCGCTTGCAACTGGAGGAGAAGGTGCTAACATGGTTCATGGATAGTTGGAGACCAGGTGGCTTGAGCAAATCACGAATGGCTCCTTATGTCGTCGACGACATACTTGCACTGTTGGGCAGCATTTGCGGTATCTCCAACAGAGCTGAGGTATTGTCCCTCCAACAGCTGCCTAAGACCCCCATCGTGGATGCCATGGTCGTCGAACAAGGTAATGCGGTTATTCAAGACTTTCAATTACATGCGAGACTGCCTCCATATTGTACATCGAAAGATCCACATAGCAGCCTGAATAAATCGAAACCAGCTCCATCGCAATCGCATCTGGCGTCTAGCAACTCAGAAAGCAGCTTTCGAGAGCTAGTTGAGCCTGGACGACGAGAACGGCGCATTTCCGGGTACTTCCTCAAATCGCTCGAGGAGCTTTCGTCGAATTGGGACAGCAATAAGGATTCTTCTGCCCAATTCCCGGCGGAGAAAACACGCACATACCTTGATCTTGCCGTTACCGCCCTTTGTTACGAAGGTAGTCTCATGCACGGGGGCACGCAGATCAATAGGCGCGTCTTACAGGCTGCGTGCAAGCTGATGACACTCGTCACACCGACACTGGAAGGTAGACGATGGTCGCACGCTGAGCAGGGTCTCATTCTTGGATCTCTGGAGCCATTAGTTCTCGGTGATCCACCCAGGGACCTTGTCACCCCTTGGGAAACGTTATTGCCGCCCGGTCCAGGGACTGGAATCCGGTTTGAGATGCTTCAAACTGCTCGTTCTCCTTCCCGTGAGATCAAGTCTCGGCTTGAGCATACTGCAAGGAGAGGCCTGCAACGTGCAATCATGCAGAGTGCTGATGTAAGTCTAGATAGCCCGCACATCTGGAATGTGCTAACATAGCCAGCAGGTTCAAGATGCTATAGCGGTAGTCCTCAAGTCACTTCGTATTGTTTTGCGCAAAGCACTCAACCCAGCCACGCACACCAGGGACAAGGACCTCAGTACTGACGATTTTGGTCAAACCAAAACGTCGACCGAGGTAGACCCTGTTGTCGATGACAGCATTGCTTATTCAGAAACGCGACCCTCTGTGGACGTATGCGTCACTGCCTTGGCAGTGCTCCCAGCAATGCAGTCTGCATGTGAACCAACTCGCGACAAAGAATTGGTGCAATTGGTGGAAGATTGTCCTGGTTTCATTCTCCCCTTACTTACCCCTGCCTTCCTCCAAAATGTTCGCGAAAAGACTTTATCAATCAAACCGACAACCGTAACGGTCATTTTGGAAACAATTGGATCGTTATTGGGAGGCTACCATCATTCCCACAGTGACTTATTGCACTACCTCCTTCTGGACGTGCTTGACGCTACCATGCACATATGGGTGCAGCCCGGCGCGGATGCAGAACTTCAGGATCACATTATACCTCTGCTTGAATGGCAGAACAACCTCTACCTGAAAGGGAAAATGCGATCCTGGAGATGTCGCGATCGCTTTGTGCAATTCTTGGATCACTTCATGCACGAAGACTCACTCCAAAAAGCGTGGCCAGAGACGGACATTGTACCCACACAGCTGATGTATCCCATGGTCAACGACAACGATATTCGCGTCAGGTTTCGGACATCTGCCTCTATTCCACGTTGCTTCATGTTGCCGAGACTGGAGCAACGGGATCCCTTAGAGGTCTATAATGAAATCCGTAAACATGTTTGCAAGGAACTCAGCGAGTATGCCCTTTAATATTCAGTTATGTGACGATCATTCTGATGACTGTTTTAGATACGAAGGAATGCTCACTCGGCTCCTATTTCTTGGTAATATGATGATCGTTAGCTCCGCGGTCAGGCGTGGTGCTTATTGGCACTTTCTGGAGACAAGCCTTAACACTCCTACCTATAACAGGCACATGGAAACCATCCTGGAGGGATTGGCAATTCGATTTGGTCTCCGAAGCTTCTCGCAACTTTTCGAGATTTATGCATCCCAGATCGCTTATTCCATCCGTCAGAATGCATATGACTTTCTTCGATTACCTCCTCACCTCATTGGATATCGCGACAGGCGCGAGTGTGCTGAGGCGTGCTTCCATGCTTTCACTCCCACCAATGTTTTGGCTGGAGGGACTTCCGAAGCCAGGACTCATGGTCGAAATCTCTTCGAGCGTCACTGTCATTTTGTATCGAAGTCTACTGCTGAAGGCGTCCGCGAATGCTTTGCCGAAATTGTGGGGTACCAGGTTGTATCGTGGGCCGAAGATCATCAAGGAGTAGCCAACTTCAATGGAGATATACTATTGCAACAATTGCGCCTCACGACAAAAGAGATTGGAACCGAAGGAAGCAACGGGGATGACTTGTTTTTGCAGTATCTCTCCCAATACGCCGATGGAATCGTGGCGACCGTTCTCAGGACTCTCGGTGACCAGGATTTTTCCCCTAATGGCCAGATCGTAGCTGCTCTGGAGTCTGAAGGACAGCACGGAGTCACCCGTAGTTTCTTAGCCATGTCGAAGTATCGGCGGTCACAGGAGTTTCCAGTACACGAGCCCAATCTTCCCGTCTTCTACACCTCTACCGTCATTGGCGCTTTGACTTGGTTCACTACGTGTATCCCAGAAGTTGATAGATCGGCTACGACGTACCACGTCCTCCATCAACTCTTTGCCGACCTGAATCGCTCACCTTTGATCAACGAGCAGCTTCGACTTTACAACGCCATTGCCGTCTGGCTGGCATTGCATCGGAATCATGTCGGAGACGTTGATGTACTCCGGACCGTGGTCAATGGTGCAACAACCATGCTGATGCACAGTGATAGTGCAAGGGCCGCTCAGTCCCTCCTAGAATGGACATTCTCTCTCCTTGGAGCCTCCAATATCGACACCGGTGCCCATCTTGCCGAGACCCTCATACGTATCAGCTGCACTGCATATGACTACTCCATTCATGAAGATATCCGTGCCGCCTCCATGGGTCATGAATTGATGGACTGGATCGAGTCGCAGTCGTACAAGTTGTCCCAGCACCAGAACCTCAAGCGACAGGTCTTGAAGGCACTGTCAACTTGGCCAAGAGAACTACCCGACTACCTGAAGGCCACCTGGGATAAGAATTCCCGTCCTGATGTTTCGCAACTTCTCGGTGATCGACGCATTGTTTCCAACAAGTTCAGAGTTGTTCGGCGATTACGTGAACTCACGCTGGAAGGTGCATATGATGATGCTCAGTTCTCCAAGTCCGACTTTTGGAGGCTCAAGGAATGCATTCCCGCACTCGAACAAATACTCGACAGCGATGTCGACGCCTTCTGCGAATTGTTAGTTCTCCAAAGAGGTCACATCGATGGACTCGGCAATGACCAATCTGCTTTCGAATCCGTCCGAACACGGCATATGGTCGAATTCAGCAAAGAGAACAAGGGTCGAAGCCAACGCTCTTTGGGGCTTTCTTCTGCAAGAAGGGCTGTAATACTCTCTTTAGTCTCCATCTTGGATGAGCCCTCTACTACCCGTGTCTACGAAGCCTACGTTACCCTGAAATCTTTTGTGTCCCAGCCCTCATTGCATGGAAGCAGCGATCCCAATCAACCGGACATTTTCAGGCAGTTCCCCAGACCAGCTTCATCAAGACCACCGCCGGACATTACAAACCTTCTGACAGACGATTCATATCTTGATATGAGTACCGATTTTCGTCGATGGATTCTTTGTCTGGCTCTGCTGCTCAACGACCTTCTCGGGGCTGTCGACCCTCTTTACTATTCACTTGCTTCCATTCTGCAAGTTGATGCAGGGTTCGCCGAAGAGGTCACGCCCGTACTTGTGCATTGTGCACTAGTAGTAGAACGCTCCGGTCGTCATGCCAGCGGAGTTTCTACAGTCGCCGACACGTTATCCACGTACTTCACGAAGGTTTTATGTTCCGATTTTGCAAGTGTTACCTGCCGAAGGGTCATTGTGGATATTGTTCTGCATCTACGCCATTTTTCCCCCGAGGACACTAAGGACTGCTCAGCTTATGACAAGTGGCTAAGTATTGATTACGTCTTGCTGAGTAAAAATGCTCTGCTATGTGGTGCATTTACCACGGCTCTGCTCTTTATTGAGCTTGCTGCAGAGTATGCCTCCGTATTCTCACTGGAGGCTCCCGAGATAGAAGACATCATGCACGATATTTATACCCACATCGACGAACCCGACGGTTTCTATGGCATCAGGACAAACAATCTCAGCCAGTTCTTGATCAAGAGATTTCATCATGAACAACAATGGGACAAGGCCTTCCAATTTCACGGAGCTGGTCTCGAAGCAGGATCTTCCACAACAGCGGATGCTGAAGGTGTACTTCAGGCTCTCCATTCATTTGGTTTTAATAATCTTGCCATCCAGGCTTTGCATAGCCGTTCAGGATCGAATGAGGGGCCCAAGTCTAGTGCGATGGCGTACCGTCTTGGATGGCGGACGGATACCTGGGACCTGCCGGAAACCACAGAGTATCGCGACCCTGGTGTTGCTCTCTATGTGGCCCTACGTGCTGTCGATCGAGAGCGCGATACAAGAATTTCCGACTCCGTCGTCCGTACAGCCCTGCGCGAACAAATGGACCATCTTCGCAACTTAGGAGATGAAAATCTCACGGAGATTCGGCAAGTCTCTCAGAGCCTGATGTGCTTGAACCAGGTGATACGGTGGAGAAGCGATGATTTTCAACGCAGTCTACTGTCCAAAAGTGTTTCCGGCACTCATTGGAAACTTTTCTGTCAAATCGACCCCGACTTTGAGTATGTACTGATGGTTTTTACATTACATGCTCGTTTACTAATCCGTGCTTTATCAGGTTTTTGGACCTGGAAGCAATCTTGGCAACTCGTACCTCCTTATTGCGTTTCGTGAGGAGACGAGAACAGGGGGAGCAAATTGGAGTCACGGTCACTCCATTCTGTCAAGGCATTCAAGATTTAGAGACTCAGTGCCTTTTGCGCCTGTCCGAAGCAGCGCGCCAAGGCGAGCAGGCACAAATCGCGCTGAATTCTGTGACACTCGCACAACGGTTACAGTCTCGTCTGCATTTCGAAGTATCACAAGAATACGCTCAAGTGCTTTGGCTCAAAAAGGAACCCAAATATGCAGTCCAGTACTTGCGGAGTCTACTTTTGGACATGAATCAGAAAGCAGATGCGCCTCACCAGAACCAGGACGTGCCGAAGGCAACTCTGTTGACAACTCTAGTACGTTGCTTAGAGACCGTTCAAAAACTTACTAACATTTATCTGTAAGGGGACCTGGACGTCAGAGGCCTGCTTAGAAAAGCCAGCACATGTGATGACTCAATATTTCAGTCCTGCTGCAAGTATAATGGATTCCCAGTCGGTTCCTAACATATCGGTAGCAGTGTACTATCAATTTGCTATCTTCGCAGATAGGCAGTACCATGCGATGGCGCGATCCCCAGATGCCATGCGACTGAAATTATACCTGGACAGGAAGAAACTGGAGGTTGAGCAACGGAAAAAGACTCGTGATGGCTACGCACAAGGAAGTGAGGGATTCAAAATAGCAGATCACAGCCTTCAAAGGGCTGAGAAAGTGCTACAAGAAGACAGACGTCGGTATGAAGAGCATATCCAGGCACGAGACGCTTTCCTTATGCAAGCTGTGGCCATGTACTCCCGCTCGCTGGAGTTATCAGACCAGTTCGATGACGACTCCGCTATACGGCTGTGTTCTTTATGGTTCGCCAATTTCAGCTACGACGCGGCACATTTCCAGTCGAAACTCGCAATCGCACTAGGACGTGTAGCGTCAAGGAAGTTTGTATTTCTTGCCCATCAGCTCACAGCACGCCTGTCCACAACCGATTCTTCATCTCGGGAACCTGGTCAGGATGTACTACAAACTCTTGTAAAACGCATGTGTCGCGAACATCCGTTTCACAGTTTGTATCAAGTTTTCTGTCTAGGATCAGATCGCAAAGCACAGTCCGGTTCATCGTCGGATATTTCCCGTCGACGATCAAGTCGACAAATACCTATGTCTTCGCAAGCTGATCGTGCAGACGCCGCGGTGGCGATTTTCGACCAACTTCGGTCGGACTCTACTTTCAGGAGCCGGCTTTGCGACGTGGAGAAACTCTGCAATGCGTCTCTCAAATTTGCGACCTACGAGCTCAAAAAACTTCTTAAGGGCAAGACACCAACAGGCCCGCTTCTAATCCCTGCCGATCAAGCGCTCCTCGGAATCAAAGATCTTCGAGTACCTGTCATGACGGCTCATGTACCGATTGACATCACTGCGCGATATGACAATTGTGTTTGGATACACAAGTATGAGCGTAAATATGTCACAGCGGGAGGTCTTAACTTGCCGAAGATTGCTGTTTGTGTTGGGAGCGACGGCAGGAGATATAAGCAACTGGTCAGTTCAATATTTTCATATCGAGTCCTTATTTTCTCACCTTACCACATCTAACAGTTTAAGGGCGAAGGAGGTGACGACCTCCGACAGGATGCAGTCATGGAGCAAGTCTTCGATCTTGTGAATGTTGTCCTACGACGTGACAGAGAGACGCGAAAGCGGCATCTTCATGTTCGAGGCTACAAAGTGATCCCGTTAGCATCTCAGGCCGGCGTGCTGGAGTTCGTGAGCTCCACCATCCCTCTAATAGGCTGGCTTGAAGAGGCCCATCACAGGTAAGTTGCCATATTTACCTGTTGGTTCGTGGATAATGACAAAACCATCAGATATCATCCCCAAGAGCCAGGCAGAAGGGAGTTCCATGAAATAGAGAAGGTACGACAACAGGGCAAAGTTGCACCCCTGAGGGAATTGTTCGGGAAGCTTTGGGGGCAAGTCAAGCCAGTAATGAGGCATTATTTCACGGAAAGGCACAAGACACCTATGTCATGGTTCCGCTTACGGCTGAACTACGCTCGCAGTGTGGCTACCACATCGATCGTCGGACACATCCTTGGTTTAGGCGACCGACATACTTCTAACATTCTGCTTGACAATGAATCGGGAGAGGTTGTTCACATCGACTTAGGCATTGCATTTGACCAGGTAAGAATATCTCTTTGGCTACGTGGCGCGGAGGGCTAATGTACATTATATGATCATTTGTAGGGAAAGCTCCTGCCTGTTCCCGAGAAAGTCCCTTTCAGGCTCACACGCGATATGATCGACGGTCTCGGGGTGACTGACACTCAAGGCGTATTTCAACGTTGCGCAGAGGAAACACTACGAGTACTGCGAGACGGATCTGAAGTCATCTTGACGGTCTTAGAGGTGTTCAAGTACGATCCATTGCATTCCTGGTCAGTCCTGCACCCACGTTCTTTGAGAAATCAATCAGCTGACATTGGGAGTAAAGGACTGCAAGTGAATTGAAAGTCAAACGGGCCCAATCTGGGGAGACCGTGGCCGCGCCGTTGACAGGAGAAGCCACCCGTCATGCAATCGGTCTTGACATGGCAAGCGGGATAGCTGACGAGGCTGCAGATCGTGCCGTCACGTCTGTGAGCCGTAAGCTCGATAAGACGTTAACCGTCGAATTCACGGTCAACGAGCTAATCTCGGAGGCGACGGATATTGACAACTTGGCAGATATGTTCCATGGTGAGCAAAATGATTAGCATAACAGTGTGCTTTTGCTGAACAAAGTCTTAGGCTGGCAAGCATTGTGGTAGCGCGTGGCGAACTACTCTTTAATGCCACATACTGCTAATTCGAACACTGGGAAGAACGTCTTTGCAATGCTAATTTATTATCTGCAATTGCTCTATTATATAGACTCTGTAATACCAGCTTTGCATGCTTTGTTAATGTTTCAATGTATATCATCATCCACCAGATGCAATGGCAACCACCTACGATTCCACCGAAGCTACGAAAACGAAAAGAGAAAAACGGGCGAAAATCGAGGCTCTATAAAATATGACAGAAGTCGTAATGAGACAATCAGATATGAAACACAATGCATGGGCAACCTAGTATAGCACACACCGCAAAGAGGGAGAAACTTACGGACAGATGTGAGGGGAATTTGGTTACGAAACAACGTGTTGGGAAGGGTAATACAAACGGACAGGAATGTCAGGAAAATAGGACTGTGTAACCAGAAACAGTCAAGAAGGCGTCATGATGGAGCAGGAAACGAATAACGGTAAAGAGGGATCCAAAGAGTCCTTGATGGCAAGAAAGGAAATAAACAACTCCCGCATTATCTCGACTTCGCAATCTCTCGAGCAGCCTTGATCAAGGGTGCAAGTGTACGAAGGGGTTCGCAAAGCTTGAAGAAAGGGTGCTGTACGAGGACATCACATCAGATGAGCATCAGAATGAATTGCCTCAACTGAAACTAACCTCGAGAAGTTCGGTGGCTGTCGGACGCTTCTCGACATCCACCTCAAGCGTCTTCGACAGGTAATCTCTGAACGTTGGTGACAACGATTCAGGATTCGCTATTGTCGGGGTACCATTCGTGGCAATGAGGTATAATGCCTTCAGAGGGTTTTGATTGAGGTATGGGGGTTCTCCTTCAATCATTTCTGCATGACACGAATGATTGAGCGGCAAGACAGGAACAATTGATGCAACCACATACCAATTGCCATGATACCCAAACTCCATATGTCCACCTTAGGGCCATATTCTTTGCGAGTCACGACCTCAGGTGCCATCCAATACGGTGTGCCAACCATGGTTGTCCGTTTGGAGTTACCATCCGAGATTTGCGCGCAGAAGCCGAAATCAGCTGTGAAGATCGTCAGAAAGCCGTCGAGAGAGATGAATCCAAACACGCACTAAGTTTCACGTCGCCGTTCATGCTCAACAGCACATTGTCACTCTTGATATCTCTGTGAATGACTCCGTGTTTGTGGAGGTGTTCCAAACCAAGCGCCGTCTCTCTTGAAACAGCAGCAATCTGGCCCTCGGACATCAGGTTGGCGGTGACAACGTCTGTAAGCGACCCGCCCTCCATGTATTCCATGACGACCCAGAGCTCATTCTTGTAGAGGAACGAGTCGATGTAGTTGACAATATTAGGATGACGCGAAGCCCGCATGACCAAAATCTCGTTGATGATGAGATCCTTCTTCGGTTGCTTTTCTAGGTCCATCTGTTTGATGGCTACTGACATATTGGTGCCGACTTGATACGCCGTATATACGCCACCAGAAGCACTAAGGGGGTTCTAGGTCCATAAACTGATATGCAATAGAATCCGCTGATCTACTCACCCTGCACCAATCTTCACCAGGTTACGATACAGTCTTGTAGGATCTGCATCAGTACATATTTGTTGCAATCGCTTGACGATATCGGCTTCTTTATCTTTGTCCTTCTTTTCCCTCCGCCGTGGGGTAGCTCCTCCAGCGGCAGCCGCCTTTTGCAGACTAGCTGTAGCAGGACTCGGTGCTTGTTGCGTGTTCGACCGTTGCACACCTTCTCTTGATGTGGACGAACCTTTCGAAAGGTCTGCCGCAGATGAACCCGGTGATGTCTTCGGTTTTGAAGGTGGAAGACCAGAAGGTGCAGGGGGTATGTGACCGGGGCTGTGATGTCCATGATGTTGCCCAGGACCGGGTGAATGCCGATCGCGTGTGGTATTAGCTCGTGTAAGCTGGTCAGCGCTCTTTGAGATCTTGCTGGCACTAGGGGGCAGACGTTGGGATGTGGATCGATCAAGAGTGGGGGTCAATGGAACGGGAGGAGCGGGAGCGGGACGGTAGGATGATGGCGTCGATGGAGCAGGTTGGGAGTGGGATTTCTTGGGAGGAGGAGGTGCAGGACGCTATTGTAGTTCAGTACTAACTCACCAAGTCGAATAATCGTAGGAATACTCACAGGATGCTGTAGACCGTCTCCTGCAAGTGGCACTGATACAGGTGCTGGTACCGTGCCCATCTTATCCCAAACAGATGTATCCCCTCGGCCTTCCTGGTAGAACTTCACAATCTCCATCACCGCCTGCGGGTTCTTCTCCTGCTCCGACTTGGAGATGCCACTCTCCTGCAGCAACTGCTGCCATTCCTTGGGCAACCCCGTGAACTCGCCCGTCGAAGAATTAAAACCGACGTGAGTCAAGTGAACGGGGTCATAAGGTGTACTGATCTCCGGTCGCTTGCTGCTGTTCAAAAAGTCAGACATGAAATTGAACATGCCCTTTTTTGACTTTGTCGCGGTTGTTGCGCTCCGCGAACGAATGGAATTGCCAGAAGCAATGCTTGAGTGTATGGGGCCACTAACTGATGAAGCATCAGGCATTGGAGGGAGAGGTGGTGGAGGTGGAGGGTCGGTGAGGTTACCGTAGAAGGCGGCTTCTGGAGGCAAGCTAATGGGATCGGAAAGACGGTGGTGAGCCTGCTGATTCGGGGTGGTATAGATATCATGCAGAGTAGTCGTGTTGGCCCGCGATGGGCGAGGAGGAGGGGCAGTGCCGCTCATCATGTTACTGGAGCCGTTATTGTTGGCCGCAAAAGGATCGTGTTCAAGGATCTTTGCCGAGGTATCAAGGCCTTTAGATGGCAAACTGTGCTTCCGGGAAGGAGGAGGCTTCTGGAGAGAGTTACGAACTCGAGGGGGTGTCGACGAGCCCTTAGGTGGGGAAGAGCTGATAGGTATCGACGACGACGGCGGGGCTGGTGCTTGCCGCAAGGGTACAAAAGGATCCTGGTAATTGGCGGCTTGGGCGGCGTGTAGATTAGCCTCGGCTAAGAGATCGTTATACTCTTGTATAGACTCCCTCGAGGGTCGATGGTACTCGACCGTGATTTTGGAATGGCGACTGCTCGAAGGAGAATGGAAAGACCTGCGATTGATAGCGCTCTGCGAGGACATTCGAGGTGCACTTGCAAGGGTGTTCACAAGTCGATGTTCCCGGCAATTGCAGAAGTTCTAAAGTGCAACGGGTGGCTGAACAGAATGAAGGTGAGGCGGCCGCGAGTGATGCTGGCGAGCTGCAGATGGTCGGTAAAATATATCCGTGCAGCGTGTTGGCAACGATCGTGATTACAACGGCAAGTTGCCGCACACAAAGTCAATTATAGCAATTAGTGCCGGTCCAGGGCGTGTTCGATGATGTCTACGAAGGCACCAGGACGTCTTGGACAGCGTTGAGACTGTTGTGGACGACGAAGGAGACAAAGCTGCTCTGGTCGCTGCTCAGAGCAGTGGCGTCCAGAACAACAGTTCAAAAAGCCTTTTTTGGTTTATCGATTTTCGGTAACTCTGCTTACGTACGCATACCCTTAAGCAGCAACTCTCGACGTTTGCCTTTTACCTTGAAAACCGACTTCTCAACTGTACATCCGAAGAACCGTATCATTCATACAATCACTCGAAGAACATGGAATGTCTGAATAGGATGGGGTATATATGAGTGTGATTTACCGAGGTCTGGCCGCTTTGTATCGAAGAATACAGAAAGCTCTGTCTTACGATAAGTCTTGAGCCCGTCATTGAGTGTGTTGCTCTCGTATCGTGCCTGGGGTTTGTTGTTCTTTGACTTCTGATTTATGAGTTTGTCTCTGTAGGTGTGAGCGAGGTCGCTGTCCACCTTAGGGTTACTCCCTGTTCTTTTTCTCCCTTCTATCTGCCATAATTTTAGAGTTTTAAGTTGTATCCGCGTCGCGGTCACAATACGCCGGGTGAATTCAGGCGCCCGCGACTGAGGTTGAATCCACCCCAGGATTCTCCTGATTCATTCCTCTCCTTTATTCTCTTCACTAGTACTCGCTTCAATCATCATGCCTCAGGACAAGAATTATGGATACGGTTCTTCCGGCTATAGAAAGAGTAAACAGAATAGATTCCCAATCAGCGTCGAAGCTAACAATTAGAGTAGTGGTAGAACTATCTAAATACCTATAGAAAGAGTAAACAGAATAGATTCTACATGGTATAAGTCAGCACGAGTGAAATGGCATAGAATGGAAAATAGGTACACACCCCAATCAGCATCGAAGCTAACGATTGGGGTGTCTCTATGGAAGACGGTTGGTTAAGTATCTACGGAATACTTGGCAACAGGAACGGAACGGAATAAGATGGAATTAAAGGAACGCAGAACGGGATCTGTGGCGTAGGTCGAGAACGCGGGTAAAATGAAAGAAAGAATTTGTATACAGAAAAAGGAAATATACTATCAAAGTGATCGAGCGTTGAGTAGAACGAGAACCGGCGGCTTGATTTTCCAACACTCCCCCTCAAGCCGTGGTGAGTCCCATCGCAGCAGCAAAGTGCTTTGCTTTGACACTCGGAAGAGCCTTGGTGAGGACATCTGCAGTCTGTTGATCGGTAGGGCAATAGAGGAGTCGAATAGAGCCATTTTCGATAACGTAGCGAATGAAATGATATCGTATGTCAATGTGCTTTGTGCGGGCATGGTAATTTCCATCTTGAGTGAGGGCAATGGCGGATTGACTATCACTGTAGAGAGTAGTGGGCTGGGTAAGAGGACGGAAGACTTCGCCGATAAGACGACAAATCCACAATGCTTCTTTGGCAGCGTGGGTAGCTGCAACATATTCAGATTCAGTAGTTGATAGAGTTACCAGCTCTTGCTTCTTTGAAGACCATGAGACTGCACCGCCGTCAACCAAAAAGACATAGCCAGTGATAGCACGCCTGTGCTCCTGCGAAGCTCCATCAGCATCTACAAAACCTTCCAAACCATTCTGGACTCCCCCATAAACCAGCGAGAAGTTCTTCGTCCCAAGCAAGTAACGAAAAACTCGCTTTACGGCCTCCCAATGGATCCAAGTGGGATTATCAGAGTATTGAGCCAACGTAGAGACCGCGAATGCTATATCGGGTCGCGTACCAATTGCGGCATACATGAGGGAACCGATGGCCTCACGGTATGGTATCTTGCGCATGCGGGCTATGTCCGCGAGAGCAGTGGGGCATTGAGTGCGTGAAAGCATGAGGTTTGGATCCATAGGCAAAGAGGTGGGCTTGAGGTCTGTGAAATTGAAGCGGGCGAGGATCGAATCAATGTAGGCGTGTTGTGAGAGAGCAATGGTGCAATTTTCATAATCGTGGGTGATACGGATACCGAGAATCCAACTCGCAGGACCCATATCGGTCATGCAGTACTTCATATTGATAGAGGTCTTGTACCATTGGAGGAGAGGAATGGAACTTCCAGTGATTAAGCAGTCGTCGACATGAACAACTAGAATAATGATATCTTCTTCAACACGAGTGAAGAATACCCCCCAATCGGCCTCTGCACGTTGAAAACCCAAGTCAGCGAGTGCACGACAGAGATGTTCATACCATTTACGCCCCCCTTGCTTTAAGCCGTAAAGGGCTTTGTGGAGTTTCCAAACATAGAGTTTCGGGTCCTTGGTCGCGTAATGAGGTGGTTGCTCCAAGTAGACAACCTCGTCATCATCAAGTGTTGAGTTGAGGTAAGCTGAATTAAAGTCGAAGGAGTCAACAGCCCAGCCGTTGCATGCAGCAATAGCTAGAATGAGTCGGAAAGAGGCCAATTTTGCAACGGGAGCGAATGTTTCGTAGTAGTCAACACCATGAACCTGCGTGTAGCCTCGTGCTACTAAGCGTGCCTTGTACTTGTCAATTTCGCCCGCGGCGTTCTTCTTGATATGAAGGACCCACTTGGATCCTACAACATTGACTCCTGGTGGGCGTTCGACGAGGGAGAACGTCTTGTTCACTTCAAGACTCATTAACTCCGCTTTCGACACTTCATCCCACTTAGGCCAATCCGAGTGCCTCATCGCCTCCTCAAAAGTTGGCTCCAAATCCTCTGCATCTCCCATCACTGCCGCCATGGCCAATTCCTCCTCATCTGCACCTTCCCAGACCTCAGCAACCTTTCCCTCCTCAGTAGTGACCTCAGCCAATCCCCTCAATCCAGTTTTCAACTGGATACCCACAGGTACAGCGGGATCACTCGGTCATGCACTCATCACGCCCTCACCGCTTCGAAGATGTTGAACGTATGCAGACAGTTTTTGAACGCATTTGCCCGGTGTGCTTGCGGCTTCGAACTTTGGCCCTAGGACATCTGGTTGCTTAGACTGGGGTTTTGGCAATGTGGTGGAGTTCAGCTTCGGATCTTCCGCAGGAGGTGAGTTGCTTGGTTTTGCATTTTTGTCATTGCCTTCTGATGGTGAAGTAGGTCACTCGTTGATGTCTGGTGCTTGCTCCCCCGCGAGCAGCACTTCAGCGAGGACAGTGGGCTTTTCGACATTGAATCGAACACTCCATTCGATGGTTACATTTCGACATTCTGGCCAGTAGATCTGGTGTGCTCGGCTCTCCTCATCGAAGCCTACCCATCGACCCATAATCGCACATCCATCAAGCTTCATCCCTCCAGTATGGTGAATGCGGACTTTACAACCCCAAGGGACTAGGTTTGCAAGATTCAGTTTCGAACCTTCAAGAACCTCGTACGGTGTTGCATCACCAATGGTGCGAGTCGGTGTTCAGTTCTTCAGGTATGTCGCATGGAGAACAGCTTCGCCCCACAAGAATTTGGGCAAGCCACTGTCATGCAACATTGCACGGACCTTCATTATGAGTGTACGGTTGAGTTGCTCTGCCACGCCATTGTACTCTGGCGTATCATGGGTGGTGAGTCATCGCACGGTGCCATTTTCCTTTAGGAAGCTACTAAAACTTTTGCTTAGGTACTCCCCCCCTCAATCGGTGTGTAGGACTTTAATCTTCACACTCTGTTGTGTATTGAGTCATGCAGTGAGCGTGCGATAGGCTTGCTCCACTTGGTCCTTGGTACGAAGCAGGTATGTGAATGTATAGCAGCTGTTGTCGTCCATAAAACTGATATAGTAACGACATCCTCCAATCGTTTCGACAGGAGCCGGTCCCCAAACATCCGAGTGGATTTCGTCTCCAACATTCGCTGCTTGTTCGCCCTGGCATTCACGTTGGATTGCTTTTCGAGTCATCTTCGCATGCTCGCAGGACTCACAGACTTTCAGAGGTTCTGATTTGTCCAACTCGACACCCAGGACCAAACCCTTTCATACCAAGTCTCTCGCTGCATCGTAACTAATATGGCCAAGATGACGATGCAACTCATCCAAAGATAGCACTTCAGCTACCTTCGCGGCATAGTCCATTGGGTGGTATACTCGATAGAGACCACCTGAAGTTTCGATCTCGCCAATCAGCTCCTTTGCTGCAGTGAAAATGTGACAGGAGTTGTTGTGAAAGACTGCTCCATAGCCAGCTGCTGTAATGCGGCTAATGGATATCAAGGTGACGCGCATATTCGGTGCATAGAGGACATCCTTTAAGAGAACTTGACGGGTGTTTGCTCCACAGGGGACGTCCATGTACATGTCGCCTTTGCCAATAGCCTTAAATGTGCGATTGTCGGCAGAGCCTATAGGGTGGGGTTTGATATCTGCGAAGTTTATGAACCATTCGCGGTATGGAGACATGTGACGGCTTGCACCAGAGTCATACAATTCGACATGGACGTCCTTTGGGTCACCAGCACCCTTCGCCATAAATGCGTGCTCAAAGGTGAGGGTGTATGCTTCATCCTCATGAAGTGTGCTAATGTCTTCATCAACAGGCTCTCCTTCAGTAAAGTCATCCAGCGTGGTTGGGTCCACAGGTTCATCAGTCGAGTTTGAGACTGTGCGAAGGTCTGGTATAGAGGTTTCGTCATCCTCGACATCGGTTGCGGAGTCACTGCAGGGAGTTTCATCGAAGAGGGAGTCATTATCGGGGAACCAGGAATCCTCGTCATCAGTTGCAGAGGTGACACGGGTACCACCCGCTGTCTCCATGTAGTCGAGGATGTTGCCTTCCGCCATGGCCATCCATGCGGCATCCTCTGACTTCTCCTCCTCCTTGGCAACTGACGCTTTGTCCTTAGGCTCACTCTTCCCCTTCCCCTTTCCTTTTCCCTTCGGTCCCTGACCTTCCTTTCCACCACCGGGTGCCCAACAGTCACGTTTATAGTGACCGGTCTTGCCACAGTTGTGGCACTTCTTGTTCCACTTCGACTTCTTCCCACCTTGGTCGTTCGCCCAGAATGCAGCATCCTTCGAGTCAGTGGTGCGTCTTGACTTCAACGCCCGGCGATCATACTCCTCAGTCAATGTCTGCATAAGATCATCGGCAGTAAGGGTCTTTCCCAACACACTGGAAGTAGCTGTGACAGCAGAGATGTAGGGGTCGTAAGAAGTAGGGAGTGATCCTAGGATGATAGCGTAGAAATCTTCATCGGTAGGGGGTTGACCAAGGGAAGCAAGGTTCTCTCGCATGGTGCGGAGTTCAGCAAAGTGGTTACGAAGGTCATCCTTCTCGCTCACTCGCTTGTCTTGCAGACAGCGACGAAGGTCAACAGAGACCATACGAGACTTGTTTTCAAAGTCGTTAGTCAAGGTAGTCCAAATCTCGCGGGCAGTGGTTTTCATACAGATCTTCATAAACAGAGAATCCGGAATCGTACTAGCAACAAGCTGTTTCATAACAGCCTCTCCTCTCGTCCAGTCAACAAGTCAGGTTTCATAAGCAGCAGTTGCAGCAACCTCAGCAGCGGTTGGAGCTGCAGGGTCGGCAGGAGCTGGTGGCATAACTGGGGCTATGGTAGTTCTGTCAAGGTGACCACGATAACCACGGGCATCGGCAGCCCATAGCACATGATCCTTGTAGATAAGCCAGTTAGCTCCATCGACTTCGAGTTTCGGAACTCGCAAGTATTCTTCTAGCTTGACAGTAGACATGATGATGAGAGTGAGAGTGGTGTGAAGGGAAGATCAAGAACAGCAGAGCAACTACAGGTGTTTCGGACACCTATTCACTTCGACGCAAGGTTTAGGGTAGCTCGGGGCCCATAACCTATAGAAAGAGTAAACAGAATAGATTCCCAATCAGCGTCGAAGCTAACAATTAGAGTAGTGGTAGAACTATCTAAATACCTATAGAAAGAGTAAACAGAATAGATTCTACATGGTATAAGTCAGCACGAGTGAAATGGCATAGAATGGAAAATAGGTACACACCCCAATCAGCATCGAAGCTAACGATTGGGGTGTCTCTATGGAAGACGGTTGGTTAAGTATCTACGGAATACTTGGCAACAGGAACGGAACGGAATAAGACGGAATTAAAGGAATGCAGAACGGGATCTGTGGCGTAGGTCGAGAACGCGGGTAAAATGAAAGAAAGAATTTGTATACAGAAAAAGGAAATATACTATCAAAGTGATCGAGCGTTGAGTAGAACGAGAACCGGCGGCTTGATTTTCCAACACCGGCTACACCTATACTGGCAGTGGCACCAATGACCAGGTAGGCTCATCGACTCGGAGTCCTTGTGCCATTCATTCATTCATTCCGTCGTCGGCATGTAGGGCAATCATTACTGCAGTCGCACGAATAATGATGGTCAATCTGGCTACCACTATTCAAACAGGTATGCAAGGCTTCACTGACCCATGATAATAGTATCTCCTGACATTCACACCCATTCCTATAGGGATGGTAGTTACTACTATGACAACCCCAATGGATCCAAGTACTACAATGATGGTCAGGGAAATGCCCAGTACACTCCTCCTGGCGGAGATGCTCAGAAGTCCTCAAAGTAATTGAAGGATTCGATGCTTGTATGTTCACCCCTTGATTCATCCCCAAAGTCCTCGCCCCTAAATCTGTCTTACCACCCACTTAGATCTGATCGATGATCCGCTACGCGAGTGTCTAGATGGTTCTTGGTAGTTCATAAACGTATTGTAACGTCGTAGTATTTGTTTCGCAATGGATGAACCTGTCACTGCATCGTTAGTCGAGCACTTGGTTGGGCAAGCCCAATTGAGCGAAGTCGGCGCTTTGTCCACAATCCGACGCGACGCGTCGAGCGCTTCATACACCGTGACCGTGTTTTTTGGTCTTTCAAGTTGCCACTGGCATGTTCTCCTTGCTTTTGCATCGTGAAAGGTAGAATTTGCTAGACGAGACCCAGCTACATGTGCGAGTGTTGCCATATTTTGACTGTGAGAAATTCTCCACTAAGTTCTCCCCACTTCTCGACTCATGTCGGACTAAGTACGTGCGGCTCTTGGCAGGACGATTAACCTTCGGTGCACAAGACGACGGACGACGTTCTTCACCCTTGAATCTTCTTTGAGCTTATAGAACTACTTGAACTATGCAAGCGACGCTTGATGCGCCTGCTCTGAAACGTATGAGTACCTACAGGTTCATACATCACGCTGTTTCTGAATGTACCCTTAGAACTGGTCCGCGCTTTGACGTGCCTGTCTAGATATGGTGACGACCTGATGATAATCGCCTCACTCAATCGACTATTGCTCCATACGACGAATACCTCGCAAACCGCGTATGGACGAATCGTATACAACAGTCGTTTCTTTGTTCGATATCGCGTGGATCCTCGGTCCATGGACGAGGATATGAACGTTGATGGACAGCTTTCAATAAAAGTAGGTATTCTCGTCTTGACTGACTCTTACTGCATTTGACGCACTGACGTGGTATTTAAGTCCTTGCTGGGTGTTCTCAAACCCAAGACAGTTGAGAAGACCGTCACTAAATGCGACCTCTCCATCGTGCATGGCGAAGCTCCAGAGGGTGAAGAGGATGAAGACCATGACAGTCTTGAAAGCAAGCTGATTGTTCGCTTGTATTGCAAACATGGTGAGTGGTGTTTTTCATTCCTACAAATACTTCTTTTATCATACTGAGCTCCATTTAGGCGTTGTCAAGACACACCGACTATTGCTTGCAGAAACTCTGAAGCATATGGCCCCAAATGTCCCTGATTCTGTTGAAGAGTCCAACCTCAGCATCCCACCAAAGAATCTAAAAGACATCATTGAGCACTTCAACACCGCGAAAGTTGGGAAGGTGGATCCTCAGTTAATTTGGACGTTCGATACGGACAGCGTCCTTGTTCGGAGCCAAGAAAGCTTCAATTCCAAAGGTTCGTATATGCCTTTGTATCTGATGTAAGAAAGAACTATTCACATTTGGTTAATAGGGACAAGCCAGATAGCTACCGAGTTTTCAGTTGGTGCAGACGAATTCACAACATATGACATATTCGCTCCTCCGGTCACAATTGCGTTCCATCTGCGCGAGTTTAGTGTAAGTCCTTCACCTTCTCTTCTTTTGTTTCTTCCCTCAGCGTGAACCATAGGCTATGATGGCGTTTGCTGAAGCGTGTGGTCTTTCGGTCCATATGCAATTCACCGTTCCCGGGAACCCTCTCTTCGTACAACCCGAAGGTGGTGAATTCTACGAAACCCTCTTCATCATCTCGTTGACCCAGGTCATTACCTCCGGAAACACGAGTCAAGCCTCCAATAATCGATCAGCGCCCCAGCGACAGCCGCAACCGCAGCCTCAACGCAGGAAACGTCCTCTGGAGGACGATAGTAACCAATCCAGTGCTTCAGTGAACGAAAATGGTGATAGTCAGGCACACCGGCAGCCTGAAAGAATTCCAATTCGTCCCAAACAACCCATGAAAGCTATTGTGCGGACAAATCGTGCTGAATCTTCTGCGCGAGACATGGAGTCTCCAGCTCCTGGAGGATCTAGAGGATCTATGCCTCCACCTTCTCTGCCCGCTTCTGCAATGAAACGAGGACCTACTGCTAGCCAACGAACCGATCCTGATCCTCCCCCATCAGAGCAGCCGTTATTCCTGCCCAGTTCTCAGCTGTCTCAGCTGTCTCAATTATCTCGCGAGGCCGAGGAAGCGATCATTCAGTCTGGGCTTGGAATCGAGAACATGGATATGGCGGAGTTCGCAGCGATGTTGGAGGATGAAGGCGAAGAGGTCGGATTTAACGTTGATGAAGATGGAGAGGGTGGTGCACAGGGTGAGGACGTGCAGATGCGAGAAAGTAGCCTGGAGATCTGGGAGACGGGGACTCAGTTGGGGCCAACCCAGGAGAGTAGGAGCGATAGGGTGAGTGATTAAAGTTACCAGAAACTGCTCTTTTACGTTGCTCATCTACGTTATCCATACTTTGACAGGTGTTCAAACCTCTTTTTGATGACTAGACGCAACATCTTGGACGGTGTATGCTATAGATGCGCATAATGTACAACAACACTGCAATAGGTGAGTGCGAGCTGAATGGTATCATGTACAAATAGTGACGATGCTTCATGTCCGTGTAGAACTTCGTAATGTGCGCCCCAAATTCCCGCCTCTTCCGCCGCCTTTATTTTGTTTCGCCAATGCCTATAATGTCCGTCAGTATTCTTGAAACGTCTTGGTCACGGGCCCGAAGACCTTCGGCCTACCTCCTATGGCTGCAATTTCAACTCCATCATTTGTATCTCCATTGCGCCCCTCTTGAAAATCTCGCGCAAATGCAGCACCCCTTGCTTTCTGCGAAGAGTGCGGCGACGATTAGGGTGCGATGACGATAACGGGATATCTTTCGAATGGGTCCGACGCAGTTCCCTTGAGCGGGGTTTAGGGAAAGGCCAGTTATCCGCATAATCGCGCCTCGCTCTTCGCTCTCTGCTCGAAGACGTGCGTTGACTGAGGCGCATCGGAAAGTGTCGAGATGTTGTTGCACTCATCGAGGATATGGGCTCAGTGGATGCCATGGTCATAGTGGATGATGAGTGGGTTAGAGGATGTTAGGTGTGGTATATGGTGGCGGTGACGATGCAGGATGACGAGGGGGTGTAAAGAAGCGAAGGGGAGAGGGCGAGACTCTATATATCTGTTTTACGGTCACGCAAGGCCCTTGCGCACGCGTACTTCATAGAAGGATGAACGAGAGTGGCCCCTAGTACCGGAGCTTCCCGATCTCGTTGCGCTTCTCGAATCATCGTATAAGACACTCCGTCACTTGTATCCGGTTTCAAAGGATATTCATCTGAAGAGTGTCTTGAGGTATAAGGCATACGGAAACAAGTGAATGCGATAGCGTAACAAACCTAGGCTGAATCTAAGACTCGGAAAATCCCAATTAACACGGCCTGTCACGTTGTGACAACACGCGTCTTCAGGACGCGTCCGACGTGCATTCTTGTTTATCAATAACCCCCACCTTAAATCCATCATCTCATTCTCTATACAGAGTCCGAAGATGCTTCCCACACCACTTCATTCAATATCTAACTCTCCTCTTTCCCGATCTTCTTTTACTCCGCTTAAAGGCACTTTGAAGCAGCACTCTATCGAACGTCACCAAGAAACCTCTGATAGCGCGAACACCGCGTCCTTCCCTCACAGTTGTGCATCATGTAAAACAGTGTTAGCCGAGGGCACGACATTTAAATGGTGTCTTGATTGTGTCGTGCATGAGGCGAAGAGGATGCAGGAGAACAGAGACGCGTCGCGGCGGAGGAGGGCAAAACTTCGGGCTAGCAGTTCTAATTTAAGCAGTCAGCATGAGTTGATGCAGGTGGACCCTATGCCAAAAGCTCGATCTACGTTTTCGACTGCTTCTTTAGTGAAGGGGAACAAAGAAGGGATTACAAGCGTTTTAGGCAAACGCAAATTGGAGGTGGATGTAGATCCAAGCAGCAGTGCACCTCCATCTATCCCGCCACAGACACATGCATGTCAAGAGTATCAAACTAGTGCCGACCTCTTCGCGGCCATCTCATACAATACCAAGACTATCTCATTCACTACCCGATTCCTTGAAGGAAACACCTCAGGGTCGTCTTCGATACCTCCACCTCGAGACAAATGGGCTTTTAACGCGTCATACACCGTCATTGCAGACCCTACCGTAACGCGGTTGCGGCGTATGGAAATGGTCCTCAGAGAGTTCAAGAAGGCGATATCACTCCCCTTCAGGTCTGTCCCCCCAACTCTGTTAGCCCTTGATCACTGATTAATGACCGCATATATGCAGATTGCCAGGACGTATAGAAGCTTCCAAAGGCTCTGACCTCCTCATAAAGGTCTTTCCATGCCAATGTACCCAGGGCCGCCAAGCCGCGCCATCCACATCTCCTGTTCCCACTCTATCTGCAACTTCATCTTCTTCGTTTTTCCCCATGCAGCCCTCTGCTTCGAATTCCAAGTCAGCTGAGATGCATACATCCGATATGAAGCCTAAACCTACGCTCAAAAAGACGCAGAGTACACTGTCGAATTGGTTCGTCAGTACAGGCGTCAAAGGAAAGGCGACCGCTCAAACGAGTTCCGCTAGCACTGTGAATATCGAGGAGAAAGTATGCACTGGGTTCGTGAGGATTGCAGTAGCGACAGATACTTCGCATAGGCTGGGACGCAAGTTGAAGGGTCAGAAGATTATTATATGCTTTGAACACCCTGATGGTGGCACTCTCGTGCCATAAAGGAGTTCTAGAGGAACGGGGAACGTAGGCGGAAACCATACAATAACAGGTTGCTTATTTTCTTGGCGCATCGTTGATACATTTTTGTTGCTTTTCATACCTCATCTTTAATAACCAACCACTGAATACCTGCCTGCTAATGGCAGGACTAGCCACGCAAACAGCTTCCAGAATGAGATGGTATAAGAGACGACATATATTTATACATCATGCAGATGCGACTGCAAGTGGTGGAACTTCAAAGTTAGAAGCCAAATCGTCGAACTGCGCAGCCTTTCGTTCTATATCCTTGACCAAAGGGAAGGTAGGATATTGACTCTTGAGTTGACTAGTAAAAGTGAAGAAAGAGTAAGATATACATCATTACACATCTGTTCTGACGACACATACCTCCAGCATTGCTCGGCATCCGCTAGCTTTGTGGCACCAAGACCATTCGCTACCGTCAACGCAGCCAACGTCTCCTTATCAGGTGCTCCTCCCAACTGTGCGGTAGCCTCCTCAAGGTCAGACTTCGCAGCACTCACTTCGCCCCGGAGTAGACGAGTCACCCCACGGGCAGTGAGCAAGTGCGGTGAAGAGAGAGAAGGGTTGGCAAGCTGTTCTGTGTAGAATGAATGAGGGTCAGAGTAAGCGTCCTTCCCGGTGACCAACGCAATGGATGATTCAATGAGTTGGAGGAGAATGTCGTCTTCGGCCCAGCGTTTTGCCAGGTTGAATTCTTTAGTGGCTAAGTCTGGGCGGTTGATAGAGAGGTATATTTGAACAATCACAGAGACACTGTAGGAAGCATGTTAATTTCCGGTTATCGCGTACGTGACAAAGGACGACTGACGCTTCTAAGTTCTCTGTATGGGTGCCAGCACCAAGTGTCTCCAAGGCCTCCTCAACCTCGCCCGCCCTCGCAAAGGCGGTCCCAGCCAGCACCTTCACAAGGCCCTTCTCCCTGTCGTCCGCCTCAACATCATCACCTTCGATTTCCACACATAGGTCTCGCAGCTCTTCGAGGATGGACTCCCCACCCTGTTCTGCGGACTCTGCTTCGACGTACTTGGCAAGTGCGCTCACTGCTTTCAAAGCAAGGTTCTCGCTTTCAGATGGAAGAAGCTTTAGTGCTTCTGATGGTTTGTCAAGCGCAATGTAAGCTCGAGCTTTGTAAATAAGAGTTGGATTGTAGTCTGGCGAATTTGGGTCCGGCAGTGTCAGATCGACGAGGGACTTGTAAGCACCTTAGGATTAGTTAGCTCGCGTGTGGTTGAACTTCGGGACATTAGCATAAGCGTACCGAGAGTGAATTGCTGTTTAATATGATAGAGTTCTGAGGAATCCATGCTTGAGAACGCAGGAAAGCAAGGTGCTGGTGGCGGTGTCTATGTATAGAAATGTAAATCCCGTTTTGGAAGCGACATGAAATAGACGCCTATCTTTGATTGGGCCGCGCCCATTCGCCATCGAATCGCTGAAGGCCGTTCGAAGCTGTTGTCCACGCCACTCAATCAAGTGAAAGCTGTAATGGATGTTTCTATATCTGTATACATGCGTTGATCTATGACCTTGTTAGCATCTCGCCATCGTCGTACCAAGTTTATTTCAAGCGACAACTGTTGACCAACCGTTGACAAATCCGAATCACCACGCTGCAGGGAAGCTTGTTCTACGTCCGCCCATGGGATGACAGCTCGCAGATTCCCCCTTCTGGTTATGTTCGGTACACTTAGCCTCATTGTAATGGGTAAGAGATCTCCCAACTCGAGGTCACTGTTGTCGCCGTCACCTCGCCGAAGTCCGCGTCCTTAGTTTTTCGACGTGTCGTCTCTTACAGGAATGTTCTTCGTCGTATTCGGAAGTGGGCAACTCTGCTTGCATTTTTGGAAATTAACAGATAAATAAGCCAGAGGTGTAAGGAGGGAGATAGTCGGGTCCCCCTCCGTCTCTGCTCTTTCATCCCCGTTCCGTCACTATGGCATCTGCTCTGACCAGTCTACCTTCCAATATTATCCGTCGTGCTTCATCTTATGTATCCGTACGTGGTGTCGTCGGTGACATGAGTCGTAATATGGTGTGGACTAACCCAATATTGTGGATTCTGTGACAGAACTCGAAGCAGAACGGTGCACCTGTTGTCGACGCGCCGGAGAGCAAAGAACAATCATCTTTCAAGCTCCTTCAAGACTTCCGCGAACAGGTATGAGACTTAGCTCCCTTCATACGGACATGCTTAACATGTCATCAGGTTAAGAAGGGTCTTCCCTTCAGTCTCGACCTCGCTGCTATAGTAAGTGATTCAATGTAGTACATGGTACGACCGTCTTCCACTCACATCGACCCCAGCCGGGCATTGTAGACGCCTTGAGGCACAACAATGCGATCGACGATCGCAAGATGCTGGTTGGTCATCCCATCTATACTTGCACTGATTAGAAAAACTGACGATGTATTCCACACCACTAGCTTGAGAACCTTCTCGTATTTTTGTCTCGTCTACCTCAGGACACTTTCGCTACTAAGCTTCAAAACAAAGTTGTCGAGCTGCGTAAGTGGTTTCCGCCCGATAGGCCCAAGTATATACAGCATGCTCAATTCTTCACAGTGTACAATGATCTGCCTCACCCACCTGCGACGTATCTTGGTAACCAGTACGCCTGGCGGGCTGCAGACGGAGGCCACAATAATATTGAAGCCCCTGATATGGGCAGGGCCGGCAGGCCCTACGCTCGTAGTGTCCAGCAGGTACACCCTCTACCCCGTGATGCTTTGCCTGATGCGGGGCTCGTCTTCGACACGCTGTTGAAGCGAGAGAAGGTAGGGTCCTGATTTTTAGATCATCTACCATGACTTCATTCTCTCTTTCCAGTTCGTCAAGCACCCTGCTGGCTTGTCTAGCATGATGTTCTCGTTCGCGGCTCTTGTGATTCATACGTATGTAACTGACCGTCTTAAAGTTGTCCTTATTACTGAACTTTTTGTAGGGTATTCCGCACCTCTCATGAGGACGTGAATATCAACGAGACCTCGTCCTATGTCGATCTTTCGCCGCTTTATGGACATAACCAAGAGGCTCAGGACAAAGTCCGGAATCGCAATGGACGTGGTGAACTGCATCCCGATACCTTTGCAGAGGATCGACTTTTGTTACTTCCTCCTGCCGTTTGCGTTATTCTAGTCTTGTTCAGTAGAAACCATAACGTCAGTTTCCTTCCGCGTTTCTCCTAATCCACACTGACATGCTGTGTTTTACACAGTACATCGCTAAGAAGCTCCTAGAAATCAATGAAAGAGGAACATTTGTCGACCCCGATAATATGTCTAGGGACGATCCAAACCACGATCAAAAACTGCAAAAACAAGACGAAGAACTCTTCCAGACTGCGCGTTTGATTAACTGTGCGTTCTCCCTGATATCTAGTGCCAGTAACTTCTGACACACTTGCAGGTACCTGGTTCGCGTCTGCTGTCTTCTCTGACTACTTTAGCGCCATCCTGGGACTGGTTCGTCAGGGCAGTAGCTGGAGTCTGAACCCTTTCGGTGTATGTGTTTTTCCATTGATCTAGGTGTTGATCGTTGATGGTGTCTATTTGCAGGAAATCAGAAAAGAAGATCACTCTCTCTTCGAGCGTGGACGTGGTAATGTTTGCAGTGTAGAGTTTAACTGTTTGTATCGGTGGCACGCTACAACGTCCGTAGAGGATGAGCAATGGGTTCACGACGCCTTTGGCAACATCTTCCCTGGTAAAACTCCTGACGAGGTTCGTTTTTCGTTCGTTTGCTGCTTCAGATATTAACTGAATTAACACTCTACCCCGTATCGTACAGCTCAGCGTCGCAGATTTCAAGGCTGCTGCGAAGCAGCTGCAAGCTAGGGCACCCGATGTGACTGAATGGACGTTCGGAAAGTGAGTTATTTAGACATAGTGAACTGACTGTCGCTGAGACCAGTATGACAAGCTTGCAGCGTGGAGACGATGGCACATTCAAGGACGAGGACCTTGCTAATGTTCTGCACAACGCGTAAGTCTGTTTGCATCTCCATATTTGTATCAGGTTGACAGCGGTTTGCTAGTACGGATCATGCTGCTGGCGCTTTCAAGGCTAGGGGTACGCCTCATATTATGCGTTTGCATGAGATTATGGGTATCGAGCAGAATCGTCGGTGGGGTGTATGCTCTCTGAATGACTTCCGTCAGGTAAGGGCTTCGCCCAGTCTTAAGAACCGCCGACCTGACGTGCTTTGTGATCATTCTAGTTCCTTGGTCTGAAGAGTACGTTCATTTGTACCATCCATCTTTCCGTAACTCATCACTGTCTGCATAGCGTATTCCACATTCCTTGAGTGGAACTCAGACCCTGAGGTCGCGGATGCTGCTGAGAAGCTTTATGGCGATATCAATATGCTCGAACTCTACGTTGGTCTCCAGGCTGAGGAAGCTAAACCTGTCGTCGCCGGTGCTGGACTCTGTCCTTGTGAGTATCATCACCTCTTTCTAAACGAATCATTATCTAACGCTACCCAAAGCCTACACCATCAGTCGTGCAATCCTCAGCGATGCTATCGCCTTGACTCGAGGTGACCGTTTCTACACGGCCGACTACACGCCATTCAACATGACTGCTTGGGGCTTCGCCGATTGCCAGCGCGATCCCACTGCTCCTGGCTATGGCAGCACTCTTGGCAGGTTGTTCCTTAGGACCCTTCCTAACCACTTCTCCCATAACAGTACCTACACCTGGTTCCCTCTCATGACGCCACAGGCAATGAAGCCTATCTTAACGAAGCTCGGCGACATACAATTGTATGACTTCAGGAGGCCGACTGTCAAGAATGATGCCGTGACTGTGAGCGGGTATAGAGAGGTGGTCGAGGTATTGAAGAGCACGGATAGGTTCATCATACCGAAACACACCCGGCAAGCGACTGTGGTCAGGGGTGCAGGGTATGATCCTCTTCCTCTTCCCTTCAGTGACCTACTGATCTATTAATGCAGGTTCTTCATCGCTTCGGAGGACATGGCTCGGGGAGAACGCGAACAGCGTGTGATGTTGAAAGCGCTAACAGAGGCTCCGGGTGGTATTGGGAAGATTACCACCTATTTCTACCAGAAGACTCGGGAGCTTATGTTGCAGGGGAGCTATACCTGTGTGGGAACCACTACTAGGAACGTTGACCTCGCAAGGGACGTCCTCAAGTATGTTCCTATCTATTGGGCATGTGAGCTTGTAGGTTCCTTTTGTGCCTTCATTTCTGTTTTCTTGTCCTCATGGTGTTCTGTCTCCTAGGCCGGCATCCCACTAAGCACGAAGGAAAATCCGGAGGAAGGCGCATGGACTGTCAAGGAGCTGTATGGCGCATTGACCGAGATATATTCGTACGGATTTGATGTCGAGTTTTTTTTGCTTACGTGCTGAAGTTGTTTGGTTTAGATATCTTTTCCTAGATATTGCTCTCTCGCAAACTCTCAAGCTTCAGGAGAAGGTCAAGGGTCATATCAGCAAGCTCTTACGGTATATCAAAGCTGAATACAGCGTTGGATCTAAGGTATGATGAATTTGAACTTAAGCATGACTATTGTTCATCTCCGACTTTTACGCACAGCTCTCCATTTCCGGTGTCTTCGAGACTCTTTCACACATCATCAATGGCAGGTCAGATCATGACGAGGTGATCCGTCGCTTTAACAACATTGGATATGACATCAACACTCTTGCCAATACCATCCTCGCTATTCTCGTTGGTTCGACAGTTGAGCTATCGCAATGTGAGTGTGGTTAGTACTTATGTTTGCCCAATCCTAATATTGACAATCTGTAGCTCTTATTCACTTGGTCAACTTCTTCCTCGATGAGAACAAACCGAACGACGTTCAGATACTTGCGTCGAAAACGAAGTTTGACACCAAGGACGAGGCGACCCTTCAAGGTTTCGTATTGGAGGCTCTTCGTAAGACGCTGTTCTCTTCACTTAAATTCATACGTTTATATTGATCATAGGACTTGACCCTGCATTCCGTGGCGTAATCCGTATGTTGATTCCCAATTGTCAACGGCATCAGTATCGAGTTGACGCACACCGCAATTTCTAGGTGAAACCGCACGAGACGATGTTATCGGTGGTCAGAAAGTTCCTGCTGGTACAAGTATCTTTATTAACATTGCAAGCGCCAACTTGGACGTGAGTGTATTCCGGGCGTGTACCAACCGAGCTCATGAACTGACGTGAACGTATTAGGCGGAAGCTTTCCCTGAGCCTAAGACTGTGGATCCGACCAGGTCTCCGTTACAGAGGTATCCGGTAGGCGACGGTGTTCAAAGGTGTCTGGGACAGGATCTCTCGACCAAAGTAATTATGCTGTCAGCTTCCTTAAACTCACTGCTCACAGTATTCTTGTCAGATTATGGTTCATACTCTCCGTGGCGTCTTTGCGTTCAACAAGGTCCGCCGTGCGCCTGGCCAATCCGCTGGTCTCAAGCGGTCAGCTTCATCACTCATGTTTAGCGTGAGGCTCGCGCTTACTATTCTTTCCCTTCTACAGCTTCAAATCCGATACCATGCGTACTAGCAATTGGGAGTACATGAGTCGCGACCAGAAGCAAACACCTTGGGCAACGTCTTTTGTCGTACAGGTAAGTGGTTTCTTAAAGTATCGAGGGGTATGAAGTTGATTAGTTTGATGGCAGTTCGGGTAATGTTTACGCAAGCTACGATCTAGTTGTACTGTAGTAGTGACATTGCAATCGCTACGTTATACGTATATGACGTCCTCCGATTTTGCTTTTATCTCTGTATCTTACCCCTCTGAGTCAATCTGATGCTATTGAAGTGGTTACAACACATTCAAAACCTGTCTCCTTGTCTTTCAATCACTGCGCAGCTGAATAAACAACGCGGACAATGAGTGCACATTAGCGTCCAACAAGTGGAGGGCTGTGCAGAGCGGCTCCAGACGTCTCCGGTGGTGGTGGGATATCGCATTGCAAAGCCGAAAGGACGCGTCCATCCGTAATCCGACCCACACGGGAAACGCATATCAAGACAAAGGTCACAATGCTACTCACAACTTTCACGACGCACTTTCCCTTGAATATCTATTACGATAATGTCGGCGACTTCTGATTATATCCATCTCCTGGTTCTCATTCATGGAATGTGGGGCAATCCTGGCCATCTTGCCGAGATGAAACGGATTTACACGGAGACACTCTGCCCGTCTGATTCCCCACGAGGTCCAAATAGCGAAACAGTACACATCCTTGTTGTAGAGACGAACACGGAGTCCTCGACATATGATGGTATTGATTGGGGAGGAGAGAGAGTTGCCGAAGAGGTACGTCGGTTGATGCAGGGTCTCTTGACGGACATTTAGAAGTCGCCAGTAGATCCGCGCGGAAAGCAAGCGACTCGAGGCCGAGGGGAAGACGGTTACTCGCTTTTCAGTAACTGGCTATAGCCTTGGAGGCCTTATTGCTCGCTATGTTATCGGAATTCTGCACCAGCAACAGTTCTTCGACAAGGTTACGCCTGTAAACTTCACGACCGTCGCAACCCCTCACATAGGTCTCATCCGATACCCGTCATTTCGGTCGTCTCTGTTTGCTTTCCTTGGTCCCAAGCTGCTAAGCCGTACAGGCGAGCAGTTCTATGCTGTGGATCAATGGTCGGCGAGAGGCAGGCCTCTCTTAGAAGTTATGGCTGATCCAGGTAATATTCCAGCTCGCGCGGGACTTTGTTGTACCTAACTCTCCCTCTCTCTCTCTCAATTCAGAACGCATATTTTTCCAAGCACTCTCCTCATTCCCTCATGTCACCTTCTATGCCAACGCTGTCAATGACATAACTGTCCCTTACATGACTGCGGCTGCAGAGCTAGATGATCCTTTTGCGGAACATTTGGCGCATCATGTTACAATGTATGGCGTTAAATACATTCAAGCTTTGGGCGAAATTAACCTGTCCTTGTAGAGAATTCGACGAAAAGTACAAGCCTATCGTTAAGTCGTGGACTCCTGCACCTCCAGGAAGTGCGCAACCGCCCAAGCCGCGTATTTTCTCCAGAAAGTGGTTCGAGTCAATCAAGCCTCGCCTACCGCCAGCATTAGACTTCAAATTCCCTTATAACATTGTGTGTATGCTTGCATTTTCTTTTTGCTCCATCTTACTTCATCCATACTTTGCATTTCCAGATCATCATTGTGTCACTCCCCGTTCTCTTTCCTGCACTTCTCATTCTGGTTGTGGTACGGCTTTCGATGGACAGTCACTCGTCCCGTTCTCGCATTAAGCTTCTCGAGGAAGACGAGTCTTACGGGCACCGACTAATACACGTTGTCGGACAACTGGAGAAGTCGATGGAGGACGCCGTAGCTGAACTTATCGACGATCAGGGAAATGTCGAACCACAGCTCCCGTCAACAGATACGCTTGCCGACACTTGTCCACCAGGTACACATGATCAACCGTCTGAGGCACAGACGCCGCAGTCGTCATCGGAGGGCAGTTCGTTGCTCACTCCTCGGCAACGCCGTATGGTGGCGACCCTCAACTCGCTGCCAGAGCTGAAGAAAGAGCTTGCATTCATCAACCCTGTATTAAATTCTCATGCGACCATCGTTGCACGGGACATTCAAAAGTTCAAGCACCACGCTATCGGACACGGCGTGTTGCAACATGTTGCAGATCATTTCACAATTTAAGTGGGTTAGAGGCAGTTAGAGTGTGCGTGTGCTACTCCTTCTACACTTTCGAGTTGCTTGATATTGATGCCACGTGTAAATCGGCAGGCAAAAGGGATTTTTTACAGATAGCTTTACTTTACTGTCGGACACTTGCATATTCTTATACCATTCCACCTAATTTATTCACATTGTCACGTACTAATCGTGTCATTTCACACTGTGCCCTTGCTTTGTGAGCGAGGCGAGCCACTGCTGATACCTTCTTTGTTCCACGAGAAGCATTGCCGCCCTCCGTCGCATTTGAAGGCACAATCGTCACATCCTATCAGTTGTACTCCTTGTTTCCCAACGCATTGGGTGGACTGTTGCTTTTCAGTTCTCTGACCTTTGCTTTCCTCTTTGTGATCTATTATGCCGTCGAAGGCGGAGACCAAGGCGTTTTCTAGATCTCGGAGGGTGAATGGACCTGCACGACTTCCAGCTATCACGGTCGACACAGGTACGTTCTCATCTATGAAAGACGAAGCTCATGATTTACGTTGGACTGTTGTTGCAGTGACATTCAAGGCAACTGCTAAGTTGGCAAGATCTGGAGCACATGGTCCGAAACCGATCAAATTCGAACAAATACTGATTGGTGGTGAGCAATCGCCCCTCAGAATAATTAGCCCTCGACTGAAGAATGTGGCTTCCGATACCTATAGAGGTGCTGCCAAGCCTCTGCCTAAGAATTTCGAGATACTCTGCCAGAAATCTGTGGAAAAATGGGTATGTCAGCTCAATACACCTGCTAGGCATGATGTTGATACTTTGGTTTTCGCTGTGTAGACAAAGAAGGGTTTTCTCAATCACTATGAAGAACCGAAACCAGGAGGCGCATACTCACTCACTCCCAAGGGGCGGATGTTGTAAGTGGGCAAGACCTGCAGGTTCTGAAAATATCCTCGAATGCCATTTGTAGTGACAAGGACATCCGCCGTCAGATGCACGCCAAGAGGTTCAAAAACACGGTTGGCGCTTTGAAGCACTATTGTAAGGAATTGAAGATATATACCGGGCCCAACGAGAAGAGATCAAAAAAGGCTGTATGTCCACGTTCTTTGCGAGTCGAGTCTCTGATTCGTAGCTTTCCCAGTGGCGGGTACAATACCAAGCATTACGGAAGATGCATGACGTCTGCGAAGGTTTGAGGCAACCGTTGGGCCGTCAGACGTCTTGGACTGGATCGGATGCCAGTTCTGTGTATGAGCAAGAATACATTATAGAAGATATCCCTCGGCCTGTCGTTGAAGAATTAATCCCTCATCCTGAGTAACGACCTCTTACTTTGACCGTCGTCAGAGGGCTGACTCTTAACACAGCCATCAGACACCACCTCCCTCACTTGCACAGGCCCGTCTGGATGCAGAAGCTATCGATCCTAGAACAGGCTATCTCACACCCCAGACTGGACAACGACCTGCAGGCCGACAGACGAACTTTCCGCCATCGACACCTTGTCCGCCTGCACGATCATATGTGCCTCCTACCCCGTATAGTCCTAACGATCACCCTGCCCATATAAGAAAGAACGTTGGATCTGGTCCTAGTCGACTTGGTCATTCAAGGCTCTCGCCGATCCCAAACCTGTCAAGTCATATTGACACTGCCAGTGTATCTAGCGCTTCATCTTCCCATCTGTATACTCTGACTAATGAAGGTTTCTGTAGACTAACTCCATGCATGCCATCGGGGGACTCCCCGACGATCCCGGTCATACCAGTGACGACGATGGCAATGTGGAGGTGGGAGAGGCAAGCCTCTTTGACAATAATGTCTACAATTTCTTCTCACATCTGCTCATCCGCACAGCCTACCGAGGATGTAGGGCTGCCTGGTCGCGGCAATTTATCAATCAAGCAGGTTTACGAAGAGCTCCAACGAGCCAACGAACGAATTGCCGCTCTTGAGAGCACCATTTGTGAACTTGAAGTAGATCTGGTACACGCAGGTGATAGATTGAACAAAGAGGAGCAGCAAAAACATGAATTGCAAGCCCAACTGGACTCCTGGAAGGCACGCGCACGATACTGGAAGGAGATGGCACTTCATTACAAGGACCGTATGGCAGGGGCAATTGCATATATGGTGAGTTGGTTCTCGTCAGTGTGGATGTCTACTCAGGTCCATGACCACGCCTTAGCGGGATACCGTAGCCGACGATCCTGCAACCCCTTAATCGTATGTTGGTCTTTTGGCCGTGATTCAGGTGCCCTGTTTCGACTTCCAGTCCCTATCTAGACCGTAGTTTCCCGTATCTCTTCCTTGAACATTGTCTTTGTTGTTTAGCTTCATGGCCAGTGCCTCTTTCTTGATTGAGGCCGACGTCAGTGCTACTGAATGATTCGCATGGCAAGTACTCTCTACTCCCCGATGTTCGGCCAGCATGTAATTGGAAAGATGCGGAGGGTGCGTATTTTCAATCCCGATCCAAATATCCACAGTTGCCATGTTTGCATGAGGATACGTCACGCTGCATGGCAACATGCTTCATGCATGTTGAGCTTGGTCACGGTAAGCTTCTTTCTTCCCCTTGCCCTGCTTTTGACGCGCCACCCTGATGGTCTGTTGCTACTACTTTACTGCATTCTTTGACGTGCAGTGTTGACCTCGGGAAAGATGATTTGTGGTATCCTTTGTTCGCCACAATTCTCGCAAGGTCAAAGAGCCTAGCAAGGAAAGTTTCTATTGTCCTCATGCGCGTGTTGCCACACCGAAGAGTATATATACATCTACTCTCCTCTTTCCCTTTTGTTATCTTCTTCTCCACCGTTACTGTAGGCGCCCACTGAAAGAAATGGCACGCTCTGCAGTAAAGGCTCTACAATCCCGTCCCAGAGCCACAAACACGAACAAGGATGTAAAGCTATCTAGACCGACGTATGCTCAATGTACGTTGACCCTGAGTCTATATTACTCGCCAATTATTGAATTACATTTAGTGGTCTTCAAAGCAGTGGCTCAGTTGGCCAGGACAATGGCGGGCGGGCCCGGACGAATAGAATTCGAGAATATCATTACTCTACGTTGGTTATTCACCACAGTCGCATGTCGATACTTATTAACCCGTTCTTCATAAAGTCGCTATGTATTTGGAGCAGCTTGGGATGTCTGCTCCTAAGGACATTGAAAAAATGTGTCGACAAGCTTTGTCGAAATGGGTGAGTATCGTCCGTTCATCGATCTACACAAGGTTTCGTACAACACTCACGACGATACATCTAGATTGATAAGAAGTATATCGCCACTCATGGCGATATTACCAGTGATGGCTTTGTGTTCACTATGGACGGTCGCGGAGTGTAGGTGACCATCCCTCGTCTTGCATCGACCTTGGCTCACAATGGCTTCTCCTCAGTGATCTCTCCATACGTGTTAAACTCCTAAAGAAAGGCCGTCGAAGTAGCAAACGAAGTCTGGTGGCATACTGCCGAAACGTCGCTGTCTTCACAGGTCCTACTGAGAGGATGACTGGAGATGCGGTAGGTGTCACGTCATGGCCAGCGTGAGTAATCATACTGAACGAGGCTGGCCTTCTAGAAAACCCAAAAGATCGCCCGGCTGGAACGGCAGGTCAGAAGCTTGGAAGCGGGTCTACCGCCGACGCAGCCTAGCACATGGGGAGCATCACTAGCGACTATACCTGATACTAATGAGGATGTGGAAATGGAAGACGATGGTTCAGAGACGGAGCGGGAGGAACAGGTCCACGAGGATCCGAGGGGATCTGTCGTTGAAGAACCTGTTCAACTGGAGTACGTGAGCTTTTAATTAATGAATTTGAGTGCTGATGCTGATGGCTATTGCTCGTGCACTAGCCGTGTTCATGATCCCGCTAAGCACGTCTCCCTTCGAGCCAACTTTCCGTCTGCAGCAAGTTCTGGCAGTACTGTCGCAGCACGATCTTATCCTTCTCCTACATCACCGGAGGATGGTCGTGCTGGAACAGATGGTTCCCCACCTACGCCTTGTCCCCGTTCGCGGTTACTCCTCTCCAATAGGTCATTCGTCTCTGATCATCACCATGATGAAGCAGCTGGTCCAAGTAGCAGGCACTTCTTTTCTGCAGCGTCTTCAAGTTCGGGGTCCTCAGGTGGCCGACGCGATGCTCGCGTTGTTGATGTATGCTATTGGACTCCTCATTTGAAGTGCGCGACTGATGGCAATATGCTTTTTCCACTACAGGAAGCCGACAACGTGTTTCAAAGCTTTGGGTCCCCGGTGCCCCTTCAGCATGAGGACACGTTCGATTTCACTGATGAGATCCAAGCCCATCATACCGTGAGTGATCCTAAGCCAAGGTGATTATACTACCCCCTAAATCTTTGTACAGCGCCAGCTGCGGACTCGTGACACTCGTTTGGAGGAGTTGCAAGCCAAGTACAATGCCACTCGTCGAGAACTGACTGCTTTGGAAGAGCGGTATGAATCTGAAGTCACAAAAAGGGCCCTATGCGAAGACAACATCGAAACCCTTCAGAAGAAAGTGCAGGCGCTTGAGAGGTCCAGGTCACAATATGCGGAGTCATACAGAAAGTTGCGAGGTCAATTGGAACAGGAACGGGATGTGGGAATGCAGAATCGCCGAGCTTTGAGGTGCAAGATCCAAGCTCTGGAAGAGAAGCAGCGACATCTCAATGACGAAGTGAGTTTCATTTTCCTCGAGTTGGTGTCGGTTTTAACAGCGCCCCTTATAGATCTCCACCTTGCGTCAGAGCGAAGCTACGATGAGGAAACGCTTGGTGGACACTATCGCAGCACTGCGCATATCAGATGAGCTGCTGCACAACATGAAGAAGCTCGTCGACGAAGTAAGCAAACATTTATCTTTCAGGATGGCATTCTCACGTGCTGATCCTCCTTCAACTCACTCTTAGCTCCAATCCAAAGTGCGAGAATTGGAAGGTAAAGGCAAAGACTTGGAATATGAGCGACACCAGCGACGAATGGCGGCGTGGAGGCTGAAGACAAAACAAAGAGAAGTTGAGATCTTACAAAAGCGCGTTGACGAAGTGGAGACTTCGGATAAGGAGAAAAAGTTGCTTCTCAGAGAGACTGAGAAAATCTTGGCAGCTGAGAAGCGAGCAACTGCTGAACTAACAAAGGAAGTCAAGAAGAGGGATGGCGCCATTGCAACGCTCCAGGGCTACCTCGTCAATCATCTCAACAATGCTACCAATCTGGTCGGTGGACTTTCTTGCACTATTATTTCGAACGTGGAGACCTGACACTCCGTTTTTCTCATTCTAGGTTACTACTCTGTATAACCGCTCTTGAACTATGCATCTGTGCGGACCGTCTACTTTTGAAAGCTTCTAGGGTATGCAAGAACTTACTATGCGATTGTTAAATATGCGATTGTTAGATAATAATGAAAGTTTTCATTCTTCTCCCATGTGAAAATGCATTAAAGACAATGATACTAAGGTACGTTGTGTAGCGATACAAAGTTTCCGAGGAATGAACATCCCTAACTACTATGAATGATAAATATCGATACAATGATCCTAAATAGTCCCTCCGTGTCCGTCATTAAAGTCCGTAAATAAAGTCCGTTGTGCGATAAGAATGTGTGGAATACTAATGAAATATTCAAGCAGAGCTATAGAAGATGCTGCGTCTGCGGTTGGTGAGGATGACAAAGTCCTCAGGAAGGATGGAAGCGCGGTAGGATTTGCGCGTAGCCCTGCTGACGGACTTCCAAGCACGAATGATGCTGCGTTGGAGATATTTGGTGGGCGACATACTATGAGATCGATTAGAGTTAGGTCCATTAGGGTCCATTGCAACGTTTCTGAACACTCACCGAGGTCTCTCGTTCTGCAAAATGGTGATGGACACGACACGGGAAGCCATTGGATGTAGTGTAATATGCGTTTGGAGGAGATAGTGAGCTTGAGAGGCCTTTTTGAGCCCGCAGTGGACAGGTGGGTATAAAGTGAGTGACGAGGATTAGAAATTATAGTATGGTGGACCGTCGTCACAGACGAAGGTAGTAATACAGGCCAACAATGCTCCCAGAATCAAGAGGTTGGCGGAGGCGAGGAGCCATGGTTGCTTGGCCACGAGAGTTTTTATACAGGATGGGCCCTGCATAGCGTTACGGAACAATGGATGTGGACCTACATTATGCATCCGAAGGACAATGAGTGGGGTCGGGTCATGGTAACTGCCGAAAAGAACATACAAAGCCGATCCAGAAATAGCGAAGGCAAACTGCGGCAACAGACTAGGAACAATCGCAAAGTGTTGGGCCATACCGTACAGCAATTGAGGAGATGCTTGTTCTAGCGTCGAACTGAGATGGGAACCATGAACAAAAGCTTGTGCAACGTGCTGTCTGCGGACCGTGAGAATCCATCTGTCGTGCTTCTTGAAGTCAACTAGTTACATGCTACCTGACCTCAGAAACAAGGAGAGAAGCTGCAGTAGCCTAGACGAGGAGACTGCTGGCAACAGTAGGAACATACTAATTAGTATTAATTCAGTCTCGATCTTAGATTTCAATCGACGATTATGATCGACACGAACAATGCGGGGCGTCTATGGCTTTTGGTCGACTGTTCACCGTCACTTTGTACTACTGTTTCCGCTGCCGCCCTGGCTTGACAGAGCACGGAGAAGTATATCAGTATCTATGACTAATTGGATCGTAACATCAGCAGCCAGATCGCTTGATTGTACGTTGCTCATAAACTTGCAGTTGTGTCATTGACTCCGAATTGTTCAGTCTTTTCCGAACACATGACGATGAAGGACGACCTTGATCTTGCCTGAGTCCATCTCAGATACGATACACTGGCTGCAACGAATGCTAGGTTTCTTAGCGACAAGCCGACTTACCGGGCTGCAAAAAAAAACCGACAGATGGGATTTCCTCCTGGCGGTAAGATAATCACTCGAACAAGGGCGATTTGCGCAATGCGTTCGAGATCGTGCACAATTGTCTAGAGTGGATTTACCGTCGCAGCGGACGTCCGACATTGCCAAGGTCCAGGAATGGATTTTATCTCAGCCCTTCCCGTCCGAGGATGCTCAAATGGTCTCCGATCATTATGCTCTTGAGATGGGTATCACCTTCGCAAGTGACTGGAAAATGCAGAGCTGATGATTTGGGTGAGGTGAGCCATTGTATTGCGGCTGTTAATCTTGACCGGAACCTCAAAACATCTTAAGATCAGGCGCATGCAGCGAAGCGCGTGAAACCATCCTCCAGTCTGGCAGGCCCCTCCATGATCAATACATCGATGTGGAGTGCGCCGGCGATGGAGCCGCAGCCCTCCGGCACACCAGAAACTTCTGGCCACGATGCAGGCGCAGAACGCTTGCCACAAGTGAGTCGCTTCTTTCGCTGTTATAAGCTTTAGGCGTTCATGCCGCTCTCCTAGGATCGACAGCGTTCTATTCAGTCCTCATCTACTAAAGTCAGGGGTGAGCAATTCTTCAGAAGCCGGGCAGGCAGCTACCGAGGCCCGAACGCCTATGATCATCAGTCCAATTGGGCCCCAAATGATGCTTTCGACCGAGATGTACAGTTGGTACAACCTGCATCGAGTGGGACGTCATTCTCATCGTCAAGCCAACCTTCCGCACCACATGCTCCTATCAACGACTCCCCAAACCTTCTCATATCATCAGTTGAGCAGGATCACCCACATTGGTCTCGTCATCCCAATTTCTAGTTTGATGATGGCAGTGTGGTTATCAAAGTACACGGCACTTTGTTCAAAGTTCACTTGTCCATTCTCGCAAATGGGTCTGGTCATTTTTCGCAATTAGCATGAGGAAACTGCTTAGTGTTGACCTCGTGGAAAACAGAAAAGAGGCTTCGCAAAGGAAGTGCATGGGGGTATCCCTGTACTCCATGGATCTGAAGGCTCCACAACAGACCCCACAGGATTATTAGGTGCCATATATAACACCCAGCGAGTTCTTCATTCTTTAAAGTTATGAAGCTCTGGACACTAACCAATCACTCTCAACAGCACAGTATTTCTACCATCACTTCCTTTCCTTCAATAACATCTATTCTCGGGGCTTCCAAGTCTAATTTGAGTTCTCAGCATACGTCACTTTGCCGGAGTGGTTAACGAGATCGCCTGCTATTTATAGTTGTTAGCGGTTGGGCTTTGCCCGCGTGTGTTCGAATCGCACAGGTGACGCATTTTTTTCCATGAGAGACAGTGTCCTATAGTAATGTATGTAATCGCCACTAACAACAATGCAAGGTAACGGGTTTCTATGTGTATGGGTACAGCTCCAAAGAATTACGACTTGGACGGCACATCCGTCTTCACATCGCTGATAGTTTCCGACTTGTGAAGAACACTTGAAATCTGCTTGGCGAGAGGTGAAGGTTCGGCTTCGAGAGCTAACTTGAGGAACCAGGATTTGCTCATGTAATTTCGAATGCTAACGAATGGGAGTAGTGAGTCACCTATGCAACGCAGGTACTAGATGAAAGGACATACCCATCAGCCAATAATATAACCACGTTGGCACCTTTGGTTTGAGCGATCTTCTTGCCTTCGTCACTCTTAAGCCATCTTAATGTGCCGGCCAATGCACTGCCGCTGCTCCCGCCAACGAGAAGACCCTCAACACGCATGAGTTTCTGGACAGCAGCGAAAGCCTCCTCATCGGATGTCTTCACCCATGAATCCACATCCTTCGGATCCCGAGAGAGGACATCAGGGATGAAGTCGTAGCCGATCCCCTCGACAATGTATTCAGCTCCAGCGTCGGCCGTATTGAGGGAATCAGGAACAGCCAAGACGCTTCCTTTCTATCATGGGGGAAGTCGGGCATGAGGACATGTGAAAGACCAAGAAGCCAAGAAGCTCAGTACTTACAGGGTCGACACCAACAACGATACAATCCGGGTTGTGGGTTTTCTTGATAGCGCGGGAGATACCCGTGATGGTTCCACCCGTTCCTGCACCGGCGACGAGAACATCAACTTTGCTAGATGAGGGAGCCGTCGAAGTTGAGGGAGTTGATGTGACTGCTTCGATGATCTCAGGGCCGGTCGTGAATTCATGAGCCAACGGGTTATTGACCTGCATAGATAAATCATTACCAACGGTTAAAGGAAGTTCTCAAGACATTACATACGTTACGATACTGGTCGAGGATGATCCCTCCCGGGATTTCCTTCTGAAGTCGCTGGGCCACACCTGCGATCGTTAAGGAATTCAGCCACGAGAGGTACCATGCGGGCAAAGGGAGGCTCTACCTATGTGGGATTCTGGCGAATCCCAGGCAGCCTCTGTTGGCGTGCGGACGACTTCGGCTCCTAATGCTCGAAGTGCAGCTTCTTTCTCCTGCAAACAATGGAACCGGTAAATCGGGTCTGATACCAAACAGGGGACAACACATACAAGTGACATTTTGCTAGGCATCGTAATAATTACGGAATATCCCTTATCTGTAGTATTCAGCATATGTCCTGAATGACGAAAATGAGGGTTTGACCTTGACAGCACAAGCCATAGCAAGCCCAATGCCTGAAAATAATGTCAACGACATATAGAGTTCGAATGAACGACTGTACTAACCGGTATTGCCTGACGTAGGCTCAATGACGACACTTTGGCCGGGGATAAGTTTGCCCTCTCGCTCTGCCTCCTCCACCATTCGTTTCGCGATTCGGTCTTTCACTGAACCACCTGCAGAGGTGTACTCGACTTTCCCCACTACACAAGTGGTAAGAACGGAAGATCCAATAGATAATTGCTTTAGACAACGTACGCAGATTGCACTGGAGCCCTTCCGCTTTGGTTATCCTGTCTAGCCTAATCAATGGAGTGTTTCCGACAGCGTCGAGAGCACTGTTCAAGATTTGACGGGTCATTGTAATTGTATCTTTACAATTGAGTGTATGCGCAGAGAAGGGAAGAGATAAGGCTACAGAGTGGTCGGTGGTGTCAAAAAGGTTTTCTGCACCAGAATTTGGAGGACCATCGAGGCGGTTGCCACCGGACCGTGCCAAGGATTACACGAATTGGCGAGATCCGACCGTAAGATGGTGCGATCCTCTGAATAATATTTATGTCTGAACTTTGGTTTGAAGCAATACCTAACGTCACTGTATTCGGTGCGTTTCCATATTTCCACATTATGAACGGATACACGATGGTCATAATACAGCCTACTACGTAGCGATAATGCAAAAGTCCTCCATCATTCTGCAGACTTGTGTTTACGAGAGTCGCAATTAATGCTTCTTCAATAATTCGGTATTCAAAGGCCATGGTTGACCTATCCAAGTTACGCGTTCCGTATGGTCGCGGTAGGCATCATTAGTGTTTGGATGAATAAGAACACTATAGTGAATGCAGCGCACATCAGATTTACATGCGCGGTAGGATAACCTAGGAGGCAAATGCAACGACATACGAGCATGGTCCTCGGTTAACCACCAACCAGGAAAAGAGAGCACCAGTTTGGTGAGGCGTGAATGTGTTCACTTCGAACATTGCAACTGGGTGAGGGCCTGGATACTACCCGTTAAGAATCTTGCGATCATCATGAATGAAATCATGAACACTGACCGACAGGCTTATCCCAGAAACGGTAAATTCGAAGCTGCAAGGGATCAGCATGAAGAACGCAATATACGAAGACTAGGCGAAGCTGACCTCCGGAAATTCGCGCCTCACACGTTCATGCAATTCTTTAGCAAACTTTGCCTGGGAAGGGACTGACTGCATATAGTAGACTAATCAAGCCATATCAGCATTAGCTGCAATATCAATTGGGGTACATTACGAACTGTGGAAGTCAAAACCATTGTTGGATGGATCGATAGGTTTCGGAAATTCGTCGTAGGCAGACGACCTAGGGCCAGGCGGATTGTAGAGAGACTTCCCGTCAGCGTTGAACTTCTCGGGCAATGGCTCTGCATTCTCGAAGCCCTCCAGCGGTGACTCCCAAGACATTATGAGGGATGAAAATCTCAGAGTGGTGGGACGTCAGTAACACTTGATGTCGATGAACCTGCTTGCCTAAATAGGGCCAGATTTGGGCCAGATTAGTAAGGAACGCGGATGGGCTTGTAATCGCTTGTAATCTTCGTTACGTGCTGCTGTACGTGAACGCGTTTCTAGTCAACTTCAACCGACTCGGCGACAGCAAGACGCTAGCACTGCGAGGAAAGCATACGACAAAGAAAAATGTCGACGAGAGATACGGACCGTATTTCATCAGCGCAGCAGACACTAGACGGTAAGCAGGCCGAACGAGCAAGACCAAGCCAAGACTAATTGCCGTTATTTTAGTCCTTCACGACATATCGCAGCTATTAAATACACAACTGGATAAGGAGACCCTTGCTACTTGTATAAGCATGATCGAGAGTGGTGTGAATCCAGAGGCATTAGCGGTGAGTCAGCGCGATATAACTTGATGAACCAGAACAGCAGGCTGATATGGACCAGGCGGTTATACAGGAGCTGAGACGAGAGAGTGCGACTTTACAGACGCAACAGACGGCCACAGGACGTAAATAGTTGGATTCTTCCAATGAATCACTTGTAGCACTGGTGTTGGGTTTTTCAAGTTAAGCCGCGATTTCGGTCTTGACTTTTGAAAGGTAGGACCGTCGATAGATTAAAGATCATGCAAAGGGTGCAAAGACTTGTAATGATAGGCATATAGACACTTACAGAGCCGAAGACGGATCATATGAGCTGAATACGGGAGAATCGAAATTAAAGCGGAGTTCGTTTGAGTTTGGAGTTGCGGGGTCTCACCTGGTCTCACTCAGCGACAGGCTACTCGTCTGGCGCTACTCTTCTAGCTTCAGCCACCACCTCACTTTCATTCACTCATTTACTTACTTCCAATATGTCTTCTCCTAAATCCCCTCGTCTCGTCGATTCATTTACTGCTCCTAAGGAAGTTCTTCGAGAGTTTGAAGAACTTGCAGAGGAAGAAAACTATGATCCGTTTGCTGAAACCGCGTCGAAACGCCAGATTGCATCTCGACAATCCGACTACCATGCTCGCAGGTTTAATCGTCAAGCGATCGAAAGTGCAGATGCTTTCAAGGCAGCGGAGGAGGGTACAGAAGTAGAAGGCGGTTATAAGGAGGCTATGAGATTGCAACTCCTTGAGAAGGAAGAACAAAGGGTTAAACGTGTGATCGAGGACAAGGAGAAACAGGCTAGGGAGGAGGGCAAGGAGAAGATGGATTTGGACAAGACACCGCCGCGAGAGGAACTTAGGGAGGCAGCAGAGGAGCTCGCCGCTGCCACTGGAACCAAGCGCAAGCGTCGTTGGGATATCGCTGAGCCTACAGATGAGAACATCCCGCTCAAAGCTGAAGAGAAGGGCCGAGAATGGTCGGCCGAGGCGTTGGAAGGTGCTGTTCCCAAGAAACGTCGGTCTCGTTGGGATGCTACTCCGGCAGACATAACAGTCGGCGAAACACCCAAACGTTCTCGTTGGGACCAAACACCGGCAAATCAAGGTGCTGAGACTCCCTTAATGCCCATTATCATGAACGCACCAGGTTTCATGCATGAGGACAAGCACAACCGTTACCTTACGGACGAAGAGCTCGATGCTATCCTTCCGAGCAGTGGCTACTCTATTGTCACTCCACCACCTGGCTATGCTCCCCTTGTTCGACCTCCTAAACTTTCTGCTACTCCCATCACCGAAGTTGGTGGTTTCCAAATCCAAGAAAGCTCAGATGCTGCAGCTGCAGCTGCCGCCGCCGGTCTGGCACCAGAACTTCCCACTGAAATTCCTGGAGTTGGCAGTTTGGCTTTCTTCAAGGCCGAGGATGCTCAATACTTTGCCAAAATTTTGAAGGAGGAGGACGAGACAGAATTGTCGGTGGATGAGATGAAGGAACGGAAGATTATGCGACTCTTGCTTAAGATCAAGAACGGTACGCCTCCCGTTCGCAAAACCGCTCTTAGGCAGATCACCGACAAAGCTCGTGAATTTGGTGCCGGTCCTTTGTTCGACAAGATTCTTCCACTGCTCATGGAGCGCACGCTGGAAGACCAAGAACGTCATCTTCTCGTCAAGGTCATTGATCGAGTGCTCTACAAACTCGATGATCTCGTGCGTCCGTATGTACACAAGATTCTTGTCGTCATCGAACCTCTCCTGATCGACGAAGACTACTACGCTCGTGTCGAAGGTCGAGAAATTATCTCGAATCTGTCCAAGGCTGCCGGTCTGGCGCACATGATCTCGACGATGCGTCCAGATATCGACCATGCCGACGAGTACGTGCGTAACACCACGGCTCGAGCCTTCTCTGTCGTTGCTTCTGCCCTCGGTATCCCGTCGCTTCTTCCCTTCCTCAAAGCCGTCTGCCGCAGCAAGAAGTCATGGCAGGCTCGTCACACCGGTATTCGTATCGTGCAGCAAATCGCCATCATGATGGGCTGCGCCGTGCTTCCTCACCTTCGCAACCTTGTCGAATGCATTGCTCACGGCTTGCAGGATGAGCAACAGAAGGTCCGAACCATGACAGCGCTTGCTTTGGCCGCACTCGCGGAAGCTTCTGCACCTTATGGTATCGAGTCTTTCGACAATGTGTTGAAGCCTCTGTGGGTCGGTATTCGTCTTCACCGTGGCAAGAGTTTGGCGGCGTTTTTGAAGGCCATTGGTTTCATTCTGCCACTTATGGACCCCGAGTACGTATCGTACTATATCAAAGAAGTGACCATCATCCTCATTCGTGAATTCCAAACTTCGGACGAGGAGATGAAGAAGATTGTGCTCAAGGTCGTGCAACAATGTGCCGCGACAGAGGGAGTCACGCCTCAGTACATCAAGCAAGATATCCTCCCAGACTTCTTCAAGTCGTTCTGGGTTCGTCGGATGGCCCTTGATAGGAGAAATTATCGCCAGGTCGTAGAGACTACTGTCGAACTTGCTCAGAAGGCTGGTGTTGCGGAGATTGTTGGGCGAATTGTCAATGACCTCAAAGATGAGGCAGAGCCTTACCGTAAGATGGTTATGGAGACTATCACGAAGGTTGTCGCATCCCTCGGCGCATCTGACATTGATGAGCGATTGGAGGTCAGGTTAGTCGACGGTATTATCTACGCCTTCCAAGAGCAGACCACCGAGGATCAGGTCATGCTTGACGGGTTCGGGACTGTCGTCAACGCCCTCGGTATCCGTGTCAAGCCCTACCTCACTCAGATCGTCTCCACTATCCTCTGGCGTCTCAACAACAAGAGTGCTAAGGTTCGTCAACAAGCTGCCGACCTCACAACTCGTCTCGCCGTCGTCATCAAACAATGCGGTGAAGATCAACTGCTTAGCAAGCTCGGTTTGGTGCTTTTCGAACAACTTGGTGAGGAGTACCCCGATACTCTGGGTAGTATCATCGCTGCTGAGGGTGCCATTGCCAATGTTGTCGGTATGACACAAATGAACCCTCCCGTTAAAGATCTCCGTAAGTTCATTTTTCTCCTACGTACTTTGTTTCGATCATTCTAACATTCTCTTTTGCAGTGCCTCGAATGACTCCAATTTTGCGTAATCGACACGAGAAGGTGCAAGAAGCTACTATCAACTTGATCGGTCGTATCGCAGACCGTGGTGCAGAATTTGTCCCTGCTCGTGAATGGATGCGAATTTGCTTCGAACTCTTGGATCTCCTCAAAGCCCACAAGAAGGGTATTCGACGAGCGGCTGTCAATTCTTTCGGTTACATCGCAAAGAGTTTGGGTCCTCAAGATGTATTGCAAGTGTTGCTCACCAATTTGCGTGTGCAGGAACGACAAAGTCGTGTGTGCAGTACGGTCGCAATTGCTATCGTGGCCGAAACGTGTGGACGTGAGTACTCAAATTACATTCTTTTTCTCTGATATATACTGATTATTTTCCCTCAAAGCTTTCACCTGTATCCCCGCCATTCTCAATGAATACCGAACCGCTGAACTCAATGTTCGAACGGGCTGTTTGAAGGCGCTCACGTTCGTGTTCGAATACGTCGGGCCACAATCAGCATACTACGCCGACTCTGTAGTTACCATGCTGGAGGATGCGCTCACTGATCGCGACCTTGTCCATCGTCAAACGGCCAGTGTCATTGTTAAGCACTTGGCACTTGGGGTTGCAGGACTCGGATGCGAAGACTCAATGTTGCATCTTATGAACTTGGTATGGCCCAACTGTTTCGAGACCTCGCCGCACGTCATTGGTGCTGTTATGGATGCTATCGAAGCAATGCGTGTCACCTTAGGTCCTGGTGTGCTTCTCAGCTATGTCCTTCAAGGACTATTCCACCCCGCAAGGAAAGTTCGCGAGGTACGTTGCATCAACTATATGTTTGTTATGACTCTTGCTGACCCTTTCTTTAAAATTAGGTCTACTGGCGAATCTACAATTCTCTCTACTTGGGTGCTGCCGACTCCCTTGTACCATTCTACCCTGATCTTGGGGAGCTCAGTGAAGGACAGAATGTCTATGACCGTCACCCATTACAGATGTTCATATAGTCACGCTCACCTCGTTTGTTTGTATTATCTGACTTATCATGTAGTTCCGGTGTACTATAGTATAACAAAATTCCCATCTACTAATATCGGTTTGTACACTGCTGACGCGACCTGCACTGTCCAAGTGGTATAATAAATCAGAATATGAGGTAGGTGGTTGAAACATCGTCACAGAAGCCGTGAACCCTTTAAATTATGAACCTCCACCTGTGATACCTGGAGGGAACCCTGCAAAATCGACTTGGTCTTGGAACGCACTGCCGCCCAATGAGTATGATAGTCTTAACCTCAGACGGACGTTGGCCTGTTGTAGAGAAATGAGTACACATGGCTATGGAACAGGTGTGACTCAGAACATACCCCGACTGGTGCTGTCACCCGCATATTAAGAGTCTCAACGGCACCCGGCTGAACAGCTGGATTAGAGATCGGCCAGATCTGCAACTGCTGAGACTGGGAAAGACGATGGCTTCAGAGTCACGTAACACAAGGGTCAACCGAACCAGTACGAACCTTAGGCACAGCTGCCTGGAAGTTAATGTCCGAGGCAGGAACACCCCCTGACACCTGGAATCGCACCTGAATATCGACCACCCCTGGCTGTCTGGGTTGCGGTGTCAGCGATATCCTGAGTCCATTCTTGTCATATGCTGGGTAGGAAACAAGACGAGGTTGTGCTGGTTGTGGTGGGGAGGTAACAGCAGGTCTCGCAGGAGCAGCAGCAGCAGCAGATGTAGAAGGAATTGATGTCGGTTGCGTGGCAACTGGAGAAGTAGGTGTAGAATCGAAGAGGCTGAGGATGTCTTGCGCAGTAGTCCTCGGCGCCTGTGCCGTCGGTGTAGATGACGATGCACCCGATGAGCCAAAGATCTCAGCAAGCAGGTCCTTATTGCTCTGAGCCACAGCCGCAGCCCCATTTACAGCAGCAGCAGGGCCTGTTGAAGATAGGTCATCGCCTAGGAGATCACCCTACCATCGCAAGTTAGCATAGACCAAGGAGATAGAGGAACGTATGTGCTCACGTCTTTACTGGGCTGCACGGATCCAACAGGTTTGTTCTCACTAACAACGCCCATCACAGTAGCCTTTAACTCCGGTGGCGGCATGCGTTCGAGCACGCCAGATCGCAAATCGCCTAGAGTGAAGAGACTCGCGAACTCGACTGCTCGCTGCTGGATCTCCAGCTCGGGGCTTGTGGTGTAGGATGCAAGAAGTGTCTGTATGCGCTCTTGTTGTGTAGCTGATGTTGTTGGTCTTGAGGAAATTTTGGTGATAGCGGTAAGGACAAATTGTCGGGTGAGGTAGTTGGCATACGGGGAATCAAGGACGGAAATGAGAAGATCAACGAGTTCCGCATCGCTGACCTGAAAGAAAAGCATGAGTATTGTAAATTATCCGGGTAGACGTCAGGACTCACGGGTTTCGGTTGATCTTCATCCACCAGACCCTGCTCAAGCAGGATTTCACTGTACTCCCCGATGATCCATGTTGCAGCTAATGTCAACGACTCCTGAGATATATCTGCGCGCAAGGCATTGTATAGCTTTGACGCAGTATACCCTTGCAGCTCAGGTGTATGAGCAACAAGTCGAATGAATGACGACAATATCTCTTCTCTGACGAAGTTTCCGGCCTGTGGGCGTATATGGCATGTCAATACGGCAGCTGCTCCAGAAACGCTTATAGTGATCTTACCAGTTTGAGGACACGCAACACAGAGTCAATATGCCATCTCTTGTTTGGTGCGAACCGCTCAGCAGCAAGACAGATTTGTGTCGTCATACCAAGCTTGAACTCGTCATCGGCGACTTCGAGGAAGGCCAGAAGTTCCCGGATTAGTACGCGGACGTTGTTCTCGTTGATCAATGCATAGGAAAGTTCCAGAGCCCGACGTCGGATCGAGATGTCACCGTCTCGGAGACAATCGAGGATGATGTTACGATGTCTTTGGACGGCATTCGTGTCGATCGATACAACTTTATTAAGCGTGTTGAGAGCAACGTATCTATTGGTACCAATGTTGGTTAAAGATAAGTCGTGTGACGAATACGCAGGGTCACGCACCGAATATTGTTGTCCCTGTTACCCAAGAATTTGCCCAAGATGTTAATCGCCATGACTCGTAGACCACTATCCGCCTCAATTTCTAGGACTGTCATTACAGTCTCATATAGAATCGAGTTACCGACATTCTTGGTCGAATCGGTGTTCGTTGCGACCTGAAAACATCTTATAAGTGATGCGTCAAAATAACAGCAAGACAGTCTTTACTTGAGCGAGGATATCGTTCATGGTTTCACTAGCTTGTACATCTCCCTTGCCCAATAGTCTTAGAAGACGTAAGATTTTGACTTGGAGGAAAGGATCGGTGAGACCGGAAACATCGTGTTCTGGGCTGTAGCCTGTCGTCACAAGCGACTTCAAGTGTCTGACCAATAGAGGGACAGCCTGAGAAGACATGTCAGGTAAAAAGCAAAATATAAACAAAGTTGATCATACATTACGGAATTCCTCGAGACAAGCTGTATCCGTTTGGACCATTTCAATGACGAGGGTAATCGCGGTCAATAGAACACCATGGTTCCGGTCAGCAAGGAGGTTCTTGGCTTTTGTGACAAAATGGTCTGCGAGGTCCGGTACTTTCTTGACAACTCGAAGTGCACACAGTGCAGCCTACAGCACGTAAGGCAAAGGTACAGCCACAACCAGCTTTGCAGACGTACCTTCTTTCGAATATATGTATTGCTTGAGCCCAGCAACTTCTCAATCTCGTTCGCCAAATCTCGAGACATTTCCTCCGAGGCAATATCCGCGAATGTACACAGCGCAAGACCGACGACATACATATTGGCATGATTCATGTCACTGCGTTTGTCCGATCAACGAGTGTCTGCATATGAATTACAATAATACGCACTTCTTTAATGAATTCGTAACAAGCGTAAGAACCTCTTGACTCTCGTCCAGCAGCAGCATAATTCCAAGATATCCAAGTCGTTTGTCACCAAAGCGGGGGCTGGCTACGAGTTTGAGGCATTCCATTTGACCGAAGTGGGCTTCCGACCCAAGCATATGAATATAGAGAAGCTTGGCAACATTATTGTGTCTCGCATAGGAGTCCTCCTCCCTGAAAGATGCACGGATAGCAGCGGATTCCTGCTTGATGAGAGCTCGTTCATCTGCAACGGTCTTCGAGCTGTAAATGTATGAGATTGCATCATAGTAATAAGTCAACTCACCTTGCATGCACGAATACCCTTGATGAGGGCTAAATTATGCCGTCAACACCTATATAGAAAAGTAACGTTTCGTATACACACCTTTCAAATTGTGGTACACCATCCTTGTCGATAGAGCCGTTGTCCTCAGCCGCCGTGCTGAGCATGTAGCTAGGCGCCCAAGCAAGCATCACGCTGAGCTGCGTCACGGCTGTGTCACGCAGTTGGCGCTTAGATTACGGCAGCAACGCGGTCACGTTGTGTGACAGATTCTCAGCCACCGCGTCTTGCCTGCGAGGTTTGCTCTGGTTTTTAGTCTGTGTTTTCTAAAGTCTATCATCTCTGCCTCTTCACACTCTTTTCTGTGCATAGTATCATGGCAGAGCTTCCCGGACAGCGAAACCCCTCCTCTCCTATATCTCTCCTTCTGCAGACTCTTGGCATGACACGCGACGACCTCGTGCGACACTCGACGCAGATGAGGTCCTTCCTCGAGACAGAATCGAATCCTGTACGCGCGTTTTCACAGCCAAAACTTGAACCTCCGGAAACTTCCCTACTGGATACACGTTCAACCAGGTCCAGAACCCATTCGTACTCGAATGTATCACTGGCGGTACCATCATTTGCTGCCTCACCACCAATCACACCTGTAAAAACAGAACCTATCGAACGGGGACTTCCAGCTCGTCAAATGGATACCATGGAAATGGTTATGGAGCGTAAGAGCAAGCAGAAGAAACGAGCACGTAAAGGTACGCGAAACCCTCTCCAGATGTGCTTCAACTATAAAACGGTTACTGCAGAATCCCTCTCACATTCACGCGAGGAACGCGTCGAATCGCGTCCAGCGCCATCCACACCTTCTCGTCTGAGCCGAAGTCAGGTGAGAGACGCGTCCTTTGTATATTCTGTGGCCTGGATTCCCCTTGCTTGAATAATATTGACGTGGTATGCCTCCTGTAGAATGTAGACACCCCCCATCATTATAAATACTACAGGGAACGGGTGATCGGTGATGCTACTCCAAAGGTGCAATTGGCTCTTGTATGGATATTTTCTTCATTCATACAACTGATATAGCACCATACACAGGGAGAAGCCAGTGGTTCAGAATCCCCGTCGAAGAGTAGGCCACATTACCGGCTTCCCAAGACACCGTCCAGTCGGTTCCTTGATTCTTCAAGACCGTCTTCACCCATGTCTAGCCCTGCGGTAGTCAACCTTGTATCTTCGCCAGGACCCATGAGACCAGAGTCCGAAGCAGATGCTGACGAGCTCCCCTTCACTCTCCCGCCTGGCCCGTACTCTGATTCAAAACCAGATAATTGCTATGCAGCTATCATCGGACAGGCGATTCTATCTTCCCCACAACATCGTCTCACATTACAGGATATCTACGAATGGATCACAATCGTGTATCCATATTACAAACGTGGCGAGCAGACTTGGATGAACTCTGTCAGACACGCGCTTAGCACTATGGCCGTGTTTCGGAAGGTCCCTCGACAACGTCAGGAGGGCAAAAGTTTGTGGGCGATATGGGATTGTGATATACCTTGCTTTGCCAATGGGGACTTCAAGAAGTCGTTATGTGCTGATATGGTGAAAGTGAAATCTGAGTCGTCGAAGAGCGGTCCAAAGAGACGCGCTGCAACTGACCAAGCGGGGAGTAGCAGGACTTCGAAAAGACGTAGGAAGACGTTCGACGATGCTGACGATGCAGTCGGGCAACCTCTTCCTCCGATGCTTCCAGCACCAATACTTCCACCATTCTACTCCTCTAACATAGTGCCAGGAACCCATCATCAACCCTACTATCAACAGCAGCCTACGTATGTTCCACAACCCGTGCCAGCTGAGGTTATTTTCCCACCCTTGCCAGCATCCTCGAGTTACCATCATGCACGAGCAGCTTCCCACCCTCTATCTCGTCCCGCGTCTTCGGTTTCGGTTGACACTTCTGAAGTAGCTCCCAGTTCCCCAGCATGGTCTGCAGCACCACCTCCGTCGTCCGATTCGTCGGTTCCAGACCTCACACACGACGTCGATTCATCCTCTAGCCCGCCTCTCTCGCAGGAGAATCTTGCTGCAGACGATAATCAGGAGGCAAACACCACGAATGAACCTTCAATCAGTGCTCCGGCTGTGGTTGATCCTGAGGAAGAATTCGAGCGATGGCTTGCTTCTGATCCACCATCAGATTTTTTGGAGCCCGGTTTTAGCTTGCTCAATACGCCATTGAGCGGCCGGAAATCCACATCGGCAAGTGCAAGCAGGGCACGATATGCGCATGCATTGGTACGGGCAATTTATTCTTCGCTATCATATTGTCGGTCGTGAATGATTGTTCCAATCAGGACTTTTTCCAAGTACCGGATTCCCCAACGCTGCAGCGGAAATCAGCAAGGAAAGCGCAGAAGCAACCTATGAGACAAAGGTCTCCTAGTATATCTCCTATCATTCGAACTTCATATACCGCTCCATCTAATCCGTCGACACCCCCTCATCGACCACGTACGCCACCTCGCAAGCACAGTGGCAGTGCACTTCTTCAGCTGTCACCTCATCGTACGCCTATTTCGCATCGAGGGTTGCATATGAGTCCTGCAGCTAGCCTTGCACATTACAAGAACAATTTGGATCCTCCTCCTCCGGTCACAGCCCACTCACAAGCACCATTATTATTCTCTTTCGAAAGCGAGAGCTTAACACTACCTAGTCCTGACCTTTTGCGCACCCCTCGGAGACGTGGAGCACAAACTATGGGCTCGGATTCTACCCCCTCAAATAGGAATTCTTCCATCTTCGGACCTGTGACTCCCAAGAGACTCAACTTCAATCCCCCTGGAGACGGATCTCCTCTCCGAACACCTTCTCGACATCTTCTTGACCCTCACGATCCCTCTGCCCTCCTAGACGAGGAGCTCTTCCGATTAGGTAGTCAGGGCACTTCTTCACATACCCCAACTGGTCTTTTTGGCCACTCGAGGGGTATGCTATATGAGAGTCCGAACCTTCCTAGTCCGGGACGATGGGACAGGTACTGGTGACCTGTGGATAACTTTCTTTTGTTTTCTCTCATGTCTTTATGACCTTCCTCTCACGTTGTAGCCCTCGTATCTTGAACCTCTGTTGTTGGCTTTGATAAACATGAACTTATGTATCCTTTTCGGACATGATCATTCACGGCCTTCACGTTTTCTCCCTTATTGCTGTTGTCTGTACCCAATGTTGTCCCGCAGTGTTGTTTTGTTGAACTTGTTGTCGCTTGGTTACTGTGAACGTTGTATGCTTCAGCTAACCATACGTACCAATATCTCCTTCTCCCCTCAACCCTAGTACTGTTTATCTTGAATTGTTAGTACGTCCCCGCTCTAGCGTTGCTGTAGCTCTCCGAGTCTCACACATGTTATCTCCCTCATCTTTCCTCTTTCCACCTTTCCAAATCTTTGATACATTGTGATCATTTTTCCATACATACATTGGATCTCGTTAAAATACAAGGCGAAAGATATCCGGACCCCAATGAAGCAGAACTGAGAGTAAAACCATGAACAACCTAGTACTTCTGAGCAATCATGGTACGAAAGCTATAACGATTCAAGGTTGAGCTGAGCTCTGGAACTAGCGGATATAAACACTATGGATACTCACCGTCTTCGTCGAGTAGCGTCCCTTCATCCAAGCAAGCTTCAATGTAGTCCGAAATCACAAGGTTCCGCCGCTTAGGCCTGAATCATACATTAGGCGTTATCAATCTTTCGGATCCAGTGAGAATGGTACATACTTGGATGTCTTCTTCATGAGATCCACCCTACGACTGATGTCTCTCTTGTCCAACACAATGTGAGTTAGTTTAGGATTAAAGAGATCGACAACTTTGCCGCCATTATCCGTAATCAGCTGCGCGATCTTGTCAAAGCTGCATTGTCAAAGTTGAATTAATGGCAGTAATCGTCGCATTGCAAACGGATTGACATACCTTTCACTGATTTGTGGTTCATGCTTAGACTTCACTGGCAAATCGTTCTTCCGCGCGTTCTCCGGTGAATCAAGATAGAAACACCTGAAGGTCATGAATCAGAAAACAATTGAGGACGAAACCAAAGTCGACTCACAGATGTTTGAAGATGAGATTTTCATCGTAGTGCATAGCATCCTCAGTTTCACCCATCTTGACATCCGTCCACTCTTGGGTCTGAAAAATAATGTTAAGTACTGTGCATATTCATTAGCCACCAACTATGTACTCACCGCTTCCTCGCTAGTGGCTTGAGTAATAGAACTCGGTACATTCAACCAATCGTCTGCCTCCTCACCGGCGACGTCCGGGACGTCCGCGTCTTCATCCTTGACGTCCTCGTTCTCCGAGTCAGGTTCTGGCTCAGTCTCCGAATCAGCGTATTGAGGTTGTGATCGTTCGGACGCAGTCTTATCATCAACGGTAAACCATCCTGCGAGCTCAGGATCAATTGGAGTCTCTTTAAGTGGCTCCGGACTTGGCTCTCTGGCGGGTTTCGGTTCGGGCTCGGGTTCTTCCTCTGCTTCTGAGACTGTACGACTTGAAGCTGCCTCTTCCTTTTCGGCACCACTTGTGGATGGCATCGCCTCCTCTTCCTCTTCTTCCTCTGCGTTATAGTCTTCGGAAGTTTGTCGAATAGCTGTTGCATGGAAGAAGTATCTGTTATTACGGTTAGATACACTATCGTCTAAGCAAACAAGAAACGGACGCACTTCTTCCTCATGGGTACCAGCTCGCCTTTGGCGATGCTGTCCGTGATCCAAATCGGCTTGATGATGTCTATGGCACCTTTGTCCATGATCATCCTGATATCGTATGCTGTAGAGAAGTCTTCAGCGGAAATAACATCGTTTAGAACCCTGCTGGACTCACGAATCGTGGATCCGTCATAGACGACGATGACATTCTTCTGACTCCTTGCGACTTGGACTATCTTGCCACCGTGTTGTCGTATCCTATACATGAAGAAGTCAATGGGTGAATTAAAACTCGGTGATTAGATTCTCGGGGGACTGACAGTCTCTGAAGGTTCGCTTTGTCCTCGTCTCCCGTCTTTGACTTAGGATCGGATGCCACCACTATTATACGGGTCAGCAATGCGGGACAACAAAGAAGTACTGATTGGCTCACTGAACGTATGGCCCTTGAAGAGTTTGCTTTGAGCTTTGACATCAGACAAGTTGGCAGCTTGGTATTGTGGCAACACAGTGGGCTAAAGGGAATAATTAGACGGTCTCCGGCCATGTATTGGATTGAAGATATATTACCTTTTTGCTAGTTGTCTTCCGTTTCTTCCTCGATATGCTACAATTCTGCATCAGCTATTCAATCCAAGCCAAAAAAAAAAAGGTGCCTCACTTGTCATCATTCTCCATCTTCCTCTTCTTTTCTGAACGCAGACTATCCAGAACAGCTTCAAAAGGGGCGTTATTGACTAATACAGCTTATAAAATGATGAATGTACCTGTGGCAGTCATGCAATCTGCTATGGAGAGATCTTCTCGAATCGAGAGGGCTCGAGGGAATCGCATAGTGAGGCCCATATGATACAACTCTGCGAAAACATAAGCGCAAAGTAGCATTTTAAACATTGGACAAACCTGAAGGGACGATCTCCGCAGCTTTGACTTTCACTATGAACGAGCTAAAAGAAAACCCGTAAACGTAAACATGCTGAAATCTGAGAAGGGTATAGCGCGCACTCTTCAGGCTCCAAGTAGGCATCTCCCTTATCTTCGATACCTCTGTTCGACACTTGAAAGAAACTTGGTGGTCTCTTCGGGTCCCATTCCCTCCAAGGCTTGCTACGGATGAAAACATAGTCGCCGTATGAGAAGCCGGAACCTATTCGTACAAATGAGCTGTACCTGTAAAGGGACAACGATTAGGCTGCGAAGATAGCAAGTAGTGAAGACGACGATTACTTGGGTTCTTCATCCTGATCAGCGGGACGCCTATCGTCCAGGACTGCGCAAATAAGTGTAGAGACACCTCCTGAACGTCTCCCAGTTCCGTAGTTACCCGCTAGACACACGTCAGAGAAGACCACGAGTAAAAATAAATACAACAACGCACCTACGACAAGAACGTCAACCGTCTCGCCCATATTATCCTAAAACAAACGTTCAGATCACCCAACCATCAATTTTGAATAAACAAATTCACCATATACTCTGGCTTCACTTTAATCCAGTCCTTGTTTCTCCCGTTCAAAGTGTACACCGATCCAGGATGTTTTATGACCAAGCCTTCTCCCCTATTGGCCATAATCTCTTCCATTTTATCTCGAACATCTTGAGCAGTCTTGCCTTCAAACTCAAGAGTGAACTCAAGTCGGCCTTTCACTTCTTCGATACATGCTTGGAGGTTACGTTTACGGTATTTGAGGGACTTGAGGAGGAGAGATTGACCGTTGAGATAAAGAAGGTCAAAAACTTTGACTAAGGATTCTAGATAAGAGATGTGGTCATGAGTAAGTGAAGAGGGACGTACAGCATGGACGGGGGTTGTGCTCCTTCTTGGTTTTATCTATCGGAAGTTAATATAATGCAAGTGGGAGAAGTGAGAACATACAGACCTAAGGCTGCCGTCTTAAGAGTACCAAATGGCAGGTTCCGCTCAGATACCGGATCCCATACCAGCATCTCTCCATCCAAGATTATACTAGAATGAAGTCAGTACTGATAGCTTCAGAATAGTTGTTGTCGTACCTATCCACTCGTGGATCTATTGCGACATCGATATGTGGCGTCAAACTTCCAGTGCCGACGTGTTTACCATAGAGATAGGTGTAATCCTTTCCTTTCCTACAGAAACACAATACCATAAGATGAAGCTCTGAGAGCGATCCGCAAGCCTACCTCGAGCAATAGAAATATTCATTTCCGCGCTTATGTAACTGAATACGTTCTCCATCGAGTTTCTCTTCCATGATGAATGTACTTCCTTGCATGTCCTTCACAGACTCCTCAATCTTGCGCGTAGGCCGTTTACAGAGCATAGGAGCGAAGGCCCGGAATAGCTGCACGGATTTGTCCTATCAGAGAAAACAGCAGCATGTCAGCGTATCTTCGATGTCCAAGATTAAAAGTTAGAGCAACCTCTTCATTGAGTCTACGTTTCGGATCCCATAACTCCCATGCTACTTTCTTCAGGTCCGAGCAGGTATTGAAAAGGTCATGAGCATCTGGGTGGAATACTGAGAACACGGTGGTCTCCTTGACGGAAATGTTCATGTCTATGTCCAACGAGTAAGGCAGCGGAAAGAAGCCCGGTTCAGACTTTACATACCCTTGAGAATGATGCGCACTATCCAGCGTTGTTCCTCAGCAGTGGTACGGTTATACACGCGTTGCATAACTCTTGCCTGAATATCGCTGTCTCACAGAACAATATGATACCTTGAGCAGTATGATACTTGAATGCACTTACGATTTACCCATATTAGCGGCGACTTCATCGAGGACGTCATTCAGTTCATGGACAGTGAGTGTTCCCTCGATTACGGATGATCTCTTGCTGACAACTTCATAAAGAACTATCGGAAAGTCGCCAGACGTTCTCTGAAGGATGGGACGTTTAAGCATGAACACTTATTATGTATCTTGTTGTCGCTGTACTCACAAATCTATCGGAAGGTCTCTTCCAATTTATAAGACGTATAGCGTCCGGATCTTTGGGTTGTAGAGGAATCATCTTGATGTAAATCTTTGCCAGATTCTTCTCCTTCAGACCATACACAGCTCGTTCTCTATCTTTCTGTAGACGCCGTCAGTGGCACCGAGGTACATTGTGATTGAACTTATGCTTGCCTGGGGCAGAATCAGCCTCAGTACCGGGTACAGGTCGTATCCTACGTCATGTCGCCAGTGCTATTTCATGTAAGTTCGAGAAAGCAAGATAACTCAGACGAGCGATACGTACATTGAACCAACTATCTAGAAGCTTTCTTCGTTTCTCAGGCTTTCTTTCCGTCTGAAGCTTGTCAAACAGTGCAGAGAGTACCCAAAAAGGTACGCTTTTGTTGCTGGGAGGAGGAGCAGGATAACTGTCTTCATGATCGTAGGTTTCAGTCACGTTGTGACTCTCAGGAGGAGGGCTCGAGGTGGCGTGTCCGGGCGACGACGGGGTCGGTGTTGGCAACATCTTTCGAGGATATGGAAGTCAGGACTAAAGACACGTAAGATAGGATGTGAGAATGTCGCAAGATATGACTCCGGCTGAGAGGCCAAAGATGCGGGTCCGCTGTGGCTGCAGTTCGTATTGAACGCGATCGGGGTGCAGACACCCCACCCCTGGACGCGCCGAGGTCACGAGGATGTCACAGACCCCGTGACAGGATTTTGAGATTGAATATTCGGAATGCACTGGGTCCGTAGTTTTCTTTTACGAATCCTCACTACCATGGCACCACCTAAACCGACAAAGAAACCCAAGGGACAGAAAAAGGAGAAAGTCTTCCATCCTCTATCCCGGAAAGCCGATCAACTCGTGAGGACCCAGCTTCGGAAAGGAAAATTAGCAGACCTTGCCAAAGCTCGCAACCAAAAGCATCATAAACAGGGTCTGCAGGACTTTATTCGCAAAGTTGCTCTTATCTTAACATTGTGTTTGCTGCAGTTGATTTATATGGATTCTTCTACCATGCGATACCGCCCGAGGGAACCCTTACTCTTGAAGATGTCCATACGATCATCCATGATATCTGGTTACCACGATTTGATTCAGAACTCGAGGCTGAGCGAGCAGCTCGCCGAAAAGGCCGTCCAAAGAGTACGAAGGAGCTTAAGCTTGAAGAACTCAAGTTGCGGGAAGCTGAAGAATATCGAACCGGGATTGGTGAGTTTAAGCTCTCCATTTGTATATATCATGCACCGATGTCTTAACGCCTCACAGAGGTCATTGACCTTACTCATCCTCTCAATGTCGACCTGTTTCGTCAGTGGGATCAAAAGGAGGCCCCGTTTATCGAACAACTGCGGTTTATCCGTATTTCGAGCGCTGCACCTGATGTCGCACAGGTCTCACGTCCGGGAAAACATCCATTGTTGATTGAGGAGAAGAAATCAACCGAGACCCAGGCACAAGATATGGACATGGACGACTCGGAGGCACCTCTCTTGCTTGAGCCGATGACTCGTTTTTCATCCACAACAACCACTATGGGCGCTGCACCGTAGACTCATACGCGGTCGTTTTCCAATCATCCAATAATCGAATGTCCGCATTATAAAGTATGTACTAAAATAGATCTAATAAATGTAAGCAACGACCCAAAGACTAACCCTAATATTACAGGCGGCTCATTTGATCGAGTCCGAAATCTAACCTTCGAAAGCCACCTCTACAAATCGCTCATCTTCCGGAAAAATGGGACTCGAATCCCGACTAACTCTTCCCGTTGCCCCCGTGTACCCATTCGACGGTGTATCCAAATTCCACTCCCGTCTGAACCTATTATATACCAACCTAAAGCTAGACTGTGCACCTTTCTCCATGACTATGCACAATGCCGCCTTGTACCCTGCGATAGCCTGAAGCGTCGTCGGCCTATGCACTTCGACGCGGAATTTGACCGCCTTGACAGGGACCATCACTCCGTTTGGATCTCGCGACTCCTCCAGCTTGCACTTCAGGATTCCCATTCCCTCGGCTTGCGTCAAGATCACACTGAGCCCCATTTCCTCCAGGATGATTTTGCATTCCTGTCGAGTAACGTGGGAATCTTCGGTTGAGACCATCTGATAAGTCGCTGGACGAAATCCGAAGATATTGCCCAGCCAGCTACGTTTGGGCGCGGAGCGAGAGGCAAAGGAGCCGCCTTCTGCTGAGAACACAGACGATGCAGGCGATCCGAAGGGGCTATTGCGTCTACGTAGTTTAGTGGGCTCAGCGATCTGGACTCGTCTACCTGGCCTTGAATTAGGGCTAGTGCTGTTCTTAGTACGCAATGATGACTTTCGAGTAGGTGTCTCGTCATCTTCATAGCGTGAGGTGTACGCATGCTCTGCAGAGAGGAATGAGTTGTCGTTCTCCTTGTCCGCGGGTCGACGGATACTAAGCGGGCGAGTGGTATTGACGTTGCGAGAAGGCAAGAGTCCACCAAAAGTCTCCTTGCCGTGGAAAGGTTGTCCAAGGTCTAAAGTGAGAGGCGTACGAGGAGAGCGAGCAGTAGAAGCTGGCGAACGGGGATCGAATGGAGTTTTAGGCGTTTGTTGTATGACATTTAGAGTGTCGGCGACTTGTTTCAAAAATTGTTGGAGTTGTGCATCTTGAACGTCCGGAATATTCAACGAGAGGTTTTGGCTCTGTGGACCAACCTTCGACGATGATTGAGCAGAAGACTGAGGCGCTTCCATCATTCCTGGACTGGAGTGCGATACAGGTTGCATCATCCTAGGTTCAGATGTTGCCGGAGTCTCACGTCCTCCTTGAGCAGCTCTTCTAGGTGTCGGTGGTCCCTCCCTTGGCGGAAGATCCAAGAAGTCGAAAGACTGGGTTTCTTCAGCACGGACCCTTCGAGCTTTCCGAGCTTGCTTCTTAGATTTACGTCTTTCTATGAAACGTTGCTCTTCCTCTTCGTCATATTCCTCAAGGTGCTTGACGCGATACTGCAATAGCAAGTGATAAATGCCTTTCTCCCAAGTGGTTCCTTTGCAAGTGAGGTTCGCGTTGAGAGTCTTAGCCTCAACATGGGGCCATAGAGCAACAATGTTTGCGAAGATGACAGCGTCGATGTCGATAATGGGACCCGCCGGGAAGTCAAGCTGAGGACCGGAACAGGCGAGACTCTTCGTCGGAGGGTCACGTGTACAGAATGGGTGTTGAAGGATGTCCGTCATGGAGATACGCTTGGTGGGATCGTAGACAAGCATCTTAGAAATGAGGTCTTGAGCGCCAGGATCGATGTTTGTGGGCATTTCGTATTTGCCAGCCCGAACTGCTTCCAAAACCTGTCCACTGTCTTCATCGTTGAACGGCAAGCGTCCTGCAACCAAAGCGAAGAGAATGACACCGCAAGACCAGATATCAGCAAGTGAGCCGTCGTAAGCAAGTTGGTTGATGACCTCCGGAGCGGCATAGTGAGGACTTCCACATGCAGTTTGGAGTAATTGCGCTTGTCCGTGCCAAGCAGCCGCCATACCGAAGTCAGCCACTTTGATATTCTTGTCTTTATCGAGCAGGATGTTCTCGGGTTTTAAGTCGCGATGGGCGATGTTCACCTGGTGGCAGTAGTGCATAGCGGAGATAATTTGCTGGAAGAGTCTAGAGGCCTCTATAGTAGGAAGTTTTCCCTTTTCGCACAGATAATCAAAAAGTTCGCCGCCTTCGACGTATTCGAGGATGAGATAGAGATCCGAGGACGTTTCCCAAACGTCGTGGAGTCGCATGATGTTAGGGTGCTCGATAAGTTTCATGACGACGATTTCGCGTTCGAGATCTCTGAGAACGCGATCTGCATCGTCGCCGAGGTCGCGCAAGGACATGCGGGAAGAAACGATGAATTGTTTAGAGACAATCTTGACCGCTGCGTATTGACCCGTTTTGGAGTGTCGTGCAATTCTTACACGTCCTAGGGATTCTATGAGTGACTTTAAAAGATAGAAAGTTTACTACAGCGACCATACCTGATGCACCACGTCCTATCTCCCTCCCTAGCTTCCACAGACCGATCATCGTCGGGTCACCACCTCTCTTGTCAAGAGGAGACAAACCAGCCATATCGTCGCTTCTGAAGAAATGTGACGCGGGAAGCAGAAGTTATCCAGAAGATTTCTTGTCCTCTTGAGGTGTTCAAACTTGCGTCTAGATTGAATGGATCACAGGAGAGAGTCGGCGTTCAAGCGGGGACGGGGGCTGACCATCTTATCGTTCCGGGGTGTCTAACTTCGATCCGATCATTACCTTGATCGAGTGGCTAAATATAGCAATTCGGATCATGCAATCTTTATGCACCAGCTCACTCGAGTCTTCCGCTCACTCTCCATCGCTTAATCAACTGGCTTTCAGATATTTTTCCCCTTCCGTCCAGTATTATGTCTCCTATCAAACGAAGGACTCTGTGTCAGAATGTTTCCTTTTATTTCCGCACTCTCAGTCTGTTTTCTTTTCTCTCGCTCTCTTGCTGGTGTTTCTCTAAGGTCTACTATCGAGCTCAGGACCTTCGCTCTCCTTACATTCAAGATGACGGAATACCTACTATGACAACAATATTTGAGGACGTCGTAGCGGATACTATGTTTCATATGCATGAAACAATGTCGCCGTACAGCACTCGTCTTGCCGCATACAACGATGATTTACTCTTGCCAATGACCGAATCAGATCGCTCGATGTCTGTAGTCCTTCCTGTTCAAGCCGATTCTGTCTCATCAATGACCTCGACACTATTATATCTTCTTCAAAACCCCCTTCAAACCACCGAAGTTATCCTAGTTGCACCATCTGCTCTCCACGCTACCATTCGGAGCATCCTACGAAATATTTTGACTACTACAGAGTCACACGTCGACTTTGATATCAGTATCTTTGCTTGGTCCGCAGAATTGAATGACGAAGCTCTCGCGGTGCTGGATGTGGCATCACAAGTTGTTTCGGAGAAGATCTTGTTTCTTGACTCTTCAGGCTTTGTCCATCTCCGTCCTGATACAATTCGACACATCACCGATCCGCCGTCCTTGGATCTTCCAGCCGGTCCCCGGGCGTACGACTTCTCAGGAAATGATTTTGTCTGCTTTTCACCTGCGCAAAGTCAAATTCGTGGATTCCTTATTCCACCGCTGGTGATCCCGACTAGTCTAATTTCCGACGTGGAAGACCTGCAACGCGAACATACGTATGGAACATGGGCGGCCCTTGCTGAAAGCGTCTCTTCCTCCGAATTCGATGAAACTACTGGGATCGTAGTAGGCCTCGTGGCAGCGGGATCATCCTTCTGTTCATCCGAACATGCCCACTCGTTATCCAACGCGACACTCCCTTTCCTCACCGCGGAACATTCATCGTCTCGCATGCCCGTAAATGAAACGGATTCCAAACCTGTTCAGGATGGCACTTTCGCTTTTGTCTTCCCGCTCTACGAGAATCTGGTACACTTGCTTCCTATCGTTTGCCGAATCCGCAAACAAGGTCACAACGTGCACGCTCTAATATCCACGCCTGTTCCAGGCGAATATGTCTTGCCCAGTTGTACCCTTGACGTAGCCACGATATCAGAATCGTCTTCTATGGACGATATGGGCACCGCACTTTCTGAATGGATCTTGACTCTGCCTTCTCTGCCCGACGTTATCGTAACGCCGGCTCAAGACCATGCTGTCTTGATCGCTTTAGACTTCGTTTTGAGGCGTTACTCGAGTCTTTCAATCACCCACGTCCGATTCCCACCCACTGATTTGCCTCTCTGCGATTGGATGGGCTCACTTTCTTTGGAAGAATGGCGTAGTAAGTAACGTTCGAAAATATATCACTCCAACGAGGCTAAGTTGCATTCTTTGATTCTAGATTGGCATAAACCTCGTGTCGATATTTCGGTCATCACAAACGACAGACCGGAGTCATTGAAACGTCTGCTTAAGTCTTTGTCATCTGCTCGCTTCTTTGGCGATTCAGTCAATCTTCGAATCAACCTAGAGCAAACGGCGGATGCAGAGACGCTACGCATCGTAGGAGAATTTCAGTGGAATCACGGCTCAGTCTCTATTCATCGGCGGGTCATTCATGGTGGACTTCTACCTGCCGTTGTAGAAAGCTGGTATCCTCGGTCCAACCATTCATACGGGCTTATCCTTGAAGACGATGTGGAACTCTCGCCATTGTTCTACGCATGGGTCAAGACCTCATTGCTGCATTACCGGTATGAGACACCCCTTCTCTACCTTCGCAAATAGTCCGGCTCAATTTGCTTGCAGATATGGCGATATAAAAGATCACTCGCGCCGACTGTTTGGAGTCAGTCTTTATCAGCAGAAAAATCTCGAGCTCCGTCCTGAAGGGCGCCATCGTTTCTCTCCGCGTCTTACTTTCGCATCCGCCTCGCTCCCCAATTTGAACACCCCTTACCTCTCTCAGATTCCATGCAGTTGGGGAGCTGTATACTTTCCCGAACATTGGCAAGAGTTCCATGAGTACCTTTCCCTGCGTCTGTCCGGAAGTCACCCAAAGTTACCCATTGACTCTATTGTCACGCCTGGTGTACGATCGAACAAGTGGACACGGTCATGGAAGAAGTACTTCATCGAGATGGCGTTCCTACGTGGATACATGATGCTATACCCGAACTATCAGGACTACCTCTCGCTTTCTACCAATCATCTAGAAGTTGGCTCTCACGTAAAGGATATGCCCATGGATGCATACATGCAGAAGCAGAAGTTGTTTCTCCTTCCTTTGCTACAGCTTCCCGATGTCAAGGCTGGAGAGCATGTCGAGACTGGACTCCTGGACTTGCCGGACGAGAGGATGCCTGCTTGGAATGATCTGCCTACTCTAGATCTCCTGGGACTCTTGGCCGACAGTGATACACTGAGGAAACGAGGACTAATGCGGACAAGGGAGATCTTTGGATGCGAGCCTGGAAGTACTGTGCCTAATGCAGGTCGTTTCCTTGTGCCCAGTTGGCTATGTAGATAGGTCTTTTGGCCGTACTCTCAATGGCTAGCTTCTTGATAAATATCATGGGGAATGTCTGTTTCCAGTTGCTGTCTGTCTGAACAGTGAAAGTTACGAGCACTCTTGTGTGCTGGAGTCCGAAAAGGCCAATTGCAAGCTACATATAGTAGATGGTATTTACGGGATCTGCCGCCACCAGTGACGTCAGAACATGGGACGCGTCGTGTGTTCTGATTGGATCGTTTCTTGGGGTTGGTTCTCGAGCTGCAGGTACTTATATGAAGGTCGCGACCATTTACCGCCCTTCACCTCTTTCTTTCCATCCTATTTTCCTCTCTATCGCGCCTCATCGATAATTTGACATGACGAAAGCGAGGAAAGTCAAATCTACGCTGCATTCGGTGAAGATTCCTGCGAACAACATAACTCACACGAGTTCGGAATCGCCAAAGACACCCAAGACACCTAAGACACCCGCCGATGAAGGCATCGATTTCTTCGAATCGGCGTTCACGCAAGGAGAGGAGCCGATACGCGTGTATGAGCTACAGCTAGACCCCGATGGCGGCCCGAACAAAGATAGATCGGTGAGTAGATACGCGCATATATCAACTCGTTGAATATACATATCTCTATCCCTCAGTATATGCGTCTACCGCCTGCGTACAAACCCTATGTCCTTCGAGTATCCATAGAGGCTGGCACGCCTGCGGCTAAAAATGGTGTATTCAAGACTAACTTCCCACTTGATGGTGGTCGCTTTTCTAGAGACCACTTCCCTGAGCGCAAGTACGTATTTTACTCTTTTCAGTACCGAGTCTAAGCTCTGACGTTGATTCAGGCTCCCAACCGACTTCTCGAAGCCTATACGGGTCGATCTGCCGATCTCTCACGCAGGTGCATTCGCCTATTGGGTCGAGTACGACGGTGACGAACCAGGAACTCGAGTAAAGGGTCGTGAAGGCTACTTCAACATAGACCCAGTTTTGCGAACTAGGGCGCGCACGCCGATCATCTCCGACGCTAGTATTTCTAGCAGCGGAGGTGCAGTGCTTTCCGACAACGTCAATCTCTCTCTCGATGGTGTCTCTATCCTCACGATCGTATCCAAATGGATGGGCTCTACTGATGCGTGGAGAGACCACCTTGCTGAAGCCAGTGAACGCGGATATAACATGCTGCATTGGACTCCTCTGCAAGAAAGAGGCGAAAGCGATAGCCCTTATTCTATCAGAAACCAGCTCATATACGAGCCATCCATGTTCACTGGCGGGAAGGCCGATCTCGGTGAAGACGGAGGAAAGGCAAAATTAGAGGGACTTCTGAGAACCGCGAGAGAGGAGTATGGGCTTTTAAGTTTGACAGATGTCGTTTTGAACCACACAGCGAACGATAGTCCGTGGTTACTAGATCATCCAGAAGCAGGCAGGTGTTCTATCGTCCCTTCAATTATGTCCGCATTCTGAGTCTGGGCTTAGGATACAGCCCCGCTAATGCACCTCACCTTACACCGGCGTTGGAACTCGATACTGCAATTGTCGAGTTCTCGGGTTCTCTAACATCCAGGGGCCTCCCAACGACCGTTCATTCTCAACAAGACATTGATACCCTAATCAGCGAGTTCCAGGAACACGCTAAAAGTCTCAATATGTGGCAATACTACGTCTTCAATGTGAAAAACGAACGACAGTCGGTAAAGGACGCTGTATCCGCCAACAACATCATTCCCTGGACAACAAAAGATGTTGCACAAAAGAACGTTGTTCAGCTTGCGGATATCATTCGCACATCTGGCGTAATCAATGGATATCGTGCACTTGAGAAGCGCTTTGGAACATCTGTTCCTGGCCCAGTCGCAGCAGGCTTCGTGAAAGCCGCATTTGTCGATGTCGAAGATAATGCAGACGCGTTGGCGGATGCATGGTCTCGTGTTGTGGATGTTTTGAATGTCCCCCTATACGAAGAGTGGGAAGAAGATACGAAAGTCGCCATGGAGCAGATCAAGGGTCGGCTGAAGTACATTCGACTGGAGGAGAATGGTCCCAAGTTGGGGCCGATCACCAAAGAGTAAGTGTCACGCTGCATACAGGGACAGATGCTGATTATACCATGCTTAGTCTCCCATTGGTCGAACTCTATTTCACTCGATTACGTGGTAAGGCCGAGTCCGACCCCCAAACGTATTCTTTAGCCAACAACGGTTGGATCTGGAAAGCTGATCCCCTGGTCAACTTCGCGCAGCCTCCGTCAAAAGCATATCTTCGTCGCGAAGTCATCGTCTGGGATGATTGTGTCAAGCTTCGATACGGCGATGGGCCCGATTCTAACCCCTGGCTGTGGGAGTATATGACGAAGTATGTAACATCGCTTGCAGAAACCTTCGACGGCTTCCGCATCGACAACTGTCACTCAACCCCTCTGAACGTTGGCGTATATATGTTGGATGCCGCGCGAGTCGTGAACCCGAACCTATATGTTTGCGCCGAGCTCTTCACTGGCAGTGAAGAGATGGATACGCTCTTCGTTAGTCGATTGGGCATCAATAGCCTTATTAGAGAGGCCGGTAACGCTTGGGATCCCAAGGAGTTCTCGAGACTGCTTTACAGACACGGTCTTGGAAAGCCAATCGGTACGTTACCTATTCGGACTATGGGTCGATGAATTCTTCATTACTGGCGTAACCGTCTTGTAGGTTCGATGGACACTGCCTGTGTTACCAGCAAGGAAGAACTTCCACCACCTACTGGCAAGGGACCCACACGACCTTGTATCGTCATTCCTCATAATGGTTCTGCACCTCATGCGCTTTTCTTCGACCTCACACATGACAACGAGTCGTACCTCGACAAGCGATCTGCGGAGGATGCTTTATCTACTGGTGCACTCGTGACATTCTCTCACAGCGCAATTGGCTCTGTCAAGGGATTCGATGACATGTACCCGAAGTTGCTAAACCTCGTTGCTGAGAGACGTCAGTATGAAGTGACGCGTTTGGGTGAAAATAGCGGTATTGCGAGGGCGAAGCGGATTTTGAACTCGTTACATACCGAAATGGCTTTGCATGGATTCGAAGAAGGACATGTTCATCAAGAGAACGACGTAAGCGAACTTCGTTGCTTCCCAAATGCGGTAGACTGACCGATAACAACAGTACATTGTCATGCACAGGGTACAGCCGACGACACAGAGGGGATACATTCTTATTGCCCATACCGCATTCACCAAAGGTTCCAAGGATAGGGGTTTCAGTATGTTGTTCAGCGATATATCCTTGACCAATACTAATTCATGGTTTCCAGTCAGCCCAATCAAACTGCGTCGCACCAAGGCCAAGTTCGTCTATGGAGCACACATCAAATTCTCATCGTATGAGAACAACAAGGATCCAAATTTGCTTCGGGGTCTTCCGGGCAAACTAGTCGAGATGCGTGAGGTCGTTGCTCCTCAGGGATTAGACAATGAGGGGCCCTTCGCCGAGATCATCGTTCCGGAGTATTTCCCGCCTGGAAGCATCATGCTCTTCGAGACTCAGCTACGAGGCATTGACCCGGATCTTGATGCACTCTGTTCATCTGGTGCGGATGACGTGTTCGGTTCATTGAATCTCGTGGATCTCAATGTCGTCCTTCATCGAGCTGAAGGCGAGGAGAGAGACCTCACCGCAGGCGACATTGGAACCTATATCGTCCCCGGTTTGGGTAACTTGGTGTACTGTGGTTTGGAAGGTTGGATGCACCCCCTCCGACATATCATGCGATACAACGACCTTGGACATGCCCTGTGTGCGCACCTGAGAGAGGGTACATGGGCAATGGACTTCGTCGCTGCACGCTTGTTTAAGTGAGCACTTCCGCATCGACGGAATGCTGAACCAAACGCTAATATATGATGTTTGTAGGCAATCCGATACCTTCCCCAACTTAGTTGGTCCTGCTAAATGGTTCCAGGAGAGGTTTGATCGTATCAAGAAGAGCGTTCCAAATTTCCTTCGACCCAAATACTTCGCTATCGTCATTTCGGAAGCGTACAAGGCTTCTCGTCGATCCGTCGTCGAACAATGCTCTGACTTTGTATCAACTGGTCACTCCTTCACCCAGGATTTGGCTTTGACTGCTGTGCAAATGCTTGGTCTCGTTCAATCAGCTTCTTTGGATCCTGGAAAACCTACGCCTTCTCTTGCTGCCGGTCTGCCTCATTTCGCAACCGGATGGGCGAGGTGCTGGGGGCGAGACGTTTTCATCTCATTGCGAGGGTTGTTCCTCACGACCGGTAATTTCCTGGATGCAAAGCGTCACATCCTAGCATTTGCTTCTACTTTGAAACATGGGTTGATTCCGAACTTGCTGGATTCACTGCGAAACCCACGGTATGCTTTTCTTCTGACTTGCTTGTATTGAGCCAGTTTTGACTTCGAAGAAGGTACAACTCGCGTGATTCTCCTTGGTGGATGTTGCAGAACATTCAGGACTACGTGAATATGGCACCTGAGGGACTCTCTATTCTCTCCGAGCCTGTCAAACGTCGTTTCCCGCAAGACGATACGTGGGTTCCTTGGGATGATCCTCGCGCTTATGCGTACTCGAGCACCTTAGCCGAGGTTATCCAGGAAATTCTTCAACGACATGCAGACGGCATCCACTTCCGTGAACATAATGCTGGACCGAACCTCGATATGCAGATGAAGGACGGAGGATTCAATATCGACATCCAAGTTGATTGGACAACCGGACTCATCTTTGGCGGAAACGAGTTTAACTGTGGAACATGGATGGACAAGATGGGCGAGTCCGTCAAGGCAGGTACCAAGGGGAAACCTGGTACGCCTCGTGATGGTGCACCAGTGGAGATCACTGGTTTGTTGAAAAGCACGGTCCGCTGGTTGGATCAGCTGTCCGAGGCTGGGGAATTCCCATTCAGGGGCGTTGACGCGAAAAGTGAGTGGACACGGTTGTTATATTGAGTCAACTTTCCACTTATCGATGAATGATAGTTGACGGCAAGCGAAGACTCGTCACATACAAAGAATGGTCAAACTTGCTGCAAGCTTCCTTCGAGGAGTGTTACTATGTTCCTCTCGGCACGTCTTCGCTATTCCGCTTGCAGTGCCTTCCAAGCTGATTACCGAGTTGTGTAGATCCGGCCGAAGACCCCAAGTACAATGTAAACCCTTCGTTGATCAACCGCAGGGGCATCTATAAGGATGTCTTTGGCTCCGGTCCTGGACGAGAATGGTCAGACTACCAATTCCGTCCCAACTTCCCGATTGCAATGACTGTCGCACCTGAACTTTTCGAGGAGAAGCATGCGCTTCATGCCTTAAAGTTGGCAGATCAGGTGCTCGGGGGACCTTTGGGCATGAAGACTTTGGATCCTGCCGATCTGCAGTACAGACCATATTACCACAATTCAACTGATGGTGATGACGCAGCTATTGCTAAGGGCCTGAACTATCATAATGTGAGTGGAAACAAGCTTGGTCATCATGTTGTTGGAGCTAAATGTCATCTTAAGGGTCCGGAATGGGGTTGGCCATTGGGTTACTTCTTGCGGGCGTACCTCTATTTCGATACTCGCGTTGGGGTTGGTAACGGGGTCGGTTTTCCTTCTTCTCCTTTAGAACGTAGCAATACTAAGTGTACGTTTATAGGATCCTTCCCAGACTCTGCATCGTCTGTTCAAGATTCTGTTGAAACCTCGTCACCACATTCAGCATGACCCTTGGGCTGGTCTTCCCGAGCTGACGAACAAGGATGGTGAATATTGTCCAGATTCGTGCAAAACGCAGGCGTGGAGCAACAGCACAATTCTCGACTTCTTACAGACCGTCCATGAAATGAACACTACATAAATGGACTCTGGCTGTATCGATACGCTTTTCTTTACTTGTAGTATTTATCGTAGTGATGGATTTGTTGGATAAGCAGGCTGTATTCATAGGATTCAAGTTGTAGATTTTCAATCCTAGCGGGGATTCCTCATTTGTTTTGTGGTGTTATCAGTCAGATTTGATGAGATCAAAGTGATCGAGCGCCGGAGCCATAAGTCAGGATTGAGCGAAAGAACAGGCTAAAGACAACCTCCATCCTACCTTGCCCTGAACTCAGGCATATCTGATGTCTTTCTTTGGGTTTGAACAAACGAATGATTTAGAGGCAGAGAAACGCAGATTCCTTGAAAGCGGACTCAAAGGGGCACGACAGGAAGATGTTGCTGTATATACTTGGGGAGAGGATAGTTATGACGGACTTGGAGACGCTCTTCAGGAACGAGGAGATGAACTGAACGATGAAACATTTGGTGGGACAGGCCAAATTGGTGTGTACCAAAGTTGATCTCCTCTCGTTATATGATATTCATGGATTGAGTTCAGGGAAGGATTTCGACTTTTCAACTACCGCGCTTCCTGAAGATGTGCGGCCTCAAATTCATAGGGAGGAGCCAACTCGAGCAGGAATTCCTTCCCAAGAGTTAGAGCCACAGCAACAACGGCCCGGTGCATCATGTACGATATTCGCGATCTTGTGCTTTCCTGTACCCCTCATATATTGATCCAGCTCGACCAGTCCACTCGCTCGAATCGATATGGGATGACAAATCTCCGTTTTCTGTGCTACCCAGGACGAATGGTAGTCACCGCGCTGCCGAACAGCGTCCATCTGCTTCACATGCATTTTCGCCATTCACTGGTCAAACCCAGGACTCGCACGCTGGCGCTGGTCAGACGACTAGCCAACCTTTGCACTTAGGAGGCGTTCATTCGCAGGGAGTCCGTACCTTGGAAGAGATCGAGGCTGAGATGCGACAAGCTTTTGCTGCCCAACGGAATCAGAATATCTCTCCCTCGCAACCTGCACAGGCGCGAGTGAGTCAAGGTAGAGGTACTCCACAATTACAGCAACGGTATGCGCCTCAGCCAGAAGCTCCGACACCTCCTCCGAGAATGCATCCTCATGCTCAGTCCCCTCGGTTCCATCAGTATCAACAGCAGGAGCAAATCCAACTTTTGGAGCAACAGCGTCAGCGACAGATCGCGGAGATCCGGGCGCAGGAGAGAAGACAGCAGCAGCAACTACAGCTCTTGGAACTCCAAGAACAACTACGTGTAGAGGAGTATGAACGAGAACGGGATCGAGAACGTCAACGTCATATCCGAGCAACTCAACAGGCTCAGCAGCTTCAACAAGCGCAGCAACTTCAACAAACTCAATACATCCAACAACGACAACCTTCTGGTCGCCTGACCCCTTCCGTTGCCGAGTTACAGCAGCGCCGATATGGTCACCAGTCACCTGCTAACGTTCAGGCGCAGCCGGATGCACCGTTTCAACAAAGCATGCAATATCTCCCACGAGATATTCAGATGCAACAACGATTGCTTGCTGAGATGGCTCAAGCAGAGTTTCTTACTAGCATGCAAGGATCGGCGTCACCCGCGTTATACAACACTAGTAACGAAGTCGAAGAGGATAGGGAGCAACAGGAGACCCTTCGCGCGGAGGCCATGCGCAAGATCATGGAAGCTGAGCGCATGGAGGAGAAACGTAGACGCAAATTGGAAAAGATTCGTTATATGGTAAGACCTCGGTCTCATCTTGCCTCAACTAATTATTCATCAAACAACGCTGTAGTCCCGGTATAACGACCTGATGACACAGTCTGACAAGGACTTCATCACTCGTATCCAAGTCTCCCAGCTGGTCACCCAAGACCCATACACCGACGACTTCTACGCACAAGTCTATGGTGCGGTCATGCGTTCTCGTATGGGCGTGAGTGTCCCAGATCCCGTCTTGAAGTTTGGCAGTGTTGGCGGTGTAGGACTCGGTGTCTCTCAAGTTAAGGGTGGCCGAAGACCTAGTGCTATGCAACGCATGGAAGCTCAGGTCGAGAGGATCGTCAACAACGCTAGGTTACGGGAAAAGGAGAAGACATGTAAGCACTTCCGTTCGAAATTACCAGAAATCATTACTTATGGTTCGCTTGTAGCTCTGAATAGCCTTCAGGGTGCTCTCGGAAAGACCGCAGGCCGAAGCTACAAGGCTGCTCCTCGTCAGTTGCTTCAAGTCGATGCTAACGGCGCCACCGCCTCTCCTACCCTCTCTCATGCCGCCGCACATTCTCACATTTCCAAGGCTGATGCTAAGACTGAAGGCACCAGAGCCGACGCTGCGGCGGAGGCTGCCAAGATGGGCAGGCAAGCTCTTGGTGGTACGGTGAGTAGACACGCCTATTTTCCCACAAAAGGCAGATTGAATAATTTGGACTTTGTGATCAGGCTACCGGTCCTGCTCGCAGAGAGCCGTTGACCCAGAGGGAGACGCTGGTCAAGCTAGAGATGTTATACGACCTTGTTCTTGAGCTCGAACAGCAGAGGAGAGATCAACCACCTGATGAAGAAGTCGAAGCTACCGCTGCATGGTATGTCCACTCACCCGCGGATATCAACGAATTATCGTTCTGACTACATTCTCAGGGAGAAACATTTCGAGGAAACTGTCGAGGAAATCTGGGATGCACTCCAGGTTATGGTTCCCCTGGACACTAGGTAATGTGGTTGCGATTACTTGTTGATGCCTTTACTAATATATTTATAGCGATCCTCATCCTTTCATTTCACTCATCACTCCTATCAAGGGGAAAAGACTTCTCCCTCGTGTGACCCGCCACTTCAGCAGCGAGCAATCTTTGACCCTCCTAACGCTTCTTGTTGCATGCTTCTCTCAACTCGACGTAGTGGTCAACTCGTACTTGCTGGACATTCTGACTGATTCTCAGGAGCGAAGAGATGTTGAAATGCAGACTCAAGCATTCTTGGGAAGTGTGATGCAGAGTATTTTGCCGATTGGCGCTACTGCGAGCTTGAGACTTGTCAGTGGGATGCTTGGAGTGTTCCTCGAGAGAAATGAGATTGAAGTTATTGCAAGAACGAGGGTGTGTATCTTGATAATCGTCAAGGGCTTGTACTGATATCACTTTCAACAGCCCGGGATTGCGTTGTTGACACTTTTCCTGAGTCGAGTCGAGGTCATCAATCAGAGCATGGCTAATGCAACTGATCCTTCGGAACTTCCGGCACCTGAAGATTTAGAGCAATGGTATGTCAGATTCAGTCGAAAATAATCCATGATCGCTCATAGCCCCACTTTCGATTTTGGTAGGCAATTGATGTTTGAGCACTTCTTCGAACTCATCACTCCGCATCTTCCATACCTGTTCCCCTCCGTTCGACAAGCCATTAACTCAGGAGGCATCCCCGTCACTGAAATCCCCGACATGGATACCATAGACCAACCTGTCTGGCAATTCCTTGCGACGCTCTCTCTCAACTCTTCCCTGGAGCAACAACAGGTTTTGGTGACCTCTCTGCGTGACCGCGTACTGGACAACGTTGCTAGTGCATCAAAAGCCTGGTCTATCTCTGACGAGGAGACGCGTAAAACGAGACTGTCGAATGTGAATATCTTCTTGCATGCTCTTGGTCTGGATAGTTCGCAGATTGCAATGTGATTGTGGATTAACGTGATGGCGGCGCACATCTTCTGGAGGAATTTCTTATAAAGTTACAAAAGTGTATATTTGTTAGAGTAGTGTAGCACATACGACAGAGGGATCCTGACATTCATGACTACCCGCATACACTGATCGTTTTGGGTCACACCTTACGGAGCTCGACTGCAGGTAATTTGGAGGTAAGCAGATACAACCAACAATGCTGAAGTTTAGACCTGCTCGGCCAAGAACGTCATGAAACGCTCCGGCTCTTCCCAATGCACCTAGGTAAAACCAACATGTGGTCCTAAGTTCATGCATAGGACAAATCAAGCAAGAGACTTACCAAATGATTCGCATTCTCGAGCTTCTTGACGATCAACCGCCTCACAGGGACGCCCTCCTCATTCATTTTGTCATGCATCTGTACAAGAGTAGAGGCTCCAAGAATACATTCTGCGGCTGTCCTATCGCACCAAACCAATGTTATTTTGAACCTAGAGTTTAATTCTTGGGATTCTCCAGGAACAATGCTATCGACTTTCTCCAATTGAGTGAATGAACGACGAACGTGCTCCGAGAAGATTTCTGGTTTAACATGGAATAGAAAGGAGGCAGTACGGGGAGACAGGTGTCCCTCAATCGCAACTTCCTCGATGTCTTTCTCTGACATGGATGAACAAGTTGCAGGAGGGTCGTCTAGCATCTTTCGCCCGTGTAGAAGTTTAAATGTGTCTTCAATGGCGGCGTCGTGGAGAGACGGTAGCTCTGAGACAGGAGTGTAGTGTGAGGATGCGAATAGGGGAAACAGCCCCATCTTCTGCGCAATTGGGATTGCTGGGTCACGGAAAGGCGACCAGAATCCGCTCGTCCTGTTTCCGACTTCTCGAAAAAACAAAGGGGGTCTGTCGCCTATGACGTTCATCGGAGGGTCTAGAATAAAGACACAGTGATAAGCGCAGTTGTTCCCATTAGCGAAAACAAGTACATACCATAGACGACGACGCTGCGAAGATGAGTGCGAAGGGTATTCTTCCTTCCTTCCGGCAATATATCCATGTACGAGAGGAACTCGAAGAGAACATGGTTGCCCGAAGACCAGGCGACAAAAGAAATGCCGCCAGCGAGTAAGCCGTCTTCGGCGATATAGAGCGGGGGTATAGAAAGAGCTCCAATAATACCGACGATGAAATTTACATATTGATGACCGTGTTCGCGCAGGATCGATCTCTGAACATCAGTGTCGCTACTTCTAAGTGCATTAATGTCCTTTTCTTGGTGAGGAGTCGACCCAAGATAATCTCTTTGATTCAGAAGAACCAGACGGAGCTTGAATTTCTTAGCATGTGGAATTAGTCTCCGAAAGATAGCTAATGCTAGTGTCAAGGACCCGCGCAGAAGGATGCAGCAAAAAAACACATGCCTGAGTGATAAAATGTACCGTGGAGCATGATCACGGTCGTATACGCCTCGGTAGGGTCATCGATTGGAGGTCCTGTATCCTCATAGTAAAACCTCACATCGCCTTCATCCACCGTGAATGTGGGCATGTCGATTACGATTCTGCTGAAAGTGCAATGAGGAACGAGTATGTTGCATCATGCGAAGGAAATACCCACGGAAAGCTGCGAAGGATATACGAAACCTTCCTGACACTATCGGTGATTTGGTGTAACACTACTGGCTGATTTTGTGCGTTTTGTCCCACCCTATTTTTAGCTCAACCGTCTGAGTAATAAATAACGTTAAACCTAGAAGCAACGTATCAGCCATTGAGATGCAGGGACCTCATTGATTCGTCCTCAAGGTTGCGTTTAGTTCGTTTGGCTCTCATGTCTAGCCGGCAGGACGCACGGGAATGTGTTCATGAATGACTCACAACTTTGGCTCCCGCTGCTACCTGTCATACCCATTCAAACGGAACGAAGAACTGTTACAGATACTGAAATCCACAAAGTCAACGTTTGGCTTCAGCCTGAGCTACAACGCGCGTCGCGGTTAGACTAAGTATTGTATCGCGGGTTGATGCCATCAATTGATCGATCGGTGTCTATCCTTGGTTGTGGCAGGCCAAGTTCTTAGTTGAGGGCCATTCCACTGCCAACTACAACACTCACTTGCCGTGCGATTACCTCTCACACGTCTCAAACTGAAGATATTAGTGATATCTGGAGGAGGTCTTCTCTTTGTATGACATAATGACTATTAGACTTCGACCGAGTCCGTCTTCGTCACCGGCCTCGCCCTTCTCCTGGGACAAGGTTTCGTCTCCGGCACCGCCAGATGGCCCTTCGACTCCTGCATCACCTCCGACACAATGGCTCTCCGCCCTAGACATGAAGGTTTTTGGCGCTGAACCGTTGAAGCCGCAACATGCTGTAATAAAATGCAAGGATTGTAATAAACCTGTCCTCGAGAGCGCGATCGGGGAACACGCAGGTACGTTTAGATACCTCTCCTAGTTATAGAGTCTACGAGGGTTCTATTCTAACATTTATCTGTAGATAATTGCGCAAAGATTCGCGCAGGCGGTAAGAAGGGTGTCAAGGGCAAGGGTGCTGCAGATGCTGACGGAGGTCTGTCGTCCGTCATGCCGGATGCTATGCTGCTTCCTGTGCTAATGCCACGGATTTAGGTGCGAAAGGGAAAAAGCGAAAGGCAGAAGACGACGACCCTAATCCTGAAGATCCTTCAGCGCCCAAGAAGAAGAAACCTGCTACGAAGGTTACCAAGGGCCGATTCAAAGGTCCAGTCGACTTTGATAGACAATGCGGTGTCATTAATGACAAGGGCCTCAACTGTTCTCGTTCTCTGACATGCAAGTCCCATTCCATGGGAGCCAAACGTGCCGTAGAAGGCCGTTCTAAACCATACGACGAACTCCTCCTTGAATGGAACCGCCAGCATAATCCTAATTTTGTCGAGCCTGTGAAGCGAGAGACAAAGGCTGAGAAGAAGGCTAGAAAAGACAAGGAGAAAGCTGAGAAGAAGAAACAGCAGATAGAGGCAGCGGCAGCCTTAGGCATCGACCTCACCGCACCCAAAAAAGCTGCAGGCGGGGCAGGCGGGACTGGGTCAAAGAAGACGAAGAAGACCGCCGCTGCAATAGCCGCCACCGCCATTGTTGCTGCACCTGGTCCCATCATCACGAACGACAATGATGATAACATCGACGACATTGACTCTGAGGAGGAAGTAGATACTCTTGTGCATGCGGTACGGCTAGCTCAAGATAGAGGAGTGATGAGCGTACCTCTGGCCGTTCCTTGTGATGCCAGCTCCTGGTTTGTTGCACGGCGAGAGCGGTTGAGGACCTGCAGAGACTTGTTGGCAAATGCACTGATGCCGGCAAGAGCTGGCCCTGCTGGTGTCGCAGCGCCGGGGAGGCTGTTAGGATAATCCTCCTTTTGCTAATTGGGTGGTATGGTTTGAGGAACGTGGTACTCACAGGGACAATGATAGCATGTGGTATTGTATGTATTATAGTATTTGACTGTTGTATTCCTAGGTACGTATTGTTTGCGGTGTACATTACCGATACTCCCCTTTAGTTTATACAGTGACAAGAATGTGAATGACTGGCTGGCAGAGAACCAACTTCTGGACGACTTTCTTGTTCATTTCACCTGGGGCCTTCCGTTATGATTAGTAACTCCGCATAACTTCGAATATCATTAGAGACAAATGCCGGTTGGTTTGCTCACGGCGCTGCAACTTGAAACTGAGGCGCTTGCCATAAAGGGGAGGCTCAGTCCCGAAACGGCAGTGCGGCTTGTTCGTTCACATCCACGTCGAGCATGCTCAGAGCGTAACGACCTTTGAAATTCCAACCTGCTCTGGAATTTCGGCTTATAGTCACACCTTCGTGGTGTTGTTCTAACAGGCATGGCTACTATCGTCCTAACAGAAGCTTGTTCAACCCATATTAGTGGCCACATAACCCTGACGTCCCCGAAACAAGAGGATGCATTGGAGCAAACCCGAAGGCGTATCTGCATCACACTCGCGCGCAGGCTCGTGAACACACTGGAAAAGAAACCAGAATCGGATTTCTTGCACCTGATAGATGAGACTGTAGAAGCCTACCATCGCCGACTAGGGAATGCCAAAGGGACTGCCCAAAAACACGCCATCCGTAAGCATTACACTGGTCATAGTCACCTTACATACACCTGAAGGCATCTCTCCAGGCCTGGATGAGCCACATGTAATTCATAAAAGCGCGTCGAGCAATGTAGAGCGCGATCAACGCAAAATAATACGCAAAATTGACTCCATCGCCATACCTGCCAGCACTCCTATCATAGTATCTAACTTCGCACCAAACGCTCTCGCCTTATTTTTCCCACTCCGCATATCAACACAACGCTATGATTTACCTATACAAATACAGCGTCGATTACCCAGCCTTGTTCAAGAGGGGAAATGTCTGCACCAGCTGGGCTCACGTTCCATCGTGAAGTTGAATGACTCCGTGGTGATGAAGATGGGTCGTAATCTCGGCCACGAAGAAGAGAGCATCCTTCAATACGTCGCAAAGCACACGTCGATTCCTGTCCCGACCCCTTTGGGCAGTTTCGATGTGGGTGAGACATCATGCGTCCTCTTCTCGTATGTCCCAGGGGAGCAACTGGATAAGCGATGGCCCAGTCTTCAGGATCACCAGAAAATATCCATACGCCGTCAGTTGGACGAAATGATGGTTCAATTACGTCGACTCCCACATCCTTCAGGCACGCCTCTAGGATCACTCTCGCGCCCTCACGTCTGCAAAGATATTCACATGTTCTCGATCACAAGTTCTCCTAATATAATGGATATGACTACCTTCCACAACTTCCTCATATCAAAACCACATCCTGGAGTTGCGCTGAGGTATCTTCGATGGCTACGAAGGTTGCTCAGAGATGACTATCGGATCGTCTTGACTCATGGTGATCTTCACATGCGAAATATCATGGTGGAGGACGCACCGAATGATGAGATCCGAATCACTGGTATCATCGATTGGGAATTTGGTGGATGGTATCCCGAATACTGGGAGTTGTATAGGGCGCTCAATACGAGAGGAGGAAGAGATGAAAGTGATTGGTGGGACTATTTGCCACAAGAGATCTTGGGATACGATCGCGAAATCGTGGAACATCGAGTGGTCGAGCTGTCTATGAAGTACTGATCGTTCCCAAATAGCCCCTCGTGTGTCCGGGCAATCCCAGTATCCATTCCCCAACTCTATGTTACGACAATATACCTGATAATCGACATACACTCAGAAATCTCTGTAATCAGCTTCGAGCTCATCCCTCGCCGTATCGGCCTCGTGATCCCCGATCAGCCCCTCCTCGTACAATTTGTCCACACATTCAATAATCCAATCCTGACATGTCCAACCCAAAGCCTTTCCTATCGGCACTTTTTTAAGGACCCTCTTAATATCCTCTATCGTTTCTTCGGCGTCGATGGCGTCGGTTATCTGGATAGACTTGATATATCGAGCACTTTGCATAGGATCGGCGTCCAATTCTTCGAACTCACAACGCCCAGTCAGATCCGTTACTTGAAGGACGATGTTCTCGATCGTTTCCCCATCCCTTATTTTTAGATGGAAGGCCCAATGGCCACAGCCACCTCCATCTCGAGCCCTATATTGAACGACATCTAGAATGGCATATACCATCTGCATTCTGTGTCAGACCGTGTCGGAATATGACATGTACGCTTTGGCTGACCGTCGACACCTACGTTGGTTGTATGAGCGAGTGATGCCTATCAAGGTTCGGATTTAGGGGTCCTTGCATTACAAGGTCTTCATTGTAACTCATCACGTTTCAGATATTTATCACTTGGTATGTTGCCTTTGCTGAGCAATGATTGTTGCCTTGGTTCCCATTGAATGTTGACGTCTTATCAGGGGTATGTCCATGGTGATTCCAGGCGGGATATCAGTGTACTGACTGCTGGAACCTTCGCAGGACGATTGAAGGTTGAGACGTGAGGTGGATTTGTCGAAGGATAAGCAAACTTTTGATTAGATATTCAGGCGAGGTAGATATTATAGGTAGATCGAGGCGTAATATCGTCAAGGCACTGAATTACTGTAAACGGGAAAATTGTGTCCACCTTTGAGTCGTACAGCTTGAAGCCTGAATCCATGCCGTCTACCACCAGGATATTGTAGCTCTGAACTTGCTCTGTGACCCGAGTTACTTGCTTTATGCGCTTATGGAAAGAACTCGAAGCCGGTGGGAAGATAGCTGTTTACCATGAGGCGAACAGGTGGTCAACGTTGGATCTCAGTTATACGCCGACATCGTCAACGAATGCTTCAAGCAACCATGTCCGGCTGGGAATACGAGCCTAGGGAAGCTGCAGTATCCTAGCTTTGTAAGTATCGAGAGTAGTTTATATTCATTGATTTACCTGATTTGCATTTGGTAAGTTGATGCCTCAGACGCAGATGTGATACTGCGCTCCAGCGACGATGTCTCGTTCAAGGTCTACCGCAAGGATTTAGAAGCCTACTCAGATGGATTCGTTGGTCCACCATCATCAATAGATGAGGTCGAGGTCGTTCAACTTACGGAGACTTCAAGAGTCCTAGAACTGCTCTTGCAGTTCATGAGGAGGCAGCGTCAGCCCAGTTTCAAAGATGTTGACTTCAACGTCCTGGACGGGCTTGCAGAAGCGGCTGAGAAATATGAGGTGTTCAGTGCGACGGAACCCTGCAAAATCTGGATGAGGTACATACTATGCTGCCAGCGTACGCCCCAGTCAAAGTTTGAGCAACTAACCAGACTATTGCCAGTGCTGCGGCTTCATCGCATCCTGTCGAAGTATTGAGCTATGCAATGAAACATGACTATACCGAGCTTGCGAACCAATGTGCTGTGCACACCATCGGCCTAGATGTAGATTCAACGTTGAAAAGACTGCCGCCTAATGCACAACTTCCGTGGGTACGTGATGAGTTGTGAAGTACATTCATACGAGAACGCTAAGCTTACTCATTTCAAAGCTCCGCTACTGTTATAAATGGCACAACGTCGTTCCCGACTTACTCCGCTACAAGAATCCAATTCAATGTCGAAGGAAATCGCCACCGGACGGTCCACCATGTGCCTTATGGAGCGAGTTCTACGCTCGTGTGGCGGAAAAATTTGCTCGAGGGGGTCTAAAGGTATTACAACCCGGAGAAATCGGGTCTGTCTTTCGTATAGCCGAAGAGACGACCGGTATAGAGGACTGCCCCAAGTGTGTACTCAGAACTCGCTTCAAAATGGCGGGATCACGCAGAGCGGTTGGTCCAGCAGCCAAAATACACCAAATTCATCACTTCGTAGTTGCATGAACAAAGTGGAATCGAGCAGTACTTCGGAACTAGTGTACCAACTTCAGAATACCTCATTTTAGACCTTTCAATACTACTCTAACTTCGGGCCTAAAAAATAATTAGTCAATATCAAAAGCAGTCACTTACAAGGATATATGACATACATTGGTGAGCTTGTGTCACATTGAAAGTGGGGAGCTCGAAGCATTCCAAGCGGATCCCAATGGGATCGTGACGATCAATCAAATAGTGATGGCCTCCGGCACTACTTTAGTTACGCCCACTCCGTTAAAGGTATACAGAACCAACTTGACAATAACCTACTTACGCTTCTTGATGTGTTTTCCTAAGGTCTGGTGCTCCAAGTTTCCTATTCTGATTCCTGGTCGTGTCATAAATCAATGTGCCGAAACATGAACATCGTGCGGTCCGTGTCAAAAAAAATGCTTCGACTTCTTCAGTCACGCTGGAAAGTTGGGAATACGACAGAGGATGACAGTCGTTTTCCCTGAATATATCGTCATGTGCACCTGACGGACTGACGGGTAGAAATAAGAAAACTTTGGAGAAATCCATGCCGGTAATCTTTGCCTCAAACCTTCATCATGCCCACAGCAACGTTTTCTCTCACCGACTGTAAGGCCATCATTCGCGTCACGCCTCGCGCCGGGGATCCTCTGGCCCTGAAAGATCTCGTTCTCTCCGTGATGCACCCGAAGCGAGGCGAGATCGCTACTCTCACCGCAGTCCTGATCAATAGGCGAGCCTGTGGTCATCGTTTCCATAAGGTGACGGCGCCGCAGACGGAGCCCTTTGCCTTATTACTTGACAAGAAGGGTCTCATCAAAGATTTAACCAAGTTCTCGACTACTTTGTTCGACCCACGGGGTCTAATTCGGGAGGAGTTAATCGACCATGAGTATCACCAAGGGACTGGAGTTTGGGGTCGCGAAATAAACAACGGTTTAATCGCATATATCTTCTCTTTGAATGTCAGATCTAGAGGACCGGTAAGATTAATGCACATGACCGCATATAGTCACTGACCTTGGTTTATAGTATAAAGAAAAGGGTGTAGATAGCTGGGCATTGCAACAGCTCTTCTCCTCTGAGTATTTCAATCCTCGCGATTTCGCCGTCGCCTGTCCATCCCGCATGATTCGTCATTATCCGGCTCGGGCTCAAACGAGTGAGGCGACCACACACCTTAATGATTTCCTTCATGAGGTACGTTGGATTGTCACGGCTTTTTGACTTTGTAACAAGTCTAACCCGACTCCAGAACGAATTTCGTAGGATCGGCAGGACCGAATTCCTGGTGTATTCCTTGGAACCCACACACCGTTCACACTCACTCTCTACGCAAGACGACGCCGAGAGTAACTTAATCCATCGCCAGCCGACCGAAGAGTTGGCTTCCACTAGCGACCCCATTCATGCTCTTATGATCCTGCAGGATGAACAGATTCGTCACCGGCGGAAGTATCCTCTACACCATGCCGCCTGCGATCCCCAAGTGACACCTTCACAACTAGATGTCCTGATTGAAGAATTATTCAAGAGCAATCCAGACTCCATTCGCTCGCGTGATGAAAACGGATATACTCCGTTACACGTTGCTGCCCACTGCGCCAGCATTCCTGCTATACGCGCATTGTTGGCTCTTCCATCTCCGGGTCCCCGAAACGACCTAGCTAAACGTGACAACGTGGACGGGACGAATGTTCTGGAGACATGTCAGCGAAAGATGCGTACCGAGAGAGAGACAGAGGAGAAACATGATGGCCATTGGCACGGATACCCAGAAGCGTTCTTGAGGACTGAGTATATGCTCAAGTTGGCGGTTGGCGAAGACGTTGGAGGACTGGATGAAGATGCCTACACGGGCACGAGGAAATTTGGTTGCACCTGTAACCAGTGTTACAATGGCAAACTTTCTCCCAGAATGCGTACCCGTCTAGTCGGTAAGTTCACGTAGCTCAACGTCACATGGTGCCAGGTTGCTAATGCCAAAGACCTAGCGGAATCTACTTGGCTGCTTCAAGACATGTTGGCTGAAGAGCCTCCCTTCGTTGGTGGTCAGCCTACCCCGATAACTGACATCGATCTCCTCCCTGAATCAACCACGTACCTACCAGCATCTGGCCCTATGTGACTCGCAGATTTTACAAAGGCTTCATCAAGGTCTTGCAATATATTCCAGTGGTCCTTGAGTCTCCCATCATACCATTCAGCGCCATCATGGTGGAGAAGTGTGTAGACCAAGTTGGAGGAGCTGAGGCATTCTTCCAACCCGGTGGCCGAGTAATTCACATCTTCGACGCCATTACAAGCAATGCGATCTCGAACTCAGAAGCATACGATGACGGCTTCTTCAAGAAGTATCTGCATAGATTGACCGAGCAGAATATCGGAGTTGTACCTGGTCGTGAAGAAGAAAAGGATCGCGTTCACGGTGAACTTCTAATGGAAACCGACGTTAACGAGCAACATCCTAGCATTTTTGAGCACACCATAAGGGAGCTACGAGGCGAGAAAGAGGGCAAGGCTCTTGACTTTGGCTATAGCACCGCTCCGACATGCGCGAATGACGAAGAATTCGGACGTGTGAGGGAGATGTTGGGGTTGGCCAGGAACAAGAACTGGGGTCCGTACTTCCTTGGGGAGGACGAAAACGAGATGGAGACCGATTGTGACTTCGACGACGATTCAGACTAGCTAGTCAAACTTGAAGGCGTTGGCTGGGGATATCGAGGGAGAACGCCGTTAGAACCGCTGCTGTACGATAAGTGTTTTATTCGATGGATGCTTGATGGTTGAAGCGGTGTATGTTTTGTCGAATAGACAACTCGAGCCCTTGTACTATTAATATTAAACAGGCTTGTGGATTCAGATAACCATTTTGATCGATCAACTGAAGAAACTTACTGCAGGCAGAGAATATCTGCGGCACAACATGTTGTTTTGCAGGATCAGACGAAGTAGCCTTGACTTTCAGTTTACCTGCTTAGCGTCTGGAGGGTTGAAGTTTCCAAGTCTAGGTCTTTGGACGAACTCGGGGACCCAATCGTCGTCGTCCATGCGGCGGATGTCAAAACGGGGGCTTCGACTTCTCTAAGTGATACTCATGGACGTGTTAAATAACGGCACTTATTTCTCCTAGAAAGCCATCACATCAGTCGTGTTCCATGGGGGATTGAGGAAGGTATACATACGACTGCAGAGGGATGCCCCTCTCTTTAAGACTTCCACTATGCCTACCCAATCCTTCGCCCTAGCGAATTGCAAAGCGACCATCCGCATCGAGCCCAATGATGAACATCCTCGTGCTCTCAAGCATCTCTTTATGTCTGTAAAATATCCCAAACTGGGCGAGATGGCGACTCTCACTGCCCTTCTGATTAATCGACGAGCATATGTCAACGGTCCGACTTTCCATCAAATCATGGATGAAGAGCACCAAGAACTAGCCGACTTCGCGACTACCTTGTTCGACAAACGTGGATCGATCAAGGAGCAGCTTGTAGATCACGAGCACCACAAAGGGACGGGTGTTTGGGGTCGTGAGATCAACAATGGTTTGGTCGTGTACATTTTTGCTGTTCATGTCAAAGAAAAGGTCAGTATATATGTCTACAACCTAGTTTCACGCTTACCTTGTGAACAGTATCGGCGACAGGGTGTTGGTAGATGGGCCTTGCAACGTCTCTTCTCATCCAAACACGTCGGAGCTCGCGATTTTGCCATTATCTGGCCCTGGCCTCTGGCTCGTCGATTCTCAAGTGAGGATACCTCCAATCAGACGATGGCCGACGTTGTAGCTTTCTTCCATGAGGTACGCCGACCTATGCGCTTTCACTCATCGACAAGGGCCTGATTTTTTTTGCAGAACGGTTTTCGTAGAATCGGAAGGACAAGTTTCATGGCATATTCCCTTGACCACGCTCACCCTTCGCGTTCTCTTGCTATCAAGGACGACGTCGAGAGTAATTCCAAATACGCCAGGGTGGAAGGTTCCCCGCTGCCCGAAAATGCAAGCTTCGAGGAAAGACTTCATCAAAAGGAGGTTAGACAAATCCGCCATGCACGGAAATATCCCCTGCATCACGCCGTCAGCGACCTCACCCTCACAGCCGCACAGCTCAACGCTACCATCAAAGACTTGCTTGATGACAACCCAGACGCCATACGTTCTCAGAATGAAGACGGCTGGACTCCCTTACACGTTGCCGCTCGCAAGGGGAACGTCTACGCAGTTCGCGTGTTGTTGGCATTATTCTCCCCGGGTCCTCAAGATGACCTTCCAAAACGCGACAACTTGGAAGGCACAAACCTGCTCGAGGGTTGCCAAGCTGCTATGTGGGAATCCAAGGTGTTTGCGGACACGTTCCTGGATGGCGAATGTAACGGTTTTTCGGAGGCGCTTCTACGAATGGAATATATTCTGAAGGTAGCGAGTGGAGGGGATGTAGGGGGGCTGGACGAAGACGCATATACCGCCATCAGGAAGTTCGGCTGTACGTGTAACCAATGCCACGAAGGTTGGCTTTCTCCTCGGATGCGCATTCGTCTCAGGGGTGAGTGCGATCATAACCACTTGAACGACGTCAGGACCGGTCTAACGCAGATGCACATAGCACAAGCCGCCTGGTTAGGCAAAGATATGGAGGACAACATGCCAACCTTTGTTAATGGCAAGCCTCTTTCAGGCATGGCCATCGACATTGGACTTCCTGGTATCAACTACGTGCCAGTCCGTCTCTGGCCACAAGCGACACAAGATTTCTACAAAGGCTTCATAAGAGTCCTATACTGCATCAATATGATGCTCAGCAGCAAAAGGTCATTGGTGTTTGATGCTGTTTTCGTGCAACTACTTGCGATCCAAGCCGACGAGGGTGCGGTGTACTTCCAAGCTGGAGGTCAGGTTGTTTATGCACTGGACGCTATAACGGCTATAGCTGCAGCGAGCGCAAATGGGTTTGCGGAGGTTTTGTGCGAGAGGATTATTAGTAAGATAGAAGAACGTCAGGTTACGCTTCCCCCAAAAGAGAGGCTTTGGAAGGGGGACGATGAAATGGAACGAATCCGGGAAGAGGTGCTTCTGGAGATGGATGTGAACGAGAAAGTATCGGGTATGTTTGATAAAAGGGTGGAGCAACTGCAAGTCGAGGGGCGGAGGAAGGGAACGGTGATGGACTATGGTTACAGTACTGCTCCAAAGTGCGTGAACGACGAAGAGTTCGACCGTGTCAGGGAAATGTTGGGGTTGAGAGCAAGCATGCGGTGGGGCCCGTATTCCCCCGGGATAGAGGAGCCTATTTTGTCGATGGCGATGGTGGACGACGAGACGGAGAGTGAAGAAGACGAGGAAGAGGAAAAGGATTTTGATAAGTCGATCGACTGAAAGCGCAAGTGTTCTGTGACCATACGCTGGTTGTCGTCAGTACAATATTCTTGATGAAGCTACAAATGCAAACGCTTACCTGACGTACCATATTAATTGCGTTTTGTCGGTACTTCAGTACTTATTTTCCCTGGCCAACGGGTTTCACGGCCCCATATGTGTGCATGCATCCAATAGAAAACCTCACCTGAAACTGGAATAAATCGCACAATCCAGATTCGCTTCGATGGTTCGAATGACAGTTGATTCATTTGGGACGCGTCATCTGTCATGAACCTGGAACAAACATATATAAGTTGGAATTTGACCCAAGACACTCTCCAAGGTCTCAACACTCTACCACCATGCCAGCAAATGTCCCCATCGTTCAGAATGACGATGCTTTTGTCTTGCACCGAGCAATAATTGATCGAAAGATTCCCTTTGCGGATGTGCATATGCTCATCCAGGTTCTTGCTCAGGTAAATCCAATCGCACTCCGAGCCCCAAACGGGACCGGTGCGACGCCTTTGCACCTTGCTGCAATTCTGTGCCGGTCAGACATCGTCCGCGCCCTCTTGGAAATCCCATCTCCCGGGCCACGGGATGACCTGGACAAGCTTGCTGGTGACAGAAGGATGACACCTTTGGTCGGATGCCAAGAAACCAGGCGGGCATTTCGCGAGACTGGAAAGAAGAAGTCTCAGCCATGGGGCGAATTTCCGGAGCCGGCTTTGAGTACAGAGTTCTTGCTCAAAGTCGCAGGCGGTGAGGATGTGGGGGAGCGCGAGGAAGCCGCATACATTCACCTGAGGAAGTTCGGATGCACCTGCGGTCAGTGCTACGAAGGCTAGCTATCCCCAAAGATGCGCTCTCGCTTGACCGGTAGGTCATAGCCTTCTCAACTGTTCGCAAGCAGAAACTGACGCATACATCCAAGCTCACGCGTCATGGATGTATAGCAGCACGTATAGCGAGGAACCTACCTTCGTTGGTGGAAAGGTGTCAGAACTCGAGATCGCTATGAATTCTTCAGGCCTTAGCCACCTCCCCTCGCGCTTGTGGTCGAAAGTCACGCGCGCCTTCTTTGACGCGTTCCGCGTCGTCCTGCATTCTGTCTAGTATCTGACACTTCGAGACCCTACCGAACCATTCTCTGCAGCCACCGTTGAAGCGTGCGCCCGTGGTATCGGAGGAGCGTATCCGTACTTCCGATCAGGGGGTGATGTTCTATTCGTACTGGACGCAGTTACAGCCAGTGCTATCGAGGAAGATCCATTCGAAGATGACATGTTCATGAAGGTGATGAAGAAAATGGGTGAACGCGGTGTAGTGCCTGGTGCGCCAGACGCCGTTATGCAAGAAATCCGAGATGAGGTTTCGAAGGAAAGAGACCCCGAGGAGAGGCTTCCTACCGTTTTCGACAAAGTCGTCGCGGATCTCCTCGCGAAAGGGCAGGATGACTTTGGGTATACCGCTGGTCCTATTTGTGCGATTGACGACGATTGTGAAAACAACCCAGAAACATGGCCGGAGCTTCTAGCCAATGTAGAGTTCATACACAATCAATGTGCCGGGTGAGAGATATGCTAGGATTGAAAACGATCAGGATGCGAGAAGAGGACGACGACGATGACGATGAAGATTACCTATAATTAGCGGATCTCTGGATGGATCGTGAAGAGCGCAACATTCTCATTTTTTTTGTCGTCAGCCGTGAACTTCACTTTTACAAGGTCTTGTCGAATTAAGGTTCAGATTCAAGTCCAGTGGGCCTTTGTCGCCGTACTCCTATCCTGTTATCACCGCATGTACATTAGCTGCTGCGAGTGTAAGATTAATGAAGGTGACATACTGTGCGCCGGAAACCTCATCGCACTTCTGACTGTAACTACTGTCAGCATCCGCACACAAGATACAGCAACACACAAGCCTTCATATAGTGTTATAATTCCAATGACACAAACCGTATTATATCCAAGTAACTACAGGGTCCTGGTATAACTGTAAGAAGTGGGTATTGAGTACAACGCATTGAACAGCTCCTTCAAGTACGTTTTCGACGCTCCGGGTGATGAAAATATGTCGTGTATCGCTTGTTGGGCGATTGAGATACAGAAGTCGACGACTCTCCCGCCCATGCCTCTTGTAAAGCCGCATCTTGCGAGCTAGCATCGGGAACGGGTGATTGAGCACCGTAATCTTCCTCGGAATCACTGGAATCACCCTCAAGCCAATCTCCGCTATCAGGCAGCATGATGACACCAGAAGCAGCGTCGAAACTAAGACGGTGGTTGATTGCATGAGCGATGGGACGGGTTGAAGGTCCTGGTGCATTGTCTTCCCAAGGGTTACCGTTTACGCCTACACTGGCAAGGTCATTCTCGGTGCGTGTGGTTGGTGGTTGTCTCGCTATGGAGTATCGTTTCCTGAGAGTTAGTACGACAGGCTTCGTGTCTTGCGCCCCGCCCTCCTCGTCACCAAGACGACCGTTGGTCATGCTCTGCCCCTTCTTGAGGGGAAGCCAAGGTTGAGGTAGAACACCAGTCAATGCAGGATGTCCATAGCGTCTCTTCCCGGTACTGTAAGATTCCAAGATACGGTTAAAGGAGTGTACTTTTCCGGCTGAATGCACTACTTACTTTAGGACGCCACTGTACCAGTTGGCCATGGGAGGTTGCGACTGCAAAGATGGTCATCAAAGAGTACTTAGATGTCATAGATGTGCTCACATAGTCTGTACGTTCATCCTCTGGTGCTACATATAACGTCTCATCATTTTGCGCGTATCGCCGTCGGTTCAAGTAACTGAAAAGGAGGTCAACCGACTGCATTCGTGTCACAACAATGAGCGAGCTAACCTTTGCGACCATGTCACCGGATGACCCGAACGTAGTCGGACAACTTCCGCGCTATCCTCCCCTCTTTGCACTTCAGAGACGGAGCTCAAACTGACATACTTGCTCAGCGGCTTGAATTTCTTGTACGTATACCAGGACCAGATCATGGTAGCAAAGATAAGCGGTGTAAGAAGGGAAGACAGAATGAATGATTTCCGAAGGATGAAGATTCCGGTCATGAAGACTTGGAAGATCACGACGCCCCATATGACGCGGATGAAGGTTATAGGCCAGGCTTGACCTTGGGACTCATACGGTTTGTAGAAGACTGTGAATATGGTGAGACAGACGAATAGTTGAGGGTAAGAATGAAGGACAAACCGAAGAGAAGCTTATACTTGTATACAACGTAGCCGACCCCGAAGTAGACAGCACCGAATACCACAATGAGAGGCTGGATCACGCTATATAGCAGGGTAATGACGAAGATGAGGATTGCCTGCGGATAGACCACGCCATAGTTGATCATTGGAGGGGCATTTAGTTCTGCGTAATCTATGAGAAGAGTTAGCAAGCCCAACGCTTTGATGAGAAGAAAAAGTGCCAACCCCTGGGAGTCCGTGTGATGAAAATACGGTAGAACATCCTTGGAACTAGGACGCCTAGATTTAGAAGTTGCAACGGCATGATACCAATACCTAAAAGAGATTGAATGCCACCGCTAGAGGAATGCTTACTGCAACTTACCTTGCAGGATCACGTATGACAGGAAGAAGTGTCTTTACAACGATGAATACAGGTCTCATGAAGTAAGTGAAGTGAAACGTACCGTGCTCGACCTTGTTGCAAAGCCGCGGCCAATTTCTCGGGAATCTTCGCTGGCGTATTGGCCAAGTCACGGACAAGTTGCCAGTATGTACTGGCCAACAGGAAGACGAAGACAACGCTCGTCAACAGGAAGAGGAAGTATCTTTGCATGCACATGTCAGCAGGAGTAAGTATTGCACAACAAAAGGACAGTTACTTCTTGAGCAAGGAATATTCAATCCAGCTACGAGCTGGGTATCCTTCGGTGTACGTTAAAGCTGAGAAGATCGGTTGGTTCTAATATTTCGAAATTGTTGGGATAAAAATAGAGTAATGACACACCTTCCAAGAAGAATGGCAGGATAGCGTTCAGCGTAATGATACCAACGGAAGGTAACGAGTTCTGAACGATTGCCTGGATCTTTGGGTTCGAGTCTATCAATCTCCCTAGCCAAGGCATTGTCTTCTTAATCTCCTTGTAACTCAGCAAACTGGCGAGTGCGGAGACGGGGAAGACCCAGAAGAATAGGAGCAACAACATGGCGCAGAGAACGAACACCTCTCTGACACGTTTATGTTGAAGCGAATAACCCATAGATGACCAGACAATATCTCGAGCTTCAGGGGCAGCATATGTGATGCACTGTTCTGGAGCAGATGCATGCGCCGTCTGAACAGCGATTTGCTAAAAGCATCCGTTCGATTAAAATGACAATTGACTATGCATAAAGGGGAGACGTACTGCACTGGACATTTTCTCAAACGTCACGAATGCCGTTTGGGTTGGTTTGAATTTGCCTAGGCGTCTTCTTTTTTGTACAGCTTCGTCTGCCTTCTTAAATTCTTCTTCCAGGTATTCTAGAGCATCGACCTTTGGTCCCAACCAGTTCGGTCGGATAGTGGGCCTGGGACGGTGAGGAACGACCAACCGTTTCCTCTGATCTTCCATATCGGGTACATCTAAATCCACCAACGGGCTCGTCTCACGGTTGATAGAACCGTTGGATTCGACGTCTGCTGGGTTGCCCAGATACTTCACCCACGTGGCTTCGAGCTTGATTAGAGCCTCCGTGCGTCTCTTAAGAAGTTTGTCCAGAGAGCCCACTTGGCGACAAACATTCACACTCTCCACGCTCATGTCCATACTCTCGAAGTACTCCGCTAATGCTTTCTCACTTCGCAAATGAGGGGGTAGTTGGGTTACCATGACGGTACGAGCGGGAATGGAGTGTACGAGTTCGAGTGAGAAGAGTTGGCGAGCACGGATGAATCGTCTGTAGTTGCGGTTGATGTAGTAGAGAGTGAGGATGGTGAAGAGGTAGGTGAAGACTAAGTGAACAGAGAGGTAAGAGTTGGCATCGCTGATGAGGTCGAGCCAGTCTCTAGGAGGTGGCTGAGGCTGCTCAGGGGATTCAGGCGATACAGACGGCCAGTCGCTATCAGTGTCATCGCTTCCGTCGCCAATGTCGATGTTGTTCTATAGACGACATATGTAAATGTGTTTTGAATAATCTAGTACAGAGCTTACCCTCAAGTTTACGGGCATCAAGATCGCTGCAGCAAATAGCGAGCATACTGAGAATAGAGTGAACGCCATCTTGTAGAAGTTGAGAAGCTAACAAAGTGTCAAACGTACACATAGATCGACATACGAATGAACATACCACGGCTGCATCCAGGCCTACTATCTGGAGCACAGTGAACTCTGATATCCGTATAGTGGGGATAACCCATCCAAAGAACGCCTGATGTACATGGGCTTCATGCGGAGAGAAAGCTGAGGGATAAAATAAGTCATACTGTGTCCCTCGTTGTGTCAGGAACGTGCCTTTGAGTTTTGTTCTAGGTGCGAATAGTAAAGGCCACCTAGTGCGACAGTACGAGAAAATGAGGAAAGATGTCACTCCCACAGCGAAGGAGATGATGAGCTGTGTCTGGAACCAAGGACCCTCATACGATCCTTCAAAACAGGTTAGCTCGCTGATGCTCAAGTAGTCAGATCTTCTTACTAGTTGGAGGTAACCCTGGAGGTAAACCTGGCTCGCCATTGTCTGGCGTCAAGATGGTAAGAAAGCGTTCTGTCATAAAATTCAGCATATCGTAAAACATGAGTTGGAGGTAGCAAGATGGGTCTAAGTCATTTGAGCAGGTCTCAAAATTGGTGAGTGGTCTTCGGGTGGCCTCGCAAACAATCCAATGTCTCTGCAGGCCTTGCGTCACGGTCGAGGCTGCCGTCGCGCCTGTCACACTGTGACAGCCGCGTTTGTAATCGCGGGAAACCAGTAGAATTGATTGTGGGTAAAGCGTGGGAAACCAGATAGTTATGTGGCTCAGTCAAGGTCCTGACTTTCTCCGCTTCCCCTCATCCCACATTCCTGCTCATCTGCTTTTGAAGCCAAGGAAAAGATAGAAAATATGGCCGACGAAGGTGAGAACACATTCTTTCTTGTCATTCGTCCTTTTTACCCTGTTTGGAGGCAGGGATGAGACTGAATGACCATGGAGGTGACTGTCTTCACGATGCATCCTCTTGCCTTCTTTCTGGTTAGAGAACAACGAGCTCATGGTGCTTTCCTACCGCACCATGTCTTTCTTCCCTCTTTTATAGCTAGCTAGCCGCATTATCTGCATCTGCATCTGTGTCGTTGTCGCCGTCACGCCATCGAAATAGCCCCGCATCCTACTGACAGATCCAGCTTGAACACCTTCGTCATGTGCTTACCACACGCTTTGCTTCATTTTTTTCACAGATGTTCGATACTCGGAGAGGCACCGTTCCTCGAGATACGGCGATCCTGACCGCGAACGTGGTCGAGAACGCGAATATGGCAGACACAGTGACAGAGACGCTCACCGGGAAAGAGAGCGCCATGAGTCTCGCCGTCATGATCGAGGCGAACACGACAGAGGCACTACTCGTGAGCGGTATAGTGGCCGCGGTGGAAGAGGAGAAGAATTCGAAGAGCATCCTCGACGCCGTCATGATGATGATCGAAAACGGGAGCGTCGAGGGCCTCCTCGTGATGACGAGTTTGGTGGAGGACCTCGAAGACCTCCTAGAGATGAGGTGGACAACGGGGATCGTAGAGGCCGAGGCAAGCACCGTGAACCCGCGGGTTCGCCTGAAAGGAGGTCGCCTACTCCAGCAGATGCCGTTCCCTTGTCGATGAGGAAGAGAAAGGCAAGTGGTTGGGATGTTCATGCTCCAGGCTACGAGCAATACACTGCGATGCAAGCAAAACAGACAGGTACGTTTGTATGTTTTACCGCGATTTGAAAGTGATTTAACTTTCTCTCCAGGTCTCTTCAACTTGCCTGGCGCCAATCGCACACAGATCCCTCCCATCCTATCAATACCCGGTCTTCCGCCACCAATGCCGGTGCAGACGTTTGGTATGGGTATGGGTGTCAATCCCAATCTATCGAGGCAATCACGGCGATTGTATATTGGCAGTATAACGCCAGATATCAATGAGAACAACCTGGCTGACTTCTTCAATTCCAAGATGAAGGAAATGAATATCGGTACAGGTGCTCCGGGCAACCCAGTGCTTGCCGTGCAATGCAACTATGAGAAGAACTACGCCTTCGTGGAGGTAAGTCTCCCTTCTGTTATCTATATGTTATGACTTGGGTCTAAACATTTACGTAGTTCCGCAGCGCTGAGGACGCTACAGCTGCTATGGCTTTCGACGGTATCATTTTCATCAACGGTCCTTTGAAAATCCGACGACCCAAGGACTATGGTGGTCCTGATGCGATGGGCCCTGGTATGCACGTACCTGGGGTCGTGTCTACCAACGTCCCCGACTCTATCAACAAAATCTTTGTGGGCGGTTTGCCGACATACCTCAATGAAGAGCAGGTTATGGAGCTCCTGAAGAGTTTTGGCGATTTGAAAGCTTTCAACCTTGTCAGGGAGAACGGAAACGGCCCTTCGAAGGTGTGTTCTGGACTTGCATACTATAATAGGTGGAACGACTTAATGATACTGTATTGGCTAGGGCTTTGCTTTCTTCGAGTACGTGGACCCGGGTGCTACTGACGTTGCTATCCAATCTCTCAGCGGTATGGAGTTGGGTGACAAGTATCTCGTGGTTCAACGCGCATCTGTTGGAGCCAAGCCAGGACAGTCACCCATCCCAGGAATGTACGAGGCATTCCCGGAGATCCCCAAACCTATCCTTCCAGCAGGCGATCTTCAAGGCGAGGACGCACGCATCTTGCTCATGTTAAACATGGTTGTGCCCGAAGACCTTTCAGACGACCAAGAATATGCGGATATCTACGAAGACATCAAAGAAGAATGTGGCAGGTTCGGCCCTGTGGAGGACCTGCGCATCCCTCGACCAGTCAAGAAAGACAAATTCAAATGGGGGGACAGTGGTATGGACAGTGGTTTGGCAGCACAACGCGCTGACGAAGCTGCCGGTGTGGGCCGAGTCTATGTGAAGTACACGGAATCGGAGAGTGCAAAGTCTGCTTTGAAGGCATTAGCTGGACGAAGCTTTGCTGGTAGAAGTATCATCGCTACACTGTTGAACGATGACAGTCAGACGACTCCTCCGCTCAACCTGATCTTCGCCCCACAACCGGAAGCGCCTCCCCCTCTTCCTCAGGATTAGGAACTTGTCTCCTGGATAGCGTCGTGTACATACTGTGCTTCAGCCTCGATCGTGTGTCATAACTTGTGCTTGTAACCTCGCTATCGTTATATATACTTTTCACTTACTTCAGTAAGGCTAATCGTCTATGCTTGACCAAAGTTGTTACACGGTGGATATAAACACATGAGTGAAATGTACTCCTAGGTTGAAGAAATCGTCAAAAATACGACAAACTTCATGGGGCTCGACCTGCGCGACGGTCAGCTTTCCTCTGCTCGATCTGTCAACGCAAATAAACGGTTTGAGTAAAGCTCAGTTGACATTTCCACGAGAAATGAAACACACCCAGGCCTTTTTGCAATCCCTGTATGCTTGGAAGTATTCCAAGCACGCATCTCTGTTATAGTCGTTCCGATCGAGGCAGCTCATAGATGCCTTGGAAGCACCCTTGCAAGGGCTGTAATCGCAGAAAAAGTCAAAGTCTGAGTGAAGAACATAAACATAAATGCAAAGCGTACTCCACGAACTTAGACGAGGTCCGATCCTTAAGTTTGATGTATTAGCCTTCAGTAACATCTTATAACGGAGTCACATTTTGCACACCTTGTTGAAGGCCTCTTGCCAGTCCTGAGGATTTACATTGTCATTAGGGTGTGGCAGAGGTTCCTCTACTTTATTCGTAGTGGACTTGACGGCCATGAAGGAAGAAGCAGTAACCCTAACCCAATAGGTTACGCGCAGCTCGGGTGGAGAAAGCTTCCGTGCATTTACGGCTCTTGGCACCTTGCCTCACCTAACTCTTTGACCGTGAACCATTTCTACCTTCTGACAATCATTGAAAGATGCCTACAGAACTACCTTATGCTGCAGATGCTGAAGTCTCGCTTTCATATGACGAATTGGACGTAGGTGGACTAGTAGTAATGTTCAGACACATCTTGCTTATTCGGGTTTGGACGGTTTAGGTGCTGAGGAGACAGTATGAGAAGGAGTTGGCACAATCTCATGTTACTGTACAAAGCAAGTTTAACTACGCGTGGGGTCTGGTAAAAAGCCCCATGAGAGAACATCAAGTAGAAGGAGTACGCCTACTTCAAGGTAAGTCTGCATACAGGCAAGAGGTTTGAATTGCCTCAACTAACATTGGACCGTGTAGAGATCTACCGAGCGGAACCCGGGAGGAGACGAGAGTGTCTGTATTACCTCGCCTTAGGGCATTATAAAATGGGGAACTACGAGGAGGCAAGGAGATTCAACTGTAAGCTCAATTTTACCGCTGAGTTGAAGTCGGACTCTGACTGTGATATAGCTTTACTGCGGGAGAAGGAACCAACCAATATGCAAGCATCAAGTTTAGAACAACTGATCGACGACCGTGTCAAACGAGGTACGCGCACTTCTCAGACCTCAAGCGCAGCATTCACAGTTACTGATACAATAACAGAGGGATACATTGGTATGGCTCTCGTAGGCGGAGCTGCTGCGATCGGGACCATTCTGCTCGCAGGACTTATACGGCGAGCTCGAAAATAACTCCGATAACGACCAAAGTTCTGACGTCTTGTTCTTGCATACGACTCCGACACGCGATCTCCTTCTTGCATTCACGAAACCAACTCGAACTCTCCTCCGCTCTACAACTCGCCCAATCGCAATCCTCTTTGCTATCATCGGACTGACAAAAAAAAAACATAACTCGTTATTCTCTAATGTCATTGTGTTTTTTCTTTTCCGCTGTGCCATGTGGTTCGTTCGACGAACAGTCACTCTTGATGCAACTTGTATCTCTCTGGATTCGTCGACCGCTCAACATTTGTAATTCCCAGCTCTCGGCTCTCTGACCCATTGGTTATCATCTCGAGATACTGAGTTCATGTCGTAACAAAACGTCGCAGAGGTTCTCCTGAGCACAGGCTAATTTTCTATTGCATATTCTCCAAGGTTCTCGACGACCTCTGCATAAGAACCATCACGCCATGGATTGTTCTCAAGTGATTACCGTGACAGCGGTGGTGTTTATTATCGAGAGCTCCGGATATCGCTCTTTCGGTGCAAGCTCGCCGAATATGTATCTACCACAAGCGCAAACGGAGCTCCTTGGTGTGCTTCTCCGTTGTAAGTACCAAAATAACTGCACCGCCTATGCTTCATAGGTGGAGCTCCACAGTTTTCTATTCCGTGACGCAAGGACCGATGCTGTCGGATACGCCAACAAAACTGACTCGACGGAAACGCTATTGGGCCCTGTGCATTGGACAACATGAATGGCGTCTGCCTATGTCAGAAAGCTGCATCCGGTCTGTCCCGTTGTTCCCTTCAGCTGGGGAGCCGTCCACACATAAAATGCACCTGGCAGCCTGTCAAGAACCCATACCTACGAGCTAACTCTTGAGCTATACCAACATGTCTGTGTACAAGAAGTCTGATAATCCTACTACTGCCTTCTTCGGTACGACCCATCCTTCTTACCTGTTTTTTTTTCAATAACGATAGGCTGACATCATAATATTAGTGGATTTCATGACGGGTGGTACCGCGGCTGCCATCTCCAAAACAGCAGCAGCACCAATTGAGCGTGTCAAGTTATTGATACAAAACCAAGGGGCCATGATTGCTGCTGGACGACTGGGCCATCCGTACACTGGTATCGGCCACTGCTTTAAAAAGACCTACAACACTGAAGGTTTCCTGAGTTGTACGTTTCACGTGATCATATCTATAACATGATTGAACATTGACCTAAATGCTTTACTTCATTCGAAATCCAGTTTGGCGTGGAAACGGGGCGAACGTGATTCGTTATTTTCCTACCCAGGCGCTGAACTTCGCTTTCAAGGATACTTACAAGCAGAAGCTGAACTTCAAAAAATCGGAAGGCTTTGGTCTTTGGGTCCTAGGTAAGCATCGAATTTCGTCCTTCTCACCTTCTCTCAGTTCACTAATCCACTAACCCACCATCCTGATATTCGTTAGGAAACATAGCAAGTGGTGCAGCCGCCGGAGTTACGTCCTCTGTTTTTGTATATTCCCTCGATTAGTGGGCATCCTCCCTCATCCTCCTTCCATACTTTACATCTTCACTGTTCTCCTCTTTGCTCCCAAGTGCACGTACCCGACTTGCTGCTGATACCAAAAGTATTGGCAAAGGCGGAGGACGTCAGTTCACAGGTTTGATTGATGTCTATCGGCAGACATTGCGCACCGATGGTGTCTTGGGCTTGTATCGTGGCTTCATGCCCAGTATTGCAGGAATTATTGTGTACAGAGGGTTCTAGTAAGTTCCTCTCGGATCACTTCGCTGAATGAGGTTTGATGGATTTGCTCTGAAGTTTCGGAGGGTACGATACCATCAAAGGCACGTTACTTGTTGGGCCCCTCCAGGGAAGCTTCTTGGCTTCGATGGCGGTGGGATGGGTCTGCACCTCGGTGCGTTTTTACTCGTTTCTAAACTCCATATATTGTACTTCTAAATTCCGCTAGGCTGCGGCAACGGCTGCATACCCTTTGGATACTATTCGTCGTAGGATGATGATGACCTCCGGAACTTCCGTAAGCCTTTCACACTCCAGTCATCTCCGAGTCTCGTCCGCCGTTCTCAATCATGAGTTCGTTCCAGAAACACTACAAGTCTTCGTGGCATTGTGGTAAAGAGCTTGTCGCAAAAGAAGGTTTCAAGGCTTTGTTTGGTAAGTACCCTCACTGCATGCTCGTCGTAAAATGGAGGTTCACCGTCTGATTTTCATCGCCTTGTCTAGCGGGGGCTGGAGCTAATATCTTACGTGGACTCGCCGGTGCAGGCGCATTAGCTTTATACGACAAGTATGCCCGAGTTTCCTTCGTTTTTTTCTTTTAGTCATGCGCCCTGTTCTGATGTTATTGGTCAACTTCAGGTTCCAGGAGATCGCTTTCGGCAAGGTTTACGCTGCGGGGTCTGGTTAGTTTCGTCATTGCGTTTACTCGTTACAGCTTTAGACTGGCGTGGCTTTCGATATCCCTTCTTGGTCCCGTTGCCTTATCTTATTATTGGTTTCTCCGTCGTACGTTTCAATCATAGTCAGACGTCGGTGGACGCTAGTTGTCGGTGACTACATCATATTTCCCAGACCTTTTTCACAAAATGTGGCTTTCTTTAGATCCGGTTTAGTTACCCTTTGTCTATTTCCTTTGGACATCGGCGTTCTGCTAGGTGCCTACACGAGTCCTACTCGGGATTGTGATGTATTTCGTCCATGCTTTGGTTCGCAACATGACGAATTGTCAATGTGTATTGCCTATCCTATCTTACACGATGAACCAAACGCAAGGGAGTGAGGGATATGTGGGTAGCTACTATGCAAAGAAACCCCATAGGAGGTATAAAACTACACGGAAACCGGAAAAATGTCGAAACCACGTAACAATAGAAATGGATGGATATATGGATATAATACATGCGATAATGCAATGGCGTGTGTGTGGTATGTAGATCGTCAATAGTCGTTCCCCTTTGTACAAAGCACCTTGGTTCGTCCGTCGATGGTAGGTAGATGATCATGTCAGTAATGATGGGGGCTTGTGTTACCGCGTTGGGAGGAATTGCGCTAGTCAGAAGAAAGTGTCGTTAGACTAATCATACACATAACGGGGGAAGGAGAGAAAGTGATAGAGGATAGACGACGTACCAGCTTGCTGAGCCATTTCGTCTGGCGTCCTCTTGAAACATGTTACTCCGAGGAGGACGAACCCTACGAGAACGGCGATCTCGAATATGATCCAGAGGAATGCCCATACTGAGCATAACATAAACATCGTGTGAGTCAACATAAATGAGATGTATGAGAACGAAGGAATGTCTTTGTGAGGACTTACCATGCGCGCCCAGTGATGGGTATAGCAGTGAGAATTGTGTCGCGTCAGAGTCGTTTGCTTTTCGGAAATATTTATCGTCTGCGATATCCCCTGTAGGTGATGATTTAGGCGGGGTTATGAAAGCACACGTGGTGTGGGTGGTGTGAACTGCGGGCACGTACAGACGACATAGAGTACACTGCGAAACAAGTCCAATACTGTCAATAACTGCGATGTGGAAGTGGAAGGTGAACGCACTTCATGACACCGACGAATAAGCAATACCATCGCAATGCCTGTCTGCGCTTGGAAACAATTTCAGACACGGTAGAGGGGATGCAGCGAAAGGAGAGAACACACGCGTGGTCAATAAACCAGAAACCGACTAATAGTCCCTCATAAAATAGCGTAAGCAATATCGTTCTGCAGACAGCAAGAATCAGTTCAGGGAAACGGCCACTTCTTGAGTACACGACGTACAGTTTGTCCCGTACCAGGGTCAGAGGTAATACCAGCCCCAAGCCGATAATAAAACTCATGACTTTTGCTATCAAGGTATCAAACCCCGACAGTATAAGGACACCTCCAAAGAATGTTGACCCAATATATCCGGCAGCAAGAATGACGGTGGGTATGCCGCCTACGACATGAGTGGCTCCACCCATATCAGGGTCTATTGCTACTTTGGTGACACTGCCGCCTGTCAGGACGGCCTGATGCTAGTTAGAAGACCATTGGATAAGAGAGCAGTGGTGTGGGCGCACCATGACTATGTGACAAAGCTCATGCCATCCTATTGTGAGTAGTTTGAGCGGATTTATGAGGACTCGGGCTCCTGGTATGTTCCAGAGAGCGAATATTACGACAGCATAGACAACGATCTATGTCGGAGAGTCAGTATCCCTTGTAGCACATAATCGAGCCATACATACAACGTAAAGCGTTGGGACCTTGAAACCCATCATTGATCAGGACATATTAGGCAAGTATAGACTAAAGTTGATGCGTACCTGGTCGTGGGAGGGAGTGAGCGGGGGGATAACTGGCATTGGAGGAGCAATGGGAGGACGAGGAACGGGTGCAGGGAATGACATGATATATGTTTAGCTCGGAAAGGTGTTTTAGAAGTCCTGCAGGTGGGGTGAAGACGCATGCAAGGATGGGGCATGTGTTGGAGAGGCGGTCGAGTCCTCGTGTACAAGCGGCTCCTCGTTGACCGGGCAAGGCTTTATAGGAATGCAGATAAGATGAAGAACGACGGCAGTTCCGAGAATCCCAATATTATTGATTGCACCTCTCCGTCCATCCGAACAACCTTCCAACAACCACGCGCCGCAAGACGCCTGCAAATGCAAATTGCAAATAAATTAACGCGCGACACGCACGTGACGTATATCACGTGCATTTAGCTTTGTTTACTGCTTTCGTCACGGCGGAGTTTAAAGTCCAACGCGGTATATAGGGCTTCGAGGCGCGTCCTCGACCGTTAACCCTATCCTACCTTCCGTCTCCCACCACTCTACAACCTTCAGACCCTTTTAACTACTTTTAAATCTCAACTATGGTGTGTACACTCCATTGCTTTGACAATTGTGTCTCATTCTGACGGGTTTCACAGTCTGGAAAGGGAAAAGCGTATGTGTAATCGTATCCAGAAGTGTACAGATTTTCTGACCCTAATACAGTGGCAAATCTGCCACTGGCAAGGCTGGTGGTGAAGCCGGCAAGGCTCAATCGCGTTCCGCCAAGGCGGGTCTCCAGTTTCCCGTCGGTCGTGTCCACCGTCTCTTGAAGAAGGGCAACTATGCCCAGCGTGTTGGTGCAGGGGCTCCTGGTACGTTAGCATTGTCTATTGTCAGCCGTGCAGTTACTGACGTGGTATGCTCGATCTACAGTCTACCTCGCTGCCGTCCTCGAATATCTTGCTGCTGAAATTCTCGAATTGGCCGGAAACGCTGCCCGTGATAACAAGAAGCAACGTATTGTCCCTCGTCATTTGCAACTTGCCATCCGAAACGATGAAGAGTACGCATACAGATGTGATGCCCATCTTGCAGGTTCTGACATTGATATCTTCAGGCTGAACAAGCTCCTCGGCGATGTTGTCATCAGCCAAGGTGGCGTTGTACCATTCATCAACCCTGAACTCCTTCCCTCCAAAACAAGCAAGGGCAAGAAGGAGGGTGGCGCATCGCAAGAAGTTTAGATGTTTTCGATGTCGTCTTCGCTTTGCTACTCTATTACTTGGGACTGTATTCTTGTACTAGTATGTTTTACTTTTATTATCTAATGCACGACACGCATGCATTGTACTCCTACGCGATATTTGTTGTGTGACATAGGCCGCCATTCTGTGGGCCAAAATATGGGCTTTCAAGCAAAGACAGTAGGGCGATCATTTCAGTTCCTGGACGGTCACATAGGGGCATGCAGTTTAAAATCAAACTATCCTCATCATTGCAGGTGAAGATGTTGTGAAACAAATTTTCAACATATGTGACAACAAACAGAATCTTATGCTAGCATTCGATATTCCGCTTGAACAAGGCAGAAAGAGTCCAGACATCAACGTTCGAGCAACTGGTGTAGCTTTAAACCAGCTTATGAGCAGACCAGGTGATCCAATCGCTCGGCTGCCATGTCGCATTGCCAAAAACGCCGTTGGTCGTCAGGATGTCCGAAGTGTTTGTATTCTGGCCCAACAAAAACTTGTTAATGAAGGCGAAGAGTTGGTCATTGAGGGTAGAAGGGAAAGCACAGTGGGCATGACCCCCGACCTGGACGAACCCATGGTTGTCCGGTACACCCAATGCCTGCCAGATAGTATGAGCGGCGGTCATACATCCGAAGCTACTCATGGGGCTCAGCCATACGAAGTCCGTGTTCTCGAACGAGATCATCGCACGGGGAGCAATCATACCGGCCAGGAAGTGATGATCATAGGGGAGAACGGAGATGTTGTGAACAAAATTGTCGAAATTGGTGGAGAACCAAACATTCTCCTGGACGATCTCCACTGCCTCCTGGACAACATTCCCGCTGTCTTGTTCGAACTTTGACAATCTCCAGCAGGTGTCACCACCTGAGCCGGACTCCTGAGGTATAGTGAGCGCAATGCGTTCTTCGAACGCACCCGCCATGAGTGCGCCTTTTCCATCACGGGAACAGCCCGTCACTGCGATCCTCCCAAGGTTGATATTTGCAGCAGGAGTGAGTTCTAACGCATCGATGATACGGCTAATGCCCCACACCCATGCAGTCATGGAGCTGGCGGTAGCGTTTTGGCCGTAAAGCTCGTAGAAAAGACCCTGTCCTCTGCTAGATTGATCGTTTTGCTGGGCCATCTGGCTATTGCTGTATATCATTGTAGCGATCTACAGCACAACATCAGTGCCATGAAACAACAACCATTCAAAACGATCTGCTAAGACTTACACCCGGAGGGATAGGAATGCTAAGCCCGTCATAGGCAATAACCAAAGGCCACCCACCCGCAGGAGGATCGCCAGTAGGGTAAGTGATTGTCGGCGCGAATGAAATCTGGTTGGTATGCGTGAGGCCGGCAGTGACATTCAGGGTGGCTGCGGTGCCGGATTTGCTGAATGCTGCTGAAACATGCGGAGGTCTGGGAGGCAGCGTCCCAGCTTCGTAACCTTGAATCAAAGCACTAATTTGTCGACGACGACAATCCCAGGCTTCGCGAGTGTGTACGGCATGACCGTTGTTGAATACGAATGGATTGGGTAATTTGGAATCGTTGAAGCTTGGGATGCTTGAGGCAACGGGGCAGGCATTCACTGAGCGAAACACTGTAGAATGTGGATAGGTGAGTGTTGTCGATCGGTCTAATACGATGAATTACTGACCCTTGCCGCTAGATGATGACAGTGCAAGCGTAGGAATAGCGAGCACAAGGAAGTAAACCAAGTTGAATACAAACATAGTGAATCTGAATTTCAGGACTCTATTGTGCATGACGACCGGGTGCTCGTCCACAAAGCATTTCTACAGCGTTCGTTTTATACGCACCGCCAAGTCCCTAAGATGTTTATTTCTCCCGTTAGACCCGGCCATCCGAAAGATCATACTGCTGTAAAACAGTGGTATGACCTGCACAGGTGACTGTCTGTGAGTAAGAGCTATAATTGAGCAGACCGGACGATGTCCGACTCCAGTCGATGACCATGTCCGTACTCTAATCATAGCTCTTTCGTTGTGTCGGAAGCGTACTGACCGTTGGTATAATCTAATGAACCGAATGATAGTCCCGCATCAACAGCGAAGCGATTGTGAATGGGTCATGCCAATGTTTCGTCGGGAAAGACGACTCGGATATGTCTTGCTGTAGCTCGCTGCTCTCTCGCTATGAGTCTGAAATGAAGAGTAGCGATCTTAGCGATCTCACTAGTACAATGCGTGTCTGGGTGTGTTTGCGTGATGCTTTCCCAGCAGAAATGGGGCACGGAAGTAATATATTAGTTGAGAGAGCGCAGCTGAATTCGGGAAGGGCATAGTGAGTCCAATGAATTGCGCGACAAACGCTATAGTGAAAGCGAGACGGAGAAGCCATATAGAAAGGACTGTCAATTGGGGGTTGTATATGTTCCTGAAGAAGACATGTCAGTTTCTCGATAGCTCTAGTTATAGGTCGAGAACGCACCATCCTTCTGACCTTTAGCGGGCCGTAGACGGAGAGGGCAGGTCCTTTCAAAGCTTGGTTAGCCAATATCAATGGCGGTGGATTACGATTCGCTGTGATAAATGTTTTAGCCCGTCAAAAAGTTGAACATAGTACATGGAAAGAGACAACTCGATATTAGTATCCATTGAACCTCTTCATAACCGTCAACCGTGACTGCCAGAATCTCTCACCTATACTGTCCTGGAATGACCGTTCATTCACATCACACGTCACAATGCCTCTGTGAATGGCTTGGTCACTGGTCACAGAGGATGGTGAATGAGGGCGCCAGAGCAAACATGAGCGCTACATGAGCGCTACATATCAATATTACCATTTTTGGCGGCCCTACGGGGCTTAAACTGGCCGTCACAGGTCATCGACCCTCGTGAATGGCGATTTCATTCGTCACACGTCACAGGCCGTGAATGAACGGTCATTCCAGGACAGTACTCTATGGGCCTACAGTATTTCCCACGGTGTCAACGATCGTAGACATGTAGAAATTGCGAGCATGGAAACAACATGAGAGTATCTAGCAGTTACGAATGGAAAACATATCATTCAAGACTCCGAGTCCTGAGCCATAATATCACCCATAAAGATTCGCATAATGTAAGTAAGAGTCCCATCTGAACATACTCATCAAGAAAATGCTCATCTCACTGAACAACCTCATCCTCAGCGTCACTCGCCATCGTCCTCCTCTCAAACACACTCGCCCTATTCGCGCTACTTCTCTTCACATGAGTACTCACCGGCCTGGCAGCACTCCTACTCAGTCCCGTCCCTCCTACACTAGTTGCCGGTGAACCGGGCCTGCCAATACTCGTTCCATTAGCAAAGCTTGCGGACGTTCGGTTATTGAAGTTCTTCACCATATTGCCCACACTTCCGCCAGCTACTCCACCACCGGGTGCTCTAGGTCCACCTGTCGTACGGGGTCCTCGAACGCGAGCAGCGGCCGCGGCCTGGGCCTGAGCGTCGGCCTTGCTTGGAGACGTACTACGGGAGGAGATCGATCCGGCGCGTGAAGGAGGCTTACGAGGTGGGGGAGACCTGGATTTTGGGGATGTACTGGTGAAGGGAGACGGGGAAGATTGACCTGCTGGAGGCGTCAAAGGCTCTTCAGGAGGGTCGACGAAGCTGGGCATGGGAAGAGGTGGGGAAGCAGACCGCGGTTCCGGGAAGTTGGGCATCGGCAGTTCGTGTGTTTCCTCTGTTTCAGGTGGAGGCTCCTTGAACGTGGGACGAGGAGGCAGGTCTTCATCAACTTCAGGCGGAGGTTCTTTGAAAGTTGGTGGTATTTCCGTTGACTGAGGTAGAGGGGGAGGGGGAGGAACCGAAATCGGAAGCGCCGGCGGAGGCGGGACCGCGTTAGTAATGGGAGGAGGAGGGGGTACAGCAGGAGCAGAGACTGATACAGGTTCAGGTTCAGGTGCTGGGGTAGCCTCGGGGTTCCCCTGATCGTGGATAGCAATGTCCTCAGGCTCTTCATGCAAAGTCTCAGGCTCCGCTGTCATCGCACCAACCATAGGTGTCTCAGCAACTGCCGGCGTAGGCGGAATGATGTTCGTCTCTGGGACATTGGGTATGGCTGGAAGAGGAGGAACTGGTGGAGGAGACCTCAAGCCTCGGTGAGCCATCTGGGCGGCGGCGAGTTCCTTGAGGTCTGCTCCGGCAGAAATCCTGCTACGGCTCATTCGCATGTCGACAGGACGAGTTCGGCGACGGACGGGCACTTTGCGTTCGGATTCGCGTTTCTTCTTGACAATTGTCGGGGGAAGAATCTGATCGTATTTCTTGAGCAAGTCGATGAATAGGACTAGATGGGTGGAGACAAAGTTCATGCGAGGTAAGAATACCATTAAAAAAAACTGTACTTACGGGTAGGATGACGGTCCTGGATAGAGAACTCATTCTCAACCTTTGGCCGGACGATAGCTGGAGGTGTATTGAGTCTCATACACGTAGAGCAAGGTGGGGTACAACTTACAGCGACCGAGGCTGAGAGCCAATTTTGCGATATACACGTCATTGGGCTCATCACCCTCAGCAGTACTATCAATGAGCCTTTGGACAGGTGTTAGTCATTAATCACATAAACCAAGCAACAACGTACTGCTTTAGATGCTTCACAACCGCATCCAAGACGAACAAATGAATTCTAGGCAACCTTTGAAGAGCAGCCTGAAGGTCCTGGATATGTTGCTCCTCAGAGGGTTGTCCTTCAGGCGCTTTCACTGCTCCGACTGTGGGATATAGCTTGCGGAACTCGTCCCATCCCTCGTACATGCAAAGAGGAGGATCAAGCTCCAAGGCCCAAAGCTTGATCGCGCTGGCGAGAACTGGAGGATCATACTTGGAAAGAACATCGTCGGGAATATCTTGTTCCGGAGGTACGGAGTTCAGAGTCTCGCGGAGGTGGTGGACGGCGGGAAGAGGAACCTCGTAGATCCAGGTCTTCCGCTTCTCTATACATTCTTTCAGACACCATCCATGAATGAATCTAGAAAACAATAACGTACCTGCATCGCTGGGAAGTTTGGCATATGCCTCCTTCAAAGCGGTGAATAAGGCAACCAGTACGGGTGGAATGACATCCTTATTCTCCGGTGACCCACCAGCTGGACTCCAGACACCCAGGTCCGCCCACTTCCTCAGGTCGATACCGAAGACAACATCCGCCTCATCATGAGCTACGGACTCGTAGACGTGGGCCGTAGGACGGAATGGTCCAGTTCGGTATTGCTCAATGAGGGCTCTGAGATCAGCTTCAGGTTGATATGAAGCAATGAGAGTTGAAGATCGTTCCAACGAGGACCCAATCACTTGCGGCGAACCCTCAAGGCAAGCATGGTATTGTGAAAGCACTATAAGTCAACAAGGTCAGCATATCTTCAGAAGTACATTTGGATCCTGCCTACCTGTCCTGACAGCACGAAGTCGGTCCAATTCCCACTTCTGCAATGTCTTGAGGGTATCTTCAATTCTCTCCTCCAAACCAAGTCTCTGTCTATCAAGTTTTCTGATAGCAGTGCGATACTCTTGGTCGGCGGCGTCGGCCTCGCGACGCGCCCGGACATAGGGTGGTTCATTGGTAGCATTAGAAGTCAGCGCTTTCGAAACCAAGTTGGCGAACGTTCCTGTCCGCTTGGCTACCCCATCTGCGATGGGGGCAAGATTCTTCTGCAGAGGTGAGATAGCAGACTCAACGTCTTTTCCTTTGGAACCATCGAGATTGAAAGCCTGTGGGTGCAGATGTAAATAAATTGAAACGGGCATGATCGGGAAGGCTGTTTACCTTGGCTCTGAATTGATACCAAGCATCATCGAGATCCTCGAATTCGTTGCCGAGCTCGCCGAGTCTTCTCAAGAGGTTCAACTTCTCGGTCAATTCCCTCGCAGCATCTTCCGCGCGGTCAAGGTCGTCGTTGTATTGTTTAACATGGTCTCTCAACCAGTTGGAAAACTCCTCGCCAGTGAACGCGTCTTGATATTCACCCAATACAGGGAACCGAACAGGACGGAGAGGCAATGTCTCCTTGGCCTTTGTGAGCAAAGCCGATAACTGACCAGGAGTAAAGGAGACCCCTGCAACGACGATGGGAGGTCCAGTGGTTGTAGGTTGCACATCCGTATTAAGTCTCGCTGGAGGAAGTGGTGGAGACAGCGGAGGGGGAGACGCGATGATTGGAGATGTCTCAGGTTCGACTGCGCGGCCCTTACCTTTGTCCACCTTAGGTGCTACAGGTTCAGTCGTCTTTTCTTCTGCATCTGCATCAAACTGCACTTCGGGCTTCACCTCGTGCGGTGCGGTGTTAGCAGTATTGAGACGGAATTCCTTCAGTCGGGCTGTGATCCGCTCGGACACAGTTAGTTGGCGAGTCGGAGCGCGCGGTTGCTGAGGACGTTTGTCTCGGGGGCCAAGAACTGGAGAGCTGGTGTACTTGTCTCCCACAGGTTGGGAGACCGGTGCAAAGCGGGCACTAACCAGTCGGTGAGTCCGGACACTGATGAGAAGTCAACGAGAGACGTACTCATCCTCAGCTTCATCCGCTTTACGCGTCTTAGCAAGATATTGGTCCTTTAGGTGAGCGACCTGTGCGATGTTAGATGTATATTTATGACAGACAGAAATAATATGCTCACATCGCCCTGAGCGCCTTCATATGCACGCAAGTACCCGTTGACGATGCTTGCTTTGCTCCCTCGAAGACGTTCCTAAATGCGACACATGAATTTAGCTCGCTTCGATAGCATTCATTCAATAGTCACCTTGTAACCTTCCGCCCATTCGTCAAACGGGCCAGCAACCTTGGTTTGCAAGTCCTTGGCGATAGAGTCATGAATCTTTCCCTGAGCAACGGTCTCTTCTTTCAGACCTAGAAAGGCCATTCGCAACGAAGCACCATCCTCGACGTCGAACGCGGTTCCTGATAGACATCAATATGTTTGAAAGGCATTGACATCATGACGAGTATTTACCTGCCGGCGGCGTCGTGAGAGCTGCACCTAACGCAGCTTCTGCTGCTGCTCGAGACTGAAACACTATGACTTGAGCTTGTGCTACTACACGCGAAGAGACTAAGCATACCCTAATAAAAGTGACAATATCCTCATTCTCTGCAATGCCCTACGAGCGAAGCTCAACACCGTCAATGTCTTACAGCGCTGGACGGGTACACACCTGCTCCAGCTGACTGAACAACACCTCGAGGCCCTTCCTGTAGTCTTGAGACCAGAACGAGTTCTGAAACGTCAAAGGCAAAGATACAACCGTCATGGTTCAAAGCGATTCACAGTAAAACACAAAAGAATGCAGTTGTCCACCAGATCCAGGTGTGGTGTATATGACCTTGCCAGCAATGGCTACGCGTGGAGAAGTCGTTGCGCTGGCGTGCAGAAGGGCAGACGTGTTGCCAACGTTGCAGTCAGGGTTCAAGTTGTACTTAGAAGAGCAGTGTTGATAGATTGGAACAGATTCGCTTTTGGCTGCGTGAGCGCTGTGGCCGACCGTGGCTATGAATAAATGTCTCATGCATATGCTATTGCGCTGCTATAGGCGGAGGCGCTGAGTCGTGAAACAGCATTATCCGGGCCTGGGCGCACATTGGTTCTGAGGCATAAGTCCAAGCAACCAATGACCACGAACAGAGCATCGAAAGCAAGATTAAGCAAGTATATATTGTATGCTACAATTCCACCGTACTCTCGTCCTCTGAAGCTCTCGACCGCGCCCCAGGTAGTCGCAAACCTGTGCGGTCTGCACTGGCGAACAACACCTCAGAATCACCCATATCTCCCGGAACGTACTCGGCTTCTGGGCCCTTCGCAGTGAAAATATCTCCAAACCCATCAGGGAATGTCGATGTCGGCAGCTGCACGAGGTGCGGCGGAGTTCTTGTCAAGTACAACCGGAGCAGCGAATCTTCTGCAGCCTGTGCGATGAAAAATCAGATATCGATGAGACGAAGTTCAAACATCAAGAATAGAATGAATTATGGCACTGACTCTGAATTCAGCCATCTTCAAAGAGCTTCCAAATCCTTCACCAAGTTTGTCACCACCCGAGTATATCCCTACTATGAACACTGGCGAGTTTGACATTCGACCTGTTTCTTTTAGCAATCTATGATACGATGTCAATCCAACAAGAGCTTCCTGGAACGTTTGCTCAATTACCTAGATATTGGTCGTTCCCGACCATACTTGGCAACCGTTTCCGCAAGAGCTTTCTTTGGGTCGCGGAATTTAATCATGTTACGCAAATCAACCTCTCTACTGAGGAAGAACTTGTGCGCAAACTTTCGTGCAGAAAGTAATGAACGGTGTTGGTAAACGAGAGCAGTAAGTGCACGAGGAACGGACGCTATTGCGTCTGAATGCAAAAGTGCGCGTCGCGTTGGCGTGTTTGGCTGTAATGATATAGCTCGTACGTTGATGAATTCATTCTCAAGAGAACTTCGCTACGTACCAGTCTATGCCATCGCACCAGTGGTGAAGCACCCATCTCTCGTGCAATATTTGCACATGTCGTTGGACCGACATAGGCGCTAACAGCAGCCTTCATGACACGGGTAGGAAGGTGAGGATAAGAAGAATTAACGTATTCCGTAGCAAAAAGTCCAAGCAAGGAGTTTCCAAGAGTTTCCAGGTTGCCGTTGACAGCAGGCTTGGTTTCTGAGGGTCGAAACTGTTCATGTAAAGTGAGGATAGACGGATGTGTGCATGCTTGTTGTATGATATCCGGAGAAGGTATTATGGATGCCAGGCCTATCCGGTGCGCGAAAGCAGTCAACGCAGCTGGTGCGGGAGGTTGAAGAGAAGCCCAGGTCTCTGCATGGAAGAAGTGAGGTTGTTTGGAGGGTGATGTTTTGGGTGCCTTTGGTACTACGGCCTCTTTTGGAGGGAACTGTTTTAGAGTAGAGACAGATACAGAGGCTAGCTTTGCTGCTGTCGACGCCAGTCGTTTTTGTACATGTCCCATTTGGCGTTGAGCTCGTCGTCCGCCAGCACGCGCTCGTCGTACACCGTCCGGTTCAAGCCAGCCATGCAAGCAGAATTTTGGGACTCGGCACACCCCGGCGCGTCCTGTCCCCCGGTCACTCCATTTTAGCGACTCTTACAGTTACACACTCTGTTCGAGCTTCATTCTATCCAGGTTCGCTTATTTGTGTCAAATCTTTCTCTGTAGAACTCAATGCTCATGGGTGTAATGCAAAGACTCCGCAAAATGTCGCCATAGGCTGGCCCAACCCAACTTCTTATCAGCTTTATCCCCACCCATGTGCCTAATTACCCGGAATAACTCTAGCCTGAGAGAGGATTGACTCAGGAGAACTTCATTATCTACATCATAGCACCCAATTCCCTCCGATACATAAATCGGACACCTTGGTTGAAGTCGTCTCCCGACCTCCCATGATGGCCCCCACAATTGTCGTCGAAAAGGACGGCCTCCTGCCTTCTTACACTTCTGCTCCACGGAAGTCGCTCTCACCGTTACGCGCCACAATCTATCTCGCCCTAGCGCTAGTCTGCACTTGCAGTGCTTTGTGGTCATTGGATCTTCCAGAGCTTCTGCACGGTGGGCTTAGCGAATCCGAGGACGTATCGGCAGCGGATCTATGTCCTCAACCTTCTGCACTTGCGCCTTCGAAGCATGCAGCCTTTTGGGAAACCTTGAATGAGACTTATGCCACTGATGATTTCGCGTCCCGCGCTGTTGAGTGGCTTGGAGGAGCTATCAGAGTGCCGTGAGTTCAGCTTCATGAAATCATTTTCTTATGAAGGCCAATGTCATATCAGAACCCAGAGTTTCGACAAGATGGGCCCTATTGGTACTGACCATCGATGGGACGCCTTCGGGCCTTTCCATGACTATATTCTGTCTTCGTTTCCGAATGTGTAGGTGTTCACGAATTGCTTCAGAAACATGCATTTGACATCATCGTGCCGGCCTGTATAGACACGCGACACTTGCGCTTACGAAGGTCAACACCTATGGTTTGATTTACGAGTGGAAAGGCTCGGACGATTCGTTGAAGCCCTTGCTTCTTGCTGCTCATCAGGGTACTATATGCTTGGATTCTTTGCGCGAGCGGCTTTAACTGACAATTTATATAGATGTTGTGCCTGTGAACCCGGATACAGTTGACGAGTGGACGCATCCTCCCTTCTCCGGCCACTTCGATGGTAAAGTTCATTATTGTTCTCATGATTATCGCATATACATAACTCGATTATGTTGCAGGTGAACTTCTATGGGGCCGAGGAACTTCTGATGACAAGAACGGCCTGATTGGCATTTTGTACGTTTTCATAGCTCTGTGCTGCGATTTCTTCCTGAGGTCGTGTTGCGAACGATAGGTCCACTGTTGAAACTCTTATCGAGAACGGTTTCAAACCTACTCGAAGCGTCGTTCTCGCCTTCGGTTTCGATGAAGAGACGAGTGGTCTGTTTGGCGCCGCTAAATTAGCGGATTACCTGCTCGAAAACTTTGGCGAGAACGCATTCGCTATGCTTGTTGACGAAGGCGGTAAGTTGCCATGGCCGTTAGAGCATCCGTGTAAAGTTGAATGTATTTTAGGTGACTACATGATTGAACATGGTAAGGCCTTCGCAACTCCGGGTATTGCTGAGAAAGGATATCTCGATGTTCGAGTCGAAGTCGAGTCACCTGGGGGGCATTCTAGTGTTCCACCACCCCACACAGTATGTTTTATTTCCCAGGCTCTTCTTTCATGTCCATCCTCTGAGTTATCTCTAGACAATTGGTATCCTTTCTGCCCTGCTAGTACACTTCGAAGCCAACCCATACACTCCTCGTCTTGGTCGCGGCACACCGATATATCAGAAAAGCTTATGTCTAGCAGCCCATGCTCCTGGCCTACCTTTGGACCTTCGCAGAGCTCTCCAGAATGCTGTCAAGTCTGATAAAGCTTTGCGTGCTGCTGAGAAGCTTTTATTCCAGGATAGGATGTTCAAGTCGTTGGTCGGCACAACCCAGGCCATTGACTTGATTCAGGGTGGCGTCAAGACAAATGCTCTGCCTGAGTCCGCTTGGGCTGTAGTAAATCACCGAATTGCTACTGATAGGTAAGCCACACCCTCTACTGCGCTAAATTTTGAAAATAGGTATCAATGTTGTCTTAGCTCGCTCGACGAAGTGAAGGAGCACGATACAAATCTTCTCAAGGACTTAGCATCCGAGTTTAACTTATCCTACACTGCGTTTGGGGAGGACATTACAGGCCAAGACAAGCCTGCTTATGGCAAGCTCAGATTGAGCGATGCATGGGGTGCAGGTCTCACACCTGCCCCAATTACCCCGACAGACAAGGATGCTGCTCCATATCAATTGCTTGCTGGAACTATTAGGGCGACATACAATGCGCATCGTGGCGGCGACGATGTGGTCGTTAGCCCGGGAATCATGTCCGGAAATACTGGTATGTTCCTGTATCGGTTGCTTCGCAATTTTAGATGCTAAATTTTCCGCGCCTCTTTGTACTAGATACGAGATACTACTGGAAGCTCACTCCCCATATCTTCAGGTATAACCACCACTATACGGGAAACTCGACGCTCTTCCAGGATATCCACACTGTGAATGAATGTGAGCTCTTGTTTATGCTCTCGTGTATTTCAGAAGGCTAATTTTGTGTTAGTTATTGCGGTAGACGCGTATATCGAGATGATTAAGTTCTTCACGATTCTGATCCTTAACGCTGATGAATCGACCTCACTGTAAAGGCTGTATACATACATTTTAATCAGCTGTGCGGAGCCTTGCCAATACATTCTCACCTGATGTGGAGACTTCTGCTGAATCTCAAGCATCCTCCATTTGTAGAATCGCTAGTGGCCATCGTGTGCCCGTAATCAGATGTTGACGCTGATTCAAAATTACGGTTTGACGTCCAAGATCCGTTACTGAATGCCTGCCTGCAAGGCGTTAGATGCTCCAGGGGTGTTGGGGCTAAAAGAAAAGTTGGGTTTGCACCCTCGAGATCAGAGACGTCACGCATCTGTCTATGCGTTTCTTATGATTCATGATGCCCGATTGACGACGTTTGAGGTAAAATACTTGATATATCTTGTGACTTGCGATGATCAGCTGGCGGGTCTCAAAGGGTGTTCAATCAGAGTCTTTCGGTTGCAAAGAACAGCATACATAGCCTATCGAAACTGAAGTGAACATGAAACGAGGATACACATTTGTTTGGCGAATACGTACGAGCGGCTAAATGTCACAGTCTGACCATGCGACCATTGCGACAGGCGGCGTCGAATGCCAATGAGCGTGCAATTGCATTCGGAGGGGGATTTTTTGTCAAGGCAGTGGTACATGGGGGCTGGGGTAGCATATATGCAAGTGAAAATGATTGGCATAGAAAATTGACCGATGTATCCAACTTCAAGCTGCAGTGTCACGGTAGCGATCTTGTGACGGTCACAGAAGAGCGTGCCAAGAGGGAGTAACAGTCGACGGTGAAGCACTGCTCTCTGTGCTCTGTAGTCTGCTCGTCGTCCTCCGTGTCGTCCGTGTCACTATTTGTGGCTGCCTACTCTCTACTATCATCTAGATCAGCGATCACGCCCGACACTCTGACTACTTGTTCCTGGAAGCCTCGCAGGCGTCGCGATCTTAACCATGAACGATACTCAGGACCAGGGCCGCCGTCCAAAGCAACCTGTTGGCTCCCCTCCGGGTCATTCTGTGCTGGCTTACATGGCTTTGGACTCGGATGGTAGTCACGACTTTGGGCACTCGACATCACCTCCAAGGAATGGACCAGCGTCGGCTCCCCCAGTAAATCCCTCCCAGTTGCCCGAGCGGCCTAATTATCCTACTAGATCTTCCACTGCTCCTTCGCCACATGAACACGATCACAGGAAAGCCAAGGATCCGGAGCGTAGCCATTCACGTAGCGATGATTTGAACCACACCAATATTAACGTTGGTAGTGATCACCATGAATCCGATCATGCAACTGGCAGATCACCCGCCTACCTGACGGCCAGTCGACCAACAACGCCCCCCAGCTCTAGTAAACACAACCAACCTTCCTCTTCTGAATATGCCGACACATCGAGACGACGGCCTCGTAGTATTGCTTCTGACACTTCACTCGATTCTGATTCATCCGCCACTGGCGGCACAAACCCAGGTGCAGTATCGACGACCACTCATACTTCTAACAGCATGAACAGCATGAACACAACGTGAGTGTCTTCGCCTGGGTCTGTCTGCTGTATGTGTCTGATGAGGCATTTGTAGAACATGTACGGCATGTGGGAAGGCCATGCAAGGAGCCTTTGTGCGTGCACTTGGTGCAGTCTATCATTTAAATTGCTTCAAGTGTATGGTGAGTAACAACCACTATCTATGCTATGACACTTACTCACAACTTTGCAGGATTGTGGCACTGTCGTCGCTTCGAAATTCTTTCCCATTGATGGACCCGACGGCAAACAGCATCCTTTGTGCGAACGTGATTATTTCCGAAGGTTAAACTTGATTTGTGCGAAATGCGGTCAGGCACTCCGAGGAAGCTACATCACAGCATGCAGTACGTCTAAAAGGTCGTGCTTCAATATGAAGTTTCTCTTAATTTGTACCCTTTGCCCTTCCTTCAGGTAAAAAGTTTCACGTGGAACACTTCACCTGCTCAGTGTGCACGACACTATTTGGTCCTCAAGATTCGTACTACGAACATGATGGCGATGTCTATTGCCACTATCACTATTCCACCAGATTCGCGACCAAATGCGCAGGTTGCAATAGTGCGATTCTGAAGCAATTTGTAGAAATCAACAGGAATATGAGGGACGAGTGTTGGCACCCGGAGTGTTACATGATCAACAAGGTGCGCAACGATCAATGTTAGGCGTGATCTCAGTAGCTGAATGGGGGTAATCAGTTCTGGAATGTTAAGGTCGTTACTCGCCGTCCGAACAGCGGTCTATTACCCCCTTCTGAGAACGGGGAAGGTGAGCATGAGAAGGTCGAACCTGAGTACGTGGAGGAAGAGCGGAAAGAAACTGCTACGTCCCTACGAGACAAGCAGATCAGGATGGAACAACAAGTCTATCGTATCTGGACGTGAGTGTACCTTGGCCTTGGGCATGTGGTCTATCAAACTCACATTGTTGTCCGATGAAGTGTGCTTTCGGCATTCGAGGAATCGAGTGCGGCATGTATCTCAGATATGTTGCGGCAGGTCAGCAACGGGCAATACCTAGAAGCCATTCGAATGGCGGAGAAGTTCATTCTACATGTCGAGGTTTTATTTGCCACGATTGATGACTTGGAGTTCCACTTTGCTCGGTTGAACCTCAAAGGTTAGTAATCGTAATCGCTTTCTGTATCGCCTGTCACATCGTCTGCTTTTCACTAGGAATGTCTCATGTGCGCGAGGCACGTATGCTCTGTCGCAAGACCGTAGACCTCTTCACGCTACTTTCGCATACCCAAGAAACAGGTACCCGACGGATGGGCATGACACAAGAACTCCTCGCCCTTGTCACCGGTCTTGCCCATTATCTCAAGATCCTCATCCGTATAGCACTCACAGGCGCGCTAAAGCTTGAGCGTGACCAGGGTGTCCGGGACGCTATCTCTTCTTTCTTGGACAAACTTCACATGCTAGCGATCCAAGGTGGCAATCCGTCCGCAAAGCGTATGATGAAGCGTGCGAATGGGGAAGCCATGCAACTTGAGGATCAAGGCAATGCGAGCACTCAGGGCGTTACTTACGGCTTCAAAAGTCTTGCTCCGGAAAATGCTGGTGAATCGCCATTCTCACCGTCTCGTGATCCGGTCCTTGCGCAGGTGGCTCCGGCGTCGCAACCTACTGACTCATGCGCAAAATGCAAGGGCACAGTTGAGGAAGACTGTGTTCGGCTTGGTACCTTCCAACGCTGGCATTCGCACTGCATCCAATGTGCCACATGCGGAAAACCTGCTGCCGTTCCGGTACCCAAGGAGCCTGCGGCGCAAAAAAGCATCGAGGGTGGAGACAAGGGGGATGATAAAGACAAGGAAAAGTCAGAAGGTGGAGCTAAACTTTCTTCCGCACGACGACCACCTGCGAACGTGAAGGCATTCGTGTTCGAGATCGACTCGATGAAGGACACCGCTGAATTCGGACGAGTTCCTACGGTGTTCTACTGCACGGACCATGCACATTCCAATTGTCGTGGCGGTTTCCAAGCTGTTTCGCGGTTGGAACAATACGCTTTCTTGCTCAACGTCGCTCTGCGTCGACTCTATGTTCTGCTGAGGTCTCGGGGTGTCGTTCCTGCTACACCTTGTAAGTTTGGAAGTTCTTGACGTCACTGCACTTGAATTGACACGTTCCTGTATTAGCTCCCATGCACAGTCAGGCCGACCTATCACAAGATCCATACCGCAACTCGAAGGATATCAATCGTCTGAAGTCAATGCCCCTTGACCGTAAACTATCGGCCACCGCGCGCGTAGCCAAGCATTCCACTATTGTGGAGAGCCCGACAGGCAGAGTTGCTCAAGCTTCTGATACAACACACCGAGATGGCTCCTCCGCGCAGCAACGGCCTACACCTCAACACTCACAATCGAACCGTTTACAGAAACCGCCTCCTCAGCAAGGGCAACACCAACGACCTCGTATTAATACGCCGGGGACGATCGATCTTGATTCGCAAGGTCAATTTATGCGACCAGGGCTTACGCGCAACAACACGGAGGTGATGATTGTGGATGATTCTGCACCTACGTCTCCTGCCGGTGGTGTGGAGGAGCCTAGGCTTCCTGGTGTTGATGATGGAATCACCCTGGCTGATATTCCTCAGATAGTAGAGGCTGCGCAAGCGCGAGAACAACACCGTTCATTACCACGACAGAGTTCTGTTCCATATATCGCGGAGTTGAGCCCCTTAGAGCTTGCGATTGTGAAGCATGCTGCTGTGCTGGCGCTCCAGCGTTCGCCTTTGCGAGATCAGTTTGATCTGGAGGAGATCCTGGAACTGGTGGAAATGAAGAAGAGCTCGTTCTGGAATAAGCTTTTCAAAGCTAGTAATGACAAGAAGGCTGTCAAGAAGAAGGGTGAGCGCATCATCTATACCTGACTTGGTATGTGCGTGCCACTAACCTCTTGTGGAAGGTGTCTTCGGTATTCCCCTCGAACTTCTTGTAGAACGTGAAGGTGCAGACTCTTTGCACGGGGCCTCTAGAGCACCCCTAAGAGTACCCAGTTTCATTGACGATGTAGTATCAGCGATGCGGCAAATGGGTGAGTGACCCAGTTCTTTTCACTCGCGCTTGGTTTCGCCAATACACATCCCTAGATATGTCTATCGAGGGTATCTTTCGTAAGAACGGCAATATCAGACGGTTGAAAGAGCTCACCGACGCGATTGATCGTGATCCATCCTCCGTTGATCTTACGCAGGACAATCCTGTCCAACTCGCTGCTTTGCTCAAGAAGTTCCTTCGTGAGCTACCAGATCCACTCTTGACCTTTAAGCTTCACCGGCTGTTCATCGCGTCACAAGGTTAGTTGCCGGGTTCCTCATGGTGGTCTAGGTTACTGACATGGGTCTTTAGGCCTACCAAACGAGGCCGATCGCAAACGGTTACTCCATATGATCTCCCTTCTCCTTCCCAAATATCACCGTGACACGATGGAAGTGCTCTTCGTGTTTCTGAAATGGGTTGCTTCTTTCGCTCATATTGACAAGGAGACCGGCAGCAAGATGGATCTACAAAATCTGGCGACAGTTATTTGTCCGAGTATCCTGTATTCACGAGGGAGAGACGCAGTTCGGGATGAGAGCTTTGGATCGATTCGGGTAGTCAGCTCACTGTTAGAGAACCAGGATGAGTTCTACTTCGTCCCGGAAGAATTCCTGCCGATTTTGCAAGATCAGGATTACTTTGCGAGTAGCATGGAGCTTCCAAGCAAGGATTTCTTGAAGAAATGCGATACCTACATGCGTATCAGAGCCAGCGGACGTACGCCGGGCCTCATGTCTCCTGTCAACGGCCCTTCGTCTTCGCCGTTCAGTACCCCGCGTCCCGAGGACATGAGGTCAGTGCCACCCCGGTAAGTAAAAGTTTCACCTATGACGATTTGTAATGCGTTTTGACTGAATGCCATGTTCGGACCATCCAGCGCGACGCAGTCAAATCCTCAATTGCTTGAGCGGCCCCCAATGGGAGGGCCTTCGGCCTCAGAAGCCCAGATACGCAATGGGACACAGTCACGTCATCAGTCACCGCCTACTCTTAATCACTCCCCGTTCTCCTATCCGGGAGGTGCCTCAGCTCCTTCGTTAACACAAGGAATGGCGAACATACAAGCTCCTCAGCCGAGACATGCTAACGGACAAGTAAAGGGCGAGTGGGCACAACCGCTTGATCGACCGCCACCAATTTCACAATCACCTAGTCGACCGGGTTCGGGGCCATCATCGTTTGCGCCATCGAGTTCAAGGACGAGCGGGGACCTTCCGAATCCTTACCCACTTAATGGTCATGCTGCTTAAGTAGTGCGACGATGGATTTGATGCGTTTCTTATTAGGGTCTTGTGTGTGTAGGGTAATTGTTATATTTGATATCCCCCTCCTTGCTCACTTTTCGCTCTTCATTCGGCTCTTTCTCGCTCGCTTTCTCCCCTTTTCATGATTCCCTTATCTTCGCTTCTCTTTCGTTGCATTTCTTTCCTTTTTTGCTTTTTTTCGCACCTCCCCATCTGTACATCACATACTCCCCCTCATCTACTTAACCTATGATCATGGACCAATATCCCGAGGTATAGTTTCTTTTTACTCCCTTTTGTCGATCTTTGATACCCTCCTTCACTGTCGCTGGAGAACAATCGCTCACGAATTACAAAGAACTGTTGAAATGCAGATCATTATATCATTATCTTGCAGGCATTTGTTTTGTGAGCCGGACATTGCGCGTAGACATTTCCCTTAAGACTGTCGAGGTTTCTTTCGTACAATGAATAGTACTGTGTACTGCTTCCTTACACGCAATTTATCGATATCGAACCAGGACAAAACTACGGTACGCGATGGTCATGATCCTCGTTGGCATACGCATGGAGCATATTATTTTGGAAAAAGTACAGCACATGAGAGACAGAGCAAACACATAACAAAAACCCGAGAGCAAATGCGTTTACTTGAGGGGGATGCTACAGAGAACAAAAACAGAATTTTACAATCAGACAAACAATTTCTTGCACGTGCAGTAGAGATCGGGACGTACAATCGTGAAGAGTGCGTCGCACCAATACCGGGACGACCGTGCTTGACGGGTCGGTATGAGCACGAGAACTCGGCGAGGTAGTGACCAGTCATCTCAGGCTTGATCTCAACGGAGTTGAAGACCTACATTAACGTTATCAACAACGTGGTTCCTCCATACACATCGACCAAACACTACAAACGCACCTTGCCGTTGTAGATACCGACAACGCTGCCGATCATCTCGGGGACAATGATCATGTCCCGGAGGTGGGTCTTGACGACTGCAGGCTTCTCATTGGGGGGAGCCTCCTTCTTGGCCTTACGGAGCTTCTTGATGAGACCCATAGGCTTGCGCTTCAGGCCGCGCTGGAACCGACGACGTGCACGGGCGTGAACCAGCTACAATAATTCCAAGTGTTCGTTTAATCTCGGATAGTTTGAGACTTAGATAGGGCAGCTTGATATGACATACCTCAACAAACTGTACATGAAAAGTCAATGTAAGATTTCAACTAGTGGAAGGAATGTAAGAGCTACATACGTCCTCATTGCTCAAATCCAAGAGCTTTTCAAGCTCAACTCCACGGTAGGAGAAAGTACGGAAGGTTCTCTTCTTCTTGAGGTCGGCGGCGACTTGAGGGTCGGTAACGGAGGAATCAGCCTAGAACGCAGACAATTCAAAGCACGGTCAGCATTCCTCCCTCCCTTCCTCTTTCCTCCCTCAGTAGAATCGAGACACTCACCATTTTGCGTTGTCGAGAGTGTTGAGGAGGGCTTGAGGACCGAGGGAGGGGGCGATAGGCGCTCTTTTCGATCGGAGATTCAATCCGGTTTAGTGTGTGCGGGCGAGGGGGATCGTGAGAAAGTGACTGTATAGTTCTTCAGCCACACGCTTACCGATCGCATTACTAGTTTAGGGCTCAGCGAACCTTGGTCCACTTACTGCATACCGTCGTCGGATAGAATCCACAGGTCTTCCCTCGAGGATTAAATGTACGTCTAAAGTCTGTCTCAACGCTGAAATTTAATAGGAAGGCTGACGGGAGTGTTCATGTAGTGATTTGTGGCTGCCGTCTATTTCTAAAACCACCCACGCTTAAAACTTCAAAGTATGTCCTGAAATTCAATGTCGATTGACTTTACGCATATAACTTCGTGCCCATGCTTATAACCTCGTGCTCTTGTTCTTTCCTTGTGTAGATGCGTCACATTGCTGCATACCTCCTCCTCCAGATCGGTGGCAACACCTCCCCTTCTGCCGCCGATGTCAAGAAGGTCCTCTCTGCTGTTGGCATCGAAGCCGACGACGAGCGCCTTGACAAGTTGATCTCTGAGCTTAAGGGCAAGGATGTCAACGCTGTACGTCCATCTTTCCCGCTCGAAAGACAGATTGATCAGAATGCTGACAATTTCCCTTCCTTTGTATTCCCTTTGGGCTGCGCGCTCTAATACAAATAGCTCATTACTGAGGGTTCTGCTAAGCTTGCCTCCGTCCCCTCTGGTGGTGCTGTCGCTGTCTCCGCTGGTGGTGCTGGTGCTCCCGCTGCTGCTGCCGAGGAGAAGGTGGAAGAGAAGAAAGAGGAGGAGAAGGTGCGTTGTTTTGTTAGGTTGACGGATTCATCAGCTCAAACATTTGTTTACAGGAGGAATCCGATGATGATATGGGCTTCGGTCTTTTCGACTAAACGCTGCCTCGGGGTCACGATACGCTACTGTACTGTCCACTATCCTACGTACGACAATGAAATTGCAATGCCCCTAAGAGATGTGCTGAGCGCGTGTGCCGTAACAATATTAAATTGGAGTCTTCTAATGAGTTCTAATGCGAATATTCGACAATGATGGAAGAGCGCAAGTGCTCCGATGACAGTACTAACGACAACGAGGATGATCAGTTGCTCCTTAAACGCTTCTAGGCAACTAAGACTAAGATCTAGGAGCCGCCGAGTCTTCCCGAGGGAAGCGCCGAGTGTCGCGGATGGGATTACACGCTTGTTGAAGAGGCCGCCGGCTATGACGAGAAGACTTGGCTTCGTACTGCCGGCGGAGTGATAATTCATTCTTGCCGCGGCACGTCCCGTCGGTCCCGAGCTTTCCGTGGGCACGGTCAAGTTTCAAGCTGGCATTTTGCCTGCAGCCGCGACCAGGAACCGCCCTCTGATTGGCTGATGGCACTGTGCCGCTGATGGTATTCCAGGATATGGGAGTTATGTAATTAAAGCAGTAGCCATATATGGTAGATATGCCGGAATCATGCGATTTGGACGGGGACGGCAGGCAGTCTGAGATCGTATTTCCGAGTGACCGATTGGTGTGTTGACGGCAGGCCTGTCCCCGCGCGCCTGGTTTGATTTCCACCATCTGCTTCGGATGCTGAGTCCTTGCATCCTCCCTTGCCCTTCCTACTTACCCTCATCTCCGCCTTCCTGCTCTCTTCCACCCACCATTGACAAGCAAGTATATGCTCTAATTGCTCGTTCCAAGCACATATTTCTCTGCCTCCGCATTCAGACCCACTCCACCTCCGAGACCTTCTACTAATTGTTACTATGGCATCTCGAAATCCCACAGATCACATTCGCCACGTCTCCAGTGCATCTGGCCCCGCAGCAGCAGATGGTCATGTTGGAATGACACAGATGTCCTTGATGTCCTCTCCAACCTCCTCCCCCATTAATGCCTCCTCTACTGTCAACGAACCGTCTGGTGTGGCGTTCGTGAAAGGGGGGAAGCGCAAACGGCTCAGTAAGGTATGTCTTGGCTCGTGCACGCTTATAGTAAGTGTATTGAAAAATGGGCTAGGCTTGCGACGCCTGTCATAAGAGTAAGCGAAGATGCGATGGTACCGGTACGTTGTTCGCCTCGTTTGTAGAGTAGCGGGCTTTAGAAGCTGAATCGTAATGCCATCTTAGCACCATGTAGCAATTGGTAAAGTATCTAATCTGTATCTGTGCGAATTCTGTACTGACGTTCTCCCAGCTACTTTGCATCCAAAGAGTGCACCTACACAGACTCTGCAGGCCGACCGGTACCAGCTCCTCGGAATGCCCACCCAGCCCTTGGGGCTGATCCTGCGGCGACGGACAGAGCTGCACGCCCTCAAGCGCCTTCTGGAAGTTACCGCACGCACGTCGCCGGCCGCTCAGATCCTACTATTGAAGCGTCTACATCGAGAGGAGTGCGACGCCCTGCTGAAGCAGAAAATACAATATCAAAGAGACCTAGGCCAGAACCATTGGGCGTCACCATCACAAATCCGTTAGGGTCTGCTTCGCCCGTCGAATCCCCTAGTAGCCCACCTTCTCCCCTTCTAGATCCTGCGACTACGCATGAGCTAACCAATCGTCAGTGGCGTTTCCTTTTCTGATAGGCCACCCTGATCTTCATCCGGCGGTAGCTGATATGCCACCTTTTTTTAAATACAGTCTTCTTTACGCATTGCAACCCTGCGCGTCTCATCATTCACAAACCCGCGTTTTCTGCCGCTCTGGCACATGAACAGATACCTTCCTACCTCGTCCTTGCCGTCTGCGCGAATGCAGCACCACATTCGAAAGAACTGGGGGCGAAAGCACAGATGCCTCGTTTGGCCGGAGTCCAGTTCTTCCAAGCAGCCGTTTCCATAATGTTCGATTCGTCCTTCCGGCTCCTCGCAGAACCCAATTTGTACACTGCCCAAGCGCTTTGCCTCCTCGAAATGCACGAGGTAGCCGCAAGTCACGCATGGACAAAGCACTATCGGTATTTTGGTAAGTTCAATCTTCCTGCAAATCAAATCACCATCACCCGCAACTCCGAGAAGCTCGGTGACATGACTGTTTTCGAATCCTAACTTTGTTGCCTTTTCTGCGCTTGGGATCTACCTGTCAGATCTAGCGCTGCAGATCTTGGAAGAAAGCTTGGATATTGCCAATCCTGATCAAGACCAACGAAGTCCGGCTTCTGGTCCAGCGGATAGATCGCGTAGCATTCAGAGGGAATGTACGAGACGGTGCTTCTGGTTGATTCAGCTCATGAGCTGGATCAATGGCATCTACACCTTCCGAGCCATGCGTCCCAGATGCGTGGAGCTCATGCGTCAAGTGCGCTTGCCTTGTGACGAAACGAGCTTCGAGTTGGCAGTCGAAAACCAGGGACCGGGTCTGTAGTTGCCTTTTTCTATCCTAGGGCGTCCTTGTTCCTAATGTTGAGCCGGACTTACCTTTTACAGAATTCATGCACACGCCCGGGCCTCGTACCAAGTACGCATCGCAATTTGGCCATTTGTGCCGTGTGCTCTCGATGTATCAGACATTTGAGACTGCACTGGGTACGTACGCCTTTTCGCTTACCTTATGTTTTTCGCATGACGACTAATACATCCATCTTTTCCAACAATAGCCAACAAAGAAGGCGCCGAATTGCAGTATGCCGTTGCAGAAGGCAAACGAGCCGTAGACGTAAGTGTTCCAAGTTTCCCGTTGATCATATGTTGTAATTCTCATGAGATCGCTACGACAGATCTGGACCAATTCTTTGCCTGATCATCTTCGCTTCACCGAAGAGAACCTCGATAAACAATTGGAGATGTTCGAAACCAGTTCAAACACGGGTGCATGGTGCTTCTGCTTCATGCACGTCTTGCATCCATGTTTGGTCCTATCTTTAGTCGAGGTACGCATTCATTGCCTCGTTTCTAGGTGCTTATTTTTATACCGCAATTTCGGTATTTGTTGCAGACGGAAGGTGGGAGCCAGCGGGAAGAATCCATTGATTGGGTTCGTAACCAACTTAAATTGATATTCGCTGCTATCGGCCATCGTGCAAAAAATACTATTCTCTGTGCGTGGTTGTGTTCCTATGTAACTGGGCGACTCACTGACGAGCTTTTATTATTTTCTAGCGGCTTGTGCGCTCTGGGTAAATTTCTCCCTCTGCTTTCGTATGCAAGGTGTGCAGGGCTAACTAAGACGTATTTATAGTCATACAGTAAATACCAACCAAATGATCCTCAACTCATGAAATGGGACGACGATTTTGAGAAGATCTGGGGTTTCCGCGTTTGTGTCGTTGCAGACCAATGGCGGAAAGCCCAAGCGAAACAGCGGGAACAACTCGGCCGAACATATCCTGTTGAAAGCGCTTCTCATCAAAGCGACAGTCCGCCTGCGTGCGCCGTGGCAGACTCCTCATCGTCACCATCCACATCTACAAATAGCTCGCCTAGGGAACCAGATGCGCAATACCCATTTGCGACGAACGATCCTAGGGCGGTGGTTGTTGCCGCTCCAGATGAACATATCCAAGTACGCGGCTACTCGAATGAATCGCTGCCGGTGCTCGAGAGAGATCTTCGGGGAACGACTTCTTTACCCAGCTTGCGAACCATGGGTTTGGACAAGTCGTGGAACCCACCGACAGACGCGATGCAGCACATCTCGGTCGCGCATGATGGTATACGCCCTCCATATCCTTCCCATGCTCCACATACTTCACATGCTCCATATCCTTCATATCCTTCACATCATGTACAACATACGGTTCCGAGTCACAATCAGATTCAGAGACAAGACGATGGCAGGGTACCGTGGTCCCAACAACCTCCGTTGCAGCCTACGATAGCTACACAAACTGGCGTTCGTCCGACGGGTGGGATGCCTAGGGGCCTTTCGTGGCTAGACAGCGAATAAGTTGAGGTTGGGGACACGATACTGATTTTTCTTCTAATCGTCCTTTTGGTTTGAGTGCTGTATGTTAGATAATGGGGGCCGAACGGTTATAATCTTTTTCCGAATTCATCTCAAGAATATGTTCCCTTTTTTTTTTCCTCATTCAATTACGCGGCATGGCTGGCCGCTTGTTATCCTCGTGCTTCGTTCCAATGTTGTACATCTATATGTATGCATTGTCCATTATTTGAGTCGATTGGTTGGCTCACTCAAACTCATTCATGTTATGAATATCCAGTCGACCGGCCCAACATCGCGAGATAGCATGAGTATAACTTGAATGTGCTCGATCGCGCGACATCGTACATATAGGTCCACCAAAACCCCTATCTTGATTCCCAAAGAACAAGTTGACAACGGATCAGAACCAAACTGATGAGGTTTCTTCCAATAGAGTCTTCAGTAGCTATATGTATTGTGCCAGTAGAATCAGAGCGCCTCTACAGAACGCGAGCGAATATCAGACTAAAATACAACTATAAATCATGGATGTCAATGCTATGAAGGCGTGCCCGGGGAGATGTCCATTGTAAGTGTTGGTGCAGATGCAGGTTCTGGTGTTGACCGTGTGGGTGTTCTATCCACCGCACTGGGAGCAGGAGACCCAGTTTTACTTTGGTGGGCAGATGCCGAGTCATCCTCGCCGATGATATCCAAAAGGCCTGCAACACGAGCCTTGTTAGACCCCTTCTTCATTACAAATTCTCGCAGACCGGACTTCAGACTGGGCTGCTTGTCCACCAAATCACGTAATTGCTCTTTGGGAAGCTGGAGCAAAGCGCCGAATGAAGCCGGTGCGATAAGTTTGGCGCAACGGATGAAGCCTTCCCAGAGTTGCGGTTTGGTCCAGACCTTCTTGGTGATGAGTCGTGAAAGGAGGGTCGTGGAGACGAAGCCAACAAGTGTGCGGTAAGTCGTGACAGCTTGAATGACCTATAATTTGTCATTAGTAGTGAGTTCCGTTGTGGAAAAGGTGATACATACCGTGCGCAAGAACAAAGTTGGCAGGATGGGGTTATCAACTAGCTGGTTCATGACAACAGCAAGGATCTCTGAGCGATATATGTCTGTCATCGAGAAACAAATACCAATGGCTACAGAGAACGTGTAAATCAGTGAAATGAGTAGACAACATGTGAGGATACTAACCTTCCATGGCAGCTTTAAGGCCGATCTCAGACTCCGACTTATGTAGTAGTACCATGAGTTCCGCAGGAGTGAGCAACTCGCTCTGGCGTACTCGTGGCAGATTCGAGCTGACACTACCAAATGATTGTGGTGGTGTCGTAACGATAGACTCGAACACAGATCGGACCAAAGCTTTGGGCTCGGGCTTCCCATTCAGGATGGAAACGATCCTGGGTAAGTGCCGTAGGATATCGGGCTGTTGAAAGCAATACGTAAGGTCATAACGCTTCCACACCGACGAGAGCATAAGATGGAAAGCTTACCTTGTCCATCTCCGCGATGATGGGGATGAGGAACCGCGGGTCAAGATCTCGCTCGCTCATGAGGGCTTTCACGAGCGCGACTAATTGTCCACTTGGTCGGCCATGCTCAGTGAATATTGTGAGTACACGCAAAGCCAATGAGTCGGCCCCCGGTGGGAATGTTCGCAAGAGAGTGAGCAATTTGCCATGGCTTGGGCCCAGTGCTCGAATCAGAGGTGTAATGAGCCGTTGAATTGTCTCTTGAACGGTCTCCTCCATTCCGCCATATGCTGCAAATATCCTAAGACACGGTAAGCAATTACCGGTTCAGACAGATACGGTTGTTCACTTACTCATCAAGAAATTCCGGAATCTTGGTCGATAGAGCGAAAATAAGCTCAAGGTGTTGCAGAATTTGGTCGCCTTTGGCAGGTAGGTCAAGCTGTTCCGGAAGATAAGGTGTCTGGATGATGTCTTCCTGAGGAAGCTGTCCATCTTCCTCATCTTCCATAGATTCATCGCCACCGTCTCCATTTATCCGAGGTTCCGAAGACTTCCTTACTGAGGGTCGAGACTGTAATCGTCTGAGAAGCTGTAGTGCGAAGTCGCGAATCATGTTATCCATAGGAGGAGTATCGGTCCATCGCTTCACCGTGTTGATTGCCGCAACTCGTGTGACCTTGTCTACAATAGAATGAGAAATTGTTTAGAGGATAGAAGAGGTAAAGTGATAATACCTGGATGTGTCGTAAGTTCCAGTAGCATGGTCATCGCCTCACCACGAAGTGAAGGTCGTTCCTGGACAAATTCTCGCAGAGCTGTGAAGCCAACGTTTCGCCTGCGTGACATTCTTATTGAGTATACGCATAGGTGATAAATGTCATGGACATACCTATCAGGCTCAACACACATTTCCCGTAGTGAACTGAGCAGATCTGGTGGTACAGAGGGCAAATCGAGAAGGAAACGCGAGAAAGATCGATCCTTGACATCCATGTGAGTTTCATGCATGGCTACGAGTTGATTGAGCCATGGCTCATAATTTGGTCGCTGTATACGCGTCAGTGTTTTTAGTGAAAGCTCTAAGGATCGACAATTCATACCCATTCTCTGTCAATTTGACTTCGTATTTGATCATTGTACCACTCCTCGTTCATCCACGTAGTCGCAAGTCGGAGCCTGCCCAATCCAGTCTGTCAACGACATGTTCTCCACACCAGCGCTTCACACTTACCGTCCAGAGAAGTCAGACATGATATAATCACACAATGTCTGCCTCAACCGATCTTGATGGGTAGCGAGACTCCCTATCATTTCTCCATTTGTCATGTCCCCATCCCATTCCTCACCATCCGGAGAATCGGAAGGTGGAGGTTCAGCCACTCGTGTCACCAACCTTACAATCAACAACATCCACAGATCCGTGGCTGACGACCCGTGAGGTTCTGCTGACACATCGTAATCATGCGGCGCAAGGTCCTTTGCGCCCTCCCATATTCGAGACATGGATGACCGAACGAGCACTTCTCTGTCATTATCTGAAAGTTCTTTGGGTGGCGGGAGATGGAACCCTTGCAAATCGAGCGTAAGGTCCATGGAGATTTCCAGCGCTGCTTCTGTCTCCACGGCAGCTTCTTGCTCAGCCTCTTGCTATGCTGGGGATCAGTGCCACAGGCAACGGTTATACGATTGAGGAAACAAACCTCAGCAAGTTTTTCTGGCGCGTATTCCACTTCTTCATCATCAATATCCATCTTCAATGGATCTACAGGCTCCTCTTTCACTTCCGGAGTCCCTTCATGGGGTTGAATTTCAGTCACTTGGGCAGCTTTCTCTCGGTCTGCTCTTGGTGCAGTCGGAGGTGCGACAGGAACGGGGGTGCCAGCTTGCGAACTGACAGCGACTGGAATAGTGGGAACAATTGCGGATGGGGTAATGGTAGGAATAGCAGAAATAGGAGCGGCAGGAACTGGGGCCGCTATAGGTGCTGGCGGTGGTACAAGTCCAGGAGGCATTTCTGCGGCTGCGGCTGCAGTCGCAGCCTTTACCCTATCCAAGTAAGCCTGAACAAGCCCAGCAAGGCTGGGTTCGGAGAAAGCTTGAAGGTTGGCAATCACAAGGTCGATGACGAGATTAGAGGGAAGGGTGGCGAAGTCGAATCCAGCTAGGTATGAAGAAGGTGTAGGCATCCCATTCTCTTCCAATTTCATCCGTTTGGCATCGGGGGATTCTTCTGTGGGCACCGCCGAAGGCGGTCGTTTCCTGGAAGCCTCGGCAGCCTTACGTTGTTTTTCTTCAATAGAAGCTTGTTCCATTCGCGTAGCTTGCGCCGCCAACGCATGGTGTATTTTCCCGGCGAGATTAGACGGGAGCTGAAGACGAGAAAGGTGCAAGAGGAGAATACGGACAGACTTTTCGACACTCTTGACGGTATGTGCGGGATGACCGGCTAAATTTGCTGGAGTCCAGTGTTCCAGAGTCGAGATAACCAGTTCTGTGAGTCCTGGACGCTGCTTAGCTAGGGACGCCCAGCTGTTCAAAATCGCGGAGATGATTTCTGGATTACTACAAAACGTGAGGGACAAGTGAGGACATCGGAAGCAAAGCATGAGAGATATGGCGTACTTGTTCGTATAGAGAATAGTGATGACACGCTCTAAGAGTTTGAGTCCTTCTGCGTCCAAGGTTGGGACATGGAGGAAAGGGTGATCGGTGGGACACATGGACAGGTTAGGGTCATTTTTGTTTTGCAACTGCGAGAAGCTTGGTGAATCATGGGAAACAGCAGAGAACGACTCCATAACATACTCTTGGATCGCTAACGGATTTTGTTTGCACGAGAATAACTCGTTGCATGAACTTGATGGCAGAAAGCTTGATGCCAATGCCGACATAGGGCGAGTCCACAAACTCCAATATCCTGGCCTTGCAGTGCACAAGTACGTCCCATACTTGTGGATGATTCCGGTTCGCGCATCTATAATATGCACGCACGTGAACATTAATGACGTCGAATTGATGGATATTCTCTTACAAATAGCGAAACACTAGTGGATAGACAGTTGCGAAGCATTGAACGACGACCTTGACGGTAGCAGGATTCGAGTCATTAAGAAGACCAGCGAGAGCATTGAGGGTGTTCAAAGATACTATTACAATCATGTCAATTCAATTTACTCAACAAAAAAGCTCCAAAAAGGGCAAATAATAGAAACGCACAGATAGTGCGCGTGTCGGTACTCAACGAAGAGCGACAGATGGCAAAGTGCAAGAGGTCGAGGACCCAACGTCTGAGGAGTGAGTCCTCAGAGTCGGTGAGGGCTTTGATGAGAGAGTTGAAGAGGACAGGTATGGGTTGTGGATGAGCCTCAAGCGATTCGCGGAGCACAGCGAGTGTGTCCGCTTGTTCCTTCGAGTTGGCTGGTGCATTCCACGCAGTGCTCAACGTCTGCAAGGGGTCTACAGGATTCGCCATCCTTGCATTAAACCGTTATCCCTGCAAACGTTGTTTCTAATGCCAAAGTTTAATACTAGCGTAATTTCGCCGTAAAAGCTGTCGGCCTCTCGTCAGTCACTGGTCAGAGCGCAAGTGCATCTCAGAGCCAATTTCTAGTAACGCCCTGCCGCCCGTCGGAGTTTCAATCACTCCTTGCACCTTCCTCAATATGGTCTGTCTCCGTTGCGTATACTTAATGGGAGATTTCTGACATATGTCCTTAGGCTACTCAACAATCACAGAGCATACAGACTCTTCTCGAGGCAGAGAAGGAGGCCGCAAAGGTCGTCCAGCAAGCTCGCCAATGTATGTGAACTTACCGTTGGCTCTGGCGTCATACCAATGAATATAACTTCTCGTGTAGATCGAGTACAACGGCTAAAAGAGGCTCGTACGCAGGCTAGCAAAGAGATTAACGAGTATAGACAATCTAAGGAACAGGAGTTCAAGGCATTTGAGGCCTCGGTACGTCGTTATATACTCTGAACTTATTGCGCGGGACTCAATGGTTGTACAGCATGCGGGGAGCATTCAAACTGTCCAAGCTGCTATCGACAAGGAGACCGAAGTGAAACGTGCTGAGATCACGAAGCAATATCAACAGAACAAGGATAAGGTCGTCAAGAAACTTCTTGACAGGGTTGTCCTCGTCGAGCCTGAACTTCATCGTAACCTCAAGAAGGTCGGGGCGTAGCTGGTTGACTGTAGCTCAATAACTCCGCTAGACTAGGTACTCTATCACTCTCTCGGACGTTCTTACTGCAGTACGCCATGTATATCAGATACAATAATCAAGAGAACTCATACCCATGGATTCTGTCTTCCGCCGCATGACGAGATGATGAATAAAGCGTTGTCAGAATCAAAACTGGACCGGCTATGAATTGTATTCGGGTGCTATGAGGTATCCATTGTGATAAGTCCCGCATCATCAATATCCGGCGGAGGGGTCTGTTCCGCAAGTTCCAAACCAGAGAGCAAAGCTTCTAAGTCCGGTGACACCACAAACCGTCTATTGACCTCCCCAAGAACGCACAGTCGTTTGTTATCGGTATCCAGATATACCGCATGTTGCAGGAAAGATGGTTGTGTCGCGCCCGTAACCTAAAGGAACACTGTCAGTAATGGCCGACGTTCCGTGTCTATTAAACATGAAGACGCACATCGAGTACGATGCCATTTCCCATTCGCATCTTGACAGCACCACTTTGGTAGACCTCCAATTGTCCGATCATACCATCCACTTTCTGCTCCTCCTGTTCCTCCTTTTTAACTTGATCTCCTCCAGCAGTTCCAGTTGGTACTGTCGGCGTGGCACTAGCAGAACCGGCAGTTGCAGGCGGCTTAGTATCTTCTGCGAATGATACCTTTTTCGTACCCTCCGTGGGTCTGGTGCCTTCGACGTTTTGGCCTTTCTCGTCAGACGTTGATACAGAGGTAGATGCTGATTTGGAAGGGAGGAATGTTGGGAATGGGTCTGGGAATTGGAAAAAATATAGTCGTTCCTGTCGTATGCCTAGATCCTACATTTAGATGCCTTTAGTTTGTGGAATCACGAGGGAAAGAAGGGAAAGAACTACCCACCTCCTGCATCGTGGCTGGCTGTGCAAAGTCCTCCACGATATCCTCCAATTCTTCTTCTTCTTCGCTCTCGCTTAAATCGATAGCGTTAGCCAGGTTTACTTCCTCCCTGGGTTGATCCACATCCATGACATCCGGCCTCGCAACACCTATGGATTTTTGCAATAGTGAATTCCAAGGGGGGGAAAACCACATTTCCAAAACAACAACATACCTTTCCCCTTAACCTCCTTTTCCTCTGTCTTGACCTTCTTCCTCTTCCTCTTCCCAATCTCCCTCTCCCTCTTCAAACTCTCAGGCGCCATCCAATCCATAATCCTAATCTTCTCAATATCCACAATCTCCACACCCTCATCAGCATCCGAATACACTTCTTCCTCTCCCTCCTCCTCCTCCTCCTCCTCCTCCTCCCTCGCCTTGCCCTTCCCAAATCCACCTTCCTCCTGTTCACGTTTAACCCCACCTGCAAGTGAAGGAGCAGTAGTAGCCGTAAGCCCTGCACCAAGTTTCGCCATGCCACCGAGGGCTTGAGGGATCATTGGTGTGAAGTTCGAACGTGGGGCGGCGCGTCGAGAAGGGGTTTGGCCTGCTAGCGTAGGACCCATCGCGAAAGGACCACTGGCTGTCATCTCGATTGGAGTACGAGGAGCCGCACCTCGACCTTCGCCTCCTCGCCCTCTCCCGCGTCCGCCACGGTCTGCACCTCTTCCACGGCCTCGTGTAGATGTGGGTGTAGACGTTGAAGCCGCTGAAGGCTCTTCCTATAGAAAAGTAAAGAAGCAGGAGATTATGTTAGAAATTAACGAGAGTAGACGGATAGAAGCAAAGCGTATGGAGACGTACTGCTTTAACATCCCTATAACACAACGCAAATGTCAGTTCTAGAGGTGTTTTGAAAAGCGGGCGAAGACAAACGCACTTACTCCTTCTTGCGTCGCGCGGGAAGCGTAGGTACGAATTTGAGCTTTTGTGTGCCTAAGCGAGTCACGTCGCTCTGCTTTTTGGCTAGGCTTGGGATTACTTTTGGGATTTGGGAGGCACTCCCGTTCGAGGGACCTGCCTTTCCTGAATCCGCCATCTCAAGTGGTGTGTGAGGGCGTTTGGGATGGTAGTTCAGGTTCTAAGTCAAGGAATTGAAGTCAATTGTGATCTCGAGGTCAGTGAAGGAAGATCTGAAGGAAGATAAGATAACCGCGTGCAGCTATTGGACCGATCAAGCAAAGCTATCGGGTCCTTGGCAAGATCGGATTCGGTCTCCTTGGAAAATCTCCCCTGTTTCCACACGGCAAATCCACTTGCTTTCGCATTGTTCTCTCTTTTTCAAGATGTCCCAACCCGAACATATCCATTTGACATATAACGATATCCACAAAACTATCGAAGACGCTTCGAAGAAGATTGCTAAAGAGTTCAAGCCTGATGTATTCATTGCTATTGGTCCGTACTCAATATAGAGCTGCATGGATTGTTTAGAGGGGAGGACTTATTGTTGTGTAAATTAGGTGGAGGGCAAGTACTCTGCTCAATATAGCTCTCCGATCGTTGTCCTTGACCTTTGTGTCTAGGGGATTCTTTCCTGCCCGCGTGATGGTGCGCATATACTCTTATCTATTCACTCATGGGGTCACTCAACCTCTCGAAATTGTAGCGGACGTTCCTCAAGGATCCTTCAACGAAGCGTAACATTCCCATCCAAGCCATCGGACTCTCGTTATACGAGTCCCTGCCTGGTACCACTGCTGAGCAGATCGGTAACCAGGTTGTTCGTACCCAGTGGCTGTGAGCAGCTATGTCCCAGTGAACGCGTCCGGGTGAGAATCTTATGTCTATGAATAGAGGTCCCGAGTCTGGAAATATCCTACTGGGAAGGCGTGCTTTAATTATTGTGAGTATGGATCTCCGTCCAAGTTGATATGATATTCAAATGACGCGTCCAGGATGAAGTCGATGACTCTCGTAAAACACTGCAGTAAGCTCATTCTCGGCCGATGAACGGGCTGAGGTATATGAGTCTGAATAATCGCTCTTCACAGCTACGCAATTTCTGAACTGCAAAGGGATGTTGAACGCGAAGTGGCTAAGCTTCCCGAGGCCGAGCGGGACGCTGCTCGCACGAAGTTTGCGGTGTTCGTGGTACACAACAAGCTGAAGGAGAAGCTTGCAGAACTACCAGCTGACGTGCCGTGAGTAACCGGTCAATTGAGTGCATCTGAACACGATTGACCGTCGATGCTCCCGTGTATTCAGATACTATGCGGGAGCAGACGTAGAAGATCTCTGGTGAGAATGATTCTGCGATGTTCTCAGGCTGAGCGCGCTAACCGAGGCCGCGTCTGATAGGCTGGACTACCCGTGGGAATCAAAGTAAGCATTCGATTGGCCAGTGTCCCACGCGCTGATTGGCTGACGGGGAGGTACTGTTTTACGCTTGGCTGTGCTTGTGGGTAGTGACATTGACGAGCACGACCGTCTCTCCGCATTAGAAAAGGCGGCAGGAAAACATTCTTTCTCAAAGCATTAATCGAGTAGCACCGGATTACAGTCTGTTTAGTGTATTCATATTAAGCAGCTACATAGATTTTATCTCCTGTATCTCAACCACCACGATGTCAAATTTGCCTCTCTGTCTTCTCGCTTCGGCCGACGCTCTTGCACGAGATATCTTGTCCCCAAGCAAGGGGCAAATGCCTGCACGCGCGCTGCTGACTGGTTCTGAGTACTGAGTGCCTAGGACTGCTGCGAACCATCCCATACTAAACCGTGTCCATCCGGCTCTCACTTTTGCCCACGACTTTCTCTTCCCTCCCCCCTTCCTCCCCCCTTCACACCTCTTCCCAGAAATCCCGAGGCGTGGTAACACACGCCCTTTCTCCACGTAGTCAACAGAGGCCTTGTTGTCGTGTTCCAGCCAAGACGGGTTCCCATCTTCATATCCTACCTGCGTTAGGCCGTTCCTTCCAATCAAGGCACTACCCGCCGCGTACATTACGTTGCCGCCTCGTATCATTCCTGGACAATACGTTATCGCCTTGCGCTGGATCATCAATACTCCACTCTCCTCCTCTCTTGACTAGGATTACCCACACACCATGGATGGCGTGCCGGATATCGAATATGAGGGTCTTTCACCGAACGCAGGTCTTGGCGTACGTTTTCTTTGAACTGAACTGAACTGGATGAAAAAGTGACAGAGCAATTCCCGCACAGATAAACATGATGGCTGGTGCACTTGTAAGTCCGTCGCCTTTTACATGGGTTTCCATCAAGATCCAAGCATAGCTCGTTCGCGGCAGAATGCTCTTGATTGAGTCACTTTTTGGTGCAATTGGGAGGGTATACAGCACAGCCGGGAAACAGGGTTGCTGACGGATGTTGACAGGCTGGCATTACGGAACATGCAGTCATGTTTCCCGTAGACAGCATAAAAGTGAGTGAGCTAGCTCCTCCTGAGTTCTTTCCATGCTCATTCCCGCATACTCATCATCCTCGCGAATTCATCATGAACAGACACGAATGCAAGTCTTTGCGACAAGCCCTGCAGCAGTGTACACAGGAATCGGGAATGCGTTCTCACGAATATCTTCAACGGAGGGTATGAGAGCACTATGGCGAGGCGTGTCATCGGTGATCATGGGCGCAGGACCAGCCCACGCCGTGCACTTTGGGGCTTATGAAGCCGTGAAGGAGTTGACGGGAGGCAATGTGGAGGGCAATCGGAATGCGTGGCTGGCGACTTGTGAGTGAACATCTCCATTTTTCCCCCTCGTATTGGGAAGCTGACGGTGGCGTTGCAGCTGTCGCGGGAGCAGCGGCGACGATTGCTAGTGATGCGTTGATGAACCCATTCGATGGTAAGCGAAAATTCCAAAGTCCCTAGCCAGAGCGGGCGTTGAAAAGGAAACGCTTTCTTACAGTTATTAAACAACGAATGCAAGTGCACCAATCCGAATTCAGATCAGCCCTCGTCTGTGCCCGGACAGTCTACCAAAACGAAGGGCTCTCTGCGTTCTACGTGTCCTACCCTACCACGCTTATGATGACCGTCCCCTTTACCGCGGTCCAATTCACGGTCTATGAACAACTGAAATCCCTGCTCAACCCTTCTGGTTCTTACTCTCCCGCAACGCATATGATTGCGGGTGGACTTTCAGGGGGTGTGGCGGGGGCTGTGACGACGCCGTTGGACGTTGCGAAGACGATTTTGCAAACGAGGGGGTCGAGTAGTGATCCGGAGATTAGGAATGTGAGGGGGATGGTGGATGCGTTTAGGATTATTTGGCAGAGGGATGGGATGAAGGGGTTTGGGAGGGGGTTGACACCAAGGGTGTTGACGTTTATGCCGAGTAATGCGTTGTGTTGGTTGTCGTATGAGTTCTTCAGTGCGTATCTTTCAGTATTTTCTCTGTTTCGCTATTCATCTCTTTCCTCTGGATGATCACCTTAACTGACACACCTCTTTCATTTTCTGCAGAGGCGGCAATACGAGACTCTAGTTGATCACGCATATTATCGCCTGCGTGTGATAACGCGGTACGGCGCGGTACGATCATAGATCATCACTCGAAAAACAAAAAAAGAGGCATGACAATTGAGGGTTATAATATATACATCTATCGCTGTCGAGTTCATGTTTTCGTATTCGTATACTACTATTATTGTTGTTCATTCCTAGGACCTAATTCTGACGAACCACCTGGTACTTATATTGCTTAGATGCTTATTGCACTGAGCGCTGGGTTCGATCTGCTGCATATACCTATCGATTTTTTTTCTTGATGTTATTAGAGAGAATCGAGATGGACTGCAGAGGATGGAGCGATCGAGACAGTGCTGTCAGATGTCAAATGGTAAACTTTGATTGTTGTGTCTAGTACCGTCTTTCTCGAATATGCCTTCGATGATGGAATGCCGTTGAGCACTGGTCAAGAATCTACTGTGAGCGTGCAAGCCTGATTTACTTGCTTTAGGATCGATGCGACAATCAATTCAGGTTCAAGGCTAAACACAAGAGGTCGATGTATCGGATTAAAAACATAATTCGACGGTATCCAACTAACCTCAAATATTCTGGCCCCCATTCTCTCCACTGAACTCACCCAGCGGGAGGGTCCGCAGAATAGACAAGCTTCTCGTTATCCTCAAGGCCTGAGTTCAGTTTTGCCACTTACGTTAGTGGTCCCAAGAATTATGCAGTGTCGCTCCCCACGTTTCCTACGGAACCTGGCAGTGAAGTGGACGTTGGATACAGTATCATGATATTGGCAGAAGATCGGAAAATGTTGGTGTTGGCCATATGCAGTGCCAGGTAGAGATCTAGAAGGAACTGGGAGACGAGTCTCTCAGTGGGAAGTATAGATGTGAGTTGAGGATGATTTGAGTATTGTTCAGAAGAAACTAAGTAGTTGAAATTTCACTGGATGCAGCCTCTCGAAGTAGTAAACTCGGGGCTCGTAAAGTCAAACTATCTGGTGGAGATAAGTATTCAAACGGTAATATATATAATCCTACAATGTACACGCAGATCTCAATGTCTCAAGTATCACAAACTGGGACTTGCGGGCTGAGATTCAGTCGTTAGAATGGCATGACAAAGGCGAGTTCATCCCAGAGTGACTTACTTTGTGGGACTTGCAAGTTCCATTGTTTCCACAGTGTCACTCAGAGCCGTTGCTAAAGGATCATTTGTGTATACGATACTGTTTCCACCTTCCGACTCTCTGTCATGATCGGAACCAGAGAGCCAGGACGTATACTCCACAGGAGCACCGATATTCCCAAGCACAGCGGTGGCAAAATGAACGCTGGACATCTCTGGCTGGTCCGATTCTGTTCCGCGGCCGTCGGACAGATATACCAGCCGGAGGTCGAGGAGGAAGCGGGAGATAAGAATCGAAGCAACGCTGCCAAAAGACTCAGCGCTGGCAAATTGAGCTTTGTTGATGGCTTACGCGTTATTGAGGTAAACAAATTCGCTGGCGGAAGTTTGCTGCAAGCGGGGAACTGAGTTAAGACCTGGCTGTGGAGATCAATAGCAACTTGACTCACATCAGTTGCGATAGACAGAACGTCCAGGATGATAGTAAGCACATTTAAAGCGAGGAGTGCTCTGAGACCATTCACAATGGCATTCCAGTACAGGTCAGCACACTGTCAGAAGCCAAGATCTTGACGTATACGGCTCACCCGAATTGTACGACCCCTACAGATGAACAGACAACAGTTGAAAAGAACCAAAGGAAACGATCTAAAAATCAGTACCAACCGTTGCGAATCAGAAGGCTTGATAATTTAGTCTTCACTTGGAGGCGGCGTCCTTCCTTTACTAGTTGTAGAGTTTTCAACAATGTCAGCAGCAGGACGAGGGCATCAGAAGCTATGGCAATGCCCCGAACAATGAAGGGTACTAGCGAAGGAATCAATGGTGAGGAGCACCAAGGGTTGAGACGTCAACAACTTACAGCTGTACAGTACATATATCAGCATTGAGAGGAACGGAACGATGAACAAAACTATCTCACATGCTCAGAACTGGTAGAGGTGGTGTGATGTCGAAGCAGCCGGCAACAGGTCCAGATGGAACCACGATCCATTGAGCAGGAGTGCTGAATGCGTACTGAGTCTCCGTTAAAAAACTACGTCAAGGTTTACTCAATAAGGACTCACTATGTTGGCAGCTGGAACAAAGAAACTGAGGAGAAAGACCACAATGAGTGGAAGCCATTTCCGATCGCATGTCGCCCAGACACGGAGACATGTGAATGCTGGCGATGGAGACATAAGTATAACGACACCAAGATGTTATGTAGAAGCGAAGTTATCATATCTGACACACCTGCAATTCCACTGAGGACGAGTATGTCAAAGAAAAACGTTGAATAGTCGATGGCTTTACAACTTAGAAATATGTCGGTAAGAACCAGCTGAGGGCAGAAAACTTGAGCTGTTACCTCTACAAAGAACGTAAGGACGTAAGGACACAGCGAAAAATTTTAGAGCATACCGCGACAGTCTTGGCTACATATAGAGTGAAGATCGCTCCAACCATCAGATCAAAGAGGGCGCCGTAACGATTGACAATGTAGAGTAGTGTGACTGCGTTCCACTTTCGTTTCCATATGCATTCCACCTCTCGAGAAAATGTGAGCACTATATCGAACGCGACGAGAACTGGACATATTAGTATATTCGATTAGTGTTGAGTGTATGCAGGATATGGATGCTTCCGTCAAACCTGAGCTTGCAATGAGCACGGAACCAATTCGACGCACGTCTTCCCTGGAAGTGGTAGGAGTCAGCCAAGGCCATGCAAGGAAATATAGTCAGGGCTACGCACACTTCAGCAGCTACAATCTCAGGGTCAAAGTCTGGCTGGTCAGCGTCGGACATAGTACTGTGGATCGGTGAAGGCAGGAAGAGGATATGGACGATAGGCCGATTGAAAGCAGGCAGAAGAGTTGTGAGGTAATCTCCGTCTTCATAATACAGGGAAGGCGAGCATATGTGACAAGCAGATCAACTGTCAATCACTGATCACAGAACCCACTTGAATTTGTATTCCGTGGGTCTGTTGATCTCTAATAGCACCTACGCTCCTTTATCAAAGAATCTAAACCTCCCGGGAAGATGGTGATTCATAACAGTTTCTATCATGTATCATCGAATGCGATGGTCTTTCCATGGCTCTCCCTGGCCTCGCTGTCAACAGGCGGAAAAATCAGTACCTGTGTGATTACATCGATGCGTACCATCGCCTCGACTCCACCTTGGAAGTTAAAATATCAATGAGATCTTGCCTCTTTCGCATGCTCATGCGAAATGCACACCCAAATGGATACCAACCTTCGTGGAAGCTGAGTGATTCTCGTAAAGTTCTAGTGCGCTCGTCTATCTGCTCCGCACAGCCCTATATAATAAAATAAAGATAACCTTCTGCATGCGTCAGCGGAGAACTGCCAAGATATAGGTAAAATTAGGTACTCTGAAGACGCCAACTGATCAACAAATACTTACATTTGAAGACATTGAAATTACACCATGGTGTGTCCTTACAAACCTGATCCAACTCCACCAGACCTGAGTATCAAGGGTCATATGTTCCTAGATACATGCATTGCCTGCAAGACTACCACATTTCCACGCAATTGCAAGCCGGTGCGACACCTGCTCACAAGAAGCAACGGACATTAAAACTGTTGACTCGCTACTTGTAGATTTCCGATATATTGATATACACATATTATACACGAACTCACATGCTTTACGAAAACCAGCCTTTTGGTTTGTGTTCCACGTCCGCTTCTTTGGCTTCACCGTCGCGCTTCTTCCTCAATTGCTCCAGGATCGACTTTACGCCTTCTACATCACCGACAGCAGCTTTTCCATCATCCCAGTCTACAACTATGGGCCATTTCAAGATGTTCTTATTCGTTTGAGCAAGATTGACAACGTCCTGCAGGTTGTTCGGTCGAACATCGCTCGCAGGATGCGAAGATAGGAAAACTTCAGGAGATTCTGGTGTGGGGGTGGATTCGGGATGAACGTAGGATAAGATTACACGAAGCTGGTCAGAAGTCGGAGGTTTATTTTCAACGACCTCAAGGTTGAATACCAGGGGTTTACCCGATGACGCTGGGTATGGTGAAGAGAGTGCAGAGTTCAGAAGGCGCAGCGCAGCTTGGGAAGGAGGTGAAGCAGGATTATGACTGATTATCACGTCGCTAGAGGTGAGAGGTTGACTCCAAATTCAATGAATGGAACTACGCACAAGATCGACACCTGCGGCTAAAGTCATGAGTTAATATCAGGGAGAAAAGACTAGTCAACAGCTTGAGCTCACGATGGCCCTCTTGAATGCAGAAAACATCTCAGGCAATGAGCTTGTTATAGAAACTAGACAGATATGTATATGGGTACGTTACACAAGTTACACTCGCAAAGCAGGATGCGGGATGAGCAGGACGAATGTTTACATCATAGACAAGCCGGGTCGGCCGGCAGCACTGAGACTACAAATGTTTCCGCGATAAGATAAGATCTCGTTCGGGTTTAGAATATCTCGATCACTAAGCACAATTCATCTTTCAAGCTCTAGCAAGTTGTTTGACTCCATTAACAACCACTTCATTGTACTTTCACCGCCATTTTGTTATGATTGCGCTACAGCAAGCTCAGAATGTTCCCGACCCATTATCGGTACCAGCTAATGCACCAGAACATTGTCCTGTAAGTGAATGGAGGTTCGACCACGGTTTCGAGATCTAACTATTTAGTAGGGTACTGAGTCCGAACTCGCAGGCAAATCAGATGCTTGTGCAGGATGTGCAAACCAGGAAATTTGTGCTTCAGGGAAAGCCCGCGGACCCGATCCAGCACTCCCTTTCGTAAATGAGCGTATGGCGAACGTGAAGCGAAAGATCCTCGTTCTTTCAGGAAAAGGTGGGGTCGGGAAATCTACGTTCACAGCACAACTGGGATGGGCATTTGCTGCTGACGAGGAATTACAGGTGAGTTTTGGACGCCGAGGTACATTTCTTGGCCCTCCATTCACACCTCCCATTCTAGACCGGCATCATGGACGTTGATATATGTGGACCTTCAATACCTACCATCCTTGGAATCGCCTCTGAACAGGTTCATTCGTCCTCATCCGGCTGGTCCCCAGTATACGTTCAGGATAATCTTGGCGTTATGTCAGTCGGCTTCATGCTTCCATCCTCACGCGACGCCGTAATGTGGAGAGGGCCTAAAAAGAATGGTCTTATATCTCAGTTCCTGAAGGATGTTGACTGGGGCACCCTGGACTATCTCCTGGTTGACACCCCTCCCGGCACATCCGACGAACATCTCAGCATTGTATCATATCTGAAGGAAAGCGGGATAGACGGCGCAGTAGTCATTACAACACCTCAAGAAGTTGCCCTTCAAGACGTCCGTCGCGAGATTGATTTCTGCAAGAAAGTCGGCATTCGGGTACTTGGTTTGGTAGAGAACATGTCGGGTTTCGTATGTCCGAATTGCAAGAATGAGTCTCAGATCTTCAAGCCAAGTACCGGTGGTGGCCGCCGGTTGGCGGAGGATATGGGAGTCGAGTTTCTCGGAGCGGTCCCACTTGATCCTCGGATAGGGAAAAGTGCGGATTATGGCGTTAGCTTTTTGGACGAATACCCAGACAGCCCGGCAACAACTGCATACCTTGATATCATAGAGAGTGAGTACTATCCCTATCTCCTGAGATACCACGAATAAACTCACTCACGTCTCTGTAGAAATTAAGCAACAGCTAGGAGACTAGTCGCATAATTATGGCTTGCAATCATCCGGACCTTATGTATCATTAACATTTTCTATTGCACTTGTATCGATATCCAATCAGTATTAAAGCGTGATCAAATGCATGTTCGAGTATACTCTATCATCAGTTCTATCTACTATACATCATAGATCTTCCAGCCATACAATGAACCTACCAATTATTCTATAGTGAAACGACGCTTACGATCCCCAGCATCGTCTAATGAACCTTCTTCCTCCTCCTCGACAGCATGCTCGTCTACTTCCTCAAGCTCCATTGGAATCCCTGAGGCCACATCATCGTCGCCAGTCCGGTGATTCTCGACGATGTATTTGCCAATGGGCGCAATATCTGCCAACCCGCCTGCATGACCTTCACCACTCTCATAAATAGACACCGTTGACAGTGTACGAAGCAGTCTTCTGCGATCTTCAGAAGGATAACCGCCTGCGCCGTATCCAAAGGTGGAAGCCGTCCGAGTACGTCCTGGAACAACGTACTCTCGACCCGCCGAAGGGAAGACAACCGTATTCCCAGGTACCTCAGCGCTAGGTGGTGGAGGTACCCGATGAACAGAGTATGATGAGTTCGTTCGTGAGGGGACAAACATGCTCGATCGTCGAGCATACGCAACAACAGGGTCAGTCTCGGGAAGAATGCTACTAGCCTGGGCCTCCGCGATCGCTTCGGCCACTGCCTGGTCTTGGCTCTCTTTCGTGACAGAATCTGGGCTTTGCGGCTTTCCTGGTGAACGACTAGCCCTACCTCGAGTAGGAAATGGCATAGGAGTCAAATGGTCCTCCTCTCCCTCCTCTTCCGCAATTGGTTGGACTCCCATGCTTGGACTTCGCGGAGGAGAGAGGTCTCTGTGAGAGCTTGCACTACGAACTTCCCGCCTGCATTCCTGAATCTCATTCAGGAGTGATTCACGATATTGCTCCAACGTTTCTATCATCTCGAGGTCTTTCCACCTGTCGAATTTGCGATGGCATACTGGTTCATCTTCCTCCTCGTGGTAAGAGGATAGCCATGGATGTTCCAGAGCTTGAACAGCGTTAAGGCGAACCGCCGGATCGAAAGCAATGAGTTGTTGTAGGAGGTCCAGAGCTACCATGATACAGCACGTTGTCAACCTACATGTTTGAATGGAGAGTCAATGAAGGCGCTCACCCTGTATATCAGCATTGGGAAGAAGCTTTTTGAAAGATGCAGGCCGTTTACGGGGTAATGACCTGATGTAAACTTGCGCCTTTTCGCTTCCAACCCTCTTGATTACATCTTCTGGCGGTGTCCCTAGAGAGATAGTTAGAAGGGAACACGCACGCCGGATCCATGACTCACCGAGAATGTCGAGGATTTTGTTGAGTTGATCGACTGTCAAGACAGAATGTCCGTCAACTTCATGAGACAGCGGTAGGCAAAGAGGAGAAACACTCTAACCATAACTGGGAACAAGAGTTAGGACGGAAGGGATGCGACGGGAGTTGTGCTCACTCCTTTCCCTTAAACAATGGTTTACCGAGTAATAGCTCCGCTAATATACAGCCAACGGACCACATGTCGACTATGCATGTCATTTAGTTGTGAGTGGTCATAACGAGAGTAACAGCACGTACTAGAAGTGCTATAGCCACTATTGCGCATATACTTAGTATATGTCTCTACTACACAGAGAGATTACTCACCGAAATGCGAGCATGATCTCTGGTGCACGGTACCATCTTGTAGCCACATACTCTGTCATCATTGTCGGACTGTCGTAACTTATGTCAAATCCTCGACTTAGTCCAAAGTCGCATATCTTCAGTTCACAGTCGGCGTTGACAAGCAGATTGCCAGGCTTAAGGTCACGATGGACAACGGAAGCTGAATGGATGTACTTGAGACCTAGCAAAACCATGAAACGTCAATATTTCAACAAGCGAATTGTCTCGAAAACAAACCTCGGAGGATCTGATAGACGAAATATTGGACATGCTCGTTCGAAAGCTTCTGACCAGACTTGATGATCTGGTGTAGGTCAGCTAAACGCAATTTGCTTCATATGAGATGAGTCCAGATTAAAATGGATACGACTACAAACCTTCCATAGGCTATCAATTCATGACAGTGCAGTCTTGATGAGAATATGAGCTGAACAGACGATGAACGTATCTTACCTCCATAAAGATGTATCTGAACAACGAAAATTAAACAGCGTAGAAACAACGTATAAGCGCCACTTACATTTCTTCGAGATTTGGCGAACAGTCGACATCGATCAGACCGGTGATGTTCTCATGCGAGAAATGTCTGAGTAGCGTGATCTCACGCAATGCTCTCTTGGCTAGTTGTACCTTCTCGAACACTCGAGTAACCATCTTTATCGCGACCGGTTCGCCAGATATTTCGTCGACGGCAGAACTAGGCATAATAGAACGTTAGAGCTAAGCACGAAGAAGAAACGACGCAGCGCACATCACGTAGCCATAAGCACCAGAGCCCATTTCTCGTATTAGCTTCCAGCGTTTCTCAACGTGAAACACCTTCCCGAAAGACGACATTAGCGAGTGGTACCCTCTATAATATAGTTCAGCACATAAGGATATAAGGTTAGTGCAAACGGTACTCACTGACGATCAGGCTTATACTCGGACAGTATGCTCGTGCTGGGTGTGCCACGGGTTCGCGATCTGCCCCTCTTCCCTTCAGAAGATCCAGGAGAAGCTACTGGTGACGTTGATTTCCCCCGATCCCGAACATTTTCCTGTGGATTTGATTTGGCTATGGCAGTCTGAGATGAGGTTTCTTGGACCTCTGCATTTGTCTCAGGCTGCACCATATCCCACAGAACGCTGAGCACAGCCGCAGCTCAGTGTGCCGTTAGAACCTTGACGTTTATGTTGTAGTTGATCGAACGATAAGCGTCGAGGTGGTAGAGGAACAGGTTAGTGAGATACAGCAAAGCGATAGGAGGCTTGGTAGTCATAAACGCAGTTCTTTTGACTAAGTGATCGCTTGTCCGAAAGCTGGGTACAGCATTGCCCGAATCAGTGGAGAGATTCCAGATCGGCCTAGTAGCATCAATTCTCGGCCATTCCTCTCAAGGCAATTGTTTAAGAACAAAATGCAAGAAAGCAAGATAATAAGTTTATAGTTACGAGAGGGGTATATAGCAGGACGAGACAGCAACTACTACTACGATTCCAACTATTCCGAAAGCAATATCAGGAGACAGGAGACAAGGTACGTAATGAAGAGGGTCTCGTAGCCACGGGACGGGACTTGAAAAAAAAACTTACAGTTTTATACATGCGGTGTTGGGTCAGCCATCAGTCTATCGATAAAGCTTGACCAGGTATCCCTTCGGACTATCCCCTCGTTTGTGTCATGGGTTGGCTGGAAAGCCGACCCATTGCCAGTATTGTAAGGTACTTGCCCGCTCATCATGTCGAATTCATACGATGGATCTAATCCTTGAGCATAGCCGGGATGAGGAACGGACTCCAGGGGACCAAAAGATAAGAAGCGCGACAAGGTGTCTTGGTAGGTGGTGGAAGAGGGACCGGACTCCATGAATGAACCGTCATGGGTGGGAAACGACGTTGGCATCTGGTTTGTAAAGGAAGCCGGGTTGTTGCCCGGGTGTATCGTTGGGACCTGGGGTTGTGCTATCTGAGAATGGTGAAGCTGCACGGGGAAGAGTGGCAGATTATTCAATGACGTGGTTGGAGGACTCTGTGATTTTCGCAAAGCCTGGTCAGCACATGGAGAATGGGCTGGCGATTCCGACTTGTGCCGTATGACCCCAATGCGACCGTTGAGAATACCGAACTCATCAGCAGTCTCCGGATCCGAGGAGCGCAGCGCGGTTTTCGAATGATCAGGATCGCTCGGTTGGGAGCGGCATTGAGCATAAAGGTCTCTTGCCCTTTGTTTGAGCTTGGACAAAATTTGCTGTAGGATACTAAGTGAGAAGAGCTCCAATTTCCACATGTGGTTGATCAATACCATAGTCTTTGAAGGCCGACATAAAGTTGAACCCTCTTCATAGAAAGCAACAGCGCTATTCAATTCTATCAGAGCTTCCTGCGCCAGCGAGCAGTGTGGAGCGCCTAAGACCAGAGCAGCCAGAGCAACCTAAACCACTGTGAGAACCAAGAGTGCAATGAACGTCAAGGGACTTACGCAAGCCGAGAAAAGTTGTGACCAGTAGTACCATACTTGGCTCAAGGCTTTGGGGTGCAACAAATAGAGTCCCTTCGCCGCAAGACACATACGGCAGGCACTCCGAAAAGTAGCCACGACCGACGCCCCGTACGAATGTGACAGAGGGTTGACTGGATCATCGTGAATAGCGATAGCAAAATAACTGTGGTCATATGTGAGCGTGAGAGAGGGGAGATAAGTCGAAAAAGAATCATCACCTCCGGTGGAGATAAAGCAGATCTATCACACCCTTGGAATTAGCTCACTAGACATGCTTTTCCAAAATCTACGCACTGGTTTCCTTCATGAAAATACAGCCTAACTGCTGCAACGCTGTTGGTAAGTCCATGGACCAAGACCGTTGATTGGTACTTTGTAAGTCGAGTTGGAGGTGAGAAGGCATAGGAAACGTGCGGATCTTACGATCCAATTCTATCAAGGATGTGTAAGGCATGTTTCCTGGGCTGAAGGCATGTCGTAATGTTGCTGGAAGAATCGCAGCAGTGTACCTGAACTTCCAAGCGTGGACTGTATATCGACATTGTCAGCAAAATGAAGGCAGAGACGGCGGTGGATCGCCGCAGGTACTCACACCCCCATTCTCCCGAGACTTGTTCATGGCCTGAGTCATTGGCAGGGAATTTACAGTCGGTAAATTCCAATCGAAGACTGGGGACACGGCCCATAACAAATCCCTATGACCAAATCAGTATGGGTAAGCCAACTCTCTGATCAGCAGAATGACTGACGTTCCAGACGTCCCATGTGTAGAGTTCCCAGAACATCAATCGTCTGCGCTGCAGCTCTTTCTCTTCGAGCTTGAATGCTAGGCCGTCGTATTCTATAAATTGAATGTTTGCGTCATCGAGTGGGATGACGTTTAGAAAGTTACATACGAAGGGCAATCTAGTAGTCATCAATTTGTCAGTTCTGGTCAAATGTTGATATCGTATTGCCTTACCATCTGTGAGATCCTCACGTTGATTCCGTGCAAAAGCCAACATTCCTCCGCACACGTCCGATAAACATTATTGAGAAATCGGACCATGCAGAAGAGGACTTGAGAGGTGGTACAAGTAACGCTCTTCGCGATAGGTGCCAGAGAAAACGCCGCGCGAGCCAGAGCGTCGTACTGATCACGAACGTAAGCAGCAGAGGGTTCGTTGTTCCATAACAGGCCAGCGGCCAAGATAGCGAAGAATAATGATAACTCGTGAGGGCGGATGCGGTCGAGAACAATTTCCCCTGAGACGTAAATCGAGTCGAAGATATTTTCATAGAAGTCCGACCGCAAGATAGGGGTAAATCTGGTAAGGTCATGAAGTGCGACATGTTAACAAAATAAAGGAAGACTTACTGCCATGCAGCGCACAACCAATAAGCGTCCGCCAGCTCAAGAGCCGTCTCGCGCGAGGGTATAAAACAGGCAAATATCGACGTATCATGAGGGCAGTTAGGCATCCCAAGTGGGAAAGCATACAACAGATTCAAAATCTCAGAAGGCAGACCAAGGAATTTTGGGTCTCGTTGTGCCAGTTTCTCGGTACCGTCACTCTACACAAGGGATGTTATTGACTCTATATTATAGCAGATGAGGAAAACTCACGGGAAGTAACGAAGTCAAATACTGACAGTGAATACTAAGTAAATCCAAGAAATGATAAGTGTCAGCAAGAGACGTACTTCGGATGAGGATGTACTGCCATGGTATTTGGATGCGCCGTCATCGTTGATGGCAAGAGAGCCCACGGCTTCAATCAAACGATGTACTTCAGCATCTGGCTCCCTGTTTGGTTCTTCTGGCACCTGGGGAGGAGGAGCTCTTGAAGCGGATTGAACCGTACTCTGGGCCTCAGAGAGGGCAGCTTCCAGTTCCTTGATTCTGGCCGTCATTGACTGGACTTGCTCCCCGAGCTTCTGCGCCCTAGCCTGCAGAACCCTGTGCACAATGTCAGTCGTCAGGCCCCCGTTTTAAATTTGTCCTTACTTATTTCCCTTCGTTGCAGTTAGCGTTCCTAACTCGTGAAGAAAGATGAGGATGGTCTCGATCACTAAAATAATATACTCACCCTCAGGACAAATGGCTGCACATCCTCTTCGAACACATGCTTGACATGGGATTGCCCTATGTCACCGTGACATACTTAACATTGGTCGTATAGGAGCGTTTGCGTTTGGACCGTACCTGTCACATTTTAATTTCGATCTATTCGAACGTGTTCAGTAGTAGAGTCATATAAAAATCGTTAAACACGTACCGACGACATTCTGCGCACGACAGTCCGGTTCTGCGCTCTCTTGCTTGAGAGCTGGACGTCGCGTGTGAGGTATCTCGACCACTGTTAGTACTAGCGCTACACATGTGGACTTGTGGAAAAGATGATTCGCAATCAACTAGGGCACTCTCCTGCTTTACTTATCATGTGGGCAAACCTACCAAATGGTCCTACTAGACCGTGATCTCACAAATACTGTGAAGGCACTAAGTTTACTGGAACAAAAGCAGTGCTGTCACTCATTAGCCCCTCATTGCTTTTTGGTCATGGGCGGGAAGCCAACTAAAGGCGATTATGTAACTGTTATCACCGCCGTTGATATGCGTTTCAGTCGTTTTAAGGTTGAGAAAGCTGCAAAAAATCGTTGTCAATGTTCGAAGTCAGTCGTGTTCATTCATGTACATTTTGAACTCGCACTTAGAAAGTCGTAGCCCCCAACAGGAGATTCTTCCTTCTCCGACTCGGTTAGTATTCCACAGAGACATGGATTCCTCCAATATTCGGTGTAAAGTGGCCATGGACGGGTAGATTTTTATCGTCAGTCTTCTGCAAAGCGCCAGAGTTTCCACTGTAATCTGCAATAGGTAATATACATCATCGCACTGATTCTAAGCTTCGCCCAACAGATGTTCAGTCGTCCAGTACGTTACCCTGATGACACAACTGCACCTGTCCTCATCTAATCCAATGGACGAGCTTATACATTGACAGACATTGACACAGCAACGGTGCAGCAACGATCGCATCGCCCACACTGCCACTCCATTCGAATGAATCGCCAAGCGTATCAGGCGTCTGGATAGACAGGAGCTGCCATTCCTGTGTCGGATGATTGCGAAGCACCTGCAGCAAAGATCACACGTCCACGACCATCAGTCACCATGTCCTCCACAGGAAATGATGGCTGCATGGTCTCAGGTTCTTCAGCAAGAGAAAGCAAGGGCGCAGGTGGCGATGGGCACGGTGCTATCGAATCGGCGGAATGCGATGTTGAGTCCGAAAAAGCTCGATCGCCGGGAAACTCGCGTCGTTGGGATTTACGATGAGAAGCCGAGGTACTGGTCCTCCCTCTTCGACTGCGAGAGGCCGACATGCTACTCCAAACCACCCTTCCACGTCCATCAGTCAGCAAAGGGGGATCGGGTAGTTGATGGGCTGAGCTCGACCAATCGTCCACCGCAGGTTCTGAAGGTAACCCTGACGGTAACTGCCTCTGTTCGTCTGTTTCTACTGGACGCGCCAAGGACGAATCCTCGATTAATGTATCATGGAGAGATTCATGGGCGTTGTTGGGGCCAGCATCAAGCTCACTAAGAGCCACTGACGAGGTTACCCCTTCAGGCAACGTTGTGGTGGGTACTTCGGCATCGTATCTCCGATGTGTTACGATGGTGCTAAACCGAGGGTTATCCTCAGCAGGATGCCCTGAGTCGATTGAAGGAGGTAAAGGCGTGACCGACTCAAAATCATCATATTCTCCGACCGGGATAAGGTCGAATGCGCGTACAGGCGAGCCAGGATCTGAATAGACAATGCGAGGGCGAGCGGTGAATGAAGGTGTGATGGTGCCAAAGCGATAGAGAGGCGCTTCTGGCCTTGTTTCTGGCGCATGGTCCTCTATTCCAAGAAACTCCAGGGTTTCAATGAGGAGGCGCTCCAATGGCTCGTTCGTCTACTCCGTAAATTGCAGCATCAGATTCATCTACATCCAAGATGCAAATGGGAATGGCACACGAGGTAACAGGGGAGAACAACGTACCAGTTGTTGCAAAAATTCTCTAGGTGGAGCTTGATCATCCAGCATTGGATCACCACCATCATCCTCCTCCTCCACTTCGTCCCCGGGTTGTTGTAGGAAAGCGGGAAGACTTATACGAATGGCTTCTAAAGCGGCGCTAAGCTCCTCGACCCATGGACTCTCCGAAAGACTATCGTTCTCTGTGAAGCTGAACGCTCCACGAGCTGCACCCGCCCTAAGTCTGGGACGCATCTAGATTCGATAATTGTAAGTTCTAACTATAGAAGTCGGATGACTGTCATAACTACCTTAATGTAATGCTCAACACCCTCTTCGAATACATAATCCGTCCCATCTTCATTCTTGTGTTGATAGAAACAATCCTTGCCGAAAGGACAGAACCGGTCTGCAGTCTTCAACGACGCTTGGAAGTAACGGCAAGGCACTCGCGCCATACTAGCCTTATACTGTTCAATCGTGGAGGCTTTACCAGGGTGAGTGCTCGGGTAGAAGTGGCTTGATGGCGTGACGAATTGCGACGAGACTCGGCAAAGTGGACATGACTTGTTCACTTTGGAGATCACGACGTCGCTTGATTTCCCTTCAGAATTCCTCCAGCGACGAATACACTGCAAAGTATGAGTAAGTAATCACATCGATGGATGCCATTGAAGTAAGTACACACCTCCAAACAGAAGATGTGGTCACAACCAACTGTGGCATATATGAGTGGAATTCATCCATAGCTAGAGACGATTAGCACATACCAAGAAGTCCGTATGTAATTGGTTTCTCCAGGCAAATGGAACACAGACGATCCTCCTCCTCCACTACTTTCGACGTACTTTGTACTGCATCCGCGCTAGATTTCGATGCATCCGGGTCGCTGTGCACGAACCAGCAGTCGCCGCCTCTCCGACAGTATCCCGCTGCATAGAATTTGCAAGTCTTTCTTTGATCATACGGTGTAAGCTTATCTTCCTCTCCGTGCAAGAACTTGCATTTGGAGCCCCCAAAGCAGCCACGAGGAGTGGTGTAGTACTTGCATATTCCTCGAGGCTTTGATGTGGGACGTTGTTCATTAGACATGATGGTTTAGGAGACGAGTGGTATATCGTTATTCCTAGGCAATGCTTGGAAACGATATCGATAACGGATGCAACATAAAAGGCAAATGGAACGTATTTGGAACGTGGGCGGCAGAAGATTCAGAGCATTAGGAAGAGGTAGTTCATGACCAAGGAACGACCAACCAGTCCGGGATGCATGCCGTTAGTTGCACGGGCGCCTACTCACGGCTCTTTCCGTATGGTCCGTTTTTGGCAACAGAGCGGCAGTTGCGTCTTGTCCCCATCTCTGTTCTCGATTATGTGGATACACTGTGTTCTTATGTGCATCTTAAATAGTGTTCGTTGAAGCATTGTATCAGATCTTACGACCAATAATTCGCAAAACTAGGGATACGATGTCCCTCTCCCCGACGGCCACGATAAAGGCCCAACTCACAGCGAGTCTTGGCCCCAAGGCTCCTACATACTGGAGTGTATTGAAACAGTACTTGAGCGGTTCAATATCACGGGGTGAGTTTGACGAGCAAATCAAAGAGTGCCTCGGCAAGGACAATCTTCACTTGAGTACGTGCATGAGTAGATATTCTGACTACGTCCTGACTCTGGTTTCAGTTCAGCTACATAATTCCCTTATTGTATCCCTATTCGATACATCGGCACATCTCGCACCACCCACCCCTCCACCAGATGCACCTCATCTACCTCCCCGAAAACGAAGACGCACGTTGCCATACGAGGATCCGGATGGCCATAGCACATCCCTACGATCTAGTAGGCTCAAGCAATGGACTGTCGGTGTGGGTAGACGAGAACGAGAACGCGTTAAGGGATTAGAGTCTCTCTCACTGACAACCGAGAGAAGACCTCGTAAAGACAAGGACGAGATTGCGGCCGAAAGAGGCGTACAACTCCTTCCGGAGCGGAACGGTTAGTGTTCTTCTACTACTTCACCAACGACCGGCGGACTAAAACATTGTAATAGACCCACCTGGGAGTCGTCTGCCGCTTCAGTTAGCTGCGGTGTCGCGAGCACCGACATCACACCATATTTCTGATAGAATCAACCTGATATGTGCGCAACATAACCTAGGGGCACCATTGAAACAAGTCTCTTCTCTAATGATGCTTGCTTTTGAGGTATGTCCTTTTCCTTCACTTATGAAACTCGAGATGTTTATGGGCGGTGATATAGGCGAAGCTCAAACAGCTCATCACACAAGCACTATCCTTGACGTCGTCATCAGAAGCCATTACATCCATTCGACCATCACGGCAAAACGCACAATACCCGCTGTCGACGTCTTCCTTTGATACCCTTTTTACAGTATCCCCAGCTGTCCTTCCAAATAGGTCTGCCGCCGGCACAAGATTATCATTGGGTGACACCGATGAATACGAGGAAGAGATTCCATTGAAAGATGGCGAAGTCAAGGACCCTAAATGGCAGTTACTTGCGCTACTGGCGGAACGTAGTGGGGTGAAGGAGGTATTACGGACTAGACGGTAGTTTTGGCGGCCTGTTCTTATCTCATTTCTATCATTGCCCCTGCTGTCCCTGGTTCTACTAATTCTGCTGGAGGGCGCTTCACCACGTTCTTGCTCTTGGCTGTTCGCGTTGACACCTCGTTCCAGCTCACATTCTTCATGCCTCTCTTCTGCTTTGACTTGTTCAGTACACGCGGTAGAATAGATCAAGAGTATTGCAATGACGTGCGATCGAGCTCGATCACCTTTAGAACGTTCAATTGCCGAAAACTCCCCGGATCCCAGTGTCATATGGGTATGCTCTTATATATAAACCACTCATCAATATGAAGGTCTGCTGTACCTTCCCGGCCACCACCCAGGGACAACGTTATGGCAGCCGTTCAACCACTTGTGTTTCGCTGGGGGATCATCTCCACGGGTTTCATAGCTGAAGCTTTCGTCAAAGTACGTGTCTCTTGGCGTCCAATCTTAAAGTCCATTTACGGACTCGGCTTTAGGACCTTCGTGTCGATCCTAAAACGTGTGTTGCATCGTTAATGTTCATATTGTGGCTTATCAAACTGTCGATTGTTGTAGACGCGATGTTCACGACGTCGTTCACGTTGTAGCAGCAGTCGGCTCGCGAAGCGTTGAGAAAGCCCAGACCTTCATTGATAAACATGCAGCTGGTGACACGAGTATCAAGACATATGGAAGTTATGCTGAAGTATACGCTGATCCGGTAGGCAGAATCCAACAAATTTGTGTTCTCCAGTTCTAAGAGATTCTACGTATAGAATGTCGACGCCGTCTATATTGGTAGGTCACCTGCGCTTGTAGTGCACTGAAGCAAGTTTATATTCCGTCAGGTACTCCCCACACTTATCACTACGAGAATGCTAGGGACGCGCTTCTCGCAGGCAAGCATGTACTCTGCGAGAAGGCTACAACGTCCAATGCAGCCGAGCTGCGTGCATTGCTCAAGCTTGCTAAAGAACGTAACCTCTTCTTCATGGAGGCACTGTGGACACGATTCCATCCTCTGACCAAGGAAGTGAAGCGTATAGCCGAGGAAGGCTCCTTGGGTGATCCAGTGGTGCTACACGCTGACCTATCTGGAGATTTCGACATCGACAGTGAGTAACCTTCCGCGGACATCGAACGAGGGATCTCACCGATGATGCTTGCTAGACATTCCTAAGACTCATCGCATCTTGGACCCTCATCTTGGAGGAGGCGCACTCTTGGATCTGTGCGTTAACTTGCTTTTTATAGTAGCTTTGCGACTGACCAACTCATAACAGAGGGCCTTATCCTATGATTTGGGTAAGATACATATTGGCTGCTTTGGCTGGACAGTAGCGTACTCAGCTTTCTTAGGCCGTTTTGGCACTCTATGAGCACCCGTCCAACAAACGAGCACTGCCAACAGGCATCACTGGAGCAATGCTGAAGACGCCTCTGAAGGGCGTTGACAGCAGCACGTCATTCACACTGAACTTCACAGAACACCTTCGTGCCCAAGCTATATTGAGCTGCAGTATAACTCTTCCTCCACCAAACCCTGGGGTCATCATACGGTACCGCAACGGTAACATTCTCATCAACCCACCGATCTACTGCCCAAAGTCGTTCATTGTGCAATACTTCGACAAACCTGGTAGCGGTGTGGTTGTGAGAGAAGAGAAACGAGTGTTCAGCTACGTTGGAGGTGGATGGCATTTTGAGGCCGATGAAGTTGCTAGATGCGTACGAGAGGGCAAACTTGAAAGTGAGATATGGGGACATGACAAGAGCCTTCTGCTCATGGATGTCTTTGACGAGGTATGATCACCATATGGTCTTCAGAAGGATCCACACTGATGGGTTTGGTGGGATTAGGTTCGACGACAAGGTGATTACAAGTTCCCAGAAGGTGTGGAGAAAGTATTTGCATGAGAAGGGTATGAATTAAATGCCGTGTATTGAACATCTACTGGACTGTATCTACGTGTAACGCCTTCAGTAGGCACCAAATCTGTGACGGAGTTCTGTGAGACGACATAGAGAATCAGCAACGTGTTCGAATGCGATATCAAAAAAGGAATAGTCAGAAGTAGCGAACAGTCCTGCCAAAGCAGGGTGCTCGAAGGTAGCTGAGATAGTATTCTGCACCGCAGGCTAGGCCTGCTAAAGCCAAATGCCTCAAACATCATAGGAAGGAAAAGAGAGAAAATATGACTCTCAAATGCAGGAGGTGTCGACTTACCATGCTGAATCTATAGCAAGCACGAGGAGCAAGAAATGAACTGCTTGTAAAGAATTTTATATTGCCTCGGACGTAGCCAAACTTGGACAAACAAACCATCTTAGATCCCGCGGTTTAGCGCCTCTCTTGTTCATCACTCACTTGGACCGTTGGACGAAGTATATAATAAGTCTCGAATACCTAGTTTCTTCTCATATTCTACTTCAAACCACACCATGTCCACTCCCTACCAAGACGCATCATCCCAACAAAACTCACCCTACACGTATACCCCGACAATAAACCCGCCATCTCAATTCGCTACACCAGATCCTTCACAATACGCAAGCTCTTCTACGCAACCACAAGTGCCACAGCAGCCCTCGCAGCCCTCTTCATCTCAGTCCCAACCCCAGACGCAGCCCTCTAAACCGAATGCCGAAGAGTCGAGGAAGGATAAGACATTGGCGGAGTTTCTGTTAATGTTGGATGACTATGATCCTTTGGTGCGTATGAACGGATAGGGTCAAGGAGCAATATATTCCAGTAGGAGAACGTTACAAGCTGAACATCTATTGACATAATTTGACTGTAGATCCCGAATGAAGTCACAGATTATTACCTACAGAGAGTGGGGTTTGAATGTGACGATGTTCGTCTGTAAGTAACTGTCAGCACCCTACTGTCACTCCAGTATGGCTCATATCAACAATCAGAAAGCGATTATTGTCTTTAGCAGCACAAAAGTTCGTCTCGGACATTGCTGCAGATGCATTCCAACACGCACGAATTCGTTCGAACGCTGCAGGTGGTCGCTCCAGAGCAATCACAGGCCCGGCCGCGGCAAGGGTGCGTACTTACTTTTCCGCCCAGCCATTGCGCTAGCTTATATTGTTGTTGTTCAGGATAAAACTAAAACAACTCTGATGATGGAGGATCTGAGTGCTGCTCTCGCCGAATATGGTATCACGTCCCGAAAGCCAGAGTTCTATATGTGATTACTGAGTGGACGTCGGGCTGTGTTCTATGGCTCATATGGACACTGCTATTGTATTTTGTACGTGTAGTCCGCTGCCCCTTTGTATTTTATTGTATACATACATTCCTCCTTCCTGACCAGCCTGCTGTCTAACTCTGAATGGCGAATTGCCCGAAGAATGACCGTCTTCATGCGACAAATTCCCCGTTACTGCTGGACGAGAATGGCAGCAATCGACCAAACTACGCAATTACGGCCACGTATTCTGAAACATATCCACTCTTAAGCTGCCCCAAACGTGCCTGTGAATCTCTCGCATTCGATTGAACAACATATTCTTGCCTAACGAAGAAATTGTTGTCTTGGCGAGAAGCCCTAAATGTTCGCCTACGAAGCCCCAACCTACCCTCTCTGCCCTAAGCCAGTACGGCCCACATTTTCCGTTGTTGTCCAAATCCATCTTCTCCCTCACGAGCCCAATTTCCCTCGCGTTAGCGCATTTTGGCGCAGTGCCATAGCCGAAATCCGATGGCGTTCCTGGAGGACCATATCTATCTCGAATGCGAAGGATTTCCGTAGACCTTTCCAAAGTCTATGCTTCTCGTCTCTGCATGCGATGCAGACCTTTACCTGCCCCTAAGAATATCCACTCTCCAATTTGTGCGTCATCCATTGCCTGACCCATGAAGGCGTCGATCTAACGCGCCGTAAGACAATGGACCAGCAATTCTCGCACTGCGCATTGTATGGCTGTGACCTTGGTATTCGTTGACCTAGTGACTCAAGATACGGATGATTTGTTAGGAAACATGGGGCGAGATATATTCCTCGTCGCATGCCTCGGTGCGAACAGAAGGTTATCGAAGCTTAAGTCAATTCCGCCGAGTTGTATGTGGCGTATATTCGTGAGCTGCTTCCAGATGTCTTCGTATGATCATCAATTCTGATATCCTTGACATTATCTCTAAGTATGTTCTGCATAGCACCACATGATACTGATATGCATCTGGAGCTCTCTCATACGGAGCGTCAAGCATACGTCGGCCGTGTAATCGGGTCCTTCGGTGGGAGCCTGTCCGCCGGTTTGAGTATTCCCCGTACTCAATTTGACCACAGCAGTGCCCAAGACATTCCATGTGTTTGAAGATTCATTGGAAACCTGAGCCTTATCAACCCCCGACTTCTCCAACAGTAGCATGTCGTCGACCACTCTTATAAGGCTAACTGTTCGGTTTGCTCGGCGAAAATGTCCACAGTCTTATGTCAAAGAAAATTGTACGATTTATGATCTGCCATGAATCTGATTCTTCTCGCTAACCTTATACAATAGCCAATGCCCTATCACTCATTCCAAAATCTTATACCCAACTTCGATCGTCCATGGATGATGTATACAGCTGCGCATAGCTTTTCGTGGGGGGATCCCGGGCCTATACATGGACACCTCGATGAAGGTCTTCCGAATTGTGTGCACCAGTGTTGGCGTCCTCGAGCACCCTTTATTGGTATGTACCTAAGTTTGATCAGTCCCGTTCCGTACACAAACCCGTCAGCGGACCTGGTTTCGGAGTATCCATCTACATTGTATCGTCGCGAATGTTTCGTGACTATCGAATGTCTTTTGCGATTGTGGCTCGCGGTAACATTCAATTTGTATTTCTATACCGCCATCAACTCGTTCAATCTCGTCCTCGTTCGCAACAATGGAACTAACTTGGGATTATCTCCCTGATGCCTCCTGAATAAGCTTTGATAGGAATGGGGTAGGTTGAATTTGTGGCGTCAAGACAACCTCAAGATTCACTCCTTGACCCTCTTTGGCGTGGTCGATATGTGGGTTTACCGCGCCATATGCTGAAAGCACTCCATCTCCCTAATATCCCATGAATGTAGTTTTTTTTTCGACGGTACGGTGCTATAGAATCAACACATTTCGATAGCTGTCATTATCATGAGGCTCTTCCTAGTACTGTTCCCATAAGTCATGACAATTCTTTGACTTAGCCATTCGTACTCTGTCAACGCCGAATTCAATTGCACTGATTTGTTGTGCTCGTGGTTCCAAGTTCCTCCAGCGCACCAATAAAAGCACGCCGGTCATCCCCATGAGTCCAACCAAAGTCGAACTAGCCTTATCTCCCATCTGCACACTCAACTCCTCCAAAACCAGAGACGGCAGTTGCTCTGTATCTTCCGTGCGAATACACATAATTTTCGAGCCTCATTGCACGCAGATGTGGCAAGGCCTAAATAAGGGAATGAACATAGTTGGTCCCTGGCACCATGTGACACGAAGAACCCATATTGAAGACCTAGTGTTGGATATCTCGGATATAGGGACAGATGTAGACACATTCTGCGACAAACCAGGCGAACTCGATGAAATTCTCACTATCAGCGAGTTTCACCGTCAAGGTGTGGAATATGTGCGACATGGATGGAGAGATGGCTGAGATACCAGGGCACAAGCCCCAAGAGATTCGAGATCGTCGTGCAGATAATCGATGATATGCACGACGACATTAAATGGGATCCTCCACGAGAGGCATATCCACTATATCCACTTTTACGGACATTAGAGGCCCTGGGTGCAGATAAGGGCAGATATAATTGATTAAGAAAAGACATACTGGTAAGAAATGCTCTACAGCCCGCATGTACGTTCGGGTGAAGTTCGATGGTAAGGTCTGCAAGTTGGGTGGGCGGAGGAAAGGCCGTGGGTGGCCTTTGACATGATACAACGTGCTATATATATTTAACAGGACAGTTCACTGACGCCTACCAGCTGCGATTCAGATGAGACACCACCGTTGCCTATACCGCATGTCAAGAAATAGTGGGCTTTTTGGCCTGGGAAGGGTCTTCGAACATATGAGAAAATTCAAACACTGGCCCGCAAATCTGTCTTGGAATTTGAACAGCGTGTGGCCGGTTCAGAGGCGCCAAGAGACCACCAGAACGCCTGCGCACCCACTGCGTTTTGCTGCCTGTCAAGATGCTTTGGTTCTCAACTCGCAGGTTTTTTTTTCTCGCCTCACCTGGTCGAAAATCAGAGAAGAACAGGCTACATGGTGGTAAAACGCAAGGTACCTCGATCACATCAGGATTCTGCTTCTTCAAACTGCAGCGAACCCTGTCATTGATGAACTTCAAGTTACCTGAACTACTATGTCCATGATGGAGTTCTAGAAGTGAATTTGCCACTCCGCGCCGCTGCACGCAATCCGACATAAGTATATGACGCAAAGCAAAACATCATCAACATGTCAGTGTGTAAAGACAGCGAGGACTCGTCCCTTCAAGATGACACCAGCAAGGCCAAGGCAGCTTGGCGCTAAGATAAGATCAATCGAACGATCCCTGGGCTCCGATCAAGTGATCACATTCATTCAATTTTCTCCCATAGAATGACCAGGAACAGAAATTAGCAGAACGCTATATAGTAGCCCTGTGGCTACCCTGTCGCTAGTTCCTCCTCCCGGGTCCCTGCATTCTCGTAAGCCCCCTCCACTAGTACTGCATCTGTCAAAAACCTGGTCTAACGGTTCCACGGTTTCGACTCAAAAGCCCTCCGCGGCCTGCTTAGATTTCCTTTAGGACGTATCTTCGACCCCCCACCTTCATTCATCATGTCGGTCCCTCCAGCAGTAGAAATTGATCGCGTATCTATTGGCTCTAAAGGTTCGAAACGTGATTATGTGGATGAGACGATGGACGTGCCTGCCGATCCTCCTGCATATGAAACTGTTGAACCTCGTCCGCCGATTGACTATTCGAGCGTGGGTGCTTTTTCGAGGAGTCTTTGGAGAAGATTTGCGAGTATTTTTACGAGGAGATTTGTTTTGTCTTTGTTGGCTGGACAACTGGTCTCGCTTTGTATCACTTGTACGAATGTCACGACTACGGAACTCGTCATGCGGAACTGGGCTCTCCCGACGACACAGACGTTTTTCTTGTAAGTCAATTATTTTTCTCTCTCTCAACGATAGGGAATAAAGATTGAACTCTTTTCTGTTTGCAGGTACTTTTCATTGTTTTCGATATATACGCCATACACGATCTATCAGTGTAAGTGCATATCGCTCTCTCATCTAAGTATTTTTCGCTTGACCAAAACGTGCTCTATAGACGGATTTAGAGGATGGGGGAAGATGATCTTCAGGGACGGTTGGAAATGTGAGTAACCCATCTCCTCCCTTTCTCTTATTTGGCTAAATGCCCTCTTTTCCTAGACTTCATATTGGCGGCATGTGACGTCGAAGGCAACTTCCTCGTCGTCAAGGTCAGTTACGACATAGTTCTCACCACACTCCACATGCTCACAGACTTGCCGACGATGGTCTAGGCATACGAGTACACCACACTTCTCTCATGTATGCTCCTAGACGCATGGGCTATCCCAGTATGCTTGTTCTTCTCCTGGTTATACATGCGTCCCAAGTACCATTGGTCCCAATTAATCGTAAGCCCCAATTTCTCATTTCTCCTCCTCGCCTCCGTTATTTGATTCGTATTTATACAGGGAATCTTCATCTGTATCGGCGGTCTCGGCATGCTCGTCGCCTCAGACCAAATCACAGACAAAGACTGGCCGGCTTTAAGCCGAGCCAAAGGAGACGTGTTCATGATCGTCGGTGCTACTTTGTACGGATTCACAAACGCCACAGAAGAGTTCTTCGTGCGTAAATCCCCATTGTACGAGGTGGTTGGTCAATTGGGGATGTGGGGGACTATCATCAATGGGATCCAAGCTGCTAGTTTGGAACATGATGGGATGAAAACTGCTAGTTGGAATGGGAAGACGAGTACGTGTTGTTGCTTATTTCGTATCTTTTGAGGGGAGATAAGTGCACGAATTGCATACTGATGCATGGATGTTTTTCCCCCCGATATAGTTGGTTTACTCGTCGCGTACACAGGAGCGATGTTCATCCTCTACACCGTCGCGCCCATCCTATACCGCATGGCGTCATCCGCATACTACAATCTCAGTTTGCTCTCAAGTGACTTTTACGGATTACTTTTCGGTTTATTCCTCTACGTACGTCCAATTTCCAATTCTCCTAATTTCATTTTCTTCCTATCTGCCTATCCGACACTGATATAAATTTGATCATCTCTGTTCTCTGTTCTAGCATTATACCGTGTACTGGCTCTACTTCCTCGCCTTCGCAGTGGTCATCTTTGGGCTGATCGTTTATTTCTGGCAAGCCACACGTACGTATAAGTCGCTCCCTCTGAGTGTTCTTGTCTTTTCTCTCGAGGTTCGTTCGTTTATTCATTATTCCCCCTCCTTTTTTTTTGCAGCGGAAAGTCAAGGCAAACTGGACCCTCGTGCTCCAGAGTATGTCGAAAGACGACGCGAAGGACTGAACAACGGTGTCGTGGGTCAGGTGTAAACTTTAAACGTGCCGCTCAACTCTTCCCGCTAGTACTTTAAGTACGACTGCAGGTTTTGTTCACGAATTCTTCATGATATCAGATGTTCTGTATTTCGTATTCCTTGATTAGGGTGGCCAACAACAATGTCTGTAGACTGTAGTGCAAACACACAAAGACTGATGCGGATCGGAGGCGAGCTATGAGTAGGGATGATACATCCGGTAAGTACAAATTATGGATAGGAATAAGAATGGAGGGAAGGAACGCCCAATAAAAAATGAGAAGGGGAAAAACAAGACGAAAGGAGAGGAGGGGAACAAGTACAACGATCCGAGAGTCAATACAGAGTGGAGGTAAAGGTACGCATGAAAGCGAGATGGTAAAGGCTGAAGTGGGATTCAGAGAGTAGGAGGCTTAGACAATGTGTCGCGGCGGCTGAGACTTCTTCCACTCCTCGTATTGCCTCATCTGCTCTTCGCGCATAGCCTGAAGTTCCCTCGCCTGTTGCTCACGCTGAGCACGATGTTCGGCCAGTTTCTAGAAAAAGCATCTAACTTAGTATTCTGATCGAGCTCCCGAAGCACCGTGTAATGGAACTTACGGCTTTCAGGGTTTCGACTGTCGAGAGGACAGTATCAAGCGTTGCTTCAGATATTTCGGTAAACTGCAAGAGGGTAAGATTAGGAAACAGTAAGTACTGAACTAACTCACCTTCTCATTAGCTTGTCGGCCTAGCTCCTGCATTCGCACTTTCTCCTCATCCCATCTCTCAAAAGGCGGCGGCGGCGGCGGCGATGATGGCGATGAAGGGGGTATCGGTGACCAAGACGAGTTCCATCCCCAACCCCAGTCCGATGGAGCGTTTTGTTGCTGCCTCGGAGGCGCTTGGGTTTGAGCTTGGTATCCGCCTGGAGCAGGAACACTAGCAGACGGCTGAGGAGTAGCAGAGTCTGCAGGGGAAGGCGGCGGAACAGGAGCAGGAGCCTGGTAGGACTCTGGTGGAATCTGGTGCCGTGAGCAATGCCTCACTTTGAAGTTATGGGCATCTTTGGATTTAATCCACCAACTGGCTGTACCAGCACCAATGATGAACCACAAGAGACGGGAAGGACCACGGTGATACCAATGGTAGGGATGCATCTGAATAAAGCGGTGACAGAAATGCGGGATGTTTGGTGAATTTGACGATGGCTTGAGAAGAATCGGAGGTAGGTAGAGTGTATGTGGATAGGTGTTGAACGCTGTAGAATGGGGACGATGGGGTTAGTCGAGGAACATTACCTGTTATTATACTCTTGCTCAGGCCGAGAGGATCCGGTCGCCGTGAGGGGTCGTCATATTCACGATACTGACCGATGTCAAGGATGGGTTACAAGCAAACTCCGGCCGAGTGCACTCGTCAAGCCAACCTTGACACCGCTGTGATTGCACCTTATGCAGTATATGCTATCCGCGCGTCTGCTCGGCCATGGGTAGAAAGAGGAGGAGGCTCTGCACCAGCTTGCGCTTCCCTTCGGCTGTCGGGCCTCGGCAACTTCATATGCAGCGTCACGGTGTCACAGTCGCATGATCGTGACAGGCGCGTCGAGGACGCGTGTCTGTCGCCGCCCTCTATCAGTGGAAAGGTGCGCTTCAGCGGCTTCACTACATAGTGCGCTTTGCTCTGTCAATCACTTTTACTCGTGCATTCTAGACAAATTGTAACAACGCTATGTTTGACCTAGTATCTTCAGATTCCCTCAAGTACCGTTCGTTCTACAGAATGCACAGTTAGCTCCTCACACGCAGGTTCTTCGGCTTCGCAGAAGGCTTTTATTGACGAACTACGCGAAGATCGCATACAATCGTCATCACTCAACTATCACTATTTACAGCGCTCGACACCTTCATGTAGGGACTACTGCACCACCTGCTACCGACGGTGGTTAATATACGCTTTACGATGTTTATCCGTATGTCACCCTGCAGCCGGATATGCTGACTATTCCGGTTGTCCAGTTTGTCCCCACCGTATCGCTGGAAATACATGAAGACGAGGAAACCGTTGAGGTTCAAGCACCCGCGTCGAACTCTGAGCTAGCGTCAAGTACGGTTCTTTTGGTCGCGCAGCCTGCAGACGAAGCTTCCTTTAGTACCGAACGCGGTTGATAATGAGGCGATTCTAACACCTCTCTCGTCCACTAAACACGAGGCTTGTGAACTTGAAAGCATACACTTTCTCATCTACCTCAAGTATTCACCTTCTCAGCCTCAAAGTACCCTCACAACAGTCTGAGTAATAATCCACATCCTCCTCCTCCGTGTCAGCGAGCGTCTAGACAAGACACTCTTCATCGAGCGCAAACCGACCACCACTACGAACGACGACTATATCGCCATATCGCATGTGTGAGGTGATCAAACTACCACCCAGCGCACACATGCAGAAGGTGTGAAGCGGAGCTCAGCCCGACGAAGGATATCCTATATATCCTTAGGCGTAGCGATGTGTGGGGAGGACTGATTCTGGATGGATCTCGCAGCGTCTCGGAACAGCTGACAGCGATCCTCGCTATATAAAAGTCCAGTCGTTGCGTCAAAATTCTCATCGAAAGCCCTGTATGCGAGACTTTCCAAGCCACATCGTTACGCGTTGCAGGTTATCCAACCCTTGATCCTCGCGACGCCCATGAAATTAAGGTGTGGGAGCTGGGACGTGCTCGCAAATGTCCCAACCTGCTCTTCTACGATCCTTGGTTCGAGAGGCTTTGGACACGCCAAGAAGGTCTTTATGCGATGAGCATCGAGGTCATCGTCCTAAACCCTGTCGCCTGTATGCGTCCGTATACCCCGGCACCAGCAAGGAGTGGATTCAAAAGATGGGCGGAAGAATGGTAAGCAAGGTCGAAGAAGCTCGTCGTCGAGTTCTTTCTCGATGACAAACTGGCACATCATGGTGTGCCAAATAAGGAAACAAAAAGAGTATGGTTTCAGCTTTACCTCGACTTGATCTACCGACATCGAGTCGACATGAACGTGTCACTGGTCCTTCCCCGACTTATTCTCCCATTTCACAAGCTTGGCGGGGTGGCCGCGTTACAACTAAGTGACCCCGTAACTATGTACTTGCCGTGTTTCCAGACATCAACGGCTATTGAGTCCCTGCAGATACGCGCAAAATGATGTCCAATGAGCTAGTCGCGGATGCACTGGGGCAGATCGACCGACGGGTCTCATTGAAGGTCCCAAAGGGTATGATGACAGGGATAGTATAACCCCTTGGATACCTACGCAAGTATCCAATGTCGGCCAGGCTTTTGATGCAGTCCTGCACCAGGAAGTACCCAGGGTCGCCTCTGCAATGGCAAAGGGGCTCATAGAAGGGGCTCAGAGAAATCTCCGACAAAATCTTCACTGCCGAACTCAGGCGATTTCTTGTTTGCCTGATTTGTGGCACCATCATGCATACCGCAGGCCTAATTCTTGATGTCGCAGACTTCGGGGCCATTTCAACCGCGTTTGGGGAAATGCTGGCTTTCGTTAACCGTCAAGCCTTGTCCTTAGCCAGCCAAGAAGACTTTAGACTAATTGGAACCACTGACTGGAATCTGCAGGGGTTCCTAATCTGCCTAATGAAGTCAGATTTTCTGACCGTGGCTGGAAGGACAACTATACTTAGTCAGAGACTCGCTTCCAGCCTCTAGTATACTCCCGGAAGACAACAGTTCCTTTGCATATAGCTTAGTCCGAGGTTCTAGGACACTGTAAAAGGTACACATACCTGATCGACGTTCTCAACCTGAATGTCCCTACGTTTTTTAGGTCAAGTGGATAGACATATCTCAATAAACTAAAACAACCATTTCGGGAAAGTATGGTCCGAATGGTTCGGATTACAGGATGATGGCTCCTGACGACTAGCATACCTTTTTTTATTCAGTTGTTTCACCTAGTCTCCCGTCCAGCCTAGCCTTCTTAAATCTCGTCTACATTCTTCCGTATCCTTACGTACCCTGGCCATATCCTCCACGACCTGCGCAAACCCGCCGCCATCTCTTCCATCCACCAAGTGCAATAAACTCTGATACTCGTTGATCTGTCTGTCCAGTTCTCTCTCCTCATTATTCTGTTCTTTCTGTTTCTGCTTGAGCCTCTTATGGACGGCGTTTAGTGCTTTAGACATAGTCGCCTCTGGGTTCTTCGTGGACTTGTATCCATACAACGTACTATGCATGCGAGAACGCATCAAAGATAGCTTGAGAAGACACGTTTCGATTGTGACCGCGAGGACGTCGTAGCGTGCACTTCGTTCGGTTTCGAGAAGGGGCGGAAGTGTCTCGAGCGCATGCATAAGTTCGCCCTCGAGACGTGGGTGGATCTATACTCTAATGCGTGAGATAACGTGAGAGAAGAACGTGGGACTGCTTCTTGCCTCATTAATTTCTGATATTAATGTAGAGACACGGATATGGTGTCTTCGCAAATCGTCCCCAAGTGAAGATATCTCTTGCTTGCGTGTTCGGATTACATTCGGAAGATCTAGGGCTCTTTCAATCTTCTCATCGTCGGCTATTTCTGAATTGTTTCAGTACATAAAGAGACAGTGGCCCAGAGGATGTGTCAAACCTTCTGTGGGATTCCAAAGGTCAAGAATATCAGTCAAAGTCTTTTGCAGCTCCATCACCAGATGTTCTCTGGAGCTTGAGCTGAGCTAACTCTATGTCAATAGTAGGATCAAAAGCAAGTGCTGACCCATACCTTTGGAGAAGCAAATGCGAATCGAGATAAATCATCTTCATCGAGTCCTCCAGGTAGACCCTGAGCTAGTTCAGCATCTGTATCTATCGCTGATGGAGTAGAGACACGAAAGTCAGGCACTTCGTCTGCCAAGTCGATAGCGGATTGATAGGTCAACCCTGTCAAAAGTTTCTGCATACTACCAGGTCAGCCATACGTTCAGCTGTTAATGCTTGTTCTAATAACCTCCGAATCGTCACGATGAATACGGATGACGCGTTCCATATGGTTATGCAAGATTCGATCGCGAACATGGTCGCGTCCATCTGTGGATTCGGCCTGAAAGTCATCAGTAAAATGAATAGAAAACATAGACACAAGCACATTTTCGCATTACCTCTGGCATATCAATGAACTAAATTGGTGTGCTACAGCGCAGTGGTGGTCTACTGGATTGAAGAGATGTTACTGGACGCGAACCAAAGTACACGCCTGCCAAATTGGGAGTTTGCCGAGGAGAAAACACCCGCGCTTAGGTAAGCGATGTAATGAGGACCATCGCAGTTACAGCGTCCCAGCAATAGCCTTGCCGTGCAATCATGGATAGGCACCCTCAGCCCGTCTTCCCCCCTACGCAGCAACTACCCCTGCAACTACGATCACGCTCGAACGTTACAAGGGGCGAAAGGCCTGCTCCAGCGTCCCCGCGAGAGGTTCTTTCATCCTCTAGGACAACACAGGCGCATCCTAGTGCTTTTGATCTTTCTGGGGGTAGCAACCGTTCGAATTTATTCAGACCATCTCAGAAAAATTCGGGGGACGCTTGTTGCTGCGAAATGTCTGCAAATGTTCCCCCGATACACCTGGCCGAGTGCGAAGAATGCGTTCAGAGCTGCGATGACCCTGGGTGCACTATTGAGCTTACGCCTCAATGCACAGAGCAATGCGTCGTCGTTTGCAATGATCCTCACCATAGTCTGGGATCCTGTGTCGATGACTCCTCAAGGTCTTTCCCGTGTTCCGATGGCTTGGGTTGTAGCGACATAGATGATTTTGTATGTACCTCGTTCTGACGCGGGGAAGTTTTAAGCTGATCTTACTGGTCTTAGCTACAATGCTGCACAGACTACCATCCGCATCTTCCTGACGGTAAACCGTTTGTGGCCGATCCTCATCGCGGCTCTTTTGGGTGGGATTCATCCTTCGATTCCATGTTCTCTGCTGTGGATGCCCGTCATGCAGGAGATCATACCAATCCCTATGCTCATTCAAATACGCTGCCGAATATCTCCTCTCATAACTCGCTCATGCATAACCACCATCTTCCATATGATTGCTTTGCCCCAACTGCTGCACCTTCGGCTGTTTCGCCTACCTATCATCCTTCATCTAGCAGTCTCGCCGATGCGCTTAATCCTCCGCCCGCAGCCAACGATTCAGGTACCTTACGGTGCATGTGGGGCAACTGCTTAGCTACATTCAACAGCATGGCCGAGCTAGTCGGCCATGTCAACTTGCAGCATCTGCGACTCCCAGGATCAGGTTCTACGACTCCTCAAAGTCATCTAGCACAAAATGCCAGCCTGCCGTCTACGAAGGCTGATAACCTGCAGCAGGCAGATCAGTTCTCTTGTTTGTGGGCGGATTGTCATCAATATCCCGACGTCAGTACGATACCCGGGTCGTCAACAGGAAATCCGGTCGATACCGCACTTGACGTACTTGCAAATCATCTGCTACACGACCATCTAGGTCTTACCAATCCACCTCCGCCCCAACTTCACCCTGCAGGATCATTGAAGACTACTCATTCGCCCACGGTGTTCTCTCTGGAGACGACAACATTGATTTCGCCGGCTGAATCATCCACTCCTTCGTCGCTCTCGCCTTCTGGACCACCAACGCCGGCTCCTGAGCACGATTGTTCCCTTCCCTCACATGTCTGTCGATGGATTGGATGTGGCCAGATGTTCGTTTCGTGCGATGAATTGACTGTTCACATCAATGCTGCGCATGTTGGTGGTGGGAAGGCACATTATGACTGCTATTGGGAAGGGTGTAATAGAAATGGTGAGAGCGGCTTTGCAAGTAAGCAGAAGATATGTCGACACCTGCAGGTATGTATATGAAATTTTAGAGACCATGTTTGATATGAACTCCTGATGTCGTTCCTAGAGTCACACGGGCCATCGACCGTTTCAGTGCAAGATATGCAAGCAGCATTTCTCTGAAGCTGCGACTTTGGCGCAGCATATGCGGAGACATACCCAAGAACGTGAGCATTGTCCATGTGATTCGTTGCGAACCTTGTTTCACGCTTCGCTTTTAGGACCCTATGTCTGTGATTATCCTGGATGCGGGAAATCTTTCGCCATCACGGGGGCCCTCACCATTCACAAGCGTACACATAATGGTCACAAGCCCTTCAAGTGTACCTACTGCGATCGAGCGTTCGCTGAATCTTCCAACCTGTCTAAACATGTGCGTTGTGATCGATGCCTTCTCAGCTTTTACGGATTGACTCATTATTCAATATTTAGCTTCGAACGCATACTGGTGCTCGTCCATATAGTTGTGCACATACAGGATGTACAAAGACGTTCGCTCGGCCCGACCAACTTGCCAGGCACATGAGTGTCCATAGGAAGAAAACCAGTCCTCCGGAAGATAACGGACAGGCCCCGTAGATCGGTTATTTATTATATTCTGTATGCTTATTTACTCGTCGCAGCATCCCTCCACTTCGACACCCATGCTTACATATTGTTTGTTTGTTATCACATCGACTATCATTATTGTATTACTCTGTTGACACAGGGCTGTCCTATATTCACAGCTAATCATGACTTGTTCTGATTATGACATCGATCTTCATCCATGACCACCACGTTAATATTGCCTCCTGTTGCCACTGGCACGAACGACTTGTTCCCATTGACAGATCCAAACGAATCGTCACAAGTTAATACAAACATCGATCGTGAACAATTGCCCAACGTTGCGACATATATCTCAAGTTCAAACATCACACCTGATCTGTATAAGGAACTCCAGCACATCTTCAACACCTACAAGGTGTTTCCCGAGATAGATGCCATGGAGGGTTACATCGCGCCTGCCCCGGATTCTTCCTGGGCGATTGGGCTCAATCCATTAGGCATCTTTGCAAGGCACCAAGAGGAAAATGTATCGAGGTACCTCTACGATCCTGTTGTGATCCTAGATGAACAGACGGCACGGGACATGAGTGTGGTTATTGTCAGCGGAGTAATCAATGAACAGGAGCAGGAGGAGGCGAAGATGTTGCGAATTGCACCTCAGATGGTTCAGGTGGTGGCTTCAAATTTGGAAATCGCAAACCAGGCTTTAGACGATGTAAGAATTCATGCTCTACAAGGTGCTCGATTTGACTGAAACGGGCTGCGCATAGTTTATAGAGACGGCCGATAGCGACGGTATCTGGCGTGGGTGGGCAGAGTTCAGAGTTGAGGCCATATCAGGCCCGAAGGCACGCTTATGAGAGAATTGTACACGAAACCTTCACAAGGATATCTTAGTTCTTCTGATCTTACGTTCTGGTATCCCGTGGTTTGAGTTCCAGATCCGAAATACACTAGAATGAAATTAAGTCTTCCTCCACAGCTTATATGTCGATAAAAATTAAGTCTACATCGAAGTCCTCACAAAGCTTCTTCAGATCCGTACGCTTTTGAGCTCCGATATTGCTAACTTGCAATGTAATTCGCCCTCTTGTTGACAGACCAGAGAACATGCCGTCCTCGAAACACAACTTGAGAGCCGGTGACCAACTCACTTCTGTCGACGGCAATACGAGGCGTTCAAACGTGGCACCACGAAGGACGGGCACGACTGTACACAAGTCAACTATTTCAAGGTGCTCGAGTTTGGGACAAATTGCTGCCAGCGACAAAGGATAGTAGGAGGGAACCCCAATGAGGGACAACTTCCTGACATTGGCTAAGTTGCAATCGCGAGGTGCCAAACGACGGGAAAACTGATGGCTACCGAGCGTACACTTCAACTCCAAATGGGTGACTTGACCCGGAAGGTCAATGAGACGTCCATTGATGAAGACATCATCGGAGCTCGCCCCCTCGTACTCGATCCTGACCCTGCATAGATTCGGAAGATAATTGAGACGGCTGACCATGTAAAATAAATTTGAGATTGTGTGGGGGCCGCCATTATTGGTGTTATTGTTGAAGAGCATACTTGCTGAGGATGAAGGACTGGAGAAGCCGGACTCGATGCAGAAGGTTATCGAGCGGCATGATTCATTTGCTATTTTGGAGGCTCCGTCCAACATATAGTCATTATCTGACTCGCCCTTGGTTCGTTGGCGGAAGAGACGCTCGTAATGTTCGGCGAATGCAGAGGACGGGATATAAACATTCTTCAGGGCCAGTGGAATGAAGGTGTTCAACCAGGTGCGATTGACCAGGCAAAACGTGCAGAATAAACGGGTACGCTCCGCATTCGACAATTCAGAGGACCAGGCCTGGTCAATGATCTGCTCCACTGTTTCGATAGGCAGCAAAAGCCGAGAACTGTCGGAATCACTGCTTGACATCCTGTGAATATCTGAATGAGTCGCCGTTAGTGTGGTTACTGGGACGATAATGGTGTTAATCTTTACCTGCAGGGTTGAGTAGAAGGATGAGAGCACCTCAGGGGCACGACCCTATATAAGAGATCCCGTTGCAGACCAAACGGAAGAAAAGTGCCGAAACTCAAGCCACCAAGTACTGTGACTGTTAAATCACTGTGACGCTGCCAAATGCATCTGGGGCCATACATTGGCTTACAAATTATTGGAAAAGACATCACTTCGTTGTTCTTAAGAGTGCGACGCGAGCTTACAGACAATATTTTTGTCAATAAGACCTGCAGTGTCGACAGGGGTGGAGTGGCAGTCGATTGAAACATCCACAGTTACCAGATTTGGCGGTTGTGCTGACGGGCGCTCCGATTTCATTGCCTCCGCGCAGAACCTAAATTCGACCCGGTCGCGATTGAAATAGTGTCTGGCGAAATACAATGTCAAGCATTAAACATCAGAAGAAGACATCCCTATCTACATACGAACGAGGGTGGGAAAGATATGCATTCCATGTCCGACTCACACCCCATTCCCTGCTCCAAATTCATCTACTCTCGGCTCTTGAAATGGGTCGTCCTGGTCCTTGTCGACTTTCTCGCTGTCTTTACTACCGCCCTCGAAAGGATGTATTCCTATGGCTGAAGGAAATGATACAGACGTTCGTGACGTTGTTTGAACAGGTGTCGCGTTATACTTCCGTTCGCATATGCCTGTGGTTCGCCTCGTCGGGATAGCTTTGCCTGAACCAAAACTTAACAGTCGACTCTACTAGTTATGTGTTCCACTCACGAAGTTTCTTGACCAGATCATAACCCTTCAATTTCTCCTTATCAAAGGAAGGGTCAATGGACGTCCCTTCGTCAATGGCCACGTAGTCGATACACCGAGCCCGCAGGAACCTCTCATCCAGTCTCCACGGTGCCTCTGGCGCCACCTCATCGACCCATCGACAATGTCGCATCAACTCACATCTCTCAAGGTGCGGTACAGAAGTCTGGTACCCGTTTTCCCGGCAGATATCGTCAGAGTGAACACCGACTATCACGCACACTGATGGAAATGACAGCTTTGCTTGTCGCAGTTGAAGTGCATGTCTAACCAGAAACTGTGAGCTCTTCTTTATGCCTGGGAATATGAGAAACGACTTACGCAGTATTGAAACCGTCGAAATGTCCGTCAACGTATACTCTTACAGGTCTTGAGACATCATTGTTGCGTGTCAGACTAAGGCCTGTTGTTCCCATGGCCTTCTGAACGTATGCCTGAATCTCTTCTACAGTCAAGCCAGGCGTCATGTATATATTTTTGGCTCCTTGTGATGGCCCCGGCTCGTGATTCTCATCGTTGGCTTTTCTATCGACAATTCCAAGATCGGCAATACTGGATTCCAAAGAGCGAATACCGTCAGATATCACATCATAGTCTGCAAGGTCATCGTTGGACAGCACGGATATTGCGTCTATAGAACGTCTCATCTGGAAGGAGTGGGAGAAGGATATGACGCTCCTGGAAGTCGAGCACGAGGTAAGTGGTCCGATTCTTAGTTGGTGTTCTTACTTACCATATACGTGCATGTGGGTCCCGTTATGGATCTTGAAGTTTCCACTTGCAAACTGTATCATTACCCGCGTAATACTGTGCACGTAAAGTATCTTTTCTTGTTTGCTTTTACGCCATTGAATTAACTCTTTTATGACAGGGCCATGTAAACCAAACCAACTGGCGGCATGAAAGATTCATTTGCATGGATTGAACCGACATACATACTGAGCATGCAGCGCAGTCTCAAGGTATAATCACAGAAGAAAGAATACTAAGCCAAAACGGAGATTGCGGATTAATACTCCGATTCAGTAGCTGCAAGGGACATTAATGAAGTGGGCGATACTGTACGCTTCCATGACCCGCCATTGGATAGCTGTAAAAGAGTTTCCAGACTATGCGGAGCTCTTCCCAGATGTCCTGCCGGCGGGTACCGGGGGAGGGTATATAAACAGGCATCGAAATCAAATCAAACGACACGCTCGTCAGGACGCAATAGACCAATACTTACATCAATCAATGTCTCTGTGTAGAACGAATGCATTGAAGATACGCGTAGGAACATACATAAGTTCCTCAAGTCCTGCGGCATCGGTTAGAGTCGGCTGGATGTCATCTGGAAAGTATTACAAAATGAGACCTGTTACACGGCCCACACGACTGCGACGCCATCGGAACGATCTTTCTAAACTGTCGGTAGATGCTCTGGTCACTTTCACCCCGCCGTCATCTGGCTCAGTTTCATGCTCTATAGGAGAAGACAGTTGTTCCCCTCTCATCGCATATGCCGCAATAGCGAAGATGCGCATACGCGGCCTTTTCGTTTTTGAGCCTAGAGATGAATCGGATGTACAATGTACTTACATCATGCTCTCGGAACTGCATAATTGTTCTATTGTAGCCGTGTGGTCAATCAAGGTGATACATACAGCTTCCAAGAGACATTGCTGACCTTTGAAATTTATGATAACCATCAACGCATTGCCATGATCGCCGATTCCTTGGACAGATCGTCTTTTAGTGAGAGCTGAGATAGAGGCGGGGCTCTCCGTATGTAGAAAACGGCACATTCATGACTTTGATCTTCTGGCTTAGAAAGAATGAGCTGATACTAAGCTAACAATATATAGGATGTCTCGCCGTTTTGGTCTTACTTAACGACAGTATGTCAGGACTCAGAGCCACGGCACCGAAATCCAGAGTGTCCAAATTAGCATCAAACGACGAAGGGAGAGTCGAATACACTAGTTTGTGCATATGAAGCAAGAATAGAGGTATGTATAGAAGGGCCGCTGAACGTTGGACTGAAGAGCGAGTCGATGACGCAGTTGTAACCAGGCATCGCGTAACCAGAAACCTTTCTTTCACGAAGTTATTTATGCAGATGAGCGCACTCGTACAGTATTTGCAACCTGGTCGAGAACAACTTAGAGAGATTGTATATTTCCCCCTAGAGATCCTCATCTTCATCACTGGCGCACTACATGTCGAAGTTTAAAATACATAAAGCTACGTAAACGTCTAGGTCTCAGCTGAATCGCCTACGGAACTAACGGATCATGGTATCCGATGCGCTGGTTGGGCAACTACAGGGGACATGCGGAAGCAGGTTCATCAGTAAGGTGAATGTAATCAGAGTATTGCACTTACCAAGCAAGTATAGAAGAACTGCCAGGCAATACGCAGTTCTTCCCAGAAGTCCACACGTCGAACGCCAAGATCGGGGAACAGACAAGTGTCGAAGTCGACCCATATAACACGCCCATCCGGCAACAGGAGGCAATTGCGACGAGCAATGTCGTTATGCTTAATAAAGGCAGCGTGAATCTGACACAAAGCCATCATTGCCTTCTCTGCAAGGAATATGGTGACGTTCGAGATTGACACGGGCACAGCATCAGCAAAATACTCCAAGAGTAGCCCTTTAGGAAGTCCATTTCTATCCCAGTCCCAGTCGGTATGCAGCTGTTTCTCAATCATCGGCATATGCTCGCTTTTAAGCTCCACCCACCCATAGCAACGAGGAACGATGCCTATGTCGCAGACACCACGATGGAGTAACTGTTCATAAGCCGCTTTCTCAGTATCGAAACGGAGAAGCTTTCGTTTTCCCACGGTGTATCTGTCAAATTGTTGAAACTGTGTGCTGCATTTGTTCAGTGCAGCAAGTGGTATGGTATCAACGCGCTTACCACCTTGAGGAGGCGCAACTCGCCTTCATACTTGATAACAAGCATCATGACATTTCCCGTTGGATTAATGTGTTCGATCAGCGTGAAGTTGTCGTCGAAGGGGAGCTGCGGCAATGGTGGCGCAGGACTGCAGGCAGGCAAAGGAGCATCTGTTTCCTTGGTCCTTGGATGCATAGAGAAGGGATTCGTCCCGTAGCAACCATGCAAAGGATTCATGTCATGCTGTAGAGCTTGGGCTAGTGCTGCCGCGCGGAAGCCGGGAGTATCATTTTGTGCTTCCAACGTCACATAAAATGGTGGCGTGAGGTTGAGCGGCTGTATATCGAAGTCAAACACGCTCGTTTCTGGATACAGGGCGAATGCAGCAGTCGCAAGAGGTAACGTAGTCATTATTGTTCAGTGAGGTTGTAACCAGAGGTATGTTCTGAAGCAGGGTCTGACTGAACGTTGGACAGCAACATGTCCACTCCTTTATAGGAATCAAATGTGTTGCCGTAAAAGGCGAAGTTTGGGCGAGGTGATCAGAATACGTGTCCATCTCGATCGCCGACTCGATCACCAATTAGTACGTTTGAGGCTGCAGCCAAAATCCCATAACATTGGCGGCGCACTCTTCCTGACTTTTATATTCCTGTCACTACACGGTTTCCAGACTTTTCTACTGAGCGCTGCATCAGCTTTCTCCACCAATTGAATTCTGCTGGTTCTAGCATGAATCCAACGTTTGAACGAGGTCTAGGAGTCCTTTGAAATCTAGTCAGCCGTCACGCCGTAGTTATCACTGCTGTCCACCACTCAAGACACGATCTATCGCTTTTCAATACATTGTTTATGCAGCCGGAAGGACGTGTAGCGGAGCACCTCTACGATTGTCGGTCTCAAAGAAAGACACAATGAGCCAAGCCTAGTATCGCTCAGGGAAATAAATGGTGTCGTGCGAATATTGTTGTCTTATTGGGAATGTTGTCATGGTGATAGGGACGAAGGCAACCTCATGGACTTGTATTTGTCTTGGCTGCCCTGTCCTTGTATACGACTATCGTCCGATACTCACGGAGGCTACAGGTTTGGGTGTCAGTTTGTCCAATCCCATCATTGCGGAGAACGCTCAGCCTGTTGTGAACAATAGAACCCTGATGGCTTCGCTTCGATAACAGAAGGATTGCACAGACCTTACATATTGTATACGGTTTAGCTGATACATCATGTATTCCAGGATCCGCCAAACATTTCGCCGGTGAGAGGCTTTCCAAAATTGATAGTTCTTGGTATTCACGATGCGGCTGACTCGTTAGGAGGTCTTTCGAACTCAGCTTCTATTCAGGTATTTAAGCATACCATCCATCTTCCAAGGTGGGACATTCTCTTCTCTTCGCTCATCCTCATACTTTACTTGCTAGTAGAACATTCGACATGGGTGACAGATGGACTCCACAGAGGCAACCGTCTCAGTATCAACCATCACAAGGCTCGCAAGGGCACCCCGTCCAGCGTCCGCCTCCTGCAGCAGGGTATTCGCCCACCCAACTCCCTTACGGACCATCTGGGGCACGACCATCACCTCCATCATCATATCATGCTCCCCAGCTCCAGGCTCGACAATCGCAAACTTCCGGCGGTCACAGCAGGCACGACGCGGTTGCGCACCCTCCGCCGAGGATCCAGCCACAGACCGCACCCATGACCATTTGGAATTGGGCTCTTAACCATTCACTCAAGATCGAGACTTTGCGGAAGGAGTCATTGGAAAAGAGCTTTAATACTAGAGACGAGAGTAATCAATATTCTCATAACGATATTCGGCATGTCATTGCCTGGGACCTTACCCTGGCTGAGATTCAAGCATCACCAGTCTACGGGATATTGATGCTGCCTCTCCTTCCTTCCTTCTTCGACAATCTCCTGATGTCACGCGCGTTCCTCAAGGAACCACTCTATGGCAGTGCTCTTCGTCCGCCACAAGATATGATACCATTCACAATTGAGGCTGGGCTTACTAGCCACCTCGACTTCATGCTTTTCCATGATCTGGAGTTTATTCAACGGTACATAGCAATGGCTCGGGATCTCTCACGTGATCTCCCGCAGTTCAGACAGTTCCCGAATATTCCGTGGACCCCGCTCGTTACTGATGTCGGTAGCGCTGCTGCGAAATACAGGAGTTATCTCCCTGATCGATGTTCAATCCCCGCGGACGTCAGATTGCCATCAAGTGCTAAGACGCGATGCCCAGGCGAAATCAAAGTTAGTTATAAGTTCAATGCGGGGTGGCGTGATTACTGCGCAGTGGGAGACAATCTCAGTGCATCCCAAGCCAACGAGGCCCTCCGCATGGTAGAATACAAGCAAGTGTTGTCCCAAGTTCGACACTATATGGTAAAGTGCGGCAAGCTTGCAAATTCAGACCTGGCAGCCAAGTATGGCTATATTATCACGGATAAGGAAGTGGTTCTTCTCCAACGCCATGGAAACCCTCGCCGCGAGAACGAACATGGTACTATCCGTGCGACAAGGGGCTTCGAGTGGAAGTCAGACGGACAGTCCATCAATGGCATGCTAGCTCTGCTTTATATTCATTGCCTGGCTGGCTTTAATGAGCATTATACTCTGGATATACGTGTGTGAGTAATAGGGGTACTGGTTTGTGGTCAACAATATTCATTTGTGAGTCAATACGCAGCTTCCCTCCGGTGTACGCGTCTCACAAACTTGTCATTCGATAGCTCATTCTAAACGATTCCCTTTGACTGAACTTATGCGAGGCCGAAATCTACGGTATCTATGTGTTGTGAACGGTAAAGAAGCAGTTACTACTGGATATGGATATGGTTGTCTAGTTGTTCTACGGTAGATTGGAAGACACTGTCCATTTCATTAGGTACTGCATCCTTGAATACACGAAAGGTTATGACTACATTGCTGCCGTTGTGTCTGAGTTGACGAGGTTTTCAAACGGTACTGTATGCGGACAATGACCTGTTGAGAGTGAGGAGAAAGCTGATTCCACTTCGGAGTCTCTTGGTGGACTTCATCTCAAGTAGATATAAAAAGTTACATGTACGGAGCGCTTTGTTATGCTAGATGCTGAATTGTAAATCCTTTCTGAGTAAGTTCCGGCAACACGGAGGCCGTGACATCTTCTACTGCCGAAGATCCAATATTTGCAGGGTCTTTCGAGACTTGTGAGCCAGATGATAGACTATTGGCACTCGGGGATTTGAAAGAAACGCTCGGATTCGCTGAAGAAGACTTTAAGGACCTCATGTGTATCGAGAGTTTTGCACGATCCGGAGAAGCATGGTGAATGTAAGTATTGAAGAACAACGAAAGATCCTCTTCGGTGATAGTTGGTAAGACCGCAAGGTTTTCATCGCCTAAAAAGCGAGTAAATAAATAAACGGAGGAAATGCAGAGAGATACGTACGCCATAGAAAGTTAAGGTAGCCAGATTCGATAGGAAGCCAATAGAAGCCTTTTTCTTCTCCGAGGTTCACGGGCTTCTCAGTCCATGACTTTTCTAGAGTCGCCTTTGTCGCTTGTAGTTCCTCTTCTGAAAGTCTCTCCAGTTTGGTCTTCATCTCATCGAGGAAGGAATCTATCCTCTCTTCCAGGTATATAGGATCATGTTCGCTCTGGACTTGGATGCGAATAACGCCACCGATCTGTAAGACGAGAGACTCGAGGAATTTCATTAGAGGCTCATATTGCAGTCATTTCGTCCGAATGATCCATCCTGACGGCATCATACTCGGGTACATGCTGCGTCCACATGTTCACATCATCAGTCCAGCCCACCAGGTCAACGTCAACGGCCAAAGGCCATCGGGATCCTTGCGCTCATTGATACATCGATATCTTGAGTACATCCTTGCTAGAAGACTGATTCGAAAATCAAGTCGTATCAGCCCAAATACATGAGGGAAAAGTCCTAGCGCAACACGGGATCGTGGTACGCAATGCACAGGTTGGGTGATTGCGTAGAAAGAGTCAATGAGTAGACGACGCAGAGGAACGAAAAATGTCAGGAATGAGAGTAGCCAAATTACACACCCGTGCACGATAACACTGCATAGAGGCAAATTACATTTACGTCAGAGCTGGTGGTGGTGATTAGGGCTGCTCAATTCTAAACCTGACGAAAAATGAAACGAAAAAGTTAAGGCGTCTGTACCCTCGAGAATGCCAGCTGTTAGTCCGAGACTTCACCGAGAAAGGTATTCACCTAAGAACTCATCGGAATTCCCTAGTAATTATATTCTGAGTTTGAAACTGCACCACCAAATATGGTGCATGCCTGACGCTCAAAAATGTTGGCGTGCCTCATTTATATACCGCCCTCAAAGTCAATAATGCTTTTCGTGTCATTTTCCATCCAAATCGCTACTCTCACCAATGCTACATACTCTCAAGGGGCCCCAATACCCTATGCCAAATGCGGCGGGCCAGAATTTCTTAGAATCCGGCATGCACCATATTTGGCAGGGTCATTTCAAACTCAGAATATACTTACTATGCAATTTTGACAAGTTCTTAGGTGAATACCTTTCGGTGAAGTCTCGGACTAACAGCTGGCATTCTCGAGGGTACAGATGCCTTAACTTTTTCGTTTTGTTTTTCGTCAGGTTTAGAATTGAGCAGCCCTATTGGTGGAGGAGCGAATTGATGGAAAACCCTCTGGACATCCGCCGTTGAATGTAGCACAAATGTAGCATGCAAATCACGGTAGCGATCAACGATTGCAAGTTGATCGACGACGTATATGTCCACAATACCCTCACTCGACCAAGCCCTGGCCGATACCGCTGGACATGGTCCGCTCGTAGAAGCATTGTCGACGTTATTCGAAGCATCCCCGATTCTTCAGGAGCACCTCGCGCCTCAAGTAGCAAAAACACTACAAAGCCAAATCGTTGCATCGTACTCCGATCTCATCGATCTCACCCTCGACACCATACAATCGGGATGGGACGATAATCTCAAAGCCCAGTTCATCGAAGGACACCCTCGTATTGGAGAAGTGAATAACCTCTCGCACCTGAGTTCGAAAGAACAAGCTGCAGTAGCGACTCCTCCAGAGGTCCTGGCTCGCTTAGGACACCTTAATGCTTGCTACGGGTATCGGTATCCGGGGTTGAGATATATCACATTTGTGAACGGAAGGTCAAGGGCAGCCATCATGGAAGAGATGGAGGACGTCTTGGGCATCCCTCGATCATTGAGTGCGACAGATCCGGTTGTCGAAAGTATTGGCCAGGTCGAAGTGGGAAGTGAGGCGTGGAAGACGGAACTGGAGAGAGCCGTTGGCGATGTAGGAAAGATAGCCAAGAGTAGGTTGAGAGCCCTTGGTGTCGAATAAGGTTCGACATGTCAAAGTTTGAATGGAAGTGGGATCGTAACTCCAGCATTAGCACACCGCACTTTTGGTATTGTCCGTACGAGAGCACAAGGTACATATGGGTATGTATAAATACAGGTCCGATAACCTCTGGATAGCCTAACGATAGCAACAACTAAACCAAAGGAACACATTCTGGATTCAGAATACGAATAAATCCTAAATACTGTCCTGGCTATTCATTCGCTCTGCTCGACGCTAAGTGAGAATATTAATCATAGGGTAGGGTGATATGAGGCGGAAGAAGAGGACGCACCCGCAACGCAGCCTGCCTGCGTGCTTCCCATTCGGGATTCAACACCCTAAGCTCCCGCAGCATCTCGTCCGCCTCTACGAAGGTTTGTGTCGTTGAAGGTGGCACCTGCTGCATGGCCTGTCTGCTCTGTCGCATCTCCTCCCTACTCGCTCGCAACTGCTCTTCCAATATTCGCACTTCTTGCCTGTATTTCTCTTCCGCCTGTTTCATCCGCTCCTGATATCGCTGCTGGCTTTCATTGCGGGCACGCACTTGCTCCTGACGAGCGTATTGGCTAGCACGGGTGTCGCTCTTCATAGCCTGCATGCGCTCGGCGTGACGTTGTGCAGCCTGCCTGGACCACTCTTCCCTCTCGCGTGCCAGCTTGTTTTGAAGTTCGTCATGGTACGCTTGACCGCGTAGATAGTTGAGACCGTTATTGTACACCTAGATTCTGGAGTTCAGTGCTCCTCCACGGCTGCAATACGGAACAGGAGGGAGGACGTACCTTGCGCTTCGCCGGGTCACTTAAGACATCGAATGCCGTTCGAACCTAGTTCGAATGGAAGTTGAAGACAGTTACAAGAGAACAAGAGATATTAATAGACGTACATCTCTGAATAAAGCTTCGGCCTTTTGGCGTTGGTAGTCCGAGACATTGGGTGGCAATTTGTCTGTACCACAGCGGTAATAATGAGCAAGCAACGCGTTACAAAGAACGCAGCAAACAGAACTCACCAGGATGCGTTTGCAGTATCTTACGCTTATACGCTTTACGCACTAGAACGCGAAGAACGAAAATGGAGTTTGATTCGTTTCAAGATTTCGATCATGCCGTACCTGCGTCAGGCGAGGCGTCTTGCGCTATACCGAGAACATCATAGAAGGAGCGGCTTGTGGCCATATGGCCCATAAAGCCTTAAAGGCGAGTCCAGATTGAAAAGAATGGAGGGAATAAGAATATTGCTCGAAAGCTGCGAAAGCTCAATGAACGGAGGGAAAACGAACCATGGACGCGCGCCCGACGAATAGTGACGCGACAGTCACGTGATCGTCGCGTCGCCATTCGTCGTGTACGACACGTCGGGATCGTTTTCTCTAGTGTTCAGTGCTTTCATGGCATTGACAACCCAAATCCACTTCTGGTGGTGCCCTTCCGTCAATTCACAGACCATAACGGTTTGTGCCCGGCACTATTAATTTTAGGAATTAGCCTTTTTTTAGGTTGTCCAAATATGGCTGTGGTGAAACTGCCCCATAAAGCCCGGCCAAACAAAAGATTCAGTGTTCCGGGACCTGTCATGCCTGTGAATGCCAAAAAGAGGCTTCGCACAATAATCTTACAAAAACAAAATTTCAGGTTGCAGCACCCTGAAACCTTTGATAACTTCTTTTGGTTTGTGGCGGAGCGACATCGTATCCATTGCCTGCGCATTGCCGGGCGGAATCCACCATGGACCGAAGATGAAATCCTGGCCGAGTATGCATTCACGAATGTCTTCCGTGTATTCGATCGGGTAACACAATACATTTTGTGCAATGTGGTTGGGAAGGGTGACGAAGGGCTCGACGACGCCGTGTTCAGGGTTCTCCTATTCCGCACCTTTAATCGGATCGAGACTTGGGAGCTGTTAGAAGCAGAGTTAGGCACATTAACGTGGCGGGAGTTTGACGTTGACAAGTATGAGGAGATCCTGGTGGAAGCGGCTGATCAAGGTCCACTCTACGGATCTGTCTACATCATACCGGCGCCTGACTTGGGATGGGGAAGAAACTATGCTAACCACCTTCGCCTCATCAAGCTTATGATGGATCAGGGTCTCCCCGGCAAACTCCAGAAGTTCGAATACTTGCGTGACGCGCATGGATACTTGTGTCTTTATCCTGGCGTTGGGAACTTCACAGGGTTTCAGTATGTGCTTCTTTTGATTCATTGTTCTTAATTTCTCACAATAGTCTTCTGGCCAGGTATCTTCTGGATCTAAATATGCTTCCATACTACAACTGGGATGAGCATCTATGGGCTGCCCTTGGTCCTGGGTCAAAATCGGGGATACAAAAGATGTTCGGACCATCAGTAAGAGGACAAGAAGACGCCGCGCTCGAGTTCCTCCATGACAGCTTGCCATCACATTTCGCTCGCCTCGGTATCGTCGCTGATAACATTCCCAGGCTATGCGATGGCCGTCCTCCTGGTTTATCGATGGTAGACTTAGAGCATTCGTTATGCGAGTACGACAAGTATTGCCGTGCACGATTTCCGCTGGCCAAGGGAGGAGCGCGAACCCATTTGCGGAACAAATTCAATCCGAATCCTAATAAGCCTACGGCGGAACTTCCCGCCAAGTGGACCAGCGTCCAAAAAGCTCTGACGCTGTCAAAACCGCCTGCCGTGAAGCTGAAAAATGGGGAGCCATACTACGAAGTTTCGCACATTGTAGCAGAGAAGGAGAGGTGTAACGCGACGGCGAGGCGATATCTAGTTCGCTGGATGGGGTGGGGCCCGGAAGACGATGTCTGGATGTCAGAGAATGACTTGGTGGATGCACCAAGCCTGCTGCGGAACTGGAACAAGTTAAAGGAGGGCATCGAGAAGGGCGTGGCCGAATTACGTGCCAAAGTACCCAAACCTTTAACCAATTTGGCAAGGCGACGCCGCGACTCGTCCAGCAGGGCCATATGATTTGATATACCTGACAGCCAGTATGCATGGTTGTAGCATGCTGTCACCATGCTGCAGCTGCGAAGTTTTGTTAGGTTGGCCTCATGGACGTTTTGGATTTATCCTGGGAAGTGTTAGCTTGGGATTTCTTGGTAAAGGCTATAATGCCTCAGATCTTGGATTTGTATCTTGAATTTCTTGGGTTATGTATGATATATCTATGGTAATTCCCGTACCTCACTTCTTGGATTAGTGTATATAGTCTTCTGTATATAGTTGTAAATATCTTGCTCTCATAGTGTATATAGCTTCACATATCTAAAAATAGATCAAAAATGTTGTTTGTTGTACTTCTCAGCGTGCTCCAAAGATGGAGGATAGAGGAGATTGTTGAACTACGTTACATTCCTTTCAAGGAGAGAAAACAATCGATCGGTGTCACGCGCATAGCCGACTTAGGCCATGAATATTGATGATGAAGGACATTCCTCTCGTCTTCCTTGGACCAACCATTCTCACTTTACTCCATGACACACTCTCATCGTCTGAGGCATTCAACATGGACGCGGTAGAAAAGGCTAACGCCGAGAGACAGCGGAAATGGTGAGTCACTCCCTACTTGCTGACCAGCTGGCTTTCCTCATACTCGAGCAGGGTTAAGGACCAGAAGATTGGTGAGGGTACATATGCCGTGGTCTACAGAGGTACGTAAAACAACCAGATATTCAAGCTAAACCTTACGTCTATGTAGGTCGAGAGCTGTCTACGGGGCGTAAGATAGCCATCAAGAAGATCAAAGTGGGACAATTCAAGGATGGCCTTGACATGTCCGCAATTCGCGAAGTCAAGTATCTCCGTGAACTGAAACATCAAAACGTGATAGAAGTGAGTCTTACACATTCCCTCTCTAATTTCTCTCCGCGCTAATGCAAGTCAGTTGCTCGATGTATTCTCCTCCAAAACAAACCTGAATCTCGTCCTTGAGTTCCTCGACACCGATCTTGAACTCGTCATCAAAGACAGGTCTCTTGTATTTTTGCCTTCCGACATAAAAGCATGGATGGCCATGACCTTTCGTGGTCTAGAGTTCTGTCACAGAAACTGGATACTCCACCGCGTGAGTGGTATCAAGAGGCATGCATAATTGATCTGACTGTCCGTCTCAACAGGATTTGAAGCCAAATAACTTGCTCATTGCAGCCGACGGCCAGCTTAAACTGGCCGATTTTGGTCTAGCGAGAGACTTTGCAGATCCGGGTTACAAGATGACCTGTCAAGTAATTACAAGGTAAGTTCTCCTCGAGCACGCCGGCGTACAACAATTGACCAGCATGTCGCGGCTCTTAATAGATGGTATCGACCTCCAGAATTGCTCTTTGGCTGCCGTTACTACAGTACTGCAGTAGACATCTGGTCTGTCGGATGCATATTTGCCGAACTGATGCTTCGTACGCCTTACCTTCCGGGCGAAAGTGACATGGATCAACTCAAAACCATCTTCCGTGCACTGGGCACACCAACAGAAGAGGACTGGCCTGTGAGCTCGATTCTCTGTGATCATTTTGAACCCATGACTAAGACTTGTTCAACAGGGTCATACGAAATTACCTGACTACGTTCCACTAGGCCAATTTCCCAAAACACCACTACGGGACCTTTTCACTGCCGCTAGTGCTGACTGTCTCAACCTCTTGAACAAGTGCCTAGTATATGACCCCAAGAAGCGAATAAGTGCGAAAGAGGCACTCAATCATCCTTACTTCTTTGCACTCCCATACCCATCGCATCCCTCCAAACTTCCGAAACCAGTGAAGAAAGAGTCCCATATAATCATAGAGGAAGTCGAGGGGAACGTAGACTTCAGCGGTCCTGGCCCTGGCGTGAAGGCAAATCCTCCAAATAAGCTGAAACGTAAACTCTCAGACGATGAAAGCGAAGGGAAACGCTCTATCGCACGACGATTGGACTTCGGGCAGAGGGGATCATCATGACGAGGAGGATGAGAAAAGCCAAGGTTTTTTTTGGCTTTTCCTTCAGGGATTGATTCTTTGTACACTATGTACTGGCTACGGACAACCGATGTGCACTTATTCGTATGTACATTAGATACTAATGTAATCAGACATTGGAGTGATTCGAAGAGCAAAATGTAAGGGGATAAGAATGGAGGGTAAAAGAAGAAACAACAAATGATACAAAGCGAAAAGAATAAGAAAACATTTTGACGACATGACAGGAACCGGGATATACTATCAAGGTCTTGGGTAATCACAGACCGTGCACTTGTCCTTCACGCTTTGTGAGTTGGAGGAATCACATTGAGAACATTTCCAGACGTTCGGGTCAGCAGTAGGTGGCTTCAAACCCGCCGCGGCCCAATTAAACCCGGTAGTCGCGGGAGCTGGGGCAGCTGGTGCTGGCTTGTCCGTCTCACAGTGTGAACACTTCGTGGTTGCACTTGGAGAGTTATCCAACATGCACGTTGAACATTTCCAGCTACCCGGAGCAGCGGCAGGAGGTTTCATGCCAGCAGCAGCCCAATTGAAACCACCTGAAGTCGGCGGAGGCGCAGCAGACTTTCCAGGTTTCTCTTTCTCACAAGAGATGCATTTATTTGCAGTCGCCGAGTTGTTCACCATGCAGTCGGGACATTGCCATGAACCCGGTGCTGAAGTCGATGGCTTCATACCAGCAGCGGCCCAGTTGAATCCGTTGACCTGAGGGGCAGGAGCCTTGACAGGTCGCGAGAAATCAAAGGAAGGCAAGGATGATTTGGGCACTGCAAGAGCAGCTTGGCGCGCTTTCTGCGAACTGGGACCCGGGCCTGCTCCAGGGGACGAAGTTGGGATATCGAAATAGAATGTCGGTAGCTCCGTGACAGGCATCGCCAACACGGCTGCCCGAACCTCCTCCTTCGTTTTTGGTGCTGGCTTCTTTGGTGCAGGTTTCTGTGGTGCGGGTGCAGCTGATGCTGCCGCTTGAAAAGGCGTCGGAACTGAGATGGAGGGAGCCGATGGCGCTGGAGGTGCGAATGTGAATGCAGAGCGAGGAGGAGCGGGAGGCGGGGCAAAGGACGGTACAGTCGGGAAGCGAGACGGAGCTTGGGCAGGGGCAGCAAATGGCTTCTGTGTAACCTTCTCTGCCTCTTCTTCCTCTTTATCAGCCTGGAAACTGAATCGCAACTTTGAAGGTGCCTTTGGCGCGGACGTCTTCAAACCGAACGGCGGTCGAGAAGGGCCACTGGGCATGAAGGAAGCAGTAGTCGTGGTAGGAGAAGTGCTCCGTTGCCTCATGTCAGTCTCTTCTGGCTCAACAACCTGAGAAGGCTTAGTTGTCTTTGCAGTATAAGTCATCTCCACATCAGGCATTTCCTCGATAACGACTGTTGGAGCGGGGGGCGGGGAAGTGCCATTTGCCATCTTCTGCTTCTTTGGCGAGGGACGCTCCTCTTCCTCGACTTCTTCAACGATTACGGGGGGCATCTTTCTCCGTCCATTTATCCCGTTCATAGTTGGTGGAACGGGCTCTGGTGAGTGCGAGTTCAAACGAGAGCTGCGACGAGGAACCTGAGGTGCCTCTGCGGCGGCAGCGGGTCTGGCTTTTTGCAACTCTGGAGGTGGTCGTGAGCGCTTGCTACCCTGCATCCGAATGTCAGCAAATTCAACATCTGAAAACGAGAAAGTCGTACCTTAGGGACGGTAGCTTCAATGATTTTCTGCGGGCTTAATGGCTCAAAGTCCTTCTTAGCCTCAGCCGTTGCAACCCTGGTCTCGGGTGCGGCTGCTCTCACCGGCCTTGGCCTCTTAGCCACAGGTTTCTTCGTGGTAGGTTTCAAAGGAACCGGGCTGGATGACTGATATGGGTTCAGGACTTCAGCTCTGATTGGTTGAGAGACGCCCTTGATTAAGTCTGTCATGTAGACCGCAGCGTGGGTCGCCTTTGAGGAAGTAGCCGGTTGTGGCGGGGAAGGAGACTCCTTTTGTTTCCAGGCATGGCGAAGAGGAGACGGGACGGACGGCGCAGTTGTTTTCGGGGGTATACCAGTAGGCTTTACGCGGGGAGGCGTACTGGGTGGCGCTGGTGCTGCCGCACCGTTTAAACGAGACGTCGAGGCGCTCGCGGTAGGAGCCGTGGATGTGCTCGCAGTCGGTTCATGAGATGCCTTCGGTAAGGTCTCTGCAGCAGGAGTAGGTGTATACGAGGTGGTGGCACCAGCAGGTTGAGCGAAAGAGGCCTGAGCACTCTCACCGACGCGCCTCTTCTTTGCTTCCGGCTTAGCTGGTGGGATGTTTATCTTCATGCGTGGAGGTCGCGTAGTGCCAAAGCCGGGAGATGAGTAACGATTCCTGCCTTTCCGAGCGGATCCCGCACCATTCCATCGGAGGTTTCCGTTAGGATTATGAGACAACATCTTGGAAGGCGTCGGGCCTGTGGAACTATTCACAGTGCTGGAAGAAGCGGATGCAGTTGGTATTGCAAAGGAAGCACTGGGAGTGACAATGGGGACGGGTTCGCGCGGTGGCGTAGGAAAAGGGCTTGTCGAGAAACGGAATGGTTCACGAGGGACATCGACTGTTGGTACTACATGCCTGTTATTTCTCTGATCGATCTTATCAAAAATATAGCCATGACTTACTAGTAGATTTTCCAAGTAGGGACATGCAACCCGCATATTCCACTCTATTGAGGGGATCTGTCCCTTTGGTGGCCAAGAAGGCGCGAATAGCATCAAGAGCGGAACCAACATCGTTGATTTCCTCTATAGAAGGGGACGAGAGAGGTGCAGAACTTGACGGCGGTCGTTCTGCTGCATGGTCGGGGGAATCATCCATCTGAGAGTTATTTGAGCTCCCGGAATCGTCCGCCGCACGACTCGCTATCTGTGACTAACGGTCAGAAGAGTGCATACAATATAAACGCGTTTCGCTCACCTCCTCGCCCCTTCTTCGCAGGGTCTCGGCAGCTGGATTCTGGTAGTCCGTTGCGCCACTCTCTGCATCATTAACATCCTGTTCTGATTCGGGAGGTGATTCGGGCCGCTCTTCAGACAGGCCAAACAGTTTGAGAGGGTTCAACGCGCTGAGAACGTTGGAAATTCCCCAGAGCTACAGAGTTATGAATTAGTCAGGGAAATCGAGTGCGGCGAGGAATAAATACCAAAACGTACTGATTTCTTTTGACCTGGACGAGCATACGGCGAGGATAAGTATGACCTGTGGTTGCGTCGAGCAGAATTTGATCGTATGGCACTCATTGTGCCGTTGTCGGGGTGCTCGAAGAGGTAATGGAGGGTGGAGAACTTTGTGGCCGCGTTGAGCGTTGTTGATCAACGAGGCGGCAGCGCGCGACTTATGCCTGCCCTAAATATGCGTCACGTGCTGACTCAGCGCTCAATGGCCACATTCGGGTTCAGTCGAGCTCATTGATTTCGACAACGACAACGATGCCGACCAAAGTTGTCGAGACCCCTTATCCACTCATTGATGCGGACCCTCATGCTGGACGTGTAATTCGATATCTTAGGCCTTCCGACTATGGCGTTTGGGCTGCAGCCACCGGTGCTTTCCCAGCTGCTCTTTACTTCTGGGGTATGCTGCACCCACCGTAGAAATCATAAGAAGTTTGGCTTCTGAATCAATGTATCTGCTAGACATGGCCGATCCCTCAAGGGTTAAGATTAGAACTCCTCTCCGACTAGGCGGTTTGCTTGGCTTTATCGGAGGATTCCTGCTTGCATACCAGCGTTCCAGTTGTAAGTAGTTCATTCCGTCATAGGCCTTCAGTATATACTGATGGTCTCCAGTGCGCTTCTGGGGCTGGACAGAGAACAAGCGTGAGGATGAACGGGATAGAAAAGAGATGTCCGAGCGAGTTCAGAAAGGTCTCCCTGTTTACGGCAGTTCCGATCAACCTGAATGGGTGCAAGGTGCTGCATTCAGAAACTCTGTTTTCTCGCAGCTCAAATTCCGTACGTCCTCTCCATTTCTGCTGTGTTCAGTAACATACTGACATGTGGCTGGCAGATCTCTTCCCCATGTGAGTACACGCCGAACCACCGTGCTCATCTCATATTGACTATTATCAGGGTCAACTTGGTCAACCATCAATATCACGGTAGAAACCCTGCTGAATACGGCGAGAAAAAGGATTCGTAAACAACTGCATGATTTCTTAGCCGAATGCATGTTTATATTCTCACTTTGACAAGCTTGGTCATGTGTTGGAATGAATACTCGGCGTGCCTGGCAGAACAGTGTGAAGTGTCTACGAACGAGTCCTTTTCCGTCTCCTGCTAACTCCTTCACTGTCGTCGTCCTCATCATCCAACGCCACAAACCCGTCATCACTTGCACCCTTGCCCTTCCCTTTGCCCTCTTTGGTTTCTGTAACCATCTTTTGGACAATTGTCTCCCACATGGTATCATTGATACCTTTTGCTTTGCCCAGCTGCTCGCGCAACTTCGACACCTCAGATTCAAGCTCAGTAACGCGAGATTGTAAAGATACACCTGTTGTTCCCGATCCAGCAATGTCAGCTGCTTTGACAAATACTGCATGATCTCGCAGAAGTTCGTCAGTTGAGTATTCGAAGAAGGCTTCTGTCGATCGCTGTCGGAGAAGGGAGCTCAATAGGCTGAACACAGAGTTTGGATTCATTGTGCTCACTGAAGGTTGAGCTGGTAGCATTATTGCTACCTCATGAAGCTCTCTTGCCTTAGGATCACGCATCCTCTGAAACGGCGTGACGGGTTTAACCGGGATTGATTCCCTAGCATCAGGCGTGCTGCCGGTACCGAGGCTGAGACTGACATGGCCAACTAAGTCCGGCGGCTTGAGCATCGTAGACAAGTGCGTTATTGAGAAACCTTTGTGCGTTGAGATCGTGCGCAAAAGTTGGTGTGAAGCAATGTCATATATTTGTATGAGGCCTGTTGCAGTCCCGACAAGAAGCAGAGAAGAAGTCAACGAAATCGCCAGTGTGGTAATCGGTTGACTGGAAAACGAGATCAGGCACAATGTTTGTGGGACGAGAGGAACAGGTGCATACCTAACAGATATCAGCCGTTTTCGTGAGTTTTCCTGGCCTTCACCGTCGATACGGATTATATCCGTAACTCCAGCTCCGCCAACGGCCTCCAATCCGTTGCGGGCAAATTTTTCTTCCCTCTGTCTGAAAAGATTCACCTGGTGTATTGAACCATCTTCAGAGGCCGCGAAGAACAAACGTTCTGTGACGTCCCATGCGAGGACTTTGATCGGGTGTGGAAATTGGAATGTTGTTAGGAGTGTGTGTGAAGAAAGGTCCCAAAGCTATTCCTTCCTTCAACGACCGAACTATTGAAAGAAAGATGAAAACTTACCTTGACTGAGTGGTCCACGGATGCTGTCAGTATCCGACATGTAGGGAACAGTCCAATCCCGCACAAAATGTCGGTCACAGGTAGTGTGTGATCTGTGAGAGTGCAGAAGGGCGAAGGAAGGTCGTTTTGCGAGCCATCATCCAGCAAGCTAAAGGAAATTATAGTCAGAAATAAGCGTTTGGCGTATGCCACTATACAACATGCCTCGATATTGACCACACACTGACGGCGGAATCTTCGCTACCTGAGACCAACGCTGCACTATCATGCGTGAAGCGTAAGACGTTGACTTGACGGTAGTGCGCATCCCAAGCATGGTACATGATTCCGGAGGCAATCTACTGTCAGGCAAGCTCACAGTTACCACCAAAAAGCTAACGACGGTGACAAAGAAACGTACGTGCCTCCCAGATATAAATACGACCCTGTGCGGTACCACCCGCGCAATAGTCGCCTTTCGAATCGACAGTGACACATGACAGCTTTTCTGGAAGCACAATCTTTAGAGAGAGCTGATCCTACTCGTCGGGACAATTCAACGTATGCACCCAGCGACAAGAACACGAATAAACCGCACCTTCTGGAAATTATACACGTTCATGATGGACTTTTCAGGTTGTGCGGAAAGTATGAAACCGCCCTGGCCATCTCGTGTTGGAACAACTGCTGTGGAATTTGTTCGAGCTGAGGTTTGTTTGAAAGATGCAAAGGTAGATCCCGTTTGAATATCATGAAGGACGATGGCACCTGGACCCGACGCTGCTGAGGTCGGTGCAGTCGAACACAGTACAATTTCCTGTAGATGCATTGCAGCAAGTTGTATCCCTGCTAACTACTCGCAGGCTCGTTTGTTAGTGTTCTGTGAGTGGTCAGTAACTAGTAATGGGTCAGTGGACGTGAACTAGTGGTGAAAGCAGGGTTATTGCTTGCTATAAGTCCTTCGAAAAGAAGTGCCAATATCAATATTATGAGCGCTTGAGCACTGGCGGCCCGGAGGCTGCCGCTATGTCATCATGGTAGGCGAGGATTCTATGCATTCTACAAGGTTCTTCACCGTCCGCCACATAAACCAACTGTCATCTTGTCTCTTACGCTCATTCGCAAGCTTGTACACTCGTAATAGTTGTCAAAATGTCCGCAACTCTAAGTCTGTACGAAATACTCGGACTGGAAAGGACTGCTACAACAGACGACAGTACGTTTCTCGACTTGTTGCGCTCGGTATTCAATTGTGCGATGTTAATCGCGGGTCGAATCCCTTAGTTCGAAAGGCATACAAAAAAAGAGCTTTGGAAACCCATCCGGACAGGCTACCGCAGGGAGCCACGACTGAAGAGAAAGCCAGTGCAGAGGAACAGTTTCGTCTGGTGGGCTTCAATATGTCTGATTAGTAACAACCGGCTCTTACTAACGGTATTGAAGGTCAATAATGCATACGAGGTCTTGAATGATCCTCGGAACCGAGAGGTATGTGCATATTCATCAGTCCTAGATGCGCACTCACACCCCTCTTCAGCTGTATGATCGTTCTGGTGCATGGCCACCTCCAAGTGCGCCTGAGGAGCCACGAGCCAACTACAGATCGCGCAGCCGTGCCGAACCCTTTGACCCTTTCATGGGAGACCCATTCTTCAGTTCCGCTTTCGGCTCCCGAGGACCTTTTGCCTTCTCGGATCCTTTCGAGCTCTTCAATTCCATTTTTGGCGACATGAATCGGCACTTTGATGATGATCCATACTTCAACGATGCCTTCCCTAGCATGCGTTCACCTTTCGGTGCTTTTGGCGGCTCCATGATGAGAGACCCCTTCGGTGGTTCCATGCTGACTCCATTCACGCCCGGATTCCCCTTTGGTCGGTCCCTGCTAGATGATATGCAGGGAGGCCAAGGGCGTCGTGTCTATAGCAGCACGTCTTCCGGTGGAGGTGCCAATGGTCAATGGGTATCGCAGAACAGAATGACGCGCACGATTAATGGTCGTACAGAGACCATCATTAAACGACGCGATGCGCAGGTGAGTGATCGTCTAGATTGCTTCAAAGTTAAGATGATGCTGATGGTATGCAGGGCAATGAACATATTACTTACTCTTCTCCTGAGAGTGAACGATACACGATCAATGGTGTCGAGCAACCAGTGGCTGGCCAGATGCAGAACCACCAACCTCGTCGTCCCGTTACAAACGCTCCGCCGCTTCCCCAGGTCGCATACAATGCATACAATCAGCCTGCGTCGTTCGCTGTGCCCATCACTGAACAAGTGCCTGTAACACCTCCATCCCGTTCAGCACCAGCACCAGCACCATACCCTCAACAGCAGCAGTATACCTCTAACCGTGCTTCGTATGTCCCACTTGTTAATCCGGCTCCTAGCCGTAGTTCTCACTCCAGACACAGTACTCAGGGTAGGTACTTTTGATTTTCGTTCCCTTTCCGAATTTGGTCGGCACAGTGCGTGCTAACTTCTGGCTGGCTGTAAAGCCAATGTAACTAATCCACCCCCATACGCTCAAGACGCCTACACCAGCAAGCGGTCTTCTCGTCGAGATAGCGGGGACCATCACTCTCACCACTCATCCCATCACCGGCACGATTCTGCTGGTAGCTCGTACAGCAGGAATCGACACCCTGAGGACCGTGAGCATCCTAGCCGTCGTCATACCCATGATGATACAGGTGCGGATCCTGGGTCCGGATCGAAGAAGTGGTGGCAAGGTGGATGGTGAGCATCATGACCCTACTGCCTTTTGAGGGTAGACTCTGCTTGTGAGCAGATTGTTTTCGCCTGGCGTGGAGTCCTGACATTTCCTCACGTTATGACGTAGGTTGAGTAAAATCACCAACATTTTCAAACATCCTGAACATCACCGTCATTCGATCCATACATAGAGGCTGCGGGTTTTCTCTTTTACTAGCTTTGTTCGATGATTGTATGATGTTATGCCTCTCTCGATATCCCTCATTATGTGTATTTTACAGTCGTTTGTTTGAAATGCATATGATTTGGTGTTATCCTATATTATGCACAACGTGCAATCAGTGTGGGGGTCCAATACTTGCAATCGTCAAGGTCGAATGTGAAATGATAATGGTACATACTAAGCGGATGTGCAAGGAGAAGGCTGAAGAGATTGAGGGAGTGAAGAGTGAACTTGGTCATCCAAGTTGACAGGAATAAGTGATAGATACAAAGGGAGTGAACGAACGGGTGAGATGCAATCCACAGGGTCAATGAGAGCTACTTAATATTGAAGAGAAAGAGAAAGAGAAAGAGAAAGAGAAAGAGAAAGAGAAAGAGAGAGAGAGAGAGAGAGGGGGGGGGAAATGAATGCGAAGAAACCACAGTGAACGAACCAGCATTAGTCAGGGGAGAAATAAGTCTCAGACCCTATCAAAGAAACGAACAGACCCAAGTAATAAAAAGAAAGAAAGAACAAACAATACTAAAGAGCGTATTAGAGCATTATGCAAGATGAGAAACCATCCAAACTAAACCGGAAATGAACAGCGGAAACCAAATGAAGAATAAGGCAGCCTATCAAACGACGGCAGCAGTACGTTGCATGGGAGGGAATGCAGACGACATGGGTGAGACTTGTGCTTGCTGAATGGCGTCCGTGTTGAAACGCGAGTCGCCATCCATAGAGTACGAGGCCGAGGTGAGGTTATGTGGTGCACCACTTGTACTTGGTGTAGGAGGGACGCCAGACTGAGTAGGCACTTTGCCAATGTACCATGAAGGTACCCATCCGCGATCTCCACTTTCTTCCTTCACAGCCTATCCCAGAATAAATGATGAGAACTCAAACATAAAGGAAGCCTGAGCAAAAAAGGTACACACGTAAGACCAATGGTTATATCGCTTGAACACTCGCAAGCTGTCGTCCTTTGCAAGGTCGAGTTCTTCCTCGCCTTTCTTCTTGTAGTCCATCAAAGCAATCCCAGGGAAGCTTGTTGACAATATGCTCAGTGGTAATATTGGTGTCTTACCCGCCGGTGAAGGCGGTGTTTCATCCGATGAAGAGTGGCCCCTTGTAGTCGCTTCCGCAATGGCAGTGGCGACAGGAACACTGGTTTCAAGAAGACAACCTGCAGGGACCCAGCCTTGCTTTGACATATCCGGTTCGACCAGTCCGGACCCAGCCGGATCGCGCTGCACAACCCACCAGCCTCGCGCGCGAGAAAGAATAATGAAGGTATCGCCACTATTACATCCATGAGCACATTGAGCAAGGAGTTAAGGCGGGATACGTACACAACAACATCAAACTCGTCTTCTTGTTCTGCCATATATGGATAGATAGCCACGGCATATGAAACTCCTGTCGATGGTGGTATCTCTCTGGCAACAGAAGGTGGATCGCTGCTATCCCCGTGTGCATTCGTTTTGGGGCCATCTGCCAAGTGTTCATCCGCCCTGTCTTTGTGTTCCACTGAAGGTGACATGACTTCGGGCCATCCAGGCTGAGCGTTTGGCACGCCAGTCATCAAACCAGGCGCGACACTTGTCAAGTTTAGATTACTGTTAACTTGAAGCATTGGTGGCCGCGAGCGCTGCAAGTCTTGTGAAGTCTGTCCTTGTGCCGGGTTAGTGCCATGTCCGTGTGCCGAACCAGACGACCCTGTAAGTGGTGGTGATTTGACAGACGACGTCTCCGAATTGGCCTTGCGAGCAGCTTGTTTCTGTTGAGCGACGGCGATGGGTGAACGGATGTCCTTGATGTGCTTTAGCATGAACACGGGATTCTTCTTTGCGTCCTTCAACTTCTGAAAGAGTAGCAAAGGCTTTTCGTCATAACTCAAGCAACGCTCAATACGGTTACCTGAAAGCCATTCCAGTAAGAATTTGCATCTCGGTTTTGGGAAAGATTTCATTACCTGTAGACCCATAGCAAATGAACATTGCGTAGTTTTGCCAGTCATCGTTGTTAATCTTGTACTTCTTGAGCGCAGCCGGAAGAACCTTCCAGGCAGGATCATCAAGGCTGACCTTGAAGCTCTTGAGGTTATCCGAACTTTCCTGTCGTTGTGGCTTCGGATGTGATGGCGGTGGTGGAGGTAGCTGTGAGTTGCTAGTAGAAGCGCCAAGATTCGAGGGATATGAAGAAGGAGGAGTACTGGATGAAGAGGGTTGCTGTCTACCCTTATCAGAAGCCGACGCTGCGCCAGCGCGAGAAGAAGTGGAGTTGAAGTCATATTCTGTCCGTTGCGGTGAGCTTTGAGGAGAGTCAACTACCTCTGGCGTGGGCGTCGGTTTTGTTGGCGAACGAGAAGGTTTGACGAACGAAGCCCACTTGAAAGATGACTGGCGGGTAACAGGACTACTACCCTCGTTCTGTTACATGATTAGCAAGGCTCAAAGTGGGAGCTTGTAATGACGTACTGGTTTAAGTTGTATTGAATTCCTCACGCTGCTGATGTCGTCGAGACATGAACTTAGACTGTCACTTAGGCGACGATTCTCATCCTCCAAAGTTCGTAGTCGATCGCCTGTGCTGCAATTAGCCAAGTTTATGGAATAAAACATGGAGGATCGCACTTTGCTCCCGCAAAATATTGTAGAGCTTCTCGACATTCGGTTGCTCTTGACGCTCCTCCGCCTCAGCTAAAGAACATTGAGATAGGTTCAAAACTTGAATGTAGGGTACATACACGGCGGAACGTAGTGGTCGGCTTCGATAGGGATGTTATTTGCAACCTTAAGGTTATAAACCGCCTTCAAGATCGCAAGCCGTTGACCAATGGTTGCAATTCCGACTTCCTTCAAGCTCTCTGCATCTAGCAGGCAGAGCACGTCTCCTGTAATGTTGTGTTCTATAACGCGGTCATAAGGGTTGTCCCGATAGCAACTGGAGGTAGTACAATGCCATACCTCTGATCTGTTGCTCGTACTGCGGAAAGCCCAGCTTACAGAACCACGCATGAACATCTGCCACATCCCAAGCCAATATGTTCGTCCTATGTTCTGAAAAGCCGTCCATGGAAAGCAAACAGAACTTGAAGTGGGGGTGGTTGGGAGAAGAGAAACAGCTGAATGTGAATCGGGCGCTTACCTAGAGGCATCTGAACCCCGGCCCTGTGCGAAAGCGGTTCTCGGGGTCGCTCCACCGTAGAGAGCTTGAGTTTCACCTTCATTGGCATCCTTCAAAGCCTTTGCCTCTACATTAGATAAAGCCAGGGAAAGCGATCTGTCCTGTGCGCAACAAGTTATCACCGCAGGTGTTATGCCTCACTTCATCTTTACTATGGGCGACTAGATCGTATTAACAGCCGGCCGGTGATATTCATGGACTTCACTGTCCTCATGTTGTGAAGTATGTGATATTCCTGACTGAAGAGCCAATATGCATTTGAAATCACTAATTATATGGCGCATTCACATGCTGCCTTATGGTGCACTCGGGACGGCATACGCTGCGAAACAGCTCGTTGAAGCGCTTTGAATCACAGTGGCGATCACGTTTTGATTCTGATTTCAGTTAACCAGCCTTGTGTTCTATGCCAACTAGTTCCGTACATGTATCATACAATGATTGTAATGAACAATAAATCACAACCTTACCTTACCTTACCTTAGAGTCTGGATGTGTACCAACTCGGTCAGTTTTCTAGATCGACAAACTCTCTTCGGGGACGATTAAGAAAAAAAGGACTTACTGAAGTGGTTAATACTACCACACGTCCTAGATGAATTTGAGAGTACGTTCTATGGAAGCACCGAACCAGACCATACAGGAACGGTCCAAGAACCCCAGTCGTTGGTCCCGAACCTACTTAGATTCCTGTTTTGGACCGAACTGATCGACGATCACCACGGGCCGCCAGACCGCCTCACAGGAACATTTCCCTGCGACGAAATTTATCGCTGAATGAAATGGCTCCTCGACCGTCTCTCCCATCCTCGCTCAAGAAGCGCAAGGCAGCTTCTAATACCAGTCCCGACGATGCTGCTAAAATTCAGAAGCTGGAAGAGCAGGTTACTACTGCAGTAACCTCCAAGACCTCGCTCAACCCTTTGACCGATCTCCTTGAAGCAGCTCAAAATGCTACAGAACCATCAATACTCACTAAAGCAATATATGCACTATACCGCTCATATGTGGTGATCATCACTAATGGTCTTCTCTCAAATATACCCGCGAACGAGGAGGCAAAGGCTGTTCGTGCTTGGCTCAATGAAAGATTGCATGAGTACACAGAGCTGCTGGTAGGATTGTTGAAGGATGAGGATGCTACTCTTCGGGTTCGTCTGGCCAGCCGTTTTCCTATGGTACCACAAATCTCATAAAGTGTGATTACATACAGACATCTGCGCTCAAGATCCTCCTTTCCATCCAAAAACACTTGTCCTCCTCTCTCAGTAAAGCCTCGTCAAGTAGCGCTCTCCGACCGCAGTTCCACGTTTCCCATTTCAAACAGATATTACAGGGACTCATTCTATGTCCTCCGTCGCCGAGAGGGCGAGCCTCTAACAAGCGATCCAAAAGCGAAAGATTGAATTCCGAACACGACGGAAAGGTTGAAGCAGATGTCCGTGATCTTTTCATCGAGTCATACCTCAGCGAGCACGACGATGTGCGGTGGTTTTTCCTTCGTGAATCGGCGTAAGTTCTGTGGTTCTGTTTTTTTCTACATCGTAAACCTCATGCTATATGCAGGAGTTTACTCGCGACATATTCCAAGTCTGAATACCCAGACGTACCCGACAACCTGCTGTCATTCTTGGAGCGACTTACAACATTCCCTACCGACAGTTCAGAGCTAAATTCCTGGTTGGTTGAAGAGTTGGGAACCCGCCCTCCGAAGGCAAAAACGTCATCAGAGTCTGACGACGAAGATGAGAACGCAGACCGACCTGAGAAAACAGCAGACGCCGAAGAAGACGACTGGCGAAAGTTCTTCGAAGACGAGGTAGTCACAGAACCCAAGTCGTCAGACCCGAAGAAACCTTCAGTTCGACTGCACAAGTTGACCGTGCATCAGTCATTACACTCCCTTTCGTCACACAAGGCCATGTTCACTCGTACATGGCTAACTCTGCTTCCTCTACTGTCGGTTGGATCATCCGAGAATAGCAAAGCGCTTGCGGCGAGAGCCCTGAATGTGATGCACGGAGGTGTTATGCCACATCTCACCAGACCGGTGTTGGTTATGGACTGGATAGCGTCTTGCGTTGATTATGGTGGAACTGTTGGCTTGTTGGCACTGAACGCTTTGTTCATCCTCATCAAGGATTATAACCTGTATGTCTTATTGCTTTCTGCTGCTATCTTCATTCTTCTGACGATCTACCTCAGTGATTATCCTTCGTTCTACACCCGTCTCTATGCCTTCCTCGACCGCGATGTCCTACATGTCAAGCACAGGGCACGGTTCTTCCGATTAATGGAGTTATTCCTTAGCTCAACGTACGTATTCACGAGATTTCGTCTTGACAATAGTGGACTCATTCGTTTCCTTGCATAGTCTGTTACCTGCAACACTTCTCGCATCCTTTGTGAAACGTCTCGCTCGTCTTTCTCTTAATGCACCTCCTGCTGCTATTGTCATGGTCATTCCCTTTACGTACAACATCCTTAAGAAACACCCTGCGCTGATGGTTATGATCCACAGAGCAGACGATGTGCCTCAAGATGAACAGGGTGCGTGTATTGCTCTACATTATACTCGTGATAGGATTGATCTTTGGCTCCCGAATTCATTAGACCCATTCAATCCCTCAGAACCAAACCCTACCTTAACCAACGCCATCGAGTCGTCATTATGGGAGTTGTACTCACAGAGGAACCATTACCATTCAGCGGTCTCGACGTTGGCGCGAATATTCGAGGAAGCCTTCACCAAGCCCAACTACTCTTTGGAAGACTTCCTAGATCATACTTATACTACTGTACGTCAGCTTAACATTTTTGTTTGCAATTTTCGATGCTTACCTGTTGTGGCGGTGTAGCTGTATGAGACGGAGGCAAAGCGCAAGATCAAGAAGGAACCAGCTTTGGCTTTGGAACCCACCCAGCGTGCTTGGTTCGTCACGCCGTCACCGGAGACAGAAAGTACGGTTGTTTTGGATCGCGTTGATTCAGTGTGGTCCTTTAGCTAGTCGTTCGTACGTCGTTCCGATTTTGTATAGGTACCTCATTGAGTCAGCTTATGCTCTAGACTGCGCCTCACAGTTGGCATGGTCGGTGTTCATAGGACACTTTGTCAGTGATGCGCATTCCATCAACCCGATTCGAGCAGGACAGATAAATGAAAGCTACAACGTTAGTAGTTTGATCCTGAGATGACCCTCTGAACAATTGAGACCAGAGAAAAAGCCTGTCGTACGAAGCATTGTGCTTTAGTGGATGGTCCTCCAAAGGAAGACAGCTCGATCAAGAGGTGGCTAAGACCCAGATCGGGCACACTCACCGTTCAAGGGAGGTAGGGTCCACTCGGAGTCAAGTCCGGGATATCGTTGCTGACCGCGCAAGAGATCGGTCGAGAGCGGGATGAGATGAAGACTGAATTACTATGTATTAAATCAGGGACTCATGCATATGGTCATCCAGAAAGTCAGTACTCTGGTTTACTGGGCACCATGTGACATCGTCATCCATGAATATGACAGAAGTCGAGGACATATACTGAGAGTAACTTTCACTTGTGAATGTGAATAACGCATCTATCGAGGAGCAGTCATAGCCTGCCAATGGTCAAGCTAACGCAATCACGCATAACAAGAATCTGCCCCATCGTGGGTAGAGACATGTTATATCGATAACCTGGTAACAAGCACAGTGCTAGGAGTCACTGTCTTTCCTAGTGCAACAAAAGTACGCGTGAACAAGCAAAACATCGAGGCTAACGTTTTATTTCTGGGTCGACACACGCACTCACTTACTTCTTCCCTTTCTTCTTCTCTTCCGCTTCCCGACGTTTTCTCTCCTCCGCCTCCCGACGTTTCTTCTCTTCCTGACGTTTCTTCTCTTCCTCCTCCGCCTTGATCCTAGCGGATCGTCGTGACCCAGAGGTGCTGCGTTCGGAGCCAAGATTGGCTTGGATAGTTCCTGGGCCTCTAGAGTCACCTCTTCCAACTTGTACCTGAGCTCGCCCCCTTCCCCGCGCACGCCCCGCACCTCGACCTCGTCCCCGAATCAGTGTTTCTGTATCTGCAGGTAACTGCGGTATTTTCGAGAGATAGTCGTCGGGAAAGGGGACGTCATCCAGTGGTCCAACGGGCGGATCCCGTATCAATTTCCGCATGAATTCGAGCATATCGACATATTCCTGCACAGGGGTCTTGTCTGGAGGTAGAACATTGCCTTCGAACTCTTCGTCGACTCTATCACGATAACGTCTCAGGAAACGCTTCACAAGTCTCCCGATAAGTGGCCAGAACCCTCTCCATTGCAGAGGGATAACCTCATTGATGTTGACCCTATTGAACTTTGAAACAAAGTCACCTTTTTTCTGCCGACAGTGTTCATAGTTCCCTGTCTGCCACGACGAGATTAATTTCGGCGGGTCCTTTCGACTGCCGCCTTCATAACAAAGCGCCGCCCACGGGAGCATCCATACAAACGACTCGAGATCGTGACGGTACTCTCGCCGAATGCCGCCGAGCCAAAATTTAGAGTCGAGGAGCTCCATAGCCATGAATGGAATGGTACCGGTGCGCTCCAGTCCCATATGGTCATTTAGGTCGTCAACTTCGCTCAAATCCCAGTCATTCAGTACTCCATGGTTTTCGTTGTCTTTAGTGCGGAATAACATATTGCCTTCGCTGGGATCGCAGTGTTTGACACCAGCAATCCACATGGCAAAGTGGCCTGTCAGAGTGATTAATACCAGCATTTGGAAGTCACAGTAAACGACGTACATCTCACAATCTCATACCATGTAAGCATAAAATTAGGCGGGGGGAGTTGCCACAGAGGAGACAACCACTCCGATATTGTGATATTAAGGGTTCGCGAGTGGTATATGGGTTGTTGATTCTCGTCAAGCCGGTCCCACAGCTGAAGGAATTTCCGAATGTGACCTGTCTCATACTTGCTCAAGGTGTAGGCGCCGTAGATTAATGGCAAATTGTCCAACAAGTCAGGGTCGATCCTCTGAGCCGCCTCACGAGCCTTCTGAACAACCGTCTGTTCCGATGGCCTGGAACTATCTGGCCAGTATATCTTTATAGCCGCATGTTTCGCCCTCTCGTTCATGAGAACCCCAGGATCATCTGGGTCGCGAGATAACTTCTCCGAATGCCCTTCGAACACACGAGTGCCACGCCCGACCAGGGTGTGTCGGCTGTACTCGTTCTTCTTCGGATCCAGGTTAACCTTGATCCTGTCGTCTTCAACCGGAATGTCGAACTCAAACGGTGTTTGCGAAAGGTTTACCATCTGATTCAGCGGCAACTGCCCGCTATGATATTTTACGACGACAGGATCCAGTTCGGGATTGAATCCCCAAGAATCCATGGTCGAAAATCTCTGGAAGACGAGGAGAAGAACAAGAAAGCGCGGGAGATCATCCAGGAAGTTAATTCCGGTGCACTGAATAGCACTTTGCCTGTCATACCACCATAGCCAGGCCACATCATCTAAAAAACCGATGTCACCCTGCATCCATCGGTATAATAACAAACTACGAACCGACAACAAGAATGTTCATGCAGTGATTCACTGCAGGAGCTCGGCATAGCATCTCCGCCGCATACGACGCCAATTGCACGAGCGGCGGCTCCTCCGGCCGAGATTCGTTGTCGTCATCCCCAATGTCCCTTGCTGCAAATGGTGGAATGAGATATGATATGTGAGATAGCATAATTAGAATTTATACGTTGTGGGCTCCGGACGTCAGGTTTCGTGGGGGGTTCCATGGTGCCGACGTCGTTCACGCACGCAATGTTCCGACACAGGTTGGGGCCGTACTTCCGAGTGGGCAATGAGATCGCTTTCTTCGTCCGCTTGAATTCCCATGCACTTAACACATCATGCCATTGGAGGTCTTTGGGCTTTTTATGGCAGTGTGTGATTGCAGTCTTCCATTGTATATTTCTACCTTTTCCCCAGATGCGCCGAGCGCAGGCAAGAGTGGTGACTACAATGTCGGGTTTGCGTTTCGAATTGAGAGTGCCATGAAAACCGTCGAGCACATTCGGATCATTACGGTGAAAGAGAATCTTGAATGGCGAGCCTTTACCGAGATGCGGTACGTCCACTTCTTCCAAGAGCGATAATGCGCGATTGCATGCATTCGTGAAGGGTTCGTATCTGGCCGTTTCTGCTCCTTCCACCTCACAACTGATGGGACGTTAGCGAGATGGCGATCAAGACTCCGGATAGAAATCTTACTATGATCGTAAATGATTGAGCAGATCCGGGTCGTTACAAATGGGCAACACTTTTTCGAGGCATTGATTAAAGAGGCGATGGGGATCCACCGACTCTCTCGATGCCGTAGAAAGAGACATATGCAACTGATAGGCTATCATTCCGTCGAATGTGGTCTGCTTGTGTTTGGATATGTCCGCCCATAGCCATGGTTTCACTGTACGCTGGCTAATTGTTCCAGATATGTTGTCACCAATAATATCTATGCTGCAGAATACGACGTACTATAAGTCATTATATCCTCCAGATGACGCATGAGTCGAGCTGCCATGACCGTGGGGAGTAGCAAGGTATTGCTTAGCGATAGCCGCAGCGGCCTTAGCTGCCTCAGGGCCAGTACTGCGAGGAGGAGTTCGAGGACTCGCCATGACGAGTACTCCTGTAAGAGTGAAAAGGAAAAAAATGGAGGATATAAACAAGAAAATGGGTATGATTGGAAGGATATCAGATAGGGGAGCTACAGTGTACGGAAGAAGTAAACGAACACATGTGTAGACCACACGTTTGTTGCACTCAACATTGAATGTTGAATATTGAACCTTATTGAACCTTTAGGAACCTTTGAACGCCTAATCTAATATGGCATAGGCGCTAGTGTCTTTGGACCCAAAGCCTCCACTCGCGACCGTCTCTAACTACTGTTTATCGCTGCACCTTCGTTTTCAGAATCGCTACCAAGTACTGCCACAATTTCAATCTAGCTACATATGAAGGTCCGGACAGTCTGGTGAAGTCTACAAGGCTGTATCTGCCTATACTAGGTCACTCCAATTTAGTACTAGGTGTTCTACCGTGCGTGGCATGGTAGCAATGCTACATGGGAATGGCTCAAGACAGTATTTCTACGTCGCCTCGCATACCAGGCACCCTCTTGATATGTGGAATTACATTTCGTTGCGAGAGCATCGCTGCGACATTTGTGAGATCGAGCAGTGGAAAGAAAGCAATTGCTCCTCACGTTGCCACCTTACGACTTAAGCTTTGTCTGGCCCGCTATCTGACTACACTAACATGTTCCAGAAGCTACCAATGCGATTCCGAGTGATACTGCCCATTGGACAGCCTCCCGCCACAGCAGTGTTATCTTTGCATCCACCAGTCAACTTGAACCTCACAACTTTGAATTCTTGTGCATTAATTACCATGTCGCAATCCCTTTCTGAAGGCTGTACATCGACGCTGCCTGAAGACGATCAAGATGACCAGCAGGACGACGATCCGGCATTGTGGCCTTATGCAGGAGATGGACTGCTTTTGCACAAGAGCGAAGAAGACGTTGACCTCTATCCTGACTTATCCAATGATCTGGTGCCCACATCGTATACTCTCAACATGAGTCTTCGCTGTTACGCAGGCTACACCGGTTTTGGTGAGCAGAGTACATCTTTTGCAGAATATCTTATGCTAATCGGTATTCTGTTCCTTTCAGAGCATGCTACATGAGGAAATGAATCGATCTATCTTAGAACGTCACTCGTTATGAAGATTTTCTCCGTCCCATTGCCAACTGTATGATTTGGTCAATGGCATGTACCTTGGTCGCATCGCTAGCTTAAGCTCTGACCTTATAATATTTAGAGGGGAATCCGATCGTAATCAGCCGAGATCAACTTGATCACCGGGGTAGCAAGTTGACTTCGTTCAACTGCATCATATCTTGCTGCGCTTTTGCAAATTATCAGCTTACCGTTCCTTGTTCAGGCGGATTTGAATCAATCCGCCAACTATGGTTGTTTGCTGCCTACTAATTGCTCCACAAGATATTGGGCCAGCAATCGTGGGGCTACCTCTTGCTCATGCCTCGGTGCGAACGGAGGGTGATCTCAGAGCTTAAGTCAATTCCGCCGAGTTGTGTGTTGCATACACTCGTGAGCTGCTTCTAGAGGTCTCTATTTTAATACCAATCCTAGTATCTTTGACATCTCTTACGTGTAGCGTTATCTTGAGTATGTTTTGCACAGCACCACATGATACGGGTCAAGCATATGTCAGCCGTGTAATCGGGTCCTTCTTTTGGAACCTGCGCGCTGGTCAGAACAGTTTCCGTACTCAATTTGACCGCAGCGGTGCCCAAGACACTCCATGGGGTCGAAGGTTTGTTGGAACCCTGAGCCCTACCGACTCCCGATTCCCCCAACGGCAGCGTGTGGTCATCTACCCTCACAAGGCTGACTGTTCCGCTTACTTGGCCACAATGTGCAGGGTCTTATGTCAAAGGAAGCTGTACGATTTGTGTTCTGCCGTGAATTCGATTGTACTCGCTAACCTTGTACAATAGCCGATGCCGAGGAGTGTTCTTCAGATAGTGCCTGTGGGCGATGTCACTCATTCCAGGACTTTTTACGCAACTTCGATCGTCCATGGATGATACATTCAGCTGTGCGGAGCTTCTCGTGGGGGATTCTATCCGACGGATAGCTCGCTGAATGTCTTATGAATTGTGTGCACCAGTGTTAGCGTCCTCATGCAGCCTGTACTGGTGTGTATCTAGGTTTGATCAGTCCCATTCTGCACACAAGGTCGTCAGCGGGCCTGATTCCGGAGTATCTACCTACATTATATCCCCGTGAATGTTTCATGACTGCTGAATGGCTTCTGTGATCGTAGCTCTAGGTGACGTTCACCTTGCATTTCTATGTGATTGTCAATTTGTTCAGCCTTGTCCTCTGTCGCAGCAATGGAGCTAACTTGGGATGATCTTCGCGATGCCTCTTGAGCAAACTTTGACGAGAAAGGGACACATTGAATTCCTGGCGTCAAGATGTTGATAGATCATCTCAAGATTTCCCCTTGGACTCCCTATGGCGTAGTCGATATGTGGGTTTACCGCGCCATATGTATTGAAAGCAATACGTCTCCCTAATACCCCCTGAATATAGTCTTCGTTACGACGGCTTCTGACTATAGGGTGCTATAGAATCAACACGTTTCGACGGCTGTCATTGTCATGAGGCTGTTCTTAGTACCGATGTGGCTTATGTGTTCCCGTGAGTTATGACGATTCCTTGTCTTAGCCATTCCTACTTTGTCGACGCCGAATTTGGTTGCATTGACTCGTTATACTCATGGTTCCGAGTTCCCCCAGCACACCTATAAAGCCATGCCAGTCGTATCACCTGTTGTCGGTCAACGCCATTACGCCACATTCTCTCCCTCTCATATTTTTACCATCCTCCCTGTGATGCCCTCTACATTCACTAGACGAGTCGGTGACCCCTTTAACGTTCCTGGCGCCGACCTCATTATTCGCAGTGAAGAAAAATGGGACTTCGCCGTCTACAAGGAAGACTTGAAACGATGCAGTAGAAAGCTTGCTGCGAAGCTGGCTACACAAGACAACAGGCTAGCTATCCTTGAAGTCATCGAAAGTAAAGTAGTGTGGTGGGCTATTCTCTTGCAAATTTACCCCGACTTGGCACCACCCAACGATGCCTATATCTCAGTGGGGGTCGTGAACACCGCTTATGATGTCGCGAAGGGATACGAGATGGATGTTGTAGTCCCAAAGCTCAGGAAGATTCTTGACGAATTAATCAGGCACAGACCGCTGTATGCATTTGACACTTTTGTCCGGCAGAAGAAGGCGGAATGGAGAGAGAATTGTCGTCAGGCAGCATACCTCACGCTCGAAGGTCCCGTGGACGGGGACCTCTCTCTCGATAGCGATGAATTGTTGCCTGGCGGAAAAGAAATGCTCCGACGTTATAGAGATGGTTGCAAGGCGGCTGCGGTGCAAGCATTACTACAAAGCGTCCAACTTCCTGGTATTAAAGGCGCCAGGCCGTGCTGGTTATATTGTGGAGGATGTAAGGGTGTCTGGTATATTGAAGCAGGTACTAAGGGGCAGGCGACAAGTGATAACGACAACGTGCTCTGCGCTGAATGGTTCGCGAAGTTCCTCCGTGAAGTCGTGACCCGTCTCCGCACTCGACTGTCACCACGCGTACTTCAAAACCTAGCGTTGCCGGTTACCTATTTATTGGATGCCGACGCGCCCATATGCAGGACGTGCCAGACCTGCAGGGCATCTGCCTTGTCCGACTTGAGTACGTTCTCCTCCGTTGCGATGCAACGTATCGAGAGGTCAATCTCAGAGGTATGCGTATTTCTGACGTCCGTCAAGCATGCATACTGAATGATTTCTACAGGTACAAGTTTAATTGTTCTACGGAGCATGGACACACCTGCTAGTTTATGATGTATTCATATCAGTTTTCTAACACTCTCCGTATGGCCCAACGTCTTGTATACCCTGGATCATCTATGCTTCCCCCTCGTTTCTGTCGAGTTGTAGCGCTAACCAATCAGACTGACCTGTACTAAATAGTATGACAGCGACGTTCAAAACGATAGGCCTGAATTTTTTTCAAGAACCTATCATTCTGAACGTGGATGGAAGTATATACGCAAAGCTTTGAATGGAGTCTTAACTTGTCAAGTGATTGTTTGGAATTGAAGCTAAGCGGTGTGAACGAGTCCAAGCGCAGTTTCGAACACTGTACTGTAACGATTATTGATTTCAAAAGCAATAAATATTGAGACCCGTAGGTCTACCACTCCGGGAAAGCGTGTCATCCTTGTGCAGGGGCCATGCTAATCTTCTCTGTATCGTTCCAATTTTTTCGTATGTCACCCCGAAGGGGACATGAGTGCATGGTAAGCGAAGAACTCAACCGCTAGAACTTCGCATTTTATGCAATGCGCTGGTGGGCGCTTGGTCCATAATTGGTCAAATCTTCGAAAACTGACTGGAACTTGGCACACAACGCAGTGCGCACCTCCCTTCGCCCTATCAGATGTCTTCAACCTTACACGTAGTATCAGGATGCAAGCTATTCATCTGGTAAGAGTCTCATTCATTGGAGCGATAGAACTGAACGACAGTGGTGTCAAGGGTCCTCGTCAGTTGCTAAATAGAGCTATGATCGGTGACGGCAGTAGAGTCCAGTAGAGTCCATATGTTGCTGTTCAACTGTTCTCACCTCTACACGTTGAGTTTTTGTTACGACTTCAGGCCTATATGTGACAATCTCTGTCGACATACTCCTTCAAACTAATGCAATAGACGTCTTATATGGATGACCTGTATAACAATGCTTGGGGAGACCCTGACAAACCTTCGGAGGATACCTCCGTTGTCGGAACACACGCTACATGGACTTCTCCTAAACCTTCGCTTCCCGTGCATGATGAAGAAGCTGACTTAGCTGCACCATCGTGGTCCACCGGAGCTGAAATACGATGGAACGAGCCTTCAGGCGATTCACATGGATTTGCGTGGTCTCACGCTGAACCTGACCTTGCTTGGAGCTCCAGCACTTATGAAGCCATTCAGATCGTCAAACCTCCACAGACCATAGTAGAAGAGGATGTTGGTCCATCTTCGCCGGAATCAGTGACTGATGTTCAAAGCACTTCGCCTACAGTGCATGTCGCTGAAGAGCCGATATACGAATCCTTGAACAGTTCGCCAGGGTTCAATCCATTAGCATTAGGTCCCGGATCACCATCATCTTTGTCTGACACCCCACATAATAGCCCACCACAGAGTCCTGATGGGTTCGGCAGTTTCACTTCTGCAGTTGAGGCTGAAAGTATCCCACACCTTGACGTTCTTCCTGAATTAGAGGCAGACGCGTGGGGAACTGCCTGGGCAAGTGACAAAGATAACGAAGTCGAGACGGAGGAGTCGGTCGATGAATGGGAGGCTGCGAGAAGACAGAAAGAAGCGCAGGACCGTAAAGTGGTGTGTGTAGTTCATCCGTACCATACCATAACATATTCAAAGTTGTATTTTAGCCTCCCGAAGTCGCCGCAGACATACTAAGCAAATGCGAGGAGTTCTGTAAACAGTTCCCATCCGAACCTAACAAGGACGCACTGGACACGGACCCCGACTCATGGCGGAATAACTTGCGAAGTGGTTTGGAGGGCATCGACGGACTGTAAGTCAATTTATTCATGGTAAACGTCTGCTGCTAGAAAGATTGAAATTGGTTGATCGTGTTGGATGACTTCAGTGATGCAAAGATGAAGCTGTATGCTCCAGAACTGACTTTGGAACCACCATTGCGCTTTGAGAAGACTGTTGCTGCTAAGAAGATGACCAACAGCCTCCGTCTGACCCGAAACTTGCCGATGGTCAAGCAAAGTCCAATGTCCATTTACATGGCCATGAAGGGTAACACAGCTTGGGAGACAGCTGTCAAAGACTGGAAGGGTACTGCCGAAGATGACGTCGTGCCTGTAGGTTGGCGAATCCTGGAAAAGGAATCGACTACCGAAACACCGGCTGCTGCACCTCAGAAACCGACAGGACGTCTGTTTTCATTCTGGGGTCGCAAGCAGACCTCGTCTCCGGGCACATTGATATCCTCGAGTACTGCGGCGTCATCGTCAAGTGTCGCGGTAAATGCAACCGCAACCACTTCATCGTCATCTTCGCCGCGCCCGAGTGTCGACAGTACAAGGTCGTCAAATAAGGCCAAGAAAACAGCGAGTAGCACCGTTTCGTCACCAATTGCAGAAGCCGGTCCTTCCTTTAATCGTGCATCTCTACCGCCGGAGCGATCCATTTCGCCACCTGCAGCGAGATCGCAGTCGCCGACTTTCACTGGTAGTTTGACAAGTTCCTACGCTGACGCACCACTTCCGGAAGTTGAAAGGTCTCAGACTGCTCCTGGAGCAGCGCCCTCTGCTGTCTCACGTTTCCTCAATCGCTTTTCACGACGTAGAAGTACAATACCAACAAACCCTAACAGCTCCATTGCCCTCTCGTCTGATGATCTGACATTCCTCTCAGACATTGTGCCAAGCGCCAGTGAGGACCACAATGAAGATCACAGTGAGGATGCTCTTATTGCGCTGTCAAAGTCGATCAAGCCAGAGCCCCTTCCACCTGTGCTCCCACCGCCACCCAGCATACTCTCATCTTCTGGCGCTAGCGCTCAAGCACATGCGGTTTCACCTCCAGGTGTTGTTTCGAGTAAAGGTCTTCCGCCAAACCCACGCCTGAATTCACTAGATTCTTTCTTTGATTCGTTGCAAGGACCTGTGGCTGCCAGACAGAACGAGGCAAAAGGAAATCAAAGCGCTGATCTTGCGCTTCTGTCTCCGCCCCCATCCTCTATTCTCTCTCCGACTCCAGCACCTTCTTCTCGTCCCCAGTCTCCCAGCGGACCAGTTCTCCAATCTCGAGGCACCAGGCCTTCAAGCCCATCGCCACTATCATCCGGCTTCACAGATAGTCAACTGTTGTCGCAGCCGTTTGCCATCCCTCCCCCACCGCACTCTCGTTCAGAGACACCTATGCCTCTGAGGGACCATAATCTGCCAACCTTGGACCTTTCGGGGGTCCCCAGGCCGTCGACATTGCCTCAGCGTCCAAGCATACCATCATCATTCAAGGATCAGCATTCGTCAGTTTCTCAGACGGGCTCTGTATCACCGCTTGCCTCACCAACGTCAGGTGTACCATTGGCTCAGCTGTACCGAAACGTCTTGCCTACGCCTGCAACGTCGAGTAGTAGCCGTCCACCTACTCCGATGTCGGCGAAACCGCTAGCCCAGTTGTACCCTGGCGCGGCAGCGAGATCGAATTCGCCTGCCTCATCGAATCCTAGTCCTCGTAGCGTTGCGCAGGCGAGTTCTAAGCCTTTATCGGCGTTTACAATTCCTCCTCCACCGTCCTCGCGCCCACACACACCTGCCGCGCCAGCCGTTCCAAGAACACAAAAAGCTGGTATCACGCCTTTACTCCCTCCGCCTGGTCCTCCGCCATCACAGCCAACGCGTGCATCACACATGCCGACCATCTCATTAACATCGTTTGATGACGACGATTTCGATGATTTCCAAACCTCTTTGATTCCTTCGAAGGCGAATCCTCCGACGTCAAATCACAGTATACCACCTCTTCAACCACCGATATCCTTGCCACAATCTCGACCCAAACTCAACTTGGCTCCCGTACTATCCCCTTTATCACCGCCTCCATCGACTCCTAATTCATTACTCACGCATCCTCAAGCTATCAAGCCACCTATCTCCGATCCTTTTGACGATGACTTTTCGGAGTTTCACTCGCCTTCTCCATCCACTCTGCAGCATCCAAGCTCTTTCAGCTTAGGTGCCAGCTCGTCCTCAAAGCAAGGACTACTCCCTGCTCAAGGCTCAAATTCTTCTGGATTTGATAACTTCGATTCCTTCTCACCTACATTGAGGACGCCATCACCACCACGTCCTCCTGAGAAGTTGCCGATCCCTGCACTATCTGCTCCGAAGGATGACGTTCCAGTCGGTTCGTTACCTGCCAAAGGGCAGTCGCGAGCTGCGCGCCATCAGCATACGCTGAGTCTGGTTGCGCTGGCGGCGTCGAGAAAGGGGCAGTGGCCTGCACCTCCGTCGCCTCTACCTCAGCCGTTATCATTCCTTCCCCCTTCTTTCGCGTCAAACTCAAAGGCGGGTGGATTGGTGGACTTGATGGGCGAGGACGAACCTTTGGGAACCTTCAATTCAGGGTCGATAGGCACTTCGGCATCATCACCTGCGATGTTCAACTCAAGCAGTTCCAATCCCCCGAACGGGCTGGGGTCTTTGCTGTCGCCTACGTCTCAGTCGACGCAGACAATGTCTTCGAGTAATTCAGGGCAGTGGTTGGTTGATTCTGGGAAGAGCCCCATGAGTGCTGGGAGTGTGTCATCGAATGGGACGAGTACGAGTAAGGGCACCGGGAAACTTTCTGCTCAGGATCTTTCTTTCTTCGAAGGGTTATGATTGGCTAGGGTTGATTGAACTTTGCACACTAGGATGACTCACATTATTTGTCTTCTTTATCACTACACATTTCGCTGTTGTCCATGTTCCTCGCGTATTGCATACTTATTAGTCTGTTCATGCTAATCTTATTGACCTTCATGCCAACTTCCTGCACTCTGAATCTCATTGGCGGACTGAACGAAGCCAGTCTCGCATCACGATCGTCCGCTTTTGGAATCGATCGGGGCACGTGGAAACCAGTATTTTCTGGATTGCGTAGCAAGTCGGCCGAGTTCAGTGGCTTTACACCGTTACTCATCTACACATCTTCCCTGCTTTGATTCTCTCCAAAAGTTCTACTATCTATTCGCTATGCTGCCACGACACGTCCGAAGAATTCTTATCACGGCCTCGACACCAGCACTCATTCGTACGGCTATCGCAAGTCGAAGTTCAATACGTCCATCTCTTCGATTTCGCCCCGCAATAGCAGGACCATCTCAATCAGCTTCGTTCCATTCTTCTTCGAGACGACTAAATGAACCACGGTCACCGTTTCAAACATTTGTTGACGTGCTGAAAGAGGAGCTTCGCAAGAATCGGGAATTGCAGGAAAATGTCAAGCAACTGCAGGGTGATGTGGACAAACTGCAGGACTCGGAGGCTATGAAGAAGGCTCGGGCTGCATACGAGCGGGCAAGAGTACGTATACACACTTCCCACTAATACTTGTACTGTATGTGTGCTGAGCATTTCAATAGTTGACTTCCAGTATCAAAGAGAACCCTCGACTACGCGCGGCGGCAGAGGAACTCCGTAAGACTGGTGTCAAGGTCGGCGATGCTGTCTCGGAAGCACTCAAGACCATGGAGGAGAGTGAGCTTATGCGAACCGTATGTCCTCTGCTAGCAAACCTGGCATTCATCACCAGCCTCTGACCTGAGCATATTTCTTCGGACAGATTTCCCGAGCATCGGCTGCTGTGTCATCGACAATTGCCTCCACTACCGAACCGATACGAAAAACTGCTGCCTACAAAACTCTATCAGAAACCCTTGTAGAAGCGTTGGATGATAGTGGAAGTGCCAAACATGCTGGTTTCGAGGAGAAGGAGGCTCGTCGGAAACGGAGGCAGATGCGATTAGCTAAGGCAGGGAAGAATAGCATGACTGGGCCTAACGCGCGAGTCAAAGCTGATCCTGAGTAAGCGTTCCATCGCAAATTAATGTTTTACTGCATTCTAATTGCTTGGTTTGTGTTTGTTTATTGTAGGGCTGGCCAAGCAGTAGTCCTCCATAAAGACTCGCCACGCCAAGAAGCGTGGAACCGAATGAAAGAGACCAATCCTGTCTTCCGCAAACTCTCGGAACTCCGACAACAATTTGACGAGTCTGAACATCCTGTCGTTGCATCATTGCGTTCTATGACTCAGACCGTCGGTTCATGGTTTGACGAGAATGAGAGTGCGCAGGTACAGAGGATGATGAAAGTTATGGACCCTACATTTAGTATGGAGCGTTTTGAGAGGGAGTTGAGGGAGTATATTGTTCCTGAAGTCGTAGATGCGTATTTGAGTGCAGATCGGGAGGCCTTGCAGGCCTGGTGTGGTGAGGCCGTAAGTGCATTTTGACCTCTGTTTGTGTGCTGTGCCTAATCTCTGGCTTATTTAGACGTACAATGTCCTTTGGGCAACGATGGAGCAGTACTTGAAGCAAGGTCTCATCAGTGATAGCAAATGTCTTGATATCAGACAAGTAGACGTATGTTCTTCTCTTTCTTTTCGGTAACTGCCCTGACACTTCCAATTGGACAGGTTTCAATGGGCAAGATCCTAGAGAACGACATACCTGTGTATGTTATTACCTTCGCCACTCAGGAGATGCTGCTGTTCCGAAATGCCAAAACACGAGAGATCATCGTTGGTGCTGAAGACAAGGTGGAACAATGTCACTACGCGGCTGTTATCACCAGAGCAGAGGAGGAGTTGGATAATGAGTTAACTGGGGGATGGAAAGTCATCGATGTACGTCGTCTTTTCTTCACACTGTGTGTTTTGCTAATTCTGTTTCTATTCTTCAGATGGCTCGTCGTTCAGCTCGTGCATACCTCTGATCAACCAAAAATTATTCTTTCATCCCAACCGACATCCTTCTTGGACATCCTATCCATGTACCATGCACCCTGCTTTGCTTCGACACTTGCGTGCCATATCTTCACGTCGCACAGACAATCATCCCCCACTCCACTCAGCCCCGGCCTGACTACAAAGTATATCATTATATCTAGCTCATACTCTATTCGTAATGACATTAGACAGAGCTACGGGACCTGTTCATGGCGCTGAGCAGCTCCTGTACTTTTTCGTGACGACTCATCTAATGGTCTGACATGTGAATAGTGGCGGTGTGTGCCGTTCTAAAGCGACACACAGCAGGTAACGGTGAATTTCCTGTATCAAAAGAGTCTAAGTCCAATAAACAAGAAGAAGGGTCATAGGGTTGATAATGGAGGGCGAGAGCGATGAAGAGAAGTAGGGACTATGAGTGAGATTTGAATCCCGGCTTGTTGTTATCTTTGAGTGAAGCCCAGGCATCCTCGGTAGCGACGGCAATACGTTGCTTGACGCTACCCAAGCTATCCAACGCCGGGCGAACATCCAAAGAGAACACTGGTGAACCATCTGGTTCGGGAGGAGCGGAATAGTAGTCAATCACATAGCGAACTTCCTCGCCTGTGCTCTTCCTTCTGACGACCCAGTCATGACGATCGAATGGAGGTTCGGTACTGATGAAGAGGGTCAGAGATCTTATATACCGGGAAGTATATTAACTCGATAACTTACTTGAATCGTGAAGGTAGTAGCCAGCCGGCAAACATCCAGAAGCGAGCTTTTGGTGAAAGTTCACCTGGGCGTCCCTTGAATCGGGTTAGCTGGGGGTCTTCCGTACTGGACATGTTCCTTGTTAGTACATGTCAAATCACAGAATAAAGACACAACATACGGATTCTGCTTCTTCTCCCATTTCAAGATCTCCTGCCAAGCCTCCTCGTTCAAGAAATTGTGAATGTGAACCATGGTCTCAACATGCTCCTCAGGCGTCTCCCATCCCTTCCGCACCAACGCATTGTAAAACTGTTGTGGTGAAGGGTACTCCCACCTTGAAGCTTCATCCCGAGGTATTGAGGAAGTTGCGCGGTCTGTGGGTAGAGCTAGTGACTGATCTGTGGCAGGTGCTTGAGAGAGGGAGGGCATTTGATTCAGAGGGTTGAGTTCGGCGTTGTCATGGCTGATAGGACATTGTGTTGGTGGTTGAGGTGTATGTTCGATCGGACATTTGGCTGGTGAAGATGCGGATGTAGATGCAGTTGAAGAGTTATGTGGTACAGGACATTGTCCTGAAGATGATGCGAGAGTGTCGTGCTTCACGGGACAACTAGCTGGTGCTGAGGCAGAGGGATGAGACACAGATTGACCCATATGTTTCGAACGAGAAGGTGAAGTGAGTCACTGGAGAAAGTTGAATAAAGAGTACGGAACGGTGGAGGTAAATAGACAACTTTTTGAATTGAGCGCTCTTCATTGGGTATGCCGTCAGTCCGACCGACTCCGAGAAAGTCGGATAAAGTCGGTTCAGTAAATCTCCGTCTTCGGCTTTCCATGACAAGAATGCACAATTCACACTGGACCAGCAGAGGCCCTCAGAAATGAACGATCTAACTCTTCACTTTCATTACCCTTACACTACTAAGATACATGTCATTTCGTCATAAAATTCTAAATGTCCTTTTCGCTTTACTTCTGACCCTGTGCAATCTCCACGGTCGTGGCGGTCTTACCGCTGCCAGTATCGGTGCAGCGAGAGCCAAGGGGAGGTGTCGACCTGTGAATGCCGACAGGGAAACATGAAGGCGTGTTGTCCTTGGTGACCAAGTGCTCTACGCAAATAGACTTGCCGAACTTGGTCTGCACCGAGAATGACAGACTCGACTTCATCTGGTTTTCCTGGATGTTGAGAGTGATCGCTGCCATGCACATGTCTTTGATGTCTTGCTGAGTATAGAGCCCGGCACGGTCATCCCATACAGTCTTGGGAGTCTTGTTGTTCAGCTGCGAAGAACATATTAATATAGCGGGGTATGCAAGTGGGATGAAATAGTACATACCCTGAAGGCGCAAAGGTGGGTCTCATTGTCACAGCGTCCAGGGTCAGAGTTGGCCTTCCTCCAAGCATTGAAGGTATGGCGTCCAGAAGTAGGATCGGTCTCCCCATTGAAGATATGATTTTGCATTCTCGCGAATTCAGCTGCAGCCTGTTGCTGAACGTTGGCATTGGGAGTCAACTGAAACGAGATCAGTTTGGGTTATATTATTACTAAATAGTTAGATGGGGCATACACGACTGGTTTGTTGGATAGTTGCACATTGTGCAGGCACAGTAACCAGGGTACTAGTCAACGTCCCAGGTCGAGGAACACATTTCAATGTAGTCCTGTCGAAAGCGCACGCGTTTTTAGGAATGGCAACTATTTGAATAAACGTATTAGGTCTGTTCTAAGTTAAGGAAGCTAAATACACACGACAAGCTTGGCAATTTCCGTTGCCATTGGGGTCTTTCGCACCGTTGCAAGGTGAAGCGGGAGGAGGTGCAGGCTTGGCCGGAGCAGGCGCAGGCGCCACAGGCTTCTTGGGCGGTTGCGCTGGGGGTTTGGCTCCAGGAAGCTTGACTCGTGCACTGTGTTATCGAGTCTAGATTGTTAGCAACGTGATGCAGGATCAACGTGAAGAACGTACACTAGATCACCAGGAACGGGCACAGCCAGGGCAAAAGTCAGAAGGGCAACGAAGGCAACGGTCAGAAGAATGGTATGACGTTTGGCGAAAGACATGATGACAAAATAAAGTGTTAAGCAAAAGGTTAAGGGAGGAAATGAAAACGTGAAGAGGGAGAAAGTGAAGAAAGAACTAAAAGTAAAGGGAAATGAAGGAAAGGACCGACCTGCGATGGAGAACCAACCATGCTAGGTCAACCCTTATATACTGCTAGGAGGGCCGACTCTGACTGATGCGTTGTTTCTAAAGGGGAAGAACAGCATTTCTCATCCAAGCAATTGGCCAGTCTATAATTACATCGAGGCAAGACCAATGCCGAAATTGTTATCTTGATGCATTGATGCATTGGTGCATTGATATGTAAAGTTCCCGACATCAAATCCTATGATTGCTTGAAATGGCCATCCTTTGTTGATGAGCAGGTCTGTCAGAGGGCAGCTAGAACCCATATGCATCTGGTCCTACCAACCATTGCAGAAGCTTTACATTCAGAATTCGAACTTCCCAAGGGAACTGTGAGACAGAATCCGGATGGGAATTCGATCAATTTCGACGACTTGCTCAAAGACATCCGAGCCATAAATAAGATGGCCAGAAATGAAAATATTGTTGCGGCGCTATGATTGATTGGCATTGTGAGACACTGGATGTGTGAGCACCGGAATCGACATGTAAATCCTTTGTTCCCAATGGCCTCTAATAAGATTGTAAAGTTTACAATCTTTGAGATTTCATAAACAAACGATGCCAAGCAAGGCGTTGGAAACCCGGGGAGTTCGCTAGCGGATCTGCGTGAGAAGGGACAGTGCGCTTTCAAAGTCAAAGTCAAAGAAGTCTACCTTGTCATCTGCCACGCATGAAGACGGCAGAGAATGAATAAGTGACGACTCTTAGTAATAATAAGAACATGTATAGAATTTGAACTTACTGATCAATCGGTCACACACGGAGAGTCACCATTCCGTGGAATTACAGACAAGTCAAGGGTAACCGTTGCATCTATTCTCTATCTTCTCTTTATTCGCAAGGCATCGACTGCACATACATTCGAAGTACCATCCATCCCAAAGGGTCTTTTGTCGCTCCTGCCAGCCCATATTCTCGACATGGCCATAGCTAATGCAAAGTTCTTCGCCAGCTTCGACCGGTCGTGTTGTAACGAATCGCAATTGGCAACCAGCTCGTTCTTTTCGTACATTTGGAGAACAATCTAGCAGCCAAATAAGTAAGGTTCAATGACAGAAGGACGGGATCACCGACGGTGGTTGAAGAATGACGGGATAGGGTATACGGCGAAGCCCAGACACTCGCTTTCATCTATGAGGGGTGTCTCCCAGATGCCGAAGGAGTTTCCTGGATCCACACCTAGAGCTGTCCGCACGTTTTTGATCGTGATGACTTGTGCGAGTCGTTGTGAACTTGACAACATTGCGGTATCCGGATGTGTGGTGGACATTTGACAGACATCTTGCTCTGCCAGCTGTTGAATATCCCCATTGACATTCATTCTAAATGCATTCGCGGTCGTGGGCTTTGAATGGAGACCAAAAAGACCCTTGAGAACCTGGTATATCCGAATATGATTGTCCAAAAGCTCCGGAAAGAGTTTGATCTGTATTGTTCCATTGGATTGCAAGGACGCAAAGTCGCTCCAAGAGCAAGACCCTTCGCCGAACTTTGCATCGTCTTTTGCTTCGGGAGACAAGTCAAGAACGCCGTGACTTGAGGGAAAATGTGCTTCCTTTCGTTGCCCAACTTCGAGAGAATGATGATATAGAGCCATAAGTACGTACCGAGCAATGTCTGCTTCGAAATCGTCCAGGAAAAGTTGACTCCATTTCCGAGTTTGCTTGCGGTTTCGTTCGATTTTCGCGACCTTAGACCAAGTCTCCTCGATTTCCTCATCAGAAACCTGTTTTCTTAAGTCTTCCCGCTCTTTCCCTTTCTTCTTCAGCCGCCTGACCTCCAGTCGCGTAAGAAGTTCCACCAGTTCCATGCCTTCCCGTTCTATCCACCTGTCCATACAAATCGCATCGCAAAACAGGAGACCAGCATTCTCGCCGTATTCGCGACAAGTCAAGAAGCCTCGACGACCAGACTGGTAGTTAAAACATTCGCTGCAGACCTCCGTGCGGAAATGCTTGTAGATGGTATAGGCATAAGGGGTATCGATATCAAGTACCGTCGTTCGGGCGGGTAAGGCATAACTGCTATAGTAGGAGCGACCAGAGAACGCATTCGTTCGGATCCGAAGGGGTACGCTGCAAGCGGTCATATGAGAGGATATCGGGTACGCAACCTCCTTTGCTATCAACGCTTGAGAAAAAAGTCAGGACAAAAAATATTCCAGACATGATATGAGAACGCATGAGTCCAACATAAACTTTCTATGAGCAAGAGATGGATTCCTACGGACGAAAGATCCCTGACAGTCTAAGCGTTGCAAAGGTCGTATTGTTTGTTACTGTTGTCCAGCATTCCCCCGAAGGATTACCTTTTATAGCGACAGTTTGATCACCTAAAATAATCGCTATTTTGAAAGACCAATAAAGAGAAGTGTAGTTTGAGCTGACATGTACTGGACATAGTAAGATACACAGGTTTTGGACGGACGGAACTATGAAATCTTTTCACTGAAGAAAAGCGATTTCTGACATAGATGTTTTCAATCCAACACTGACCCTCTCTACTATTTGAGACAAAACCTCCTCCTTAGCCTATGCGCTGTGGTCCCATCCGCACATCACGCTGTGACCTGAGGTGAGGGGAAGGTGAGGAGCTCCAAATCATACCCATGCATGAAAGTCCTCCACGTCCCTCAGGATTGATCTACATATTCATCTCTAACCCTCATGTGGCTTCAACCCCTTTATTACTTGGAATAGCTGGCGATCATCTGAAAGCCTGTACACTTCAACAACACTATCCTTGGCGCAAGATCCATCCTTGAGAATGGCAATGCAACCTCCTGACGGCATTGAGGAACATAGAATAGTCAGCTATAAGAGAGTGCAGGGTATGCACCAGTCTGAAATTGTATATTACATCCTTTGTATCACATAGGGTGCCTTCGTTGCTCCTGTGGATGGGAATGCCTGAATACCCATTTGAGCTACGGGTCGTCCATCCTCCCCTCTATAGACCTGTATATAAGTCTGCCTGGGGGAGACTACATTCGAGCTGATTCTCATCAGGAAACACACTTTAGGTACAGAGCTGCCTGCACTAACGACAGGGCAGTTGTAGCCTCCGTAGCTGGTGGTGCGTGCTCTGTAGCAGTCTATAGCAATGTGTCATGCTTTGGCGACTAGTGCTAGACTTCATATCCTCCCCAGCCATGCATCTTTGCTATGAAGCCTATAGAGAGATACTAGGAGATGTCAGTTTTCCTGTTCAAATTTCAGCTGAGTGTTTTCCGTATCAACAGAACATACAAGTGTGAGAGTGCAGAAACAAATTTATTTCTGAATTTCAAGCCATCTATCTAAAAGAAGTCGCAAGATAATGAAGTCCAGGTGTCGAGCATATGGATTGACGAAGAAGTGTTTACACTTAGCCATCAAATTCTCCCGGGTCCAAGTGCCATCTAATGACTTGCCCCACACCGGAATTAGGTGACACGAGTGAAGTATATGGGTCACAGGTATAACAGAAGCTCGGCGCTGATGGTTTTGAGTAGAGTATGCAATTGAGTACATACCGACATCTGCATTTCGCCTGCTGAATGGGGTGAACCATTCAATGTATGCCAGAGGTCCATTGTACAGATGCTGAATTTCTTCCGGAAGTCGGAAAAGTGCACAGATGTGTGCGACTCTAAGGTCTGCAGGAAGAATATTATTATCACTGCGAGTGCAAAGTAAGAGTCTGAAGCTTGGCAAAACTTACTGTGAAGAGGGCTCGCATTTTCCATTGGCTTGGAAAAGTGCATCTGTGGATCAAGAGTGAAAACAGTAGAAAAATAACCTGGTGTTGCTGGTTGCGCTCCCTTCGGAGGCCTTGGAGGCATGCATTGTATTGTATCCACTGCTGCAAACTGTGAAACATAGCTTGATACTGGCATTGTGAGTTTCACTTGCTTGTATACTGGAAGATGAGCATCGCCATTCAGTGGCACAAAGGGACCCTGATTCAGTGCACAGTAGGGTCGAAGGAACTCATTAACTTTGTCAATGAGATCATGTGTTCCGAAATCTGCAGTGAGGGTGGCCACCGTTGTCCCTGGATATGCTGGACATTTTGCAATAGCAAATCCTGTGCTAGCAAGAGGATGTCAGGCCTTACCTTCTCCGGCAGACTCGTCCTCACTTTCTTCACCCTCGATTTCCTCACCCTCTATAGATTCATCGTCCAATACACTACCGTTCCTGTCTTCGTCTTCATCGTCCCCATTCTCTTCATCATCAATGTCTCCCTCATCACTGTTGGTTGCTACAGCAATGATCAGTTCATGCTTGGACCAATCCAAATATGTTTGGAACCATTGTATAGCCTCCTGATGAGCAAGCCAGACAGTCATCTGTTTGATGTACTGTTTTCGGTTACTTGTTCAATATCCCAGCTTCGCGAAGTCTATATGGAGGCATTCTGGACCTTCCATACTATAGCCATCGGCAGTACCTAGGAGATGAATAGATCGCACGTAATGCTGCATCGAATGAATCTTCAGTATGTTGAAATCTTCTCGCATCCCGAGCCGTATAAAAACATGCTTTGCACTGTGGAAGGTTGTGTAAGACTGTTTGAGTCGACGAAGGGATTCTGCGGTATGGGTCTCAAAATGTGCATAGTAGATGAAGTCAAGTATGGCCTTGACTGCCGTTGCAACGGAAGGCTCAACAGTGCCAGCAATAGCCCCCAGGAAGACTTTCTCCATGTTCTTGTATTCATTCCTGGTCCATTGCGACACAAGTGAGATCCCCTTCTTGAAGTGACGAAGGTCAGGATGTGGAAGCATCAGCTTGAAGCATTGATCGATCTCATCTTCTCCACCAGCAGCACAGGCAGTCACCCATTTGACTGTATGGTCCTTGAAGACACCCTTATGAAGTTGGTTGAGGATATCTGGCGCCGTAGATGCGAAGATATCACAGTGTGGTAGGTTCATCCAGAAAGGATCCACTGCTCGCAGGCCTGCTTTGTTGAATCCAGCACAGTTCCCACCAGTGAGCCTTTCTGCGATTAGTTCAGCCATGTTCTCAGGGTCTCATAACAGAGATTCTAGTCTCTCACCACAACATTTGGGCTCGACGAGACATTTTGGACAGTGATTCTCCTTGCAGCATGCAACCAGGCATTGTTCTGGGTAATCAGCGATGTATGCTGCAACCAGTGGATAGACGCGATGCAGACATTCATCGCTGCAATCCATATCAACTCCATGTTGGCTGGCCTCAATGAGGGGTAGTAGGAGGGACCACATACAGTTATGAAAGAGCTGATATCTGTGGAGGGACTGAGTGTCCTTTGTGAAACATTCCAGTTTGCTCAAAGGTAGATATCCTACAAGAACAGTGGCATGGGAGGAGGGAGAGCGACAAGCAGCCTTAGGTATGTTTCCGACACTCATGTATACTGGCCATGCAGATTTGTCACCACTGAATGATGATAGCTGTGTCTTATCAGAGGCTAGAATCACAGGTGTAATGGTCGATCCTGTTGGCAAGAGTTTCTAAGTTGGTGTTATAGCATAAGTATGAGTGAATTTGCTAGTGCAAGAGAACCTTACCTGAATATCCCACCACCAGTCACCAGTCCACATTTCATTGAAGATGCGAGCTTCATCGCATTCAAATGGCTCTTGGAAGAGTTGCTCAGGTGTGTAATGAAGGTGTTCTTTGAATGCTGGATTTCCTATCAACTCCCTGATGCACTCAACTGGATTGCACTTCCACAGTTCAAAGACCTCTCCTTTCAGGTTTCCAGCTTCATCAACTTCATCACCTTCAACCTCCCACACTTCACATTTCCAGTCTGCTCCTTTTGGTAGCTCATCGATCTTCTTCAGTAGTGTTCACTTGTTATAAAAAGATAATGCAGTACGATTACGAGTCTGCCAGCCAACAATAACATGAGTTTAGTTGAATTGTTACAGGAAGTGCTTGGTACATACAATGTTTAGCTTTAAGTATTCATCAATTTTTGTTTGGCTCAAGCCGCTTGTCATCAGCCAATGAGCCAATGTCCATTCTTCTTCATCCGCAAATGGTGCCCACATGTTTTCATTTTTGCTGAGCTTGACATGAGCCTTCCGAGCTTCCTCAAACAGTGGCATTCCTTTTCCCTTAGAAGAGCCTGCTTTTGCTTCGAAGGGAAAGTCCTTCACAAACAGATACTTTGAAAGACCTCCAACCTCTTTGTCTTCAATTTCTTCGACTCTTGCACATTTTGATCGATGCTCTTCTTCAGAAGGTGAATTATCGAGGTCTGTATCTATGTGTGGATCATCCGCTCCTCTGAACCCTTGCACTTCATTGACAGGATTAAATTGCTGTGTTGTGTTAGGTTCGCCGGCCTGACATGTCCGGTGTGTTGCCTTTCGAAATGCCCTTCTGCAAACCACTGACTGTGAGATATGTGAGCGGAGCCCTTGGAGAGTATGCTTCACAGCATGGCAAACTGAACAATGATAGATTCGAGTTAGCATAGTTGGCAGAGGCAAGAGGGAATGACAAGGTGGCTGTTAGTAGGTGCATTGGTGAGCAAATCTTTTTGCCAATTTCTCTTCATATTTCATCCTGCCATTGCTGACTCAATACTCCACTTAGCAATTATATATTTGCTCACTTTGCGGCTCAGTGGGAGATTCCCCTTTTTTCTCTCCTCCTCACTCTATAATGCCTCCCCAGTCTGATGTTCATACTTCCTCTGATGAAGATCTCTCACCTTCACCACCCTCAAGAAAATGAAGTCGTCACCAAGAAGTCAATGTTTGGGATATTACACATGATAAATGTGCACATAAATCATCATCTCGGCAGAAAGCACTTGGTATATGCTTCATTCATTGGTTTTGATCCAGCCATTTGAGTTCCTCACATGTCCAGATCAGAACAACATAGAAACAATACAGAAGAAGCTTGAGCATGTTCAACATGAAAATACAAAACTAAAAGCTGCCGCGAAATGTAAGTTGCACTATTTCACTGGTGTGGGTTTATGTGGATTAATTGCCAGCAGGGAATACTTCTGGTGCAAAACCTGTGAATGTCCCATGCTCTCCTGTAGATGGCGGTGATGACATAGATGTTGAGAGTCAGGATGAGGTGGATATGGGTGCCACATTTCGGTCACCGGTATGTAACCCATTTTCAGCATACTCTTTGTTGCATATTAATTCTTTTGTATGATTAGTTTGTTTCGTGTGGTGAGGTCGAGGTGCCGAAACAGCCTCTTCGTCGTTCTGGACAGAAGACTTCCAAAAGGACAAGTATGATGGTATCAAAGCAAGCATCAACCCTGTCAAGTCGCCAACATTCGCCGGCAGTGTCTCATTATAGCTCACTACCTCTGACTGTTCTCGCTATCACTCTGATGTCCCCACCCGCTACTTCAGAGTCTATCTTGGATGATAGCACTCTTCCGGATATGTCTCAGACTTCCTCAAATGTCATGCCTCAAACTCCAAGTCCTTCAAACACTGTTGTGCCATACAACTCTCAAGCGTTGAAGACAACAAATCATGATATGATTATATCAGCTGATCTCGCAACTGATCCTATCACCTACATCAATGGAGAAGTCCCCAGAGGTCGAGCAAAGGCGGCTGACTATGAACCGACTATCGAGAAACTGATCAATGCTGCAGGGACTCATTACAAGGTCAATGTACTCACCATTCACGCATTTCCATCAAGGGAAGTTCAGACTCAGTGGGCGAAGGAAGCGTGGGCAGCTGCCTGTCTGGGTGCTAGTCAGCGGTTTGCCATCCAAGGCACCAATCGACTGCTTAAAGCGGTATGTGCCATGGAATCATGACTTGTATTCTTGTCTTACTAGTGTTGTTTTCAGATCGATAACCATGGGTCTTCGTGCCATGGTAATATGAAGGATAGAGCTCGTCCCTTGATAGAGGGTGAATTCCACTTTCGATCTCTGGTTACGAGAGAGAAGGATCAACGCCGGAACAAGACCCTTCTATGGTCTCTTTGCGAAGGTGAACCTCCCCGGTTCTGCTATAAGGTCAGTTTTCATCCTTCACATAGTATCATATATCACTGACGATGATATTTTCAGAACCGTGAGAAGCTTACTGGTTTTGCAGAGTCAAAGATCATGCTCAAAATCCTTCAACTTCAATGCTTCAAGAACACATCTGACATTGGTGTCGAATATGAAGACAGTTTCAACCCGATTCCTATTCCGATCTTGCACTACTCTTGACATTGGTTAGCAATAATTGTCAGACTGTTCATACTATTACTGAGGCATTTTGACATGTAGATCAAGTTCCTATTAGAGGAATGGCAATCCGGACAATGCATTCATAGTGATTTCACTGAGGACAACAATGGCACCCAGTTCGCGGTGAACCTCAAATGTGTATGTGACTGGGAAACAACTAATCCAGTGGTCATAGAGAAGATTCGATGGAGCATGTACAAGCGAGTCTGGTATGTGTTCGTTCAAATTTAGCTCACATCAGGACTTACCATTTATTCTCATAGTCAAATGGCCAGCATCAAGACTGTCAATGCTAGCATTTCTATAGGTTTCTCAGATGCATCAAAGAAACGTGTCGCCGAAGAGCTTGCAGGTCATACCAGAGATACCGAGAGTGAAAGATCCAGCGATGAGGACAGTGATGATGGTCGAGAGGCATTCCCAGCTCTATCTGTGACTATCGCTAATGAACAAGTGGGTGGGCAAGACTAGGCTGACAGAACTATACCATGCTATTCACTATAGTAGACCAGAGCAATATATAGTTTTTATTAATCCATACTATGGGCTGCCAAACCAACTGTTCCGAAAGTGCTCTAATGCCAGATCTGCTGCCTTGGTCAACCTCTGGAATATGACATTGCCATCATGTAGCACTACCTAGCACTCCCCTATATGTGCAGGAGCTCCTCTCTCGTGCTATGCATACGTCGCACAGAATCTACAGGATACTACACTGTGGTGGCTAACATGCTACATAGCGCTACCACTGCTATGACCTTCAACAGATGCACCTACTTGTCTATGAAGCTACACATGCTATGTAGCCTCAGGAGTGCTCTCTATACATGTTGGTGATTCCTGATGCTCTGGCATAGCAGAGGATATAGTCATCGGCAAGCATAGACCAACTTGATACAGCCGAGAGGCAGCTTTTCAATGATAGTAGAGATTCTGCCATCTGTCAGCGACAACTTCGAGAAGAGATGCAGACAAACATAAGCTGATCTTTCGTATAAGTAGTAAGGGGGTTATGACTATGTATGAATGTAACGGCGGATGATACTCTCATGCCTGACAACTTGAGGCAATATATTAAGTGTTGTATCATTTAAGGTAACCTATCAATCAGAAGTGACAACGCGTAAGGCTGTTAATGTCTGTAAAAGAATACTGAGCGGTACTAACAGGACTAGCCAAGGCCCAACGTGGTGGTTAGTGAATGCTCACTGTTAACGCCGCAATCATATCGAGTTCGATCGTGTGATCGAAAGCCACGCGGTTGGAGGAATGGCGAAGATTAGATTGGTCCCGAACGCGTTTCAATATCTTAGTTCCGATCTTGTTCGCCACCAGAGCACAGGTAAAATGTCTATGGGCGGAGCTCCGGCGATGTTCAACTTGTATTCTGACTTCATACCCAGGCTCTAGGTCTCATACATTACTGTCGCTCACAGCGAGCTTTGGGCTGAGCCATTGCCTGGATTCACTGTCAATGCTCCTAGCAGTTCTTCGGTTTCCAGTGTCCGTCCTTAGCCGTCCACAACATATAGCGCAGTATATTCGCAGCCAGTCCGCCGGTCGTAGAGTGCAAGCCCCGATAGGCTATTTCGATAGACACTTATCCTGTTCTCGAATCGCCCAACGCCCTATCAGTGCTTTGGCGAGTCAGGTGAAGAAAGATGAAGACGAAATTCAACAGAGGGAATCTGAGGAGGATTTGGAGGAGGAAGTTTCACTCAACCGACCTCAGGATCAACATGAGCATGCCGTAATCTCAGCGTTCGATTTGTTCAGTATCGGGGGTGAGTCTGGTAACTACCAGATTCAAAGCAACCCTCACGTCCATGCTGTATAGTCGGACCCAGTTCTTCCCATACAGTGGGGCCTATGCGAGCTGGCAAGATATTTATAAACGATCTGGAAGAGTTGAATTTGCTAGAGAAGGTATGTTGGACCTTGCCATGATTGTCCCGATGCCCAAATCTCATTCTTAGTAGGTCAAGACCGTTAAGATCACGCTGTGAGTTATCTTCTAAAAACAAAACTTGTCACTTATAACGATGCCCGAATGGCTAGTTATGGCTCGCTCGCAGCCACAGGTAAATGCAAAACATTCGAATACCGTCTTTACTGACATGATGCATGTTGTTTCGTAGGTAAAGGGTATGTGCCCTTAGCATTGATGAGGAACTATAATGTTCTCAGGATAACCATTTCTCAGCCATCATACACCTCAAGCCATTCTTTTAGGACTAGAAGGTCCGCCTATCTCATTGTTGCCTGACTTTATTCACTCACCGTCTGTGTTACTCGACCAGGCTCGGATCCAGAAACCATAGATACTGGTACCATCCCTTCAAGATATCAAGCTATTCTCGATAATAAGCATCTCACACTTGGCGGAAAGCATGTTATCCATTATGATATGGACCGAGATATGCTGTGGCGCTGGGACCAAGTCCTTAAAACTCATCCGAACGGAATGCGATTTTCAGTCTTCTCAGAACATGGTGACTTACTCGCCACCAACGAATACTACAGCGTTGGTGGAGGATTCGTTGTCAACGACAAAACCAAAGGTGAAGTGTCTTTATCTCCGTTATCGAGGAGGGTGAAGTAGCTAAATACACCTTCCTAGTGGACGAGAACCTGTTCTACAAGGGTGTCGACAAGAGTTCAGTACACGGTGCTAGATTGCATCAGACCCATAGCTTGTCAGATCCAACTCCGGGCGCGCCACCACCGCCTCCGGATCCATGTCAACCGCCTTATCCATTTGCGGTGCGTACTATGCCACAATGTATGGTTTGATCGGTGCTGACTTTGATATACATGAAGTCTGGAGACAGTTTACTCGCACTAACCAGGAAACACAATGCAAGTCTGTTCCAATATTCCTCCCCTAAATTATGTGTGCTCATAATGAGATATAAAGATGACGATTGCGCAAATCGTTTATGACAACGAGCTTCATTTCGGTCTAGGACATGACGAGATTCACGAGAAAGTGCGCACGCTCTAGGACTACGACATGTAAAACTTACATCTACCTAGATTATGAGGATATGGGCAGTCATGGATGACTGTATTCGCCAAGGCGTTTCTTCTTCCGAGGAGAAACTCCCAGGTCGTTTAGGCCTACGTCGCCGCGCACCTATGCTCTACAGACGACTAATGAGAGGGTAGGGATTCCTCCACTTCTCGTCATTCCGTTTTCCGCATCATATTCATCTTATATCTCTACAGGTTTTACCCTGGCTTGTCCACGCCGCACATGCCATCAATCGCCGCTGGTGAACAAGCCCCAGCTATTCATGCTCCGGAAGGCTTCGATGGGATTTCTTCAAGCCATCTGGACCATCCTGAGCATGCCAAAGGTAGTCATCCACGTAGCCGACTACCCGCTGCTGCAAGAGCACGAAGGGTTGTTGGGTCATTCGATCATCCTGTTCTGCCTATGGCCCCAGTGAGTCTTCTCATTAATCGAGAGAATGGAGACTGATTAGAGGAGATATAGCGCAAGACTATGATACCCGCCATGGACTTCCTGTCGTGTTATGCTATCGCTGTGAGCATGGGTCATATCGTTAACTGTGACAAACTAACATCTCACGTCTTCAGGTGAACGAGGTGAATGCGAGTGGAGGAAGGATAGTCACTTCTCCGACTAACGGCGCTGCTGGAGTCATACCAGCCGTGTTGAAGTATATCGTCGAGGTATTTTATGGGAGTCCAATAATCGCATTGAAGTCATACTGATTGTCCTGCTTAGTTCATCAGCGACGACCCTGTGAAATCAGTAGAGACCTTCTTATTGACAGCCGCGGTAAGTTAGGTGAGCGGGGGTTAGTGAGGAGTATGCTTAAGTCTTCTTTTGAAGGCCATTGGTATGCTCTTCAAGCGGGGTAGTACAATTTCTGCTGCCGAGGGGGGATGTCAGGCCGAAGTAGGAGGTGAGTCTTTACACCATCGAGGACTTCGAAATGATGGATTGATTCGGCTGTAGTTGCTTGCTCGATGGCGAGTGCAGGCTTCGCTGCATGTATGGGAGGTGCGGCACCTTCGTGCTCAACTTCTCTGCCATTCTACTAATTCGTCGTATTCGCTAGCCACTCCGGAGACTGTTTTACAGGCAGCCGAGATTGGAATCGGTATGTCGCAACATGTGAGGCCAGTTACTAACCCGGTTCTTACTTACACAACGTAGAGCATAACCTGGGTTTGACGTGTGATCCAATCGATGGTTTGGTTCAGGTTCCATGCATAGTAGGTCTCGTCTTGAATTGAGACCGATTCACTTCTCACTTACCATTTGTACTCGTAGGAACGAAACAGTCTCGGTGGTATGTTATGCCATCTGCTTCCATTCATGTACCCTTTTTTCATGTTTGCTTGGTATCTCTTAGCCGTAAAAGCTGTGACTGCTGCTCAGCTTTCCATGGCTAGTTCAAATGTATACAGGTGAGCATGAAGGCTCAATGCCGAACCTTCTTGTTCTCATTTTGATTGCTTCCATCAGCGTCACCCTTGATGAAGCTATCGAAGCTATGAGGCTCACAGCGGCGGATATGAGTGTGAAGTATAAGGAGACTAGTTTATCAGTAAGTACGCTTATTCGGAATCACCATTACCTCTGCTGATTCATATGCCTACTCAGGGACTTGCGGTACGTGGACAATTCTGATGATCGTAGAACTTTTTCTGACGAATCATAAACAGAGGACCGTGAAAATACCGCTTACGATGCCTAATTGGTAGGTCCTTTATGAGTCAATGAATTATTGCAACTTTTCTTAACGTTCTTCCTTCTAGTTGATCGGGCTGCCAAGACTCGCAGTGAGCACAGAAGACTTTCACCTAGACTCACAGTTACTCCATGTTCTGTGACGGACATTATAGAGTAGGTGATGCATACTGAAGTGCATACGTTAGATTTCCACTTTGTTCTTGGAGCCATGCTAGTGTATCGAGGGATTCGAACTATTATACAAGACTCGGACTATTTCATGTCGTATTACTAGTACTCGTTCCATTCTTTCGTTCAGAATTCTGGTGGCGGCGCGAGCGCAAGCATGCTGAACTGTACGCTGGCTGCCGTGTCGACGTAGTGCTCCTTGACGACCCTCGCAACATCCTTCAATAGATCTGTACATAGACCTCTATCAAGCGGACCATCCCTTCTGCCGTCCAGTTCAATTAGACGTCTCACCGACGGATTGGCAGGGTCTGGAGCCTTAACGAAGCAAGTGAAGTGAAGATCCACTTTGGCATTGGCATCTGGTGCAGCTGTCTGACCGGCAGATGCTACTTCAGAGTGAATCTCGGAGAAGAGCGTGGTCGTTTCGAGAAGATGTGAGCGCGCCTCCGGTGTCAAAGCTGTGAAAATCAGAAAACTTCAACATGGGTGAATAGTGATGTGGAAAGGCTTACTTCTGCACTCTATGATAAACTTCGCAATCGGGCTGTCTGGTATCACGGGCACATTTGTCTGTTAATAAAGGTTTCAATAAAGGGACAAACAGATGAAGATATTAAGGCAAAGATTCGTGTCTTACGTTAATAATAGCGTGTAGTAGAGCCATCGTTCCACATGCATTTCCAATCTACGAAACAAAACGATAAGTCTTGCGGGTATCAACATAACTGAACAATGGTACAGTTTGCTTGATCCAAATTATGGAAGAATCAACATGATGTTGTCCCTCCCGTCGGATCTTGGCAATCTCCTCCTGCGTCTTCCTCTCGATCGCGTCGGTTAGTGGAAGGAGAAGAATTACTGCTTTGACAGGTTGTGGAACAAGAGCAAGGAGCTAAAGGCAAGAAGTCGTTGAGCACTACAGACGGAGAACCATTAACGGGAGTCGTGCCAAAGGAACTTACGTCCTCATCAAGTCCATAGATATCTGAGTATTCGAATTCTGAAGTTATGAGCCCAGCTTTGCTACACCACTGGTTCAAATCAGGCGCCGATCAAGGCTGAAGGATGCTCTGCCTAGCTTACTGAGTTCAGAACCTAGGTGTTTAAGAAAGATGTCAGCATCGGCCAGGGTAATCCACTTAAGAGGGGTGGACAAACGTCAGGATTGCTTTCAAGGGGAATCCATCGCGTCGCGCCCGGGGCGGGTTCAGACATATTGGTATGAAGTCAAGATGGTAGTTTAAGTCAAGGATGAGTGCACAGCCCCCAGTATTTGTCGAGACTTCGCAGGCGCGTCGAAGAACGCGCTCTCAGGCACACTCACAAAATGTGATATGAAGGGGATGATGTCATTATATACAGACTAAAGTACATAGTGAATATATCTGCCTGCTAGATCTAGCGATACAAAGTCATTGAATTCATATGCATACATTCGTCATCTACGATGCCTTTACTTCCTCCTTGACCACCGCTATTTGTTCAGTCTTGCTTCCCTTCTGCGGTAAGTTAGGATCACCCTCGTATCCTTCGACCTTCATGTCATTCAAACCAAGGGCCTCATTCTGTTCCCATGTCCTATCATATGACTCAATCGTCATGTTAGGGTCTGGGTCGGGAGCATAGAGACTCTGTATATATGAGTTGGCAAGGGGGTCGTCCAAGATGACGGTAAACGGTTGCTCGGCGGTCTTGACCTGCAATACAAACGTTAGCATGACAATAATTAAAGTTTCATGTAGGGTAGCGTACCTGCTTGAGCCTCTGAAGGAAATTCTCGAAGGCACTGTCGCCGACCTTCGCATCGGAAAAGACCTTCTCTGAAAGTTCCTCGTACACCTGATCGAGGATACCTTCCAGGGTGGTGAACCTGCCTCCGAGCGTACCGGGCTGGAGCACAAGATCGATCTCGGGTATCTGCAAACCGGCGGATTCGCTCTGAATAACAAACTGATCAGAACACAGGCAACCCGTAAGAAAAGTCGAATAGGACTGACCTTGAGGATATCACGACTGAGATCATCCCTGTCTTCTACCTTCAACGTGATACGTTTTCCCTGAGGCGAGATGGCAGAACCTGATTTGACTTCATTGTCTCGGTAACCACAGGCTTCACAGTTCGTTGACATGATCAAAACATCCTACACGACACGGAGATCAATAATTCCTAACGTGACGAGAAAGCTTCATGAGAACTTACCTTAAAGTAAGGAATGTTGACCTTCTTGATCAACGTATCACATCGATGTCCACAACTTGAGCAAGTTCCCGGGAAGACAAACAGCTCCTCGTTTTCTCCTTCCAGACCCTGACCAGGAAGCTCCTCGGCGTTCTCAATCGTCGGGGCCTCGGGCTGGGGCTCTGCATTAGGATCTATTAGACACAAGTCGATATTCTGCTGTCTCGAACGATGGTATGTCCGCATGTTCCACTTCGGGTCGGCCATGCTTCCGTAGAACTCGATGAACGAATTACCCGCGGGATCGTCCAAGATGACAGTGAAAGGTTTCATCGGCGCATCTATCTCTGCGGCCCTTGGCTTCTGCTTCACTTCCTCTGCCTCGTTCTCATCCTCATCTTCAACGTCTCCGAGAACTTCCTTGATAGCGTCGATGATGCCTTGTATCTTCGCATAAGCAACCTCGTTTTGAATCTGCCGTAGAGGCTGGTCCAAGCTCAGATCCGTTGCAATATCCCGAATGAGACCCTCGACTGTAGTAAGTTGACCACGAGATGGCGGGATGGTGAGTTCCCATTCGGGTATGATTACTGTGCATTTCTCCGATTTGACTATTTGTCGGTTCAAGTCTTTTCGGGCAATGATACGAGCAGTGTAGACGGTTCCCTCGGCTATATCATTGTCATGAGCATCGAACTGGGGAATAGATGGAAATATGCGTACGTCGAATGGTTCCTGCGGTTTGGATCTCGTTATTTGAGAATCCGCAGTGTTCACAATGGAAAGACATGACAACGACTTCTCGAAAGAATGGAATAGAGGTCAGAAGCAATCTGGTCTTTCCCTGTTGAAAGGAAATATAAAGTGAGATTTGCCTGTTTTTCCAAAGTGAATCAGAGAGCTTCGCACCTGTTGTTCGCAATTCATACACAGTGATTCGATCTCTGTCACAGGACCCTCGTCCTCTTCGTCCTCTTCCTTAACAACGACCTGCAGAGGATTTTCCACTGCAGGCTGAGTGGAATCATTACCCTGTAGGTGTGTATCGTGTACTACTTGGCCAATGGTTGGAAATAGATTAGGTTTTGACTCTTGATTCGCCATCCTTCAGGGGTATGGTTGGTGGTCGCAATTCGTTTACGAGTTAATGCACAATGTGCGAGAGGTATCTAGGTAGAAAGCGTAGCTGTTGGTGAGCAAGCCGTTTGGCTTTGGATTGCTTTTGGGCAGGATACCATATTTTGTTTTGCTTCCAGCACCTTCCGCGAGCAGCGAGAGTCATCCATGACCCATCGGGCGCCTCTTATCGATCGACCAAGCTAGACTCCATCAATTGCAAGTGTCCTGTCAAGCCTCGAGCACTCAGCAAATCGCTCAATGATCTATGTCTATATATGCAGGGATCTAACAGTACGCATGTATATATGCTATGTAGGAGCGTGTTGGGGGAAAAAATGCTTGGTATGCTTTTGGTTTCTCTAAAAATATATGCACAACCCTTCTTCCCAGTCGTCCATCCACCAGGGGCAAACAAATAGCAAGAAACATTGATGAGATCATCGACGAAACAACAAGCAAACAGTGAGATGAGATGCGAGATGAGAATACAATGTCCGTCTTCAGCAGACAAGCTATAATGAAAAAGCGACCATTCATGGCCGGAGGTGATGTCTTCCAGAAGTGTCGGTACTCCGAACACTGCCCGAACGTCCGAGTTTCGTCCTGAACGTCGAAGGGGAAGGCGGCGGTCTTAACCTCGGACCTTCCGGAGACATCGGAGGCAGGTTTCGAGGAAGTAAGACAGGTTGGATAGGCATAGTGTACTTGACGTCTAATTCTTCTAATACACTCTTGAGATTCCGCATGAAAGCCGTTCGACGTTGCCAGCGGCCTCCCCAGTCCTGCCAGTTTGGTCTATGTTCCATGCCTACAATGATGTGAATGGCATTTTGATATTCCATTTTGTCGATATGGACGTTGACATTGGACCATTCGCGATTGTTTTTGGCGACGTAGCCCTGAAGGCGAATTCGAAGCTGTTCGATGACCTCCAGAGGCGTGTCATAGGATATCATAAGTTCAGTGGTTTCCCACCTGAAGCATACAAGGTGAGTAAGAACGCGGAGGGACAAGAAAGACCACTTACATGGAGCTACTACGACGCATGTTGTGAACCAGCTTCGAACTCGCCAGCAGCGAGTTAGGCGCGATGACCTCTTGCCCGTCGACTCGGCGGAATGTTGTTGAGAAAAGGCCAAACTCTCGTACGAACATCGGCTAGGGCGACGTAAGCATTGTCTTGTATCTAAAGTAAGATTGGCACTCACCACCCCGTCGTCAATCACCACAAGGTCACCAACGTCGAACACATGAGTAGAGAAAATGAAGATGAGCTAGAGAAACAGGTCAGTTACGACCTGTGGGGACACGGTGGAAACAGATAGACACTCACAGATTCGAATAGCGTTTGAGCAGAGTGACCAAAGACGAACGAGAAACCAAGAATGATGGTAGCAAGCGGGACGAGAGAAGCAATAGTATTGCGCCGGTTGAAGATAAGCAAGCAAACGAAGATGAATATCAATAGTGTGACTGCAGTAAGGACTGCGTCTAGTTTAGCCACAGCAGAGCTGACATCCTATAGCGCATGATTAGTCAATCGAGATGTGAAGCCATGTTGCCACGAAGACATACCTTGAGACTGGCCGTCAGGACTTTTCGTTCTCTATATATCCGACGGACGGCCTCACGCATTTCTCTCTTGCTGATACTAGCGTTGCTGTCTTTATCAAAAATGGCAAAGGCAGTTTGCTATCGAGCACTGAATTCAGAGAACAGCTCAAGACACTATCAAAGTAAGACACTTACAGCATCAGCGATGGTCCGGAAGTAGGGATAGAAATCTAGCGTGTTCAGAGTCAGTACAGAAGGAACAGAAGACCTGAACAACAAGTGTTACCTTCGACGAGTAGGTGCGATCTTGCTGGATACACGTTACTCAGAGCACTGAACAACTTTCGAGCAAGCTTTGAAGCAGAATATAAGCCACCAATCTCCGTTTGCCGGTTGAACTTTGAGTTCTTGAGCGCGACCTGGCCGATGGCTTCTCCCAAACCATCCACGATGACACTCGCTACGGCCTTCTTTTTTCGTTTCCGGCGCTCAGCGTTGTTCGCCTTGATGATCTTTCCGGGATTGTTGAGCGTAGGAGATGATGAAGTGCCCTTCTCGCCGCTAATAGGTGAGCTACTTGTGCTACCTGGTGGACGATTTTGTCCACGACTACCGAAACCGAGCAATTCCAGCGAACCCAGGGATCGGTGACCTTGACCTTTCTTATTCCCATATGGACCACGTCTTGTGGAGACAGGTTGAGCGTTGGATAGACGATCGAGGGCCCAAAGACCGAGACGGTTCTCTGCGAGACGTTCTGCCAGAGCCTTTTGATGGAAATTGATGGCGACGTAATGCAAGAAGACTTTCTCGACCAGGAGAAGGAGGGTTCCAGAGAAGAGTGCCTGATAGGAGGCTGTCAATACTTTGATGAGCTGTGTTAGGCATATTACCTAACCTGCATGACACGATTGACGGTGACCCAGTATGACCCAGGGGGGCGATAACTTGCGCGAATGACAGAAAGCGCGATCCACATCCACGTCATGTCAAGTGTCAGTTTCAGCCAGCCGCAGACAGCGGACATTAGCTGCAATCAACTAGATGAGCGCATGTAATGAATACGGAAACATGAAGACTCACTTCTATGGGGGTTTGCAGACGTTCCACTTTATAGTTGGCAATCTTGAGGATGCGAAGCACAAGGCTGGGGAGCAGATCGACTACAAGATATGTGACACATCCACATCCCCAAGTGACCGCCAACCAAAGCGACCACGCGTGTGCTTGCATCCGGACAGGACTGCTATTAAAACGCAATCGGAAGACAAGCAAGGGTGTAATGAGGATGCCTGTTCCGATAGTGGCAATGATGAGGGTCCGTATAGGCCTCGCAAGCTTCATGAAGCCGCGCCATATCGCGCCCATCCGCTTGACCTTGACCTTCTCTGCAGCCGTCTTCTGACTTGTGGCATCGTCCTCTGCTTCCCAGTCAAACTCATCAGAAGAGTTGGTAGCAGACGATTCCGAAGGAGAGTCTTCGCGTTCGGCATCGATAATGTGCGGGCGATTTGGTGAGGATACGAAGTTTGCCTCAGTGTCTATGCGATTGATAAAGTCGTTCTCTTTGGGGTTCAAGGTAGGGAGAGGAATGTCTTCGCTGTTATGAGAGCCGCCGGGCATGACAGCTAGAGGCGCTGTGGTTGTTGTCGGTGTCGTCGACGACGGCGGGACGAAAGAGCGTGGGCGAAGAAGATCCTGGAGACTGTACAGAACAGGTGTTGCTGGAGTGAGAAGTAGCTAGTTGGACATTGCTTGGCAACTAGGGCCGTAAAATATTATTTTCCACAAATCTCAGATGAGCGCTGGAAAATAACCTTTCCGGGAAGTGAATCCCCCATATTTGGGTGACGTCACGTATATTCCTCGAAGGACAATCCAACAACCGTACGCCCTAGGCCTGGGCGCAAAGTTTCAGCCTCTATAGGGGAAGACAAGGTCTCGACAACGTAGTCCCGATTCGAGGCTTACACAAGGATCGACAACGACGCAACCCTATATGCATGCTGCCTCCGTAACCTCGCACTTCAAGCTACGTCCTGAGGTGTCTTACCCAATTGTTGAAAACTCCTCGACTAGACATAATTAATTCCTCGCTAGCTCGTAACTCAAATCATGTGTTACTGAAGCAATTTAGTGCATGATCGAACTCTCAGGCACTTACCCAAACAATGCAGCGGTCTCAGAAACAATAGCTTCAGCAGACTCCAATAGCCAGTGAGATGAATGTACCAGAATGCATGCAAATTCACACTTATTACCAGTATATACTATGTAACGTCAACTTCGTCACTTTCGCGTTGCAATATCTTCGGTCACGCCTTTGATAGCACCATGGCCCGTATCACTACAGGAAGAGCCCAGTGGCCTCGATCCAGGGAACGTGGAATGAATACCAAGAGGGAAGCATGACGGAGTATTTGCCTTCGTGACGAGATGTTCGATGCAGATAGGCTTGCCAAATTTCGTTTGCACGACGAAAGCAGCGGAGGACTTGGCATTGTTGTTCTTCTGAATGTTCAACGTGATGGCATTCAAACACATATCTTTGATGTCTTGCTTAGTATAGGCACCCGAGCGATCATCCCAAATGGTCTTCGGCGTTTTCTCATTAAGCTGAAAAGTTGCGTTAGATGCACTGTATTCGGCAGAGATATTTCGCGAGCAATTAAACGTACTCGGAATGCGCATAGGTGGGTGTTCTTGTCGCAAATACCTGCATCTTTGTTCTTCGCAGTCCAAGCGCTAAATGTGTGTCGGCCAGAAGTGGGATCTGTTTCGCCTTGAAAGATGTGCTTCTCCATCCGCGCAAACTCAGCGGCAGCTTGCTTCTGAATGTCAGCATTGGGATTTATCTGAGCACAAGTCAGCGCCGTGTCAAAGTAAGGAAGTAAACGCAATGCAACTCACGTTGGTCGTCTGTCTGATCGTGCGACATTGTGTGGAAGTAGTCACGAAGCTAGCGCCAAGGGAACCAGCTGGCTTCGGTACACATTTAAGACCATCACGGTCGAAAGCGCAAGCACTGTTTTTCACTGTGGAAGATGGAATTCTGATCAATACTGGGGAGCAAAAGGGGAGGTAAGGCAAGACAACTGACCACACGCATCACAGTTTCCGTTGCCATTCTTGTCTTTCAATCCGTTGCAGACCGACTTTGGAGGGGGTGCAGGGCGCTTGGGAGGTGGAGGTGCCTTGGCTGGAGCAGGGGCTTTGGCTGGAGCAGGCCTTGCAGGTCGGGGAGCCACAGGACGCGGTTTGGCAGGACCGATCTTCAGTCGCGCTCTGACGTCGCGAAAATTGTCAGTACCAGCGGTGAATGGGAAACAAAAAGAGGAACATACTCCAGTACTTGATTGGAGGGGAATGCAACTGGGAGAGCGAGGGCGAAAGTCAACAGAGCAGCCAAAGCGAAGAAAAGAATGGTGTGTTTAATAAGAGCCATGATTAACGTCAAGAGGTTATTAAAGAATGAGCGACAAGTACAAGTGTTGTGAAGGAATGACTAGAAGTGGTAAAAAGAGAATGAACAACGAAGAATGCCCAGGACCGACCTGCGATGGGGAAACGTCGTTCAATGGGAACTGTATTTATACACCTACATTTACACTCGTATCACAATAAGCAATGCCAACAGGGGAGGCCAAATATTGCAGAGAGCTGTCAGAAGTCAGATGGGAAAGATTTGTGATCATAACATCCCACGATGCCGATACATTCTAGTACACATCAAACAAATGAATGCCACGACGACGACATGCATCAAGTATAACGTTTAAAGCACGGAGCACTTAAAATGCGATGCAAAGCACGATCGGAACTCAGAGTCTTCTCATTGTCCAGCTTTAGAGTGAAACTGTTTGGGCAAGGACGAATTCGACGACGATACTGAGCATTGCGAAAAGCGAAGCAATGGGCTCCAAATGCGACACAGTCGGTTGGTCCGCTGCCAAGAACAGGAAAGGGTGGTCCAGCGGTATTGAACATGTATGCAGTGTGATGCGCCCTGACTGCAGCTGCATCGAACTTGATGACATCTTCGGCTCGTGATGAAGAAATGATTTTTCAAAGCACTGAAGGATTTTGCCTTCCGTTGACGAAGTACCACGGAATTGAGAGCCAGGCCATAGGATCCCATCGGTTTTGCAAAGTTTCTTCTGCAGGAACGTCGATCCAAGTAAGTAAGCCAAGAAAAAACGTAGTGACGCTGCATGAGAGAATGTTTTCAAGTTGGAAATTTAAGCTCTCCTTGATGATCGATCACAACTTTGCACTTGCACAGCTATTTCGCCAAGCCTGTTCCAAATCTTTCTTCTGGCAGCTCAGACATTTAATCAACAAGCAAAGCCAATCGGATTCGCTACCTTAGATTGCAATTGATAGAAAGGCAGGTCTTGGGAAAAGTACTGCGAGCAAAGAGTAATTGAAGTACGGCAATCCACCATTCTCCGAATCAGACAGAATTTCTCTAATACTTGGGGCAGTCGCCTTGCCTTGCGTTCATGCCTACAATGTGTTATAATGTTAAACACGAATGTCCATGTATCATCCTAAAAGCTGAACTCCGACCTCAACCCTAACATCCCTGACCCTGTGGGACTAGCCTAACAGGACCCTGACCCTGTTGAGCCGGAGTGCACGCCCGAGATGAATCAACAGGCGCAGTGGTATAATGGAAGCCAATCGGGAAACATGAAGGCGTGTTCGATGCTGTGACAAGATGCTCGATGCAGAGACTCTTGCCGCTCTTCGACTTTATCACGGAGTTCCTACTACTGGCCATCCTGTTGTGTCTGATATTGAAGAGGATTGAACCAGTACATATGTCTTGTACATCCTTCCGAGTGTATCGAGCAGCCTGACAGTCGTTCCATACCGTCTTGAGACCACCCTAATAGTACAAAATGGGAGAGTGAGTACCTCAGCCGAACAGATCAGCATCACAGTGAACGCACGTTGAATGCACAGAGATTCGTATCATCGTCGCAATTTCCTTGATCATTATTCTTCAGCCTCCATGAAGTGAACAGATGCCTTCCCGCTTTCGGATCATTAGGTTCTCCGTCAAGCACGTGGGTTTCCATTCTATTCCACCCGGTTCGAGCCCGCTGCAACTCGGTCGAGGTGAAGCGAGGAGTTTCCTGAAGGAGTATTTTGTTACTACAGGTTCCTCAAGCGTACTCACATAACATACCATGCTAATCTGTTGCAATGTAGTGCACTGTGCAGCATTCTCATTACCCACAAGGTTGTCGGGGAGCTTTCCGGAAGGTCGGGAGACGCAGTCCAGAGTGTTTCGGTCGAATGCGCAGATGTATTTCCCTTTGTCCTGCAACGCCACTGTCGACGATCCAGTCGTTATATTTTAGATAGCGTATGAACTGAAGGTATATGCGTACCGCAGGGGGAGCACTTGCCAGTGCCATTAGGATTCTTCTGGCTTGAACAGCGATCGTCCTTGGCAGCAGGGGCGAGAGACATGAAGAATCTACAACATCATACGTTCAACGAGAACGCAACAGTCGACTGATAGGAATAGCTACATACTGGTCAAGCCAATCGGGCATCAGAGCCGCTGACGACATGGATGTCAAGGCGACTACAATAAAGAGGGCGGAAGTCCACTTCATGGTAGAGTTATACCGGTGAGCTGAATAGGAAGAAATATGCACAAGTGCTGGAGTATACTCGAATCGCACCCGCGACCTTTATATGCTACAAGAGGTGGTTACGTTCCTCGCTTCAATATACATCGAACAACATAAGGAATGTTTGGCGTGCGATGGGAAGTCGGGACGCCGAAACGAATGACGGAGATCGCGTCCTCCCGACGTTAGAACGTCGATGTGACAGTTCGGCTAGTACAAAGGCGACGAGCCCATCCTGACAACAAAATAGATGCATCTTGCCAACTCAAACTGAGAAACAGAGACTCTGCAAAGGTTGACATGTATGGGACAGTATGAAGAATGTCACGATGCTGGCTCAGCACGTTGACATGCACTTCAACACAAATACTTTCGGCCGGAACACATCAAACTTCAAGATATACAGACTTATAAAACATACCATTGAAGACGTCGCTTGTGTCGGTGTTGAAAGGCGCCGTATTCTCGTCGAGCTAAAGGATTGATGAGCTGTAAGTGGCGCCCTGCTAAAATGGACATCTACCGTGCTTCCTGTGACCTGAGGAATGCAGGGTTCCCGACTAGCGTTCAGTCCGAGGGTAAATGCAGTCTTTCAAGGCGGACCATTGACGTAAGAATAGATAGGAACATTCAGTTGGATGAACAGACAAAGCGCAGGGAACCTGTAATGAGCTTCTAGTCATGCAGAAATGGAAAGTTTCTTTCAGCAATGTCGAACAATTGAAATGGACACTGGTTGAGTTTGTGACCGTGACCGTTGGCTGACGGAAGGAAGGAGTCCAAGTGGAAGTGAAGATCGATCATACTATAGTGAACCTTCGCATAAATCGCGTTTGCACAGCCATTTCGCCAGGACATTTTCTTGCAGAACAGCGTCGTAATATGTTGAACTCAGAGATGAACCCAGATTCTACCATTATATTCCAACTGCGAGTCATACTGATACGCTGAAAAGTATTCTATTTGCTCCAATTCTCAGGATAGATTCCCAGAATCAGGATTCTCTTGAAAGCATGCAGGCATATTTGATTCAAGTTCGACTTTGTTCGATACATTCAAAACATTGGTTATCACTAGGAACCACTCCGGACACAGTAATCCCGCAACACCAGTATATCATCTGCCCGGCTCAGAATCCGGTCTCAACACCCCTGTGCCATCGCAATAGGTCTGGTGGGACCGGTGGTACTCTGTTGGCCGGGAGTACATGCCCTAGAGGAATCGACGGGGGCATTGGTAAAACCGATGCCGATCGGGAAACAGGATGGCGTGTTGGCGGCAGTGACAAGATGTTCAATGCACATGGTTCTGCCAAACCTCGACCTCACGACCGAGTTCCTGCTGTTGGCCATCCTGTTGTGTCTAATATTGAACAGAATAGAAGCCGTGCAGATGTCTTGCACGTCCTGCCTAGTGTATCGGGCAGGACAATCGTTCCACACCGTCTTCGCATTATTCTGGCAAATTAGAACAGAGTAATGAGTACTGAGAATATAAAACGGCGTGGTAGTTGACTTACGTTGAAGGCACAGAGGTTGGTGGCATCGTCACATCGGCCTGGACCGCTATTCCTCTGTCTCCATGTGGTGAAGAGGTGTCTTCCGGAGGTGGGATCGTTGGCTTCACCGTTGAAGACATGATTCTGCATCCTACCCCACTCGGTGCGAGCCCGTTGCAACTCGTTCGCAGTGAAGCGGGGAGTTTCCTAACACAATTAGTCCATGAATATGCGTTTCTTCATCAGGAATGAATTCAAGCACAGCGTACTATGGCAATTTGTTGCAACGTAGTGCACTGGACGGCGTTCTCGTTACCCACCAGATTGACAGGCAATGCTCCGCTGGGTCGAGCGACGCAGTCCAGAGTGTTCCGATCGAACGCACATATGTTTCGTCTGTTGGTATCCTGTAACGCAACTATGGAGATACAGTTCAGTTGCGTCCTTCGACGAACAGCATTGCTACAGAGTGACGAACCGCAGGCAGAGCATTGACCAGTACCATTGGGGTTCCTCTGGCTTGCACAGCGAGTGTCCGGATTTGCCGCCGTTGTAAGATTCCTACAGTGTCGGGATTTCAACCAAAGCTCAAAAAGAAACCGGTAGTGGTAGTCACTTACTGGATAGGCGAATCAGGGGTTAAGGTCGCTGTAGCTATGGACGTCAGAACAGCGAGAATAAGGGAGGCAAGAATCCATTTCATGATAGACAATGTAGAAACGATGGACTGAGTAACTTGGTAGAAGTGGGTTGGGTAACTTCACGAAGGTGAGTTGAGAGGACATACTCACTCTACGAGTAGTTTATATACGCTACAAAGGGCGTTTAGTCCTTCGGTAAACGTTGTATAGTACGCGGCAATTATGGCATGCAATGTGTATGTGGCAACGGAGGAACGCATTGAGCGCCATACGTTGGAGTCAATCCCGACCTTTGGACGTCTGGTATGGAAATTGCTGCAATTCCGTCCGTCATGAAGGACTCTTGTTCGGTCCTTGATTGGCATGGAGAGTCTAACATCGCATGGATGTATGTCCTACAAAGCTAACGTGACCTTTTTTTTAGTCAACAGAAGCCTACTTCCGGCAGTATGGCCTATATAGCATAATGACAAGATCCTATGATCTTTTGGGGCGCTATGGGTGGCGCGGAAGCTTTTCGGTTAGTCTCAGTGTAGACAGAGGTTCAACGTTCAAACGTTCCACCTTCGTACCTCAAAATAGCTCTGTCTGACTTATGGATATGCAATCGATCGAAGGCGCACGTGCTACTCCTCTGTACTGTAATATTCCGTCTCGGGTCCAAATGTCAGGAAACCAATTCGCAACCAGCCCTGCACATACCGTGATCAGCTTACCGAATACACTTCCACGGGTGTGAGCAACACCCGCGCGGATGTCACTGCCCTCTTACTATCATCGCTGTGCTCGTTCTGCTATAAAGCTCGTTCGGCAGCAATCGAGAACCTATATAGGATTCCCAGCCAGCTCCACCACTGTTTTTCTTCCTATCACCCTTTCTCTCAATAAAAGACGGTTTCATATATCTGCACGTCTGCAAATGTCTACGAAGAGCGAGAGCGAATGGAGAGCTATCCTCTCGCCGGAACAGGTGAGCTAGAGTGACTACTCGATTGAATATGTTGCATCCGAAACCGATGCCTGTCATGCAGTTCCGTATCCTTCGTGAGAAGGGCACCGAATACCCTGGTACAGGAAAGTACGAGAAGTTCAAGGGCGACGGCATATATGCATGCGCAGGATGCGGTACGCCGCTTTACAAGAGTACCACCAAATTCGACAGCGGCTGTGGCTGGCCAGCATTCTTTGATGGCATGTTTGTTTCTCTTGTCTTGGATTCTTATCAAAGCCACTGAACGTACGTTGGAACAGCCATTCCGGGTGCAGTGACCCGACATGAGGATCGATCTTTAGGTCGAGTTCGTACCGAGATCACCTGTACCGCATGTGGTGGACACCTTGGTCATGTCTTCAAGGGCGAAGGTTTCAATACTCCTAGTATGTTCTCCATTCCCAGGGAAGATTGTCGATGCTAACCGTGTTTCGCAGTCGATGAACGGCATTGTGTAAATTCGGTCTCTTTGAACTTCGTCGATGAGGACAAGAACGCATGATCGCAGCCATCGCTCAATGTTCCGTTTGCACTGTGTATCATGTACCTTCTGTATCCATACCCTTAATGAATGAATGAGTGCGACGATTATAATGATTGTTAAGTGATGATTCCAAAATTGTTCGAAGTTCGAGGACGATATAATACAGTCGACTGAGCTGCAATCAAAACCTTGTTATAGCGGTGGCAAGAATGTAGGGTCGTCATGAATAAAGAGCTATGGCGTAGTGATATGCGAGACGCGTAGGAACGAAGTACGATGGTCAAGGCGAAGATCAAAGACCTTCCATGTTGGCCACAAGATCGTCGAGCTCGGCCTTGGATTGACGGTATTTCGCCTCTGATTCCTAAGAGACAAAGCGGCATAGATCAGTATACGTCGAATGATTGGAAGCAACGAAATGCAAGTGATTGTATAGACCGCATACCTCGTACTTCTTCTCCCATTGGTCTCGCTCCTGCTCGAGTCGCTGAACTTGTCTCTCAAAGTGCTCAGCCTTGACATCGACTTGTCTCAGCCTGGAATGAAGATCGTATGTGAGCAACGTCATCACAAATAATTGGATGTGAAGACGGCACATACTTCTCAACGACCTCCTTCGCATTCTTCTCTGCAGCATCAAGCTCCTCCTCGAGTAGTTGAACCTTGCGTGTGAGTGCCTCGGTGGTCGTCTTGGTCTGTTCAATGTCGGACTGTGCATGCTTAGCCTCGGAAATCTTCTCTTCTGCCTTGTCCAGCTCGGTTTCAAGTAGCGAGAGCTTGTGTTGGAGAGAGGAGATCTCCTGCTCCTTCTCGAGCAAGGTCTGCTCCAGCTTCTTGTTCTTGGCTTCTGCCTCCTCAGCACGCGCAACCGCGTTGTCGGCCTCCTGGCGCAAGTTGGCGAGACGCTACAAGTTGATCGGTGTCAATGCGTCACCGAAATGGCGCAAGAACATGAACCAAACCTCTTTAATCTTATCCATGGCGAGTGTTGAGTTTAGAGGAGGACGAGGAAGGATGTAATGAAGAAGGGCTATGTAACAGTCGCGTAGGGCTAGGGTAGCGCAGTGATAGCAATCGGGCTAATATGCAAGTATCAGTCGTGGGAGCAACCTTCCTTATATGACAGGCGCACGTGGCATTACAGTGTGTCATCTTATCTTGGTGGTCTGGATCCTTACCCCTGCTATAGCTTGACCTTGTACGTCCATCCACGAGGGATCGGCATTCACCTATCCTCATTGTAAACAGGCGGAGGTCTGCATTTCTCCCCGATACGCAAGACGATCCATCGATTCCATCTTAACCGAGACCAATTTGGTGCACATCAATGGTTGCACCCGTAACTCAAGAAGGTAGGCGAGCATATTGTGCCATTGGTTCGTACAGAGTTACTGAATTTGTTCGGGTCACAGAGCTGCCTATCCTTGAGGCGATCATCAAGTACGTTAAGCTGTCAAGTGTATCAGAAATATCTATCCTGACCTGTCCTTATGAAATAGCATCCGGAACCGGCTTACTGCCCTCAAGAAGGATCGAGGCGAATATATCAAGGCGTCGGATGTGAACCAACTCTACCAGCAGATTGTCAAACAAGGTGCGTCTACCCTTGACCCTTTTATCTATGACGACTTGTTTACTCTTCACCTCTGTTGATGCTCCATCTTACTCCACATCTTCGTTCGCGACTCAGTCACCCGTCTAAATGAAGTCCGAGAGGATCATACAACGTCCAATAATAGATTGGACACAACTTTGGCCGATGTTTTCAACTTATTGTCTTTGTTCTTCCTCACCATAGGAAAGACCAGGGAATGTCCAGCCACCTACAGTCAAATCGCTAGTATGCGGGTAAGTCCAGTTCCATAATTATGTTGCGGCGTCTTCCTCCGTGAATCGGTAAATCCGCTTGTGGCTTCTCTTCCCAATCTTCTGCACGTAAATTTGGGTGCAAGAAGGTCCTCTCCGCCGAGTCGATGCGCAGGTGTTGCCGATGCGAACACTTTTGGATGTCTATTGTTGCTTGCGCTTCACATTGGTTCATACAAGTCAAACGGACCGTGCAACCTGTTTCTTATCACAGGATTCTCAATATGCACAGCATATATATGGGCTTGCTCTGTTCGGGCTCTATGCCTAGGCTATCCTAAAGCCTTCTTTTGGCATTGTAGATGCTCCCGGCGGTTCCGGGCCAGGAACTCATAGATCTGGGGTACCTTCCCTGCCGTATAATATCCGGGGCCTTTCTAATGTCAACAACCTTATCCTGAGGTGGGGATGGTATAAGACCGGCGGATGCTACAATGGTCTACTTCTCTCTCTCGCTTATCTACTCCTATCCATATGGCGCTGAAGCATTATTTGTCCCAATGTTGCCAATGTTTCCATGCTAACCAACTTCCTCTTTCCTTCTTTATAACATGTATCCAGCAAATACTCGACCACATGAATGAGTCAGGCATTTATAACGAATCCGACTTGGCCCCGTTCCATCGGCGGCTCGCAGAGTTGCGGTGAGTACCCCGACGGTTATGCTTGGTCACATTCGGATGCTTAAAACTAACCAATATCTTCAGGCATATTGTGCAAGCAGATGCTGAAAGTGGCAAACATCCCAGGGCGATGACCACGCTGTTAGAGCGACAATTAACTGAATGTGGTGCGTAGTCTACTGTTATCTTCAGTCCTTCTTCATCTCTCCGTCCGTTGTACCTTCGTTTCCCATGATATCTCTGTGGCAGGATATGGAAGCTCGCCGATGGTTGCTGACGGCGTGCTTCGACCCCAGGGTTGAAGCGCAATTAAACTACGATTGGTTTCGGTAGGGTCGACGATGAGAAATATTTATTTTATCGTTTCCGTTGTTTGGGAACATACGATATCATTTCCACCACGAGATCGAGTAGTTCTTACATTTCCATTTGCGAAGTTCAAATGCTGATCATCTCTATTTAGACAAAATCCTGCGATCACTGCAAGAATCATTAGGCGACCTATCGCCGGAGCTTATTCCTATTCACGAACGTCTAGTCAATATTCGACGGCAGCTTGTCGCTCTTGCCGCAAAGGAAACTGCGAGTCAAGCGGCTTTGAAAGAATATGAGGAGCAGCTTGCGAAGCAGAATAAGATTACCACGCCTAAGCAACAACGACCACCCGAAGCCGCGGAAGAAGATACGACTGAGCAGGACCTTTCCAAGACGCCGACGAAAGACGTTCCCAACCCTGAGATCGTCGTTGCGCCCAGGTTGAAAGCTGAGTTGAAGCCTTTGATTGAAGAACTTCGAAAGATCGATTCGTAAGTGTACCGTTTAACAATGCAACCTTCTTATTCACGTGATCTGTGCCTATTCTTGCTTCTATCCGTCCTCGATGATCTCATTGTTATACACTTACAGGAAGAGAGTGGATGGAAAATTCATGGGACCAGGCGGGACATTCCCAGCATCTCAAGCGATCTGTTCGTCTTTGCTGGAAGAATGTTTCGAGATTGTGCAAGAAATAAAAGCCCAAGACCAGTCTCGGAGTGTCGCTTCGTCGCTCAGACCTATCTACGAACGACTGACGGAGATTCGGCGTGAATTGGAGAACCTGGTACGAAATCTATGCTCCATTTTGTGCGATAACAAGCTCTACTTACTTCCTCGTGTGGTGAACAGGTATTGACGCATCGATGGAGTCTTCGAGAAACCGACCTATGGAACTACAGCTTGAGTTTGCAAGAGATCGACAAGATGCGCATAGATGGGCAATTCGTGGATTCTGATGGTAACCGTCCAGCAGGACAATACGTGCGTTTTGACAAATCTCTCAGAAAATCGACTTACTGACATGAACATACTAGGTTTTGCTGTATCTTCTGCGACGATGTTATGGCCTCATCTACCGTTTACTCTCATCGAGCGAGCCTGTCTCTGAAGAGTTGATGCCTATTGTAAGCCCTCACTTACTGGCATCTTGTCATGTATACTAATCATAACATTGTGGTCAGGCAAACAAACTATCGACGGTGAAGAAGTGCTTGAATGAAGTGCTTAAATATGGCGGTCCTTTCACTCCCCGAGATCTATACCCTGTAAGTCCCACGCCGCTCTATGTAATCGTGAATTGCGTAGTAATCCACCTTTCATAGTACCAACTCGCTCTGCACCAAATCGACTCCATGCGCAAGGACGGCAAATTTATCGGACATGACGGATCGATTCCGGAGGGTCAAGGTATCGTGATGGCTCACCTGAATGAGTGTCATGAGCTTCTGGAGATGGTATGTTATGTTCACTTGCAGCATTACGCTCGATATACTGACGACGAATGTTAGCTGAAGCGCGCGATGGACGAGGGCGATGATGACGAGGAATACGATGAGTATGAAGATGGGGGGTATATTTTCGATGAGCCTTCTGAGGAAGAGGATAATAATGCATGACATTTCTGGTTGATGAGTGAAGCAGCGGCAGATTTTGGTATGAACCCGTAAAAGGTCGTCAGGTAGACCCATAGGAGAACGTCTAACTTTGGTCCATAGCATAGACACTACCACCCTGTATATATATTGCAGCAACTCCTCACACAAAAATGATAGCACTGGATAGAAGGAATTAGACGACGACAGCTAGCGACACCGTCATTTTCATTGCGTCAAGGATAGTAAGAGTAAGCAATAAACAACAGAGGTTCTTTTGGGTTGCATCCGTCCGCAAGGTCTACTGCAATTCTATCACTTAGGAGGTGAAGGTAGCAACATGGTCCTCGACGACCTTCTTAATCTTAGCCTCAATTTCAGGTGTGATGTTGCCGGCAGAGATCTCTGTGAGGAGAGGGCCCTGAGCACCAGTCAAATGTGCACGGAACTCAGCCTCCCATTTGGTGATCTTGTCGACGGCAATGGAGTCCAACTAAGCAAAGGCATGAGTTACCAGGCTAGAAGCATATGTAGGGTACAGATACTCACAAGACCGTTGACACCGGCGTAGATAATGGGGACCTGGATCTCCATGGACAAGGGCTGGTACTGACCTTGCTCTGTTGGCGGAGTTAGAAGGGTTATTATCACAAAAGCACGAGATAGTACATACTCAAGAGCTCAGTGAGACGAGCACCACGGGAGAGCAAGAAGCGAGTGGAAGCATCGAGATCAGAACCGAATTGAGCGAAGGCAGCAACTTCACGGTACTGTGCAAGGTAAAGCTTCAGCGAACCGGCGAACTTCTTCATGATCTTACTGTGGGATAGTCAGACAACATGTTAGCGCCCAAAGACACATAATGAGCTCACGTCTGGGCAGCGGAACCAACACGGGACACTGAGAGACCGACGTTTATGGCGGGACGGACACCACGGAAGAAGAGCTCAGCCTCCAAGAAGATCTGACCGTCAGTGATGGAAATGACCTGTAGGGGAGTAGACTTCAATACTTTATACTGCACCAAAGAAGTGTAGAGAACGAACGTTAGTGGGAATGTAGGCAGACACATCACCACCCTGGGTCTCAATAATGGGCAGAGCAGTGAGAGATCCTCCACCGAAATTCTCGTTCATCTTGGCAGCACGCTCCAACAGACGGGAATGGAGGTAGAAGACATCACCAGGGTAAGCCTCACGACCAGGGGGACGACGAAGCAGCAAGGACATTTGACGGTAAGCAACGGCCTGCTTCGACAAGTCATCGTAGACGATGAGAGCTGAGGAATGCGTAAATGAGTCCTAAAAGGTTAAGTGCATGACCTCCTCCACTTACCGTGCCTGCCGTTGTCACGGAACCACTCGCCCATAGCACAACCAGAGAAGGGTGCAAGGTATTGCAAAGGAGCAGCCTCAGAGGCAGTAGCAGCAACAATAATAGAGTATTTCATAGCGTCGTTCTCCTCAAGAGTTTGGACGAGCTGAGCGACAGTGGAACGCTTCTGGCCAATAGCCACGTAGACACAGTAGAGCTTCTTCTCCTCATCACTGCCATCGTTCCACCTCTTCTGGTTGAGGATGGTATCAATAGCGACAGCAGTCTTACCAGTTTGACGGTCACCGATGATAAGCTCACGCTGGCCACGACCAATGGGAACCATGGCATCGATGGGCTTAATACCGGTCATCATGGGCTGGTTGACCGAGCGACGGGGAAGGATACCAGGAGCCTTGAGGGAAGCACGGCGACGCTCGGTGGACTTGATGGGACCCTTGCCATCAATGGGGTTACCGAGGGCATCGACGACACGCCCAAGAAGCTCCGGACCAACAGGAACATCGACAATCTGGCCAGTACGCTTGACAGTGTCGCCCTCCTTGATAGCACGATCGTTACCGAAGATGGAGACACCAACGTTGTCGGCTTCCAAGTTCAGACACATGCCACGAACGCCGGAAGAGAACTCCACCATCTCTTCGGCTAAATAACGCGCAAGCGATGAATATAACGCGTGGAAAAATCGTAGGTGAGCACTAACCTTGAACGTTTCGGAGACCCCAGACACGTGCAATACCGTCACCAACGCCTGAAGACTTGGGTCAGACGCGGGAGAAAATAGTACGGCAGGAGTTACATACTCAAAACACGGCCAGTCTCCTCGACATTTGCGGCGACTTGAGTGCCAGCAATGCGCGACTCGAGAATAGATGATACTTCGGAGGCAGCTACCGTGACGTGTCACGCACATCGTCATAGGAAAGCGTAAAGCAAAGATGAAACGAAGCGTAGTGTGCCAGTCAGCTCAGGAAGGCGTCGTTCGAGGAGGCCAGCACATACCAGCCTTCGCAGTAGCGTAGGAGCGAGAAGCGGTGGGAGCAATGCGAGTTGCGCTCTATGTCCCCAAAAATCCAAGATGTGCCGCATTCAGTACCAAAAAATGCGCAGAAAAAGCAGGCAAATGGCACACCCTGGGAGCAGCGGCCAGCGCAGCTGCGCGGACTGAAGATCTAAGGGCAACTCGATGCATCGAGGCGAATATAGAGAGAGGGAGTGAAGGAGATCCTGGAGGATGCGAGAGGCGTCGTGCAGAGCCGGAGCGTCCGCTTTCCTAGTTGTCTTTTATTCGTGCTCCGCCTAAATCCCTCGGCCTGACCCGGAGCATACCCCTAGACGCCCAACTTCTAGCAACTAACGTGCTCACCGCCGTGCGCGACGATGGCCTTTCTATTCAGACGTACGTTTCAGTGAGGTTAATGTTACAGGTAGTTAACTAACATGCCATAATACCACAGCAGCTTTGCGGCAGGTCGCCGGTAGGGCCTTGCACACGCAGACTACATCTCCAGCAAGCACCCCTGCTACTGCTCTGTCTCTCATTCGATCACAACCATCACACTATGTTGTCGCCTCCGTTGCTGGTCGAAAATACACTCTGGCACCGCGCGACCTGCTCACAGTACCACGTCTGAAAGACGTCAATGTTGGCGACGTCCTCTCGCTTTCAGAAATTCACGAGGTTGGCTCCCGTGAATTCACGATCCGCGGCAATCCCATCATTCCACCAGAAAATGTTAAGGTCCAAGCGACAGTAGTGGAGCACACGAAGGGAAGGATGGAGGTCATCTTCAAGAAGAAGAGACGAAAGGGTTACCAAAGGACCATCAAGCATAAGCAGACTTATACTCGTCTTCGTATTGGACCTATTGATGTTGTAGAGTCACATTCATGATAGCATCATATATTCGCATAATACCAGTACTTGGGACATACAGTAAACACTACGACATGAACATAATGAGAGCAACTAGATCTCTCCCTCTTCGGGAGTTTCTGCTCTAACAGATGGCGCCTGAGGCGGTTCAGGTTCCTGCTTAGGTTCCTCTTCATAACGAGGCCGCTGCAAGATTTTGTCAACCAAAGCAAGTGCGATCTGAGTTAAAACAAACAAACCTTCTCTGCCCTCTCGTCAAGCAGCTTTTCGTCATATGGTCGCTTCTCCCTAGGCTCCTCTCGGTACAAAGAGGCGCTCCGCTCTTTTTCCTCGCGGTAAGGAGGGGCTTCGTGGGGAGGATATACGGCGGGTTCATCCCAGTCTCGCCTGTACTCGTCATACTCACCCCTACCTCTCGAACTCCTACGGTCTCGTCTTTTATCATCATCGTACTCACGATGATGCTTCGAAGAGCGATAGGCGTAGTCGCGGTCTTTGTCCTTGGGGTGATAATCCTTCTCCTTGGTATAGTCACGTCCACGGTCCCTCTCACGCGTATAGTCCCGAGAGGAACGACGTTCATGACCGTCATAGTCATCGTGACGATGACGATGTCTCGAGCTGCGAGATTCACGTTCGTGATGCGGCTCTTTCTCTTTCTCTTCACGTTCATGGCGACGGTCCTTTGAGCGTTCGCGGTCACGTTCACGCTCTCGCTCCTCACGAGGTGGTTCTTTGCGTTTGCGACTAGTGGTCGAGCCGCCGTCCTCCGAAATCTTTTCCTCCTTCTCGCGCAGGCGCTCCTAACAAGGCTCCATTAGCTGCCCTGCGCAAATTGTTCATTAGTAGGTCACGCACCTTCTGTCGTTTGACAAACTTTGAGAATGCAGCCCGTCTACCCTCTTCATCTTCTAGAGCCTTGAACTCGGGTAAATCTTGCATCAACGGTACAGCCTATGAAAAAGTTCATCGTAAATTCAGAAAGGCATAATGCATAAAGGCACACCTCCTCGTAAGGCAAGTTGATATCGATAGGTTCTGGCAGCTTTTTGAGAGCATACCGCAGATCATCCTGGAGGTGTCGCTGACGTCTCTCCGCCCGACGCTTCTCATCAGCTTGTCGTCTGACAGCCTCATCATGCATCTACACCAATGGGAAAAAGTTAACGGGAAACTAGTAACCGATAGTCAATTTGGCTCACCGTCTGGTAGATTTCATCCAGGTCCTCTCTAGTCAACTTCTGCAGCGCCTCGCTTTGATCCTCCTTCACGATTGCCAGAAGTTCCTCCTTGGTAGTTTCGGGAACTACCTTGAATGGCTTAGGACCCTCTACCTTCTCCTTTTCTTGCTCCTTCTCCCCAGCCTCACCTTCAGCATTTTCAACTTTCTCCCCGTCAATACTAGGAGGTTGAGGGAGGGAATCATTATGCTTCTTGATAGCATCCTCGATCAATGCGAGTTTGGCATCCAACTTCTGGTCTAAGCTATCTACGAGGTCCCAGAAGAGTTCTAGAGGGTTGGAACCTGGATTGCCGAGGATGGCGAGGTAACGCTGGTCCTTTGAGAAAAGGGGGTAGACTTGCTTCCACTTTGTACGTGCTTTGATCTTGCCTTGGTCAATCAATCCACGGAGGACTTCCTACATGTGGCTATCATTTAGCGGATGTTTCTATTTGAGCGCCGCCAATTCACGAAGCGTACCTTGAATCCCTCCCTAGCCTTCCTTTCCTTCCTCGTCTTCTCAACTTGAGCCCTACGCATCTGCTCTTCGAACTCTCGTTCACGAAGACGACTGTAGTCCTCGAAAGCCAACAAGATATCAAGAGTAGGCAACTTCTGTAACTCAGCGTCATTCTGCCACTCATCTGATTCGAGGACCATCTTGTGAGCCTGACGCCAACGAGTAAGGACATCGACGTCCAGCGTCTTGAACAAAGCTACAACTTTAGAGATGCTGCGAGCACGAGCGGCTCGGTTCTCTTGCTGTAAAACATAATACGTGAGATAAGCCAAAGGACACGACAGGTGAAGAGATAGAGCGCACGATTTCACGAGTCTTCAGCTCTTGCACATATTCCTCGAATATGAGCTTTCGCTCCGCTTCGATTTTAGCCTGCTGCCAAATGGGATGCTGTGCGAAGAGCTTATCTGCAGTTGCAAAAGTCGTGTAATGGAACACGTTCGGATTGCCTTTAAGCATATTGCGGATTGCGGGGCGGAACTTCGACAGACGGGCCTCGCGTTCCTCTTGCTCCTTGGCCCTCAGGGCATCAGTGTACTATACATAGGAAAATAGTTAGTGAATAAGCAATCGATAAGAACTGTTTACTATATACCTTTTGCCACGCGGCCTTTTTCTCAGCGAGAGTATTCAAAGCCTTGTAAAGCGGATCTGTAATGATAGTCCTCATAGTCTGATCCCAAGTCCAATTCGCATCGACACCTGCTTTTTTCAACAAATGCATGAATGCTTTCTCTCCTTCTTCGACTGTGGCGAACCCATTATGCGGGATGACCGGGTCATCTGGCAGATTGGGCCGCACTGGCAGCGCAGTCTGGGTAGGTGTGAAGGGCAAAGCACCCGTATGTTGCCCGACGGAAAGGTCGCCGATTTGACCATTGGGAAATGACTGCGAACCGGCGGATGAGGATTGATCAGTGCCTCCACCAGGGATAGCTGCACCTTGTGTACCCGGGGTTCCGGGAGCCGTTAAACGGTTTGAACTGCAAAGTATGGATTATGTTTATTGACCAAAGATAATCGATTGTAGAACTTACGGGACACCAGGCTGAGGGGCTGCTGGCCCTTCCTTCTCCACTTTCTCAAGCAGAAGGAGCAACTCGTCGGGCATGTCCCATTTGGACTCCTTGGTTTCAGTCTATGGAATAGTCAGCAACTATGAATAGTACCATGGAGCAGAACACGTTACATTGTAATAGTACTTTCTTCCGCCTGAAAAGTACTCCTTCCATTTCGTCTGGTTCAGAGCACGCTACGCGTCCGCAACCAATTAGATGCGTAGACAAAGGCTTCTACCACAGTAAATACTCACCTCAAAGGGTGTCTTCAGGTCTACAACAGACAATAGTCAGTCCCTATAACATCCTCCAAGACTGCGTTGCTCACCATCTGGCTTCTCCCACACACTCTCCCTTGTGCCTGTATTGAACCAGTACGTACGACCCTCAGGATTTCTATGTTCAGTCTATATGCATGTGAGTGCGTGCGGAGTTGTCATTCAAGAAAACATACCCAAATATTCATCCTTTCAGAAGTGCAGTGGAATGGCAGGAGTCGGTGTAGTACAAGCGACAGTCGAGCTCGGTGCACTTTCAATATTGTGAGGCGCAATAGGCGCCTAGGAAGAGAGCGTCTATTCGATCAATACAAATCGAGCGCTGAACATCACATCGAGCACTAATGGCTAGTAAGCTTCGACACAGAAAGTGCATTTTGTAAGGCGTTCAGATGCACATATAGAAGAGTTCAAAGTCTTGAATATTTCTACAAAGGCTCAGCAAAGAACAAATTGTTGCCGTATGTACTTCGTACAAGAATAGTTACGTTGAACACTGTCCCAGTCCGATTCATACACTTGAGCCAAGCAAGAACGCAGTGAAGTATCCGAAAGCAATGACGAAGAGTGGCGATTCATGTATTGGCGCTAAGCAAGTGAGCAGTCATACACATGCACCAACAATATGACGAGTAGCAAAGAAACTAGAGCTCATATATGGACAAATGTTACAGGAAGAATGTACGCCTTGTAGTCTCAAGTTCTGGCTGCATTTTATTGTTATGCTTAGCAAACGCAATGAATAAATAATGAGGTTGCAACGCACCTTCCACACCCATTGGTATTCATCTTCCTTTGGCGGCAAAGTCTTCTTCAGCTTCACCGGCCTCTCTGAGCCTTCTTCATCTGCTATTTGCTCATCAGCATGATCGTCTTCTGCGTTCACCTCGGACGCATGGAGCTGGTCCTTTTCACCCGCGTTTTCGAAAGCATCAAATTCTAGATCTTTGGCCACCTCACCAAAGTTCTTGACGGCCGGAAGACCTTTGCGCAATGACCGCAACTTAAGTGTGAACCGAGGGCCTATCTCTTGTAAGGCAACCTTCTCGGTTGATCGGAAGGCATACCTGGAAACAAGGATGGCATAAGACTAAGAGTTCAACTGAAAGAACGATGCAGAACATCACGCACCGATGGCGTCTAAAGAACAGAAAATCTCGTTGATTGTGTAGTGTCACAACTTGTCGGCCTTGAAATTCGGGCATTGGCGGGAAAAAGGTTTGGAACAGACGACCGACGGTATGGCCCAGTCGAGTTACGAAGCCATTGAGTACGAGCTCCGGAAAATGAGGGGTAGGACGGGCATGTCCACTAATTTGTTTGGAAAGTTCAATGGAAGTGAGTTTGAAATAGGCTGTTGGTCCACTGGGAAGATAGACAACGGTTATTGCATCTGAACAGGAAAAGTTAGACAGGTGATGTTTGGTGACAGTGTTCTAGACGTACTCGGCTTCTTCATGTCTTCATTGACAACCAGCAGATGCCCATATCCTCTATCTGCTGCCCAACCAGCAATCTTACCCATCTCAGACCCTTTCCCCTTCTTCCGTCGAATCAATTCCGCTCCAGGGAAGATACCGACAAGTTCTTCGCAGAACTCATATGTGACTCTGGTAGCCTTTTGTGACGTCGTAACGAGTACTTTTGGAGGAACACTTGGATCAGCCGCTCCTGAGAAGTATTCCGCAAAGGGATCTGAAGAGATATCAGTGAGGGACTCGTCCTGCGGCAGTTGAGAAGGGTCTTGAGGTTGCGAATTTGAGCTGGAAGGGTCATTCGTTGCAGCCGTTGACGTTGAAGCAGAGGTGGAAGCAGATGGGTCCGCTGTGAGCATGGACGGATCGAATTCACGGGTGTTGTCCAGTGTTCGAGGCACATTTTGAAGTTGCCGTTTCTGCGTGATTGCGTGAGGAAGATATATTCAAGAATGCCAGAGCGTTTGCGTGGTCTGGAATTGAGTAAAAGACGAACCTTTTTTGCAGCAGGATTAGTTGCTTCCTCCTTTGCCAAAGCTAATCGGCGTTGCAGTTTTGACTGCCCCTTGTTCTTCTTGAATTTCCTTGCAACCTCCTCTCGCTTAATTTTGTTTTTGATACTGGACGGCTCAAAGCGGCCTGTACCCATCGTGTTCAGCTAACTGCTCGAGCCTGTGTAATGTAGAACAGAGTGTAGTGTTGCTCAGGCTGGAGGAATAATTACATTTTCGGCGTCTGTCTGGAAATACAGAATCTTGGTTTCCCACGTTGTCTCTTCCACGATCACTGCCAACGACCCGACACGACACCAAAGCTCGACGCCAGCGAGCTCGTCCCTCTCCCCGATGTTCCGACCACGGCCAGCCCATGCACTGTCAATATGGCTTCTCCTTCTAGTATTCTGCACAACGGTTGCCAACGCACTGCATTTCTACCTTGACGCTGGAGAGAAACGATGTTTCCTGGAAGAGATTCCGAGTGACACTGTGGTCGAAGGTATGTTTAAATTTGCCGAGACTATTCGGGTCGACACGCCACAATAACTACTTAACATGCATATTGCTTAGGTCATTACAAGGCCCTTGAATGGAATGAGCATGAGCAGAAGTACGTAAACAACCCGGACCTAGGAATCCTCGTTGAGGTCGACGTACGTTTCTCCGTTCAAAATGCGCTTTCTGTTCGTGTTACGCAACATCTTATTATCTATACAGGAGCTTGAATCTGGGGATAACGTTGTGAAGACTCGAGGGCCTTCGGAAGGTCGCTTTACCTTCACTTCACACGACTCAGGAGACCACTCCGTCTGCCTGTCATCTAACTACGGGAATGCCTGGTTTACCAAGACCCACATTCGCCTTTACCTCGACATCGTTGTTGGCAGTACGAAACCTGATCGTGAACATGATCGTTCCCACGTTAGCGAGCTCTCATCCAAATTGCGCGACTTGAACCAAAAGCTAGAAGATGTTCGGAGGGAGCAGCAATATCAGCGCGAACGGGAGGCGAACTTTAGGGACCTCAGCGAGTTGACGAATAGTAGGGCTGTATGGTATAGTATTGCTCAGATAATTGTGCTGGTCGCGACCTGTGCATGGCAGCTGAGGCATTTGAGGGTAAGTTTCTATGGAGGTATGTGTTATGGGAAACCCATTCTAACCATGCTGTGTCACAGAGATTCTTCGAGGATAGGAAAATGCATTAATATATTCCTGGCTTTCTTTCTCGGATTTATCGCTTTCTTGCTTGCTATCATACCCTGCTTTCTATTGAGCTGGTTCGAACCTCAACAGAACCTTCCTCCCATACCGACCCTCCTGTATCTTCGCAATGACGCTTCGGACCTGCTGAGCAACCTCTTCGTCGCTGGCCGTGCCTTTCAGGTTCAATATTTCATATTCTGGTTCTCGCAACTGATCAAATGAACTATGTTCAGCAAAGCATTTCTACTGGACAAGCCACTATTACGCACCTTGAGCTCGGCCAGTGTCTTCATGAGCTCTTCCCTCTGTTGTATGGAGTGTTCTTCATACCATTTGGATTGCCTAAAATCATTGACTATTGGTTATAAACCTGATTTTGGCCTATACTGAGCTTGAACGTACCAGAATCCTCTGCATCTCAAGTCGCGGAAGATGAACAGGCTTGTGGGCAGGATCAGTGGTTGCTTTGACATCGCCCCATATGATACCAGCGTGGCGCTGTCCGCCAGGAGCCGTGTCATGTCCTTCGTCGGCTCGCCGCTCACGCAATTCAACATCAGTGATGTGCCCTATAGAGGTGATTGTATTAGTGGCTTTGGGGCGTTTAACGTGCAGTAGGGAAGTACCTTCTTGGTTATTGTTGTCTTGATGTTTTGTACTGTTTCCTTGTCTTTCAGGTCATCATAGGTGAAGACGTGAGTCGCGCCTAACGACTGAAGGTAATTTTTCAATGAATCAATGTCTGGTCTATCTCGCCAGTTAGCAGTTTATTAGTTCCGGGTACTGAAAGGCTCACCTGTTACGAACAAAGTTAAGTGTTCGTATGCCCTTCCGAGCGGCGATTTGAATGACGGCTTGTCCAACCTTCAGACCGGTAAGTGAGAACAAGAGTAGGATGTTTCGGCAATATTACCCACTGCACTATTTGCGCCTATACCAAGCGGTTAATTCGCAGTCAATCTATAGAGTTGAAGTCAGCCTACCGTTTTGCATCACCAAGTCCCCTTCTTTTGGTTCTACAAACGAGTGCAACATGTTGTATGCAGTAGGAGGGTTGACCTACGATAGAACAATCAGTCATGATACAGCAATTAAGACGTATTGCGCACAGTAATAGTAGCTGCATTGACTTCACTTAATCCGACTGGGATTTTGAGCACATCATCTTCATGCAAGGTCCTTGCCGACGCCCAGGTACCTGACTGTTGCTTGGTCAAGACGACACGGTCCCCCACCTTGTAGTGTGTGACGTCTGGACCTACTTCCGTTACCTCAGCAAGTCCCTCATTTCCACCGACGTAATGCGGTTCGGGGAACTTGTGACGTCCCTCGGATAATGAAGAGACAGGTGAGGGTTTGGAATGGTACTTGTTCTCTATAACGTTTAGATCGGCAGGGTTGATCGGTGAGAGAATGTACTTGACGTTTAATGATTTGGAGGGAGGTGGAGGTAGGTCAGGGTATGTAATGGCTGAAAGAACCTCAGATGGGTTTCCAAAAGATGAATATACAATGGCTCGATTGGCAAGAAGAACAGAAGATGTAGACAATCGAGCGGACAGACAGGGCCTTCGAATAAGATTGGTACGTCGGCAGCGAATAGACGGAAGCATTTGGAATTGCTACAAGAAGTTCCTTGCAGAGACAGGATATGTTGTGCTTGTACCCTGTCAAGGGCTTAATTAATAGCTCCAATGACAGTGCATGCAGTTCCAGTGCCTCAAAAGCTCGTCGGTCAGGTCTAGCAAGCCAGGATGGTCAGTGTTAAGACAGTCAAGTGCCACAACTTGACTTAAAGCTTCACCGTCATTCGGGAGACCGCCGTGACGTCACAGTAACTCGCTCGTGACTGGATCACATGCACTGTGACAAGCGCGTTGTCTTGGTCCATTCTTCCTGTCGATCAGCGACAACCTGGATTGAAATGGATTGCTGTGAAATCGTAGCTTTGAGTCAGATACCGAAGACATGAAACGCTGGATGCATCATCCTAACCAGATTCGTATCCTTACCGGTGCCTGTACTGATTGATCCACAGGTGCTATTCACGTAACAACCGCGATTTGGTACTCCTTCAATCATATATAGCCTCGTTTGACGTCTCTTCCATTCTCAAGCGCACTATATCACTCCATATAATATCCATAACTCATCACCTATCCCCCATCTCCTCACCATGGCTTCTCCATCACACCAAGTTGTACAAGACGATAGCATCCCCTACAGCTACGAACATCCATATCTGTTAACAAGGAGCTTGGATAAAAAGACCATCCACATTTGGTCTCTTACAAACTCAGAGTCACCCGTTCGTGTCTCCACCCTTGAAGGCGAGCTGCCTGATAGCCCACACCCTCGTATCTTTGCCGGCAAATACATTCTCACCCATGAAAATCGGGAGCTCGATGCCAAAGTCATCTTGATTCACAAGATTGAGGATGGTACGCTGTCCGACAGCAAAACCATAATCTCCGATAGCAATCCAGACGATGCCCTTCACCCCCCAATACCTGGAGACGCCGCTTTCATTGCTGCTGTCAACGGCCTTATTGCCATCTTCAAGAATGGATCTAACTCTAAAGACAGCATTATCGAGGTATATGGGATCTCGGAGGAGGGGAAGTTGTTCCTGAAAACTGAACTCAGGCAGACTGCGGATGGGCCCGAGTTGGGGAGAAGTGGAGATTACAAAGTTTGGGGTCCAACGGGATACGTACTTCCGACGTTCATTGACCTCACTGAAGATTACTTTACCGGTGCATTCGGCAATCATGATGTCCAGCTCGTGAAGTGGCTATCTCCTTCATCGCAGCCAGTCACCACTCTTCTCGAGCTCCCAGCCACACGCTTCCTAGAGGACCTACCTCAAGCCGCTATGTCCAGTTGGTTGAATGATAAACTGTCCATTCCTTCCTCAAATTCCCTTATCCTTGCACATCACGAGTTTCCCGTTGACTTCGTTGATCTGGAGCCCATTACCGCCATTCGTTCCGTTAATCCGGATACCCTCGAGTTGAATTGGTGCTCACCGATCGCCCACAAGACCTCATTCTTGCGGTACAACGAATCACTTAACGTCATTGTGACTTTTGGGGAAGCTAGCTACGTTGAGGGAGAGGGAGAGAAACCGCGTACTAGTGTCTTTGTCGTCGATGCCGGCACAGGTGCCGTTCGGAAACAGTATCAAAGCTTCGCACGTTGCGACACTTCTCCTTCCGGAAACGAGATCGTTGAGGCGTTTGACGACGGACGAATTCACGTTGTTTCTCTCTCTACTTTCCTCGAGTTCGGATTCCTTTCGCAGGAAGAGGCAGATGGAGGTGACAATTCAGACCTGGAAAAGACGGCAGTCCTTCGCGGTCAAGCATTCTATCCAGAACTCGAGCCACAAAGCCCTCTGAATAGCAAACAAAGGGCAAATGAGAGGAAGGCAGTGGCTAGATATACAGAGCAAGGGAAGGCACGGCCTTGGGTTGAGGGAATGTTTGTTGGTGAGGGGTTTGTATTGTTGAAGGGAAGCAGGAGTGTGGGTTTTGTGCTTGTGCGATGGAAGTAATTCTTTTGTGTCAATCTGTACATATATGCGAGAAGCTACGTGTGGATGTGTATTTCAGGTTAGAAAGCTCGATCGTTATATATCTAAAGGCGATTATCCGTTTTCCACCCAACTTAACACTAGGTCGAATTAGTGTCCCGACATGGGTCGCCTAGTATTTGTACAATCTCTTTAACTGACTATGCTGGCATTAAGCTTACCCTTTATGCGCTACGTATTCATCGAACTGTGATGTTGCGATATTGGTCGCTTCCGAACCGTTAAGCAGCTGTTGTTCAAAAACAAATACCCTTTAAAGGTAACATTGTCGGAGGCCTTGAGCAACAAGGACAAATAGCGTTATCGTGACTAGCTGTGGTCCTACCTTGATGGGTGGAATTGAGCTCAAGATGCGTGAAGAAACAAGGGCGAGGCACAGGAGTTATGCATCACAAAGGCTAGAATTATGTTCTACAATAATACTCACGATGTGGACTGCAACCGTTGATTTAGCCAAGTTCTTGTGTCGTGACAGAGTGACAGATTATCGTGACGGGTCGCGTTGTTTGCAAGTGGAACGCGTCTTGTTCTTCACCATACCAATCGCTCTACAACACTGTGAATATTACTGTATGTCAGGAAAAGCCTACGTAAAGGTTTAGCAGTCATGAACATGGAATCAAATTATCATGTGCCCTTTGATCGGTATGTTTGACATCCCACATTTTTGCTGATACTCCCCACTGAATCCTCGTGTCGACTAGATTTGTGTCTTTATTAGAATCCATATCAACTATTCCTCGAAGATTAGGCTCCAGTAGCAAGACGGGTGGACCTTCCCGAGCGGTGCAATTCCTGAATAAATGGGTAGCTGCTTTACGCGACGAGCCGTTACCGCCGGGTACTATCACCACGTTCCTGCGACTCCTCTTCCCTGAGGCAGACTCTGGGAGAAGATATGGTTTGCAAGAGGCAACTCTTGCTAGGTGCCTTGCAAATGTACTTTCTGTCTCCACAGCGCCCGGCGGTCGAGGAAGAAACCTACTCGACTGGAAGGCTGAAGAAAATTTCGGCTGTCTGGGAAACGAGGTCCGGTCCATAATGGAGTCGACGTCTGATGTTTGTACTCATTACTCTTATATACGTCTGGGTAACTAACATCTCAATCTTCCTTGTCTGTAGCTCAAGGAGTCAAACCTGACAATGAGCGAGGTTGATTCCCTCTTAATGGAGCTCGCTAGTTCCTGCGCATATACCGACGCAAACATCCGTTCATCTGTCCACCATGCGCGTCCGAAGCGTGCCATTATCCAGGCTCTTTATTCAAACCTATGCCCGATATCAGCTGGATTTCTCACTCAAATCATTCTCAGAGACCTTAGGCCACTGTTGTACCCCTTGGATGAGACGCACTACAGTGCCTCTCTTTTACAGTACAACTCTATGTCTGTGACGATGATCACCAAAGAAGACGCTATGAGGGCATGGGATCCAAGCGGACGCATGCTCAAGGCGTATCGTTTGAAAGCATCGTTTGACGCCGCCGCCGAAGCCTTGGATAAACCTGGGATCGAACTGATTCCCCAAATCGGATATCCTATCACAGTACGTGAAAAGAGAGCTTTTCGGTGGCTGTTAGTCTTCATTGACTCTGGAATAGATCCCGAAGTGCCTGAAGGGTCAGGGCTGTGCTCAGTCGCTCAAGATTTTGCGTGGTTCGAGTAAAGTCTGGGTCGAAACGAAGTATGATGGCGAGCGTGCTCAGATACATGTCGAGATTACCAACGAGAAGAACTTAGAATCGAAGATCACCATCTTCAGTAAGAGCAAACGAGATTCTACTCTGGATCGAATTGCTCTGCATCCGTAAGCCCAATTTATGTTTTTGCACTGTTTCATCCAAGATTGACTCATTCTAAATGACCAGGATCATCCGAGAAACGTTAGGGTTGTTACCTCCGAACGAAGATCTGAACATCGCTGGTCCATCCACTCGTAAATCGTATTTGCCAAAGTTCAAGAAGAACATTGTTCTAGAGGCCGAAATGGTCGCCTTCTCCAATGTCTTAGATCGGATCGATGGTTTGTCACTGACTCAAAGTGTTCACTTCTTTCATCTGATACATTATTGTCTTTGCCGTAGAATTCTGGCGTATACGAAGTTTGGTCGCCAGTACTGCTTACGGTGTACGGCACGCTACTCCTGCACCGCTCGACAGCCAAGAGGAAGTTCCACTGTATGTTTCACAATTTCCCTTTGAGCTAAGACGCTGATAGTCAATACATGATGGCTAGTTCGCAGAGCTCGATGATATCAAATGCCTCAGATGGGGATTCTCGACATCTTGCCCTCGTCTTCTTTGACGTCCTGATGATCGATTCTGTATCTCTTCTTACCAAGACATACGCGGAACGCCGGGCTGTCCTTGAATCTACCATCATCACCCGCCATGGCTACAGCATGTTGGCAGAGAGGCGGTCCATACCCATGGGCCATGGTGTTGATGAATGTTCAGTCGAGCTTCTAGAAAGGATTTTCGCAAAATTGATATCCGGACACGAAGAAGGGGCAGTGTTGAAGGCAGATGAAGGGAGATACTGCGACTGGAGTCTGCCATGGGTAAAGGTGAATGCATTTATGGTTATCCATATGACACAGTTGTCTGATATCTTGACTAGCTGAAGAAGGATTATATTCCTGGTTATGGTAAGTGTGTCGTGTAAGAGGAAAATTAAACCCTCGATGATATCCAACGGTCTAGGTGATACTGTGGATTTGGCCCTCATTGGTGCCACATGGGATAAAGATCGTGCACGAGAGCTTGGTGGTTTGTTTCCCAATGCGCTATGCTCCAAGTCTCACACTGAACCACGTTGATCAGTTGCGCCGACGGTATACACGACTTTCTACATCGGAGCGTTGGCCAACACTGAACAATTGCAGAAGTCACAATGCGACGTATGTTCTCCCCATGCCAACTTGGCCATCATTTGTCTAATTCACCCGCAGGCCCAAGTTCTTCCACATTTTGAGGTTCTTTTCACCTGCGCATATTTGCCCTCGCGTGCGATGCTCGAGGAATTGAACTTCATGATTAGGAGTTCTGATCTGATTGAGTACGACAAGAAAGACAGTCAATCGAATAAGGTGACCTTGATTCTGATATTCTGATAAGTATTTAAATTGACCGATGAGTGTAGGAATTGACATATACGTTCAACATGTACTCGGGGCTGCAAGCTCCCAAGGTGTTACTCCGACACCCCTTGCTTGTTGAGGTGTATGGTGCGGGCTTCACAAAAGCCCCGCAATGCAGGGTTAGTTTTCATACATTTCATTTGACCCTTCTCTTACACCCATGCTCGAACGTAGTATTATGAAATCAGGTTCCCTAGAATATCCAAGGTCTTTCGTCCGTCTGAACGCTCGGCATGCCGGTCAGGTGATGGCGGAGGAACGACACTGCAGAAGTTGCAAGTTCTTGCTCGTGAAAGTGCCGGCAAGGATAGGCCAGGAAAGCAGCAAGTGGACTGGTGTAAGAGCATCTGGGGAAAGTCTGCGACGCTCAGCCCGGGTGTGCGAAGCGATCTGAAACGAAAACAAAGAGAAGATGACTGGGTGGAGAAGCTTCGGGCTGTCGACGTTAAAGTTCTAGGACGTCAAGATTCAACAAGGCGACGACCAGATACGGAGTCGAAGTCAAAAGGTCGCAACAAGAATGCTGAGAATGACAGTGCACCGCAGCAAGGACGCCTCATTGCGAAGCCGAAACCCTTGCCCAGTCTGCGCCCTATGGATTCAATGACCAACTTGAGCGCAGAGATGTCGACTCCAACAAAACTCCGAACTCTGGTTGAAGAAGACGATGTCCATTCTCCGGACCTCCCTCCTTCTCCTCGGAGTACACCACTCAAAGAGCGGTCAACATCGAGTCGTCAATCCAGTCACGCTGCAACATTATCTGTAGAGAATGTGCTCCGGGGAGATTCGTCGCCTCCTAGGCCTCTTGCAGCTCCTATGTACACGACTGGGGTGGGGATCTTCCAACTATCGGCCAATGTCTTGCAGAAAGAAAATACCGTCCCGGACCTAACTGCCTCTATCAATCGGTTAGCTTCGACCAGTATGAAAATTCACCCCATCATACCTCCATCGAGCCACGATGTTCTATCTAACTGTGGTGCTACCTTCTTAGTTGAATCGTCACTTGCGATGTTCCTGAAGGATGCTGTTATATGGCTCGCACGTCCGTCGGACACTTTAAGGCCAAGCTGGCGAGCTGCCTCACATCAGGTCCTTCCCAAAGGTCAGCAAGTGCACACCATAGATTCCTTTCTTACTGCTTGTGGCTGGACATCCGAACAACAACCCTCCGTTGCCTGTGAGTGGGCCTCGAAAGGCGTTATTTTCGTTGACGACAAGGACGGCAAAAAGGATTGGATACACTTCCCTTTCTCTCACCTGGCTGAGAAACGCCAAGAACATCTACATGGCTATCGTACCAATAGCAGCGACTTGAAGCCTGTGTTCATCTTCAGCATAAAAATGCTCAGCCACGACGTGCTGGAAGCCAATATGTCAGACATAGGGAGCTATGCCATCTGTCGACTTGGATGATATCTTTCGCTCTGAGTTGGGTCCTTTCTATCTTGGGCAACAGTGCTGGTTGATGTCATTGACCAGCTACGTAAAATGCCCCATTCCTGGCATGATGGTTGTGAGTCTCCGATGAGCCAGGGAAAGGACCATTTACCGTGTTATTCGCGGCTGCATTCAAAGGTGTGGAACGGAACCCAGCTACACACCGTGCCAAGCATGTTAGACCTTACGACTGGGCTATCAAACCGAGTCCTCAAGGCCTCAAGCCCCGGATCCCATGCTGGCCAGTACGCTTTGGATGACTACGGGGGAAGCCTGGAAAGGAAACTGCAGTTTACTCGAGTAGACGCAATTCTGTACTGGATGTCCTTTGTCCTTCGAGCCGATTACCACTTAGCTTAACAACTCTTGCATGGATGTTATTACAATGTGCTTATTATGCATGTACTTCTGACTGATGCATAGCATTGCACATTGAATCCATCTACAACATTTTGATTCGCTTTAATCCAACGAAGTAACTCAACCAGATATTATTTGGCTGAGGGAATGATACAGTAAATCATAACGTCTCTTAGCTTTGACCAGCAGCCACTTCCGTCGTCACTCCGTTAATCGCATTGCTTCCCGTATCGGAGCAAGGAGAACCAAGCGTAGGAGGAGCAGTGTGGATTCCAAGAGGGAAACATGACGGTGTGTTGTCCTTCGTAACGAGGTGTTGAACACAGATCGATTTGCCGAACTTCGTCTGTACAGCGAATGACTTGGAAGATCTCATCTGGTTCTGCTGGATGTTAAGTGTGATGGCAGTGATGCACATGTCCTTGATGTCCTGTACAGTATACAGTCCGTTCCTGTCATCCCAGACAGTCTTTGGAGTCTTATTATTCAGCTACGTTACGACAAGTTAGACTGTGCCGTGGAGTAGAGTACAACTGAAGCTTACTCTGAAAGCACAGAGATTGGTATTGCTGTCGCAACGACCTGCATCACTGTTCTTCGATCTCCAAGCACTGAAAGTATGTCTCCCTGACGTGGGGTCCGTTTCGCCATTGAAGATGTGGTTCTGCATCCTCGCAAACTCGGCTTCCGCCTGCTGTCGAACATTCTGATTGGGGTTAAGCTGCACGTAAATATTCATTAATTCGAGTCCAAGGGGAGAAGACCTGAATCAATGGGACGTACAACTGAGGTCTGATCCAAAGTAGCACATGCTGCAGCACTCGTTACAAGGTTGGGAGTGAGTGCGCTGTTCGGACGAGGTACACATTGCAATGAATCCCGGTCGAATGCACAGGCGTTTCCAGCGATGGCGACTGACAAATGATGTCAATCCTACAGACGCGAAGGAAAGAGTAGACGTGTAGACATACCACAAGTCTTGCAGTTGCCGCTCCCAACGGAGTTTTTCTGACCATTGCAAGGGGAAGGAGTTGTAGAAGTCTGAACCGGGGGAGGGGGTGGAGGAGGAGGAGGATTCTTCCCGCCCTTCGTTGGTGGCGGCGGGGGTGGCTTGCTGCCACCAATCTTGGCGCGCGCGCTAGAATCCACACAGACGAGCGTAAATGAAGGGTGAAGTGATCTAGTAAGGGGAAACATACGACAGTTCATTCGCGAAGCCAGTGGGTAAGGCCAAAGTGAAGGTAAGCAAAGTGGTCAAAGCCACGAAGAACAGGGTACGCTTCATGAAACTATGCATTATGATACTCCAAGTGGTCGTAAGAAAGACGTGGGGACGAATGTGGAACGGATAAAGAGCGACGTGAAGGGAGGATCGACCTGCGATGAGGTTCCAGCACATGGATCAACCACGTTTTATAGTCTTTCATGGAGCGTCTGCGTTGCGACATGAAAAATCAGGCATAGCTTGCCGTGGGCTGTAGCTGAATCAAAACACTCACATGCGCGTCCGACCTCAAAACTTCAAGTTTCGGATCGGTGTTTGAGGGCAATCTGTCAACCTGGTCATTGCCCCGTTCGTCGCGGTATGTGATGATTACATGTCGAGGCAACGTATTTGCATTAGGTGTTGCTTTGCCATGAGACAACGTTGTTGCATTGTTCATGGGTCAACATAACGCGGATGCTATTGGAGAAGTGAAGACTATTGAATTCCCTTAACTCTGTAAGATGGTCCTTGCAGTAATTGCCTGTCTCGGTATATACCGCCTGTATGAGATTGTTACCGGAGGTGAGTATAAACATAGAAACAAAGATGATATGCTTAGATACTGACCCTGAATTTAGACGACGATGAACCGTAACGCCTGCAGGTGGCCCTGATATAAAGTCCTAATTATATATGTGCAACTAAACCTAACATAAGTAAGTCATATCCAATCACATACTGTACGTCTGTCCAGACAATTATGATATATACTTACTCCAAATATACAAGCCGGTGTGGTATCTAGTGTACGGGATAGTAAACAGAAAGAGAGCGGTGAAACAACAAATGAAGATATGCAAAACAATGACGTGTAAAGATGGGTGGAGCACCCGAACCTGGACAGCTCTACTCGGATCGCTGTTTGCCCTTCTGTCTCCGGAGTTCGATATCCTTTCGTGTCATCCTCGTGCCAAGAATGACGTCCCAGTGGATGAAGAACGGCTGTGAGAAGTTGCTCTTGATACCGATGACCTGAGGTGATGAATATATGAGCCTCCTGAGAATCACCACAGAGCAAAAGCATAAACGTACCTGATGATGAATATCGTGGTAATCAGCGTTGTTCCCACTGAACATCTGCAGAGGATCAAGAGGTAGATTGTATCCGCAGTGATCATCAACAGTTTTGAATGTTGAAACGACGAAGAGCAACGTGGCTTCCCGTGTAGTCATTCCCGCGACAAATTCTGCAATACCTGCGCCTACAGTGTCCAACAGGAAACCCTCTAGAGGATGATTGTAAAGTGCACCGAAGGCGTACGGTACGTAGAGTCGGTGATGCACAGAATGAAACTTCTTGTAAAGATAGATATTCGTGTGCATGGCGCGATGTAGGAAGTATTGCCAAGTGTCTATGATAAGCCTGGCAGGAGACTATCAGTTGAGCGAAGGAGTAGCAGTATGATGCAAGCGTACATCCCGAGGAAGAACTTGGCGGTAGGGATTGCCCACCAGTAAACAGCATACAGGATTTCATGGGCGTGCTTCTCAAGCATCCGCGCCGCAGTCGGCTCTCCCACCACTACTCGTACGAGTGAATGGAGACCAGGCAACATGTTTGACATTACAGCAACATGGTCCACTTGGTCACCGGCCAATTTCTCCTCTACCCACCAGAGACCTACTACTGTCTGCACTATATGCTGGAAGATCACTGCACGTATGACCTGCCATCGGGTGACCAGATTACGAGTCTTGACTTCAGCTGACTCGTGGATACGATATTTGTCAAGCCACCTCCAATCTGAGACGTCGAAGACATGAAAGACTAATGAAAGGGCCCAATATGCAATGACCGGAGCGGCAAGGGCGAGTAGGTGGTCAGGGATGGATGAAAGGAGGTCGGGATGCGGGTTGTAGTAGACGGGGCGGTTGGTGGAGAGGTAGTGTCGCTGGTAGCTGGTTAGCAACGACGTCGAGTTGATAGCCATTGCAGACCAGGTTTACAGGTTGCTCGTCGTTGCTGATGGTGAGGAGGAGGGAAGGACTTTGTTGGAGAAGCGCAGGCACAGCTCGTGCGACAAAATACAGTCCACATAAGTTAATTCAATTAATTCACGTGACATAAGGCGCGCTGCCGCCCCGACGCGTCGGGGTCGGGCGCCGGAATGGCTAGGCAATATTCTTGCCTGAGATAGCCTGGGGCGGGATTCGAAGTATTCAGTCGACAGAAAACTAACCAGAGCACAGAAACATGACATGCTTCAATATCTTATGCAGTCAGTTGTCGTCTCAATACAGGATACAGATACGCAATATGCTCGTCATCCAATGGAACACGGTAAACTAATAAGTAAGGATAGGCTATGAGAAGAATAGTAGTGCAGCGAGTGAGATGGGTATCTGAGGAAGCGTCAGAAGATCCGCAAAAATATCTTTAGACAAACACAAAACATGAGCGTGCACAAACGGAACGAGTGGAATGTTCCTGGAAGTTTACACGGGCTTTTGCACTACACAGAAGTCGAAAATGCCACAAGGACGAATCTGCAGCAAAGATAGGCACTATTTCGGCGTCTGCAACGGAGAAACAGGCCCCGAAGCTGGGGAATGAGGAACATGAAGGGTATTCCCCTGCGGCGTCAGAGGCGAACGAGGAGAGGGCGTTGGCCCAGCCTGCTGTGGACGAGGGCGCGGCGAATGTGGCAGTCCCACCATTCGACTTTGTCTTCTGCTTGCCTTGTCACCCACAGAAATATTCAATCCTCGACTTGCGGCCACGCTGGATGCGTGAGAACGGGACCCAGGAGGGCTATTCTGGCCATTCACTTGTAGACGACCATTCTGTTGTACCAGATTGGCAGTACTTGATGCCGCCGACGATTCCAGGACAGACTCGTTCTCCGCCGTTTCTTCCGTTCCGCTCTCTTCGAGTATCGATAATTCTTCCCCCTCGTCAGACTGTGCTTCTTCGGCGGCTGAAAAGAGTATAGAGAGCACATGACGTCAGAACAAGATTCTCGAAAAAAGAAAACAATGCACCATACCATTTAGAGCACGTCCAGACAATCCCAGCATTGCGTCAGCGGCCGCATCTGAATAATGTCGACTGTTCCGCCGGGCCATATCAACTCCCTCAGGATCGTCGCCCGCGGCTTCAGTACTCTCTTCGGCCTCTAGGAGCCCATCAACGTTGAATACCCGCTTGAACTCTCCAAGCATGAGGCTGAAGACTCCCGCGGGAATGCCCAGAGTCGGGCTAAACACAATGCCAACATTCCGCATCGTCATCTTATTCACATTGGCATTCTGAACGATCAAGATTAGATGCGCAGTGAGAGCTCGGAGCAGAGTGTAATTGGCGACGGGGAGCGATGCGATCAGATGTGAAAGCTCAGCGATACGTTCTTGTGCATCGACAAAGTCTGTAACAGCATTCGGGTTTTTTAGTATCCAGATGAAGAATATAACGCCTCGGACATACCGATTACCGCAAGGAAGCGCAGGTGGAGGTCGCGGGTAAGGATACTTGCGGGAAGCTCGCGCAAAAACGTTTTCAGCAGACCAGCGATCGCATGTGGGTCCCAATACTCGTCTGACGCTAGAAGGTCGACGTCACCCTCTGTGACATGATACAATTAGTCGTCAGTTCTTACTTTAGAAATACGATTCCATTAATACTCACCAGTATTGAAGCGATCTTTCAGAGCCTTGATGACTGCGGAGCTACCACTCAACCGGTAAATACCTTCCTCCTGATCTGCCTTCTTCGCTTCCAGGTACTGAATGCAACGGAAAACGATGGCCGGAAGACTTGCTATCTGAGCGATGTCAAGAGATTCCTCTAGACCGACACCAAACACGGCCCGTGGTATATGCACAGGCATGGCAGGTTTGTCTGCTATAGCATTATTAGCGCATTACCAAAAGAAGTTTTGCCAGATTGGATAATTACCATGTTGTCGGCCAAAGCCCCAGAACGTCCGCGATTTGGCTTTCTCTCGCCGATCGCTCGTTGGGGTGGTCTCAACAACTACATCCTTACCAAACTTGTACCCAGCAGGGATTGGGGTGCCGTTCATAGGCCCTGAGATTTTGACTTTACCATGAGCATCGACGCGCGGTGTGTGAGGATCGTCCTTCTCCGGCGATGGCTCACGCTCTGGAATAGGTGCAGGCTTGACAGGGTTCATGGATCTGCGTTTGTCCTTTCGACGTTGCTCAGGAGATGCCCGGCCACGTCCTGCTCTAGCTGGATCCACCCGCGAATCAACCAAATCGGGGTAATGACCCATTTCAGAGTTAGCACGTTGACTAACAGCCATTAGCACATCTACGTCTTCCGTGCCGGCCAGCGGTGAAGACGTTGGAAGAGAACTTGATATCGGAGTTTCCGATCCTGCCAATCTGTGTTCTACATATGACGACTGCGCAGAAGTCTTTATAGGACTACTGCTGCTTCCTAGTGCGTCAGGCGGCGGAGCACTCTGGAACAATTTTGCATTTGTAGCGTCAGGAGGAAGTTGAGAAATCGGCACCGCAGGTCCCTTCGCAATTTCATCCTTCCGAGGTCGGCGAGTAGGAGTGACATGAAGATCGCTCGAAGGGGTCGAACTGGTGCTCGTGCGGCTAGGAGTTTGCATACTGCCTCCGTTCTGAATGGCCGCAAGGTCTTCCTCGTTATAGGTACCTGACACGTACCGCACCAATTCTTCTACCCAGCTGTCACGCTCCTTGTCACTCTGAGCGCAGAGAACATGCCTAGGATTCGAGCCACCTGGACCTTTCTTTGCTTCGATGATCAGGAAAGCATGACGATAGTCGTTGTCCTCATCAGGCTGCTGTTTCTCCACCGACTTCTGCTGTCGACCGATTTGAGCACCGGTGATCGTGATGGAACCTAAGTGAGTGCCCCCACGCTACGTCATGGAAAGGAAAAACAGCAATCAGTCGAACGGTCATCCGGTCAGAAGCACAATGATAACCGCACGGAGTATTTTCGAGAGGAAAGTGAACAAAAAGAGGAGATACGCACGCTTTCGTAATATTCCAACGATGGCCCGTTCAGGACGAAGTATCTTGTTTTCCAGCCGCCAAAGTTCTTCCCGCGTTTCGTAAGGTAGCCTTCCTTGTACCCAGCCTGGGAGACTGGCTGCGAAGCATCGCGTACCATATCGGACGTGAAGAATGCGATAATTTCGTCCTTGTTCTTCACAGGGAGTGCTATCAGAGACTTGAAATAAAGTTCAAGGGCAATCTGTGGGAACGCGACCAAACAAAACAAAGGTCAGACGTCAGTCAGAAGCTCAACAGTGAGAGGTACGATTGAGTTAAAAGGGATTATCCGGAAGATGAAGGGCCAGGGACAATTGAATGAAAGATAAACGTGCGGAACAATGTGAATGAGAAGTGAACGTTCGAAAGATAACGGCGAGAAGAATGGCGGCACATCGACCAACCCACACTCTCCGATCAGATGATAAGGCCATGAAGTTATTGAACAGAACCCAAAATTGACAGTATGAGCTGTCCAGCAGACCACCACTCGTGAACCAAACTGAGTGGGCCAAGAAGTCGACAACAAGCAGATAGCAGAAACTTGCAAAATAGGCACAAAGAACGATCTGAGAACATACCTTCCTCTGATCGACCTTTGCAGGTGCATGATCTCTCCACAGCTTGCCCTCTGGGAGAGTAACCAACTTCCTGGCCACGTTCTTCCCCAGCGTCGCACGCACTCTGGAGTCTAGCGTAAGAACGTCACTAAACAACTTCTCCACCTTCCAGGTCTCTTTTCCCTTCCCGGGGTCAATAACGATAGTGAAAGAGAGCACTTCCTTTCCCCGATCGTTTGGACGGATGGAAGAGTGTGACACAGTCACTTGCGTGTGAGGCAGATCGCTGGCAAGCAAAGGCAAAGCACGGAATGTAGGTTGCGCGTCATTCAATGAAGCAGTGAATGGTGATACCGGTGTCGTAGGGGGCTGCAGTGAAGACACAGATTGTCCAGGTGTAGTGTGTCCCGGAGTCAAACCAGTAGTACCGGTATTGCCAGAAGAATCAGCTTGCACTTGACCACGCTGGGCAGCAGCCAGCGCTTGCATCTGCGCTGTAGTCAACGGTTCCGGTCCTCCAGGATGAATTACAGGTGGCGTAGATGGCGGTAATGGAAAGTCTTCCACAGCCGCAGCTCGTTTCTTGCCCTTCGCCCTCGGCACGTGGGCATCAGCAGCATCGTCGGGATCATCATCGGGATCAGTTGTGGTAGAAGATAGAACGCCCCTATCGCTCCCGCCTGCACTGTCATATAAGCTGTCGCCGTCTTCGAGTTCGAGGAATTCGCTGTTGTCTTCTGTACTGCGTCGACCATTCGGAATGGCCCGTTGGGATTGAGCGTCGGCGTGTTCAACTTCTTTGACGGTACCTGTACTATCTTGAACAGTGATAGGTGGTGGAGACTCCGGGAACTCCGAAGGCGGTTTCTCAAGTGAAGTGGAACTTTGGTTCGGTGGCGTCAAGAATCCTTGAGTAACTCGAGGACTAGGAACGGGAGATTCGCTCATGGTAGCATAGTACCTCTTTGCCTCTTCTGGTAGAGATATCCGTGATTCGCGTGACAACGCATAGGGCCGAGAAGGTGCCGCAAGCTCTTGCGCCGCCATCGCAGGAGAAAGATGATCTTGTACGGATATATTAGACAGTTGTGAGGGTATTAACGAAGTTGGTTGAAGGGTATTGGTATTGGTTTGTGTCTCAGAGGTATCGTCCGATCGCACTATCGGTGGTACATTCGAACTTGGAGTTTGAATAGTTGGTGGATTCGGGAATGAAGAGTGGTGACGAGATTTGGTAAGAGAAGGTTCTACCGCAATACCAGCAGACTGTGCGGGTGTCGAAGGCGTAACGAATGCTTGAGGTGTCCTGAGAGGCGGGACTGCACTTCGTGAAGTGTGACCACTGGTGTTCAGAGGGTCACCTGTGTTGGGAGGAGGAACTGCTGAGCTGAAAGGAGTGACAGATGGTGTTACGACAGAATATCCCCCAGGTGTGTTTAGTGAAGCTGAACGAACAGGTGTCGCGAGCTGTAGAGGAGAGGGCTTTCGTGGATTATTGTCGAGAAATACCTGAGGCCCTGATGAAGTCGAAAGAGGTGAAAGGGAGGAAGAGGAAGGAGAAATCGCCAAGTTCGTAGTTGAGGAGGCCTGGGATGTATTAAGGTACGTTGACGTTGACGAGAGTGACGACGGAACATTGAGACTTGATTGAGATCCTTGTCGTTCCCGGCCGCCGGGAGACTGCGAAAGTGAAGGTTGAGAGGTATTGCGATGACGATGCCGCGAGGCTACAAATAAGGAATATGTCCATCGCAATTAACCAATAGTAACAGGAACCACTCACCGACTTCATCGGAATGGGTTCTGACCATCTGACTTCTCGGGTCGTTGGCAGATAGCGAACTGGTCTCATTCGTCCTCAAATGCGAATGCGAAGTCGCACTTCGAAGGCTACCTTCCTTGCTGCCCTCCCGTCTCTCCTTCTCCCTATGCGCCTTAAGCAAAACATCTGTATTTTCGCCCAAGGAGTTGAGTTTACTTCGATAAACATCCCGTTCTCCCCTCACACGATCAAGCTCCTTCATCAACTGGGCATAACCCGTCCTCTGCTTCTCGATCAACTTCCACAACTGTGTATTCTGAGCCGCAAAATTGTTTCGGTCCGAAACAGCAGCGTCGAGCGCCGCAAGTGGCGGATTTGCAGCGTTAGCATGGGTGTTCAACAGAGACTCAGCTGTTATAGCAGCTGCAGAAGCGGCTCCAGGGTTCGGTGACATGGCAGACGACGACGCTGCCGTCCGAAGCACAGTAGGTGAGCTGTACTGCGCCGGAGTCTGTAGAGACCGATCGCGAGAAGGCGTTTGTGGTATAAGGAGGTTCATCTTGGGCGGCGTGCTGGTAGCCATGGCGCAAAAGTGACCTCTAGAGAGGCTCAGAGACGAGCCAAGCAAGGAGTGACAAGTCCACGTTCGAACTGATGATTAGGGAACTGTTGGCGAACAGCAGGACGGGTGAGCCTGAGAAAAAATAACGGTATGCACGGAGAAGCTCTATTGTTGAGCGTGGCCACCTGGAGGAATTACGTTAGTCTGCTCAGGATGGTGGGTATGTGTTATGAGCAGTACAGGAGGAACAGGCGGTGGTATATGTCGGAGTAGTTGGCAGGTTAGTATGGGAGACAACTTATTCGTAGACGCCCAATGCCGAGATATCAAACTGGTCTCTAAAGCGCTCGTCGCTGGTTACAGAACGATATGAAATGCCCTGAAATGCCTCTCGTTTCAGAAGCCACATTTCGCCTCAACTATTCAGCATTCACACTAGGCATCGAATACCCCGCATTCTGCTTTACTGAGAGTAATTGTAATGTTGAGGAGGTTGAGCGGAAGAGATACCATCACTCAATATCAGGCAATTCAAGATTGTGGCTCGCACATGAAGATCTATCACGGCGCGGGCTACTCGGAGAGAACACATGGCTATCGTTCCAGAGAGTAAACACATCTCTGCCAAGTGCTGCAAGGGCACCTCAGTCTCATGCCGTTGTAAAGAGATGTATTGTAGTCCGAGTTCGCCGGGGAAAACTACCTTCTCTTCTCATTGATAGTGCAGACCGTCCACCTTACATGAGATAGTCGCTCAAGAAGCGCGTCCATTCAATGAACAGTCTCATCTGTCGTACGGCAAAGTCAACTGCAAACACAGTCCAGCCCTTCAGGAAACGGAGATTCCCTGTTCGCATCAGTGCAGATCGCTGAGGCGCGTTGTACAGCTTGAAAGCTGGCCTTCGACGCGCCTGAAGACATCTTTATGATGCACGGCGGTGAACCCGGAGCTGTTGAATGTGATGAACAGATAAGAAGATCGACCAATGCACAAGAAGCAACTCACAGCCCTTTCATAGAATAACTACTTTGCTTCGTCCGTCTCAGGATCAGGGTTCAACTCCGCAGCGACCGTCATGAATCTGCCGAAAGCGTTAAGATGAATGGTAACATGTTATGGTGATAGTACGCACTGAGCGGCATGATTGGCAGCAAGAGTTTTCATAGCATCCAGCGTAACCTTTAAATGTTCCGAGAGGTCCGCGGTCTGTCCAACTGCCTGAGATAACCTCTGGAGACTATTGCCCAACTGAGCATAATGGCGATCCTTTGCTTGGGTCGCGCTCGTCGGTAAAGTGGCCTGTTGCATGCTGAACGTCGATGGTCGTGATGGTTCTGAGTCAAGATGAATATGACAGATCCGAGTTCATGAACAGAGTTCAATAATAACAAAAAGAGAGACGATCTGGAAGAAAGAGAGTCTCTCAAAGGCAGTTCCGCCGGCTGCCACTCGATCGTAATCGCGCAAGCTGCTATAGTAGAAGCGCCCACAAAAACGCGCTTGCGGCTGGGCGTCAAGCTGCAGACCCGCTTCCTAGGAAACTCGGCCAGCACCATGGGCTTCAGGCAGGCTGCCGTCCTCGCTACTACTTGCTTCTCCCTCGGTATGTCCTTCGCGCAATCTCCTTCGCCTCTACTCGTATGTTGATTCTTACCGTGTCGCGCACGTCCTAGGTATTCTCTTTATCTGCTTCACAGTAGATTACAGGATCCTTTTCATTCCTCTGACGGATGAAGCTGTTCGCGATGGCTTCGAGTTCTACACAACCTTCTTCAATTCTCCGCCTGCAATAAAGGTGTGTTTACGCCATTTCACTGAAATCTGACGATGTCAAGCTCAAGCTCAATCACCCTCCTCTACCAGGCGTTGTTGCATGGAGTGATGGGTGTTGGCATCATTGGCCTAGTAGGAAAGATTCACAAGTGGGATGAGAGTGCGATGTTCTTTGACGGGTCTTCTCTCGGTACGTACATGTCCCTAACCTACCCGAAGGAACCCGACATATCCCCCATGCCCAAATCACCAACCCAATATCATCCAACTAACCTTCTCCACCTTCCAACAGCGGCGTTCGTCTTCGCAATCGCCGTCTATCTTTCAGTGGGGGTTCCTGCCTCCCGTACCATTGCCACACCAGTAGAAGGCGTCGACACCAGAGAAGACCAGGTTGAAGCCTTGCGTATCCTTTCGGCTGGGAACGTTATCATCATTGTCATGTTGATTGGGATATTGGTACTCCAGGTCAGTACCCTGAAATCTCTACCATCAATTCCCCCTTTTCTCTCGGCTTGATTTCATCCGTTTGTCTTACGGTCTTGTGATATCTGTTCGCTAACAAGAGTGTCTCTCTTTCTGTTCCTGGTCGTGTGCAACCCCTACTGCTGCCATGAATGTTGTTGTTACGTTTCTGAAATAGGCAGGAGAGGAATACGTTCGACGAGTCGAAGCCAAGGAACTCGCCCGACAACTTGACCTTGACCAGAAGGCGAAGACCAAGCCGGCTGCGAAGACCGGTGAAGAGACGGAGAGCAAGAAGGATCAGTAACTGATCTTCACAGTCTCAGGTCCCCCGCAGTCGTGTGCCTAGCTCACGCTGCCGTGATGGAGAAGAGAGAGAAAAAAACAGCTGGAGAATAGGACTCTACGGGCGGACTCGAATGCTCGAGACGTCGCGAGTATTATACTTCCCAATATTGTATGGGAGCAAACTGTTTGTTTGTCTGCTTCTCAACCGCGCAGATTATGTAGATCTTTTCTTCCCGTTCCCAATATGTACCTATTGTACACACACACCACTTGGATGACTGTCGGAAAACATCGTGACCTGCGATATGTATCTCATGAATCTCATGTCTACTCCCGCGAGCCTTTTGATTTGTACACCATTCGTCTGGTGATCTGCATCCGTCCGAGACTGTGCGTCAATTGGTTCCGTTGACGATAATCAGACGTGTCTTTCCGTCTCCGTGTAAAGTAGCTGTCGTAGAGGTCCGCCGACGGTCAACAACTGTGACCAGTGACTTTCCGATCACTACGATCTTGAAGTTAGCACATGAGATCTTGAGAACGAGCTGCGATCGCTTCTTATGCCCGTCTCCCACTACCACGGCTCACAACATTGACGACTCTCACGACTAGTACCTACATACGTGCGTATATGTTAAATTGAGCATTCTGACAACCTTTCAACAGTCAACATCGGATTCATCCACGGTCCTCTACGTACGAATCAGATGGCGTACGTCGTGTGCATGGGTACAACGGCTACCAATCTAAATCCTATTTATGTCCGTTCCAGGTCCGCGAGACTGGAGACCTTACTCAATTGGTGTGCACAAAACGACATCAACATTGACCCTCGTATCGAACTTATCGACAACCCAAATACCGGTATATGCGTGTACTCAAAGGAAGTTCCTATCAATGCCCTCGAAACGCGTGAGTACTTTCCCTCCCTCCCATACACCCACTCGAACGCGCCATCGGAATGGGAGAAGAACAACGGAGAATGCATCAAACGTTGAATTCTTCCACTCTCATGGCATGACATGTACATGCATTACATCTTCTTGAAGATTTTTTCTTTTCATCTTACTTACCGGTGTCTATCCATCTTGCAACCTTCACATGACAAAGTCGTCACGATTCCCAAGACAGCGGTACTCTCCTCACGCTCGTCTTCCCTCGCCCATCTGATCCCCGAATGGGATATCCCACCGTATGGACACGGCGCACATTTAGCACTCGCCCTAGCTCTTTACTATGAGATGTAAGTCGCGTCGCCCATTTTTTTTGCATCATTCATCACCCTTTATCCATCTAATATGCCAATGGCATTCTGGCCCACGTTCTGTGGTCCAGAACTGAGAAAGATGGATCTTGGAAGTCTCGTTGTACTAACCGCATTCTCTGGTTTACGTATTATCATTTCTGTAGTGTTCTAGGCCCAGAGTCATGGTGGTTCGGCTACTTGCAATCGCTTCCTCACGAACCGGTCGGGATCGCATTGTTCTGGGGTTCTGATGAACTACAACAAGGGTCGCGTGCAAACAGATTGCAACCGCAACAACAGGGACAACAAGGAGAAAACTCTGGAGAACGTAGACAACACCACGAGGAAGTTTCCGATGGTGAACTCGCACGTCAGTGGTCCGTTGGCACGGAGATTGACAGGGAACAGCGAACCGAGGATGGGGTTTGGTTGTTGGTACGTCCGGAATTGTTCTTTATTCTTTCTTTTCATTCTTTCTTCCCTTTTGCTTTCTTTCACGTCAGGGGTATCGAAGCGTTTCAGGACCTTAATTGCTTGGGGGTTCCTATTGTTGCTTTATTCGTTTGCTTCAGTGCTTGACGACACCAACAAAGCAACGTACGCTTCTCAATGCTTCTCACTTATTGTTTGCTTCTTTTTTCATTTGTTACTCGGAGCACCAGGGCCCCATGATCGTGCAACCTTTGTACCTTCCTTACGACATCCACAATAGGCATTCTCATTTCATATCTTCGCTCTGTCACCATTCATTCATTAATACCCCTTCCCCCTTTTTAATTTACCATTGTTTTTGTTACTAATTGATCAATCATTGCAGGATGAACTCCGAGAGTACTACTACGCAACTGTCGAACCACTCTTCGCCAAATTTGCATCGCTCCCACAGTCACGTCTCGCAAATCATCCCAGTCCATCATGTACCCTTCCAGACTACATGCATGCGTATTCTCTAGTCAGCTCTCGAGCGTTTCTCGTCGACGCCTATCATGGACTCTCGATGGTCCCTATAGCCGATGCGTGAGTTTGTCCCTTGCTCTCTTTTTCTATCATCTATCATCTTCCCATCTCGTTTGTTGGTGTTCCTGTGTGGCCGGTCATTCTTTCACAGTCTCTTATCCGGTTGTGTTTCTTCCTCCGATGGAGATTTCCAGAACCATTTAATTGTTTGCTTTACTACTGCTTTCCCTTTTCTTCGTCTTCTCGACGCGTTATTGACGTTGTGTGGTTCTTTCAGTTTCAATCATTCTCAACCGAACCATGTCCATCTTGAGGTGAGTTCCATCTTTTCGGTTTGTTGGATCACATCATACTTTCCACACGCTGGTCGAATTTAAGCGAAAATGTATCATGACGCGGCGTGATATAACGCAATGGACGATAATGACCAGAGTGGACTGTTGCGTCGGATTTTCTTCTCTGCTTCTGATGGAGGGTGCTTCCCCCCCAACCGTAACATCCAAGTACGGTGTGCTCACAGCGCTGCGTTCATGATATCGATGATTTTTCCATTTTGATGTTCGATGTTTGGACGTTCCAAAATGACGTCCGCAATGTTCATTATGATGCATCTCGAATGACAAATTGTCTAAATTTCCTCTCCTATCTATCGGTATTTATTTATTCTTCTAGAGCGAATATGACGTTTGCGTCATTTGTGGCTCGTTATCACAATGTATACACGATGAACAAGAAGAAGAGAAGAACGACGCAAACGCACCACAAGCACACATTCCATCGAATGACAAGAAACATTCTTCCTCTTACGTTCACGCCGCCGCACCGCCCACCACATCAGCATCGAATGAAACTGACAACTCACCACTTCATGATCCTGATCGACAAGAACCGGACACATGCGATATGTGCACTAACCTGCCCATCCCACCACGTACCGAAGTCTTCAACACCTATGGTCCAGAACTCACCAACGCACAACTCCTCGTTCGGTATGGATTCGCGCTGCCCAGTAACGACAATGACGTGGTGTCTTGGAAGCCTGACGAGCTGTCCAATATGATGAACTTGTCATTGTCAGAATCCATAGTATCTTATTCATCATCATCGGGATCAGGAATCCCGACGCCGCCGCCGCATGATTCATTTAGACTTCAACCAAGTTTCCTGTCGAAGGAGGAGGCATCTGTAGTGGAAGCCAGTGACCCCGAAGTACGTTTGCGTTCGAAGGCCGAATGGTTAGGGGTGAAGGCGAAGTCACACTACTGGATGCTTCTGGAGGAGGTGATACACGTGTGGCCAACGGAAGCGCGGTGGAAGGGATCAAATCTGGTGTATAACCCTTCGGTGATTTATACAAATGCTGGCTATATGCCCGACCACGTACAACACGAGGAGCAGGATGAGGATCTAGAGATGTATGACGAAATCGATGAGGTTATAGTTGTCGACAAAGAGGAAGCAGGAGACCAACTGGAGGTCTTTACCGACAAGGCAAAGACAGCGCATGGTGGGGCGGGGTTCATCCAAAAAGGAAGTAGCAGCGCGGAAGAAGAGCTCGAGCTTGATAGACGGTTTCAGGGTCAGCCGGCGACTAGAAATACAGTTCAGGGTACAGGACGCCGCCTCCACCAGCAGCAATCGCAATCAAGGATAGCTCGTGAACGTGATCAAGTGTATGAGCGACTCCGAGGGACACGAAGTCGCACCCAAAAAACTCGTGGCGGGGTACGAATCAAGCCTGTCTTTTGCATCAACGGGGATGCCAAGTTGAGTCACCATTTATGGGCATACTGCGCCTTGGTCGCGCTCGTTCGGACACGGACAGGGATAGGGCGAACACGTTCCGGTCACGGGCATGGACACTTGAGAAGTCCTATTCATTCGATCCCGCCCTTGATTATTGATGTGGTGACCACCGGTCGGGTGAATGAGAAGAACGAGGACGACATGGATAAAGTGGATACAATGCATGAGATTCTGCAGTATTTGTCGTGGGTGGTTGAACGACAGGTTGCGCTGGAGGGAGAAATGGGAGAAGGCTCGGGGAAAGGCGAGGAAGAGGGCATGGAATTAGATTTGGGGGAAAGGGAGGGAGTTGCCGGCGGCATGAACGTATCAGGTGAAAGACTTGAACCCGGCTGATGATCATTCCACTAACAGTAATAGCAACAGCAGGAAGTGCAGAAGAAGGTGAAGCCACTGATGGGCCATGGGGCATGAACGTGGACACCAGAACAGAAGAGAGAGAAGATGTGATAGAGGTAAGTGACATCCCAACGACAGATCTTCTCAAACCTTCATTGCGGCGTAAGCCAGCGGTGGAAAAAAAAGCTATTAGCACTGCTGGCATGAGGCGTTATATTCGGAGCTTGAAGCTTGTAGTGAAAAGTCTGGCGGGACGCGGATGGACGTTTGCTATCGAAAGTGCTGAAAGACTTGCATATGCCTACAGGTGGTCAAGGAACTCGTTCGCACGGTGACTTCTGTATGCAACGAAAGGGCCATGCAGTTGGGTCGGGCACCCCAGATGGGAGAGCTGCTTGACGTGAGTAAATTGACTAGCATTTTGCCACCGTTACCAGAACCGAAACGCGTCACCTTCCTGTTTCGCGCTTTGGGACGGTATCCATTTCGGAGTTTTGCTGATCAGAGTGTTCGTGCTTTTTTGGCTCCGCTATTCGTTGATGATTCTGGACCGCGCAATTGGAATTGGACTTGTATGTGTGGTGACATCTCATCTGCACGTCTGGACCGTTCTGGATACAACCTTTGCGATTCTCCGTCCCTGGTTTTGTGCGTAACTTTCCGGACGGATAATATAGAGCTTGGGAGACGAGTGGGTGAAGACGCGGTACGCGATGGAAGAAGTGCTGAGTGAGAGGGCAATTCTAGAAAGCTGCAAGTGGTCGTGGCAGGAGCTGGGCAGACATGTTTGTGGAGACACAGAAGAAGAGGCGTGACTAGTGTAATACTGGGATGGGAATATTTGAGATACCAGGCGAGTGACTGGGATAGTTGTGAATCGGAATAGGACGAGCTGCCAGATATGAACCGTTGGATTGGCCCCATTGTTCTCTGAAAGCGCGGAGACGCGGAGAGTCACGGTGAGATTGAAGGATTTGCAGTGTATATAGGATGATAGCCGTTACAGCGGCATGGGGAGAAGATGTGAAGAAGGAGATGTGGGAGAGGACAAGAAGTCGGCGGGTGAAGGGGAGAGTTCCGGGTAGTCTACTGTACGAATTGGGTGACTGGAGTCAGCACATGTGCCTACCCAATGGATCGCGGGAACGTGTTGTGCTTGAAGCAGACGATGGCGAACGACGTGCGCATTGGTCGGATGTCCTAATGAAGGTGTTAATAAGTGTCAATGCATTTATCGAGCCCGAGTCAAGCGCAAAAGCGACGGCTGCCTGTACTGGGGTGACGGACTGCGAGGGTGCCCACTGTAGCGCGCTCATCTGCTCTCTGTGGGAAGGGGCTCGACAGAATGGGCACTGTGACTCCCTGTGACTAGCCGTTACGGTAACACCCATTCTGGAAAGAATCCCCAGAGTTTGTGTGCATTTGGCCGTGTTTTGGGTGTGGCTCCGGAATTGGCAATATGAGATCTGGCGATCGCGATGGGATCTTGGTATCAGGGCTAGGTAGAGTGTGCGGGTGTTATATAGGCCCCCGCCCTCTCTCTCCTCCTCCTGCCTCGTTTCCCTTTCCCCGCCCTTCCATCCCCTACCATTCGTACTCAACATCTCGCTAGCCATGGACGCCATCGACGTTAATTGGTGCTTGTACTGTGAATGCCATACCGTGCGCTTTACCCGCTTTTGGCAATACCGCATTCACTGACATTGCTTTCCTAGGAGGGTGGTGCTGCCTACTGTTCTCGGGAGTGCCTCAGTGCACACAACTCCTCTACTTCCTCTATCTACGCTCAGCCTATCCACCACTCGCACGCTCCTCATCACCATTACCGCACGACTGCACCTCAATACATCTCGGAGGCCGAGGATGATGAGCTTGAAGAGGAGCACGACGACGATGACGCCATTTTACAGTACCGCAAGGCTCACCTTCCTCCATCCAAGGGTGATTGGATAGGCAGAGGTCTTTCAGGCATCCAAGACTGGGCAAAGGACGTTGAGCCTGGCTTACCTGCTGAGCCTGAACCCAAGCCTCGTTCCATTACCAGCGGTTTTCGTCCTCCAAAGATCTTGCATTCATACCGACGACCTCTTCCCCCAACACTGTGCACAACCAAGACCGAGCCTGCCCCTCCACAACCGTCACGACCTATTTTCACACCGCAGCAGTCACTTCCCTCCGCATCCAGTCGTTCCGCTACCAACGCTTCTCTCACGTCCCTCACCACAGGCATCTCTACCTCTATCGCTACACCTGCTTCTGAGGACCCCGAAGATCCCCCGTCTGCGGAGACTCACAGACCGAATTTCATCGGCACCCTCACTGCACACCTTCGTCCATGGGCAACTTCGACTTCGAAAGACCCCAAGTCGACCATTCGGTCCAAGACCGTCACCCGACGACGAGAACCTACCATCGTGACTGTGGATTCACGACCGCTACCAATGGCTCAAGCAAGACGTCACCGAGCGTATTCGCCGGTATCTTTGTTCCCTGTTGACTTTCATCCGCCCAACGAGAAGGTACGGGTGCATCCGTTGAGGGAGAAGGTTGAGCAATCGGCTTCACGACCATCAGCAGAGGAGCATGCGGCATACCGGGCGCGAGGACGAAAATTGGCACGCATCGTTTCATGATTCTCGACACCGATGCACACATCCCATCCCATCTGACCATATGAGCTGCCGACTATCACCATCGTTTATCTGTCGCCTTGTCTTCTATCCTCTCTCATCGCTCAATAGATGCTTTCGTTCGCCTCCTGCATTCTGCCTTTCGTCGTCCACTTTCTTCGTTTAGCCCGATATCGATACCGCCTACTGGAATTCAATCCAAATTGCATTGTATCATAGTGCCTCTCGCGGGCTGCTCATCGCAGCTTGCTTAGTCCTCCGCCCTCGTTCACGTTGCTCATCCTGCTCCACATCGCACACGAACACACACACCCCTTACCCACGTCATCCCATTCCCTCGCTCAAAAATCCTTGCTTGCTTGTCTCCTCCTCTCATATCTCGTTCGCTTATGCTTATGGACGCTCTCTCTGCATACTTTTACTCTCACTCCTCTCTCCTCATTCATAGCACATCCCCATTCAAATCTATTTACCACAACGCAATATCCATCCACACATCCGGTTTCCCTGCATCCTTCCCGCTTTCATTTTTTTTTTCTCGTCCGGTTCCGCACCCAAAATCCGCCTTTGATTCCATCACCTCCACTCTTCCGTTTCATTTTTGCTTCCACCTACGGGTACACATACTCCATTTACCTGTCTGCTCGCTTCCGCCCCGCAGCATTCTCATCCACATCACATCATCACCAACACACACCAACCCTCGTTTCCCCAGTTCCCACGATTTTTTTTTCTTTTCGTCAATCATGGCCCCTTCTATTCTTCCCAGTCTAATTCTGCCGCCAACGCATGCATCCTGCCCTGATATTCATTCCCCAGGGTAGTTGCCCCCTTCGCCTGTGGCCGATTTCGAGCCCTTTTAACATGCCATACCCTTCGTTTGTGTTTGTTTTCTCTTTTCTTTCTCTGCGAGGCCTCAGTTTGGATGTGTATCCCCCATTGTAATAGTCTGATATATCCTATGGTGTTTAGCTGCGCTTTCTTACATAGAATGTCTCGTGATCTTTCGCGATGCATAGAATTCTTCAATAATCGTTGACATCTAGCGCGTATATGTCTGCATGCAAGTTCGGCGGTCAAGTTAGACTACAGCCTACTCGATATCAGATGAGTCGAAGTGGTCGAATACCCGTGAGTGTACATGGCGGTCTATTCGGGTCTAAGGTAGAGTGAGATGAGGGCACCAAGGGTGTGGTTGTGGTTCTATTTTGACCTTAAAGGTACGCGCTCACTCGGTATGCGGCTGGGAGCGTTGTTGTTGTCTTCCCTTCTGTTCGCCAAGCAACTCGAATAGAAAGAAGAAGAAAAAAACTGACTGAATGTGTCCATCAGAAAACACCCTACACAACATGTACATGACTGAATACAACGAAGAATTGAAGACAAACAAGCGGTTACCTACAATACTTCTACTTTCTAGGACTTGCCACCCCGGTTGAGCGGGAATGCGCCACTCCATGGGACTTACAATCTGGCTACTGTATACCCAAAGTGCTTCCATTGAGTGAGTGAACCACTTAACGCCGTTAATAATAAGTAACAGAACCTTCTCCAAATCAATTTAGTCCGAGTCCATTCAGTTCAATCGCAAGGCCCGGGCGAACGTGCCTTTATTTTGCTCCCTCCCTCCTTCCCTCGAACTCTCTTCCCCTTCTATTACACTTATGGTGTTTGTTTCCACCCCTTGAAACGCTTCCCCTGCCAGTGGAAGTCACATTCCCGCCTTCTCTCCCTCTCCCTTTCCCCTCCCCTCATTCCGAGCCGATTCTTCTTGGACGCCTGCCTATTCCGTCGACGGCTGCGGCAGCGGTATCGGTATCGGTATCGGTATCAAGGGCTCGCGTGAGAAGCTTGCAGAAGAGTGCGAGATCCGATGTGCTATACAGTAAGATCGCGCCACGCCGCCACTTACTTCCAAGCACCCGACTTCGAGCGGGATGAATTGTTTTGGACGGGTTCAACTTACGGCGTGTGGTGCGTCGAAACATGAGGCTACTAGCTGCTGTGCTCGCTTGTGACGCTTATCGTTTCTTAGTCTTATTTGGCTACTATGTGATGCTGCGCTGTCACTAGTAGCTGGAGACTAAAGTACCTGTACTCATGGTTTGTGTACTTATTGCCAGTCGAACGGTTTTATTTTTTTGTGTGTGTCTTGATGGTTTGCAATTATTTGGAACCCGGTTCGCGGAGGTCATGCGCTGTTGTGAAATGTTTTGCGTGTTTGAAGTTGAGTGGTAGGATGGTCCCGCTTATGTCCCCTGAGTAATTCTATTATCCGTCCGAGTCCTCATGGAACACAAAACGTCCAGCAAGGCGGACCGGAGAGTCTCGTTCAGAGTCATATCTGAAGTTTGGTATGATGATAGCGGCTTTCCCGCCCGAGAATTACGATCGAAGTTGAAATCGACTAACGCATGGAGTACCCGGTAAAAGGTAATTGCAAATCTGGACGCCAAGTTTCAGGATGTCCTATCATAAAGGTCAAGAGCTTGGTTCTTAATCCGGATTTGTACCGCGAAGTCGAACGTGCCCTGGTGGGTGTCTCGGCGTACCGTAAAATCCGTTATACTCGTACGCGTTTCGTCGACACCCAATTATTCGTCAATTGATCCAGTCTATTACACCATTGCGATCTATTATTCAAATGTCTTTGCTTTTAGAAGCCTTCGTCATGATCGTGATCGACATGAGCTATTTGCAATATCCAACGGTCCACATCCGAGCGTCATGCAAGGTCCCCCGCCCATCCACTAGTACCGTATCCACCAAGTTCTTGGTTCCGTATGGTACAGTACTTGGCGCCTTCTCCGGATATTGAATAAATGAAGTACGCGATCACGAGGGGAACAACGAATGATTATCTTGATTCCGAGCTCAGGTGGTGAGCTGGTGTGTCCCTTTCTCCGTATTAGAGCGGCTGATAAGCAACGCGTTACGCGTCAACTTGATATTTCTCGGGTCCCGACTTTCTGCTACGACGTTGTTTTTAACATACCGAACGGCCTTGGCATGAATGGGACAATGTCTAGACTCAAGAAAAGTTCCCAGCTGAATGCGTGAAGATCGGATTGAGGTGGCGTAGACTAGAACACATTGAAACCCTCTAGGACGTACCAGGCCGCGCTTTACTGACATTTGAACTACTCGTTGTCAGTGGATAAAGAACGGTGGCCTCTACCTTCCGCAGTCCAGCTCGATTTGGGGATATGTCAATGGTCCGACCGTTGTAATTGCAGCAACTTGGAGCACTCTGACGAGATTCTCCAAAGCAGTCAACCAAGAACCGTCCAGACGCCCCCATCGTTTCATTTGATGAGTAGCTCTCTCTTTGCTCATGCCAATCCCGGCGGCCCATCTATAAATCTCACATGACTCTCGGGCCTCGAGAGGCCAACAGCTGATGCGACGTCCATCAGCAAACAGACGCGTCACAAACGTCGGGACTCCCACAACGGGCAAAAGTCATCCTTAAATTGGCCCTTCTCGTAATAGCTCGACGTTCGCGTAAGCTCCGTTCCTCGAATGCAGGGCTTTGATTCGTGATGACCAACTTACTGAATTCTTACACATACGCATCTGCATCTGCAGTGCACTGGATTCGGCGATATGAGGGGATTCTCAGTGGCTCAGTTGCTTCCCTCTCGTTCCCAAGGTCCTCGTTCGCATCATGATTAGCCGAAGTGCTACCCTAAGGGCCCTCGCAGTAATACCTAATGCGGAAGACCCGACGCTGCATCGTGCCAGCTTCCCCGAGGGCCCCGATATTGCGAAACTCTCAGAGCACATTGAACTGTAAGACCACAGTCGCCGAGGCCCAGCACTTATTTCGTGGTTCCTTGCTCTTTTTACAGTTCGATGGTACAGCTCGTGACACCCAAAATCACGCAACCAAACAAACTATAAAAGTCGGTCAGAATAGGCTTAGCCTGGTGGCGCACGAGACATCTTGGAGACTGTTTACTTCTGTCAAGGGAGGTCAAGTGATCGTATAGAATCAGGCCCCAGGTTCCAGGACCGCCAGTGCTTTTGTCTCGGTTTGTTTGGCACGGGCGGGGATGGGGAACACACGCATTTTGTTTTGGTGCCAGTTTGACATATTGCGTCCGGTACGCGGATACCCTTCCTTTGGAAAAGCTTCCGACCTGCGCATCAAGTGGCAAAGAAGTAGACTTTGGACTGCTGCCAATTCTTCACTGGCTGAACGGCAACTGCACGTTGGTGGCTTGCAGGCCTTCATAGGAAACGTGCCCACCTTGAGCAACATCTTCTGTATTTTCGAGGACCTTCTGGGCTGAACGAATGACGATTGTAAGCGTCATTACACTGTCACAGCCTGGAGGCTGTGTGCACCGAGCTGTGTGCCCTGACCGAAATACCTTAGGTTTATTCTTAGCATATCCAATCGTCGACTTCGAATGATATCGTTTGTTGGCCTGCTGGTAGACTATTGTTGCAACTTCGCACTTACTGGGCTTATCTTCAGCATTCGTTCCCACCAAGACACCCAAGCCTTGGATCCGCTGTCGGCAAACGGGGGCTTCTATCTCTGCCTGCCCTTCAGCGGACTCAAAGAGGAAGGATAAGAAACAAACTAACCGCAGCAGGGTGATGGAAAACGCGATAACACGTTCACATTCACACCAGAACTAGATCATCCGGTGCGCATTATTACCGGACTTGGCTCCGCACAGGTGTACTTATGTGGTCAGCTGCAGGTCAATATGTCAGAAACCAACGCCACGGATAGATTTTATGGCTGGCCTGGCAGAACTTGATGGAGACGTGCGATGTTGCGCAACAAGCGTGACCTTGCTTCGTACCCCTTCCCAAAGGTCGATCTTAGGCTTCTCGGAAGGCGGGCTAGCCGTTCACAGTAAGACGAACTGTGGCCAAATTCCGTTCTCATATGCCGTCATTTATAATTAAGAGTTCTGCTGTCTCCGAGTCCTCGTTCCGTGTTATCTGCACACAGATACATTGCTTGTGTCACGCCCACTGACGTTCCTCTATTTGACGTCGCAATGAATGAGCATGGGGAGATCATGGAGTTCATTCACAGACCTTGCTAAGAATGATACACGTTCCTGCGATATGGAGTTGCTCAATATTGCACCCATGTTGCACTCAATATAACTTTGACGACGATAGCTTGCTACGCCACTTCTGGACAATTCCCGCTTCCGGTACACCGTTCACACCGATTACGATCGTGAAATCGACTCCCGGCGGATCCAAAGCTTGGCCTGTTGTCCACACACACTGATATTGCAAATGTGCGAATATTTCTGCACTGTTTCATGTTGCGACGAAGGCTGCCGCACCAATCGTCATCGGGGATAAAATATGTATATGATGCATTCGAAGCTCTGATGCAAAGGACTAGAAGACAGACACGGCCATTGTTGGATACGATAGATACCAACCCTCATTTGCCAAGTAACTTCTACATGGACTCTTCTCTAGTCGACACCCATCCCCATTGCGAGAGCCTTGACTTGATCTTTACCCGATATGTCAGTGAGAAGGTGAGAAAAAAATACAGTGAACAAGCAAAATACAACGCCTTGGGCATGCTGACAATCACGTTCATTGCGGGGGTTGGAAACTGCCAAGTTATTATGGTTAGTCTCATGATGCATCTATGTGGGATTGGCACTCAGCATGCTTACCCAGGAGGTGGTCCCGAAAATCCTGGTGGTGGCGGGAACGGCATACCCGGCGGTGCGCCAGGGAAACCTGGAGGACGGAAGCCGGGAGGCGGTCCGGGCATACCAGGAGGTGCAAACGGCATTGGCGGACGTTGCAGGGAAGGAGGACCCACTGTTATAAGATAGGTGAGTAAGAATGCAAAAGTGAAAAGTAAGCACGTACTTGGTGGCATCATACCCATACCACGACCTGCTGGTGCACCTCGTCCAGGGCCGATAGGAAGCTACAAACACGATCAATCATTATTCAAACAAGTAAGAGGAGCATCACGTACCACACCCTTCTTCTCTTCATCTACGACAGGCGGGGGACCCTCCACTGACAAACTAACGACAGTCTCACCACGCAAGATCACAAGACCGAGCGTTCTCTTCATCTCTTGCACAGGTCCTGCCTCCGACTCTCCGGCCTTTTTCTTTGGCCGAATGCGCCTGAACTCTTCACAATCCGCAAGCACAAGGTTCATATGTCTGTCGAAAGCAAGCATTTGCCCTACGAACGCGCGTCCGTCGTTGATGGTGACTTTGAGTCTCCAGTTGATGAGCGACAGCATTTTGCCGCCTTTGGATTTTGGGGGAGGCTATTGAACGTCATATTAGTTATGCATTCTGTACTCTGCAGCAAAGATACTCACCATGGTGGGCTATACTGGATTTTTGAAGATGGATGCCACAGACAACGAGGATGAACAAGATCGCACCAAAACACGACCAAACAGTCTCTCGGCGTCTATCACAAAGGGGCCCAAGTTGGAAGTTGAGGTTGTTTCTCTCTAGTTCGGCCGACAGTCATCTCTGACAGTCATGGTCAGTCATTGACCACTCTGGCAACCAAGCCGCCAGCTGACATCTTCATGTAAGACGGCTTAAAAATTCAGTGGATATGACTCACCTTAGCATTCCATGTTACTGCTCCCCGTTTTGACTCGGACCGCTCACCAAACTCCTAGCTATATTTACTGATCGACTGGCTGCCTGCCTGATCAACCAATTAACTGCAGCCATGGCACGAATTAACACAAAGCTCACCCGTCTCTTAGGTGAGTGACAATTCTGACAAGATGTGCGTGCTTTCAGTCATCGAATACGGTTCTTGATGTATCTGTGGCAGGCATCAACATTCCTGTTGTCTGCCCTCCGATGGCCAACGCTAGTGGCGCAATATTGCCAGTGAGTATCGCCACATTCAAACCGTACGAAGCACAACCTTATCTTACTCTTTCTCAGGCAGAAGTAACCCTCGGGGGAGGCTTTGGATTCATAGCCGCAGGTTTATTTCATTCATCGCTGAACCAAACATGCACCTCACATTTGACGCAATGGATCAGGTTATAGTAGTGCTAAAGCTCTGCGACATGAAATAAGCATGGCTAGGTCCATTCTTCGCGTCGAGGCCTCATCGACTCTTCCTATCGGAGTCGGATATTTGGCATGGAAGCTGGAAGAACCAGGCAACCCTGCACCCGATATGCTAAATGCCGCTCTGGAGAACGGTGTCCAGGCCATTTGGCTGGCGTTCGGCAGAGAAATTGGAAAATGGGTGAAATACATTCGTCAGTATGACGGAACAAGTGGGCGCAAGACCATTGTATTCATCCAAGTGAATTGCCTGGAAGAAGCACAGGCGGCTTACAAGGATTGGGGTGCCGATGTCCTCGTTGCCCAAGGTTCTTCGTTTCAAAATGCTTGATAAGTCTTTCTTTAAACTCACCATTGTGTTTCAAACCGTCAGGAATCGAGTCAGGTGGACATGGAGGCAGTTATGCTCCGCCGTTGCTGGACCTGATCACCTCCATCACAAAGAATATTCCAAAGGACGGTCCTCCAATCTTGGCTGCTGGCGGTCTGTCCAATGGCTCCCAGGTTGCTGCCTTTCTTACACTTGGAGCCGCGGGTGCAGTCCTCGGCACACGCTTCCTTCTAACCCCGGAAAGCCAGTACTCGGAAACTCAGAAGGCCGCACTCTTACCTGCCTCCGCTAGTTCCACCGTCCGGACCCTCGCATTTGACTATGCAAGAGGTACGCTTGGCTGGCCAGAAGGGATTAATGGACGTGGTCTGCGGAATCAAATTGTGAAGCTATTCGAGAAAGGCGTGGATATTGAAATATTGCGAGAGAAGCTGGAGGAGGGCACCAGACACGGCGATCCGGATTACATGATTACTTGGGCCGGACAAGGCGTGGGTGACATGACAGAGATCAAGGGCGCACAAGTAAGATGAAATACATGCTACGCTCAAACCGATTTTCTGAATCTTTTCCTTCCAGGCCCTTGTTCGTGAAATACAACAGGAGATTGTGCGATGCCTGAAGGCTGCCCCTCTGATGGTTGAAGAGACGCAGACATCCAGATTGTAATGATTTACCTCTTCTCATTTGGCTCACCGATTTAACTCAGTTCTCATTCCACACGCTGTAGACGTGTTGCAGCAGAGACACGTGTAGGCGAGTGAATTGCACTATCTAGCTCTCGTCATCTTGCCGGAGGCTCTTCACATCCCGGTTTTATCGGTAAGCAACTCGCCCATCATCACAAGTACCGCAGAATGGGTCCGTGATACTGAAAGTGTAAGAGCTATCAATTCAACAGGAAGATTTTGCTCTTGTCGAAGGTGAACAATGATTATTCGATTAACTTTCTTCTTGAATCCGCCTTGCCCTTCGCCATTTCATAAGCCCACCGGACGTTGGGCATGTCCATAAGATTTAGGTTCTGACATTAGCCAATTCACCATGAGGTGCGTCAAAGATTTGTTTCGTATAGTCGTTGGTACAGTACAACACTTGTGGTCAGGAGAGATTCTATACTTATCCGTGCAATGGTCACTAGCAGCTTGTATGATGTTTGAGGTTGTCCGAGAATGAGTGTGACATAGTTTGTCAGTGCACAATCTCTACGACTAAGTCTCCCTGGTTGATGGAATCGCCTGGATTACACACCATCATCGTCAGCCAACGTGGAAGTGGAGCAACCAACGACGTACCTTCTTGGATAACAACACGCTTGATGTGGCCAGAAACTGGAGCAGTGACGGAGGATTCCATCTAGATTGCTAGGATCAGTTACCATTGCAGGAACATATGCTTGCAATCTCACCTTCATGGCACTCAATACTGATAGAACACGGATAGGGGTATGAGTAGGCCGCAAACACCACCCAAGGCGCAATTGACTTACCGCATATTGGGTCACCCTTCTTGATCTCAGATCCCTCCTTGACGCGAACCTCCACGACCACACCGGACATCGGAGCACCTACGGACCCAGGGTCTACGGTAGCCTTCTCTCGAGACACGGTTTCAACAGCGGAGTTCTTGTCCTCAACAGACACAGCTCGAACCTGGTGGTCATGTGAGTATGGAGAACTACCCAACGCAATTCGGTTTCTTTACCTCTCCGTTGACTTCGAACCAAACGTCACGCTGAGCGCGGCCCTCGACGACAGGGCCAACTGCCATCAAGCGAATGATAAGGGTCTTGCCCTTCTCGATTGAGATATGCATTTCCTCGCCAATATCCGGTCGACCAAGGAAGTAACGAGTGGGAATCACGCTATCATTAGTATTCAGTTAGGAATTCCGCTGACAGCTGATGCAAAATACTCACCTCAAATCGCCGTACTTCTCGACAAAGCCCTGGAACTCTTCGAAGACCTAGTTGATACACGTCAGGATTCAATGGACTGCTCGCTACGCAGTCGCAACCAACCTTCGGGTACATAACGTAGGAAGTAACGTCCGCATCCGTAATATGTTTTCCGAACTTCTGCCGCAACTCTGCCTTGATCTGTCTGAAGTTCAAGGGTTCGAGAACTGCACCGGGCCTGCCGTCAATTCTGGGCTTGTTCCTGATAATCCTGCTACGAAGAGGTTCAGGGAAGCCGCCAACCGGTTGCCCAATGTAACCCTGGAAGAACTCTACAACAGAGGAAGGGAAATCCAATTGATCAGCCCTTTCGAGAACATCCTTCTTCGAGAGCTTGTTCTGTGTCATCCACTGTGCGAAATCGCCTACGACCTTTGAGGAAGGCGTGACCTGCAATTCGACCTCAGCACTAAGGTCTAGATTCTTTCAACCACGTTCAGCGTTACCTTGATGATATTGCCACACTATGAAACAGACGTTGAGTACCTTGCAATAACAAAAAGAATCAGGCAACCCACAAGTTCATTTGCTTCGATATACTTCTTCTTGATTTCTGCGCGGGCCTTAGCAACGCCACACATGGCCGCTCAATTACCACGAAACGCACCTGTCCACTGGGTACCTAGGCCCAACTGCGATGCTTGGAACTAGTGTAAAATGATACGTTAGTGTTAGGGCGCGCCTCGTCAAACCATATTGCTCACCATAAGGTTTGTGTATTGTCCGCCAGGCATCTCATGATCGAAGACGCTGGAATCCGCCGCGCGTACATTGGCCTCGAAACAGCTGTACAGCATGCGTACTTGGCTCCAGTATAGGTTCAATGCCTGAATGTCCGCATAACGGATTCCGGTACCAAGACCACTCTGTTCGAGGGCGGTGCAAACAGCACCCATTGGAGGCTGAGAGGTCAGGCCCGACATGCCTGAGCATTGGTTAGAGCTACCGGAACAAGGAAAGAAGAATGATAGCTTACTGTCGATAGCGACATCGATTACATCTGCACCGGCAGCCGCAGCCGCCAACATGCTGGCAGTTGAAATACCAGCGGTATCATGAGAGTGGATATGAATGGGAAGATCAGGATATCTCTTGCGAATAGCACCAACAAGCCTGAAAAGAATTGATTAAAGCGTGACAAGATTATTAGGCAATCAGACGCATACAATTTAGCAGATTCTGGTTTCAAAAGGCCAGCCATGTCTTTGATACCAAGGACGTGGACACCCTCAGTTACCAGCTGATCAACGAAGTCGAGATAGTATTGCAACGTGTACTTCGTTTCCTTGCGGCTGGCAACATCGCCGGAGTAGCAGACAACGCCCTCACAAACACCGCCAGCCTTCTTCGCCGCATCGATACCAAGTTTCATCTGAAGTGAAGGTCAGTATGAAGTTGTCTATACTAGAATAAAGTTACGGACGTTCTCTGTAGGACAATCATCAGAAGAGGCAGCGGAATTCCACCACACGAGGACGTACCGATGTAGTTCAAAGAGTCAAAGACTCGGAAGATGTCCAGGCCATTCTCCACGGCTTTCTTCGAGAAGTCATAGATAGCGTTATCGCTGCCACGCAGATCAGTACAGAGTCTAAGGTAATGATACCCCAAACTCACGGGTAACTGGTGTAACCAACGCCGTTGGCACCACGAACAAGGGCTTGCAGAGGAATGTTGGGAACCAGCTTACGCAATGTACGCTACAAAGACACACATAGGTGACTATACACTCAAATCCGACGGAAGACTCACGTACCAGGCGTTCCCAGGGATCTTCATACAAGAATCGCATCGCCACGTCAAACGTAGCTCCACCCCAGCACTCCAAACTGTAGGCACCGGCAAGAGCATGGCTAGTCTCCTTCGCGATGTTGACCATTTCAATAGTCCTCAGACGAGTAGCCAGCAATGACTGGTGAGCATCACGCCAGGTCGTGTCCATAATGAGCACACCGGGGTACTCGCGGACAGCCTTAGCGAATGCCTCAGGACCGTGCTCGACGATGATGTTACGCCAGCCGGACTCGCACGGATGAGAGCAATCGAGGGGAGGTCCATTGGGATCTTCGCGACTCTGGAAAGTGGGGATGACAACGTCGTCTTTGAGACCGGGTTCCCCTTGTTGACCCTTGATTGAGCTGCCATTGACGGCAAGATCACCAAGATACGCAAGAAGCTTCTGAGCACGGTTTTGGCTCTGAACCAACTTGAATAGTTCGGGAGTGTCGTCGATGAACTAGGACAATTGTAATGAGAGTCTTATTCCTGAACAAGATACGCAAACTACTCACCGTAGTCCAAGTCTTCCCACCGATGAAGACATCATGGGTCAGCAAGCGGAAGAGGAACGGAATGTTCGTCTGTGAGTATTTTCAGTACAATATCATTCCCTCTGGGATTTCGGGCACCCACCTTGACACCACGAATACGGAACTCGACTAACGCCCGGAGCATCTTCCTCCGAGCAACTTCGTAGGTGGTTCCACTAACGGTGACCTTGACTAGCAAACTGTCGTAGTGAGGCTACCAAGAGTGTCAATGAGGGGGGGCTGTATAAGATGTCACGGCTACGCACTGTAATTTGGGCACCTGCAAAACCGGAACTGGCATCAAGACGAACACCATTACCACCAGCACTACGATACACCTCAATCTTTCCGGTGTCGGGTTGGAAGTTTTGTGCTGCATCTTCGGTCGTAACACGACATTGAATAGCAAAGCCTCGTTTGCTGATGGCCTCTTGAGTCAGACCGAGCTGAGGCAGAGTAGCACCAGCAGCAATTTGGATCTGTGCAGCGACGATGTCGATGCCGGTGATCTCCTCTGTAGCCCACCATTAGAACATGGATAGCTACATAATCAAAAGGCGAGACAAACCAGTGATTGTATGTTCGACTTGAATACGAGGGTTGATCTCGATGAAGTAATGCCTGCCCATCTGGTCAACGAGGAACTCTGCAGTTCCCGCATTCCTGTAACCAACACTCTTGGCCAACTTGATAGCATCGGCAAGGATAGCCTTGCGGACTTCTTCGGGGAGATGGGTGGCAGGCGCGACTTCAACGACTTTTTGGTGACGACGTTGCACCGAACAGTCACGTTCGAAGAGGTGAATGGTGTTGCCCTGAGCATCAGCGAGGAGTTGGACTTCAATATGACGAGGTCGTTCGAGGAAACGCTCAATGAAAACGGTCCCGTCTCCAAAGGCCGATTTCGCCTCGCTGACTGCACGCTCGAAGGAGGATTCGAAATCAGACTGCTCACGAACAACTCGCATACCACGACCGCCTCCTCCCATGGCGGCTTTAATTATGACTAGGAGTGCAAGTGAGTGGTACATAAGTCACAAATGCCGCATACGCGAACTTACCAGGGAAGCCGTATTCTTTGATGAACGCATCAGCCTCTGTGTAAGAAGCTACTGCTCCGGGAGTGCCAGGAACAACTGGTACGCCGATCTTGATCGCTATATGCGGCGGAAAAGGTGAGAAATTACAATTGCATGCTATTGAGGATGAGGACGAACCTATGTCACGCGCTTTGGTCTTGTCTCCGAGCGAGTCAATGACCTCAGGGGAAGGACCAACGAAGGCTAATCCTGCCATCTCAACTTTACGGGCAAAGTCTGCATTTTCGGAAAGGAAACCATAGCTGGATTTGGTATCAAGAGAACTGATCAATCGATGAAAGGTTGTCCTGTTGCCATAAGACGTACCCAGGATGGATCATGTCCACGCCACTCTCAAGAGCTATCCTGATGATGTCGTCTTGGGCGAGATAAGCACCGACAGGAGTAAGACCTTTTCCAACCTGGTATGCTTCATCGGACTACATAGATGTTACGAACTGAAGGATCTCTTGCTGCACAAAATGGCTCACCTTTTGACGATGAGCAGACAACCGATCTTCATACGAAAAGATCGCGACGGTGTGCATAGCCAATTCATGGGCGGTTCGGAATACACGGATGGCAATTTCCTATCCAACCGACATCGTTAATTATTCGTATTAAACCTCTCAAAAGTTTACAGCACAAAGGACACATACACCCCGATTAGCAACCAAAATCTTTGTTAATGGTCCGGAGTGACCAGCAGCTTTCCTGCGCATGGTCTGAATAGAATGCACAGGAGTCCCTGGCGCGCTGGGAGATCCGGCGAACATGGCAGCAAGTCGTGGAGGGTGTAAAGTCGACGAGGATGCGCTCGATGCCATTATGTCAGAATCAAGAGTTAACCAAGAGCAACAATTTCGACGCTAGCCGTGTTCTCCGTTGCGCAGACACTACAGCGATGACGTTTGAAACAAGAAGACTGTCCTGCACAACGATGTACACGACTAGTAAGTAAAGCGGGGAAAGGAAAGAGTACACGGCGGAAAGAGGAAGGAGGAGATAAGTAGATCAATGGAACCTTATCTGGCCGTCGAATCTCCGATCTCAGGCAACTACATAACCGAAACCCAAGAACTTTTTGCAGCCACAGGCAGCCACTCATACTCACGGCGTTACAGCGGCAGGATCCGTTCAACAACGTTCGCCCGAGAATCTTCATCCGCACAGTGCCCACCTCTATCACCGACCTCGAGCGAAATTGCATACAATATTAAAACCTGCATTCTATCCTGTAGCATAGCACAATATCGTTACTCTTTTCGGCTTGTCAGCGGTATGATCCCAGGCTGACTCGCTGCCTCAGCTTTCTTCTGGTTATTCTTGGCAACTGCGTATACGAGTCCTGCGAAGAATCCCACGGTAACAGCCGACACTGAGCCAAGAGTGACTGCATCTCCAAAGAAGATCATTCCCGAGGCCGCGACCGGCAGTTTGTTCAGTGCCCCCACCATGCTGTACAATATTTGAATACATAGTCTGGGGTACAGAGGTAGTTGCCAGACATACCTATATGTTGTGCTACTTGTTGCGCGGATACACCAGGCGGTCGTATAGGAAATGCCGACAGCAGCGGCACCTGAGAATGCGATAGCGGATAGTAGGAAATCCCTCGTCTCTTCGGGGCTATTCATCACAGGGTACACTCAGCATTGTTGCTTGGAACACCGAATATGACTATATTAGATACGCACAAATTCCGGTGGAGGTTTTCTACACTCCAGTTCTCCGCAATGATAGAGAATACAGCAAGGACGGGAATGGACAGTAAGTTGTTATAGAACATAGTGTCCCAATCCGAGAACCCCGTAACTTTGATTCGCTTGCGCATGGCCAAGACCTGTGGAGCACCAATAGTAACTCAACAACAATCATAACATATAAGTAACTTACATATGCGGCGCTAGTTAGGCAATTGACCAACATCCAGAGGTAACCGATGTTGAGCTTGGAGACTACGCCAGTCACTCTGTCGAGGTCCCAGGATGTTGCTTCGACAACAGCGGGGTCGCTCAGATTGACCGTCAAGGCGTCATTGATGTCTGCCCACGCTGCTATAACCGAAGACAAGACCTAACGACCCAGGACAACTCAATGTGAAGTTTGGTGCATTAGATGGCGATAGACTTGCATACCATGAAAATGAATGAGACCAGCGTAAGGCCAGTAACGCGCCCTCCGAACCAGAGCACTTCTCCGTATGCCTGAGGGTATGAAGCATTGAGCGCTGAATATGGTATATACCGAAACATGAGGGCACTGACGATGAGGATAATGGTCAAATTCTTGAAAATGGTATACACGGGTATACTCAGGTATTGCTAGTACATTAGCATAAGTCTCATACCTTCACAGCACTAAGTCACTGTATCCTACTCGAATTAACTCACCAGGCTCTTGCTGCCAGTGTATATCACACTAACGAGCGCGAAACTGATAGGAAACCAGGACTTCGCGTCCTTCATGTCAAAGTCTCGGAACGAGATGATTCCAAGTTTCTTGACAACGTATACACACGATACACAGACAGACGATTGTATGCAGAGTAAGAGGAAGTTCATGTTGAATTGCCGTCCGGATACTACGAACTGAAGTCGACTGATTAGAGTGTAGGAATACGAGCGTATACCACTCACTTTGTTTACAACGGTCATCAGAATCGAGGCAAGGCAGTAACAAAGTATAGGAGGTACTGTGAATGAATTCAAATCAGCATCCTATTGGAAATCGAATATGCATATGCTGCAGGCCAGCGTACCGGAGGAAACTGGGGAAGCATCTTTCGCCGAACCAGTAGCTAATGCCTTCTTCATTTCTACGACGTCGTCCTCAGTTTCCTTTGAATCTCTAGGGGACATGATGAGGCGTTCAGATAAGCTATAGTATCGGCGGGCAGTATTCTTTCTAGACGGGGACTGCAAGGTCCAAGAAGACTCGGAGGCGAGGAAGCGATGTAACCGTAATTTCTAAAAGAATTACAGATAGCCTAGAGAGGGATAGAGAGAATGGAATGCGCCTAACGAGACTGACAAAATACTGAAAGAAAGCTGCAATGACAATGAGGGAGAAAGGAAAGCGGCTTGGAAAAGGACTGCTGCAGCATTAGCATGAAACGTTGCAGCTATTAGTATGCTCGATCACGGTCGTTAATGTCCGTCTCAAGGTTAGGGTTCCCCCTCTCTTCCCCCTTTGATCAACTTCAAGAACACTCGGAAGCAAAACAGCTACTAGGCTACGCATGGCGTATACGTTAGGAGCAAGTTAGGAGCAATACTGTTCTTCCTTGAACGCTCTTGGGTAGTCTTGGCGTCGAACACGGTACGCTCGCATTTCTTACTTCGCACCATAACCGGGAACTGAGTTAAGTTCTCCTCAGATTCTCTAGACAACGACAGCAAAAGTCATGACTGAATTCAACAACTGAGCGTCGGTACTTTATGTAATGATTGCTTTACGCTCTAGGCATTTATGCTAAGCCAGCTTCCGATGCAAGCGAATAAAACGCGCTTGACTGAGAAGCCAGCAGACTTTTTGGCGAGTCAAACTCAACCACCTGCAAGGTGCGCGATCAGCAGTGCCTACGGGTAAAGATAGACAAACATACCCTTCCGGCTTCAAGAACGAGTACGCGGTCTGACTCCAGGATAGTATTAAGTCGATGCCTGTCCACATTCACGGTCAGAACTTCGCACACAACGGGAAGGCGGTGGCAATGACTGACGCGATAGTAAGCATGGTGACCTCCGCAAACTGCGGGCCACGAATGATATCTTGAATGGCTCGATCAGTGTCAAGATCGACAGCAGATGTAGCTATAAGAAAATATGATCAGGAAGTTCACTCGAGAGACACAGAAATAATACTACCTTCATCCAGAACGAGAATTTTGGTCTGCAAGTCTCATATTAACACGTTACCGGCCATAGTAAATCCCATCACTTACCTTGCGCAAGAGGGCCCGCGCAAAACATATCAGTTGTCTTTGACCAGAAGACATTGATGAACCACCTTCTCTAACAGGTGCATCAAGTCCACCGGGAAGGGATTCGATATATTGCTTAAGATGAGACTGTGGAATAAGATATCAATATCAGAATGATATTCAGATGATTATGGTGAGTTTACTTGTTCGAGAGCAACCCATATCTCAGCGTCTTGGTGAGCACCTGTGGGATCGATGTTCTCTCTGATGGTACCTTCGAACAAATCGGGGCTTTGCGGAACAATTGAAATCGCAAATCGCACTGAGCGATAGAATAACGTTAGTAAATTGTGCGAGAGGTGATGGAAATGACTTACAATCATGAAGACCAATCTTCGTAATGTCCACGCCGTCAACGTATATTGTTCCAGACGTAGGTTCTATTATCCGGAATAAGGATAACAATAACTTCGGAAGGAGATTCAGCACACGGCCGTTGGAGAAGGAAGAGATGATCGCATACTGTTGACTTTCCACTTCCTGTCCTGCCACAAATACCGATCTTTTCGCGGTGGTTCTAAATCATCACAACAACTGTCAGCTATTGCAACATCGAATATGTTGACTACATACAATCTTGATAGAGATATTCTTCAGGGAAGGGTCCAAGTCTGGTCGGTACCTTGTGGTGTAATCGCTATTGCAAAAGGATATGATATGGTCAATAAAATCAAGGAGACATGAGACAAAACGACCCACCGGTATTCAACATCGCCTTTGGAAGGCCAATTCTCAGGAATAGCATCAGGAATCTCAGCAGGTGCTTCCGACCGCAGGTTCACGTAGTGGAGAATTCGCTCCACACTGACAATGTTCTGCTCAACTTCACTCACGGAGCGCACAAGCCAGTTCTGAATACACACTCATTCAGTCAGTCACACAGAGATTGTGAACCCAAGAATGAACGACGTACCAGAGAACCAGTCGTGTTCAAAGCATATGATAGTACAAATCCAACCAATCCTGCGTCCACACCCGTCGTCACCAGTGCACTCAATGCTAACACAGCTGCGACGAAAATGATCGTAGCTCCGACCAATTCCAGCCGGACAGCCAACCATCGGTTCACGGAAATACTGGGCAGGTAGCAGATCTGGTTTCGGTCAACGCGACGTTCTTCGTTCTCGATGAAGACAGATTGTTGTGAGAAAGCGCGAATTGTGGATAGGCCATTCAGAGATTCAGAGAACCAAGCGAAAATGGGTGAGCGGGAGACTGCGTCAAGACGTTTGAGTTCTCGAGAGGTGGCAAGATAGTAACTGATAATTCTGTCAGTCAGAACTCGCAGAAGAGAAACTAAGATTTTTGACTTACATCATGACACGAAGGTAGAACCAAGCTAAAGGTGGAACAGCAAGCAACTAGGAATCAAGTCAGGCTCGTATTATCGAATGCAACGAAGCAATCACTTACGAAGAGTGGGAAACTGAATCCGATGACAGCGATGATCATCATGGTCACGAAGAACGTCCGGACGACATTTTGGATGACCTGGGACAGAGTGAGAAAGTCAGATTCCAGGGCCACCGGTAATGAGAATGACATACCCTAGCAAGAATAGCGTCCACAACATAGATATCTCTACTGAATAAGTTCAGGATCCGTCCAGTTGGTGTCTGCTCAAAAAACGACATCGGTGCACGCATCACAGCATGCAGCATCTACCCCAAAATAATCAGAATTCATTCGACCAGAATCCAGAGTATCGGCCAAAAAGCCAACTCACCGCATCATGCAGATACTGTGAACTTCTCACCGCACAATACACCCAAATCACGATAGTCGAAATCGCACCGAGGACAGTGGACAGCAATGAGAACACTCCATATCCCAACAGATACAAACCAACACCCTTATTACTTCCAGCCTCCCGATTATGCTCTCCCCACGCCCTTAACGTATAATTCGCTGCCAAACTCGCCAACTGGATCAAAACCGTTAAGACGACAAAGAATATGAAACCAGCCCTGGAAGCCGCTTGGATGTACTGAATGTAGACGTCCTTCTTGACTCGACCTTGCTCGATATGTTCCTTTGTAGGACCATCGGAAACGGTCTGGGTGAGCAGGGTGCTCACAAGGATGGCTTTGCCGAAACTACGCTTGCGTTGGAGTTTTTCAGTGACGGATTCGAGTTTTTGGTCAACTGGGAGTTCGGCGGAGGATTCCACGGCGGTGTCAGAGGTTGGTGTCGAAGAATCAACCGCTGTGAAAGGGGTGGAGATGCCAGAGTTTGACAGGTTCCCATGTCCTTTGCTATGCAATATGTCAGCGCAATGGATCCTGTAAAAATCACGATAGGAAAGCCTCACATGAGCTTGTACAATGCTCCTTCTTCGTTACTGACCAGTTGATCATATGTTCCTTGTTCGATTACAATACCCCGACGAAGGTAAACAACTTGGTCCATCTGCCTCACGAAAGCGATGCTGTTGGTCACAAGAATACGCGCTTTCGTTGCGAGGAGACCGTAGGGTCCAATGACTTGGTCTGTTATTCCAAATGAATGGATATCATCAGTGTGTCTGCGAAAGAAGAGTGAACACAAAACAAACCAAAAACATGACGGGCAACATGAGAGTCGACTGCAGCGAGAACATCATCTAAGAGAACACTGAGTTTGAAAGATAAAGTCAACCCAACCAGATGGCAAGAAACAAGCAGTTCAGCTCACAGGTCCGGTCTGGCATAAACAGCCCTAGCCAATGATATCCTAGCCCGTTGACCACCACTCAACTGAGGCGCATACAGTCAGCCTTTTTCACTGAATTCGGCCCAATGCGACACTGTACATACCGTAATACCTAACAGCATGTCAGTGACTCACGAAAGGGTGGAAAGAGAGAAGAAACACAAACCTTTCTCTCCGACTTCAGTCATATCTCCCTGAGGCATCAACGCCAAATCCGGTCTCAGAGCGCAAGCTAAAAACCAATGGGCGTCAGTCACCTCTCCTTATCGAGTTGACGTTGAAGAAAGTCAACGCACCGTCGAGAACGAGCTTGTAGAACACCTCGTCATATTCATGTGAGAAGACAATGTTATCGCGTATAGTCGCACTCATGATCCTGTTGATTTTTAAAATTAAGTGAACAGGTATAAAGAACGGAACACATAGAGAGAATGTTACCAAGGATTTTGAGGAGCATATGAAACACTTCCATGCAAGATAACCTGCCCATCCAACTTCGTCATCTCTCCAATGATTGCACCCAACAAGCTCGTCTAGCAAGAGCATCATTACCAACTTTCAATACCTCAATTCCAGATAAAGCACGAACCTTGCCGGCTCCAACTCGGCCTAATACACCAACCAATTCCCCTCTTCGCACCGTTAGACTGATATCTTCGAGTATAGGCGAAGGCGCGTCCTTGGTCCACGCCAGGTCTGCATGGGTGATAGTCAATACCTCATCGCCCAACTCCAACTTCTTGTTCTCCTTAATGATCCGAGCATCTGGTTGTAACTCGTCCGCGCCGAAGAAAGCGGATAGACGTTTGACGGAGACCATGGCTTCGATAATGTTTGAGGTAACTTGCGAGAACTAGGGTGAAGGTGGTGAGCGAGCGAGCGAGTGTGGAGATGTCAGTGGCCTACCATGGCAAGTGGGAATTGCAGTAGCATGAATAACGAAATCGCAGGGAAGATCTTGTCAGAGGTAAGGGGTTCGTCGGACGTGAGAGAGGCTATTGCGAATGAGGCGAATGCCACCAGTACTATCATAGCATCAATTCAGTGTATGTCTAGGAAACGGGTGGAGGAAGGGACACATACGTGGGATACCTATCCAAAGAGCCGTGTTAAACGACTACATAAGGGGGCATAAGACACTGTTACATATGATGATGTAGCGAAGAACACGTACGGTGACGATACCGATTTTCTTCAACAACCTTAACTCTTTATCGTTCCTCACCGCCAGAATCTTCCTGATGAAGGCGTTCTCCCACGCGTAAAGCTTAATACTGCATAACAGCTTATCAGCCACCAGGAATGAAGGAACCAGTCGGAGCATACATACCTGCGGATGTTAGCCAAAAGCTCACTCATCATTCTCGTCCTCTGATCCCTGTTCTTCATCTGCTGTTCTTGCATACGTTTCAACCACCTCGCCATGACGGTGTTCATCGGGATACTAATGATCATAATTGCGACACCAACGAAGGCTGGCCAGCCTAGGATGCCGTACAGAGAAATGAACGCCAATATAATCTAATCCGACGACAAAAATAAGCCGGTCACAATAAGAACTGCAAACGGAAACGACGAACCTGGAATGGCCCGGAAATCGCAATCAACCCATATGTACACAGATCCTGCAACCGCGTCGCATCCACGCTCATGAGATTCACAATATCCCCGCTCGCGCTCCCTTTTCCATCATTCGATAACACAAGGGACTTCTGATAGATCGTCGTCACCAACCCTGCTCGCACACACATACCAGTCTCAAAACAACGCTGGAAGTATTGGTGCAAGATGATTGTTTGCGAGATGCTGGCGATGAACATCAGTATGGCGATCGCAAAACCTTCTAACGGACTTGGAGCCCTAGATGGATCGGACAGGCGAGAAGTTTGGTAGATGGAAATGTAGGCGAGAAGCCAGCGCAAGAGCTGGGGTTGCAGAAAGGCCAGGCAATCTTGCACAATCTTGAGGAACCCGGCGAACATGTATGGGCCGCCGTATGCCGTGAATAGAGCTAGCCATAACGATTTACTAGAAAGCATTAGATAGAATTAAGCCAAAATTGAGTAGATTCCTTACCGCTTTTTGAGAGCAGCTTGCAGATTGCGGCCGAGTTGAGCCGCTTCGTCTTCAGGCAGTAGCCTGGGCAAATCTGACTCTGTGATGTACTCTTTCGCACCCTTCTGCATAAGCGGGTCCATCCAGCCGAAGAACCATCTGCTATAAATGTTCGCGGTAAGCAAAGGGTTTTCATTGGAGGTGCTTGCAATTAGTTCAGTGCCGAGACATTCCAGAGCGAACGCTGCGAGCCCCAAGACGACTACGGCACATTTCAACGCGAATACGACCTTGAGATGTTCGAACGCGATGGTAGCAATTGTACGTGCCCATATAATGAGCGAAGCTGTGTATGCGGGCCAGAATAGCAGAAGTAGTGACGAGGACGAGCGCGCGCGATAGTGATTGAAGTATGTCAGGAACAATGAAACGAAGAGTGCGACAACTTCAAGAATGTACGCTTGGACGATAGCGATCGGCCTTTGGGTAGCTAGAATGAACACCAAATTGACAGTACTGGCAATCAAAGCACTAGAAAGTAAAGCCTATGAAACACGTCAGTTAATGGTATCATCAAGCAACCTTTACTGTAAGTATGGGTCTGTCTGCTTTTGATGCATATGGACAGTATAATAACTTTGTACAATGTCAAGAAAATCACTTTGGATGGCAGAGGTGAATTTGCAGGAGCAGTCGGCCGACATCAGAAAACAAAAGTAGTCATCAGAAACCTCCCTGGAGTCGTAAATATATCCGCGATTGACACTCAGTGGTGCCTAAGCTTCCCTCAATCCCCCGTCCAAGCAAATAAGTTATTTCGGATGGACAAATGTCGACTAAATTTGGAAAATATGCAACACATGAATTTCGATCGTTGCAGGTTGATTGCACCTCTGCGAGCCGGCTGCGATCAAACTTTGCAGCTACTCGTGGACTAGGAGCCTCAGAGCGGATCTCGAAACCCCATGTGCTGCACATACTCCGCCGGTGTAGTCTATCATTCGAGTCTTTCTGAATAGCGTAGATGAATTCGAAATGGAGCATGGCGCCAAGATGCACGAGCCACATTGATTGAATGATACACTCACGAGTTTCGTGCGGAGGATCCAGACACTCCTTTTGATTCTTGGGTAGCTCTCCAAACTCCGCAAAGACCAGCAGCGAAAGGCACCGAGAACGATGAGTGAAACAAGCAAGGTGCTCTGAATGGCGCCCTCCTCGAAGCAAGGCGTGAGATCAAACTGACGATTTGGAGATACAGGGCCCCAGCCCTCTGCACTGCGACAAGAAAAGTGAGCCATGGCGCAAGACAGCACGACGATTCTGCCAGCAATCGCGAGCTCCAGCGTTCGTTCCCACTGATCGTCCTCCTTCAGGTTCTTATTCCCGTCTATTTCGGGTAGCCGCCCTGCTTACCTTATTTTCCGATCGCGTCCAGCGTTAACGCGTTCACGTTCAAGGTTCAACTTCAAGTACTGTATTTGAACTTGCTTTTACACCATTGTCCGACAAGCGATATAGCGGTATTCCGCCTTTGCGCAAGACACTCGCAACGATATAACTGTCAATATCTAATTGGATCGACATGAGGTAGACACGTGTGTAATATTGCAGGGAGCGTGTTCGCCGTCGCGCCCTAAACCTGCTCGTAAGATCCCACCTTATAAATCCTCGTCAATTATCATTCTTGCAGAATAGTAGGTTGCCACGCCCACTAGACTCCTCCGTATCTCTACTTTTACCAGTTCCACTCAACTAGCGTGTCTACAAAAAGGTGAGCATAGAACCAACTTCGTATGATCACAAAGATAATTCTAACCATATAATTCATACCTCAGTACCTTTCTGTTATTGCTATCATTTTCATCATGCAGAAGCTTGTACTGGCCATCCCATGCCTCTTTGACGAAGCGTATGAGATCCATGCAACGCTTCGTGCTGCTTTCAAGTACGAATCTGCTGCTCAGCTTTGGTTTGGCCTTGCATCGAGTGACTCGAACGATGTCTTGAAGAATGCCCAAGAGTACGGCACTTTCGTGTGTCGTGGTATATTGTCCGTTGGGGCTACCCCCACTGGGCCTGAGCCCAAGTTCGAACCTGTCATATGTAAAATGGCGCTGAATTCCTCTGCCACAAAGAAACTCAGGTCCGAAGCTCAGCTTTATGCCGAGAACTTATTCGACCTTCAAGGCAAGGGCATTCCGTATTTCTATGGATTCTTCAGTGAACCGGCCACTGGGACGATTCTCCCTCTAAGATCTCCTGTATCTTGCTCTCTGACTGTGGTATACGTATGGGTCTGCAGGAATCATTTCGGACCTATCCTAAGAACCTGAGGTATGTAAACATCTTGTATATTGTGAGTTATAAAGGGAATTCACAATCTCACTTCCTCAGAGTGAAAATTCTGATGATACTCCTCAATATACATCGCGCGGGTGTAAAACATACCGATCTCAAAGTGCGAAATATAGTTCTTTCTCGCGGTTCTGAGAAAGAGCCCACAATTATCGATTTCAATAACGCTTCTGGTCACAACTGTCAATTTAATGGTGACATTGAGGATCTCGAGATTGGGGGATGGAGACCATACTTTGCAATCGTTGAATGCCGGGAGATATATTACACTTGCAGAGCCATGGATCTTTGGGTTCCAAGTCAGTACTTCTGTCTATAACTAACAGCTTCAACTTTCAAATGGTGATACACAGCTGAGACGGAGCACGAGGGATGTACCGTTCCAACCGAGTGCCTTTCCTCTGCACAGGAACTCCTCGGTTATATGGAAAGATATCATGGAATGTCAGCCAATTTGCAGGAGAATATCCGGAGTGCGGAGCGATGTGTAGCTGCATTCCATATCATGTATAGGAATGAGCTTCGCGCTCTCGGCTTCTTGAAGACTTGATTTGATATTGACTACCCGCTTTCCTATGCTAGGAGAACCATAACGAACTGGCCTATCGAGTGATTTAGCCTCATCTACGTCGCCTCACCTCAGTATCGCCAAAGAAAAAACAGTTGAATACATTTCTTTACAGTGGAGCGCCGGTATCAATCGCTCATGTTTCTAGCTCTAAATGATAATCCCATCTTGCCACTGGACACGAACATCTCTGAATTTACGCCTCAGAATCTCTCACTTCGAGTAATGTAGAAAGCGCAATCGTCCTCTGATGGTTCTGGTACTAAGTCAAGAGCGGCAACGCGGACTGCTTCAATATTGGCGCGATCGAAAGCAACAAATACTTCTCTTTTGGAGCTGGCATTCCTCGTCAATAATTACCAGCCTGCCTTCGCGCGTGCGCTTTGCACTGGTTAGATGGATGTTCTCGGGTGATATCTGCGCCATTTTGACAATGGCCACGAAAGGGCCGTACTTGGAATGATCAAGGCATTTACTCCGGACGGACGAGGTCCACCTGTAGCTTAGCTATAGGAAGTCCAAGCACGACAGGTGAGTTCAGGATGGTCAAAGGGAAAAGGAGATCATGTGGATCTGGTCACCGACTTGAATGGCGTCGATGTCAGGTATACCTCTAATGACTATCGGTTTCAAGGCTGAGCTTGCCAGTGCGCGGCGGTGAAATACACCACATGAAACAATATCTGCGCTACTCGAGGGTACTCCCGAGAACCCAGACATTGCCTCGTCAATGAATGCATTTTGAATTTGAATACAATGGTAATGGCGCCGTCGGTGTCCATACTAGTGGACGTTTTGGCAGATGGCACCTTGATAAGGCGTCGCCAAGGCACATGAAGCTGGTGGTTATCTGCTCGTTTTAACACACTAATCCCAATCGCAGTCTCTCAATATGGCTTAGAGACAACAATTCACGAATCTTTCACGTCTCTCAACGCCCGTAGCAAGGGGGTCAATCTGCTGATTATGTGGGGCCGACGAGAATTCAATGTGTGGATCTCTCGCACGAGGCCGCTCTACTAGACGCAGAGGGCTCGTGGTATATATTACACTCCCCAATAAACCCTGTCGTTCGGAGTACACCCCTCCCCATGTCTTTTCGCAATCCTCCCAGCAGCTCTCTTCGTCTCCGACCCCAGGCTGAAGACTCGAACGCTACGGAAAAGACTTCGCTCAAGTCGGAACATTCTGAGGACCCCCGTACACATCCCAATACTATCTCCCAAAAGCCGAATACGAATATTCATAGCGAGGATAGAGCCCTGAGCTATAGAAATTCTAATGATCCAGCCCTCCTAGATTCCTTGACCTTCATACAAGGGAGACGACAACGACTCAGTCTAACCTTGATCTTCCCAACCATCCTTGTTGTCATTGGAACGGCCGGGGTAGCGACTCTCTTTTTACTGTGTTTACTCCTCCACAAGACTCAAGCAAATGATGTCTGGCGTGATCGTGCCTTTATTGTCGATGAAGGTACTAAGTTGGAAGGCGGGCGTGCAGCTGCTCGCTTGCTAGGCTTAACGATATCCTCCGCTGCTGTTCGTATATCCCGACTTTTCTTTATTTGATCATGCTGAAGATTCTCCAGTCTGAGATAGTCAGCATCACGACACCTATCCTGATTGGCCTTTACGCATTTCGTGTAGCTCGCGATTGGCTCTCCTTGTCACGGAAGGATGCTTTAGAAGATGATAGATATCTTCCCACTCCCCTGCAGTATGCGTTAACGCTTGGCACCCGTTATTCCATTCTAACGACGTGTGTTTAAGGTATGGCCTGCTAGTTGGCCTTTTAGGTGGTGCAGGCCTCGGTGCTCTCATGCAGGCTGGAAGCTACCTGACCCGCGGCCGTAGAAGACGAGTACAAACCAGCTCTATGCTCATTCAATCCTTCCTTGTGACCCTTACAATTTATATCCTCACACACGCCATCAGGTTGGTTCCTTCATCTTTCATTCGTTTCATAGAGCTTACAAAGCCTGCGCAGCGGAGTAGACCTGTGGCTTCATGCCTTGACCACTACCGTACTTCTGCCGACGAAAACCCCAGTTGAGACACCCTTTAAATTCAGCATTGGTCAGGACACTTGTCCTCCATATCCTGATCCCTGGTACGAGGCAATACATCCATGCCTCATGATGGAAGGCGGATGGGGCCAAGGCGTGTCGTCTTTGACTCCCGGTATGCTTGTCGCATCGAACAGCTCGGAAAACGTGCAAATTATAACGCTTGCGGAAGCCGATGATCTCGCTGTCCTGGTCAAGCCAAATGTCCAACAATCTGTTGCCTTTCGCGCAACAACCTTTGGCGCGCGGGCTTCATGCCAATCTGTCAACGCCCTGTGTGTCCACGGCGAAGAATTGGCACCCCAGAATTGTACCGGTTTCCCGCCCTCCTTCCCTCCTGTCTCGAACGTGACCAACTCTGGTGGATTACAAGAGGGAGATTCCAAAGTATTCATCCAGTCTTCGAACTGTCCCCCGGATGTAGCGTGCGAACATATCAGCACAGATTTAATCACGACCCTCGCCGCTGCACTCAACACTACAGTACCACCAGTGAACGCGTACTCTCTGTGGATGCAATTCTTATGGGAAGCTGGAGGTGACCAGGTGTTTGGACGTTCACCGGAAGGCAATGATGCAGTTGATAACTACAGTAACCTCGCCACCATGCTCACCAATTGAACATTACGCTTCTATAATGTCACACTCGACTACAGGAACGGGAGTTACGTGCGTGTGGACGAAGAGTTGAGTGACGTCGGTCTCTCAGACGGGCTCGCTGCGCCGACAAGGCTCGGACACTACGCTTCCCATCTCATCTCCAACATTCAGGGTCACGCATTCACCGACAATTCGACGGACAGGGTCATAGCATATCTGCAGCAGGACTTAGCCAGACTAGCTCTCGGCTCTGCTGCAGTTATCACCAATCTTACGACAGACACTCTTTCCCAGAGCAACCTCGGCACCTCAATTGTCGGACGTTATCCCTTTTGGCCTGTCGTCATTCTACTAATTCTGTTGTACCTGCATACTGCTGTCGCACTTCTCATCTTCCTTCTGACAGTGATCTTCACGCATACAGACTTCGTAGCTTTATCCGATGCTGGAGATGGAGACTCAAATGGAAAGCCCGTGTCCACATTGGAGTTGACACGAGCACGACTGATGAACCCCGTCGCATTGGCTGCAATGCTCTTTCCTCCAAGTAACCCCGACGTGTCACGCGCTACCTTGTCTATTGAGACCGACCCATTGAACATGTTCCATGAACAATCGGACCATGAACGTTTGCGACCTGGCCTGCACTCTGCGGAATCGAACGGCGGGACCGTCTTTGGTATCTGGAGGAGGGAACCGATGAGTCGCTCTGGCTCCAGGTTGGTCGAGACTCCGTGACACCCATACGTGAATGGGTTGTTCCATCTTCGTCTATTTATTTCTGCATGACTGTTGCTAACCCTCCCCTACGAATTGTGTATGTATCCTTCCCATTCTAACCCCTAACACTCCTCTACTGTAGTCTTCTTTTCGCGTGCTTTTAGCAGAATATTATATCAACGATGCGCATGACGAGTGATATTAACCCATTTGTAGTTTGTACGGCTGAATATTATATGCTGTGTTACCTCTCAAGTTTGAGAAGTCGATGAGAGGGCATCACTCTCGTAGTTGTCTGGTCGAAGGGCGGATTGATAGTACCGAGAGATCACTACTGTCAGGTCTCAACTCGAACGTCAGTTAGAAGAGTCACTGTCTGGTCACCGTCGTGCCCAGAGTCCTTGACCTGCCTAGCATTGATCACTGTAAGGAAACATGGTGGTCCAGATCACACTAAGGTAATAATCCTGGCAACGACATGCTCAAATGAGTGAATATCGGTTCTCGCATCAGCGCAGATCGAACAAGTGAAATACATGCAACCAGCGAGAATAATGCTGCTACCAGTTCGCAAGCATTTCTTTCGTGAGAGGTACACTCTCCATCTCCTGCTCGTACTCCACTTCCACTCTCGGCCCACCTGTAAACAGAAGTTCATTGTTAAGAATCGTACAGAGCGGGGAATAGGAGAAATACCTACGTTTGGCTTTTTTTTCCGGACCCTTTCGTGGTGGTTTCTGCGACCGCGGAGCAGCTTTCCGTTTGCCCAACGCAGTCTTTTTGGTTGATTCCTTGTCCTCCTCCGATTCTTCGCCTTCCTCGCCCTCTTCTGAACCTTCTCCGGACTTCACGCAGCAATGAACATCAACACCATCAAATTCGGGTAAAAGGGAAATGCTCACCGCGATGCCCTCTAAATCACTCGAACCATCATCCTCACCCTCACTTTCACTAACATCACTGACGAACTCCCTATCACCCCATCCTTCCTCATCCTCATCCCACTCCTCTTCCAATTCCTCCTCTAACTCCTCCTCTGTCTCGTCATCTTCCATCTCCAATTCACCTCCATCCATGAGCTTGTCTTTACCTTTACGTTCTTGATCCAACACTGCTTGCCACACCTCTTCGTTCACATTCAGAGGAGCATCGCCGTAGGCTTTGGATTTCAGACGTTCAATGAGTTCGGCTTGTATGGAACGCTCGAGTTTGGCTGCAGAGAGGGCTTTGCGTTCTCGTACTGCTTCACGGCGGTCGAGTTTCTTCTTGACGCCAATGAGTTTTGGTCTGTGAAGTGGGGTGAACAGGGCTGGGTAAGTAGATAAGAAGGTGATAGAATGACGATGTTCGCGTACTCTTGTCGTAAACGCATCCTACGCATCTTGATGAGGTATTGAGTGATCTTCGTTACACGTTGTTTGCATTTATGAATCGTGAAGTTCGGCCAGTGTGTAAGTTCCTTGTCTATCTGTTCAAATCACTGAAGATTCAGCAGATATTCTTTATGCAGAGGCGAACCGAAGAGACAGGTTACGGACCTGCTCTAGTGCTTTGGTATAATTGTTCGAGAGCTTGATCTTCTCCCACATGTGTGCAGGCGAATGCGCACGTTCGATCGTCTTCACAAAGAGGTAGAGGGTACCTAAGCATGTCGAACTTGAGTTCAATCCAATTGAGCGTGGTACAGATGTTTTGTACACGCACCTTCTTGCTCTCTCACCGTCGCATACCTCGAATTGGCAAGCGGACAGCTCTGCCTATTACAGAATCCAGTAACGTTGTACTCATTCCGGCAGAAGTTTTGTGTGACAGTTCTACAGTCAAGCACGATCATAAGTCAAGTCTTTGAGAAGAACAATTCCAGACCAATTACTTACTTGACTTTGTAGGAGCAAAATTGCTGGTTGATAACCGACCATATAACGTCGTCGCTCTGCATAGTGTCGGCAGAGACACAAAGAGGAGATAAAAGAAAGATAGAAAGAGATCGGAGGAGAGTGCACTCGAGGTCGTAAAGGAAGCCTCGAACTTGGTACAGGTGAAAATATGAGCAGCGTGGGTTCTGATTGGCTGGAGCAGATATGGACTCTGGTTAGGGTCATAACCGGGGCGCTCACAATGAGGTCGTCCGAGTCCGGCTACCTCGCAACACGCCTCAAACGACTTGGCTCAGACTCTTTACCTGGACAACTCTCGGACTTCACACTCCTTGTCTCTCCTGCTCCTTTCTATTCTATACATCAATATGTTTTCTTGCATCTCCCCCCAGTCTCAAGCTATTCTCAGCCTTAGCTCTACGCTGCAACGTCCCTCGACGTCTCGCTTAACACCGTTCCTTATACGCGGTCTTCGCTGTACACCTCGCTCTCATTCTTCTCAGTCTTCGCAACCTCGACGGAATTGTAGTTCATGTCCCCCTTCAAGACCACATCTAATAGCCTCACCTTCCCCACCACATCCGAGATACTTCTCGGCCACTTTGGGTCGATCGGACTTTCACTTTGACACTCACCATTTCGTGCAGAGACTTGAACGAGAGGGTTTGAATCGAGCTCAAGCCGAAGGTATCATGTCCGCTATGGCCGAGGTCATCGATGAGAGTATAAGAAATATGACCACTAATATGGTCACTAAAGCCGATCAGGAGAAGGTATGCATAGTTTCCGTTGGTCTACGCATGTCCGCTCATTGCATGCGCATGTACGCGTAGCACCACTACACCCAACAAGTAGACTTTGCACAACTCAAGTCCGAGCTGCAACTCATGGAACAGAATGATCTCTCTATGATCAAGGCGGAGAATGACCGTCTTATGACAGATATCGAGAAGCTGAAGCAGAGGTTGCGTGAAGAAATTACACGGACTCAAGCAGGCGTTCGGTTGGATTTGAATTTGGAGAAAGGCAGGTTGAGACAGGAGGCTAGTAGTCAAGAGCTGAAGGTCAAGGAAGTCGATACGAGGATTGAGCAGGAGATCGCTGCGCTTAGAACAGCAATTCAGGCTTCCAAGGCTACTACGCTACAATACCTCGTTGGTTTCGGTATGTTTTCTACGCGTCATGGTACGATTCCGATCCGTGCTAACGCGTTCCAGTCACTGGTTGCTCTGCTCTGCTCATGGCGTACTTGCGATTCCGAGTATGATGCCATCTCAACATCTTACCATTCATTCCCGCTTCCGTAGGATCATTGCATTCTAGTGAGGCCGATCACATTTCGAGGCCTGACAATCATCATCATCATACCATCAGACCATCTATCACATAATTCCCTGGGTCTGTACACTCTAAGGTATGGGTATGCATCTTTAAATTTACTACACTGCAGGTGACCTGACGTGTCCTCGTCACCAGATAGTCCATCATGTAACACTATACCATGGAAGCCGTAGTTGAAACGGACATCTAATCATCTAGCGGAGGCAGCTGGTCGCCTTTGATCTTTTCTCCTAGTGCGACTCTTTTGAATAGATCATACGCCCTCTCAAGTTCATCGTTCACAATCACATAGTCATGAGCGCCCTCCTTGGCGTACTCTATCTCCTTGAATGCGGTGGTGAGCCTTTTAGCGAGGGAAGACTCGTCTTCTGTTCCCCGGCCTTGCAAACGGAGACGGAGTGACTCGAGAGTGGGGGGCGAAATGAAGAGGTAGACAGGATTCAGATTGGTTGCTTTTACTTGGCGAACGCCCTAAAGGATACAAAAGAAAGAGACATGGGGGCTGCGTACGTATTCTGAACCATAAGGACGGGAGTGCGTAGGCTGCACACACCTGCGCCTCGATATCCAGCAAACATCTCCGGCCGCCTTTTGAGACTTCGCGGACAGTCATGAAGCTTGTACCGTAGTAGTTGCCAGAGAACTCGGCGTATTCGATGAACGCGTTTTCCTTGATGAGCTGTTGGAAGCTGTCACGGGTAACGAAGTAGTAGTGCTTTCCGTCTTGTTCGCCTGCCCGCGGGGGGCGCGTGGTGTCTGTGACGGTGGCGGGGATATAATTAGAGGCCTGCAAGAAAGCGCGGCACTGGAATGGGCTCACGAGAAACACTGAAGCCAAACTTGTCGGGGAATTCTGTGAACAGCCGCTGCAAGAGCGTGCTCTTTCCGACACCGGAGGGACCGGAGATGACCAGAGGGCGCAGAAAATCAGGCAGGGGGGACATGGTGGGTGTCGTGCTGCAGGTGGGGATCGTGGTATCTATATGGTGCGTGTTGTATCAGGGCTTGCAGGACAAAGAAGGGAACTTTGGAGAAATTAAAGCGGACGAGGACGAAAATTGATGCGACAAGGAAAACATGAAAATGGACCCGAAATGGACGGCCGTTGTCAGGTGCAGACAGCGGCTGTCACACACCTGTCTCTTTCGCCCGCCAGTCTCTGTGACGCCGCTGTGACAGCTGTGACAGACCAGGTCCGCCTGCAGGAGTTAGAGTGAGCGCTCTCAAGGCAGCCGACCGAGCATAGTTCCTTTCTTTCCTCTCACGTCCCCATCCAGCTACGGTCTGCAGCGACAGAGCCTCGCTGTCCATCGACCCTCCACCGTCCTCCTCTTTCTTTTCTAACACGCCGACCATCCTGTTCTACGAGCTTTTACGACTATCATGGGCGCTGTATGCTGTCGTCCACAGGTCCGCTTTCACCTCACTCCTCTGCATCATTTGCCCCCCAACTTAATTCTTCTTTTTCTAGCCTATAGACTTTGACGGGGATGTTAATTTGTTCCACTTCGTCCTTTTGAGATGTGTCGGCAAGGGTGCTTTTGGAAAGGTTTGTACTTCCCCTGCATCACACTCGACGCTTTGATTTTGATGCTCAAGTGCGTCACGATCTCAAGGTGCGAGTGGTGCAACACAAACAGAGCCGTGAACTCTATGCCTTGAAATACATCAACAAGACAAAGTGTGTCAAGATGAAAGCCGTGGCGAATATCGTTCAGGAGCGCCGGTTGTTGGAGGAGGTACGCTTTCCTTTTTCTTTCATTCCGTTCTTTCTTTGATGAGCCACTTCAGATTGATCACCCTTTCGTCGTCAATATGCGATATGCTTTCCAGGACGATGAGAACTGTTTCTTTGTTCTTGATCTCATGTTGGGCGGTGATCTCAGATGTGCGTCTCGCAAGCAGTATACATTTTGAGTTATAGTTGCCGATACTCTTGTGCAGTTCATCTAGAGAGAATGGGATCCTTGTCAGAGGATACCGTTCGTTTCTACATGGGCGAACTCTCGTCAGCACTTTCGTTCCTCCACGAGAAACGTATCATTCACAGGTGCGCTTATACTCTTCCTGTGCAAACCGGGCTTCTGACAGACATTGCTTTCAGGGATCTCAAACCGGATAACATCCTATTGGATGAGCGCGGGCACGCACACATCACTGACTTCAACATCGCCGTTCACTACACCGAGAAGCGCCTCTTGACAGGTGTCGCAGGTTCCATGGCATATATGGCCCCTGAAATCCTCGCCAAGCGTGGATACACATACACCATTGACTGGTGGTCCCTCGGTGTTTGCGCGTACGAGCTTATCTTTGGACGAAGGCCGTTTCGTGGGAAGACAAATAGCGACTTGACGCATAGTATTTCCAGGGACGCCCTGCGGTTCCCTGAGGATGCTCAGGCAAAATGCAGCAGAGCCGGTATCCAGGCACTGAAAGGTGTAAGTGCTCGTATTTTGATTCCAGCTATCAGGTTGCATTGGGCGCCTGCGTTCGCTGTCATTACTTCCCTGCTTGTCATTGATGAAGCGCCTTCTTTGATGTTCCGAGTGTTTGTATCCCTTCCTTGCGCTAACTATTTTTGTTTTGGTCTTTATTTAGTTCCTGGAACGAGATCCACCGAAACGTCTGGGCTGCAAGCCGAATGGTGAAGGATTCGAGGAGATCCAACGGCATCCATGGTTCCAGTCCATTGATTGGGATGCGTTAGACAGGAAAGAGCTGCAACCACCGTTTGTACCTGACGTGAGTGATATCGAGATGTGTATTTGTTGCGAACGGTACTGATTGGCTTATTTCATTGACTAGTCAAAGAAGGCAAACTTTGATGCGTCACATGAACTCGAGGAGTTGCTGTTGGAGGATAATCCCTTGAAGGCACGGCAACGTAAAGTGCAGGATATTAATAATCTCAGTGCTGAGATGCGACAAATGGAAGAACAGTACGTTTCTCCTGCCCTTTTACGTAGTATCTCGTTGGTTCTGATTTCCTACGGTTTGCTCTTAGATTTACTTCATACGACTTCAAAAAGATGCAGCGGCGGTCCTATTACCCCCAGACTAACCAGCAGATAGTCTCCACCATGACCGCCACATCCTCAACCTCACGCCCAGTTACCCCCATGACGATATCTAATGACCTCGGACCTAACGACAGCCTGAACGGCCACACCTACAATCAGAAACCATCGATAGAAGAAGCAACAACACCTTATGATGACACGGACGGCGTTCGAATGACGGAAATTAACAACGAGAAGGTCCAAGTGTATTAGAACGTCGCAACCCGAACGCCGCCGAAACCGTGCATTGTATTGAATTCCCTGTGTGCTCATTTCATACATATCCCTGGGGGGCTTGCTTGCTCTGTAATCGTGGCATCTAGCAGATATCCATCTATTGGGTTTCTGGGTCGTTCCTGCTGTTGTCGTTGGTCATTTTTTCTTTGTTTTCTGGTTGAGGGGAGGACCGTGATTTTTTTTTAGTTGCCTGGCTTTTATCTTTTCTTCCTTCTCTGGTATCGCTTTGTTTGTTGGTCGGTACCATTCCACAGATATCCTTGCATGGCTTTACACCCTTGTTATATCCTAATCCCAACACCCTCTTCCTCCGCATTCGATACCACCCTTACGGCCTTCTTACCCACCCGCTTCGTCGTTGCCTACCTATGCTTCCCCGTCACCACCTCATTTTCTCATGGTATTCTCCGTGCTCTCGCTTAACGCGGTAACACATTCTTTCCCATCCCCCCCCTTCCCTCGCGCATATTGGTTCTTCTCGTCTTCCTGATCGTCGCTTTCTAGTATGCTTGTACTCTCCTTACATACGGGGGTCTGGGGTGTCGGGTCCGGTTGGCGCATTCAAGGGAGTTTGGACGTTACAAACTATATATCCCCCCTTCGTGTATCGCTCTGTCGCTATATCGTTATACCCACCCACACTCCCCACTTCCCCTCCCCTCGACGTCTATATCTCGCACTTAGCATCGTATCATCGTTCTCTCTCGCTCCTCATTCACTTTGCCGATGTGTCCATTTATTCGTAATATCTACAGCAAACTCTGGTAATTACTCGCGCCGCCTCGACGTCATGTGTATCGGTTTCCACTCTCCTTTTTGTTTTTCTCTTCAATTTTCGACCTGTCTCGTTTTCTGTCAATGGTTACATGATACATCATGGATAGGACTACTTTTTGACGGTGTATCTCATTGCGTCTGAGATGCAGGTGACTGTCTTTTACTCGCAGTTAGCGAAGCTTTGATTGAAAATAAGATGGAAGCGTGCTATGAATTTGGGAGGTTTGAGGTTGGTTCTAGTGATCTCCTCAGGACTCACCATACCTATTCTGTCCTAGGGGTCTTTAGCTATATATCGATATACGCTTCTACCCTCTCATCATGACCGTGACACGATGCTAAAATCAAGCATGCAAACGTTAATCAGGGTGGCTCTTCGTTGCTGTTAGTTGTCAATAAACACTCCACGTGAGTCAGGGTACGACTCTGTCTTACGACCTGTTCAGTCGCATGTCCGCCTTGAAAGATAAAGTATGAGTACGTGTATCTATTCCGCTTTCTCCTTCGTATCCTTGGTTCTACTTGAGGTATCGGAGCTAACGGTGGTATAAAGCATCGAGCCAAGGAACACCATTCCCGCGCCAACTCCTAGCTCTGCGTTCCATTCGTTGCCGAACCACCATACACTGAAACAAAGGCTTAGGGCCTTGCGGATGGTGAGTACCAGGTTCGTTGACACTGAAGAAACAGACTGGCAAGGCAACGATCTCAGTATACTTTGCATAGACTGAAATTAAAAGGAGCTGGAGAAGACGCACGGAAGTGAGCTGGTTGACACCCGAGACGCAGATGAGCTGGGCTACTAGATTCGCCGCCAGGGCGAAATATGGAGTATGTTGAGATATGAAGTCTTCAAGAGACCACGAAGCAGAACCTGATTGATTAAAGGTTGGCGTGCGGCGGTATGCGGCGGCGGCTAAACTGCTGTATCCAAGTTTAACCTGAGGTATGAGCATGAGGAAGAATGGAAGAGATAGAAAGTGCTACAAATGTTTTTCATGAATAAGCTCGCACACAGAAGATTGACCGCGAATGTGTGAACGCACTGTGTAGAAGACACTTTCCCGCCAACACGGTCCGTGTTTCTTGAATGTCTTTTCTTGAAGAATTCCGAGAGTGCCGGTAAGGAACAGGGATAAGACGAGCATGGATATTCCTTGCGCATATTCATCCGGATCGTATTCAAGATTCTCCTCTTTTGATGCCTCGGGGCGAGATAGAGTCGCCAAGACGACTCCAGCAGTTACAAGGAGAACAGCCGCCTGAAGAAACAGTTACACCAGAGCAGGATAAAGCACTGACGAGAGTACTAACCACTTGAATTCCCGAATAACGTTTACTCATGAAGAGATAGCCAAATAACATCGACACCGCGAGACCTGACAACAAATAAGAACATATTCAATAGGAAATACTAAGGTCAGAACTATCATACCAGCAGAACGAAACACGATCTGCAGTGTGAGTGGCACATGGAAAGCAAAGGCCCAGTTATTGAGCAGAGACCCAGTGATTAGGACTACTACTTGGAGGACCCACTGTATGAGCGGTACTTGGCGGGCTTTTAATTGCGGTATTGGAGGAAGGAAACGAAATGGTCGAGTCCATGTGAGGAAAGAGGGGAGGGTTGTGAGAGTGACGAAGAGCATTTGGGAGAACGTCAGGGTAGTACCTGTGTCAATTATGGCCAAAACTCAGTTTACTTTGGAGTCTATACATATATGACATGTATCTCTTACCCATGCGAGGGTCGATCTTAAGGAGGTATTCAAAGGCCCAGACGGTGCTATCTCAAAGGCCCCAATGTTAGTGGCACATATCCACTGCAAGAGATAGGTTGGGCATACGAGCAGCAGCCTCCAAAGACCAGTCCCAAAATAAAGGTCAAGTCTATCGCAGAGAGCACGGTGGGTCCAACGACACTCTGCTCTTTCCCCTCGCGTTTCTTCTTCACAGAGTGATCAGTCCCGTTCAAGGCCAGACTTGCGAGAGCTGCGTTCGCAGCATCTCGTCGTTTCGCCATCGCTCGTAAAGGGTCCTTGCGCATCATAATATACAATAAAGAACAAGTCTAGGCGGGGGAATGTCTAAGGGATAGTGACCGAATTGAAGGCCACATAGACGTTCAAGTTCAAGTTAATGTGGCCAGTGCCACGATCCTGCACGTCTAAATTTGGAGTCGGTCGATCATGATCGCAGCGCTTTCCACTCAAATCGGGAAAATAACAGTACTTCCGAGGTATGCAAGTACAAAACCGTACAGGTCGTGGGTATAGTCGTGCAAGAGATCAAGAGATATAGTCATGTAAAGCACTCGTCATGAACTATATATTGTATACTACCATCCAAAAATCATATCCGACACCTGTCCAAGGACACCCTTACTCGGACTCTGATTGGCAGCACCTCCAGCCTGGGGAGTTACGGGAATGATACTAGGGAATGCACCGAAAACACTCTCTCCAACTTTGTGTTTCCCTGGAGTCCCTCCAAGGCCACCAGCGCCAGCTTTCCTGAATGCCGACGTTGACGGAGCTAGTCGGATCGGTGTCCCAACACTCGGTGTCCCTGCATTACTATCCCGACGTTGCCTACTTGTGAGTGCTAGGTTGCCGTCCGGGGATGCAAAGGTGGAAGGGAAGCCGGATTGTGATGCAGGTGGGGAGGATGAGAGCATGCTGACATCTGCCGTGCTTGCGTCGGGAGAGAAAGAAAGGGAAGACCGTGCGAGAGCCGGCCCCAGTATGCTTTCTGCTTGCGCAGAGTCCTATAGCAGAGGCGAAGAATGATGTCAATAAATGTTGATCGCAAGAGCAATTCAGGACGTACAGCCCATTTGGCTCCAACCATCCAACACCCTCCGATCACGTCACCATTCTTCCTTACTGCCCGCATCGCATCAGTAGGATTGGAGTATCCGATCCTGAAGCAGTTCACGATTTCCACGTTTGGGTCTGGTTCTGTACTCTCGCCGAGAGATTTGAAGTAATCGACAGTGGCGGTATACTTGTCTGGAGGATAACCGAAGACGATCACATATATCAGTTTGTTCACGTTGGGAGCAGATGTAGAAGACTTTGGAGTTGTAGGAACTTGGGTTTGAGTTGGGCGGAAGAGAGATGGTCGGATTGAGGCGTCAAGGTGTGACTAGAAATCGGAGAGGTGAGTGTGGAAACGCGAACGATAATTTCAGTCGAGTCGTTACCTGTGGTTGTCGTTTTGAAGGAGTTTCAGTATACACCTCATTGACAATGTCGTTGACAGATGCAGTAGGTGGCGCGTCTTCATCCGCCCATGTCTGTCGTTGTCTTTCTCTGAATCTTGTCAAATTAGTAGCTTGCACAGTATGATGACCTTTGATTATCGCACCTGGAGCTTTCAAACATGGAACCCATGCCAAAGTCTGAGGCAGAGGCGCTCGAGAGGATGTTATTGAGTGTCGCTTTTGTCTGTACAATAGGAACATCATCGTGACGCTGATGTTGCTGCGAGGCGTTCTACAAGGAGTAAACATTGTAAACAATAGAACAATTGTCATTCAAACGCGTAGGTGACGAACAGTAGTTTGGGACATCGACTACAAGCAACTGTGAATTAGGATTTCATCATCCTCAACGCGAAGGAACGCACCATGAGGTATCCTGGTTGGTAATGACTCCGGCTTTGTGCCAGACTGTCACCTAATGAACCACCCATACCGCTCACGTTGAGGCCAGAACCGCTTGACAGAGGTCCACCACGTAGGCTTGGACTGTGCGTAGTACCAGGGCTCGCCATCCCAGCGACAGTGAATGGTTGTCCGTATACGTTATGCGGAGGTCGTGAGGAGGGGTTATTGTAGTCTTGACCTGGAGTGGATGAGTACGTAGGGTTATACATGGCGGGAGTCGTTAAGGTATATATGGACAGGGCAGGAGAAGGTGAGCGGAGGAGACAAAAAGGACAAGTGACTAAGTCCTTGCAGGTGGCTGCCGCGACCTAAACAAACGCGTTTTCGCTCTAGCGCTCATGCGCTTCAGTTGGGCGCCTGTGGTCCGATCATGCATGGAGTTGCTGGTGCAGTCTGCGCAGGTCGTTTCTTCTTAACCACCTCCTCACGGCTACATTCGAGGAGTACTTACTTACAAGATATAGTCAGGCTTTTGAAGACCATAGATTCTCATTTGTACTGCCCTGAAAGCCTTTGGCAGTCTATCCATCAAACATGGTACCGTCATGGCTCTCTATTTTGGCATCCATAGGAATGGCAATTGGACCCCCTCTTGTCTATGCGGACCAGACATACTCAATAGTACACAGAAAGTATGTCGCCGCTTACCAAACGTGTCCCGTAGTAAATGGACGTCTTTGTGATTAACAGGGATGCCACAGGGTTCTCTCGTGATGTCTGCGCCATCCTGTGAGCAGCTTTCCGGATACTTTATATGCTTAGTACCTAACAGCGCTCCTCTAGACTGCTTGCGAATATTACGAGATGTTTTTTCTGGCTTGGAAACCATTATGAGTTCGCGTTGTTGTTCCAATCATTGTTCATGATAGTTGCACAGGTTCGACTCCTACGCAGACAGATTAGCCTATACGATGCTTACCCCAATCTTGCAGTTGACTCTGTTGTACATTTGCATTCTGTATCGACCTCGACTTGAGGTTCTCGGCTCTTCCTCGAGACCACTGTCCTTCTGGCAATGGCAGAATTATACACAATATATTGAGTTCCTGGCCGGATTTATGTGAGTACAAGATGCTGGCCGGCATATGATCCTCACTTTTAACGACGTTATACAGTCTGTGCCAGGCTATTCTCTATCTCGTGTTTGGTCAATCTGATGTGTACATTTCCATCCTGGGTTTTGTTGCTCTTGGTCTGGAGAGCACGTTGCCTATCCCTCAGCTCATCAGGTAAGCGTACTTGATTCCTACTCCTGGTTGCCATAACTAACACTTAGATATGCAGTAACTATAAGCAGAAGTCCTTGTATGGCTTCCGTATGTCGACGTTATTGGGTTGGCTTGGTGGTGATACCTTCAAGTATGCCTCTGCGTCCATATTGTCGTTTTAGAAGTATCTGACACGTTTCATAGGACCGTTTACTTCTTTCTGCAAGACTCACCATTGCCTTTCAAGGTGTGCGCAATATTTCAATTATCAATAGACTGCGGTATGTATATCTCTGAATTATTTTGTACTTCTATGCTTATGTCTTCTGTTAGCCATCGTTGGACAGCGTATTTACTACGGTAATGCTCTGCCCGCAGCAGCGTTGATGGCGGACGACGATCTGGAGCAAGCGCTTGCTTTGGCCGAAGAGTAGTACTTGGTTCACATTCTGTTTAGACATATCCTGGGGACACTTGTATTTATTGGAATAGATAGCTGCAACAACATGCACTGTAAGGGTTGAGGGTGATCCTGCACAGTTGCCTCGAGAGTGAGAGACGCCGCGGTTGTTTTGCCGTTGTTGCAATTGAGCGGGAGGCGCGCAAACAAGCACAAATCGCATAGCTCTCTAATTCCTACGTGTACTTGGCCCGCAGTGGGTTTCCGTTCCAACGACGACAGGCTCGACGTGTAGCTTTCTTTCTTTCTCTCATCCAGCATGGACTACTCGAAACCTATCGCCTTTTGTGAACACCTGCAGCTATCCAGCTTGGGTGTTCAGCCTGCGTCCATTTCATTCCAGGCGAGTTGCATTCGTCATACCCTTGTGCCTAACATACCGACGTGCTTACTCGGAACATACGCTGCAGACTTTGACCCTCGAGTCTGACCATTATATCTGTATAAGAGAGAAAGTCAATGACAAGGACCAAGTCATTATTGTCGACCTTGCCGATGCCAACAATGTTATGCGTCGGCCCATCACTGCTGATTCTGCACTTATGCACCCACACCAGAAGATATTAGCGTTGAAATGTATGTCCCTAATCACTCTAGCTGTGCTGGTTAGAAATGAACTCATGTACATGACTCGTCAGCACAACGAACGCTGCAAATCTTCAACCTCGAAGCCAAGACGAAGATCAAGTCACATGTGAACGACTCGGACGTTGTCTTCTGGAAGTGGATCTCAGACTCGACAATTGGTTTGGTTACGGAGACTGCTGTGTACCACTGGACTGCTTCCGACAGCACTTCACCACCCCAGAAGATATTTGACCGCCATCCGACACTTGTTGGCGCACAGATCATCAACTATCGTGCCAGCGCAGACGAAAAATGGCTCGTGCTCATTGGTATCTCCGGAAACACCACCAATCCTTCCGCCTTTAAGGTCAAGGGCTCCATGCAGTTATTCAGCAGGGACAGGGGGGTTAGCCAGCCGATTGAAGGTCATGCTGCTTCGTTTGCCGAACTTACACTTGACGGCCACCAGAACAAGACGAAGTTGTTCACATTTGCTGTTCGTACTGCGACTGGTGCCAAGGTATGTATTACTTTCCCATGACGTCTTTATGTTGCTCACGCGTTCGATTCCAGCTGCATATCGTCGAAGTTGACCACACCGCACCTGATCCGCCATTCACGAAGAAAGCTGTCGACGTGTACTTCCCACCTGAAGCGACGAATGACTTCCCTGTCGCCATGCAGGTGTCGAAGAAGCACGGAATTGTCTACCTTGTCACCAAATATGGCTTCATCCACCTTTATGACTTGGAATCCGGTGCTTGCATCTACATGAATCGAATTTCTGGAGAGACCATTTTCGTCACTGCGGAACACGAAGCGACTAATGGTATTATTGGTGTCAACAAGAAGGGTCAAGTTTTGAGTGTCAGCGTTGACGAGCAGACTATCATCCCGTACATCCTCAACACTTTGAACAACACGGAGCTTGCGTTCAAGCTTGCCAGTCGGGGTAACCTCCCTGGAGCTGATGACCTTTACGTCAAGCAGTACCAACAGCTATTCCAGAGTGGCCAGTTCAGTGAGGCTGCAAAGGTCGCAGCAAACTCACCGCGGGTACGTGATTATCTGTCACTTTCTCATCTCCTACGTTAACGGCAATGTCGTGAATAAAAGGGTATTTTGCGCACTGCTCAAGTTATTGAGTCGTTCAAGCAAGCGCCTGCGCCTCCTGGTGGTCTCTCTCCCATTCTCCAGTACTTCGGTATCCTTCTTGAGAAGGGTGAACTCAACCACCTGGAATCCATTGAGCTAGCCCGCCCGGTGTTGCAGCAGGGTAGGAAGCAGTTGCTTGAGAAATGGTTGAAGGAGAATAAGGTCTGCTCTTCCGCAACTTCTCGCTGTGCACCAGAGCTCAACTATACTATAGTTGACGTGCAGCGAAGAGCTTGGTGATATTGTCCGCTTGCACGACCTGACGCTAGCCCTGAGCATCTACCTTCGGGCCAATGTCCCCAACAAGGTCATTGCCTGCTTCGCTGAGACTGGTCAGACCGACAAAGTTGTACTCTATGCGAAGAAGGTTGGCTACACCCCCGACTATGTTGGTCTACTGCAGCATATCATGCGAACCAACCCTGAGAAGGGTGCCGAGTTCGCTGCTCAGTTAGTCAACGATGAGAGCGGTCCGATGGTTGACGTTGAACGGGTAAGTTCCACTGCTCAACTGTGAGTTATTATTCACTAAGGCCCATATTGTGCAGGTTGTGGACATCTTTATGTCTCAGAACATGATCCAACCTGCCACCTCCTTCTTGCTTGATGCGCTCAAGGAGAATAAGCCGGAGCAGGCTCATCTGCAGACTCGTCTCTTGGAGATGAACTTGGTTCATGCGCCGCAGGTTGCTGATGCTATTCTCGGCAATGAGATGTTCACTCACTACGATCGTTCGCGTATTGCCAACCTTTGCGAGAAAGCTGGTCTTCTTCAAAGGGTGAGTGCCATGAGAGTTGTGTCAATTGATGACTTGCTGATGTGTGGGATTGTAGGCTTTAGAGCATTACGAGGACCTTGCTGATATCAAGCGTGTCATCGTTCACACTAACATGTTCCAACCTGAGGTAAGAGTTGACAGTTCACTTCATAGTTATGATCTGACATTATTGGCAGTGGATTGTCAACTACTTTAGCCGCTTGACTACTGAACAGTCTATGGCCTGCTTGCATGAAATGCTTCGTGTTAACATCCGTCAGAACCTTCAGATCGTCATCCAGATTGCTACCAAATATTCCGACATCTTGGGTCCTGTCAAGTTAATTGAGATGTTCGAGTCGTTCAAGACCTTCGAGGGTCTCTACTACTACCTCGGCTCTATTGTCAACCTCAGTCAAGACCCTGAAGTTCACTTCAAGTACATCCAAGCTGCCGTTCGCACTGGTCAGATCCGCGAAGTCGAGCGCATCTGTCGCGAGAGTAACTACTACAACCCGGAGAAGGTCAAGAACTTCCTCAAGGAAGCTAAATTGTCCGACCAGCTTCCCCTCATCATCGTCTGCGACCGATTCGACTTTGTCCATGATTTGGTTCTATACTTGTACCAGAATGGCTTAACCAGCTTCATTGAGGTCTACGTGCAGCGAGTCAACTCTTCTAGGACTCCACAGGTCATCGGTGGATTGCTCGATGTCGATTGTGACGAGACCACCATAAAGTCCTTGCTTGCCTCAGTCCCTGGCAATTTCTCTATCGACGAACTCGTCACCGAGGTGGAGAATCGTAACAGGCTGAAGTTGATCATGCCCTGGCTTGAAGCTCGAGTGCAACAGGGCAGCCAAGATGCAGCGATTTACAACGCTCTGGCCAAGATCTACATCGACAGTAATAATAACCCCGAGCAGTTCTTGAAGGAGAACAACGTCAGTCTTTTAATTCTCTTCTGAGTGCTTTGCGCTGACCGCATGATACAGTTGTACGAGCCCCTGGTTGTCGGTAAATTCTGCGAGGCCCGTGATCCCTACCTGGCGTATATTGCGTACGCTAAGGGCTTCTGCGATGATGAGCTTATTTCTATCACCAACGATAATTCCATGTTCAAGCAACAGGCTCGCTACCTCGTCAAACGTCGCCAACTTGAGCTTTGGGCACAAGTCCTCAAGCCGGACAACATTCATCGTCGTCAACTCATTGACCAGATTATCGCTACTGCTATTCCTGAGTCTACCGATCCTGATGATGTCTCAGTCACTGTCAAGGCATTCTTGTCGGCCGACTTGCCCATCGAACTCATTGAACTGCTCGAAAAGATCATTTTGGAGCCATCCGCCTTCAGCGACAACAAGAACTTGCAGAATCTGTTGATGTTGACTGCGATTCGTGCTGATAAAGGCAAGGTCGTGGGCTACATTGACAAACTGCAGAACTACGACGTCGCTGAGATTGCCAGGATTGCAATCGAGCACGGTCTTCACGAGGAAGCCTTCCTTATCTACAAGAAGTACGAGGACCACGCTAGCGCTATCAATGTACTCGTTGAGCACATTGTCTCACTTGACCGTGGTGTGGAGTATGCAAACAAGGTCAACAAGCCTGAGGTCTGGAGCCGTTTAGCTAAGGCTCAGCTCGATGGTCTTCGCATCAAGGATGCCATTGGTACGTGTGCGGCTTAAAATTTGTCTAGACTTATCCCTTATTATCACCCTTACAGATTCTTACACCAAGGCTGGGGATCCGTCGAACTATGTCGAAGTCATCGAGATCGCCAGCCGCGCTGGTAAGCACGATGACCTCGTCCGTTACCTACAGATGGCTCGCAAATCGCTGCGCGAACCCAAGATCGACACGGAACTGGCCTATGCCTATGCGAAGACCGATCGTCTTCATGATATGGAGGACTTCCTCGCTATGACCAATGTCGCAGACATTTTGGAGGTCGGAGAGAAGTGTTTCGAAGACGAATTGTACCAGGCTGCGAAGTTGTTGTTCACTAGTATCTCCAATTGGGCTCGCTTGGCAACGACATTGATCTACCTTGGAGAGAACCAGGCTGCCGTTGAGAGTGCTCGCAAGGCTGGTAACACCCAGTGCGTGGTCGCGGTGTATGTTTGTCGTCGAATAGCGAACTAACACATAGTGCAGGGTTTGGAAGCAAGTTCATGCGGCGTGCTTGGAGAAACAAGAGTTCCGTTTGGTATGTTTCATCGTTTGCTCTCCGCTGATCATAATGTCTGATCATCTCCTTCATAGGCCCAAATTTGTGGCCTCAACATTGTCGTTCATGCGGTACGTCACACATGCTGTCATTCCGCAGAGCTTGCAACTTATTCTATCTGTAGGAGGAACTACCTGGTATTGTGCAATCGTATGAACGCAAGGGCTACTTCGATGAGATTCTTGCGTTGCTGGAGGCTGCCTTGAGTCTTGAGCGTGCTCATGTAAGTCACCGCTCCGTCGTCCATAGTGGCGTCGTGTCTAACGTGTATAACACCAGATGGGTATCTTCACCGAACTTGCTATTCTCTACAGCAAGTACCGTCCGGAGAAGCGTAAGCGTCATTCTTTGTATGTCATGCTTAATGAACTCACATACTGGGCTAGTCATGGAGCACCTGAAGCTCTTCGTGTCTCGTATCAACATTCCCAAGGTAAAATTCCTACTATGACTTTCTTGAACTGGAGCCAACCTCACACTCTGTAGGTTATCAAAGCCACTGAACGCGCACACTTGTGGCCCGAACTGGTGTTCTTGTACATCAAGTATGACGAGTTTGTGAGTACTGCTATCTGCCTACATGGCGATGCCATGCTGAATCGTTTGGCAGGATAACGCTGCACTTGCTATGATCGAACGGTCCGCGGATGCCTGGGAACACAATCAGTTCAAGGACGTCATTGTTCGAGTGGCAAACATCGAGATGTGTGTATCTTCACAAGTCTGCCTTTTGACATTTCGAGTTGACACTATGTTAAGCTACTACAAATCATTAACTTTCTATCTGCAAGAGCAACCCACGCTCCTCACGGACTTGCTCACTGTCCTCATTCCCCGTATCGACCACACCCGAGTCGTCAAGATGTTCAGGCTGATCGATCATATTCCACTCATTCGATCATATCTCATTGCTGTTCAACATGTGAGTGCCACCCGCAATTCCAGTTTCACCCGCGGTGCTGATGATGTCTCCGTCTAGTTGAATATCACAGCTGTTAATGAGGCTTACAATGATTTGCTCATTGAAGAGGAGGATTATAAGACTCTGCGCGATTCAATAGACAGCTTCGACAACTTCAACAACATTGAGCTTGCCCGACGGCTGGAGAAGCATGAACTTCTGGAGTTCCGACGATTGGCTGCACACCTTTACAAGAAGAATGCTCGTTGGGAAGAGTCGATCGCACTCTCGAAGCAGGACAAGCTCTACAAGGATGCGGTGATCACTGCGGCAACCTCAGCATCAATAGAAGTGGCGGAAGACCTCCTGTCGTACTTCGTCGACATCGGCAACAAGGAGTGCTTTGCCGCTGCGCTCTACGTATGCTTCGACCTTCTTCGTGAAGACATCGTCGAGGAGCTCTCATGGCAACATGGCCTCAATGATTTCTACATGCCCTACAAGATCCAGAAAAAGCGCTCACTGGTGGAGAAGGTATATCCTGTTGTGAATTGTCTTCGTGATGGCTTGCTCACGTCTTACCATAGATTGCTTCGTTGGAGAGGCAGGTCCGGGAACATTCTCAAAAGGTGACCCAAAAGGAAAAGGAGGAGGATGAGGCCCCCATTCTTGGCCCAGGCTTCGGCGGTCGATTACTCCTCACTCAGGGCAATGGGTACGTCCAAGCTGGATGATGAAGATCGTCGCATATACTTATTTTTATTCTTCATAGATACCCTGGGCAAGCACCGCCAGTGATGCCTATGGCGACTGGTATGCCTATGCCTCCTGCCATGACTGGTTTCGGCGGTTTCTGATCAGACATCCGCACACTACTCATACTTCATCTTGTTGTAATGTCCTATTGCATATCCCTCTGTTTGACTCTCGTAACGCCTATGGAATAATTATCATTATGTCGGTATTCTCTTCATGAATTATCGGCAGCAATGAGTATTGAGACATGAAAAGTTGCGCAGCAAGTGATGTACTATGATATTACAAACATACAGGAACTAGTTAGTACAGTTAGGGTACAGTTAGGTATATGCGAACAGGAACTGAGATGCATAGCTGGAAAACAATATACATATACGACAAATGTCCATAAACGAGAAACAGCCCATGAGGAAATGAAAGAAAACGGCCATGCATCATGCAATGATACAACCGCTCCGTCCTGAATACGACCCTGAGCCTTTCGCTCGGGTACTGAGCGAGACTCTGGCAGCTTCGTAAAATACTTCATTGACTCCACGATTATGTTTTGAACTGCATTCTTAACATGGTTGAGAATGAGTCTGGGCACACAATCGGACCGCCAATTAGTGACATACCGAGATATCTCGAAGCCCTTATTCGTCTTGCAACTGTGAGTCCCTCTTCATATTGCACGGTGTGCATGCCAAAGCGAGCCAACCGATCTTGCACGCCACGGTCGTCTCGAAGGTCGCATTTCAAAGCTGACCAAAGTGATCAGATGGAGAATCAGCCCACAAAGTAGGACTGTTGCATACCGACTAGCACTAGCTGTAGGAGGTCAGATTAGGTTGAGTATGATGATAGCATTGACAGACCTTAACACCTGGACAGTATTCCAGGATCTCATCAATCCACTGCAGTAGTTATCATGTTAGTTTTGACGTTGTGAATTCATGTGGATAACGATCGAACCTTGGATTCCACATTTTCTAATGACGTCGGATTATCCACCTGAAAAATCGGCCTCAGTGAAAGGGTTACAGAGTCTAGAGCAATGAAGGAACAACGTACCGAGAAACAGATCATAATGACATGAGTCTCTGCATAACTCAATGACCGCAGACGGTCAAACTCCTCCTGACCTGAGTGACCCCTTAGAAACGCCAAATAGAAATGAAAGCCTAATAGAGACATCATAACATACCAGCGGTATCCCACAGACTCAATTCAACCAACTGATCGTCAACATATAGATCGTGAACATAGTTCTCGAACACCGTAGGTTCACTGTCATCAGATATGTGAATGAAGGTCCCAAGAAAGCACAGAGAATACCGTATACTAGACTTGGGTGAAGAATCCTCTCGTAAAGACGTTCAGAAGGGAGGTCTTTCCTAAGTTTCATGGTAGACATGTAAATCGAGGGACGCGAAAGCTGCCTAAGAGTATTGCGTACCGCATGCACCGTCACCGCAGACGACAACCTTTCTTTGTATCTAAATAGCCCAGTCAGCTTCTTGAAAGAAAACGCGCGAAGTTGAGATCGCACTGGCCGGTTCCTGCCAAATGACGGTGTCCCAGACGAACTACCACATACTGGCATTCCTATTGGTATTTTTATAAATCAAAGCGGTTCAGAGCGGTATTCCGAAAGAGCAGTTTTAGTCCAGGTGCAGATGAGATATGAAGAAGATTAAGATGGAAAGATATGGCGGAAAACGAAGTCGTGAACGGTGGTCGTGGTTGTGATAAGTGAACGGGTGAGCCACGCGCTTATGCAGTACTGTACGCGTGAATGAACGCGCCCATTCAGAGTAATCAGATTTCAGACAAGTCTCAACATTCTAAGCAAAACATAACATTCATTCTCGACGCAACCGACTTGTATTTATTACAACGAAACATGTTAAAACTACACCCGCAACAACTACGCAGCTTCAAGACAAGGTAGGAGTGGACCAGGTGATCCAGTTACTGGGCTGCCAGGATACGACACCGAACTGGTTGTTGGTCGAAAAGTAGCTCGTAGTGGGACTCTGACCCAACAAGAACTTGTTAATAAAGGCGTTGAGCTGAGTGTTGAGGCTCGCAGGCCAGGCGCAGTGAGCGTGACCTCCAACCTGCTCGAATCCGTGGTTGTCGGGTACACCCAATGCTTGCCAGATGGTATGCGCGGCGGTCATACAGCCGAAACTGCTCATGGGGCTCAACCACATGTAGTCCGTGTTCTCGAAGGAGATCATCGCACGGGGAGCAACCAACGCAGCAAGAAGATGATGATCGTAAGGGAGGACCTGGAGTTGGTTGACGTAGTTATTGAAGTTCGTGGAGAACCAGACATTCTCCTGCACAATCTCCGTCGCCTCCTGGACCTGATTACCACTCTGCTGCTCAAAGTGCGACAGCCTCCAGCAGGTATCACCACCCGAACCGGACTCCTGAGGGATAGTGAGAGCAATGCGCTCCTCGAAGGCACCAGCCATAAGTGCCCCCTTTCCGTCACGGGAGCAACCCGTAACTCCGATTTTCGAAAGGTTGATGTTCGCAGCAGGAGTGATTTCTAATGCGTCGATGATGCGGCTGACACCCCACACCCAGGCCGTCATGGCACTGGCACTATGAGATCGTCCATAAACATTGTAGAAGAGACCAACCCCACGGCTAGACTGCGAATTTTGCTGAGCAATGTCGCTGTTGCTGTAGCTCAGAGTCGCGATCTATAGTAATAATAAAAACATCAGCATCGCGGAGATTCACCCGAACGGTGTGTCAGACTCACCCCTGCAGGGACAGGAATGCTACCACCCTCATAGGCGATAATCAAAGGCCACCCACCGGTTGGAGGGTTCCCACTGGGGTAAGTAATCCTCGGTGTGAACGTAGTCTGGCTGTTGGTAGCGAGACCAGCGGTGACAGTCAAGGTACTAGTGTTACCAGATTTAGAGAACGTCGCTGAAAGGATGGGTGGTTTGGGTGGCAGCGTCCCGGCTTCGTAGCCCTGAATCAACGCAGCGATCTCCTGACGGCGGCAATCCCAGTCTGCCTTGGTGCGAACAGGGGTGCCGTTATTGAAGGTGAACGGGTCAGGTAACTTCGCGTTGTTGAAGCCTGGGACAGTCGAGACGACGGCGCATACGTCTGCCCGACGAGCGACTGCAGGATGCAAATACTATGAGTTCCAGTGTGCAACACATAGGAGATGAAACATTACTGACGCATCCCGTCAGACTGCGGTAGCGCAAATACGGGGATTGCGAGCAGGAGGAAATAGACCAAGCTGTGAAGAACCATTGTGAATGTTAGATCTTGTTGCGAACGATTCCTTGCAGTGTTTCATTAAGCTTCGCAGCCCTCATTTTATAGAAATATCAAAATTTCCAAAAGGTTCCTTTACCTCGGTGTAGTGGAAGAAGTTCGGGAGACTCTTCGAACATAACGACTATAACCTGCCCAGCTGACTGGTTGTGGCTGAAAGCTCATTCATTGAAGAAGATCGGAAGGCGTACGAAGTCGATGACCTTGTTCATAGATGACTCGCCCAGGTGACCGTTTCGAAGCAAGGGTTAATTCATTTGAGGATACCGTGTGTTGTCCGACGTCGACGATCCAGCTCGTGGCTCTCTTTTAATTGTAGTCGCGGTGCACGTTTGAATTGGAAAAGTGATATGGTAGACGTGCACGATCCGCGAACTGAATATAGAAAGCTCAGGACATATTTCCATGATTTTGATGTTACCTGCTGACTTCTGCCTGGTAAAGAAATTTATTGAACTGAAAAGACCGAGTGGTCCCAGCACTTTGATGTAGGCCTAAAGCACGAGAGGTGATGATAGTCAGTGTGCACATGGTTCCGAAATGATCCCCGCGAGATGATACTTTGAGTAGTCCAAGGGAATGCAACTGAATTCCAAGGAGTTAGAAGTCAACTACAATAAATTTTCCAACAGAGGTATGTCCGAGGACGCCCAAGCGCGTAAATCATGTCGCGGCGAAAATGCCGTCGAGATGATGCGTGATCAAGAATTCTGGGGTCAATTGTATCGGTTCTTCTGGAGAAAGTAACCCGTGCACGGAACCATGACATGCTGTTGGAGTGGAGAAGATACAGCATCTTTGAAGACTGGCTTTATTCGAGGCATCGCAGTCGAGAATGCACGGAAAAATTAAGCAAATACCCCGAAGTTCTGTAGTAGTCTGTGGCAGGCATACTATGTTCGTATCTATCGAGTAGAGGGCGAAAGAACAGTATGGTTTTCGTTTATCCTGAGGTGATATGCCTACGGTATCGATATTCTAGCAACCCTGTTTAGAGTCTGTGAAGGTTATCTATACCTAGGATCTATGGTTTAAGTCAGTGGCCTAGAGACGATTAGTCTGGAGTAAGATCTGACAGAGGCAGCAAGTCTTACCTACATACGGTCAGAACTCGAGAACTTGTTATTCTGTTTGATCTCAACGGGTTCTGGTGATGGAGGTTCCAACTTAAGAACAAGGTGACCGTTATAGCCGCCCAAATCGAACGTCTAGCAAGCATTCAGTCGTTCCAGCATTATAACCAACTTGAAGGCACTACAGTGAATATTGGCAAAAGACCGTATGTAGAGTATTTCTCGATCCAAGACTCAGAACTATTATACAAGTGAGAAGTCTACATTTGGGCGACAATGTCATTACTAATACCGGGGGATATCAAGACCCAAAGGGATATATCAATGTAAAAGTCTGAACGAAGAGATCAGCAACAGAACAAAGGCGGTGGTATAAGGAAGGTACATATTAAGGTTGCATGTTAATCTGTGCAACAAAATCTGTCCAGGCCGAATGCATATTCGTTTCTGGTGAATACGACCGCCCTACAATGTCATTCTCAGTCGAGATGCCAGTAAAGGCCTCTGGCCCAAGACCGCCGACATTCCCATAGTCGAAGACTGGGAAGTATTGAGGGAATTGTGGCATTTGTTGTTGTTGTTGATGTTGTTGTTGTTGCTGCTGGTACGAAGTAGGGTACGACGCCGAGCCAGAAGCAAAGTTGTTTGAGTGAATGGAGATCGGGGAGGTATTAACTGAATGCGATGTGTGATCATACGATGGCGACACAGGAGAATTCAAAGCATGGAGGTGCGCTTGAACCTGTGCCTGTGCCTGGGCTTGAGCCTGTGCTTGGGCTTGAGCTTGGGCCTGCGCTGAGCCCTGAGACGGTACAAATGTCCTAAGGTATTCTACAACATATGGATGCACGGCTTGGTCCTCGTGGTGCGAGAGTGGCAATGGTACGATGGGATTTAATGACGTCGGTGATCTGTCTTGAATTTGTGGCGAGGCTGACTTCTCTTTCTTGGGCACCAGACGTGTTTTACCACCCAAGAGCGCCAGCTCGTCTTCGTCATCTGCAGGAGTTGATGGCTCCGACGACAGGGAGTTCTGTCGCGATGGAGAGTTACGATACTGCGACAGCGACATGTGAGCCTTTTCGCGTAGTCCCATCATAATATCCTATTGGAAGGATGTCATCTCGTGTAACTATGAAACCCGGAAGAGTGTTGTACGTACAAGGACTTTCTCCGCATGGAAAAGATGTGCTGTCTTGGAGAACAGATCGCACGCCGAGTCCAGTTGAACAAGCGCAGATGGCGCCAGACTCATTGACGGACATCTTGTCACAATCGAACCCAGAATGATCTGTCACGTCAAGAACGACAAAAATCAAACGCTGCCAGACAACAAGAAATAGCAACCAGGTCACGAACCGAGCATGAGAACAAGTGAGTCCATAAGAACCACATCCTCTCGGTGAGTTCCTTGAGCTGGGAATGAATGTTTCGGACCAAGGCGACGAGAGATCCAGCAGAACGATAAGCTGCAATGAAAGAACTTCCGTACGGACTTCCAAGGGGATCGCGAGGATGATCGCTGATGGCACGAGCGTAGAATCCGCGATGCATATATAGAAGATCTGAAGGAAGATACAGAGTCAGCAATGAAAGTGACACAAACGAACTCGAAGCATTAGACAATATCCCGATGAACACCGGACAAAAGGGCTAGATGTGAATGAAGGGGGCTAAAATGCTATGCTACTCACTGGATTCCCTCACGGCTAAAACAACATGACGTTGTAGGATCAAAGGTACACTCTCGTAAGCCGTACCTGCCCTCGAATCAGTGCTGCCAAACCCGGCTATTTGTAGGAGTGGGGGCACGGGGAAGGCACGCAGTTTACGATCGAGTTGTAAGACTGTACTGTACGTAGGCAATTTGGCGCCAAAAGCCTGATCGTATACGGTGTTCATGCATTCCGATGTAAAGCGGTGTTTCCACCAATGAACTAAGATGACGTCGGCGTAAGAACCAAGGAAGTAAGTTAGAAAGCCGGCGGGAAGCTCACAAGTATCTTCGTTATTTGGATCTTCGGCGTGTGGTTTCTTACAATCGACATGCGCGAGGGAGAAGGATTGGGGACGTCCAAGGGTATACGACTGCAACGGCACGTCAGAGATGGGAAACGTAGATAGTCAATGATCCCAACTCACTTGCAGAAGATCATAGGAATAGAGCTCCCAGAATGCTTCTCTCCGCCGCTGGATCTCAGTTGAATCTACCTTCCACCGACCAGCGTCGCGATCTTAGGCAGGCGTGTGAAAGAGTGTGCGACTTCAAAGGAAAGGAAGGACTTACGCAGACCCATCTGTTCGGTACCGTCAGTCAATATGTAGATCGCAGAAGCTTGGCTCGATGCTTACGCTAATACCGAGCTTCACGGCTAGACCCATGAAGGCCCATCGAGAGCCTACGCCAGTGCCGTGTCTCTCCGCTAGAAAGAGATAGAAAGCCATGAGGTACTGCAAGAATAACATTAATGCGCCACATTATAATACTACGTGCACAGCGGAAACATACCAAAGCTTGCACGGCATGTAGAGTTGGCTCCTCAAAGATAGGGCTCTGGAACAAGGCGGCACGAGCAAGCTGATGATATTTCTCAGCTTCAATGTTATAGGCTGGTCGTTTGATATCCATGAGGCTTCCGATCGCCAAAACCATGAACATCAAAGCAAGTTGGTGCGATAACAAAGGATCGTCAAGTGGCGGCGCCGCATTCGGGTTGTAGAATTGATAGTATGCATGTTCGTTGAACTGGGAAAGCGAAATGGGGTTGTACCTATCTCCGTAACGTGAGTACAAAGGGCCTCGGTCAGAAGTATGGGTCAAGGACACTGACATCCACGCCGCATGTTGGAAGTAGATCTGGCGAAGCTCGGCCGCTTCGTCGGCGGGTGGTAGATACCAGAATAGACTTCGCAAACGCTCCATGCGCTCAGCTTCAGCGTCAACGCTATGAGGGATATGCGGGGCGACGGGGAAGAAACCCGCAAGCGCAAGAACCTCCTGCGGTAGTATCCTGCGGAGATTGGCGAATTGGTTGTCCCTGTCTTCCTCCTGAGCGGTTTTCTCATTCTAGTAAGGCATGATTAGTTGTTGCTCGAGAAAGAGCCGCTATGTCAAGGATTTCGGACCCGAGATACTTACGTGAAGATAATACTGTAAATGTCGTCAGTGAGGTGTACTGTTTGTTGTGATATGGAGACTGACCCAGGAGCTGGTAGCCTGTCCAAAGTAATTGGTTCTACCGGTGTCACTGATAGACAGTGATCCAAATGAATCTACGACGTCGGGGCCCTGGCCGTCTGCCGTTGAAGAGTCTCCGTTAGTATTCGTGAGACCTTCACGTTGTATCGGTGCTTTGATGCGCAGAAGATCCTCCGACAAAAGGGGATGTGGGTCGGCAGAGTGTATGGCGTGTGATGCCCGAAGACCATCTTCAAGTTCTCGAACGCGGTTGGCGAGTTCTTGTATTTTCTCGTGGAGATCTTGCGTCGATGCAAGAACAAACCTATTCGATCTGTATGAGATTGAGCGTCGGTGCCTTGTGAGAGTGTAATGGTACTTACCGATTGCCTTTGCCTGTGGTCAATGATCCTGTACAAGAACGGGATTAGCGGACGAGGCGCACAGAGAGACGGAGGGTGTACCATCTGGACATATTGCCGCACAACCTCTTTTGACACAAGACCCGCAGGGAATAGCGCGGTCGCAGCGAAGCTTCAATCTGAGAAGGAGAAACGATTAAGAATGAAAGAGAAATATGTAGCCCGAAATATACCTTCTGCATTCCGCACAAGATAGCCGGGTTGCACCTCGCTTGCGTTTCTTGACTGCATTAGGATCTGGATTGGGAGGTCCTTGGGACGCGAAGGGAACCTCTGGAGAGGACATGGACGGTGGTGGTAGGAAGGAAGGAAGGCGGACTGTGCGAACTCAGCAACTTACATGATATTGGTGTATCACGCATTTGACAAGCCCAACAAGAAGCACCAACCCTCGAAATGCGCCTAATCCGGCTCATCTTCCCTGGCTCGGTACACGCCTTCCGAGCCACATGCTACCTCAACGCCGACATTCGTGTTCCTTTTTCTTCGAATCTTGGTCAGAACGCCGCCAAACATCCCCGCTGTGACCGTCTTCTGCCATCAACAAACTGTCGCCGTGCTCACGCTCAATAATCTCCTGCACTGTCACCAGCTGCGTAGCCGAGACATGCACTGACTAGATGGGGTAACAGATTGCGTGAAACTTAATCTGCGCCGCCACGACCGCATCCAGGGCGTCCTGCAGCTTTCTGGCCAATATTAAACATCCTATATCGAGTTCGTTCGTCCCACCGGCAACCACCGCTGTTTGTTCCTGACAAACACCGATGGTATTTTTTCTTTGCTTCAACCACCTCGCTCTTCGTCGTACCTTGTGTGTGCTTCTTCTCTTCAGGTAAGCCTCCGTTTCATCGCGCCAGTCTAAGGATGAGCTTTTTTAGATGACGAGTCTGATATCGTGCTCGCGAGGTTTCTTCGTGTGGCACGATCGTGACGATTCATTCAATTTATACCATTCATGCATTTCTGACCTATCTGCTATCAACCCTTCCCGCTCAGTGACCATCAACTGACTTCCCTTTTCATCCAGATTCACCCCTATCAAAATGGCTGCGGAGGAGGACTGGTCAGATTCGGACGAGGAGGTGCTTTCTGACACTGAGACTTCCGTACAACTCGGTGTCCCAGACGGCCCAATAGAGTCCTCTTCAGATCTTCTCGACGCTGCTGTATCTCGCATTGGCGGTCACCCTGTACGAGACATCTTTCGTCCGTGCATGTGTCGTTTTTATATTGAATATATTCTTTGCTTTTGGTCTATTGCGCCAGGCTTTTCTTTCACCCCATGATCCTTCGTTTGATTCATCCCTATGCAAAAATTGCGGCAAGCCGATGGAATTGCTGGTCCAACTGTGGTGTCCCCTCGAGGATAGCCCCTACGATAGAGTATTGTATGTGTGGGGATGTGCCTGTGGAACGTGTCAAGCCAAAGACGGGAGGTGAGTAGTGCAATGTTCGTGTCTCCGCGGTCTGAAGGATCCTTGCACGATGCTTGAACAACCCTTAAGTATTCGTGCATGGCGCGCTCTGAGGTTCAATGAACGATATGCTGCAAAATTGGAAAAGAAACGTGCTCGACAAAAAGCAAAAGAAGAGGCCAAGGCTAAAGCTGCACGCGAAGAGGAGGAGCGGAGAAATGCTGCTAAGGTTAATCCATTTTCAGTAAGTACGCTGAATGACTGAGCGATCGGCGTTGTTGAAGTTTGATTTAGATGAAAGCTCCCGCCGGAACTCCTGCATTTGGTTTAGGTAGTCATGTCTTTAGTGATGCCCCTTCGGAACCTGAGCCCCAAGAAGAGGAGCTTCCCGCGGCTGGACGGGAGGTATCTTCAGAGGACGAGGAAGAGAATGATACCGATGAAGAAGAGAAGCTTGTGACTGCCCTGGCCTCGAGCACACTGGACTCATCTGAATGGGCATCGGCTCCGGCGTACCCATCTCTGTACCTCTCCACGCTCTCAGAATACCTTCCGAAAGCTAAATCAGCCAAGTTGCCTTCTGCGGAAGATATTGAGGCCGATGACAACAAGAAGGGGAAAGACACGTCTTGGGCTATGGAAGGCTACGAGAATTCGCTAGAGACAGATCATGTTTTCGACCGATTTTCTCAACGCGCCGAATACCAAGGCGACCAATGTATCAGGTATGTACATTGACTTTCCTTCGAAAGATATGAGCTTCCACGCTAAATACCCAAATGAATAGATACGACTTAGGCGGCACGCCTTTGCCCTTCGCACATGATGCCGTCTTTGATCGACTGTTCCCAGTTCCACGTCAGGCCGCTGTGCCTGTCACGAAAGCAGAGTTCAAGGTTGTCCCTGCTGCGGGTAAACGTATCTTCGACTCATCCTCGATCCCTCCGTGTCGGCACTGTGGTGGTCCGCGAGTGTTCGAGTGTCAGTTGATGCCCAACTTGATCAATGTGCTGAAGAAACCTTCAGATTCAGGAAATGTGCCACGAAAGCTGACGGATGAAGAGAGGCGGAAGGAGGTCCAGCAGGTGTTGAAACGTTCAGTCGGGGAGGGATTGATGGACTGGGGTACTTGCATGATCTTCTCGTGTGAGAAAGATTGCGAGGCGTCCAAAAGTTGCTGGGCCGAAGAGCTGGTGCTTATCCAATGGGATTCCTAAACATTCAGCCCTATTTCTTCTGGTTTGTATAATACTGTATCCATCTACCCAGAATGTATCCCTACTACTTTTCCATGCATGCGTGACACCATTCAGTTGGGGAGTGAGTCTATGTTTTTGGAAACGGAAGCAAATATGTGGGAAAGCGCCTAGAGGTAAGCAAGGAACGTGGGACATCTGTTCATTCCCTTTCAACCTTGTATCCCTCTCTTGCACCTCTTTCTCCTCAACATCATAGTTACAGCCGTCCAGTGTCGCTCATAGCGTGCCTGGAAGGTTCTCGTTTGTTCCTGTATTTCTTCCCTACCAGAAGCAAAGGACAAACTCGGTTGAAGTCGGAACCTCGTGGTTGATGTACATACACCCTCCCAGCAACGAGACCCAAGGCAGTCCCCCGTGTTTCCCTCTCCATTGACATCTACAAGGAACTTCGATTCTTTGAACGCGCGTCACTATCACCCCTTTATCCTAGAACGTCGAGTTCGTAACCTCTCAACAGGTGAATTCAGTAGCAGTTTGTCAAGTATAGTGAGTAATACCGCGTCTAGTACTCCTGCGCTCACCTAAGAACTTACTAGTAACTTCACGTATCAGACATTCAACAGTTCATTCTTAGTCTGCTTCATAAAACATAACATTCATTGAGCGGATGAACGGGAGCGTCAACAGAGATGCTCCATCCTCCCTCGATCTCTGTTCCCTTTGACTCTTCCTCTCGCCCGGATTCCCCTTGGTCTACGGCTTCGGCCCCTCGCGAGCTATCTGTACATCCTAGGTTCCCTCATACAAGAGCACAGCTCTCTGCCATTGCTCGTCAGTATAGGCCATCTGACCATTACGACGACGATCCAGATGCCGATGATTCTAGCCCTGTCACTTCCACCTTGGTGACAAGGGTTGCTAGCCTGCTCGACAATGAGCATGAGGACGAACTGAAGGAACTGTTGAAAGAAACATTCGGTCCATCTATAGACGATGAAGAGGTATGGCTGTCTTCTATGGTGTCGCTGTAGTTATCTCAACATAACTTCTCAGCTTTCGCAACATGTATTGGATCTCATGCATCGTCATCGTGACGATGTAGACAACATTCCATTCTTGTATCTGACCCCAACTCGTAGACCCATCTCTCGTCCCTCATCTCGGGCTTCGTCACATTCCGCTCGTCTGAATCCTAACCGTCCTGATACGCCCCTCTCATCAGCCCCCAATTCTCCGCTCGCGGCTTTGTACCGCCGTCCTCACACCCCCCTAGTATCACCGTTGGGTACACTCCAATCCTCCTCGTACATGTCCGTTCACAACGAGTCTCCGAGTTCGTCACCCATCATGACGCACGCGCAGTTCGCCACTAGTCTTCCGGCCTCTCCGATATCATCTCCTCGAATTTTGAATGCAAAAGCCTCGGAATTCAAGCCTATACCCCGTCCGCTTTCTGCAGCATCATCCAACCCTGCTACTTTCGCAGGACTTCGAGCTGATACCCCATCTCCGGATTTGTGGTCTCATAACCCCCAACGGCCTACCTCCAAATTGGCTATCGCTGCTCCTCTTACGCCGGATAGTAGTCTATTGCCACGCTCCGCAACACCGAGCTCTCTTCGGTCAACCTTGCGGCCTGAGGATGACGACGACGAAGATGACCCGTTCGATCCCTTTGCCGCTAAGAACATTCCCCGTTCTTTCCACCCAGTTTCCGCATCCGACTCGGACACGCAATGGTCGAATTCGCCATTATCAAACTCGTCCCTCTCTACCGACTACCACCAGCCTGCAAGCAATGGCCAACAGTATCCTAATTCCATTGAAGGGGACTCGACCCGGTCTCGCGAGAACGAACTTGACGGGGAATCTGAGACGGCCCTCACGGACGGGATGACACCATTCGACGTTCTAAGCTCAGTTTTCGGTGCTACGCTTGCTCCATCCGAGTTGGAAGAAGCCCTGGCGAACAACGCGTATGATTTCGAACGGGCAATGTCTTGGCTTGTGGATCGCGCCTATGTGCACCACCAGCCGAAACCTGCTCCTGCTAGAATGCAATCTATGGGTAACAGGGTCATGGTAGTCTCCCGAGATGGCCAGGGCGGTTTCTATCGTGGTGGGCGGGGTGCCTATAACCCTCGTGGTAATATGAGGTATGGCAATGGACGCCCTGTCCAGGGTGGCAATAGAGTTTGCAGATACTTCTTGGCCGGCGAATGTCTGCGTGCCGACTGTCGTTTCAGGTAAGCTTGTTTCCCCTTCGATGTTTGTTCTGCATTGAATAAGTCCGAACATAGTCATGATTTAGAACGGGCCTTGTGCCGATTCTGGCTACGTGGTACTTGTGCCAAGGGCGAAACCTGCGAGTTCCTACATCGTTTGCCGGAAGGTGTCGACATTTCCAGTTTGAATAATGCCATGGGGCGCGTAAACATCAATGTCAACAACCATGATGAATCTGGCAATCATCTTCCTCCCGATGAGTTCCCCACATTGAACCAGGTCACCAACCAGGCCAAGAATGGACGCAGCAGTCAAAATTATGTCCGCGATGAGACCTTCCAAGATCCAAGTCGTACTCGATTTGCCAATGCCGTCAAACGGCCACCTGTCCAGCCTCCGCCGCAACCCGCTTATCCTAAGGATCCCGCTCTGATAGCTGCCCGCCGAGAGGCAATGGGCACTGCGGCAGAGCTTCCGACCGGTATTGTCGCTCCTAAACCGTCACCTCGCATCAAGTTACGACCACCTACCTTATTGCCTACTTTGCCTACTGGTGAGGCTGTCAACAGTCTCTATTTGACTTACCGGTCTCGAGCGATCCAGCTGGGAGCTGCACGTAATGCGTGTTTGTCTCGCGCTGCTGATGCATGGCGACGGGGTGATGGAGCTGCGGCGAAACGCTTTAGTAGGGAAGGTCATGATCTGAATACCAAGATGCATTCAGAGATGATTGACGCCGCAGCGAAGTTGGTCAGAGAGCGAGCAAAAGTATGTGAGCAAGCTGTTCGATCGAGGGATGCGAGCTGGTCAGACGATCCTGGGGACCGGGCTGCTCGCGGTAAGCTCTGCGGCGCAGGACTTGGTGTCGTGCTCGGGATTGCCAATCAAACTGCCGGAGAGAACCAGAAGTTGACAGCTGATGAGCGAACGGAGTGCATATTGGACTTGCACGGACTTCATGCTACCGAGGCAACAGATGTGTTGGAAGAATTCCTTCTATCTGTGAGCGCCTTCATTCCGTTTACTATGTTATGATCTGACATCGTAGTTGTAGTTGGAGCGTGAACACTTCTATGGCTTGGGTGAGTGTTGTTCAGCTTTTATCATGCACTTGTTTCCTCACATGGGCTTCTCGCAGCGTATCTTATAGTTGGAGAGGAGAAGCATACGGGTACGCAAGATCCTGCACGTGGTGCTTCCCGAGCTCGACTCGCGACTGGTGTTCGTGAATGGTTGCATCTATGGGGATATCCGTGGAGCGAGCGTGAGGGTGTGATTTGCGTCGACCCTTTGACACATGCATAGGGATACTCGCTCAACATAAAAAGATAAACAGTTTGGGTGTGTGTGGTTTGAATGTTTTTTCTGCTGGAACTGTTTTATTTTCGCAAGGGAGATTGTAGACTTAGTACTGTGCACCTATTGTTTGTATATGGGCCTTGAATGGCTGCTGTTTGACGATTGGAAATGAACTTGCACATATATGGGAGCTAGCATGTGAACGTCGTTTTGAGTTTGTGGCCCACGCTGCTCATGCCTATCAATTGAACACATGTGAAGGTGAGTATATATCGCACAGTTTCCCACGGGTGCGCATAGACACGGCCACTTTCAACCAAGCAACCAAGCCGTGCACCACGCCGACGGTTTCGAGTCGCCGCCAGTGGACAGCTTGATACCCTCACACTCTATATACCAACAGCCACAGACTCTTTAACAACTTACTTTATTCATCTTCCACTCGGATACGGAATTGCACTTGGACGAATTACGACCCTCACATCCTACGACCAACATGTCTCTTCACGACCACGACGAACCCGACTTTTCTTACCTTGCCAAATCCAATAGGCCACATTCAATAGACTTGACTCTCGAACTCGAACGCCAACTAGACAACGAATCGCTTCCTAATTCCCCAGCTTACCATCAAACCCATTCCCGCCCGCAGTCTCTCGATCCTCATGTTCTGGCTTCCATTGTCACCCAGCTGCGTCTTTCCGTGGCTGAGCTTACGAGGGAACGGGATGAACTCTCGGGCGCGCTCTCAGAAGCCAGGACAAACGAGAATGGGTTGAAGGAAACCCTGCATCACGTCACGGAGAAATGTATACGTCTCGAGACCGAATTGACTGGCGCCCACGATCAGCACCAAGAAGACACAGATGCCATCAGCATGCTACGAAGCAAGTTGGAGGATAGCAGGTGAAAATGTTTGTACATTGCGTCTTACACTGTTGTTCTGACATCGTACTTGTGTCACAGACGGGCACTGATGAGATTGCAGACAGAGAGCAGACGAATGAGCCAAGCGTCCAACCTCAGTATCGATCTATCGAGAGCCAATGGCTCACCTTTTACAGGACCACCGTCTTCGCGGCGTGCGTCATTCGTGCCTTTGACGGGCTCCCCGGCGAGTAAAATCAATGCTCACCGTCGGGGTGCATCAGTAGCCGACTCGAGTGTTCTCAGTGCTCCTGTATATAGTGACTCCAACCAATGGGCAAGTCCACCTCGGTTCGCGCTTAGTGATGCTCCACAGACTGCCAATGCGGCGCCTTCCAGGCGTATGTCAGGCTTCTGGGGTCGCGTCTCTCCGCAGCCCTCCGACTTACCTCCCCCTGCCGATGCTTCAGAGATCGAGGAACTACGGAAGGAACTTCAGGCTGTGAAAGAAGCGCTTGAGGAGACCAGGCATGAGTTGACGGAATCACAGGAGGCCAGGGAAGCATCCGAAACATGCGTCAACGCACTCAGGACATTCATTGCGGACAATAGTATCGGCATGCAGGGACCAAGTACCGCGCATTCAGTGATGTCTCCAGGCACTGCAGATCATGCCAGGAATGATAGTTCCGGTCAAGCAGCACCTCGTTGGGGATTCAGACTCTGGAGTGCCGCGGCCTCACCAAATCCAAACGTAACTCCAGTCTCTTCTCCTGCGCAGCCTTCGCACACGTACAATTTACCTGCGACATCCACCACGCGTTCGAGATTCGGAAGTCTCTTCTCTTCTCGTGCGAGCGTGTCATCCACTCAGACCGATTCCCTACTTCCCCAACCGGAATCCATGTCGTCGGTGTCCGATACGTCTTCTCTTGAAGATCCTGTCGCGGAGCCGATCAGCCCGTCCTCTGAGGTCCCTAAGGACGACGTGATCGTGCGTGTTGTTACTGATTCGCAGTCAGATATTGTGTCATTCAACCCGCCTACCAAGGATGCTCCAGCGGTAGATGTCACTCCAGCAGTTGCAATGTGATGAGCTTTTATATGTTCCTTTTTTGCCTGGATAACGCCTTTCGGTTTGTCTACATTAGCAGAGGTCTAAAGACCTGGATTATTATTTTCGTGTATGTACAATCTCTCACCCTACGGCTAAATTCGGATCAGCATTTGCCTTCGGAATTGATGTTCGGCTAGTACTTTGACTGGCGGACCTAAAAGAGGCTATGAATTTGAAGAATTGGAAGTCGCATCGCAGCTGCTCTGCCTTGTATCGCCAACGAGGAGACCGCGCGACTTGGAAGAGACAACGCAGAGATCGTGAGGTTATAGAGTGGGAATGATACCCTGAAAGCTGCAAGCTGTTGAACCTAATTAGAGGAATGATGCACCTTTGAGGTACGGCAGTAAAACCTGTCCGGCGACATCCATCAATACCACGCCCGAGACTCAGACTCTAATACATAACCTTGCCATTGACCATCACCCCCACTGTAAAACTTCGCACTTGCTGCGAGATGCAGGCCTCCACTTCAAGCATGAACAGGGAGAAGGGCAAACGACGGAACACCACTCTGTCCTGTGCTGAATGCAGACGGTCAGTTGTTTTCCCACACGAGCGCGGTCCTCGACAGTTCCACTGATCTCTTGTCCTTAGATTGAAGCTCAGGTCCGTGCTCATCGTACTTGATCTTGAATATCAGATTTGTCTTAGTCTTGACCGTTGCTTTAGATGTTCGAGAGTCTTTCCATGTGCTAGTTGCGTGAAGAAGGGCTGTGCTGCCATCTGTCCGAACGGTAAGTTGGGCTATCTCGGATATCGGGGTGGTTGAGTTCGCTAATACGATCGTAGATTCTCTAACCACGGGCAAGGGTAACAGGTACGTACGGACAACCTATGATCGAGATCGGGGTCCTGACTGACGCCGCAAAGGTTTGTATTGGCCAATACAGAGGAGCTCCACGACAAAATCTCGGTTCTGGCAAACCGGGTACGTCAACTCGAAGATGCTCTACAGGAAGCACATGCAACACGCACGAGTGAACCACATCCACTCCTTACCACCGAATTACTGCAATTGAAGCGGCCGCTGGAGAGAGAAACATCAGAATCCTTGAGAGAGCCAGATATAGATACCTCTGAAGCCATCGACGCAGTTGGATCGCTGTACGCTTCATTAAGAATATTGCATACTGGAAGGCGGTCTTACCTTCTTTCAGATCTATAAATGAATCTGGTCAGACGAAATTCTTCGGCACCACGGCGAATGCTTGGGTAAGTTTCGATGCTCGTTTCTATCCATGAAATTCTTTAAATGACTGTCGTAATCATAGTATCTGCTTCAAGTAAGGTCTCCTTCATCCCGTCGATCGCTGCCAGACCTGATTGAATTTGTAGAACGAAGAGGGTCGAGAAGATCAAGCGGAGGATTCGCAGATACCCTTACCTTCAGACGTACCATGGCTTTATCACACATTTCCCTTTTCTGCGACGAATAGTCAAAGCATTATCGATGTACGAGAGTCTTTATTAGCTTCCCTACCCGACGCGACAAAAGCCCGGCGCTTGACTAGGCTGTACTATAGACATGCAGCATGGATGTGGGTGAAAGGTCATGTCTTTCCGCATCACCTCCTTACTCAACCCTTATATATCACAGGTATACCCCCATTCCGGAGACCGAATTCTATCAAACTATTTTCTCCCGTGTTTACGAGCAGCCGCCTTCAGCCGACGTGGAGATCATCGACTCCCACAGGCTTGCCGTCCTCTTTTTAGTTTTTGCTCTAGGCACCCTATTAGATCTGGATCTACCATCTCTGAACTCGGAAGCCACAACGTATTACCAACTGGGTCGTGCGGCATTGTCATTGGATTCCATACTGGAATCCCAATCAATTCCGGCAATCCAAGCCTTGGTTCGTGCTTCGTCGACCGACATACACGGAGGACTTGCTAATCCCCTGCTATCAGCTGCTGATGAGTCACTACATGTTCCTTTCATTCATAGAAGGGCCGCGCTGGGCTCTGATGGGTCTTGCGGTCAAAATAGCGCAAAGTGTGAGTAAAACCGAATATCCCCTCTGACTGTCGCTCACCCACTGTCGTCCTTCCACTTCTAGGTTGGTCTCCGTAAGTATCCAATGTTTACCGGGTCTATGCTCTTTCAGCTCAGCTTTGCACCCAGACCGAGACAGTGAAAAATGGAAACTCGATCCGGAAGAGGCCTTCAGGCGTCGCTCACTTATGTGGGAGTTGTATACCTACGATTCATGGCAGGTGAGCTGCCTCCGTCCTTCCAGAGACTCTTGCCAAATAACCGGCGACGCTTTATCAGAGCTTGACGTTTGGTCGGCCTCCATCGTTTTCGATGGCCTTCATTGATTGTCAAATGGCGGAAGATACGACCAAGAATGCACAGGGCGAGATGGAGATGAGCTGTACGTCCTGCTGAGAATTCTACTTCAGCATCATTTGATCATGGACATTCCATCTGCAGTTGCCGCCTGGAAACATCGGTACGCATCTCGCTGTCTCAGCATCGTCCATGAACAGGCTTTTGGTGCACGTTGCACGAATTACAAGATGATCCAGGACCTCGACAAGAAAGTCCGCAACTTCTATGTGCCACCTTCTTTACGCGTACCAGGCTTCGGCGGCAAGATGGATATGAACGCCGCACCTCCAACCATTGAATTGACCATGCAACGTCATATCGCGTTCACGATCAGGGAGATCAGTGAGTTTCCCTGTAAAATATCCGCTATTCATCGAGGTTCTGATATTCTATGCCAGCGATGTTCTATCTGCACCGAGGCTTCTTTGCCAAAGCGGTTGAAGACCATCCCGAAGACCCGCTTGGAAGCAAATATGCGCCTTCATTCTTGGCCGCCTACAGCAGTGCATGTTCGTTCGTAGGTGTCGTCAAGAGCCTTTACTCGCAATATCCGGCACTCACCGAGCGCATGTGGTTCCTTTTTACCCATGTATTCTCTTGTACCGTGAGTAAATCTGGAATGTAGCCTTCCTCATTGCTGACACTCTCTTAGATTGTGCTCGGGTCCATAGCTACCAAGTGTCCGACCATGGCTCTTGCACGGAGTGCCTTATCTCACTTGGAGTCTGCCTGCAACCTATTCGAGGAAGTGTCTTCGAACGCCCGCGCGGCGAGAGTGCTGGTGTGTGCACTCAGACATGATCCGTTCTGACAGATCCTGACTACAGTTTCAAAGCCCGTCCTGAGGAAGCTCAAGGCCAGAGCAATCGCTGCCATGTCCGATCAACACTCTCCTGTCACTCCCAGTAACCGTCTATCGCCCGACAACATTTCTCCCATCTCAAAAGATGACGATGAGTTCGCCGCACTGGATGGTAGAACTCGGCTTGTTTCGCGGAAGTCGCCCTCTGTTGTCAATACACCATCACCCACAATTGCAGGTCATACTGTTAGTCCCGATGAGACTGTACCGCCGCGAGTATACCCAATGACTACTCCTACACCGCCTATGTCAGCGGTGGACAACATGCCCCAGGCTTATTGGCCATCCACCAGTCATCATAACCACACCAGCCAGCACAACGGTCAGCATCACCAGCAGGAGACGTACAACTATGGCTATCCTGTCATGACTGATCAGTGGAATCCTGAAATGGCTTACAGTCACATGGACCCGTCAGCGATGGCTATGGAGGACCCATCCGTGTACTACAATAACGGTTATGACCACACCATGGCTACGGTGCAGCCAAATGGCTATGTGCCTGCTAGGTCCCCAGTGGGCCACTTTTCACAGGGAGTCATGATGCCAGGTCCTGAACCGGATGCGTCATGGAGGAGCCTTCTCGCACAGTTCAACCCGTAATCCTTTACTGTTGTGATTACGTTATTGCTTGTTTTCTTTCAATTGTATCATGGTAACTACTCTCGCCAGTCTCATAGCTTTGATTCTTGGATCTACTGTATGTATATTTGTTGTATCTTGTCGTAGGAATAGAATAAATACCAATAAAAAGCGGGTATCCAACAAACCGTATACATCGCTTAGATATAATTACAACCCAGTGACTTGGGTGATTAGGGAGACGAGAAGTTCCTGTAGTCCGACTGTTGAGCCTACGAATGTCAGCACCTCAGTTGAATGGAACACTTACTTTGGATTCCTCATTATCACACATGAAAGCATAATTCGTATCATCTTGGACTTGAATAGCAAATGCGTGGGGGAGGGACTCTAATTCCTCGAAATCGTCACTGCAGTCTTTCAAGTTCATGACCTTTTCAAGACTGATTTCCGCGACCGCAACGCTTTCGGGCTAAATCATAGTCAGGTTCAACAGCTGGATTATAAGGCATCAAGAAGAATCCTACCGTGGAATCCTTATAGAGTTTGACGTGGTTACTGCGGACACGGCAGTATCGTCGGCGCCACACAGGCGACCCAATACTTTGCGCAGATACCCAGCCAGAGAATACGTCATCCGATACCGAGACACTGCTGGATAGGGAGCGCATCCGTCGAGCTTCTAGGACACGTTCCCGCTGCTCCCTTTCGCGCCGAGTGGATTCCTGCAGTTGTCGAACATGCTGAGAGCGCCATTCTTGGGCTGCTTTCCCATACTCCAAACGTTTCTGCTTCGCCCGCTGCCTCCTCTCTAGAATGGCCCGCTGCAATTCCTCCTCTTCACGACGTTCCTTCTCTTCCCTCTGACGTCTGATTTCTGCCGCAAGTCTGAGGTCCTCTTCCAACTTCCGCTTTCGCTCTTGTTCATCGAAGATGAAACGACGCTTTGGCGGTGATGAAGACGGCATTTCCTGTTGTCCAGCAACAATAGGGACCTTTGACGAGGGATGCGAGCGACGCTCGGTAGGAGGCAAAGGGAGATCGCGGCTACGATCAGGCAATGGTGGCATCTGTTTTGAAGCTGTGCTGCCTCGCAGAAGGAGCACACCGTGATAAGAGTCTGGTATATTGTTAGATACACGCTCTGTCTGGATTACTGTCATTGACCTGCTGCCAATGTCTATCAAGATTCATGAGCACTTTGAGTTATTCCTAGACACGATTACTTACCCAAACTAGGCGTATCATAGTTATCTTTGGGAGGAGGCGGAGGAGGGCTTGCTCTGTCCGAATCCTTTGCGTATAAGAGGCGCGAGGTGAACTTGAGAGCACTATGGAGGCGAGACATCATGACAGTATGAAGAAAAGTAAGGGGTCGTCAGGCTCTGGGAGAAGAGCATGAAGGACAATGCGAAAGATGCTATAGCCTGAAGATATGCCATTGTTTGCTCGGTAGTGATGGAATCCAAGGACAAGTCCGATCGCGACAGCACGCGCCTCAATATGGGCGCTAGGCGCGACCTATCCCACTTCCTCCACCATGGACGTCCTCAAGCGGGGCAAGGCCGCAAGGTCTGCAGCCACCCCCCATTCGTATGTCTCCTTTAATTTCCTAGTCATTGTCCTTTCAAGTTTCTTTTTACTCTAGGCTGGAGGCTGCGGTAGTCTCAAACATCGCTTTCGTGCTCACCCTACATGCTGGCAAGCAATACTTGAATTCGGACATTGGCTTCCACAGAACATTATCGGGCGTGTTGGTATGCGTTGTAATTGCATATGCGGCAAGAGTGTGGGCTCGAGGGGAGCGGATAAACGCGCCGTCTTCGCCAGTGAGTCCTTGGATATTTTAATCCGATCTTCCACTAACACATCGGAACCAGCGGGCTACCCTCCTAGCTGCCGCATGCCTTATGTATGTTAATGGGCTCACGTTACTCTTTGCGTTGGCCGCCCTCCCAGTAACGAGGTGACATGACCTGAGCTATGTTGACGCTCCCATGTTCATTGTTTTCTATTCGTATAGGATTATCATCCTGTCCCAAACTTTCGCACTGTTAAGAACCTGTTACCAGGCTGGTCGATGGGTGAGTGTCTAGCTTACAGCATTACCACAGTCTCTTATGCTCGTTCATGCAGTTGTCTCTGGTAACAAGTGTCATAGCGTTGCTCGCGTCGTTCGCCTCAGACTTGCAGTCTCTGGAGCTTAGTTCGCTGGCTGTCCTATGTGCTTACTGCGCTATAGCTTTGCAAGCCGCATGCTTCAAGTCTTTTATCAATATCCAAAGTCAGGCCGCCCATTTCGTTGACAGATTGATGGTCAATCTCACGAGTTTGAGCGGCGCTCTTGGACTTTGCACAACAATACATTTATTGGCTCTGCTTGTGGTAAGCGTAGTTGCATGTTACGAATTTGTGCGTGTCTTATATCTGCTTGTAGGGCATAACTCCTGGCCCACTCTTTGTTATACCCACCGGCGGCGAATTATTACTAGCTCTTCCACTGCTCGCCTCCCTGATACCCCACTCGTTCGGTTCTGGTCTGCCTATCCGTGGTTCATTATTCGTGCAACATCTATCTCCATGTTTAGCCACGCTGGCCCTTGGCCCCTTGCTCTATAAGGAACATATCGGTGGTTTAGATTTGATGGCCGCGAGCTGTGCACTATATGGTCAGTTTATCCTCCTCGGGCTTCGCACCGTTTTGACACTTCTTATTAGGAATGTATTCACAAGAGTCCCGTGGGACAGAATCGTTGGTTCAACTGATTCAGAGTTATCTGCATTCGATCCTTGAGAACCCTGAGTCGAGGAAGATATTCTACTTCCTGATGCTCAATATGTGCTATATGCTCGTGCAGATGCTCTACGGTATCTGGACGAATAGCTTGGGACTAATATCTGATGGTATGTTCTACTTTCATGGGCTGCTTTGACATGAAGTGCTGAAGATTTTCTTATCAGCTATCCACATGGCCTTCGATTGCCTTGCCATTGGTATCGGTCTGGTTGCTTCAGTGATGGCCCACTGGCCGCCAAACGAGAAGTTCACTTATGGGTAAGTGTGGCATGTGCTCGATCGTTCTAAATGCTCACTTGCAACTATAGCTACAGCCGCATTGAAACTTTGTCAGGGTTCTCCAACGGAATCTTCCTCATCCTCATATCTATCTTCATCGTCTTTGAAGCGGTCCAAAGATTGTATGTGTGTATTCGCTATCTGTGGTCCTCATTAATTGTGACCATATAGATTGTCACCTCCGGATATGAATACGAGCCAGCTGCTACTGGTCAGTGCTGTTGGTCTTGCTGTCAATCTTTTTGGGATGTTTGCCATGGGTGGCCATCACCATCATGTAAGGCTGTTTCTACAAAACCGAAAGTTCTTGTAAACTTACTGCTTGATTTATTAGGGTGGTCACTCTCATGGACATTCTCATGCCGGTGACCCTATTTCAGCGTTGTCAAACCATCCAGCACCTATGCATCATGATCATGACCTCCATGATCATGCTCATAGTCATGGCCATAGTCATACTCACAGCCATGACCATAATGATGATCACAGTCATACTGAGAAAGTTGTCATACCAGCAGTGAATATGGGTCCTCCTTCTGTAAGTCTTCTCACTCAGCAGGCAATGTTACATATGCTCATAAACCCAAAAAGGATGATCCAGATGAAGAGCCACTACCATACAATTATGATCCAGCAGAACATGACTTGCAGTGTTCCAGTGCTGGACATCAGCATTCTCACTCTCATGCACATTCTCATGGACATGGACATGAAGGCCATAGTCACAATATGAGAGGTGTCTTTCTCCATGTCATGGCTGTATGTGTTTTACTTGTCCTTTATAAAGATTTATATTTATTTCAGAATATAGGATACTCTTGGCTCAGTTGGGGTCATTATCTCCACTGTGCTTATTCAGTTCTATGGATGGACTGGATTTGATCCAATAGCTTCTCTCTTCATTGCTATACTTATTGCAGCCAGTGTAGTTCCACTGATTGTTGACACAGGAAAGGTTTTACTTCTAGACCTAGCAGATCAGGCTGGTCTTGTTGATCATATGTTAACTGAGGTAAGATATATTGCTTTGGTTGTATCAAGTTGACTTCATGACTTACTGCAATGCTAGATACAATTTAAGACTGGGTCTGTTCATTTTGAAGCCAAACTTTGGCCTATAAATGATAGCAATATTGTTGGTTCTCTGAATGTCACTATTCAGAAGAGGTCAGGGCTTGATAGTTCAGATGGGCAGTTTGGACTTCAGAATGTTATTGACAATGTGAATGACTGGATGGACAATAGAGTTCATGGATTAGAAGAGGCAATTGTGCATTTTTCAATTAGCTGATTAATGTAATGTATATTGAATTATATTTATAATGGGCTAATTTGTATAGCTATGCTTATAAGTCATTGTGATACTAATGTGTGCATTCATCTTTTAAATCAATATCTTTATCTTATGGCTTGTATTGCTATAAGACCTTTACTGTGTAATAGTGTAATATTTATCCAGAATCACTGTATACAGCAAAATGTTGAATAGTATATATCACATCTGAGATACTATGAGAGCCTATTCAGAGGCCTTAAAAGTGCAAGCTGATGAGTCAGAGACTTAGCCATTAGAAAGTCCAAATATGACTCAATATATTCTGAAAAATGAAGGCATATTGCAGTGACTCATAAAACTTGTTCAGTATCTATCACTTTTTGCTTTTATCTGCAATATTTTTACACTCATGAGAAATACTTAAATACTACTAGAAGAACTCTGAATATGTACTAAATTTATTTATTACTATGTGACATATAATTTAATCTAGAATTGGTGAAGATAGTTGAATTTTTAATGAGCACTACTCATTAAATAAATTTTATTGCATATTATTCTTTTATTAGTATTCTATATAAATAAGTATTTATATGATTGTTATCTGTAGCTAATATACTATATTGATAGACTCTCTCTCCCTCTCTCTCTCTCATATTTACAATACTCTTTATATACAATTACTATTATTATAGAGCATGTTTCTAGAGCTTGTATTTAGCAATTTCTTAGTTCTCAATTTTTGGCCAAATCTGCTAATTATTACTTTTATTTAAGTTGATATAGCAATTCAAGTGGTTTAGAATCTCTAAATTGTTATTAAACATTATATCTCTATTTAGACAATATGTGAATGTGTGAAAAGAGCAAATATGCAGATATTTATAGATATAGAAAGTATGATCCTATCTATTCTGGTGGCAAATCTCTTGCAAATTTTGAGGCAGATTGCTATTTTGCCAGAGAATTTGAGGTACTAACAGATATAAAGAATAATTGAGAATTTGGATAGCAATAGCCCAGTATAAAAGATGTATTAACAGATTAGAGATATGTACAATTGGTAGGGTCTAAATCTGTACAATACATTTAGCCCTATTGCAAACTATAATAATAATTTAGATTTTATTATTCAATGAGTGTGATCAGCAAATATTGCAACAAATTTTATATCTGCCTGATATGCAGATCTAGAAATTGGCCATGCAACAGATTTAGGATCTCACATAGCAATAGATTCTTAGATAAAATGTGAAATTGTCCAGTAAGTTGTCAGGCATGCAGACATTCTAGCAGATTCCAAATCTATTGAAGCAACAGATTGACTGACCCAGTACCATTTAATGATCAACCTGATCACTGCTCAATTACTATTCTGCTTAATAAACATTGTTGAGTCAACTTAGTGAATAAGCTAGTATAGTTCTTAATAGTATAATAAACTTGTATATACAGCAGGGCACATCTTGCATTGTTTATATAAGGCTCTAAACTACATGCAATCTAAAAAAAGAGAAAAGAAAGACAGTACAATAATATAGAAAGTTCAGGAGGCAACTTGATTGAAAATGCATTCTATGCTATAGGCAATCTATTGCTGCAAAGCCTATATAATTTATAAGTTTTTACTCTCATATAAGATGCGAGAAGTACAGACCTAGGCACAGTAATGTGCTTTCTTTCAGATACTCTGAGTCAATTGAGCTTATCAAAAAAGTAGCAGATGATGGTCAAATAGAATATGTTTTCTAGAGCTGATTCATGAGCAGGTCTGCTAGTGCAATTTTAACATTAGCAAAGGGCAAGCTTGAATCAGAAAAAGATGCACCATATCTCTATAAGAAAGATATGCTTATTGAGAATTCTTGTCTTTCTTTCCATCTATCTTCTCATATTGCATCTTAATATGTTATTTCTTTGAGTATATTGTTAAAACCAGGGAATAGATCAACCTGGTAGCTGACAGAAGTTCTGTACTTTGATGTAAGCAGCATATATTGGTATAGGAACTTAGTACTAATCTGTACTTCAATGTAAGCAGCAAAGAGATGCTAAAAAGTGAAGTACAGGGAAAAGTGGAGCCATGGGAACACAGCTCCTTATTAGGAAACAGGCAAAGTGCCCAAAGTGAAGCAGAAACTACAGAGTAGAAGTGGCATTGAGTGGAAGAATGAATAGGAAGAGTTAGAGGATGGGGATGGTATATATGAATAGCTTAGGTGAAGGGAATATCAGAAATGTATAAAAGAGGAGAAGTAAGAAGGTGGAACATCACAGAAGTTGAATATCTCTAATACTCTCTATGCCAATACTGCCTCCTTGTCCACTCTTCCTCTCACACTCAATCTCTGGCATCACTGTCTCACCACTATAATCTAGACAGTGTCAAGATGCTAATTTTGCATCAGATGGCCACTGGTATCAAGCTTGAGTCATCAGCAACATCTGATCCCATCTGTGAGCCATGTCTATCTGGAAAGATGCATGCCAATCCCTTTCCATCTTCGACCTCATCTATTTTCACTACCTGCGGTATTATTCACTCAGATGTTTATGGCCCTGTCAATGTTCAGACCTTTAATGGCTTCTGCTACTGGGTTACATATATTGATGGCAGATACAAGTACTGGGTGATTGTGCTGATAAAAACTAAGTCTCAGCAGTTCGACACCTTCAAGCTCTACCATCCTTATGCATGCAACAAGGACTTCAGGATTGGGATCCTGCAGGATGACAAGAGAGGTGAGTACATGTCCAAGGAGATGGATGCTTACTGTGTAGAGCATAGCATTGTGTACTGCCATACAGTGCACAACAGGCCTCAGCAGAATGGCACTGCTGAGCACTTCAATCGCCTGCTTCAGGAGTGCATCATTTGCATGCTTACTGAGGCTAATCTACTATGCCAGTTCTGGAAAGAGGCTCTCAATGCCTTTGTCCATATTATCAATCACTGTCCAACTTCCTCTCTCTCTGGGATCATCCCATATGAAGGCTGGACTGGACAGAAACCTGACCTCTCTCATCTTCGTGTTTTCAGCTGCACCATTTATGTCCATATCCAAAAGGACAAGCACTCCCACCTCAGACCTCACATGGAGAAGTGTGTCTTCATTGGATATCCGGAGGGCTACAAGGGCTGGAAGTTCTATAACCCAGTCACCAAGAAGATAGTCATCTCTGAACATGCTGACTTTGATGAATAGTTCTATCCTGGACTCAAGAAGTAACCTTCTTTGCCTCACCCTCCTCTCCCACCAACTTTGCCTTCGGCTCCCTCTTCTGCCAGCATAGTGCCCTGGTTTGACCCTGCAGATGAGAATGATGTGCCAGTGCCTCATCCTGGGAGGGAGATTGTGGTGCCTCTTCCTCCTGCAGTAGTCCTGGCACCTGCTCAGGATGAGCCTGCTGACTATCCTCCAGCACCTACTGCACCTCCTCCAGATAATTGACCCCTTGCCCAGAGATGTCTTTCTCGCACTCACAATCAAGCCCATTCTTCTGATCTTCCTATGCCTTCAGCTGCTCCTAGAATTGTGTAAGACTTATGTCAGGTGATTCCTTACACACATGGTAACTAAGTCAAGCTCAGTGTATCGAGTGAAGCTACAGTTATGCACAAGTTAGGAATATGGCTACTACCAGCCCCAATGGCTGACCTTAAGAGTTAGCCATGATTAAGTAATCATTAGCTGTACAGTAGAAGCCTGATATATCCAATATCCATATATAGTAATCAAGAAATGGTGCCCTTACGCCCTCCCCCTTTAGATGAGTGACTGGAGACTCTACTAATGAGTTGATAGTCTTTTGAGTTGATATGGTTGATTAGTAGAATTGACGATGAGTGATGGTTGAGTTAACTAAGGAGTCGACGATAATTAGGGTAAAGGTATCATGGACACTGTATGGTCTAGAAAAACTGATAAGTGATGATGATCTTCATTGTTTAAGCCATGGGTCATGAAGTGATTCATGACAGTGAAGTCTGAGAGTTCATCACTATGCAGGTTGATGATGGGCGCATCAACAATGATGAGGATGAACCCTCTATTCTCCTGCCAGTGCAGAGTCAGGGCTCAGATGACTTCAAGTATGATTGACAGTTGTCGACAATCTGAAGAGATTCTTCATAGGACCATAAAAAACTCTTGGAGTTGTGGAAGGTATATTTTCACTGCGGTGTCCGTGGTCAAACTGAATAGGTTAGATCTAGGATGTTCTCATGCGAAAGCCTCCCAAGCCTCTAGAGAGGCATCAGTATATGAAGGGTCTATCTCAGCCTCAGATTGAGTCAGGAGTAGAATCACTAATTGGGCAATGCCATCATTAGCTGCATTGTCAGCGAAAGCTGAGAGTGGAGTAGACCCAGTTATTGCAGTAATGCCAGTAGCCGGAGTGACTCCAATATCTTGCTCAGATGGGTCATGGTAGTGATTGTTCTCTATAACAGTGTCAGGGCCCTCTTCAGCACTAGTGGTAGGCTTGGTGGCATGGTGCGCTCCTTCTGCCTGCTGGGCTTGCCCATCCTGTGTCAGTCCATGATGATCACCTGTGAAGTCATTCACAGGGGTCATCTGAACATCCTCTGCAGTTGGGTGAGGGATGACTGCAGCCTCCAGCATTACCTGTCCTTTCTGGGATTGGATGACATTTGCCATGCCCGGAGGAGAAGGGATAGGGATGGTATTAGATCCTGAGGCTAGAGGGACAGGTTTCTTCTTTTTCTTCGCGAATGCCCCCTTAGTGGTTGGTGTGAATCATACTGGCTTTTGCTTGTAGTTGTTGATAATGTACTCCTCCAGTGCATGTCTCAGCTGTGGGACACAGGAGGCAGCATTGAGGAGTTCACCGAGAACAAGAACCGCATCTTGAGCTCTAGGGTTTTGTTCCTGAGCAGAGCAGTCAATCAGGTTTTGAAGCATCTCGACTGATATTGTGTTAAGCTGCTGGAACATTGGTGGCAACTCTTCAGCATTGAGAGGGCCACAGGAAGTGTTCTTCTCAATACTGGCAAGGTATTCTTGTTTTTCCCTTTTGGTTCTGCCTCTAGGAAGGTGAGTAGAATGAGAAAGTTGAGCAGTCTATGGCCTGCCATTAAAGCTGGCATGAACAGTTGGTGGACAATTTC